ACTTGCTTTACGTTCCATATTGGTATCGACTTTACTTTCTCTTCTCTTTAAACCTCCAACCCAAGTCTTCTTTTCTTTGGATTCCTTAATACTTTCAGTCTTGACTAAATTATGATCTTCTTTTGTAGATGGATTTGCATTAGGATTAGTATTGCTAATGGTAGTAGCTGTAGACCCTGATGTATTGATTGAAGTTGTATTGGCCACAGCAGATGAACCTTCAAATTTGAAACTCTTCTTAAATAAACCACCACCTGTAATACTACTCTTTCTATTTTGTACATCAGTTGAACTAATGGAAGAATCCTCAGATTTTGATTCATCATTGGAAAAATCAGTATTAGATGATTTTTTAGCGTTAGTACCTGATACATCACTTACAGTGGTAGCATTGTCTACTAAAGAATAATCATCACCATGATAAATATCATTAGTATTGAATCCAAAATTAATACAATCATCAAATTCATCAACATTAGCTGGTTTTTGAGTACATTTGGAATAAAATAAAATATAAGCACTTGCTAAACCAGGTCCATTACCGAAAAATCTCATTACATATGAATCTTCAACTAATTCAACCGTTTCATCATCGAATAATAACCATAATCCAGCTTTGATTTTACAAATTGAGATATAATGACCATGCATTGGACCACCCCCAATATGAATCACTAATGCATATAACTCATATAATGAGAAATCCTTTTCATCATCCGTAGTATTAAATAATCTTAATTTGAAAGGATAACTGATTGAATCAAATAATTTAACCATTTTATCTACTTTTTCATCATATTTAAATCTTTTAAAATTGATAACTAAAACTTCAGGTAATTTCTTTAATTTAATAGTCTTAATAGCTTCTTGTAATGATGAACATGTGTTACAATAGAATTTATTTTGATTTGTTAATGTTTCCAGTTTGGAGAAATTATTTAATGAATAACTTAATGAATAAGAACTTTCACCAGGAGGAATATCAATTGATAAATCCAAAAAGAATTCATGTTTGGAAGTAATAGTTTCACAACTTAAACATTTGGTTTCATTGGTAATTAACCCTTGAAAGATATCATTACACCAATTATTTTCCACTCCAATCTCTTTATTAAGACATTCAATGATTTCATTAATTAAATAATTAAAGAATTCATGAGCATCATGATGCATATTATTTTGACGAAATAAATAATTCTTTTCTTTTAATTTCAGAATAAAATAGGTAGGTGATACCACTCCAATAGTTGATTTATTTTCAATCATACTTTCAAACATATCCTTTAAGGCATATAATAAAGCACTGTCGTCAGAATATTCACTAGGTAATTGTAAAGAAGTATCAAGATTGATGATTGGGCCATTAATCAAAGCTGAACGTTTACGTTGATCAGATGAAGGATTTGGATTGAATGGATTTATAGGAATACTGAGAAACGGTTCTGGATGAGGTATACCGACTATTACACAAGCTGATGTTGTATTGATGACACTTTCGTTTAGATTATGTTGTTGAGGTTGTAGTTGCTGTTGTTGTGAGAGAGGTGGAGCAGGAATATGATTTGGATTATTTCCTGCTTGTTCATTATTTAATAACATTGAAGATGATTGCGAATAATCAAGCCTTTGACCTGAATTTGCTATATTATGAGATGGTCTTGTGATTAATAAATGTAATTGTTGAAAGTCAGGATTTCTTAATATTTTTAATCTTTGATCTAAAGATAATGCTTCACAATTTTTGGCTTCCATGATATAACCGGCAAATTTTTTTAGATCCTCATTTTGATTATAATTGGAATTATTTAATAAAGTATGAGATGAATTAGATGACGAAGTATTGAATTTTAATCCGAATAAGCTTCCCTTTTTAGAAGGTTTTGGTTTATCATTAGTATCAACAGTTGTAGTACTATTGGTGGTTGACATTGCCGCATTATTAATAGATCCATTATTGGTATTAGTTGAATTATTCATACTGTTTGATAATGACATTGATGCCGGAGGATTTTTACCTTGTTCTTTAGTCTTTTTAATCACCAATTGTTCATATTTAGTAGTGAAATTATGAGTTTTAACCCCATTAACCACCAATTTTTGATCATGATTTGTTAATTTATGTTTAACTAAATTGACTCTAAAGTTTTCACTATAGAATAAACATTGAAGAATCGAATTACAATAACAAGTGTTACCAAAATTCTCCATTCCAAAGATTTTATTAGATCCATCACCATAAGGTAATTTAATATGAGTTGTTGTAGTATTACCACCTTGACTACTTATACTTGAGCCAGGTGGTGGTACAACCTGGGCGTGGGCTTGATGATGTTTTGCCATGATATTAATTGACTATGGTTTAATTGATGTCAGTCTATGAATGTGGTATATCTATAAATGAACTATCCCTAGAGTAGGATCAAACTATAAACTGAATTGAAATTTATAGTTGAATTAGATATCTCCTCATACAATTTGACATTTCAATTTAAACTTACTCGGAAAAAAATATATGAGAGAGACGGAAAAGGAGGGGAAGAACATATATACAGGAATTATTATATTACGATTAATAATTATATATTTATATATAATGAATTTTAATACATATATAAAAAGGATGCAAATGGAATTAGAATATAGAAATGAATATTAGTTAAGTATGGTAAGTAGTTGATTTTGAAGAAAACCGACTTTAAAATGAGTTGTTAAGAATTGAAAGAAAGGATGAGATTGGAGCAATGAATTTGATTGAAAATGCAACGTTATGGATATGTCAAACTATTAGAATGATGTAATATTAATAACTTATGACCCAACTTAGAAATTCAAGTATAATGGCTCCTTTAATATCACCTTACAATTCTGTTTCAAACTATTATCAATATCATTTAATTGTTGCAACACTTTTAACTTTTCATTTGTATTATAAACATACGGCAAAGTGGCATTTGTAGTAGAAGATGATAAGATAGTTTCATTATTAATCAAACCATTATCTTGATTTGTAGATATGATTGAACTATTAAGATTATTGTTCAGATGAGTTAAAATATGAGAATTGGAAAGATTATGAATAGTGGTATTGGTAGTAGTGGTGTTTGTGTTTAAGAAGGAAGTAACATCAATCAAGTTTTCATTTAAATCACTCACTATAGAGTTTAACTCATGTTGTCTCTGTTGTTGTTTTAATTGTTCTTCTTGTTGTAAATAATCATTGGAATAAAGAGCATTATTGTTTCTTAATAGGGAAGTGTTTTCATTAAATTCATCATCATTGTTGTTTCCAATTAGACATGATAAGCAAGCACCCATTGTATTGAGTATATATGATGATTAAACTATCTATAATTGTAGTTTGTATGTAGTGGTTGTAAGGTATAGAATTCTATTTGTGGTATCGTCAAACAATTTTATTTTTTGTTGTCAAAGCCGCTGCTTTCTGATCACGTGATTTTCTTTAGAAATTAATTTTATAGAGATCAAATATGGATGATTATATTGATGAAATAGATTTGAATATTGTTTATTTATAGACATTTCAATGATGATTGATTAATATTGGATAATTACTTTGTAATTCTCTTAACATTAACAAGACAACTTTCATTAAATATTAAACTATTCATTGTATTTCGATCATATTTGGTACCAAATTTAATCAAAATTAACAGTTTTAAAAACGAGTAAATGCTAGAGACCCACAATAGTCAGTGATGATATTTCAATCATGAATAAACTACTTCAGATATCTGTTATACCAATTTAAACTAGTTGATTTACTATTCATAGTATTGTAGTTATTAACTGTATTGACTGCTAAAAGGTCGTGTACTTTTTCACATATAAAATTTATATTATAAGCTCCAGCTTTAATTTTTTTTTTTCAGATAGATCTTACAGATTTATTAACCATTTTCACTAGATATTAGGCAAAACAGATGTTTCAAAGTCTAAGGAGTCCTACTTCTAGAGGCTACATACAAGCTTCCAGAATAGTGCTATGGTCTAGACTGTTTTACTTAGACTCACCATTATGTCAAGACTTCAAATTCCCTTCATCAGATAAACCAAGAGGTAACAATAATAGTAATAATAATAATAATAATAATGATAAGAAGAATAGTAATGCTAGAGATAACGCAGAAGGTGGTAACAGATTTGTCAAACACTTTGAAAATAGAAATAATAATACTAATAATAATAATAATAATAATAGACCCTTTTCACAAAATAGAAATAATAACACTTCATTCAAGGATAATAATTCTAGAGATTCTCAAAAAGCTAATGCTAGCAAATTTAATGCTAATAATAGAGAACTTGTCAATCGTAACAACCATAGAGATGATCACTACAGGGGATTGAGTGATAGAGAATTCGATCATAAAAGGAAATATCTCAAACAACAACGTGATCGTCAACAACGTGATCGTCAATCTCAACAACGACAACAACCTCAGTTTGTATTTGAATCTGGTTCAAGACAAGCCATAAGTGCCTTAAAATCTTTGATTGAAAAAGTAGCAGCTTTACAAACCAATTTCAAAGTAAGATATCTTAATCCATTTCAAAATAGAATTGATGTTCTTCATTTATCCCGAATTTCAAATACATTAGAATTAGACAAATATGGATTATCTTTGGTTCAAAATGATGGAGAAGAATTCCCATTGATTAAACGAATTGATGTGGTAGATATGGTTAAAGCCTATAGTGATGAATTAGCTGCTCTTAAAGAAAAAGAATTAATAGAAGCTGGAAGTAGAGCAGCTCAAAAGGCAGTTCAAGCTAGAAATAAAATTCTTAAGAAAAAATCAGCCAAGAAAGAATATGCTATTTCATTTAATATCAGTATTGGAGATTTAATAACCCAAAAGAAAAGAGAAATCATAAACTTGATTAATAAAGGTCAACCATTCAATCTTACTTTAGCATCTAAAACCAGATTACATAGAGATCCTAATGCAAAATCCACCACTACAGAAGGAGGCGAAGAAGAAGAATCTCAATCTGTTTATGATATAAGACAGTCTCGTGAATTCAGAGAAGAAGATGCCTTAGAAGTTGAATATGCTAGACGTTCTATGATTTATGAACAAGTGATTGAATATTTAGATGAATCTCCAGTTACTTATACTGCTACAGGATCAATGTACAATAAATTTATTATCTCAGTTACACCTAAAGAAGAATCATCATCAAATAATCAAGTTAAAAAATCAAAGAAAGATGATAATAATGAAAAGGATTTAAAAAAGCAAAAGAAATTATTAAAGCAAAAGGAAAGAGAACAAGAAAAAATTCAATCATCTAAATCAGAGGATGATTTAGATGCTTTATATCTGATTAAAATTGATCCATAATCCCCTGTATATATACTATCTTGTACATAAAACCAATGCATATATCTAAACAACTTGTATACCGTGAAAAAAAAACCTTATATTTAAATCATGTAAAAAATGCAATATAAAAGAAGAATAAAACATAAAATATTAAATATAACCTGCCCATTATTATACAATGCTACCATACCTATAACTTTCATTAGAATTCAACCCATTACTATTATTACTATGGCTAGAGCCATTAAGAGAATTCCGTTGCAATAATGTTCGTTCTTGTCGTAATTTTTTAACTTTATAACCATATTCATGACCATAGATTAATTCATCAACAATGGGATAATGTAATAATTTCTTGATTTCTAATTGATCTAAATTATAATTATTTATAATTGAACATGCCTTTTGATAATAAAGCTCATCTTCATCTAGTAATTCTTTATCATAATTAAATTCATCAGTATTTAAAATTTCACTTATTGATATACCTTGATTATTTGCTGTTAAAGACGCTATTAAAGGAGGTGAATCAGGAGGTGATATATGACTACTTTTAGGAGATGATGCATAAACGGCCCTCATTGATGTACCAGTTGAATGTACAGAAGCAGCATATTCAGAATTGGCAAATAATAACGGTGTATTGGTTGTAGGATGTACGGCATTAATTTCTGAAGTACTTCTAACATGATTTGATGAATTACTATTAGAGCTAGGTGGTGCATTATTTGGTAACCAATGTTTTTGCTTTCCATCATAATGATATCTTAATCCTTGATTTATTCTACTCATTCTACCCTTAGAATCTGGATGAGCAATTAATGCTTCAACTGAATCAAATGATTTATAATCTTTATAATAATCCCCATAAAAGGTTAATTCAAAATCATGAATTAAATCTTTGATACCAATCATATCATTAAAAGCATATTTTAATTGTAATCTACCATAAGGTAATTGAGATATCGAAAATGGATGATAAGAAAATGAATACCAATGACCAATTGAAAAGGCAATTAATTCAAAACATAATAAAGCATTTTGAATACAAACTCCAATACTACCATTTTCAATAACTGAACCATCGGCGTCATTCACAGGTAATAATTTAAATACATTTAATATACCAATAAGGACACCTTGCCAATAACTTGCAAAAATGATTAATTTAACACATAAAAATTTCCCAATTGGATTAAAAGGTTTTAAATCATTCCATAAAATCTTCCAGAACATAGCTAAACAATATAATGAAGTTGAAACACTAAGATTATATATGATGGTCAACCATAAATATACTGATTTATAACTCATATCATTGACATCATACCAACCGACTAATTCTGATAATAAAATAGCAAAACACATGATTGGTTTTAACCATACATATTGTAGGATACCTCTTTTAATATTTAAAAATGTGAATGGATCAGATATGTCCATGGGTGGGAACATGTATTTGAATATACCAGGATGATCCACGGGTTGTCTTCCACTAGTCATGATGATTATATTCCGTTCTCCATTCAACATATCTGTTAATAATGAAAAGAAGGTATAAATGACAAATGCTTCATACACTTCTCGTATTGGTTCGATGATGTATTTAACCCCCACTGACGTTTGATTGACCAACATCAAATAACAAGAGAGGGCAAACAACGGTACGATCAATTGAATTCTTATCATCAATCGTTGTTGAAAAGGTTTCCGATAATTTAGTAAATGTAAGATGATGCTAAGGAAGATTATACATGTTGATACAATTGAAGAATAGAAACATATAACATTGACCCACCTGGGTAAATGAGGTACTATCACTTTATCAGCATTGTCATCATTAAAGATCATGATGATCAATCATATAACCCTTCTTTACCTTTGCAATATACCAGTGTTGCTTCCAATGATTATAAGGCGTAAAATGATCATTTCATTTTTTTGTTTGGGTCTGTCTCATTATTTATTTTTTTGGGTTATGTTTGTGATTATGCTTAATTTGGGGTGCTCGTCTTTTTTATCAGATCTATGGACGCAAAACTTAAATTCTTATCGATACTATTTTTAAATGCAATGCAATGACTGATGGGTGAAAGTTCATTAAAATAAATATTATGTATAAGCTATAGACATAGAAATAGATAGATAGATAGATGTATATATATAGTAGCAATGACCTAAGCAATTCCTGCTTCCTTTAATTTTTTTAACCTTTCCTTTTCTAAATTTAATTTATTCAATTCTTCTTCAGTAATTAAATGATGGGTGTGATTGGTAGCATTATAGATTTCAACATTAGCAAAATCATACTTGGAGATGACGACATTCTTTTCTTCAACTTCAACTGCTGTTTCAACTTCTGTTTCATCTTCATCTTCATGATCATGCTGATTTTCTCTTGCTTCTTCAAAGACTTCATCAGCAGTATCAACTGATTGACGATCTTGTTCATGATTTAACACTACTTTTTCTAGCTTCTTAGGTTTGACATTATGACAATGATCAATTGATTTATAGAATTCATCATTAACAACATCATTCATGAAATATCTTTTCTTTGTATCAATGATTAACATATTTCTAATTAAATCTCTTGATTGAACTGGTAATAATTTCAATAATCTTTCGGGACCATTACTCCCAGGAGTGAGATTACTACTAGTGTTTGAATTTTTACTACTAACACTTAATTCACTGATACTATGATGTAAATCAACTGATTCTTTTGAACCTAATGCTAAGAATGATCTATAAGATGCATCACTTAATTTTGGAATTTTCCAAGGGAATCTATGTAATATCATACAACAAAATATTATAGCAATTGACCAAACATCAGCTAATCTTGGATCATAACCAAAATTGGTAGGTTCAAATACTTCTGGTGATAAATATGGATCAGAACCTACTACTCCTCTTGCTTTAATTAATCTATAATTAATATCTTTGATAGTAAAAACTTCTTCAAAAGGTTCTAATCTCTGAATTTCATTATCAGAAATTTCTTTTCTAAATTGAACTGCTGAACCAAAATCAATTAATTTTAAAATCCCTTGTTTATTAACCACACAATTATCTAATTTTAAATCACGATGAGATAAACCATTTTCATGTAAGAAATTAACTCCATTAATAATTTGTTTAAAATAACAGAAAACTTCATTCATTTCCATTAATCCACTCATTACTAAATTAAAAAAATCATATTCACAATATTCCATAACAATATAATAATCAGGTTCACTAACTTTTGATACCACTTTTTTCTTTAAAATTGATGAAGAAGAATTTGGACTTATATTAGGATATTCTTTAATTAATTCAATGGTATGAATTAAATTTTCATGATTTAAATATTCCCCAATTTTAAATTCATTTTTAACTTTAATTTTATATTCTAATTCATTTTCAGTAGGTAATCTTGATCTAAATCTTTTTATAGCAAATATTTTACTTGGATCTGTTTTTAAAGTTACTAAATTAACTGATCCACTAGCACCTGTTCCTAATAATTTCCCAACTGGTCCATACTTTTGATAAAGAGTAGATTCAGTATTAACAGTTGAAACAGGATTAGTTGATTGCTGCTGATTATGTTGAACTGCAGCCAATGCTTTTAGGTTTGACGTTGAAGTAGTAGGTGATGTAGATGGTTTAAGTTTCTTAAAGAATCGTTTCAACGGATTTGAATGTTGATGATGACCATGACCATGATTATTATTATTATTATTATTAGTGATGGTGGCAGAGTTACCACTATTATTATGAATTTTATGACCAGAACTATTATTTGAATTATTACTTTGATAAGAATTGGCACTACTTTGAGCATTATCGGAAATGTTTCGTTCTACATTTCTTTTTGGAGTTACAGTTTGACTACCTTGATGATTATCATTTGAATGAATAGAATCTTGATGAGATATCGGATTTGATTGATTTTCATTTGAGGTTAAATCATTGGCTGGAATTGAATCTGTAGCAATAGCTTTGCCATTGTCTGATGGAGCTGGTGATACAGTTTGTGGACGTTGAATCGGTGAGATTGATTTATTATTAATATTGGTTGAACTTGAATGCTTTTTAATCAAGGAAGGGATTGAAGTTGAAGAAGTTTGAGGTGATATGACAGAAGCTTGAGATGATCGTTTCTTTAAGAATAATCTATGACTTGAAGAATTTGATGAAGGAATGGTTTCAGTACCAATTACACGAGATGAATCATCGGGAGTAGAAGGTTCTGAAGATGGTTTGTTATAATCGGCATGATCTTCATGTTGTTGTTGATGATGATGATGATGTTTTTCTTGATTACTTGTCACTGATGATGATGACGAAGATCTTGAAAATAGTTTCTTAAACAGCATGATTCTATTGATCTATAAATGTGAAGGAACTGGTAAGCTATTGAAAAAGAAAAAGAAACAAAAAAAGACCTGGATAGTATCGGAATTGATTTTTCAACAATTGATGAAGATGGGAAGTATATGGATGGATTGAATGCAAACAATAGGATTGATTGTGGTTGATTGATTGAAATGTTTCTGACTTGAATTCTTGGTTGTAAATAAATTTATGATGATCCAATAAACGTTTCTGTTCGCAAAATCACAAAGCCTGAAAGAGACACTAAATAGTAAGTAGGTAGGTAAGTAATGTTATGACTTAGGGGTATCGTCTAAAGAGGATAAGATCAAGAAATGAAAGAAGTCAGGACGAATAATGGAATGAAAATGAATTGAACTTAGAGAGATGAAATCACTATGGTTGGTGGTGGTGGTGTTTCAGTATATTTAGGGTTTCAAAATTTAAAATTGTCTGTCTGTCTGTTGTGGTCGTTTATAAATTTTCACACTATTTAATTTTTAATTAGTGAGAAATTTTTAACTTTTACCTTAAAGCAGTAAAAACAAGAGTTGTGAACAAACTTTAGGGAAGTATAGTTAGAGAATAGTGAGTTTAGGGATCATCTCTAGTTGGCTAATCTACGTAGAGACAGTAAAGAAATTTTACCTTATTACTTGAACCCTGACAAATGAATGGGATGGTTAATTAATTTTTCAATTAAACTACTGTACTAAAGCTATTACTAATAATTGGTTCATTTATATTTATTTATTTCCTCATTCACTCCTTGAATTGATTCTATCTATACTCTTCATCTCCTTGTTACTTACTTAATTACCCCATATATGGTGATTTAAACTTTAACTTTACCTCGGACGGTAACATGAAATTAAATTCCGAAAAAGATCGATTTAAACCCGAAGTAGCCTTTTTTTTTTCTTTTTTTCTTGGGTAAATAAGCGCTGTGTCTGCCTGTCTCCGCTATTCTTGTAACCGACTTTGATTTTGACAATTATGGAGATATGAGAAACTAAAGTTATTTTTGATGAGGAAGATGAAGATGAAGATGTTATCATTACGCCAATGACGTCACATGATTCATACTTTGACACATTTTCATTTCCATCTCTAATATATCTTCTACTACAACCTTGTATAAATTACTCATCTTAACATAGTATTTGAAATACATAATTATAATATTTATATATATGTATGTATATAGGTAGTTTAATTTTTCAGTATATAGATAGTTTTTATTTTCTATAGTTTTTATTGACGTTTGATAAATATATATGTAGGGATATATTAGTATTAATTTCTCTCTCTATGTTTGTTTTTTTACGAAGTATGGTTGGGTATATAATATTAAAACAAATCTATACTTTCTTAATCATTTTGTTGGACTGAGGATGATGTTCCCTTAAGTTTTTCCCAAACACTTAATCTTCTACCATTAGTTTGTTGTCCTAATTGATCATTATTATCTGGTTTACCATTAGTATTATTGGCTTCTTCAAAGTCACGAGCAACTGATGAATGTCTAGACCCATTACTAGTCAATCCTTCATCATCATCATCATCAACTTCATGAACATGATGAGGATCATCTTCTAAAATTAAAGCATCACTATCAGTAGCATTTTCATGATCTTGTAATAATGGTACAGCAGGATTATGATCTTTACTTCCATTTGTATTACTATATTGATTTAATGTAATCAGATCAGTTCTCTTCTTCTTTTTAGATTTTGATTTCTTCTTCTTCTTTTTAATATTAACAGTAGCATTCAAATTATCAATCGAAATTTCATTACGATCATCATCACTTACATTTTCAATAATTGTCTTATGAACACCTTGAACATTAATAATCGATTCAATAATACCTCCAGTTCTAAATGATCGGGCTTCTTGATATTCAGGATTATTAACTTTACTACTACTCGAATGAGCAGTAGCATTAACTTGAGTCGGTATATCTCTCGCTATAGATGTAGTGGCACTACCTTGTCTAGTTTTATTTTCAACTTGTAAAGTATCTTCATCAATTTTTCCTCCATTAACATCAATCAAATCAATTGGATTACTCTTAGTATTATCTTCATGTAATTCACTTACATCACCTTCATCATGATGATTTTTTCCATCAGGTAATAAATACAAATGAGAACTTTCTTCATGACTACGTTTGGCTTCTTCAATAGCTCCTTCTTCATTAATATGAATGGCTCCATAACTATGAGCTCCACCTGGTGCTCTTCTATTTGGACCCGGAATAACCACTAAATTATTATCACCACTAATTGAATGTTGATGAGGCCTTTTAATAGTAACAAATGATTTGTTGGTTTCTAATGGATTTGAAGCAGGATTCTTTGGTTTCCAAGTCTTGGTGCCACCTTCAATATCTTTAGTAGTACTTTCAATTTGCAGTGGGGTAACGCCTAACTTAGTAGCTAAATCTTGTACTTGTTCTTCAACAATAATGGGTGGGGCAGTTAAAGCACCACCCGAACCACCAGCATCTAAAGAATTTCTTTTAGAATTATTACCACTAATATGATATAAATTATGTAAATAAGCAGTTAAATTTCTTTTCAGTAATGGACCTGGATTTTTACGTTTAATATTTTTATTAATATCAATATAAACATCAGATTCATCAACAATTTCTTCACCGATTAATTCTTCAATGACATCTTCCAAAGTTAAAACACCAATAGCACCAACTGGTTCACCTGGTTGTTCACTAACCACAATCATATGTGATTTACCTTCTTGGAAATAATTTAAAATATTTAAACATGAAGTGTCTAAAGCAGTTTCTGGTAAAGTAGCTAATGGGAATGAAGCTACTGGTAAAGCATCTTCAGGATCATAACTAATTAAGACACGAACTAATAACATCCCAATGAAATTTAATGGTTCATTTGGTAAATGAATTGGAATACGAGAAAAACCAGCATTAAAGATTTCTTCCACAGTTTTTGAATCTAATAAGCGATCAGCACTCATGGTATAAACTCTATCCATTGGAGTCATGATTGAACTAACTGGTTTTGCTTTTAAATCTAACACAGCACTAATAATAGTAACTTCATCTTGATTTAATCTTTCAACCCCCATTGATCTATGTAAGGTGACTAAAGTTTTTAAACCTGATTTTTTATAAACGGTACCATGATCTTCACCTAATACGTGATCTAATAATAAAGCTATAGGATAAGCAATAGGATACATGATATACATTAAGATAAGGACAAATGGAGCAAATAATGACCCCACTTCTAACCCATATCTAACACAAATAGATTGAGGAATAATTTCACCAAAGATAACAATGGAAGCAGTAGCGGTAACAACAGCAGGCCAACCACCACCTAAACAACGATCCAAGACAATAGGTAAAGTTTCGTTAGTAATAACATTTGATAATAATAAAGTAACTAAAACCCAATGTTTACCTCTACCAATCAATTGTAAAACTTTTCTGGCATGTTTTCTTTCATGAGAATCACCACTAGTGGCAATAACTTTTAAATAAACTTCATCTTGACCCATAAGACCTAAAGTTAAACCCGCAAAGACCCCACCGGCAAGAACTAAACATACTGAAGTTAATAAATTCATATAAAATTCTTCAGCAGTCATATTATTACCCGCATTAGTAACTGCAGCGATGGCAGGACCATAATTAGCGGTGGTTACAGATTCCGATAAATCATTATGATTTAAAGTAGTTGAATCACTTAGATGATGGCTTAAGATTGGTAAACCATGAATTAATTTTGTAAGTTGACTGAAAATAAAAAATAATGTTGGGATAATATTCCCGTTAACTAGAGAAACGGCATGGTTACTTCGAAAAGGTAGTTTTTTCGACATATACTCTCTATAGGGATTAATTAGTTAGTATAAAGAAGAAGGAATTTAGATGAATAACAACAATGATATCTATACTACTACTAATAATGAAGATGATAGGATAAACAAAATGAATGAAATTAGGCAATTTTCAATATATATAGGATGAATATATTTTGGAGATGAGGTTTTCCCTCACAGTGACGTTAAACCAGGTTTGAGACGAAAAACACGTTCTTAGTCCAAGACTTCTGTGTCAACTAAAGTGAGGCACATTTAAAGTGGTCGTGTGAAATGGACAAGTTCTAGACTGTTCTTTACAAAAAAAAAGGCAGCCAAAAAAAAAACCATAGTAGTATAGGATATCAATGGGGTTGAATGTAGTTCAATTCATACATACCAAACTAGTAAATGGATAGAAAGTAGGGGGAAGGTTGAGCAATTAGCTTGGAATAGCTTAGTTGAACTAAAACAGATAGATTCAGATAAAAAGATCAAAGTTTATCACACTGATTTATATGAAAACAGGAGAAAGTGGAGTTCAAATTTCTATTTTATATTTCATTTCTGTTCTGGTTCTGTTTTGTGGGAGGGGTCGTGTACTTTGGCACAGAGAATTTATATATATATGGAGTTAATAACCAATTGGGAACTAAAACCCCACGATATCAATTGGTTCTTATAAGCCATCTTCAATCTGATATCTTCTAATATGTACATAATATACACAGTTTAAGTTCATAAACGGCTTACAAATAGATTACATTACTTTCTCATTTGATTGAGTTGACAACCAACCAATCGTTCCTCCACTTCCTGGGCCTGCCTCCAATATTTTTCTTTTGTACGTATTTGATAATTTGCAACTCTTCAAATATAACCTTAAAATTACTATTTTTATTATCTATAATAAATCCCAATAAAAATAATACACATGTCTGTTCTTAAACTATAATAAATAATAATAACTAATCTCATCCATGAATGAGATAATGCAAAAGATTCAAATCTTACCATTTGGCGCCTAATAACATGGTAGCTTGATCAGTTGGTTTTTCAACTTGTTTAAACCAAGTATTGATTAATCTTTCTTGCCCAATATCAAACAGTTCACAATATTGTTGTTCCCAACCTTGTAAATCATTAACAATATTTAAATTATTAGCTAAATCAACCATTTCAATTTCACTATACTTTAAAATAACTTCTGATATCCAATCCTTTTCAGATATTTCACTCGGGTTCGTTATTTGACCTCCCCCATTAATACATCCATTAGGACAAGCCATAATCTCAATATAGTCAGCTTTTAACACATCGATTTCTTCTGCAGTTGCCTCCTCTAATCCAGTAGAAGTTGGAACCGGCGATGCACTATTACTCTTTTGAAGTCTTGCTCTACGTTTAGCCACTAATGGATTAATTCTTTTCGTAGTAGTTCCACCACTAGTTGATTTGACTGGATTTTTAAGTTTTCTAACTAAATTTTGAATATTTCTAAATCCATTTAAAACAATAGATGATGCAATTAATTTATCTTGATAATTTAATCTCATTTCATAAATATCAGAATTTTTCCCATTAACGATTTTGATTTTAAAATTCTCTATTTGATATTGAACGGGATCCTTTAATATTAAATGTTGTTGATATAATTTTAAATAATTCCATCCATACCCTCCTGATGTTGATCCTGAATCATTTGACCATGAATATTCTACTAAGGGCCAATCATTAGGAGCATATTTTCGATAAAGATTCTTAAGCGTATCATGTTCTTGTAATGGAGCCATTAATTGATATTCATCTTGATGTTGTTCTAACAATGTAACTAATTCCTTAGGAGTTAACACACAATCAACATCATTATATGATTCTTGTTCTTGGCCCTTTTCAGGTCTAGCACTTTCCAATTTCTTATCGAAACATGGCATTATAGATAAATGATAAATATTTTTCTTTGGAATGCCTAATTCTTGACTAACCAAAGTTTTAAGAATATTACCTGTAATTTGTTGAGGTGATTTAACAGTTGATAAATATGATAATACATGAGGATGTGTCTTCTCAGCATAAAGAACCCATCCAGGACATATTGAGGATAATAAAGGTGCTCCAGTATTATTTTCAGATGACTCTTTCTTCAGATTTATAATATTCTTAGCTTCTTCTATCAAACTTAATTTACGACCTAAAGAAGTACCAATAATATAGGAAAACTTTAGCTGATGGATAAATAAATTAATCAACAATTTATCAATTTGCTCGATCGATAGACTGTAAGCAGCTGCTAATGAAGCTCGAGATTGATGAGATATAGATACCACAAATACTTTTTCACGATCCTGTAATGAATTTAATAATTGCTCATATGAATGTTGTGCCACAAGCACTTCTTCTGCGGATGTTATACATCCTGAACATGCTAAACAATCACTTAACGATATTTGTGCTGGTGATAGTTGTTTTACCTTTTGATCTATTTTCGAAATTTCTAATGGATTACCATTCTTATCGATTTGAATTTCCACTTCTCCTATATTGCTTTCATCCTGTGAGGCCGGCACTATAGGTTTTATGCATGCGACAGAAGGACTTATGAAGTCATTCAAATCATCTTGACTAAGTATAGCACTCATATTATGATGTTTGGTACTGATTTCAAACTATTCTATCAAAAGAAGATGACTAATTATAATTAAATTGAAATCGTATCGCTACAAGATTTTTTTTTTTTCATCTTAAAATTTTTTGTGTCTCTTTTTGCTATTTTTGCACGCTTTAGGAAATAGGTCCCATGGATTAATTTTTCAACTTTACACAGCCGTTAATACTTTGAATATATATTTTAAATTAAATTATAAATAAGAAAACGTAACTATTTACAAAAGTCAGGTACTTAATCTTGATGAGGAGGCACTTCATCAGGAGTAGGGTTTTCTTCATCTGATAGTGAACCTAATTCAAATTCTTCCGCATCACGAACATTAACATATTCATTACTTCTTGAATTAAATCCTAATTCACCATCTTCATCATATCCTACTAATCTAAGATACAATGTGATTAATGAAATTATCCATAAATAAATCATAAATGCTGCTGAAGACACGACTAATATATAAGCTGAATGATCAGCACCTAAATCATGAACCAAGATTAATTGTTCTTCAGTTGCTGACATGAATAAAATTCCTGATAAGGTTAAACAAAATGGAGGGAAATATTGGAATGAAAGGATTTTACCATCTGTTGCACAAGCTTTATCTTTTAATAAGAACAGAATTTCAACAATTCTAAATGCACCTGCTCCCATCAATGCTAATCCAAATACAGAATGAACTTTAGTACTTATTTCAAGATGTTGAGCATGTTGAGACATGGAGTATCCCGTGAAAATTAACAATAAAGATGGGATAAACGTACGATTATTCTTTCTTGCTAAGAAGATACCTAATAAACCTCCCGCCCACCAAATTATTCCCATTGAAGTATGTTGATAATCACCCATTGACCAAGCTTCACGACCCCATCTATGTTCAGTGAAAGTATTAACTATCCCCCAAGTACACATAACAATCGAATCCCAGAATTCTTGAGATTTAAAAGATGATCTTTCAGCATTAGGATATAATTGATGTTTCCTAATCCAAGGTATAAGTAACACCAATGATAAAACAAATGAATATAATATAAAGGCTGAACCCATAATTCCATGGGCTATACATTGACCTGTATGACGGCCATAACAGAATCCAAATAATGCCACTGGTGCCATACAAACTCTTACCCAACCTACTATCACAATAATGAATGATAATACTTTAAAGATTTTATATGATATACCATATTCATTCAATTTGATATGAGGATAGAAACGATTAATGACTAAATTGGATCCATTAATGACAGTTCCTAAAAATAAGCAACTACCTAATAGAATACTTAATATCCAACTTGAGTTTCTTGAAGTAATATTTTCATGATTATCAACATTATCGGGGAATTGCAAGAATAAAGTTTCAAACACGGAGTAACCGGTTGATATGATGGTTAATAACAAAGACCAACTTAATTTATTAGCAAGTGCAAGTGTAGCTGAAATGGATGGAATGATTAACAATAAGAATAATGATAATATCCAATGAAAGGTTTTTGATCCGGGATTGACAGGATGGAATTCAACCTTCTCACCCATATCCATATCCATATCATCATCAGCTTCAGCATTGACAATTGATAACCATGATACGATCAAGCATACGACAATGATACGCTTATCAAGTTTCAATCCCATAATGTATTGATGCTGTGATCTTGATAGCTATATGCAACGTGAGATATCTGTGTTTGATTTTCTGCTCTCGATCTGTTTTTTTCTTTTTAGCGTGGGTTTGATATGATTTGGGTTCCGATTACCGCATTAGGAAGCCAAAAGTATAGCTAATTATTTACAAAGTTAGCTTATTATCAATATTTCTAATCTACTACACTGATACTATTCATAATCTCTGATGTAATACTGTTTGATTACAACTTTTTTGTATAATATGAAACTTATAAAGTGACGTACCCCTTATTATTAGATAGTGTCAATCTATTAGCGCAAAAATTAAGTTAATAAATGTCGTAAACCTGAAACAAAAAAAGAAAAAAGAAAATTGGAAAAATGTCCTCATTTCGACGTGGCATGTCGTAGGAGGTCCTAACTACTTCTGGAGTAGAATGAAAGAAAGCTTAATTAGAAGTAAGTTGAACTTTGAAACATTTTCATCAATTCTTCACTTAATTTTTATCCTTTTGATTGGTTTCTTAAGTAAGAACATTTGGCCAGTGTCAGATATTGAAGTGACATTGCCTACTAGTTTTAAATATTCATTTGGTGTCATATAGCTTTGTTGGAGAAACACACTTCTAGAGATCAAAAAGAGAGGAGCCATCCATTAAGAGTATCAAGACAAATTATCACATAGTGAATAAAATACTTAGACGAACAAGACCTTTTCCATCCATTTTGTATCAGGTTTGTATCAAGTTATATTTTAATTCCCTCGTTTGGTTGTTCTTTAATTATTATTTCACACAGTCATTTGATAATCTTTGATTCCAATTAAATAATCATCATATCTTAAATAATATGTTGCCGATTAATATATTAATCCTTATACTAGGATGTTTGCAACAGATTGTTGCTACTGGATATAATATCCCTACTAGGGACTATGACGAAAAGAATTACTTTTTACTTGAGTTAAATACTACTTCTAGTCAAAAGCCATTGATAGATTTTATAAATCAACATTCTCAAAATTATAATTACGAACATCAATTATACGGATTTGATAATCATTATGTTTTCAGTATCGATAAATCTCATTCTCATAATCAATTCTTGGGTAATTTAAATAAAATTTCCAATGATGAATCAGAAGATGAATCAAAATTAATGAAAAGATCTGATGGATTCGAAGATCATTACGATGGATTTATAAATAATGAACATTTAAAATCAATTTATATGTTACCACCTAAAAAATTATCCAAAAGATTACCAGTTCCATTCACTCCAGAAGAAGTTGAATATCAACAAGCTCAAAATAATCAACATAAAAGATTAGATATAGTCGATTCTTCTCAAGAACCAGTGAAAAAGGCAAGTGATAAGTTAGGCATCAATGATCCTGGGTTCATTGAACAATGGCATTTGATTAATACCTTGAGTCCAGGTCATGATGTTAATGTAACCGAATTATGGTATGAAGGTATTACTGGGAAAGGCATTGTAACTGCCATTATTGATGATGGTTTAGATGCTGAATCAGAAGATTTAAAAGCCAATTTTAATAAAAAGGGATCTTGGGATTTCAATGATAATACAAACATACCATTACCTCGATTATTTGATGATTATCATGGAACAAGATGTGCAGGAGAAATCGCAGCTGTTAAAAATGATGTTTGTGGTATTGGTGTGGCATATGATAGTCAAGTCAGTGGGATCAGAATTTTATCAGGTCCAATCACTGCAACCGAAGAAGCTTCAGCCATGATTTATGGTTTAGATGTTAATGATATTTATTCATGTTCTTGGGGTCCAACTGATGATGGTAGAACTTTATCTGCTCCAGAACCAATTGTCAAAAAGGCAATGATAAAGGGTATTCAACAAGGTAGAGCCTCAAAGGGTTCCGTTTATGTTTTCGCATCAGGTAATGGTGGTAGATATGGCGATTCATGCAATTTCGATGGTTATACCAATTCAATTTATTCAATTACGGTTGGTGCCATTGATTTCAAAGGTTTACATCCAAGTTATGCTGAAGCATGTTCAGCTGTCATGGTTGTTACATATTCTTCTGGTTCCGGTGAGCATATTCATACTACTGATATTAAACAAAAATGTACTGCTCAACATGGAGGTACATCAGCTGCTGCTCCTTTAGCTGCTGGAGTTTATTCATTAATTTTACTGGCAAATCCAAATTTAACTTGGAGAGATGTTCAATACATTAGTGTATTAAGTTCTGATCCTATAAATGAAGATGATGGACATTATCAAACTACCGCTTTAGGTCGTAAATATAGTCATAAATATGGTTATGGTAGAATGGATGCTTATTCAATGGCACATTTTGCTCAAACTTGGACCAATGTTAAACCTCAAGCTTGGTTTTATAGTGATGTTCAAGATGTTAAAAAGACAATTAATTTGGGACCTGATGTTGCTGAAAAGAATCAAATCATAAAACAAACTATTACCGTTACTCCACAAGATTTAAAAATTATTAATTTAGAAAGAGTAGAACATGTAACAGTGACAGTCAACATTCAAGCAAACTTCAGAGGTAGAGTTGGAGTTCGTTTAATTTCACCAACAGGAGTTATAAGTGATTTAGCTACATTCAGACCTAGTGATTCTACTGGAATTGGCTTTAAAAATTGGACATTTATGTCAGTTGCTCATTGGGGTGAATCAGGAGTTGGAGATTGGGTTGTTGAAGTGTTTGGAGATGAATCAAAACCAGGTAATATTCAAATTACCTTTGACAATTGGCAATTAAGATTCTTTGGTGAATCGATTGATGCTAATGAAGTTGAAACTTATGATTTAGATAAAGATTATGCCGCTATAAGAAGAGATAAACAGGCTGAAGCTGATAAAGAAGAACCAGTTGATGAAGCTACTTCTATAGGTGAACCATCCTCTAGTACCACTGAAGCAAATTCTAGTGAAATTGCATCTGAAGTTATCACCAGTAGTAATGATAGTGTTAGTTCAGCTCCAAGTGAAGAAGATTCTGTTAGTGAACCACCAGTGATACCAACCGATGAACCAAATGAAGATGAAATTAACCCTGAAGAACCAGAAGATGGTAAGAATAAACAATATACTGGAAATCATACTGGACAATATTTTATGGCAGTGGCAGTGATTGGTTTTATTATTGTATTAGTAGTTATGAGATTTAATAAGACACCAGGAAGTGGTAGAAGAAGAAGAAGAAGAGATGAATATGAATTTGATATTATACCAGGAGAAGATTATTCTGATAGTGATGCCTTAGATGATGATGAGTTTTTCGAAGATGATGCCGATGCTGTTGAATTAACATTTACAAGACCAGGACAAGGTCAACAAGATGATGAAAGTACGAGAGATGATGAGACCTTACCCAAGTATCAAGAACAAGATCAAGAGATGTTTGCCATTGGAGGAGAAGAAGATGATGAAAGTGCGGCAGCTACTGGAGAAGAAGAAAGGGATGCATTAGTTGAAAAACCAAAGATTAAGAAAGAAGTGTCATTTAAGACTGATAAACATGGTGATGATGATGATGAAGATAATGAAGATGATAGATTACTTTCATCAGAAGGTAGATCGAGTTCAGACTAATTTCTTGAAAAAGTTAAGTATATAATTAAAAAAGATATTATAGAAAAATAAACAAACTTTCAATAACAATGACACAATTAATAAAAAAAAGTAATAAATAATTTGCAACCACTGAAAAACGGGGTCAATGATCTGTAAATATAAAAATTAGTAACTAATCCATTCAGCCGTAGCACCCAAATGGGAGCCGTTCACCCATAAAATACGAATGTGATAAAAAATGAATGAAATTATTCAACTATTGAATATTCACATGGGCTGGTGGTATTGCAGATTGTATACCTTAGTAGACAATATTCTTTTGATTGTGATATAACCATGGTCAAGCTACTAGTGGTGTGATTAATAAGTCACCAAATTCAAATTCCTACCTTAACAAATTGGATCAAATCAAATTTATGGGGGTACCGATAATTGAAATAAAATAGAAGGTCCAGACTTTTAAACGGTGCCCCCCCCAAAAAAAGGTTTTATTTACACAAAGTTAAAAAAGTTGATTTGAACAAGTCACATGATTTTAGTAATTTAATTTTTTTTTAAATTGTCCATTATCAGCGAAATTGAATTGCCGAATTAATTTCGGATCATATAATTACTATGACATGGTAAGTGTTATAGATTTAATATTCACACAACTATAATGATGATCGAGAGGAGAATTTGATGATTTAATTGAATAAAGTGAAATTATGTAAATCAAACATGTATTTTTTTGATATCGGATAGACTGGCAAAGTTACAATCTCTATCCCAAAAACAGTATGTCCGATAAAACCAAGAAAAACCCGTCAGACAACAGTCAGTGAACAATCAGTAGTAGCTAAAAACAAAAAATGACGGATGGCGGGCGGACAGAGGATGTGCGTGTGCCGGCAATGATAAATTTTTGCAATTTTTCATAAAACTAAACTAAAATTTAGCGAGACAAAATAAATAGTTGTTGGTGGTGAGATTGTAATGGATGGTGGGGGAGGCCCATAGACTCCCGCGCACAACCAACAACATCAACTTTATTAACGTCACCATAACCCAGAACTGGTAATAACTTAGTAATAGAATAATATACTGAATAAGTCGTTAGTAATATTTCATTTCATTCTTATTTTTAAAGTTTATAAGATTACTACTTGACCAATGGTGATAGTATGTAACTAATCACACCAATTCTTGCTCACTGAACTTGTCTAACCAATGGAATGGGAACTCATCTTCATCTTGTTTTAATTAATTAAATGTGAATTGACCTTCCCAGTCAACTTTTGTTTTTTTGTGTCTCCAGATTTTGCTCGTTCGGGCCTACTTATGATATGTTGGGGTGCGAGCGAGAAACAGTGGAACTCGTTGCCATCCACCATCATCAGCAATTCTCTCACACTCTCTCACTAAAATCAAAATATTCTGTACTCAGTTTTACCGTACTTTTTGTCTGGTAACTTATATATATTTTTCTCCCTAATCACAACTAATTCTCGCTAATTCTCAGTAATTGGTGACCAAAATTAATTATTAATCCGATAAAAACGACAAAAAAAATTTCTCCTTTTTAATTCTAAGCTCCCCCCTCCCCCCAAAATTTTCACATTTAAATAAATGTCAGTTTGCTACTTTTATAAATAATTTGTCATAATCAATTAATCCTTAATTTCTATTTCTTAATAGTTAACGTTGGATTTCTGTATTTGATTGTTTCATACCTTTAATTCTCATAGTCAATTGATATTTAATCATTTTAATCAATTAACTTAATCAATTGTTCCATCAGTTCAATTATCAAAATCAACCGTTCAACAAAAAATCTATCGAAGAACTCAACTACTATGTCATTCGATCCATTTGGAACTCACGCAACCATTGTTGTCTTTGGTGCTTCTGGTGATTTAGCCAAAAAGAAGACTTTCCCTGCCTTATTTGGTTTATTTAGAGAAGGTCAATTGCCTCCCACTGTTAAAATCATTGGTTATGCTAGATCTAAATTAGAAGAAGATGATTTTAAACAACGTATTTCTGCTAATTTTAAAAAGGGTACTCCCGAAAAAATCGCTGAATTCCTTAAATTAACAAGTTATATCAGTGGTCCTTATGATACTGATGAAGGATATTTAACATTAAATGAATCAATTGAATCTTATGAAGCATCTCATAAATTATCTACTCCAGAACGTTTGTTTTATCTTGCATTACCTCCTTCAGTTTTCACAGTTGTTGCATCTCAATTAAAAAAGAATGTTTATGCTGCTCATGGTAAAACTAGAATTATCGTTGAAAAACCTTTTGGTCATGATTTGCAATCTTCAAGAACTTTACAAAAAGATTTAGCTCCGTTATATACTGAAGATGAATTATATAGAATTGATCATTATCTTGGTAAAGAAATGGTTAAAAATTTATTGGTTTTAAGATTTGGTAATGAATTCTTTAGTGGAACTTGGAATAGTAAACATATTAAATCCATTCAAATTTCATTCAAAGAAGCCTTTGGTACTGAAGGTAGAGGTGGATATTTTGATTCCATTGGTATAGTTAGAGATGTGATGCAAAATCATTTATTACAAGTTTTAACTCTTTTAACTATGGAAAGACCAGTTTCATTTGATCCAGAAGCTGTTCGTGATGAAAAAGTTAAAGTTTTAAAAGCTTTTGAAGCTTTAGATCCAAAAGATATTTTATTAGGTCAATATACTAAATCTGAAGATGGTTCTAAACCAGGTTATTTAGATGATGATACTGTTAAACCAGATTCAAAATGTGTTACATATGCTGCTATAGGTATAAACATTAGAAATGAAAGATGGGATGGTGTTCCTATTGTTATGAGAGCTGGTAAAGCTTTAGATGAATCTAAAGTTGAAATTAGAATACAATTTAAACCAGTTGCTAAAGGTATATTTAAAGAAATTCAAAGAAATGATTTGGTTATAAGAGTTCAACCAAATGAAGCTATATATCTTAAAATAAACTCTAAAATCCCAGGTATTTCTACTGAAACTTCATTAACTGATTTAGATTTAACTTATGCTTCAAGATATTCTAAAGATTTCTGGATTCCAGAAGCTTATGAAGCATTGATTAGAGATTGTTACTTGGGTAATCATTCTAATTTCGTTAGAGATGATGAATTGGATGTCTCATGGAAATTATTCACTCCATTATTAGAATATATCGAATCAAAAGAAGGTCCAGTTCCAGAATTATATCCTTATGGTTCTAAAGGTCCACAAGCATTAAGAAAATTCTTAAATGATCATGATTATATCTTTTCCGATGAAGGCACTTATCAATGGCCATTAACTACTCCAAATGTTAAGGGAAAAATCTAAGGTAAATTTTTTAATATAATAATAAGTTAGTTATAAAAAGAACACAATAATTTTCGATTCCATATTTTTAATTTTTGTAACAATAAGTTTTTCTTTTCAGTTTTCTTAATATTTTTCATTTTTCATTTTGGTAGTTTTCCCGTTATTTTTGCAGTGTTAGTTTTTTTAGTAGAAAATGATGATAGTAAATAGACATCCTTTGGTATTACAGATCTTTTAATAAAAGTAAAATGATATCATTCGTATATTAATCTATATAATTTGTAGAAGTAAACATAAGATACGATTCTTTAAGGAGATTTTTCAATGAAGATTCTTTAAAATCTTTCAAAAATCAACTTCAGACTTGACAGCAAATCAAATCCTGTTTAACATTTATCATATGGTATTTTCGTATTCAATATTCAATTCAAATTGATCTCTTTAAAATCAGACATCCATGGAAGGTCAAATTGCGGTCACCGACATACGGTAAGATGGGTTCTAGTTGTATGCTACCGAGGAAACTGCGAATGTTTATGGTACTTTTCATCACTTTAAAAAGGCAATATTGAATTATAATTGATATTGAAAATACCGACAAATGATTATTGAAGAATTGATTGATAAGTTGAATAGTTGATACACTTCATAGAAAGACTGAAGAATCTAATTGAAAATTCTCAACAAAAAATCATCATCATCAAACATCATAATCAAATAACAACAAGATACAACTCTTTTAATTTGAAATCAGAAATGCAAAATACTGGCAAGTATAAGTCAAACACCCAACTCGGTCTCAGATGCAAATCCGAATCCTGCAAACGTTTATATAATTTTAAAGTGCTGACGGTTTTCAACCCTGTCGTCATAGTCGTATCAGACTGGGAAAGAAGAGACTTAGTTTCATCATCTTTCAAAAAAGTTAAGTTGTTGTCACTGTTGATTTATGAGTCGATGTTATATTCTGGAAAACCCCTTTTGATTAGGGAGAAGAGGAGAAGGAGAGATTTTAGTTAGACTAATGAACTTACCATTCACTAGCACCACCAATATATCTCTCAACTACTCTTACTCCACCAACCATTTGATGATTCTGTTAATGAATAAGAAGAAGAACAGTAAAAGAAATAGTAAAAGAAGAAGATGAAATAAAATTTATATGAAGAATTTTTTTCCATCCTCTTCTTTAACACTCAGTTTTTTTTTCAAAGCTGAGAAGAGAAAGTTACCCGCCCAAAGATTTTACTAAGGTATATTACAATAGTGCTACAATAAAGTTACACAATTCAATAACCTTACCACATTATATATTATTTTAAATAAATATTCTCTATGGCTAACATATAAAAGAAGATATAATTAAATAAATAAGTAGGTTTCTAAAAAAAAGGGTTGATTATTCATTATGCTATGTCATTAATTTTTCTAATTTTATTTTATTTTATTTCGTATGTGATGATGATTTTGATGATGGTGGGTTTATACTTAAATTCCTGATGTCTTGCATATTCTTAGATCTAGCTTGATCTTCTTCATCATGATTTCCAAAACTTAAACTTCTTCTCACACTGAATGAACTATCATTATCAACTGATGCTGGATTAGGATTGTTCTTTCTACCTTGGATTTGCTTTTGAGCTCCTGAAGTAGATTGTCGAGTACTTTGTTTACGACGATGACTATTATCAGTATATTGATGATAACCTGCAGCACTTGCACCGCTACTTCCACTAATACTCGACCCTTCTCCACTACGGCTATTAGGAGGTGCTGTAGGAACCACACTATATTTCCTTTCTTTGAATAATACCCCTACTTCTTGAACATTCTTTTGATGATCAGGTTGACTTAACACAAACCAATCCAAATGCTCATCGTAATTATACATTCTATAATCAGTACCATAAGGATGAGATTCTAAACAATAAAGGGTATGTAATGGAACATCCAATTCTCCAATATTTGATTTATCCAAATTTAAAAAGTAGGCCAATAAGATTCTTAAAACCACTCTATGAGATATAATTAATAAATGATCAGTGGTTCTTTCAATTTCACTTATTAATGGTCTTAATCTTGTTAAAACGTCTAAATAAGATTCACCACCTACACCTGGATATCTATAAGTTAGTTTATTTCTTAATCTTGCATCAAACTCTTTTGGATATTTAGATTGAATTTGGTCATAAGTCATACCTTCGAATTTACCACCTCCTAATTCATTAAGCATTCTCATTGATTTAATGGAGAATAAGTGTTCATCGAAATATTGACCTGTTTCAATGGCACGAGTTAACATTGATGTCCAAACACAGAAGTTTGGTTCGGTTGGAATGTCATCCAAACTTGATAAATCATCATCTTCATTAAACAATTCCTTATTATACTTCAATTCCAATCTACTACTGAATCTTTCCAATTGTTGTTTTCTAAATTCTTGACGTTGGAATTCCATGAATCTAGCCAAAGTCTTGGAGAACTTATCACCACGTTTGGTTAAAGCAGAATCACCTCCAATTCTACCAGTTAAATTATCTTTACTCTCACCATGTCTAGTAATCCAAATTTGTCTTTCACAAAGGTTGAAATTCAATAAGAAGTAAATGGTTTGAGAAGCTAAGAATCCTTGAATATTATAACTGACCACTTTCTTACCTACATCAATCATCTTAACATATTGGAAACCTTCTAACTTCTCTTCACTTTCATCAATCGTTTCATAAGCTTTTTCATAATTTTGTAAACGACCAATAAAATCATTTAATGCAACTTTTGGATCCATATCTTTATAATCAGGTCCGGATAATTTTAATCGAATATTATTTTGTAATAACATTGGATCATTACAAATACTTTCTAAGAATAATACTTTTAATTCTCCATTACTAACTTGATTAATTCTTTTTAAAACTTTTAATCTTCTTTGTTTGGTTGAATTGGTAGCGTCAAAAATCCCAACTGAACCAGGACCATTAATAATATATTCTAATAATTGATCTAAAGTATCCATAGCCCATTTTTCACGTAAAGTAGTTGATGATTTATTTTCTGGATTAAAGAAATCAGCATTATGTTCTTGAGGTTCTTCATTGTTATCAGTTGATCCAGCCGGATGTTCAGGTTCATTATTCGGAGTATGAGTATCCGGTAATGGTTTCTTTTCAGGACCTGAATTATTCTTATCTCTTCTTCTGGTATTACCAACATTAAATACTCGACAATCATGTTGTAACCAATTAAGATAACGAGTTAATTTATTGGTAATATAACTCTTACCTCTAGCGGGCAAACCCACCATGACAATAACTAATTTTGAACCAATATCAACTTTAGCAATTTTCCCATCGGGAGAAGTTTTGGATGAAGTTTGACCTGGAATATTTAAAGTATATGTTTTTCTAGCTGATGGTGGAGGTTTAGTTAATAATAAATTTTTTAATTTTTCAATGGATGGAGTCTTTTCAAATTGTTCTTGTAAATTAGTTGGTAAATCTTGTAATAAAAGAGCTTTTACAGCTGCATTCATGGTTAATTTTTGATCGGGTGATTTAGTTACATTAATAGTGGTTGAAGGTCTAACTGGTGGAGTCATGATTAATTGAGGAGTGGTTGAAGTCATTGGACTTATAGAACTTGCTTTATTATTGGTTGAATTAGATTTGAAGAATGTTGGAGCTTGTAATGGTTCCTCTTTATCAGTATCATCTTGACCCTTTTCCTTATCTTGTTCACCTTCAACTAAATCAGTTAAATTCAAATGAGATATATTTTTAGTTTTCTTTAAAGTGATAGAATCTGATTGTTCAATATTAGTTGATTTAGGATGTTCTTCTGATTTTTGAATTTTTTGTTTTCCATCATTATCATGACAATCATCATCTTCATCATCTGCTTCTTCTTCATCACTGGTTTGTTCACGAGTTATAGGAGAAGCTAGGCTAGAGACAATTGGAGTATCTGTTAATGGACGTTTATTAAATTCAGGTAAATTTGATTGACTTGAAGAATTTGAAGAATCAAGAATGGTTGAATCAAGTGATTTTGTCAAGGTTAACTTTTCACCTAAATAATGTGGATTACTATTTAATAAAGTAACAAAATTATTAAGATTTGTTATATTTGAATTATTAGTATTTGATATGACTTTCTTAAGAGAATTTTTCTTTTTAAGAGTACTTGGATTATTAAACCCACTATTTGAAGTGGTTGGAGTTAATAAAGCTGAACCACATGGTGACATAGTTTGAGGTGAAGGAGTCACTGAAGTAGTGAATTTTGCGGAATGAGATTGAAAATTTAAGGAATGATTTGGATTATGATGATGAGTATTAACTGATTTATGATAATTTGGAGTAGTTAAATGCGGTACTATGGTTGTATTCAATTCGTCGTCATCTAATTCATCATCGTCATCATGGTCACCTTGAAGATGTAGATACTCATCATCACTTGAATTTGCTGACGAAGCTTGGGAAGAACTGGTTGATGATAGTACTTGATGAGATCCCGTTACTTGATCATTACCATCTTGTAGATTTGAAAAGGATACCCTTTTGCCTTGATTTCTTGAATGTTGTAAGACACCATTTGATATGGAATTAGATCTACGTAAAGCAGTCAATGGATTTATCTTTGGTTTTCTGGATGATTTCTGATTAGATTTGGCTTCATTGTTAATGGATGAATTTACATTTACATTTGCATTTGCATTAGCGTTTGGATCATTGGAACCATTAGATGATATATCAGATTGATTTGATGACATGAATGAATGTATGTATGTAGTTATGATATTAATTCACGACTGATACGATCAGTTATGAGCAAATTGATATGAACTAATAGATAATGAAGATATGATGATGATAAAGGTGAATCGTGTTGTCAAAACAGTAGATGATTTTTTTAAGGGTTAAAAGTTAAATTAATTAATTGTCCTGCTTACAAGAAAAAAAAAAAAAATTAAAAAAAAGAAATTGATGACTGCATATAACTCACTTATAATGATACGATATGACCACCTTAAGTATATAATGGTAACAGGAATAATGATATATTCTTTTGATTATGATTATAACATTATGTTTATCAGAGTTATAACTGGATAATTACTTGTATATTTATATTTATAAGTATGATGACACGAATTCTTCTTATAAACAATAGAAGGATTGTGGTTAAGATTTGTGTGATTTACAGAAATTATTCTCGGAGTTCAAATAAAGCAATATACAGTACGTACAACTACTAACCATAGAGTAGTAATGATCAAAGTGGAGGTTAACGGATTAAAGTAATATATCGGTAGTTGTATATTATTAAACACAATAACATTGATGATGATTTTGAATTTGTTGGAGGGGTAAAAGTAATAGTTTTGAGTACATAAATTACAGTTGGTCACAATATGATCTCATTAGCGCATAGTCTCAAATAAAGTTAAGCCAAAGTCGGGACGAGACCGTATTCTGTTATACCGCCAAACTCAACCCAAGTAAAAGTGAATTAAGATATATTACCGAAATTATTCTATAACTATGAATTATAAGAGATATAATCATATATCATTGTTAGAATATAATATCCCGGGTATTTGATGAAATTGATAATAAAAAAATGATTATAGGTTAAAATCATTCACGTGATTGAAATTTTAGAGGAAGAGAGGAGAGAGAGAGATCCTTCACTAATCAATCTCTCTAACAGTTACTATTTTAGTAACGCGGATAAACTTTTATAGTGGAAGGCTGATCAACTTAGGGGTATCTATACAGATAGATAATAGTGACATGACTTAATAACAATCACTCATATCTAAAACATCATCTTGAACAGTGTCATACTGCATGTAAGCCAAGCTTATCTCGTTAAGTGTCACTTGCATAGTAATAATAGTTTAACAGTAATTGATTTTCCTTCTCTTCCTTCCCTTAACAATTGATTCGTTTCGTTTGCTTTGCCCCAGAGATAAAAAAGAAATTTTAAAAGCAAGGAAAAAAACACCGCACGCACGCACAGCAAAACAAAAGCTCTTTTTTTTTTTTTACTGAAGAAAGATACCGAAAAGCCCTCACTCACTCATTGTTTACTGTAAATAGCCTTTTTCCCTATTCCATTACTCCCTACCATGACAGTTATGATACACCACAACTTCGATATAGACGGCTCGTAATTGACCATAACGGGGTTAATTAGGTAAGGACTTTGAATACCCAGAAATTTATTCAAAAATCTAATCTAATTTATTTAGATCATCAAATAAGCTATTCATCATCATTCTTACATATGATTATATTTCTTGTTTATCAATGTTCTCTGTGCCTCTTCCTCCTCTTACTTTACTGACTGTCTCACTAAAATGAAGTCATTCCCCATTGTTGTAATCTAACTTATCAGCTAACTAAAATAGAAAAAACCTCACTAAAAAAAAAAGAATTATTATTTTTCCGTACATAGTATTCTGTGTGTCTAATTTTATATGTGTCTATTCTGTGTCTAGTCTAACTCTTGTCACTGTGTCTGTGTGTCAATCTGTACAGTAACTATGTAAGTATATCGTCGTCTGTATCTTATGAAGTAGCTTTAGCTTCTCTCATTTAATTTTTTGGACATTTTAGCTTTGCGGCCATTTCATTTATCACTTTCCCTTCCGTAGAAATTTTTTTAACCTTTTTGATTTTAAATTATTTTTTTTTCATATTAAATGTGTTGATCTGTGTCTGTCTCCTAATTTTTTTTATATAAGTCAGTTTCAATCATTTATCTTTTTCAAATCAATTCATCCTTTCAATCAATCAATCTATCCTATCTATATAGTAATAGATAATTATACATACCATCCAATACACGACAGCACAAGACAGGACAAGCATACCCCCACCCCATTCTTCTCCTTATCACTTATCTATCCCACATCGCATCTCATTACTCATTTGTATCCTTTATCCACAGTAATCATATTTATGTATCCTATTTTACACCTAAATCTATTATCTTCCATTTAAAAGTAATTGCATTCCCTTTTAATCAATCCTTCAATCAATCAATCAGTTTATATTTCAATCCATATAAATTCCTTCACAATGCAGGTTCCGAATTCCCCTATATTCCCGCCTCAACAATTAACCCTTTCCCCTAACAACATTCATGCTTTATCATCAATCGAACCTCAAGATCATATAATATCAACTTATATCCCTCAACTACCCGACAAACCATTGGCTCTGACTGCTGGTATACTGGTTTATATAATCCCTGCTGAAAAGAATCTTTACGTTCAAGGTTTTCAAGCTCAAGAATATTCTGAAAGACCTCCAACTCTTTTAAGAGGTTGTTTATATCTTCGGGTATCAAAACCTTCTAAAATAAAATCAATCACTTTAACCTTCAAGGGAAGTCAAAGAACTGAATGGCCGGAAGGTATTCCACCTAAAAAGAATCAATTTTCAGAAACTACTGATATCATTAATCATACTTGGCCATTTTTACAACCAGGTTCAAATTTACCAAATAATGGTGCTGATGTTTATCGTGAATTACCCAACTCAGTTTCAAATGAACATGATGTATCTCATTTAAGTCTTGGTGAAACTCGTTCAAGAGGTGCTTCACCTCTTCCTCCAAATTCTGGAAATGAATTATTCCCTACTATTACCAATGCATCAATTACAACTAATAACAACAACAATAATAATGGTAATTTCTTAACTCGAAGTTTATCACCAGCAACAAATTTCATGAGAAGAGCTACTTCTCCATCAGTTTCATCTATGGATGGTCCTCCTGATCTTACGGCCGTATTATCTCCTTCAACTACAAATACAAATTCAAATTCAAATGTCATTGATGAATCTAGACCAACTCATTTCCAACCCGGGGATTATATTTATAATTTCGAACATCCTTTACAACCTTCCATTCCAGAATCATGTAATGTGACATTTGGTTCGGTCAGTTATAGTTTAGAAACATCAGTCATAAGGCCTGGTACTTTCAAATCAAATTTAATTGCAAGAATTCCAATTGAAATCATTAGAACTCCAGCTGAACAAAATTTAGAAGAAAATGAATCCATCGTTATAACAAGAGATTGGGAGGATCAATTAAAATATGATATCGTTGTTGGTTCAAAGTCAATTGTTTTGGATTCTTATTTACCATTAGCATTTCGTTTCGTACCCTTATTTGGTAAAGTTTCCCTTCATAGAATAAGAGTTTATTTAACTGAAAATTTGGAATATTTCTGTCGTAATAAAAAAGTTCATCGTTTAGAACCTTCAAGAAAGTTTTTATTATTGGAACATAAAGCAGAAAAGGGGAAATCATTATTAACTGATGTAACAAGTGAAGGTCACGAAGGTAATGATGAAGAATTCGTTGATTTATTACCTAAAGAATTAGAATTTCAAGTTTATGTTCCAAAAGTTTTAAATGGTAAGACCAATCATGAAATTCATCCCGATACATCTTATGATAATATTCAATCTCATCATTGGATTAAAATTTGTTTAAGAATATCAAGATTAGATCCAGAAAATCCAGAAAAGAGAAAACATTATGAAATTTCAATTGATTCTCCTTTACATGTTTTATCACCATTAGCAGCTCATGGAAATACATTATTACCAGCGTATGATGATTTTATTTCAAGAAATGATGATAATACAATTAATTATGAAATCAGTCCTCCAAATTCACCAGGTGTAATCCCAATTGACAATACTACTCATCACCATACCAATCAAAGTTTCTTAGCAGTGTATACTCCTACAAATGCAGGTTCTTCATTAGATGAGGTTATGCAAAGACGTCCAAGATCAGCCCTGGCTTCACCATTACCATTCCATAGATTAAACAGTCGTGCCTTTAATGAAGTTCCAGTGGATAATGATGCTGACATGCATTTAGAAGCTAATCTTTATAAACCTGAAGAATTTAATCCATTATTATCCCCTCAAGCATTTCCTCATCCTGGAACTTTCACATCTCCGCTTAACTCTCCAGTTCAAAGACCAATTCATCTTATTAGAAGACCATCTATCAATCCACCAGCTTTCGATGCAGAAACTTCTCCACCTCCAGTTAATGATATAGTTGCTCCACCTCCAGCTTATGAAGAAGAAGATCCGGCCATGTCATTATCTCCTTTAAGAATCGACGAGGCTCCTTCACCAAGCAGAAGTAACAGTGATGAACATACTACTACTACCAAATCTACCAACAACTTCAATAACAATATATATTCAACTTCAGAAACTCCCGTTAAAGCCTTATTACAGCAACAATTGAGAAACAGCAGACCTTCTTTGGATAGTGGTCATTCATCTAGTAAATCTAACGTTAGTAAAAAGTCACTTGATTCAAGTACCAGTTTAAATTCATCAAATTCAGCTAATAATCATACTACTACTACCAATAATAATAATAATAATATGGTTCCAAGTGGTTCCAACTTACTTACCATACCTGCTGATGATGAACAAGATATCACTGATTATCCAAGTTCTCCAATCCTACCGCCTAGGACTTTAAGTCCTAGGCGTGTGTTCGAAAATGATCAAACTAACGACGAAGAAGATGAACAAGGCGATAGTTTTGCACCAAATTCAGGATCTGGTTTTCAAACGTCATCATCTCGTCGAACATCAGTGTCATCATACACATCAACTGGGACAGATATCCAACCTGTTGAGCAAACGATTCCGTTATTGAGTTTATCAAATGCCTCAATTGCTACCAACTTGGCTCATTCTGATAATTACTATCAACCACAACATGCACAGGCTAGGAATGCATCATTATCATCATTGTTGAATGAGGGAGTGTACTTTAGAAGAGGTAGTCAAGTCACCGGTTTAAATTCCACTAAAATTAATGAATTTATTGAGGGTGGAGATTTGGGTGATGATATGTTCAAAATTAATGGAAATTTATCACATTTAAGAAATCCACGAATTAAGAAACATTATCAAGAAGGTGAACATATTTCATCATTTGTACCTCATGAAGAAGAATCAAGTCAACATAATGCTCATGGCGAAGAAGAGGTTGAAGATCAAGAGAATGCTGAAGATGAAACTATTAAAGAAGAAGAGTCTGATTCAACTGATGCCAATAGCAATGATTCCGATACTACAAGTTCAAACAAAGTAAGACAAAAGAGCTTTGGTGTAATACAAACACCCACCAGTACCAGTCAAACCAGTGAAGAAGTGGAATCTTTAGAACAAGAATTTATTCATTCACATGGTCTTCAGCATGATGGTAATAAACCTACTACCAATACTGATGTCAATACAAATGGTATACCGGGATTTAATTTCAGTTACGTTATAGAGTGATTATTTTATTACAACAATGATTTATATGGTTTACATTGGGTTATTTAATTTCTATTATTATTTAATATGTACTAATTACGGATATACAATACAGATCAGAATTCAAACTGTAATTTAGAGAGATTGTAGAAGTTTCTAAGTGTGATATAACTAATCGGTGATCTAATACGATTGGCAGTTAAACAGCAAAAAATGAGCATCATTGAGGTAATCGAAAGTATACACATCATCATCCTCATCATACGAATGTAGAGAATTTATATATTGAATGTTGCCCCTAGTACCGACAATTGCAGTAAGATTCAAATAGCTAATACATTCTGTAACTATGGAGTCTAAGTCAGCATCAAAGTCACGAATTTCTCTAGGTTCAACTGTTACTGGACGTTGATCATTAAAATATACGTTATAATCACTTAGACTATCATCTAAACAGGCAGATATCTCTTCATAACCTTCACCCATAGCAAATGCCACAGTTAAGAATGTGTAAAATACGATCAAGTACTTGAATAAAGCAAACTTCATTTCGGTTTAAGTATGGTTATTGTTTATTTCAAGGAGTTTTCCTAAAATAATTTGATTCAATCTTCAACTACCATTTGTATTATGTTTTTTATGCTAACATATTATATTACTTACATTTTTGTGGTAAAAAAATAAGAAGGCAACTATAAAATTATAATAGACATAAAAATATATATTTTTTTGCATCCAAAAGTTGTTTAGAAGATTACTTTTGTCTTACTTCGACGATATTACCTTCTTTGTCTTTTTCTAATTCACCTAACCATTCAAATAAAACAGCCAAATCTCTATTAGCCAAATCATCTCTTTCACAAGCTTTATCATACCAATGTTTACTAACTTCACCTAAATATAAGAATCTATCAGCATATTCAGCACAAGCAGTTGCTAACACTAAATCTTTTCTAGTTAATTTAGTAACAAAGCCACCTTCATATCCAACTTCAGATGGAATATTATTTTCTGGATAAACTCCTGGGATTGGACAATTATCAACTGCAGCCCAACATTTACCAGTTGAAACCGAAACTAATTTAGCATAATCTTTTAAATTCAATCCAAATGATTTAGCTAATTGGAAGGAATCAGCTACTGCTAAATTAGTTACTGCTAATAAGTAATTATTAGATAATTTTGCGGCTAAACCTGTACCATGTTTTGAACCACAAGGGAAGATATTAGCCCCCATTTTATTAATTAATTCAGTTAATTTTGGATCAATTGATTCTTTGGTTGGTCTTGAAAGCATAAATGATAAAGTTGCCTTTCTTGCACCTGCCACACCCCCCGATACAGGAGCATCAATGAAATCAAAATTTGGAATTTCCTTTTTAACAAATTCATGAACTTCACTTGAAGTTGGAATATCAATAGTGGATGAATCAATAAAAGTGGTAATGGTGGATGATTTATCTTTACCTGTTGCTTGATATTGTTGAACCAATTCTTCAACAATGGCTTTAACATGTTTACCTTCTGGAACCATAGTTATAATGAAATCCAATGGTTCATGTACATCAGTTACAAAGCTTGAAATAGTAGGTAATGAATGTAATTGAGTTGAATTAGCGGGGTTTATGGAAGTAACATTTTCAATGAATGCTTTTGAACTTGATGGTAAAGTATCATTAACATATAAAGTATCTTGTGGGGTTAATTTATTATAGATATGTCTAGCCATATGTTGACCCATTTGACCTAACCCAATAAAACCATAATTGACTTGTTTAATTTGAGTAGTAGAGAATTGACGATGAAAGACTCGAGATGCAGCAACTTTATACATATTGATGATAATGATATTCCTTGTGAATAGATAAATATAAATTTGAGAAAAAGAACGGGGAAATAATTTAAAGAGAAATTTAAACTCTATTTATAATTAGAATGAATTTACTGACAGTATATATATATTTAGCATAGTAAAATGATAATGAAAAATATCACAGTGTAAAAAAGGTTGACAATGGTAAATCCGGTTACCGCTTACAGTCGTCACTTTCCATTTTAAGGTTAACATGATCTATAAATTGCGAGGATGTTGTTAGTTCCATGGATGGATGGTTCCAATTTCCATTTTAGAATTTGGCATTAAATGGGGGAGAGGAAATCAAAATCATAAAAATAAAATTACCCCAGAATCAAAATCAAGACATTATTTCCATGGCTATTTGAGATACCCCTCCTCCGCACCAATTACCCTTTTAAGAATGTCTCGTCCTTTTGAAAAATATCAAATGTCGTCAGTGGAGGAGGGTCTTTTACGACATCTCGGTATTATACAATCATTTTACCGCTAAAGGGAAATTGTTGCCAATTATATAAATAGTGAAAAGTTTCATCAATTGATGGTATAATTCATTGTTTAAAGTAATAACTACATTAATATGACTGGAACTACCATAGATGATGCTGCTTCATCATCTCAAACTCCTATAAAAACAACTTATAATCTTAATAAGCCAAGAGCTGCTTATTATCCTCATCCTGGATCAAAGATTTATGCCAATAAATCATTATATTCAAAACTAGCCGCATCCCCAAAAACATTAATTGAATCTCATTTATGTCAACCTCGTTCTGGAATTGCTGTTAAAATACCGGCAAAATCAATCTTCCGTTTAACTACTCCTCAAGGTCCTCAAGTTTGTGATTTAAACATTTGGAATCTTCATAATCCAAGAGAAAGATTTTGGGCTGCAAGAACAAGACAATTACATTCTGCTCATGTTTCTACTTTTGATAGATTATGGTCAAATTTACCTTATTTAAGACCTTTAGTCACCATCACAGCCGATACTTTACTGGCAAGACATGATGAATGGGGTGGAAGAGTTCATGATACTTTGGGTACAAGATGTGATCCTTATGTTGATAAATTAATTAGTGGAGAAGATAATGATTTACATTGTCATTCAAACTTAACAAGAGCGGTTTTACCTTATGGTTTAACTGAATTTGATGTTCATGATGTTTTGAATGTATTTCAAGTAACTGGTTTAAATGAATATGATCAGTATTTTATGGAAGCATGTCCTGCTTCTAAAGATGATTATTTTGAATTATTTGCTGAACAAGATTTATTAGTTGCTATAAGTGCTTGTCCAGGAGGTGATTTATCTCAATGGGGTTGGGGTGAAGACAGTGATGATTTACAAGGTCTGAAAATGGTTGATTGTTGTAGACCATTAGGTATTGAAGTTTATAAATTAAATGATGAAGATGAAGTATTAAAGGATTGGATAGCTCCTGAAGTGGTCAATTATAGAGGTAACCATGGTTTAAAAGGTCCATAGATTATAGATAGTTTTAATACATACATTAGATTCATTATATATTTACAGGCTCTAATTTTTTTTTTTTGATCTATATTGTCCCATCGATACATTGACCAACCCAATCACTAATCATATCATTAGTGATGAATCCAGCCACATTACTTCCGGTATACTCTAAAGCGTTATCTTTAATATGTAATTCAAGGAATTCAAAACTTTCTTTGATCTTCTCAACCGATAATAATCTCATTTCAATATCAAAGAATGAAAGTTCATAATTTGTCAACGCACCATGCTTACCAACATGGAATCTAACTTTAAATCCAAATTTATTATTAATTATTTCATGACTGAACTTAGGAGTGGATCCAAATCTCCAACTCCATTGTTTCAACTCTTTAGCATCATCTAACACTGTCTGAGGAAGACTCATGTTATCATCTATGGTTATTATCTTAGCTGTCTTATTAACAGCATTGGCTTCAACAAAATCCTTTAATCCAAATAATTCATCTTGATCGTATTCATCTTTGGTTATTGGTTCATCTTCAGCCGGGATAGCATTGCCGAATTCATCTCTAAACCTATCAGCAACAGCATTGATGAACTGTTCCTCTGTAATTTCCAAATTTGTCACTTTAGATTTTACTGAATCAATAGAATTTGACGAATCAACTACTCCCAATTTGGTTTCATCTCTATGTAATAATTTTCCTAATACATCAAGTCTCAGGTTTAATAACATAGTACCATGATGATAAGATTTACCCTTTGATAACTTATATGCTGAACCACTGACCTTATAATTGATCCCATCGTCTTGTTTACTGGTGGTTATATCACCTCTTTCATTAACTTCTATAAAATATTTTGAATTAGGAATTGAATTAAGAGAATCTCTAACAAGATTCGCAAATGTAAACCTATCAAATTTCTCTTTGGTAGTCATGAATGAATAATTAACATTACCCAAATCATGAACTACAGTTCCACCTCCTGATCTTCTCCTCACTAATGGTATACTTAAAGAATTCAACACTGGTAAGTTGACTTCTTTCCATGGATTTTGATTCTTTCCTATAACCACACAGGGAGAATTTATATAAAACATTAATCTGTTATAGTTTGACGTTGTTATCTCGGGCTTTGGCATCTCGTTATAGATGAAATCTTCTATAGCTAGATTCAAATATGGATTGGTTAATTTGGAAACGAATACAACTGGTTCTTTCAATTTGGTAAATTCTTCCAAAGACAGGGTAATCTCTGGAGAAGACAGTTGATTCACAACATCTTTAGTATGATCTTCTCTTGTTTCTTGTAATAACTCTAACTTTTTGGCAATCATTGCTGGTGATTCTTCATAATGTTTAAAATCACCAAGATTTAAATCATCATCTTCCATTGAATTCAAATCATCTTGAAATGGAACCTGGACATTTCCAAATCTTCTTAAAGGCGTACATGATCGTACCAACTGCAACGGCGCTTGATACCTTATCCTCGATAGTATAGTTAACATATTATAACTTAGGAAATGTCATATAATAATAATATCTAATGGCTGAAAATCGTCAACTGAAAAATGTTGCGAAGACCTATAATTTTTTTAAACTAAACAATTGATGTTTTTCACTATTATTTAGAAACAAAGACAATGAACAGAACTAATGCCTTGGAGAGGCATCTACTAACTAGATGTTACAACTCGGATAATCAGATTGAAGAACTTTTGAAAACCAGATACTCTTTAACTGGAGATCAAAAGCCAGTTATTCATTTTACTCAATATAAAGGTCAAGCAAAGACTAAGTCATTATTACATTCAGAACCAAATACTTCCACTGGCATAATAACAAGAGAAAGGAAGGTTAATACGAGAAAGGACTTACAAGTGTACATCAAACAAACCTTGGATAATCAAAAGAAAGTCATTAAAAAAATTCAAGCCCATAATCGAAAGAAAACTTCTGATTCAAACCCATTTCCATTATCAAAATTCATTAAATTATTCAGCATACCCCAATATGAAGAATTTATAGGATTAAATAACTTGTGGCAAAACTACATGCAAGATCTTTTATTCGTCAATAATAACAATAATGCAAATAATGATAAATCAAAACCTCTTCATATACCTAGTATGACTACATTATTACCAAAATTATCTACCGCTGATTATAATGGTTGTTTATTAACAGTTATACAATCTAAAAACTCCAATTTAGTAGGTTTAAGAGGTATAGTTGTATGGGATTCACAACATTCTTTTATTATATGTGTACCTAGTAAAGAAGATTCCAAGGAATGGAATGAGACCAAGGACGATTTTAGTCCATCAGAAATGTTAGGTGGGTTCAGAGCCGTTCCAAAACAAAAGAGTTTATTTGCATTTGATGTAATACTACCAAAACAAAGTACCAATAGCAATGATGACGAAGATGAGGAGGATGAATGTGTTGGATTTACTATGATAGGTAGTAGATTTGAGTTCAGAGCTGTTGATAGATCTGGTAAGAAATTCAAAAGTCATTCAGTTGATGGAATCTTGTAAATAGAGAGTAGTTAGTTAACGGTTTATGAAAAGTAATATTATTGAAATTTTTTCTTTAAGTCATTTAATTGTAAGATTAATAATTCATTCTTGGTGGATTTTAATTTGTCCAACATAGTATCTATAGATTTGACAAACTTTGATTTGTCTTCATCACTTAGTGATGATGTATCTGCATCCAATAAGAAATCTAACTCTTTAATAAGTTCATCTATCTTTATATCATCAGGCAAAGTCTTATTTCCATTACTATCTGGAATAACATTCATGCTAGCTGTAGAATCACTTTTCGATATGGTTGATTGTAGATTTTTTACCACGTCTTCAAATTCACCATCAAATACAACTGCATCATTCTTAAGAAAGTTTGAGAAATCTGAAAGAACAGAATCAAGATAATCTTCCCCGTTGATTGCTGCTTTGGAGTCATCTGCACCATTTTCCAGAAATATACCAAGACCATTCAACTCTTTTTCCTCCTTTAGTGGCATGGCATTCGATATATCACTTAAAGTTTGACTTAATTTAATCAATTCATAATAGTTATCATATATAATCGTTTTCTTTTCCAGGGCATGAGTATTTATCTTATTAGTAATCGAGTTTCTTAACTTTAAGATATCCTCTATATTACCTGTCTTGATAAAATTGGCCACATCTTCAGGGTTATTGAGATTTAATTTTGTGGAGTTGGCTCGAGTTCTGGTTTTTGGTAATATGTCACTTTTATCTCCATTCAGACGATCTTGGGTAGGAGAGAGTGTTTGTGTATCTGACTTAAGACTAGAATCTATAGAACCTGGATGATCTTCGTCATGAGATATATTATAAAACTCTTGTAAGGCTTTCCTTCTTGACAGTACTTTTCGAGAACCTATATTCGGAGTCAGTGGAGCTGAATTGTTTAATATGGGAGTTGAGGTTTGAGACGGCACTCTACTACCACCTTTCTGAGAGGATGGTACCTTATATGACAACACTGGAGTATCTGACATATTTGAACTTTGTCAATTGGATGTAACTCTATAATAACTGTTTAATCTACAATGGATTTTAAATTTATTGTTGTTTTTTGAGATCAGTAATTTTTCAAGCCCTCGCTAAAAAAATTAATATATATTATATTATACAAAACTACTTACAATTAAGTTTGAAACCAAGCATCTAAATATGTAGTATCTGCTTCTTCAACTTCTGGTAACACGGAGTAATGCTCAAAGATTGAAAATGACTTTGGCTTCAACACTTCTCTGAATTTTTCGTTTATAACATCTTTGTTGGCTTTATCTTCATATGGTCTACCAGATCCTGCTTCCAATACACTTTGCCAGGTAGCTTTATACGTATCTGTTGTATGGATGATCAACTCTAGTTTATCGTCGTACACAAGTACATCACATAATGATTTTATATCATTTATGACTAAATCAACATTTGTGATTTTATTAGATGTAATGAACTCCATGATAGTATCCAAATTAACAAATCCTGTATGATTTGAAGGGTATGAGGATTGAACTGGATTAGAATCTTCAGTAGTTTGAAATGCAGTAGGATAGGTTTTGGAAGCAGCAAATCTCCATATGACGGTTAATAAAGAATCAATAAATTCTGTATCCAATTCAGAATCAGTAAACCATGGACCACCAGTAAGTTCAATAGATGGTTGTAAGTTATATAACATATAAATCTTTCTTGTCGGATGTTTCACCGACTTTATAGATTTGATATACCTTTGATTTTCCAATGATTTCAAACATTTGACAACCACATGTTGATGTAAATTGGTTCTAGCTCTAATGGTTTTAGTCCAAATACCTTCTCTTCCTGAATCTTCAATGTAAGAATAAATCATAGCTTCATCATCGGTCATTTTGGTAATCTTATTAGCTTCCGCTACGGAAACTGCTTGGAATTTCAATTCATCACCTTGTTTCACTAACTTAACAAGCTTTCTATTAATTAATTCTTGGGCCAAATTCAATAATTCAACTGGTTTAGTTATTTGAAGTAGGTCTTGTAATTCTTGTTGATTGAATAAAGTTGAACTGGGAGACTCCAACATTTTCTCATGGAGCACATGAGCTCTCTCTGATACATCTGACATTGCTGGATGATGAATATGCTGATTATTATTAAAAAGAGTTAAAGCTGTTTTCCCAAGTATGAATCATTATAATTACTTCACTTCACTTCAAGATGATCTGAATTTTTTTTTTCGTTTGTGATACTTCATACTACGTTTTTTTTTGGTTGTTAATTTTGCCATACAATTTACTTAATAACAACAACAAACGATGATACATATATAACACATCTAATTAATACAATGACAGATAGGCTAAATATATTAGATGAGATAGATGAGCCGATCAATCAAATAACTCCAAAATTCAAAAGGAAATTGCCGAAAGTCAAAACTTCAACCTCGCAAAGAGCTAAATTTCTAATAGATGACCAAGATGAAGATGATGAACTACCGAAACCTGTGGGAGGCATAACAACTAAGCTGTCATCCATAAAAGTACGAAGGCCGTTTAAAAGCTTCCAGTCGTCAAGTGTACGGAATAAGATAACTTCATTCGATAAGATAGATGATAATGATGAACAGATAGATAATATGGAAGTAGAAAATTTCAATCTTGAATTAGATGACGATCCAGAAAATGATCCTGTCATTGAGAATATGTCGGAATTAGGAGATTTTAAACTTCGAGATAATGAAGAAGTAAAATCACCTCCACCACCGGTCGTAGCTAAGAAATATGTTCCCATTGAAACCAATAAATTCTCCATAAAGATACTGCAAAAGGATTTGAAGGATGAATATAAGGATGAGCTATCATTGGACTTTAATGAAGAAGAAGATGCACTCAAAGACGATTTTGAAGACAGTGATGTTGAAATGAAACAAGATCATTTCATCGATGATGCTCCACTAAAAATTACTAAAGCTGCTCAAGTATCTGAAAATTTTCAACAAATATCGGATAAATACGATATTGAAATAGGTTCTGGTCTGGAAAGTGAGGCAGAGGATTCAAATATAGATTTAAACAAAAAGAGTACTATTATCAAGGTGAAGGATACCTTAACTTTACAAGAGCAAGTTAGTTCAATTAAGGAATTAATAGAAAACTTAAAGCTTAAAAAGTCAGATTGTGAAGATAGACTATCAACTATAAACAAGGAGTTAGATGACGTTAATGAAGACAAAATCCAATTACAGGCAAAGTTAGATTCATTTGAATGGTAAATAAAATTAGTTTGTATAACTATATAATGTTAATGACATATTTTACGCGTATTAGTAGTAAATTGGAGACCCTGTTAGAAAACTAGATTCAGAACCGCGCTTAAGTCAAATTTTAATTACCCGATTCGTCATGAGTCATGAAATATAATTATTGAAAATTTTTTAAATATATAAACGTTTTCTTTCTCCTTTGCTGAATTTTATATAAATCGTTGATAAAATATACTCTCCAAAGCAAGATATATAATGATGACTGTTAAAACAATCACTTCTAAGAGATTACTTACTAGTACTGCTACTTTAAGAACCACCAATTCTCCAAGACATTTGATTAGTACTCTTCATTTATCTAATGAAGAATTCTCCTCTTTAGTGACTAAAGCAGGTAACTTGAAAAAAATAGTTAGATCAGGAGAAACTTCCCCCGTAAACCATCAAAAGTTATTAGGTAAATTAGTGGCTTTATTATTTTCCAAACGTTCAACTAGAACTAGAATTAGTACTGAAGGTGCGGCAGCCTTTTTCGGTGCTCAACCTATGTTTTTAGGTAAAGATGATATTCAATTAGGTGTAAATGAATCAATGTATGATACTACTAAGGTTATTAGTTCCATGACTTCATGTATATTTGCTCGAGTCAACAAACATCAAGAAATTTTAGATTTATGTCAACATTCATCAGTTCCAATTATAAATTCTTTATGTGATATGTATCATCCTTTACAAGCTATTGCTGATTTATTAACTATTAAAGAATCATTTGGAGGTAAAACTGAAGGATTGAAATTAACTTGGATTGGAGATTCCAATAATGTTATAAATGATTTAGCTATTGCTTCATTAAGATCAGGGATTAATGTATCTATTGCTATTCCAAAGGGTATTGAATTTGATCAAACTGTTACTGAAAAAGCTCAAGCTTTAGCTAAAGAAGGAAATTTGAAATTTGAAATTGTCAATGATCCAATACAAGCTTTAGCAGATGCTAATATAATTGTTACTGATACTTGGATTTCAATGGGACAAGAATCGGAAAAATTAGAAAAATTAAAACAATTTTCTGGATTCCAAATTACAAAAGAGATGCTTGAACAAGGTAAGGTTGCTTCTAATTGGAAGTTCATGCATTGTTTACCAAGACATTCAGAAGAAGTTAATGATGAGGTATTTTATGATGAAAACTCGGTTGTATTTGAAGAAGCAGAAAACAGATTATATGCCGCTATGGCAGTAATTGAAGCTTTTGTGATTAACAAAGGTGACTTATTAAAGTGAAATTTAATGGAAATGTAAATCATATGAAGTAGTTATTATAGTATATTACGATATATATATATATATAAAAATGTATGACTATCGGCACGGTACATGAAGTTTGTAGATAACTCGGCCGAACTATCAGCACACCGACTACGTATAATTTGAAATGGCAAACATTATACTACTAGAATTCATAGCCGTATGGTTACGAGTAAATGAAACGTATTGAACGTTTGTTGTTGTTTGAGGAATTGAAGAACGAACTTCCGCTAAGCAAAACCCGGATTAGTCTCAAATAGGAAATTGACGACAATTTCCCTCCAAAACTGGGATTTATGACACAAAATAAAACTGTGGTTGGAGGAGAACTGATGTATGAGGGGAGGAGGGTCAAAATAGTGAAAAACTATATAAGAATGTCAAATCACTTTATGACGATTTGGATTGAACTGAATTGACTTTTAACTATATACTTTTCAAGTTTCTCAATTCCTATTAACTTATTTATTCATTATTATGACTGCTACAGTTTTCGTATCTGGTGCAACTGGGTTTATTGCTCAACATGTTGTTAAATTATTAATCACTAAAGGTTATACCGTGATTGGATCAGTTAGATCAAGTGCTAAAGGTGATCATTTAAAGAAATTGTTAAACACCGATAAGTTCTCATATGAAATCGTGGAAGATATTGAAAAAGCTGGTGCTTTTGATAAAGCTTTAGAAGCTAATCCTCAAGTTAGTGTATTTTTACATACTGCTTCTCCATTCCATTTTAAAGCCGTTGATTTTGAAAAGGAATTATTATTACCTGCTGTCAATGGTACTAAGAATGCTTTGAAAGCAATCCAATTACATGGTAAGAATGTTAAACATGTGGTTATTACTTCATCGTATGCTGCTGTTGCCACAGCTTCTAAAGAAATTGATAATACTCATACTATTACTGAAGCTTCATGGAATGAAATTAGTTGGGATCAAGCTTTAAATGATCCGGTTTCTGCTTATAGAGGTTCAAAAACATTTGCTGAAAAGGCAGCATGGGAATTTGTTGAAGTTGAAAAACCAGATTTCACTCTTGCTATTGTTAATCCAAGTTATGTATTTGGTCCTCAAGCTTTTGATAGTGAGGTTAAAGATTCCTTAAATACTTCATCTGAAGTCATAAACGCTATTGTTAAGAATGGGGCTGATGGTGCTATTCCAGCAGCAAAAGGAGGTTTTGTTGATGTTAGAGATGTCGCTAAAGCTCATTTGATTGGATTTGAAAGTAAAGAAGCAGTTAATCAAAGATTGATGCTTAATTCAGGTAGATTTTCAGGACAAGATATTGTTGATATTTTAAATGAATCATTCCCATCTTTAAAAGGAAAAATCCCTGTTGGTCAACCAGGTCATGGTAAAGAAATCATTAGTAATTTAGCTAAAGTTGATAATTCAAAGACTAAGAAAATTTTAGGATTTGAATTAATTGATTTAAAGACTACCGTAGTTGATTCCGTAAAACAAATTTTAGACTCTAAAAAATAAATTTTGAATCGTAGTTGATTATTAGTTACAGTTTATATATCAATAGATAATATATAATCCTTCCTATTTAGATCATTGCCGTGAGTTTACTAATTACGTATATCGTAAATAGAAATGGAAACCTCTTCTACGGCTTACTACTTTGTGTCACATCCGAAAAAAAGAAAAATTTGTTTTTTGGGGTGGGTGATTCACCCATCTTTAAATTGATTAGAAATTACAAATGATTTTGAACAGTGGATATCTAATCATCAAATTGATATAAATATCAACTTAAATCCAATTCAACTTACTTGGATATAGCAAAAGATCATTGATTATCTGCTATAGAAAGTGATTTGTTGTTAATTAACTGAGTTATCCTTTAATTTAAATTTGTTTGTTAGAGCTGCTTTACCCTATTATAGTTTTTTTTGTTACCTATATATATCATCTTGCAAAAATGGTTGACGTTTCAGTGAATAATGTATCATCATTAAATATAGATCCTACTATTTCCATACGATCATCTGCTAGTTCTTCAGAATCTCCTAAGGATTTGATCAAGAAAAAATCTGATGAAGATGAAGAACTTTATCAAGGGAGAAAGATCTCCAAATCTGCTAGATTAAAGCAAATGAGAGAATCTCAAAAGGTATTAAGAGATGAAAGAAAGAAGAAAATTCAAAATTTAGAAACTGAAAATTATGCTTTAAGTCATGAAGTTACTTTATTAAGAAGAGCTATTGGTTATTTAATTCCTAAAGGTTCAAATTCGGATAAATTTTATCCTCCATCCAAATTACCTAACATTTATAACTTTGATAGAGTTGTTTTAAATGGTGTTAAAAGATTTGAAGGTATTGATGAAGAAATCGTTGCTAAATTCTTTATTGAAGGGATTTGTATTGTGGCAAGTACTTTAGAAGCACTTCAACTTTGTATGAGTACAGAAGGATGTGTTGAAGAATCCGATCGTTTAATTAAAGGTGTATTCAGATTTACTCCAACTCTTGAATTAAGAAGATTATTTTATGATCAATTAGTTCATTATGTTACTTATAAAGTTGTTCCACATTATTGGAAGAATTCTGATGAACATTTACCTAATGGAGTTATGAGTTTATTTTTAATTGTACCATTTATCATTGAATATTGTAATTATGATACCATTAGTATGGAAGCTTTAAAAGGTTTCTTGGCTAGATGTACATTTGCAACATACTGGGGTCCTGCTATTTATGTTAGTGATATAATACTTTGTGTAGCTGCTGCTTCTGATCCTGAATTTGACGGTGATGTCATCATTGGTCTGTTAGAATCAAAATTATGTACTTCATCTGTTGGTATTTCTGAATATAGTGATGCCAGTAGTGATAAACAATTGGTTAATTAGACTTGACATGTCATGAAATGAATTAAAGTGAAATGAAATTCTATGAAACATCAAAGTTTAAATAATTGGGAAATGTTACACAAATACATCCAAAAAAAATGGCTGTTAAAAAAAAAGGAGAGAGATGTATGTGTATGTCATGAATTAAAATAACATTTTTGGGCTTCGTCTGTTTATATATATATGTGTAAGTTATTTATTATAATGAAAAGGGGAAATTTCATATTAAAAGTATCTGTAAACGTTATCATTCGGCTGTGCCTGAATGAACTATCTGAACAATATTTTTAGGCATGAATTAACTACCGATTTGTGTCAATAGTGATGTGGGACGCGGCTATGTTACATTGTTAAACCTTTCAATTTCATCGTTTTGTGAATGCAATATTTTTGATATTTTTAGATTTGCGTTAAATTACTTTTAATTACTCCTATTATTTCTGAGGGGTGGTGGTCTAATATCAATTTTCAACATTATTGTTGCTATTGAATTAGCTATATATTGAGCTTATCCCAACTGATTTTGATATTATATGAATAAACTTTATAACTATAGAGCTTACAAAAAGACATACAAAATGATAGCAACCATACGAACTTACTTTACTAATGTTGTTTATCTAATCATGATATACGTTCTTATGAGTTATTAGTTATGTTTAGCCGCACCAGCATAGTATAGTGGCATCTGAATCATGAATTATTGGGATACATTTTTTTAGCCAAGGAGTTTTAAAAAACCAACAAACGGTATATATAGTTTATTTAGAGTATTTGGGTTTATTTAATATATATTTGATTTCGTTTGATTTCGTTTACATCATCTTGTAGTGGATAAATTCATCATTAAGATTAAAGTCACATGACTTGATTTATCATAATTTATACTTTCCCAATTTCTTAAAACTATTGGTCATTTACTATATCTCTCTTCCATTATGCTTAATGTTCCTTTATGACGAGATTGTCATTGGTTTCTGTTCCTCCTTAATCTACTCAACAAGCATATATTGACACATGCTAATTTCTTTAACCATTAGTTATCTATATATTATACTTGAATTTTGACTTTCAACATTTTACTAATATGTGTCAGAATAATAAATATACTTAAGGCGAAATGAAGTTTACCTTATTCAAATACTTGATTATATTTTACACATTCTTAACCGTGGCATTTGCCATGGGTGAAGGTTATGAAGAGTTAACTACATGCTTAGGTGATAGTCTAAGTGATTATAATGTTTTTTTTGTTAATAATAGTCCAGTAACGGTCAGACCTAGAGAGTTTCGTGACTTTGATGCTAGCTTAGATTTGATAGTTATAGAATGTATTAACTATTTGAATCTTACTGCAATTGTCAGAACTGAGGGCAACATACCACTATACTCAGATGATGATGATGATGATGATGATGATGATGTTTATACTTTCGATTACCTCAATGATCCTTATATTTTGCCGTTTAACTGTCAATCTTTTTAGTATATCGGTTTCCGTTTTTATCAAGGTATATATGTTCTGTTGGTCATAATATATTGACATTAAATCACTTTTGCAACTATTATGAATACAAATTTCCTGTATACAAATGTATGTGGTTAGATCGTAAGAGTGAAAAAAAATTCTTAAAAGCATCTCTATAACAAGAGATGCAAATAGTATTGTAAAATCATTAACTTGTGATTCAATGACGTTAGAGGATAGGTTCAATCCTATCTCTTCACTTAATGAAAGTCAATTAACTCCATTAAACCATTATGGTCCTGTCACAGCTTTAAAAATTCATAATGAATATGTTTTAGCTGGTAATGGTTCTATTTTAAAGGTATTTAAAGTTGATCAAAATAGTAAAACTACCCTTATTTTCAATAAACAAGTACTTAAAAGAAATAAGATTCATAATATTTCAATAAGTCCAAGTAGAAAATACGTGATAATTAATGGTGGGAGATCCTTTGTGGTTTTAGACTTCAAAATCTTGATATCAAATAATCTTGATCAATTCGCAATCATAGAGAAGGCAGTCAATGAATGGATTATAACCGCTGAATTTATTAGTGACGATATACTATTAATCTTAAATTCTCATAATACAGTATATAAACTTGATGTTTCATCACCAGATCAACACTTCAAATTGCTCGATAAAATACATTGTAATGAAAAATCAATCTTATACAGTGGATCAATTACAAAAATAAGTGATGAAAAAGTCATTATAGCAGCAGGAACAGTCATGAATGGTTGTATAATCTGGGAATTGAATTCAAAGACAATTTTACATAACTTAACTGAACATGAAGGATCAATTTTTGGGGTTAAAGTTGACTCTGAAGGAAAATATATCATTTCATGTTCAGATGATAGATCAATCAAATTATATGACTTTGAAAGTGGTCACTTATTTGCTACTGGTTGGGGTCATGGATCAAGAATTTGGAATCTTTCGTTCTTTAAGGATACTACAAATGGTGTTAAAATAATGAGTGCTGGTGAAGATTGTACTTTAAGAATTTGGAAATATATCCCAAACCAAGAGACTTTACAACAGTTAGAGTTATGGGAAGATGCCCATAGAGGGAAACATATCTGGTCTGCTGATATTGATGATACAAACTTAAAAGTTTGTGTTTCAGGAGGAGCTGATGGTAAAATAAGACTTCATGACTTATCTAATCGAGGACAACTAACTAATTATAATCTTTCATTCATATCTGAACAATGCAAAATAGCATTTAAAAAGAAAGAGGTCATCAAAAGCTTTACGGAGTTAGAACAACTAAACTTGTTAATATTGGTAACTTCTGGGGGAAGTATTATCTTAGTTGATCAAATTCATAACAAATTCAAATCAGTGGATTTATCTTTAGATGAACATCAAAAGTTGGATGGCTTTGGTCTAATTCAATCCTTCTCGGACATTAATGTTGTTACTATATGTAGTGTTCATGGTGACTTATTATTTTTGAAATTCACTGATTTCGATTCAGAACCTACTAAATCTTGGATTGATGATCTGATCTTAGGTAAAAATAAAGTAACTAATTTCATGGTGGCTAGCAAACCAAATTCCAACTTACACTATTTATTCATCGACTGCCCAAATCCAAGAATACCATTCATATTAAGAGAATTCAAGTTTGATGAAGGCATCTTCGAGTTACAGAGAATTTTACTATTAGAACAACCAAATCAAACAAGTTTCACCACAACCAGCATGTCCATAGATTTTACAAATAATTGGTTGTTTGTGGCTTCTAGATATGTATCATTGGCCGCTTATGATTTGAACACTACAAAGCTAGAACTGATCCCATTACTGGCTCTTCATAAAAAGATATCTGCTGGAGATTCTATAACCAGCATTTCTATAATTGAGTCAAAAGAAAACGAAATCACTTTACTCACCATCGTCAGAGATGGTATTTACATGTACATCAAATTTGATCAACACTTTAAAATGTCCATAGTCCATAAAAATCATATTTCAAGAGGATTCATAGAAGGTGGTTATTTAAAAGATAATGAATTGATACTTTATGGATTTAAATCATCAGCATTTTATATTTGGAATGAAACCAGACAATTGGAAATCACAAATGTCTTATGTGGTGGTGCTAACAGACTTTGGAAAGTAATTAAATATTCAACAGGTTTACCCTTGGATTATAAATTCTTATTCATTAATAAGTCAGAATTAAACATATTTGAGTTCAAAGGAAGATTCATAGACGACAGATTTGGTTTAATTAATGATGGTACTCATGGTCGTGAAATCAGAGATGTGTCAATTTCTCCAAGTTTGTTCACCGATAATTCACGATTAATCATGTCAGCTTCAGAAGATACAACTTTAAATTTAAGTAAATTATATCAAGATGGTGCTGTTAAAAACATATGGAATATAAATAGACATGTTTCTGGATTACAAAGAATCAAGTTCTTGAATGATACGTATGTCGCAAGTTCAGCTGCAAATGAAGAATTTTACATTTGGAAATTGGATACTTTTAATAAGAATATTCCATTAGTTGTGGAATATGCAAAGTTAGCTCCAAGTATTGAGAATCCTGACGTTCGTATCATGGATTTTGCTTCAATCCCACTCAAAGAAGGTTTCTTGATTGCAACAGGTTATTCGAATTCAGATATTAAGCTTTGGTATTTCAACACTGAAACTGCTAAGTTTGAATTATTAGTAAGTGACACTTATTCAACATTCTGTATCTTGAATATAGATATTTTAACATTTGATGATAAAATATATATTCAAACTACAACTACAGATGGTTTCTTTTCAATTTTCGAAGCATCAGAAGCTATTGAATCACAAAGTCTAAAAGTTCCTGGGTTTGACAGAGTGATTATAAAACAAGAACTTCATCAAAATGCTGTTAAGGCTGTTTTTTTGAAAAAGATCAATGAAAACCACTTTAAAGTCTTTACTGGTGGTGATGATAACGCTCTTGTTTTAAGTGAAATAATTTATGATGGTTCTTTAAACTTTAAAACCCTTAGTTTTGTTGAAGATGCTGCATCATCTACAATCACATCTATATCAGAAGGTATTGATGAGACAATAATAGTTACATCAGTAGACCAAATCTTACGTAAATGGTCTTATAAAGGTGATTCATTGCAATGCGCTTCGGCGGTCTATACCACGATTGCTGATACTGGTTGTTCAGACTCAACTACGTTTAATAATGAAAAATTAATTGTTGCCGCAGGAGCTGGTTTAAGTTCATGGAAAATATAATATAATGAAAATATTTGTATAATTAACAGTAGCTATAATCGCATATATATAGATCTATTTATGTATAGATTAATAAAATCTAGAGTTTCAATAATCTTAAACTAAATACAGTATCATTGATAGATTGTTCTTCGTCAATAATAACGTCAGCTGATTCAGATTCACTGTATTCGGTAACAGCTCTCTTGGTAGCTTTAAGTAAGATTTCTTCATCAAGTAATGACTTGAAATCAATGGTATCTTTAGAAAGTTTATATTCAACCTTGACTTCATCAGTAGTATTTAAACCAGCCTTTTTACGTAATCTTTGGATACGATTGATTAATTCTCTGGCTAAACCTTCATTTTGTAATTCCTTGTGTAAATTAACATCTAAAAGAATTAAAACATCTTGTTGAGCTCTAGATTCAAACCCACCTGCAGTCTTTTCAGCTGGGAGACCTCTTTGAACTTGTAAATCTTCAGTGACTAATTCGATACCATCGACAACAATCTTACCAGTTTCAGCAAACTTTTGTACTTCAACTGAAGAAACCTTTGGCAAAGCATCTTTGACTCTCTTGGCATCTTTCTTCAATTTTTTACCCAATACTGGCCAGTCAGCAACAGCAGTATATTCAACACCATATTTGGCTTCATCAGAAGTAATGACAATGTTTCTAACATTTAATTCATCACTAATGTATCCAGATAATGATTCAACATCCTTCAAGTAACCTTCATCAGAATGTAAAATAACTAATTCTTTCAATGGTTGTTTTAAAGAAATCATCTTCTTTTCTCTTATGTTACGACCTAAATCAATAACCTTTTGCATTCTAGAAACAGCAACTTCAATAGCTTCGTCGAATAATTCCTTTCTAACTTCAGGATATGTTAAGAAATGAACAGATCTAGTATCCTTAATTTCTTTATTAAGGACAAATTTTTCTAATTCAGCTTCAGTAAAGTATTCTTTTATTCTTTGGTAAATACCATCGGCTAAAAATGGAGTAAATGGAGCCATGGCTCTTGAAATAGTCAACAAAGCTTCGATTAAAGTGTTAAGACCTTTCTTGGTATCTTCTAAACCAGCATCGGTGTAACCCTTAAGTCTTCTACGGTTGAAACGAATATACCAATTGGTTAAGTCATCAATCAAAGCCAATAATTTTGGAACGACGGTATACAATCTGTATCCTTGCATTTCTTCGTGAATAAATTGAATTAATGATTGGATAGAAGCAAGTAACCATCTATCCATAACATTATCAGAGATTAATTTAGGATCATACTTGAATACAACTCCGTTATCTTTAGCATAGATGTCAGCAGCATCTTTGAAAAATTTATAGGAATTGTACCATGGTAATAAAACTGAAGAAACAACTTCCCTAACACCTTCTTCCTTGAATTTTAAAGTTTCAGCTCTCAAAACAGGAGAATTGATTAAATACAATCTTAATGCATCAGCACCATATTTTTCCAAAACAATACCTGGATCTGGGTAATTCTTTAAACGTTTTGACATCTTTTTACCATCTGCAGCTAAAACTATACCAGTAACAATAACGTTCTTGTAAGGAGCAGTCTTGAATAAGTGAGTACCCATGACGGTCAAAGTATAAAACCAACCTCTGGTTTGATCTAAACCTTCAGAAATAAAGTTAGCAGGGAAGGAATTTTTGAATTTTTCTTGGTTTTCAAATGGGTAATGCTTTGATGCAAATGGCATAGAACCAGATTCAAGCCAACAATCAAAGACTTCTTCAATTCTCTTCAACACACCCTTTCCTTGTTTCGAAGGAATGGTGATGTCATCAATGCTTTCACGGTGAAGATCAGTAATATCATCACGACCAGATAACTCTTTTAATTCTTGGATTGAACCTACACAGACAATTTCTTCAAAATCATCAGATACCCATAATGGCATAGGTGTACCCCAATAACGATTTCTTGAAATATTCCAATCTCTAGCATTGGCAATCCAGTTTGTAAATCTCTTATCTTTAATATTGGAAGGGACCCAATTGGTCTTTTCGACGTTTTCTAACATTTCAGGGATAACTTCATCAATACGAACAAACCAAGCTGGAACTGTCTTATACATTAATGGTGTATCTGATCTCCAACAAAATGGATAGGAATGCTTGGCTTGTGAATTAACCAACATTCTTCCAGTTTCAGTAATTTTCTTGATAATAACTTTATCAGCATCCTTGAAATAAAGTCCTTCTAAATCTGGGACCTTTTTATTCATTTTACCAGTATCATCAACGACTTCTGGTGGAGTTCTAAATTCATTAATTAATCCATTGGCTTTGGCAGCATTGAAATCTTCTTCCCCGTATGATGGAGCTTGATGGACAATACCGGTACCTGAGTCATTGGTAACATAATCAGCTGTAATAACTTTGAAAGCAACGTCTTTGAATTCTTCATAAAAGTAGTTAAATAATGGAACATACTTAAGACCTTCTAAATCTTTACCGCTTAATCTTTCTACAACCTTGTATTTGGCAGCAGCTGGTTTCTTATACAAAGTAGAAATTAAACCTTCTAATAAAATGAAATGCTTCTTTTTTTCTTCATCATAAATCTTGACATATTCAAACTTTGGGTTAACGGCTAATGCAATGTTAGCTGGTAAAGTCCATGGAGTGGTGGTCCAAGCAACTAAAATGGTGTCTTCGTCATCAACCAATGGGAAAGCAAGAGTGACAGCTGGATCGTTAACTTCTTTATAATTTTGTTGAGCTTCGAAATTAGACAAAGGAGTAGTACATGCTGTGGAATATGGCATAACCCTCAATCCTCTGTAGACAGAATTCTTCTTGTATAATTCTTTAAAACCCCACCAAACTGATTCCATAAATTCTGGATATAAAGTCTTATAATCATTATCCATATCAATCCATCTACCGACTCTTCTAATGGTTCTACGCCATTCATCTGCATATCTCATAACAATAGCACGACACTCATTGTTATAGTTTTCAATACCCATAGCATAGACATCTTCTTTAGAAGTAATACCTAATTTTTTGTCGATTTCGTGTTCAACTGGTAAACCATGAGTATCCCAACCGAATCTTCTTTCAACATGATGACCATTCATGGTGGCATAACGTGGGATAATATCCTTAACTGTAGAAGCTAAGATATGACCATAATGAGGAGTACCAGTTGCAAATGGTGGACCATCAAAGAAGGAAAATGGTGGAAGATCTTTGGTTAATTCTAAAGTTCTTTGGAAGGCATCAATCTCATCCCATTTTTCAAGGATGGAATCTTCCTCTCTTGGGAAACTAAATGGTTGGTTGACCGATTCTTGTTCTGACATCGTTAATACCAAACCAATCTTATCTAGTGAAAATACAAAGTGATTACGAATCCCATATATAATTGCAAATGACTGAATCTGTTGACTAAAAAAATTTGGGAGTGGAAATTTTTTTTTCGATTTGTATACAGGAACAACCAAAACTGGATGAGTCAACATTAATGACACACGAGTATTCTAGTTTGAAAGAAATAAGGGGTTAATGATAACAGATGAGGTCTTTAGAAAGCTGTTATTGAAATGCTGGATCGGTAAAGTGCCAAAATCAGTTGTTGTGGCTCTTTCCGGAGGAGTGGATTCCATTTGCTTGACATATTTATTAAGTCGTTATAGAGACAAGTATGATCCTAACTTAAAGATTCATGCAGTCACAATTGATCATAAATATAGACCTGGTTCAGATCAAGAAGCTGTTAAAGTTGGAAATATAGTGAAAAAGTGGAATGTTAGTCACATTGTCAAGGCATTGTCTTACAACAAAGATATTCATAACTTGCCTAGTTTTGAAGAATTAGCAAGATTTAAACGGTATGAGACCTTTGAAGATGTCTGTCTTCAATTAAATTCGAATTTATTTGTTGCACATAATCTAAATGATCAATTGGAAACATTTGTTCAGAGGTTGCAAGGTAATTCTTCTATCTTTGGTTTAGCTGGTTTAAAGAAAAGATCGGTGCTACCAGTGCTACAACGTGAACCCTATAGAAATCAGATTTTAGTCTATCGCCCATTGCTAGGTTTTGACAAAGAAGATATCATTTCTACTTGTGTCAAAAATAATGTAACTTGGTTTGAAGATGTTACGAATAAAGATACTAGTTTAACTCGAAGAAATTACCTCCGACATCTTATCAACGATGTTATACCAAAAAAGAGACTCAAAGATTCTTCATTGGAAATCATAACTAAAGAAAGCTTGTCTAAGTCACATTCAGAGGTGACTGATATAGTAGAAAATTTGCTTAGCAAAGTTAGTTCCCTTAAAAATTATTTTGAATCGCAAGGTTCGATCACAGTTGATGAAAAGAATGGCAAATTAACAATCTCATTTCCCACCAACTTGCTAGACGAAAAGAGTAGTATGGTATTCAGCAGATTCTTATATTATAGCCTATTTCCTTTTTCCTCAATCAAGCATTATCATTGGGCTTATGCCAAAGTCGAACGACAATTGGTACCAAGGCTAGTGAAGCATTTGAATGAAGGATCGGAAAAGGATTTAAAGCTAACCTATTTAAACTTGGTATTTGATTTGACTTATAATAGAGAACATACTCTTATCAACATAAGTCGTCAACCGATCCAAAGGAACGAATTGTCAGAGATACAAAGAGAAATAGTTATTTCAAAAGATTGGACTGATTGGATCTTATTTGACAGGCGTTTCTGGTTAAGATTTAAACAGGATTATGAGTCAAAAAGTATAACAATTGTCCCTTACCTGTACAAATTGCATAAGAAAATGGTTCATCCAGAGATTGCAAATAATGATGTATTCTTTAAGGGCATTGATTCAATTCCTGTTGTTATCCTGAATGGACAGATAGTAGCATTGCCAACACACGGTTTGTATGCCGCTTCTGAATTGATTCAAGGAGAGTGGTACCTTAAAAGAAATGTATATAGTAATGATTTAGATGATTTGGATGATATAAATAGTACTGTAAATTAGAAATGTACATAGTTTTATTTATTCTGTATGCAGTCCATTTTTTTTGTAAATACTTTTTTTTTATTTTGTGGTGTATGAAATATAAATACATGAACATTATAACTTTGACATTAAGCAAGGCATTGAAGATCATACAAACATGCCATCATCGTCCTACGTTGATTTAACAAGCAATGTAGGAACTCCAAAGGCTGTGGGTCCATTGCTGCAAACTCCGCGATCTTACAAACCGCCGATAAGGAGTTCGACACTCACAGGCTTACTGACTCAATCTTTCAAGATAGGACATCAACGAGTCAACATTGATGTGGATATAGCAAATAGCAAAATAGAAGGATTTACTGAGATAACGGTAGTCCCCTTTGTGAGTTCCTTAAAAAGTATAAAGCTAGATTGCAGAGAACTCAAGATAAAAGACATTTACATAAATGGTTCAAGGCATACCAATTACATATACAATGACAAACTTTATATAAATGATGAAAAGTATTTTGAAGAAGGAATCAATCAACGAGTGTACAATGTTTACTATATATATTCGGATGAAGTTACAATACATCAACATCATTTGCTACGTCAAAAGTTAGTAGCTATATTTGGAGAAACAAATTATGATCCAAGAATATCATTAAGCGAATCGAGTGGTAATACGGAAGAGTTGCATATAATATTCCCAGATAACTTGAAGTTAGAATTGACAGACGTAAATTCGTTGCATACTCCAGGCAGTTTACCTGGAACCATGACTCCATTGCATTTAAAATCAAAAGCTACCTTAAATGAAGTTTATACTCCAGTCAATATAAAAATAGAATACGAGGTAGTAAATCCTCGAAATGGTCTAAATTTCTTTACATTGGGTGAAAAAAGTTCATGGCATGTATATACAACAAATTCAGACTACAATATATCAACGTCTTCTTGGGTTCCGTGTTTGGACAACTTGTTCGATAGGTCTACTTGGTCTATAGAAGTCAGTATCCCAAGAACCGTTAAAGATATTGGAAATCCAAGAATCATTGGTAGTAAGCAAGCTCAAATGAAGTTAAATCAACTAGAAGATGATAGGTCAGATATAGAAGATGAGGACGTGGATTTATCTGTTTGCTCGGGAGATTTTAATAATGTCAAAGAAACTCCTCATCCGATCGATCTTTCAAAAAAAGTTGTATCATGGGCAATTTTCAATCCTGTTTGTGCTCACCATGTAGGTTGGGCAGTTGGTTGTTTTGAAAGTTTTGTTCTTTCAGATTTTTCTCAAGGTGCAGATGATGAAGAAGAAGCCACTTCAGATGAAGTTGAAAAACAAGCAAACTCTCCTATTACAGTTTACTGCCTACCAGAGCATCTAGAAATGGCCAAAAATACGTGTGTGGTAGTAAGCAAAGCCATGGATTTTTATCTGCGTGAATTTGGGTCATTTCCTTTCAGTTCTTATTCTTTGGTCTTTGTAAAAGATAGCTTGTCACCTTCAAATAACTTTGCAGGACTATCGGTATTTGGTAATCAGGTATTGTATCCATCCGATTTAATGGAACCAATTTTCAGCAGTACAGAATTAATTCTGGAAAGTATTTCTTCACAATGGTCAGGTATTAACATTATACCTCAAACATTCAATGATATTTGGTGTACTGTGGGGATTGCACGTTTCATGTCCTTTCAATTTATCCGTAGTTTAATGGGAAGCAATCAATACAGGTATAAGATTAAGCAACAGATAGATCAAATAGTACGTGAAGATGTTGGGAAGAAACCAATTGCGTTGCAATATTTCAGATTTCCTGTGTCGTCAATGGATTTATCATACATAAAACTAAAGGCACCCATTGTTCTTTTCATCTTAGATAAAAGAATGACCAAAACAGATAAATCGTTTGGATTGTCCCGTGTCTTACCCAAACTATTCTTACAGGCTATGTCAGGTGATCTTCCTAATGGGACCTTATCTACGCTGCACTTTCAATATACGTGTGAAAAGGTTAATAGAAACAGATTGGAAAGTTTCTTCAAACAGTGGGTCTATGGTGCTGGGACTCCAGTATTTAATATCTCACAAAAGTTTAATAAGAAAAGGAATGTCATTGAGATGAGCATAAGGCAGATCCAGCATACTGAATCAAAAGTAGTTCATCCTAAGCCAGAATCATTCATCAATGACTCTATTTCATACTTAGACGACGAATTGACTTATCCTGTTCAATCTGTATTTACTGGTCCAATGACCATTAGAGTTCATGAAGCTGATGGAACTCCATATGAGCATATTGTTGACTTGAAAGAAGGACACACAAAGTTAGATGTTCATTACAATTCCAAAACCAGAAAGAAGAAAAAGGATGAATCTGGAGAATCGGGTGTGATCTTCAGCAAATTAGGTAACGTACTTGAAAGGAAAAGAGATATAAGTGAGTGGAATTTCAGTGACTGGGATAAAAGAGAAGAAGAAAATGATGCTTTTGAATGGATCAGAGTTGATGTGGATTTTGAATGGATTGCCAAATTTAACATCAAGCAACCAGACTATATGTATGCTTCTCAATTACAATATGATCGTGATGTTGAAGCTCAATACGAGGCCACAAAGTTTTTTGGAAACATTGAAAAACCTCTTGCAGTGCATGCCACGGTTTTAACAAGAACTATAATGGATTCAAGATACTTTTACGGAGTTCGTGTCGCTGCTGCCAAAGCTTTAGCTAAGCTCTCCAATGAAAAGAACAATTATTTTGGGGTGAATTACTTGATTAAAATCTATAGGGAATTATTTTGTTTTCCTTCAAGTTCTATTCCTTTGAGTAACGACTTCAACGACTTCGGCAAAGCGTTCTTACAAAAAGAAATCCCTACCATTTTAAGTAATGTTAGAAATGAAGATGGAGAAGTTCCAATTACAATCAAGAATCTTTTATTGAATTTATTAAAATATAATGATAACTCTAATAATTCCTTTCAAGATTGTTATTACATATCTGATCTTTTAGTTGCTTTGACGGATAGTATAGTGAAAGGTACTACACCTCTGTTTTCAACTTCATTGGGTGTCAGAGATGTGAGTGACTTTGACAAAACTGTCATTGAAGAGCTTGAAAGAATCCAGAAAATGGATGAATGGGTCCCATCGTATCAGTTTATAATATCAACCACAGCGATTAGGCTGAAGGTAAAGCTTGCTTTGTTTGGTAAATTAGATTTGAAATTTGAAGATTTGCTTTACTATACCATACCTAAATTCCATTATGCTATCAGGTTAGAAGCGTTCAAGGGATTGTTCTTATTGGGTGGTTTAAAGAATAAGAGTATACTCGAGTATTTTCTTTCCACTTGTTTATTGGAAGGTTCTTCTATTAAGTTCAGATCCTATTTGATTATAATACTTTTAGATTCAATTTGTGTCTGTGCTCTTCGAGGATCTCCTATTGCATTAGATGATCCTGAGTTTAAGTCATATGAAAAATTGAGTGGATCTAGTTCGACTGATAAGAATGGAACAAACTTGGTGATTATTGAAGAAGCATCTACATCTGAAATGGATAATATGAGAGATAAATTTGCAAGAGAAACTATCAAAGGTGCCATTGAGATCCTTAGAAGAGATTATGGTATTGGTGAAGGTTTAAGAAACACCTTTTGGGAATTGATACATTCTTCCTTAATTAGCATTTATGATAAAAGAGGTATCTTCTTGATATGTCAGGTTTTATACGAAGAGATCGACTCGTTTATTGTTAAAGTTCCAATCCCATGCTTACCAACATCTGAATTTAACAAAAAGATAGTAGCTAAAAATATGGGTAATGGTAAGTTAGTTTTCAAACGAGAAGGTAGATTTAAAATTCAATTATCTTCTAGAAAGATAATTCCAGTTCCAGAAGTTAAACCTGTGAAACCTAAGCCTGTCATTGAAGAAGAAGTTGCTAAGGTAGAACCTAAACTAAAATTAAACTTTAGTTTGAAACCAGCTGAACCAAAGAAAAAGCTGATAAGTAAAAAGCCTTTGGTAATTATAGACAAATCGAAAGGATTTAATATTAAATTTAAGTTACCAGCTGCAAAGTTGTCGTCCATAAATAAATCACAAATTCCACCAACCAAGCAGGTAAAGCAAATAAAACAAGTGAAGCAAGAGCCGATGGTTGAGCTACCTAGTAAAGTGGTTTTACGTGGTTCAACTGTTACCTTTAAGTTCAGCAATGACTTTAAATCAAGATTATCAAGATCAATTTTACCTCCAGCTCCTGCTTTACGTTATATTCGAATTCTTACTAAAGAAAAGAAGATATTTGCATCGTCTGAACCGTTCCCAGAAAATGTGTCCAATTCATCATCTCAACCAGACTTACATAGTCAAACAGAGCAATTGGTGGACTTGGTTTCTTCGTCAAGTCTGGATCCAATCTCATCACCAAAAATTAAATCAGAGGAGGCTCCAAATCCTAACAAAAGACCCACCTCGTCTATTTCAAGATCTCCAAGTCCTTTTTCAACTTCACCATCCCCATTTACCATTAAAAAGGCAAAGTCAAATGTTTACATTCATGGAAAAGGTGCTGAAAAGGATAAAGAGGAAAAGACTTCAGTAAAGGTATCACCCCCTATAGTTCCAGCAGAAGTTCCAGCAGAAGTTCCAGCAGAAGTTCCTGTAAGTACGACATCGTCTACCACTACTCCTGCTCCTGTCAAACATGTTCAAGAAAAGAAACCAGTTCTTAAATTAAAGTTAAATTTAAAGAAATAAGATACTTCATTGTACAATTTATTTTACAAAAAAAAACACTATTTATATGAGTAACGCTTTTGTGTATTATATATGTTCTAAATATAAAAATGGAACTGACTATTTTTTTTTGTCCGGCATGTAATAACTTTTATAATTTAATTCTGAATTGTGCCATTGATGATAGACCACCCACCATAATCATATCAGTAACGTAAACAATCATCAACTCCATATAGATATAGATATATTATACAGTATTGCCATACTCAACTATTCCATTCCTTTCGTATGAACAATCCAGGTACTGAAACATAGATAAACTAACCATGTCGTTTAACAATACCTTGGGTTTCAATATCACCAAGTCAACTCCCACAACTTCAGCAACAAACATAACTAGTGCTTCCGCCACTCCTACATCTCAAATAGATTCTGCCAGTACTCCATTATCATCGACTCCAAAATCTCCCTTCTTGCAAAATATATTGACCAAAACAACTCCTTCAATTGAGAATTCTCCAAAACTAAATGCCACTAACTTTTTAGGAAGTGTTGCTGCTCCTGCCATAGTTACTGTTGATGACAATACAACCGAACTGAAATCTTCAAATAATGACAATTCCAACACGCTTGATTCGAAGTCTGATCTTATCGGCTTATTTGATAAATTTGATATTGGATCAAAATCACAACTGACAGATTTACCGTCTAATGAAACTGACGAGCATCAAATTGACGAAACTGAAGACGATCGTGACGAGAAGAAAGAGTCTACTAGTATTGAACAAGACGAATCAGCTCCTTTATCTCCCATCGTAGCAGAAAAGGATACTATTGAAGTTAACAAAGTGAATTTAATGACTATACAACCATATATTGTGGAAGATCATCAACCTGTGGCAATTCCAGAAACATCAACCAGCTTTGAAGAAAGTTCTTCTTACGTAAATGAAAAGGAACAACACGATGAAGGACAAGATGAAAGACAAGATGAAGGCAAAGATTTATCTGATATCACAGGTGATGTTGGAGATCTAGAAACTTCCGATATAGAAGAATATGAATTAAAAAAAGATGATGATAATATTGACCAGGAGCGTCGTCCTACGATTTCTAGCATGCCATCTGAATCTAAAGTATCAAGGATAGCTCAACCTCATATAGATCCAGAAGAACAATATCAGCAATCACATAAACCTTTTTATTTTCAAAACTTTTTAAATCAATTGAGAAAGAAATCTGCCGATCCAGTCGTCAGATATATACGATCATTTTTAGTATCATTTTTAAGACAAGGTCATACTTTTACAGCTGAACAACGTAGTAAAATAATTCAAGATTTCAAGATTTTTATGAATGATAAATTTGCAACTTATGAGCCTTTTGCATCAATGGATGATATCGATTTGGAGAATTCTAGAGAAGGTTTGGAGAAACTAATTATGAATAGACTTTACATTCATTGCTTTCCTCCGGAAGTGAAAAAGCAAGAAGGTAGTCAATTACCTCATTCTTTTGAAGAAGATTTAGTGGAAGATGCCGCATTCTCTAAACAACTTGAAAAATTTAGTTGGGTTAATGGTATTCATTTGGATCTCAGTTTGGATCAATTAGAGAATCAGAAAAAAGGAGATACAAACTTTATACAATATTCAATCACTGAAATGAATAAAATTAATACTTATAGAGCACCCAGAGATAAAATTATATGCATATTAAATGCGTGCAAGATCATTTTCAGTTTTCTTAAAGCAAGTAAACAAGAAACTAATGCCGATGCATTTGTGCCATTGTTAATCTTGGTCTTGATAAAAGCAAAGACCGAAAATCTAATTAGTAATATTTCCTATATAGAAAATTTTAGAGGAGAAGAATGGTTATTACATGGTGAAACTAGTTATTATTTATCATCTATTCAAGGAGCAATTGGATTTATTCAAAATTTGGGATTTAAAGAATTGACTGTTGATGAAGAAGAATATAATGCTCATATGGAATCATGGGAAGCAGAAGAAAAGCGTTTGAAGGAACAAGCTAAGATTATTCAACCTTCACCTGTCCGTATTCCACCTCCAAGATTACCTTTGAATATACCTGCTCAAGGTTTATCACCTTCCAGCGTATTATTATCAAGTGCTGAAATGTTTACAAAATCAATCACCAACTTTTTATCGCCATCCCCACAAGAAGAGCCTTCACATATGCAATCGATCCAATCTAACACTAATAACAATCCTACCGAAACTGAGGTGGTTGATGAAGCTGCTCAAGAGGAGGTATATAATCATTTGAAAGAGATATTTCCTACTTTGGATAAATCTATATTGAAAGATGTCGTATTTATGAATAAAGGGGATATGGATTCTTGTATTGATTCATGTTTACAACTTATGAGCGATGCATAAAATATTATTTATTTATTTATTTATTTATTTGTATAGTTAGAGATAATTTGAGTAAATAAATATAACAAATTGTTATCTTTCTACTTAATCATGATTAGTCAACATTATGCTTATTATTAGATGATCGCTTTTGGTAAATAAATATTACGTTATCGCTGTAAATGAATGCAAATTTTGCAAACAATTAAGTGGGTTCCACTTGCTGAAAGAAGCATTAAAAAGTTTAATTATCAAATGAATAGCCATTTTCTATGATGGTTGAAAAATTATGAAAGATGTAGGGGATGTTTATCCGTTTCTGGCCCTTAACACTTAACTGTTATTTTGCTCGTATTTTTATAGTGTCCCCCTCAGATACTTAGCGGGACTAATTTTCCTAATGCGGTAAATACAAACAGGATGTTGCGAAATTATATTGTCGGTTGGCGGACCTTTACTGTTATAATCTAATCTCTCCAACCATTCAGAAATCACTATAAATACTGGAGAGTTTATTCGATTAAGTTTAAGTTAAATTCATATTCTTTTTCTTTTCTATCTATATTCATTGAATAGTCAATAGTCTTTCATATACCAATCAACAAATAAATTTTCTCAAGATGCCTATGTTATATAAACCTGCTGCTGAAGGTAAAGAAGTTAAACCACCTGCCATTCCATCTCCAGGTAAGAACTCTTTCTTAGGTGATATTTTCACTTCTGATGCTCCAAAAGAAGAACAAATGTCATGTGGTTTCTATAAACAAGAAAAAGGTGAACCTCTTGTTTATACTTATACCTATGATGAAATGAAAATCATTTTAGAAGTTGAAGGTGAATACTGGATCTCTGATGAAACTGGTTACAAAGTTGCTGTTGCTCCAGGTGATGTCTTATACTTTAAAAAAGGTACTACTATTACTTTTGAAACTACTGGTTATGGTTATGCCTTCTTCACTGGTTTAAGACCAAATGGTACTGCTTAGGTTTGTCAATTGGATTTTATAATATATATATATAGATTTTAGTTGAAGTCAACCCTAGTTTAATGTAGACCATTAATAGAAGATTTCTTACCTTTTTTAAAATTGGTGTAACATTGTAAAATAATTTGTATTCATGATTGATTATACCAAATTTTTCACTACCCTGAAGTATCACTATCCCTTATTTTTTTTCCAGGATTTTCTCATCAGGTAATACCACATGTGGATAATCTCTAAAGATAACGTGAAATTGGCTGAAAAATGCCCGTATCATAAATAAATAAATAAGATAAGATATGTCTGAGTTATATTAACTTTATTTGGGTTGAACCATTCTGTTTGGAGTTAAATAGATAAATTTGATAACTATATAGAACATATTCCTGCATATACTCGTATGTCAGTTTTAGAGAAAATTCTCGAAATAGTTCTAAATCAAAAGTCAATTGCCGCTTGCAACACTACTTGAATTTGGATCAAACAAGAGATAATTCAATTGAAGATGCCTATTGATTACTCAAAGTGGGATAAGCTTGAACTTTCTGATGACTCAGATATCGAGGTTCATCCAAATGTTGACAAAAATTCATTTGTTAAATGGAAGCAAAGAGATATTCATGAAAAACGTCAGCAACGTAATATCGAAATAAAAACCATATTGATCCAATTGACAATGTATGCCAAGTTGAATGAAAGAGTTGATTATATATTGACTTTGCCAAAGGATATCTTGATAGATAACTCAGCTGTCGTTCTGAAACTTGATTTGAACTTTGACAAAACTGAAAAGTTTGATTATCAAAAGTTGATCAGTGAAAAGGGTGATTCATTAAGAAAAGGTTTGAAAGATTTACATTTCGAACCAGAAGAAGCTCAAGATAGTTCCCCATATAATGAAATGATTGAAGATTTACTTATTCAAATTAAGGATGAACATCCAGATGCCAGAAATGATCCTGTTAAACTTGCTGAACATTTGAAAGATCATAGAAATAAGATTGATGACGTTTTATCTAAGCAAACTATTAAGTTAGATGACTTGTTATATCAAAAGTCTTTATTGATTAGTAGTGATGACTATCATACTGGTTTCGATAGATCCTTTTTAAATCACGATAAAGAAGAAGAAAAGACTGAAGAAGTAAAACCTACAAAGATTGAAAAGAAATCTGTTACAACCGTTGAAACTATACATGATCCAAAGCAATCAAATGTTGTTGCTAAGTCCGAGCCCAAGTCTGACAAAGACATTCTTGATGAATTGGAGTTATTACCTGCAACAGAAGAGTTTGCCAAATTATCTAAGCTTGAGGATAGTTCCCTTTATTTGTTGAAACATACTCAAATATGTACTGAGCAACAAAAAGATGCTTTAATAATGACAGCTTTTGATTTAGAGCTTGAAGGTGATACAGCAGGTGCCAAGCAGGTTATACATCAATCATTGTTGCTTCAATATGTGGCCCAATTAGCTGGTCCAAATGTAAATAAAGATCAAACTATCAGAGCCATCAGGCTCTTCTTCTCCAAGATACAAGATAAATCTCTGCCTGCCAGATCAGCTTTCTTGCAAGATGTGGATGGTACTTTGAGTCATATAAAGTCAAGATGTGAGGTAATACGTTCTGAATATAATGATAAAAATGAAAACGAGGAGGAAGCCTTAATTCAATTAAAAGCATTGGATGATAATACTCAACTTATGGTAAACATTCCAAAAGAAGGTACAGAAGAGTATGAAATATTTACTACAGAATTATCAAAAGAATTGCAGGATGCAGTGAGAACTGAATCATTAGAAGAAGTTAATAAAGTATTTGCAACCATGAAAGTTGAGGATGCAGAACAAGTATTAGAAATATTCAATCAATGCGGTGTAATTGGGATTTCAGGTTATTTAGAAAACGAAAATGACTTTGAGGAACTTCAACAACAATATAATGAAGGTCACATTGATGAAATTCCTGAAGAAGTCGAACAGGTTCCTGAAGAAGTTAATGCATTGTCTATTGAAGATACTGTAGATTGATCTCTACAAATTGTATATATATAGGTTAAGAGATAAATCACGCCATGTCTATTTTATAATAAATATATCAAATATAAGCTTAAAATTTTAATTACGTAGAGATACATTACTTTTTAGTTAATTTTGCCAATGTGTCCAATAAAGCTTGACTGCTATATGGAGACTGCTGTTGGTTACGTTGGTCTTGCTGTTGATGTTGACTTGGTGGACTGCTTTGATAACCACTATTAGAACTAGATTGAATTCTGGATAATAATGCTTCGACCTGTCCATTTGGACTTTGTTGTTGTGGTGGTGGTGGTGCTCCTTGATATCCTCCTTGATTGTAGCCACCATAATTGTTAGATTGAGGTGGAGGACCATAACCTTGTGACTGTTGTTGTTGATAATGTGATGGTGGTTGACGTTGTTGTTGTTGCTGTGGAGGAGGTTGCTGTTGCTGTAAATTGGCAACAAGCTGTTGAAGATCGGCTGGATTCATTCCTTGTAATTGCTGCATTAAGGCATTTTGATCGGAGCCTTGATTATACTGATTATTTTGTTGTTGACCGTATTGATTTTGAGGTGTTTGTTGATTATAGTATTGGTCGCTTTGACTGGTTTGGGAACTTTGACCGTAAGGGGAGCGTTGGTCATAACCTCTACTACTTTGCTGGCCATATTGTTGTTGTCCGTACTGTTGTTGGCTACCTTGATTAGACCAAGATTGGTTCTCATATGAATGATGATCTCTAGATTCTCTACCACCTCTATCTCTACCACCTCTTCCACCTCTTCCACCTCTATCGCCTCTTCTACTGTATCCACCAGCAGAATTTCCTCCACGGTGAGATCCATAATCTCCTCTATGACCTCCACTAGAATCACCACCGCTATATGGTCTCTTTCTAGAATACACATCACTGTATGGATTTGGGGCTCTAGGTTGACTTTGACCTTGGTATCCATATGGTTGGCTTCGAGCAGAATTATCATTGTGTGAAGTATCTTGAGGATAATACACAGGCATATTAGTTCCATACTTTTTAACCTTAGCCTTAGAAAGAATTTCAGCAGCAACGTCAGGATCAACATCAGCGTATTCATCAAATTTAATACCCCCATCTGGAGTGCTTTCAAATGTTTGAACATCAACCTTCAATTCCTTAACCACACAAGCACCTAATACACCAGAATAAGCAGCTTCACTGATGACTTCATTGATTTCCCTATGAGTAACATCTTCAGTATCAACAGTAATTTGAGAATTAGCAAAAGCTTTCTTTACTTTCCTAATATAAAATACTGATGATTTTCCAGTGATATATATTTGACAATCTGGTAAAACTTTTCTTTTCTTTCTACTGCTTTCATCTGAACGCCCACCTTCAGCAGCAGCAAGATTAGGATTATTAATATCTGGTCTTCCTGGTCTTCTTGATTTTTGAGGTTTTGAAGCATCTAATCTCATAATTTTATTATGTAATGGAACATCCGTTTCACCTCTAATACAATCATAACATGCTTCAGCAGTTCTGAATTGAGCAAATCCATAACCAGCTTTAATTGCAATTTGAATAACATCCCCATATTGACTAAAAATTCTAAATAAATCTTGTTTGGATATGGTATTGGCAGGTAAGTTACCAATAAACAATCTCAGCTTATCAGGAAATTCATCCCAGTTTTGTAATTCCATATAGTATGCTTCAGTTTTAATGAAATCATCATATTGTTTTTCTTCTTCTGGAGTCATAGGAGCAGTGATATTTGGTCTACGACAGAATTCATTCAAAGGGATTAATGGAATTGGATCTTTCAAATTTTTGAATGGCTTATTGTAGGAGTAGACTTGGTCATAATTAATCTTCTTTACGTTATCTTGATCATTTAATTGAATATTTTTCTTGCTCAATTCATTGACAATAAGCTTCATCTGTTCAGCTTGCAGTAAATTTACAAAGCTAGGATTCTTAACGAGTTCGCTTTGCATTATAGCAGCATATGCATCTGTCAATTGTTGTTGGGAATCATGGGTTGATAAAGGGTCTAAAGTTGGTGATGCTGCTACTGTAGCTACCACTGGTGGTTTAGGAGGTAATCCGGCAGGAGGAGTCTTACCTTTCAAAATAGTACTTTCTACTTCAGTTTCTTCTTTATGCTCAGTTCCAGAGGATTCAGGGTTGATTCCACCTTCGGGATCATAATCGGAATCTTCGTCTTCTTCTTCATTGTGATCTTTTTTAACTAAATCAGTAGCATTATTGTCTTCTTTCAAGATGATTTCTGGGTCATAATCATCGTCATCTTCTTCTTCTTCTTCTTGAGATTTCTCAATTGGTTTGGTTTGAAAAGTTTCTACTGAAACTTCAACTTCAGAATCACTATCGGTTAATGGACGCTTTTCGGTTGGTGGCACTTCTGCTTCCTGTTCATTTTCTCCTTCATTAGGATTAGCTGCTTCTTCTTTCACTTCTTCTTTGCCATCATCTTGTTCAGCTTCTGGTTCAACTTCCGGTTTAATTTCTTCACTCTGTTCTTCTGTATCTGGAACAGGTGGCTGAACTTCTTCTTCAGTGGTATGTCTTACGGAAACAGGAGTCACTTCCATTATATTCTACCTGGGATTGATTGATGGTCAAGAAATAGATATAGTTCAAAAGGGAAAAAGAAATTGTGTTACGTTGTCAAACTTTTATATTTTAAATGTCGATTCTCTTATGCCTCAAATTAAATTGGTAGTCGTGCGAAAGCTCAAAATTAATATATAGTGACAAGTTATTCTTAATATAGAATAGAATGATAAATCTACATGAGAGTTAAGAAGATAGAATGTTAAAGCTTATTTATAGAAGTAGATCAAATAGCATATTCATTTTAATAATTTAACGGTACATTGCAAGCAGAATGTTTGAAATATATTCTGGTCCATAACAAATATTTGCTTGTAGATTTATCTGAGCCGCAACTGCCTATTTAGGAAAAGTAAACAAATCAAAAATAATAACATTATCAATTTCAAATTCAAATTCAAAATTTAAAAATCAAATTAAAGGGTCAAATCCATCATCAAATTCATCTCTTTTACTTTTATAGAATAGATATAACTGTTTGCTGTATAATAAGTGTATCTGTGATCCATTAACTATATCTCATAATGACTTTGTTTCAAAACTTTAATGCTCATTCATTGAGATCAACGAGAGGATTCAAGTTGAAGCAATCATCTCCAATATCTAGTCCCCAACCAGTTTCTAATTCAGCCTTTCTTCCATCAACCCCATATCAACAACAGGATTTCAACAAACCATATCAGACAGTTAACTTAAACAACAGTAATGCTCCTGGTCAATCTGTGTCGACTCATAAAGATATAAGAGATTATGCTGAGCAAACTTTAGGTTCTGATAACGCTTTAATACAGGCGGTAAAGCTTCCTCAAGATGAAGATATAAATGAATGGTTGGCTATTCATGTTGTGGATTTCTATAATCAAATAAATATGTTATATGGTGCCATAACGGAATTCTGTTCCCCTCTTACATGTCCTAAAATGATGGCAACTGATGAATATGAATATTTATGGCAAGAAACTTCAGCTCTTGGTAATGGTTCAAATTCTATGCCACCAAAGAAACCAGTTTCCCTTCCAGCTTGTGATTATATTGAAAATTTAATGAATTGGGTTCAATCATTCCTTGATAATGATAATATTTTCCCTTCCAAAATCGGTGCTCCATTCCCACAACAATTCCCTCATTTAGTTAAAACAATCTTTAAAAGATTGTTTAGAATCTATGCTCATATATATTGTCACCATTTCCATGAAGTAACTGAATTGGGTTTACAAAGTCACTTAAATACAAGTTTAAAGCACTATGTTTTGTTTGCCAATGAATTCCAATTGATTAGTCAAAAAGATTATGGTCCTCTAGAAGATTTGGTTGAAACTATGTTAAAGAAATGATTTATTAGGTATGCATTTAAATAGGTATTATATGTGATTTATTTTAATTCTAGTCTATGTAAGCTATAGTAAAGCTACTTCTGCCATCAAACAGAGATGATCAGAAGGAAATTGATTTAACCTAGGTTGACCTGAGGGTTCTGGTCCCATGTCTTCCGGCATGGGCAATTTCAATAAGCTCAACAACTTTATGTCTTGCTCTTTTTCTAATTCTTCTAATGTATCGATCTTAGTTGAATATTTTAATTCATCTCTATTCCATTTAGATAAGACTAAAATATAATCAAGAAGTCCCCTCCATGTATGGGCCCAATTTGAGAAAATTGGCTCATTTCTATCATTATCAGCTCCAGCATTTTTGGGATCAACTGATTTATATCCTACTGAATACAAAGATATGGCTCTCATATCTATTGAATTGTGAGCAACTTGAAGTTCCTGTATTAATCGAATCTCTTCTTCAGATACATTGGAACTTTCAGGATTTGGTACTTCGCCATCTATGCTTTCGACCCCGGATTCTTCTGTTTCCTCTTCAACACCTCTTGAGCCTCTATAATGGGCAAGAGAAGCTTCAAGAACAGTTCTAACTCTACCAGTATAAGTAGTCGGTTTGGCTACCATAGATAAATATGGAGAGTCAAATGGCTGACTATTCATATCACCACAAAAGAAAGTGTAGAAAACCCTTATCGTTGGCCAAAACAGTGTTCAAAGTTGTTATAAATTCTTGAAATTTGTATAATAACACATATGTTTGTCTTGTTCTCTCAAATGTACCAAATGGAGCCCAAAACAAGTGAGTAGACCCAATGACAATCCCATTCTTATTTAATAGATGAGGAAATTTCAAAGTCATAGAATCGGTGAACAGTAAATGCACTATGAATCCTACATTCTGAGTTGAAGTTGAAGGCTGAACTAATGCTTTGGTAGTCTCTGTATCATAATTTATGAAACTTTGATTTTTGCATTCAAACATTGATGACTTGAAGACTATCGCCAATCCGTGATTTTTATTATTTGATCTATAATATTTTGAAGTATAACCCAATTGAGCAAATTCCTTGGACCAGAAGGAATTGAATTGAATATAATCGACCTCTTGAAGACATAAGATATCGGCATCGTAATATTTGAATTCGTCAAGTAACGTCTTTGATCTAGTAGCCCATTTCAATGCATCACCACTCGTAGGGAATAAAGTTCGTCTTATTAAGGCTTGAGCCAATATATTATATGTCATTATCTTGATTTTCAATCCATCACCATTATCTATCACATCGGGAAGGGGAAGAAGTGGTCTCTTTATAAAGGTTTCTATCTGCTCTACCGGTTTTGATTCAGCTTGCTTTTGAGATTTTTTCAAATTCCGTAACCGTCTTTGTTCCTCTATATATTCTGGAGTTATACTGCTAGGATCTCTTGCCTTTTTAGACTTCTTTTTGGACTTAATCGGCTGCCCGTTGTCCAGCAAGCTATCATTTTCGGTTGCCATTTGTTAGATCTTGTTGCAACTCTAAAGTATAGTGAATAAAATATTCAGCTTAAATAAAAATTGCGGGCGAAAAATTTAAAGAGACAAATATATCATTCTAAACTTTGATCCAATTAAGGACACTTTGCATCAACATAAATATGAAAGATTACTACGATAGGCTAGATCAATTGGGTGTGGAGGTTTATTCACTTTTCAATCAATTACTTACTATTAATCAGAATGTCGATATCACCGATCCTAAATTAGAGCTGAGTAAATTGGTACGCACAACTAACAGCTTGTTATTAACTTACAAAGAGCTATTACATATCATACAGCATAAAACAGATAAAAATGATAGAAGTGATTTGGTCAAGTACCAATTATATGAATCGAAGTTCCATCTGTTGAAAAACAAATCCCAGAGTTTGCATTTATATTCCAATAACCTTAATGATGAATTGATTCACAAACAAAGAGTGAAAGAGTATGCATTGGCAGAAGAACCAGAGCCTGAAAGCAAAGAAGATGATACAGAAAGTGCTAGAGAAAAGTTATTCTCGGGTAGATCTAGTGCTTCAAAGAAAGCAACTGAAGAGACTGTGGGCCAACAGGTTTTATCTCACAATAAACAGATCACTTCCTCGTTACAATCATCCAAACAGTTACTTACAGCCTCAGTGATTCAAAGTGAATTAAATATCGAGTCATTAGATCAACAAACCAAAGATTTAAGAACACTTAATGAAGATTTCATGAGGTTTAATGATTTACTTGGGAAGTCAAAACAAATAGTGAAATTCATTGAAAGACAAGACAAGTCTGATAGAAGGCGTATATATATGGGTATTGGATTCTTTATGTTGTGTATTGCCTGGGTTATATACAGAAGAATTCTACGTACACCTATTCGATTGTTATTCTGGTCCTTTTTCAAGATCTTTAGAATATTTAATTGGGTGTTGGTGAAATCAAGTAAGCAAGTGGAACCTATTGCTGTGAGCGTCGATGCATTTTCATCGTTGACAGAAACAGCGACAACAGCGATAGAAACTTTTGTGGATCAAGTTTCATCGCTAACGTTGTCAGAAGAAATTGCAGAATCTAGTAACTCGATATTCGTTGACGAAATTGAATTAACTATTTCAGAATTCTTAAGTGATGAACTTTAAACCTAAGCATTATGTATTCTTTTAAGTCATTCTATATAAATATATAGCTAGATACCACAAATAGAACAAGTTTATGGAGTTTCAACTGTAACAGATGTACCGTTTTTCTTTGAACTTTCGATAGCAGCAACAACAATGGCAAAATGATGGAAAGCTTTTCTTGGTGGAACATTAAGAACTGATTTGTCTTTAGAAGCGACAGAAGCAGCGATATTTTTGAATTCTTCTTCGATAGTAGCATTTTCTTCGATTTCAATGACAGTCTTTTCAGAAAGATCAGCATTAGAAGAACCAGTTTGATAAGTGATGGTTGGGTTGGTTAAACTTGGAGAGAAATTGTAATCAATTGAACCATCAGTACCGTAAATAGTGAAAGTACTGGTCTTGTCAGTAGCACCAAAGGCAGAACCATAAGTAAAAGTACCAATGACACCACTCTTTAATTTGAAAGTTGAGAATAAGATATCATCAGCACCACTTAATTCTCTAACTTGTTTGGTTAAGGCACTGACAGATTCAACAGGACCTAAAACTTCAGTTAAAACGGCCAATTGATGAACACCACCATCGGAAAGGTAACCACCAACGTGTTCAGGACTCATTCTCCAAGGAGTAGACATGTATTTGTTGGTAGCATTGAATGGACCAGTGTATCTATAAGTGAAAGAAAGAACTTCACCGATTTTTGGGATAATATCTTTAATAACGGTAAGTGCCTTTAAGTAAGTGAAATTTTCTAAAACTAAAATTGGAAGATCAGTACTTTCAGATATTTTAACAATTTCTTTAGCTTGAGTTAAATTAGCAGCAATTGGTTTTTCAAAAGCAATTGGTTTATTATGTTTGACGGCTAATTTAACAGCATCTAAGTTATATTGAACTGGTAATAAAGCATCGACGAAATCAACGTCTTTATCTTCGAACACTTCTTCTAAACTATCGTAAACTTTAGCAGCACCTGATTTCTTAGCGAAAACTTCAGCTTTGGCTTTAGTTCTGTTATAAGCAGCAGTAACTTTTAAGTTTGGAATATTTTGAATGGCTGGTAAATGGGCATCAGTTGCAAAGATACCAGTACCGACGACAGCAATGTTTAATGGAGACATGATGATTATATGAATTCAATTGATCTAATTAATTTTATTAAAAACTAATGAAGATTAATATAAATTTCGAAAAATTATTGAAAAGGTGAGATTATTGAAGTATTTATATTCTTGGAATAGAATTGTGGTAACCGGACTTGATTATTATATAATTCAAATTCGAAGTGGGTTATGCTTGTAGCGATCCTTTGAAAAATTTATGAAAAAGTTATTCCGAGAAACTTTGTCTCCATACTTTTTTTCTTATTTCGTCTGAGATCACTAATTAACATCAAACTGGAACGATATTATAATTCATGGTTAAGTTACTGTAACTAGAAAAATGGAATCACCTTCCCAAGTGGCCACACTAAAAAGTGGGGGGAGAAGGAAACGTTACTTAATTCAATATCAAGCCTCTATTATTGAGGAATCCCCCACGGGTAAGATTGGGGGGCTCAAAAATGATTTAGCTTTTTCAAATTTTAAGTTTATAATTTAGAAAGCCTTAAGAATAAGGGTATGATGCAAAATCAATATTGGGCATCTAATCATCGTTATGCATATGTGTAACTGCTATAAGTGCCAAGGAATACGGAAAATTTTTTACACCCATTGTTTGTTTCGAAGTTTTTCCTTTATTATTAATGAAGACTTTATATCTATAATTAGAATGATCGATTTCCTTTAATATGTTAAGTATGTTGTATTCATTCATGATTCGAACTTGTAATTTGTCTAAATTAAGAATTAGACTTTGATGGTTGTTGGAGGAACTTGCATTACTAATGAGTTTATCTAGTTGATGATCATTCATTTCCAGGATACACCTTTTAAGTGATGTGTAATTTAATTTAAATACTTGTCTTCCATATACTGAAAATACTAACGGAAAGATGTATTCGATATTGACTAACCAAGATGAGATCATGTAATTCAAATCATGGAGGAAATCATCCATGAGAAGTTCAGTTTCCCAAGTTTGGTATCTGATATCAATCGTCATTTCTTTTAAGATATTAACCTCTTTGTCAAACACTTGAACGGTATTTCCGTTTGAATCGAACTCTATAAACTCGTTGATAATACCATCAAATATAAGGCATTGTAGATCTAATTGGAAACTAGAAGAATTATCAATCCTCAAACTTGGTTTCACTTCCAATGCATTCCAATAACTTGAACGACAAATATTAGAACCTAATCTATCGATTAGATAATTGTAGCTTGAATCCAACAATTGATTCCCATTTAAATACAAATTAAACTTCAACTTTAAATTGTTGTCAGTATTTTTGAATGATATTTGGCAAATTTCTAAAATAAATACTTACCAGTAACCTTGGACTTGGAATAATCAAACACTTTTCATGCCCATAGGTCTTCATTTGAGTCTGATAATGATAAGATATACTCATATTATTGTCATCTCTTCTTAAGTTTAATGTATTGGCCAGCATTTTGATGGTTGTTGCCTTTGTTAAACCAAAATTTTGGCTGTAAAAAAATCAAAAATTTTATGAGGGCCACTAAATGAGATTTGGTTAAGAAAAAATAATTACTGAATAAATTTTGTATATAGATTTGGATATACCAATATCATGATATGATGATACGACTGCCTCTTACCAAATTCACTTTGAATAATAATAAATTAATACTACACAAGGCGATACTAAATCCTAATTTCTCTTCAAATATCCAACAATTGCCCAATTTCAGAACTAAATTATTAGCATGTTATAAACAATTATATCGATTGAGGAATGTAATCGATGAAGGCTCGTATCGAAGTAAGTTTCCTTATGAGAATATGATAAGGAGGAATTTCGAGAGGATATCATTCAATACAAGACGTCAAGCTGTGTTAGGTCATATCAATCAGGATTCCGAAGTGACTGTGTTGACGGAGAATGAAATTATAGAACGATTAATGAATACAGTTGTATTTGTGTTTAACTCAACTGTACAACGTCAAAACGAATTTGCTGATATGGAAATCCAATACTATGAAGATCTCAAGAAATCCAATACTGATACATTAGAGAAAAATATTGTTAATACGGTTATACGAATGGATGGACAAAAGCCAAATAGTATCAAATATGATTTTAAGTATAATTGGATCAGAGATTATACTAACAATATTCAAGATCACATAAAATTGATTGAAGCTAAACCTAATCAAAAGAAATATGAAGGAAGTTTTGAATTGGATTATATTGGATTTAGAAATTATGAATTTATGATAATGTCCCTTAATGAAAATATGAAATTATGTTTATAGATATTTTATATATACAGAAAAATGATATAAATATAAATCGAAAAATATGAAAAATGAAGTTTGCGCAAATTTAATCTCTTGCTAAATTAGATATATTCATTTCATACCAACGATAATCAAGTAAACAATGTCTATCTTTCTGTACTTTGGTTCGTCTAAGAAAACTGACAATGCCAGTAAACCACCACTTCCAGCCACTCAGTTACAACAGCAATCACATCAACATGATTTAATTGGTCTGGGGTCAGCAAATTCAGATATTTCTACTACCTTAAATCAATTAACTGAAAATCAATCATCTCCATTAAGGATCAAGACCCTTGAAGTCAGTAAACCATTCCATGAATCGGTATCTCAATTTATAGATTTACATGAAAATAGACTGAAAACAGCTGTTTTTGTTATTGATGGCGAAAAAGATACTCAAGAAAGTATAATATGTACTACTAATGATGCTGATGGGGGTAAGACATGTCTTAAATTACAAAAGGCATCGGTTGAATTATTCAAAACCATGCAAAGATTAGAATACTTTTGTTCATTACCAGACGATATTGATGCTACTTATTTTGAATGTAGAAAGATTAAATAGACTATTAGTTAGCAGGATGGATGGGATGGGTCACGTTTTCTTCTAAATAAATAAATAAAATAGGCTACGGGAAAAGTTATAGTAATATAAATAAGTGCAAGTTCGTTAATGTATTAAATATATGTAAATGCCATAATCTATGCTAATAGAAGCGGTCTATAATTAAATAATTCCAGATCATTAAAATTAAAATTTAGGTGGATGGTTTTGTTCTTAAAGTATCCAAAAAGCTTAAACCATGAATGATTCACCACAACCACAACTTCCTTTTGAATTTGGATTTTTAAAGATAAATCTTGATGATAATTTATCATCTAACCAATCCATTTCAGAACCAACGATAGAAAATAAAGCTTTGGAATCAATTAAAACCTTAACCCCGTCTTGTTCAACTAATTCATCGAATTTACCCGCTTCCTCAACATATTCTAAATGATAAGTTAAACCAGAACAACCTCTGTTTCTCACTCCTACACGAATCATTTTTGGATTTGGTTGATTAACTAAGGCCCTTAAATGATCAACTGCTCCTTTACTTAAGGTGATTAAAGCCTTTCTTGGACGTAAAGTTCTCTTTTTCTTTGGAGCAGTAGTACTAGTTGTAGTTGTAGTTGAAGATGCAGAGGTAGTTGGAGTTGTGGTTGGAGTAGTTGGAAATTCCATTTTTGGAGTTTCAATATCTATTATAGTAGTTCCGGATGGGAATGATGCAGGGGATGAGGAGAAAGGGGAAGATGAAGAAGATAAAGTATCTAATGGTTCACTAACAGTCTTAGCAGCAAATCTTGAATTTCTTGATCTCCTAATTGGAGTTGTAGTACTATGATTATTTGATTGGGTAGTAGTATTAGATTGATCAGTTGGGAATGTTAATTTATGAGAAGACCATTTTGATAAAATGGTGGATGCAGAATCGATATTGGTAGTACTATTACTTTGTTGTTGAGCAATTGAATGGTTTAAACCAGAATAGAAACCATTTTTCATTCCAGTACCATTACCAGCAATAGGTAAAGTTTGCATAAATCGTTTTGAACCTTTCTTATTTGATTCATTAGTAACAAATCTCTTTGTGGATGCATATGCATTGGGTAAGATTTGTCTCCTTCTTATCATGATGAAAGTCTGATAAGTTATATGATATGAATGCAGATATATGTAGCTATTATAACGTGAGCTATACTAAAGATGAACTCTAAATGGGGAATTATAACCTAAAAGAAATCAAATCTATTATATATAAATGGTATATTAATAATATAATTATAAAGTTGATGTTTGCTTTAATTTGAAGGAAAAAGAATTTTTTGGTAAATGGGACACGACTGCCCACCCGTTATAGTTATCATTTAGTAATCCCCATAATAAAATGAGAGTAATCAAGTTCAAACGAGAAATGATTGGTCAGAAGTATATACAGGACCAAACACCGAAGTTCGGCAGCGTAAGCAAGAAAAAAACGGTGACACACCAATAATTTATTATTTTGCAACTTATAAAGAAGTCATACATTTTTCTAAAACCTTATATACAATCAACTTGAATGATCATGTTAATTCATTGGTTGGTCTGATATGTCTATCAAACCATCTTGTAATGCCGTATCTTGGATTGATTTGTAGATTGATTCCATTACATTCAAAAATACAACTATTAATTCTAATATAATCAATATGAGCATTACATTGTAAATAGAATAATGCCACATGTTGAACCTTATACCATTCATCATAAATACTTGGATGAATCATTCCTAACCCTAAATTTGGTGAGCCTCCAGCTTTACTTCCAAAAATATCTAATTTCTTTAAGGAATGAAGATTCTTGATTAAATATAAGAATTCATCTACGTTATCACCCGGATTTATTCTTAAACTCGTTAAACTCGTTAATTGAACCAAATCAGAATAAAAATGAATCCGAGAGGGGATACTGACTAAGATATTTAGATTATTACTATCACTATAATTATCAATCTCTTGTCTTAATTCAATCGAAAGTTTATTCAATGTCTTAGCATGGGTTAATATGGCTAATTGATATTCATTATAAAATTTTAATTCATCTTCATGATTAGATAAGGGTTTAGTATGATTTAATCGTATCAATAAGTCTAATGATTTTAATGACTTAGAAGGTATGGTTTGTATGAATAATGGTACAGAATCAATATAAGTTTGACGATAATCAATTGATAAATGACGTAAATTATGTAAATGAGGAGCGATATGTTCCAAGAAACTTGGCTTTAAGTATTCCAATATCACATTTCTATCCCTGGTTCCAAATGCTTCATCAGATATGATTTGATATTCAGAAATACCCCTTAATGATAATGATGTCAAATGGGGTAAATTTATAGCATTGATGAATATTTGTGAATCTTCGGGAGTTATTAATATATTATCAAGCGATAATGTTGTTAAATTTGATAAGTATTTGAGTTTACTAAACCTGAATAATGATGATATGGACTTTAAATCGATTTCATGTAGAGTCGTATGAACTGTGAAATTGTTATTGTTATTAATATTATTGATATCATTGTTATTATTACTCGAGGTAAATCCAATTAAATCTCGACAATTGGGAAGTAAGATATTATTATCATAACTCTTATGATACTTTGATAAAACCAAACTCCTTAAATTCGAACTAACATCCACTGGATCATGTCTATTAATTAATAAATTATTAATAATTTTCATCAACTTCTTACTATTATGAAATGGTTGAATTTGAAAGTTTATAATATTAGGAAATGTCAATTTGGAATAATCATCTAATTCATTAGCATCATTCAATTCATTTAAATAATTACTGAATTTAATATTAAGGACCAAAGTATTAATCAAATATTTATTCTTTAAATTATAAAGAAACTCTAATCGGAAATTATCATTCAACCAAATCAATTGTCGTAAACAAATCAAATGTTTGAAGAATAAGATCAATTGATCATTCAATTCATAATCGTAGATATTCAATGAATCAGGGATCTTTATACATTCAAACCGTCTAATATGAGGGAAATTCTCATCAATTCCATCAAATGAATGTTCTTTCATAAATTTGGTATTGTATACCCTAATGAATCGTTTCAAATTATATGAACTGTTTATAAACGTACATGAAAACTGACTCCGATACTTATTATCTCTTTCATATCGTCTGTAATTATATTCTTTCTCATTATTGAAACTATTATAATCTTCATCTATGATAATATATTGATATAGTCTAGTAATAGTTGAAGCATAGATTGCTTTATTAACAAGCAATAACTTGATACAATCAAATTGAGATAATTCATTCGCTACTTGTGATCGTATTTCATAAGGCAACTTATCAAATGTGAGTTCCTTCGGTGGAGTAGTTAATGAAACATTATGGGATGTGATTGTGGCTGAAGAAGGTTGTTCATCAATGATTGGAGTAGTTGTTCCAGACGCATTAGTTGATTCATCATGATTGTGTTGCTGACCGTATAGTAAGGGGTTCTTGGAATAGCCTATTGGAGAGTTAAACAGACTAATAGGAAATTGGTTATTCCCTATTAAATTGGCCATGTCTGATTAACTTTGATTGAATATTGCGAATTTAATCTTTACTGATAAGGAAATATTGATGACATATACTGATTTATACCATTAACGAATGTAGTGTGAAAAGTTATAGTTGATGATACACTTGGACTATTACAATAACTTACATACTATATATCTAGATCAACTAGATATTATCCACTTTTGAAATATTCAAATCAAATTTAGCAATCAATTTAATTTATCACTGATGATTTTCAGGTTACCCCAAATTACTGTATATAAAAATAATTCTAACTTCAAGCAGTTTATTTTTATTTTCGAGCCTCACCTTACACCAAACGAAATATATTTTGGATTGAGGCTATTTATAATTCTAATTGCTAAATAGAAATCAGTTGACAGTCAATTATTATTTTGGATTCATCATATATAATGTCTGAATCAGGTGTAGAGAGTCCAACTGAAGTTCCACAAACTCCAGCATCCATGGGAGGAGACTCAATTCTCGATGACGTGGTTGATCAATATCATGAAGACAACGAACACGAACTGGTACATACACCAGCAGCTGTTTCATCACCTGCTCCACCAAGAGAAGACTTGGATGAAAGATTAACTCAGGAAGTTAGCTATTTATCAACTCAATTAATGACTGTTATGGGTAGACAGGTTGAATTAGAGGAAGTAATCCAACATTTAAAACGAGATAATGGACAATTAAAAGCCCAAGTTCAAACTTTAACGGTTGATAGTCAAAATTATGCCTTATTAGTGCCTCAACATGAACAATTACAACAAGAATTTACAACTCATAAAACTGATAAAGAGACTGAATTCGTGGCTTTACAAGCTGAAGTTGCAGAAAGTAATCGATTAAAAGATGCAGCTGAAGACGAGGTTAATAAATTACGTGCTGAAGTTGAAGAATTAACTGCTTCATTATTCGATGAAGCTAATAAAATGGTAAGTGAAAGTAATCGTGAAGTAAATAATTTTAAAATTAAAAATGGGAAATTATATGAAGAATTGGATGAGAAAGATACTATTATTGAAGGATTACAAGCTCAATTAAATGCATTAAAAGACCTTTTCGCTCAATTAGAAGAAAAGGAAAAACTTCATTCATCAAGAAATGGAACTCCTCAAGTTGAACAAGGTGAGTTTATTACCGGAGGTGAATCTAAAAGTATCAATGGAGGAGGATCAGAAGAAAATTTCCAAGATCAACAATTAAAATCAGTTATATTTTCACCAAATGTTAATAGTATACGATTTGATTTAAATAATTATCAAAAGGAATTTAAACAATTCATTTATGCTTTAATCAATCCTGATTTTGTATTTGATTTAGCCAATTTAAGAAACTTGAAATATTTTAAAAAGATATGGATAGAAGAATTAGAACCAAGTATATCATATGTCCCTAATTTATCAGTTTCATCATTAATCAATCGATGGAATAAGAATAAACATTTCTGGAATGCAATTGTGGAAGGAAGAGCTATAATTGAACCAGTTAATGGGATTAATGAAGTTTTTAAATTAGCTTATCGAGGAAAAGCCAATGGTGAAAAACCAAAAGGACCACCTCCAATTCCTGTGGCGATTAAAGAAGGTTGTGGACTTTGTGGTGAATCAAGAAAGGATATCTTAGAACATTCAAGATTATATTATTTTAAATTATTAGTTGATCAACCAGTTGGTTCAACAACTCCTAATGATGAGATAATTGGAAGTTATCCATTATGTAATTATTGTTTGATTAAATTAAGAAATCTTTGTGAATTCTTTGCTAAATTAAGAGCCATTCATCAAAATGTATATCAATTGAAACCTAATAAATCATTTGAAGAATTTAATTACGCCACTACCAATTCTCATAATGTGACTGATTCAACCACAACTCCTTCAACAACAGCATCTTCACCTGCTACGTTTAGTGGACCATTTAAACGAAGTAATTCATATTCATCATCCATCCCTACTGCAACTGATTCAGAATCAAATTTAATGAATAGTAATGTATCAGCGGTGCATGTAGGAAGGGATGAAGAAGCTAAATTGATTAAGATTTATTTCATGTTAATTTTGATTAGAAATAAATTATTTTGGAGTAAGATTGGATTTTGGGATAATAGTGATAATATTAAGGAGATTAATCTTGAAGATGTAAGGTATGCTACATTTAAAAGTTTAGTTGGTCATATACCTGAAAATGCCATTGAAAAACCAGATACTCCACCTCCAGTTGAAATAGTAGCCGTTGAAGATGAAGATGATAATGAAAAGAAGGTGGTTGTTGATCAAACTAAGCTTAAAGTAGCGGAAACCGAAGAAGAAGATAGTGATGATGGAGCATTTGCTGATTCATCACAACACTTTGAAGGTAAAGTAAGCTTAGAGAATGGAGGAGAAGAAAAAAAGTCCGAAGTTGATGGCGATGAAGAGGAGAAAGATCAACCAGAACAAGAGGAAGGAGGGGAAGATGACGGAGAAGAAGGAGAACTTGATGAGGGTAAAGTTGACTTAACTAGAAAACCATCTAAATCGAAGCAATTTCTGCAAAAGTTGAATAATGATTTAGATGAAACATTAGAGATGTTAAAAGAAAGTATTGAACAGTAAGTAGTGTAAAGTAATATAATATTAGCAGTAGTAGTAATAATAATATCAAGTAGTATACAAGAGCTATCTGTTATGTCATTTGAATTCGATATCTACAACTATTACAACGAAATATAACTTAAAACCTAATAAGTCAATTAGCTAAAAAACATTGCCGGTAATGTGAAAGTTACAAAAACGCGTCTTATCATTTTTTGTTTACAATTTTTTGGTAGCGGCACTGTTTTTTTTTTTTTACCATTACCGAATTATCCCACCACTTATAAATAGGGAGATAGTTCTTCAGTAGTAGTCATTATGTCGACCTATTCATTGTCTTACGATAGATATGACGATGATACTTAATGGTTAGATTGAAGTGTTAATTGTGAACTTTTAATGATTGAATTATCAAGATCAATTATATAAACACAAACATTAGATTGTTAACTGACCCCCAAACTTCAACTAAGTTACGAGCAAAAGCCAGTAACTTCATGCACGCAATTTACCAAGTAGTAATAATAACCGATTAGTAAATATAGAAAATAGTAATAGTCATAGATTTGATATAACAAGATAGCTCAGAATCGGTAAGGTATAGACACTATTTGCTGATATTGTTGTTGTTGTTGTTGTTGTTGTTGTTGTTGTTGTTGCTATTTATGGAATACTTATCCAAACCTTAATTGCCTCTAGTGACTCGGTTTACTATGAATAACATTATAATAAATGATACTGGCATGCTGTAGAAGGCTAATATCATGTCCTTAACGTATCAATTTCATATCAATTATCAAATAACATTATCATTTAACATTAACAGTATGGACTGTAAATGTTAGTTGCCTCAAAAAAGTTAATTTAACCACCACCAATTTTTATACAGTACAAACTCTCAGTAAAGTACAGACAGCAAAATCTCTCTCTCTCTTTTTTTTTTTTGTTGTTTGTTTCAAATGCGATTTATAATTTTTTGACTGTCATTACATTTACAACCAACTTTATCAATTAGCTATTTTAATTATACCACCAATCCACCAATCCATCCAACCAACTAACCATCCAACCTACCACCTGGTAACTATAACTACCATCTCATCCATCCACAATACCCATCTTAACCCATCCCATCCATAGATCCCATATCGTACGTCTCATATCTATAGACAACTATCATCTAATTAGCCGATCTATCTATTAGATAGCTATCTTTACCTTTTACCTCCCCTTATCTTGATTCAACTGTCAATATTACTAATCAAGATAACATCATATCTAATAACCATCCCATCCAACTTATACTCAATCTAATCCAATCATAGTCCATACTAATATCATCCACGCTCTCCCTCCCAGTCAAGACACAAGATCTTTGTTCGTAAATCTGCATAACTCATAATCAACTACCACCATTCATTCATCCATCCATCATGAGAAGAAGAGATCCCTATAACTCAAATCTAAATCCTCAGATAGATGATGACTTGAACAACTCACGAGCTTACAGCTCGTATTTGGATGATGATGATACAACCAGTGTCAACTCCCATAATCTTAATAATTCATCTTCCATCAATAGTACTTCCAAGACTTCGTTCCTACAAATGAAAGCAAAGTTTAAACCAAGATCAAATCATAATAGTCATAATAATTCCAGTTATTTAAATCCTACTAATACCAATTACAGTAATGATAATCTAAGTGATAATTCATCCACTGATTCAGCAAGTATATTAAGTGGTGGAACTTTAAATACTACAGGAACTTCAAGAAGGCAAAGTTTGGGTAATACTTTATCCAAGACTTTCACTAATAGATCAGCAAGTTCGACTAGTATAGTACCAGGTCCTCAAATAACAAATTCAAATCATAATAGAAATGCATCAACTTATAGTATATCAACCATTCAACATAATAATAATAATAATAATAATACCAATACCAATACCAATACTAATCATACCAATAATATAAATAACAATAATCCACCCATAATTAATAATAGTAACCCTTATGATATACCCACCAGTTTATCATCGCCCACTGGTGCCATCAATAAACGAATAAAACCATCCGTATTAAGTCGAAAATCAACTGTTTCATCAATGGTATCACCAGGAGCAACCATAATATCAAAACCTTCCTTAGTTCCTTCAATTACCAACGATTCAATAGTTGGCAATAATAATTCATCATCATCTTCTTCATCATCATTTCATTTGGAAAAACCACATCTGATTTATGAAATTGATAAATTATTTCGGGAATTGATGGAAAAGAGAGATTTTAGATCATTACCTCAAAATGCAAAGAATGAAATGATAAATTATAGTCCTGATAAAAAATGGATGTTAATTTATCAAGATGCTTTAACTGAACATAAACGTCAAGAAAGAACTACTAAAAATAAAGAAGAAAATTCATCTCCCGATTTTTATAGTCGAAAATTGGTATCAAAAACAATAACTGCTTTACAATTAAAGAATTTATGGGTATCATTAAGAACTGAACCTATAGATTGGGTTAGAGAATTCATATTTGATTATCAAGGTGATGCTTTATTATCAACATATTTAACTAAAGTTCAAGAACAAATAAACCAACTGGAATCTCTTGATATTCATGATACTTTATTTGATAAAGAATTTAATACTTTAAAAGCATTAAATTGTTATATGAATCAAAAATTAGGTGCAGAAAGAGTTAAAACCGATGTTACCATGTATGTTAAAGCTGTATCTGGATCCTTATTAACTCCTAGACTTTTAACTAGAAAGATTGCAGCTGAATCTTTAACCTTTATGATAGCGTACCATCGTGATGAATCAGCTGGAAATGATAAATACCATAAGATTTTAAAAGCTTTGGATACCATACCATTAAAACCATATTTTGAATTTGATCAAGATTCAACTTCAACAACAGTAATAACTTCAACTAAAAATGGAAGATTAATAAGAAAATCAGCTCAACAATTTGTTTATAAACGTTTTGAATTATGGTTAAGATTAGTTGAAAAAACTTTAGATGGTAAAGGTAAATATTTAAATTCAGTAGTTGGTGCTAGTGAAGAATTAAAGTATGCTCAATCCAGTTCCAATGGAAGTATAGAAAATCAATTATCAGAATATTGTTTAAGTAATATGATGTTGATTAATGCCTTAGTTGATTTTGCCAATGATTCAAATTCAAGATTTCGTTTACGTTCACAATTTACAGCTGCAGGTATAGATCGATTATTGGAAAAATTTCAACGTTTAAATTATGAAAGTTTAACTAAACAATGTTCAAAGTATATTCAATTTGCTGCTGATGATGCAGCTGATTTAAGAACTAAAGATCAATTTGATGAAAATTTGGATTTTAATAATCCAGTGGAAATCATTCAATCATTATGGAATCAAGTTAAAAGTAGTGAATCAGAAGGTTATTTCATAAGTGCAATGCAAAATCTTTATTTAAATCAAGCTGAAAAGAAAGATAATAGTGAAGAATTAGCTCGAAGTTTAAGATTATTAGATGGATTAATTCAAAATGTCTCCCTGAATACTTCTACTGATGACGATACCAACATAAGAGTTGGTATAAATCGTGTTCTTTCAAGCTTAGCTACCGACGAATTATATCGTAAGGCTCAAGACGAAGTGAAATTATTCAAAAAGCTTGCCGAAGAAGCAACCGCCGAAAGAGATGACATGTCAAGACAATTGTCTATGGGAGCTGATGGTTTAATTACTAATTTATCTAATGAAGTTCGTGAACAAGAAACTGTATTATTTAGAACTCGAAAATTAAATGAAGAATTAAGTGAAGAATTAGATGAGTTAAAGAAGAAACATCTTCGTGAAAAGCAACAACAAGAATTAGAAATGAGAGAATTGTTAATCATGTTAAATAATCAAGCTAAAATTGAGACTAAACATAGTATTGGTGAAAATGGAAATGGTAAGACCACAGTCTCAGTTCAAACTACTAATGCTGATTTGATTTCAAAATTACAAAAACAAATTAGTCGTAGAAAGGCAGAATATAAAGCTGATAACCGTCAATTTGGAGCTCAGGTTGAACCAAGTTCAAGATTAAGAGAATTAAGAGATAAAATGGCTGATATTGAAACCATGGCCAGAGAGTTGGAAATGACTGAATTTGAAACTTATGTCGAGCCAACTAATAATAAGAGCCCATCTGAACCTGAAATAGAAGATACTTTATCAGATACTTCAGAAGAATACGAAGAAGCTCAAGAAGATGTCCAAGATGAAGAAGAAATAGAGGAAGAACCAATAACGGGACCAGCAAGACCAGTAAGAAAAGATGATTTGGTCAAATTAGACAATTTAAGGAAAAAATTAGCTTCTCTTCAAAATGAATCTAATGATATAATGAAATTCAATAATAGTGCTATGTTTAGTAAACAAAAGTTCTTAGCTATGGAAAGATTAAGAGAATTAGAAAATAACTTTAAAGATTTTAATATTGACTTTAATTCTGAAGAACAAGACAATCATCAACAATTCATGTTTGAAACTCCAGAAGAAATTGATCCATCTATAAAATCTAAAATTCAAGAAGAATTATATGAAGTTCAAAAATTGAAAGCAGAATTAAAGAAAAAGTTGGCTTCTATTGATTCATCTCCTAAACAAAACAGAGACTCTAATAGATTTTCAAGAATTACACTTGGAAAATTGGAAGCTAAATATGAACAAGGTCAAGTTAAACCTGCTACTAATATGGATATTGTCAGAGGTTCAGGCTCACCAATTAGAGATTATAAAGACCATCGTAAAACAGCTATTGGTGGAATGGATCCTAAATTCTTACAAGAATTGAAATCAAAAGTGGCTCAAACTGATGCTATTGATGATGTCAAATCAAATGGTAGACCTCTCAGTCCAGTTAAGAAAGTTGAAGTTCCTGCCCCGCCAAGTAATGCTGGCGCTGCACCACCACCTCCTCCACCGCCTCCACCATTGCCTTCACTTTTGGGAGGCAAACCAACAGGTGCTGTTCCTCCTCCTCCACCACCTCCACCACCACCACCACCTATGCCTGCATTATTATCCGGAAACGGAAGTGGGCCACCACCTCCACCACCTCCGCCTCCTCCATTCCCCAAATCATTAGCTGGATCTAGTGGTTCAAACGTTCCTCCACCTCCACCACCACCACCTCCATTCCCAATGCCAAATTCTAAACACAAAGCTACTCCATTACCAGTAGTTTCACAACCTTCTCCATTTGATAATTTCCCAAGACCAAAAAAGAAGTTAAAACAATTACATTGGGATAAATTCGATAATGATACATCTAATTCGTTTTGGCAACATACTGAAACCAGTACTATTGCTAATGAACTTAAATCAAAAGGTGTATTTGATGAAATTGAATTAATCTTTGCAGCCAAAGAAATCAAAAAATTGGCATCTAAGAAAAGAGAAGAAGTTGATAAAATCTCATTCTTATCTCGTGACCTTGCTCAACAATTCAGTATCAATTTACATTCATTTAGTAGTTTAACTGACGATGAATTGGTTTCAAAAATCTTAAGATGTGACAAAGATGTTATTCAAAATCATGCAGTTTTAGAATTCTTAGGTAAAGAAGAAATGGTCGAAGTAACGAATTCCTTAGCTAGAAACTTTGAACCATATTCTACTGATTATAAAGTTGAAAATCCACCTGCTCCTGATAAGGATAAGAATGAATTACAAAGACCTGATAGAATCTACTTGGAGTTAATCTATAATTTGCAACATTATTGGAAATCAAGAATCAGAGCTTTATTTGTTATGGCCAACTATGAAAGAGATTATGAAGATTTAGTTATTAAATTAAGATCAATTGACGAAGTTGTTGCAAATATTAGAGATTCTAAGCAATTGAAGAATGTGTTTGAAATTATTTTAACTGTGGGTAATTATATGAATGATTCTACAAAACAAGCTCAAGGTTTTAGGTTAAGTTCTCTTCAAAGATTAAGTTTCATGAAGGATGATAAGAATAGTATGACATTCCTTCATTATGTGGAAAATATTATTCGTACTCAATATCCTGAAGTTTTAAGCTTCATTGAAGAATTGGGAAATTGTACTGATGTAGCTAAATTTTCAATTGAAGGTATTGAGACTGATTGTCGTGAATATGCCCAAGCTATAAAGAATGTTCAAAGTTCAATTGATATTGGTAACTTAAGTGATTCGTCTAAATTCCATCCTCAAGATAGAGTATTGAAAGTCGTATTACCAACCTTAACGAGAGCGAATAAGAAGAGAGAATTATTAGTTGGTCAAGCATCTTATACCATGAAAGAGTTTGATAAATTAATGAGATACTTTGGAGAAGATCCTACTGATTCATTTGTTAGAAATAGTTTTATCTCAAAGTTTTCTAATTTCTTAAAGGATTTTAAGAGAGTTCAAGCTGAAAATATAAGAAGAGAAGAAGAACTTAGAATTTATGAACAAAGAAAGAAATTATTGGAAACTCCAAAATTACCTGTTTCACCAGGTGGAAATAAAACTGATGATGATAATGATGATTCAAATATTATGGATTCATTACTTGAAAAGTTGAAAGCTGCTGGACCACCAAAAGGCGAATCGACTTCAGCCCGTAAGAGAGCTTTGTTAAAGAAGCAATTACTAGAAAGTCCTAATAGACTGTCCACCAATGTTGGAGAACAAAACTCCCCAGAAAAAATTATTGAGGAATCAGAAACTTCACTCAGTCAAGATGAGAATAATAGTCCTGCTTCTGACGGTAATGGAGCTGACTTGGAATCTGACATCTCTAAGAAGGATGTTAATTTAAGAGCCAGAAGTTTATTAAAAGAACTTAGAGGTGCCAATGAAGAAGATTCATCGGAAAGGGTATCAGCAGCTCAGAAATTCAGACTCGAAAGAAGGAAAAAGACACCTACTCTTGATTTTGATAGTGATCCATCATCGCCTATTAGTGAAAGAGCATCTACAGATTAAATTATTTAGTGAATGTGAGAATTGTTACATTATATGATTGTATATCAAACTACCACCTCTGTATATAGAAAAGTTTAAATACTAAACAGGATGGAACATACTTTAGAAATTTCTTCCAAATCGTAATCTATAAATTTTCCTTCGTTTCCTTTATAATCGAATATAGGCTTATTAAGAGAAAGTAAGCCAGTTCCACTAACCTTATTGAAAAATGGCCTGTCTAATTTCTTTACTTCTTCTTCGATCAGGCCCCTGACTTTTAACTTTTGCATCAAACTCTGATATTCCTCACTTGTCTTATCTAAATCTCGAACATACCCGATTTCCCCGTTTACTCCAATAGTAAGTACAGAACGATTCAAATCTGAGCCCGTAACCCATATACATTTAAAGTTAGCTTCAAACACACGAGGCATAGAAGGAACATGAAACCAAGTCTTGCTAACATATCTTTCTTTTTCAAATTCAATGGTTGCTATTGAAGAATGTAACCGATCACCAACCACAATTTTGGAGTTTAATCGTGCTTGACTAATGTAATTGTTTGGAAATGGATCATTCACGATATACTCCAAAGATGCCTTTCCATCGGTTTCAGAATAGTCCAATTGATAGACTGAATCAAGATTAGTAGTTACTACTACTCTTTTATTATCATAGACATTGAGATCCATAATTTCACTTGGAAAGGAAGCCAAAGTCGAAACCGGTTTCAACCGTTTACCCTGTGCATCATAGGTAAGAAAATAAATGTTATTCTTACTTGCAAAAAGTATACTATTATTAATTTGTACAATATTTGAAATTGGGTTGTCAACTTCAAACGATGTGAGTTGCTTGACACTAACTATTCTTGTCTCATCAGCCATACCTTTAGCAATGTCTAATAATTTCATTGAACCTTTTACAGAATCACCGACTTCAACACGGCAACCAATCAAAACCTTTTTCGATAGATGGTCATTTCGAAATATTGACCAAACACAGCTTGATACGGGATCTTCATTCTTCGAAAACAAAGACAATTCTTTATCTTCTCTATTTTTTATACTAGATTCCTGATGGTTGATTAACTTCAATGATTTCCTGTCAAAGAATTTTAATCTGTTCTTAGAATTCTTTGTTTTACACAATATTATAAAAACAGATAAGTAATCCAAATAATTAAGCTTGATAGCGAGTTCTGGTAGGCTCACCTGCCTAACACAGGGTCCCGCAAAAGTAGATATCGAGCAAACCAGTAATCCATCATCACGGATTACTGCAAAATACTTCAGCAGCGTATCTGTAGATTTATAAATAGAAATTTCAACCATATCAAATACTGATCGTTCGTATGTTTCATCGAAATGAACTCTTCTAGGAAAGCGTGATTCATAAAGGTTAAGTAACCAAATATATCTGCAGTGCATGAATATAAGTTGGGTATCAGTTCTAGACTTAGAATATGTAACTGGTGAAGTACCGATTTTAAGAAAAGCCTCACAAACAGTTCCCAAACTTCCATCGACAGCCAAAGTTATACTATAACCATCTTTTGAACCAACCAAGACTTTATTATCATAGAAACAAATATCATGCGGTATAACCAAATCTTCGCCAATAAATGAATTGTCGTAATAAGGATTTAAGCTTGATAAATCAATTTCAATAGGTGGGTATATATTATCTTCCAAAAATCGGAATAATAATAGACTACCAGAAAAGCTTCCTACAGCTAAAATGAAACTACTTCCAATATCTAGAAATTTAGCAGTTGAAGGTTCAAAGTTCAATATCCTGCTGTGTATTTTTTCAATTATATCTGCTCCTTCGTCGAATAACGTATCACCACCTTTTATTTTATAGATCTCAAGTTGCATCCCCCCGGAATGTGGTGATTCAACTACCAAAAGTAGATAATTTTGAACTCTGTCACAGTAAAATATTTTGTTTTCCACTGTTTGCCTTTTGGTTTCCTCAGTTAGAGATGAAAGCAATACTTCGTTAGCAGATACTTGTATTAAATAGTCCACATCATCAAATACACATGTATCAGCAAAAATAGTGGGACCTGTTATGATTCTAGCATCCGATAACTCTGTAAATGCTTCTTTGATATTATGTTGATACTCTATGAGAACACTTCGGTAGGGAAAAGAGCAGAGAATATATTTCCGCCTACTGATTTCAATATAAAACAACTTATCTGCCTTTCTTAAAATCTCGTAAGTATCACTTGTTCGTATTGCTGGATAGCCATACTTGAAAAAATTGATCTTGGACCTTTTTACTGACCCTGAAATACCCCAAAGTTCTTGGTCTGAAATCGAGTTATAGATGGTCGATGTATTTGATTTGATTATCAGAACATCAAGTAAAGGTGCCCAGTTTTTATTATCTCTTATCAATTTAGCATCAGTATATTGAAAATCCAATCCATCTTTGAGCTCAAGTGGAAGCTTCATTAGTAAATTCTTGCTGCCTCCATTGTCACAACTGTATATCACGTTAAAACCTTCATGAACCTTTTCAAAGGAGAAAACAGAAATAGGTTCTGGAATTTTTGCAATTGGCTTGACTGATGTGAAGCCACCATCTTCAACGATAACGGAGTATATATTTCCAGCATCGGTCGAAATGAATATTACTTCGTAACTATCATCTGTAGAATCCATTGATTTGTAATAACTGGTAGGAAATTCCTCGTGTGTCAACCAGGGTGACTCTTTTGTGATGAAATCGTAATCTGCTGAAAGTATGTTATGAATAGAAACAATTACCATGTTCTCTTTATTTACGAATAAAAATCCATTTCTGACAGGCACAACAAATATTGGAATATTGAAACTATTATATAATGGTAAAGTTGTACTTTTGAAGCTCTTTGACATATCTTGGACTATAGACCAAGTAATTAGATGAATCACTAGTCTTCTAAATTTTGTAAATGCTAAAGTGAAGAAACCCACATGATCATCGTCCTTGCCATTGATCGGCTCCACGAAACAGGAGTGTAGTAATAGACCATCAACTTTCACGTTATGGTGCTTTTTTGGAATAGTTCCTGAATTGGAAACTTGTAAGTTGTATATTCGAAACATTCCAGATGCTGATGTAGAAACAGCAGCAAGGCCCGATTTATGTGAATGCAAAGAAAAGCCTGAATCAGTCAAACTAATATCATCTGAAGATAATGATGTCTCCCACCACTGTAACACGAATGGTTTAAATATTGAATTTCCTGTGTGTTTAACGGTTGAATTTGTTTGGAATGTGTAATCTGAGTCCATATATTGTCGTGGAACGAAGTACAATCTAATCAATAGTACAAACCCAGATTTTAGTGATATAAACAAAGAATCCTCCTCTTCCTTTCCATCTGTATTTAAAGCACTCGGTATGACACACGAAGATCGGATCTCAGATTTGGTACCAAATTCAATGCCATTGATACTTAATGACCGAAGTTTAACTAATACTTGAACTGGTTTAATTATCGTTATCTCTTCCTTTTCAATACGTTTCTTTGGGGTTTCAGGAAATATCTCATTTTCCAGCTCATCATCACTGAATGCATCCAATTGTGAATCCATTTCATTGGGAATAAGTACTTGATAATCGTCATCATTAAAAGACGTGCTTGGAATTCCTCTGAATGGTTTGTTAACATTAACCTTAAATTTGGGAATGATATTGGTAATTATGGGTGAATATGCTAGGGTATGCTTGGCTAAAGTTGATTCCACCTTCAATTCTTTCCCATTACCTGATTTATGTATTTCTATCAGATCATATGGAGATATACCAAGGTCCATTGTCAACTTTCTTGATTCATATAATCAAATCTGTTGCATTAAATATTTGGGATCAAAATTATTTTGCATTACGCGCAAATAATCAAAATCTAAAGAAAAAGTATCACGACTTATTTGGCGCCTAAATAATTTATATGTTATTAATTAGACGGTACTATTCATAATTAGTCAATTACAGTTACATCTGATGTCTTCAAGCCGTAAGACTTATAGTGTGTATGGAATCACATCCATTGTGGCAATTTCAGGGATGTTGCTAGGGATTGAAAGTGCTTCTTTATCAAATGTTTTAAACTCGCAATCATTTGAAGACTACTTTACACCACTTACCATGTGGGAAATGATAATGGTCGAATCAGGGAATGCTATTGGTGCTGTTTGTAATTATTACCTTATTACATAGTCTATCAAGTGATACTACTCAAGATATACTAACTATTTAAGTGGGTTGTGTTCTTAGTGGTGCATTGTATGATAATATAGGTTGCATCTTTACTTTTCAATTAGCAGGAATTTTGTGGATTGCTGGCACTATCGTTGTGGTTTTTCTGCCTTATATTCCATTAATTGTACTTGGAAGATGTTTGAAAGGTGCTTCTCTTGGATTCATTTCAACTGGTATTCCCGTATATATATCTGAAACCATACCTTCAAAGCTGAAAGGACGGTCAATGTCAATGGTTCAACTTAGCCTGGGTATTGGTGGTTTGGTGATGTATTTCTGTAACTACTATTGCCAAAGATACTACAGTAGTGTATTTTTCAAATACTCTTGGGCATATGAAGGAATTCCTTCTGTATTTTTATTTATTGCATGTTTCTTTTTACCAGAGTCTCCCAAATGGTTGGCCTACAAATCGAGGTGGTCAGAGGCTGCAAAAAGTTTGAACAAAATAAGAAACTACAATGGTTTGGAACATATATACGATGAAAAACTTGACGAAAAGGATTATGTTCTAAGAGCCTACACGGCTGGACCAGAGATAAGAAATTGTACTTACGGTCATATATTTGGCAAGAAGTATTGGAAGCATACTTTTATTGGTATAATAACTCAGGTATTAGTTCTGTTAACTGCCATGGGAATTTTGTCAAATTATTTTATTTATGTTTGTGAAGTCTGTGGTGTTCCTGCTCAAGATGTACAACTTTTCATGTCCTCTCAATATATTATAATTATTGTATTCACCCTTTTTCCAATATTCTTACTTGATGATTGCAGGAGAAAAGATTGTTTGGTTTTTGGTTTCTTTATCCTTGGGATAGCAAATTTGACTATTTTTATTGTGGCAAAAGTATTTGGAGAACCAGTTGAAGAAACTGTTATTTTCTCTCCATTTGATTTTGATTTATTTGAAGTACCAGCTTCTTTTTTCCTAGCTGTATTCCTTTTTCTATATGCTATATATGCTGCAACTATTGTTTCAACAAGTTGGCTTTATATTGGGGAAATATTTCCAGTAATGGCTAGAGCAAAGGGCTCTGCCGTTTGTATGTGTGCAGCATGGATTACAAATGCCAATTTGGCTTTATTTCACCCTATAATAATGGAATATGTTGGAATTTGGATATTTATGTTCACTGCATTAAGTTGTATTGGCGGGAGTTTAATTTTTCTGACATTTCCAGAAACCAGAGACTTGAATGAAATAGGGATTGAATCAATATTTATGGATAAAATTGAACAAATTCAAGATGTCCCAGATATGGACTTTCTTGTTTCAAAAGCCATAAATGATGGTATGAAGCAGAGTAAAGATTTGGATTATCATCATCAAAACCATCTGCGAGTAATTCCAAAAGAAGACCTGAATGATGAAGATGGTGACGATAGGTCAATTGATCATGTTATAGAAGTTGAAAGAGAATTACATGACGATGAAGATGTTAGTGATTTTATAGGAGATGCGTCAGAAGATGAAATTGAAGATGGTGGAGATGGTGATGGAGAAGATAATGAACCTCTTACAGGTGGTACTCCAATAGGAGAACCTTGTTTGATACAATTGAGAGATTCATTAAGTCTGACCTCTTTATTCACTAAAGATAGTAAAGAAGAAAATGAATTCAAAATTGATGGTAGTAACAGTCCTGCTTCAGAAACAGCAGTAACTGCTGCTTTAGAAACAGATTATCGACCACCAGCTATTCTTCGTCCTGTTTATCATCGTTCCCAACGAAATAATGATGGAGAAAAATATAAAGGAGTTAGTGAGTTTATAAATGAGTATAATGTTAATACTGCGGATAACACATCTTTAGAAGAATCATATTATTCCAGTGATTGGTTTGAAAATGTTCCTCCTAAGATTTCAAAAAGAAATAATCATAAACGATTAAAAGTTAGTCCAGATTCAGGAAATTTATTTTTTCATGGTAATAGAGAAGGATCTCCAAAAAAGGCTGGTATAACTTATGAACCAACAGCATTTTTGAATTATGATACTCTTCAAAAGAATCATAAAACACTGGTAGTTGATGAATCTTCTGATAATAATGATTCAATTCCTGCCATCGATAAATTAAATTTCTCCAAGCCTAGTTTTAGAATTAATTAAACTATGATGGTTATAATATGTTATAATTTTATAATTAATAAATGTATATATATATAATATTTAACATAACATTCAAAATTCAATTCGAGGTTATACAGAAATCCCTTAATAATTTTTGGATGCAAAAAATATATGTGCCTTCTTATTTTTTCTTCAATACTGTAAGTGATATGTGAAAATTTATAATTAGCATAACATTAGAATATAAATGGTAAGTGAAGATTGAATATATAAACTAAATGACGTTTAGGAAAACAACTCAAGATAAATAACAACTATACTTAAATCGAGATGAAGTTTACTTTATTCAAATACTTGATCATATTTTACACATTCTTAACCGTAGCATTTGCTATGGGTGAAGGTTATGAAGAGTTAACTACCTGTTTAGGTGATAGCGTAAGTGATTATAATGTATATTTTGATTCTAGAAGTCCAGTGACGGTTGAACCAAGAGAATTTCGTGACTTTGATGCCGGTTTAGACTTGATTGTTATAGAATGTATTAACTATTTGAATCTTACTCAAATTGTCAGAACTAGAGGTAATGATGACTATTTAGAATCAATTCTTTCAGAAGATGAATTTGAACATTCAGATGGAACTATTGACTACATCAGTCAATCTCATCTTTTGCTATTTAACTATAAATAATCTTATTAGACTGTTGAAGCTATATATGTAGTAATATTAATTTAGGTGTGTGGCACTATATGCAGTATTTGGTAAATTTAATCTGTTTCAACACGCAATCAAATCTAAATAGTTAACAAGGCTAAGTAATACAAACTTTGAATATCATATTGTAATCCAACTTCACATCATGTCATATTCACAATCCAATGATGCAGGAGTAAGTATAATCAAACTAGAGATAATTGATGGATGAATAATTTACTAACTTTTATAATAGGTGTCATTAATTGACGACTTTAACGAAATACAACCAGATGGTAAGTGATACTGTGCTATAATTGGCGATGAATGAACGAATAGCTTTACTAACTAATATAATCTAGAAATCACATCACAAGCATATGAAATACCACCACCTACATATCATGAGACACCTCGTCCAGCTCCAACCACCACTAGCACTCAACAACCAGAGGGCAAATCCCATATGTTTCAAATAAACTTCTATAGAGCTTATTTTAATTTGGATACTGATACATTTTTCCTTAAACTTCAAAAGGCAATCAATCCAATTAGTTCGATCTCAGCCCCAATTGATGAAGATGATGATCAAGTGACAGAGTTATATGGATTTATTTGGATCACAGGAACTTTAATCTTCCTTATGTTTGTTAGTGCAACGGGATCAAATATCTTATCTGATTGGTTACATCCTAATGATGAAGCCAAAAAGTATGAATATAGTTTTGATTTATTAACTTTATCAATGTCCCTCTTTTATGGTTATAATCTTTTCATTCCCCTCATTTTATATCTTTGGACTTCATATATATTGAAATTTCCTCATAGATTATCATTAACTAAATTGATTTCAATTTATGGTTATACTAATGTATTATGGTTCCCTATTACCATAGTTAACTTTTTAATAGTCATTCTAATCAATAATCAAAACCATCATTTGATTCTAAATTTATTAGAATGGATCATAGTAGCAGTAAGTGGGATCATTACTGGATTAAGTAATATCTCAAAGATTGGTCCAATCATTAGAAAGAATGCATTACTCTTATATGAAGGTGAAACCCAAGCTGCAAACAGACTTTATACCATTGCCATTGGTGCCTTGGCATTGGCCCATGTAGGATTCACCATAGGGGTTAAGATTAGTTTCTTTGGTATCAAAGTCTAATCATATTATATATAAAATTGTGTATCAATAATAAATAATACTGTTTAACCCTAAAGATGCAAATTTTGGTCGTGTAATATGGTCATGAAAAAATATCTACTTCAGCTGCCAGTATAAAAAAAAATTTTCGTTGTAATTTTAAGATAGTTTTTGTAAATTGATGTATTCATTTCTTCTTCTTATTCAAATAGGGATAATGATGAATAGTCATAGTTGTATATGGAATATACTACTGGTATTGAATTCAATTAAGGTATGTTTGAACTTGAAAGTGGTTTAAAACGTTGAATTTTGATGTTTAATTTCTGGCAGTGATTATTTGCTATTTACCAATTGTTCCAACTGAATTATCCATGTTGACAACAGCACTTCGTTAAGTTTCAGCCTTGTATGAGCCTTACATTGAAGTTCAGTCGTTTTTATTGCTATTTATTATATTAGATTATATTCATAATAACAATTTATACTAACAGATTAATAGAGTAAGTAATAGATCATACATTCATTGATTGAACCTTGTTCCCAAATGAAAGAATTAAATGAGGATACCTGTCGACCGGGCGGACATAATACTCTACTTGTCCCTCCTTGTACAATTAGGGAGGAGCCGTGTTTCAGTGTACAAATTTTTGAAATACCGACGAGTAGGAGTTGATGAAAGGTCGTTAACTGATTATTCTTTTCAAGTTCATGGTTTATTTTTTGATATTTGAATGAATCATACTAACGTTAATTTAGAATTCAATCTTTTCGGTATAATCTTTATACGACTTTAACTGTTTATAAACGATAATAGTCTAGCAATAATTAGTGATGATCTCAAAATATTCACACTGTACGAGAGGTTATACAACCTCCTTGATTACAAAACCAAAAAAACTGATTTAATGAATCTGATTATTATTGCTACACTGTTTAGTTTGTATCCCTCCATATATGTTTTCCTTTTATAGATTCTCTTCTGTATTAATAAAAGGTTTTTAACTTGAATAACTTTGATTTAAACTTGTAGTACTATTTTGAAATACCTGTACATAAAAAAACGTAAGATGCTACTCACTATTTTTTTTTTCATTCGTAAGATCTTTAAACAGTTGCAATAATTATACTTAGTACGATTTAACCAAAGTATACAACGTATTATACGTTATTTACCATCGTTTTACAAGTGGTCACAGGTTGCATAGTTGCAGGTTAATGAGGAACTGAACATAACTTTTTGAAAAAAACTCCAAAAACCCTTGCAAATGCTTCGACTTCACCGATGTCTAGCGAGAGACACCACCAGACGATTGGGGTTAACCACTTCATTCATATCTAAATCTTCCATAATACTATATCATAATAATGTCATACCGAATAAGGCACTTGTACGACACTTTCACGAAAGAATAACGTTAAACGAACCCAGAACTTCCCTCCATGGATATATGAATCAAAATAAACGATCCAAATTAAATCCCAAAATTATCTTGCATGACTATTCATCAGTCGAACAACTTGTCAATTCAGATTCTCTTCGAGAAAAATACTTAATAGCCCTTAGAGATTCATCGTTTTATACTGATAAAGAAATTGATATCATTGAAGGGATCTTTAATCATGCTATTGATTTGGCATTTGGTTTTAAAGATCCTACTACTATAAATCTCGTTCTTGAAATATGGAGAATTGCATTTGATAAAAGAAATGATCATCCTTCTTTAATTCAACTTCAAATTAGATTACTCAAACAGAAGAATGATCTCGTTTATATGCTCATCAATTCAAAGAATTATGCCTTTTATGATTTATTTATTCGTCCATTATATAATAATTCAAAATTCATTGGCCTTGAAAAATCTTGGGAAGATACTTTAATATCAACTTTTGAACTTGGGAATGATGGTAAAATAGTGAGGTTAAACCGAAATAAAGTTAAAAATTACTTAAGTGATAACTCAGTGGATATACAGACTAGGAGAAGACTTCTCGCCAATTTAATCAAAACATTAATTATCAATACTGAAAGTTATGACGGTAAATATACTTACATACTGCACTTCTTCGAATTCCTTCAAGTATTAGGTGATGACCATTTCAGATTCATTGGTAAAGAGTATAACAGTTATCATAAAGTATTATCATTAATAGCTATTCCTTTTGAAGGATTTGGATTCTTAAAACATGTCAGTAATATTACCACTATCTTTGAGAATCAACATATACCACCGAAACATCAAGCTGATCTCATCACTTCATTCATGAGATCAATAGCATTTAGTCCTAATAATGTCCTTAATTACTGGAAATTTAAGTTAGATACTTATTACAGTGAAGATGAAATGAACGGTTTAAACTATAAAGATTTGAAATATGCCATGATGGCTCTTCTTGAACTTAACGAGTATCAGAAAGTGGTTGATTTATATGAAGAATTCAGTGAATTTCATGATGATGATCATATCGAGATATTATTATCCCTTAGTGATCGTATGAAAGATTGGAAATCAATGCAAAGAAGATTTGAAGATATGTATGGTAAGGGTAACTTACCATTTGTGGTTCATTATGCCATTGTTATGAATGCATTAGCGCTGACAGGGGCAAGTTCTGAAGTCGAACAATTATTTCAACAATTGAAAGATAGACAATTGATCCCTGATAGAAATGTGTTTGCCGCTTTGATTAAGAGTAAGGTTACTGATAATGACTTTGATGGTGCTTTAGCATATTTTAATTCATTTTGTGAGCTTGTTAAAACTGGAAAACTTGAAGTAGAAGGGAAATCTGCATTATTCATGTTAGTGTTTGAATCATATGTGAATTCAAATGATTTAGATGGAGCATTGGTATTCTTGGATAAAGCATTAAAAGATCCAGAAATACAAGCGTTGAATGTCATCGATGCTGCTATAATAGCGAAATTGATTGATTTAGCAGCAGGACAATTTCGATTAAATGAAGTTGTCAAACTCAAAAAATTATCTGAAACATTAGATCTTTCTCATGATGATCTTTCGTTATCAGTCGCTCGTGCTTATGCTAAATTTGGTCAATTTGATCTTGCTGATAAAGCAGTGTATGAAGCTCACAAGAATTCCCGTATTCCATTCACAAATGCTAAAGTATATGATTTTCAACTTAAACTTTATCGTATCTGGTATAATCAACTTACGCATTCTAATAAGAGGACGAATTGTAAATTAAGAACCAAATTCATTATCAAGTTTGCTTCAAATTCAAAATCCAAAATCATAAGTCCAAGAAAGAATGAAACCTTATATAAGGAAATCATTAATTTCTATATCCAAGAAAAAGACATGGCAGGAGCTTATGATACTTTGGAAAAAGTTAAAAAGAAGTCATTATTGGCTGAAGATCATTACTTACCATTCTTGAAGTATTATTCTAGTTTTGAAAATTTTAAAGCTCATTCATCAGTGTTGAAATTGTATAAAGAAATGGTATCTTATCGTATTGATTTATCAGCCAAGACATATGTTTTCCTTATGAGAACCATGCTTTTCTTAGATAAACAGAATCAAAAAGGATATGGTCATTCTTTAAGACTTTTAACTTCTGTATTTGAAATGAATGGATTATCATTGAAAGTGGTTCATCCCATAGCGAAAGTTGAATATCCTAAATTAAGAAGTAATTCAACTCAATTATGTATAGTGGTATCAGATTACGTCCATGCAACTCAAAATCGTGGAAATGCGGATATGTTATTCCAATTCTTTCAACAGATGAAAGAAGTTTTAGGAACTGGTATGACGATTGATTTCAAAATGACAGTATGTAATGAGATGAGTAAGATTTATTTTCAAACTGGAGAGATTGACATGGCGATTAAATTAATTGATTCTGGTATTGCTGATTTAGAACAAGTGATTTCGAAATTGAAAGCTAATTATCCCTCTGATATGAAGTTTTCCATCCCAAGACAATTAGAGAATCAATATCGTCATCTTGTGATAATGAAAATGAAAAATTTACAAGACAAAGATTTAGTTGGAATCTTAAAAAGATCATCTGAATTAGGTATTAAACTTGGTGGTAATCAATATAATGATATAATAACGACTTTACTAGAGCGCTCCGTATCAGTAGAAGATATGGATTTGGCGCTTAAAGTTTCTGAAGATCATTTAGTATCTGGTAATAAGGTTAATGTTTTCATAGCCCTTACTTTACGTCGTTGGTATAGAACTATCATATATATTTTATCAGCTAATACACCAGCTGAAGAATTGATGTCAAAATATGAAATTTTAAATCAATTTTATGGAGTTTCAAGTATTTCTGAATTAAAGAAAGAATTTGGAAACGATATTGAAAGAGTCAGTAATGAGTTAGATATGGATATGAAAAAGAAGAGTAAATTAGTTCTTCATTCAAAATGGAGATTAAGAAAAGTATTACAAAATATCCCAGTGGTGTTTTCACCAGGTCGACAAATCGATAGTGAGAATAAAATCTCTCATACGAATGCCAGTTTATTTATAAGACGATTAAAGAGATGGCCTATTTCTGAATCATCAACTGCGTTAAAGGCTAAATATCCGAAATCATTTGATTTCTTACACAACAATCATACGTCATTAGTTGCATATAATCGTTTCCGAGAAAGAATAGATCAAATTATCCCACCACAAAGAGATGAAGCAACTCATGAAAGGTTACATAGGTGGACCCAAGCTCTTCGAGAGTTAAAATTATAAAGACTCAAAATATGAGTTTTTAACTATTGCATTAAACAATTACTTGTACAAAAACATAAACTTTTTATTACTTTAATCCCTGTATGTATATGTAAATAGGATAAATATAAGATTATAGATATTAACTAAAGGGTATATGTTAAAAAAGCAAAAAGAATTAGTACAGAATCATCATCATCATCATTAGCAAAAAGAAATCAATCAGTTATTATTCTATCTATTATACGGCTTCTGATTTTTTCTTATTGGGAGATTCAGCAAAGGTGAAATTAGTTGATGAACTTGTTTCACCAAATATTAATGGACCAATATAAGGTTGAATATTCCATTCAAGTTTAAGAATAGCCTCTCTTTCTCTAAATGAATTTTCCACATCCCAAACGGAATACTTTGATCTTTGATTGGTTAAATGGATCTTAGCATCTTCTTTATAGACGATAATACTATCCCAATATGTGACTTTATTTGATGAACCAGGGGTTTTACCAGGATATTCAGCCGTAACATATGCGAAAACTTGTTTTGTATTCCAATTGAATAATGGGGTTAAATCAGCATCTAAATCAAATTGAACTTTGGAATTCTCTTTAGGTTTACGATTGACGGATCCATAGTTATGGGAATGTTTGATGGATGCCAGAGGTTTGATATTATCTAATGAAGTTGAATCTAGATTCCAAACATTATCATGATATAATTGAATAAAAGTAAGGAGAATAACAAGACCTGATATCACAATGGTCGTGGTTAAGGCTTGATTGGCAGCGTTTTGGAATCTGGTAGTAAGGTTGAACATGATAGATACTGAATTGGATCAATTGATATCCCTTTTGAATCTAAATTGATTGATTTCTCCACTTTGGCAACCAACCTTATATTTATATAGAAAATGTATTTCCGTTTGAGTATTGGCAGTAAATTTTCAGTGAGGGTTTCAAAATCGTGTCCACAATGCAAATTCTCAAACAAAAAAATAAATGTGTGTAAATCTTACGGTTATGTGAATAAGGATTGAGTTATGATATGATATAATCTGTATATGTACAACTACGACTAAACTATCTATGTCTATGTAGGGGGTGTGGAATGGGGAGATTTACTTTACGCAGAAGTCAACTTTAAATATTCTTGATAAAGTTTCTCTTGTTGTTGTTGTTGTTTAGTTAATTTCTTTTTCATACTTTTAGTAACTTCTTCTCCATTAATATCTTTTGTTGGTAATCCCGTTTCATCCCACTCTGTATATAAAGTAACATCTTTAAACATATCTAAGGGATTCACTTTCATCTTTTCTAATTTTTCTTGTTCCTTTTTAGCATTAGCAACTGCTTGCTCTCTCTTTTTAGCTTCCTTTTCTTCAGCTGCTTTTAATTTTGCATCTTGTTGTTGAATTAAATCTTCCTTTTCTTGAGCATTTAAAAACTTAACCAATGCAACTCCATTAGGTCTATCATCTAATGAAACTCCTAAATTAACCAAATCTGATCTAATTTCATCACAAGCTTTTAAGATTTCATTAGGATCAGATTTACTAATGGCTGCATTACGAACAATATCTCTGAATTTAGATAACGCTTTAACATAAGGAAGAGCAATATCTTCAGCTGAACCTTCTGAATCACCCGCTTGATTATCGGAATCATCCAACCAACCTAATTTATCTCTTCTAGTTTCGAAACCTAAGATATTTAAAATCTTAACAATCCAATTAGTAACTTGTAATAACACTTCGATTCTTAATTCAAAAGCTCCTGAGGAAGCTTGTTGGATATATCCATTTGATTTCCCAATTAAATCTTGGATTGATCTCAAAGCTTGACCACTGGCTAAATTATCATTAAAGGCAATATCAACTTCAGTTTGAGTGAATGCTAAATCATCATATAATTGTTTTTCTTGAGGTCCAACTTTCTTAGAAATGTATCCTCCTTCAACAACCGTATGTTTATAATCATTATTTAATGCCCGGACAGTAGTAAAGAATTTTGAAATGGTTGATTCAACTGATTTAACTTCACTAATTAAAGAATCTTTAAAATCCAATGGTTTATCCCATGAACTTAAGGCAAATACTAATCTTAATTGTCTACTAGTATAATCTTGTAATGCTTCTTCAATAGTAATGAAATTCTTTAAAGATTTTGACATTTTTTGACCTTGAATATGTAAATGACCATTATGCATGAAATAATTCACCCATTGTTTATTATCGAAATAAGCTTCTGATTGAGCCAATTCATTATCATGATGAGGGAAACATAAATCAATCCCCCCAGAATGAATATCCATCACTTCACCCGTAATATCAGAGGCCATAACAGAACATTCAATATGCCAACCTGGTCTACCTTCTCCCCATTGTGATGACCATGAAGGTTCACCTGGTTTAGAAGCTTTCCATAAGGCGAAATCAGCCGGACTCTTTTTCGATTCACCAGTGGTTAATGAACCTTCTCCATCATTAATTAAAGATAAATCACCTTTATTCCAAGGTTGTAATTTGGCATAATCATGATTTGAATCATTTTCAAATTTAATAGTATCGAAATATACTGATCCATCTTGAGTCTTATAAGCAAACCCATTAGAAATGATTTTATCCACAAAGGCAATGATATCAGGGATATATTCTGAAACTCTAGTAGTGATTGATGGAGGTAAAACATTTAATTTATCCATATCTTGATTGAATTTATTTTCCCAGAATGATGGTAATTTTCTAAATATAGATGGATCATTGACGGTGGATCCGAATTCTTTATCCAAGTATGGTTTTGCAACATCTTGAATGTTGGATAAATAAGTTTCTATAGTTAATGATGATGATGATGATGATGAATTATAAATGGCTTGATGAGCTACAGTGGCTGCTTTTAAATACATGGGGAATTTTGGAATTTCTTTAGAAAGGTCAGATAAATTTGGAATTGATTGAGACCAATTAATAAAATCCGTTTCTATATTATCATGATTGAATTGAGGTAAATTTTTATTGATATAAACTTTTAAGAATTGTTTTGATTGATTTATTAAAGATTGATTAATTTCATGATATTGATTAATAATCTTTTGTTCAAAAAGATATTGTTGACGAGCAGCAATAATGATTTTATCATCGATATCAGTTACATTTTGAATAAAATTAATATTATAACCAAAATAATCTTGTAAAATTCTTCTACAAATATCAGTTGAAACATAATTTCTAGCATGACCCATATGAGAATGATCATAAACAGTAGGACCACAACAATACCAAGTGATATGACCTGGTTTTATGGTAATGAAATCATTTTTGGATCTTGTTAATGAATTATAGATTTTAAGGGTTGGTTTTTGATTTGATTTATCATGAGGTTTAATCCATTGAGGTTGTTGAACCGAAGGTTTTTTAAGGGGAGGAGGAGTTGGAGTACTCATTGTTAATAATCGTTTATGAATTCGGTTAATACAATTGGGTAACTTCATATAATAGAATGAAATTAAACGATTCCCCAAATTGTAAGATAGTGATGGTTTGGTAGGTATGGGTTGCCAGTTTATTTAACGAGCGATAATTTTTTGAATAAATATTATGGTGAGTCACATGATTTGAAATATTTATATAATTAGTTAAAGAGATGATAGTTACAAGGAAAGAGTCAATGATGTGATATAATACAAAGTATTTATATATTAAAACATAACTACTGAATCGATTGATATAACGTTTAAACGTAATTAAACTGATTAAAGTTAGTTAGTATAAAATGTTAATTAAGTAACATTATATCACCAAATCACATATTATATATAACAAACATAACAAACAATAACACATCTATTTTAAAGGTTATCTATATCAGTTAAGAAATTGGTCGCATATTGTCATCTACCCTTAATGAAACTAGGCATGTTTCAGGTAGATGACTCTAGAACGCAAATTATGAATCATCATAAGAATTAAAATAGATAGGGTGTATGTTGTTATGTTGTTATGAATGATATAATATGATGTTATGGTGATATAGAATAACACAGGTAATTGATTGATTCCAATCAATCAATTGAATATGTTAGTAGTGATAGTTGGAACATACCATTTATTATGTAGTTAGTTGAAGTATAATAACTAATAATGATATATGATTACAGTTGTGTTGTAAATATTATATACTGTAACTGAAGAGAATATTTTTATAGTACTGTAAAGCACTTATTATGTTCCCAGGGTTGTAACCCTCACTCCTGGACAAATACGCGTGACTTGAAGGTTTATGTACAGGACACGGACTCCCTAGTTAAAATTTCTCACAGCTTCAAGTCAAACACTCATAGTAAAAATAATAATTTGTATGAGTTCGCATAGTTAACATAAAAACCTCACACAAAATGTCGTTACCTCAAGTTATATACAGTCCCATACAAATTCTCATTTTCTACTAACAAACTCAAACTCCTCCTGTCTTGAAGGAGAGAGACAATTTCTGGTTAGTGAAAAAAAAAAAATTATATCAAAAATTGTTTAAAGAAAATTCTTTTAATATTTCCAGTTAGTTACTTCATTAACCCTAAATACTATAATACAATAAAGATGTCTTCTACCGTCAGAGCTGCCAACTGGAGACACGTTGAATTAGGACGTGTTGTTTTAATTAACAACAAGGATTTAGCCACCATTGTTGAAATCATTGATCATAAAAGAGTATGTATCCATCGTTCATTCAAAATTCATTCATCGAAGATGAATGAATGAAAGGAAGGAAGAAATGAAAGTTATTTGAAGTAATCATCATCATCATCATCAACTATATCAGAAGAATATGAGCAACGAACTAATCAATCATCACAGAAAACTAGAATAAATCAAATCAAATTATAATCCATCCACCCATCATTACAAGAATCTATAAATATCAATCCATCAACTCTAACTGTAATCTACTACCAACCATAACAGAATTATCATATAACAATCCATCACAGTCATATGAACTAATCAAATACTTCCATCAAACTCCCATTTATCAAATTCATCAACTGTAGAATATCTAATCAAAATTAACCTTTATCATAAATTATCTTACATCCAATCATAATCATAATCTTTGAACTACATTCATTCATACCAATACTACAACACTTCTTTACTTCATTCTTTCTTTCTTTCAAATCACTTCCATTCACTTACCCCAATCGAACTATTATACTAACTAACTATTTTTTTCTAGGTCTTAATTGATGGTCCAAAAATCCAAAGACAATCTATTGCTTTAGCCAAGGTTGTTTTAACCCCAATCGTCTTACCAAACTTACCAAGAGGTTCAAGAACCGGTACCGTTCACAAAAAATGGACTGCTGCTGAAATTGATTCTAAATGGGCTGCCACTTCATGGGCTAAGAAATTAGCTGCTAAAGAAAGAAGATCTCAATTATCTGATTTCGAAAGATTCCAAGTCTTAGTCTTAAAGAAACAAAGAAGATTTGCTGTTAAGAAAGCTTTAGCTAAAGCTTAAATGTTATTATTAAAAAAGATTTAATTTAATTTCCTTTCCTATAAAAAAAAATTTTCTTTTTCAATTTATGTATTCTTAGTTTTCCAAATCATTCAAGAAAGTATTCATAATAGTTTAAAAAGGTCTTTTTTATTTTTAATGTTTACGTTTTTACTATCCATATAACTTTCCAACATTCATCAAATCAATATCAAATCAATATCAAATCAACAACCCGGTCATCCACCACCCCCATTCCATATGTTCTTTTAGATCATAAAAATTCATATACAAACAAATCCAAATATATATAAAATTTTAATATTTATCGTTAAAAGTTATAAATTGTAGATTGTAATAATATCTCTATCGTTGTGTTTTATATTAATAATATTAATAATATTTTTCTTTTTATATACAGATTTTTTGGGTTCTTAAAATAACAAACGTATATACAAGTTACTTATGACTCCTACCACTACTATTACTTTTTAGCAGCTTGAGCCTTTTCAAATTCAGCAATTAATTCTCTTTGTAATTGTGGTGAAGTTGGAGAATATTTACAGAATTCTAATGAAAATTCACCTTTACCTTGAGTACATGCTCTTAATGATGTTGAAAATCCAAACATTGAATTTAATGAACATTCAGCAATAACTGTGAATTCATCTTGACCATTTTCAGTTTCTAAAATCATTCCCCCTAATTTATTAACTAATCCAACAACAGCACCTTGGAATTCATTTGGGGCAGTAACATCAACTGACATAATTGGTTCTAAAATAACAGGATTCGATTCTAAAAATGCTTGTCTAAATGCTCCATGAGTAGCAGTTCTAAATGATAATTCAGATGAATCAACAATATGTGTTTGACCATCATTAATATGCATATGAACTCCCAACACTTTATGACCAATTAATGGCCCCTTTTCTAAACAATCTTCAAATCCTTTACCACACGCTAATAAAAGCTTTTCAGGAATCTTACCTCCAACAATATGTTCCGAAAATTTATTGGTTCCTTCAACAGGACTAAATTCTCCCATAACTCTACCATATTGACCTGAACCTCCAGATTGTTTCTTATGAGTATAATCAAAGGTAGTTGGAGTAGTGATCGATTCTCTATATGATACTTGAGGTTTACCAGTAACACATTCAACTCCATATTCACGTTTAATTCTTTCCACATAAATTTCTAAATGTAATTCCCCCATACCAGAAATAATAGTTTCCTTTGATTCAGGATCAAATTTAACTCTAAATGTTGGATCTTCCTTTTGAAATCTATTCATAGCTTTTGAAAATGCTCCATTTTCTTTTGATTTTGGAGCAATCGATAATGAAATAACTGCTTCTGGAACAAACATTGAACTCATGGCGATTTGTTGATCGGTATTTTGACCAATAAAAGTATCACCCGAAGCACAATCAATCCCGAATGTAGCACAGATTTCACCAGGTCCAACTTCACTAACATCTTCCATATCATTAGAATGCATTCTAACTAATCTTGCAACCTTAACTTTCTTACCGGTCTTGATATGGGTCATGTATTGTCCTTTCTTTAATTTACCTTGATAAACTCTGATATAAGTTAATTGACCATATTGACCTTCTTCTAATTTAAAAGCTAACCCAACAAATGGAGCCGTACTGGATGGAAGTAAATTAATAGGGGTTTCTTCACCATTAGGTTTAATTTCTAACCCTGTATTTAAAATTTCATTAGGTTGAGGTAAATAATCAACCACAGCATCTAAAACTGGTTGAACTCCCTTATTGGCTAATGCAGATCCCATTAAAACTGGAGTGAATTTTCTAGCAATAGTTGATCTTCTAATAGCTTGTTTAATTTGTTCAACAGTTGGTTCTTCTCCTTCTAAATAAATATCGGCCATTTCATCATCAACATCAGCTAAAGTTTCAATTAATAATGCTCTCTTTTCTTCCACTAATTCTTTTAAATCTTCGGGAATTTCACGTTTAGCAATGGTTTCACCTTGAGGTCCTTCATTATATAAAGCAACACGATCAATGATATTCACTACCCCTTTTAATTCAGATTCAGCACCGATTGGAACTTGGATAGCAGCAGCAGGTGTTTTTAATTTTAAATTGATTTGTTCAATGGCTCGGAATGGATTAGCTCCCATACGATCCATTTTATTAATAAAAGTAACTCTTGGAACATTATAACGACGCATTTGACGATCAACCGTAACGGTTTGAGATTGAACTCCTGAAACAGCACAAACAACCAATACAGCACCATCTAAAACTCTTAAAGCTCTTTCCACTTCAATAGTGAAATCAATATGACCTGGTGTATCAATTAAATTAAAATGATAATTGGTTCCTTCTTTATCCCAAGAACAATAAGTAGCAGCAGATTGAATCGTAATCCCTTTTTCTCTTTCTAAATCCATATGATCCATTTTAGCTCCAACCGCATCACGACCTCTAACTTCATGAATAGCTTTGATTCTACCGGTATAATATAATACACGTTCTGTAAATGTAGTTTTACCAGAATCAATATGAGCTGAAATCCCAATATTTCTCATTCTAGCACTAGTAGCTAAATCTTCTTCCGGCAATTCCAGATTGATTTGATCTATGATAACTTTTTCTTCTTCATAAGTTTGAGGTGGTTGAATTGGAGTTGAATTTGATTCATTATAATTCAATCTTGAAGTATTAAATAATCGAAGAGTACCAACTTTAGATAAGTTATGATGAGGTAATGGTGATATTCTGGATTTCAAGACATATCCCGATGTCCCTGATAAACTCCTAAGGAACCTTGACATGGTGAATATCGATTGGTTATGGAAATCAAAATTATATCGAATGATATCGTTACCAGTAATTTCTATAAATTTTTCGATCCCAGCGGTGAAAAATTTCGAACACCCGCACTTAAAATCTCTTCTCAAGATTAAGCTGCTAATTATTTGTTTTTTCAACCGTTATTGGATTAAAGCAAACTAAACAAATTTTGTATTTAAATAAGGTATAATGAATATATATATATATAAGTATGCAATCTATGTATGTATCTAATAAACAATAATAGCAAATAACAACCCATCTATCTATGTATAATCTAACTTGTTCTAATAAAATATGATCTCTAATAATAAAATTTATGCAAAAGTATTTCCCATCAAGGAAAACTAAAATCAAAGTAAGTATTCAAATAAATATTAATTTACAAATCATGATTGAAACCCAAAATTTGGTTTAATCTTTTGGTTTCACACCAATTCCATTGGTGTTTCTGAACATTAATACACCCTTAGCATCATCTTTATCATCATCAACAAAACGACAACTTCTCATACATTTCCATAATGAAATCCACATATTTTCACCATCATATCTATAATGTTCACCCATAACTTTTTTAATAGCTTCAGTGGCTTCTCTAGCATTATAAAATGGAATTCTTGAAACATAATGATGTAAAACATGAGTTTCAATAATATCATGGAAAATATGTTGACCTACAAATCCAAAATTACGATCAATGGTAGCAGCAGCACCTCTGGCAAAAGTCCATTCACTATCACGATAATGAGGCATGGTTGGATCAGTATGTTGTAAAAAGGTAACAAACACTAACCAATGGTTAACCCATAACCATGGCATGAACCAATTAACAAACATATTGAAGAATCCAAAGTTTTTATACCATTGATAAACGACAGTAAAAGTGGTAATAATACCAATATCAGATAAGATAATATACCAATATTGATGAGGATCGAAAACTGGAGAACTTGGAGCATAATGAGATCTTGCAATGAAATTATAACCAGGATAATTTTGACCAGTAGCATTTGAAGCTAAATATAATTGTAAACCACCTAATTGTTGGAAAATTAATACTGATAAACTATAAATTGGAGATTCTTCCATTAATTCAGAAACAAATTCAACACCACGAGCTTTAACAAATTCTTCTTTAGTATATGGAATGAAAACCATATCTTTATTCATATGACCAGTAGCTTTATGATGTTTTGAATGAGAATATTTCCAAGAAAAATATGGAACCACTAAATAAGAGTGTAAAACCCAACCAATGAAATCATTAACATTGGAATAATCAGAAAAGGCACCATGACCACATTCATGAGCTAAGATCCATAAACCAAATCCAAATAACCCTAAAAGGTAAGAATAGAAACACCATAAACCACCTCTAACATATTGAGATAATGATTCTTGACCTTCAAAATTAACTTGAGGAATCAAAGTTTGACCAATATAACCAATAACAACCATCAGAATGATATCACGAGCAACATAACCTAATGATTTGATTAAAGATCTTTCATAACAATGTTTTGGAATCACAGATAAGATATCTTTAATGGTGAAATCAGGAACTTTGAATTCATTACCTAAAGTATCAATAGTAGTTAAATTTGAGGTAGGACGTTTTTCGACAAAAGTAGAAACATTTCCTGCTTTTGAAACTGCTTTGGTGCTGTGGAGAGCAGCAGAAGAAGTCTGAGCAGATGATGAAGCTTCAACGATCGACATATTGAATGAACTTTGCTTTCGTTATGGGGGTGGGAAACAACTTCTTCGTCTGTTATACGTCTTGCGAGATCTAAACTACTGGCAAAAAAATTTCACTTTATTTGGATAATATTTTTTTTTTTATTTAGGAATAACCTCTTCTCACCAAATTGTCTGACAGATTTCATGTTTTGATTTTTTTTGTCTGATTAAAAATAGAAATTTTATTTTGTGTCTGATTTTTGATAAGTCTCGTGGGTCAAGTTGTTTTAGACGTGTCTCATTGGCTATAATTAAGTTGCAAATCATAAAATTTCTTTTTGGTTATTTCTTTTCTTTTGTTTTTACAACAAGAACCATCATCATCATGACTTCAAATCTGAAGGCGATGACTACTAGAAAGTTATTTAAAGTTACCTTGATTAGATCTATTATGGTTGCTATTTCATATAAATTGTTATGTACTTATCAGCCGCACAAATTTATAACTTTACTAAATTTGGGGTAACTGCTATATTAAATACATATTTAAATTCTACTCCCCTAAAAAAGATCTCTGAGGTGATTTCATTTTACTAGATTACCCATTTTGGGAATTTGACACCCTCCTCGACTTCTTTTTCACTTCCTTCTATTGAACTTTTAATGAATATAGATTAAGTGGCTTTAGTGTAATACTTTTCCTTTTCTCCAACATTTGACCATGTATTATACCCGGTAATCAGATAAATTGGGTATTGAAAGTCACGTACCAAAATGGCAAAAATAAATTGAACCATTGATAAAGCTTATTTATTAGAACTTAGAAAATCTTCTTCTTCGAGACCATTATAAACTTACTTTAAATAGAAGTTAAGAAAATGTTAAACCGTTGAAATGGAGTTTATTGTTATTATTTATTGTATTTTAGTCAAAAGTTGTTAATTGTATTATTTTTATCGTTACCAGTTCTCCTCAACCATAATTGTTAAATAATAAAATTCTCCACAACCAATACTTCAAAAACAATGAACACCTCTTTTTATTTTTATTTTTATTTTTAAATCAATTATTCGTAAAATTACAATAAATATTAATAAAACTAATTACTCGGTTAACTCTTTACCTATTTTAGTTCCTCATCAAATACAAATTTCTACTTATGTTTACTTAATTCATCTAAATCAATTAATCAGTTTTGACACTTCTCTTAAAACACCCCCTTTTATCGAATTGATATTGTGGAGAACAGGAAGCAAGGCACATAAAGGATAAATGGCATAAGAATCTATCATACCCATAAAAACATGAAATTTCAATAAATTAAGCAATGGCTTTTATTAATCTTTTTTTACTTAATATGAGCAAAAAGGAGTCTTTTCCAAATCCCACAATTAACAACGTTATAAACCACAGTAGATAAAATTTCTTAAAAGTGATCACCACCTTAAAGCCCCTTCCACACAAATTGATTCATTTTAATAAAATGAATCAAGCATAAACTAGCCTTGAAAGTAGGTTAACATCTTCAAAAGGGGAAATTTATCTGATAAAATTTTAATTAAAGCCATCTATCTAGAATAGGTAAAACATATATGGCACTGAAGTGAAACAAAAAACTCAAAAACTTTAATTAAGAAAAAAAACGACAATGCAGCACAAGAAAATTAATAGTAAAAAGGAAACTATAAGGTAAGGTTATGAAATAATGAATGGTGGCTTGCTACTTCAAAAGTCAGATAATGTATGGGGGTGTGTAGTGATTGAACGATAAATTTAAGAACCTTTACCACCTTACGCATAAGTACCCTTTCTTACACTAAGCGAAATATTAAGAGAAATAAACAAAAGGAGTAGACGAATGTATGTAAGTAAGTCGACTGATTCATATTGATTAACTACCAAATAATTATATTTTCCTACTTTGGATTATTACTAAAATTACCAGTAGAATAGGGTAAAGTAATAATTGAGTGCCTTGAAAATTCTTGATCTCTATACATTTTTTTCTTCCCTAACTTAACTTCACTATACAAATTTTTTTGTGGTCGCGAAAAAAAATTACCAAATTTGGAAATTCTATTTGTAACCTCAAAAAATGTTAGCACAATCACATTTCCTAAAACGGCAATTCTCAACTATTGCACCAAAACTTTATATAGTGTTTAACTATATCATCAACTATGAAGAGGAGAACTTTCAATATACCTCCTTCCTAACTAAGTTAAAGAGTGAAAGTTGATAGTTTCATGTAAACATGAATGGCTGCTGATGATTGAGAATAAGAAATATAAATATCTTCCTGTATTCCAGTACTCGTAAATTCAATTAATTATTTTCTTTTTCTATTCTTTTCAATACTTATCAAACCAACTACAATATATCAATACCAGACATATCCAAATCAATCTTAAAATGAAGTTATCCCACTCTGCCCTCCTCGCCATCTTAGTCTCCAGTGCTTTTGTTTCTGCTGCTCCAGCAGTTATTGTTAATAACAATAATAATTCCCTTATTAAAAGAACTGATATTAATGAAGTTTTAGAAATCATAGAGGAATTAAAAACTTTAAATCAAAAGAGAGATTTAATTGAAGGTTCAGAATTAGAAGCTTATCTTTCCAAGAGAGATTCTGCTGTTGGAGATTTATTAACTGCTTTATTAAATTCTGGTATTATTAGTGATATTTGGACTGCTTTTACTACTAATTCAACTATTACTGCTGAATTAAAAACTATTATTTCAAGTGCTATTAAAGGTGCTTTAGTTGAAGGTCCAGCTTTAATTTCTGCTATTTGGAATTCTGGTTTAATTAAACAATTATTTGATACTTTAATTAATGATTCTGATTTAAAAACTGCTTTCCTTGCTGTTGCTAAATCTATTTTCACTACTGGTCTTAATTTAGTTAAAGCTTGGTTAGGTCTTGGTTCTTCATCAACTGCTACAACTGCCGCTGCCTCAACTGCCTCTGCTGCTGCCAAAAGAGAAGTTTTATTAGGTGATTCTGAATTCATAGATAAAAGAGATGTTCTTTCAGTTGTTGAAACCGTTGTTGAAGATATTTATAACTCTGGCTTAGTTCAAGATTTATTCCAAAAAGTTGTTGCTAATCCAACTGCTGTTGAAGGTTTCTTATCTTCAGCTTTAAAATACGGTGTTGTTGCTGTTGAAGATGTTTATGGATGGGCTAAATCTTCCGGTGTCTTAGCTGAAGGTTTAACTTGGATTGAAAATAATGGTGGTAAATATGCTGCTGATATTGCAAGTTTCTTAGGTGATCAAATTGCAGCTGGTAATGTTACCACTTCTGATATTGATAATGCTAGTACTTCATCATCAACTTCAAAAGCTACTACTATTACTTCTACTGCTGCTGCTGCTGCTGCCCTTCTTCCAGCTGCCATCGGTGGTGCTGCTACTACTGCTACTCCAGCCACTGTTGCAACTATTAATACTGCTACTCCAGTCGCTACTAATAATAATGCCGTTCTTGCTTCATTAGAAGCTGCTTATGGTGGTACTAACCCAACTACTGCTGCTACCGTTGCTGTTGGTGATATTACCAATGATGTTAATACCCTTGTAAATGCTGCTAGTCAAATTGCTGGTTCATTAAAGAAGAGAAGAATTGCTTACTAGATAAGTTTTAACTTTAAATCATTTAATATTTTATTTATTAGCATACTTTTTAGAAATCATGACGGGGTATTTCATTTATTTATAACCACTTTTAACGAATCAAAACTATTAATCATAGTATAATCATCATCAAACACAGCTAAAGAAAAAAAAGGAAGAAGAGGTTAAAAAAAAGCATTCCGAAAAGTTTTTCCACCACACATTTACAAACAAACAAACTATCAACCAACGTTTTACAGTTGATTTTTATTATTATTACCATTATTTTTTTATTATCATTTTATCGTTACTTATTTTTTAATTTATTGGTTCTCTTAGTTCAGAATTATCTTTCGGTAACAATCTTTAAACGGATTAATTACTATTACCATATTTTACTTGTTTTAGTCTTTTTTTTCAATTCTTCTTATATATTACATATACCAAATAACAAAAAATGAAAATTCATTTTATAAAATATGTTTTAATTTTTATTGTAGTTTATAATTTTGGTGATAGTCAATCTGATCGCTTGGGTTATCTAAAGCAACAATCGAAAAAATATTTATCGTGACCGACAATATACAAACCCGGTAAAACCTGTAACAAATATTAATTACCTCCTTAAACTGTAGATCAAAGAATGAGACATTTTTCTATTTTCAGAAATTAATACGCTTACGTAAGATATTATATAAGCGTATTTTTTTCTTTAAGAAAAACCTCTTTTAGCCGTACCATCGTAATAAAGAGATGATACGAAATAATTTATACCATTTGTATTAAGAATAGAATTAAGTCCTAAGGGTATGCTCTGTAGTAACAGAGAAGTCATTGAAAGGTTGTTTATCCTAGATAACATGACTGTATCCACTCAGAACTAAATCAACATATCGATAAAACAAAACATCAATTGAAGTGAATTGAATTGAATTGAATGACTCGTATGTTCAGCCCCAAATGAAACTTTTAAAGTTTAAAAACAAGCGCCGCATTTATGAATTTTTACAATCTTTAAAATGACGGTGAGACGGGGTTTTCGCAATTAATGTTCCGTATACATATGATCTAATTGTAATTTATTTATATGATTATGATATTTTATCAAAAGGGCGAAGTCTGTAAACATGGCATATAAATAACACCTTATATCCCCCTACCGTGGATTAATTAATTATTTTCTTATTCATTATCATTCATAACTTCTAATTTACTAACAATCATGGCTTTCGAATCAAAGGCTTCAGGTATTGCTGCTTCAGTTTATATTGCTCTTTATACCATCTATATCTCAGTAGCTGTTTACATCTTACTGCAAGTTGGTTTCAGAACAAAGTATAATGCTTTAACTATTTATGGTATATTTAGATTTGCAGGTCAATTATGTGCTATAGTATTTGCTGTATTAGGTTATAATCATTGGCAATGGTTAGTGGCATATCTTGTTTTCACTGCTGAAGGTTATTTCATGTTAATTTTAACTTCATTTTATTTACTTGGTCAAGCTCAACATGATACTACTGGTAAATCATGGATTGATCCTAATAAACAAGAACGTAATGAAGCCAAAGCTAGAGCTATTACTTCAGTGCAAAGATTTAGAGCTACTTTTTCAATTGCTATAATATTTCATTTCATTTTAATTCCAGCTAATGTTTTGATTATTTATGGAGGTACTCAATTAGCAGGTTTAAGTATTGAACAGATAAGTGATCAATCCTCCAAAGTTAGAAGATCAAAGATTTTCAGAACTGCAGGTCAATCGGTTTTCTTAGCTCAAAGTATTATTGCTATAGGATTAGCTCTTTATTGTCTTATAGTTGAAAAACTTAGACATATTAATATTTATACTATCTTATTTGTGGCTCCATTCTTAACCGTTAGAGGTATATTTGGAATTTTATCAATTTACATTCAAAAAATGAATTATTATGACTTTTCAAATTATACTGCTGATGGTTTGAGTTCATCTTTTGTTACTTATGAATATGTTTTAGCAACTACTATGGAATTCATCGTTGCAGTAAGTTATCTTGCTAACTATTTCCTTCGTAAGAAGAAGTATCCTCAAGTTCATTTAACTCAAAAGGATAATGATGAAGAATTAAAATCTTTAAATGATAAACAAAGTGCTTAGTCAGTTACTAAGTTTGTTTGTATTTATGTATTTATGCATTTATGTATTTACCCCATAGAATATATCAAGTGAAAATTAAACAATATATAGTAATAATTTAATAGCTAACTCGTAACACATCGCTACCCCGAAACCACCGTTACTTTTGTGAATCAATATGCATACATTCCTAGAGCAAATCCTAATAAAATAGAAGCTTTAATTAGTATGTACTTCAATGAAAATGAAAATTTTTAATTTCGCTATATGCAAAGTTGCACCCTAAATTAGCCTAATTAGGAAATATCATGAAATAATTAAAGGGCCCCCTTTTCAATCCAATCAATGAGTCTCTAGCCATATCAATCATATTACGAGTGTTCTCTAATCCCATGAATGGCCTCATTATGAACTCACTCAACAACAACAATCAGTTCAATTCCAGCCAAAACTGATCCCCTTTAACTTTTTAACTCCACAAAAAACAGTTCTCAACAAAGGAAGATTTAATACCTTAGTAATCATCTCTACAACTCTAACACGTAAAACGCCTTTCACGTCCTTAAACTCCACACATACGTAAATTAAATTATATGCTCGACGCCTTCCATAATTTCATGGAGGTACCTTGCCCTATGAAATTGGAGCGTTATACCTCAAATAATAAATTATATAAATGCCCATCAACATCCCTGATCTCGTCTAATGATCTGATGTGAGAATATGTATCTTCATTGATTAGTCGAGATGTTGTATGCTTTAGCTACGCCAGGGTCAGCTTTTAAACCTTCGCTTAAGAAAATTGATATATCTTGGAGATTAACCAAATTCAGACAAATTTATGATGAAAAGGGTGGTAGTAAAACTCCAACAATGTATCCAACTGCTACATTTATCGATAGTTCCGTATTAGAAATATTTGAATTTTAGCTTTTGATGAAAGGACGATTTATAGATATTTCAAGGTTAGGTTGGGACTTAATATGGTTACAGGATATAATTCAATAATAAATAAAAATAAAAATATGATAATAAACTATGCAATATAATGAAAAAAATGAATATATATATGTATATATGTATGAATGTATAAGATCAAAAACATAAATTTCAAACTACTTTTATTTGATTTCTATAAATTGTATTGTCTTGTCTTGTCTTGTCTCTAGCCCAGCTTTATTTTAAATAAAAAAAATTTTAATGACACTTTTTAATAGTTACATATTTCTCTTAACGATATGTACCTGAACTTTCTGAATAATCTTCATCAATTAATAATGGTTCATGATGATTTGGATTAGATGGATCCCAAGTTGCTCTTGGCATTTCTAATCCATTTGGATTATTACTATTATTATTAGCTTCTTGAATCTTACGATCTCTTTCATATTCTCTCCAACGTTTCATAGTAATACTGGAATAATCAAAAGTACCAGCAGATCCACCATGTTCACCTTTATCTTCTCCTGCAATAGTTCTAGTTTCACCCCAACTAAAATCATCAAATTTCCAAAATGCATAACTTGGTAAAACAAAATTCCAAATTGGTAAGGCACCAAGATAAATAAAGAAATAAACAATATAAATAGCAGAAGAAACCGTTATAACAATTAACAAACCAGGTAACCCAAAAATAATACTTAAAAGAACTAATGTCATAATTGGAGTTGGTTTAGAAATAATAGCAATCACAATAACATAAATAGTAAAACAAATAGCAGCAGGTAAAACTAAAGTACCAATTAATTCAATACCAATAACAAATTGCATTGAAAAACAAAATGTACCACATAAATCATTTACTAAAACTAATTCCATTAAATTATGAACTGTTGAATTAATCCAACGACGACGTTGAGATAATAAAACATTAAATTTATCCGGTACAAAAGTTTTACAAACTGCTTTTGGAATAAAGATTTGTTTTCTTTTTGGGAAAGTTCTTAACATTAATGATGAAAGATATCTATCTTCACCTAATAATAATAAATTCTTTTTATGTAAAGTATCAACCACATTATCAGAATATCTTTCCACAATATCAGGATTTGCTAAGATTGGAACCCAAAATCCATCAGAACCTTTTGGAGCTTTGATTCTATACATACAGAAACAACCTGGTAAACAAGTAACCCCACCAAATACTGATTCAAAAGCTTTAGCTTGATGATGAGAAATATAATATTCAAAAACTTGAATGGCAGTTACCCAACTTTGTCGTTTATTAGCAATTTTAGTTTCACCACATAATCCCATAACACTGGGATCTTTAACCATTTCAGCAACCATATGAGTTAAACTATCAGGATGAACTTTTGTGTCAGCATCAACCATTAGAACAATTTCATATAATTCCGGCATTAAACCGGTAATTTTCCAAACACTTTGAAAGATTTCAAATTCTAAATTAGACATTCTTTCATCAAACATAACTCTTTGTAAAAATGACATTAAAATAATTTGAGAATCACGTTTACCTCTATTACCTGGTTTAGCAGATTTAGCTTCATCTGGAGTACCACATTTAACAATGGTTATAACTGGAACTCTTTGTTGTTTTTCAGGTGGAATGGTTTCATCATTATATTTATAAAACCCTGAATAAACTTTAGCAACATTATGACGTTTTGAACCTTGAGCAACAGCAATATAAGAATTATCTTTAACTTCATCTCTTGGAATAGTAAAATCAGACATCATATCTAAAACAATATCAGGCGTAGTCTTTGCATTTCCTGACCCTTTAATAATACCATCACAAACAACAATGATTAATTTATGAGAATTTGGATAATCAGTAGTAGCCACAGAATCTAAAGTTGTTCTTAAACTCTCTTCACCTTCAGAATAACAAGTAACTAAACAAAAAGTATGAGCCAAAGGATACCCAAATGGTTGATATTCTACTGGTGGTTGTGGAACCACATCAGGATGAATAATGTCAGGGGATAAAGTAAGACCAGGTAAAGTATCTTCCATACTATCAAATGGATTATATCTTGAAGCTGGTCTATTTAATAAATCAGTTGAAGAACCTTGATCACTCATATATAAAGTAGATTGACGATTATTTTGTTTGGATTTTTTATTATTAGAATTACCTAATAAAGCCATTTGAGTTGTCATAGTAGTATATTTGAAACTTTTAGATAAAGAAGTATCAACATTATCATAATATTGATTTAATTCAGTGGTAGCAGCTAATGATAAACGATTATTTGATTTAAAAAATACACTTTGTCTATTGGTTTTAGCAGTTTTATAATTGGCTCTATTTTTAACTGGAACAGTTTTTAATAAACTTGAATTATTTTGATCATTATTATTAGTCCAATTATCAATTTGATTACTTCTTAATGCCATTGATTTATTATCAATTTCAGTTGCACCTTGTTTTCTTGATACAACCCATCTAAAATAACAAGCCATTATAAATTTAGTAATCACAACTGATAAAATAAAAGTTAATGATACAACTAAAACAACTTTTGAAGCAATACAACCAATAGTATCAGAATCAATGGTACCAACTTTAATGATTTCTGTAAGACATCTTGCAGCTTGTCTTTCATCAGAGTTAGTTAAAACTAATGAAATATCATGACCTCTATAAGTTAAATCTTGACGTAATTTATCAAATAATTCAGGATAAGTAACATCATCTTTTTGAATCCAATCAATTAAATCTAAATCAAGTACAGTACCAGAATAAACCACTAAATTTCTTGAACTATTTCTAATATCATCCCAAGTAAAATAAACATCACCATCGACTTTTAAACTATAATAAGCTTCTCTAGCAGTTCCACTAGTATGACAAGCCCAACCATTATAATAAACTGAAGTCATATTTGGTTGAGTAGAACCATCTTGATTAAATAAACGACAAGGCATATACCATGCTAATTCATCATCATTTGAAGTTGGAATAGTACAATTATCTCTTGGTATAATCAAATTTTTACAATTACCATTAACATTTTGAAATAAAAATGAAGCATCCATACCCCCTGCATTTACAGGAGGATATAAAACATTTGAACCAGCTGGAATTCCAGCAGCACCAGGATGTTTTGAAGAAGTTAAATCAAATGATCTACCATTAATAATAAGATAACCACTATTAACATCATTATTTCTGGTTCTAATTGGTTGATTTGAACAAACCGTTCTTGTAAAACCAAAAGTTAAATAAGCAACCATAGTACCAATATAAAGAATACAAGATAAAAGACCAATTTTTTCTCTCCAAGCAAATTGACGTTCTTTAGTTTTTAAACCACATAATTTTAATAAAGGAGATGGAGCCCAAAATGTAATAATATAACAATAAATTTTCCAAAAAATAAAACTATTAGAATTTGCTGAAGTTGAAGTTGAATTTGAATCTATTTTATAATTATTTCTAATTGGATTTGTAATAACTTTTTGTTTTCTTGAATTTTGTCTACCTCTATCATTATAATCATTATTATCAAATTCATCATTTAAACCAAAAACTTCACGACCTTGATGTTTTTGAGGGGAATTATTAATATCCATAAGAGGTATATCTTCTTCATCAGCTCCAATAGGAGGAGCAGTATGAGATTGTCTGAGAGGAGATTTACCACGTTGATGAGATCTTGAAGGAGATAAATTTGATGAATTAGAATTTTGAGGATCTAAACCAGTTGAACTAGGTAAAACTTTTAAATGATTTGATTGTTGATTTGTAACTTGGGTATAATGATATCTTGGATTAGTTGGATCCATACGAGATCTTTCTCTTCTAACAAGAGACTTTTTTCTTGAAACATCACCAGATTCGGGATCGAATTCTTGATATTTATTGGGACTAACGCTATTTCTGAAAGACATAGTTTAAATGTGATGCTGATGATGATAAATAATAAATTGTAACCTGGGATAAAAGATACCTAAATGTAATGAAATGAATTGAAAATGAAGTGGAGAGGGTTGATTATGAAAAATTAATGATAAGATGGATGTATATATGTAAAAATGGATGATAATTATATGCCAAGGGAAGCTAAGCGAATGAATGATAATATTAAAGAACTTATTGAAACAAAACACACCAACTTTAATGGAAGATAGTTTGGTGAAGAAGGATCAACTAAGAGTAGTAGTAGTAGTAAGAAGAATTAACTTAGAAATGAGATGAAATCAAAGTCAAAGTCAAATCAAATCAAATCAAATCAAAGTATGAAAAAGGGGAATCAAAAAAAGAAAGACTGAAATTTTTTTTTGTAACTTAATCTATAAAAATTTATTTTTAGTAGTTAAAGTTTTGGATGGTGTTGGGTGGATGGTTAGTGTAATTAGTAGTGATGGACGGTGGGAGGAGGGAGGGAAAGGAGATGCAGAATGTTTACAAAACTGAAATGGTTTTGTGAATGAATTTTTTTAAAGTGATCTGAAGCGCCTACAAAAAAAGGGAAGGGACGTGTTGGTGGGGGGGGTGGTATTGATTGACTGTTGGATGGATCAAATGATCTGACTGTCTGATTGATTGATGGATTGATTGATGGATGGATGGATTGATAGTTGTAACCAACTGGTTTGATGAAACAAGAAGAAAAGTGGTTGTAAATTTAAAAAAAGGGTGTTTCCATAAAATTCCATTTTGTCTGCTTTTGTCGTTTGTTTTGATTTGGACTTTTTCTCCTACAAATCCTAAAACAGACAAAAAAAAAGAATAAAAAAATTTTTTGCAGTTTTTTTTATTTTTTTGTGATCATTACAGTTTAACTAAAATTAACCTGTAATTAGACCTAATTAGGAATAAATTGTAAATAATAAAAATAAATCTGCGACAAAATCAGTTTTCGACAAATCAGTTTATGACAAACCATTTACGACATGATTGAAATATACCATATTGATCTACATCTACACATCAAATATATCTTTCATTACAAAAGCAGAAGTATCTATTTAATCTGATAAGATACATCTCATTAGACTAAATAATAATAATAACAATAACATTATAATATTAATAATAATAATTGATATATTATTAACCCTAAAATATATATACGAGAGTTTATAATGACATCGCCACTAACTCATCAAACTCATCACTATAATTATTATTATCAGTACTAATAGGAAATGATTCCAACGTATCCGGGGATCATACCTGGTTTACAGTTTACAACGGTTCTATATTTAACCCATTAATCATATCATCAACAACCCATCAATCCCTTCCATTAATTAATGTCAATTTTTATATAAATCAGAAAACAAAAAGAAACTAAAAAAAAAAAAAAATACTTCTAAATTTAGAACTCGTATAGCTTCGCTTCGTCTATTTTTCAATTTTACGTCAAAACTACACACTGACCTCCATTTACACCCCCTCCTGTTAATTAATTACATGATTTTATATGATTTGATTATATAATAATTTAATTTTACTTTATTTACTTGATTTTATTTTATTTCATTATACACTCTATGTTAATTTTTGTAATACAATTTCTAATAATTGTTCAAGTCCATTAATCCTATCGGAAAATGGTATCAACTTAACCATCAATCCATTCAATTGTTTAAACTTTTGTTCAACTTCTTTCGCTTGTTCTCGTTGTCTTATATCTATAATACCTCTCAATATAATTAATAATTCTTGTTGTTGAATCTTCGATATTGGACATTTATATAATAATTTTTGATCACTTATAAATCTTCTAATACAAAATATTGATCTTATAATAAAATAATTTTGACTAGTAATATTCAATATTGATTCTTGAGGTATTAAACAAAATTTAATTAATTCAGTTAAACAATTAAATCGAGTACATTTATTATTAAATTTCTTAATGGTTTTAGTACTACCAAATGTTTCATTAAAATTAAATTTAATAATTAATGATATTAATTCATTACTATCATTATTACTTTCTTTAATCATTAATGATTCCAGTTCATCAAATTCATATAAAAATGAATTCTCATAAATCGTTTCAATAAAATCTTCTAAAATTTTATTCCCACTAGTTTCAATTAATCGAGGTAAAATAATCTCAATCAAGGATTGATATTGTTCAATATTAATTAATTCATCTTCATTACTCTTCTTGTCATCATCTTTATTATTAACAAAACATAATTTAATACTCTCAACTATCAATTTCCATAATTCTTCATCAATATCTTGTCCACTTTCAATCAATTGTTTAATAATATTCTTTACAATTACATTACTTTCAATCCAAATTTGACTCTTCTCTTTACTAACAATCCCAATTGATCTTGATTTAATTACTTCTAATAATGATTTTAAAATCTTATTAATCCCTTTATCCTTTAATAAGATAGCAAAATCATCTCCATTCAATTCAAGTAATTTTTCTCGTAATAATTCTAATGATAAATGACTTATAGCAATAAATGTAGGTAATTTGAATTTATTCCCATTAATTAATTTATTATTAGTTAATTTTTGTTCAATTCTTAATCGAGTTCCAAATGGGTATACTATAATATTACTTAATTGTTGAATGATTTGGGATTTAATATTTCCATCATCAATTTGAATAATAGTTAAATTATTCAATACTGCTCGTTGTAATTTAGATGGTTTAACATTATCCCCTTGATTATCAGGTAAGATAGGATATCTAGCACATTTATTTAATAAATTCAAAATAATTTGAATTTCTTCATTGCTAACATCAGTTGATTTAATGATTGGATATAATGGAGTAAAACAATTCATAAACGATGTAATAGATTCTTGATATAAAGGATTTATAAAATCATATTCAACTGGAATATCATACCAGAATTTAAATAATAAATCTCTAAATTCAGATTTGAGCGTTATATTAGAATCTTGAAATGGAATTAATAAATCTTGAAATGATTTAAATACCTTTAAATTCAAATCAATCCATTTAAAATTTAATAAATTGGTAAAATATTTAATTAATATAATCCATTTATCAATTATATTTGGAATTTGATCAAATTTAATCATGAATTTATTATAAATCAATATTAATCCAGTTAATATCAAATGTAAACTTTCAATCCATTCCTTTCTATTGAATTTAGAATCAGTAAGATTTAATTCAATATTAAATAAATTAGGTAACACAATCGTATAAATCAAATCCCAACTCTTGGATTCAGTTATTAAATCTCCATGAATCTCAATGATTTGAAAGAAGGTTTGAATCGATCCATCTCGAACTTGGGCTCTGGTATCTAATGATAATTTAACTAATTTTGATAATAAATAAATAATAATCAATGTATGATATAAATATTCATCTTTATCATTTTGAGTTTGATTGATTTTAGTTATTAATTCAGCTTCATCATGAATTATCTCTTGTTCAATAAGTTTACTCTTCTCATTATCAAATTTTAAAATTCGAGATTTTAAAGAATCACTAATTAACCAAAAATAACTGATGGAACTAAATGAAATATTTAAATCAAAAGTTTGGGAACAAAAGTTATATAATGTATCAATCAATAAAATCAATTGATTAGATGGAATTGAAGTTAAAAATTCATCCAAGATTAATTTCAATGTATCAAATGATTTCTCAATTAATAATCTAATTCGTTCTCTTAAATTAACTTCATCTTTATTAATCAAAGTATCTTGAGTGACTTTAAAGGGAGTATTTAATATAGTAAACACAGTATGCCAGGAATTCTTATAATAAGAATCATATTGATCAATCAATTGATGTAATATAGTTAAAGTTGATAAATGAATCTCAGTCTCACAATTTAACACCAATAGTTCATGTGGGATACCTAAATTAAATAATCCAATCAAATATCGATTTAATCCATCTAAAGATTTAATTGAAGTTTGATAATTCACCTGTTCATTCTCCACCCCAAATCCTTCATCACTCAAGTTCTTAATGATTTGATTATAAGTTTGAACAATGTATAATCTCAAATTATAAGCTATATCTCTTCTATTCCCAAGTTTAATAAAATATTCCGTGATTAAATCCCATGATTTATTGTCTAATATAAGAAATTTATTAGATTCTATTTGACAAAATTCCAACAATCTATCCACGAAATAGGTCTTGTTATAAGGACATGTTCTAAGAGCAGTGTGTTTCTTATGGGCTTGGTTATTGCTATGACCATTGGTTGAAGGGGGAGTGAATGGTTTCTTCTCATCATATTCAACTTCCGGTCCATCTTCATCTTCGTCTTCTTCTGCAATATCAGTAATTGGCTTATCTTGTTCTTCAAAAACGCGATTAGATAATTCTAAAATAGCTTTGATTAATTCATTATATGATTCAACTGGATATTCTTTGAAACTATCCATTAACTTCTTCTTTGATAATTCAATATTATTAATATCTTGAGGTGATAATTGAGGTAACAGTGCTTCAGTGAACGATTTATAAGCTTTATGATTGAAAAATCCACTATATTCATCCGGTCCATTTATAAAATAATCACACCATTGAAATGTAATCCAAATAATAGTCCAAGAATTTTGTAAGGTTGAACCTAAAGAAACAGCCAAATTGGCTAATGCTCTTAAACAAGTTACATGTCTTGAATTTATATATCTTGATCTTACCGTCACTGGTACAGATGTTTGTAATGGATGTGGTTGTGGATGAGTATCCGATGGTTGTTTTTGTGAAGTCAAAGTTGAACTAAATGATTCGACTAATGATTCTCCAAATGCTAATAATTGTTTCCCCTGTAATTGTAAACTTGAACCACTGTTAGTTAAAGTCTTGGATTCATCTTTCGAGATATTATGAGTAATTGAATTTGATAAAATAATTAATAACCCATCTCTAATGGAAGTTAATCCTAATAATCCTGTCGAATGAGTAAATCTTTGAAATGAACGAATCAATAAATGGAAACTCTCATCATCCATAGCCAGATAAATAAATCTTTCAAATAAAACAGAAATATCTTTAAAATTAGATTCAATGAATGCATTCGTAAATTCAACATCTGCTTCAAGATTTACTGGATCAGAACCATTTGATAATGATTGGACAAACCCTGCTATTCCATCGGCATATGACAATAAAATATTATAGATTAAGTAAATAGGATAAGTCTTTGGTAATTGAGTTGGAGGTTCTGATTTATCAAAATGATCAATAAGTGGAGTTTTCAAATGTGATGATGATTTGGATAAATAAATCGGACTTGATTGATCTTGATTTTTACTAGGTGATTGTGGAGTTTGTAATGATGAAGTTGAAGTTGATGATGATGAAGATGGTTGTTGTAATGGGGGTTGACTAACAATTGATGGACGTTTAACAATATCATTAAACAAATAAGAATTTGACAGTAAGAAAGTATTTAAAATGGCAATTAATTCTTGTAATACATTTTTCTTTCTTGGATTGTTATCATATTTTTCAAAGATTGATTTTACAAAATGAAAATCTGAAAATAATCCTTTATAAGTTTCTAACACCAAAATCTTTTCCCATATATCACCTTCATTTTCATTATTTAATAAGATATGATTTAAAAATGAAAGGACAATTTCACATTCAATTTCTAAATTATCTAATTGAGATGCTAATAAAACGTGTAAAACTCTCATAGTTCTTGTTATATAGGGGAAATTTCTTTGATGACTTGAATTTAAAATTCTTAATAATGATGGAATGATTTTAATTCTTAATAAATATGCTAATTCTTGATGAGTTTGGAATAATAGTTTATGATTTATAATGATATTTTCGACAATTTCCAATACTGATAATACTTTAATATGAATTGCTTTGGTAAAGAACATGGGTGATTCATTTTCAATCAATTTACATAAATCTTGGAATATATTATAACATTCAAAACATTCACCATTGACTTTGATCACTTCATCGTTATCAATTATGACTTCATGAACATTTTCTGATTCATCTGAACTTTCAGGATTTATATCAAAAATATTACTGAATAATTGTTGTAAAGTTGCTGAAGCAGTATTTATAACCACGGTTGATTTATTATTTGCTGTTAAATTAGAACAAACAGTCAATAATTTAATCAACAATGGCCCTGTGAAAAAAGTATGATAGTTCTGCATCAATGTAGGTAAACATTGTAAGATTCTTAATTGAATATCAATAGCTAAATTACTTGCTTCTTGTAAGGAATCCACTAAATCATTCAAACAACTAGGGGGGATAATAGTAGCCATGATCAATCGATGAATAATTGGGATAGACAATGTGATCAATTTGGCATTCCCAGACTTACATGCATTGATAAACGGTATAATGACGGTACTATTATCATTAAGTTGAATATCATTAATGGGACTGGTTTGATCTAATGATTTTAATTGATTGATAGCAGTATCACAACCTTGTTTAATTTCAGGAAATCTTCGTTTAGATTCCAATCCAAGTGTAGTGAAATCAGCTACAAGCTGTTGAACACTCCCCATTGATGTGTTGTTTATAATTGATAAGATCTTAACAAGGTGTTGCCAAAAATATTTAACTGTTTATCTGTTCACACCGCTTTTGTATTTATTTTTTTTGGCTTGGTTTGGTTTGGTTTGACGTGTACTTTCAAAAATATCAACAAACCACAATCAGAACTAGTTAGATCTAATATAGATCTTTACAACAACCTAAAGGGATAGACGTGATTAACATTCATGGCATATAAAGATGTAGAGGAAACAATGTAGATAGATACAAAAAACAATGAATATAAAATGAAATATAGATAATACAAAAATAATGCTAAATGACAGTTATGCTAACACCAAAAGTTTAAGAATTTAATATAGAAAGGTTGATCATTTCTACGTTCTTTTTCTTCTTCGACTTCTTGAAGGAGTAAATCCATATCAACAATGACTCTACCGGACGTGACATCCATATCTTCTGCTTTAATGAAAAGTTTCCAATTCTTAGTATAAATCTTATGACCAAGATAAAATATAATTACAATAGGAGCGGCAAGATAAGCTTGAAAGAAATTAACTGCATCTAAACTTGGACCTCCAATAGGGAATAAAGCGATGTAGAATTGAGCGATTAAGATTAATACATTGATGATTAATGAGAAATAAGCACCATAATCTCCTCCTAAGGCTTTGAATGGTTTATTACTTACGGGAATATTTTGAACTTTTAAAGCATGATTAACTCTAATTTGAGCTAATGAAATTGAAATCCAAATAAAAATAGTTGATAATCCACTTAATGCCAATAACCAATTGAAAACTTCAGTTTGAACTGATGATACACATACAAATCCAATTAATCCAAATGATAATGCGATTAAAATAGCATAAATTGGTCTTCCCTTTTGATCAATATAACCTAAGAATTTAGGTCCATGACCTGCTTCTGCTAATGCTACTAAAGGTTTATAAGATGCAAATACACTAGCATTAGCAACAGAAAGAACTGCTAATAAAATAATAGCATTGAAAATTGAGGGTAAGATTTTAATACCACCATTTTGAATTGCAATAACAAATGGTGAAGCTGATGAACCTGAATTTCCCATAAGTTTTGGATCATTATAAGGAACCAAGAAACAAATAAGGATAATTGAAAGCATGTAGAATACGGAAATTCTCCAAAACACTTGTTTAAGAGCTTTCTTTAATGAAGTTCTTGGATGTCTGGATGAAGCAGCAGCAATGGCAACTAATTCAGTACCACTAAAACTAAAAGCTGCATTGATAAGAGTATTTAACACTCCTCTAAATCCATTGGCAAATGCTCCAGGATTATGCCAATAATGAGCCCCAATATATCCTTGATCGCCAGCCCCGCCAGCAATCATAATAATAGCAAATATACAAAATCCAGCTATACCAATAACTTTTATAATAGAAAACATTGATTCACCATAACCATACCCTTTAACTCCAAAGATATTAATGGCACAGATGATTGCATAAAAGATAGCTACCCAAACAGCGGTACTTATATCTGAATTCCAATAATTAATAGTTAATGAAGCACCAACTAATGATAAAGGTAAAGTTATAACCCATTGTAAACAATAATTCCAATTCATGGCGAAACCCCAAGATTCATCAATGAATCTTGAATTATATTTTAGGAAATTACCTGCCACCGGGAATGAAGAAGTTAATTCTCCTAATGATTGAACTATGAAGAAGATTAATACAGCAATGATGATATAACCAATGATACAACCTGCTGGACCGGCAGTTGCAATGGCATCGGCACTACTGATGAATAAACCAGATCCGATACATGAACTTAAGGCGATTAATTTAACTTGATAATCAGGAAGGCCATCTTCCATGGTAGTTACAATGATATCATCATCACCATTTTCTAATTTGTTTGCAATTTTAAATGAATTAAAAATACCTTTAGAAACTTTTCCATTAGTTTGATTAGTAGTAGTAGTGGTAGTTTTAGAGAGATGAGATGTATCTTTAGTAGTTTGTAAAGTGAAACTTTCAATTGAAAAATTATCTTCTTTTTTAATTGGTGTCATATCATTTTCACTTGGCATGATTGTAGATAGGTTTAAATTCTATTAAGAGATAACAGGTTATGCTCTTAACGACTAAAACATAAGGTGGAAAAATGGTAAAGAGTAGATTGATTAAGATTATGAAAATTTTAATTCAAAAAAAGAGTTGTTACTTGCCATTAGAGGAAAGATGTCAAAGAGTTGAAATCTTAGGCGTAGCATATCATCACACAAGATATTTGACTCATAAAAAGAAACATTATAATGCCTAATGTTTAACGGTATGTTTAATATGCCTAACGGTTGGATGTTGTAGAATATATAAATAAAACAGAAAATCTAGTAGGCATTTGCCAGACACCATCATAAAGATCGAAATACACCTTAAAAGAAATATGGCAAAACTCAAAATAAGTAACGGCAAAATATACACTTAACGCCGCTCATAGTTCAAGCCATATACAGGGCATACTAAAAAATTTCTCTCCCAAAGTGAGAAAGAGGGCTATTAACCATTTGAAGAAAGAAAAAAAAAGGTTGCAATCGAAAAAAAAAAAAAATATAAATAAAAAAAAAATAAAAAAAAAAATAAAAAGAATTTTTAAATTTCTTTTTTTGAGAAACTACGACTGCGAAAAAAAAACAAAAAAAAGGCAAAGGAATCAGAAAAATGAGTGATGTTCGGTCATACATTTCCATTGTCAGTTTTTTAGTTAGACTGTGAGTCGCATCTTTCAAATTTTTCTTGTCTAAAACACAAAATAGACATGACAAAAAATAGTCAAAGCCCAGTCTTTCCCATGTCTTGTCCTTCACCGTATACCATAGTATGTATCTGTTTTGACATGACATTTTTCTTAACTGTATTTAATAATTTGGACTGTTTCATCATTGTTTGGAATTCTATTTCTATTTCCAGTTTCTCTCTCTCAGTTGCCGATAATGCATAGAACATTATATTTTCTTATATTATATTGCTATCATTGTTTGTCTAATATTTATTTATTTATTTATTTATTTATTTATTTATTATTTACGTTAACTTGCAGTATATTCGCTAATGTTAGTATGGGTTTTTTATGACTTACCTTCAGATCAAAACCAAACCAGAAAGCAAAAATATTTTTCCGAAATGAAAAACGAAACCTAATCCGTTGTTGTCCGTAATCTCTGACATGTTATTTTTTCTGCTTTTTCAAAACCTTTGCAATTTATTGACGACGTTACTATCCCTTAAATTTAAACTCAGATAGTTACATGTTACTAAATCTATATTATAACGTTATTTTATGTAAGTTGCGACCCAAGTTTTATTTGTCTTGATGTTTTATCTTGTACTATATTGTATGGTCGATCGATCGATCGATGGATCGATACTATAGTGTGTTATATTTCTTTAAACTAAAATTCAGCCTTGTCTTATCATATCTTATACATTACTCGATATTAAATTCTAATTGCTGGAGGCAACGTTTCTACTTATGGTCTTATTTACAAATTTTTGCTTGTAATATAAATTAAAAAGAAGTCCAGAAATATTATTGTTTATTATTGTTATTATGATTATTATTTAATTACTAGAAAATTAGTGGGACCATTCATTCGCAGTTAAATGACTGTTTAACAAAAAAAAACATGATAAATGAAAAAAAATAAAAAAAATAAAAATAAAAATTAAAATTAAAAAAAAAAAATTGAAAAATTGAAAAAAAGCCGACGCACATAATTCGGAAAAACTTATGACATTTGATGTAAGTCCTTTAAGAGCATAAAAGGCACGATATTCTTTATGTTTATTTACATTTTGGTCGATAAAATTCAGTCATATTGTTGCTTGATTATTTTTCGATTCAATTATATAAGCTTGGAAAAATTTCGATTGGCGTATTATCAGAAATGAATGGCCTCAACTTTAACTTTAACTTTAACTTCAAGTTAAACGGTTCGTTATAAAACTATAACAGAACAATCAGTTTGAACAGTCGCAACTTTAAAGTAAAGGTGGGTACTTATTATAACACATAAACTTCATAAACATTAAATGGCAAGCATAAATAAATAAATAAATAATAGGTATATAAAAATATTATATATCTTTAAAGGGGGGAAGAAATCAAAAAAATGTAAAAACAAAATATGACCATAGAAATAAAAAATCTATAAAACAGTAACAAAACTTTAAATGGAAAAATAAACAAACAAACAAACGAACGAACGCAACAAGTAAGGAAATAATATGGTATGGTATGAATCAATCTATTGAAATTTGGTAATATCACCTCCAAGTCTTACCACTTCAGATCTTAACATTTGAAGTTCAGATTCAATCTTTTTTTCATTCTTTTGTAAATGTAAAATATAATCAATGGCTTTTTCTAAAATGATTGATTTATTTAATCTTGCACAATTAGCATTATTTACATTTGATTTTTCATCACAATCTTCATCATCTTCATCTTTTTGACCCGTTTCAAACGCAGTCTTTTCATAAGCTACCCAAGGTATAATTTGTTGTAATCCAGCAATCTTAGCATTAATATTAATTCTATATTTCTTTTCAATTTTATTATGAGCTTGCTTTTGACTATCAGTTAATCTCTTTCTTGGTGCTCTTCTCTTTTTAGGTTTAGAAACCATATTTAAATTAGATGAAGAATTGGAAGTACTTATTGATGTTAATGAATTTGATTTTAATGATGGTGATGCCATAGATGAATTGGTTGATAATGATAATGATGAATTAATACTACTATCCATAGTTTTTCTTCTTGATAATAATGATTGATGATGATTATTACAATCTTTTTCATCTTTTAAAATATCTTTAGTATTAAAAATTGATTCTAAATTTTTAGATGTAAAATCATTAAGGGTTTGAAATTTACTTAATTTTAATTCTGGTAATTCACTATCATCAACCGTTTCAGTTTTAATAATAACAGGTGAAGCTTGTAATGAATCAGATGTTCTAGCAGTAGTTGAAGATCCTGATGATGATAAATAAGCAGTATCATTATTTGGAGATGATTCATCAATTTGATCTTGTTCATCATCGAAATATTTAGTAAGATCCAAAGTGGCACCTAATTGTTGTTGAATTTGTTGTAATTGTTGATCAGTGGCATTAGTATTAGTGAAATTCAATTCACTAAAACTATTGGTAGTAGTCATTGGAGCTGATTTGGTTAATAAATCATCTAACCATTGATCATTGGCATTGGTGGAGGCATTGATCGGTGATAAGGGTGTGGAATGTTGTTGTTGTTGTTGTTGTGGGGTTTGTAAATGTGCCTGCACTTGTTGTTGTTGTTGGAGTTGTTGAAGGAATTGTTGTTTTTGTTGTTGTTGTTGTTGAGGTTGGGATAGTAATTGTACGTTGTTATAATATTGATTGAATTGCATTTGACTTTGTTGCAACTGTTGTAAATGATTCAATTGTTGTTGAAATTGTTGTTGTTGACTAAACATGGTAAGGTATTATCAGTGATAGTTGTATATATGTATGAGTATGAGAATCTATAAGGACATGGAAATTAAAAAGAAGTATTATATAAATAAATATATAAATAAACCATTATGAAATCCTAACTTAGATTGAAATAAGAGATTATTATCACCATTTATATATTAAATTAATTTTCTAAAAGCTTAAATCCTCATCCTCCATTTAAAGTAACACACACATTGTTAATTAAATGATTAGTAGACGTAAAAGTGCAATGGAAATGTTACTTAAAAAAGGTCCAATATTATTTTTTAGTAAATTTTAATCTCTCTTTTTTTTTTTTTTATTTTTTAGAATTTATTTTTTAGAATTTATTTTATTCTTTTTTTTTTATTTCATTTTTATTTTTTTTCTGTCTGCAAAATATTTTCTGACTGACTGAGGAAAAAAAAAAAAAAAACTTTAATTTTTAATCAGCTAATGTTAAATGTGCTTGAATCTCTCGCCGCCCATAGTTAACTTAATCCAGTAATACCAAATAAAAAAAAAAAAAGAAATTCATGACCATCTAAAAAGCGAAATTTTATTTTTCCGATCAGAATATGAACTCATCATCATTTTAATTTAATTTAATTTAATTTAATTTAATTTAATTTAATTGTTAATTCTAATGTTCCTCTCTATCAGTTACTGTTTACTGTTCATATCTATACCTAATAAAGAAAAACCCGCCAGCGTCAATATGAATTCATCTTTTTTTAGTTCATTCATTAAAAAAAAGGTCTCAGCATTTTGACTGACTATAGGGAGAAAAACAAAAAAAAACATCCCATTTCTTTCTACGCATTACGTAGTGGTAATTTATTTCTTGTCCATTATTCAAACTTCAATTATATCCAACTCAGGTTAGATACGTAATCTGTTTTGGGCTTTGGTTCGGATTAACTGTGATACATTCGATTGGCGATTCAGGTTTGTTGGTCCTATTTCAAAGTAATTTAAGCACATTTAATCATTATACATAGTAAATCAAATTCATCTGTTCTGTTCTGATCCGTTCTGTTCTGATCTGTACTGGTTTGCACTCTTTTTTTTTGTTTTTTTAGTTCTACGCAGCCACTTTTTCATCGCTGCTGCTGCCATTCCTCTCATACCATATAAAAAAATTATCACGTTTTTTTTATTTTTCTGTTCAAGGTAGCTATTTTTATGATATCATATGTTTTTTTTTATTTTAACTAATTAATTAATTGGGCTGTATGGAACGTTATTGATCTTTTCCATTACATCGATCTGAAATCAATTAAATGAATTGAATTGAATTGAATTCAATCTCATCCATTACGTCTTTAATATTAGAATAATATTAATATTAATATTAATTAACTATGTACCAATACTGAATCGGCTTTCTTCCTCGTGTCTCGCCAATTAGGCTTTAATATCTCCATAATCGGGCTCTTGATCCCACACTAAATTTAAATTTTCAAACTCCCTGTCCCCGAACCAGTTCAATCTTCGCACAATAATTATTAATATTATCCAATCCTAATCTCATTCTAAGTTCAAGCACTTACAATGACAAAAAGGTAATGGACTAGAGATAGGGCTAGGCTAGTCCTTTTCCATTTTGCTTTCTTTCTCCTTATTACATAATTTCACCATTATGTATTATTTTAATAGTTAATTCACATAAATAATAAAAATCCCTATTACCCCCTCGCTCCCCCTCCTCCTCCTCGCCTCCTCTTCTACTTATTTTAGATTTTAAAGTTTAGTAAAAATATCTAATGCATTTCAAAATAATTTCTCCCACACTTTAATATTCAAATTCTCCTTTCACATTCTTTATGGTTGGTTGGTTCACACGTTTCGTAAAATTGTCTACATACAGCTTATATAAAAGGCTACATAATAACCAATTGATAGAGAGATAAGGACTTATCATAAACCTTACTAAGTAAAGCTTATCATGGATCCATATCAACCCTTTTCATTTACTATCGGTGAAATTAATTTAAGGTTGTTAAACCTTTTTCCGTTACTGGAAACTTCCTTCCTTCCATCGGTACAAAAGCAAAAAACAATATATATAATTTTTGTGTCAGTATCTTAAACTTTTGATAGAATCTATTTTTGAAATCTGGATTGATGAAAAGGAATTCAGCAACAAAATTAATACTACCAGTTAGTTAATTCTAAAACATAACCGGTTACTTTTATTTAAATAAGTGAATTTTTATTCCCCAGTTAAAAGATCCTATTGTAACATTTTTATTGTTAATGAAATATGGTTTTGGTTTGTATCCCCAATCTAAATAAAAATTTTGAAGCGATTAACGAAACATGTAAGGGTCAATAGGTCTGTTAGTTCTCACATTCAAACCATTACGTATGTAGCATAATATTACATCGAATAGGTTTGATACCTTTTTTTTGGTTTTGTTTTTGAATTTGGTTTGGTTAGATTATTTTCAATATTTTTATTATTTGTTTTTTTCAAACCCCATAAAAGTCCATTCTTAATTTCCCCATCATCTCTATTGTGTATTAACTTTAAAACTTTGCATTTATACAGTATAAAGTCTAATTCATTTGGTTATTTTTTACAATGTTTATTTTTTTTTATATATATGATGAAATAAAGATCGACGTTTTTAAAAAAAGGGAAGCCTTTGCTTTCCTTCTTTGCCTTACATTTTGAATTAGTTTCAATAAAGGGTTGCACGTAATATAACATCTTTATAAAAAAAAAAGAACTAGAATGAGAGATGATATTTCCAAAAATTATTATTATCGTAAATCCTGTTGCCCTGTTTTACTTGGCCGTGGCCGCAATAAATAAATAAGTCATTTACTATCTTTTATCATACATTTTCTTTTTTTAGCCCTTTTTCACTCCAGGTATATTATCCATCTGCCGCTTCTATTGCTAAGTTTCGCTAGCGTAAAATTGCTCACTTTTCACTTATCTAATACCAAGATTCTTATTTGAAAAAGATCACCAACCATCAATTGTATGCATTAGAATTTCCTATCTGTAGAATTTTCATTAGAAAATAGAATGAAACATATCCAACATGGATAATGCCTAGACAAAAATGGATTTATTTATTGAATGATGAATCAATGAAATGTTGTAATTATGGTTCCTCCAATGTGTAAGTTATTAATGTATCATCAATTCTGGTTAATTCTCCTCTCTAATCTCCTCTTCTTTCAGTTTCTCCTTAGTTTCGCAATAAACACTCATGCATCCGAATTATCAAAATCATTGATAAAGTGCATGGGTCATAACAAAGGGGGAATAAAAACCACAATTCTTTTTCGAATGGGGGATACTAAAAAATAAATTTCTTCATCAAAAAAAAAAAAAAATTAAAAAAAAAAAAAAAAAAAAAGAATTAAAAATTAAAAATGGAAAATAAAAGACTGCATGAAACCCAGTCAAAAACAAAGAGAAAAGTGAGACTAAATAATATTTTAGAGATTCAAAATATGTACATTTTAAACTTTAAAAAACTTTGACTTTTCAAACTTTAAATTTTCCACAACTTTATCAACAAAAAGAGATATCAATCAACCAATAAATTAATCAAAGTGGCACCTTCTATCAATTCATGTTTCAACGATGCCATTACACACAATGGGTTTTCTCATCTCTCTCTTTTCAATTATATTGTAAAGAATTGTTCATTACTCTATTGTTAAAATAATAATATTATTATTCATTATTTTTGTTCTTTTTTATCGGACTTTAATGCGCTTTCCTATCCTTTCCTTTCTCTATCTATCCGTTCCTTCTCTATTTTTTATCTTTTTCTTTTTCATCTTCTCAATATGGAAGTGGTATCCCATTCCATATTTCCCCCCTCCTTGTGCCCCTTCTCTCCTATCTTAAAATATTTATCCTTCACCGACATATGTACATGTACATTTGATTCGATAAAGCACAATTTCACAATTCATAAAATGCCTTGCCAATTAGCCGTAGCTGTACCAGGTGCTTTTCTTTATTGGTCTCTATCGTGCATTTACAGTCCCCTCATTCGCATCCAATTATAGTTTGATGTTCTCTTTTCTGGAGAATATGCCCCTAGACCATGCTTTTGACCACATTTCTCAATTTAAATTGCGGTCCATTTTAAAGCCATTTAGATATGCACACACCATTTCTTTCACCCTTATTCTTAACATTATCCTTAAATTCATTGTCCCTACACAGTAGTATATACGAAAAAGAAACCAAAAAAATAACTATTAAAAAAGCTTCACTGACCCACATAACCCTCATCACATCTCCATCATTAACTTGTACCGCTACGATTATCGCTGCGAGTTTATAATATATTATTTTATTGATTCAATTCACACATTTTCAATCATTTATTCATTCACCAACTACTTACCCCCGAAAAAGAACTCGTTGATAGTTACATACGGCATTGAGTCAAACTCAATCATTCTGGCTTAAACAGAAAAATACTCAAAAAAAAGGAAAAACAAGAAAAAGAAAAAGAAAAGAGATAATAATAATTTATCCTTTAGCAGTTCTAGGCAAACCTTATCGAATATCAACTCTTTATCATTATAATTATTGATATTATTTTCTGATAAAAAGGTTCTTTATCTATATCGATTGATTTCTCTACGTGTTTCTAAATCAAACTGGTAATTCACATATTTTTTGGAACTCCTATACTTTAGATAGATATTATAGACACAGACACATCTTCTGCATTATTAAAAAAGTTTATTTTTTTAGATTGTTTCTAGCTACTGCTTTCGTTCTATTTTTCCACATTGGGATTTGATTGACCAATTCAATTAAAGCAGTTGTTAACAACGATTAACAATATGTTTCAAACTTGCTGATACGTAGCCCTTCGCAAAAACACCAATATTCCAATGTATTTTATTATTATGATTATTATTGTAATAATAATTTTTAGATTTAAGGTTTTAAATAATTAAAGTTTAGACTTTATTTTCAAAACCAAACCTCGATGTTCTAAATGCACGTATGTACGATTGAATGAATAAATGTACATCGGTGTTTATTAACATTGTTTTGGCGATGATTTTGTCTCGAAGTTGAAAAATGGTAATTTTGGCATATATCCATCAACTCATCTCATCTCATCGATAATGCACAGTATCTATTGTGGATAATTTTTATCTATCCGCGCTGTACACCATATCTTTTTTTTCGTCTCCACATAAAAATTATGACCAGAGCGCTTCAGATCCTGTCAGACAGACATAGTAATATAAAACCATCTACTTACATCTCATCTCAAACTTAAGTAATTCGGTTATTTTTGTCGACGTGGACCTTTGTTGGTTATCTTCCCTCTAGTTATAAATTTTATTTTCTTTTCTTTTTTTTTTTTTACAATTATTATTATTATTATTATCAATTATTATTATTTATGATTAATTGTTGAGCTTATTTTCTAACTATACCAATCTCTACATAAACCTTTTTGATTTTACGGTCCCCTTAACTATTAGATAATAATAAAAATAATAAAAAAGAAATCAATTTGATTATTTTTTTGAAGTACTTGCGGTTTATATATCTTCTTTAATCGTTAAAACATGCTAAATATCCGATCATTCTTATAGTAAATGTCGATATCTTCGAGAACTTTGGTGAATTATTATTTTATCAGGGAATTATACTTAAAAATTTCTGATTATTATCTTCTTCTTTCAAATGTTATTTAATTCTGTAAATCCTTATCAAAAAGGTGCCTAAAGTCCATTTGGGTTTAGGCATTTAGAATCCACAAATTCTCTTTATCAACAGAGTTGAAAATGCTAATCACCAAGCATTTTCATAAATTATCCGTACAGATAGCGTATCAAGATAGAACACATTCTATTATTTACGTATGTCGAGTCTAGTTTCTATATTCATTCATGTAGGTTTCTGTTTCAAGTCAGGAAAATAATTATTGCATTTGATTGATTATGCCGTAAGCTTCTTTCTATGATAACTAGTTTGACGCGTAATTATATCCACCTTTGATAAAATTAAATCAAATTTCAAGTTCAAGTTCAAGTCAAAAATAACCAAGACTAAAAATGATAATTTATGTTTCAGTTACAAATAGGTACAACATTTGGTGATACAGACCTTAATTTGCGCTAAACGAACCCTTACTTTAGATATTTATGCTGCCGCTACCAAATTCACCTCACCTGCGCCAGTTATTTTATATACAGTCCTGGTCCAACCATAAATGGGATCTCGCTTTCTGTTTCTTCCTTTAGTGTCCCCTTCATCTCAGGACTAGAAAAAAAAAATAAAATAGCTGGCAAATATCAAACAACCTTTAACTAACTATAATTCATTGTCAATACCTACCATATCACAATCACCATGTCTGACGCTCCATTAAGTATCCCTGTCCAGGCAAGAAGAAAGAAGTTGACTTCTCCTGTTGATATTCTTAAATCATATATCACTCCTAAATTCATTAAAGATTTGAAATTTGGATTCTTTACTTTCCTTTTCATGTGTGTAATGTTATTTCATTATGCCTTTATAATGAAAACTTGGTTATATGACCCTTATATGGCATTGTACAAGTTAGCTGCTCATTTTGTATTCTTCTTTGCCCATATTTCATTCTGGGGTTATATTCTTTATCAATATAGTTATAAAGTGGTTTATAGAGAAGATATTGAACAAGAAAAAGCTGAACTTGAAGCTTTAAGAAAACAAAAGACTCAATAATCAATCAATTAATCAAATGTATATAGCCTCTTATAGTCCGTTTAATGTCTTCTTACGATCTCCCCTTTTTAAATATTATTATATATACAAAAAAAACATTTTATTTTTTAAAATAATTTAATAACAAAATTAAACTAATAACAACTATTTACATTCGATAGACAGACAGACAGATATACAGAATATATGTCACTCAATTAGATTTTAATCTTTCTAGATAAGACCCAACCATAAATACCTAACTCTAAGATGGCAGTGGTATTAACAAAAGTAGAAAGTAAATGATAAATACCAAACTTCTTATTCAATTGTTTGAATTCTTCAGTTAATTCACCTTTATCATCTTTATCTAATTTAGCAGCCACCAATTTATTTCTTTCTTCTTTAATGGTACGACAAACTGGTAATAACCAATAATAATTAATCAAACCCCCAAGGGAACTTAAAGCTAATAATCCAGTAGTAAATGGACATAATTTGGATGGACTACTTAAACCAATCACAATGGGTCCAATAACTTGACCAATGAAATAAGTTGGAAATACTTGGTTTTGTAAATTACTGAATTCTTCTCTTGGTAATTTCTTAAATACCAATGGTGAAATAACATAGGAATAATATAATGAACCACCAAAGGTAATTGAATAAGCAAAAAAATGGAATGTGTTGACAGCACCTGGGTTTAATCCTAATCTAGTTAACATTTTGACAAACCTTGTTCAATTGATGATGATGATATCTGATAATGAAGAATAATTTCAATTCAATTCGACTGAAATTTCAATTGGTTTAAATATGATTTTAACCCTCAGTCGCCCCATTTTTATTTTATTTGCTTATGGTCATTATTCGTTTTGTTTTTGACCGGTAAGTCCTTCCGCTCCTGCATACAAACATGGATTTTACAATCACGTCAGGCAAGATTGGTTGCATTTTTTGCATTCGTTTATTTTTATGATAACTTTATAATATGCATATGTATCTAATTAATCTTCTTTCTCCATCAAGGAGAAATTCGGGTGTTTGTTTATTTATTTGTTTGTTTGTTTGTTTGGTCATTAAATTTCATTTGTTTATAACTTTTCAATTAGTTTGAACACATTCACTAATGCATTCTGTTTGATATCTTCATCATACTTGAAAATATCTTCACCCAATTGTTCATACTTATTAACAAACCAACTAAAATCACTTTGTAATCCTAATTTCACAATAGCATCCGTTGATTTAGATGATCCTTCTTTTATCTTTGAAGTTTGTTCATATGTCTTAGCTGATATTTCTGCATTCTTAACAATATCTTCGGAAATTCCACACATTGAAGCAACATTCATACCAAATGATCCTGGTGCTGTTCCTTCTTCTAATTTATATAAAAATGTGATATTACGAGAATCCTTATCAACAATAATCCCCATTCTTAATGGTTTGATTTGAGGATGATTATTAAATGAACTACCTAATGATCCATAATGAGTTGCAAAAAATCCTAAACTTTGAATATGAGTTGATAAATGATATAATACACTTTCAGCAATAGCATATCCATCACTTGAAGAACCACCTCTACCTAATTCATCCAAGATGACTAATGAAAATGGAGTAGCATTACTTAAAATTTTCTTTGTTTCACTTAATTCCACAAAAAATGTCGATTTACCTTGTAATATATTATCTTGTGCTCCTAATCTAGTCATGATTTTATCAATTGGAGTTAATCTAGCTGATTGACATGGAACATAACATCCAATTTGACTTAATATCACCGCAAGGGATGTGGTTCTCATAAGAGTTGATTTACCAGCAGCATTGGCACCAGTTAATAAACCAAATTTTGCTTCTTTGCCTCCTAAATTAACATCATTAGGAATGAATTCTTTAGTACCTAAGAAACATGGATTTCTTAATTCTTTAAATTCAATTTCTCCTTGTTGTTTGTATTCAATGAATTGGGGTCTACATGATGGGAATCCCATAGTTTCGGAACTTTTGGTTAACGCTAATAAACAATCAATTAATGAAATGGTCTTTATAATCTTCATCCATTCATTATAATGCACATTGAATTTATTATACATTCTTTCCTTCAAACTTTCACAAACTTGTTTATGTAATTCTCTTTGTTCCATTAACTCCCTTGCTAATAATTTACCTTCGGGTGACCAATATCTTTTTACCTTTGCAGTGGAACCCATGGTTTGCCAATCATTTGGAATATTTTTAACTATTTTATTTGGAACTTCAATTAAATAAATTTCTTTACCACTATCTCTATAACAAATTTCTTGAGATTTATAAATCTTTTTATATTCTCTTAATCTTTGATTTAATTGACTTTCTAAATCATTTAATTTCATTTGCGAATCATCGAATTCTTCATCAAATCCTGAATTTGGAACAATGATATCTTGTTTGGCTTCTTCACGATTAAAAGCATCTTCCCATTCTTTAGTTAATTCATTTAAATTTTGAGGAAATTGAGCAATATAACTTTTAATAGATCCTTCAAATTCATAATTTGAAATCTTTTTAATTAATTTATTGATTGATTCAAATGATTCAATAACTTTTAAGAAATCTTTGAATTTTAAATTTTTACTATGAATTCTGGATAGTAATCGTTCTAAATCAGGTAATCCAATTAAACCATTTTCTAAAATCGATCTTACTTCATAATTATTCATTAAATAATCAATAGAATCAAATCTAGCATTAATATCAGAAACTTTGATTAGTGGATGTAAGATCCAATTCTTCAATTGTCTTTTTCCAAACGAAGTTATCGACTTATTAATTAATTTGAATAAAGTTCCTTTATCGCCTCCATCAAATGAATTACTTAAGATTTCCAAATTATTCAAAGTTATACCATCTAATAACATAGTTGTATTTCTTGATTTAGAAATCTCATATTCATTGAAATTTCCTAATGTCATGATATTTTGATCTAATTTCAATAATTTTAAATAATATAATAAACCGCCAAATGCATTAAATGCAAGCTTATTGTTATCTTTGTATGTGATTAACATGGATGGATAATTTGAAAAATCATCTAAATCTTCACCTGGATAATATTTTGATTCAACTAATTTTTCAATAGTACTATCATAATCCCAGAATTCAGTTATTGGATTTAAACTATTCCAAATTTGTTGTTTTTGTCCATTGAATTTTAACATTTTAATAGCAATAGGGCATAAATTTAATTTCTCACAAATGATTTCTTTGGGTTTAATTTGAGTTATTAATGTATCTAATTTAGTACATTCTGAATCATCATTGAATTCTAATAAATTTAATTCAGATGTTGATGTATCAACTAAGGCAACACCGAATTTATTACTTCCATCATCTAAGACTTCTTGTTTTATACTAATACAATAAACTGACATATCATCGCCAATCATATCTAAATCTGTTAATGTACCACCTGTTAAGATACTACTTAATTCACGTTTAATAATCTTTTCTTCTTTAGTGGTACCTCCTCTCATTTCTTTAGCTAATAAAGTTTCTTTTTGATCAACTTTTGCAACTTTATAACCATGACTAATGAACTCTTTTGCCCAATATTCAAAGGACATTTCTGGGATACCAGCTAATTTCATATTAGCACGACCACCTCCAGCAATCTTTAAGTCAAATTCAGAATTAGCAATATTAGCGTCATTTTCATATAATTCATAAAACTTCCCTTTTTTAAAGAATACAACCGTATTCCACATTTGGGATTTAATTTCCCAATATTGCTTTTCAAATGCAGTGAATTTTGACCAAGCTGATTGAGGAATGTAAAGTGTTCTTTCGTCATAATTAGGATCATCAATAGGTCTTTTCTCTCCGTCGCGGACATTCACTAACCATTGATATCTTTCTTCATTCTCTTTAGCAAAGTTTTTCTTTGGAGGTGGTGAAGATGTTGGTTTTGAAACAGCCTTTTTGGTTGTAGTTGAAGATCCCGTAGCTTGATATGATGAATTAGATTTGAATTTATTTCCTAAGACATTAGAGCTGGTAGGAGTAGAAGTAGAAGAAGTCGATTTCTTTGCGGGAGGTGATTTGCTTTTCTTTGAGATCTTAATATCATCATAATCTTCTTCATCATCGTCTTCCTCTTCCTTTGCACTATCTTCATCTTTATCATCTTCGACAACGAAATCACTCATATCATCTTCATCATCACTACCTTCTGGTTTGAAATCATCTTCATCATCACCATCGTCATCATCTTCACTCTCAACAATCTTTCTTCTTTTCTTCTTTGTCATTATCGTATCTTCATCTTCATCTTCATCTGACTCAGCATAACTGACACTCTTAGTAGCCCTACGTTTAACAACAGGACTCGATGCAAGGTTGTCTTTAGTAGAACTGTTCAATGGCTTTTTGACTTCCTTCTTAGCCACTGGTGATGATGTTGGATATGATTTTGATTTGATTGGAGTTGCTTCAGTTTCTGAAGTTAATGGAGTATCAGTTAATCTAGTACTAAGAGCAGTAGTATCAGCTTCATCTTCCTCTTCTTCCATTATACTGGTGTTATTCTCCTTATCACTATTATTGAATGAATTTGTGTTTGATTTACCTTTTAATGGTGATGAAGAGGTTGGGCCACTTGGAGCTAATTCCTTATTACTTGCAACAGGGGTTGCTGCAGGTTTAAAGAATGACATAAGCGACAGTTGCTTCATTTTTGCACTTGAGGAACCACCAGTTGAAATCTTGGTTGACTTCAATGGAGTCGATGGTTTCTTTACCTTCAGAGACATGATTACGCTTATCAATTGGGTATGGATCCTTAAAGAAGAAATGTGAAACTAAATCTTATTTGGCTGCCTTTTTTTAATTTCAATCCATTCATTCTTTAGTTTGTTTGTTTGTTTTGTAAAGACGCGTAATTTTTAATTTTTGGTGATTCACTTTTATTTTATTTGACCGTGTTAAAATATTTTTGTGGTGCAAAATAATACAAGGTTCATTTTTGCATCCTTTTCTTCTTTACTAGTTTACAAGTTTAGTGGATTTGACATAGTTCTCAATAAGATAAGCTTAAAAAATGAAGGTTAATGCAACTGTATGGTATTTGGTGTTATCTCAAGCGTTTCTAAATGTTGCCGCTGCTGCTGCTGTTATGGTTACTCCAAATCATCAATCTATATTACGAGATCAACCAATCTTACAAGTTTCCACAAAGACTCATGATCGACAACTAATTTACGATAAGTTACAACAAAGTTATCAACGATTGTTTGGATTGAATCTGAATCATCATGCTGTGTTACATTTAAGTAATAGTGATTCGATTAATAATGAACGTTCATGTTTGGAAAATTCTAATATCAAATACTATTTAAAGAATGTTCAATTGGTTAATCAAGATTTTGAAGCATCAGAATGTCGAACCAATCTTAATAATCAATATCAATCCATATTACAACCTACATTCAATGTTCATCAGTTTGTTCATTTCTCTTCCACCGATCAAATCATGAATCAATTACAATCAAATCTAATTGTGGAATTTGCTCATCATGATAAATTACAGCAATTCAAGTTCTTTCAATTTCAAGATTTAAATTATGATTTACAATGTTTGGTAGATTATAATCAATTGATGCAAGTAAAGTTAAGAGAAAACTTATTAGAAGCTAATTTAGAAATTGTTATTGAAGTTGCTGATACTTGTGGATTTCAAAAAATAAATGATTCATTTGATGGTATTGTACTTGAAAGTTTAAAAATAAATATCCCCATTAATGGTACTTTTTACTGTCATAATGGTAGATCGTCAACATGTACAAGAGTTAATGCTAATTATAAGAATTCAAGATTTAAATTAATATCTTAAGCAATCAAAAAACTTTTTTTTAATATATATTTCGTTATCTTTACTTCTGTATAATTTTATATATTTGAAATAAAACAAAAAAAATCAAACCAAAAAACATAGCAGAGAACAACCACTTTAAATTAGATAATTATCATTATCTTGTTCACATTATAATCTCATGTTTCGTATCAGATTTGATTTCCTTATGAGGCAAAACCACCGAATTCTGAATGAAAACTTGATTACTAACAGAAACACCCTTACATAAAATAACAATATTATTATCCAACTTCAAATTACTATTGGAAGTAGTATCAATGTCAGTGAGAATAGATGATTTACTTACTTCACCTTCAATTCTACACCATTTCCCGATCTTAACTCCTTCTGAAATAATAGCATTAGCAATATAACTATTATCACCAATAGTAACATTATCAGCAATAATCGAATTTTTTATTCTAACACCATTACCAATGACGACATTCTTACCAAATGAAACATAAGGACCAAGTTTATAACCCCCTTTTAATCTTAAATTTGAATCAAAAACTTGAATTGGAGGAATAATATTTTCAGTAGCTTTTGAATTTGAGGTATCAGATTGTTCTAAGAAATATCTATTGGCTAATAAAGCAGCTAATGGAGTTTTCAATTGATACCAGAAGCTTGTAGATTTAAAACTATAAAATTTCAGACCTTCAGTTTGAGGTAAAATCTTTAATACATCAAGTTCTAAACTAAGAGAATTTGGATTAACTGAATCATTTTCTAAATCATCATATAAAAATGCTTTTGATGCTCTTCTTTTACTTAATTGAGCTCTTTCTAAATATTTGAAAATATCCTTATTAAACACATAAATACCACCATTGATTAAAATATCATGAGTAGAATCTAAAGTAAATTCAGTAGTCGGCTTTTCAACATAATGGATAACTTCATTAGTGGATTTATTTGAAACAATAATACCAAACTTACTAATAACTTTTTGTCTTGCTTCTGGTTCTAAACTAGTTAAACCAATTAAATAATTATTTAATAATAAACTTGGATCAACTCCATAAATCACTGGATTACCGCCATGAGAATTATAAAAATCAAGTAATTGTTTAAATGGGAAATCACAAATAATATCACCATGAATAAAGAATAATTTTTCACAATCATCATCGAATATTTCATCTCTAAAATAATATAATCCACCTCCAGTACCTAACGTACCTGGTTCAGCTTTATATTTAATCTTAACCCAAGGATGAATGATTGAAATTTCATTGATATAGTTTTCTAATTGAGAAGTATCCTTGTGGAATCCAATAAGTAAGATTTCCAATGGTTCAATCCCATCTAATTGATTGATGAAGTTTTCCACAATATGAGAAATAAATGGTTTACCAACAATAGGGAATAAAACTTTGGGTAATTCCATTGACAAAGGTCTGAACCTTGTACCGGTTTTTTCACCTCCGATAAGGATAACTGCTTTAATAGTCATGATTACTTATCAATTGAGTGTTTGATTAGTTAAGTGATCAATCTAATGAATAATTGACTAAATAATAACAAACAACGCTTCAAGGACAACGAAACAAAAAACTTTAACCAAAATTGAAATAGGAGAGAGGTGGTGATGACTTCAGATTGTAAACCGTATGATGATTTTAAGGAGAGTGCCAAATGTGGTACAACCTAAATAGAAAATCTCCTCACTAAAAAAATATAAGGGAGGGAGGGGTGAGGCTGCAAATACGGGGGAACAGATCTCACTAAAAAAAAAGAGGAACAAGGATGATGATGAGGGTGGTTAGGTCACCAATGACACATGGGGGCGGGAGCTCTTGGCTTTTGATTACAATGGATTACATATATTAACTTACGTGTGTATTACTTAATTTTTATGCTCATTTTGCCTCTTGTCAAAATCAAGCTTTACAAAATATTTAACTATATCGATTGCGGCTAATGAATCTTCTCCACTATCATGCTCACCTGATTGAATAGTTCTATTGAGATACTTGAATGCAAGATCCTTTAAACTATGTTTGAATCGTTTAGTTGCAGCATGTTTAGGATATAAGATTGAAGTGTCTATGATTCTATGATGTATCAATCTCATTGCATTCATATCATTTTCTAAGCCATGACCGATTAAAATTGTATTTTTATTCATTATTTTACCTAGTTTATCGATAATTACTTGATCAAATGTAGGTGAATCTGCTGGAATATTTGAAACCCCTGACCATTGAGTATTAAGATCAATTATTTCTCCACTAACTTGAACTAATGAATCTAAAACTTCTTCACCTGTGAAAAAGTCAAGAGCTGTAACTCGTAAAAGTTCAAATCCTTTAGTAGTATATCCCATTTCGCAATCAATACCTAATGCAAAACTTTTTTCTTCATTGTCATTATAAATATCTTCGGTATCCTTAAATGGAGTTGCCCAATTCATTTCACCTGGATTATTCCAATGAAATACATGATTAGTACTTTTATTACATGGTTCTGATTCTGGATCATCAGCTATGGTCATACAACAATCATAAAATCGGATAAGTTTATCCTTTCTTCGTATTTTACCCGGATGATAATGACATTTTGTAGGTTCTAAAATTGTTCTTTTATCAAATTCAACTCCACATCTTTTACATAATCGTTTATCTTCAGGTATTATAGTTTCGGGAATTTCCATAATATATCCATAATCCTTTAATTTATCTTCAGAGATAACCAAATCATTAAGCATTTTTATATAATCATCTTTCGTTATTTCAACTGGTTTCTTTATCTTATCTGGATGTTGTAATTTATAAATGACTCTTTTAATAGTTAAAGCATATGTATGAGTGGAAGTCTTTGAAGCAACTTCATATTCTTCATCAATAGCCATTAATATTGGAGTTTGAGCTTCAGGTTTGTATTTCTTGATTGTTTCCACAAGCTTTTGAATATAACTCTTTCTAATTGCTAAACTTGCTGGTGCTGATCTTGATTTAAGTTCTTTCGGTAATATAAACTTTGGATCTTTCAATTTTTCCGTTGAATTAATCAAAGTATTAATTTTAGTTTGATATTCCTCAATGGTTGTACTTGTTTGTAGTATTTTGACTTCTTTCTCAATTGATTCCGATCTATCACCATTATAATTCTCATCTTTATGGAAATATTCAATGATTTTCTTTATATTTTGAATTCTAACATCATCCTCTATATGTAAATGCTTAGTCCTGATAGGTCTAATAGGTAAGTTTTCTTCATTCTTATGCAATTTCTGTTTCTTGAGTAATGGTTGATCAGATAAGGTAATTCGATTTACCATATTACTATTATCATCATTATGACTAAATATACAATTTAAAATCTCACAATTACCATGTTTCCTTATCTCAGGACAAGCTATATGACCGAAATATCCATTCTCTCGTTTAAACATTGCATGTCTATCCTCTAGATATGATGATTATAGATAAAATTACTAAGAATTGTCAGCCCTAACGATAGATCTGGGATACACTTTTTAGACTAGCAACCCCAAATCGTAAATGTTATGTCTAAAATTGATTTACCCGGACTATACTTGTATACAGGAACTGAAAATTTTTTTAAACTATGGTGCACAAGATGAGAAGAAAAGTATAAATAGATGCTAAAATCACATTAAAAAACTTTTTGTAAATTCCCTTCTTTTTCCTTTTCTTTGTCGACGTACTTCATAGGATCATTTCTATAGTTTACGTCCCTCTTTGACTCTTCAAAAGAGCCACTGAATCCAACTTGGTTGATGAGTGAGATACCCTTATACCCTCAAAGTGAGAACTACATATTTTTGCTTGTCTGTGATTCTTTGTTAATCCAGTCATCTATCATTATTGTTTTGCCTTTTGCATAATTTTTGTTTATTCATTGATTAATAAAAAGGAGCGATGATCTTTACCCTTTTCTTTATGCCTTTTCGGAGGACTTAGTCTTGGGTGGGTATAAGTGGCTGTCTGACAAGTTACTTTCAAAATAGGTTAAAAAGTTATTTATAACTTTTTTGACTTTGATTGACTGTAACTATAGTTAACCTTTGTTGCTTTCGTCGACCAGTACATATGTTTGTTTGTTTATTGATATCGTTTAGTTATGATTCAATTTTTTTTTTTTACATAGAGACAAAGAAAAGGAATATAAGAGAACTTTTTTTCAACTTGAAAACCATTTTTAAAAACTTTGTAGTTGCATCTAATTTACATTGATCAATGTTAATTATGAGGAAGTGTACATTTTCTTAATCTATAAACATATTAAACTAATTCATTGACTGGAGTCTTAGCAGGATATTCATATAATTTATAATAATCCACTACTTTACCATTCAAATTATTTTCACCTTCGATAGGTAAATATAATAAATTTCTAAAATTAACTTCATCACCTAAAATCCAAAAATCTAACCAATTTTGTTTAATTCCATAATCGGTTGGGACATTGATTCTATTAATACCAAATGGTTGAGTACCATCATGTTCTTCATCATCGTTGTTGTTGGTTGAAGTTGATGAACGTGAAAATATTGAACTGATAGTCATCTTGATCGTTAATACAAATTGATCAATTCCAATTAAATTTAAATAATTTCTAAGGGAATCATCATGACGATGAAATGGGGATGCACCATTATTTGAATCAGCAATTCCATCAGTTGAAGATGATGATCCATTAGCTTCAAATCCATTCAAATCTTTTGGAACGGTGGAATGATTAAACCTTGATGATTGGATTTTATTACCTAATGTAGAAAATTCCCAAGTGGTTAATCCCTTTGAAATTTGGAAAGTTTGTGCTATACATAAAAACACAACCCAAACATATTGTAATAAACACCAAATAACAAGATTGAAGTGGAAATGGTGTTGTTTGTAACCGTAACATAAGTCGTCGGATAAAAGGTAACAAATGCCGATATCTTCATCATCTGAATCATAATTTGAATCACCACTATCTTCTAAATAATCAAAATATTTACATGAAATATAAGTGAATAATAAAATCGATATGTTTAAAGCATAAACAAATGTCATGAATAATTTATGATTTCTAACTCCAATCTCATTATAAACCCAAGGACAATAATGATCGAATCGAGCGATTAATTTTTTATTATAATTAGAATATCTTGATCTTAATGGTTTTCTAATGAATGTATTCACACAAAAATGATCAGTATCGAATTTACCTAATTGAATTAATTGTTTGACTTGAGTTAAGATGATAGAATGATCAGTTGGAGTAGGGACAAAACCTGGATTTATAAACATAGCTTTGAAAAATGCCCACATGAATAATGAAATTAATCCACCAAGTAGTAATACCGGTAAAAATTGACGAAATAAAATAGCTGGAATCATTTTAAATATAAATACAACCACACTCCAGAATACTGTACCAGAGAAAATCCCCGCTAAGAATGGAGATTTGGCAATGGCTTTATCGTCAACTAAATAAATAGGAATTAAGAATCTTGATGTTAAATAAATAGCTGCCAATGCTATCAACACTGAAAAGAATAATTTAGGAATAATGAATCCATTACTAAATGAACAAATTTCAAATCCAATCGGTAACACAACATAAGGGATTAAAAAGGTGATGATCTTACCTAATTTTGGGGGAACAATATGATGGATTTTAGATGTATAATTAGTCTTTGGATCTAAATCAGCTTCTTTCAAAACTTTAATCCATGTATTAGTACAATTCATATCTTGAGCCACGCCGAAACAATCCTTATTCTGATCTGTCCTGGCATGAATATCAGATCCAGCTTCCACGAATACTTTCAATACACTCTTATACCCTTTCATGAATGCCCAATGAATTGGTAAGAATAATGTATTGTCCACTTTAGAAATATCAGCCCCGAATTTTAATAATGCATTGACAGTAAGGATATCACCTTGATATGAAGCCCAATGTAAACAAGTTCGATTACAATTGTCCGGTTCATCAATATAAATTTGTTTTGAATCAACACAAGTTAATAATAAATAAATTATTAATGTTATGTTTGAAGAATGAACTGCTAAATGTAAAGCATTGTATTGTTGAGAATCGACTAAGCTGGGATTAGCTTTGGTAGTTGGATTGGTTAATAAATAATCAACAATATAAACCAATCCATTTCTACAAGCCCAATGTAATGGTGAAGCTTTCAAATCTCCACCTAAATAATTTGGATCGGCACCATTTTCAATAAGGTATTTAACAATCGTCAATCGATTATTGATACAGGCCCAATGCAAACCAGTTATACTATCACTGAAAGTATCGTTTATACCCACTTTTTTCTCATTGATTAATTCTTTGACCAAAGTGAAATTACCATCTTGACAACTTGACATGAATCTGTTTAAATCAGGATTCAAATCGCGTTCATTGGGAGTTTCTAATTTGGTACTATTGACGGTATCCAAATCTTCATTATTGGTATCTAGGATAGCATCGGTTGATTTTATGCTTTCAACGTCGTCATCGTCATTAATATCTTGTTGAGATTCTGTAGTGCCATTCGATATTATGCGATCTGGTTGTGATTTCAAATCATTTTCATCCCTATTTAATGAATTGATATCGTCAAGAGGAATTGTTGTTAACTCAGAAGGTTTGTCATCATCTATATCATTCACCATCCTTATTCTCCAATTCTCTTCTGCTTAACTAGGGAAGTAATTGACAGTAATGAAAGATTAATTAGAGTTTTATTTATCAAATTGATACAGCCCTTTTAAATCACTTTTTTTTCATGATCAAATTTTACAGTTTACCTTCTGTTCCTGGTGAGTATTTTTTTACAGATTAGAAAAATTGCAAAATGAACCTGTAAAAGTATATTTACAATTTAAATTTTTCATTATATATATGTAATTGAATATTAAATTATACTAACTAATAAATAAATAAAGCAAAGGATAAACGGTCAATTCATGAATCGGGTCATCTCGTAAAAAGCGTTAAAGGGGGAATAACTAAACTAAACTGGACTAAACAATGGAATTTCTAAAAGTGGAATGGGAGAATGATTAATTAAATTAATTGATGAATTTATAATCGACACTCTTTAAAAGTTCAACTGGATTTGCATCAGAAGCAATTGATTTTCTATTATGAATTTCACTAATATAAGTCAAAGCAGTATCAATAGGTTTATCTACCGGTTCATCTTCAACATTAACCAAAGTTTCAGTTTCATCCGCAGTATCATCAACTGATTGACGACGTTCAAGAGTAATACTCTTTCTTCTACCGATTCTTGCTAAATGTCTATTTAAAACGTAGAAATTTCTAGCATTTGGTTTATAAATGGTTGAAATGATATCACCAATGATTGGGAAGAAACTAAACACAAAATTAACAAGAATATTAATTAAAAATATGAAATAAACATCATAAGGTAAATTATTATCGACATTTTTAGCTTTCCAAAGGATTAATAATGAAAGGTATAAATCAACTATTGGACCAACAAATGGAATTAAACCGATAATATGAGAAAATCCAAATGAAAATCCTAATACATTAAAATAACAATCAAAATTATGAGCTTTAACTCTAATATCAGATAAGATTTTAAAATCATTGTGACTTAAACCACCAGGGATTCTTCTTGGAAGTTCAACATAAACTGTTATCATTTCATTTTCAAGTAAGACAGTTTCATGAAATGGATCATCAATCCAAAGGTTATTGAATTGATTGTCATAATAAAATTTTTGTAAAAATGACATAATGTGTGGGGTATGGAGGAGGGGGAGGAGGAGGGAGAAAAATTAAAAAAATCGGAGTTGACCTCGAAGGTTAGATAGTAAAGAAAGTTAACCAAAAGGTGATGAAGATAAATGATAATCACTTAAAGTGTAGACCAAGATATGAAAATGAATATATAGAAGTAGCAATCTCAAACAAGAAAGAAATGAAATGAAATGAAATATTAAATCAAATAAAATAGGATCAAGTTTTATATATATATATATAAATTGTGGAATCATATGAGAGAAACAATACATTTAAGAAATTTTTCATGTCGATGGATGTGCTTATCCTGTGCTTATTCTAGAAATAAATAATAATAATAATCATAGTGAAATTATGGGATTAAATGATGTAAGATTTGAAACAAAGGCGCCGTTTAATGTAGAGAATGGAAACTGTTCATTTTTAAACCGGGTTGATTAACTATGCCTAGAATTTGAATCGTCTGATTCCCTGTTATAAGGTTAATAATAGGTGAAATATGGGGGAATAGAAAAGAACAGTGATCCCCTCTTTTGCTGCAGCAGCAGCAGCAACAGCAGCCTTCAGGAACATCTCCGGAAAGTTAGGTTAGGTTAGGTAGGGAGTGGACTTACAATGATGATACGATAGATTGATTTTATATTATGCTCATCTTAATATCAGTTCATAGAATGAATGGCGAATGAATGTATGACATTCTGTATATAACAAAGCATACCATTTGCTTGTGATAATTGTCAGTAGTTAAGGACTTAAGTACATAGTGGTGGTCGTTATGATCTTTTGTGTGGGTTGCCCAATCTAGTTATCGAGAGAATGACATGTGAAAATTATTTTACCGCCTGTCTCCCACTAAATTTCTCACTAATTAAATATTCTGTCTCACTAAAATTTAGGTGAAATAGTGCGTTTAAAGATCAATTTAGTGACACTCGTTTAAAATGCCATTATTAGCATGTGAAAAGGAAAGTGAGAATATGCTCTGCCCTGTATATTATGTGTGAGAGTTGGAGGGTTCCTTCCTGTTTAGGGTACCCTCCACTTAACTAACCTTAAATTGGTTAAATGTACAACCTGGTTACATATAATAATAATAATAACAAAGTTTACGGTTATCAAAATCTTACATACAGTCTGTTACATAAAAATATTCATGTTAATTTAAATCTCTAATTATATTCCGATTTGGTCTTACTATTACTGTTAGCTCTTAACTGTTTGGTTATTGCTCTTGGTTACTGCTCGTTGCTGCTGCTCGTTGCTGCTGCTACTTATTACTGCTAACACTTTGTGATATACACAGGTCACTTTATACCATCAATCCCCATCCATCGTTGCCGGTATTATACTATCTACCATGGTAGTTAGATATATGCTACGATCAGTGATCCATAAATTACCTTATTCTGATCATTTACCATCCATTGTTGATACTATTTTACTGGAAAATAAACCTAATAATAATAATAATAACTCCAACCCTACTAATAATGATTTAGATTTAAGTATAACTCCACTATCACCATCTTCTCCTAAAGAAAGAATTCATTCAAAACTTATTAATAATAGATCTACTCTAAATCCAGTTGATGAAACTGATGAACTTGAATATGATCGTCAACAACAACAATTAGAAGCTTTACAAGAAGTTGAAAATGAAGATGATCTTGAAGGTGGTGGTGGTCATCTTCTTAATGAAGATTATTTAGATGATGAATTAACTGCCGTTAATTATTTAAATTATGTTGATACTTGTGAAACTATCCCAACTTATACCAATTTAGGAATTAATAAATTAAGTGGTAATCGATCAGTATTAAATACTCATTCTAGAAGAGAATCATTAAATATTAATCAGAATCAAACTAATAATATCAATCCTCCTCAATTACTTCAACCATTCCCCGATAATGGTAGTACCACTTTAATTGATTCAACCAATTCATCAACCGTATCAAATGGTAAATCAAAACCAATTAAAGATAATCCAAATCAATCTATGGAAGAACGGAATTTACGTATTAAACAATATTTAAATGATCAAAATACTAAATTTGATCAATTAATTAATAATAATTTAAGTATTGTATTTAAAGATTGTCCTCCCAATGATAATAATCATGATTTAGAAAGTGTTTACAGTAATCAATCTAATTATTATGATTCGACTTATGAATTCAATAATAATGAAGAAGGAGAATCGGATCAATCATCATCTCAATCACCTCAAAATAAACATCATAGTTTAATGTATTATGTTTATATTAATACTACTAATAAGTTATTATCTAATGTTCCATTTGGATCTTATTTGATTAAACGAAGAAAGATCTCCTTACCTTTACCATCATTTGTTAAAGGTACAAATGATGATGCTAGTAGTAGTAATGCTACTATGTCTAATATGTATAAGACTCCACCTATGTCAACTACTGATTTTAATGACCAACTTGAAAATAAACCAGATCAAGATCAAGATGTTGAAAATCAAATTGAACCAGGTGAAGATGAAGAACAAATGGAACAACAAGTGTTACAAGGGTTAAAACTTGAATTGTTTCTTGATTCCTTAGATCAACAAACTAAATTGACATTATTTAATCAATTACAATCTGAATTTACATCAACTAATACCAATACTAATATCAAATCTCCTCAATCAAGTAATTTCATCGAGATTAAATATAATGAAGATGATATCTTTTTAGATAAAGTTCAAACCTTCTTATTAATTTCCGTCAAGATATTCATCACTAGTTTAAAATTATTCATTCCTATAAGTCAATATTTATATTATAAATTCAAGAATAATCAACTTTATATTTTTAATAATCATAATTTAATCATTTTATTTAATAAGATGTTAAAATGTATGGATTATATCGAGACGAAATTAAATATGAATGATGAATTGATTGATAAGATTTATAATCAAGAATATATTGAAAAAGAAATGAAATATAAATCCAATAATCAACAAGTGCAACATAATCCCTTGCATGTGAATTATAATAATGTTGAAGGTGGAGGTCAATCTAATGGTGGTGCGGGTGTTCCTCATGAAGAACAATTTGATGAGATTTATCAAGATTTATCATTGAATTTATCCAAGTTTATTAATGATCAAATTATGGAAAATATTATTAATAATGATAAATTTAATATTATTAATAATAAATTTGATGAATCACTGAATCTTGATTCAATTTGGAGGAAATCAATCATGGATTATTTAGTAGCAAGGTACTTGAAGTCTAATCAAACGTCTAGTTCCACTGCTCCTAAAAAGAAGATCCCTCCACCTCAACAATTATTAAGGAAAGATCCAAATTTAGTGAAATATTTTTCCCCCAGATCTTCAAGTCCAGCAACTGGTGGTGAATCAATGATAGGAGCTTCATCCCCAACTCGTCCAACATCTTCAAACTTAAGAGGTAGAACTAATCCTCATCCCTTATCAAAGAGTGATTCATCCTCTAGTAGTGATGACAACTTGAATGATATGTCAGTATTTGGTATTGCTCAACAATTTGCCAGTGAACTTAATTGAACTGACTTTAATAGCTCTATTCGTAGCATTTTGACTTTAATTTATCTTTTTTGTTTCGTATAGATATAGGCTGGTCCTATTTTGATATGTTTATCTATACCTATTTATTTATTACTTAATTAAAAATCATTTCTAACCTTATTTATTTAATATATTATTTATTTCGTTAATTTTCGCTTTAAATGTTGCAAAAAAAGTTATATTTAAAATAAATGTAGATATTAATTGGGAAATCATCCAAAATTTGAAAATACTTTGAAATTGACATTTTAAAGTCTAATTAACGAGAGGAGACAGTATAATAGTACTTTTACTTACTCTAAACTCATTAAATATCATCATAAACTCCTACTTTACTATTAAAAATCATGTTATAAAATGATAAACCACCATACCGCACTATTAATAAATAAATGCTTATGTCAAAAAATGGAATTTGGTTTTACGAGTAAGGTACGAAAAGTGTCCTAATAGAAAAGAGGTTTGAAAAATGATTTAGTTCACTTACATAACAGGATGAATCATAACACTACCACCCATAAATAAAAACATAAACATAAACAAAAACAAACATTATAATGTTATCATTATGATGTAATAGTAAGTGATTTAGGTTAGAAGGGTAATAGTAATAGTAGTTGATAGTAGTTAATAGGAATAGTGGAATGAGGTATGGGACGATGGATATGGGTGGTAAGACTAATAGATTTCTTACATCATAGAGGAATTAAACTTACTATCTACAGAGATTAAATTTCAATCTATTCAATTTCCAATTAAGTTGAAACCACACACGTTTGTGATTAAGAAGATAGAAGTGAATGTTTTTAAAGATAACAACAATAAAACGAGATAATGCACGTTTGTTTGTTTGTATGTATGTTTTGTTCTTTAAACTCATAGCTGTCAACATGTTCTACTATGGTAAATCATAATGTAATTAGAATGTTTCTATACACTTGCTGTAGTAATTCTTCCTTCTTCTCCTTCTACTCATAAAATAATCGATTTATTCCTAATTAAGAAGTTGTTGAGCAATGCACACGACCCACAGATTTAATCTAAAAAATAAATTATAAGACCTCATTTATTAGGACATTTAAAAAAATAGGAGTAAGTAATCCGGGTAACTAGGAACTAGTTACCCTACCGTGGTCCCCATACTTAAAATCAAAATCCACCAATCAACACGCCGTCGTGTCTTTCAGTCAATGTCATAGTTCCTATCCATCGCTAAAAATAAAAATCTAAAAATTGACCCACCTCTCATAGTAACCAACCCCCTTTCTACCCGATTTTTACACTATATATATTCCAAACCCCTCTCAAAAAGCAATTCTTTTTTATTCTTTTGAATTCTACACGCCCACTTTCCTCATCCGCACCCCCTTTCATTTTTTCATTTTCAGGATTCTTTTTGTTTAAATCGAAAATTTTAAAATTTAATCATCACTTTTTTTTTTTCGTTTTAACACCTCCTTTTCCCTTCCACTAACTTTTTTTTTTTGTTGCCTTTTTACTAAGCATAACAAACCTCCTTAAGTGAAGAAGGAATCCAACCAGTGTTTACTTTATTAACACATACCCCCCTCCTCCTAACTCCAAATACTCATCAAATCTACTACTACTACTATCCCACTACTACTTTATCAACGTTTTGGCCTGACTTTATTAGAACTTTATCCCTCTAATCTAGCCAGTGTTAGTTTTCAAAGTTTTAGAAACAGAGAGAAAATTTTTTTGCCTTCCCATCATCGTTTTCTCGATTCTGATTGGCTCACTTTTTTCTTTTTTTTTTTTGTTCTGTATTAAGTGTTTTTTTTTTAAGTGACTTGCTGTCCACTTTAAAAAATTAGTTTTGGACATCCAAACATCTACCACATCCTTACCTCAATATTTTAATTTTTCTGACACCTTGATTGGTTGCCCTTCAGAGAAAATTTAAAATAAAAATCCCCGAAAGTTTTGGTGCATACACGATTATCTCGTTGTATACAGGAAATATCATTTTATAATAATTAATACTATTATCCAATATGGCTTTATGTTCTCAAGCATTTAGTACTTCTACTAAAAGAAGTTGTCATTTTAACGCCGATTCTATCCATCCTATCAAAAGAATTTGTCCATCCTCATCATCATCTACTACTGTTGTTGCTGCTGCTGCTGCTGCTAATATTGCTACTTCTAGTTCTTTTACTGCTGCTCCACGTCGTAAAAAGTCGGTTTGCATCTATTCATCTTCTGATGAAGAAAATGATTCGGCTGATGAACAAAGATGTTATAATGCTGATCAAATTAGAGCTAAAAGAAGAGCTTCTAGTCGCATTTCATTCTCGATGAATTCAGAATTATCAAGAGCTATTTCTAAATATAGTGACGATGAAAGTGAAGATGAAGTTGATGATAAATCATCTTCAATGGTTGCAGCTGTTGTTGCTAATCATTCTCGTCGTAATTCAAACCATATTAATGAAGTTAGTAATGTTGATTCCGATGAAGAAGATAATGTGTTTGATAATTTGGATTGTAAATTAACTTCAAGTCCAATTTCAAGTCATCTTTCATTAAATATTATTAATCATACTAATAAAGGTGGATTTATTCAAATTTCAGATAGTTCTAAAAGTACTGGATCTTGTTCAAGAAGTAATGTTCCAGATACTGATAAATCAGCTAGATCACGTTGTTTTGATTATTTAGTTGGTGCTATTGATGAAGCTTGGGCAAGATACTGTGATGCTTCAACTCATGTTGAAGATGAAACTTATGGTTATGTTACTCCAAATTCAGTAGCTACTGATGAAGAAGATGATTATCTTAATAATTCAACTGATTTCACTGATTATGAAGATTCTGATTTTGAATTTTCCAATCATCACAAACAACAACAACATAATCATCACCAAATGCAATCTCAATCATCAGCTCGTCCATCGATGAAACCTACCATGTCAATGACTTCCAATGTTTCTTCATCCAAACAAGATCCAGCTTCATGTCAATTACTGGCCTTGAAGGATCGTTTAACCAAAGCTAAATATTATTTGCAAGATTTGGTTGATTCTGAAGATGGAGAAGATGTTAACTCATTTTGGAAACGTTGGGATATGATTAAATATGCCACCATTGAATTAGTTGAAGATGATGACGATGATGAGATTGTTGAAACTACCATTGACGAATTAGAAAATGGTCGTTTATTTGTAAATTAGAAGAAGATCCACATAATGTGGCAACACAAGACTACAGCAAAAAAAAATAAAATATATTATCAGGTACCGCCATCATAACAGTATCATTATCAAATCAAATCAAATCACATATTATTAAAGAAGAGGTTTCTTTTTGTTAACCGGTTGACAATCAGTTCTTATCTTTTCAAATTGCTATCATTTTTTTTATAATCACTACTATTATCAAGTATGTTGCAAAAAAGCAAGCTATAAAAAAAAAGAAACAGAAGATGAAAGAGAGGCAAGTATTCGCACCCATTAACACAAGTTGCAACCAACTACACCATACCACAGCACACCACACACATAGATATCATTTTCCAAATTTGCTTGCTTTTATTTTTTTTTCATTAGTTGAAGTTTTTCAAAAAAACAGGTTTAAGTTCATTTTATTATTATTATTATTACTACATTTTTTCAAATTGGGTTCAGTTGATTTTTTGAATTTTTGTTCTTTATGTCATTATGACTAACGCTAAAGAAGACAATTGGAACTGTTAAAAAATATGGCAAAGTTCCTTTTAGTCTGTCTTTATTTATGGGTATGAAATTATTATTTTTATTTTAAATTTTATTTTTGTAAATTATTATTTTTAACATCATCATTATTATTTATCACCAATTTTTATATATATATCAAACACACACACACATCTTATAGTTTAGTTTAGGTCAAATTTATATACTTGTATCATAGTTGAAAATACTTTAAATTTTTACTTGTAGAATTCTGCTGTTCATGCTGTGGCTATTGGTAAGACTTTTGCCGCGCGTAGTTAAATACGTTTCAATTTTGGTTTTTGCGAGGGATTGAAAATTAAGTTCGGTGTTCATAAATTTTTCAAATGGACCTTATTCTTTATCATCAAACTTACATTCAATCGACTTTAATACAAATAAGATGAAGGTAACATCCGTCGTAGCATCTACTGCTATCTTAGTCTCCCAATTGTTTGGGTTAACCAATGCTGCCATTGAAGGCTTACAAATCGGTATGTTCTCAATATGATCCATATCTCGTTGCCCTCCGCTTAATACTAACCTTTTCCCCTTTTTTTTTTAGAAACTCTTGTTGCTGTCCCTCCAAAGGAATGTTATGCTACGGCTGAAAGTGGTGATTTAATCAGTGTCCATTATACTGGTACTTTAGATGATGGAACTGTTTTTGATAGTTCTTATCCAAGAGGTCAACCAATTGTGTTTCAATTAGGTGTAGGACAAGTTATTCCAGGTTGGGATCAAGGTTTAATTGGAATGTGTGTTGGTGAAAAGAGAAAATTAGTCATTGCTCCTGAATTGGCCTATGGTGATAATGCCATTGGTCCAATTCCAGCTAAATCTACTTTAAGTACGTATAACCAATCTATTATCTTAATATTTTTCACTAAACAAAGTTTACTAACATTATATTTTTTTAGCTTTTGAATCTGAATTAATTCATATTGCAGGTAAAGATCCAGTCGAAGAAGAATCTGTTCCAGATTTAGAAGAAGACGACGAAGAAGCAATTGAAGAAGAAGAAGAAGAAGAAGAAGAAGAAGTCCATGATGAATTATAAATAATATCATTACCTCCTAACATAGAACAATCATAAATATATTACTTATCCGTGATCCTATTCTGCAGATCATCAATGTTATGATAACTTTAGAATGACTCTATCCTGTAGATTAAGGTCTAACATGTAGATATTAACAATGACTTTTTGGTTTATCAAATCGTATTTGGAGTCATCAAAATCGTGATTATTTTTGTGGGATGTTTTTTTTCTGTTGTACCTGATTGTCCCCATACTTTTTTTTTTGAAGGCATCAAACCACTTGCTCTTTAATGTACTTATATCATCATCACTCATCCTTTATTCAATTGAATATCGTAAACTCTTCAATTGTTCTTTAAGACAGTACTCGTTATACTCAATAAGATATAATCTACTCAAACTATGGCTACAACAAGACGGTTTTATAAACCATTACATGATTTCATCAACTCTTCAGCTGACTTTAAAATCATTTATACTCTAGCTAAACATGATAATTCAGACATTGCAACTCCTCATTCATCGATTGTATTACCAACGACAAGAAGAATATGTGTGCTTGACTCATCATTCAATCCTCCTCATCTTGGACATTATGCATTGATTAAAGAATCCCTTAACCCTAATCATTATTATCAAAACACAACCAATATCAATGATCATAGTATCGTTGAAAAAGATGATGAAAAGGCTATATTATTATTATTATCAGTTAAGAATGCCGATAAGATAAAACCCGTCCCAGAATCATTTGAAAATAGATTGGAAATGATGTATTTGATGATTCATGATTTATCTCAAAAATTCCCCCATTCAAAATCAATCAGTATAGGATTAACCAAACATGCTAAATTCGTCGATAAATCAATATCAATCTTAAATTATTTACATAATGATAATGATTATACCGCAACTTCTCATATAAAATTAACTTTCTTAGTAGGGTTCGATACCTTGATAAGAATTTTTAATCCAAAATATTATTTACCTGATAAATTATCAACTTCTTTAGAAGAATTCATGGCTTCAACCGATATCTTTTGTTTAACTAGAAATGATAATTCAGTATCGGAACTAGATCAATCTACCTTTGTAGAAGATATTAAAAATGGTAAACATGTCGATATCCCATCTCATTGGTCAAATAATATCTTTTTAATTAATAATGGTGATAAAATAAGTTTCATAAGTTCATCAAATATAAGATCAAATATTTTATCAGGCTCAAATAATTGGCATGATAAAGTTATTCCTGAAATTAAAGATTTTATAATTAATGAAAAATTATATCATCATTAATAATTCATTTACAAAATTCTTCTTTTAACTAACTAAGTAACTAAAATATATATAATATCCTTTCCTCTTCTAATATAAGAGACTAAGAATTGTAAAACCAAAAATCAAGAATTTACTAACTGAAACAGTCGATGCTGAAGATTTATATTGAGTAAATGGAGTTTGTGGTCCACCACGTTGATTTCCATATTTTTGAATACCATTTGCATCAATATAATGACTATTATTATTATTACCATTATTATTATTTCGATTACCACCATTAACACTAGGACCTCCTTGTTTTGAATCAATATCTGTAGGGGTATTAGAAATAATCTTTTCATTATGAGCATTTATACATTCAATCTTTCCACCTCTAATGACATTACTTACATCACCTTTTGACCATTTACTACAATCAAATGAAGTTGAAAATGATTGAACCAAGGCACTACCTTTAACCAACTTTAATTGTTTAAGACTAGTATCTTTAATAGGACCAACTAATTCTAATGCTCCTCCAATAACATTTAATTTTGGGAAAAAATTAATCTTATCAATATTTGAATTATTAACAATTATTAAACCTCCACCAACTTCATTCAAAGTTGGAAATTCAACATGATTTAATTTATCATTCTTAGATAAACTTAAACTACCACCAATTGCTTTTAATTTTGGTAATTTCAAATTAGAAAAATGATTATTAATCATACTAACTGAATTATTAACTGATTCTAATGAATTTAAATCAATTTGAAATACATCATGAATACTCATATTATTGGTAGATTTTAATTTGGGTAAACTAACCGCAACATCAGCTGCATTGGCAGCTATATGTAATAAACCTTCAATTGTTTCAACATTTGAATTAATAATATCAAGAAATCTATTATTATTTATATCTAAAGTTTCCAATCTATCAGCCATAAAACCTGAAAATCCAGTTAATGAAGTATCAGAAACAGTTATACTTTCAATATTCTTAATTTCATTACTAAAATGAACATTACTCAAAATTGGTAGCACTCGCCAATCAAGAGCTCTAACTGATAATAAGGATGGGAAAGAAACTAATGAAAGTGAAGTTAATTCTCTTAATACAAAACTTTTTTCAACTGTAGTAAGACTTGGAGCTTCAATTCTAACTAATTCTGGAGACTTTCTAATGATGATATTACCAGTGACAGTTTCAATATTTCCAAATGTAAGTAAAGGATGTTTATATTCATGAACTTCCAAGTCTCCTGCGAGAACACGACAATCAGCAATATTCTGAATATCATTTGGACTCCTTATGACATGTTTGGCATGTTTACATTTCTCAGGAACCTCTTCTTTTACAAGTTTAACTTTTGGAGTTTCTTGGGGAATTTCAATTGGAATTGGGGTTTCACTTGGAGTAGGAAGATTTTGAAATGGTGATGGTACACTTCCTGCAACTTTATTAGTCTCATCCACTGTATCTAATATTCTTGAACTGACGAGAGTGTCTTGTTGAACATGAAATCCTTTTGCAGCTGTTAGTAAATTTAAACTTTGTAAACCTCAAAACAAATTCAAATTGGTATTACCTACTTTTACCTTCAGCGTGAGGAAGTACAGCTAATGCTTTTTGAACTAAGACAACAGACAAAGCCAATGTAGTTAATGAAACGGGAAGATGCATTGCTGAAGTTTTGATAGATGGATTGATGATTATCAGATACAAGTTGAAGATGATAACTTTTAACAAAAAATGAAATAGACGCTGTTGCTGCCAAAAAAAATTTATTGTGATACTTTTTTTAATTACTGCGAATTTGTACATATTATAAATTAAACAGATTTCATTAGACTATTAAAATTAAAAAAAATAAACTAACATGAATAGATAAAATTAAGGTTTATTATTAACCTTTTCTTCAGATGAATCATCTCTACTAACCCCAGCATCTTCAATATAATGTTGATGACTCTTTTCGATATCATCAAGGCCTCCTTCGATTTCATCAGAGTGCATGATTCTATTAAGAGCGGAATGATCAGGACATAATTCAGCACCTCTTCTACCAATTAAATACCAAGGTAAATTAAACACATCTTCCATTGATTCCAAACTTCTACCGGTGACTTCAGGAACAAAGAACCAACACCATAAAAGTGAACAAACACAAACTCCGACGAAAAAGTAGAAGGTTCCATATTTTTTTAATCCAATTAACATCAGTGGAACAGCTTTTGAGTTACCATATTGATTAGCAAAATGTAACACCATAATAAGAGATTGACAGAAAGAACGATGTTTCAAAGGGAAGATTTCGGAACCTAATAAATATTGAATACTATTAAATCCAAGAACCCAACCCACTCCTGATAAATAGATGGCTGCCATGGCTGCTTTACCAGCATTTTCTTGAGAAGTTGATAATATTGCTCCTTTTTCAATGGCATGAGGATCGACTTGTAAAAAGATTGCAAAATATAAAAGGGAAACTAATTGTAAGGTTATACCAATGTATAAAGCCCTTCTTCTACCTAAGAAATCAATAACGAAGAAAGCACCAAAATAAGCCCCACATAATTTAACTACTCCTAAAATCATAGTCATTTTCATAACTTCAAGACCTTTAAGACCAATAAATGAAAATAAATCACCAGCGTAAATCGTAATAGAATTAGCTCCAGACCATTGACCTAATATTTGTGATAAACATCCAATAACGAAGAAACGATATCTAATAGATTTAACGGTGACAAGATCCTTGAATTTATTAAATATAGAGACCCCTTCAGTAGCAGCTCTTTCAGTAGCAATTTGTTCACTAATATCTGAAACTTCACTTAAAATATATGGATGATCTGGTGATAAATGTCTAATTTTACATAAATTAATCATAGCTTTTTCATCATGACCATGTTTGAATAACCATCTTGGACTTTCATGGCAGAAGAAAGAACCAATAAAAGCCAATGTAGCCAAGATAACTTTAAGACTAATAGGAATCATCCATTGAGTATTTGAAGTTCCTGAAATATTTTTAGCGGTACCATAATTAGCAGCATATGACAAAAGGATACCCATATAAACAGCACCACTAAACATACAACCGAAAAGACCTCTTCTAAGCGGAGGAGCAACTTCGGCCATATAAGAAGGACCAATGGTAGTTGATTGACCAATAGCTAAACCTTCAATAAATCTACCAGCATATAATTGACCAAGACTTTTTGAAGTCATTTGAATAATAGCACCCGTAGCCCAAATTATACAAAATTCTCTCAAAGCAAGAACTCTACCAATTTTATCAACAACATACATTGCAATAATTGCACCCGCAATTGAACCCATTTGAACCATAGAATTGATGTTGGATTTTAAATCAGCAATCTCATGTTCAGTTTTATTAGGATCATTTAAACCAAATAAATTTCTGAAAGAAGGTTGATATAAATTAATAGATTGACCTTCATCCAAACCTCTTGATAACCCACAGAATAAACCAAAGATAACTACCGAGAAATATAAGGTGAAATTATAGATTTCTTTCGGGGAATGATCATCAACAACTCTCCATTTAAATTTTGATTTTGGAGGAATGGTTACCTTTGCTTCTGTCGAAGAAGAAGAAGAAGTTAAGGCAATAAGATGATTCTGCTTGGTTTCAGACATGTATTTGAACTGCGTTTGAGTATAAGTATAATTGAATTAATATCTAATCAACAGAGATATGGTTCATATTTATATTAAAAGATAATAGAAAGATTGTGCAACGGTGATCCCCTCATTTTTGGCTCGGGAGATATGAATTGCACAATTCCTACTCCAATAACATCTACCCCATAACATCTAAAACTAAAAATGCATCAATAAAACCCAATAACAATTAACTTATTAAAGTGTTTAAATTATTGATCGCAAAAAACAATTTTCGTATATATTGGTTGCGATTAAAAATTATACTTCATTTATTGAGTGGGGTAGCCCATAATGTAAAACTCCACGCCAAGAGAAATTTCCCCTTATCAAGTTAATACCATCCAAACCATAATTGAAGTTATATTACTTTCAGTGAAGTTTGAAACTATTCAAGCGAGAATCTTAGCTTCAAATTTTGAATTTCATAATTAAAGAGGTTGCAAAAGAAGAAATTAAGCCTCATTTTTTAGTTTTAGCTAACATATAACCTAGCGAATGATCATTATAGTAAATGGTTCGATATGTTAAGAAGTATCTCCCTAAACTAATAGTAATCAGACAATTGTAATTAAAAGCGCAAATTCCCTTACTCACTAAGTATAGAGAGAAGCTTTTTGAGTTTCAGTAATTTCCCCGGAGCGCTAAGAATTTTTTTTAAAAAGCTTAACTATGTCTCATAAGTTCAATACAAATTTTGTCCAAGATTTTGTTGGACATTAATAATTTCTATTATTGGAAGAAGAAAGTGTCATGTTTCAGGGTGTCATGGTTGAAACCGTGTCTTGACAAGAATTATGATGGAGAAGGTCTAGTTTTCTCCACCAATCATATCATAGATAGTCTGTTAGAACGTAGAGTTAATTCGACCATACAAATGACAGGTATACTATTTGATTGCAAGTCATCGTGGAACGCCTGTAAATAAAATAAAGATTTGCAACATGCTTCATTTAGTCAATCTTCGATAGTTGTGTTTTTACTATTGTTAACAATTGCACAACTCAAAGTCTCAAATAAGTAATTCGATTCGAAACTTAAATTACAAAATTATAATTCATTCATCCCCGCCATGTCTGTTTTGATTATTGCCAAGAAGCATAATTCAGTTTTAAGTCGACTTTCAATTTTGACTTCAATGAAAGGTAAGGCAAAACTTCCTTTTCAGTCATTTTAATTGAACATGACTATAATAAAGCTACAAGTGTATCCTGTAACTCGGAGAATTTATTATGCAAATTGCAACCGGAGTACAGTGCGGGGGATGGAGGGGTGTAGCAATGATATACCTAATTGTTTCAAAAGTATTGTAGCGTTTGCTATAGAGTATATTCATAGATTTGAATCTCTACCTTTATTTCTCAAAGTTTCAGTAACAATCTCTTCCTTTGCTTGTTAATAGATGTTATGATCACCACCCCCAACGAATCCAACAATCATGGAGCTTCTCGGAGTTGTTCTCAGACAATCCCCATCCCCTCTTCAACAATCCCCTCCGCATTACTACTACTTATCTAATCTAAATCAAATGATATCGATATTGGTTTAACTGAGATAAGTTCCCTCATAATGGTAACAGAAAATTAAAGTAAAAGCTAAACTGTAAAAAATCATAAAGTGCTTACATAAGCCAATTTTAAATGTTAAAACGACCCTCCACCAGAAAAATACATCGAAATTAAAATGAAAGAAATGATAATGAATTAGATTGATAAAGAAAGTCAAGTTTGAAGTCATATTATTATCACATATAATCAATTACCATTCAATCAATTCTAATCAGTCATAATGTATACTAGCTCACTTGTTACACTTTCATTATTGACTGTGGGAGGTTATATGTTATTCACCGGGAATGGAGAATCATTCAATGTAGGGGAATTCCTAGAAACCACTTCACCATATTTATGGGCTAATTTAGGAATTGCTTCTTGTATAGGGTTATCAGTGGTTGGAGCTGCCTGGGGTATCTTTGTTACTGGTTCATCTATTATTGGGGCTGGGGTTAAAGCTCCAAGAATCACTACTAAGAATCTTATATCGATTATTTTTTGTGAAGTCGTCGCCATTTATGGATTAATTATGGCCATTGTATTCTCATCAAAATTAGTAAGTGTACCTGAAGCTCAAGTATATACTAAAGAGAACTTATATACTGGATTTTCCTTATTTTGGGCTGGATTAACTGTGGGTGTATCCAATTTAATTTGTGGTGTTGCAGTGGGTATAACTGGTTCAACTGCTGCTATTTCTGATGCTGCTGATTCTTCCCTTTTCGTTAAGATTTTAGTCATTGAAATTTTTGGATCTGTCTTAGGGTTATTTGGTTTAATTGTTGGTTTATTAATGGCTGGTAAAGCTCAAGAATTTAGTTAAATAGTATACTGACATAGTATTGAATTTTTCTAACAAAAGTAACATTCTTTCATCATATCACATTTTTATTCAAAGACCATGAATCCATTCATCCATCTTGTTTAGTTCATTTCAATTAGAGAAGGTTTAATCTACAACGAAGCCTTTCTCTTCCCATTTTTTTATATATATCGTATCAAATTTTTTTTTTATTAAATATAGAAATCATTTTTTTGTATTAATATTTATTGTATTTTAAATTTCTTATTTTAAGAAGAATCTATGAATCTATTTCCATATATTCTGGATTTTTCTTTAATATAACTACACCTTCTAAGGATCCACTTAAAGATATCCATTCATCAATATTTTCTAATTCAGCTCTTTCACCATAATTTAATAATACAGGTGTTGACTGGGTAACCCAACCTGTTATAGTCTTTGGTTTACCAGCTTGACCAACCACATCAACAGCTTGACCAACTCTAACATTCACTTTAATTGGATTTAAATCTTCATCAACTGTAACCAACATACGAGGTTTAACAGCAGGAATTAAATAATATAATAATTGATGAGAAGTTTCAAATGATGTATCACTTAATATAACTGATTTTGGATCTAATAATGCCACTGAAATAGTTAATAAAGCAGCTAAGGATACTTTAGAAGTAATGGTTCTTTCAATATTAAATGGACTTAAAGTTAAAGTACCTTTACCTAAATGTAATAACCCTTGAGCAATTCTAACCATAAATAATGAATCAGGAGATTTAACATAATATGAAGCTAATTGTCTTAATAATTGAGCTAATCTAGCATTATTAGTACCAGCTCCTACTAAACCCATAGAATAAATAGCATTTTGAGAAACTTCTAAATCAGGATCATGAGAATATCTTGATAAAGTATCAAATACTTTCATTTGAGGATTTGAAGTGGAAACTAATCCCATAGCTAATGGAACAGCACGTTTTATTATTGGATTTCCATAATGCATTAAATGAGAGAAATGTCTTAATGCCATATCAGATCCAATATCTTCACCCATGGCTATTAATGCTAATCCTAATACGGCTATACCTTGATATAATTCATCTTTTTCGGAATCTTCATCATCAGCATCTTCATCTTCAGGTTCTTCTCCATCAGCAGCAGTGGCTTCAGATTCTTTCTTTCCTTCTTGTTCTTCTTTAACTTCATTGGTGGTAGATGAAGCAGCAGCTGGTTCAGCTCCTTCTTCCATTTCCACATCTTCATTTAAGGCTTGTTTTATTTCTGATTTGAGTTCTTTTTCTTTAAGTTGATCTTCCGAAAGTTCTAATTTCTTTTCTTCTTCTGATAAATCTTTTGGTTTAGCAGTACACATTTGTAATAAAGATTGAATTTGTAATACATTCCCAGTACCTGCATAAGCACAAATATTAACCAAAACTTTTAAAGTTTTACTGATAGGATGATTTATAGCATCAATGGTTTCTAATACATCTTCAACTTGTTCAGTTTTTCCCATATATAATAAACCTAATCCTAAAGCCATGAATCTAATATATTTATCATCAAATGCAAATGTATCTCTTTCTAAAAAGGTTTGTAAAATAGTTGAAGTAATATCTCCATGACATGTACCAACAAAGACATGACCTAAAGCTAAAGCGGCTAAACAACTAACTTCAACTTTAACAGTAGTATCAGATACCAAAGGTAATAATAAATTCAATACGCTCTCATCAGCAGAACCAGCAAAGGCAATACCTAAACCAGTAATGGCAGAAGTTTGGAATTTATCAGCCCCAACATATTCTTCTAATAATGCATAAGCTGATATATTTTCATCATGAACATTTGATGCCACAATACCTATACCCAAGAGAGCTCCTGCTTTAACTTCAGGTTCTTCAGCATAAGTATATTTATCCAAAGCTTGTAACCCTTCATTTATATTCCATTGATATAAGGCTCCTAATGATGCAGTGGTTGATACCATACCTAAACCTTTTGTTTTATAGATCCAAGTTTTTCTTTCATCTTCAGTTTGAATTAATTTATCAGTTCCATAACCTAAATTAATAAAAGCATTTACGAATGATGCAGCTAAATTTTGTTTAGCAGAATCAACTGATCCAGTACCTAAACCGAATTTTGCATTTTCTAAATGAGATTTATAAATATCTTCAGGAACTTTTGGATCTAATAAATTCAATTCTTTAACTAAATAAGCATAATATTCATGTAATTTAACATTGGAGATAGTTTCTTGAACTTGTTCATTTTCACCAGGATATTTGAATCCATTATTTTGTTGAGATAAAATAAGTCCCAATTGTTTATGAATTAATTCATCATTAGTTGAATTGAAAACTTGAGTGATTAAAGATTCATCATCTAATTTAATAGCCAATACTAAAGCTTGAGTTAATTGATTATGAGCTAAATAAATAGCAAATGCAGTATGTAAGAAAGCAGAATCATCAGGTGGAGCTAATAATGGTACACAACTTACCATATAAAGACAAACTCTACCATAAGTAGCTTCATCAACAAAAGTAGGTAATTTATCAATGGATTCGATTTCTAATAATAAATCTACTGCATCAGCTTCAGCATTATGTTTTAAAAAGAAGGGAACGATTTTTAAGGCTAAATCAGTTAAATTTTCAATAGTACCATCTTCTGAACCTAAATTTTCTTGATAAGATTCTCCAATTTCAAGAGCTAAATGACGCATATATTCATGACCCCAATCAGCAATAGTAATATGAGTTGATAATAATCTATATTTTAAAGAATCCTTTTTACCATCATCTGAATAAGTCATGGCTAAAACTGATAAAATATCAGCTAAATTATTTACTACATCAGTTGATTTACCAAATTTTTCAACCCAATTATCATATAAAACAGTGAGTGAAGGATAATGAGGTCTTAAGAATTTTAAAGGTTTTGGAACTGCAGTCATTGAAGTAGTTGAATCTTTAATAAAAGTCTTTAAAGCTGATAAATTAGCTTGATATAATTCAATGGATTGATCTGATTCATTTAAACGTTCAACGAGTAATTCCAATTCTTCTTTTAAATGTTGATCTTCTTCTGATAATTCTTCTTCTTTAGGTTGTTTCTTAGTAGATGGAGTAGTAGTTGTAGTGGTAGCACTAGATGAATCTCCCGATTCTTTAGCACTAGAGTGCTGATCTTTGGCGTCCTTAGTTGGTGCCATATTTATTTATTTATCTATCTATTAATTAATGAAATGGATATGTGTCTTTAAGGCAATGCTGGATTGAGTGTATTTCTCTCTTTCTCTTTCTTTCTTCAAAGCAAATGCTCTATAATCGACTTTATGATGAATTGATGAATCAAATTGATAATTAATGATAAATTTACTGTAAGTTCATAGTTTGATTGTTGGATGGCAAATATTCAGTTTGTCAATTGGAGACACCACGGACTGCATATAAAACATGAGAGAGAGAGGAGGTCGTGTGAGAAGCGACGAAAAAAATAGTTAATGGAGAGTCACCATTTACTATTAACAATCACTAAATATATTTATATATATATACTGTAGATGAAGAGATTGAATATTCAAGTTATTATTATAATAAAGTACTATATGCAAACTAGTTGTATACTATGTATCTTACTTCTTCAAGTAAAGATATAATCTCCTATGTAGATACACACTGAACTATGTAAAGTTACTACTACTTACTTAGTTAACAGTAGAAAAAATGAATAACTGCAAAATTTATGGAGTAGATTGAATACCAAACAGTTATCAATATGGATACCATTTGTATTAAGATGACATTTGTTTTTCTGGTTTACTTGATCATTGTACTATCTGTCTATCTATCTATAAGATGTATAAACCATATCATCTTGCTATGATAAGATAAGATCTAATGTGGTAATGGTCCCTTCATCTTCTATTTACAAATTTCACCAAATAAGAATAAGATGAAAAAAAAAAATAATAAAAAACACGCGTACCGTAAATATCCAAAACAAAAACAGACCAGACCAGAACAGATATCTATGTATCTAAGGGTCACTTGGAACTAACACACACACATCTTGAATGCTATCACCTTAATTGGTTCTTCATTCATATCCTCACACTCGCTGTTCTATATACATCCACTCATTCATTCATTCGCTTATCATATCATTCGATCATCTGTTCATTCATTCTGATCAAACCCTTCTTCTTTCTTTCATCAACCAACTGCAACCAACCAACCAACTACCTCAATCATGGAAAGAATCTTCTACAAATCAGATGTCACTGATATACCCACAAACTTACCCGTCTACACCTTCGATACCTCATACTTACCTTCCACTGAGATCATAGATTATGATGAATTCATCCCTACTTTAATGTCATTTGTCCCGCAACATCCTTACGTCCTAATCATGTTTAATTGTGGTTTAAATAAGATTAGTTGGATTTGGGGGATTAAATTCTTAAAATCTTTCTTAGCTGATAATAATAATCTTCACAATCTACATAAATTAATCACGGTTCATGATAGTTGGTTTATAAAATCAATGACTCAAATATTATCCACTACAAAAGGAAATTTCTTAACTCTTAATTTATTATTTGATTATTTCACCATGGAATCTCCTTCAATCAGTTCTGATTCATCTAACAATATCATGATCCATTGTAATTCATTATCTGATTTAAGTCATTATATCGATATCACAAAATTAAAAATATCCTTAAATATTTGGAAACATAATTTACAAATTGAACATTCAATCCAATTATCAAAACGATTCATTCCATTATTAAATCCATTAACTACGTTCAATATCCATTCTAATCCTACTTTTCATCATCATTTTTATCAAATTTTCAACATCATCAATTCATATTCTGATAAAGTAGAATTAATCTTTCATAAACCAGGAAATAAAATCAATACCGACGTATTGTTTGATTGTATTAATCGAAATCAATTGATTTGGATCAATGATTGGGATTTATATTGTATCGCCACTACTTTCAAACGAATCCTCATGGAATTACCATCTCCTTTAATCCCTACCAACCTGATCCCATTACCTATAAAAGATGATTATAATTATACGTTTGAAACGTTTCATAATCTTTTACAACAACATGGTTCAAATGAATTAACACAATCTTTTAAATTAGTATTGATTCAATTATTTGAATTGGGTCATCATTTAATTCATACTAATAAAATCACAAATCATACTTCATTATCATTATCAAAAAGTCTTAGTCATTGTTTAAGTCATGAATTAATCTCGTCCCAAAATAAAGATCATATTTTAATAATCAATCGATTCTTAAAGAATGTATTTGATAATTGGTCAAGATTAAGATTGACTTATGTTAATGATCCAGGTTATTTAACTGTTCATGAATCAATCTTTGGTAAAACCATAATTGAAAATAATCATCATCAAAATAATAATACCCTTCCTGATGATTCTTATGATTTAAGTTATGATATCACTATAGAAGATACAGTAGGTTCAACCGATGATAATGAATTTAGAGTATCTGTAAATACATCCAATATCTTAACCTTTAACTCAAAATTATCCAAATCAACCTCCAATAACACTACCAACAACAATAACAATAATAATGGTTCTTCTTCTAATCGAGAATTACTATCAACCATAAGAGATTTAAACTTCTCTCAGAATAAACTCTTATCATCCACAACAACAACATCTTTAACTTCCAAAGTCTCAAAAGCATTAAATGACGTTTCAAACATTGCATTACAATACCCTCCTCAAAAATATAATTTTATCGATTCAAGTCCTCAAAAAAAATCAAGAAATATATCCCCTATAGAAACCATCCCTCCTCCAAATAATGTGAAGAGACCGGTTATAAGAGGGAGAAAGGTTGGTCAATTGGCGAAATTGTTCGAAGAGAGAGCTCATGGTTTGGAATTATTAAAAGGTTTATAAAAAAAGAAAGAAATAAGGTCATAATAATAATAATAATAGTAATAATATCATTTTATACAAAAACACAAATTATATATTTTTTTATACTTATTTATATATATGGAACTAATGTACATTTCATAACAATAAAAAATCAAAGAAAGGAAAGGGTACAAATCTGATATTTAACATTAGTTAATAATGTTAGGCAAAAAACACACTAATAAAAACAATAACAAGAAGAGAATAAAAGAGAAGAGAAAAAGGAAAAAACTAGAAAAAACACAACAATATCTAGAACACTTATTCGCCTACTAATCTACTATCGATATTTTCCATCGATAAATCAGCTTCATTATGATGATAATGTCCATGACGAGTAGCATTGGTTACAGCAGCAATGGCAGCGGCAGCAGTACTATCATCATGATCTTGTAAATGTTGATATTGTTGGAATTGAGCTTCATCAATTTGATGTTGTTGATGATGATGGTGTTGATGATGTTGATGTTGTTGTTGAGCCACGGCAGCAGCCACGAATTGACGTTGAAATTCTTCTTGTTGTTGTTGCAGATGTTGATATTGTAATACTTGAGGATCTGATGATCCTTGATTATCATCAACATTACCAGCACTTAAAATAGCATTAGTAGCAGCTGCTACAGCAGCAGCGGCAGCAGCAGAATCATCATTTGGACCTGTATTTGGACCTGAACTAGTATGATTTCCAGTAAGTCCAGCAGCTTGTAAGACTTCCATTTTAGTTTTGTTATGACCTACTCTTGAACCAAAACCAAATCTGGCATTTTGTTTCTTTAATTTTCTTTTATAGCCTCTTATTTCATTATAAATATCTTCACGTTTAATAATTACGTCGGGATATTGTTCTTTAATTTTAGATTCAATATGAGAAGGTTTAGTACCAACTTTATATAAATCCAAAATTAATAAATTCAATTCATCTGATCTTTTTCTAAGCATTGGATGATTTGATAATGGATCTAATTGAGGATGATTATGTTCATTACAAGTAGTCTTTAAAGTCCAAACTCCAGTGGATTTTTTATAACTTGCAGTCATAGCAAATGGACATCTTAATTTTTTGGTTTTAGTGTTTGGATCCAATAAATATCCTCCTCCAACATCAACATGTCTAGAAGTATCTTCAATGGTATCCTTTTTTGATTTTTTATGTCTATAACGTCCACCTAATTCACAAGTATAATAGATGGCCTTTTTATTAGAATGAGAAATCACGACGCCAAAGCCATTATCACGAGCAAATTCTTGAATGAATTCATTTAAGTCATCACGACTATGAAATGCTTGTTCAGGATAAGGTCTTGTAATTAAATTTCCATCAGCAGTAATGGTATTTTCAGTAACAGGATAAATCTTCAGTTTAGTATCAACAATAGGATCAGGGATTTGAATGTTATATTCTGATTCCAAATCATCTGCTTGATTATAATGACCATGAAGTTCAGCCTGTTGTTGAAGTTGTTGTTGGTGTTGTTGATGATGTTGATGTTGGTGTTGATGTTGATGTTGTTGATGTTGTTGTTGTTGCTGTAATTGTTGATATTGTCTTTTATAAGGATCTTGAGCCCCTGCAATTTGTCGAGCCGTAGCAGCAGCTTGTTGTTCAAGTTGTTGTTGTTGTTGGAGTTGCTGTTGAGTTTGTTGTTGTACTTGTTGAACTTGTTGATGTTGGGAATCCTTATTGACTTTATTTGTTGCAGCTAAATGTTCTATACCAGAAGTTGGATCCACCACTACTCCTTCTTGTTTGGCAACACTTAATAATTGATCATCAATATTATTTGAATAATCGTCTTCTTCAACATTGGATGACATGGTATCGATTTTATTAATGGTTATAATTTATAACTATCAAGATGATAATAATGAAACAATTGCAACCGTTTTACAATCTTTAAATGATATGTCGTGGATTAAACAATAATTTTTAGATATATGTTTTTTTTGTAATATAAACACACCTTTTTCATCTTTGTTGGAATGGGATTTTTTGGGAATGGGAACGACAAAAAAGAGGTCGTGTTAAGTTGGTGAAGAAATGAGTAGTGCGGAGTTCAAATTAATTATTAATAACATCCATGAATCTTTTAAACATCTAGACACGACCCCAAATTTCTCTATGATGGATTGGATTGCAACCCTATGTATATAATTACTGAATAACAACTAATATAAAGATTAAGATTAAATTAAATTCTATTATAACATATATAAACCAACATATACCCTACTTTAAACCCAAAAACATAAACCAATAAACTCTAATCAATTCTTTAATTCATTTTGAGCCCAAGTTGGTAACACAAATGAAGATTGATGAATATTACTATTATAATATTTAAATAAATTTGCCTCTAAAGAGGGCTTTAACTTTCTTAAAGGTTTGGTGACATCCTTTAATTCATCATTAGTAGCAATAATCAACCCTAATGACCCACTAGTATAACTTGGCATATAACATTGACTATATTTAACATTTTTAAATATCGTCTTTGCCTTTTTTAATAAATTTTTAAGATAAGATAAATTTAACCAAATATTTTCACTACTTTGCATAATTACAATACCATCTTTTTGTAAAGCATTTAATAATAATTTAAAATAATTAATTTGAAAAAATTCTTCTGCTGGACCTTCAGGATCAGATGAATCAGTTATAATAATATCAAATTTTTCTTGAGTTGATTTTAAAAATTTAAATCCATCATCAATAATAAGATTTACTTTGGGATGATTATGATATTTAGCCATTTCAGGTAAGAATTTAGTTGATAATTGAATCACCATATCATCAATTTCAACCATGGTAATCGATTCAATGGTACCTAATTCAACATGTTTAATTAATTCTCTAATTACTCCACAATCACCTCCACCAATAACTAATGCTTTGGTAGGATTTGGATGTGACATAACTGGCAAATGAGTTATTAATTCTTGATAAGCAAATTCATCTTTCTCAGTACATTGAATAATACCATTAAGAACTAATACATTACCAAAACTTAATGATTTAAAAATAAGGATATCTTGAAATTGAGATTTAGTATGATAAAGAATTTGGTTAATTTCTAACCCAAAGGCTTGACCTGGAAATGCATCTTCTGATTTTTCAAAGAACCAATATTTATCACCTTGTTTAAAGATGGTTTCATGAGTGAAACTATCAAGATCTATGATAGGGATATTATTTAAATCTATGGGTGACATTGTGAGACTTGTATATGATAAAGGAAAAAATTTGCGGTTGCAACTGGTGTGGAGGGGGGAGGGGGAAGAGATGAAATGATTTTTTTATTTACCTTATTTTATGGGTGAGTAAATTGTTTGTATTTGATAACTATACTTGTATGGTAACGTCACTCATATAGTTAGATTTCGATAACCAAATAGTTGTAATATTAAGGATAAAAGTAAATAGATCTAACTTAAAAGTACATCAAGATGTAAAGAAGAGATAAGAATGAAATTTTTTTTAAGGGAAAAATATTTTTTTTTGCTTAAAGGTCTTGTGGGTTTTAAAATCGAAAACAGAAAAATTAGCGGCTAAGAAATTTTTTAGGGACAGGGAGGAGAAGTTTATAATTCAATTATGATGTAATGGAATAATTAGGTACTTTATTATAGTTTTCACTATTATAAACATTTATTAAAGTTAAATATAAAGGTATGAAGATCAAATGTATAATCATGTAGCGAGATCAAAAACAAAGATCAAGATTTGCAACTTTTATTCATGGTATAATTCATACATTAACGATACAGGGGTACAAAATACATAATTAACCCATACATTCTAGATATATTGTCACATTGATAAAGAATTATCTATTACTGTTATATTGTATGACCTGATATTAGTTACAAAAGTTGAATAAAGTTTTGGATTTGGTTATGAACGAGTATATAAGTCGTTTAATTGTCTAGTATATAATAAATTGGTTTAAGGTTAAACAGGGGTAATTAGATCACACCAGACCTATATAAAGTATGGAAACTGGAGAAGAAATATTGACATTAAATATGTTAACACCAAGACTTATTTTGACGATCATTTGGTTTAAAAAGCTAATTATTTATATCACAATAGTCTTACCTTTATTGACAGATAATAAACGATTGTTATTACAGTAATAATATACATCACCATATTAAATAAATAATCATTCATTCATTGATTGACTCATAGTTAAAATAAATTGTCTGATTGAACTAACTGACAGACAAAAAAAAATGCTGTTACTAGAACGTACATGAATCATATCGCTTAGTACCACCTCTTTTTGTTTTTGTCTCTCTCTCTCTCTCTTTACTCTAAAAAAATAAATTGTAACTTGTAAAATTGAGTAAAAAAAAAAGAAATTTCAATCTGTAAAACAAGTTTACAGATTATCTCTAAATTTGCATGTTTGATTATAGGGGTGTCTCCATAATTTTTTAACATTTTAAAATATTTGTGGTTCTATAAATTTTATTATGAGAGGTGAGTGAGTAACTTTTTACAGGTCGTGTACTTTTGTACAAAAACAAGTTAGTGATTAAAAATAAAATATTCCCTGTAAGTTTAAACCAAAAAAAAAAAAAAATCAGGAAAAAAAAAATGAGAAAAATTGAACTTCAAAATTAAAAATAGCTAACGACAACACGATACAACTGATAATCTTATACTCCAAATCAAACCTTTTTACCAATATCCTCAGACTGAATAAAGCATATCGAAGGGGAAACAGTTATTGAAGCTTACATCCTACTTTCATCTGTCTTTTCAATAGCGTTCCAGCTTTCCTTGTTTCAGTAAACTCCCCCTTACTTCACTTTGAGGCATTTATCCTATATATATAAGCAACCAAAAAAAGGGGACTTTTGCCAACAGCTAGTCTTTTCAATCAACTAATCAGTTCTATTTCAACATATTACTATCATACTGAATAATCGATCACCTGTTCCTTTAACATATTGATAATCCCTTCAATAGCGTTTGTCTTTCAACTTGTATCAATACTTGGAACTCGTTTTAAATATGTCAACTACAACACCAACACCTCATAGTAATCATCTTACTAATATCCAACCATCATCATCCAATAAATCAAATCACCAACAGCAACAACAAAATGTACGTCCTAAATCAGGTCCAATCACCAAAATGATTCTTGATTTGATTCTTGGTTCTATCCTCGTTCATTTCATCCAACTTGTAACTTCATTCATCTTACATTTAATCGTACCATTCCCGGAATCATTATCCATCCCATCAGATTCAGCATTCTATTCAGCTATAAATAAAGCACCATCATCAACTTCGAATACATCTACATCTACCAAAACTAATAAAAAGAAAAGAAGAGATGTAAAAGTTAAAGATTTGGATTTATTTCCTTCTATTAAAGTTCAAGATCAACAACATAAAGAAGAAGCTTCATCTAATTATCAATATCAATGTCAAAGTCAACTGTTTGTAGATGATGATTTATTTAGTGATGAAGAAATAACCGCTCCTCAACCTTGTTCAACCGGTTTAACTACAAGATTATTACCATTTAAAAATGAAAAGGGAGAAATTGAATGGGCTTTTACTGAAGATGTAATACCTGGTAATGAATTAGATGCCTTCAAATTAAATACTAATAATGGTCCATCCAATGCTCATACTGAAAATGTAAAGAAAGAACTTGATGAAGAAGATGATGTTAATTTATCTCCAACTGTTTCTAATTCATCATCAAATAATGAATCAATCTTATCTAACTCAAAGAAAGATGGTAATAATTCCGGACTTGATAGTCATCATAGTCATAATACTGATAATTCACATGGTGGAGATTTAACTACTCCATTAACTTCTCATCATTCATCCCCTTTTACTCCTGATAGAAGTGTGGATAAAAAGATTTTATCTCATTCATCGTCTTCTGAAAATCTCGTCGAAGATGATTCTGATGAAATTGATGATGAATCAAATGTTGATGATGGTAAAACTCATCAATGTCCTCATTGTGATGCTGTATTTAAAATCAGAGGTTATTTGACTCGTCATTTAAAGAAACATGCTTTAACTAAAGCTTATTCATGTCCATTCCATAGTTTCAGTATTTATATTGATGAAAATAATGTGACTCATAAATGTCATCCAAATGGTGGATTTTCAAGAAGAGATACTTATAAAACTCATTTAAAATCAAGACATTTCAAATATCCAAAAGGAGTTAAAACTAAAGATAGATCAAGTTCAGGTGGTACTTGTTCAATGTGTGGAGAATATTTCCGCAACGCTGAAATTTGGTGTGAATTACATGTCGAAGGTGGTGAATGTCGTTATTTACCAGCTGGATTTAAAGGTAAATCAAGAATTAAGAATAAATTAAAGAAGAGATTATCAAAGAAACAACAAAAAGAATTAGATGCTTCTAATTTAACTAATCAAGTATTACATTCTCATTATATTTCAGGTAATATCGATCCAATTACCAATACTATTATTGATAATCCAACTTTGCCTGATGTAGTTTCAACTCCATTTGTGGTTGATACTCCTCATTCATCTTCTGGTGCTACTCCAGGTGGTCCATCATCAGCTAATAATATGCCACCATATGATTATAGTGGACATTCACCAGTTCCATCATTAACTTCATCCACTAGTAATTATCAATCTCAAATGAATAATTCTACTTCAAATTCCATTCCATCTGCCAATACACCAGTGTCAACTAAATCACCAATTAATTACTCCCAAATATTACAAGCTCAAGTTCAAAATCAACAATATCCAAGAAATCATTTACCAAATGCTACCAATCAATCGCAAGTGACACCAATTTTTGAACAATTTGATCGTTCAAATCAAATTCAACAAAGAAAGCTTGAAGAATATGATGATGAATTTTGTTTAGATATTGATCAATTAAATAATTCTACCTTCAATAACTATAACGAAATCCTTCATTATTTCAAGAATGGTGCTCCACAACAGCAACAACAACCACAAGCTCATCAACAACAACCTACTCAGTACATGAATCAAAAACAGCAACCAACTTACAACCATCCATCCCATTTCCAACAACAACAAGCACAAGCACAAGCACAACAACAATATTACAATCAGTACATTTGAGTAACTATGGTTTATGATTTTCTAGATATGAGTTTCTTTTTTCTTTTTCTTGGGGGTATTATTATTATTATGGCGGTTTATACTTTTTATTTCGTGTATTTCTTTTAATTGCAAAAAACATAAAAAACTAAAAAAAAAAATTGTATAACAAACAAACAACTATACTATTATGATAATAAAAAAATTTTACAAGGGTTTCTATAAAGGTGTTAATATTTTGTTCTAGTATAAATGTATATTTATATAATATAGATGAATAAATAAGTATATTGAATTTAATTTCATCAATGTTAGAAATATCATTGTCGTGAGGTGTTACTAAACTTGTACTTCATCTACATGTAAGTGTTGGTACAAAACCTACCCCTTAACAATTAAACAAACTACGACCGACTAAGATCAAATTTGAAAATATTACAGCTAGACCTTATTCTTTCAATTCTCTTTCCAAAAGCCTTTTCAATATTCTCATAAACTTTAACCGGAAGATTTGAATCATAAATAGGGTAAGCCAAATAGAATTCTAATCTATTGATTTTACTTCTATTGTGGGGGTTTGAAATATTAAAATCTTTAAACTCTTCGAAGAAATCCAAAGAATGTAATGGAAATATTCTTAAATGGGTTAAGCATTCGTGATTAAGAATTATTGAAAATAATTGTTTATTCTTATTAAGGGGAATTTCTAACATTTGAAGATATTTTGGAAACCGTATTCCTGAAGAAATATCATCTATAACGCAACTCGTGAAAGATAGAAAGACTAAATTGGGATACCTCATTGGATCACTGAATCATCAATTGATCTAAAATGAATATTAAGAAATCTCAACAGTGTTAAACTTAAAGGTAATTTTAAGTTATTTAAATTTTCTATATTGCAGCTTTGTAGATGTATAGGACAAATACTTTGAAATAATCGAACCAAATGAAGTTCGCAGAACAGTGATATTAGAATTGACAAGAACAGAAGTTTTTGTGGTTCCATTATAATTGATTGGTTATCAAATAAGGGGTTATATAGTTAGATAAAAATATTATTATTATTATGTACAGGAAAACTACTATCGTAAAGTACTTTAATGAAATGAGCCCTACAACTTATGATAAAAGGTTTACTTAGTGATATAACTGTAAATATATACATTTATTAAGATTCTATATAATTAGAAATATAAATGATGATGAAAAGTAATAGAGAAACATATAGTATCTATAGAACAGAAAAAAGTAAAGGTATTTTCAAGTCAAGCATAAATAAGTATATTGAATTTAATTTCATTAAAGTTCGTAATTCGTGATGTGATATAGTTTATAAGCCAAAGATATCATCAATGGTCTTCTTACTTGATTTTTTGCTTTTGGAGGATGAAGAATTTTGCCCGTAGTTGTTACTCTTCTTTTTCTTTATCTTTTTATTGGCTTTATTGATGGTTGATGTGGTTCTGGATGGTATATCTGACTTTGGTTTTGATTTATCATTGTTATCATTCACTTTGACATCAACATTCACCTTTCCATTTACATCCTCTTCTTCTTCTTCTTCTTCTTCTGCTTTCCTTTTCTTGGGATTGTCAACTAGCACATCCTCTAGTATAATCTCTTCACCTAAATCATCATCTCCAATATAACTCACCCCAGTAACTTTTAATGTCTTCTCAATCGTGCTCGACATTGCCAATTTCAATTGATCTAATGATTTATCTCCCTTCTGGCCTGATATATCTATCAAGATAGTATATAACTTCGATAACAATCCAACCAAAGTGAATCCCAAACTTATGAATTGACCTAATGTTATGATATTATTAAATTCAAAATACGCCTTTCTAAAGATCTTCTTCAATAAGTAATGCACAAGATTATCGATTTGATGACATTTATGACTGATCTTATCCTGTTTGGAAGGTTTGATACGTAGACTATCGACACTTAATTTCATTATATTTCGAATTTGTCGATGAAGAATATTAAGATATTTCCACCATATTGATTGACGATGTTGATTCTTACTTCGAAAGTAGATTAAATGAAGGATATTGTATTCATTGGATAAGATCTGTAGTTGATCTTCTGTTATCCTTCGAGACGGTATAGCCGTCTTGACTTCCCCATCCATATTGTAAATAACCTCCTCCTGTGGATTAGATATTCTAGTACTATTTCTAATTAATTTATTTATTTTCACAACCACCAAAAAAAATTATTGATGCGAAGAGATTATAAATTTTTACTATTCAAATATCCATCAACATCAACAACCAATAGTATCACCACCAACAAGGGTCAAATACCACCTACCATTGAAGATCTACAGTTAATTAATGTCATCTTCAGATATAACTACTCTTGTCTCCAAGGCTAGGGCGTTGTTACAATCCTCCCAATCTGAAAAAGCATTGGAATTATTAACACCAAGTTTTGAAACTTATAATGATCAAATTGAATATTTACAAATTTTTGGAGAAACGTTATTAGAAAATAATGATTTAGAGAATGCTTATGATGTATTAGTCAAAGCTTGTGAATTGGATCCTATTGCTTCGAAAGGAGTGGAGAAGTTTTTCTATTTTGGTCAAATTATTGGAGGTCAAGATGGGATAAATTCTTTAAATATCGGATTACAAAAATTACAACAACAATTAGATATTATTCAACATGATAAAGATACTGAAGATGAATTATTAGTTGAATTATCAAAATTATATCCTACCAAGGAATCCTTACTTACCTATCTTATCAAAAAGTTAAATCAAGGAATATTTGCTAAGATTGAAATTTGGATGACTGATTTATGTATGGAAGATGAAGCTGAAACTCAATGTAATGATTTAATCAATTATTCCATAAGTTTAGATCCTAACAATCCAGAAGCATTATCATTATTATCCTCCATCAGAATCTCTCAACAACGTAATGAAGAAGCTAAAGAAGCCTTATTAAAATCATGGCAATTATTCCAACAAAAGAAAGTTAAATTAGAAGAATCTGCCAATAAGATAAAACAAGGAGCAGAAGAAGAAGAAGGAGAAGATCTTGATTCATTCGAAGTTGGATTGGAATATGTCGATTTGATCCAACCATTACTGACATTAGCTAAATTCGCTATTGAATTAGAACTTTATGAAATTACCATCACTATAGTTTCAAATATTCAAGATATAAATGAAAATATATTAGATATATATTATTATGAAGCCATTGCCAATTTATTCCATGCCAAACAAATCTTATTCCAATCATCATCTACCAAAAAAGCTTCAGAAGATGATGATTATCGTGATATTGATGTTTCAATATTACTTAAATCCTCTAATCCTGAAATCAAATCATTAATGAAAGAAGTTAAATCCTCGTTAACGCAAGGGTTCAAAATCATCAATAGTGATAATTTAGTGGCTGATTTGGATCCAGGTTTGATTGAACAAGTTGAATTATTATTAAAACAAGTTGGTGGTCCAGATATGTCTGAATTAATCCCCTCTAGAAAAGGTGAAGATGAAGATGGTTGGGAAGATGAAATTAATAGTGAAGACGAAGAAGATGATGATGAAGAAGAAGAAGATAATTAGACTAGTCTCAGGTTGGAAAAGTAATTGTACATTATTATATTGTTATCGTTATATATATACTCTATAAACACATTTAATACATATCCAAAAATAAATAGAAAAAAAGAATTGAATTTTAAGTATGTTTTTTTAATAAGTCATAATCATTGATGTAGTTTTCGACATAAATCCATATAAGGGTAAATATTTGTTTTGTTTGTGTTGTTATACACATTTTATTTTATTACACATTTCACTCATTCAGTTAAATTACTTTAATAAATTGATCACATTTGGAACATCCTTAAAGAAATCGTTATTAAATATATCAATTTGCATCGATTCAAAATATTGATCATATTGATTAGCATCTCCTGAACTCATACTATTCGGACTAAATGATGAATCACTTCCAAAGAATGGTTTCGAATTCGAGGTTGAACCAGTCATCATAGTTGAATTGACATTACTACCTCCAACATTATTATTAACACCATTATTATTATTATTCATATTAACGCCATTATTGTTAATATTACCCATATTATTATTAATATAATTCATATTATTATTATTTTGATTATTTTGAAGATTATTATTACTATTATAATTATTTCCTCCTCCCATATTACCATTATTCATATTCATATTCATCATATTATTACCATTATTAACACTGTTCATATTTAATAAATGAGATGTTAATTCAGGTGGAGTTTGAATAGCAATATTGTTACCATTATTACCGTTATTGTTATTATTATGTAACATACTCTTTATAGATGGTATGGAATCAGGTTTAGTAATGGGTGATTGTGGAATAGGGAATGGTGATTGGTTTTTATTTACGGGAGATGGTATAGATCTCTTTAACCAAATTGGATCATCAAATGCATTAAGTAAATTATTATTGTTGTTGTTGTTATTATTATTATTATTATTATTATTATTATTATTATTATTATTGTTATTGTTATTGTTATTACTATTATGGTTTGCATTATTCATCATTTGAGGTTGATGAGATTCATTAAGACTACTATTAGTTGATTCATGACTTCCATTTGAACTTGAATTACTTTCATGTCTGGCACGTTTAACTGAAACTGAACCACCTCTAGCATTATTAGTACTTGCCAATGATGATGATGATGCAGTTGGTAATGATCTTCTCTTTTTATTTTTAACTTTGGTATTTAAAGTATCAATGAAATCATTAGTTAATCTATAATTTTCATCGACAATCCACCAAGTTGATGAGAATTTCTTTAATTCATTAAAATATTGTTCAAATTGGAAATTATCTTCAAATGTACCATTATTTAAATGATCATTTTCATTAATACTTCCACCCATATTAGTAAATGATGATGAAGATGATGAGGTTGAATTATTGAATTTCAAATGTAATTTAGCCTTTTTCTTTAATGCAACAGCCATAGCTAATGACATACACCATGGACTCATTGGAATATTAATTTTTAAATCATCATCCATTTGAATCATATACCATAAAACATTGGAAGCAGCTCTTTGACTTATTAAATCAGGAATATTATTAGGAATTTGAGGATTATCATATTTTGCCTTTTGAGATGCTAAAATAATAACATTATTAACAATTCTAGTTAAAAAATGAATAGTATTTGTAGTATAATCATTTTTTAAATTTGAATAAAATGGTTTATTAGTTGATCTTAATCTTTCCTTTTCACAAGTTTCAAATTCAATTTTTTGAAATTCATCACTATTAAACATTTTATACCTTATCATATTATTATTTCCAATAACATTATTATTATTAAAAGGTTGAAAAATTGCAAAAAACATATTTTCTAAAGATCTTGCTAATTGAACCATTTTTAAAAGATTAATATTATTATAAGGTAAATCAATATTAAAATCTTCTTGTCTAATGAAAACTGCTCTAGCATTAGTTAAACCATTAAATCTATCAAATATATAACAACACCACCAAAGATTATTCAGATATTCCACTTTATTTTCAATACTTTTTTGAGATGATAAACGTTTCATATGAATCCCAATAGCATTACCAAGATTTATAGCAGCACTAAGATCATGACTACTTTGTTCACTACCATATCTATCATAAGCAAAATGTAATGATAAAACAAGATGAATTACAATTCGAGAAAATTTATCGGCATCCCCTAATTGAGGTAAAATTAACATTAATTGTCGTATTTTATAATGTAATTCCGTCATAAAATTAATTAATTCTTGTTGGAATTGAATTTGATTTATTTCTTGTAATCTATAACCTCGTTTAAAAACATCTTTTAAAATTGGTTCTGCTAATTTATCTCTTGATATAGCTAAAATAATTGAATATAATAATACATTTTGACATTTATTGTTTTTAAAATCATCCCAAAATCCTTGTTCATGAACCAAAGGGAAAATTGAATTAATTTTAAAGAAATATAATTCAATTAATTGTTTTGTTTCAGCCAATGTAATTGGATAGTTGATCGATGATAAAGTAAATGCATCAATTGATTTTAAAAATTGGTAAACTTTTGGATTTTTAATATAATATTCTTTATCTTTACCATTACCAAAGTTTTTGATTTTATATGATTTCTTTAATTTATCGAATTGAGATTGTTGAACTTGTTGATGATGATGTTGTTGTTGTTGTTGTTGTTGTTCTTGTTGTTGAGGGATTTGAGTAGGTGCGGAAGTTGGAGGTCCTAAAGGTTGACCTTTTGTATCTTCTTCATCCGATGGGTTTTTAACATAAACACCTGATTCATGCCAAATTGATTGATCATCCGACATGGAAATAATAACTTTAGGATGACCATGGAAAAGATATTGATAAGTTGAATCTGAATCTTGACCTGAGATATTGAAATTGAATTTTGCTTTTAAATATTGAGGAGTTATTCTTTTCATGGATTGATTTGAATCTAATTGAGGTGGAGATATAATATCTTGAGGTTGATAAGGTTGTTGAGGTTGTTGAGGTTGTTGAGGTTGTTGTTGCTGCTGTTGCTGCTGCTGTTGCTGTTGCTGTTGCTGTTGTTGCTGTTGCTGTTGCTGTTGCTGTTGCTGTTGCTGTTGCTGTTGCTGTTGCTGTTGCTGTTGCTGTTGCTGTTGCTGTTGCTGTTGCTGTTGCTGTTGCTGTTGCTGTTGCTGTTGCTGTTGCTGTTGCTGTTGCTGTTGCTGTTGCTGTTGCTGTTGCTGTTGTTGTTGTTTATGTTTATGTTGTTGGAATGGTATTATTGAAGCAGGATATTCAGGTTTAACACAAAGATTTGAAGGGGAAGAATTAGTAGTATTTATAGTAGTTGCAGAAGTTGATACTGTACTATTTGGAGTTGATGAATTTATAGTATTTGAAGGAGTTGTATTTGTAGTTGAATTGATTGAAGGTGGAACCTGTTGTTGTTGTTGTTGTTGAATTTGAGGAACTTGAATAGGTTGAACTTGTTGTTGTTGTTGTTGTTGTTGTTGTTGTTGCTGTTGTTGTTGAGATGGTTGAGGTTGTACTTGGATCTGAACTTGTTGTTGTTGTAACTCATTACTATTATTATTATTTTTATTAGATTGATCAATTTTTTTAATTAAACTACATTGGAAACCATGTTTTGTACAATTTAAACAACCAATAATTTCATAATCTTTAGAAGTGATTTCACATTTAATTCTTTTTGTTCTACAACTTTGACAACATTTAAACGTTCTTTTTCTTGTTTTATAGTTTGAATCAAACGCTGGAAATACAAACATTTGTTATATTAATAGTAGTTGATGTTATAGTGGTTTGGATCTACTTGATGGATTGTAAAATAACTAAAGGGAGGGAGTAATTGAGCTAATGAGGTAATGAATTAGTAAGAAAATAAGTAAAATAAAATAAAATAAGGTTAGTTTACAAAAATAGAATGAGGCGACAGGGTAGGGTAGAAACAGACGTGAGGATGTGGGGAGGTGGGTTGGTGGAAGGAAAGTATAACCTAAGTTGAATAGTCTAAGTAGTAGATGATGGTTGAAGAATGATTGATTGATTGATTGATTGATTGATTGATTGATTGATTCGATGAAGATAGATAATGAAGAAGAAGAAGAAGAAGTTGTTGATAATAATTAATTTGGTTGTAAATAAAAATTTTGTTGTAAAAATTATGATCACTCCAGTTTACTTTAGTTAACTGAACTTTTAGTGATACCCGTAATTAAAAAAAAAAAAAAAAAAAAAAAGAATTCCAACAAAATTAAAAAAATTAAAAAAAATTTAACGAAAGGCTCCACTTATCCATATTCTATCTATACACTATGAATTACTGTGAACTACATACTAATGACTGACACGACATCAGCATCATCTTCATCATCCTCATTTTAAACATCACAAGTTTTATTTATTTATTTATTATTATTTAGTTGATATGTTGAAGAATTATTATTTAATAATTTAATTTATTTAGCTTATTTAGTTTATTTGTTTACCTATCTCTATCTCTATCTATCTCTATCTATTATCTATTTGTTGAGATAAAGTTCATAATCTTCAAACAGTTAGTTACTTAATGGTAATTCCTATCAGTTTAAGATTAATTGGGATTGACCACAGTAAAATGAAATCAATTTTATGTTCTCCACTCCCACTTTAGACGTGGAGAGATCGTTTTAAAAAATAATAGGGAATGCATTCCAAACCCCGCCCCCCCTACTCGCCACTTTTGTTTTGGAAACATAGTAACTATAAACTATTTAAAACAATACGACTCCAATTCGTATCTAACTCATCACAATGTTAACAATAGAAAATGGTAAATCTCATCTCTTATCATATCATATCATATCATATCTTACCTCACATCACATCACATATCATAATAAGGTTGGCAGCAACCGTTTGGGGACATCTATACCCCATGTATGATCTATCTCTCTTTTTGTTCAATCATTGAATGTGTCAACTTTAATCTACTATACAGAGGTATGGATGTTGTTATACCTTATTATTCTCTTTCGCTACCACATTGATTGATTGATTGTCATCATTATCATATATATCACTCAAATAAACTTTATATGACCAAACTAATTAACGACAGAAATAATCCGATATCATCCGTATATCATACTTGAAATAGATGACTAGTAGTTGACTCACTCACATATCCGTATAAATAATCATCTGTCTAAACTGTAATTATTATTATTATTTTTACTATACAGATAAAAAAAAATCATGCCATTAATTCTCACTTACACTAAATGCCTGGATTATGTAAACTTCAGTATAATTATAATTATATTCAATTTCCCGTATATCATATACCATTAGTATGCTTTAACGATTCAAATTGAGGTTAAATCCCAACTATAGATCAATCATTCCGATAATAGTATACTTTAATTCTAAAAATGGGTTACCAATTATTCATGGCTTATAAAAACTCTATTCTAAGCCAACAATATAGGACTTAAGAGAATAACTTAATACACTCTCTCTTACAAATTCCCTCATTGTTCATTACTTCTTAAACCATTCTCTTAGTATAAACTACGTAAAATCTAGTGGCATGATTCATCTATTGACTCGTATTTCAATATTAATTCAACTTTCTTCTCTCACCCGGCAATATATCGCCGTATCACTATTACATTCCATTTTGAGCCTCGATTTTTTTTTATTTGTTCCGTCTGCAAATTTACGTTCATTCCATACGTTTATAATTGCAACTTAAAATTTAAACTTACCGAATTCACCAATCATGGAAAGTGTTTTCTAACCGTTGTGTAAAAGTCTAAATCTGGAGTATAAATAATCCTTCAAATATGCTTTCAATTGATTTATTTTCATTATATGAACTACCTATCAATTAATCATGACACAAACTAATCAAATTTATACTATTCAACCATTAAATGAATCTCAAATATCCATCATCAAATCAACCATTCCTATCTTAGAACAAGCAGGAGAAAAACTCACCGCTAAATTCTATGCAAACATGTTAGAAAGAAATCCTGAAGTTAAAGTATTCTTCAATATTAATGATCAAAAAACTTTAAGACAACCTAAAATCTTAGCATTTGCATTATTGAATTATGCTAAACATATTGAAGATTTATCTCCCTTAACTTCATTCGTCAAACAAATCGTGGTTAAACATGTTGGATTACAAGTTAAAGCGCAAGATTATCCGATTGTTGGTTTAAATTTAATCGCTACTATGGGAGAATTATTAGGATCTCAAATCGCTACTCCTGAATTTGTTGAAGCTTGGAGTATCGCTTATGGAAATTTAGCCCAAACTTTAATTAATTTAGAATATGAACAATATGATCATGCTAAATGGGACGGATTTAAATCATTCATCATTACCCATATAGTTAAGGAAGCGGAGAATGTTAAATCAATTTATTTCAAACCTAAAGATGGTGATATTGATATCCCTATTAGAGGTCAATATGTTTGTATTAGATGGAATTTAAAACCTTATGATCATTTAATCAGTAGAGAATATTCATTATCGGAATTCCCTACTAATGGACAATATCGAATTTCAGTAAGATTGATTCCCGATGGATTGGTTTCATCCTATATTCATCATGATTTGAAAATTGGGGATGAAATATTAGTTGCTCCTCCTGCTGGTAATTTCACCTACAATGAAGAAGAAGCATCTTCTTCTAATGATTTAGTATTAATTATTGGTGGAATTGGAATCACACCTATTATTTCCTTCCTACCATTAGCTTTGAAACAAGGAAAGAATATCACTTTATTATATTCCAATAAATCAACTCAACAAAGACCATTCACTTCATTGTTCCAAGATTTACACAATCAATATCCAACTCAATTCAAAATCATTGAATATTTCTCTCAACAATCAGTCACTCCATCTGATAAAGATATCATTGATAAATATCATTTACAAAGATTATCTCTCTCCGATTTAGATTTCATTACTAAACATCAAACCGTCTACTTATTAGGTCCAAGACCATATATGAAATCTATTCGTCAACATTTATCTACGAGAGGAGTAATTGATAATGTTAAATTTGAATATTTTGGTCCTCTTGATGTGGAAGTTTAGACCCTGTTAAGTTCAGACTCACCTGTAAATAGATCTACAATCAAATTCTTTCTATCGCTTATATATAGTAAACATGACACGTATAAAGAATATGACTTCATAACCATAGATAACCACACAGTGTAGTAGTGATTGCAAATTATAAATATTTTTTTATGACCTCATGCATTGTTAGTGTTATCCCGCGTGCTCTTCTTCTTTATGACAAGAAAAAAAAAAATTTTAAAGATTTTAAATTATATGCATGGCTCACTCTATTTGTTTATTTATATATCAAAATCTTAATTAAACCTCAATTTTACCTGACCTTTCAACTCCAACTTAAGTCCATATCATATACCACATAATGACAACCAATCACAGACCTACGCTAGAGAGCAAACGAGGTAAACAACAACTGATCCAATCCACCATCCAACATGATCAATCCACCAACTCCACCATCAAATTAAGACCTGATATCGCCATTACTGCCATTGATGAATTAAAACAAGAATTGATTGAGAATGAATTACCCCTGATACCCAGTAGTGGGAGTCTTAAACATGATTTTGATGAGATGCAGCAGGATGATGAGGATTTCGAAAATGAAAAAATCGATTTCAAACGTTCGAAGAATAATAATAATGATAGTCATAGTAATATGGTGGCATTGAATTTTTCAAGAAAATTATCGATAACAAGTACAGGCACCGGAGCTACTAGTGTTAGTTCAGATGGGAAGAGAAGAAGGAAATCAATCCATAAGTTGAATGAAGCCAATGATGATGATTATTTAATTATAAAATCAAATGAAATAAGCGATGAGGCAGAATTATCCAATGATGATGATAGTGAAGCTATATCTGATGATGATGAAGAGGGGGAAGTCACATCAAGGACAACTTCAAGACGAGGATCAACCAAAATAGGCGTCAAGATTCAACGAATCAAATCTCGTCAAAAACATCTCTTGCCGGACTCATTACTCGATTCGAAATTAGATGAGATACAACAAGAAGAAGATTCAGACTCGGATGCAGATGACGACGACGATGATGATGATGATGAGGACGATGAAGAGACTCAAGCTTTACTTGAGGAATTACAACATTTACGGAAAATGAAAGCTCAACAACAAGAACAATTGAAATTACAACAACTTGAACAACAACAAAAGGAACAACAATCGAAAAAGAAATCTTGGAGAGGAGGGTCAGCATTTGGAAGAAGATTATCAACTTCAAAAACAACCACCACAACTACTACAACTACAACTACAACTACAACAAATGACAAATCAACTTATACTAATGATACTTTAAAATCAGATTTACATCAAAAATTCTTATCAAAATATATACGATAATCATACTTTTATAGGTGTATATATATCATATTTTACGAAAATAAATTTTTTACGACAATTAATCTTTTTTAATCAAATAATTTATTATTTCTATGTTACAATTTTTTAAAAGCAAAACTATATGTTTTCTAACTCTAAATTTAAATACCATTACCATGCTTAATTCTTGCATCAAGTTGTTCAATATCTTCTTTAAGACTAGCTTCTTCAACAGTTTTAACTAATTCTTTCGTACATTTAGCAATATCAAATGATATTCCTGCTAATCTTTGTTTAAAATTCTTATCAGCAAATTGAGAATCATCATTCTCAATTCCTTCCTTTGGTCGACATAAAATTATCATACGATGATGACAATCTTCTAAACTTTTAACAACCCAACTACCATGTTCTTTTAATTGAGCATTACGAGTTTGATTCATCGATGTATTAGTGGCTTCTGTCATTTGAGATATAACAATAGTAATGGCTTTTGATTTATCTCTTAAATCACCTCTAGTAGCGTTAGGTTTCTTAATAGTGGCTAATAATGATTGAATAGTAGATATAACTTCAACTGTTTGATGCTCCAAATATAATAAAACTTGAGTTAAAGTATTATCGGGATCATCAATATCAAATAAATTAACATTGAAAGTAGCAGCTGCCATTGATTTACGATATTCTTGTCTTTGTCTAGCTTCAATCTCTTCTTCAGTTTCATCATCATCATCTTCTTCTTCTTCTTCTTCTTCATCTTCATTTTCTTCCACCACTTGACGTGGCTTCGTTACAGTTCCATTATTAGCTCCACTTTTAGTATCTTCCAGATATGATACTGATTTAACCGGTTTTTTAATGGTAGTAAAACCATCAACTTCCTCATCATCGTCCTCTTCTTCTTGGTGATCATTTGGAACTTCATTAAGATCAAGGTCATCATCTTGAACATTATTATGAGTGTTATCATTACCATTAACATTACCATTATTAACAGCCAATCTGTCACGTAAATTTTGAAATAAACCTTTACCCTTAGAAGCTTCAACTCCACCAGCTACAGCTACTGCAGCAGTAGCAGCAGTAGCAGCAGCTCCTGTTGAAGTAATAATAGCAGCTTCACCTAATTGATCACCATTATTATTATGCTCAGCTTCATTACCATAATTAGATTGACCTTGTAATTTTGGTTCGTCCATTGGAATACTAGTACTTGAAATATCAGAATCAATATTATTAACTGCTTTTTTAGTAAATGGTGAAGATGATGAATTAGATTTATTACTATCAGGATCTTCAAATTGTCTAACTTTATCTAAAATATTAAGTTTTCTTGGAGGAGTGGTTTTATTATTATTATTATTATTATTATGATTATTAAATGAATCTTTTGGTGATGTTTCAAAACCATTTAATTTAGTGGCAAGATATGTAATACCAGGAGCTTTAGAACCTTTTGGTGAACCTCTTTGTAATGGTTCTTCATCATGAATTTGTTTAGTTTCAAATTTAGATGTTAATGCACTAATATTTTTACTTTTTGGACTAACTTTTATAGGTGATTGATTAATTTTATTATTTATAGGAGAATTTGGTTCATTGGCTTGTTCTTTCTTTTCTCTTAAAACTGTAAATGCATTAGCAACTTTAGCTCTTGCTAAACGAGAATTTGGAGAAGTTACAACTTCATCTTGTTGTTGTGATGGTTGTTGTTGTTTTGATGAATTATCATTACTAAAAGAAGTTTGAGCTTCTCTTAATTTATCTGCCATTCTTAATGGTCTAACCCCAAAATCTTCACTAACACTGTGATTATTACTATTATTATTATTATTATTATTAATTGGATCATTAATTGAATCTAATTCAATTTGTCTTGAATTTGAAGAATTTTCTTTCATTTTAACTGATGAAATTAAATCACATAATGAAAAATTAACTTCACCAATAGAACGTTCAACCACAGCTTTGGGAATTATACCATCATAAACAGCAAAGTATCTGGTAGTAGTAAGAGCATAACTAACTGCTTCACGTAAACAAACCGAATATTCATTACTATTTAATACTTGACTTTCACCTTGAGATGCAATTTCATTGGCAATAACGGATAATTTTGAAATTTTTTCAAATAAAATATCAGAATCATTTTCAGTATTTAAATAAATAAGAAATGATTCAATCATAGATTGTAAATCAGATACTAATTTCATGGAAATTAAACCATGAGATGAAGTTAAATGTTTGAGACTTTCTTTATCCAATGATTTATTTAATAATTCTTTAGATAATGAATTTGAACGAGCATCTTCATATTTATTTTGTAATTTTAAGATTTCTTTCTTTACATCAGTTTGATTATTTGATTTAGAAAGTTCTAAATTATTTAATTTTTGAATGAATGATTCCACATCTTTTTTAGAAGTTGGTTTAATGGTTGATGATGAATTATTATTATTAATAATATCAATATGTTTATTAACTGGAGAAGTAGTATTCTTTAATGATTGATTTTCAAGTCTTAAAGCAGCATTAGCCGATTTTAATTTCGATAATTCATCATCAAAATTAACTGATCTTGTCTTTTCTTGATTATTTAATAAATTAAGTTTTTCAGCACTTAAAGATTCAATTTCATTACTTAAAGATTTATTTTGAGAAGTTAAATAATTATAATCATGTTGAATCATTTGATATTTTTCTTCTAATTCAGCATTTTTCAGTTGAAGAGATTCAATTTTAGAATGTAATTGATTAATTTCTTCTTTATTTTCAGTCAGACTTTTTGAAGTACTAGTACTAATATCTTTAACGATATTGATTTGTTTGACATCATCTTTTTCATCAAAACTATCAACATCTTCTTCATCACTTGACCAAGTTAAGTTTGCTTTAGTAGGTACCACAGTTTTAGATTGTATACCAATACCATTATGACTATTATTGTTGTTGTTATTATTGTTGTTGTGATTGAGATTGTAGTTGTTATTATTATTATGATTATGATTATGGAGAGAACTATTAATGGTTGGATCTGATTCAAGAGTTGATTTTCTTCCCACATCCAAATCAATTGATTTAGTTAATGATTCCTTTTTAGATGATCCATAAGGATTTGAGGCATTACCATTAGAATGACTATTAGTATGATTTGATATGTTATTATTGGAAGGAGAAGTGGTGGAATTCGAATTAAACGATGGTAATTCAACATGTAAGTTTCTTCTTTCAATTTCATAAGAGATATCAGATACTAAATCTTTAAATCTTGGTTGAGGTAAAGAAGATAATTTTTGTCTTGCTTGATTTCTCTTTGGATGGAATGAAGATTTTGGTAATAAATAATCGGGTTCCCCTCTTGATTCATCGATTCTTCGTTTCAATTCATCATAAACATCAGTACTTAACTCTTTGAATTGAGCACTGGAAAGTTTTAATAACTTTTCTCTAGCTCTGGCAGCTCTTGATAGATTTGTTTTACTTCTTGAAGTCAGATCATCAGATATATCTAAAAATTGTTTCAATTCCTTATAACGAGATACCAAATCCTTATCACTCATGGTTGATTGTATATGGTCAGTTAAAATGATACTGGTGATGGATGGGGAAGGATTGAAAGTGATATTGGTTGTAAATATGATTTGTTTATAAATTTGAATTAACCGCTGCTGCTTTTGTTTTATGTTTCATCCACCTCACTCCAAAAAAAGAAATCAAATTTTCTCTCACTGTAAAAAGGGAAAAAAGGTAAGACGCGTATTTGTCTGTCTGTCTCTAATAGAATTAACTATGGCTTATGGCTTATGGCTTATATACTATTGTTCTAACTAGTTATATTGTTTAATTGAAAATTAAGTGGTTGGTTAGTTAGTTATAGCTAAGCCTAACATTTAGTATACTATGTTATTATCCCTCTTAACAGTAAGGTACAGATATACCAGAACTGCATATGGTAACAGTCTATCGCTTACAACTGCAGAACAACTCCTCCTAGTAATATTTAATATATGAAATATGGGATTATATTGATATCTATGTACAAATTATTTTAAGAAAATGATATAAACATATGCTATTTGTTTGATTGGTTTGTGTCTGTTATGATGATTATACTTCATTTGATTAACCCTAAAGCTTCTAATTAATCCATTATTAGACTCTGTCTCTTACGATCCCTCAGTTAAAGTACATCATCCTTCACTCTTTTATATATACATATATGCAAGGATTTTAGATTAATTAAACAGTTTCCTTCTGCTTTCTCTTTCTTTCTATATTGGATTCAACTACAGTACTTGCTATGTCTTCTAATGGAGTATCATTACTATTCAAGATCTTTTCTTGAATAAATTCTTCCGCCACTAATTTCCCATGACTTAAAGTTACCGCTCCAATTAATGCATACATCATTTGAGCACTAACTTTTAATTCTCCACTATTAAGAAATCCAACAGTATGACTTGATGATTTCCAAAACATTATTGAATTTAAATTATGATTCTTTGCAAATACCCCCAAAGCATATCTCCCTCCTAATTCTTTAGCCATAGGTGATCCTAATACATCTAAATTCTTTCCATTTATAGCTAATTCATTATTAGATGGTTTATTAACCACAAATTTTGTAAAGAATAAACTTAAAATCTTTGATCCCATAGCACTTAATTTTTCATTATATGGTTTTATCCCATTACCAAATGATTTATGAGTTAATACTTGTAAGATTAATTCATCAGATATATGATATTTCTGAGTTAAGAACTCCTTTATTGGTTTTAAATTCAGTTCTGATAATTCATATTGATATCCATTATAAGTTGTAAATGCTTCCTTTGGATCTCTTTTAAGTCCTGCCACTCGAGATCCCTTATGTAAGTATATATTTCTCACCGGGATATATGATGTACAACTTATACCAGACTTCAATCCTATAAGTCTGTTTGGTATGACTAGTTGTCGTATACTACTCATGATATTGAGATGATAGATATATATATAGAACTGTATACTTCCAGTTATACCAATTGATCTTGATTAACCATTTGATATTTGAACATTTAAAAATTTTCCACTTTGAAAGAGAAAGGAAAAAAATCCCTATTATGTAATCGCTTAGTCATACTCATACAAAATATATTTGCATCTCTTCTCACTGTTAAAGATTTTTTTATATAAATAGATCATAGTAATTGAATTGAATAGTATCAATAAAGGTAGGACGACTGATAGATAGATAGATAGATAGATATGGATATATTCAGAATCTTATCAAGAGGTGCTTCTCTAAAGAAAAGAAGTGATGTCACCACTGATTACTCCTTACCTTCCCATAAACAACAATCAGTTGAAAAGCATAAAGAACAATCTTTAAAACATCAAGTTGAAAAGGAAACTGATTTCTTTCATACCAAAAAGCATACCACCACAACTACTACAACTACTCCTACAGACGAACCGACTAATGAACAAGTAGAGGAAGAAGAGGATGATGAAATACCTCCACCTAAAATAACCACTGAAGAAGATGCTCGAATATTAAGAAAACAAAATCAAGCCAAAGTAACTGGTGATGATATCCCATTACCAATTGGATCCTTTGAAGATTTAGTATCCCGTTTTCAACTTGATAAGAAACTATTAAGCAATTTAATCGAAGCTGAATTCGTCGAACCAACCGCTATTCAATGTGAAGCTATTCCTATATCATTGCAAAATCGTGATTTAATCGCTTGTGCTCCAACTGGGTCAGGTAAATCATTAGCATTTTTAATCCCCTTAGTTCAAAGTATATTACAAACTCATAATGCCAAATCTAAAAATCATGGAATTAGAGGTTTAATCATATCTCCTACTAATGAATTAGCCATTCAAATCTTTCAAGAATTAGAAACTTTAGTTAAAGGTAAGAAATTAAACATTGCTATATTATCCAAATCTTTAGCTAATAAACTTAATCATAAGATTATTAATGGTTCGAAATATGATATCATAGTGACAACCCCATTAAGATTGATAGATATTGTTAAAAAGGGAAATCTTGATTTATCTAAAGTTGAACAATTAATCATTGATGAAGCAGATAAATTATTTGATCAAGGTTTTGTTGAACAAACTGATGATATATTATCAAATTGTACTAATCCAACTTTAACCAAATCAATGTTTTCCGCCACTATCCCATCTGGAGTGGAAGAAATGGCTCAATTTATAATGAAAGATCCTATAAGAGTTATTATTGGTCATAAAGAAGCTGCTTCAAGTACCATTGAACAAAAGTTGATCTTTACTGGTGATGAACAAGGGAAACTATTAGCTATTAGAGAAATGATATCTAAAGGAGAATTTAAACCCCCAATCATCATCTTCTTACAATCTATTACAAGAGCTAAAGCTTTATTTCATGAATTATTATATGATAAATTAAATGTCGATGTCATTCATGCCGAAAGAACTCCAAAACAAAGAGAAGAAGTTATCAAACGATTTAAAAATGGGGATATTTGGGTATTAATCACTACTGATGTGATTGCTAGAGGGGTTGATTTCAAAGGAATCAATTTAGTTATAAATTATGATGTACCTCAAAGTGCTCAATCTTATGTTCATAGAATTGGGAGAACTGGTAGAGGAGGTAAAAAGGGTAAAGCAGTTACATTTTTTACTAAAGCTGATGATTTAGCTATTAAACCAATTCTTAATGTTATGAAACAATCAGGTAGTGAATTAGATCAAACTTGGATGAAAGATTTAACAAAGATTTCTAAAAATGATAAGAAAAAAATAAAACAACATGAAATTAAACGTAAACAAATTAGTACGGTTCCAAAGATTGTTAAACAAAAACGTAAACAAAAACAAGAAATGATTGAAGCATCTAAAAAGAGAAAGACTCTTGCTGCTGAAGAAGAACAAGAATCAACTGATTAATGAAATAGCATAGATATATAGATATATATACATAAATAATGTCTTTTTTTCTAAATAAAATGTATATTTATAACAGAATGGAAAATAAATAATAAAAATTTCATCTAATTTTGATCTTATATATGAAATACCGTAAGATAATAGTAAAGAATAGTTTTGTTAAAAAAGGAAATTTCAAATAACAAACGTTATTCGACATACACTTTTTTCAAATTGAATCGATAACTCCGGAATCATTTTATCAATTCCTGATTCCAGATCACAACGATTCACTTATTATACAATGCAAAAATGGGATTATGTTTTCTCAGAAATAATAATCACTTCTCCCCATTTAATGATGAGCTCCACCTCCAATAGATGGATAACCAAAGACATGTCTTCTACCAATTATTTCACCAACAGAAAAGAAAGCTAATAATTGAGTACCATAAACAGCAGCCTTAACAGCACATTCCTTAGATGGTTTGAATTGAGCAGCCTTGGTAAGGAAAGCTCTTTGTTGTTCAGGAGATTGAACAAATTTAAAAGCATTTTGATAAACTTGTTGGAATTGAGCACTTGATGGTGGTGCTAATCCTTCATTCTTATAAACAACTTTACCAACTTCAGCAGTGACTTTACCCCAGTACACAGCACCGTTGGCAACTTCGGTGGTTTTAGTGACAATACTGTTGACGAAACCAGTGGCTCTAGCGACAATGGCAGACATTTTCAATATATATTTAAAGACAAACAAGTAACTATTATTAACAGCTATGATATCTGTCTGCTCATAAGTTTTTTTGACTTTTCTCGATCGGGTTGAAAAATGTGAATTTTTTTTTTAGTGTGTGTGCACCTTTGGCCAATTATATCACTGCGAACCCTAGACTTCCTAATTAGGTAGTAGTAACTAGTTACTAGTTAACAATATGTTACACATTAAATTTTATATTTATTAAAAGTATTTAACTATAATTGTACTCCAAAACGATCAGGCATTACAACGGGAGCTACTAAACTCCATCCGTATAATATAAAACATACCCATGAACTAATAATCTTTACCCAACTTGAGAAATAAGTTCTTCCAACCGGAATAAAATCTCCTGAATCTTCTTGTTTAACATTAATAGTTAATAATGTAGCAACATATTGTGTGGCTAAGAAAAAAATAACATGGAATAGAGCATAATTATATTTAACTTTCAGTCTTTCTTCATCTCCTTGATTTTCAGCATCATCTTCATATAAATCAGCTTGAGTAAGAGCACTTTCTGGTAACAGACCTTCATCAACAGCTTGTTTAATGGCTTGATATCTCATTTCATTTCTAGCGGCCGGTTGTGCACTAATATATGGATCTGAAGTTTCAGAACTAAAGGCTGAATTTGCAGCTGCTCTAGTAGTAGTATATGCAACGGCAATAAATGTAAAAAATGCCCCTAAAACAACACTAGCAGTTCTAGTACCCTTTGATCTAACCAATGGATTACAAAGTTTATCATCAGGTTCAGATGCAACAGCACTCATGACTAAATATGAACAATAAAATACAACCATAGAAGCTTGGGCCAATCCAGCATGAGGATTATATTCTTGAATAGTTTGATTAACTGACATGACGGAAATTATTAAGGAGAATATCATATTCAATGTAATAGCTGTCTTATTCATATTACAAGTTTCGCCAGCGAAAAACCAATACATCAACGCAGTTAGAATAATACTAGCAACATACATGGTTAATGTGCCACCAACAAGTAATTTCTTCCAAAACCCAGCGTCTCCTTCTCCAGTAAGTTCTTCCATCTCAATCTTTTCTAAACATTTCTCAGCCCAAGCATGAGCAAAATCCACTAATAATATAAGACCAATTCCAAGGAAAATTGTGGAAAAAATTATGGCTATATTATTACCATAGAATATAAAGAAACTATCAGGGATTAATAAAAAGTTAACAACTATTAATGCTAACCATGAAAAGGTTTTAATCTTCCAATATCCATTTTGAATAACTGCTCTTGGATTAGCAGTAGATGTGACATTCAATAATAATCCCGCCAATATCAAATGTAAAGTTCCAAGGGCAAAATTGATACGGTAAACTGATGTAAAACTTATACATTCACTTCCATCTGGACCACACTTATTATTAATGAAACCAAAAGTTGCTTTTTCTAATTTATGAACTATGAATGGCGATAGAGCAATCCATGATAATAATGAATTAATCAAAAGAATGATTGCATATGTTATTCTTGTCATAATTGATGACTTAAAAGTTCCCCCAATTGATGAACATATGGCAGAACATGCTGCAGCACCAAAACAAGATGCTAATGATGATGTCATTGCCGTAATAGGCATCAAAGGTATCGACAATGCTGCACCCATTATTGAAAGTTGTTTTGAATGTTATGAATGACTGTTGATGATAGATATCGTTAGTTTGATAAAGATATTTAAATTTAGCCTTACAACCCCAAAAAAATTGGTATCATCGCACTACCTCAGAAACCCAAATTAGATCTCATCAATAATTTTTCTTAAAACCTATTGCAAAATTTGATTCTAAAAGGGCAGAAGTCATATTATCAAATGTCGTTTCGTAAAAGAAGTGAAGTGATAGGAGGCGGTCCTACTCCTCAAAGAGGAGCTCCAGTTTCACCAATTCCAGGTAGAGGTCCGGTTGTACCTAGAGGCCCTATTTCATCATTAAATAGACAAATTCCTGCTAGAGATGCAATCCGTTCACCCCAATCAAAATCAAAAGATGATCTAGAAGCTATTATGAGTAATCCGGCAGTCAGACCATCATTAATAACTTCTCAGCCAACTATATCAACTGGTGCATCTGATTTGGATAAAATATTATTACATCAGGGATTACCCTTGGGTCATTCATTACTTTTGGAAGAATCCAGTACTACTGATTTCTCTTCTGTAGTGCTCAGAGCATTCGTTTCACAAGGGGTTATGCATAATCGAATTACAAAAGATAAGCTTCATTCACATGTTATAGTAGCTGGGGTTCCAAGTCAATGGGCTAATGATTTACCAGGATTATATAAGGGTTCATCTAAAGAGCAAAAAAAGGCAAAAATAGCGGAAAATGAATCTAAGGTTAGTGTTTCTAACTTATCTAATAGAGTAGCATCAGGTAGAAATGATTTAAAGATTGCATGGAGATATGGATTAAATCAAAAAGCATCTGGTGAAGAATTCGGTGAAAATAGTAGTTATGAAAATTACAATAATCAATTTGATATAACACAGAAATTAACACCAGGTCCAAGTAGTCAAGACATTTCCTTCGTGAGGATTTCACCTAATTTTGGCGATATAATAAGTCAAATAGAAGGAATTATAAAGTTACAGTTGAAGCAAGATCCTTCAAAAACAATTAGATTGGTCATTCCAAGTCTTTTAAACCCAACCATTTACAGTCCTATATTTAGTGCACCTACTTTCATAATACCATTCATACATACATTAAGAGCACAACTACGTAAATACGAAAATTCATTGTCATTAATAGCATCAATTTGTTTAGAACTCTATCCAAGAGATTCTAGTTTAACTTCCACATTAGAAGGATTGTTTGATTCCGTAATTCATTTACAACCATTCAATCAAGAAATGAGTCAATTGATAGAAAAAGCATACAAGAATGAGCCTGCTAAAATTCAGCAAGGTCTAGTGAACATTATAAAACTACCTGTTTTGTCTGAGAAGGGTCTTATGATGATTCATGATGGTGAATATGCTTTCAAGAATGGTAGAAAGAAATTTGAAATAGAAGAGTGGGGTATACCTGTGGAGGATGTTGGTAAGGATGAGGAACAACAAACCACTAAAAATATAGACTTCTAAATATCATAATAATGTATACTTTTCATGCTAACTTTTGGTCTAAGTTTTCCAATTTCTGTAGAATCTGTTTCTGTGTACTTTGGATCTCGTTTATCCGGCCTATAACATATAAGAATTGATCTTCTGAAAGTGTATTAGATGACCCGCTATCACTTCTCATTGATGAGCTGCGTGAATGTACAAAGAGGCTGGTAGAACTATTGTTGAACTGTGTGTCACTTGTAAAGGAAACTGTCTTTGCTCTCTTGTTGATCTCTTCAAGGACTTCTTTGTCTTTAGTTTGTATTGCTTCATGTTCAATCTCGCTAATCTTTTGGCGACGTATGGGTGAACCACTTCTCTTAATAGGAGAAAATCTATTTGGCTGAGGTATTTTGGAATCTACCTTACTTGCTCTTGCTGAAGGTACCAGCTCTATATTATCTTTATCTGTTACCAGAAGCACTCCAGATGACTTGCCATTTTTCAATAATCCACCTCTACCAGGAGCAACCGCAAAGGCTTCGTAGTTTTTAGAGTTGTCATTTCTCTCTTTATATGGCGGTATCTTCTTAACAGGTGAATACCTATCTTTTAACTTGCTTGGTTCAGGATATTTGGACATGATTAACTATAGAGTAAAAAGACTAGTTGCTGTTTGTAAACAAAGGTTATTTAAAAGCGCGACTTAAAAATGTAAAGCTCTTTTAAAAAACTGTTGCAAAACTCATTCTATTTCATACTAAATAAGAAACAGTCAATTCAATCCAAAAACAATGTCTAATCAAAGAGAATCTGGATTTGGAGGTATCGTCAGTGTTGATGAATTGCAAGACCTTGGTGTTAATGCTGGTGACATTACCAAATTGAAGTCTGCTGGAATATCATCAGTGGCTGTAAGTTTTACCAAAGGCAACAACTTTTCCTTTGAAGAATACTAACCTCAATCAATCAGACTGTTTTATCGACTACTAGAAGAAACTTGTGTAAGATTAAGGGTCTTAGTGAGGTTAAAGTTGAAAAGATTAAAGAAGCAGCTGGAAAGTTAATTGTAAGTATTTATTTTTTGTTTAAATTCTATCTTCTAAAAGCTGAAACTAATAACCTTTCTAGAATGTTGGTTTTGTACCAGGATCAATACAAGCAGAGATTAGAAGTAAAGTATTTGTAATATCTACTGGATCCACTCAAATGGATGAAATGTTAGGTGGTGGTGTTCAATCAATGAGTATTACCGAAGTTTTCGGTGAGTTCAGATGTGGTAAAACTCAATTATGTCATACCCTCTGTGTCGCAGCTCAACTTCCAAAGGAATTAGGTGGTGCAGAAGGTAAAGTTGCTTTCATTGATACAGAGGGTACGTTTAGACCAGAAAGAATTAAATCTATTGCGGCTAGATTCGGAGTAGATGGTGACGCTTGCCTTGAGAATATCTCTTACGCAAGAGCACTTAACAGTGAACATCAAATTGAACTAGCAGAACAATTAGGTAATCAGTTAGCAGATGGATCATTTAGGTTATTAATTGTTGATTCAATCATGGCTGGATTTAGAGTTGACTACTCCGGTAGAGGTGAATTGAATGAAAGACAACAAAAATTAAATCAACATCTTTCTTGTCTTACTCGATTATCAGAAGATTACAATATTGCCATCTTTTTGACTAATCAAGTCCAATCTGATCCAGGAGCAAGCTCCTTATTCGCAGCTACTGATGGTAGAAAACCAGTTGGAGGTCATGTTCTTGCTCACGCTTCTGCCACCAGAATTTTACTTCGTAAAGGAAGAGGTGAGGAAAGAGTTGCCAAATTGCAAGATAGTCCCAATATGCCAGAAAGGGAATGTGTCTACGTTATAGGTGAAGGTGGTATTAAAGATAGTACTTAATAAATATTTGTTATTTGTGCATCTAATTTATCCCAATTAGGAAAGTTAATGATTTACGCGTCTCATTTAATTTTTTTTTATTTTGCACAAAATGGTATAACTTTCAATTTTTATATTAAAGAAATTAATTTTCAATGTTTATAAAAATACTTTTCTAATTTATAGCTGATTATAGTTCAATTCAATATTATAATATCAACAAGAATCTATGTCGTCTCCACCACCAGTGAATTCGAATCCTAACGAAACATCGAACGTTAGAGGATCTGAATCACTCTCACAATCGCAACCAGCAGTTCCATCATCACCATTATTCTTTGCTACATCTTCCAATCCCCCTTCAGACATTGGAAACTCACAATCTCAAATTAGAGATGTATCATCACCATTACATTATACTTCATCAGCTCATCCTACTTCTGAACTTGGATCTGGTAGATCCAGACCAGATAGATTAACTAGTGAAGTTGATAGGATTGTTAGAAGAAACCAAAGAAGTGATTTACACGATGCTACTTCTTCTCCAATGAGAAGAAGAATCTTCACTGAATCTTCAAGTCAAAGACGAGAACCAAATTTATCATCTTCATCAAGAATTGATACTGACGGTGTTGAAGGTGATGAACCAGTGAGAGTTATTTGGGGAACAAATGTTTCTATCCAAGATTGTAGTAATGCCTTCAGAGATTTCTTATTATCATTTAAATACAAATATAGAAAGTTGATGGATGAAAGAGAAATCGATCCTGAAGATAATGAATTGTATTACGTTTACCAATTGAATAATTTACGTGATCTTGGTTTAACTAATCTTAACTTAGATGCTAGAAATTTATTAGCTTATACACCAACTAGAAAATTATATCATCAATTAATCAACTATCCACAAGAAGTAATTCCAATTATGGATCAAACCATTAAGGATTGTTTGATTCAAATTGTGAATGATGCTAATGAATTTTCTGATGATATTCAAGGTAGTCTTGATGCTATTGAAACCAATGTTTATACCATTCGTCCATTCAATATTAATTATGCTCAAAAGGGTTTAAGAGAATTAAATCCAAATGATATTGATAAATTGGTCAGTGTTAAAGGTTTAGTTATCAGGGCTACTTCTATTATTCCAGATATGAAAGTTGCCTTCTTCAAATGTTATGCCTGTGATCATACTGTGGCAGTTGAAATTGATAGAGGTGTTATTTCAGAACCTACTAAATGTCCTAGAGAAGTTTGTGGTCAAACAAACTCTATGCAACTTGTTCATAATAGATCATCATTTGCTGATAAACAAGTTATAAAGTTACAAGAAACTCCTGATTTAGTTCCTGATGGTCAAACTCCACATTCGATTAATTTATGTGTCTATGATGAATTAGTTGATTGTTGTAGAGCAGGGGATAGAATTGAAGTGTGTGGTATCTTTAGATCATTGCCAGTGAGAGCTAATCCAAGACAAAGAGCCATTAAAAGTTTGTATAAGACCTATTTGGATGTGGTTCATGTGAAGAAGATTGACAAGAAAAGAATGGCTGCTGATGCTTCAACTTTAGAACAAGAAATTACTAATAGAGAGCAAGATGTGGAACAATTAAGAAAACTTACTACTGAAGAAATTGAAAGAGTTAAATCTATTTCCCAACGTGATGATTTATATGAAGTTCTTGCTAGATCCTTAGCTCCTTCCGTTTATGAAATGGATGATGTTAAAAAGGGTATTTTATTACAATTATTTGGTGGTACCAACAAAACTTTCAAGAAAGGTGGTAGATATAGAGGGGATATTAATATCTTATTATGTGGTGACCCATCTACTTCAAAGTCTCAAATTTTAAATTATGTTCATAAGATTGCTCCAAGAGGAGTATATACATCTGGTAAGGGTTCATCTGCAGTTGGTCTTACTGCTTATATTACAAGAGATATTGATACTAAACAATTGGTGTTAGAAAGTGGTGCTTTGGTCTTATCTGATGGTGGTGTCTGTTGTATTGATGAATTTGATAAAATGAGTGATTCTACTAGATCCGTTTTACATGAAGTTATGGAACAACAAACTATTTCTATTGCCAAAGCTGGTATTATCACTACTTTAAATGCCAGAACTTCAATCTTAGCATCTGCTAATCCAATTAATTCCAGATATGATCCTAATTTACCTGTTACTGCTAATATTGATTTACCACCACCTTTACTTTCAAGATTTGATTTAGTTTACTTGATTTTAGATAAAGTTGATGAAAATCTTGATAGACAATTGGCTAGACATTTAACTGATATGTATCTTGAAGATGCTCCCGATGTGGTTACCAATAATTTCGTTATCCCTGTTGATTTATTAACTCTTTACATTCAATATGCTAAAGAAAACTATCATCCTACAATGACTCTTGAAGGTAAAAATGAATTAGTTAGAGCATATGTTGAAATGAGAAAGTTAGGTGATGAAACTAGAGCTTCTGAAAAGAGAGTTACTGCTACTACTAGACAATTAGAATCAATGATTAGATTATCTGAAGCTCATGCTAAGATGAGATTATCTGAGACTGTTGAATTGATTGATGTTAAAGAAGCGGTTAGATTAATCAAATCTGCTATTAAAGAATATGCTACTGATCCAATTACTGGTAAGATTGATATGGATATGATTCAAACTGGTACAACCTCTGCTCAAAGAAGAGTTCAAGAAGATTTAACTTCTGAAATTATGAAAATCATTGATGAAAATAATAACTTGATAAGGTTCAATGATTTAGCACTCAAACTTAATGAAAGATCCACTATTAGAGTAGAAAATCATGATATAAATGAAGGTATTAAGAGATTACAACAGGAAGGTAAAATCATAGAAACTGGTGATAATCATAGAAGAACCATCAGAAAGATTGCTATAGTGTGAGTAATTTCTAAAATAGATACTAAACCCCCTCTTTACTTCATGTGTGTATTATTGTTGTTGTTTTTATTAAAACTAGTCTATATATATAATTAACGAATAAATAAAATATTTACAAAAATTTACTACTATCAATTTTGGTAGGTTGAGTTGATGGTTTAGCATTGTCTGCAACCTCCTTTACAACTACCACTTCTTCTTTCTCAGCCACTTCAAACTCTACTGGTTCTGTCAGTTCTGCCATTTTCAAAAATTTATCAAGTTGATCATCTAATTCAATATCAGTCACTCTATCATATTTATTTCTGGTTAACTTATCAGCAATTCTTAATTCTCTTCCCACATCTATATGTTCACCATTCTTCAATTTTTCAATGATATTCTCTAGTATACTGAATTTAGTCTTATGAGTATTAGTAAGCAATTCAAGTTCTTTCTTTGTCTTCATATAATCTACCATTACAGTTCCAAATATCAATGATAAAAATATTGATTTCACCACTGGAGCCTTCATAAGGTCTCTGAACTTGGGTCTTCTTCTGATATATGTAGGAGCAGTGGTTGAATTCAGCCGTATGCTTTGTCTCCCTATACCATTCAATCTTATATTAGCCTTGAACATCTTATTGTTGTTTGTACCTCTAACAGAAAGCTCTAGTTTTAAAAATTTGATGATAGTCCATTTTTTTTAGATCTGATGGTACACACATTTTTTGCGTTCCCAAATCAAATCAAAAATTCAAAATCCAAAATCAACATTTACTGTATGCTTAGTTTAAAGCTATTCAAATCATAACACCAATCAGATAAGAAACATATAAACATAGTATTATCACGTATGGGAGCAATGAAGGTTCCTAAAGTGACTAGCATACTATTGGTTGTTCTAGTATCATTGACATTCCTTAACTTTGTGCTTAAGTATTATACTTATTTTGTGCTAATAGTATCATCATCCAAAGAAGTAGCAAATGAAGTCAATGCCATAGCTCAAGAGACAGGAGAAGTACCACATCCTCATGATTTATACGTCCCATTACTCACATTCATACCTACGCGTTCCCCCATCATCTCTCGACCCTGGGTGATGATTACCAGTAGTTTCATAGAAGAGAATTTCTTAGGTTTAACAGTTAGTTTTATGCTATTATTCTATTTGGGAAAGTATCTTGAAAATTTATGGGGGCCTCATGAATTTGCTAAATTTATTCTTGTGAATGTCATACTATCGAATCTCACTATCTATGTCTATTATACAGTGAAATCTATCATCTTTTTCCGATATGATGATCTTCCAGTCCCACCTGTGGTGATATCCTCTATGGCGATCAATATGGGATTATTCGTAGCTATCAAACAACGAATTTCAAATCATTATTTCATATTCTTTAAAGGAAATTTACGTGTTAAGGTTACATTCTTACCATTCATTTTATTAGTTACTTGTTTCATTTTACAATTTTTAAGTGAAGAGTTTTATATTTCATTTATACTAAGCTTTTTAGGATTTGTTATCAGTTGGGTTTATTTAAGATTCTTTAAAAAAGGTACCAATGAAAGACAATCCTATCTTTTACCATTTGCCTTGAATCGGAAAAGGTCGGGTAAGAATAAATTCAAACCAACTAGTTCAAACCCAACTTCTATCAATGGATCAAATCATGCTGCTGATAATTCTTTACAACTTGATAATGGATTGATAAGAGGAGATAGATCAGAACAATTTTCATTCTATACATTTTTCCCATCCCCTATATCGATGTTTGTGAAATTAATAAGTGTATTGGTATTCACTACCTTGGTTCATTATAAAGTGATTGATCCTAATGATTTCACGGATTTTGAAGAAGAAGATAATGATCAATTGATCTTGGAAGATGTTGATAATTTGCAAACTGGATTATTTGATTTATCACCATTGAAAGGAGCAGGAAATGTATCGGCGATACCTAATGCCAGTTCAACTCTTAAAAGAATATGGAATTGGGTTATACCACCGCATTCAGCCAAACCATTAAGTATTAAAAATAGTATGGATAAGAGGAGAAAACTTGCATTAAAGGAATTGGAATAACCTTTCTTTATGGAAGATTTATACAGACACGAATTTAATAGATTTAAAATAGGTAATAAATATATACAAATATTAATGTATTAATGTATGTAAGTCTATATGTAGAAGTAAAGGGGGTATCATTATTCATTATCAACTTCTTTATTTGATTCGGACTCTTTCATATACTTCTTAATAAAACCTAATAATAAATCACTTCTATCATACCAATTTTCACTATCGATAACGGTATCATCAATATCATAAATCAATTTGATATTGTTAAGTAAGTATGGGATTTGTTTGATTCTCTTCAATTCAATCCATTCTTTCATCGAAAGTAAATACCAAAGTGATGATTTTCTAAATCTAGTTAATCCTAAAATACTGGTATTAGTAGTCGGGAATAATTTTTGAGGATTCTTATAAAGTGAGTCATTATCATCGTGTTTTATCTCGACATCATTCCCATCAACATCTTTGGGATGTTCATGTTCATGAGTTATGATGGTTTTATTATAATTATCCATCTTTAATAATGGTAAATATTGATCCAGTATATATGTACATTTCCCCAAACAATAACCTAATCTTTCAAAAACGACAGCTCGGATAGCTTGAGGATTATTCGTGGATAAATGACTATCGAATTCATTAATTAATTTTAATAAATATCGTTCAATCATATCATTGAAAAACCATGATACGTTATAAGCTGTTGATATACATAATAATAATTCGACTGTGATTAATAACGTCTTAAAACTATAAGTTTTAATATTCAATCTTGATTTGAAAGTATAGGATAAATTATCAATATAAGGTTCAATAATATCATATCTGATTCTTCTTAAGGTACTTTTATCAATCGAATTAACAGTACCTTCTTGAGTTTGAGCTAATAATAATGAAACAATACACATTTCTTGAATCGACGCCACATAAACCCAAGCTTTATCATTAGTATAATCCTTTTTGATTAAATCATAGGTGGAATAAGCATATTTGAAATCCTTTAATATCAAAGACCAATCAGCGAGTTTTCGAATGATTTGTTCTGAACTTGATTTATGATAATAATGTTCGATAGAATTGAATGGTACGGCGGAATTTATTACACCTGATGATGTGGATGAAGTTGAAGATGATAAATTTGAATCACTATTATTATTAAATAATTTCCGTGAAGCAGAGAATAATCTACCTGTTATTGATTTCTTTGGTTGTAATCTTTGATCATCCCAAATTCGAATTTTAGATTGCATATGAGGGATTAAGTATTTATTTATAAAATCATAAAATCGATGACGAAGGACTGAATCAATTGATTTTGGAATTTGAATGAAATTAGATGGGGGGTTGGAATTAGTAGTGGATTGTTCTTGTAATGCTATTCTTTGTAAATCTTCTTCAATGGTTGAATTTTCAATGATGGATAATTTCACCATGATATCATCACTGGTGGTTGATTCAGTGATTGGAATGATTGATGAATTGATATTTAACATTGATTTAATTTGATTTTGAAAATTGAAAAGATCATTATTTGAGAATTTATTGGAATCAAATAAGATGAAAGTATGGATTAATAAATCATCAATTTGATAAAATTTTGGAAAATTAAAATTTCTAAAATCAACAATCATCTTTCGTAAGTTTTCTACGGTATCCTTTTCAAAATCAATGACAAAGATTTGAGATATAGGATGATTGAATGTTTCGAATGGGACAATCTTATTTGAAGTGATGATTTTATTAAGAAAGGTGAGATATAATTCTTTATCATGAGAAGTTAAAGATAAATGTTTTAGTAATACTTCTAAAGAACTGATACTAAACAATTGATTCAATTGTTGATGAGGAGATGTGGCTGAGGTGGAAGTAGATGTGATTGATGGTGGTATGGGTGATGATGAATTAACATTGGATGAATTGGATGCAGATACAGAAGTTGTATTATAAGCGGATAATAATTCAGGTAAAGAAGGTTCAAATCGGATGGGGAAACTTGGATAATTCTTAGTGATTAATTGAGTACTGGTGATTTTAAACAGTTGATTCGGTATACTATATTTAGCATTATTACCATAAGGTTTAAATATTTGTAGAGTTGATATATCATTATTATTTAGAATGGTTTGGAATAAAACATCTGCATTTAGAGATGATTGAATTGATATTAATGGAGAATAAGTATGATGAAGGAGATGTTGTCTTGCTATATATGGATCTAGTCCCTTAGGGTAATCCATGATAAGTAAGACCCTATACTTTGATAAAATCAGTTCCCTTTGGTTGTCAAATTTGGCTGTAATAATTAGGTTAGCTCAGTCTTGCTTAGTTTACACACTCCAAAAGGAAAGAAAAACATCAAAAACAAAAATCCCAACCGCAATCAAAAGATGATAAACTGTAAAAGGGAAGGTATAAACTGTAGATCATAGTTAATATGTAAATCAACTTTTATAACTTGTAAAAAGATGATTTCGCGAGACGACATTTCCTAATTAGGACACATTGTCAACAGACAAAAAATAATTCTTAAATGTAACAAAAATAAATTGTGAGACAATTCAATTTTTTGATTTTAAACGGTTTGGTGGAAAAGTCAATCAGCCAAGCCAAGACATGGAGAGTGTTTAGTAATAAAGTTACATTAGCCTGAGATGATAGGTAGATACTGTAGAAGATAGTATGGGCGAGTGGCATGGACCATTAGAGATAGAGTTGATAAACTATAAAGTCATCAACGTTGTGTAAATATGTGACATTCTCTGATAACAGCAGTAAATCAAATTTTTATAAATACACGGCTGGCTGGCTAAATCTGTCTGTCTATAGGGGGGGGGGGCTAGAGGAGGGAATCGTCTAATATTAGACTATTCTTCCTCAAGATCACCTCAAACTTGATACTCAGTAGAGTCAGTTGTTGTCTACTACATTTAATTAACGTATCCTCTACACCTTGACCACTACACTGTAAACTCTGATACACATACCATACCATACCATACCATACCATATCACACACTCTAACTAATTCCTAAACAGTGAGGTCAATATTAAACTGTTACAGAAATATTAATTAGACGCCAAAAAAAAAAAGAATTTCAAAACAAAAAAATAAAAAAAAATAAAAAAATAAAAAATTTACAACAAAAAACTCAAAAACTTTTTTTGATCCCATTTCAATTATTTATCCTTAAATCACCTTCAAAAGGCAGCATCCAAAAGGTTTAACCATATAAGTAAGTCTGTACCCTCTAGTGCCAATCAATCAATCAATCAATCAATCCAATCCAATCCACTCATCGTGCCGTCTCACATCATCTCACCTTCATTACTACCACTTTCATTTCGATTCATTTCTGTCAACTACTACTACTATACAGAAATCAACACACAATACTTTCCTTCCTTCCTTTTTTTTTTTTGAGTTTGATTTCACCACTTTACAACCATTTACAACCACATCAATCAATCAATCCATCCATCATAGTCTTTCCTTAACCTCCCATATAACTCCATATAACCAATGTCCCATATAATACATCGACAGTTAAGTCGTATAGTAGGTCTAATACTCCTCCTTTTTAATAGCGTGGTTCTAGCTGCAAACTTTGAACCCATTACATTTCCATCCATAGATTATCCTGAATTAGGAAATCAACTAGGAATATTTGGTTCTTATAATGCCATCTCATTCTATTCATTCATCAATGCATCTTCATTTTTAACCCAATCATCATCACCATCATCAAATAATAACTTGTTCTTAAGAGACACCACTAATAATAATAATATCCAATTAGCCAACTTAAATGGCCAAATAAATCAAATCTTATCATTATCCCAAGATACAATCATCCTTAATGGTAATTTCACATCATTCAATAATCAAAATGTTTCAAGTCCAATCATTTACAACATCACCTCAAATTCAATCGAAAATATAATCTCTCCATCATCATCATCATTAAAAAAGAGAGATATTCCTTCCTTCTCAAATGGTACCGTTAATACCATGTATGTAGATAATGATTTAATCTACTTGGGTGGGGATTTTGAATTCAATGGTACTTATGGTGCCGCCATTTATAATCAAACTTCAAAACAAGTTTCTTCCTTACCTTTTCAAGGTTTTGGTCAACATGCTATAGTAAATGCTATAACTAAAGTATTTTCAGGTAATGATCAAGATGATCAAGGTTCAATCATATTCGGAGGTAATTTTAATACCTTAGGTTTACTGAATCTTCTTATTCATAATATAACTACCAATACTTCTCAACCTTCATTCAATGAATCTCAAAATGCATCATTAATAATGGCTGAACAATTGATTTCTTTAAAACATGGGATTTTCACCAATGTTAATGGAGCTCCAAATCAAGATGGTTCTTCAATTATTTGTCCATCCAATAATCCAAGTTGGACTTTAAATCCAGATTCAGGTGGTCAATGGTTAGTTGAACTTCCCGATGAAATGAAAGGTATAACTCCAACTAAAGCAAGATTATATATTCCTCCTAGTGATGATGGAATTCAATTATTCAGGATTTATTCTTATCCAAATAATGGTATTATGAATCTTACTTATATTGATCCTTCAACTAATCAAATTGCATTTTGTGATGCTTGGTGTCCATTACTTCAATCATCAGAATTAATTGATTATGCAAATGCCAATAAACAAATCAATACTACTAATCAAACTGATTCTCTTGGTTTTATTGATGAAAATGGTTCATTCAGTATGTATTATGATCCAACTACCAAAACTAAAACTTTAGGTTATGGTGCTGGATTTCAAGAATTTGCTTTTGTTAATGAAGTTGGTATTAATCAAATTGGAGTTACCGCTACTGCATGGTATGGTTCAGAAGCTTTATTTGGAGGATTTGAATTATATCAAAATGCTATTTATGTTTATGGTAATGATACTTTAAATGAACCAAATTGTGCTAAAGATACTGATACCAGTAGTTTTTCTGTTGTGAATGCTGGTAATTTTGAATCTATTAGAGCTTTGGATGCCGCAGTTACTGTAACTGATTATTTAGTGGCACAAGGTACAGATTCCATGATTACACTTTATCCAAATATATCATATTCAGGTAATTATTCTATCATCATGACTACTCCAGGTTGTACTTATGATAATTCATGTGCTCAAAGATCAATTGTTAATGTTACAGTATTAGATACTGAAGATAATGTTTTAACCACTAGTTTAATCTTTCAAAATAATAATAATGATAAATTTGATTATTTATTCTATGGTCATTTGAATGGTACTTCAGAATCATCTGATGGTGGACAAAATAGAATTGAAATTTCATTTCATGATACTATTATTGAAGGTACTTCAAATCCATGGGTGGTGGTTGATAAAATCGTGGCTGATATTGTTACCTTGGATAAATATTTCGATATGAATCTGACCAATTCAACTTCTCAGAATTATTCCATGTCACATGAATTAACTTATCTTAATTTGAATGGATTATTTGAATATTCCCTTGCAAACTTTACAAATTTTGATGAAAGTTTAGTATCATCCTTAGGAAGTAATAATCAAACCATCATTAGTCTCAATAATACTTTTGTGGGTAATTCTACTATCAATGTTTTAAGTTCTCAATTATCAGATAATTCAACTATCAATCAATTCACTTTAAGTAATTCATCCAATGCTGAAAGTTTATTATTATTAGGAGATTTCACATCTAATTCTCATAATTTAACCTTAAGTAATTCAAACGTCATAAATCTTTCACTTGGTACTTATAACACAACCGCAAATGAAACAAATGTATCGTTGATAAGTAGAAGTTTGTCAAAGAGAGATGATCTGTCATCTAATACAATTTTTGGGGGATTGTTTAATAATTCAATTTCTAAATTGGTTAATTTTGAAAATGGAATCATATTATTAGGTCAATTTAACTTGGTAGGATCTAATTCTTCAGTAAAATTAAATGATTTATCAAATAATAATAGTTCAACTACATCCATCAATAATTTCGCCTATTATTCAAATAATCAATTCTTTGGGTTTGGTAATCAATTCATAGATCAAGATTTTGATCAATTTTCAAATTTAACTATTAATAATGCTCAATATTTTATCTTTTCATCATCCCAAAATTCAAGTTTATTTAAAACTTGGGATAATACTCAATATCAATGGGTTAATAATTCGAATTATCAATTGAATATTAATCAAGCTATTAATGTCAATCCAACTCAACAAATCTTAGGTGGGGAATCATTTAATATTATGGATTGGTATAATGTTGATCAATCATATACCAATAATAGTGCTAATTTCAGTTCCTATAATCTTGATATCAGTGGTGAATCATATGAAATTTCAGAATCATTTTACGTTAACAGTTCACTTAGTGTAATTGGAGGTAAATTCCTGACTCTGGGAGTTACAAATATTGCGTTCATTAATAATTCAGCTACAAATTCATCTATATTATCCGTATTAGGTGGTGATATTACTTGGGGTAATGAAACTGAAATTGAAACACTTTATGTCGATAATAGTGATCAATACTTATTTATCGGTACGAATGGTCCGGTTGAAATTAATAACTCGAACGTTACCGGTGTAGCAATCTATGATTTACAAAATAATACTTTCACAAGTTTCCAACCTGCTCAATTATCAAATGAGGATGGATCAACTATCGAAGTTAATGCTATTGCGTTATATGATCAAGGTTCAAAACTTTTAGTGGGTGGAAAATTCACTCAAGCTGGTTCGTTAAATTGTGCCGGATTATGTGTTTACGATTTAGTTAACACGAGATGGCTTAATCCTCAAAGTGATATTAGTAATACCACTGTTTCTGGTACTGTTAGTGATATTAAATTCGTTCAATCAAATGAAGTTTTAATTAGTGGGAACTTAACTGTCAATAATATGAATGTTAATTTCATTACTTATGATTTTGTTAATACTATTTTCAATACTAAAGCTTCCTTAAATCAATTAGGTTCAAATAAAGTGATTAAGAAATTCATCTTGAATGATTATGATAATACCAACTTGAATGGAAGATTAGTTGCTTATGGAGATGATTTCATCTCTGGATTTGATGGCTCAAATTGGTATTCAATCGATGATGAAATTGAATATGATAATATTACTACCTTCAATGATTTAAAATTATTTGATTTATCTCAAAAGACAAATTATAATCAAACTTTATTTGATAATGATATGATCTTAGCTCTTGCTGGTACGTTCACTCTTACAAATTATGGTACTGTTAATCTTGCTTTATTTAACGGTACAGATTGGATTCCATTTGCATTCACTTCAAATTCCACAAATCAAATCGGTAGTATCAAATCCTTACTAATCAATGATTCATATCGATTCCAATCATCTGATGATATCACCAATTCATCAAAACATTTATCAGCTGGTAAAGTAGTTGGTATTTCCATGGCATGTGCCTTAGGTTCAACTTCATTAATGGGTCTATTATATATCATTCCATTCTACGCATTGTTCAGAAAGAGACAAGGAATTGATAATACAGAACGTATTCATGAAAATGATATGATTGATGCTGTCAATCCTCAACATTTATTACATGAAATGGATCTTCAAAGAAATACTTAAAATTAATTAATGCATTCTATTTACTTCTTCTTAGCTAGATTTTTATTGCTATCTTTTTATTTAATATTTCGTTTTAAAAACGAATCTAATAATTTATATATTTAAAAATAAAAAATTTTAATTTATTATATTTAAGCAAAATTTAGAAATATTTATTCAACCTCTTCAATGAATTATTTTTTTTACCATTCGCTTTGTTCTTGTTACTGGAGTTTAATATTTAATGATATGATATCAATCTTCCGAAAAATAACAGATTAGAGCGATAAAAGCAGTATACCAAATCAAAAACCTTAAGAATTGATATGCTGCAAGATAATCTAAATTCAGAATTGAAAGTGTATAAGCTGTGAGAGATGCAATTACTGCAAGTAAACTCCTTAAAGCCTGATAAGTACCTTGATCTTGACCATTAACAAACCTAATACCATCACCAGTGGCACAAAACACAAACAAAGTAGTAGCAAACATATTTATCAAGGCATAAAACAAAGCACAAACTAAGTACCAAATTGGATATTTTGAATTTCTAACTCCAATCAAATAATCAGGAAAAACGTATTCAGGTTCTGAATATTGGGTAGTTGTGTAAGTTGTTTTAGTAATTATTGCAGAACCATCATTATAAGTAGTAGCATAAGTAACAAATGGTTCAGTGATGGTTGAGCCCGAATTATAAGACTTAGTCTCAGTAGCTATAAAATTCCACTGATCTTCATAACATAATCTTAACACGATAGTAATAAATAAAGGAATGCCTAAAATAATCAAAGTTTTAATCCTTCCCATGACAAAACTCCATAATTCAACTTCCATACTACCTTCTTCTCCATTTAAAGTTAATCTATATTTACCATTTGCATCTGCAGTCATTTCGGCGGCCATAGGATTTGGAGTATTGATATCTGGAGTATCATTGATATTATTGGATTGGGAAACATTAACTAAGGTGATATCATCATCGTTCTGATAATTAGACATCAGTTCCATTTCAATACCATTCATTTTGATGATTGATTATAAAGAAAGAAGTGGTGATAAAAGTAAATAATTTGGCAACACGAAATGTGTAAAAAAAAGGCAGCACGAAATAAGGATCTTCTACATTGTAATTTAACTAAGAGTTAAGTTTTACATATTAACTATTCTACTTTATTGTAATTATATTTAAGCATTATACTTACAATAGGCTGAATGTCATATTATAAGTCTGTTCGATGAAATAGTAACTCAAAACATTGATATTGATATTGTTCATAGGGGGCTGAACCATTGTAAACTATCGCGCAAATTAAATGTGAGCTTTTATAGGGCTCTCAATAAAGGTTATAAGTTTGCTTATTAAATTCTACATTTTATATCTGTAAGATTATAATAATTTCCATAACTCAAATGGTATGGGATCTTGTTGATTAGATACACTTAATTACTAATAAAATTCAGTAACAAATAACAAGTAAATAACCAAACCACAATTAACAAAAGGAATAATAATCCTGGATTCCCAAATAGCAAATCCAGAAGTGAATATGAAATAAAAAATATGGAAATGATAGATATAAGATAAGAACAAAGGCCTGGGTAAGAGCCGATATTCACAAAAACATTACATTCATTCCTAAAAGCTTCCATTTCTGTGCTGAAATTCTTTATAAACGACAGAGTAGAGATTGCAAGCACAATTGTAAGAAATGCAACACATGCCCCATACAAATACCAATATTCAGAATAAATATTTCCATGGAATTGATTGTCGCTGGCTAACATAACTCTTCCTGTTGCAGTTTCAACAATAACATTTGGTTGACTTACTGAAGAGATTAAATCAGAATCAGAATTCAATATACCTTGAATACCTTGGAAAAGTAACCAAATAAACAATAAGAATGGAATACATGTAGCAACCAGAAATTTTATCCATGGTACTAATCTACTCCAAAATCCTTTAGCACCGTATAATTTTAATCTATTTTCATCATCGATATTTTCATCATCAATATCTTCACCGTTAGTATAGTCATCATTATTTTCAATTGAGATTGTACTATTTGAATCTGAAGCTGTTCTAATAGTTGTAGTGGTATCTGTGGTGACAGCGGCAACAGTATTTCTCATAGTATTAAATTGAGGTTGATTGATTAAGTCATCGATGGTCCCATAATGAGTACCTGATAACACATCTAAGTCAATATCATTCATTTTGATGCTTGATTGTAATGAAATAAGTGATAATTAAAAAGAAAAAGATTTGGCAACACCAAAAAATTGTATAAAAAAGGGATCATTTAAATATAAATAAGAGGAATTTGGCAACACGAAATGTGTAAAAAAAAGGGGATAATGTACATTATACTCCCTTTTCCATTATTCTATATCTGTGATGTTATAAGATAGTAATGACAATGTGTTTGAATAAGATGTCTGTTTGATTGATTAACTTGTAAGTATCAAGATCTCAATAGAGATCTGATGATAGGGGGCTAAACCATTGTATACTATCACGCAAATTTGTCAATTTCAACGTTAGTAATTCTAAATTTTAAAGAACGAATCTTATTAAGATAGCTGTTTAATTTATTCTACAATTTATATTCTCTAAGATAATAATTTCCACAACTCAAATGTTATAGGATCTTGTTAATTCTGGTAAATGCTATTAGATTTCAGTAAACAAAAACATGAAAAACGAGTATTATACACATCCAAACCTATGGAATATTGCTGATTAAATACACTTAAATAGAATTAAGTTTTACAAACAGTAGCTTCTAAAAGCATCATAATGCACATCCACATCGTCAGCAAATAAAAAGTTAAGAACAAAGTATTCTCAAATGGGAAATCAACAATTGCAACACAAATATTGAGAATAGAATATATTGCCATAAGAAAATAACATAACCCTTCATAAGCTCCAAGACTCCAGCCATCATTGAATGCTTCTACGTTTCTTCTTCTTGCCTTAATAAGCAACCGAGAAGAGACTATAAGAAGAATTGTATGATATACAGCAGATGTCCTGTACAAATATCTAGATTCCGAATAAAAGATTCCATCGAACTCCAAACTTCTGGGTAAAATAATTACTCTTCCAGGTGAAATTTCAGTATAAACAAATGGTTGAGTAGCTAAAAAGATTGAAAAAAGATAACCATTATAATCCAATGGACCTTGAAAAACTTGAAAATAAAACCAAACAGCGATTAATAAAGGAATACCGATAGCAGACACAAATTGTATCCATGGTACTGACTTACTCCAAAAGTCATCTTTCTTTTTATCTCTACCGACTAAAGCTAATCTAATTTCATCATCTCTTTCAATTATATCATTACCATTCATTTTGATGATTGATTGTAAAGAATGAAGTGATAATTAAAAAGAGAAGGATTTGGCAACACCAAAAACTTTTATAAAAAAAGGGATCATTTAAATATAAATAACAGAAATTTGGCAACACGAAATATGTGAAAAGAGGGATAACTTACACTGTAATTCTGCGAATTACTTTACAGTTTATCTCCTAGCCTAAGTATATAGTAGTTTATATGATTGACAATAGATTGATGATATATAATAAGTCTTTAGGATAGATTAGTGAATAAAATCATTGATAGTAATTATTAATTATAGGGGGGATGGCTAATAGGAAAATATGACACAAATTAGTCAGTTTTAACAGTGATGAATCTAAATAAACAAATCCTAATAGAAGTATCAATCATTCAATTTAAACCTTGATACATATACTTTGAGATATCAATGATTACTACAAGTCATATTTTATGGAACCTTTTGGAACAATTTGTTCTCATATTCTGTAGGAAATTTATTTGGCTGCCATTTTCTGTTTAGTTTACAGGGAGTAAATAAATGTTTACAAGTAAACCGACAAGATTCATTCTTGATTTAAAAAGAGTTTTGCAATGTATACATATAAATAGAATATATTCGGTATATATATAAGAATAATTTGAACCCTATGAGAGTTATTGAGCTATCTATGTACTATATAAACATTGATATATTGGACACAACCACTATCACTAATGTTGAATCTATAATCAACATACTTATCCATCGATGTTCACAATTATCACAAGTATAATTCACTTCAGACATAGATATATCTAGGTTACCCCATTCATGAATTCCAACTTTTAAGCTATCAAGTGTAGTTCGTATTTCTTGAACACTTTTCCACAATTTGATTGTGTCCTTTTGTTGTTCCGTTAAAGTCGTGGTTGTCTCTTTGTTGCGCATCTCGATTTCGAATGGATCATATTCTAAGATAGACAGCTTGACACTAATGGAGCATAAGAGTGATTTATCAACATATGATATAACTATAATTGTATTGGCTTGTACAGAAGAATTAATCCTTTAAAAGACATTTCAAAATAAAGTCAAACCAAAAAAAATAAGGAAGTTATTACAAGTTTTTTATTGTACATGTAATTTTAAGCTATGCTAAAGTCTGAAGTACACTCCTTTGTTTTAAAAATAATTTTGACCATTCTTTTGCTGAAGACTATTAATACCTAATTTAAGTTGAAGTCTTTTAATTGATAAAATGATTGCTGGTAGCAGTTCATCTAAAGCGAATAATCCAGAAACTTTGGATACTTCAACACATTTTAAAGATGGTATCATCAATTTACTAAATATAAACGGACTACTGAACGAGATTCTTAGAATTATTAAAGATTTTACTTATATTAAAAGTCGTCTTGAAATACCGCAAGATTCCAAAAACAAATATCCCAATTGTGAAAAATGCCTGGATTCATTTAAAAATTGGATATTTCATTTAATTACATTGTTGATGTATTTGGGTCTCCATCTATTTTTCTATTTCTCAATATTCCACGGTAGAAATGAACTATATTAGGTCAAAAAGTCCTTTTTCAATTCTTTCTCCTACTAACATATATATTTAATTGTTTTATCCAATTTTGTTATGTATTCTACATAAGAGCCATTAAATTTATGTCTAATATCACTATCTTATCACATAAAGCTTTTTTTAACGGAGATACAATTGTATAGTTAATTTTATTAAATATTTTAAAATAATTATTGCCCCAATTAAAATTCATAATTAGAAATACTGTTTGAACATTGTAACAAATTTTGCAGCTTTTTCAGATTAAAATTTATTCTAAACTGTAAAAAAACAATATTTTATTGCATGTTAATATATATATTTTACAGTTTAGAACAAAATTTTGCAGTTTCAGTGTAATATATTTCACGTGCATATTAAACCACAAAAATTTCCAACTTTAAGGGTGATGCGGTGGCTCAATGGTAGAGCTTTCGACTCCAAATCGAAGGGTTGCAGGTTCGATTCCTGTCCGTGTCAATTCCTTTCTTTTTTTGAATTATTTTTTTGCATCTCCTTTATCCGAAGACCAAGACGTCTACAAGATTATAATTTATAATAATACTTTCTTTTATTGTGTTTTTAAATTGTTAGATATAAAAATTTTCTATACAGTTTTTATCTCTGTACGCTTATAATAATTCAGGATGAGATTCTTCATCTGAATGATCATCGATACCAAATAGACGAGAATCAACATCTGTTTCAGTCTCCTCTGTAGTAACGTTATTTAAATCATCATTTTCAGATCCATCTGTAAATTCTTGATCCAAGTTTGCTGTACCCTCATTAATTTCTTCTTCATAATCATCACGGAAATCACCAAATAATTCATCTTCATCATCTAAATCTGGTACTTGAACATAATTTCTTCTGCCTGGGGTACGACGGAAAATGGCTGAAGTAAGCTTATCCAATATTATTCTATCAATCTTTTGGATGGCTTTAAATGTAGCGAAAGTAGCAGCCATAGCAAATATACCTCCTCTAACTATTCTATTAACCACCACATCGACTTGATTATCTTCAATAGGATTGAAATCATCATCTTCAAGATCTAATCTGATTTGACCAAGACGTTTAAATCCACCATTTCTTCTAATACCTCTATCATAAACAAACCCAGTGGCAAAGACGAAGACGAAAATAGGAATAAACACCAACAAAAATAATTTATAACCTTTAACTTCTTTACCATAATGTTGGTTGAATTCCTTTTCTTTCCCAGGACAAGCCTTGGCGTGCCAACTATCAAATTCTTGACCACCATTACAAGTAGATAATGGAATCTTTCTGTAACCAGTTGGTTCAAAATATTCAAAAGCATTCTCCTTTTTACAATATTCATTTTCACGATCTGTTGGCGATAACCCTTTAACCAATTTACAAGTATTATCAGTATCTCTGTAGTAGTTATAATCACATTCATAATCTCTTCTAGTACAGGAACAATTTCTAATAACTTTGAATCCTTCGGATAGTGGAGCACTTCCAATAAAACAATCATTATGACCAACTGCACGACGTAAATATTTAGCTTCATGACCAAATAAACAGTTGTCAGGTAATTTAGGATGAGATGGTGACCAATAAACATAGTCATCATTGGCAGGATTATCTAAATCTAATTGACATTGTCTTCTATGAATACCAGAGAAATCAATTGCATAAGTAAGTGTTGAAGTCTTAGCTCCAGTAACATATCCAAATATTAGGAATTTTCTTGAAGTATCAGAAGGAACAGTGGCTAAATCTAAAACATTTATTGGTTTATCAGCAAATTTATAATCCAACCAAGTAGTACCTTCATCTAATGAATATGATAAAGTATCAGTTTCATTTTTAGCTGGAACTAAAACAAGAATGGTTCCTCTATCACCATACTCCCACATATAAACTCCTCTTTTAATTTCTTTCCAAGTTATACCACCATCATTAGACATAAACGTTGAAGATCTTTCATATGTGTCTAACGATTTACCAACACTACCTACTCCAATTATAAGACCAGTAGCAGAAGCAGATGAGAAAGTATCTCTATAATCATCTCTTTCTGTAAATCCATGTAAGTGCAAGGAACAACGTTCTAATGATTGACCAGTACAACCGTACTTTTGACCGTCGGAATTCGTCACAGGAGGAACCAATGCAGCCCATTCACCACCATCATTGTGGGTGATTTGAGTACTTAATTCTTTATTACCTTTTGAATCGACACCAATGACAACATTGGAAATGATCACACCTTCGAGACCTTCAATTCTATCGTAATCAACATAACCAACTCTGTTTCTATTGACATCCAGTAATGATAATACATAAGAAGTACCATTTGAATTTGATTTCAAAATTGAACCATATTCTTTTCCAGCTTCAGTATTAGTGGTGACGTGCATGAAAATAGCTCTCGATTGTGAATCCAAGATAGTATAAGCTTGCTGTGATTCAACATGGAAATCAGCTGGGAAATCAGCATCAGCAAAGACAGAACCGTCAACGGTCACTTTTGCTTGTAAGGATTTCTTTTCTTGATTAACAGTGGCCACAACCACAAAGTCACCTGTAATGGCATATCCCACAATGTAATCAAACTTAATTTCACTATCTTTGAATCCATTTCTTGATGATACCAATTTGATTCTTCTTTGTGATCTGTCTAACACCGAACAATAGATAAGATCCTTATCTGGATTGGCACTTTGATCAAAAATAGAACCTACAAAATCACAAATTATAACATCTTCACTCAAGGAATCAAATGATTTACCATTATCTTTAGTTATATAAGCTTCAACTGGACAGTCGTCGGTAGTGCATTGTTCACTACCATACCAGATGAATTGATGTGGATCAATTTTATTAAATGAGATTGATTTACGTCTTGGAATTGGAGTTGTTGGAGCTATTTGTTTAACAAATGTAGCACCACCATCATGAGAAACATAAATAACCTTGCTATCAGTGACTAAAATAACATGACCAGCAGCATAACCTTCATAAAATCCGATAATCTTATCGTCAACTGGAACTTTCCTAAATACGAATCCTCCATCATTAGATATATACGCTTGGAAATCAGCAGTTCTAATAATAACATTCTCAAATGACATATCTTTATCACCTTCGATGTAAGCATATTGTTGGAGTTCTCCCAAGAATTCATTAACTTCAACCACAATATCATGTGTAGTACCTTTATCGGTACCATCATCACTTCCTTCATGTGACTCAAGGAAATCGGAACATTTAAGCTTTTGATTAGTGATAAATTCAGAAGCTTTCTTTTTACCCATGCTACATTTATTACCATCCATTAATACTTTATTAGGGATATTCAATTCTTTCACTTTTTGCATCATACACATATGAGCAATGTTTCTATGCAATGGTTGACAAGATTTATCTTCAGCAGGCTCAAAACCAGAAGCACATTCAAAGTCAGCAGCAGTACATTCACAAGAATCTTCATAGACTTTAACATCTTCAAACAATTTATTAACAAAACATTGAGCATTTTGCTTTCTTCTGTTGAATTTTTCTTTATGACCATAAACACAAATAGGCTCTTCATTTATAGTTACTCTTGCATATACATCTTCGAAATCACCGTCTTCACAGACTTTACCTTCAAAGGCATCAGTAAAATCAATGGCGTACATACTTTCTGAAAAATCAAAATCATGATGATCTTCAGGAGTATTATCAATCAATCCAGAAAGAATGAATTTTCTTGAAGTACCATCGACAGTAGTAGTTAATGTTAATGGGAAAATTGGATGTTCAATTGATTCTTCTTGGAATGATTTACCTTGATCTAATGAGAAATAGAATTTAGAAATACTCAATTTATCAATACCAGCATAGAATGGAATTGCCACTATAACATTACCTTGGTCACCAAATGAGAATAAACAAGGTTCTTCAATGGCCAAATCCCAAGAAGCCCCTCCATCTCTTGAAATCCAAGTTCTCATATTTTCAATTTCTCTATCAAGTTTTCTACCTTTACTACCAACAGCTAAAAGAATACCAGGAGTTGGACCGGTGACATAATCACCTTCCCCATTTCTTTCAGTTGGATTTAATAAATGTAATGAACAACCACTTGATGTTTTACAGTCTTTATCATTATTGACAACTAATGGATGCCAATCTTGTCCATCATTAAATGAGTATTTTGATACTACATCTTTCAGACTACCACCACCAATTAATAAATCAATTAAATTAGTAGATCCATCAGTACTTTCGGCAATGGTACCAGTATTAGCTAACCAAGCTCCATCTATGTTATCGATTTTCTTAATTGCCCCATCATTAATATCACCCAAGAGTTTAGTTAATCTTGTTCCAGCAGAATCAGAACCATAAAAGGTTCCAGAACTAGATATACCTTTAAATTCCATTACTGAGACGAAAAATGATGAAGGTGAAGCTTCTAAGAATGTCATTAATCCATAAGCAGTTCCTAATCTTAAATCAGTATTATGGAAATGATGACCATTCTTTGATACTAAGATAGAAACTCTTGAATTTTCATTAAATTTATCATTTTGAACTACCAAGATTAAGAAATTCAGTTCGATTCTAATATCGATAATTTTACCATTATTTGAATGATGATGATTAATAAGATCAACTTTATTAAAGAAATCACTTGACTTGGCAACATTTGATTCCACCACATGACCGAATGAATTTAAAGTATGTTTTGCACAATAAATGGTTGAATCTTGATCCTGAGTATTATCAAATTCCAAATTTGATTTTGAAAATTTACATACTGACAGATCAATATTTAGTCTTTTTGGATTTGTTTTGAAACCATCTTGAGTATAAAAGTAAATTCTTTTACATTTTGCATTAAACATTTTATCAGGACAATCATAATAATCGAATAATGCTAAATCAGGAGATTTTGCATTCAAAGTAATTAAAGGAATTGATACTAAATCAAGTTTTTCACTTTTATCGTGTTTGATTTCAAATTTTTGCCAAGTTTTACCTTGATCATTAGTAACATATTGATTATTTGATAAAGTGAAAGCAAATGCTCTTAATTTGTTGAATTTATCTAATTCAAGATGAATAATCTTATCATCTTTAGTCTCTTCGACAACTTTATAAGATGCACCATCATCAAAAGATATAGAAAGCACCAGACGACGAAGGACTAATATATTAGATGAATCATCGAAATATTTGATTTCAGTTGCCACTTGCTTTTCAGTTGTTATTGTAACTTTTGGATGATAATCACTTGTGGCAACGGCACCATTGATAAAGTTAATCAAATATGATAATAGAATGATATAACTCCATATGGAATGCAATGGTTTATTATAATGGCGAAGATTCATGATCCTTTCTCCTTACCACCACTTTAATAAGTATTCAATTGAACAAACAAAAGGCTGATTTTGATTTAAGAATAATTTTGATATAGCCTTATCCCTCCCTGTTGCTACACCTCCACTAAATCTTTTAGATTTTTCGGGGAGGGATACGTCAAAAAAGGGAAAAGTGGCGGGAGTCGTGCACAAGACCAAAGATAAATCACAAGCCTTGTTAATCGTGCTCTTATTTGGTATCTACAACTGGTATAGGGTTACAAATTAACTATTATACATTTATTTTTATATATATACAATGCTTCTATTAACATGAGTTGTTGATTAGCTGATCAGTTAGTAAGATATTGTCACGTTGAAGTATAACTAGTGTGACCCATAGTGACTTTCTTATCTTGCTGGACCTTATGATAAGTATGCAGAACCATGTCTTCCCCCATTACTTAGTCCTATTGTAATCCATGAGTTATATAAACATCATGAACTTGTATTTGGAATGTATGTCCTATCTTTCGTTTATTTACATTGACCTTTCATTAAGCTGATTTAAAGTTATTCTTAACAACAAGACCTAAATAATCACCATGATTAACCACTCGTAAATAACAATCAAACTCTTCACTCTTAACATCAGCTTCTCCATTCAGTTCATTATAAGAAAGTTGGATCTTAAACACATATCCAAACAAAGCATTAATGAATCTCTCAGTATCAAGCTTATCAATTCTAATCACAGCCGTAGTCAATTCAGACATGAGAATATCAAAATGTAATGATTCACCAAGTAATCCATATGATCGACTTAAACCAGCCAAGATCTTACTCTTCCATGTTATTTTATCAATGGTGTCTGTTATAGTTTTTAATTGACTTGAATTGGGATCAGGAGTTCTAAATAGTTTGTTAGTATCAAAGTCTTAAGTAAAGGAAAAGTATAGCTGAATAGTACTTACAATTCCAATAGTATGTAATGCCAATCATGATCTTTCACTGTATGATGACCATGTTGCTCTGCTATTTGTGATGTCATGACCCTTTGAATGGTTATAGTATGCTCTTCTCCTTAATAGATTTATTTTTCATCATTAAAAAAAAATAGTTCACTCGGTGATTGCACTACACTACACTAAATTATACTCACTAAGCAAATGAGTGGCTGCTAAAAAATTTAATACAATACACAATTTTATTCACTATTTCTACTACTACTACTACTATCACATATATCTAAAAATTAACTGGCAATTGGATTTGTACATCATATGATGAACCAATGGTAGATTGATTATAAGAATCATTTTCATCAGATAATTCATTTGAATTGAATACTGAATAAGCTTGATCAGTCTTTCCAGAATTAATCATTGACAGAGGGAAAAATCCACTAATTGAATATGGATTATCAACTTTTGGAGCTTTTTTTGGATCATAAACAAATTTGACCTTTTTAGATTTCTCTTGATATTTCTGTTTAACTTTAAGAGCTGCAGTTTCTAACAAATTTTGTTTAAATTCAAGTCTAACTTTTTCAATAGCGGATAATTCCTTTTTATTAGTTGTTGTTGTTGTTGTTGTTGTAGAAGTAGTAATGGTAGTTGGACTAGTTGTTTGAGAATAACCAAGATCAAGCTTATTTTGATAGATTCTTCTTACAAGTGGGATTTGAATAGGGGGATGATTAATAGCAGCAGGAATTGCATCATTTGGAATAGGCATTCCAGGAGGAATTTGAACTAATCTATAACTTGGACTAACAGGAAGATAAACATAATTACCTTTTTCTTTACCACCATCAATATAATTATTATCCATTTCTTTCCAATATGAAGATCCATTTTGACCTTGAAATGATCGATTTCCACTATTATTATCTAAACCATGAATTGAAACAGAATTAGAAACTGGTAACCATTGAGAAAATTTGGAATTGCCGCCATGCTTTTGAAATGGCAGTTTATTATTGCTAAAATTTCTAATGAATGGACCAGAAGTATTATTAGTATTACCTCTATTTGGTTTGAATTGAATTGGAGGTTGTAAATGATGATTTGAATTATTGGCGGCAAAATTAGTAGAAGTTGAAGATGATGAAGTAGAATTTAAGAAATCACAACGAATGCCTTTTGTACTACGATCTAAATCTTTCAAATGAATATTGAATTTTTTATCATGTTGAAGATTTAACAACTCTGATATTTGATAACGAATCATTATATACTGCCTTATGATTTTAATGTGATTATATGTTTGATGATAGAATGAAAGTGGTTGCATTGTAGTAATTTTTGAAGGCTGCTCTTCTTTTTTTTTGGCGCCAAATAAACAGAGAAAAAAGTTAAAGGAGGGGGTGCAAAAAAGGAAGATCAATCACCAAATAGTAAATAATGAAATCTTTATTTACATTCAATATTAAAGTTACGAAGCTAAATAATTCAAGAGGTTATCTTATACGGTTACAAAGTTTTAAACTTTCTGTATTGTAAAAATTGCGCTTTTTTATAAATATTTAAACTTACGATGTAGATGAACTATAACAGTAACTATATTTTTATAAAAGGTTTGAATATTTTTAACCAAATCGTTTAAAGATGAAAATAAGAATAGTGGGACCAAAAGAAGAAATCGGATTAATGAAAGATTTTTTAAAAGAAAAAAAATTTGGGGATACTTTTAAAATAAAATGGTTTTGAATTTTTGGGGTAAGTTAAAAATTATTTATCTGTATGGGTAAAAAATAATTTTTAAAGGACTAATTTCACACTGGCGACAGAGAGGGAAAAGAAGGGGGAGAGATGTGGAGATGGGAAAGGAGGGGAATAAGTTTTTGTGGAGAAGATAACAGAAGAGTCAACAAAACATAATTCAACAAATACTTTATCTAGAGATTAAAGGAAAAAGATAGGGAGAATTGGGAAGCACATAAGTAACAGAAGCATAAATATGAGGTAGAAGAAGAAGAATGTATAAGCATAAGTGAAGTCGATGAAATATCGGTCTTAAACCAGAAATAAAGGTCAGAGGCTACGTTATACATATACAGAATATGTAACTCGAGTTAATTGGTTAGCGATGGGATTGTTTATGTAAGCGGAAACTTTGTGAATATTGTTAATTGATTACAGCTTAGTCATTTTTAGTACATCTCCTCCGACCACAAATAATATTACTACCGGAACAAAAGAAAGTTTCTTATCAGTGCCCGGAAAATTTTTATTCTACAAGCAATCATAACAGCAACGATTGCTACAATATGTAGTTAAATTTAATATCATAATAACATGTATTCAGTTATATACCTATAAATATTTCCTATAGAAAAGAAAAACCACAACCTTGAACTTCAGCTTTCTTGTGAATTTGGGAAAATTATAGAAGGGGTTGTTTCTCAGGACTAATAGTGAAGACTTGCAAATATAGTAGTGCTGCAATTATCACCGCCAAAGAAGCCAGTATAGTAGTCACCCTTGATTGTGTATTAGTACTTCCGCAATAGAAGTATATAAGTATGGGGATACTACAAGAATAGTAAGTAACCCAGTCACTCATAGATATAGTGAATAAAGAAACTAAATAGTTAGAAAGGATATAATTATACATATATATATGTAAATGTTTAGGGATAGAGCCATTCTGAAGTAAGGGATAGTAGTGACATAACAATCATACGCCTAAATAGTAGGCTAGTATTATATTCTACTGATTCCAGACCACCAAGCTATTAATTAATTAGACAGTGCAACCATTGGTCTATAGCATGATACTACTACAAGTTTGATTTCAATATATTATTAATCTTGAACTATAAATAAATACATAGACGAAAAATTTCCGGGCCTTGATACGAAACTATTTTATCGGGGGGAAGGTAAGTAGAATTCCGGTGGGAGGAAAAACTAAAATAGGGTAGGTTTAGGTTACGTTGGGGTTTATTATTATTATTTTTGATGTAAAACGTCTACTATAGTTAGTAGTTTATAATTAAAATATGGAGAATCGTAGAGGGAAAGATTAACAGAAGAGGGAATTGTAAATAAATAGGGGGATTCGATTTATCTAGTGGGAAGGGGGGTGGAGAGACAAATCATGATTACTTACTCTAGGCTATCAACGATAGGGAGAATCACATATAAACAAAAAAAGGAGGGGAAACCGAACCAAGGCCAAACCAAAAAAAAAATGATCATCAAAAATAAAATCAAAGGTAAAAATCAATAAAAAAGAAACAAAAAAGTTTGCGTGCATTACCGCCGTTAGATTCAATGGAAAGTTCAAATACTGACTGTGATTTACTCCAATTTTTTATTGTCATTGACCAATAAACTACCAAAAGAACAATAGATAAACCTGATTATTAGTAAGAATGGAAAACTATACTGTAATTAGAGTAAATTTTGTAACATTAACCTTGGGGTCAATAGGTTAAAATAGACTGAATTGATTTTTTTTCCTATTTGTGGCTGGGGTGGAGGTGGGGGGATCAGTACTGATTCTAGAAATTAAAAATTGTTCTGTAAAATATTTTAAATTTTTGAACTGAACTTTAAAATGGTTGATGTAGTAGATTACGATGAATTATATAATTGAAGTTGATTTCTTTGATAACGAATTCATTACACACTCCTTGTAAATAAAGATTGGCTATCTTATCCATAAATGATTATCTATTTATCTATTTCTATCAAAAATTTATCCTCTTACATCATTATAGGCATCGTCATAACCTAAAAAGTATAATGGAAACAAATAGCGATAAAAAAGCTAATCTATTCTCACTAAATAGAGATAACCCCTCCTTTCTTTCCCTCCCCCGTAATTTTTTCTTTTTCTGTAAACCAAAAATTCCTTTTGGCTTTTCTTTTTAAAAATTTCTTTTTTTTTAACGTCTTTTTGCGATTTTTCTTCTTTTTTTGTCCTTTTTTTTGGGGAGAGGCAGATTTTCTAAAAAACTATAATCATTAAAATTTAAATATCGTTTTATTGTTTTGGGGATAACAATTAAAAATGTCTATTATTATCAACTTTACAATGTTTTTATGCTTTTCTCCACTCTTCGTCTTACCTACTCCAATCAGAGAGAGTTGACTGATATAAAAATATGCTAAAACTTACTATATCCATTGTTAAATTGTTTCTTATTCTGTTTTGCTAATCCAATTATTTTTTTAGTGATGAATTCTAGCGGTGGTGGACTTATTTCTGCTTCTAACTTGGTACCTCAACCACGTCCACGTCCAGTACCACCACCACCACCGGAAAAAAAAAAACGTTTTTTTCTCTTTTCTTTTCTTTTTTTTTTTGGTTTCTTTTAGTTTTGAACCCCACGCACGACCATAGTTTAATTGACCCACTTTTTTTTAGTTTCTTAACCTTTTCCTTATAACCAAATCATTCTATATCCTATACTTTATCATACTCTATTCAATTCATGTAAACAATAGAGTAATCTCAATTATAATTATGTAAAGATAATACAAAATATATAACAACAGTTATAGTTTTATTGATAATATTGTAAGCAGGTACGCCCTAAACTCTAAACCAATTACTATTTTGTTTCTCACTAAAACCGATATCTCTCACTGTTAGTGCTAGGCGTAATTGTTAGGCGTAAGTATCAGTCTCACAGCACCTTTTTTTATTTTTTTTGTCAGTTTGTCAGTTTCTGCTGTAAAACTTCAAATCCCAATTTTTCCCCTGTAAACTTTCCTATCAACATTATTTATTTATCATTTTATCATTAACCCATCCAATCCATTTCATTCCAATTGTATCGCTAGATAGACTGTCATACAAATCATCAATCCATCCATCAAGTCATCCCACTTATCCATTCCACCCCGCTTTGTTTGTTCAATTGTATGTTATATTGTAATCTTTATCATCAAACTCCTGCTCCCCGTTAATTACAACATCAAACATCAAAAGCATTTCTAGTTTAAGAATTCATCTCATATATACAAAACACAGTAGCCTATACATCCACCCCTACTCTTTGGTTCATTAATCGATTAATTAATTGATTGATTGATTGACTTATTGAATATCTTAATCTAGTTTGTTTTTATTTTCTTGTTTTTTTAACTTTGGCTGCCTTTTTTTATATTTACTGATAACATCATCCATCAACCCTACGAATTACAGCATATTATCCAATCAATCAATCCTTAAATAACTGGATCTACCCATATTCACCTCATATATTCATAGATAAACAATTTTTTACCTTACTTATTCCCTCCTTCCTTCATTCACATCATAGTTAAAAGATAATTAGCAGGTAAGTAATACAACAACATTCAGTTATGGAAGATAGTAATATTGATAATAGAAGAGCATTTATAGAAACTCTCATAACAAGAGTACAATCCCTATTACCTAATAGAACCGGTCATCCCTTAACTGAAGTGGAATTAAATCCTCAATTCATTGTTGCCAAAAAAATCTTACTTGAAAATCAAACTAAACATGAATCAATTGTTACATTTATAATTCTTACCTTTGTGAATCATTTAATTGCTATTAATGATGAAGCAAATGGTGTGAAATTAAAGGATCGAGATGAAAAATCAGTGGCTTCAACTTTAATCATTGTTAAATTATTATCAGAGATTTTGAAATCAAATTGGAATCGTGAAAAAACTTTATATAATTATGATCATAATGATTTAGTTTCTAATTATTCTCGATTTTATTATTATGAACCTCCATCTCCGATAGATCCAGCCATTATAAATCATTTATTAAGTACATTTATGAATCTTTTATCATTAGGTGTTGTTAAAAGAGTATTGGCCATTGTAAAACCAGATTTAGAAGAGTCCAAAGATGATAGTTCAAATCCATCAAGTTCATTATCAAATAATAGTCCATTAAGTCAACAATTAAATCAACAATCTATAGATACAGAATTAATTAATAATCATATTGATGAAATAGATAATCATATAGAAGTCATATTACGATATATTGCATCTGCTAATCCAGATCATTATTATGAGTTCATTCATGCTAAGATCTTTAAATACAGTACCAATGATGAATTTATACCTATCCCAATCTTACAAAAGTATTCACCTATGATTAAATTTATGTTCTTTTCTCATGAAAATAGTGAAAGAATAGCTGCTGATATTATTAAAGCGTTACCATTTATAAAGTCCATCAGTTGGAAACAAATTTTTTATGTATTCTTATCAACCAGTATCAAAGATCAAACGTTTTCAAGAAGTCAAGATTATACTTCCATTATAACTTTATCAAATCCAGAATTTTTAAAAGTGGTACAAAATTTATTCGATCATGCATCTTCTGTGTTTGATGATAATATAACTTCATTAGCATGTACTGCATTTACTTTAACTTGGTTAGTGATTTTATGTCTTGATGATTTCGTTGAATTGGAAGCTGATAAACCTTTAAATAAATTAAAAATAACTTTCAATAAAAGATTGAAGTTCTTAGTATCGGTATTAAAAGATACTTCAATGTCAACCAATTTGGAAAGTTTTGATTCATTAATTAATATGTATCATTTGGCAGCAAGATTGAAAACTTCAGGATATACTGATCACCCAGTATATAAGTTTGGGTTGAGATATCTTGAAACAACTCATATCAACCTTGTTAAATATGGTCAAAGTCACGCAGCACAATTATCTAGTGACGAAGCATTATTTACAAAGTATGATTATTTGGTAGTAAATTATTATATTGCTGCTAGTATGTTAAAACCTGATAAATTCAACAATATAATCTTTCAAAACTATCAATCACATCAAGATAATATAAGAGAAGTTAGGATTTTGGTTAAGATTTTAAAAGGATTATCTGAATTGGAGAAAGCTAAGGACTTATTTCATGATATCATGTTAAAATTAGCAATTCCTTTAAGAATCACGATTTTTGGGTCGATTAAAATATTAAAGCAATATGATTATGAAAGAAATCAACATAATCCTCTCTTATCATCATCATCTTCGGCTGCATCTTTATATTCCGATATTTTGAGTGTGGAAAGTGGTCAATTATTTAGCTTCCCTTCAGAATTCCCCTTAACTAAAAAGACCAGTTTGGATCATTATCTTCAAGATATATCACCTTCTTCAACATCAATTAGTAATACTATTGATTCTCAAATCGATGATTCATTCAATGCTCCATCCAACAATAATAATAATAGTTCTGTAAATCGTCAAAGTTCTTTGAATCATCAAATTCACCATCCACCTCCACCTTCTATACAGTCACAACCTTCACAGCAATCATCTATACCACAACTACAGCTGCAACAATCGCAATCAACTATACAAACCCAATCTCATTCCTTACAACAACCAACATTACCTCCGTTAAATACATCTATTTCAGCAGTATCACATCATAGTCATCTTCATAATCACCAAGCATCTAATTCATCATCTAATTCAACCACCACTCATTCATTATCAAGACATCGACTTAAGTTGGTGGCTACTACACAAGAGATTTTGGCAGATGCCTTCCATGTATTTACAGCTGCTCCTGAATTATATTTCAATGAAGCAGAATTAATGAATGATTTTAATTTACAATCGAGAAATTATGATGAATTAATTCAAAAAATATTACAATTTTGTCAAGAGGCTTGCATTCCATTCAAAGTTGCGTTCCGTAGTAAACAGGATGATTCTAAATTATTTGATGCTGGATGTTTATTAGCTATGATTTTAGTTGATGAAAATACTTTGATTGTCAAGAATCATACTACCTTATCAACATTTGCTAATTATACTATTTCTAATTATATTATTCAAACCATTTGTGAATCCTGTTTACTGTTGTCATTGATTGATTCGAAATTCAAAGCATGTTTCCTTTTCATAAATGATTTCTTACAACGTCGTGATGTCTTTTCCCCAATTATTTTATCAAATAAAATCATTACCGATCCTGCTACCAGTAAATACTTTGAAGTTGGAGGTGGAGTGATTCATTCAATTGAAAAGATTTTATTACTTTCATTATGTACTCATGATATTCAATTTTATAATATTGCAAAGACTACTATGAGATGGTATTGTAATGAAATTAATAACCAATCTCAAATTTATAAAAACAATGGTCAAGAAATAGATGAGAATTTATTAGAGACTTTTGAAAGAATCATTAATGATGACTCAGTATTCACTGGATTTGTATCTTTACATAAAAGATTCAGAAGTATTTTACGTGATGCTAAACCAACAAAATCATTATACCAAGTTTGGTTAGTCATATATAATCGTTGGTTGGAATTATTAGATAATAAGGATGAAAGTTTGGTTTTCAAACACTACACTGGATTCTTAGTCTCAACTTCTGGTTGTTTCCTTTCTACACAATTTTCCAATAATGATCCGGTTCAAAAAGAAAAATCACTTAATTACATCAGTGAATTCTTTGATAAATGTATTGGATTATTAACCTTCCATGACTTAGGAATAAGATTGGTTGTGACTGATGCCTTATCAAATGAATCTCATTCTGACGTTTATCATTTGATCTCATCCAAATTAATGCATGTTGCTAATGGTTATGCTGAAAAGAAAATCATTAATGATGAATCTGTGCTTTACATAGAACAAGCATTAGTTATAATAACCAATATGATGACCATTAAGAATGATGGGGCTTTCTTATTGGCTTCGTTATTACCTAATATTTGTCAATTTTTTATTAAATTCATTAATTTATTAGATGATTTAAAGGATATGTTACGATTAAAATTGAAATTTTGTCGTTTGGGTATAACATTAGAAACTGAACGTGAAAGAGTTGGGTTAAGAGGGGCATTTAAATTAAGAAATATTTATGCCAAGGCTTCAGCTGAATGGTTAGAAGGAGCTGTATTTTTTGAAGAATTAAGAGAAGAAGAAGGTCTTAGCAGTGGTGTTCATAGTGAAACTGCTCTGTCAGTTAAATCTACCAGCAATGAATCAGAAATTTATCTTATGGATTTAGCAGTTTTATCATCAAAATGTTTACTGTTACAATTAGACGAGATTGTGTTGGAAGTGCCTGATGGTACCAAAGATTCTGAAATTAGAAAGTACAAAGATTTAGCATTTGGAAATTATTTTTCATTATTCTATAAAATCATTCAAAAATATTCGGCCGTTAATACTGGTTCAAACAAATCAAAGCATAAGATTAATCAAATAATTGAAAACATCTTAAAGAGTGTATCTAATATTTTGAAATACGATACTGATATAGGTATGCAATTTGTTTTACCAATGGGTTATCATCCTAATAAGAAGATAAGATCAATATTTTTGAGTGTATTTTCTTATATGCTTGCCTCTAGAAAGAGTAAAAAGTCAAAGGAAGAATATCCTGATCATATTATTCAAAAGCTATCTGAGATAACTGAAATATATGGTGCCGTGGCTGAAGTTGCTTCACTGACTGAACATAGTTTATTCTCATCTTCATTGTTTGGTATATTTGGGTATACGAAAAAATTGGATGACTTGTTTACTGTTTTATTAAATGAGGAATTTAGTAACGTTACTCGTTCGTCCGATATATTCAGAAGTAATTCGACATTAACAAGATTATTATCTAACTTTGTTAAAGATTATGGTAATGACTATTTGTTAACTACTTTAAAACCATTTGTTCAAGAATTAGTGGATAATGATATTGTTTGCCAAGTTGAAAAAGCTGATACTAGTGAAGCTGACACCAAAATGTTTATGAAATACTTTAACAAATTGGTTGATATAATAACTCTGTCCAATGACAATATCCCAAGCTCGTTCAAATTTATTTGTTCGGAGATTTATAAATGCGTGGAAAAGAAATTTACTGATGCTGCATTGGTAGCAGTAGGTTCATTCTTATTTTTAAGATTTATTTGTCCTGCTATTGTCAGTCCGGAAGTGTTTTTGGATATCACAGTTACCAATCCAAAGGTTCGTAAAACCTTAATTCAATTGACTAAAGTTTTACAAAATATTGCCAATGGGTCTTTAAGTTCATTAAAATTACCTGGTTTAAGTTCTTGTACTGAGGAAATCAATTCCGCCAATATCAAAATATTCGAATTCATGAAATATGTTTCAACTCAGGAATCAAGCGTTTATCCGTTTGAAAGTATCAATAATAAACCTGTTTCCGAATTGAGATATTTGCATAAGTTTATTTATACTTATTTTATCAATATCAAAGTTCAATATTTAACTACCACATCCAACGTCACTAATTTGCATGATAGAATCAGAATGTTTAAAATATTCGATTGTATTGCTCAAGAGTTGGGTTATCCAAAGCCTTCAGTCCAATTACAAATCAACGCACCTAATAAAAATTCTGATCCAAACAATATTTCAACTAATCAGTACAATGACTTTATGACTAAGATGTCAATGACTTATAATGATAAATCAATTGATTCTAACATTATCCATAATTCAATCTTTTCTGATGGTACACCAGTTGTGGTTCTTAATTTTAAACAATTACAACGTCAACTTAATTATGATATGTATTATTTGGTTTATAAATTATTTGAAACCGCTTCACAAATATGGGAGAACAAGTTCTACTTTGTATTGGATTTTACTGAATTAGTCATTAAAGATGATTTAGATAAACTTTACGTTCAACTTGTTAGTACGTATGCTCCAGAGCAATTATTCAGAAATTGTGCTAGGATTTATTACTTCAATATTCCAAGAACCGGTTATTTAAGAATAACTGATTCTATGAAATCATTAAGAAAGATCGGAGCTGAATACGGAACAAAGATCTATACTTATTCACAAGCTGATTCTCCTGATATCATCCACAGTCTTTGTTTGGATGCCGATTCAGTGTCAATAGTGAGAGACACCAAGGTTGTGTTTAGTCATGTCAAGGCATATGACGAAGAGAGCAAGACATATTCACCAGTCAATGTTAGGATTGGAAGAAAATGGTTTCAAGTTTGTTCAGAAGATCGAGTTATTTTCAAGGGTTCTGCATGTGTCACTGATAGTTTTGTTCCAGTTGAAATATATAGATTATCAGAATTCTCGAAGTGTGAAGTTACCAATTATACTGGATATGCGGATGAATTCACTATATTTTTGAAATTCGGTCATAAGATAACCTTTAGATCTCACGAACGCCTGGAAATTCTTAGATTTATTTATTTCACAACTTCAAGATTAACCAAAGAAATGAAATCAATCGAAGACAAAACTGGTGAAAGAGAACATAATATGCACTGGTTTGGAAGATTATATAATATTGTCTTCCAAGGTTTATTATGTAGCGACGATGAAGTTAGAGCTTCGGCATCATTATTATTTGGAGCCTTATCAACTTATTTTGAAATTGATTTCGGTATTGATTGTCATCATGCTAAGAGTATTGCATTCCCAGCCAATACAACGCAATTTGTGGTTTCAGTATCAAGTCATTTAGCTAAAAACTTACCAACTTTATCATACAGGTTTTTCAAGGCATTCTTTGATAATTATGAAAAATTACCAGAAGAAAATAAATTGAGTTCAATAATTTATGTTTCGCCCTGGATTTCAAATATTTATGAATATATCTATCTTGAAAATGAAAACAACGGAGCTGCCAGACTTGCAGAACTTGTTAGGTTATTTTGCAGAATTTCTGCTCTTAATAAAGATTATATCGCATTTTTGAATGATTATATTTGGAAAACTTTGTTTGCTGAAACAAGATTGATTTCTGTTTTGGTAGATGAGGTGGTTGCATATGCGGTAGATAACAAGAATGATGCAGACTGGTCGTTCATTATAGCTACCATAAGTCCATCAATCGAAGTGAGTGGTGAAGTCGTTTCAAGATTGATTAGTTGTGTCAATAAGGCTAAGAAAAACGAATCTTCCATTGTATCACAGAGTAGATTGTTTGAAATCAAAGTGTTGGTCAAGATTTGTTCATCATTATTTTTCAATTCATTCACTTTAGCAAGATTATATGTGGCGGATATATTCTTTTTCTGTACTCTTTTCATTGATAATGTCTACTTAGAGTTTGGTCCAGATTTACAAAAATTGGTTATTAATATCATTCAATCATTCTTACATAAGCCAGAGTTAACACCAGAACAAGAAAAAGTAGTCGATGATACTATTAACTACTTCAGTAGTCAAAGAGCTAAAATGTTATTTGGTATGACAAGAGATATCACATCATCTGCTGTTGATGTTGGTCAAATCTATAATCGTGCCACAAATTTCGAAATCCTTTGTGATTACTTGAATGACTTCATTCTTGCTATTGGTTCTACTGATGATACAAAAGTATGGAGAGCTAGATGGTGTTCTTACACCATTGATGTTGCCTTTTCCAAGGAATCTCTTTTCCAAAGTAGAGGTATTTTGGTTTATGGTATTCTTGCCAAGAGTGGTATTAATGATTCTACTGCTTGTAGAGGATTAAAATTGATTGCAAATGGAGATGTTAGTACTTTAGAATATACTACAAGTATTAGTATTGCTACTGCTCGTGTAATCCAAGGTTTGCCTGAAACATCAATATTACCACCTATTTTAGTTTGGCCACAATTTTGCTTTGGTCTTATGAATTATTCGGTATTATACCAACCTTCAATTCAATGTTTGGTAAACTGTTTAGTGAAAATTATCGAGGTTGGTCAAGATTATATTGATAAAGCGTTTGAACAAAGACTTTACTTAGAACCATATATAAGTGATTTTGAAAGATCTTATAAATTTGAAATCACTAAACAAAATTTTGGGGTTCATATATTTTTCGTGTTAACTCAAGGTTTAAGAATTTCTCATTTCAAACATACTTCGTTGACTTGCTTAAAGCAGTACTTTTCAATAAGATATAAGTATAAAGATAGAAATGAGATTGAAGGTAAATACGTTCAAACAAATGCTCTTGCTTATCTTGTTTTCATTTATTTAAGTTCAGATGATTCTGATTTCGAAGCTTTCATTCAAGAACTTGGTATTCATACCGAATACGTTACTATTACCAATGGACGTATTCCAAAGATTGTGATTGACTTTTTTGCACAGCAAAGTGATCCATCCATGGTGACTTTAATTCATGCTGCATATTTTGTCGAGTCTAAATCTGTCGATAGTGTTTTCAAGACAAAATTCTTACATGTTTATGATTACATTTTCAGAAGATACCCTGAAGTTGGTTTATTAGTATATCATATCTTGAAACCAGCCTTAGAGCATAGCTTTTTAACGTCGACTTCTACTGATCTTGTGGAGACCATATCTAAGATTATGATTTCTGTGTTTAGTTCTGATACCTATTCAGCAGCACAATATAAGGCCAAGGTTGATGAGATTCTTGGTAGTAGTAAGATCACTATAATCAAGGAGAATAGAAAGATGAGAACTCCTGAAGGTTTCCATACCGGTAATGCGTTTGAAAACACAGTATCAGCCGATTTAAAGAAATTACAAATGATGCTTTATAGAAGTGCCTGTTTATTTGTGGAAGGGTCAAGATTAGAGGATTGAACCCCCTAATTTTTATTACACTTTTTATCAGCTATTTTTATGATAATATATTACCATTTGCTGAAAGGCATGTTGGTTTTATTTGGTATTAATAGATTCTTAGTTATTACTACGAGCAATACAATTACTCGTAAGTTTTATACACTCACATTTTTAAGGATCTGCTTGCTTAGTTATAGCAGCAGCATTTTATGACGAAATGATCAACTGTTCAAGTGTTTAAGTTTTAACTTGTTCAGATTATATAGAATTCATTTTTTAATTTTTACATTCTCTTCTTATTATTAAACGTTTATTGCTAATTTATTAAATGCATCTATAAAATTCTATGTAGAATCTACTATGGTTTCTTATGAGTATTAAGTTTCAGTCTCATTTGCTTTTCAAAATCTCTTTTATAAAGTCTGAATAATAGCATGGTTGCTCTTGCATCTTCAACTGAAGAATGAGCAGCACCTTGAATATCAATTTTTAAAAAATGCAGAGTAAGTTTCTTTAAGGATGGAGTTCTACCACTCGCTATTTGTCTAAATGGAAGATATTGAGTAGTATCCCGTATCATGACTTTTGGATGGGATAAAAATAATGCATCAAGATCATGATGAATAGCATGACCCACTAATATTCTATTATTTAATAAATCTGATGTTTTCTTTTGAGCTTCACTGAAAGAAATAGCATTATGCATATGTTTTGGAGTAACTCCACTAACCCAAGTTCTCCAATCAGTTACTTTCTCTCTTGGTTTCACAAACTCATCTAATATGACATGACCATAGAAATTAACGATTGAAACTCGAGCAAGGGCAGATTCTTCACCTTCAGGACCAACACCCACAAATTCACAATCCATCGATAAATATTTACCTGGTTCTATTCTTCTTGAATCATTACCAATCGGTATTAACTTGACACTATTATCTTCAAGATCATTATTCGTTATTTCCTTATCAGTCAGCAATATAGCTTCAATGGCTGACTTGGGTGTGACAATGGTGGTGGTAGTAATTGGTTCTGATGATACTGATTTCTTAGCCACTACTTCATTAATTTGTTTTTTTATCTTATCTGACTTCTGTATGATTTTCTTCTTCTTGATTATGGGTTTACCTGAGTCCTTAGCTATTCTTGAAGAGAGATTCTTCCAATTCAGAGAGAGTTTACTCATATCTGATTATCGTTTATAAATAATTTGCAATAACTTTTAAACTTAATCGATGCTCATTACAGATTTTTTTTTATCTACAGATTTTTGTACGCAAAAAAAAGAAGGATTTTTCCTCGTAAATAAAAATATGGTGGCATAATAATATACATTTCATAAACTATTTACATTTACATTTGCTATATACGTATATGTTTTGGGGGAGAGCTGGATTCTAGAAATTAGAAGCGTTATACACTTGAAGAACCCATCTTAACTTATCTATAATCTCCTGACATTCTTGAATGTTTTTGGCTTCAAGGTCATATTTCTTCTTAACGGCTGCCGAATCCTTATTTGTAGCTGTTGTGGATGATGTATCCACTGATTTTTGAATAACGATTTTGAAATGATTTGGATTCTTAGAGTCTTTATATTGTTTCAATTTAACAATTTGAGTAATATGGAATGAACTTGTCTTTTGCATCAGTTGTTTGTAATAATTATTATAATTATAGTAATGATGGTGATGATGATGATTTTGATTAATATCACTTTGACCAAATGGATTATCAGCTGGGTTTAATTTGAAAACGGCATCATCAGATGGAGTTAAATGAATATAATCTCCATCAATAACCAATGATCTTTCCATTTTATTTAGAATCGTAGTCTTTTTCCTCCATACTTTCCATTTGAAATAAATCGAATTAAGATTAGCAGGTAACAGAGGATTCTTCCCTGTTATTATATCATCTAAATATTTATTAGATGAAAGATTCGGCTTAGTCTCCAGTGGACCTAATGTTGGAGGTTCTTTTCTTCTTCCCAGAGGTTTCTTACTCACTATCAATGTATCATTAGGTTCTATATTCATAGCTTGGAATTTTTCTTCCAATTGTTTCTTATCTGGAGTAATATTCATCGTGAATGTTGAATCTGATGGAGTAATAGTGTTATTTAATAACAGATTATCAATCGAACTAGTACCAAGGAAACTCAATCTATTATCAATTGGTGACAATTCTAAGATATTACTCTCTAAATTAGATACTTTCTCATCATCTTTAACCACTCTTGTTTGTTGTTGTTGTTGTTGCAGTTGCAGTTGAGTCAGTGAACTTCCATTACCAACATCAAGCATAGAACTTGGAGTTCGTTTGGAATTCTTTCCCTTTCCTAGGGCAATCTTAAATAAAAACTTGGCCATGGGTAATCCATGTTGATTACAAAATTCTCGTAAAACATACCCTACTGAATCATCTGATGATGCATAATAGACATAATCTGCCGAAGTACTAATCACAGACGGCATAGTGATTTTAAGCTGAATCTTTCCATTTTCTTCATGTTCCGATTCTTCTGCAATGACGGGATTGATATCTCTATTTTGTTGATATTTGATTAAATTCTGTTTAAATTCCATCGCCAAGGGGGATAGTTTTTCATTCTTGTTTATTTCTTTAGGATCAAGAATCTTAGATAATCCTAATTCTTTTGGGAAATTATATGATTTAAGATTTCGATTCCGTTCTAAGATCCCAAATGGTCCATATACCTCTCCATCTTCATCCACCAATTCAAGTCTCCAATGTAATGGATTGAAATTCGTCATGTCTGAAACATCACTATTGAATTCAGGAACTTTAAGGAGATTTAAAAGGATGAATCCAATACAATCTCCCAAGGCAACATTTTCATTAACTTTCAAATCCTTTAATACTAATTTACGACTTGGGAGAAGGAAAATATCGACCGAAGTTTTATTTACATTATCATGATCAGTTTCGACAAATGAGAAATATTTCAAAGGGTTGACATTAGCTGATTTGAATCTGGTATGAATCAATGAACTTAAATTAGAACCCTTTGCTTTAGTGAGATTATTGTCGGTATTAAGTTTTTCAAATGTAAGGGAGTTCTTTCTCGTACTTAATGATGTAGAAGATTTAGCGGATGTTACTTTATTTGAATTAATGACTGAATTCTGAGATCCTGAGTTTTTGAAATTAGCCGTTTTGGAAAGACTTTGAGTATCGAATGAAGTTCGTTTTGTCTTTCTACTTCGTTTGGAGTTGAATACTGAATTATTATTTTGATTTGTGAATGAAAAACTATTAGAATTGGCCACATAAGAATCTAATAACATGGAGGAATCCAATATGGAATCAGTTTCAATATCAGTGAATGCCGAATCAGTAGATGAAGTTTCATCATCATCTTCATCATCATCGAATTCATCACTATCTTCACCATCCACATAATCATCATCATCTTCATCATCATCATCATCATATTCATCTTCATCATCATCATCTTCTTCATTATCCAGACCATCTATGTCTCCTGATTTTTCATGAACTTCATAATTATGGACAACTTTCCCATTAGAATCCACTGGAACTCCAAAATCAGAATCAATAGTTATGGTATCTGATTTATCAATGACAGATTTATCATGATTATTTTTACGACCATTAGTAATTTTAGACTCAGGATTAGTTTCTGGTTCTTCTTTCGTTTCAGTAATGGCTGTTCCTGGTGATATTTCCTTGATAGATTGTGGTTCTAGGATTTGAGTGTTTATAGACAGTCCACTATCACTTGAATCATCCACAGTATCTTTCAGTTTTTTATCTTTATTACTAGTTTGAAAGAATTTAACAATTTCAGAAGGGATATTAGTAGCTCTACGTGCCGTGGTATTTATGGTAGTATTCTTTGAAGATTTTGAATCACTATCTTTTATATCCAGATCGAATTCATCTTGAAACATATTATAACTTGATGGGATATCTTCAACTTCGGGAGTTAAAAGGGATTCAGCCATGGTTTCTTGTATGGTATGATTATTATCATTTGGTTTCGATTCTTCGGATGGTTCTTCTTCTTCAGTAGGTCCTAATGATTTAGCACTCTTTCGTCGTTGATGATGCAGCAGTTTCCTCCTTCTTCTTCTTGTATTATTATGATTAGTGTTATTATTATTATTAGTATTATTTTGATGATGATGATGATGATTTGTATCGGCATGACCATTATGTTTCATGGATTTTTGGATATGTCTTGCTATTTGGAAAGTGATTGGAGGAGATTCTGGAATAGGGAATGAAGGGATAGGTACTCCATAATGATTTTCATCATTTTCTATAATGATTGGTTTTATAATTCGATTAGCAAAACCATCTTGACCATTTTGAGCTAGATAAGTAGCTCGTAGATGACCTAGTAGATGAGTAGTATCGAAAGGGAATGCCATATTATACTATGATACTCCTTAACTAATACACTCCTAAGTTGTGAATTGAAATAGAGGGAAGGGAAAGGGCAATATAGTTTAAATCAATTAAACATGCTTGATAGTTAATTAAAGTATCAAAGACCCAAACCGCAGTACTTAACCCATTGTTATACTTGCCCCCTCAAACCCTCCACACATTCCATCCATCCACCCACAAGTACGTACTATAGTTAACTTACAATGGTTACTCAATTAGCCATACTATACACTACATAGATCATACACAGACTGATCAATTGAGTTATCTGTTCTTACAGTTACTATCTATTGACCAACCAGTTATGATTATTATTACTATGATGATATCATACAAAGATAACAACAACAAAGTTGCACACGTGACCAGTTGTTTAACAGTGAAAATTTCATTTTCTCATACAAATCAAAACAGAACACAATACAAATACAAAGGAGAGAGAGGAATACCCTTTTCTAAAACACACCAAAGTTTGTTTGTTTAGGTTGGCGAAGTTTAAATTCAGTTTACAACACACATTCAACTATCATCAATCTATATTCCAATCCATAACAAGGGTCATTCATTTCACTAGTAGTCCATCCAATCCAATCAATCCTATCCATCCCTAGACATTCCCTTCCTCCACCTCTTCCACTCCACTGCACTCCACTTCAACAATCTTTTTGTCTTTGCACAACCCCGTTTCATCAGTTGTAATTAATATGTACTACCATTTAACAACTCCAACTTTATTCATAATCTTATCATAAATCATATCATATCTTATCTTATCACTTTATATACACTTATATAGATCTCATTGATACAAACCTTCTCCCCAGTCTAGACTAATACTCACATTCCATCCATCCTTTCTTATCAATCGTATCATGAACCCATTAACTCAATCCGATAATAGAAATCGTCCAGTATCTGGATTCCAAGAATTATCTTCAGAACTTGATAATATCTATAACAGTTACTCCCAATCAAGTCATAATCATAGTGTTGATACCCTTGATTCTCAAAAAGATCAAGCTCCAACTAATCTTCATCATTCAACTAGTAGTTCAAATCGATTCTTACAATCTATAAATCAAAAATTACATATATCATCTCGATTATCTTCCATTCATTTAGATGAAGATGAAAATATCACAAGAAGTGCTCCTGAAACTCCCAATTCTTCTTCATCCTTTGATTTCACTCCTCGACCTCATTCTCAACATCATGCATTAACCAATTCTTCTTTAAATGTATTACTAGATACTCCCACCACGGATGCTGAATTCAAACAATTGTTTGGATCTCCTCTTCAAAATGAATCTGGCATTGAAGATGATGATGATGATGACGATGATAATGATGTTGACGACGATGGTCAAGTTATAGAAGATGATGATGGTGTACCTTATAATAAAGATGCCGATAAGGACGATGAATGGGATAATAAAGGTGCTGCCGTAAAACAAATCAAAGATGCTAATAATACCAAAATTATAAGAAGAGGTGTATCCGATTTCCAATTTGGTAAACAATTAGGTGAAGGATCTTATTCAACTGTTATCCTTGGAACTGATAAACATACTTCAAAACAATATGCCGTCAAAATCCTCGACAAGAGACATATCATCAAGGAAAAGAAAGTTAAATACGTTAATATTGAAAAACATGCTTTAAATCGATTAAGTAATCGTATGGGAGTTATCTCATTATATTTCACATTCCAAGATAAAAGTTCATTATATTTTGTCCTCGATTATGCATCAAATGGTGAATTATTATCATTAATTAAACGTTATGGAACATTAAGCGAAGATTGTACTCGACATTTTGGAGCTCAAATCCTTGATGCCATCAAATACATGCATGATAATGGTGTTATTCATCGTGATATCAAACCAGAAAATATCTTACTTGATGATAAACTTCGAATTCAAATCACTGATTTCGGTACCGCAAGATTATTAGAAAAGAAAAATGATGAAAGTGAAGAATACCCTGTTGATGTTCGAGCTAAATCATTCGTCGGTACCGCTGAATATGTTTCTCCTGAATTATTAGAAAATAAATATTGTGGTAAACCAGGTGATGTATGGGCTTTCGGATGTATCATTTATCAAATGATTGCTGGTAAACCACCTTTCAAAGCAACTAATGAATATTTAACGTTTCAAAAAATTACAAAATTACAATTTGCATTCAGTGCTGGTTTCCCTAATATTGTGAGAGATTTAATTAAACAGATATTGGTTTTACAGCCATCTAAGAGAGCCACGATTCAAACTATTCAAAATCATTACTTTTTCCAAGGAATTAATTTCGATGATTTTGATCTGATATGGTATAAGGATCCACCGGAATTAGGTCCATATAAAATGACAGCTAAATCAATGATGAAAATTCCTGAATTATCAAAATCAGCATCTCAAGTCACAGTCACTAAAAAGATATATAAAAGACCTACCAATAATAATTCCAATTCTGATGTTACTCCATTAACAAGAAGAGCCTTGAGTGAAAATAATACTAAATTAGTTAATCCTGCAAGTGTGGCTGCATTTGTCCTTAATAAGAAAGATGGAGTAACTGCCGAAAATAGTGAAGATTCATCAAATGATAGTCCAAATGAAAGTGAACCAGTCAGAGCTACGAATTCATCTAGTCTGAATTCAGTTACTCCAAAAGCAACACCAACACCAGATTATATTCCAGGTACCAATATCTTAAGACCAACGATTAATACTCGTCAAAATTATTCTCGATCAATCACCCAACGAAAGGCAAGCAACAACAATAATGGTTCAAGTAAACCGAAATCTCGGGTTATGGATGTCGCTCCATTAAGTACATTAGAAGCAGCATGGAGTCAATATCTTAAACATGGTGATGAAAGAATCTTAAAATTAGGACCAGTATTGGTTCATCGGGAACCAACTGAATCATTTGAACGAAAGAATAAAGGATCATTACATGATTCACCATTAGGTTATACTAATAAATTACTGTCATCAGTGGCTCCACCATCAAGAGGCTCAAGTTTACTTACTCAAGTTGTGAAGGGTTCTACTGCTGGATTAAGACATGCTGAATCAATGAATTCTGATGATTCTTATCAATCCGCTGATGAAACTGACGCTATTATTGATTATTTTGAAATTGAAGAAGTTACTGATAGTGATCGAAAAAGTACTGATTCCAAACGAGATGGTAAAACTGATTCAAAGACGGGTGAAGGTAAGAGTAATAGTTTAACATCTTCTACCAGTTCAAATACAAGACATCGAGGATCATCACTTTTAAAGAGACTTGGGTTTTCGCATATTGATAAAAAGGATAATTCATCATCCGATTCAAGTTCAGTGTCAGGTACACCAACTCGTCAACATGCATTAGAAAAAACTCGAACTTGTACAATGGTTATCACTACTCATGGTCGAGCTTTGATTTTCTTTAGAGATGATAAAGAAACTAATTATCGATTGATAAGTGAAGTTAAATTGAAATATCCTTTTATTCAATTTAAAGAATTAGTATCATCATCTAATAAATTTCAAAAATTATTACCAAGTACAGGTATATTTGCTATTGAATCACTGAATACAACTTTAGTATTTGAAGTTGAGAAATATGAAGTAACTACATGGACAGAAGCATTAGCTAAAGCTAAATATAATCAATTAGAACGAGAATTTGAAATGTCAAGAACAAATAGTTCTGTCAATCTGAGTGTGGTTACTAGTAATACTAATAATAGTTCACCAAAATTACAAGATTCACCTTCATTTGCCAGTATAAGTCAAAAGAGAGTTCCATCGGATGATAAACCTCGTAGACCTGATAATGGAGGACTTGTGATAACTAAACGTCCAACAACTCCCACTACCCCAATATCACCAACGATTAGAGCTGTTAGTGATAGTAGTAGTAGTAGTAATAAAACTCAAGCTAATAATCTTATGAATTCAAAGATTAAAATCAAAGTTCCAAGAAGGAAACCTCCACCTCCTATGAGTCCAATCAATGGAGTTAATATGCATACTGGATTAGCGGCCTCTGATTCCAATGAAAGTGGAATGTTACATGCTGCACAATTGGCGGTATCTAATAATGCACATATTGCATTAACTAATAATAGACGATCAAGTTTTACTAAGGATGATTTATCAAGAGTTGTATCCCCATCTTCACTGCTTAAACAAGGGATTAGAACGGGGAGAAAAGCTGCTATTACATCTATGAATTCCAAATTGTTGGCTAGAAGTCAAAGAAAGAAATAGGTTCATCATATCATAAAACATAATATAATATAATATAATATAACATAAAATAAAAAGAAATAACATAACATAATACAATTAAAATGGTGGTTTGTATTTTATTGATCGTGCATAGCTACGTATAAGTAAGTTTATATTTTGATAGAGTTTTATAGCAACAGTTTTAAAATAAAAGAAATTAACTAGGAGATTATAGTTTGTAGTAATAGTTATTTTAAAAATTGTTGCAAAATGTGTGGTGGTGGTACCTTAAATTTGAATCTGAAATGTGTTCCATCGGAATAATCTAAAAAAAATAATTAAATAAATTGGAGAGTCACCATCCAGAAGAAGAGGGGAAGGAGGAGGAGGGGGGGGAAAGAACAGTCACAGGAATCACCTGACTTTCACTTTTTTTAAAGTTACCCGCCCATTGACATTTAATTTTGTGTAACATCATATCTTACCTTATATACAGTACCAGATTCATGAAAGACATTTTTTTTGTGATATTCATAATACGACATTTTACACACTTAATGTCCTCATTCCCCCCCCTTCACCATAATGTCTCATTCTCCTTTACCAATTCAGTTAACAGAAAAAAATATACATAATAAAATTTTTCAATTCATTTACCAGATACCTTTTATAATTAATTAGTATATTTCACATCACATAAAAATGGCTAAATTCATTAAAGCAGGTAAAGTTGGTATGTATAACTCAGTTCAAATCATTCTCCTGTTACTCCATTCAAAGTTTTCCAGTATTCAAACGGGTAATTATCCCCTCCTCCTCATCATCATTAATAATTTGTCCTCTTGTGACAACCATTTGACATCAAATTTTATTAATCAAGTTTGTACTATGAATTATATCAGTTTTATAACTATAATCTATGTAAGAACGTTATTTCAATCGATTAGTACATCATCATATCATCAAAAACTGTAAACAGTTGTCATTTAGTACAATTCCTTTGACAGATGTTTCAAAATTTCATGTAACCAATCAAAGAGATGAGGAAGTGAAGAATCATCATAAAATGAAAACAAATGTAGTACAATCCATCAATGTATCAATAATGTATAAGAATCACATCTAAATAGTTTTCAAATCATCTACTTACGAACAATACCCATACTACAAATCTTTTCATGGAATAACACAAACCATCATATAAAAACAATTTATACTAACTTTTAATTTTCTTATAGCTATTGTCGTCCGTGGTCGTTTCGCTGGTAAGAAAGTCGTCATTGTTAAACCACATGATGATGGTACCAAATCACACCCTTTCCCACATGCCATTGTTGCTGGTATTGAAAGAGCTCCATTAAAGGTTACCAAAAACTTGGGTGCTAAAAAGACTGCCAAGAGAACTAAAGTTAAGCCATTTGTTAAATTAGTTAACTACAATCATTTAATGCCAACTAGATACTCTTTAGATGTTGAATCATTCAAATCCGCTGTCACTTTAGAAGCTTTAGATGAACCATCCCAAAGAGAAGAAGCTAAAAAAGTTGTTAAAAAGGCTTTAGAAGAAAAACATCAAGCTGGTAAAAACAAGTGGTTCTTCCAAAAATTACACTTTTAAATCAATCAAATCTCATCAATCATCATCCATCAATAATCATACTTCTATATAATCTTATAAACTTCTATTTTTTTGTATAAATTTGTTGTTTGGGAGGGGAAAAGGGGGTTTCCATTTTAAAAGCAAACCAATTCAAGCCATCTAATTTAATATTATTATTACTTTGTTAAATCCTTGTTTTGTTGTTTTTTTCTTCTTGCATGGGTTTAAAAATAAACATACAATAATTTAATGATCTAAAACCATCCATCATCTATCCATATAATCATATAAACAGATCAACCAAAAAATAAAAGAAAAACTATTTTAAAACTATTTTAAACCGTTGTATATGTAGATTGATAAGTTATTAGACATTCAAGTTTGCGTTTATCTTTTTTGAACCTATATCTGTATACTTAATATATACCTTTTTACACCTATAAAGTTGTTATTACATCTCTACGTTAATAATCCTCTCTTGATGGTTGCAGAATTTTTCACTCTAAACGATGAACCTGGATTTTTAACGGACTGCATATAATATGGTGAGTCTTTTTTGGATTTTCGATATCAATTATAAGCATTTAAGGAAATCATCAATATCATCGTCATCATCTTTTCAATTGGTTCTCAAGAATAACAATGTCAGTCGAAGGAAAGGTTGAAAAGTTGTCAGTCAAAGACGAAGTTGAACAAGTCGTTACACCATGGGAAGTTGAAGGAGCAGTGGTGGATGGTAAAGCTCAAGGTATCGATTATGATAAATTAATTAAACAATTTGGGACAAAAGCTATAACTGAAGATACTTTATCTAAATTTAAAAGATTAACTGGTCAAGAACCTCATCCATTCTTAAAGAGAGGAGTGTTCTTTTCTGAAAGAGATCTTGATAGAATCTTGGATTTATATGAACATGGTGAACCATTCTTTCTTTATACTGGTAGAGGTCCATCATCTGATTCGATGCATTTAGGTCATATGGTTCCATTTGAATTCACAAGATGGTTACAAGAAGTATTTGATGCTCCATTAGTGATTGAATTAACTGATGATGAGAAATTCTTATTTAAACCAAAATTATCGATTGAAGATGTTAAACAATTTTCTAAAGATAATGCTAAAGATATTATCGCTGTTGGTTTTAAGCCAGAAAATACCTTTATATTTTCTGATTTAGAATATATGGGAGGATCATTTTATGAAAATGTAGTTAGAACTTCAAGACAAATCACCACTTCAACTGCTAAAGCTGTATTTGGATTCCAAGATTCTGATTGTATTGGTAAGATTCATTTTGCTAGTATTCAAATCGCTACTGCTTTTCCATCTTCATTCCCTGATGTATTAGGCTTACCTCCAAAGACTCCATGTTTGATTCCATGTGCCATTGATCAAGATCCTTATTTTAGAGTTTGTCGTGATGTAGCTGATAAATTAAAATTTTCTAAACCAGCTTTAATTCATGCTAAATTTTTCCCTGCTTTACAAGGAGCATCAACTAAAATGTCTGCTTCAGATACTACTACTTCAATCTTTATGGGAGATTCTCAAAAGGAAATTAAAAGAAAAGTTAATAAATATGCCTTTTCAGGAGGTCAAGCTACTCTTGAAGATCATAGAAGATTGGGAGGTAATCCTGATACTGATGTTGCATATCAATATTTATCATTCTTTAGTTATGATGATGCAAGATTACAAGAACTTTCTGATGATTATAAATCTGGGAAAGTATTATCAGGTGAAATGAAACAAGAATGTATAACTGTATTACAAGAATTTGTGGCTGCTTATCAAGAAAGAAGAAGTAAAATTGATCAAGAACTTATTGATAAATTCATGAAACCTCATAAATTAGTATATGGCCAAAAGGAAAGATTAGTAGCTCCTAAAGTTAGAGAAAAGAAAGAAAAGAAATAGATGATTAATAGATAATTTTATGTACATTCATTCTCTATACTACACAATTTATAAATATATATATACACGATTAAAATTTATTGAATTAACTTTTTTGTATTTTCCAAGATAAACATTAATTTTTCAAAATCATCATCATTAGACTCATCAAATTTCCCAAACCATTTGGACCCAATTGATAATATACAATCTTTAGGATGACCCGACGTCGCTATAAGTTTACCAATTTGAGAAGCAACAATCAGAATCTTTAAATTAGCATGATTCCCTACTAATAATAATGGTTCAATCCCTATATCTGCTTCACTATTCGATATGGAACTGAGATAATTCACTGTTGCTTTGGATGATAATGGTAATTCAAAAGTTGTATCCATGACACCATTGAATTGAATATTTAAGATGATTTTATTATCTAATTCAATTTTATGAAAGAATATTTCGGTATCATTATCATCTTTATAATGAGTTTCAAATGATCTAGTAAACCCTGTAGGGTCTTCTTTTATAGTTGACATCTGACTGTTGAACTATGAGTTTAATGGTTTACATTAAATGTTTGATATATATATCAATTTGATATTCGATATTCAAGTTGATTTGTGGTGATTCACCAGGAGTATATACAGGAAGGTTATTATACAATTACACTATGAATTCACCATTAATGTAAGTTACCTTCAAGACCAGTAATATAAGAAGTTGATGTAATATCTCATATAAGAGTTGAATTGTAGTCGGTACTCCGAGTTAAGTAACATCATACCACTTTGTACACAAATAGATCCTCGGAGTCGTAACGAGGATCCGTTAAATAGTGAGAAAATGTCATAGTCATAGTTCACAGGGTATATAGTATAACACCATTAATATGGTTATTATGATCAAATGTACTGTATCCAACAAACACAAGCATCGTTGACAACCTTATTTTATAAAACCCAACTACAATTAAGAGTCATATAGTTATAGTATTGCAAATTAAAATTTGATTGCAAAACACTGAAGTAATTCCCCGCTAAAATCCGGATAATCTAACAACCATGAACAAATAAATGGATGTGAAATAGGAATAACCCATTAGAGTACATAACTTAACTGACTTAACTGATGTCAAACATATTACAAACCATAAACAACACTAATTCTAAATAGAGTAATTATGGTTCAGTATTATAAATCAGTCAGATATGAAATAATTTATCATCGGTAAAATTTAAGTAATGATTACTAAAGACGCTCACTAATTACTGAGTCAGTACACCTTTTTTTCTTTCTTTTTTTTAGCGTCACGGACGACAATTTTGATGGCCCCACGAAAACTGATTTCCAATTAGACTGAAAAATTTCCAATTATATATAAATCAGTATAACTACAAATTGTATAGTTATTGCAAAATTATTTATAAAACTTGATAATTACTAGTTGATCGAGGTTGCATTATCTATTAGGATTACAGTTTACAATTACTTCTTTACTTACCACTCATACCTTACTTCAAATAATCTCATAGCACAATCATGACTCAAATATTTAATCCAATATCAGAAGCTCTCGAAGGATTCAAAAATGGTGAATTCCTTATTGTCATGGATGATGAAGATCGTGAAAATGAAGGAGATTTAATCATATCTGCCGAATTAATAACTCAAGAAAAAATGGCTTTCTTAGTAAGATATTCTTCAGGTTATGTATGTGCTCCATTATCAACTGAAAGAGCTGATGCCTTAGATTTACAACCAATGTTAAAAGATAGAACTGATAGACATGGTACTGCTTATACTGTCACTTGTGATTTCGGTGAAGGTACCACTACTGGTATTTCTGCTCATGATAGAGCTTTAACCGCTAATAAATTAGCTGATCCAACTGTAAAACCTCAAGATTTTATTAGACCAGGTCATGTTTTACCTTTAAGAGCCGTACCAGGATTATTAAAAAAGAGAAGAGGTCATACTGAAGCTGCCGTTCAATTATGTGAATTAACTGGATTACAACCAGCTGCTGTCATTTGTGAATTGGTTAGAGATGAAGATGGTTTAATGATGAGATTAGATGATTGTGTTAAATTCGGTAAAACTCATAATATTAAAATCATCAATATTAATCAAATCGTTGATCACCTTAATTAATCTATTTTGTCATCATATAACACTTTAATCTTGTACATTAGTTTTATCTATAATTTATTTATTAGTATTTCATACATTAATATACACATATAACGTTTAATGCAACCATTTACTTATTAACCTATTTCAATAATAATTGAGCTTTTCTCTTTCCACTAACTTCATCCTTAACTGATTTAACATCAACCATAACTTTATCAAATACAGCCACCGATCTCTTTTTACCATTTAAATCAGTAAATTTAAGTTCATACTTATTTTCATCATAATCAGCTGTATTAACATCTCCAAGTAATTCTAATTTAATTAATCCTTCAATACCAAACTTTGGAACAAGTACAACAATACCATTAACAAAACATTTAATAACATAACCCTCATGTACAGATTCATTATTTCTCATAACTTGCCCGACATAATATTCAATACTTGCTCTACCTGCAAATTGAGCATTTCTATGTCTTCTATTAATATTCTTAACTATAAGCTCCATTTTATTTTTATCTCTATGACTTAAATCTAAATTCTCATACCCTATAGCCCCTGCTAATTGTCTATGAGCCACCACATCACAATATCTTCTGATTGGCGACGTGAAATGAGTATAAATATCAACCGCTAACCCATAATGTCTGAATTCAGGATATCCATATGACCCAGATGGGAAATATTCAGCAGCCATCATACATCTGGTAGACATAATACGTAATAAAGTATTGAAATATGGATCATTAGGATCTTCACATCTATCTAATGAATCAGCTAATGCTTTAGAACTTTCTAATGATATGGCCATACCTGGTCTTCTTGCATTTAATATATCATTTAATAATTCGAAATTAGTAGCTGGAGGGGAGGCATGTCTTCTTAACATGGCAGTTTGAGGGTAAGCATCATAAATCTTTCTAGCCACAGAGATATTGGCCAACAACATGAATTCTTCAACCAATGAATTAGTTTCTAATAATTTTTTAATTTCAACTTCATTTGGATCACTGGTTTCACTATCCATATGAACTTTAACTTCAGGAGAGGCTAAATTCAAGGCACCAGCATCTAATCTTTGTTGTTTTAATTTCTTAGAAAGTTTTAATAACACTCTCATGGAATCAGTTAATTCATCAGTTTGTGATTTATCATCAATTCTTAATTGAGCACGTTCATATGAAAATGCTTCTCTTGATTTTATAACCGATTTCATGAATTTAACATTAACGATATTCGCATCTTCATCTAATTCCCAAATTACTGAAAAAGCAAATCTATCAACATATGGTTTTAAAGAACATAAATTGGTCCCTAATAACATTGGCAACATATCAATTCTTTTATCTACTAAATAAACAGATGTACCTCTTGAAGCACCTTCTTGATCTAAAGCAGTATTAGGTTTGACGAAATGAGTAACATCAGCAATATGAACACCTACTTCATAATTTCCATTAGGTAATCTTTTAGCATGTAAGGCATCATCAATATCCACACAATTAGGAGGATCAATCGAACACACTAATTTATCTCTTAAATCAACTCTCTTCTTTAATTGAGCATCATCAGTATTTATAAGATCAGGGACAACCCAATTATCTCCTTCAGCCGGTAAACAATCCAACACATTCTTAGCAAATGGTCTATATTCAACATCATGTTCTAATAATAAGGCTTCAGTTTCAGCTTCAGCACTTTCAATCTCTCCTAATGATCTAACGAAATGACCATTTGGATAACGAGAATTGGAAGGCCAAGCATCAACCGATACCACTATTCTTTGACCTAAATATTCTTTAGCTTTTCTTGTCCTTATTCTAATCTTAGGTAAGGTTTTATCCATCAATACTACAAAACAACTTCTTGACGAATTACCACTATCCTCTCCCACCACTGATGTAGGAGCGATTTGACCCACATAATATCTCCATGATCTTCTCGTAATACCAACTATCTTAGCAGCTGGTTGTAATCGTTTTTCTTCTGATGCAGCAGTAGTAGCTCTGATGGCTTCTTGAGCTAATAATAAACGTTCTTTATCTGATACCACTCCATTTGTGCCTGATATATCATCGTCACCATTCTCATCAGCATCTTCAGCATTATCATTAGCACCTAATGTAGTTTCTTCAATAATGGTTGATGATGGTTCTCTCCATTTATCCTTGGGTAATAATTCAACAATGACTGAATCAGAACTAAAACCTCTGTTTAAATTCTTCGATCCAACTATTAATAATGGTTTCTTAAAGGCAGCTACTTTAACTGAACCTTCTAAGATATTATATGGAGAAATATTCAAAATACCTTGATATAAAGTACCGTTTCTAATCCCAGCTAAGATTCTAGCTTCAGAATAAAATTCAGGGAAGGTGGTTTCATTTTCCTTATTTGATAATTCATTAGATAAAGTTGAATCAGCCGGAATCAAATCTCTTAAATCTTCAGCATTTGGTAATAAATCGATATATTCAGTTAATGATAAAGCATTGATACCTTCAGCTTTAGCCTTGGTTCTATTATCTCTATCGTTACAAAGTAAGATGATTTCAATCTTTTCGGGTGAATTATTCTCATTTAAATGGGTATTATACCATGATGCAACTTTTCTAATGGCACGGTCATTTCTATCATTTATAGATTCATTTTTTAATCTATTAATATAAGTATGTTCATTGAATTCATTATGAAACACGGCAAATCCTTTATCTTCAGATTTAACTAATCCTCTTAATCTTTGATATATTGGAATTGATCTATTTTTAACTTCTTCTAAGACAGTTTGAGGAATAATGACATCGTAAAAACATTGAATATTTTCTAATAAATCAATACAATGCAAGATGATATTAGTATCAAGAACGACATAATGACCCACTTGGGAATTAAGCTTAGCTGGAGTGGCAGAAAGTATGAAAGTAGGTAATTCACCTTTAGCATCAGCTTTAACTATATCATGACAATGTTGACAACTCTTACTATAACATGGAATATCATTTCTTAAATAATGTTCTCTAACAATTTTAAGGGCTCCTCCATTACGTGATCTCACGAATACTTTGGAAGTAACACTAAGACCACTGGATAACCTCTTTCTTTGAGAAATCATTGTTGTTTATCCTGTTTGAAAGTGATTAATTGAATCTGTCTGGTTCATATATATATATAATCTCATCTTCATAATAATTTTTTCATATTAAAAATCAAATGGACTGTATATAATTGGGGCGCTACCATTGATAGACCAGTAATTAGAGCAAAGTAGACTAATAACATAACCTTTCTGATACCTATTGGTGACGGTAAGTTTGAATGTACTTGTAAATGATTGAAGCTGGAGAATCACTTTATAAAAGACTCTAATCCATTGTGTAAAGTGATTCTTTCCCTGTGATGATATAATTAGATCTCATTTTATCAGATTTCTTGCAAAAAAATTATGTAGTGCACTGAAATATATTTGTAACTTCAACTAAACGCATATGAATACAACTTTAATATCTTCAATCAAGCAATGCCATCTATACGGACACTAACAGTACCCTTAATTGGGATACTTCTATGTTTCTGTTACTACATTATACCGAATTCAATCAGTTTCAGTAGCATTGACTTGGCTAATTATGACATTAATCAACTATTCAATCATAACCCACACCCACCCACATATGATCCATTGAAACATAATCAACCAAAATTGGCGTCAAACTCATATCTTGAACAATCAATACCATTCAGGAATAGACAACAAATAGGAAAAGAGAATGCTACGTTGGTTATGTTGGTTCGAAATAAAGAATTGAAAGGAGCATTACAATCCATGAGATCATTAGAAGATCGATTCAATCGTCATTATCGATATCCTTGGGTGTTTTTAAATGAAGTACCATTTGATGATGAATTCATAGAACAAACCACCTTAATGGCTAGTGGTGAGACGTTCTATGAATTGATACCTGAGGAAGATTGGGAACAACCATCATTTATAGATGAAGAAAAGTATGAAAATGGAATTGCTAAAGCTATTATGGATGGAGTTATATATGGAGGAACCAAATCATATCGAAACATGTGTCATTTCAATTCAGGATACTTTTACAGACAAGAGAGAATGCTCAATTATGATTGGTATTTCAGAGTTGAACCTGATGTGGAATATATGTGCGATTTTCAATATGATCCATTTGAATTATTAAGACGAAATAATAAAATTTATGGATTTGTAATTGCTATAACTGAATATGAAAACACCATACCGACATTATGGCAAACTGTTGAAGAATTCATGGCTGAATATCCCGAGTTAGTACATCCTAATAATTCACTTGACTTCATTACTACTCATGAAACATCATTAAATCATTGGAAGTCATTAGTTCCATCATCTACAAAGTATAATTTATGTCATTTCTGGTCTAATTTTGAAATAGCAAACTTAAACTTCTTTAGAAGTGAAGCATATGGGAAATATTTCGATTACTTAGATAAATCAGGTGGATTCTATTATGAGAGATGGGGCGATGCACCAGTCCATTCTATTGGGTTAAATATCTTAGCTGATAAGAATCTGATTCATCATTTTGAAGATATAGGATATTATCATGCTCCATATTTAGCATGTCCTACTTCAAAAGATGTTGTTGCTTCAAAGAGATGTGTATGTAAAACTTATGGAGTAGATGGGGATAGAATTGATAAACCGATTGATGTCGGATTATTCAGTTGTTTAAGTCGATGGTGGAAATATGGAGCTGGAAAGTCATTCTTAAATGAAATAGATTACACCTTTAACTATGAAAAGTAACAGTAATAGTTGCAAATATACATATAGATATATAGGTACAATAAAACATCCAATCCGCAATACTTAACTCTTACTATAGAGATTTTTTTTAATGTGAGCATCAAAAGCATCGCAATTTTTTTTTTCACTAAAAATAAATTTAATTATAAAGAAAGTATAGAATACTATAAGAAGTTATAGATCAAAGAAAGTACACAATGGCTAAGGGACTTTTAAAACAACAGTTGAATGCTCAAAAGGCACTTGAAATAGTTGATAATTCAAGATCCAAACCAGTTACTAAAAAATCAGTTGCACCAGTTGCTCCTATAGAGAAAGTTAAGCCAGTTGAAATTAAAGCTGTTAAACAAAAGAAAGAAAAGAAAAGTACTAATGATGATTATGTCAGTGGTGCTTTATCCAAGAAAGATATGAGACAGTTGAAGAAGATGCAAGCACAAATTGAACATGCTGAAGCTGAAGAAGAAGCTGAAGAAGAAGATGACGAAGAAGATGATGATGAAGAAGAAGAAGATGAAGAAGAAGATGAAGATGATATAGATCTTGATAAATTAGCTGCCAGTGACAGTGAAAGTGATATCGAAGATGAAGAAGAAGTAGAAGAAGACGATGATGATGAAGAAGAAGATGACGAAGAAGCTGAAGAAAAAGACGAAGAAGAAGAAGAAGAAGATATTCCATTATCTGAAGTTGAAGTTGATTCCGACTCCGATATTGTTCCACATACCAAATTAACCATAAATAATAAATCTGCTTTAAGAGATTCATTAGCTCGTATTGAATTACCATGGGCCAAACATTCCTTCATTGAACATCAAACCGTAGTAAGTGCTGAAAAGACTGAAAGTGAAATTAAAGATATTTATGATGATACTCAAAGAGAATTAGCATTTTATAAACAAGGGTTAGATGCTGTTAAAGAAGCTAAAGCTACTTTATTAAAATTAAAAATCCCATTTGCTAGACCATTAGATTATTTTGCTGAAATGGTTAAAAGTGATGAACATATGGATAAATTAAAGACAAAATTATTATCCGAAGCTGCTGATAAAAAGGCATCTGTTGAATCTAAGAGACAAAGAGAATTAAAGAAATTCGGTAAACAAGTCCAACATGCTACTTTACAAGATAGAGCTAAACAAAAGAGAGAAACTTTAGATAAAATTAATTCTTTAAAGAAAAAGAGAAGTTCCAATGAAATAAGTAATGATGATGATTTCCAAATTGCTTTAGAAGAAGCTACTCGTGAAAATGAAAACCGTGATCGTGACAACAAGAGAAGAAAACCAAATTCTAAGAGATTAGCTAAAGATTCTAAATATGGTTCTGGTGGTAAAAAGAGAGGTACTAGAAGAAATGATGCTCAATCTTCTGCTGATATTAGTGAATTTTCAACCAATAAAAATAAAGGGGGAAAACCAAATGGTAAATCCAGTAGACCAGGTAAGAGTAAACGTTCAAGAAGAAGTTAGTCACCTGTTTCTCCCTCATTCTCTGTAAATTATCTTTCATATAATTCAATATATATTGCATCCTTTTAGAATTTAGCAGTTATTACTATGTAAAAACGCGGAAATCTAATTCCTAACTTGACCGCGTATGTATATACGATCGTATCAAACGGTGTATTTTTTTTTTCAACAAGAACGAAAATATCGTTTAACTTTAACTCAACTCTTGTTCATTTTACAATTAAGCAACAGGATAGTAATCGTTCGTTACAGATCAATTGTCAAGTAGTCAAACATGGATAAAGCAGCCGCAAGACAAAAGTTCATTGGTGTCTTTGACCAAATGGTTGAAGAATTAAAAGAAATCTTAATCAGTTATAAGATGCCTCAAACTGCTATTGATTGGTTTGTTAGAAATTTAGATTATAATACTCCAGGAGGGAAATTGAATCGTGGATTATCGGTGGTTGATACTTATCTTATCTTGAATAAAAAGACCATTGAAGATTTATCGGAAGCTGAATATAAAAAAGTTGCTATTTTAGGATGGGCTATTGAATTATTACAAGCTTATTTCTTAGTTGCTGATGATATGATGGATCAATCTAAGACTAGAAGAGGTCAATCATGTTGGTATTTAGTGGAAGGAGTTGATAATATTGCTATTAATGATTCGTTCATGTTAGAAGGTGCTATTTATATTTTATTAAAGAAACATTTTAGACAAGATTCATATTATGTTGATCTTTTAGATTTATTCCATGAAGTTACTTTCCAAACTGAATTAGGTCAATTATTAGATTTAGTCACTGCTGATGAAAACATTGTTGATTTAGATAAATTCTCGTTAGAAAAACATTCATTTATTGTTATTTTTAAAACTGCTTATTATTCATTTTATTTACCAGTTGCTTTAGCAATGTTTATGAGTGGAATTAATGATGAAAAAGATTTAAAACAAGTTAGAGATGTTTTAATCCCATTAGGAGAATATTTCCAAATTCAAGATGATTATTTAGATTGTTTTGGTACTCCTGAACAAATTGGTAAAATCGGTACTGATATTAAAGATAATAAATGTTCATGGGTTGTAAATCAAGCTTTATTAAAAGTTAATAAAGAACAACGTCAATTATTAGATGATAATTATGGTAAAAAGGATGATGAATCAGAAGCTAGAGTTAAGAAATTATTCCATGAATTAAATATTCAACAAACTTATGAAGAATATGAAGAATCAATCGTGGCTAAATTAAGAGAACAAATCAGTACTATTGATGAATCAAGAGGGTTAAAGAAGGAAGTATTAACTGCTTTCTTAGCTAAAGTATACAAGCGTTCAAAATAGATATACATAAATAGAATCGTCCTATCACCTTTAATAAACTACATATTCTAATACAGGTTTTAAAATTTTTGTTTTTAACATGATGTTTAATTGTATATTAAGAAAACAGTCTTTGATATATCGAGTGTAATATATAACAATTTTAGATAAATAACTAACTCATCCAGTATAGTATATGATAAACAGGATAAATCAATGACAATGGGATGAATGGAAAATGAAACTTCAATTAGTTCATCTTTACATAAAGTTTTTGAAATAAATATGATAAAAGAGGCAATGAACGTTATAAAAAAATAGGAAAAGTGATATGCTATGATATGATGTTATTGTACTAGATATTGAATAGTTTCATTAGATATGCTATGATATGATATGATATGATATGATAGCAACTAAGTATCAAATAATGGTAAATAATCTAAACATTAACTCTGGCTAATTCTTCTCTACCTTCTTTAGTATATAAGTATTCATTATAATCTCTAGCGTTAGCCCAGACAGCCCAGACAATGGAGAATGGTAATGCAACGTAAAGGAATTGATTCTTGGTTCTTCTGAAAGTATTGAATACAGAATTATATAAAGCTCCTTTAAATGGTTTGGTAGCAAATGGAGATACAGTGTATGAAGTGATATGTTTTTGTTTTGGACTACCTAAGTAACCCCACCATCCCAGATAAGTTTTTGGACCTGCACCAGCCATTGTAAATTATATATTATAAAGTTAATTGAATTGTTATCAAAACCTAACTGATTAAAATATATCAATTGATAGTTGATAGTTGATGGCAGTTGATATTTATATTTGAAGTTTTTTTTCTGTTTGGTGTAAGTTAATTTTCTTCTCATTTATTGGATGGAAGTATATGCAGGATATTATAATTAGTTAACTATGGAAGTAGTTATAATAAGACACAGATTCAGTATAACAGTACCTGTAAAGAGGTATAAGATGATTACAGATTAGATATCGATAGTTTAAATTGAAAAGAAAGTTTTATTAAACAGCCCTATGGGCATATTTGATTTTGTTAATCCTTATATAAAGAAAATAGATATCCTTAAACAATACATATATACATATATAGATACATATGTGATTGATTTAAGAACAAAAGTTATATTATAGTGGAGGGTTTGACTTTGGAATGATTGTAGATAAAGTCGATGAGGGTAAGGTTGGTTTGGTTTGTTTAATTTACAGATTTATTATATTTTTTATTGCAAATTTGTGTACATTTATTATATTTATGATGAAGTTATGGGTTAGTTTGATGATAAAACTGAAGCTATTTAAGCAGCAGTTAATCTTTGTTGAGAAGCTAATCTACCCTTTTGTCTAGAGTTTAATCTAACTTTTTTGGTTTCAGCAGCTTTTTCAACATTTTCATCTTCTTCAGTTAAAGTTAATTCAATGTGGGATGGAGTAGATTGATAAGCATTAATTCTACCGTGAGCTCTGTAAGTTCTTCTTCTTTGTTTTGGAGCATGGTTAACTTGAATGTGGGTAATCTTTAATTTAGATGAATCTAAACCTTTAGCCTATAAGAGAGTTAATGTTAGTATTAAAGTTTTTTAATAAATGATATTGGAACATATGTAAAGAAAGAATTAAAGTTATGATTGAATGAATGATTGATATGTGATGTGAATGGGTTATTTACTGGTTAATAAGGGATATTATACTTCTATTACTATTATTATGGTTGATATTTTAATGATGGAGAAAATTTTCAAAATATGACATATATGGTGATTTTCAATGATGACACTTAATATTGATTTGAAATGATAAATATGATTAAACGATTATAATGTGATTACTTTATAATTCTTTCTTTAAATATGAAAAGGGGAATGAAAAATTTTACATACTTCAGCATTAGCTTGAGCATTTTGTAATAAATCTTGAACAAATTTAACAGATTTAGCAGGCCATCTAGCTTTGGTGACACCGAATTCTTTACCTTGGGCGGTTCTACCAATAGAGGAGTTATATCTTCTGAATGGAATAGCTCTTTGATGATCTAAAACTTGATCTAAATATTTTTGAGCTCTTTCTAATTTCCAACCATTGATGGCTTGAGCAGTTTCTCTGGTGTTTTTGAATGAAACTCTTAAATAAGAACCACGAGCTGAAGCAGACTTAGCTGGGTTAGTGGAGGTAGCACTGTAACGAACCATTTCTTCTTAATTAACTTTAGGTTTGGATGAATTCAAATGTGATTGAAGTTAGAGATTTAAAAATGAAAAAAGAATTTTTTTTCTTCGTCTTCTAATTCAGTTTGGTAGAGAGAGAGAGTCCTCAGTGTTAGTGTGTGAGAGTGAGAAGTGTGAGGGTAAAAGTGTAAGACTTTTTTAACTGTGCGACATGCGCTGTCTCAGTATTGAAAAATTTTATATATATTAAAAATGTCGTACTCTCCTTATTAAAATCATGGATGAGTATATGCAGGTCAGTATACTATATAATTTTACGGTTGCGATGCCAAGGGCATGAACCCTAAACAAGTACACGTGAAATGCACACGTGATCTACAAAGAGAAATATAAACTATAGATATAAAACGTATATTCGATAATCTACGACCAAGCTATAATCACTATCAGATTTCTTAACAAACAAATACGAGACTAGATACATTGAAGTATAATACTCCTATCTTTAAACGTAACTAAGTTAGTAAATTGCTTTAGTTATATCTAAATCTAAATATATTGTAAATTGTTAGGAGCACAAATAATAGAAATGTTCCCATAATGGCTTGTACTGATTAACACTATGGGGCATAATGTTAGTAGTGGATTAAATCTAAATAGAATCGTAAATAGTTAGTAATTGATGGTAATTTCAACGAAATTCCGTACAACGTAATCTTCAAAGGTTTTACACTGAGTTTATCTCTTTATAAAAAAGTACGTTAAATTATATTTATATATTTAATTGTGGAGTAAAAGTAAGGGGGGGAGAAAAAAATAACACAATATCAAAAAAATGATAACGAATTTTGCGATCAATTAAAACCAAATAAAGAAGATCAATTATGTTCTATTCATCTCATGTGGAACAATGGTAAGTGTTAGTTTCTTATTCTTTATGACTTTTGACTCCCTGTTATACTGTAATAAATATTGAATTGATAAACATTATCTGGCAAGTAAAAATCAGAAGGCAAATAATTAATCATAAGATCTATGGTACCTAAATTATTAGTATATTCTTTATATGATTGTTTGAAAATTGCAAAATCCAAATTGGTAATTTTGGTTGATGATAAATTTAAATATTTTAGGTTTCTAGGTGATAGCCAATTGATAACTCCTGACCGGCAAAGTAAGTTATGAGATGCTATTAAATATTTTAAATTGACCAAGTCTTGCCAATTCTTATTGAGACTAGGTATATTGTAACATGACAAACTATCATTGAAGTTATAACTAATATTTAAATGTATTAATGAAGTTGGAAACACACAATTAGTAATGGTTTTAAAGCATCGCCATATTTGTAACCTTTTCAATTGGTTTGGAAATTCAAATACTCAATTGGGAACTTTGTAAAATTCAATACCAATCAATGTTAAACTTCATAAATAATAATAATCATCAATTAACTCATTATCAAAATCAATTAGATCTTCGTTACTAATACCATTATTTTGTACTATTATCTCCAAATGTTGTAAGCTTTGAGGATTCAAAAATACTTTTAAAACTCTTGATTTTATTATTATCTACTATTAAAGATTGTAAAGATTCCGGCCAATTTGATATAATTCTAAAACGGCCCCATTAACACTATTAGTAATTTCAATAGATTTCATATTTGTTGGCCATGAAACTGGACCCGAAAATGATTCAAAATGACAGTTTTTGATTGTAAGATTTTCCAAACAATTGGGTAAGTAGTTTAAATTATTTACACTTACACCCAGCAAATGTAATGACTTTAACCCATGTATACGTTTATAATTCATGAAGTTGATATTATCAGCACTGATGGAATCAGTTGAGATTGGTAATTTCTTAATAATACTTGAAAAGTTTTTGAATTGATACATCTTTTCAGAGAACTGTAATAAGCTGTGCAAATCAGTGTTTCTTTCAACTTTGAATTGAACATGAAGTGTTGAGTCAGATGATGAAGAATAAAATTCAAACTCGAACATAGACAAGTTCGGAAATTGAATTAGCTTCGGAACTGTTGCAATTTGTTGACGAATATCACGCTTATCATCTGTCTCCTCAGGATCGTACCTATAATCAAGCGGAGCGCTAAACACTTCTTTTTTGTTCTCTTCAACTTCTTCATTTACTTCTATCTCCACAGAGATTCTAATATCTTTAATATCCTTAAAGAATTCAGAATTTGTAACCACAAACTCGTGTATATAATTAATTCTTCCGATAATATGAACACTTTCAGGTTTGAAACTTGACGGTAATCGACTTAAAACGAATCTTGGTAACTTATTTGGAATTGATTCTCTTGTCATATTTACATCATATTTATTTGGATTATAAATCTCAATATGTCTCACCAAGTCAGAGGACAACTCTGGTTCAAAAACATCAATGTTCATTAAACGTTCGATTGATTTCAGATCACATAACTGAATAATTTCAGTTATAACATTGTTTGGAAGTAAAGGGAAGTGTTTGGAAAGGAACTTTATAGCGGAATCCATCTTATTACAATTATACTATGATAAATGAAAAGTGGTTGTAAATTAAATTTTAAGACTCATAATTTTTCTTTATGTTGCGTTTTTTTGCAGTTAGTGCTTTATGCTTGTTGTGCTTTTTTCGCATTCAGATTAATTTCAACATAACTAATTCTATATAAACTATACAAAATAACCAATTCATATATCCAAATTTATTGATTTGATAGATTTCTTAATTCTCACATAAAAGACGGACAAATTTCTCAAAACATTATAAATTTGTTTAGGTATATTAATGTATAAAACACCTGCTTATTCCAAGCATGGCCTTGTAAAATGAATATCCTACCAAAGAGTTCTATCATTATGGATCAAACCGTTTCGTTGAATAAAGTTATTGTTTAATCTTCTATTTGATATGACTATCTTTAGCTTGTTGAAAAGCGAACTATCACTTAGAGTGATTTGATGGAGATTATCTGGCAGATAGAAATAAAAAGGAACCATTTCACATCCACCGAGATCATCACATCTTTGACGACCTTCAAATAATCATAATTTGCTGATAAATAATCGTTTATTTTAGACATACTCCCAAGGATATGAACACTTGGAGGTCTGAAATGCAAAGGTAATTGTTTTAAAATGATTTTTGGTGGCTCGGTATAAAACCTTGTATATAAATGTTTTGGGACTGAGGATATCATAGCATTTGGACATTGTTGAGTTGAAAAGTAAATCACAATATGATTTATAATAGACCTGAGCTTCAAAAGAATTCATATTCATTAAATACCCAATAACCAGCGGATCGCATAAATATAGGATTGGAATTATAATTTCATTGGGAAGTAATAAGAAGTATCTCTTAAGAAATTCTGTAGCATATTCCATCTTGTTGTGTATAACATATGAATATATATTCCGTACTTGTAAATTTAAGTTATCAAAACTTCTTATATTTCTCTTATGCTGATTTTTTTGCAGTTACCTAATTCTAGTTTCTCATTTTGTTACAATGTACAAACGTATACATCAACACATTATTACATCTTCTAACACCTTTGATGTACTCATATATTGACCTAATAAATGTTATCCTTTAGCGGGTTAAAAATCTCAATATTGATTACTTTAAAATGATAGAAAATATTGTATTACTTACATATAATCTACAATATTAACGTTAATAATTTATAATTATCATATATTTAGAAATACATAACTTGCGTGGTTATACTTTTGCAGATATACAAGCTGTTTTGCAGACGTTGTCAAGCAACAGCATATAGTCGAGATGACTCCTGAAACAACCTTAAAATCGACGAAATACATTAACAAGATCTTAGAACAACATAAATTCACTGTCTGAATCCATCCCTGTTAGTATAATTAATATAATCTATGATTCTCTAAAACATTCCTAAATATAAATGAAAAAGGTAAGTAAAGAGTGAAAAAGCATCACGAATTGAACTAACATCTTTTTTAAATACCACATAATAATTGCAGTATTCACAAGGCACTATATGAGTTAGTATTGGATATACCTAAATAGATAAGAAGTATACAAAATATCCCCTATAGTTAGTTTACCTCTCGTTTAAACAAAATCAAACAAAAGTATTAACGACCATAGAAAATATGTATACTCTAGTAAACGTCTCAGTGACATTGCGTATATAATAGACTTTGGAAACAGCCAAATTGGTTAAAAAAGTTGGGGAACGACGGTATAAAAGAATAACTGTGCAATTTATGTTTTGATATTTTTGTTTTAGATTTTCTTTTGTGGTTGTCTGAAGAAATGTGGGGGATGATGATAAGGATAATTTACACAATATCAAATTTGAGTTGATTTAAATCATATAAAGATAGTATACTTAATGAGTAGAAGGTCAAATTAGGTTTATCAAATGATAAATATCTACATATAATCTACAAATAATAGTAATAATAAAATTTTAAATTAATTATTTTATATATTGAATATTGTCAGATTCACTTAAAAGGAATTCGGAATGGCTGTCCTCAGCCAGGCTTCTCACAAAACGTCAAAAAAATCAAGCTTTGTCAACTATAATGTTAGAATCATTTGAGCCTATATATATGTGTGTGTTAGTAAGTTAGATGGATGAGAGCTAAGCTCAATTTGAAAATGTTTCTAGAATTTATTGCAAGATTCTTTTTCATTACACATAAATTGGTCCTAGTAGTTAGTATTAAATATTAATATGCCTAAATAGATTTTATAATAAGTTAAAGAGATTCCAATATATTGGATTACATTGAAATTTTTAACTTTTCTATAATAGTAAGTTTAGGTTTTTCCAACACTTATGAATGCAGAATAAGTAAGTATAAATTATTTATATTTCTTTGGATAAAATTTGATTGTATTTATATAAAAGTTTGTAGATGAGGCTCATGGAAGAATTGTTAGTGATGAGTGAAAATAAATGAAAAGCATGACTTTAGCGGGACAGACCAGTAACAAAAAAAAAAACTCGCCCTAATCACAATGACTACTGGTAACCATTACATTTTACAGATGAAGGTGAATATAAGTCAGGTAATATCAATGTAGTAAGAACAATGGGTGAGATTGTGATGGATACAGATATAGAGTATACAACTAGTTAATAAGAATCATAGATCAGTAGTATAAGTTGAATCAATATGTTACCTAATTATATGAATGGGTAAGAGTAAATAATCCGTCATCACTCACTCACGAGCTGAAAGTCACGAGGAGACCAGTTAGTCAGTAAATCAAAAAAAATAGAGAGATAACGCTAGCAATTTAGGACTAACCATAAAAATCAATCACAAAACTGTTAGTAATAAAAAATAAATTCATTCCCGTAAAGAAACGAATTTTTAAAAACCTAAAAATGAGTTAAAAGGAGGAGAAGGAGATGAAGTTGAAGTTAATCCCATTTACTCAACAATTATATGTATTGACAACATTGGAACAATACGCAAAGTCAAGTAAATAAGGGTTATGCTATCACAGTTTAGTTCTTTATAAGCCTATATCCCCTTATATATATATGTATATAGATAAATTTGATTTCTAACATAATCATGTGAATGTATGAATAAATAACTAAATAGACGTATCGGAAAATAAGGAATAATAATAATGCATCTATACAAAACTTCACAAAAATTGACGATGATGGTGATGATGATGATAAAAATTATTTTAAATAGTGGCTGTTGTGGTCTGGGAAAGTAAGAAAAAAAAAGGTGTAGTGAAGAAAGGAGGAGGAGGAATGGTTTAATTAAGGTCCTATTTATAGTTATTGCTTAAATCCTTTTTTATTTAATGCTTATCATTGTCATCAATTGATTTACTATCACTATCCATATGGTATATAACTTCATTAATATGATTCAATATCATATAAATTAACCATATGACAGATTTAAATATATTAAAGATTTAAGTGATATCTGACCAGCGGAGCAGGAAGCGGTAAAAGTAAGCCAAAAAAAACATTTTAAAGATAAAAAATAAAAGGGTCATACCAAAAATTACTAAACTTGGATTTATATCCATTGAATAGTTTGATAATGATCTTATAGTGATAAATGGATATGTTTTATAATAGACACAAGGAGAATATAAGTCACCACGAGTTGTACATCATAGCATGTTCAGGTTTAAACTTTAAAGAATTGGCTTATACTAAATCTCAAACCACAAAGATAGAGAATGATCGGTCAATATAAAATGAAATAGTAATTGATGACAATGACAATGAAAATGAAAATACCAATTAAATTTAATCTTATTAGATTGACTTTAAAAGGGATTGAAAGGGATTATTACATTTACTTTCAGTTTTACTTATCATATGTAACATCACCGAGCATTTAAATTATTTATAAAATGTGTTGTTGTTGTTGTTGTTGTTATGTCTTCCTTTCGTTCTTATTGTTTCCGCTTTTTCTTCATACAATTCATTATCTGCCTGTGGAAAATGCATTTTTTTTTTCTTTTTGCGGTTTACGAATTTTCTTCTATCTTTTAATCATGATTAATAGTAATACATTCTATATCATTCAAAGGTTGAAATATATACATCGTGAAAGACGGATCAAGTAGAAACATGTATGAATAAATCCTAACAATGACGGGTGGTGGTGGTAAATTGCATGCATTTCATTTGACCAAAATAAATTATTAAAAATTTTTGCAATTCAACTTTTTAATTTCTTTTTTTTTTTTAAATTTTAATTTTTATTTTTTAAAATTTTCGTTTCTGGTTAATAAAAATACTATTTTTGCATAATTACAAATATTCCACCTTATTCTGGATTTTATGGCTTTTATACCTATTTCGAGTAATTATTATTGAATGTGTTTATGTGGTTGAGGTTAGTCAAAAGCGATGATAACTTATCACTAACCATAATAATTGTTGAGTGATCAATGTAAATATATAAATAAAACGTAAGTCAAATTAATCAAAGTATAGAATGAAAGGAAAGGAAAGTCAATCTAATGGAAGTGAAGAAAATGAAAGGCAATTCGGAGAGAGGGCAAACGGAGAATTAAAATCATATTTTAATCTAACCACAATATGAAATGGAAAGATATAAACTAAATATCTCCAGAAATTTTTAAATGATAAAAATAAATAACACAATTCAAAATAAATTTGCTCTATATATATATAATTTCTCTGATCATATATATAGATAAATTTCGTAAGTTTCATTCAGTAGTTATAATCTATTCTATTAATTCATAGTTATAGTCATAAGAGGTTTATATAAATAATAATAAATAACTACAATAAGACAAGGAGATTAAAAATAATAAATATAGTTTTTGGGGGTAACAGCAATGAATGAAAGTTTTACATGGATATCTTTACTATCAATTGTTTTAGTTGTGAGTTAAATAAGGACATTCGTTTTATTTATTTATTTATTTTTGTTATTTATTTTTGTATTTTTTTGTACAATTCGTTTATTTCATATTTACCCTAACCTTTGAAATATGTATTCCCCGTTTCTACAGTATTTAGTTTATACTTTTTAGTTATAATATCATAAGAACGTTGAACAGATTATTTTATTTTAAAAAAAAAATGAACCAAGGAACGAACGAAAGAGAGAAAGTAAAGAAACAACGACAAGATAAAAAAATCGTACGGAATGGAAAGAATCAATCAATGAATGAATGAATGAGTAGATCTTTATTTAAATTATTTTAACACTAAATTGAAATAGTAGAGAGGCAGCCCCAAAAAAAATAGTTTGCCATTTATAACCGTAATCTGTTCATAAAAAGAAATTGTTGTAAAGTAGGATAAGAAGAATAAGTGTAAGTAAGATGTATAAACTGAAAGAGGAGGTGGGTAAGTGGTGGTAGTAGAGTGTGTATGTATACACTTTAGATGACATGAACTTTTTTAAGTTAAGTTGCGGTTCTTTGTTTTACTCTAAACTTTGTTTTATTTCATATTTTTATTAATTTTTACTATATCAGTTGTTTGATTACTCTTTTTTATCCAACCAATTAATTGATACAAGTCTTCAGTTGATAGGAGTTCGACTTAACTTAACTTGTACGATGAATTACTAGATAGTAAATTATTAAAAAATTCATATTCAATACTGGTGGTAATATTTCAAAGGCTTAAATTTATTCCTTCCTTGTGCATAAATAAATAAATTCAAGTTTTATGGTTTAAATTGTATAAAGCAGGTTATTATTTTTAATTTAAATTAAAATTTTATTTATTTATTTACTTACTTATTTTAACGTAATATGTATTAACGATGATGTTGAATCTGATGGTATAATTGTAATTTCTTAGCATTTCAAGTATAATTATTTTACGTTCTATTTGGTTAATGTTATGATTATTTTATTTTTGGTTTAAGGTGTAGTATTATAGATGAGGGAATAGTTGAAGAGAAGGGATAGAAGGGATATTGTGATAAAATGGAACAAGTGGAGGTGGAGGAGGAGGAGGAATCAATAGTGATGATAAAAATAAAAAAAAGCGTTAGGGAGAAAATAGCGACCGAAAGAAACAAAAAATAAAAAAAAAAAAAAGAACACAAATAAAAAATAACTAACCATTTTAAGTAAGTATAAAGAGACAAGACAATGACGGATGGAATGATGAGAAAATGATAATAATAAAAGTTTATAAATTTCATAACTCTCGAAATCAACAATTTATGAATGACTGTAGAATCTAAAAATTTAAAAATAAGCAAAGAATATGTATGAAGACCAAACCAAAACTGAATTGAATTGTCTTTTTTTATTTATTTTTACCTTTTATTTTTTTTTTTCTTTCCAGATGATTGAAAGAAAAAAAAAAGTGTACAGAATGAACTTACTGAAGTTAGTGACAGAAATAGACACTAACATATTTAACGAAATTTTTGAATTTTTGAATCCCCCTTTTAAATAAATTTAATATCTCTTCTTTCTTCTTCTTCATTATTATGTTCTTTCAATGTAATGTTTATCATCATTACAAATTTATCAACAATTCATCCCCATATGATTAAACTTTGATTTTAGTGGTGTCCGGTCTACCATTTTAGCCGCTCATTTTTTCCTTTCCACTCTCTCCACACTCAAAAGATAAATAAAAATAATAAAATAACGGCAGGCAGACAGGCAGACAGGCAGACAGAAAAAATATAATAGGTGTGAAAATGTCACTAGATTAGTAGAAGTATCATCCAATGATTAATGGAATGAAAATTGATATAGGATTGCATTAACCGAACTATATCATCATATCATATCACTATCAATTATTAATAAATAAATATTCATTTACTCATTCACTCATTTATTATATGAAATAAGATATTACGAACTATAATAGAAAAAGAAACAAATTGATTGCCCCTTTTGGGGATTGGCATTAGTTTTTTTATGAGGTAGCGTCCTGCATACAACTGGCGGTATCAAAAAAATTCTAAAATGGCACAGAGTATTTTTATACACGATAAAGACTGTAGGGAAGGGTACAATAAATAACTACAAATAAATATAATGATAATAAATAAAGTGAGATACGGAATTATATTGATTTTAGGAAATTAATTCATTCATTCATTCATTCATTTATTAAATCATTTATTTTTAATTAATTTAATTTAATTAAATTAATTTTTATTATTTTTATTTTTAGGACTGATTTATTTTTAGGTGCTGTTGTTAAGGTGAATTTGAATTTATTGCTATATGGTTTACTTTAGTTATTAAGGTTGCATAATTTATCCATATTTGTTTATTTATTTATTTATTTCATGGTTAATTTAATTATTGCAAAAAAGGGTATTATTTAAATCATTATGATTTTACTATTACCATATTAAACCTTTTTGATGGCTGGTTCTATCATAACACCCATACCTCCATAGTTAACAACAGGTAGTGTGTTTGGTTCAAAAAAAGGAAGAAAAAAATTACTTCCCCCTCCTTCCCCCACCGTCTATCTCACTCACTCACACACAGTGCTAACTGGCCTCCCTATTTGTTTTTATTTTACTATTCCAAAACAAAGTTAAATAAACTCATATACAAATTATATTCTATTCTATATTGCTAAAAAAAATTGGCAGCTAACTTTCCTAATTCAATTTAAGGTGGGAGATTCCATTATTTATCAATTGATTGTATCTTAATCCTTATAGTTTCTCACTACCAATACCAGCACCACCGTACACATTTTTTTTTTTAATTTTCTAATTTTATTTTTCCCAACGAAAATTTTTTTGTACTTGCAACAGAAACCAAAACAAATTTTAAAATTACAACCCAAATTCACTCTACCATCAATATTATATGGTTACTGAATAATCAATCAATCAAATCCATCCATCCAATTATAGGTTTCATCCATCAACTTTAACGCGTATATACCCTTATAGTCACACCTGGTTAAGCAGTAGGATAGATTACATCCCCCTCACCACTACTTACTCCTCCTTTATCTTATTGATTAATTGACTGACTGACTGACTGTCATATTATTTTATTACTGTATTATATTTTTATTTACAACCAATTTTTTTTATTTATTGTTGTTTTATTTGGTTTCATCTTTTCACTTTTTCATATATATATATATCTATCATAACACTTCAATTAAATCATGAGTCTGGAATCGAATGATATTGAAAATGGTTCATCAACTGATAATCATAATGTCATTGATGAAGTTGAACAATCAACCGAAGATATAGATTCAACTCCACAAATTGAACAAGGAGATGAAGCAGATGAAGATGATGAAGAAGAAGGAGAAGATGATGACAATAAAGTAGAAGGTGATGAAAAAGTTGATGACGATGAAGATGATGACGAAGGTGAAGACACTGCCGTTGAAGGTGGTGAACAACCGGAAATAGAATCTACATCTGTAATCGCTGAACCTAAACTTGAACCTCAACCTGAGGTCGAACCAGAAGCTGAAGTTGAACCTGAAGCAGACGATGAAGAAGTTGAAACTAATGAAGAAGAAGTTGACACTAACGTTGAAGAAGATAACAATGAGGACGTTGAAGAAGACGATAATGATGAAGAACTAGATGAGGAAGATGAGGCAGATTCTAACGAGCCAATTGATGCAACTGAAGATATAGAAGTTGATCAAGTACAACCGGATGCCATTGTTGACGATGAAGAAGTTGAAACTGATCAACCTGAAGAAGAAGAAGAACAACAAAAAGAAGAAGAAGAAGAAGAAGAAGAAGAGCAAGGGCAACAAGAAGAACAAGAGCAAGAAGAAAATACAAATGAAATTGCTTCCGAACCTATACCCACAACTAATGAAGATATAGAAGAATCCTCGTCAATACCTCAGACTCTTGATAATGAAGAATTTAATCTAGATTCATCTATACTTGAAGAATCAGAAACAGTTGAAGATAAACCTTCCACAGATGAAATACCAAATATAGATTCTACTGAAATCCCTTTAACTGATGAATTACCAATATCCAATCAAGATAATGATAAAGAAGAAGAAGAAGAAGAAGAAGAAGACGAAAACATCGAATCAGAACAAGTTGACAATATTCAAGATGAAAATGATAACGATGATGTACCTGAAGAAATCTTAAACATTAATAATGAGGATGAAAATGATCAAGACTTTATAGATTCATTCCAACAAGATGATGATGATGAACCAGAAGAAGAAGATGAGGTAGAAGTAGAAGAAGATGATGATGATGAAGAAGAAAAAGATATTGAAGAGCCAACTCAAAAGGAATCTGAGGATGTATTAATGAAAGAACCAGAATCTGAAGAAATCCCAACTACTACCAATGATGTCAATGATGAAGAAATCAATCTAGATGAATTATTAAAAGAAACTGAAACTGAAGCTGAATCTGAAGTCACATCTACTATCCCGCCCCAAGAACAAAGTGAAGATGTTGACATGGAAGATTCTGAATCTAAAGATGAACCAAAAGAAGAAGTAACCATTGAATCTAATGGTGCACAGGATGTACCAGTTATTGAATCTAAACCATTTGTGCAAGCCAATACAGTTGAAGTTAAAGAAGTAAAACCAGTTCCAGCACCACCACCAGCACCACCAGCACCAGTTGAAGAAGATGATGAGGAAGACGATGAAGAAGAAGGTATTCCTGAAGAACTTGATGAAGAAGATGAAAGTGGTAAACAATCCAGATTTGTAAGACAAACGCATGTTATTATCGTACCGTCCTACGCATCATGGTTCAATATGAAAAAGATTCATCAAATTGAAAAAGAATCATTACCTGAATTTTTCAATTCTAATCATCCATCAAAATCATCAAAAATTTATGCAAATTATCGTAATTTCATGGTTAATTCTTATCGTTTAAATCCGAATGAATTCTTAACTTTAACATCATGCCGTCGTAATTTAGTAGGTGATGTGGGTACTATTATGAGAGTTCATCGATTCTTATGTAAATGGGGTTTAATTAATTATCAAGTTCGTCCTCAATTTAAACCAGGTTATGCGGTTGAAAAATTACCTAATGGTCAACTGGTTGGCTTACCATATACAGGAGATTATCATGTTAAATATGATACTCCAAGAGGTTTATTCCCATTTGATACTTTTAAAGTAGCACCTGAACGAGCTGATATTTCAAAATTAAAAGAATTAGTATTTTCAAGTGATGCAGGTATCACTCAAGACATTAATCAAAAGAAACATGGTTTATCAACTGATGAACAAGGTGAAGGACAAGGACAAACTGGTGACGAACCACCAACTAAGAAACAAAATGATGGTTGGTCATCTGAAGAAGTTAAAAGTTTAATAAATGGTATTTCAAAATTCAAAAATGATTGGTATAAGATTTCTGAATTAGTAGGACCAAAAAAGACTGTTGAACAATGTATTTTTAAATTTTTAAAATTGCCTATTCAAGATAAATTTAATCCAATTGATGATAAAGATGGATTAAGTATTAAATTATTAAAATTTGCTAATAATAATCCTTTAAGTTCTCATGAAAATCCTGTCTTGAGTAATTTAGTATTCATGACAAAATTAGTTGATAGTGAAGTTGCTAAAGCTGCTAGTGAAGCTGCTTCTAAAATTGTTGATGAAAAAATAATTGAAAAAGTTAAGCAAGTTTATGAAACTAATGTGGTTCCTAATTCTGAAAGTTCCGCTACTCTCGATCAATCATCTAGTGAAGTTAAATCATTAGACCAAAATGGTAACATTGAACATAAAGAAGGTGAAGATGTTACTAAAGAATCAACTGGAAAAGAGAAAGAAGTGGCTGTTGATACCACTGAAGTTGAAGCTAATAAATCATCATCTGAAGTATTAAAAGACGCTGCTGCTGCCACTTTTGGTATTGTTGGTGGTAGAAGTCATTTATTTGCAAGTTATGAAGAACGTGAAATGCAAAAATTAAGTAATACGATAATTAATCAAGAATTATCGAAGATTGATCTTAAATTAAGTAAAGTTGAAGAATTGGAAAAGATTTATGAAAGAGAAAGAAGACAATTGGCTAAACAGCAACAAGATATCTTTGTTGATAGATTAGCTTTAGCTAAATCTACTATAAGTATTGCTAAGAAATTAGATACTGTTATTAATCTATTATCATCTGATTCTGGATCAAGTGATAATGATAAAGTATCCAGTTTATTAGCTGAAGCTAAATCATTATTATTCAAACCAGCCAAGAATTCATTAGTACCAACTACTGATGCTGCCACTAATGGTAATGGTGAAGCTGATAATTCAAAACTTTCTATTGTTGATTCAACTGCTGCCACCAGTAATTTGATAAGTAGTTCGGCTGGTATGTCTAATATCAATGAAGATGATTATAAACCATTATCATTAAACACTCCAAAGACTTTCAAAGTTTGGGTACCTTGATTTTATTATTGCATTCTATTTAAAATTATACCAATTCATTCATTCAATTATTTACGTTTTGTTTTATATATTTTCTATTCCTTTCTATTCCTTTTCATTTAATTTTAACTTTTTCTGTGTAAATTATTTTTTCGAATCACTTATCTATCTGTATATCTAATATTGTTCAGAGTATATAATCTATATATAACAAGCAAACAAATAAACAAACAAACATTCATATTTTATTTATCAAAAGACACTTTTTTTAGTTGTAAAATTAAAGTTAGGTGTAAATTTACGCGATACGAAAACTGAAAAAAAAAATTAATACAAAAATCCCTGAAAATTATACAACCCCATAAAATACTGTCTAACCAACCATCATTTGAGCTTCTACAACACGTCAAAAGAGTTGATCAATCCTGGAAATTCCGTTGAGATCATTGACAGAAAGTAACGTAAGTATGTTTTCTTCATCAGGTGCCAGTGGAACCGATCAATTGGTTTCTACGGTGTCTAACCCTTTAAATTCTAACGATATAGAAATGCAGGAAGGTTCAAGTCAACAACGACAACCATCATCCTCCACCACAGCAGAATCGGCCCAGCCTTTACAATCTGATATAATTGAGGATATTGATCTTTCGATTGTACATCCCACTATTCAGATTAGTTCAGGTTCTGCCATGGAAGATGAGGTCAAGAATATACTGAATGATGATGTATTACAGAGCAATAGTAAGCATATAGCCTTTGAGACTGATAATGAGGATACTGAAAATGATCATGAGAATGAGCATAATGGAGAAGTAGAGTATGAGGATGAGGATGAGGATGATAATGGTGATGAAATAGATGATAGTCATTTAACTATCGAAGATGGAGGTGATTTAATAGATGTATCCGATGATGATGCTCAATATTCTCATGATGAAAATGTATCAATATATTCTACTATGAATCAAATTGAAAGTATACCCGGTACAGAAACAGATTTAAAAAGTGATGCCGGACCTCGTGATAATGCTAATCCTGATGATCCAAATCAGAGAAATATTCATAAATCAAGTATTATTGATATTGATAGTGAGTCAGATATAGAAAATTTAGAAGAATTTGAACAATCGGCCAATAATGCTCCCGAAGATAGGTCAAGAGAGCTTGAAGTGAAAGGTTTGTATGAAGATAATAATGAAGAAAGTACAGTCGAACCAGAACATGAAGAATTTTATTCTGAAGAAATCACCAATAATACTAATGATAATGATGAGGACGATGATGAGGATGAGGATGAGGATGAACTTGAAGAGGAAACCACCAATGGTGCTGATTTGGACGAAAATGAAGGAGGAATAAGCTTTGAAGAAGCAAATATACCTATCATATTAAAAGTAACTGATGCCGAATTTATACTTTATCCCATTGACCAAGAGAAATGTGCAGTTGATTGTTCATTATATGTTTCATTATATGATAATTCAGAGATCATACATGCGACTATAGAAGAGTTTTTCGGTAGTATTCGAGCCAATGAAGATTTAAAAGAAATCATAGAGTTTGAAGTGGACGAAGAATTGGTTTTAGAAGTACCAGAATTAAGTAATTTAAAAGTTACTGAAGATAATATTTATTCCAGAGATATATCGATTGAAGATTTCTTCCGAGTATTCCTCGAATTGAAAGAACTGACTCGTAGTACAGATGTCATACCAAAACTGATTTCATTCAATATAACTACTCAAACAAGATTTATCAGCAGGTTTAATGAATTATCCGAATTGATAAGAGATGGAAAGGGGTTTGAATCAATACCAAATACAAATAAACGTCGACTTGATAAGATTCAACGAGAAGAATCAATTAAGAAACCAAAATTAGAAGAATGAGCTCAAGATTAATGTATTTAGATCTATTATTAGTTTAAATTGTGTATTAATAAAAGTTTTGAGGTTTCAATTAATGAAACCCTTTTCTTTCAATTTGGTATATAACTCTGGTTCTATATATTTCTGTAAACTTGGTTCACCCGGTAAACCTTTTCTCTTTCTTGTTTTCATGACAAAATCTCTAGCAAGAGATTTATAAGGAACTGGTTTTAAAGCAGGTAAAGCAACATTAGTATCAAATGGATCACCTGGTACAATATCCCATTTTTTAAACAGTAAGAAACACATGGCTTGACCTTGAGTTTGAAGTCTCATATCAGTTTCCAATCCTACTGATTCGATCACTGGTACTATCCCTTCTAATTGGAATAAAGGAGAAGCTGGGATCGGAGTGTGATTCACCAAATAACCTCTTCTTGATTGTAATAAATGTTCAACTGCTCTAATAGCCTTTTCATTACATACTATATCAATAGTATAAATCGGTTCCATTAATCTAGGACTGGCAGTTAAGAATCCAGTATAACATGCTCTTCTTGTCATAGGAATGATTTGAGTACTACTTCTTTGAACTTCAGATCCACTGATTACGGCATCAAGAATCTTGAATTTAACATCTCTAATCGGTTCACCACATAATGGTCCTTCACTTATACCCCATTTAAATCCTAAACGGATTGAATCCTTAACTGATTCAAGAGATTCTTTATCGGTTTCATCTTCTAAAGTATCATCAAGTAATATACTTGGAGATTGTAAATCTGCTGGTCCAAAATACCAAACTGACCTAGCAGCTAATGCATCCCATCCAATATCATTTCTTAAGTACTTCGCTATAGTCTTTACCGGTTGTTTAAGGTTGATTTTATTGGTTTCTATAGCATGACTTAACTTATTGTCCTTGATAGGTTCTGCTATGATGGATATCTGATTACTTCCTGTTGTTGTTTTGGTGGGAATTTTGGTACTTGAAGTTTCTATACATGTTTCCCCAAACTTTGTCATCGGATCACTTACTTTAATTTCCAAATCATCCGTAAAGAAGTTTCGCAAATCATGTAACATACAATCCATATACAATTCGCCTGGTGCTAAAATGACATGTTCTCCACTTTCTTCAACATTGATAACACAATCCAAGTAAGCTTTGTTTAATTTTCGTAATCCTTCTAATAACTTAGGTAATTCAGATGGTGCTGCTGGTTCAACGGCTACCTTAAATACTGACTTCTCCCCAAACTTTTGAGAAACAGGTATATTGGACACTTCTGCATCTTCGTCATAAATGTACGATCCTCCTTTCGTTATATTGGAACCAACACCTTTTACTAAAGCCAAAAATCCTTCACCGACTTCTTTGACTGGTATTCTGTATCTTCCTCCTGGTAAATATAATTCATCTACCACATCTATAGTATAATCCTCGTCATCTTCTTCGTAGTTCTCACCAAGCACTTTTATCCTAGACCCTATTTTAAAACTTCCCAGGTAAACTCTTACTAGAGCATAAAAGAATTTGGCATCTGAAGATTCAATAAGCTTAACAACTTTTCCTACAAGCTTAGAATCAGATGGATTATGATATGTGATAGAATTAACTAAGGAGTTGGTCAATCCTCTATTGCCATAGAAAATCGCTTTGAAGACCTCTTTAAGTAGTATTTGAATATCTTTCTTATAAAGATCCTTTGGTAATGTAACCCCAAAGTTAGTCCATAATAATTTCGGAAGTTTATCATCACTTGAAACTAATGTATATGTCATTATTTTATAAATTGGTTCAAGAATAAATGAAACAAATGTCCGTATGGAACCTTTGGTGGATTTTGAAGTGAAAGCATTGTTGGTAGAATCAAAATAATAGTCTCCCCAAAGTTTTTTACTGAATTCTTCAATATTAACTGTGTTCTTGGGATTTCTGTCTAAATAAATCTTAGCGAAACTTAATAAAGTGAATGAAAACTCATAAGTGGAAGAACTGAATATCACATTGTTATTACTTGGTGATATTGGTGTTTGATGTTCATAAGTTAATATGAATTCGTTATCTTGGATGTAATTGTTTATATCATCTATGATATATTTAAGTTTATAATATGAGTCTTGAGGAGGTAATTTTAATTCCAATATAAGTCTGTCTATTTTATTTATTAATAAAGTGAATGGTATATTAAGTTTTAACATCTGTGTGATTAATGATTTATCTCTAGGTGATAATCCTTCGACTGCATCGATCACAAGAATTGCTCCATCAACTACATTCAAAGCAGCTGATGTTTCATCAGCAAAACTTGTATGCCCCGGACAATCGAGAAAGTTGAATACGTATGATTTATCACGTAAATCATTTAATAATAACGTTATGGGAGAACTCTTAATCGATAAACCTCTATCCACTTCAATCTTATGATTATCTAAGAATCTCAATGGTTTGAAATTTTTGAGGGTTTTCTTTAATGCAATTGATGGGGCATGAGTTTGAAGCACCAACGAATCAAGTAAGGAGGTCTTTCCTGAATGTAAATTACCTATCACCGCTATATTTCGTATTCTTTCAGGAAGTGTTTTCATGGTATCGATCATGAATGATCTTGAATAAATGATTTCAGGTAAATTTTCAAAATCTTCGTCTTTGGTAGTTGATGATATTTTCTGTGAATAATCAATTCGTACTTTCTTCTCAATGGCTCTTTGAATAACTGGCACATTATCACTCTCTTCGTATGGTTTCACTATGATCTGGGTAACATTGTCCAAGGGATTTGTATCTCTCTTGATTAAACTTTGTTGTTCTATATTATGGTCCTCGATATTACTATTCTCTTCAAATTCATCACTTTCATCCACTAAAAAATCATCTAACGATTCATCATCAGAATCTCCTGAATCTTCATTGATTAGATTACCGAATTCATCGTACAAATCATCGCTATCCATGTTGTGTTGTTGGCGTTATCTACTCTAAATCAATACAAATCTATTTACATTTCTCATTTGGAAATATTTGCATCTCAAAAATTATGGGTGGGAAAATACTGCATACGAACTAAACTCTACAATTTATTTTAATCATAAGAACCTATCACTATAGTACATTTTATATTTAAATTTTTCGTGTATGGAAACTGGGAGATGGTGGTGGTTGAGGATGGTAGTCCTTAGGGGACTTCTAGAGTATAATACATTTACATAATTAGATTAAGATAAAGTTTGATACTTTCTTAATTCTGTGAGTAATGATTGTAATTGAACATCAGATACTTTATTGGCAAGACTTGGAATTAAGGATTTAGCTTCTTCAGCATCTTCACATTCTAAAGTTCCTAATTGTGCTATTTCAAATGGATGCAAAGGTTCAGAAGATTGAAGACTAAAATCATTTAATAATTTTTCAACAGTATCAGTTGATGATTGATTTTTAAATCTTGCAAAACTTGATAAGAAATTTAAGGTTTTACGCGTGATTTCACTTGAATTAGGTCCTGCTAATTCCATATTTGATATTTCATCTTCCTTTTCATTTTCATCATCATCATCATAATCATATTGTTTATCTCCTTTACTTCTTTTACGTTCTTTTAAGGCCGCCCTAATCAATAATCTTGATTCGGATAAATTTAATGCAATCAACTGTTCTTCTTCTCCTTTGTTGGTTATTTGAGTAAGTTGAAACTCTGGTCCAAGCTTTAATACCGCAGCATTCTCTTCATCGTCTATATTTTGATTGTTGGCCTTTCTTCTTCTAACACCTAACGTACTGGTACTGACATTCATATTGGATACAATACTAAAATGATAATGGAATATGCTATTGAATTAATTAAAATGCAACGCTATTTTCAATATACGAGTACTCGACTGATAATGCAAAACAATGATATAAAGGATACAGATGCTGATGTTAGCTCTATACCTATTGACTAATATGTATATCACTGGCTCTTAGATATTCTTTCAATTTTTCCTGTCGTTTTCAGTTTTTTTTTTTTTTTCACCAGAATTTTGTAATCCACACACGACCTCTAAACTATCTACAACTTCTACAGATTATAAAACATTATAGGTGGTTTACATATATTTCGTTAAAGTTAGACTTGTTTAGAACCGTCATTAGTCGGTATTCCTCCTGACCCCATAGCATCGGTACGTACGTCATTTACAAAAGGATGTTTTAAACCCTCCTGAGGGGTTAATCTTTCCAATGGATTCAAATTCAATACTTTGGTTAAGAAATCGATTAATAATAAACGTTCTTGACATTCTTTTTCAATCATTGAATTAGTCATTTTCTTTGATGGAAGTTTATAATTTAATACGATGTCTTTCAAAAGGCGTTGTTTAAAGTAATTCTTATTGGCTTGTTCTTTCTTTTTAGTATCGTCTTTCGATTTAGATGATTCTAAAAATTCAACATATTCATCAAATGTTTTCGTTACATATGTAGTCTTACCATCTGCTTCAACTGGTGGAACCTTCTTAAAGAAATTCATCGAATTTCGACCCACTTCAATCATATGTTTGGGTGGAAGTCCTAACATATCAACGATTTTCCATATTTGATTATATTCAGAAGTTCCAGGAAACATAGGAAGTCCAAGGAAAAGTTCTCCCACTATACATCCTAATGACCACATATCAATTGATTCAGTATAGGGTAACCCTAATATCACTTCAGGAGATCTGTAAAATCTTGATTGTATGTATGTATAAATAGTTTGTCTAGTAAAACATGCTGATCCAAAATCAATCACTTTTATATCTGGTTTATCAGGTTGACATAGTAGAATGTTCTCCGGTTTTAGATCACAATGTATCATTTGAAACCCTTTCAATTGAGCCATGGCTTCAAGTAATTGTCTGGTGAGAAGTTTAACAAGTTTCATATTTAAACCTTGGAATTGATTTTGTTTTATCAATTCATATAAATTAGAAGCTAATAATTCAAATACTAAACATAAATGTTCTTTATGCATAAAAGTGTCTAATAACCTTATAAAATTCTTTCCATCACTATTAGCATTTAAAAATTCAAGTAATCTTACTTCCGTTAAGGATTGATTCATATAAGCTGGTTTAGATTTGATCACTTTAACAGCACATACACTTTGATTTGTCAAGTTTTGACATTTAACCACTTGACCAAACGTTCCTGATCCTAACAAATCAAGCACAATATATTTTCTACCTTCTTCAGTTCCTAAGATATCATTCACAAAAAGAATATAATCACTATCTTCATTATCATAACCATTATTGAACTTTGGTTCCAGTGGTTTAGTCAATACTCTTCTTGGATTAGTGGATTTGGAATATTGAAACTTTCGTGGTTGACAAATTGTATATGATTCAGTTAAATATACTGATAATGCATTTACTGGAGAAATATGAATGGAATTAACAGAACATCGTCTGTATTTGGGTTGTTGATGTACTTTTGGTCTTAGATCAAACTTACTATAAACTTTCATGGCCTTTGGAGCAGGTCTTCTTTTGATTGATACTCTTTGACTTTGTACAGCTCGTTGATATTGTTGATATTCAACAATCAGAGGTGATCTCTTAACTCTACCAGGAGGAATGGCATAATGGGGCATTTGTTGATAATTTGAAACTCCGACTGATGATCTCCGATTTAAATTGGGTGAGTTTTGTAAATATTGAGCTTGATAATTATCTCCACCTTGAGGAACAAATGAATTATAATAACCATTATTGACAGTGGGAGCTGCAGCAGCAGACATCCTTCTATCATTACCTAATGATACTTCTTGATTAGTAAAGTATTGATTAAAAGGATTATCAGCTCTAGTGGGAGGATGGATGTAAGGAGGGGCATTATGTCTTTGATCATCATATTCATAAGTGGTTGGTAAATTATTAGCAAAGGACATTCTCTTTGATGCTTGTTGTTGTTGTAAGAGAGGTATACCTTTGGTAGGGGATTGGGAGATGGAAGCGGTATTAGAACCACCGGGGGATTGTTGATTATGATTATACCATGGATTTCTAAACCCTTGCATTTGTTGTTGCTTTTGTTGTAAGAACTCCTGATTTTGCTGATCGTGAGTATTGGTATTGGAAGTGGAACCACTAAATCCCTGCGGAGGAGGCAAATGCCAATTACCCCCTATGGAATTATGTCTGTTGTAGTTGTAGTTATAAGCCATGATTAATGGGGATTAAACCAGCTTATGAGATACTTAAATGAAATCAATCAATAAAATAATTGTAAGTTTATAAATTATTACAATTTAATATTACACTTCGTTCAACTAAGATGGTTACTCCCAACCTTTCTCCTCAAAATGTTATATTTTAATTCCGGTCAGATGTGCGATATTACGTGGTTGACTTCCGGTCAAGATTTTTGCTTATTTTTTGGTGATAAAAAAAATAAATGCTAAATATTTTGTATGGCAAGGAGGGAAGGTAGGTGACTTACGACTGGATAACGTATCCAGTTTTAGATAAGGTTAAATAATAATATACATTAAGATAACATCTCTATAGAATAATAAAATAAATCATGAGGAGGGAGGGGGGGTTGAAATGAATTAATATGAGTCAACAGTTATATCTTTTTGACCTAGATATTATACCGCTAATCCATATTATTGGAAAAAATTAACAGGAGAAAATGTGTGTGCAATTATATACAAGAATTAACAACCATCCATTATATTGTAGAAAGAAATATGCAATGCTTTGATTAATTGAGGAGGGGGGAGGATTTCGTAATGTGATAAGGAAAACATGATTAAGCAGCTAATGGCTGTTCATCGGGATATACTGGAGCAACAGCTGGTTGAGCCATTACTCTTTGCATCATCATACCGACACCTTCAAATACACCTAATAAACAAGCACATGTAATAGCAGAATTTCTAGTATGTCTCCATCCACCTCTAATAGCTAAAGCACCACCGGTAAAGAAACCAGCGATAACGGCATTCCAGGCATCTTCTCTCTTTCTAACTGCTTTAACAGTACAATCAAAAGTTGAAAATAAACCACCCCAAACACCAAAATTACCTCCCACAACAGGAGCTCTGGCTCTTACAGCAGCACTGGCACCAATGAATCTTTCACCATAGGGAGAGTTTCTGAAACCCTTAATACCATGCCATACAGTACCACCAATGGCACCCATAGCAAAAGCACCACCGAAATCATTTAAGATAACAATAGGACATGGATCTCTAGTATGATCTGCAGACATTCTGTTCTATGATATTTCTATGTATTAAGGTAAGGTTATATATTATCTAAATGACTAACATATATAGATCACTGAAGGCAAGTTTCTTTTTTTTTTTCTTTCATTCTTTCTCTTTTTTTTTTATTAGTGTAATTGAAAATTTTCCAGTCTCAGATTTACACGCATGATGTAATCATAAGCATAATGTTTAATGTATCAAATAGGGAAACTGCTGCATAATCTTACTTTATGCAAAACTAACTTTTAGTTCGAACAAAGTAAACCTCATCTTTAAATATGTAAATCAAAATATTTAAACATATTTCCTTTAGCAGATTTCACTTTCAACCCATTATCATTAGACAATATGTTGTTAAAATCAGTCACTTTCATCCCCTTCATTTTGCAGCTATTCTATACCATAGGTGTAATGGGGGATGTTGCCCTTTATGAACCAGGAACTTCGGAAATTTATGATAGTAATGTTGATTCTTTACAAATACCTGTGAAATGGTTAGAATCAAACGCTACACCTTTATTAACTCAAGTTACTAACTATTCATTGGTGTTATGTAACGGAACTACCTATAATATTAACCCTGTTCAAAACTTGACCAATAGCAATACAAATGGATCTTTATTAGTGGATGGTTCATATATATTTTCAGCACAGTTGACAAACTTGGATTCACTTGTAAGTGGATCTTATTTTATTCAAGTTTTAGCTACTGGTTCAAACTTCTACACTATTCATTATACTAATAGATTTTATATTAAAGATGGAAATGTCCAAGTTGATTATGATGACCTTTCTCAAGCTTCACCACCAGCTCAAACTATGTTTTTCGGTCAAGGAGTTCTGACAGTTCAAAGTATAAATACCGCATCGTATACGGTTCCTTATTTATTGCAAACTGGACTGGTGAGATTTGCTCCTATGCAAGAAGTTCCTCGATCAACTCCCAATCCTTCAAGATGGACACCTACGAAAACTACAACTGCGACTCCAACTAAGAGACCAATATATACTAAACTCGGTGGATACGTCAAAGGTAAGCAGATCGTTCCTACTGTGGAATACACTGTCACTCAACCTCCTACTTATGTTCAACGTACCATGACAAATACTGATCTGGCTGCTCCATATCCTCTGGGATATTATGATCCAAAGATGAGAGTTCAAAATCCTATTAAATTTACAACTAAGGAACTGAACCGTTAAATCTTTGTATATTAAAAATTAAAGCTTTTAAAAGAATAAATGATATATATATATGTATATATGTGTGTACGTTTTTATAAATTGTCCCCTATTGATCTTTGTGTGATTCCTCATTATCTTCGTAATCAGTCATTGTAGCATCAAATAAAACTTCAGTTTCACTTCCAGTTGAAAGCTCATTAACATCACTTGAAGATTCATTTTCGAATACTGTTGATGGTGGTGATGTAAAGTGTGTCGTGTTATTGGTTACTAATGTAGCTCCATCGTTTTCTGTCATATTATCATATGAGCTATTATCAATCTTTTTATATTTTGAATCAAACTTTCCGTGGCTTTGAATATGTCCTTGTTCGTATTCCTCTTCTTCTTCTTCTTGTCCTTCTTCTTCTTCTTCTTCTTCTTCTTCTTCTTCATCTTCATCATAATCGTCTCCAATTTCAAAATCTTCATCTGCAGCTACTGTGTCATCCACAACCATAAACTCATCTTGAATATTTCTTCTTTGTTGACTTTCTAAATTATTAAGTTCAAAATATTCTGTATCAATCTTTGGACCTTCAAAACTTCCGACTCCCCACCATTTATAACCTACCACTGCAACACCAGCAAATAATATAAAAACGGCTGATGCATAATTCATAGTTATCCAATTTAAATCCTTTATAACTGGTGGAAGACACAAGATGAATGCCAGCAAAATTGACCAAAATACTGAAAGACCATTAACTATCCAACCGAATTTCCTTAATTTAAACACGGCCCCTCTTATTTTTCTTCTCTTGTTTAACATAAGACATAATATCGGTATACCATTGGCTAAAGTTAAAGAAATAACACAAGCACCCATGAATGCATTAAACGCTGATGTAGAAATTAAGGATAATAAGGATAATGCAGCACAAACAAACATCGATAAAAACAAGGCATTTTTTGGAATGGTATATTCATCAACTGAATCAACTGCAACCCAATAATCTTTGAATGGTAATCCACCATCACGAGCAAATGCATAAGTTGTTCTAGACGCAGTTGTGAATGAACCGATTGATTGGAATAAAACAGTCCCTACTAAAAGTAACACTAAAAGAAATGAAATCATATAAGATTCCGTCGCTAATTTAAACACAAGATCAATTGGCATAATTTCTGGAGTATTATCTAATAATAATGACATTTCAGGTAAGATTGTTAAAAGAGGAATGATAAAGATGATTCCTGTTATGATTGATATCAGAATGGCACTAATAGCACCCTTTGCCATATTTTTTTCGGGATTTTTAACTTCTTCGGTAATTGAGAATAACATTCCATAACCAGTTAAAGTAAATGCTGATGCTTGAAGTCCAACCATGAATGCTAAAGGATCAGGCCAACCTGATCTACTATTATCAAAGCTAGTTAAAATATCTTTTACTGTATTTGTTTTCCTAGCAAATAAGATTAATAATACATCAATAGCCAATACAGTATAGATAGTCCATAATATACAAGCTTTATTGATTTGTTCAATATATCTTGAAAATCTGAAATTAACAAATCCACAAAAGGATAAAATAATAAAGAAAATCCCAAGTACGAAAAAGATATCTTCCTTATAATAAACATCTTTTAAACCAAAAATTGATAATATAAACTGTGAACCGGCAAACATGATAGATACAGCATAAGTCCAATTCCCAATCAATAAAAACCAACCTGTTAACCATGAACATATCAACGAATATTTATCATTACTTAACAATGCACTGAAATGATACACACCCCCAGCAGTTGGATATTTTGAAATGATTTCACTTAATGAAAGCACGACACAGAATGAAAAGAATCCCACTACTAACCAACCATATAAGATGGTTACATTTCCTCCATCCATTAAAGATATCCAAAGTGTAGAAGATAAACCAAATGGAACCCCCATTAAAGAGAATCCCAATCCAATAACTGAAGTAACTGTCAATTTTCGTTGTAAATCTTGTTTATATTTAAAATGCTCCACATGTTCAGTATCATCGTCAGCATTTTCATCAGTTAAAAGTGAACTTAACAATTTGATAGGAGCCAGTGACCCAATCTCATCAAATACATGAGAAGCATAAGATGGACTTTGATGAACTTGATTCGAAGTTGAAAATGATGATCTTGGATCGATATGAGGAAGAGGCGGTGATCTTGGTTCCGACGTTGATGATGTAGTTCTTGTCCCTCGTGGTGACGCCGTAGTTGCTGAACTCAGCAGCTCTTCAACCATACTATGACTTCACGCTAGATCTTATCTTATGGGGTTCAAATTAGTTGATGATATGATTGAGCAAAACAGTAATTCAAAATGATCAGTTTGTGGAATCAATTTTTTCTTTTTATTCTTCGCAATTATTTATTTTATTTTATCTATTTGATCGTTCGCGTACCTTTTTATTTTTAGTTACATATTTTGCAATATTTTGAAAGTGGGTTACTGCCCAATTATTTGAAGTTTTGGATATTGTACGATAATTATTCTATATTTCTCTATATTCTACAATTATGCATATGTGATTATTAATTATTTATAGACAAATTCTAATGTACAGTTTAAAAGTCATAATCACTATTATCACCATCATCATCATCATTCTTATCATCGACATTAGCAATGATATAAACTGGTAAACTTATACTTTCACTAGTTTTAACATGGATATTACCTAAATTATCAACACTTTTCAATACACCTCCTACTGGAGCATGTTTTAAATCAGTCAAATACGATATAACATCATTCACATTCGATAATAATTGTGTCGTGTTCCAATCGGTATAGCCTACTTTTATAAATAAACAATTCCCATTCAGTTTAGGGACATAACTGGTATTCCCCACGATGGACTTCATTTGATGATACACATATTTAGGTTCACATCTATCGTCTTTCAATTTGGTGGAGTTCTTCTTGGAGGCAGTTAACGTGGATTGACTTTTTGGGGTTGGTTTTGCCATTTGAATCATATAAGGTAATTTCTTATTCTTAATATAAAATTTCTCATTTAAGATTTGAGGTAAGAATTTATGAACTCTATGATCAGCCACTATCAAATCATATTCTTTGAATAAAGTTAAATCTTTCTTATTCTTACATAAACTTTTCAATTTCGTTAAAGTGAAGATCTGATTGAAGACATCTTCAGTAGGTGAATCCTTTTCTGTCAAGGCATGACGATATGGGGTGGATGGATCCTTCGTGATTAATAATATTGATTTATTCTCCACTTTATCAAGTTTATATTTAAGGGGTATTATCCTTGGTATATAATCATTCTTGGAAGTTAATTTGATTTTGATATTTATCAGTACATAGATGGCTTGTGGTGTGGTGGAAGTTTTTGCAGTTTGGTTGATTAATGATTTCAATGATTTACTCCCATTCTTAAATGCTTCCTCTCCCAATATGAACTCACTGGACATGTTTATATAACTATTGGTTATGTGTTGAAGTTTGTTTGTTTAGTTTCGTGATGATCATCATCATCAGGCATCATAATTTTTTTTTTTCAAACCTCATTTGGTTTTTAATGAGGCTACCATATCAAAATATATATACTGCGGCATGGAACTATCTTCCAATTATGAATATTATGTATATTATTATGTATTTACATATAAAATTAGAATTGAAATATATTATTATTATTGAATAGATGTTATATTATAATAAACTAATAATAAAAAATTTCTTTATATTTTTTTTTAAAAAAAATTGTAAAGTAAAATAACCACAACAACTATAACGATTCATTATATGTGGGTAAAACTTTACTCTAAACGAAAAAATTAACTCATAAACTTAACAAAAACTTAATCAATCACCTCTTAAAGCTCTAATAACAGCTGGTCTTCTCATCATATATTTAGTCCATTTATAAACTTCGGGGAATTCGACTTTTAAATTGATTCCAATTCTATCAACCACATTATTCCAAGGTACAAATGATAAATCTGCCACGGTTGCTCTATCTCCAACTAACCATACGGGATAATCGAAATATCTTGATTGAGATAAGGGAGTTGTACCAGCACTATAGGCGGCGGCATTTTCCACATCTAAATCCATGATTAATGCTTCTCTTCTTTCAGCCAATGCCATTTCTATAACTCCATAAACTCTTCTAACTTCATCAGTATATCTTTCTACTGCACTTGGTACAGGACAAGAATGGAAATATCTAAAATGTAAAGCTTGACCAATCATAGGAGCATGACCTGAAGTTTGAAAGAATAACCAACTTGAAATTTGAGATTGTTCAATAAGATTATCTGACCATAATTGACATTCACCATTTTCTTTTAAAAATTTTGATACTAAATATAATATGATAGCCCCTGATTCCCAAATGGAAGTATTATCATTAAAATGATCGATTATAGCTGGTACTCTTGCATTTGGATTTATAGTGACGAATTCAGGAGCTCTTTGTTCACCATTATTAAAATCTAAAAAGATGGTATTAAAAGGTAAATTTAATTCTGATAATATGATAGCTACTTTGAAACCATTGGGAGCTGATCTATGACTGAAGAGAGTATAACCATCTGTTGGTTGATGTTGGAAGAAATTTGTGATTCTTGATTGTTGTTGAGATGTGGTGGCTTCATTTTGTAATTGTTGTTGTAATAAATTTAAATTAACTTCATTTTGTTGTTGATCATTAAGGGTTACTGATTTCAAACCAGCTGATAAATGCGAAATTGTATGAGTATTGTTATTATTGTTGTTGTTGCCTCCTTGATTGGGATTGTTTTGATTTATGTTGTTATTATTATGCTGTTGTTGAAGATTGGAAGATGCAAGTGATGAAGAGGATGATATGTTCGGATTCGAACTATTATGAATGGACATGGTATTTGATGTGATTGTATGATGTTGATCTTGTTGGATGGTTTGCTAAATGACAATTAGATAGTTAATTGATGGATGGATGGATTGAATATGTTTTAAATGATTGGTTACAATAAGAACAACTATGATCAATCGAAAAGTAGAAATTTAAAGATGCAAATAAAGACTTGATTGGGGATGGTTGTTAAGGAGTAAAGACAATGGAAACTGTTGATTACAATGGTTATCTTGGGGGGATGGGTTGTGATATGTTCTAATGTTACAGATAATAGATGATGTTGACAAAGATGATGAGTAGTTATAGATTGAATTGGTTGATGATAGTTAATTTTAAAGTCAGAGTTGAATTTTTTTTTTCCTTTCCGCTCTTTCTGTCTCTTGGGTTTTTTTTTCCCTGTGCTGTCTGTCAGTTAATTAATTTTAAATTATTTTTAAAGTGTGGGACATTTAAATTTTTATTAGTGGGGAGAATTACTGACAACACAATTTCAATTTAGTGAGAAAAAGTCTCACTAAATCTCACTAAATTAGAATTAGTGGCTAGCAAAAAGAGAGATTTACTGAGAGCAAAGAGAAAGAGAAAGAGAAAGAGAAAGAGAAAGAGGAGAGGAGGGGGCGTGCGGCGGGCTATGAATGGTTAAAGAAAGAAATAAAGCTGGCTATAACTATATAGGTAGAACAATTGATAGTTAGGGAGTATAAACATATAAGATAAGATAACAATGTTAAGATGTTCTCACACCAGATCTTCTCTTAAATAGCATATCAATTTGGTAAAGGTTCCATATATATCCATTCATCCTTTATATATGGACTTTGAATAGACTGACTGATTGATTGACTCAGACCGGTTCAGGATTGAATCATGTCCTGTATACAATGTCCCTTGATTCATGGATGTTTTGTTTGTTTCCATTTTTGATGTATGGATGTTGTTTTTTTTGATCTTTTTTAAATTTTCCGTTATCTGTTTAATTCATGACAATTAGAGATATACAATACGATATAATATACTATTAACAGGATTAATGACAATCGATTATAACATTAACCACATAGCTATTCTTGTATGTGACACCCCCATTGAAAACGTCACTGAAGTTTTTGGTGATTTCGGTGATAATACTCATGATTTATTAAAAAATGGTCAATCAAATTTACCTTATCCAGTAATTAAATATCAAGTTTGTATAGAGGATAATAAAAATTCTAAAGAAATCACTCAATTAAAACAAGCTTATGATCAATTAAGATCAGGTATAGTGGTTGGCCATATCAAAGGGATCATTTTAACTGGTTCAAGAGCTGATTCATTTGCTGAAAATATCTTATGGATCACCCTTTTAGATGATTTTATAACCCTGGTATTACTTGATCTTCAAAATTTCCCTATTGTTGGTATTTGTTTTGGTCATCAAATCTTAGCTAAGAATTTAAATTGTAAAGTTGGGAGAAATTTACCTGAAAAAGGTTGGGAATGTGGTACTACTGTCATACAATTAAATAAAGATATTTATACCATTGAAAATTCTCCATTTAAAAATCCTTTGAAAATCGCTGATGGTTCATATCTTGATGAACTTAATTTAGTTGAATTCCATAGAGATATAGTATATGGTATACCTCCTCCTTCTTCGTCAGCTAAATTCATTACTATCGGTTCAACTTCAAAATGTTCTATTCAAGGTTTAATAACTGAATCAGGTCCTTTGAAAGTATTAACTTTTCAAGGTCATCCTGAATTCACTACTCCAATCGCAAAAGAATTATTAAAAAGTGATTTAAAGAATAACTGCTTTTCTGAAGAAGATTTTGAAGAATTTTATCATAGTACTGAGAATTTAGATAATCAAGGTCAATTATTCGGTGATGTTATTAATGAATTCCTTAATATCCATTGTGATACTCAACAAGAATAAGCATTCCTTTCAGACAATTACTAATTAGATCACCATTTACTTCTAACTTGAATATGAATTTATTAACAATTACATTATATAAACTTTTTTTTATACTACATATAAATATATAAAATGTTTCCTTTAATTTTACGTTTGTTTGTTTCTTTTTCATTTCATTCATTCATTCATTCATTTTCCTTAATCAATGAATTTCTTAGTTGGGGTAACGATTGAAAATCCCGATAATTTCCCCCCTCCGCCAGTCTTAATCGATTCAAAATTTGAACTATAAGATTTTGGCATATTATTAAACCCTCCTTCATTATGTGATTGTTGTTGTTGGTCGATTGATCTTCCACTAAGTTTATCATTAATGAATTTCGTATCCTTTAACTTTGATTCTAAAGCTTTGATTCTATCTTGATATAATTTCAATTCATAATTATGATTCATAGTCATCTTGGTAACGGTATCTCTTAATTCTTCTCGTTGATTCTTTAAAGTATGAATTTGTTCAATTGATTCTTCATTAGCATTATTATTTCCATTGGAATATTTCTTACCATTACTATTTCCATTATTATATTCTTCATGAAGTAATGAAATCTTTCTATTTCCATGGGTATTCGTACTTAATTTCAATAATTCATTTTGATTATATTCCACCGATTTTTCAAGCTCGGGTATAACTCTGAATTTCAAATCAGTATTTTCTTTTAATAATTCATTATATTTATCTAATAAATTCGAATCAGAATTACGTTGACCACCTCCACCTTCAATTTGTCTTTGCTCTTGTTGGATTTGATATTGATATTGTTGATTTTTATTATATTCTTCATTTAATTTATCTTCCAATTGATGAACCAAATCATTCTTAATTAATAATTGTTTATATAACTCAGTCTTTTCATAATTCAATTTCAAAGGACTTGGATTTTGGCCATGTTCCATTAATAAAGCATGTTCTTCACTAACAAATCTTAATCTACGTTCTTTATTCAATTTCTCTTGTAATTCACTAATCATCTTCAGTTTACTCATTAATTCAGAATGTAAATAATCTTCTTGAACAGGCGACGAACTATTATTCTTTAATCGATTCTCTAATCCTAATTCACGTTTAATAGATGATGCTAATTCAGTAGTAACCAACTCTAATTCATATAATAATTCATTATTACAATTCATAATACCTAACTCTTCCTTAGTGAATTTAACTTTCTTCTTCTCTTCTACTGGTTTTTGAGGCGATGGTTGATATGGTTGAATTGGTGCTTGAGCAGGTGAATTATAAGCTGAAGTAGATGATGAGACGCGTCTGGTTGATGGCTGTTTTGGTGTGACATTAGGGGAAGTAAGAGATGAATTACGTCTATTATTTCCATCCTCGGCAATATTATTATTCGATTTCTTACCTGATAATGAAAGTCTCTTAAATAAGTTCTTAGAAGATCCACTTAATGAAAAGGTTCTTGATGATCTCTTATCTTTATCATTAGCTGTGTTGCTATTACTATTACGACGGTTTGGAGTCGATACAGTACTATTATTATTATTATTGATACTCTTTTGATTTGGAACTGGGAGAGGATCTTTAATAGGAGAACTCATTAATTCATTAGTATTAGTACTTCTGATCTTAGCATTATTTAAAACTTGACTTGGAGCATCATAAACGATTGGTTGAGGAATTGGAGGTTGAATTTCACGTGGTTGAATGTCAGGCTGTGGAGTTTGAACGGGTGAGAAATCAATATCATCATCAAAATCATTATCATTACCATCGACAGGTGCAGTTTGATTATAATTGAGACCAGGATTATAATGAGGAATATTCCAATAATTATTATTTGAAACGTTCGAAGTACTTGCAGTTGGAGGAGTAGAACTACCGATATTATCATTAACGCTCTTGTTAGAAGATTCATGAGAAACTTCCTCCTCCTCTTCCTCCTCCTCTTCATCATCTTCATTTTCCGGCACTTGTTCTTTCAGTTCGTCATGAGTTTGAGTCAGAGGTGATTCAGGTGGAATAGTAGAATATGATGAAGAATATATCGATGGTGGCACAGCGAAAGCTTGTGTATCAGGAGATTCAACTTGAGGACTAGGTAAATCGTTAAGGTCTTCTTTTTCGTAGACTGCTTCTTCTTCAGTTTGAGGTTCATCGTTAACCACCTCTTTTCCATTACCATATTGTTCTTCATTCACTTCACTTTCATTCTCAAGTGGTAAAACAGCTGGGTTTGGATTATTAAATTTCCCATGAGAATCACTTGATGGAGAACGGAAATTACTGAATGCAGTATTGGCAATTAATGACTTATGAGGAACCGCTTTAAGCCATGTCTTTTGAGTTAATGATGGCGTTGACGTTTGTGAATTGATACTTAAATTAGCCTTCGATGATGATGGAGAACCTCTCTCTTTAAGAACATTCGAATCATCAGTACTAGTAGATTGATGTTGTTGAGGATCTTCGTCATCTTCATCTTCGTCAACATTATCGGCGGTATCTTGAGATATATTTTCTTTATTGATGATAGTATCTTCATCACGTTCAATATCAGTATCGTCATCCTCATCAGTAGGTAATTTTGGTAAATTCTTTTCCTTAGATGGAGTAATTTGGCGTTTTTCAGGTGATAAATCAGAAGCAGTAACAAATACATCCTTAGTAGTATTATTAAGGGCAGAGGCACCTAATTTACTAAATTGTTCACGATGATTTTGATTATGAGCCATAACTTCTTGTTCATCATAGATTGATTCTCTCACGCCTTCATCTTCATTATTAATGTTTGATTTGTTAAGATTGAACGATGGTGATATATGTTCTTGATGTTGTTGGAAATTATGATGACTTTGTTCATGTGGAAAATTTATTTCAGATTCATCAGGTGGAGTAGTTGTATTTCCAGCGTGAGGATCGATTGATTCGGAATTAGTGGTGTTCTTACTGAATAAATTAATCTTTCTTAATCTCATTGAATTTGATTTCTTTAACGTTGATTTTCTTGATAATGATTGAGCTTCATCTTCAGGTTCAAATTTATAAATAGCATCTTCTTCATCAATATCTTCTTCTTCATCTCCGTCACTTCTAATAGGTGATGATGAAGATAATGGTAAGGATTGATTGTATTCACTTGTAGCCGTGGTAGTAGTAGCAGGGGGTGGAGGAGGCTTTCTTCCCGAAGTTGATATGACTCTAGTTGATTCTTCTATTGGATGATCTATCGATTCTTCATCTTCTTCTACAACGTGCATTAATGATTCATTTGAATTATGTTGACCGTAACCATTATTAGCAATTGTTGGAGGTTGGATTGGTGGTTGGGGCTGTTGATTTAATTCTTGAGATGGATGAGACTGATGCTGTTGGGGTTGTAATTGTGGTTGCGGTTGTTGTTGTTGTGGTATTCCATACGCGTACTGTTGTGGTGGTTGTTGATGTTGGTGTTGATGTTGATATTGTTGCTGTTGAGGAGGAGGCGGTATCATTTGCGGTTGATATGCTTGTTGACTGCTCAATGATTTAGTTCTTGGACCATTAGCATATCCATTTGGAGGAGGAGGATGACCACCAGCACCACCATTGGCATAATAAGCATTATTTGGAGGAGGTATTGGTTGGAATTGTTGAGGATGCGGACCATAAGGTTGATTTGAATTCAACGACATTGTTCTAGGACCATTTGGAGGTGGTGGGCCTTGTTGAGGATTATAAGGGGGATGAAATTGTTGATTTGGAGGCGGGAATGGTCTCATCGACATTGCTCTTGGATTACCTTGTTGAGGATGTATATGAGGAGGTTGTTGAGGAGGAAACATTCTATTGGTATTTAATGACATGGTTCGAGGAGCACCAGGAGGTTGATTTGTATTCAATGATTGAGCTCTATAATTATTTTGATTTGAACTTAATGACATTGATCTTGGATCAATATAAGGTTGAGGTTGACCTTGATAAGGATATTGTTGAGGATTATAATATTGACCTTGTTGTTGAGGATGAGGAGCAGGAGGATTCATGGGGTTTGAACCACTTGCTAAGGACATTGCTCTTGCACCATTAACCAAGGCTAATTTCTTTTGTTGATTCATTTGTTTTCGATATGATATATTATTTACATGTTTAACATTATTTGATCCAAGAGTTGGAATGAAAGGAGTTGAATCTAAACTATTGGAAGCTTTGGTAGCATAAGGACCTCTATCTCTTATATGAGATAAATCATCAAATGACATATTTGAACCATTAGTTAATTCTCCAATATCGGCTCCTAAATCTTCATCAAATCCTCCCATTTCATTTTTATTACGACGAAAGAAACGATTCATGGTTGATTGAGAAGTGATGGAGGAAGCCCCACCTTTTCTTGATGTGAAAGATCCACTTCCACCGGGACCTGGAGCATTTACGGGTGTCATTATATCATAATTACTATAAGGTTGTTGAGGATTCATGGGTTGATTCAAAGCATCTATATTTTGTTCACCATTTAATAGTTGTTGTCTTAAACGACCCTTTTGGGTAGACAAGGTTGCAGTTCCTGCATCCATTGCGACCAATATGTAGATGTATTAGTATCGTCTAAAAGATTAAATGAAAGTGATAGTTTTATTTACTATTTATTATTATTTATTGATTGATTGATTGATTGATCGATCGTAAAAAAAATAATAATAAAGAAAAAAACTGTAGAGGCTCTCCTAAAAAAAAGTGTCTGGATCTTTTTAGTGAGAGGAAAAAGAACTTTTTTGATGTATGGATATGGAGAAGATCAAACTGTAAAGAGTGAAGTTGATGATGGGAAACGAATGGAATGGGAATGAAATGGAAGTTATTAGATATGATGTTTAAAAAAATAAACAAAAGGAAAGGAAAGAAGTAAATAATAAGTTTTATAAAACAATTTCGTTTCCTTAACTGTAATAATATTTACGATTTGTTGATGTATTGTTTTACTATAGTGATGATGAGGAATTACAGTAATAAAAATCAATTACCGTTAGATTCCGGAAATTTTTATTTTTTGGGTTGTTTAAATTTCATTGTTTACGGTTAGTGGTGTTTTTTTTAAGGAGGACTTTTTTTCTAGTTACTGTAGTTAAAATTAAATTAAGCTAATTAAATTATAGGGAGAAACGAGGCAGGGGAGGGAGCGAGGGAGCATCATTCGTTAACATTAGTGAGATAGGGAGAGAGTAGCGCGAACAGAATTAAATAATGAGTGAGAGAGAGAGGGAGGGAGGGATGGAGTTATAGGGGCAAAGAATAAATGAAATGAACAGTATTTAATGCAAAGAGGGTAGTCGACGAAAAGGGATGCAATGCAATCTGAAAAAGGTGTTAATATATATGTATATATGTATATGCATGTTTTTGTCATTCTATGCTTTTGCTGTTCCCTGAACTTAGTTTAAATACTACCTAATTATTATATATATATAGGATATTTAAACTTTAAAGTAACTAGGAAAACCTAATCATATTGGGTCAACGTAAACACTTTTGAACAATAAACATGGTAATTAATACGAAATCAGCGAAATATATGAAATACCATTAATTACAATAGATACGGGTCTTTCAATCTTTCTTTCTTTTTACTGTATATAACTCCTCACTCCCACATTTTTAATTACCGATGGGTTATGGAGTTTAAACAGTTAACCATGCTTGCTTGCTGTTTCTCTATTTCTCTATTTCTTTCCCTACAAGTCAAGTCGCGTCATTGGCTTAACTTAAGCCATCATTTGACTCTATTGTTGCTCAAAGACTAACCATGATTAATCGGAGTTCAGATATAAAATCCTCCTCCTGAAAATTCTTTTTAAAGACGCGCTTTAAAAATCATGAGGATAAATTTTACATTTCATTTGAGTTAAAATTTCATAATTCAAAATCTAATTCACTATTTGCATAACTCAACATATGATTTATAATTTCAAATTGATCGTGTTTTTCTTTGATCGTTTTGAAATTTTGAATTGGTTTAATCATTGTCATCTACTGTGGTGGATCTTTATTAATCTTTACAAGCGAGATATTCCTACTATGTCAAACAAATCTCGGATTTACATTTACAATATCTTATAAAACAATAAATATTAAACACTTTTGAATGATAGAACTTATTTGTATATAAATCTAACTAACACATACACTTCCACTATATCATGGATGCAAAAACCTTTTCATCAAATTATTATCACTACTATATAAGTTATAGTGATTTACACAAATTCATTTCTATTACTTCGCGAATCCCACACCGGCACATAAAAATATTTAGCAAGTAACTTACCCCATTCTTTTTTATACATTAAGTATATATATATTAAGCGACAATAACAACAACTTCACAACAACAATTATAGTAAACCTCTGTCTAAACAACAGCATGAGTTCCAGTCTCATGATCAACTACAACTCCAACAATTCTATATCTTTTTCTGAAAAATATAATCCATTTATCAACGATTTCATTCTCCTTTTCATTAAAATCTCCAGTATACCAAGTTGTATCTTGAAGATTATGATTATTACTACTCTGATTATCTATATTATCAGCTCCAGTAGGAATTAATCGATTTAATCCTAATAATCTACTGACATCTTTCCCCACTAATTTATGATATGATTTACCTGGTCCATAACTCTTTGAATTCTCAGTAACATCATATATATAACCTCTAATCCCAACGTATAATTGACTCTTATCTTGTCCATTATATAAACTTAATTGTGATCGTGTGTAAATTGGTATGGAATTAATATCAATATTATCATTATATTTTTCAAATTCATTAGGTTCAACCACAGTGGTTGGTTCCTCTGATGCACCCCCGTTTGACATGTTTTTTTCGAATTCAATGAGATGATTAACTATATTTCTAATCAATTGATTTGATGGATCAAAAATTTGAATTGCTTAATTCAACTGATATTTGTGGTTGTATACCCTTTTAAAAACGGTTGTAAATACTTTTTAGTGTGGTTCAAATTTTTTTTTTATTTGTATGGTCTATTTTGGGGATTTTAAGATCGAGGCATGGATGTTTTGATTTCTTACTTGTAGCAGACAGAAAAAAAAATTCAAAATACACATCTGAATGAAATATATGATAGAGATTAATTATAGATCATCAAATAATCATAAATCTAACAACTAATGATATAACAAATTACTCGATTGTAACTTATAATGGTAAGTAATCAACTATATTGACCATTTAGGTCAATATGTTTTTTTTTTCCTTTTAAACAAACCTTAATACTAACTTATACCTTTGTCTAGGCTGATAATACTGAAAAATATCCATTATCGATACAGAAGCTATTTGCTACTAAACCTCCATTATTATATATTCCACTTGAAGATTATTCACCAGAGAAACGAAGCACGCATACCATCACATCAGTCTCATCATGGAAATCAACTATTGATAAATATTTAAACGAAGAATTACCCCAGATTGAAACTAATAGTAATCTCAAACAACAGCATCTTGAATCAACTCAAAAATCAACCAATAAAGCCAATAATAAACTAAGTAAAGAGAAAGCTGTCAAAAAGCGGAAATTGTTACAAGATAGTTTCCATCGTCAATTACGAGAATGGGAAGATCCTTCATTATCCCTTAATAATCAACAACATATGATGAAAGATCCATATTGTACTATATTCATATCAAGAATCGATTATAAGTTAACAGAAGAAGATTTGAAAAGTTCATTTAATAAATATGGACCTGTTGAATCAATCAAAATTGTCAGAGATATCAAAAGTAAAAAATCAAGAGGCTATGGATTTGTGGTATATGAACGAGATAGTGATGCTTTGAAATGTATTGAAGACTTATCTAAATCAGGATTAAAATTAGACTCGGCCAATAGACCTATTTTAGTCGATATTGAAAGAGGAAGATTGGTAAGGTTCTGGAAACCAACCAGATTAGGTGGTGGTTTAGGAGGTAGAAATTATACTAAACCTACTACCGCTAATAGATTATATCCCAATGCTTCAGCTGCTGCTAGTGGTAGAAGACTTCATATTCAAAATAATGATTCTAATTATAGACCTAGCAATGGTGGTGGTTCAAGTTATACTTCGAGTCACTCTACCTCTGGGAATTATCCTCCACCTCGTACTTCTGATATTCCTGCTTCAATTTCACATTCAAACTCTTATGTTCCAAGAAATTCAACCACTACATCGAATTCATATGTTCCAAATGCTGTAAATACTCCTCATGCATATGCACCAACTCCAGCATCATCCAAATATGGATCTACATCTGCGGCAACTTCTGGTTCTAGCTACACACCCATCAGTAGATCTAATTTCAATGCCCCTTCTTCTGTGTCTCATAGAGCTCCACCTACAACCAGTTCTACTGCTACTAGTGCCGCATCTAAATATGGTAATTATGTCAGTTTACCAAAGAAGAGTGAACCACCAGCTGAAGAACAGAAAACTGTCAAGGATAAGTATGCCAAATACGCCAAATATGCATCTGCTTCTTCATCAACAACAACAACTAGAGGTTCAGATTCCTCGGCTGCTAAGTCTTCTGATACTAGATCTATTAGAAGTATAAGATGATAATGAAATTCTAATAACCTATACTGTATTATATACTAAATAAAGAAGAAGGTTGGCTTACCTATCATTTAGCTATTCATAATATAAAACCCCTTTGCATCACCATTCAATTGATTAATATTGTAGTATTTACTGTAACTGTGCAATACAAATATTGACTGCGACCAAATTTAATTTTTGTCAACTGAAACATTTGTGTCAAAATTTTTGGTTTCTTTTTTCGTCTTGTTTACAGTAAATTTCTTAAGGGGAGTTAAATACTTTAACTATCAATTATTATCATACATATATCTATCAATTATACACCATGTCTGAGAATAAACGGAAATTGGATGATACAGAAGCAGCAGAAATTGCTAAGAGATCAAAGACGGAAAGTGATTCTGAAGGGAATGGAACTATATTTGAAGATTTAAACTTCTTAAAATCAAGTATAACTCAAGAAATTACCAAGCATTTTGAAAAGAAATTCATAAGTTTAGAGAATGAGATTAAAAGTTTGAAGGAGGAAGTATCCATATTGAAGTCCAGTTCAGTCAATGTCGTAAAGTCAATTGATACCAAGTCAAAAGATGAAGAACCAGAAAAAGTAGAAGAGAATGATGAAGAAGAAGATGAAGATGATGATGATGATGATGATGATGATGCCCATGATGTATCTCCCACACAAGTAATCAATAAGGAACCACCAAAGGCTACCTTTGGTGCCAATCTGATTCAAATAAAGAATAGTTTTATAACACCAACAAATTCCTTCCGCGATCCACCAACAGTACCTAATACTCAAGATACAACTCCCAAATTAACTTCAAAACCAGTGTTTGGTGCTACTACCTCATTTGGTAAATCAATCATGGATAATTTAAAAAGTAAACCAAGTGTATTTGATACATTACCTTCTAAATCAGAGTCACCTAATAATGATACAAAAGCTACAAGTATAACATCCTCATTTGGATCCAACAGTAAATTCGGAAATGCATTTCAAAATTCACTTTCAAAGAAATCATTCTTAGATCAACCTGCTGAAAACAATGATGAATCTGAAACTAAATCAGTTTCCGTTCAACAATTTAAACAAGTTGATCTTGAACCTATTAAAAATGTAACTACTGGTGAAGAAGATGAAATTTCTCATTTCTCATCTACAGCAAAGATTTTTGAATTAGATTTCACCAAAATATCAGAAGGTTGGAAAGAAAGAGGTGTAGGTCCATTGCATTTAAATCAATCTAAAGCTGATAATGCCAAAGTTAGATTGGTTATGAGATCACAAGGGTTATTAAGGGTGGTGTTGAATCATAGAATACAGCCAAATACTGAATTATTAAAAGGATTGGAAGCAAGTTTAACTCCAGGAAAGTTCCTTAGATTAAACTCCATAAGAGAAGATGGAACTCCAATTCAATATTTATTAAAGTTCTCCAATCAAGCTTTAAGAGATAGTTTAATAGAAAAAGTCGAAGAATTGAAAAGAGATTATATAGTTTAAGTTAACTTTTAATATATATATATTAGGTCTTGTCTATAAACTTGTACACAATTATTCTAGTTTATTGTTTAAGAATGAATGCAATACTACATACAGTTGATCCTTTAACACCCCCAAATTGGAAACTTGGATAATTAATCTTATCCCATACTATTAAATCTGAATTTTCATTAAATATCCTCACCAATTCAGTTTCAGTAAAATTACATGATGTTATAAGAAGAATAGAATCCTTATGCATGAATTTAGACACTTGGGAGGCATAAACTTCCATACCTATCTTACCATCATGCTCCTCTATAGGGTCTTGGTTTAATGCTATGGCATCCAAAGTACCCTTGTCTAGAAGAATATCATATTTCCCTATATGTGCATCTGAGAAGAAAGCATCATCTTTCTTTAATAAGTCAACTTGTTGGAATTTAAAGTCAGTATCTTCATATTTCTTATGGGCTATCTTTTCAGCAAATTCTACTGAATCAGGTGAATAATCTATACCTGTGAAATTAAATGACTCTTCACCGTCGTATTCTTCTTGCAAATCTTCATTAAGTTGAAATAATAAATGTCCGTTCCCTGTACCTAAGTCAAGAAATGATATGTCACTTTTTTGAAATGGAAACTCTTGATCAGTTAACTTTTCGATTATGAAACTGATCATTTTAGCTTCGGCATCAGAATCATCGAACCAACATTCTCCAGTATCTTCGTCATTCGATTCAAAATTGTTCTTCTCTAATTGATAAAATTGATTCCAACTAATGGGAAAGTTAGTAAAAAAGTCCGTTTGAAAGAATTCATTCAATAATTATGTACTTACTATTCCTTAGTTCCAAGCTTTGAAGAATTTAATCTAATTTCTTCAGACATCTTGATCTTTATTCTTAAATCTGATATCTCTTCATAGATTTATTTTACAGCAATTTTTTTTTCTTTGTAACATCTACAACTATTTTTTTTTGGCAGTTTGATTTCATTTTCTTCAAATCATTAAAACGCGTCTTTGATTGAATCAGTTGCAATTGAACCATTGATCACAGTGTTAATTCTCTATGACTGACGTTGAGACTACGGCTAGAGAGCCTTCTTTCGAAAAGGAAGAGTCAGAAGAAATCCAAGAAGAAAGTGCTATTAGTGAAAAGGCTCAAAAGGAGTACAGAATCTGGAAGAAGAATTCACCTTTCCTTTATGATTATATATCAACAAACTCATTATTATGGCCTTCTTTAACCATACAGTTTTTCCCTGATCGTGCTGATCCAGCTGTTCAAAGTGAAGGTGTAAGTGATGTTTATTATCAAAGGTTGTTGCATGGAACTTTCACATTGGGTCAATCTGTCGATAGTATCTCAGTATTACAAGTTCCACAATTTCAAAACTTAAACAAAAATTTAAAGATAAGTCAGCTTGATTATAGTCAAGATAAAGAAGAATTCGAATTAAAGTCATCGAGTCATAAGATAAAAGTGCTTCAAAAAATCAATCATTTCGGTGATATAAATAACTTAAAGTATATGCCCCAAAATCCTAATATCATAGCAGCCAGTAACAATTATGGAAATATATCTATATATGAGAGAACCAAGCATAAAAGTTTCAAAAATTCCATTATAGATGATACAGAGTTAAATAAAGTCCAAATTCATCTCAGTAATAATGCTGATGAGAATTCCAATGTTGATATATTTGCAATGGATTGGAATAAACAAAGAGAAGGAAGCATTATCTCAGCCAATGTAAAGGGACAAATTAATTTATATGATATCAAACAAAATTATGCGTCTGATAAAGATGATGTCTTCCCTCATTGGTCTTTTAAAAGTGAAGGGGAAGATGTGGGTATAAATGATATAGAGTGGTTTCCAAATCATGATAGCATGTTTTCTACAGTGGATGAAAGTGGATTCATAAAGATTTTTGATACTAGATTGCCAGCTTCAAATTCTCTTACATTAAGTCATAGACAATCATCAGTTGGGGTCAATAGTATAAGTATCAATTCCGGAAGTAGTATGTGTATAGCTACAGGTGATAGTAGGGGTCATATTCAAGTATGGGATATAAGAGACTTCAATAAAGAGTCGGCATCAAGTTTATATTCCATCACCAACCAACATACTGATTCAATTACACAATTAAAATGGCATCCAAAATATCATAATATACTAGGGTCAGCTTCTACAGATACACTGGTAAGAATAATGGATGTATCGAATCACGAACACAACGAAGGTCTCGTATTCCTACATGCTGGTCATATGTTAGGGGTCAATGATTTTGATTGGTCTTATCATGATGACTGGTTGGTAGCCAGTGTTGCTGATGATAACTCCTTACATATTTGGAAACCTACACATTCAATAACTAGTAAATATTCTTTGACGTAGTTATGTGACTCTTTGTAACAATAAGTAATGTTTTTATTTTATGTTTCTATGTAAATAAATTAATATTTTTGATTTATCATATGATGATTTTGATTCGTTAATTAGATTTAGGCTCTGGTGAATAATTTTTCAACTTCAGCAACAGATTCAGCTAAAACTCTTTCTTGGAATTTTGGATTTTCAAGTTCTTTGTTAACTTTATCTAAGACTGATTTGACTAATTGTTCTTGTTCTAATTGTCTTTGTTGTTGTTCGTATCTAACCCATGAGTCTAAGGTGGATTTAGCTTCGTGAGCAACAGCGAGTTTTTGCTTTAATTCAAAACTTTTAGCTTCTAATTCAGCAGTTTCTTTAGAGATGGCGAATAATTGTTCAGTGACGGAGACAACATCTTTTAATTGTGAAACGGAATTGATTCTATCTTGAACGGCAGAGACATGTTTAGTTCTTGATTCATTTAATAAGTCATTAACTTTTTTGATTTCACCATCAGCCCATTCGGTATATAAAGGAGCAATGAATTTGGCAACTAAGGCAGCAAATGAAGCGAAACAAACAACTAAGATGGTTTCATCATGTAAAACAATTAATTCATTTGAAATACCATAGATGGCAGCAGCAGCACTAGTAGCTAAAACACCGGTTTTAGATAAGTAACTGTTACCTGGTAATGCATCAATGATTGAACTAGCCTTTTGTTTTGGTTCAACTGGGGCTGGAGTGGAAAGATAACGTAATCCAATTCTAAAAGTAATAAAGTTAGTATATAATTCTTATTCCATTGCAATGGGTAAATGCATGTGGATGATGCTAGAAACCAAACTTAACACAGTTCAATTAACACCACACATTGAAGATTTCGACATACAAGGATGGACGAATAGACTTTCCGACGATTGAACGACTGGATCTTAAAGCTATTCTATTTAACATAGACATTGTTGATGTATTAGCTATCTGGTATAGTTAAAGCTTTAAGTGTTTTCTTTAACGATTGATCTTTTTCATTAAAAATTCTCTGTATTGAAAAAATGCGAGAATGGAATTTTTTGGTCGAAAATGAATTTGATTGGAAGATCACTCGACTTCCTATTTGGGTAATGTGCTCACTGAGAATGAAGTAATAGTTAAAATTACAAATATCTACTATTTATCATATATGAATCGTTATATCATTGAAATATTCTATAAAAGTCTATAAAAGTATAATATCCCTACAATACCAACAGTTTATGAATCAATAAATTCAAGTTTATCATCTAATTAGGTAATTCAGATGCATATCTTTCTTGTAATAATTGATTAATAGCTCTATTCGTTCGAAACTGGGCTTTGTTTAGGTTGATCTCAATATCTTTCTTTAAATCGGCAGTGAATATCTTAGTATCACTCTTCTCTTCTGGAGCAACTGCAAAAGATAAGTCTGTAGCTTTTTGTTGTGCCTTGTGAAGAATCTCTTGTTGAAGCCTTGATGCAATTGCTTCAACTGTATCACCGCCATCCCCAGTGAGCTGTAGACTAGGAACTATATCTGATTGTTGTTCTATTTGTACTTCAACTGATTCCTTTTCTAATAATTCTTTAGGTTGTTCATGGTTTGTTGCTAAAGGTACTTCCTCAGTTGACTTTATTTCAACCTCATTTCCATTCCCATTTTCAGCTGCAAGCCTCTTCTTTCTAAGAGCAGCTAGTCTTGATTTTCTATCTTCCCCAGTAGAACCATCTGTTGACATTGTTATGAAGCAGTGTGATCTAAATAAAAGGTATCACCAAGAATACATCTAAAATCTCTATGTCTCACTTTAACTCAAGTCAAAAAAAATATTTAATTTTGACTGCAACAATTGAATCGGCTGCCATTTTTATTCATCCCACTTCAGAATCAAGAATACAATGTCCATATTAGATCATATTGAGTCCTTTTTGGATTCAAGTGATGGCGATGATAGTGGTTATTACCTTTTTGAAAATTGATTGATTGCTCAAGTGCATCGTACTAACATTATTAATAGATGTTGTAAATTTGCCAAATACAAGATACAACCCACAATCGTTGAGAGAAGAGTTTAGTTATACTGATGGAGGAGAACAACCTAGAGTATATGAATCTCCCTTTACTTCTTTCAAGTCAGGAAGTGATAGTATTCAATATGATGAATCGCAACAGATAAAACAGATACTACCATTCGAACAGCCGTACAAAGATAACCAAAGTAACTATTACAGTCAAAATCGAAAGGCTCCTAAATACAATTTAAAGAATCACACTGATAATTTTCAAGCTAATCGAGTTGAAAGAAATATAAGTACATCTATTCTACCAACAAAACTCCGTTCAGTGTTCAGTTTTCAAAACTTTAATAGAATGCAAAGCGAATCATTTAATCATGTCTATAAATCTGATAATAATTGTGTGGTGAGTGCCCCTACGGGATCAGGAAAGACTGTTTTGTTTGAGTTGGCTATTCTAAGGTTGTTTGGTATGGATAACAACTGTGCAGAGATGAACACTTGGAAAGTTCTTTATTTGGCTCCTACTAAAGCATTATGCAGTGAGAAATATGAAAGTTGGAAGCAGATTTTTGATGGTCTCGATATCTCAGTAGTGGTTTTGACAGGTGATACAACATTCTTAGAAGCGGATAATGTCAAAAAGTCTAACATAATCGTATCAACTCCTGAAAAGTGGGATCTTCTTACTAGAAGATGGGCCGATTACGAGAAATTGTTTAGTTTGGTTCGTCTTCTATTGGTTGATGAGATACATATACTAATTGATGAGATACATATACTAAAGGATGCTAGAGGTTCTACCTTGGAAGTTCTCATTACAAGGATGAAGAAATTTTGTCCTAACGTTAGAATTTTAGCTTTATCAGCTACAGTACCAAATGTGACTGATATTTCACAGTGGTTAAAGTTGAAGAACAATTCTACTCACCCTTCTATTGCATTGTCTTTTAATGATGGATACAGAGCAGTTGAATTGGAAAGAATAGTCTATGGATTTAAACCACAAACTGAGAATGATTTTCAATTTGACTATCTATTGAATTCCAAGCTAATTGAAATTATAAGAGATAGCAGTTTAGGCAAATCGGTGCTTATATTTTGCCCTACTAGAAGTAGTGCTACCAACACTGCTAAATATCTTTATACTAATTACGAAGGTGTTTTCGGAAGGGTCTCAAAATCTTTTGATAAATACAAAAATAAAGACTTAGGAAAATATGCAACCAAAGGCATTTGCTTTCATCATGCTGGTATATCATATGATGATAGGAGAGTAGTTGAAAAAGAATTTCTTGATGGTCACATCGGTGTCTTGTGTTCAACTACGACATTAGCAATAGGAATTAATTTGCCGGCATATCTAGTTATAATCAAAGGAACTAAATGTTGGTTAAATGGCGGTTTCACAGAATATGCAGAGACTGATATATTGCAGATGGTTGGAAGAGCAGGCAGGCCCCAGTTTGAAACTAAAGGTGTTGCTGTGATTTTAACTACTTTAAAAGAGAAACAAAAGTATGAAAGGTTGGTTAATGGTAATGAAAAGATTGAAAGCAGCTTACATTTGAACTTTGAAGAAAACTTGGTGGCAGAGATCAGCTTGGGTACAATAAAAAGCATTGATGATGCTTTGACCTGGATTCGATCAACCTTTTTCTACGTGAGATTTATTGCCAATCCAGCTTATTACTTGACGGTTCCAGTTGTTTCGAATTCTGATAATCTTTCTCAACGTCTTGAAAACTTTTGCAAAGATAAATTGAACCTTTTACTTCAAGAACAGATGATTTTGTCTTCGGTAGAAACCTATAAATGTACTCCGTATGGCACTGCGATGTCAAAGCATTATATTTTGTTTAATAGCATGTGCTCCATCATACGTACAACTAAATTTCAAACTGTTAGGGAATTGTTACTTTTGATATCGCATTGTGACGAATTCAAGGACCTGAAACTAAGAGCTCTGGAGAAGAAGCTATTTCGTGAGATAAATCTGTCGCCATTCATTAGATTCCCGATTGAAAAGGATGACTTCAAAAATGAGGCAAAGATAATGTTATTGATTCAGTACGAACTTGGTAGTGTAGAGTACCCCACATATAATGGGGCTCTTAAACATCATCCAACATTCTTAAGTGATAAAATGTATGTTTTCAAGCAAGTTCCTAGAATTTTAAGAGCAATGATTGATGTGTTTATCGCCAGGAAAGATTATATATCTCTTGTCGGCTGTATGAATCTTTCTAGATGTATACAAGGGAAATGTTGGGAAGGAAGTACTTCAGAATTGAAGCAAATTTCAGGTGTTGGTTCAGCATATATCAAGAAATTTGAAAAACACAACGTAAATAGTCTAGAGAAGGCCAGAAAATTAACTTCAAGCCAAATTGAATATTACTTGGGTTTAAAGATAGGTGGAAGCTCAAAGATTTGTGCAAGCTTGAAGTCCCTTCCTGAGTTAAGGTTGTCAGTGACACTATTGGGGACGGATGTCAGAGAAGGTAATTCAGCGGTAGTTAATCTATCTATATCAATTTCAGTTGAGAATGCAAAACAGTCTTCAACCTTGAAAGGCAAGTACCAAATTTTGAATGTGGTTTCTGGGATTTCTACCGGCCAATTGGTAGACTTCAGGCGAATTGCTATTTCAAAACTTCAAGATGGGGAGCTGAAGTCTTTCACTCTCTCTATTTCTGTCAATAATCATAACTCTCTGATAGTTACCTCTATATCTTCAGAAAATATTGCTGGAATAATTGCCAATTCTAGCATACTGTTAAGGACTCTTTTTGCCAATAATGAATTGCTAAGCCAAGAGTTCGAAGATAATGACGAAGTAGGTCAAAGTGAAAGTTGGAATACGGAACGGGATTTAGTTATAACCTCATATACTGCGTCGGATAATAAATCTTCAATCACAAAGATAAAGGAGGAGTCTGTTGTTACTGAAGAAGTTGATATAGTACAACAAGATAAGAGGCGGTATTTACCAAATGGCAATTATGAATGTAACCATGCCTGTAAAGATAAAGGATCTTGTAGGCATTATTGCTGCAAGCAGGGAATTCCTGTTCAAGTCCCTAAACTTAAAAGGCAGCGTGCAAACTCTGATATCAAGCCTAAAGATTTGAATATAGTGAAAGAAGCAAATATCGCTATTAAATCATCTATGTCATCTTCTGAGAATAATGATAAAGGAAATACCGTTCTAGAAGATGTCAGTCTCAAGAAAAGCTCTGAAATACATTTGGTCAGAAGACCACCAAAGATGATTAAGTTATCTGCTGTACGACTGAAGAGTATTTTTGAGGACTATGATAGTGATCCATTTGCTGACAATCATGATTTGTTCCAGAGTGCAAATTCTGTACCTATAAGTAAGCGTGTGCTTCCAGATTCAAGGCCACCTCCGGTTCCCATGTCTGTAAATGTGCCTATTCCAGAACGAGTTCCAGCCAAGGTATTTACTATTCAGAATCGAACCTTAGATTCAGTAATACAAAAATCATCGAAACTTGAACCTGAAGTAAGCTGCTCCGCTATAAATAAGTTAACGTTACCGGAAATACAAAGTGATACGTCAGATTCAGTAAGATTACTCTTAGATTCAGATGTTGAATTCCAATACTAAATAGATTCTATAAAATTCCTATTGAAATGTACCTAAAAATTTAATTGAAATATCTTCAAAGAATTCATCCGTAATTGTCATATGATCTTCATCGATGTTTAAGAACTCTATCTTATTTTCGGCGTGTAATGACTTTAATCCGATCAAATCATCTTGATAAATTCTTGTATTTTCAAACCCAATCACATCACCAGTTTCTCCATCAACATCAAAAAATGAAGCACTGTCCTTGGGCACCAATGTAGTATCTTGAGTAAACGTAATTAATACTAACTTATTAATACTTTGAAAGTTCTCCTTATATGTAGAGTTGAATTCTTCCCTTTCGTTATTTATATCAGCTAAGAAATTAGAGTGTTCTAAGTAACTTGAGTAAGCAAAAGGGTCTCTAAAGTATTGAGCCGGAATTACAGATCTCTGTACAGTATCATACCACACTTGTTTCTTAAGTAAAGCGTTTCTTGACTTACATACCCAATCTGAAGGATTCTCACATAAAGGAAGCTCCAGGACACCATTATGAGGAGACCCAAAGGTTATCAAGTTATGTACCTTCAAATCTGAACATCTCTCTATTAAAGCTCTCAAGAATAACCCTCCTTGTGAAAATCCAACAGCATCAAACCCTCCCTCAAGCTCCGGTCTAGCCTTAAGGTCATCACATACAGTTTCTAATTCGACATTTGCATTTCCAAAAATAGACTTCTTTTGATCATCTTTTGGGGTTTCTGCTAAGCTTACTGGAAGAACAAATATTCCTGGATAGTGCGTTTCAAGTATTTCGGAAGCTCTATGCATAAATGAAGAATTGAAGTTGTCCCCTAATCCATGCCAAAACACCACTGGTCTAATGTCGGAGACAATGTCTTGTTTCGGAGTTGACTTTATACTGTACACATCATTAACTACTTCAGGAGATGACCAGTTCTCTGAAATAGATAATAGGAAATAAACAAAGCTTTTATCAAATAGTGTAGTTAATTGCATGATGGAGTTTGAGATATGTAACTACTCCACAATTGCAATCTTCATCTGCGTTTTTGTATCTCTCGTGAGATAAAGGAGGAGGATGAGGCAAAAAAAAATAGAAAATGCTCCACGGCAGGTTCGAACTGTCGACCTTCAGATTTCACAATCGTAATTAACTATGAGACTGACGCTCTACCAACTGAGCTAGTGAAGCATGTTCATGTTTTACAAAATTCAGCCAGTTGGTGAAACCAACACGAATATAAATAGCTAAAAATGGGTAAATATTACTGTTTTTGATGTTTTGTTACCTTTATTAATATAATAAGACAATTTTAAATGTTTTCTAGATTTAATTTTGTCATTATCACTTTTTTTGGGTGAGATATTGAACGACGTATTTCTGGAATTTTTCACAAATTTTGGAAAAAAATTGATTGCAAAAATAGTATTTTTTTTTCTAATGAGTAGCATTTATTATGTATCTAAAAAGTAGACTTAGTATCTAAAGAAAAGATAGTATTCATAATTAATATTTAAACCGACAACTTATAGAAATTTGAAAGTTTCCACTCCATTTATATTTCTAAATTTATAGAATATTAAATAAATGTATATTTCGAAAAAAAAAATGAAAGTTTTTAAGGTAAGATATTTGGTGATTGATGGATAATGTATTGACTTATTAAGAAGAGTCTTTCTGTCTAATAATATTCTTCTGGAATATTTGCTACAAGGCCAAAAAGAGGTCCCAACACATTATTGTATATTACACTATTTAGACTAAATTAAAACATAAGACAACAAGATTACTCATAACATCTTCTTTGCAATATTTTGCATCTCACGACTAGTTGAAGCAAATATAATCTGATCTACAGGTAGAGTTGGTGCAACTAAACTTGAAGAAAGTGGTTCTCTCTCATTAGCGTTAGTAACGTGATCTATTCCCACATCTTCAGTCAAGAACTTGTAAGATAACTTTGGGAATGATTGATTGATGGTCTTAGTTGCAGTTAAAAATAAGCTCTTTCCTAATGACAACTCGTCCAGAGAATTATCACCTTCTTCAATATCACTATGTGATGGTATTATGGAGCTTGATTTTTCATATCTTGGTAAATTATTAAGAAATTGAATAATATATGTAAGCTTTTCTTTGTATGATCCTAGTAATATTATATAGCTCAATGATCTTACTCTTAAAGAACTCACTATTTTGCTTTTTCTGAATTCAAAATTCTTCTGTTGTTCGAGTTGATTGATTTTTGGAACTGAGATTGCACTTGAATGGGTACTTCCTGGACGAGAAGCCGATTTATCAAGGTCATCAGATAACACATAAGATAAAGATGATTTCAAGAATAATAACTCCAGATTATAGGTATCACTCATTTTAAAATACTGTTGAATTTCCGTAAGCTTTAACAAACTATTCATAATGAACATTAATGAAATTTCTTGACGTTCCAAAAGACCAATTGTGTTATCGTTAAGCCTCTCAAATCCTTTTGAAGATTTACCATCTCCATATGGGAACAAAGACTTACTAAGGTTTGGAAAGTAAAGTAAAACTTTAAAGTATACATCAGCTTTTCTATTATATTCAACTGAACTCTCCAAGATAGACAATGTTAGATAGTTCAAGGCAACATATTTATAATAATGAAGAATATCATTCAAGGTAATTTCTGACTTGTCTATAACTTTGGTAAGATATTTGGGATCAATAACTGGTAATGATGTTAACGCTAGTAATAAATGCGATTCACCAACCATATAAATAACTCTAACAAATTGAGTGACAAGAGGCAATCCATCAACAACCAACTTTTCACGTTCAAAGATACTAACCAAACATTGTTGAATATGAACAAGGATGAATTCAGAAAAGTTTAAATAACTGGTATCATCTACTCTATCTATGACTAACATTTCAAGGGAGTTGTATAATAATTCTTGGAATGGCTCAAATACCTGGGATGAAACCAATTTATCAATTGATAAGACTTCACTTGATAAAAATCTTTCTAAAAGTATTCCAAAATCGGATGCTAATTGATTCAAGGAAGGGCCAATGGATTCCATTAATTTCATATATGATTCAAGCTCAAAGGGAGAAATGTTGATATAATTCTTGCAAAGGTTGTCATTGCACTCAATCAATATTTCCACTAAGGATAATAATGACTCAAGCCAAAGATAATGATGAGTTCTTAAATCATTACGAACTAAAAGACTTTTCACTTCACCAAAATATTCCTGTAAATCATGAATCTTAGTATTATAGTCGCTGATGTTAACTCTAACACTGAATTGATTCTTATCAAACCTATCTTTATGATACTTTCGGATTGCTGCCAATAGAGCACTCAATTCCAAAGTAGATAACACATCCTCACTAAGATATGTTATTTTAGATGCATTCATCTCTTAACCCAATAGATCATAGAATATCATAGATAAACAAAAAGGATTCTTTATTTCTTTATCCAAATCATTTTTGTCCCTCTCCATTTTTAGGTGCTGCTAAAAATTTACCTCTACACGATTGCGAATTAAATTAATTTAAATCTATTAAACAACTATAAACTCTATTAAGAAAAACAATATAAAAGACTTCAAGTCTTCTTTCTAAAGAGTTCACCATAGTAAGGATCAGAATATTTCTCATAACTACTTTTAGTCCATCTTCTGAATGTTTTACCATACTTTATCATAAAGATAAAACTACCATTTATGACTATAGAAAGCATGAATAAGAGCCAAGTAAGAACTTTCAAACCATTATGATCTAACCAAGGTTGGAAACCAAATGTGAAACCCATACCTATACAATTTCTGAGGAAAAGCATTAACACAAGCCCTTCACTAGCAACCTTTTGATAAGAATCAACTGCATAAGATAAACAAATGGCTCCTGATGAACTCATAGCTACACCCAATAAACCTTGACCTATAATAGCTGGAACTGCCCAATGAGCACCATAGGATGCACCTAAACCATATGCAAGCAAACCAGCTGCATTGACAATAGTTGGAACAACCATAGCATATAATCTAAATTCTGGTTCTAACACCCCATTATTTCTTCTAGCCAATCTGATAGTTAACCAATCAACAAAAGGTCCACCATAAAGCATACCAATAATACTACCCACACAACAAGAAATATTTGTTAAACCAACTTTATTGGCACTAAAATAATAAGGTGCCCCGGAAAAGATAATTGATTGAGAAGTTGATAATAATGATAAATACATCATTTGAGCACCATAAAGAATACCACCCCAAATAATAGCTGGGAAAGAAACCAAGAAGAATGGTCTGTAAAAAATAGTTAACCATGATCTTTCATCATTATATTCTAACTCAAAGATCTTCATTCTTTGCCAATAGGTTCTGACAGGAATTGAATAATCAACTGAGGCATCATCATCAGAAAGCAGATGACTAGAAACTTCCTTTGTATTAGCTAAAATATGATGTTCTTTTTCTTTTGAGCCTACTTCCACAGTTTCTCTTGATTTAATTTGGTCAAGAATATTTTCTTCAAGTGTTTCTTCATTATAGTCTCTACGGAAGGTAGTATCTTCCATGAAGAAAAGTAAAACTATAAAGAGAACTCCAAAAATAATAACTTGAAAATAAAAACACCATTGCCATCCCATAGATTGAGTAATGTAACCACAAGCAACTGGACCAAGAAATGAACCAGCATATAAAGCTAAAATCAACCAAGCAAGAGCAGATGCTCTTTCATGTTGGAAGAAAACATCAGTAGAAGAAATTTCAACTAAAGAATCAACTGGAGCAGCTGCGAAACCACCGAGAATATTATTTATATCTAAGGATACAATATTCAGGGCTTGAGCACCAACAACACAAGACACTAAGACAATAATCGTACAAAGTAAGTAAACAAATCTTCTACCTAACTTTAAAGCTGTTGGTTGTAAAACCAAACACCCAACTCCAAGGAATAAGAAACAAAGGGCCGAAGTAACATTTAATTGGAAAAAACTAACATTAAAATCTACACTCCATATTTCCCAAAGGGGACCAGAAAAATTAACCGCAACCGCTAATAAAAAGGCCCTAAATTTGACACATTAGTATTTTTTAACGTCGAACATTTTAAAAAGAACAAAATATAACACATACCAGAACCAAAGTAAAGCAAATTGTTTAATTTTCTTGGTTTGGGTCCATCTTAATGGATCATTTGGATTTGAAGAAGGTTGTGGTAAAAGAATAATGTTTCTATCATCATTATTCTTTTTCACATCTAAATTACCTTCTAAATCAACCAAATGAATAGTCCCTGGGACATTATCGTAATGCTTCTTACTTTCAGATTTAGTTAAATCAGTTTTCATTGTAGAATATTTGATTTTGTCTGTTGTTACTATAAACCATAATAATGGTAATTTAATTTAAGGACAAATATAAATCATTATATACCTTGCTGCTTACATATGTATGGTTTCATAACCAGTTCATTCTAGCGGCTAATGCCACATTGATTTAAAGATAATGAATGATTTGGTATCAAAAGGCGGTTAATTTATTTTCTTTTATCTATAAAATTGAAATGATCTGATAACTATTGTTATATTATTAAACTTATCAGTAATCAGCCTGTCGCAATTTGACCCCTTATTAGGGATAATATGATACTTTAAAATTTTTTTCCGTTAAATAGAAATATGGTTTGCACTTTCCTATTTAGGCAATACATTTCGCGTGGAGACTCCTTACTGAAAGATTAGCCTTACATTGACTCTGTTTAATTATAGATTAATTAATATCTGTGTTTAAACAGCAACTAATATTTAGATTAGATTAGTGTAAAATATAATAGAATTTTAAATCTAATTGTATTCAAAACCTGAAATATTATTTCTTGTGAGCCAAGTTAGGCAGTTCCTAGCAGATATGTAGATCCACATAATGGGCCGCAAAATTCGTTCTCCACTCCTCTAGTTATTAAAGGCATTTAGGTTCTTGAGTTCCCGCTACTGTCTGCCTAGCGATCAACCCATTTTTACCCCACAGTGGTTAATACTTTTCGAAGGGTTTTTCAATTACATTCAAGAATACATCATTACATACACAAAAGGCCGATAGCGCTTTACTAGATTTGTAGACTCTGAGGGGGTCCAGCCGATGGCCCGTAACATTCTTTGAAGACTTGTTCTTTATATTAGTTAGCTAAGCGTATTTACAATGTAGGAAATGGTAATTTCCTATGACATCTATTTACAATTTCAAAATAATCTATTTCTGACTCCGGAGTAATATAACCATGTCTAATTAAAAAATCAATGATGACAAGTCCACTATTTGGTTTAAATTCATTATTTTTAATTCTTGCAAGAAGCTCCTCTACGTTTAATAATTGAAAATCTTCTGCTTCTCCATCTATAGGTGTAGGTTTAACATCACTTTCATTTTCAAATTCAATGTCATAAATAAATTCAACTTCGGGTTGAACTCTTTCATCTTCAGTAAAATAAATATACAGAAGAACTCCAGCTGATTTTGCATGCGATTCAACAAATGAAGCTTCTAAACCTGCTTCTTCATAGCATTCCTTCACAACTGTCTCCCAGATCCCATACGGATATCCTAAACCACCAGCGACTGTATTATCTAATAAACCAGGAAATGTTGATTTTGTAGCTGATCTTCTAGGAACCCACATCTTCAATGATCCATCTGATGAGTTCTTTGGTGATATATACCCACAAATATGAGCTCCATAGGTTATACAACCAGTTAAAACAGAAAACGCCCTTTCAAGATGCATATATGGAGTATGACTAGGATTATACACAGTGTACAACTCATTTCTCCAACCACGATCTAATAACTCTTCAAATACAGGCAATTTTCTCCATTCATTTGCAACGGTACTAAATAATTCATCTCGTTTTGATAATGTATCATATTCTGGATTTATGGTGATTAATTTCTTGTCATGATTTACACCAAAGCCTGTCGAATTTTCAAAATGCTTTGCAATATCAATCCTCACTAAACCAATTGCTGTAACCCCATCATGTGCAACTAGGGTATAGTTCACAGCATCTATCAGGTATGAATATGAGTCAACTTTATCAATTGTGTCCAATAATGACATTTTGTAGACAAATCTTTTGATTTCAAATAATTTATGGATTTGATTAATTTGGCGGACAAAGTATCAAAGAACCAAAAAAAATAATCTGATATCTATAAAAAAAAAAGACCATTTGCAAAATAACCTTTGCACCAAGCAACTTATGTGCATACGAATCCAATGCTAGGTTCTTCAAAGTCACTAATAAAGGGGCTAGACTCTTTATTTGATACTTGGAAAGAAGATGGAGTTAATACTTTAGACACTTCCGAGCTATTGAAGATCATAGCGCAATTTTTAGATCGACATAATACTTTGCAAATAATACGGCAATCAACTAGCATAAATGACGAGTTATTCAGATTATACAAAACTTATATCCAACCATCATCAAATCTATCGAAAGAAGTCACATTCTTGAAGTTACTTTATCAATTACTGCCCGTCCTTAATAAAAAAGAGATATTCTTATGGTTAACCACTTATTTGAAACCTGCAGTAGATAGTGCTGGGTATGATCTAAAGTTTGTGGAAAGCTCTAGAGAGTTTATCAGAAGAGTAACGATAAACCTATTTCCCACTGATGATCCTGAGCTAAGAAATGGAAGACAAGAGATTGCCAGCGATATAGCGAAAAAGTTAATGGAACTATATATTGGAACTGACGACTTAGTTTACGAAATAATAAAATTGAAACCATCCCAAGCAGAAAAGGATACTCAAGTATACGAAGAGAGATTGCGGTTCATTAAGCAAAACTGTCAGACACTAATCCAAGAATACGGGTTAACTAACACTGAAGATTATCTCAGATTGATAAATTCATTTATAATATCTCCTACACAAAGATTAGCAAGTTTAACTCTTTTATCATCACTAATTTCATCCAACACATCTCAAATTCTCCAAATTACTAATACAGATCTATTTCCAAACATCATGAAATGCTTACTGTATGATTTCAGTGAAAGTGTGATTCTTTCTCTGTTATCAATCTTGATAATGTTAATTCCTCAAATTTGTCATAAGATTGCAAGTTATTTATCAGATATACTAGTGATATATATTCGAATAATGAATTGGGAAGAGTTCAATAAATATGTGCCGAAGAGATATGAAGTCCTATTAGGATATATGGAAGAGGCTAATGTCAACTGGACCATAACAAACTTTGATCAATCTACTGATTACTCAAATTTTGATTCAGTAACAACCAAGATGGAATTTGATATTGTACATCTCGGAACCTTAATCTATGGTTTGTTCCCATTGAGTTTAAGTAAGTTTTGTCAATCTCCATTTACTTATCTAAAACATAATGTTCCTAAGTTCATTAATCCAAATTACATAGCCAGATTAGATGCCGAAATTAAACTTAAAGGTCCTACCACTGATAGAATAGAATATACCACACGTATCAAAACGAAAGCATTATACCAGAGCTTGTTAGTCCATCCAAAATTTATTGACTTTGATAAAAACACTATAGAACAAGAATTGAAAAATCCAATCCAATGGATTCTTGATGTCAATGATGGAGAATCGATAGGTACTGAAGAAGTAGCTATAACTTGTTTAAGTTTGAATCCCGATATTTTAGTCACCCTTAGTGATACATTAACAACAATTCCAAACGTACAATCAAGCGATTCGCCAATAACTCCGAAACTTATTTCCCGAAACTCTTCTATCGGAAGTCCTTTAAATAGCCCTTTAAGTACATTAGTTGCAAGTTCAGTTCAGAACATTCACCGAAAAATGTCAATAATACCTACAAATCTAGTCATTGAACATCAAAGAGAGACACCAGATGTTTTCTTTAAGGATATTAAATTTGATGAGGGCAAGTCTGAGGTTGAAGATTCTACGCTTAATAGTTTTGATATGCAAGAAGAGAAACACGATGAACCAATATCAGATTTATTAACCACTCACGAGAAACTCTTTGGTCCAAAGACGAAGCTAGGACCTACTGATCTTGCAAGAAAACCTTCTATATTGAAATCAGAGGTTAGAATACAAAGACCAATTTCATCCCCAACTACGTCAGTTGAAACGACCACTGTTGCTCACAAAGGTTCAATAGGTAGCAGTTCAACTGGCTCATCGTTGAATAATAATGCAGCTGTTAACGGTGGTACAGCTTTAGACTATTATCAGAGAGAGCTTCTTTTAATGAAGAATGCCTTGGAATTTTCAAGTTATATGAAACATTTGAATAAATTCCATTACATTCGACTCAAATTAAAGATGAACAAATTGTTGAGAGAAGCAAGTTTGCATTATCAATCGATTGAACACAAAAATAATCTATTACAGATCCAAGAGTTAAACGAAAGCTCGGATGATATGAAGGGTGCTTTATCATCGTTACAGCTCGAAGCTGATAATAGCAAATCTGCTGCTGATAATGAAAAATCTGGATTGTTTACTCAATTGCAGGAATTACAAGAGAAGAATAGAGACTTGAAGTATTTATTTGAAGAGATTCAGAATGAAAACAACCTGCTTCATGGTGATTTGAATCAATTGAATGAAAGAATCATTCCTATAAAAGATCTTGAAATTGAAAATTTGAAGGTTAAGTTGAAAGAGTTAGAAACCAATCAAGTCAATAATAATAAAGCTGCCAAGAAAAGTACAGAAGAAGAAGAAGAAGTATCGACAGATATGTCAGAGATAGAACGAAAACTTGTTAGATTAAGAGATGAACTTTTGGTACTGCAAGATAAGAATTCAAAAATCGCCCAAGAGTTATCTAAATCGCAAGATGCTTACCAGGCAATGCAAAAAAGTTATGAATACAAACTTGCATCGTCTAAAATCGATCTTAATGAGAATATTAATTCGTTCACATCTCATTATGATAAGAAAATTCAAGAATTAAGTACAACCATACTTAAATATGAGGCGTTAATAGAAGAAAAGAATTCAAAAATTTTACAATTATCATCTTCAAAACCAATTTCGATACCAATGTCTACAGGGGGTTATAGAATTCCTGACAATAGAATACCACAAAGACTTTCGAGAACTTCAACAACGGCTGATTTCAATGAAGGTTATATACAAGAAAAGGACAGATCTAACTCATCTCTAGATCTGATTTCACCTCCACCTTCAAATGTACATCTTGGACACCAACCTACGTTCTCTAATTATCCTCAATTCAAGCATCAGATGCAGACCGCGGTTGGGTCAATTCCACCACAACTTCAAAACAAAACACCAAGCACATTGTTAGGACAACAATTGCAACAACAACAGTTACAACAGCAACTGTCACAACAACAACAACAACAACAACAACCAATTATCAGAGGAAGAGGAGGACTTCAAAAGAGATCTAAAAAGATGATGTGAAACTAATCATATATAAATTATTTAGTTTTGTGTAACGACCTGTATATAAATCATTCAATTTTATAATTTTATAATTACGTGTCGTTGTGAAAAATTCGGTGGGTGTCAAAAATGATTAACATTACACACATTAGTTTTGATTCAATTGAAATTGAACTTGGCGTATACAATTGCTAGTGGAAAATGTCAACTCTCAAGAAAAGAGGTGGTAAGAAAGGTGCAGTGGCCACCACTACTAGTTCAATCGAGCTTCCTGAAGATGACAAGGTTGTTTCTGTGGAGAAAACTGATTCAGAATTCAAGTATTGGCTTGGATTAATGCTTGTGACAGGATTAGCAATTTACACCAGATTTAACAAGATCAGTATTCCTGATAAAGTTGTTTTCGATGAAGTTCATTTTGGGAAATTTGCTTCCTATTACTTAGAAAGAACTTATTTCTTTGATTTGCATCCACCATTTGCTAAAATGTTGATTGCTTTTGCTGGTTGGTTAATTGGATATAGTGGTAAATTCAAATTTGATAACATCGGTGATTCTTATATCGACAATAGTGTTCCTTACATTGCATACAGAGCACTCCTGGCCATTCAAGGTTCAGCTATTGTTCCACTCATTTACTTAACTATGAAGAATTTGAAATTTTCAATTCCAGCTTGTTTATTATCATCTATTATTGTTTGTTTTGATAATGCTCAAGTGGCTGATAGTAGATTGATCTTATTAGATGCTACCTTGAATTTAAGTGTAGCTTTGACTATGTTTACTTATACTAAGTTTTCTACTTTCAGAAAGCAACCATTTTCTCAGGATTGGTGGATTTGGCTTATTGCTACTGGTGTATCACTTTCATGTGTTATTTCCACCAAATATGTTGGTGTATTTACATTTGTCACTATTGGTCTTGCCGTCTTACATGAATTATGGATTTTATTAGATTATAAGAAAGGATTAACTTTAGTTGAATTTTCAAAACATTTCTTTTCAAGATTCTTTGCTTTAATTATCGTTCCTTTCACTATTTACTTATTCTGGTTTTACTTACATTTTGCTATCCTTAATAAATCTGGTCCAGGTGATTCATTTATGTCATCTGAATTCCAAGAAACTTTACTGGAATCTCCATTGGCTAAATTTTCTAAGCCAGTTAAATTTTACGATACCATTACCATCAAGCACAAGGAAACCGATGCATTTTTACATTCCCATGAATTTGTTTATCCATTACGTTATGAAGATGGTAGAATTTCTTCCAATAAACAACAAGTTACTTGTGTTTTCGATCCTGATAGCAAGGAACACCTTGATGCAAACAACCACTGGGTCGTTGAACCAGCTTCTGCTGATGTTCAAAAGGGTGTTGATATCTTTACCAATGATGTTATTAGACTTAGACATGCTGGTACCAACGGGTACTTGCTTGCACACGATGTTGCTTCTCCATTAAAACCAACTAATGAAGAATTCATTGTTGTTCATGGAGAAGATGCTCAAGCTCACTATAACGAAACCTTATTCAGACTTCGTGATGCTGAAGGTGGATCTAACAAGAACAAAAATAGAAGAAAGTTAGTTAAGACCAAAGCTTCTCCATTAAGAATTGTCCATGTAGATACAGTTGTTGCTATGTGGACTCATGATGATGAAGTTTTACCAGATTGGGGATTCGGACAACAAGAAGTCAGTGGTAACAAAAAGATCCAACAAACTGATAATATTTGGACTTTTGATAATATTATCGGTCTTCAAGCTGGTGATAAGAGATCTCAATATGTTCCAAAAGAAGTAAAGAAAATTCCATTCTTAAAGAAATGGTGGGAATTACAAGGTTTAATGTTCCATCACAATAACATCTTAACTTCAGAACATCCTTTCGCCTCCCAACCAGATTCATGGCCATTGGCTTTATCCGGTGTGTCTTTCTATAATGATAATGATTTAAGAAGACAAATTTTCTTTACTGGTAACATTGTTGGTTTCTGGTCAGAAGTTGCATTCCTTGCTATTTATCTTGGTTTATTATTAGCCGATCAAATTAGTAGAAGACGTGATGTTTACATATTAAGTGATAAAGCAAGATCTAGATTATATAATACATTAGGATTTTTCTTTGTGGGTTGGAGTTCACATTATTTCCCATTCTACCTTATGAATCGTCAAAAATTCTTACACCATTATTTACCTGCTCATTTAATAGCGGCTTTATTTACTGGTGGTATAGTTGAATTCCTCTGTACCAACAATAGCAGAATCAATGATGGTACTCCAAAGGGAGTAAACAAAATCAAGATTTCCCTCCTTGTTGCCCTCTTATCAGGTGGTATTGTTTGGTTTTTCTTCTACTTCAGACCATTAACTTATGGTGATGTTTCTTTAACTGTAGAAGAAGTTAAAGCAAGACAATGGTTTGATATTAAATTGCATTACGCTAAATAATTCTAATATCTCACCTTCTATTAGACCCTCTACTTTACACTATATAGGAATCGTATATTAAATATTGTAATTAAAAAAAAAAGTTGTATTTTATATTAAAGTTAAAGTTAAAGTTGAGTGCCAAATTTGATCCAAAGAAAAAAGCAAACATGAAAAAACAATAACGATCCCATCTTGCATCTGTGATATCACGAATTCAATCAGGGAATGTCAGTCAGGAGCTTTTTAACGACCTTAAGGAGTAAGATCGATTCAAAGACCCTTAAGGTTCCATATTCATTTGTCACTGGTAATCAATCGGCAGATTTAGATTCGGTCATTAGTGCTATATCATACTCGTATTTAGATAATGTCTATGATAATACTTCATTTATAATTCCCTTGGTAAACATTCCTAAGAAGGATCTCAAGCTTAGACGAGACATTGAATTGCTCTTGAAATCTCATTCTATTGATGAAGATTTGTTATATTTTGTGGAGGATTTTGAATTGTTGAATGCAAAGGCACCAATCACTCAAATTGCTCTTGTTGATCATTGTAATATTCAAGGGGATATTTTAACCAGATTCTTGAATGAAAACAGATTAAAGGTAAACGCCATTATCGATCATCATGATGACGAGAAGGTTTTCTTAGATGCTACTCCTAGAATTATTCACTCTAACGGTTCTTGTTCAGCTTTAGTCTTCAAATACTGGTATGAGAAATTACATGAAAGTGCATTAAAGGAACACTCTGAAATATTGGAGCTTTTATTGGGACCATTATTAATAGACACTTCAAATATGACTCAAAAAGTTGAAGATGGTGATGCATTTGCATGGAGTGAATATAAAAAACTTCTCTCTTTTCAACTGGATAGTTACATTACCAAAGTTATTAAGACAGACACTGCCACTACTGAAGATGATGTTTTTGGGGAATTTTACAGTGCATTGAAGACTGCTAAGAAAGATTTAACAGGCTTCACATTTGAGGACGTCATGCTCAAGGATTACAAACAATTTTTATTTTCATCTAATGAAACGGTGGGATTTAGTTCAATAGGAAAATCCATCAAATGGATTTTTAAGACATATTCAGAAGATGAAATTGAAAGTACCTTATCGAAATTTCTTAAAGATAATAAACTTGACCTCTTGGTTATAACTTCATCATACACTCAAAAACATACAGGCATATATACAAGAGAATTCTGTTACTACTATGAAGTTAAAGGGAATTCTAAGTTTGATCACTTATCAGAGTTAGCTCAAGAAGAGCTTCAATTAAACTCCGATGTTCACGGTTTAGAAAAGATCGAGAAGAAACTTAATAAAGTAAAAGAGTTGAAAGGGGTCTTTAAAGTCTATAATCAAGTTAACATTAAAGCATCTAGAAAACAAGTTGTCCCAATTGTTAAATCTATATTGGAGAAAGATAACTAACTATATACTTTGTAGAATCTAGAAGTACATATTTATTACACGCAGGTAATGTTTTATTTATATCCGTTATATGACTGTAGAATGTATGGAATATTTCTGCATAAGGAATAGACAAGTATTCATATTCATCATCTTCTTCTGCCGTATCCAGAGACTCTTCACTTCTAAATACTAGCTTCAATGAATTCTTTAGAATGGTGTTTTCTATTGATACATCTATCCCAATAGCTAATACCCAAAAATAATATGAAGTGTTGTTGACAATGAACTTGAACTTTCTTGATGCAGTTGAGTTGATCCTATTTACAAACAAATCATAAACAAACACATACGATGAGAAAGATTCCTTTATGGGTTCGTCAAGTTTCGATTTATAACTTAAATTTATATTCCACTTAAAAATTCTATCAGTACCTTCAAAATTTTCACCTAGTAGAGTATGACAACTGTGACATAGCACCTTGGATTCAATGGAATCTATGGTATCTGTAAATTTCACTAATAAATAGTTACTTCCTATCACAATGGTCTTATCATTAGGAGGTTTGAGAGAACCATTGTAGTTCTTTTCGTGATGATCATGATTATCAGGTTTATGACAATGCCAATAATCCATCAACTCGTACCAAAATTCGGATGGCATATCAAGGAATTTAAAGTCCTTGGAATCAATAATGACGTACTCGCATGTGGAGCAATTGAAGGTAAATTCATTGTAATTCCCTACTTCTGATTTTGGAGTCTTTACCTTAAGATCTTTACACGACCACCTTTGAGACGTTTGTGACATGAAGGATTCAGTCTCATTGGTACTGGGGGTTCCTTCTGAGGAAACAATCAAGGAAAAAGTCAAACAGCCATCCTTTGTAAGTTGTAAATTAGTGATTTGTGGTTGATTAGTTAACTGTATTGGTAATTGAATTGTTGTAATTATCTTCTCTGTAGCAACGACAATACTTTGATCTTGCAAAGATAGCCTTTTGATATCCTGTAGAGATTTGCCAGCATAATCTGTAGCCACAGAAATCTTATTCAACCTCGGCAAATACTCTGTTATATACATGTGGCACTAAAAGTTTAAGAATAGATGAGATCAAGATTGATTCTCCACAAAGAATTTTTATGATTTTGATATTTCTGGTGATGAGAATCATAACCTATGTCTAAAATTAGTTCTTGACACAGTTTCTGACGTAAAATTGAATAATTAACCCAACATTTGATAGAAAGATTAGATTCATTGTCTTGAAGTCATTTAACTGGAATCATCATACACCATTTTGTCTATACTTAGTATAATTATATATAATCTCTTTAGTTAAAAGTGGTGATAGTTTAGAACAGGTGCAAAAAAAAAGTACGTGAATTTTTGAAGCGCGTCTTAAAATAGTAAACACTTTAATAATATCAACTGTTTATGATAGTTACATTATTAGTATCTAGTACCAGACACAACCATGGATGAACTACAACTAAGTCAATTAGACACAAGGGATGAGAGAGATTCTACACCTGCCAAAGAATCCACCACTCAAACTGAAGATGTGTTAGGGCTTGATACCAACATCAAATTAACCAAAAGACTTAAGATTGCTAGATTGGATAATGAAAGAATATTCAATGAACAAACTGGGTTGAAATATATAATAAGAAATCATCGTCAATTGTTGAAGTCCATAAATAAGGCAGATGCTAACTTACAAAAGAAATATCAAAACAAGTCCAAAATTCCACACTCAGCAAGATTAGAACATGAATATGACAATTTAAGTACGGTATTACAATTCTATCAACTTTGGTGTCATGGACTTTTCCCCAAGGCTAATTTTAAAGATTGCATTCATTTACTTAGAAGTTTAGGAGCTAAATCATCTCAACTTAGGATTTATAGAAGACAATTAATAGAGGCAGAAATAAACAAGTTGAAGATCGAGAAGGGAATAATAGATGATGTCCCATTGATTAATAGACTTGAACCAGATGGTGAAAATCAAAATGATGAAGGTTCAACTTCGACTGATCAAACTTCAAATGTTCAAAATTCTACAACAGATGATGATTGGAGTTTCATGAATAGAAATAGTTCCGAATCAGCTCCAGTATCGCGTCCATCAAATGGATTATTTCTTGATGAAGACGATGATGACTTATATCATACCCCAACCACTGACATTTCTAAACCTGCGCAATCATTACTGACAAATACAAAAAGTACGAGTGATGATGACTTCTCAGATGATGATGATCAATATGTACTGATAAATAATACCAAAGATGGAGAAGCAGACTCTTATCCAGAAGAACAAGCATCCGAAGTACAACCTGAAGATGAAGAGAATGAAATGGATTTAATGAGAGAATTTGGTATGTAATATTAATAATAATAATATATATCTATATATATATTTCTAACTGGTTATATAAATTTGTCTAAGAATACTAGTATGCATAAAGATACTTGATAAATCATCATTCGAAAATGTCGAATCTGTAGATTCATTTAACATAGCAATCAAATAACCTCCACTACGTAAATAAACATCAATGAGTTTTCTATCTTTTTCTTGAGATTTTCTTACTAATTTAGAATTGTGTCTGTAGAATGGCATAATAGCTCCACTATTAAACATTGAATTCCCTTGAGAATTTGAAAATGCAATTCCAAATTCTGATGTAAAAGCTTGATAAAGAAAAGTATTTTCAAGATTGAAAGAATTACTAGAAGAACCATGAGTTCCAATTATTCTTGTCATAAATTGATTATCAGTTTTATTTTGCTTGATTAATTTACTAGCATATCTGTAATTTTCAGCTTCTATCTTAGTTTCATTTGATGGAAAATATTCGGATGGAATTTGATAAGGTTCTGCAATTCTTATTTCTAAAACATTCACAAAACTAACTTTAAACCTATTGGAGATAATGGTAGCCAAACCTGATGCTGCTCCCTTTAAAGTTCCAATTTTAACCAAACTATCCCACAATTTCTTTTCATCAAATTTATAATCTTTATTCTTTTCATTTTTTGAAATCTTCATGAAACGAAAGTTATGATTTTGAGAATAAGGACTACCTGATCCATCTTTTTCAAACACAGTCATAAGCATTGATTTAGTACTGGTAGCTCTACCCAACTTCAATGTCAAATCATTTAATTCACTATTGATTTGAGAGCTCTTATCCAAAGTTTTCTTTTGAATAGCTTTAAGTTGCTCGATAGGAGTATCTAATAAAATCATTATCTCTTTACTGAAGTCTTGTAACTTCTTACAATTATCATCCAGAAATTCACCTTTGGGAAATGCATCAAATATTGCTAGTACTCCGATTATTTCATTTTTCGTTGTTAATAATGGAACTCCACAATAGAATTTAATATATGGTAGCCCTGTAACAAGAGGATTTCTTGAAGTTCTCCAATCCTTTGTAGCATCAAGTAATAAAAAGTAACCTTGAGATAAGATAGCATGTGAATCAATACAAATACCTCTTGGTATTTCATTAGCATCTAATAATGTTTCAAATTTAATATGGGCCTTATTATGTTCAATAATTGAAATTGATACTCCTGAAACTTCAAAGGTTTTTCTTAACCTAGCGATTGGTTTCTTAAATATTGTTTTATCATTCCAATGATCTAATTTCTTATATCTTTCAACTGCCTTAGTACGTAATGATTCATTGTAACACTCAGGCGCTTGCATAAAACCATCATTTTCCAAACATGGTGGACAAGGTACCATTGAAAGATTCCACTTTCCCTAAAGTATGTTAGTTAGAATAAACAGAACACAATTGAATAACTCTAAAATGATAATACTGACTTTTGAATAAGCATCTAAGAAATGAGCTTTAGTTAATGGAATTGGAGTTATCTTACTATCATTAAGTGGCGCCATAAAACCCAACTTTGCTGTACTGGCGCTAACCGGAATTTTGCCAGTTTTCTTTATTCTTGCAGTTGAAGCAGTACCTGGAACCTTCTTATCCATTATTATATATAATATATGATAGTTTCTTGATCTAAATAATCATCCAATGTAGTAAACTAAGAAGAAACTATTAGGATAAAGTTTACAAAATTTGCGACAAGTATGTTGCAAATGCGGATCTACAATTTTTTGTTTAAAAATAATTATTTTACATGCTTATATTTCAAATATCTATTCCATATTTACATCCTTAGTATTACCTTCTTCATTTTGATTTTCATCTTCTTTAGCTTCATCAATCTTTTCTAATTCGCTTGATTCTGCGGCATCTTTTTTAGCCTTTTCAGCAGCTTCAGCTTCTCTATCTTGTCTTTGCTTTTCTTCTTCTAATGAAAGTCTTAAGGCTAACGCTAAATCTGGATCCATACTAGCATCAATTAAACCATCACCAGCACCGAAATTTCCAACTCCATAATCTCCAAAGTCACCTCCACCAAGTTCTCCATCTTCTAATAATATAGGAGATGATGCTATAACTTCATATAACAATCTTGGACCTGGTGGAACTGTGACAAGATGGGAGTTTTCATGATTATTTATAATACTATTGAATTTCTCTAATTTGGATGTATTTATAGATTCTTCACCAAAGTTTATCACATCAATGGCAACATTATTCTTCTTCATTTTCTTAGCTAACTTTTCCAATTCCTTTTCTGATTCTTCAATTGGACTTCCCACAAAGACAATGATACGTTGTTGTTGAACTTTATTTTGACGATGTTTTAAAGCCAATGCAGCAACTTGAATCCCACTAGAAAAGTGATTTTGTCCTGAAATTTTAGTATCATGGACACCTGATAACAACTTCCCAAAATCATTCGTCAATGTAGACAATACTTGAGGCCCACTTCCACCATATGCTACTAAACCCACGGTATTTTCAGGGTTTGATGAGGTTTTGTTTTGAAAAATAAATTCTGTGGTAGTTAATTGTGCATCAAATCTAGTTGTTAAATAATCTCCATTTCTCATATATTCTGAGTTATCAATGGCAATAATAGTAGCTTCAAGCACCATATTGGACGTTGATGATTAATATATCTATACTGATTGACAAGTTGAAACTATGATGTATAGTCCTTTAATGTAGTTGTATCCTAAAATGAATTCGATATAGCTTTGACGTTTTTCTTTTTATGCCTTGCCACCAATTTTGATTCAAATTATCAGCGACACCACAATATGCCGGAATGTTTTTTTGTTTACTTTAGATCAAAAGATAACACTGGCCACCAAACTTTGATTCAGCAGCAACAATCATATCATCAACATGCCTGTTGCTGATACAACCAAGCAAAGGGTCTTGGAATGTTTAAACATGGAGCTAGAGGCTGCTACAAAGGAACTACAAGAACTTGCTGAGATGAGAGCTAAACGCGTTGAAGATATTATGAGAAATAGATTGAATAGTGTCAGTGTTAGTTTATGGAATGTGAAGATTAAAGATGTGTTGGACCTTGAAAGAAACCAAAGGTTGGATTTGGAGACGCTATTGGCTGATATGGATAAATTGAAACGAGACACAGTACGATCAACTAGTCAAGATTTGCATCGATTTAGTAGATTCAGAGATACATCTTCACGAGGGTCAAGGACTGGTTCAACTACAAATATTAGCAAAACGCTGGATCATTAAAGGTAAAATGGGTATGTTACATGTAAATATAATGCTGAAAAATAATTAATTAATAAATAAGTAAGTAAATAAGTATAATATAAAGAACGGAAAATGTTATATATGTATAATTGTTGGTTTAAGCTTCTTCTGGAATATCATCGTGGAAGTATCTACCTTCAAGAGTTGGTTTAATTACACCTACTCTAACACAGAAATCACCAAAATGTTCACCATCTTCTCTTTCTAAACTCCATCTCTTGAATAATGGTTTCAATATATCAAGAATTTCATCTTCTTTAATGGAGTATCTATAAATCTTATTCAATCTTTCACCATGATGACCACCACCTAACATCAAGTTATAGGCACCTAAAGCTTTACCAACTAAGGCAACTTCAGCTAACCAAGGTCTGGCACAACCATTTGGACAACCAGTCATTCTCATAACAATGGAATCATGTCTTAATCCATAGTCTTCTAAGGATTCTTCTAATTTAGTAATCAATTCTGGTAAGTATCTTTCAGATTCAGCCATTGCTAAACCACAAGTTGGGAAGGCAACACAAGCAGCGGATGACAATCTAAGAGCAGAGAAATCAGTGTTACTTAATTTATATTCTGATAAAAGTGATTTAATATGATCTAAATCAACATCTTCAACGTTGGAGATAAGTAAATGTTGATTACCAGTTAATCTGAATTCACCTGATCTACCACCATTTAAGTATTGAGCGATTTTCTTTAAACCGGTCTTTTGTGGTAATTCAACAGTATCTTCAATTCTACCATTTTCAATAAATGCAGTGAAATGATTGAAACCTAATTCATCCTTAGTCCATCCAAAGTAATCAACATTGGATTCAATCTTGAATTCTCTTGGCTCTTCAAACTTGAAGTCTAATAAATCTTCAACTTTTTGTTTGAATACTTCAACACCTAAGTCATCAATGGTATACTTTAATCTAGCGTGTTTTCTATTAGTTCTGTCACCAAAGTCTCTTTGAACTAACATGATCTTTTCACATGCAATATGAACTTTATCTTTTGAAACATAACCAAACATTGAAGCAGCTCTTGGATAAGTCTTTTTATTATTATGAGTAGAACCCATACCACCACCAGCTAAAAGATTGAAACCTGTAACTATATTGTCTTCAACGATAGCAATTAAACCAATATCATGGGCGTAGACGTCAACATCATTAAATGGAGGAACTGTAATAACAATCTTGAATTTTCTTGGTAAGTAAGTTGGACCATAAAGTGGTTCATAATCAACTAACGCATTACCAGCAACCAAAGTCTTTTTCTTAGTTGGACCAACTTTTCTAGTTTCCCAAGTTTCACGATCACCTGGTTTATCACTTTCATCTTCACCTTGTAACCAAATTTCATGATATGCAGTAGTTTGTGGTAATAAATGTTCTGAGATTAAAGTACCAACATCAGAAATTTGAGCATGAACCTTAGCATTTTGAGGTAAGGCTGAAATCATAACATTTCTATTGACATCACCACAAGCAGCTAAAGTATCTAATAAAGCTGAATTCATACCTCTAATAGCAGGTTTTAAATCATGCTTGACGATACCATGTAATTGGAAAGTGGCTCTGGTAGTAAGTTTAATGGTACCATTACCTCTGACATCAGCTAATTCATCCATTTTCAAATATTGAGCTGGAGTAGCTTTACCACCTGGAAGTCTAAGACGAACCATAAAGGCATATGCCGGTTCTAAACCTTGAGATTTTCTTTCATCTCTAATATCTCTATCATCTTGCATATAAATACCATGGAACTTGGTTAATTGTTGATCAACAGCACTGATCGCACCGGTAGATTGATCTTGTAAGCCTTCAGCAATAGTTCCTCTTAAGAAATTAGATCCAATCTTCATATCTTCATTAGTGATTGGTTTTGGTTCTTCAACACCTTCAACATTATCAACTCCAAGAGCGGTCCAAATCTTGGCTATCCAGTCATTGAAACCAGTATTATATCCATCTGGATCTTGGTCATCACCTAAACCAATTTCAGCTAATTCAACACCACCATAAATGTTTAATTTGGCATTTAAATCTTTAGCTGGCTTGTTATAATAATGTTTATCTTCCTTTCTTGGCCAATATTGAGAATCACCTAAACCAAAAACAGAATATTTGATAGCGGCTAAATCTAAATCGGTAGTGTTCTTAACACCATCCCAGAATTGTTTACCGTTAGTTGGAAATTCACCTTGACCAGAAGTAGATGTAATGAATACAACATTAGTTTCATTTGGTAAATCTTCAACAGATAAATCATCCATAGCTAAGACGATTGATTTTAAACCTCTACCTAAAGCTTGTCTATTGACTTTCTTAGCCACGGCTTCGGCATTACCACCATCAGAAGCGAAAGCAACAGTTAATGGAGGACCTGATAATCCTTGTAATAATTGAGCATATGATTCATCAGCAATCTTCTTTTGTTTATCTTTAGCTTCACTTCCAGCATTAGCGATTAAATTTCTAGATAAAGATGGATCTTTAGCAGCTAATAAGGTTAATCTGTTATCACGTTCTAAGAACTCTTGTAATTGTTTTCTTAAGTTAGATGAGTCCAATTTGAATGATTTTGATTCATCTTCAATAGTTGGATCGTATCTATATAATGGCCAATAACCACTATCAACAGCCTTCTTAGTTTCCTGTAAGATGGTTAAAGTGGAATCGGTTTCTTTATTGTATGGCAAATAAGCCAAGACAATTGATGGTCCGTTGAATTTTTCAGCTTCAATAAAAGCTTGTAAAACTTGAGTATAAGAAGAGTAAATAGCAACGGAAGCAACGTAACAGCCACCGTAGTTCATGGCATAAAGACCAATATCCTTCTTACGGAATCCATTAATGGATTTACTCTTCTCACCGTATGGTTCAGAATCAATAACCAACATATTAATATTTTTACCTGAAGCAATCAAATTGTGGACACCAGATGAACCTAAATCATAAGCCCAAGCATCCGATCCTACTAACCAATTAGTGTTAACAGCAAAGTATTCGGCTAATGATAAAATATCACTGGAGGTAGAAGTGGTTTCATCAGTTTTTAAGAGATTGACGATTTCTTCCACAGATTTTTTATCTATGACACCACCTTCTCTAACTTGAACTAACCATTTAGTTAACAATTCAATTAAAGCAGTGTTATTAGTAGTTTGGAAAGTGTTATCTTGGATAGATTTGAATACTAATGAAATTAATTCTTGTTGTTGTTCTTGATTGTACAAAAATGAACCGTAACCAAATTCTGGATTAGTTTCAAGACCAATATTTTCAGCATTGTATTCATTTAAGATATGTAAGTTACTTGGATTAACTTGTTGTAATAATTTGACATAAGCTTGTTCTAAGACATAAGCACTGGAGATGGCTTTGGCTTGTTCTTCGAGTTTGGCTTTTGATGATTTAGTAGTCAATTCAGTATTTACTTTACCAAAGGTTAAATTTTGAACAGGACTGGCAGATCTAACATTGGCTAATAAGTTTGAAACTGCTGATTCATATTTATCCAGTTGTAAATAACCAAAAGTGGCAGCTACAACTTTAGTGAAATTTTTCAATGATTGATATTTTGAATAACTCAGGAAAAAATCCAATAATAATGGTGAAAATGAAGTTGAAGTGGTTGATTGTTGGACTAATGATAAAGTTTCAACATTGGAAGGTATGATTGATAATAAACTTGACACTTCAAATGGTTGATAAACTTTTACAGATATTAATAAAGTATTTTCTTTAGTACTAGCATCAACCAATTCTTTAGTCAATTGACCTAAATAAAGAATAGCATCTTTAGCATTTGAAACCTTATTAACAATTTCGAAAGCATTGACATTCAATTCTTTGGCAATTTGATCTACTTCTAAATCTTCCAAGTTTTTAAGGAAAACACCTTGAGATGATTTAATACTGGTTTCAGCTTTATATGTGGCAGGAGTATAAAAATGAAAGATAGCCTTGTTTAATTTGACAGCTAAGTTATAAGCTAAACTAGCAAAAAGTTGTGCTTCAGCCGTACTTTGAGAGATTAACACAGGAAAGTTCAAATCTCTTAAACTTGTAACAATGGAAAAGTCAAATGAATCTAATTCGATATGAGATACAACTCTTCTAGAGTCAAAGATCTTGGATGAAAAGAATGGTAAATTCTTAAACACTGTAGCACCAGTAGTAGTGACAGTTACAATTTCATCTTGTGGAGATGATTCCAAGTAATTTTGAACACTAGAATATGGATCATTTGATTCAATCAAGATTTGAGCATCAGGGAAATGAGTGGAAAATGAAGAAGACACAGCCTTAGAAGGTTGAGTGACATATACAGTTCCTTCAACCGCACTTACAATCTGTGCAACTAAAGTTAAAACATAAGTTAGTAAACAATTATCAAAATTTTTCAAATCATCTGTCAAGAAATAATTATGGTTGCAACAATTGCTTTACCCCACCACAATCATCACTATGACAAACACACAAACTAAACAATGATACTTACTTGCTTCGGCCTGGTATACACTCATGATATATGGTTCAAAAGTATATGACTTCAATGAATAACCAATAGTCTTGGATCTAACTAAATATTGAAAAACTTTATAATGGAATTTGAAGACCTTGATATATTTCCCATATACAGTCAAAAAAAAACTCTAAAAAAAAAAAATTAAAATTAACATTATTCTATATGCAGTACGATAACATATCAGATCATAGCACGTGACATTTAATAATGGTAAGCAGTTCAACAATTTCCTGATTGGTCGATGGTTCTTTTTGCACCATTTAGAAACCAAAGCCCGTCGTTTGTGTAATAATCAAAATTTGCTATCAAGTGATTTTTTTGCAGTTAAACTATCATAGTTTCACAGTTTTCAGACCCCCTGTCATTCACCCTCTTTTGTATTACAACAAGTACCGGGGTTTCATATTAAGACTTTATAACAATAATTTTATATTAGATAATATTACAAACAAATTAAATAATTAAACAAATAAACAAACAAACAAACAAAATAAATAATAATAATAATAATAATAATAGTAGATAAATAAAAAAAAGAGTTGATGTGAATAATCAGGAAACACACACGTATATATCGTCATTTTTAATCATTATTCCTAACTTCTTCTATTCTTATTTCTGCTACTTCTTGTCCAAGCACGATCTTGTCTCATGGTGATTTTACCGAAGCAACAATTTTCAGGACTATAATCCCAATAATGGAATGGTTTAGTAGGATCAGCTGCTTGTTTCATTTGTTTAAGTGGAGTCTTTTCATTAGTGAAAGCTTTAAAAATAGTTGATGGAGTCCAATCCATCTTCTTTGCTTCTCTTCTTGGTACACTAAAATCAAAAGTTTCATTTATAATTTGAGAATGAACAGCAAATTCATCATAAACACTTTGTAATATTTCTTCACTGGAATCTTGACCATTGTCAATGATACTCCTACTGATAAGTATACTCCCAGCCGGTTCTTTCTTATCAACCTCACCTTCAGGAAGAAGATACATCTGTCCTTTAACCACTTTAGTTTTATCATATGAACTTTTGCTAGCTGTTGTAGATGTTGCAGAGTCAGATTTATGGTGACTTGGAATCTTATTCTGGTTAGCATAGGCAAAATTGGTATATTGTGGATATAACCCTTCAGATGAAGTTTGATCAGAACCATGGGAGGTGGTAGGAGGATGATAATTATTGGAAGTTACTTGTTGAAATTCTGTTGAAGGGCCTTCTTGAAAATAGTTGGAAGAGCTTTGTTGATAATCATTTGATTGTAAAACATTGTTTGATTCTCTAAGAAATGCTTCTAAATCTTCTTCGTTGAAAGCATGTTCAAACGTATTGGCCATTGCATTATACATATTATCATTTTGATTAATCAAGTTCGGGATATTAGTTTGAACGGAAGAGTTACCTTCAAAAGCAAAGTTATTAACATAAGGTAAAGCCACTTGTGTATGAAGAGGATCAATATTTCCAGCAAACTCATTACCATCTGATTGTTGGTTCCTTCCAAACATGGTTTTCAATGCTTGAGTTTGTTGGATTTGTTGTATAATATTTGGTGGAATAGCCGCTGTCTCAGTATCCTCAAGTCTTCGTTTTGCACGATTCTCTCTAAAGTTTCTTATGATTTCAGGGACACGAACTTGGAACTCATCCATAGTCATAATGTTATTACCTTCACCTTCTTGTTCAGCATCATAAATTTTGTGAGCTACCAAATGGGTTGGATTTGAATTTGGATTTGGATTTGCATTTGCGTCATTAACATTAGCACTATCATCATTTATGAAACTTTCATTCACAAGATCAAAAATTGAATCCCAGTCTCCTTCCAAGAACCCTGGTTCACCTTCTTGTTCTGGAGTAGACATAATAGCAATATAATATTAGAAATTTCCTTGATTTCAATAAAGTTGTTATGTTGATAATAAGAAGTAAGTAGAAATTTTTAAAAAAGTTTAGAGATACTTCGGTAGTAGCAGAGTATTTAAGTTTTAGCACTTTTGTTAAGCAGAATATAATTTTGCAACCAGAGGAAAGTCTACCAGTGTAGTTAGAGTCATATTAACTAATATTTTATGCTTAAGAATGTTACATTGGTAAAGGCTTGTAGTTTGGGTGGGGATAAGTCATTGTATACCTGGTTTGCTTAGATCATGGACTATTAGGATTGAATTTGTAGACTCTAATATAGCTGAAACATACGAAACAGCATTAATCTTTTATTTTGGCAATAGAAAAAGCGCTATAAAGAAAAGCTCTCTTTAAATATGTAATCTATCAATCTATATAACTTCAAAGATATTAATCATATATTTGTTTATCAATATGCATATGGTAGCACTCATTTGTAGTGTATTTTTACTAAAATGAGTCAGATCAAATAAATAGACCGGTACCGCGAAATTGTTTACCATCACTAAAATACGACACAGACTGAAAAATTTATAGACTAGATGGAGAACTAACTACTAGACAACTAGATAGATAGTGCATTATGGCAGCAACACAATGTGTGACAAGAAGTTTGTATACTTCGTCAGCATTGCTTCTGAGATCTCGAACGTTATACAGCATAAAGAAGAACTTGGTTAGGTTCAATTCAAGTACAGGTGTCAGTAAATGGCCTGAATTACAATCAACTGATTTTACATCATCTGGAGAACCAGACTATATCAAATTAATATTGACTTCAAGAGTATATGATGTTGTCGATGAGGCTGGTACTCCACTTAGTAAAGCCATTAACTTATCAAATAGATTAAATACCAATGTGTTTTTAAAAAGAGAAGATTTACTTCCTGTTTTCTCATTCAAATTACGTGGTGCTCATAATATGATAGCTCATTTACATGCCAATTCAACCTCAAAAGTAAGTGGTGTGGTGGCTTGTTCCGCTGGGAATCACGCCCAAGGTGTAGCATACTCAGCTAACAGATTAAATATTCCTGCCACTATCGTCATGCCAACTGCTACTCCATCTATTAAATATTCCAATGTTGCAAGATTAGGATCTAAAGTGGTATTGTATGGTGATGATTTCGATTCTGCCAAAGCTGAATGTTCAAGATTAAGCACTGAACAAAATTTAATTAATGTACCACCATTTGATCATCCTTATGTGGTGGCAGGTCAAGGTACTATTGCATTAGAAATCACCAGACAATTAAGATTAGATAAATTATCAGCCTTATTTGTCCCAGTTGGTGGTGGTGGTTTAATTGCTGGTGTTGCAGTTTATTTAAAGAAAATCGCTCCTCATGTTAAAATCATTGGTGTAGAAACTTATGATGCTGATGCTTTATATCAATCACTTAAACAGAAAAAATCTGTTGAATTAGATCTGGTAGGTATGTTTGCCGATGGTACCGCTGTTAAAGTCTTAGGTACTGAAACCTGGAGACTTTGTCAAGATTTAGTTGATGATGTCGTTCGTGTTTCTACAGATGAATTATGTGCTGCTATCAAAGATATCTTTGAAGATACTAGACTGATCACTGAACCATCAGGAGCTTTATCAGTCGCTGGTTTAAAGAAATATATCGAGCAACACCCTGAAATTGATCATTCTGATAAAACTTACGTCCCTATTATTAGTGGTGCTAACATGAATTTTGATAGATTAAGATTCGTTAGCGAAAGAGCTGTTTTAGGTGAAGGTAAAGAAGCTTCATTTGTTATTAGTATTCCTGAAACTCCAGGTGAATTCGCTAGATTACAAAGTATCATCAATCCTAGAGCCATTACTGAATTTTCTTACAGATACAGTGGTCCAGGAAATGCTAATGTATTTGTTAGTTTCAACGTTTCTTCTCTGGAAAAGGAAAAGATAACTGATCAAATGGCTGAATCATACGAAGTTATTGATATTTCTGAAAATGAATTAGCCAAGACTCATGGTCGTTATTTAGTCGGTGGTAAATCATTATTCAAGAAAACTTCCCAAGAAAAATTATATACTTTTGAATTCCCTGAGAAGCCAGGTGCATTATATAACTTCTTACAAGCTTTAAAGAATGATTGGGATATAACTTTATTCCATTACAGAAACCATGGTCATGATGTTGGAAAAGTTCTTTGTGGATTCGTTCTTCCAGATGGAACCAAAGAAGAAGACTTCCAACAAGTCTTAAAGAACATCGGTTACAAATTTTATGATGAATCTGAAAATGTTGTTTATAAGAAATTTTTAACTTGTTAAATAAAATAACAGTTAGTGTATATATACAAGGAAATATAAAAAAAATTATGTACTTTTTTAATCATTACGACGTAAGAATGCTTGATAAGCATCATGATTAACATGAACTCTACCAGTTGCTTTCATTTGCTTTTTACCTTCCTTTTGTCTTTCCAAAAGTTTCTTTCTTCTTGAAATATCAGCAGCATGTAACTTTTGAGTAACATCCTTTCTTTTAGCTTTGATAGTTTCTCGAGCAACAACCCTATTACCAATCTTGGCTTGAATTGCAACTTCGAATAATTGAAATCTTAAAAATTCTTTGAATCTAGTAACGTATTCTTTACCTCTTGCTTGAGTTTGAGATTTATGTAAGATAGTAGTTAATGCATCTTGGGGTTCGCCATTAACACAAAGTTCCATTTTAACAATATCAGATTTCTTATAACCTGCATCATCATAATCCAATGAAGCATAACCTTTGGTACAACCTTTTAATTTACCAAAGAAATCTTCAACTAATTGGGCTAATGGTATATCAAATTTCAATAACACTTGACCTGTAGTTAAATATTCTATTTCTTTTTGAGTTCCTCTATTATTTGTACACAATGTCATGACGGTTCCCATATACTCTTCTGGGACTGTAATAATGGCTTGAACGTATGGTTCCATGTAACTTTCAACTCTTATGGCATCCTTAGAATCAGGAAACTTGTCAGGACTGGTGATTATTTTTTCAGTTCCATCTCTATACACAACTTTATAAGGCACAGTTGGAGCTGTAAGTATAATCTTAGCTCCATATTCCTTTTCCAATCTTTCTTTAAAGACTGATGCATGTAAAGAACCTAAGAATCCTAATCTCCAACCAAGACCCAAGGCATTTGATGTTTCCTTTTCTAAAGTGACGGATCTATCATTCAAAACAAGATTCTGCATTTGATCATCCATTACGTTGAATTCTGCACCATCAGCTGGGAAGGCACCCACGAAAACCATTGGTTTAGGTTCTTCAAACCCAGGTAATGGGGTCAAACCTTCATGAAACCCATATTGGAAAAAGGTATCACCAACAAGAGCTTCTCTTGGATTCTTCATACCAAGCACGATATAGCCCACTTGTCCTGATTTAATCTCATCCATAGTCATCATGTCAGGATACATGATACCCACATCTTTAACATCATAGACTTTATCTGAATTAGCTGATAAAAGTCTCATACCTTTTTTGATTTTTCCATCTACTATATGAACAAGCATTACTACACCCAAATAAGTATCATGCCATGAATCGACCAATAAAGCCTTTAAAGGATTGGATTCAACACCTACAGGAGCTGGAATATTCTTTATAATCAGGGGAATAATTTGATCAACATTCAAACCTGTTTTGGCACTGACTGATATACAATCTTCTCTAGGAAGTTCGAAAATTTCTTCAACTTGATCCATTGCACGAGGGATATCTGCTTGATCAAGATCTATTTTATTTATCACTGGAATCAATTTCAATCCCATACTATAAGCCAAGTAAAAATTAGCCACGGTTTGGGCTTGAACTCCTTGAGATGCATCGACTATTAATAATGCTCCACCACATGAAGCATATGATCTTGATACTTCTGCTCTGAAATCAACATGACCTGGCGTATCAACTAAATGTAATAAATAATCATGCTTTGATTCGGGATCATTGTAAATCATAGACACAGTTTGAGCTTTGATAGTGATACCTCTCTCTCGTTCCACTTCTAATTTATCTAACACTTGTTTATTTTCACCAGGTTGAATCACACCAGTCAATTCTAAAAGTCTATCGGAAAGAGTTGACTTCCCATGATCAACATGCGCCACTATACTGAAGTTTCTATAGTTTTCTTTCGGTATTTTGGATAATCTTTCTTGAACTTGTTTTCGATAACTTTCCTTATTTAAAAGGATTCGTTTATCTTCCAACGTTAATACTTTCTTCGTGATACTCACATTAGTAGCAAACCGCGTCGGTATCACCATTGGCAAGCAGCATCGTGATATGACTCTCCGACTAGGCAATATGAGTCTGTTCATTCCATGTACTGATGTCAGTTCCTTACTGTTTAAATTTGCATCTACAAATAATTTTTCAATATTTTTTTAAAGTCTCAGTAAATAATTTTTTTTTTCAGTATACACTATAGAGAAATGAAATATCTATTGGTTAGCTTCAGCAAATTCAGTTACAAAAGCAACTAACAATTGAACACTTTCAAGGGTAACAGCGTTGTATATAGAAGCTCTCATACCACCTACTGATCTATGACCTTTTAATCCAGTTAAATTTTTAGCAGTGGCTTCTTGAATGAATTTATCTTCTAAATCCTTTGGTAAAGTAAATACCACATTCATATTTGAACGAACTTTTGGATTAACGATAGGTAATTTATAAAAGTTTGGATATTTAGTTAAAGCAGCATATAATAATTGAGCTTTTTCTTCATTCACTTTTTGAATATATTCAATTCCACCTTTTTCTATAAGTCTAGCTGTCACTAATTTTAAAATATGACAAGTAAAGATTGGAATAGTATTATAAGCTGAATTATTAGCCACCACAGATGGGAAATGGAAAGCAATTGGAACTCTTGGTATACCATAAGATTTCAATTCATCATCAGTTGGTTGTTCAATTAAAGATTTCTTAACAATATAAATGGTTAAACCTGCTAAACCAATATTTTTTTGAGCCCCAGCCATAATAACCCCATATTTACTAACATCAACTTTTTTTGATAAGATATTGGATGACATATCAGCCACAAGTTCAACACCTTCAGGGAGATATTCAGAGGTTGGGATATCTTTGAATTCATTACCATTAACAGTTTCATTATCACAAACATAAAGATAAGCAGTATTCTCTTTATCAATAGCTTTCCATTCTGAATAAGGTGGGATATCATCAAATTTGTTAGCCTTGGTATTCACCACAATATCAACATCGAAACCTAATCTGACAGCTTCTTCAGCTGATTTCTTAGACCAAGATCCAGTTACAGCATAAGCTGCCTTACCAACTTTACCAGGGTGTCTTTTAGCGTAATTTGCAATTAAATTATATACAATCGATGAGAACCCACTAGTACCACCACCTTGCATGAAAAACACTTCATGAGTATCTGGAATGTTCAATACCTTGGCCAAATTAGCTTTAGTTTCATCAATTACTTTAATGGCCGGTTTTGAACGATGAGAAATTTCACCAATACCAAGACCTTGCTGTTCATAATTAATTAAGTCATACGCAGCTTCTTGTAACACTGAAGTTGGTAATAAAGCTGGACCAGCACCAAAATAGTTTGGTTCTTCACGATCTAAAGTCTTGAACTCACTCATACTGATATTATATGATTTGACAATTGTTAAAGTGTGTTGCAAATAATCAAAAAGATCAAAGATAAATGTAAAAGAAGTTGAAAAATTTAAAGTTGATGATGATGATCTCAAAAATGACTCTTACTCACCTCACTCACATCACAAATTACATCAACTAACAAATTTTAGTTTTTGTGATTTGTTTTGATTTTTTTACAACAACAACAACAAAACAACAAGAATCAAGAAGAAGTAACCATACAACTGGGTACTTCTAGTAGTGGACAACCATCAAGATACAACTATCATAGATGTCAGAACCATCATCGTCATACTTGGATACAGAACCCATCCATAATGCTTCTGATTTGATCAATTCTATGCTATTATCAAGAGCTTATATCGATGATAAACTCAAGTTTTTATCGATAGATTATCCAGATCTATTAAGGGGGCAGTTTGAATCAGAGGCTATAGAACAGTTCAAGATCAATGAGACCGTGTATGAAAACGATAGATCAACCATTAATATAATACATTCACTTTTGATTGCGTTGGATCGAACTAGAAATCAACAGAAATTATCAAATCATACTATCTTACAAAAGGAAGCTCAAATTAAGAAATTGACAGAGAAGAATGAACAATTGGAAAAGTCATTATTAAAGAATGAAAAGGATTTAAACAAATTGATTCAATTCGAACAAAATGATTTAAATAAACAAATTGGGTCTTTAAATAAAATCAACAAATTACAACTTAATGATTTGAATAGACTAAAGCATTGGTCAACCAGTTTACAAAAGAAATATAAAATTGAATTGAAAAAGAAATCACTTGAGATTGAAGAATTAAAAGCCAGACTACTAGATAAGAGGAATTTATCATCAGTTATCAAATATGGTATACCATTAAGTTCAACTCCTTTGGAGGATTTAACTACCAATAATACTACCAATACCATAACAACAACATCAATCAACTCCAATTTAATCTATAATAATACCCCTATAATTGATAATACTGAATCAACTCCCATCAAACCAAACGAAGCAATAATAAATCAAGAAGTAAATGAATTAACCTCCAATCTAACATCAATCATTGAATCAATAGCTACAGAAAATTATAAATTTACTAAATTTATTGACTTAATAAATGAATACTATAATCAATTCAATTCAAATCTAGCTGATTTTAATCGAGATAAATCAATTATTAACTTACCTAATCCATCAGATATAGTTGATTTACAAGAATTTGATCATATAAATCATGATATCATACAACAATACTTCAATGATTTAAAATCATTTGAATTAATTTCAAAACCAATATTAAATAATATTTATAAATTTTATCATAACATTTCTGATATTTTATTTATCCATTCTCAAATCGATGATAATGAATCAAAAATTGAAGATGAATCATCCAAATTAAACCAATTGGAAAAGGAATTAGAAATAATGACTCAAAATTGGAAAGATGCTTTAAAGACAGCTGAAAATTGGAAAAATATTCATCAGAGATATATAGAAAATAATTAGTAGTAGTTATTATAGCAAATATTATAAGCACATTTATTTTTCCGCTTTTAGTTGCAAAAATGAGAATAGCAATGATTATTGATAGTCTTCGACTTCTTCAATATGGCTGCTAGATAAAGTAACATCATGCATTGATCTCAAAACAGTCGTCTCTAATGAAACTATCTCCAATGGGAAATCTTTTAAGAATTCTAATTCACCTCCAATATTATCTTTAATTCTCAATGATAAATCACTAGTATTGTTATTAAATTCTAAGCATGAATTGAGAATAATACCAGTACAATAAAGTTTGGAATAATTAAGATCTGATCTATCGATAAACACATCTTCATCTACACTGTAACCATTGATAGTGATTTCTTCTGAACTTTCAATAATAGTTGACCTTCTACTTCCTTCATCATTAACACTAATACTGTTATTCTTAGCTTGCTTATCAGAAATTATACGTAATGGCTTAATTGAAACCTCTTCATCTTCCTTAATATAAAACTTCACTATTCTAAGTAAATCACCAGTTTCTAAAGTATTAAATTCAAACTCTTCAGTTCCATGGAATGGTTTAACAACTACAACCATTCCTCCAACTTTGATTAAACTATTCAGAAATGGATCCCTCACTTGCATAATTGCTTGATTATCATCATTAACTGAAGTTTGAATCATATTTTGAAGCATAAGAGTACGAGAAAAACTGTCATATTGATCAGCAATATAAGATTGTTTTCTTTCATTTGGAATGGCAACAATGGTACTTAACGTATTATCATTACTACGTTTATAATGAACTGATGACATTCTTCTAATCGATTTTTTTAATCTTAATTTTCGATCTTCTAATCCATCAGTAATAGTATGAAAACTTTCAATGGCACTTCTATAATCCAGCTCTTCAGCAGCAGTTCCATCAGTTCCAAGTATTACTTTACTTCTGTCATCTCTTGATATCGTAACTAATAATCCTCCATCATCCAGGACATGATTTTGACCCCCCTCTGTTGGCAGTACTAGCAGCATTGGGAAACTTTTAAGAACAATGGTTGATGACATATCATTATAAGTATGATTCTGAGCTTCTAAATCAATCTTAGGAGATGAATTCCTTAATAAATCATGAAATAGATTGAAACTTTTATGTTGACTTCCATTATCATTTTGCCCCTTCTCGTAACTAGATGATATTCTAGAAGTAACACATAGAATAACCGATATAATAATGGTACAAAGGATGATTAAACCAAATAAGGCAATGATACAACCAATCACTGCTGTATTACTGATTGACATCACTCCTAATGATAGATTGATGGGTGTTATGGTATAATGATGATAAATACGAATTCAAGAGAGTGCTGTAAAAAAGGTTGCAAACAAAATCTCTACGCAGAAAAATTACAGTGTAATATGATCCTTATTGAATAATGATACAATTATGATACAATTCTATCTAAATAGTCCTGCTATATACAAGAATGGGAACTGTGATTAACTCATTCCTTTTTGACCTCTTTCAAAAACAATTCAAATTCGTCTTCCGGATCTAATTCATCATCATCTTCATCTTCATTTTCATTCTCCTTTTGCTCTTTCCTTTCTTCATCCAATACCTTATATTTCCTATTGGCCCTCTTAGATTTACTTTGTTTCAATTTAGTCTTTCTTTCATTTACAACTGCTGTTCGACTTTTATCACCATTAAGCATTTCATCTAGTTTTAATGACATGATCTCTCTGGCTCGTTTTCTATTCAGTTCTTGTGATCTTGAGTATTGACATTCAACCACTAACCCAGAAGGAATATGAGTCAACTGAACTTTACTGTTTGATTTGTTAATCTTTTGACCACCTGGTCCACTACCCCCTTTAATGAATTTCTCTTCTAGTTCTTCTTCTTTAATTAACCATTTTGGTCTAGGTGGTAATTTATGCTTTTTGGGTATGGCTTTGCAAGTAATTGAAGTTGAGAATAGGAATTTACTTTGCAAGTTTATTACCGACGCTATGAAGCGTCCTGATACACGATACGGATGTAGCATACCTATACTAACTAGATAGGTTTTGACTCTCTAATAGTTCTATGGGATCAACCCAATACAGGCATCAAAGGATGTGATTCAATATTTACAGTTTGAAAAGACAGCCATCAAAACTGTAGAAAACGAAAAATTGATTATTTACAGATTAAATCATAATTTTGCAGTTTTTTACAAACGCGTTAACGTCTCTTTTTTTTTCACATTTTAATTTGTCCCAATTAGGAAAATTAAGTGCATCTATCTACAAAATTTCGAACTTAACACGAAAAGTCATTAAAAAGATTTAATAGTTTAAAACATAGTTTATAAACCCATTCAATTAAGCTGCTGTTCTGAAGTATTGGTCCTTATCTTACACACTCGTTACTACGAACAACTTATACAATGTCATACGAAAGAGGTGAAGTCTATGGAGCTCAAGTCTTACAAGGAGAAGATCCTCAAGATAGTTCTCTTAATGAAATCACCAAAGCTTTCCGTTCATTCATTTTAGAATTCAGATTAGACACTCGTTTCATATACAGAGATCAATTAAGAGAAAACTTATTGATCAAGAACTACTTCTTAAGAGTTAATTCAGAACATCTTATTGGGTTTAATGAAGAATTAAATAAAAAATTAACTGATGATCCAGCTGAGATGATCCCATTATTTGAAAATGCTATAACTGATATTGCTAAAAGAATTGCTTATTTATCAACTAATGATGTTCCAGCAGATTTCCCTCATTGTCAATTAATCTTATTATCCAATGCTAGTAAAACTTCAATTAGAGATTTGGATTCAGAACATATTGCTAAAATTGTGAGAGTTAGTGGTATCATTATTTCTGCTTCAGTTTTATCATCAAGAGCCACTCAAGTTCAATTGATTTGTCGTTCATGTAAACACACTCTTAGATTACCTATTAAATCAGGTTTTGGTCAAGTGAATTTACCTAGTAGATGTCAAAAGGAACAAACAGATACAACTCAAGAAAAATGTCCTTATGATCCTTATGTTATAGCCCATGATAAATCTACTTTTGTTGATCAACAAGTTTTAAAATTACAAGAATCTCCAGATATGGTTCCAGTTGGAGAAATGCCAAGACATATTCTCTTACAAGCTGATAGATACTTAGCCAATCAAGTGGTTCCAGGTACAAGAGTTACTATCATTGGTATATATTCTATTTTCCAATCCAAACAAAAAGGTAACAATAACGGTGGTGGAGGAAATGTCGCTATTCGTAATCCATACTTGAAAGTATTGGGTATTCAAACCGATGTCGATATTGGTATCAATGGACAAGGTACTGTTTTCACTGAAGAAGAAGAAGAAGAATTCTTAAAATTATCAAGGTTACCTAATTTATACGAAGTGTTTGCTAATTCAATTGCTCCTTCAATTTATGGAAATGAAGATATTAAAAAAGCCATCTCATGTTTATTAGTAGGTGGATCTAAAAAAGTCTTACCAGATGGAATGAGATTAAGAGGTGATATTAATGTATTGTTATTAGGTGATCCTGGTACTGCTAAATCCCAATTATTAAAGTTTGTCGAAAAAATTGCTCCGATCTCAGTTTATACATCAGGTAAGGGTTCATCAGCAGCTGGTTTAACTGCTTCTGTGCAAAGAGATCCTCAAACTAGAGATTTCTATCTTGAAGGTGGTGCTATGGTTTTAGCTGATGGTGGTGTTGTTTGTATTGATGAATTTGATAAAATGAGAGATGAAGATAGAGTGGCTATTCATGAAGCTATGGAACAACAAACTATCTCTATTGCTAAAGCTGGTATTACTACCATTTTAAATTCCAGAACATCAGTATTGGCAGCTGCTAATCCTGTGTTTGGTAGATATGATGATTCTAAGAGTCCAGGTGAAAATATTGATTTCCAAAGTACAATTTTATCCAGATTTGATATGATCTTTATTGTTAAGGATGAACATAATGAAAGTAGAGATATTTCTATCGCTCAACATGTTATGAATGTTCATACTGGTGGTAAAACTCAAGAACAACTTCAAGAAGGTGAAATTCCAATTGAAACCATGAGAAGATATATTCAATATGTCAAACAAAGATCAGCTCCAAGATTATCTCCTGATGCAGCTGAAAGATTATCATCACATTTCGTTTCAATTAGACGTAAATTACAAATCAATGAATCAGATATGAATGAAAGGTCTTCAATTCCAATTACTGTCAGACAATTGGAAGCTATTATACGTATAACTGAATCCTTAGCTAAATTAAAATTGTCACCAGTAGCTACCGAAGAACATGTTGAAGAAGCCATTAGATTGTTTACTGCTTCTACTATGGATGCTGTTGATCAAGGTATTGCTGGTGATGGTTCCGGAAATCCTCAATTTACCGCAGAAATTAGAAGAGTTGAACAAGAATTAAAGAGACGTTTACCTTTAGGTTTCTCAACTGCTTATAGTACTTTAAGAAGAGAATTTGTTGAGAGTGGTAAGACCAGTGTGGCAGCCTTGAATAGGGCTTTAGATATACTACAAAAACATGAATCCATTAGATTTAGACATCAAGGTAAGAATATCTTACGTGTGGGTGTATGAGTCTAGTTTCTTCTTGTAATCTCTAATTTCATTTCTTCATTGTAATAATAGCTTAGTTTATATTTTGAAAATACATATTGTACATTAAACCTGATATACCATAGATGATATACGCCAACAATATATATAATAATATGCAATAATTTGAACTCTATCTAAGATGTCGATAATAATAATAATAATACATGTTATGAAATAAGGGAAATGACCTTTATAGCGGAGTTTAAGCCTTCAATATGATGATGATAGAATCACCTCTAAGGAATAACTTAGAAATGAATCTTTCCCTTGAAATTGATTTAATCTTCTTACCTTTGCTATTTTTCACCGTTTCGGTCCATAATTCCTTTACATTTTCCAACACCAAATTACAGTGTCTATCAAAAGCTTTGACCTTAGCTATTAGTTTATGATTATTTCTGCATGATATAACGATAGGAGTCTGATTATTCACAGCTGTTTGGATTAATGACATTGGTCCATGAGTAAACTCAAATTCCTCTAATTTTTGTAACTCGAGTTCAGTCAATTCTGATCTTGGACGATCTATAAATTCACTAGATGACATGATGTTAGTATTGGATAATTCCAGGTGTTTCAGTTTCTCTTGGTATACATACCTCATGATGTTGTGGTGTTAAAGTATTTATAAGTATTACGAATTACAAGTTACTGGTATTTATATTTCACATTATATATATATATCTTAAAAAAAAAATAGTATCAAACTTGAAATTCACACGACAAAAATTTCTATACATCTCAAACTGGTTTAATTGATGCAAAATGTTTATGTTTATAAATAATCTATACATAATTATACAGTTTTTTGGAATTGACTTAAAGGAGCAGCTAAAGCTGTACCTCTCTTAATGATATTTTCAATTCTATCTCTCAAAACCTTTGAAGCACATTGAACAGTAAGATTCAAATAGTCAATTTTTGCTTCATTTTTACCAAATTTGATAACAGCTTTATCATCACCTTCTGGGATTAAAGATTCACCAAACTGGGCTTCAAGTAAGGAAGCTATACGATGTACACGACTTGATATTTCAGAATTAGCATGGGCTGATTTCTCAAGTGATATGTCTTCTTGTTGCTCCGATTTAACCTCAGTATGATTATGACTATGTACATGGGAAGAAAGTTTAACTGATGCAGGAGATGCATCAATAGAATAAAGAATAGCAATTACACTATCAGCTAATGAATCAGCCATAAGATTGTCATTAATCCATTCGACTGTTATATACAATCCATTTCCAGTTTTAGTTCGATCTATAAAAATATCGACAACGTCCATTACAACACATTCCCATTCTTCTTCATCATCATTCAAGATGTTAATATAACCAAACATTTGTTCTAAATGCCATTTCATTAACGAGATATCAGCATTAATCTTAACATTTATCTTTGATTTCACTATAGAAGTAGATAATTGTGTATATTCGTGTAAATCTTGTAATTGTAAAAGATTCAAATCAAAATCTTTCGATACTAAGACACCTGATAAGAATTGACCAGTCTTCAAATTTCCATTTTCTTCCTTTGGTTTTTCTTTTTCTTTTTCCTTTTCGTCTCCGTCAATTTCCATTTCAGTCTTAACTTCAGAATCTTCTAATTCTTCAATTTGTGAACTCTTGTCAAGTTCTTTTTGAACTACTTCCTTAAGATGGATTAATTGTTCATCAGCCAATGATCCCAATACTTTGGCAACTTTCAATCCTTTTATACCTATTTTCAATTCCTCACAATTCTTTGGATTATAAACCCTAACTTCTTGATCTGTACCTTTACGAGATGAGTATTTACTTAATAATGCAGACTTTAATCTTCCCATAGGAACTGAATCACCATGCACTAAAATAATCTTCAGAGGTTGTACTTTTTCAATGAATGAAGTATTTTGCTGGAAATCCACATGAGCTGCAAAGGAGATGTCTTGGACGTTTAATCTTCTCGGTATAGTAAGATCTGGATTAACTGATGATTGAATTGTATGAGGTTCTTTTAATAATTCTTTGGCCATGGTACCTTCGACCGAAAATCCTGTCATTACCACCAAATTCTTTGGATCTGGAGCCCATTTTTCTAATAATTGTCTTGAAACACCACCTTGTAACATACCTGGTGATGCCACCACTACTGATGGGCCAAAATCTTGGAACTTCGATACATCCTTTATAGATTTGATATATTTGAAATCGAATGGACTTGATTTTTGACCTGAATTGGTCATAGAAAGACGGATATTATCATTCATGACATTAGTATAAGTTTGATATACTGCCATACACTTTTTAGCTAAACTCGAAGCATAGTATATGTTTATATTCTGAAGATCTTCATGTTGAGACCAATATTCTTCCAAGATTAATAATAATTCTTGAGCATTACCTAAGGCAAACACTGGCATTAACACTCTACCACCTTTAGAAATAGTAGCATGGATATTTTGAGTTAATCTTTTTTCCAATTCCGGTAATGGTTCCAAAGTACCAGTACCAAAAGTTGATTCCGATATAAGAATATCAGGTCTAGTAGGTGGTATTTCTGCAGCATGTAAATGTCTATTTTCTTCACGAGAAAAATCTCCTGTGAATAACACTTTTAATCCTCCAATTTCAATAAAGTACATACAAGCACCAAGAACATGACCAGCATGAAATGCTGTAAACCGTATCCCATCAATTTCAATGGTTGAATGATAATCGATTGTCTCTATTCTATCAAATGAATCCATGATATCATCATCAGTATATAAATTAGTAGATGCATCGGGAGCTCCATCATTTCTATTTTCACCTCCGATAGAAGTAACTCTGACGAAATCTTTTAATAACCATCTATAAACAGCTTTGGTAGCATGGGTCATAAATACTTTCCCTTTGAAATTGGTATGTTGCATGACATAAGGCAAGGAACCAGCATGATCTAAATGGAAATGACTGATTAATAAGATATCAACTTTGCTTAGATCATACTCATCATAATATGGAAATGATGAATGACCTGAAAGAGCAGGATGAATACCAGCATCTAACATCACTACTTTATTCTTATATTCAATGATATGACATGATCTACCCACTTCGTTACAACCACCAAGACCAAAGAAATTGAACGCTTCAGAATCATCTGAATCCTTAACATCAACTACCATCTGATTGGTAAGTTTAACTTCTTGTTGCCTTTAATTTAGCCTGTGGTTTTGATTCTTTATGGTATTTATCGAAGCTTTTCAGAACTAAAAGAAAAATCTCAATGAATTTTTTATATGCAGTTCCAAGTCGATTTTAAGATATAGTCGTGAGAGTTGATATGTATAGTTGATAAATTTGAAGTTTGCAACAACTGATTTAGAGGTTGGAACTAGACGGAATTCAAGTTTAACGTCCTACAATCATTCATAGTTGTATTTGATAGGTGGTTGAAGTTCATTTTTCAGAGTTAGTGATATTGTTACAGTGTGGATAATTCAGATCAAACGCGTTAGAGGTATCAGAGTCTACATGAGAGAGGATGAAGTTAAAGCTTAAGACCAACAATACAGAAAGTCTTAAGACGGCATTGTCGTTGATCAGTTCATTAAGAAAATATATATTATTACGATTCACCCCTGATATCTTGTATGTGATTCTGGTCAATGGTCAATCAATCAGTCAGGAACCTCAAGTTTGGTGTAAATTGAAAATGCATGCTATCTTTAATCAAATTGAAATCCAGAGTCTTCGAGATAATACCATCCTGTTAGAAGTCAATGTTGAATTATTACTTCAAACGTTGAGGAATTTCGATAAGGCCAATAGTGATGGGTTGAATATACGACTTCAAAGAAAAGAATCGACTGGAGCTCAAGGTGCAAATTCAGGAAATAGTAGAACAGCTTCATTAGCTTTATTCTATTCCAACATTAACGTCAATGCTAGTACTATCAATCATACATTTAGAATCCCGGTCAAGATACTAAAGAATACACAAGATTTGTTGCTTTTAAAAGAACCAGAATTGCATGATATAGATCTTATCATAAAGCTACCGCAAGAATTCGTATCAACGTATAGGAGACTTGATAAGTTTAAGCGATCGTCAAGTAATGATACTGTTTGTATAAAGGCGAGTAGGCGAGGAGGTGGATTTTTAGGATTTGTTTTAGAAGAAGAGGGTAAATATAGAGTTACCATTAGTTGGAATGAGAAATTAGAAGTTTTAAAACCATTTCAAGAAAATGTTGAAGGTGAAATGATGATTCGAACTGAATTACAACATATTAATGGAGATGCAGGAAATATCGATGAGAATGATCCTGGTGAAGATAAAGAAATAGTAGTAAGATTGAAAGATTGGCAAATGGCTTCGAAAGTGGTTTCTACATGTAAGACAGTTTACTTATTACTTACTGCCAAAGAATGCGTGTTACATTGTTTACTAGAAGATTCTGATGAAGTAGAGATTATATATTACATAAGTGGTATACGAATTAGAAATGCAATGGAGTATTAAGTCAAGTCTGATTACATTCTAGTCTTTTAAAGATCTTAAAATAGGTTTTTTTTTTATATGTATTCATGGAAAAGTATATATAAAAATAATGTATCACATATTGGGATATATAAATTTATAAAAGTAAGAATACCAATTAAGCAATTGGATTTAGTATAATTTGTATTTTTCATCATCTTTTGATATGTTTTTCATTTAAAAAAATAAAGCACTTAGATTGTACATATAATTTCCAAGGATGAAGTTTTTTTAAATGAAAGAAATAATGCAGTAAACATAAAACATTCTAATAATATTAATAATAAACGTTAAACATTGAATCTAATGGTGTTCTTCATGTTCTTCTTCGAAAACGAACCAGTCTTCTTCAGCAGCGATAGATGAACCAGAAGCAGAAACAGTTTCAGTTTCAACTTCACTTGATTCATATTCAGATAAAGCTTCAGTTGGTAATTCAGATGATGGAATAGTGGCTTTAGCAGGTAATTGGAAAGCTTTGACGGCACTTTCTAATTCTTTAGCAGAAATAGCAATTGGTTTGAATGCTTTGATTTGTTGAATGTATAATTCGGAAACTATATTGTTTCTAGCTGGAGTCATTGAGAATAATCTCTTTGAAGCTACTGAACGCTATAAAGAAAAAATGAGTTAGTATAATTAATCTATGAGTAGATAAGTCGGTGAATGTTATAGTAATAGAATGTTCCACTTTGTATTAATCTCTTGTTGGGATAAATGATATTTGACAGATAAATGTGTTTGGATATTCAATCTTGTGATATTATAGATTACCCCAATCACTTAATTTGAGCCCAATTGATAAATTTCAAACACACAAGTTCTAATTGACATGGCTGACTTTCCATACGTCATGTCTTTCAAATCATTCATCTTATTGATAGATGTCTGTTGATGAAATTAAGACACTATTACTTCATTAATGTTGATGATCTTATGGATTCGATTACGACATCCCCATACCGCCAATGAATAAAATTCCATTCATATATTCATTCACTTGACCCAATGATACAATAAATACATACAATAACAGGTCTAAACATGATTGACTTTCTATTATTATGCTATTATTTGATACAATCAACTTTACCATTAGGTTTATAATGTCAATATTTTCATTCATTTTTTTTCCAATAGCGATTTTCGGGGGTCGTGTAAATTTGATCAAATTTTTGGTTAGTCCTTTAGTTATACACTATCAATCATCTTTTTTTATTGGTCAATTTTTAATAGTATGTGAAGTCACGTTTTAGTGATCATGTGATTGGATTTTTTACTATACACTAATTGAAAAAGAAGAATATATAGATCTATCTATCACCAATTGATTGTACACATCTTCAATCAATATACCTCAATAATCAAGATGCCAAAGTATTATTGTGATTATTGTAAATCATATTTGACTCATGACACCATGAGTGTTAGGAAATCCCATTTAATAGGGAAGAATCATATCAAATTCTATTGTAATTATTATGAATCAAAAGCTAAAGAAACAGGAGTTTGGAATGAAGTTAATAATCAAGATAGTTCTCAGAAATATGAAATAACGTTGGATTATTTAAACAGAAAGGCACCAGGATCTTCATATGATTTGAATGCAGTGAAAGATCATGATGAATTAATGGTGGATCATGATACATCCTCTAAAAAGAATGATAATGATGAGGAAGAGGAAGATGAAGATGAAGAAACTTTGAAATCATTCTTACCTCCCCCTCCAAATTTACAAGGCTTACCAGTTCCACCTCCATCCTTTTACAATTTCCAAGATGATTATCAAAAATCATTACTGAAACATATCAAGATTAGTATGGCTAATAATATGTCAAATGGTCTTTAGTAATGACTAGTATAGATTCATAAGGGTTTTTGTGGTTTTGGGTAATTTTTGGCGTTTATTGTAAAAGGTTTATCTTGTAGATATGTAATATTAAATAGATTAATACATGTAAAAAGTACAACTACAACAATACAAGATAAGGTAATGTAATGTAAAATAAATTTATTTATATATATAACTATAAAAAGAGGAAAAAACTATATAAAATGATGAATGATAATAACAATTGTAAACAACAATATATAATCACAAACTTTAATAAAACAAACAAAAAGGACTTAATGTTATGTTGTTGTTGTTTTTTTGTTTTGAATTTCGTTTAATAGTAATAATTAAACAAAAAACGATGAAAATAGATGAAAAAAGGGGGAAAACATTAAAAAATATAAGCATAAAACAAAATAAAACATAATTATCTATTGATATTAGGCTTTAATATCTATAATTGGTTAATTAAACTAATAAACAAATAAATGAATAAAAGGAATATTTATTTGATTTAATAGGATTAATAAAACAAAAGGGGGGTTTACTTATAAATCAGCATCATCTTCATCTGGTAATGGTAAAGCAGTAGCTTGTTCCATTTCTTGTTGATATTTTTGCATTAAATCAGCATCAACTTGAACTTCTGGTGGAGCTAAAGCTGGAGAAGCAACGAATTCTAATTGAGGATTACCAACTAATTTTCTTGCTAACCAAAGGAAAGGTTTTTCAAAATTATAATTTGATTTAGCAGAGATATCATAATATTGTAAATTCTTCTTTCTATGGAAAGTAATAGTTTTAGCTTTAACTTTACGTTCTTTAACATCAACTTTATTACCACATAAAACAATTGGAATGTTTTCACAAACTCTAACTAAATCTCTATGCCAATTTGGAACATTTTTATAAGTAATTCTTGAAGTAACATCAAACATAATGATACCACATTTACCATTAATATAATAACCATCTCTTAAACCACCAAATTTTTCTTGACCAGCAGTATCCCAAACATCGAATTTCAATTCCCCAAAATTAGTATGGAAACCTAATGGATGAACTTCAACTCCTAAAGTAGCAATATATTTCTTTTCAAATTCACCAGTTAAATGTCTTTTAACAAATGTGGTTTTACCAGTACCACCATCACCGACTAAAACTAATTTAAAAGTTGGAACTTCTTGAGTAGCCATTATGCTTGATATATACTATATTAAATTGATTGATTCAATAAAAGAAATCAAATTAATTGATAGATTAAAATTAAAAACAATCGAAAGGAAAGGAAAGGCAGCGCTAAGGATCAAAACAACAACATTTTTTTTTTTCATCAATAAAAATTTTTTGAATTCTCATCAGCACTCAGTGAGAGTAAGCAGAATAGAAAATTAAGGAAGGAGACAGAAAATTTATCAAATTGTTGGTCATGTGATAAGTCGTGTGATGATGGGTCATGTGATTGAGAATTCGAATTCCTCTTCATACGATATGGAGGCATGGATGTGTTTTAAACGAGAGACTAAAAGTCATAAACGGTATGAATCGGGTAATGAAATGTAAAACTAAGACAGAATGAATGAAAAGAATGAAGGACCACAATATATACTAATAATAATTTTCATTTATATGTATGGAACATATTGTACATTAACTGTTTCGACTTCAGTTGAACCCTGTCTTACCCTCCATCCAAACTTTAATCGACTTGAGGTAAGAGGTCACATTATTAATAAAATATACTCAAACGCGTCTATGATTAAAGTATAGAAAACGTAATTAGCAGCCTTACCTATTTTATACATTCCGTTTATGCAGATTTGGCAACTTTCAATTTCGTCATATAAGTGATTTCTAGCCTGATAAGTTAAACTTTATTAAAATATCTCGAGCTTTAACCTCCTCGAAATATCTAACCTTGTCTTCCAAATAATAGGAGTCGATTATTGAAATTTAGAGCCATACGTTGTTTTCATGTTTTTTAGTCTATACTATTCTATTATGGTTGTTGACAGGATATATGTATCCTTGGCAAATTTGAATTGACTGATCAACATAGATTGACCTACTAGTCTAGACTATATTCTATCAATGTCAAATAAAGGCTTAAAATTGAATGATTATAAAATAAAAATCTTACAACGTCATAAATCAATCAGTTAACAAAAATAAACGATAAAATATGAAAGCTTAATTCGAAATAGACAGGACAGAATAGAATAGAATGTTAGATTTTCTTTTTATTTCAAGCTTTAATTAGAGTTGGATGGTAATTTTTCGGTTTTATCCTAGTTAAGCTTTCTTCGTCGATAGTATAAACATTAGGGGTCTTATTTGATTTTGAATTCTCGATATAACTTCATTCTACACTAGCCATAAATAAGTAAATGTCAAGTTTTTTTTTTTTTTTTTGCTTAGTTATATTTATTTTTAATTTTTTTTAATTTTTAATTTATTTTTTTTATTTTAATTATTTTTTTTTTTTATTTTCATTTTGTCTTAGGGCTCTTTTCACAAGCAAATCTGACGAGTATAGTCTTACCTTAATTCATTCCAAATTGAGAGAGACTGAGAGATCGGCCAAGCTCAATTCGTGATTTCATTACTATTTTCAAGGGATCAACAAGATAAATGGTGTTCTATAACTGACTTCTAAGTTAAATTCTGTGTCACTTTTAACTCAAGTATCGTCCTCGAATTATTTTATTTTAGTTTTTTTTTTATTTTTATTTTTTATTTTTTTTTATTTAACTAGTTTATAAATTTAATTTTTTTTTTTTATTAATTTTTTTTTTCCTGAAAATTTGAAATTTTCAAGTTCGTTTTTTTTTTTTGAAAACTATCACTGTTTTAATAAAGCCTTTTTTCCACATAATATTATCTAGATGTTAATCTGATAGGAAACTAAACCCACAATGTGTATAATCAATCACAAGATAGATATAAACAGTCGGACTTGTGCCATCCAATTGTCATTAAAAGAAAATAAAAAACGACTAACAAAGTGGCTGATAGTGTTACGTTTCCTTAATTATTCACCCTGTTCCCGTTCCCTCCACGCCGGACCATAACCATATTCACTTTGTGTATTAGCCTCTCCCTCTACACAAGGCTAAAATAAATTGATAAAACAAATAAACAAACAGATAAGTAACCAATAACTACATGGACCCCTTTTCAGCCCAAAAGCAATATTATGTATCTGGATTAGAGAAATTGGGGTTTAGCTTAGGTACAGACAATCCCTTGTCATCCTATTCCTCCTCTTTGTCCTTGTCCTCTTTATCCTCCTCCCCATTCTTAACAATAAATAAAAATAAAAAAAAATAAAACCTGAAAAAAAGAAAACACCAGTTTGGAGTAAAATATTTCTAAAAATAACCCTTTTTTTCACTTTACTATAAATAAATAATTTGCGAAAATTTCAAAATTTATTATTATTATTATGTAAATAAGTAGAGTTTCTATTGTTTGGTAGATTCATGATATCCTCAATATCATTGTCATTAAGCCAATCAGGATAAAAATAATCTTCGATAATTCAGATTATGCAATAAGTTAGAACTGGCCAAAAAAAAAAAAGGATCACCCATGTAAACTATGCAAAATTCAGATACAATACAGGAAAAAAAAATTCCATTCCTTGAATAAACGTTTATGGAGGACTAATACTTAATCGAAAATTTTAGAGAGCATTTCGTAATTACTGCAATGATAATTTAAAAACCCAATTTTTGAGAGATGCAAACTGTAATTAGAAAAATCAATTGAATTCGTTGTAAGTTGAGTAAAGTAATTTGAATTAAATTGAATTGACTTGAATTGTTTTACTATAGAATAGGCAGAATTTCCTAATTAGGAAGTGTAATGAGTTGTATGCAGGCACAAGGGGGATAATACTAATAATGAGAGAGACAGAGAGTATAATAATGAGACAGAGAGAGAGAGAAAAAAACAGAGTAAACTTTTCTAAACAATGGAGAAAGAACAAAAAAAAAAACAATTTAGGGAACAAAATCAAAAAAAAAAAAAGAATTTAAATTAAAAAAAAATTAAATAAAATAAAATGAAAAAAAAAATGAGCTCATACTAGAAAGTTATCTCCCGATTAGGAAGGTGGCATTCCACAGATGTCGCTCCGCACCCCATAAAAATAACGAAAAGTTTAAGAGAAGTAAATAGAAAGAAGGTGAATTATTATTGAACGCATGTTAGAGAAGGTAAGACTGGATAAGACAGGGTAAGACAGACAGACAGACATACAGATATAGTTTAGAACAGTCTTATTATGAGCAAAACCGTTCCAACCACAACCAAAAAGTCTCTTTGATTAAAAATATCCTGGCGGATGAAGTCTGGCTATTTTTATAGAGAATAACTTCTTCTTCATCATCTACTTCTTTCAGTTGAAATAGAAAGGTTTAACGAAAATAAAAAAAGAAAAATCTAAGCCGATGGAACATCACTATGACGAAATCATAAACCTTTTTTTTCCACTGTCTATAAAATAGAATTAAAATATACGTATATAATATGTATGTACATACGTCAGGCATTTGACTTTTAGTTCAATAATTATTATTATATCATCGATATTATCTATATGATTTATAATGTACGTAAGAAAGAATGAATTAAACAACAGAGCCGTATATCCAAAAATAAAAATAAAAATCAAATAAAATCAAATAAAAATAATAAAAAAACGAATGAACAGTACAGATCAGAACACCGATCACTATATATTATTCCTACTTCTTTCACAAAAATAATAATCATCAAATACTATTATTTAAAAAGAAACAAACGATTCGATTCGTATTAAATAATTTAAAACGTACGGGTTATTTTAATTGAAATATGAAATTTTACTAAAAAAATACTTCCAATTCACATCATAGTCATCGATTCATTGATTCATTCATCTATCAAAATAAAGTAATAGTAGCCAGCGATTTTCTTGAATAAACCTGCAAGACTACTTAACAACCAACCAATTTTTAAAATTCGTAGCCGTTTCTTAGTTCGTAAAACAGAGGAGAGACATTGAGTGAGTGAGTGAATGAATGAGCGTGGAGATATGCTTCCATATTCTCCTATTATTTCTCGTAGTTGAGGTCTAGAATATTTCAGATGAAACCCATCCCAGATGATATAATCAATTATTAAATCTAATGTCATGTATTTAAAACCTAAACTACTAAATTTACATCAACAAGGTGTATCTGAGCATCAAACATCAAGTAATTCTTTTGCATGAAGAAAAAAAGTTCTTATATTCTTCTACTGTTTCTTTTTTTTTTTTTTTTTAATTCTTTTTTTTTTCTTGACTTTAATTTTTAATTTTTTTTCTGTTTGTTCTTTTTTTTATTTTTTATTTTATTTTTATTGTTTTTTTAATTTTTTTTATTTGGTATTCTTCGTTTGCGAATGTTCGAAAACACGCTTTTTTTGAGGATTTAGTCGAATTATAAAATACACCGCAGACGAAGTTTCTTTTAATAAAAAAAAGTGAGCAGAGGGAAGCCTATGACGAAGGTTGACTAAAAAATAAACCGACCACTAAGGCAAAGGTCGCTAGAGAATAAATTATTGATTGATTGAACTCTCGTGAGGCATTAGTTACTGATATATTTTACATTGGCAAAAAGAGGACAATAATAATAATAACAAATACCTTTTGCGACTTCATTCAGTTGTAAATTAAGTAGTGAGTAAGAAAATGTCCCCAAAAACCAAGTTTTATTTTTAGACCATCTGGAATTACTGTTTTATTCTATTTAAATATGTATGATTAGGTAAAAAGTTTAAGTTGAGATCAAAGTTTGTAAATGTTAAATTATTTACTGAACTTTAATACCAAAAAAGAGAAGGTTGATAACAAAAGTTTATATGTACTGAAGGTTAGGGAAGAAACAGAGATTTAAAATTCGCAATTTTATCTATTAATCGTACATAAAACAGAAGCAACTTAAGATTTACGTTTTATTTTTTTTTTGCGTTTGTTTTGAAATGTATAAAAAAAAAAAGAAAAAATAATAAAAAAAAAAAAACGATCTCAAGCGTGTATAACATGTAAAATAGTTAGTATGTAATCAGTTAATTTTTACAGTTTGATGTAGTTTTTAGAGAATTTCAAACAAAAAAATTAAAATTAAAAAAAAAAAAAAGAATTAAAAAATTCATTTAAATGAAAAGAAAAACGTATACAATAAGAAATTAAAAAAAAAAAAGAATTACAATCATTTTGTTTTGTAGTAAATGTTACCTGATAATAATTCAAGCACAATCTAACATAACTTAACAACTGATCATTTTCATCTACTTATCCCAATATGAAAGAATAAAAACACCGCGAACAATAATATGAAGAACAATGACACAGGTTCATTTTTTATGATATCTTTATTATTATATTAATGGATATTTTGTTGTCTGTCATTGTTCTCTATTTTGTCATTTTTTGTCCTGAAAGAGGGATATATTTTTCCAATTAGGAGCAGTTTTGTAAGTACGTAAAAAATCAACTCAAGTTTAAGGTGAAGAATGACATTAAACTAAAAATAAATTCTAAAGGGAAAAAATAAAATGAAAGCCAGATTTGCCAGATATTGAGTTAGTGTGTGAGTGTGAGGGTGAATGGGAGAACCCTTTTGTCATATATCTATCTAAGTCACTTTTTCATTTCTTACTTCCCCCTCCCAAAAAGTAAATCTAGACTTAATAAATGTATCTAATTGTGAGTTTGGGGTAGTATACGTCAATCTATTCTGGAGAAATTCAAACATGTAATTACTTACTTACCCACTCACTACTTCTATTTAACACCCCCTATGACTTCATAGCAGTCAAAAATAAAGAGAAAATAAATTGGAATTATTAGCTGAAATTTGTTAAAATTCTCATGACAGCAATACTTTGAACTGTAACTAAATCTTTTTTTTTTTTTTGACAATGATAGATATCATTAATAAATCCATAATCTGAACAGGTAATCGTTTAAGGAGATTATTTTCCATCGCAATTATAAATGCGCTCAACTAGATAGATATAGTTGGATACGTAAACATTTTCAATTTCTAACCATTGAAACCTTGCTATAATTACTTTATTAGATAAAGAAAATAATTGAAATATTCATCAACTCAAGTCCACATCAATTCAAATTCAAATTCAAATTTGAAAACGAAAAAAAACTCGTATTTTGAATATAAGAATAAATTCCGCTATTAAATATTCATCCCTGTTTCCCAGACATACTGTGTGTGTCTGAGTGTGAGAGAGAGAGTTTGTGTGTGTGTGTGTGTGTGTGTGTGTGTGTGTGGTTGATATCCTCAATAAATAATAACTTGGACAATCAATGTGTTAAAATTAAATTAAATTAAATTAAATTAAAATAAATTAATCCTCTCTGTGTGTGTGCCATTATTCTGAGTGTGTTTGTGGACTCCTTCCCTTCCCTTCCCTTCCTTTTTTTTTTTTTATTTCATTCTTTAAATTCGTTTGTGGGAGGTTTTAGAGAGAATAAAAAAAACAAAATAAGCCATTTTTTTTTAGATTTAATAGTTAATTAATTTTTTTTAATTTTTTAATTTTTAGTTTTTTTTTTTATTTTTTTTGTTTTTTAATTTTTTTATTTTTATTTTTATTATTTTTTTTATTATTTTTTTTTTATTTTTAGTTTTTAAAGAGTATTGGCGTGTACTTTTTTTTTCCTAAAAAAGAACACAACAAATTTTTACAACACAGTTCTTTTTCCTCTTTTACTTTTTATTCTTTTTATTTTAGAGTTAACAATTCCTTTTCAATCACTTCTTTCTTTTGTTATTTTAAAGTCATATCATTTATCATATCATCAGGAGTCATATAGTCCCTCCATTTTCCAAAAGAACATCTTCCAGCATCAATCAAGTGGGTTATCGAATTGCTTCAATCAAACTCAACTCGACATTTTCCATCAACCCTCGTTTTCTCACACTTATAGTAACTATCTAAAACTGTTGCTGCCAAAGCTTGTGTGTTGCCATCTTTTTCGTTTTTTTGGTCAGCATTCGTCTTTAATTACATTCGTTCATCGGGACAAGTCATCGTATCAAGTATCAATATATCAAACTATCCATTCCACTCCACTCCACCCCTCCCAATTTTGAATTTAAGTGTTAATCTTATTTTTTAATGCATATATCGATCTAAAGTATAAAAAATCAAATTTTATGAATACTTAAAATACTTATCAAAACATAGCATATATTTTGAAAATTAATCCTTAAGAATAAAGAAGAAATCAAACATTACCGTTATCGATAATTCTAATTCAATCGCTAATATTTTAAATATTTTCCCAATAACCACCACTTTTCGATATACTCATATATTATAATCGGCTCATACCATATTTCGTCCGTTTTAATTCCCCTTCCTCCCCTCATTTTAACTCTATATTATGATGTATCCTCATCAATCTATATATTATCACAATCAACAACCACACCCGCAGCATCCATCATCAGTTCATCATTATCATAGTCACCCTCATTTGTCTCATATACATACCTCTGCAGCTAATAATGGTGGTGTGGTGACGTCAAATGGTCATAATGCTCCTCCTTTAACCCCGTTAGACTTAACTTATAGTCATTCCATGATACCTTCAAACTTATTAGTAGGTTCTCCCTACTTTGCTCCGTCATCTCCTAATCCAAATGGTTATTTCACTCATCAACAATATCATACTCAACCTCAACAATCTATTTATCAAAATCATCAACATACAATCCAACATAATCAATACCATGAAATTTCTCCTCCTATTCAATCTCCTTTAAGATCAAGAGGTGGTTCTACCACAAGTTTAAGTTCACATTTTACGAGAGGAAGTAAGAATTATAGTCATAATCATCATCATCATCATCATCATCAAAATCAACATCAATCTCCATACTTGACTCATTTAAATAACTCCAATTCTATATCAAGCACATCTCAAACTTCATATAATAGAAATTTGGATAATTTAAATTTATCAAGAACTATAATATTAAGGAATTTAAGTGAAGATTTAAGTTTGAATGAATTATTAAATGAAATTGAATTTGGTCCTATTGAATATTGTAAAATGTTTTCAAAACCAACTCCTGAATCAATGCTTGAAAAAGATTCAACTTTAACTAAAAATTTAAAAGTTTGTTATATTTCATTTATAAATTCAAAAATTTCAATCATGTTTCATTTAAAATATCATAAAAATGCCAATAGTTTAAAAGAATTTAAATCGGCTTTAAAGGATTCTAAATATTTAAGAATCCAATTAAATGATTCTTCATCCAATTCATATCCTACTTCTTCTAATTATTCCTCTACAAGTTTAACTCAGTTAGCTTCTGATGGAACTGCATCTTTATCATCTCATAATCCTTCTGTTGCTAATCAAGATTATATAAAGTTAAAGACTTTAAATTATATTATAGAATTCAATGCATCAAGATGTTTAGTAATTAAATTTTCCATAAGTTTAATTCATGAAGATGTGATTAATAAATCAACTGAAGATAGATTAAGAGATTTACAATTATTTATAAATAATCAATGTTCGAAATTTGGTGATGTGGAAGAATTTAAAATTTCTTTTATTGATGATGATGAAGCTGCTGAAAGCAATTCAGCTAATGGTCAACAGCATCAACAACGTCAAGATATACCGGCTGAAGTAGACAATACTGATGAAGATCGTACTTTTGGTAAAGTATTGGTCCATTTTACATCGATTGATGCTGCTATCAAGACTTATGAAAGTTATTTAAGAAGAATTCAACATGATATTCAAAGATTAATAAATAATAAAGAAGGTGCTTCTAAAAAACGACCTTCAAAAGATGTTAATGAAGTTAATTCAAAGTATGATATTAAGTTTAATCAAGTTTATTTCCATAAAGATAGATGTGATAGAACTGAAATAGAATCAACTCCAGCTCAAAATGGTATAAAATCGAAAAAATCAGAATCTGATTATGGTTTACCCTTAACTCAACAACATATTCATGAATTTAATCAAATCCCAGAAGAAGATTTCATTAATGGAGAAGTTGACGAACAACAACTTGTACAAAGAAATGATCTTGAAGGTATAGAAGAAGATAATGATGAAAGTGATGAATCACCAAATGATAGTGGAATCGTAATAGAAGCAGGCTTGGATCTTATGGAACATCCAGAATTAATAGATGAATCAGAATTATCTCCTTCAATCAGTCCCCCACCAGTAACAAATGATGTTGATGGCACTAAGTTAAATGGTGAAATAATTGATGGAGGTAATTCATTTGATAGTTCATCTTCTAATTCAGGTTATCCACCTACTCAACTTTCATATCTTTCTCATAATCAACAACATCCAAATGGTCATATTAAATACGCAAATTCAGAAATGATGAGTCAATCTGGTTTATACCACACTAATTCTCATGCTATAGCAATTGCCCAAGTTCAAGCTCAAGCACAAGCACAAGCACAAGCAGTTGCTATTGCCGCTCAAAATCAATTAGCTGTTGCTACTGCTGCTGCTGCCGCGGCTACTGCTCAAGCAAATTCAGTGCAAATGAATCCTGATTCATTAAATGTTGGAAATAGAACTATCTATTTAGGTAATTTACATCCAAATACAACCATTGAAGAGATTGCTAACAATGTTAGAGCTGGAGGTTTAGTTGAATCGATTAATTATCATCCTGAAAAGAAAGTTTGTTTTATAACATTTGTTGACGCTAGTGTTGCATTAAAATTTTACCTTAATCATCAAGTTTTACATCAATTAATCATTCATGGTTATGATATAACAGTTGGATGGGCCAAACAACATAGTGGTCCTTTAAGTAGAGAAATTGCTCTTGCTGTTACTGCTGGTGCTTCTAGAAATGTCTATATTGGTATTAGAGTAGTTAAACCTAATGAAGATGGATTTGAAGAAAAACCAAATAAGACTGAAAAAGTTAGATTACCAAATGAAGAATTATTAAGACAAGATTTTTCCAAGTTTGGAGAATTAGAACAAATTAATTTTTATCATAATAAAGATTGTGGATTCTTAAATTTCTTAAATATTCTTGATGCTATTAGCTTAGTTGAAGTTTTTGAAATAACATCTTCAGAGGTTGCCATGGATAGATTAGGTCGTTTATTGAAGCATTGTTCTAAAGATGAAGTTGAACACTTATATTACAGATATAAACCATTTAAAATTAGTTTTGCTAAGGATAGATGTGGTAATCATCCTAAATTCAGTTTTAAGAAGAAATTTGGAAATGAATTAAATGGTGCTACTACTTATCAATTATATCATCAAGATCAACAATACAAACAGTTTTCAAAAGCTAAGAATAATAAGAATAGATTAGTTAATGGAAACGTCCATCATGAAAGTGTTGTTGAAAATTCTGAAGATGTTAATGGTAAAGTAGAAGCTGAAGAAATTGTACCTAAGAACGTTGAAAATGAAGAAGTTGTTGAATCTACTGAAAAATCTGAAGAGAAGAAAGATTTTACTGGTGAAACTATAAGTCCTGAAGCGGCTATGGTTTTCGGAATAATAAGTGAATCTGAACAAGCTAAATCAGAAGCAGTAAATGAAACTGAAGACAGAAAGACTGCAGATGTCCCTCCATCAGTTATAGATGAAGATGACGAAGATGATGATGAAGATGAAGACGATGACGATGTTTCTATCATAATCGGTTCAGATGATACTACTTCTACAACTGCTCATAATAGCAACGACTCTAAGAAAGTTGAAGCTGCACCAGATACGAAAAATAATAAAGCTAAGCATTCTTCTGGTAAAAAGAATTATCGTTATGAAAAAGTTTATCATTCCAAATTCAACATATCAGATTCATCAATTCCATTAAGAAGATCATCAAGAAATTCTTCAAATGTGTCATTGAATACCCAATATATGAAGTATCAACAACAACAGCAACAACAAGTTCAGCAATCACCATACATGCAACAACAACCAATGTTCTATTATCAAGCTGCTACTCCAGTTGGTCCTCAAAGTCTTTCAAGAGTAAGTAGTCATAGTTCATTCAGAGGTCCACAATTTGTTCCTGCTACAACTTTTGCTGTTGCACATACTCCAACTTCAGGATATTTCACCCCACAACCAATGATGGCTCAACCTGCTTATCCAGCATACTACCAATATGCTCAACCTCCAATGCAACATATATCTCATCAGCAAAATAATTCTCGAACTAGAAATGGAAAATCTATTTCATCAGGTTCGCAAGTGATGGCTCAATATTTAGCTAGAGCTCAAAATGATAATGCTTACTATGGATCTAATATGTTATCCAATGACGTTGAATATGATGAAGACTATAATGATTATGAATCATTTCCAAAAAATGGAAGTGTTGTCTCATTGAATAGTAGTTATCATGGCAATGGTCGTAAGTATAAACGTTAAAGAATTTGTATTCATATGCTGTATCGTTAACAATCTAAAACATTTCAAAAGTTTTTTTTAAAAAAAAATAACAAAAATTTATTGGTAAAAAAAGTTAAATATTCTTACTAGTATCGCTTTTACTAGTGCTGTTAATGTGAATAATAAAAATTGTAAGATTCCAGGGCATTTTACATTCAAATCTGTTTTATAATCCTGATTTAAATTTAGGAAACATTATAACTCTACTTATAGTTTAAATAGTTTAAGTTTAATTAATAAAATAAAATTAAAAATAAAATATAAATACAAAAATAAAATATATTGAATTAAGAATTTGTACATATATATACATGGTTAAACATCGACATCTAATGTTATAGCGGCATAAGTTCCCAACACTGATCCTAAAATACCAATGATTATACCTATACTGACAAGTAATTTCTTGATGATACTGATTTCATGATAAAATACCTTTAAATAAAACATAAATGGTAAAGTAAAACAAATGGTGAAACAAATGGCAGAACCTAAGAATGAAACTAATTTTCCAAATGAATTGAACAATAATGATACGATTAATAAAAGCACACAAAATACTGCACGACTCATTATTCTCGATATCTTTCTAAAGAGGATTATACTTGAATTATGTCTATTGATATGAGAATTGGAGACTGGGGATGAACCATTGAATTCCTTTTGTAATAATAAATCATCATTTAATCCTAAGAAATTTTCATAGACAGTGATGATTGGTTTGGCAATCAAGGGTAATTTTGAAATTGGTAATAGCCCCATTAATAAACATAAAGTAGGATTGACCCATACTGGATAATCTTCATTATGCATCAAGTTTTTAATGATTGAATCTTCACATTTTAATCCATACATTAAAAGACCAATGATTCCAATCCCATAATCCAAAATAAAAGTAATGGAAAATGAAACATCACTACTTTTATTAAACTTTTTAGGATGTCTCATATCTCTATAAAGTTCAGGAAATACAGGATGTCCACCCCATGGAGCCATGAATATACCTAAACTTAAAAATAAGTAATTATAATCCATAGGCCATAAATTGAACATTTCAGGTTGAAAAAGTGATCCTGGATTGGTATCAATGGAAAACCCACATATAATCACAATTAAAATGACAGTGAGTGTACATATCACTCCTAAAAGACTAAAAATTGATAATATCGATAATGGGAATGCTGATAAAAAGAATAACAAACTAACAATGAAGGTTTTAAGGACAGGTTTACTTATTTGAGGAAGTAAAATATTAAATGAATCGGAAAATAAAAGAATTAAAGATAACGATGCACCGGTAAGATCAACTAAAAAGATGGCGGTAACGATTATTGCTATTATTGGACCACCGAATAAATGAGCTATATCACCATAAGTGTTTAAAGATGGGTTTCTATGTAAGATTTTCCCCAAGATTTTAGCGGTAAAATTAGTTATAATAGCACTGGTAAGTAATAGTAAACTACCCAATACCAATCCTGAAACTTTGAAACCATAAGGTAAAGTTAACATTGCAATGCCCATCAAGGTATTGATTGAATTGAATATGGTTTGCGGTACAGTAGAATCACCAGTGATAATACTTATTGAATTTGATTTTATAGATGCAGCAATTGAATTTGAACGATTTCTGAATAATGGTGATGTCTCAACTGGAAGATCATTACCAGGGAAATGAAATGAACGAATATGATTATAACCATGAGCGCCAGGAGATGACGGTACTGAAGTAGCTCCGTATTCTTCCACTGAAGAAGACTCTTCATCTAATCTATAATCGATAGTGACTTCCCCTTCATCACGACCTTCTAAAAGAGGAGACGTATTAGGAGAAATTTCATCATTGATTAAGAGACTAGGACTTCTTTCTAATAAAGTTGATCCGATATAAGATTGAGCTCTAGCATATGAATTTGCAAAATTATTAATAGAGTTAGGGCCACCTATATCTAAAAATGATTGTCTTCTATTCTTACCTGACGGTTTTGGACTTCCTTCAATAGGAGGATAAGACATTTGAATATGAAATGATTAAAATGCTCGAATATCTTTATAATTTAAAACCAGGTGAATAAATGAAACTGAATTTTCAATTATACGTTGATAATGTAAGGTAAAGTATATGGATAAGAAATTAACGATCGAAATTAGACAAAGGTAAAACTGAAATGAAAGGAGAGGAAAGTATGAAAGTTAATTTTTAACAATGGCTTGGTTATACCCCCCTTACGTAAAACTAAATTAAGTTACGTTATTGTGAATGACTATTATAATATTGTGGATTCAACTGTGAAAACTGTGAAAACTGTGAAAACTGTGAAAACTGTGAAAACTGTCTGTATACATCAGCTGGTTTTTAACTCTTCGCTCGTCTCATCTTTTTTTTTGTCTTTCTTTCCATACATTAAAAAAGGGGAGAAGAAATTAAAAATTTACGAGGCGGAAACTGCTCACGTGAGTCACCGAAGGAAAGAAAGAAAAAAAGATCAGATAAACACTAAACAGTAAATAGGTATATATTTATTATTGTGTAATGATATGATAGAGGGTCTAGGATGGACGAAGTCATTTGGAATTGAAGGTTGAATGTGATAAGGGAAGCAGAACCCATTCTATGAATTTATGTAGATAATTTGGATTTCACTAAATTTGCCAATCCTTACCATTATTATAGTTACGGTTCTAGATGCTTTTTTAATTTAACCCACGATTGTTACTCCTCTTGGATCCGCTGATCCCCTCCAATTATCCTAGTACAGTTTCCAGTTTAGGCTATAGGTTATTTTCTAATCAAAGCACTAGGATGCAAGAGTATGTATTAACTCGATAAGTAATATCCACCTAAAAATAACAATAGTAATAATAATTTTTCCTCATCTAAAAAAAACAAAGTATAGCTAACTTTATTATCCGAATAATACTATGCAATCAAATGTAGCTAGACCCTATGTTATGGATCTTATTTATCCAAAATCATAACAACCGTGTCATGGTTAGTCCCAACTAGGTGTTATGTCAATAATTAGAAATCGCGTTTAAATTAAAACATATAACCAGATTAGTAGAATAGTTCATATTCATATTATCTAATTTAAATCAGTCTAGAATAGTCAACTGTTTACATCATCAAAATCAAAAATTTAATTTTATCAGTAAGTCCTGATTCAATTTATTCCTTAAAATTATTATTTTTTACCAAATTGACTGACGTACAGAAACGACCTGGAACAATCAACAATCAACATACTTTTGATACATACGAGCTTTTTTCTAAATAACAATGAAACAGTGAACTTTATTATTACTGACTTGAATTTTTTAAATTTGTTCCTTTTTTATCTAAAAGATGTTAAACTCTAAATTTCATATGGAGTAATAAGGAATACGGTTAACCCTAAGACTTTAATTCCATTAATTTCATTAACAATTAACCATGAAATTCCTCCCCTTTTGGTAAACCTTGTCATAAACTTGTATTTACGAACTTTGAGAGCAACCACTGAAGTAAACTGTCAATTCCAATTTTGTGGTTTTGCATATATCATCAATCCTGTACGAAGGGTTCCTTAACATCAAAATGAAATAATAGTATTCGAACACAGAAATGACAAAATGGATAATAACTCCACTACCCAAAAAGAAACGAGGCTTGTAAATAAAGCAAAGTAGTTGTCTAGTAATGTCAGGAAGGATCTATTGTTGCATGTCATTCGGAGCAATTACAAGCCAGGCGCTGCACTTTGGGTGTATTGATGTACTGATTTCTCTTATTTTAGTTCTAACACTGAATGTCCGATTAAAACCAAATGTGATTTATTACTTCTTATTTTGTTTTATGCATTATCCTTGGTACTGACATTAATAATTCAACTTGATTTAGACTCAATGCATTAGCGACAATTCACCCTTTTTGAAACTAACTAGGGCTTGTCCTTACTCCATGTAATTAGTACTCATTTTAAAGTTTAGCTTTGTGGTTGCAACAGCACTTCGTTACAGTGTCCATTTGCCCTTCCTTATATATAGAGGCCTGCACACAGAGTTGCTGCGAAAACATCAAAAAAAAAATTTTTTTTTTGATTTAATTTTTAACACACACTAATTTTCTTTTGAGGTAATAAATATTTTGCGCCTTCCTAATCTATAACAATATTTAAAATCAATGAGTATAGCTTGAAAATCAATTAAGGAAAGAATAATTCTAACTGATTTATGATCGGTATTATTATTTTATCAAAAAGAAATTCATATGCTAAGGATAATTTTCTATTGTCACGCGCAACCCACCTCTAGGCTCTGGGTCTCCAGGTAATGTTTGGCGTGTCGAACCTCAGATCAAGACATAATCTTGCATCAAGTTACATCTGGAAAAGTTTTTGTATGATATATTTTCTAAATCAACATCAGTTTTCGACGTATGATTCAAAACCTAGAATTTCCTTTATTTCTAATTTGACAAGCTACACTTCTCTACCGAAAGCACGTTTAAAATTGAGTTCTTTGCATTTAAACCTTTATCACACTACAGCTTTTTGAATTTATTTTCTATATATCCCTTGATACATTTTCTACAATGGGAAGGAGGTTAATTTCTTTTTCTTAACTGAATTTCTCTTTGACTCTTTCAATCTATCAAAAGGATTTAGTTTAGTTAAACCAGGAATTTGAGAGAAACTTCGTACAACCAAAATTAAGATTGAAAAGTTTCTTTTTTATAACTAAAACTCGTCATGACCATATGTCATTTCCTATTATTTCAAAAAAACAATGAAACATACCTTCCCCCCTCTGGAATCATTGTCTTTAAATCCTTAAGTACCTGCATACTTTATTGCTCGTCGTAGTAATTCTTAAGCAATGAGGTTGAATTTTAGTTTGTAATAAAACTAGTCAAATCTTTATTTTATATTTAGAATGGCTTTCTAGTCTGAAATAGTTAAGGCGACTTAATCCGTCTTCTGCCTTAATAATAAAATAATAATCTTTTGCAATTTTAACTTTTTATACTCTGGATTAATTGATTTACTAAAAAGTAATTAATCGTCATAGTTGGTTTTATTGAAACTTTCATAAATAATATTTTCAAGGAGTTTTTGTTGATAATTTTTACTCAATTGGAAAATTTTGTATTTAATCCAAGAAAGGGAATCAAATAATTTAATTCAATAAAATTGAATATTATAAACAAATGTTGTTTTGATTAACTTGATAGTGTTTATTTTCCTAAAGACAAAAAAACCCTTATTGGACCCTATACTTCAAAAATCCAAAAGCTTTTTTTTTTTAATTTAAATTTAAACTTACAAAATTTTTTTAAAAGTGTTCCACTTTCCTAGAAATATCCAAATAAACTAATTTTTTAGTTTTAAATAAATCCAGTTTAGATGAATGATATAATGTCAACCCCAGGTCACTCAAACTACCTTGAGTTTGGTGGTAGTTCTGCGAATGATCAAAGTGGAGGTTCTAATAATCAAAATCAAGGACAAGGACAAAATCAACCTACCGGTACTCACCATTTAGAATTTCATGGATTACAAACTTATCATCATTTACCAATGCAACAGAATAGACCAAAACAGTTTCTATATGGAGATAATCAATCCCATTATTCATTACAGCCTCAACATAGTCAAGGATATCAAACCAATAATGAGTTCATCATGGGTGGTAGTAATGATCCTAATAATGCAAATCAACCTATGATTAGCCCATCCTTACCTATAAATTCAATGATCCCATTGGATCCAACCCAGCCAGGTCATTCTTTAGACCCCCAGGTGCAACATCAACAGTTGGGTCAGCCATTAGCTCAACACCATGCTTTACATCAACAGGCTAATCAACAACATTATCCACCTTTTCATCCCTATGGTAATCCAGCCATGATTTTCCAACAACCATCTTTTCAACCTATGCAACAGTATGGTCAACCATCATCAAACTTATATAATACCAATCAATTAACTAGTTCGTCTGCTATTAATCAGGTTTCACCATCTTCAAGTAGTAGGAGACCAAGATTACATCAACAAACCAGTTCAAGATCATCTAAATCAAGTCATTCTCGGACTTCATCTTCCAGTACTATTCCAGAATATCCCGAAATATTAAAACCTAAAATTGCAACTATATTATGGGAAGAAGCTAATACTACATGTTATCAAGTTCGAGCAAGAGGCATTTTAGTATCAAGAAGAGAAGATACTGATTATATTAATGGTACTAAATTATTAAATGTGATTGGTATGACAAGAGGGAAAAGAGATGGAATACTAAAGACTGAAAAGGTTCGTAATGTGGTTAAAGTTGGTTCCATGAATCTTAAAGGAGTTTGGATTCCATTTGAAAGAGCTTATGAAATTGCTAGAAATGAAGGAGTTGAAGAGATTTTATTTCCATTATTTGTGAATGATTTAAAGTTATATTATAATACCAAGGGCCATTTAATGAAAAGTGGTAAATCAGAAGATACAGGTTCAGAAACAAGGGAAGGAGGTTCAGGTATCGAAATCCCAGGCTCTGATAATGAAGATAATGATACCACATTAATTGGATCAAGCTCAGGAAATACTAGTGGGCAAGCAGTTTCCACTCAACTCGGAGATTCCAAATCTAGAACTATTTTAACCCCAATTTCAGCTGGGGCTGTATCATACAGTAGACCAGGATCAAGTGGAGAAAGAATTTATTTGGATTCATTAGATACAACCGTATCAGTCAAAGAAGAGAATTTATCCTATTATTCCACTACGGAGCAGACTCCAAATAGTGATTTCAAACCCTAGAATTTTTATCAACAATTCTGTCTATGTATTTCCCTTGATTTGATTTGATTTGATTTGGCTTGTTTTGTTTTGTTTTGTTTTTTTATTTATTATTGTGTGAATATTACTGTTCTTCAATGACTTTTGTATTTCTTATTGGCTTACCTTTCCCCCTTGTGTTCTTCTTATCTTTGTATGTTTTTTCAAATTTATATTTCTATTACACAATTTTTATCTCTCTATTTTTGCTATGTCTGTCTTCTACTGATCTCTTTCTTTATTCTATACTTTTAGTGTTTGACTTTTTCTTTTTTATTGTTATTCTGTACTTTGTAAATTTCTTTTTGTCTATTACTTTCTTTTATATAAATATAAGTATATGTATATTTTGAAATATAATTTATGAGCCCCTGTACATTTTTTTTTGTTCTAACTATGTTGCAAAATGAGTGTACAAAAATCCTTTTTTTAAACTTTAAACTTTTGGCGGTTAACACAAATAAAGTTAAACAATATTTTTAATGTTGATTAGAGAGACATATATAAATACTTCTATATATAAACAAATAAAACAAACAATGAATAAACCTAACGTTTATTCTTCATCAATTGGTACTAAAGTACCTCTAATTCTTTGTTGTTCTTCAATAGTTTCAAATAAACCTTTAAAAGTTCCTTTACCAAATCCATTATGATGATGTCTTTGAATAATTTCAATAAATAAAGTTGGACGATCATGTAAAGGTTTTGTAAATATTTGTAATATATAATTACAAAGTTTGGTTTTCTTTTGTCTTGTTGAAGGATCATAATCAACTAAAATATTTAAACTTTTTAAAATTTGAAAATCTTCTTTTAATTTAATATCATCTTTAATTAATCTTGCTTCTAAAGTTTGATAATATTTTTGTGAAGTTACATTAAATTCAATCCCTCTTTGATTTAATGAACTAACAGTTGAAATAATATCATTTGTTCTTAAAGCAATATGTTGAATACCAGGTCCACCATTAAAATCATTAAATTCTTCAATTTGACCTTTCTTTTTACCTTTAGCAGGTTCATTGATTGGCATTTTAATCTTTCCATTGCTTGAAGCCATAACAATTGATCTTAAAGCAGTTTCACCAGTAAATACATCCATTTCATCAACTGACCAAAATTTATGAAATCCAAACATTTTAGCATAAAAATTGGCTTGATACATCATTTGATTCCAAGAATAATTTTCAACACAATGATCAATACAAGTTAAATGAACTTTAGGTAATAATAAATTCAATTCAATATTATTATCACTATGATTAATGGAATTAGAATAATTTGGTAAAAAGGACCCAGTATAATTAATATTTTGAATTAAAGTATGTTGAATATCAGTTTTTGGAATAGTTATAGTAGCTAATTTAATGGAACCATTTTTATCTTCAATAATTCGAGGTAAACGAATTATACCAGCACCAGCTTTAATTGATTTTTCAAAGATTTGATCCACATTTTCAACTAAAAATGAAATATCCATAACTCCTTCACAATGAGTTTTTAAAAACTTTTGAATTAAAGAACATTCCATAATATCATTATAAATTAATTCTGAATTATTAATTGTATTTAAAATAAAATTATTATATTCATCAATGGAATTTTTAAAGTTTTTGGAATTCAAAATCTTATGATAAATCTTTTTACCCAAGTTAAAACTAATATTCTTTGAATTATTATTATTATTGGTAGTATTATGATGTGAAAAACTTTCAATTCTATTATTAACAAAATCAAATACTAAATCATCAATTGAAATTTTAAAATCATTTAAATAATTCAAATTATTAATTTCTTTAAATTTTAATAAATCCTTTTGAAAATAAGGTAATTTCAATACATTATCATCTTCAATAGTTTCTAAAGTATTAACAATTTCAAGAATCACATCTCCATTGGAAATAACATGAGATCCAACTAATCTTGAATCATTTTCTAATCCCTTATAAGCAATTTCTTTAAATCCCATTGATAAAATTAAATATTTGGCCATTTGTTTAGCATTTGATGAACATAATTTCAAATGATGAAAATTAATAAATCCATCCATATTTAATTTTGAACTTTGAAAACCATTCAATAATAATTCATCAGCGGATAAATTAAGAATTGGATCTGAATTATGATGAGGGAAAAATGGCAATTCATGTAAGAAAATAGTATCAATGGGCGAAGGGGTAGTAGTAGTTGGATTAGCAGTAGAAGTTGTTGTCGTAGTAGTAGATTTATTGGAAGTGGTAGTAGCAGTTGATGGAGTTGAAGATTTTGCCGATGAAGTGTTTGTGGATGATGATGATGATTCGTTATTATTGTAATAAAACTTAGAATGAGAAACTATAACTGGTACTGAAGCTGCCATAGTAGTGGTAGTAGTAGTAGAGGTAAGAAGATTTCAATAGCAAGATACAGTTATTGGAACAGGGAAAACTATAACAGGATACTGATAAGGAAGAGGTTGTTATGATAAAAATAGATTGGCGGCAAAAAAAGGATTTTTAAAGTTGAAAAAAAAGAAAAATTATCAGATTTTGTGGAATTTTGCGGCCACTTGAAAACTGAAACTTACATAAAACCTATAACTTTAAATCTATGAAAAAGTTTATTATAGACCACACGCTATAAAAGTATAAAGTAATAATAATATATAAAAGAATAGAATAAAAAAATGTCACATTTTAAAATCAAGCACATCTAGGTTAATGAACAAGTTATGAATAATTTGGTGATGCTGAAGAATCAGATTTGGTATGATGATATACATCAAGATCATCATTTTTTTGTTCATCTAATTCATGTTTGGTTAACTCGTGCGAATTGCCTTCTTCTTCTTCTTCTTCTTCATAAGCACCGCCATCTTCCTCATTAATGGCTTGTTTTTCTTCATCTTCATCATCTTCATCTTTATTTTTCTTAATAGTAGCCAATTTAACAACATTATTAACCCCTAAGACATGAACAGGATGGAAAGGAATGAAAATTAACCCAGTAATAGCAATCATGAGAGCATCTAAAACCATAAGATAAACTTCATGACTGATTAAATAACCTTTCCATCCTTCAGATAATTCCACCACTCTATAAACACAACGAATATAAATGACAACTACTGAAGTTGTAATGGCTAATGGAGCATAATAAAATAATTTTCGTTGTCTTATAGCAGAGAATTTCTTATTATAATATCCATCCAAGACATTATTACGATAATCTTGAACTGATTTAGCATTGAATAAAAATTTTAAAAAATTACCAAATGATGGTTTTACCGTAAAACTATCATCATCAGGATTTTGTCTTGCTTTTAAGAAATAAATTCTGTTTAAAAATTCAAACCAAAATCCTAAAAAGATAGTCATGGCCACAACTTGGAATACAATCCCAGCAATCATAGTATCACGACCTGGTTTTGTATTTTGATGACGTTGGGATGCAATAGATGCTTGACCTCCACCGGCAGCTTGAACCAATAAAGATAATACATCACTAGCAATGAATAAATATGAATACCACATTGGTTTCAATACTGAATATTTTCTACCATGAATAACCACCATTTGAGCAAATAAAAAGTAAATCCCCCCCATTAAAAAGGCAGGAGCAATGGTTAAACTAACATATTGTAATAAAAAGATATTCATATCGGTAGTATTATTAAATGATAATACTCTTCCTAAAAACCCAGCGAATTCTAATCCTAAACCAGCAATGAAACAAATGTTATACCAATGATATCTTGATTTATAAAGCATGGCAAGAGTATAAAAGAAACAAATGGAGAAGATAACAAGATAAATCAAATTAGGAGCTCTTTTTAAATAGAATCCATATAAATTTTCATCAAGAGCTAAAGCTTGTAAATTGATAGTATTATTAAAGATGGTTTGAGTTGCTAATGATAATTCTTGAGAATTTGTTGCGGTAGCGATAACATCTTGAGCTTGAATGATAGCCAATGAAGCTTGAGCCCCACGATAAGCTTGAGAGATGGAAGCTAAGGAGATATAATTGGTTTGAGTTTGGATTTGTTCATAACATGAACTAATGGTGGCTTCAATGTTGGATAAATGAGTGGGATCAATTGATGATAACACGGTTGAAGTAGGAATACTACTTGGAGTCCAAGGTTGAGTAGCCTTGGCTAACACTGATGCGAATCCTGACATGATTCTCTAAATAGTAGTAGAAGTAGTAGTAACTTACTAAGGTTTGAAATGATGCTGGTTAAACTAGATATGAGATAACACCACCATTCAAAATTGATTTGAAGTGATGATATGACATTTAATTTATATTATTTTTAATTCCAAACTCGAGAAATCTTAAGCCCTAAAAAATAAAAAAAAAAAAAAAAAAAAAAAAAGAAATTGAAAAACTGCGCCGCTTGAGGATTTGAAGATTTCTTACTGGATTTGTCAACAAGGTTAACTAATAATAACTAATAATATATCAAAGTGTAAACATGATGAAATACGGGTACTGCGGTTTCTAGAAGTATGAATTTCTTATCTGATATAAACATTGTTGTATGGTAATTATTTAGTTACAGCCTCCCCTCCCCTCCAATTCCAATTTCAAGTTTAAACACGGAAGCGGGAATGAAGAAAAAAAATATGGAGCTGCTAACTAATTCCGAATCCTAATATGGCTTTATAACCACCTATGTAACATAACATAAACCATGCGCTTAAGTAATCTGATTAAATGGGAGACAGCCAATGAGATATATAAGTTAAACATGGCTGAGTTAAATCACCATTGATATCAACAATAATTGTAATTGTGTCTGGGTTTCTCCCTATGCGTGCAAGTCAAGCTCATATAAAGGATGTCCAGTAGTTACAACAGGGAGATTATACCAAGAAGGAATACAACTAATAAGAAAAATAAACAGTAGTAGTAATCAAAAAGGCTTGTATTAGCAACGAGTAGACTAGGGGGGATATAGATAAAATAATAGTGTACAATTAAGAAGAAGATTAAACGATAAATCATTTTTCTTATCACCGTCTATACCCTTCCAAGGCCTTTTATATTCTTGATTTACTAGTATCAATGTTTATAGTTTCTAGAAATGATGTAAGGAGTTTGTTGTTGTAGTTAATTATTGCTTCTGTTCCATTACTTTCAAATGCTCCAAGGTATAAGAATCACTAACTTCAAAGCCACAATCATAAAAATTTCTTATCTATCCCTTATTTCTTTATCCTAGTCAACTTTGAAAAGATTTAACATTCCAATAATACCATATAAAGCTCATCTCATCTCATCTCATCTCTCAACTTACTCTATATATACCATGTTAAATATGCTTTATATCAACTACGCGTGTTTGTTTGTCCATCATGACACGGCTCCCTCCCTTAAAAAAATAACCCAAAATAAAATAAAATTTTTAATGGCTTTGAAATGTCATTCACAATTTCGGTAATCAATTAGCGAAACTATTATTATATGGTAATATATTATATTATGAACATATATGTCTATATTAAGTCTTTGTTTATTCAAGTTACATATATCAATTCCATCTCATCATTGTCCAATTCCCCTAATAATCCAATTCATTGTTTATTTATTTGTTTAGTTAAGCTTTGTCCTTTTTTCTGTCGGTTAATTTTCGTCATCTCCCCGAATCTGCCACTGCACTGACACAAATTTGAGAAATCATTGTTGCAAAATTTTTTTAAACGTCTTGTGATTGTCGTTATCGATTGCAAATACCTTTTATGGTTCATACCCTATGTGATTCTTTTGCAATCGATTATATCACTTACATTCGGAATATTCATCCCTAGGTACGTCTAAATTGAATAAAATTTGTTTTTATTTTTTAAAAAACTACACAATGTAAAAATCAAACATATATAAATATAACCAAGGAAGAACTAAATAAATACAAAAATTTAATAACAATAAATTCTTTTGTTGTTGTTGTTGTTGTTGTTGTTGTTGAGAATTGGATTGATCATTATCAATCATAAATAGGAAACGAACGAAATTGTCTAGTTATGGAACACATCATTTTGTTCAACTTGAAGAACATCAGATGAATCACTAGCAGTATGTTCTTGTTCATAATCTTCTAATTCATCATTCCCCTTTTCTCCAAGTTCAATATTATCAGTTTCATTCAAATTATCTTGACTAGTAATTTGAATATTTTCATTATCATCTTCACCATCATGAACATCATTTCTACTTTTAATATCTTGTAATCTAATTTGAGATGCATCACCAATAACAAGTTGAGGATGGAATGGAACGAAAAGTAAAGCAGCAATAGCAATCATGAATGCATCCAATACCATAAGATATACTTCATGAGTGATTAAATATCCACTGAATCCTTCAGCTAATTCAACCACTCTATAAATACATCTGATATAAATACATAACACAGCTAAAGAAATCACAAATGCATAATAATTATAAAGTTTTCTGACTCTAATCTTAGCAAATTTAGGATTATAAAATTGTTCTAAATGATTCTTTTTATATTGATTGGCATTTTTAGTGTTGAATAATAATTTTAAGAAATTCTTAATTGAAGCTTTCTTATATGATTGATCATAACCATGAGATTCAACCGGTAAATCATCACCCCCTTTAATTTCTAAATCAGTATCAAAATTATGTTTGAAAAAGATTTTGGTTAAGAAAGTATACCAAAACACCAGAAATACCGACATTGAAAGCACTTGAAAGGCAATACCAGCAATCATAGTATAAGTACCAGGTTTAGCATTTTGATAATTATTAGAAGCAATTGAAGCTTGAGCTCCTCCACCAGCTTGAATCACTAAACTTAAAATATCACATCCAATGAATAAATAAGAATACCATAATGGTTTTAACAAGGAATATTGTCTACCATGAATAACCACCAATTGAGCAAATAAAAAGTAAATACCACCCATTAACAAAGCAGGAGCAATGGTTAAACAAATCAATTGAACTAAAAAGTAATTGTTATTAGTCATATCATTCAAAGACATCAATCTACCAATGAAACCAATGGTTTCACATAATAAACCTAAAGTCCATGATACATTATACCAATGAAATCTTGATTTATAAATCATACCAGCAGTGTAAAGAAATGTACTGGCGAAAATAATAAAATAAATAATATTGGGAGCCCAAACTAATCTCCAAATACCATAAGAATCTTCATTCCATTGTAATTCTAATAAATTAATGGTAGAATCATAAATAGCTTCGGTAGCTTGACTTAAAATAGATGAATCAGTAGCAGTTGCAAGAACATTTTGAGCTTGAACAATAGTCATAGATGCTTCTGCCCCTCTTAAAGCACGAGAATAACTAACAAAATCAGGTTTACCAATATTTGGATTCATTAAATGAGACACGGCATTGGTGATGATTGATTGTAATTCAGCTGATTTAGTAGGGTTAATACTCATTAATGTGGTTGAATGAGGATAACCAGGAAAACTGCTGGCAGACCAGGTGGTGGCTGTATTAGATGACATTGACATGTTGTCTATGCTATTATCTATAATTGACCGTTTAAGATACTTGATTTATAAACGTAATTATAAATATAAAAACAATAAAATAAATGGCAAATCTAAACTTGCAGATTGATTGACATTTTTATACCTTTTTAAAATTTTCGTTGGTACAGCCTGCATAGTAATCCTGTTAAATCCTGAATCGTGCCGGTGATAAACGGGAAAATCTGATCCAGAAGCTTAATCCTCATAAATCCATGCCACATTGTAAACAGATCTTTTTTGTTTTTTCTTCTGGTCAGTCGTATTTTAATGTATGGAACACGGATAACGGAGCTCAAGTCCGCTAAACCGTTGAACTCCACAACAGAGTAGTAGCCAAGATATAGAGTTAATTGCTTGGGTGGCACAGCCATCACGGATCGAGACTATAAAGCTTTGCCAAATAGCCTTGTCTTATCATGAACCATTTAATGAATTGATACAAGTCAAAAACATCTCCATCCGTGACTTTACTATAAATTGTGTGAATACGGTATTTCTTTTTAGTGAGCAAGCCTCCCTCTATCCTCCCCTCCCTCCTCCCCCCCAAAAGAAATGAGTAAAAACAAAAAATTGTCACTACAAAAATAAATTACTGTCTCACTAAAAATAATTTCTCACGGCGTAAATATAATTTTAGTGTCGAAGAGCTTATGTCAGCGTAAAACTATCCTAAAAGATTGTTTATCTCTAGCTGATTGATTGATTGATCATGCCTTACAAGTCTTTCCTTTCATTCTTTTTACATAGTCTTCTTTCCTTTATTCATCTTAAGACTTTGTCATAAACTACTACAGATATGATCATCAATCTTTCGATCCTTGTTTCAAACCAGGAAATGTATTTTTAGCATCCTATTCTCTCATTACCATTTAAAGGATAATTATCAATAAATACGCGCACTGCCTCTTCCCTATGAACATGAACATGAACATCTCCCACGGTTTCCGTGTCCGTCTCCGTTTATAGATTAAGGTTAACATATAATCATTTATCATCATTGCTTATTCTTGGCTAGATGTTAGGCAACTACAATGTTTAAAGTTAAAAGGTTGATCCTATGTTGTACGATTATTAAGTGGATTCTCCATATTATTATTTTTACTACGACTACGTAAATTTTATCCTTCACTTCACTTATTATTATTTATGATTTATTTTTATTTTTATACCTGTTATATTGTTCTTGGTTCCATATTTCCTTAATAAGTTTATTTTATATCTACTTTCTTGGTATGAACGGACTACCCCTTACCTTTTTCTTTTTTAAAATATTCAACTCGCTATCCGTTCATGACCTGATTTTATAATTATACACTATTGAACTTATTTTTTATGTAATTAGTGTATACGGTAAATTATCCGATCTGCGGTTGTTAATTAAATTTTACAAAAGCCACAACCTAGAAGTAAAATCAATCAAGTATTTTATAACATTTACTATAAAATGTGTAGTTTTTGAAAGGCATTGATACTTGATTAAGAAAAATTATCGAATATTCCTTTGACACACACCTTCAGGTCAAGAAACTTTTTCTATCCCTTTATTTTTTAAGTCATCTTTCAATCCATTTATCCATTTACTGTCATCTTCTACACCTACCGTTTAAGTTATTCATACATATACGCGTAAAGACAGAACCCTATCTTTCAAGAGGGGAGGATATGTGTATGGTACCACATTGTTTATCGTTATAAGATTAGAAAAGGATTGAATTGATCCGTAAAACTCAACATTTTTGGACTCCGATATCATATTTCCTGAAAAATAATTCAATATAAAGTCAAAATTTAAGGTTGGCTCCACCCCACCTCACCGTTTATTCACCTTTTCATAATATTTTAACCCCTGAATTGAAGTTAAAGGTTCAACTTCAACTTTTGGCATGTTTATGTTTGTGATTGTGATTATGTTTATGTTTTGAATCATTCATTTGATGAATCTTTCTAATTTTAGTTCGCAAAAATAATTATATTTTACTTTCCCCTCAAAAAAACGACAATTTCACAAAATGATAATTTATGATAGATTTGAATATCTCAAAAGAGCTGTTTACAATTTAATGTGTAGTTTAACTTAAACCTAATCAAATTCAATTCCCACTTCTTTTCAAGAAAATCTTTTAAACACAGCCCAAACTCTACCAATGCAACATGTTAAAAATAGAAATCCAAGATCATATCGTGTAGACCGTCAAGCTTATGAAGGTTTTAACAATCAATTTGTATGATCCAACAACGACAAGATTACCCTTCGAAATCTTGAGTCATGAAAATAAGCTTGCATTCCTTAAATGACTCCTTCAAACTTCAACCTGAGACCTCCTTACATATTACAGCCGATTTATAGTTCTACTTCAATGTTCTGATTCAACAGTCATGGGTATTAAAGTTAGCACGATATGAGTTCAATTCAGTACCATAAAACCAGACAATTATCACCAATGGTAGTTCATTGACTTATCTAACTACAGAGACATGCAGAATGTTAGAGAGTCAACAACTTACTTCAAGTTTAAGTGATTACGATTCAAGAGTTGAAATGGCGGAGACTATAGAATTGGTTTTACATATTGTTATCACTTGGATGTTAATCATATTGATAGGATTCACTATTCCTCGTCTATATGATTATGTTAGAGGATTTGCTGAAGTTAGGAGATATGATTATTAATATGAATATGTGCCTCATCACCCGTTACAGGTAAGAATCTAATCTAGATGTTCTAATTCTCATAATTGATGGATCAAGACTACAACCACCATGATATTTAAATTTTGAATGCCTCTGATTGTGATTTATCTTGTGGAGAGAAGGATGCTTGAAGTTTATAGTCCTTATAGAAATAAAAATGTCTACATAAAAAGCGAATAAATGAAATGTTTATCTAATACATCCCCACTATTTTACTCTTAATGCTTGAGGTTTTGGCTTGTTGAATAGTTTGATCTTGAATCATTCAATATGGATTAATACCAGTTCCAATTTTAGTCGCAAAAAAACGACGAAACCACAAAATGAATATAGACGCCATTTGCGACAAGAAACGAATAGCGAGAAGAAAGATCATATGAAAAAAGGTTGCTTACAATTACATTCAATTCATATTTTATCAACACATCCAACACAGCCCCAAGTCTATTTCAATATGTTAAAAATCAAAAGTCTAGACCATCTCGTATTAACTGTTAAATCGATTCCTAAAACGATAAAGTTTTACGAATCGATTTTAGGTATGGAATCTCAAACCTTTGTTTCTCCCGTTGATCCCACCATTACTAGATATGCTTTGAAATTCGGTGTTATGAAATTAAACTTACATGCTTTAGACAGTCCTTTCAAGCCTCATGCTAAGAATCCTTTGAATGGTACAGCCGACTTATGTTTTCTTTTGGATGATGCCAATTCAAGTGTGGTGGGAATTAAAGGTGTCATTGATCATTTGAACCAATTGGAAGTACCAATTGAAATTGGACCAGTGGAGAGAAGTGGTGCTAATGGAAAGATTGAAAGTGTTTATATTCGTGATCCTGATGAAAATCTTATTGAAATATCAAAGTACATATGAGAAATAGATAAAAAATAAATGCAATGCCTATATTATGCTTTTTGTTACTAATATACAAGTATGAGAGAGGTGAGGATTAGTCTATATAGCGATATTAGTTTGAAGTTGATCTGGTTCTTCTTCATATTCGATTTCAACTCTTGCTCTTCTTTTCTTCTTATTCTTATCAGTAGCTGAAGTTGATTTACGTTTCTTACCACTTTCTTCATCATCATCAGAGTCATCATCGTCTTCGTCTTCAGAATCATCATTATTTCCATCATCAGAAGAATCATCTAACCATCTTTCTAAATCTTCTAAATCAACTAAATCATCATCACCATCATCTTCAACATATTCAACTTCACCAACATCAGATTCATCTTCTTCTTCATTTTCATCTCCACTTTCTAATTCGAAATCATCTTCTTCATCAAATTCTTCCTCTTGTTCAACTTCATCAACTTTGCCCAATACTTTCTTCCAAATATTTTCATCAACATTCAATGGTTTATCACCATAAGCTCCACTCTTTAATCTATCTAATAATTCCTTTTCAATTGCTTTTTCAATCTTTGCAGCTGCTAAAGCTTTACGTTCACGATTTTCTTCTCTTCTTTTAACTTTATGTTTGACACCGACATAATGTCTTTCTTCATCTCTTAAAGCCAATCTTCTTTCTGTAATGGCTACTTGAGTTAATCTTGTTAATCTTTGTTTACATTTATGAATTAAAAACTTTTGCCAATATTGTAAATAATTATCAATTTGTCCTAAAGCTTTATTATAATTTTTAGATAATCTTATTCTTTCCCACATTCTCGAAGGCATATGAGCACGTTCAGCAGTCTTCATATAAAGATATAATTTCCCTCCAATGTTTTTAACCGTAGCATATCGAGCATTAGCTAATGGACATGATTGTCTGGTACATAACCCACTTACATTATATTCATTACGACAGAAATTTTGCCCTTTATCAGTTTTCAATTTGAAAGCACAGAATTGATGGTTTATCACTTGCCAAATAACTTCGTCAGACATGATGTGAATGAATGTGTATGTGTAAATGAAAAATTAATAAATAAATATGAATTTAAATGAATGAAATGTAGAAATGAATGTAGTATGTATGTGTATGCAAATTATATGATATCTATGAGAAATGATAACGAGATGAACTAAAAAATCAGATGAAACTTAGTTATAGGTCTTCTATTTCTTTTATGAACCAGTATATATCTAGAACACCGACTTTAAAACCTTTGAAAAGTAACTTCTTTAACTGTTTATAAATAGTTTTAATCCATACCATTTAAGCTTGAAAAAAAAATTTATGATTTTACTCATCTCTAAAAAAAAATTATAAATATTCCTGTACATAAAAAACTCAGATTTTCTGATGACTAACAGATTATGTAATCGTTGTAATATGATCTAATACTAAACTATATATAGAATATCTAGACTATAACCAATTAGGAAGTTGACATACCTAAGATCGTAATTTATAAGGTTTAACAGGGACAGAAGGTTTTACTTTAATGGGTTTTGGACCTATGACATAGGTGAAAATGCCGGGGTTGATATCATTGGCTAATCTTGAGAATGACATTAATGTGACTATGACTTGGAATGGATCTTTTGATTCGTAAAGATCGACCGTTTGAAAGATTTCATCATGTTTAAGATGAATCAATTGACATAATGCGAGGAAGAATGATATGTTTTCCATTTGAATGAATGCAATTTTGGAATTCTTAAATTTGGAACATGGATTAGCTGGATTCGAGATTAATGATCCTAATTTACATAAGATATCACCATCTTTCAAAATCTCCATAAGATCAATCGTATTCAAATCAGTTTGACCGAATTTATTAATGAATAGTTGTGGGAAGTGGGGAGTTAAGACATCTTTTAAATATGTTTTAATTTCATTTTGACGTTGATGATATTTATCAAGTCTTGATTTATTGACATCTTGATCAAGGTTTGTGTTTGCATTTTGATCTAATTTCGTAGGTTGATGATGTCGATTGAAATTGATATCACTCATATTGATGTCTGTTCTTCTGTTGCTGATTGTAGATGTTGCTGTTGTAATGGATGATATTATTATTAGTATAAAGTATATAAAATCTCCTGTGATAGCCCTCTTTTAAATTTTTCCGCATAAAGTTTCGCCTTCACTACAAAAAAAACTCATAATTTACAATTTTTAACTATTTTATTATTATGAATGAATTGTATAAAACTAAAAAGAACAAACAAAAGTCAACAAAACATGAATTTGTCAACACTATATATAATATACTATAAGGGAGATAAAGGGGATATCACGTTTAATTGTGTAATCTCTTTTCATAAGAGTGTAAACCATGAACACCACCTTCGAATTGAGCTGAAGCAGTTCTGAATTCAAATCTAACTTCTTCACTATCAACTTTAGATCTTAATTCTTGGATTGATTTAATACCAATATCTTGTAAAGAATGTTGTAAACCATTATATAAATATGGAACGAATTTAATAATAGAACCTTTATCAACCACTGAACCAGAAACACCTTGAGCCACTAAAACTTGATCAGATTCAGAGAAATATCTTGAAGTTGATGCATTAGCATTAGTTGAAGTTTGTTGCATAGCATCGATTGAACCCATACCTCTATAAGTTTTTAATCTTTTACCATCTCTATAAAAGTAATCACCTGGAGTTTCAGCAGTACCAGCTAATAAACCACCCATCATAACAGTTGAAGCACCTAAAGCTAAAGCTTTGGTGATATGACCAATGTTACCAATACCACCATCAGCAATACATGGAATACCAAATCTATTAGCAAATTCAGTAACGTTATAAACAGCAGTACCTTGAGGTCTACCACAAGCCATAACTTCTTGAGTAATACAAATGGAACCTGAACCCATACCAATTCTTAAAGCATCAGCACCAGCTTCAATTAAAAGAGCAGCTTGTTCTCTAGTAACGACATTACCAGCAATGATTTGTAAACTTGGATAAGTAGATTTGATCCATTTAATCATATCTAATTGGAAAACAGATGAACCATTTGAAGAATCTAAAACAACCACATCTAAACCAGCTTCAACTAATTTAGTTAATCTTTCTCTATCAGCTACAAGAGTACCAATGGCAGCACCACATAATAATTGTTTTGAATGGAAAGATTTTGAAGCATTTGGATAATTTTGATTTTTTTGTAAATCAGTTCTGGAAATTAAAGAGATTAAATTGTAATTGGTATCAACAATTGGTAATTTACCTTTTTTAGAAGTTCTTAATAATTCATTACCTTCAGTTAAAGTAATACCTTCTTTACCAACGATTAATTCTGTAGTCATAACTTCAGAAACTTGAGAATCATTATCTTCATGGAATTGAACATCTCTTGAAGTAATGATCCCCACTAATTTTCCACCAACTTTACCATTTTCTAGATAACATGAAGTTAGTATAAGAGTTATTTTAAAAGATAAAAAATCATTGATGATGATTGATTCCCATGATATTAAGAAGTAAAAATAAAAAGATTCAGTAAATTAAATTATCCTCAACATCGTTTGATGTAATATTCGGTAGAACGAAAGTTAATAATTGTGATTGATCATCAAGTAAAAGTGACAGAGTAGAATGTATCATGGGAATGATCTGACATCAAGTGAATAAAAAGAAAGGGAACATACCAGTAACAGGGAATGAAGTAAAACCTAAAGTTTCTTTCATTTTTTTAACTTCACCAACAGTGGTGTTTGGAGCAATAACAACCGGATCACTAATGAAACCATTTTCGTATTTTTTAACTTTTCTAACCATATCAGCTTGTTCTTCAGCAGTACAATTATGATGAATAATACCAATACCACCTAATAAAGCCATATGAATAGCCATATTTTCTTCAGTAACAGTATCCATTGGAGATGAAACAAATGGAGCATTAATAGTAATATCTTTAGTTAATTTACATTCTAAACTGACAGCACTAGAAGGGAAATTGATTAAACCAGGTAAAACTAAGAAATCATTATAAGTTAATCCACCAAAATTAGCAGAATCGATCAATTGTTTAACTGATAAACCATCTCTTTTTGGGTAATCCTTCAAGTAGGAGGAAGCAATAGAAGCGTCAAGAACCATTATAGTTAGTTAGATATGTGATTTATATGTTATGGGGATTAAAAGGGGCAAGCTTTGCCAAAAAAAGAAAAAGAAGATTTAAAATGAAAATAAATAAATTTTTATAAAGACATTGGTTGTTATTTATATCGTTCTTAGTAATGACAATTTTTTTTTCAATTTCTCATCGTAAAAAAAAATTTTTTTGTCTGTCTGCTTTGATTTTTATTTTTGACTTCTGTTTTGGTGACACTGACAATTATAAGTTCAGTCAGACATTACCAGACACTTTGATAACAGACAGTCAGACAGACAGACAGACAATTTAACAGTATCAATCTGTACTATCATATTATCATATCATACACTGTCATATACTGTAAGTAAACAAACACGTATGATACAATTAGTTACTTAGTTAGTAATCCCAATCGGATAATCCGCGGTCTGTCTCCTCATAAATTATGTATGTCTTTTAGTACACTTTCCATCGGGATATCCATTCACACCATATAACTATACAAAATTTACAAATACAAATACAATTACAATTACACAATAAATCTAAAAGCTATATTGTTAAAAGTTAGTAATCAACATGGATCAATGAATAATAACCAATCATTCCCAACCATAATCAAACAATAATCATACATATTAAATCATCTATGTCAGAGTAGCGGTTCTTGGATTTTGTCATGTAGTATATATACTAGTAATATATATACATCATATACTATCTATAAGAAATCATCACATAATAATAATAATAATAATGAATTGACTTATGGTCTTCGTTAGGATAGTTGTTATGAATGGTATAGTTTGTGATCATACATACTATTTAGTTAATCTAATCATGATTTGATAATGATAGTTACAGTTAATAGTAATTATCATATTTGAAAATTTTTTTATAGTTCCAATTTAGGTTTAAAGGTCGTGCGTGGTGTCCAAGATTCCAAATGGCGGGTAAAACGATTATTATAAGGGTATAATCATCCAAAGGTTTACACTAATGTTTAAAATGAAAGATATTGTATTTATATATATTTATATACGATATAAATAATTTTACTAAAAAACGGACTAATTATAAAAAAAAGAAGGACTAGGGAAGGGAAAGGAAAGGAAAGATAGAAAAGAAAGAAAAGGCAAAGAATAGAAAAACATATCAACACTAAACTAAATAAAACTAAAAACAAGAAATAAATATCTCTTTCTCTGTCATTCATTCATCATTATATCTCATTATACTATATTACAATCACATCACATCATATCATATCATGCTGAACCCTTTACTACTACTTCTCCTCATAGAAGGATGTTGGATTTGTGATTGTGCTTGAGCTTGAGCTTGCGCTTGTTGGGCTAATCTATGATTATTCTCTTTAACGGATTTCACATACTCTTCAATTCGTTTCCATCCTTCCTTGCGTGTGATTTCTCGTTGTTTTTGTTCTTGTAATGATTGATGATATAATATCGTACAATGATCATATAAGATGGGGTTATGATCCATAAATACTTTTAAAGCTCCATAAGCTAAGGAATGAATACTTCTATTCCAATTCGAGGTGGCGGAATTATGTTGTAAAATATTATCCTCATATCCATTGAATTCATTCTGTTGTTGTTGTTGTAGTTGTCCTGGTTGTTGTTGTTGATGTGATTGGAGTGATGATAATGAATCATAATATTCATCATCCGTCATTTCATGACCATTCAAATCAAGATGAGAATGAGCATTTGATCCATTCTCATCAGTATTCTCTCCATTATTATTATTATTATTTATAGATTGATGAACTTGTAATAAATTAAAATGAGGATGAATTGGATTATTAGCAGAAGGGATTATACCTTGATGAATATCTTGTAAAATTAATCCACTATCAATTAAATTACCATTAGCATCAACGGTTGCCCCTGTATTATCAGATAATTTTTGTTGCATTATCCCATTTTCAATACCAGGTTGAGTTGAATTTGTTAATTCATATAATGATGCAAATATAATAGGTAAGACAACTTCAGCATTTTCGGTAATTAAAGTTAAAAAATATTCATTAGACCAATAACATAATACTTTTTCACTAACTTGAAAATGAGGAGATGAAATACATTTTGATAATTGAGCAAATAATGGAATTTGAATCTTTAAAAATTCATTTGGTTCCATAACTTCAAAAATATCTTCAATTTCATTTAAAAACATAACTTCCTTTGGACTATTGATTTTGGGCCAATATCTTAATAATCCCATTATAACATCTTCAGTTAATGATGGATCCTTTTCTAAAAATTGAACCACACAATAAGCTAATTGAGGATGATATAATGATAAACTTTTAACTTTATGTAACGGGATTAAAACTCTTACTAAAAAGATTTTATGTTCTTCTTTTAAAGGTAAGGCAAATCCATTAATAATTGATCCTAAAATTTCTAATAATTCTCCCACTCCATTAAATCTTTCAGTTTCATAAACAAATTGTAAAAATACATTAGTAATTGATTTTCTAATAAAACTTCTTAAACTTAAAAATTTCCCATAAATACGATGTAATGTAGTCTTTAAACAATCTCTTTCTCTTGGATCTTCACTATCAAATAATTCTAAAATTCTTAAGATAAAATCATGATCAATATATTGTTTAGCAATTTGATGTTGGAAATCAGGGGATTCAATAAATCTTAAAAAGAATTCATAAATAGCTTGCATATGAGGCCAAGCTAATTCACTGACTGGTTCATCTTCATCAGGATCATAAATATCACCAATGGGATTTACAGGAGGTGGGATTGGACGAAATAAATTCTTTTTAAACATTCCAACCACATGTTTATACATTTCATCAGTATAATTAAATCTATTATTTGAAATAAATGAAATCAATTCTTGTAAAGTAATTCGTTTAATTTCTTTACCTCTAATATCAAAAGTTGGATCACCAAAATCAAACATTATATTACATTGATCAATTTTTTGAATAAATAATTGAATTTGATCTTCGGGTAAAACTTCATCAAAATTAGGTAATCTCATAATTTCTTGATATTTATCACTAGTACTGGGTTCAAATCTTGATGATGAATGTCTCTTTGGAGTTAAGATTAAATCAATATCAATATTTTCTCGAGCATTGGGAGAAGAAATATTAGGATTTAATTGATAAGGATGTAATTGAGCTGCTCCTTGTTGACTATGAATGGCTCTCATAGATGATCCACCTTCAAAGGATGGTGGTGAACCTCCACTATTACTATGACTAATGGTTATGCCAGGCGAAGTTGGAGTTGGAGTAATTGGAGTAGTTACAGCTGTAGTGGTTGAAATGGAATTGGCATTACTATTGTTGGAACCATTAGCACCATTACCAACTATACCAAACGGATGTAAATCATAATCGGAGTTTGATGCAGTTGATGATGATGAATTATTATTGTTGTTATTATTTACAAGAATCCGAGGAGTATTTAACTCATGATAGGCTTGTTTTGGAGAATGATGAGGCGAACCCGATGAATTTGATTGTTGTAAGTTTGTAATTTGATTATTTGATGGATTTGATTTTACTGAATTACCACTATTATTTCTTGAAGGACTTGGACTTGAAGATTTTAAAGATGAAGAAGAAGAAGATGCTGATAATGGATTTTTATTTTGTTGATTTGGAGATTGGGATTTATTTAATGAATTAGATGATGACGTGGATGATTTATCTTTATCTTTATCTTTATCCACTTTTTTATCAGAAGATTTTTTTGAGGAGGAGGAGGAGGAGGTTGAACTTGGAGAAGAAGTTGAACCTGGAGTTGAACCTGATGAAGAAGAGTTTTGACTTTTATTTCTTGTTAGTCTGTTTTTAAAACCTTTCATCATCTTTATGTGTAGGTATATTAAAGGGGGAAGTGAGGTGAGGTGGTATATAATTGAAATCCAAATGGACGTAGAAAAGTGTATGCGGCAACAATGGTGGAGAATTGAAATGCGGAAAGTCTTTTTGACGGGTTGGGTAGTAGATCAATTAGCGAATAGATGATGAATCAATCAAGTGATTGATTGATTGATTGAATTGATCGATTACAACAAGAAGAAGATCGATGGTATAAGAAAATATACCGACACTCTTAGTTAAGAAAATGGCAACCAAGCAAAACAGAAAAAAAGTAAAAACACCACTTGTTAACTTGAGAGATAATTGATCAATCAAAACGGGGGAAACAGTGTAGGAGGGAGGGGGCGGTGATGCGAGGGCAAGATTGAGCTATAGCTTGATCTATGGTATAGGATGAGAAGTGATGATATGATATCTAGCTAAGATTGATTGATTGATTCAAACTAGAGGTCAAAATTCAAATTAAATTGATCAAAATTGGGCTTTTTTAAAAATAGTTTTTTATGGGGACACTTTTTGTAGAGGTTTGAAATTATCCACCACCACCAAAAAATTAAATTCTTTTTTTTTTTTTGATAGTCAAAAATTTCGTTGTTGAATTGTCTGTCTGTCTGTTTGTCTGTTTTTGTTTATAAATATATTTTTTGTGTCTGATTTTGTTATTTTTGGCTTATGACTTAACTATGCTTTTTCTGTCTGTCATTTAAGGAACCAACCATTTAAGTATAAAGCAGTGCTTAATTAAGATAGTCAATTGTCTAGTATATAGTAAGTCATATCAACTACAATTATATCCTATAGTGAAAATATTTACTCAGACAATTAAAATTTATTAGTCTGTCTCCCCTTTGCTATCTATTGTTTACTTACTTTGCAATTACTTAATTAGTTAATTGAACAAACGACAATTTTTTTTTTGACTGACCTCTTTTTTTTTTGTCTGTCTGTTTCAATTGAGAATAAATTTTGTGTCATTTCCAGTTTTACATAGTATAACTTAACTTAACTTTGTATAGTATAACTTTACTTTACTTAGTATGAGATAGATAGCCTCAAACTTTACTATGTACTTTATATATATGTATGCAATATGTAACCTAACTTTCAATAAACCATTCCATCATCATTAACCAGCGCTTCTATTATCAGTCCTCCAGGTCCTCCCTCTCCACCTCCTCCTTGTATCATTAATAAATCTTTACGATTTAATACATAACTTAAATAACAATTCCATCCAATACTTAAACTATTAACCACTAATAATCGATATTGAACTGGAATAAGATAAAAATTAAATAATTGGAATATAGGCCAAATTAACCAATTCGATCGTAATGTATTCCACCAATTCTCATTCATTTTATGAATAATAACATTCAAAATTGAATCATCTGTCGTAATACTAGTATTTGTAAAAGTTGATTCTAAATTTTCAAATATTGTCATCATCGAATAATATAATGGTATTCCTATAAATGGAGCAAATATCAATTGATCAAATGAAACTCGTAATAGGGTATCCTTCACACTTGGTTTTTGTTTAATTGGAAGCACATGTTCTTTGAATTGAGGTAATTCTTTATTGAGTCCTTCTTTCCCCTTTGTCAATGCCTTTGTTGGGAATTTTATCTTATTTAATAATTTATACCATTTATCTCCAATTGGAGCAAATATGATTGATCCATAAACCACGGCTCTTAAGAAACGAGAATAATCAAATGATTCAGAACTACCATCAACATTACTAATAGGTGATTTGAATAAAGTTTGAGCTAACATATCTCCACTTCCAAATAAAAATCCTGTCGTTATCATATTGGTTAATAATGGTTTTTTAACGATTAAAGAGTTATATTTGGTGAAATATGATTTGAAATACGATTTATATGTCATGATTAGTTGGGTTGTGTACTGTGTCGTGTATGAAGGTGATGAGCTATAGTTAAAAGGTCAATGTAAACTAATGAACAACAAAATTCTTTAATGTTGTTGAAATTTTGATTTGATGATTCTTGTGACGTATATTGATTTCTTTTTTTTACTGTGTGTACGCGATAAGATATCCATCCCCTCCTCCACATATGAATGCAAAAAAATTAGATCTCTACAAAATTTTAAATCAAAGTAAACGTAAAAAAATCTATAATTTCTTAATATACATTAATATACATAACAGTTTAATCATAAACCATAGTGACTTCTTGTTCATCATCTTCAATATCAACAATCTCTTCCAATAATTTCCCACTTCCTTTACCATGACCACTCGTATTATGAATAAAACTTAAATATCCATTCCAACCAATCGACCAAATATTAGAAGCAACGATTCTTAAATGTACGGGGATGAAATAAAGATTGAATAATTGGAATCCAGGCCATACTGTCCAACTTGCTTTCAACACATTCCACCAATTATTTTGTAATTTCTCATAGGCTAATTGTAACGGATTTTCATGCATGGCTAAAGTTATCATCACGGTATTATATAAGGGGATCCAAATTATAGCAGGGACAAATAATTGATCAATGGTTAATCGGAATAATGTATCATAAATATGTAATCTTGATTTTAATTTTTCATCATTCATCATTCTTGATCTGGTGGCTCTTTTTATGAAAGGGTTTAAAATTCGAGGTAAAGTCTTTGCATGCCAAAACACACTAATTGGAGCGAAAAACACTGATCCATAAGTCATGGCTCGTAAAGTTCTTGGAAAATTATAATCAGATCTAACTTTAATGGTCTTGATACTTCCATCTGATTGAGGTTCTTCTTCAATTTGATGATGAGGAAATAACATTTGTGCACTGAAATCACCTAATCCAAAGAATAACCCCGTGGTGATCATATTGGTTCTGAAAGGGTATTTCTTAAGTAATTCATTATATTTTCGAAATACTCGTGGCATTATAGATCTATGAATAGGGTATGACTATATGGGGTATGAGTTTTTGATGATGATGATTTTATGCTAGTGTGACTCTTAAGAGATCTTTAAGTATGGGATGGATTATATTTTTTTATTTTTATTTTCAGATTTTAAGGTAAAATGAATATTTGAAAAAGTTGGACAATGAGATCAAGGAGTAAATGAATATACTTGAATCAGATTAATCTTAACGATACTTTAGATGATCTTTATATGAATAAGGTGGAAGTAAAAGGTGAAAATTTTCACTCCCTCTCTCTTTACTGTGGTTAAATGTAAATAAAGCCCAAATAATTTTTTTTCTTCTCTCTATATAAAAATAATAAAAAAAAATTGCTTTTTTTGAAATGTCCTAAATCAGAAAGAAATTGCGAGCAGTTGATAAATGGAACAGTTTAGCGAACAACGGGAAGTGTGTAAGTTAATAGTCAAAAGACTATTAAGTATGGGTTATTACTATTTGTTTATGTTCAGTACTCCTCTTTCAATAATATAAATATTGTACTGTAATCTTATTATACTCAAACTCAATTGATCATTTAAACTATAAAATTGTTTACAATGGAGTAGCTCTTAACCCAGTTAACTTTAACAGATCTTGAAAAGGTCACATGATAAACTGGTTTCGTAGCCACTAGATTAAAATGTTCAATTTAAATTAATCTAATAACGATTGAATAACTATGTTAAGTCAATTGACTTCTCATCACTTGTTAATTTAACCTTTTGATGATGAAGTATAATTGACAGATTGCTTAATTGAAAAGAATAAATGATTTTCCGGAGTTTATTGTGCGAGGTCTATCTAATTCCAAGCAATCACAAAATTGAAAAATGAATGTCGAGAAATTGACCATCTTTAACGAGAAAGTATAACTTAACATTATGTCACAGATCATTACTTATGGGTGTGACTTATCCCAAGTTGTTACTTGTCATAAAAAGTATAGTAAATAATGGGGAATGTGTGAGTTGTGTGTGTTATCTATTTATTTTGATATATCCCCACAAAAAAACTAAAATTGACTATACCAAATAGTTCACACCGTTGACTAGTAGTAAGTACTAGTCTAAAATGAATAAGGTCTATTAACTAATCTAATAATCAACTACTGCACATAAGCCAACCCCATTATTGTCATTAAATAAATACTATTTCAACCTTATACCAAAACAGATGGCTGGTGACTAAAGAAGAACAAAAAATTCAAAATTCGAAAATTTCAACTCTTTCCTAATTAGGAAGGAGCCATGCCTAAAATAAAAATAAAAATTTCATTATCTTTTTAATGAATGAATATGTATATAATTAACTAGTTATGATATGAATTGAATGAGATGGAATTCTGTCGAATAGTGAGGAAACTTTTAGTTTCATATAATTAAGGTTTTTAGGGTTGTAACGTTGGATTAATTTTATTATTATTTCGGTAGTTAGGCTGTAATCGAGCTCATCTTATGTCGTTGTTCGACTTGTTCCTCGTTCGTTAGTTCGTTTGTTGGTCATCCTGTTTCTTCTTGTGTCCCCTCGTCGTCGTCGTTTCTCTCGTTATCTCACTGACTAACTCGGAGCTGCGCTGACCTCTCCCCACTAAATTTCATTTTTTTTCTCCCTAAAAAATTAAGTGTGAGCAATCACAGTAATCGTATCACTATTATCATCAATTATGATGATACATTACAATGACAAAATTAATCTAGAGTGTCTATTCAATTACTATTACTAATATACATTTAATTAAAATCTCTATTAACCATTCACATAAACCATTAACAATACAAGAAAAAATAAACTATAGAAGAAGACAAGAGATTATTCCCCGTCAGCCTTACAAAAAAGGGATATCTCTAATCTTTAAAATTACCTTAAAAATCGATAAAACTACCGAAGATGAAACTGCCTAAAATTTGAAATTTTAATAATTAAAAAACTATTAGTAGTAATAATAGTAAATTAATTATAAGTTTTAGTATAGTATAGGGCATGGCCCCTGTAATAATAGGGAGAGAGATAGATAGATAGAGAGATAGTTCATACATCGTTACTGTGGGAGTTTTTCAGTATTGTCTCCTTTTTTTTTTTTCTTCTTCGAGTTTCAAAATTTCGTCTGTTTGAGAGTTTCTCCCCCCTTTTTTTTCACCACCAATGAATCCTCTTTGTCTCCCACTTTCCAATTTTATAAATTTCTAATACCTTTTCTTTTCAACAATTGTCGTTTCTTCTTCGTTCTTTTAAAGTTGTTACTTATCTAATACGATTTCAATTGCCATTGATAACTTATTCAACTCGATTCTGTTTACTTGATTGATTGATTAACCTTGTCCCTTTTATATTCCAAAACAAAAAGTTAAAACTTCAAAATCTCCCATCCCCTCCTCCCCCCCCCCTCCTCCTGTATAACTATTAATTATCCAAAATGCATAGAACTTACTCCTTAAGATCTCAAAGAGCTCCAACTGCTTCTCAATTACAATCCCCACCTCCTCCTCCATCCTCTACCAAATCAAGATTCTTTGGTAAAGGTTCCATCTCTCATTCTTTCCGTAAATCTGCTGCCGGTGCTTTAGGTCCTGAATTATCCAGAAAATTAGCTCAATTAATTAAAATGGAAAAAAATTTAATGAGATCTATTGAAATCACTGCTAGAGAACGTAAAGATGTTGCTAAACAATTAAGTTTATGGGGTGAAGGTAATGATGATGATATTTCTGATATTACTGATAAATTAGGTGTATTAATCTATGAAGTTGGTGAATTAGAAGATCAATTTATTGATAGATATGATCAATATAGAATCACTTTAAAATCAATTAGAGATATTGAAGGTTCAGTTCAACCATCAAGAGAAAGAAAACAAAAAATTACTGATCAAATTGCTTATTTAAAATATAAAGATCCTCAATCTCCAAAAATTAATGTTTTAGAACAAGAATTAGTTAGAGCTGAAGCTGAATCATTAGTTGCTGAAGCTCAATTATCTAATATTACTAGAGAAAAATTAAAGACTGCTTTTAATTATCAATTTGATTCTATTAGAGAACATTCTGAAAAAATTGCTTTAATTGCTGGTTATGGTAAAGCTTTATTAGAATTATTAGATGAAAGTCCAGTTACTCCAGGTGAAACTAGACCAGCTTATGATGGTTATGAAGCTTCTAAACAAATCATTGTTGATGCTGAAAATGCCTTAGGTTCATGGACTTTTGATTCTGCTGCCGTTAGACCAACTCTTTCTATTGCTGCTCATGATGATGAATATGATGCTGATGATTTAGCTGATGAAGCTCAACATTTAGAAGTTACTGAAAAAGAATGGGCTGAAGAAGGTAAAGCTTAAGTAAGTTAGACTTTTTATCCAATGTCATATCTATTCATTTATCTAATCCATTAAAAAAAAAGTTCGCTTTTTAAAAGATGAAAATCATCATTTCATTCATATTTCAAATTTTTTAACATATCTTGTTTTGTTATTTTACTATTTTTACTTTTTACTTTTACTTTTATACTTTTGTCTTAACTATCTACTTACACCATTAGTTGTATCAACTTTTCTTTATATGGTTGTTATCTTGTCTTGTCTTTTTATATTCTTTAATTCTTGTATTATCGATCAATCAAAAATCATTCACATCAACATTGTCTATATATAATACTATATATATCAATACTGACATGAAGTGATAAAATGAAAAAATCAATATTATTTCGTATGCATATTATTTGTGACATAGAGATTATCATCTCGGATGTAGAATATTGTGGAGAATTCAATTGGATATGTTGGATTGAAATATTTGGTGATACGTATTAACGCATCATCTTTAAAGTGGCTATATTTTTGGCCGCATACGGTCATAGTTACATTTATATCTCATTAATCGCTTCAATTACCGAGATTCTGCCAATTGTATTCTCATAACTTTTCATCACCATCATACATTCTTTTATTCATTATTCATTTATTCTTTAAGCTGCCAAATTTCAGGTTAAATTCAGTTCAATTCAATTATTCATTCTTTAACAGAGCTTATTGTAGAACGGATTAATTGTCACACAAAAACGCGCTTTTTCTCTCCCTGTGTTGTGTGCAGGACGCCTGTATATTTTTCCGTTGCGATTTTTTAAAGTGAGGCAGAGAAAAAGAGAAAAACACCACAAATCATAACAACAACCTTTAAACAACAACAACAACTTTGATTAACCATCCATCATCTCTTTTATTATATATCCATTCATCATTAGATCAGGATAACATCAGGTAACTATCTACCAATCCATTTCAATACATCAAGACACCATCCAATTTGTGTGGTGAAGAACAGTGCGTGTCCTACAGAGTCTGATTCACTGCTTTCCCCCTCCTTTCATTCGATCAGTTGTTTACAAATAGAGTAAAGACATCAACAATCATTCTACTTAGTAAGTCATCATGTCCAACGATTTCTTACGATCATCTCCCTCAAGAGATGTGATTGATCCCTTAATATATCAATCTCTAGCTGAATCAGAACTAAGATCAACCACATCCACAAAGCCTTCTAAAGGTAAGAATTCTAAAAAGAATCATAAAAAGAATCAACAACAACAACAACAAATGCATCCTCAATCGTCTGTGCCTCCTTCTGCCTCTAAATCATTCAATCCTGTCAATGCCATATCATCCGGTTGGACTCCATTAATCTCAAAGACATACTTCAACGAACAAATACTTTCATTTAATTCAACTCCTAATAAATACTTATTATCAAATCTTAATAACACTAATAATAACAATCCTAATAATAATAACAATCTCCTCAATACAAATCAACTTAATCAAGATTATTTGGATTTCACTCTGGGTTTAAATTTAACTCCATTTTTAAATCATAATAATTTAAATATCCTTCAACAAACTTCATCATCATCTATAAATCAACAATTAAATAACATAACTCCCTTCCATGAAAAGACTTTACATCTAACTGATTTCTTCATGGATTCACCTATTCGTCAAACTCCTTTAAAGGATTTAGATACCATTACTCCATCAAGATTTAAATTGAATTATAGTGATAAAAAACCTTCATTAAGTGGGAATAATAAATTCGATCCCAAGAGTGCTCAGAAAAGATCTATAACTCAAATAGATACACCTCCAAGGCAACCTCATAAATTATCAATAACCACTAAAGCCAATGATGATAGTAATAAAGAAAATAATAATGAATCTTTACGTAATGAAAGTGATGATGAAGATGATTATGATGAAGATCAAGATGAATTATTACAAAAAACAAGATTCTTCTTACAAACTCCTTCTAAAAAAGTATTATCTAATATAACTAACTTTTCCAAAACTCCAATTAAACATGATATTGATCGTGAAATTTTAACTAAATTCCAAACTCCAGCCAAACAAATCCCATCATCTCCATCATCTCCATCCACAGTTATAATGTCAAGTGCTGTAAAGCCGGGTGTTGATAACACCAATACTGAACCAAATGACAATTCCAATGACGACCATATTCAAGATGAAGAAGATTCAAATGAAACTACCGATGAAGAAGATAATGATAATGATAATGACAACCTTAATCAACCCCCAAGTCCAACTCCTAAAAAGGATGGGAAACAGCTTAGAGAGGAAGCTTCTATACCGGTGATGGGAGTCTTTTCGGAAAAGAAAACCAAACCAATTCCTTCTAATAAAGCTTCTTTGACGGCTAATTATAGTAAGGGATCAAGGATATCATCTAATGATTCATTTGATTCGGATAAGGGTAAAGGTACAGGTGGTCTAAAGGGTAATAGGAGTAAAATGCAAGCTGGTATGAATAAATTTCAAATTATTTTTACTGATGTTCATACATTAATGAATAATAGGAAAAAGAAAAGTAGTAACGAACAACAATCTTCATCTAATTCAAGTGGTTCAAAACATAAATCTTCAACTACTCCTAATCTACCAAGGAAACAACTTCAACCTCCACCACAACAACAACAATCTCAGGAAGTACAACTTTTAAAGCCAAATTACAATTCTAATCATCATCATAATCATCAACAACTGTTATCAGATCATAATATCAGCATTAATACTAGCAAGGAAATTTCGATAATGTCAGGGGTAGGAAATACAAGTCATTTGAATTTAACTTCTGGTACTGATCAATCTATGGAATTAGGTGGGATTACCACGACACCAAATGGAAAATTCTTCCTTGATAAAGTATTTGATAAAAACTCTCCTCAGACTCAAAATCTTTTAAATAGTACTTATTACATGATACAGCAACAACAGCAGCAGCATCAACAACAACTTCAACAACATAATATTTCCATGCCACCTCCAACTAACGCTAAACAACAACAACAATTATATCAACAACAAATGGTTCATCCTTCTCAATATAATCTTCAACCACAACAACAATCCCAACAACCTCAACATCCTATCATGATGATGATGAGTACTCCCCAACATCAGAATGTGATCAATTATGCCAATTACGGTTCTGACAATTTGTCTCCCGATGATGATTCCACCGGTAATTTCATAAATTTCCCTAAGGACACATCTTCAGCATCATCTTCACAACCTACTTCATCTTCATCGGCTCCTTCTTCTCAAGGATACATGTTAGGCATGAGTCAATCTATGATGATGCCCACAATGATGAATATGAAAAATAACAATGATGGAAAGTAAGGGGATTAATTCATTCATACACACTTTTTATTTCTACATACTTTTTTAATACGTTTTTCTTCTTGTTGTTCATTCTTCTATTTACAAACACAGTTACTTATTCAATTTCTTTTTATATATACATTACGTTAATAGGCATTGGTTGTCATTCTTTTTATTTTAATTCAAACATTTGGAGGTAATAATAACGCTCCTATTGTATTTGGTCTTTCTGTAGCTAATAAATCAAACATTTGAGCAGCATTATTAGAATCACTGATTTCTAATTGTATTCCTAAATTCGATAAATATTTTCGATTTGATTCACTTAACATTCTTGACTTTTTACCTAATCCAATAACCAAAATCTCAGGCTTAGGATGGATCTTATTGAAAACTTGTAAGATCTCCTTCTCACTGAACTCCACTATAAACCCATTGATGATTTCATATGCCCCATTACTAAGATTAACTTCAAACGTCTCACTTTGTAACATTAAAGTCCCAATGATGTTGTTTTGTTTATCAGGAGAAGTAATTAATAAATTATTAGTCAAATGGAATCCATTCGCTTTGACACTTTCGATATAATTGATGGGTTTATCGGAAAACATCAAGATATCATTCTTTTTAAATAAATCAGCAGGATTAGCGGTGGTTTCTCCTTTACCTGATGGTGGTTCAAATTTGAATTGTTTGAATTGATTGATGGTCTTAGAACCACCGAATAAGTTGGATCTTATGACTGCGTTTGAGAAGTATCGGGATGATATTATCGATCCATGGTTCGGTATCTTACCCCTGAGTACTGACATTGTTATGGTGATGATGTTGATATTAGCAAAGTCCATTTCAGATTTTATTTCAATTTTAATTTTTTAAAGTGTTTAAATTTTTGTCTGATCGCAAACTGTGCCAAAAATGTTTTGATGATTTTTTTGCAATTTAATTTCAAGAATAAATATATATATTTCAAACATCTACAAAACCTATACAACCAATTTACTTCGTTCAGTATTTAACTTATCTATTATAGCCAATTTACATTTCTCATAAACATCCATTCTAAATTCAGTGGTTGACTTACTTTGATTTGATTTATGAGTTATGGATGAAGGTGGTGATTCATTTTCGTCATCAGTATCAGAAATAGTACTACTTATATCTGATTTTGATGACGAAAGATTTGACTCAAGGAAATGATTATGAATATTTGTATTGTTGTTCATCTCATCGAGACGTAATTTCGATATCGATGGTTTTACTCTTAACAGTTTCTGAGGCAGAGCCTGTTTTGAAGGAGATGAGATTCTTAAATCTGCAATCGAAGGTCTTTTACTTAGTACTTTAGGTGGCTGTTGTTTTGAAGGAGATGTGTTTAAGGAAATACTGACCAAGGGTTTAGCAGTAGTTCTTAATTTGATTGGACTCGAAATTGGAGTGGTGGAAGTAGTTGGGATGGCTGATTTCACAATAGGAAATTTCTTTAAATACTCATCATAAATACGATTTAATTGGATATTAAAAGCAGCAGTATGTAAATAATGCTGGATTATAGCCGCTTTTTCATCTTCAGAAATATCAATTGATTTGATTTTATCTTGGTATCGAGAATCGTCTATAACTCTATGAATTGCTTCCATGGCATATTGATAACGTTTATTAAAATCAAGAAACGAATGGAAATGTTCCAGATAAATATCTGACATCGATAATGTATTAGCGATGAATTCCACAGATATATCACGGATTGGTAATAATATGAATCTGAACCCTTTTGTTTTCCGATCCTTGGCATCTTTAAATGATGGATAATACTCATCATCATATTCATTATTTTGATTATTGGTTGAACCTTTCACGGGAGAACTGGGTCGAGAGAAATTCGAACTGGGATAATTCGATACAAGACAATAACTTCGGAATTTATTCTTGATATAATCGACCATGACTCTATATTCATCTTCAATTAAAATCGATTTAAATTCATCAATGTTATATAATTGATCCAACTTTTGATAATATGCCTCACTTTCTTCACCACTTTCAGTATCACCTTCATCTATCTCATTCAAGAATGAGATTCCCTCATCGATATACTTCAAACTATAGTCTTTGGCTAAGAAAGAACTCAACTTATTGATTCTTAATCTTTTAAAAACATATAATAATGATTTGAGTTGTAAGTCTATGGAATCCTGGTTTTTTCCTTGTTTATACTGGGGTATAGTTGCAGCTGTATTCAAGGATGAACTGAATATGTTGAAGAAACTCATCTCAACCTTATCACCCTAGTTTGAATTGTTGCTTGGTTGGTTCCAAGAGTTGATCTTTGATATTTGTAAAATGTAAACAAATATAATTTTGTTGCCATACAAATTGCGCGTGCCCTTATCAAAACCATAACAGTAGCACTAACCCCCATAAATGAAGGAGATGATGATAGTGATTATTCCTATAGATTGAAAGAAACGAAGCTTGAAGAAATAGAAAGAGGGATTACCTAGATTAACCAGTGTCAAATGTTATATTTCAATATTAAATTAAAGTTTATGGTGTTTTGATTGTTCAATATGGCAGCGCACCGATTATCAAAGACTGGGGCTCACCACCATCAAAATCAAAAAATCAAAACTGCTGCCACCAGACCCCCCACTACGATAGATTATAGGTATACACAGCCCCCACAATTACAACTAAACCATCAATTGAATCATCATGTCTACTCAATCTGGTATATCAGCGTCTTCAGACTTATTAGATGCTTTCAAAACTCTACAATCAGAATCATTAATCATAAAGATCTCCCTGGATAATACTGAATTAATTCCTGATCAAAAATTCAAAGGTTCCAAATCAGATTCATTATCAGATCACTTTAATGATATCAATAGTCATGTGAGTAATGAATATCCTCAACCCAGTTATATTCTTGTGCCTGCTGGTGAAACTGATAATTTCATCTTTGTTAGTTTTATTCCTGATACTGCTCCTATTAGACAAAAGATGTTATATGCATCTACCAAGAATACGTTAATCAATGCTCTTGGATCGAATAAATTCTCCAAGAATAATACGTTTGCATGGACAGATCTTGATGAATTAACTCATGATCATTATAAATTCTCTATTGCTGGTAATAGTGATGAATCAAAATCAGATTTATTAAGTAAAGATGAGAAAATCTTAAGTCATTTAAATTCATTACAAGATTTATCCTTAAGTACTCAATCTAAACAATTAGCGTCTATAAATCATCATGTGGCTAGTGATGGGTCAGATAATATCACTAAGGATAAGTTATTATATAAATTTGATGAGAAATTAACTACTGAATTTGATAATTTATTAAATAATACTAGTAATTTCAAATTAATTTCATTCATTATCGATTCAAAATCAGAAGAAATCAAACTTTCAGCAGCTGAAACCAATATCGCCTTGGATTCTTTAATATCGACACTTGAATCCATCGCTTCTAAATCATCTATCGTTCAACCTCAATTCAGTGTTTATAATTATCATCATAATAAATTCGCTTTCATTTATTCATGTCCATCAGGATCAAAAGTCAAAGATAGAATGCTTTATGCATCCTCGAAATTAGGATTGATTAATTATTTGAATCAATTATTAGGCCAAGATAATTTATCTATCAACAAGTCGATTGAAATTGGTGATTTACAAGAATTAGAATTATCAGAATTAGAAATTGAAAGTGAAATCTCATCACCAGGTTCTATAACTTCTGGTTCATCAAATTTAAGTAATTCAAATAGATTAAAATTCACCAAACCAAAGGGACCACGTAGAAGATAAGTCCCACCGCAAAAAACTTACAAAAAAACCATACCTACTTTTAAAATTCTTTCATATATATGAACTTTATATATATTAAAAAATAAAAAAAAATGACTATATCTTGGATAATTCCTCTTCTACATACTTATTAATAATCGTAATCAATTTATCTGAATTGCCCTGGTTGAAATAGGATTCAACGTTATGCATATCAATATCATCTTCATAATTCTCACTATCGGATATAGAACCAGCGTAATAATCCACGTTATTCTTCTTGGATTCATTGATGATATGACTATAAATCTTTCGAGAAATCGTTTTATTAATATTGATATAATGATCTTCATCTTTGATTTTAGAATTAAGTTGTAAGGGATTATACAATGGTCTTAAATTATTTCGAATATATTTTTGAATTTCAACTTTTTGATCTAAGGATAATTCAAATCTTGGAGGAGGCGGTGGAGGTGGTGGTGGGAGTGGAGGTAATTGTCTCTTACGATGTTTAGAAAAATCACTTTCATATTGGGTATCACTATCATTCAATTCCATGGGACTGTTTGACATTGGAGATATTGAACTCGGAGATTCTGAAATTGAAATAATAGGGGAATTTTGAGATTGTGATGGAAATTGAGGTGGCGAAGAGAACACATTAGTAGAACGAGAACCTCTTGATGAAGATGATTGAATGGGACTTATACTACTAGAACTAACTGATGTTGTCGTTGTGGTCGTTTTCAATTGATTTAATAAATTGGAAATCCTTGTAGGATGAGAATTATTCATACTTAAAGTCGATATCGAACCAACCATAGAAGTATCATCACCACCTCCGATATCATTAATCACTGTTCTCTTTCTCTTCTTACGTTTCTTACCAATACTAGCTGTCATTGCATTATTAACCACAATATTATTGTTAGTCTGATTCACAGTATTACCACTTTTACCACCATTATCACCACTTGAATCACTTTTATCCATGTTTATATCTTGAATATCATCATCATGATTCCTCACATGATCAAACAACTCCCATGATTTTAATTCTTCTTTGGTTAAATTCTCCTGTGCTCTTAATTCCTTTCGTAATAATACGCCACCATTGATAATCTGTGGATAATGATTTGCAGCAGTAGTAGTACTATTACTACTATAGGTATCATGGGGATTATTTGGGAGTAAAGCAGTTTCATTAATCACATCAATTTCATCATTATATTCATCATCAAACATTAAATCGTCATAATTATGATTTCTATTATCATAAATATCATCATCATCATCTTCTTCGACATCATTGAAATCAAAATCATCACCAGTATAATTGGCATCATCAAATGCAGTAAGACATGGTCTAGCCTTTCTAGTTTTATTAAACGTCGTATTGGTTGTTGTTCGTCTTCTTATCGTAGTTACGGTTGGTTTATGCCTTACTATTTTCCTAACTCGACTACTATACGGTATCAATGATTCTTGATCACTATCACAGATAGGACAACACCATTGGAAATAATAATCATCAATCACTCCATTCGATGATCCATCCCCATCTCCTCCCATTCGATTAGCATGGGACGAATTGATATTATGATTTATACAAGAATAATGGAAATTAGACATACAATGAGTACAATTAACAAGACTAGATCTGAAATTGTAATTTGAAGATGAACAAATGACACATACACCATTTAAGATCGGATCAGATGTATCTGAGACAATGGTGGAAGAATTTGGTCTTGTTGATGAATTTGATGTGGTTGTGGTGGTTGTTGACGATGTTGAAGTTGCGGAAATTCGATTGGCTGCAAGGGATAAAAGATGGTCTTGATTCATACTACTCGGTATAATGAATTCAGCTGGGATATTATCAATAGCATCATTCTTTAATAGTTTATCCTTGACAGTATAACTTTGGATTAATTTCAAAGTAGATGGTGTTGTTATGGTATGGTTTGTTATAATGGGAACAACTTTTTGATAGATATTAATTTTGTAAAAACGTTTGCGGCATTGAGGACAACTATTTGAATTTGAAGCCCATTTAACGATACAATTATGATGATAATTTTGATTCAGAATTCGACAATCACAAGAAGGGATCACACCGACTCTATCATCTTTAGTTATAGATTCTAAACATATGGAACATTCATCATCTTCAAATTGATGATTTTGTGGTGGAACCATAGGGAGCAGGACCCCATGAGGAGGAGAAGGAGGAAAAGGCGGCGAACGATTACTTAGGGCCTCATCACTCCGAATCTGGGACTTTTCACTCATGATTCGGTTTGAAGATTGGTTGAGATGTATACTATTGATTTAACACCTTCAACGTATCAGTTTATGAACTATGTATATCGATATTGATAAGATTGTTATGATAGTTAAGCATATAATAAATGAAGAGAAAGAAAAAGAGCACTAACCAAAAAAAAAAAATTAAAAATTAAAAATTAAAAAAAATCGCATCTACAAATCGAAATCTTCAATAAGCAAATTCCTACTTTATACAATCTAGACCCCCTCCCCCATACTGAGTTTAGATAATGTCACGTCATCAATATGATTTGGTCCAATGTATGAAACAACCAGGCACGAAAGTGGGCAGAGTATGTTTACAATGTGAAGGCAAATGTCCCATGTGTGATCTGTTAGTTAAACCTACTAGTAAAGTCTATATTTGTTCTGAATGTTGTGGGAGTTTAAATAATCAAAATCAGAAATGTATACTATGTAATAATAATCTAGGTGGGGGAGATGATGGAAGTAATGGTGGAGTTGATGCTTATTATTGTTTGGAATGTGTTCGAATGGAAAAACATCGAGAGGGATGTCCTCGAATTCTAAACCTTGGTAGTTTAAAGAGTGATTATATGTTTAATAAGAAGAAATTAAATAGTACGAAACTATTAGAATGAATGAATGAATGAATGAATGATACTATGACTTACGACAACACTACCAATAACTTTAATCATGTTAATTTTTTTTATTAAAAAGAAAAAGCTAACCAAATAAATAAAAGTAATCCTGTACCCCTATGTATAATAATATATAAATATAGACCAAAAACAATATTAATATTGCAATGAAATGTAAATGTAAATGATAAACATCACCTTGTTTATAAATTCTCTTCTATTCTTGAACTTTCAATTCCTAATTCTACCACATTTTTTATGCCATCTTTCCATTTTGTTTGAAGATAATTATTAACGGTGCCAAATTCCATTTGTTTCCGTTTTCGAATTTGATTAATATCATCCAATTTAACTCGTTTAGAATTAACATTTATAACATAATCTTGTTGTAAAGATTGTAAATTTTGTAATTGATCATTATTGAATTGAGATAAATCTTCATTATTCTCAAGTAATATTCTTAAATTTCGTTCTGTTAATTGTTGATATGATAATGAGGTATATAATTCCGATACCGATGGAATTTGATTAGAACCAGAATTGTTACTGGAACTACTACTACCTTCACTAACATTATATCTTGATAAATCAATACCATTTTTAATGATATGAAAATCATCTTCTCCTTCAATATCTTCATCGAAATCTTCATCTTCAAATTCCAATTCATATCGTTCAATTTCTTCATTGATTAACGGACTTGGACTTAGTCTATGCATAGTTGTGGATAATGGTAATAAATGATCTACTAAAGGATGTAATGGAGGTTGTTGTTGTTGTTGATCATTAAGAGGCGATATGATTTCATTTGTACTTGAACTATTAAGAGGAGTTGTAGAATGATGATTATGAATATCGTCCAAACCAGTTTGAGTTATGCTACTATGAGACAGATTATTATTGATGATTAAGGGACGATTCGGTATATCATTTTGAGTTACGATTATAGTGGGAGTAACATCTCTTTGAGATGAAGCTTCAAGTGAAGGTGATAATATTGATTGTTCTATAGGTTGAGACTGAGGTTGAACTTGAACTTGAACTTGAGGTGGTTGTGGTTGTGGTTGTAATTGGGATGGTTGCGAAGGTTGTGTGGGTTGTTGTGGTTGAGGAGGATGAAAGTTTATATTATTAAGATTTTGATTAGCAAATTGATTTGTTAATTCAATCCTTATTAATTGTTCCACATGAGCTCGTTCTTCTGGACTTATACTTGCATCAAGATAAGGTAAATGCTCCAAAGGTTCATAGTTTATAGTGACCATTAGTTTTAATGTATGACGTTAGGATGATGAAAGATAATGATAAGGTTAAAAAAAGATATGAATGAAAGGGTAAGGGAGGGTTGGTAGATGCGATGTGGAGATGATGGGGGCTACTAATCTATGAACTGATATGAAATCGATAGATCTGTGAGATAAGTGAGCCAATGCTAATGAGATGAGTTGGATAAATAAATGTATATCAATCAGGAGATATACCGTACTTTGATAGATAATAAAGAAGAAGATGGAAGGAAGGAAGGAAGTTATAAGTTATTTATTTATTTATAATTATACAATTTCTGTTATTATCCTTTTTTGTCATTCTTTTATTTAATTGGATAAAGTGAGATCCAAGCTGCAATAGTAAATCATGAGGCGCCTGAACAGGACACATCAAAATTTTTAAAATTTTTGTTTTTATTTTTTTTTTAGCGGGTGAAATGATAAAAATTTAGTGGGGGGAGAGAATAATTATTTAGTGAGAGCCTAGAGGGTAAGAGTGGGTGGGAATATATTTGCGAGGGGAGGGAGATAAAAATTATTATTTAGTGACAGACAGGAGCCGTAGCGATAGTGAAAAAAATTTTAATGTGTTTCAGTAAAACTTTGTTAGTTTAGTTAGTGATTATCGTAAAGCCACTCAAAGATGATGATGAAATTCTGTAACTATCAATGTTTTCCATTATAAGGCTTTCGTTCTTTCTATTTACAATTAATAAAATTCCAAACTAAAATGATTTTCACCTTGAAAACAATAACTTAAATCATGCCATACCATGATATTTCTCTCCTTACGTCTATTGTTAACTACCCATTTATCACTAACTACATTATACTCAGGAACCTCTTTGTCTATTACAGTTTCAAATTTCTTTTTTATTTATTTTATTTTTTGCAAATTTTAAAACACGGCACAAATTTTTATCAACAACAAAAGATCTCTGGTATATACTGAAAAATGATAGGAACGATAAATGAACGGCACTGGTAGATTATAAAGATTTATTTTATTTTCTAACATTTGTTCTATGGCTCGGCATAAGTCCCAGATTCGATTGTTCTCGAGATGGAAATATCTGTCTATATCAGATTGTTCTTATACTACCGACTTAGCTGTAATTACATTGTGCTTTTTTACTTCACCATTCAGAGAAATGGCATCAAAACTATGAACGCAAAAATAAATAATATTTTCTGTCATATATCCATTCAGTCATTTGTATAATTACAGTCATAGGTTGGATAGTAATCATATAACATACATACATATAATTTGCCTTATGAAAATAAAAATCAGATAAATCAAATGTTTGATCTTTATTTGCATTCATTCTTGTCCCTTTTGAAAACTTTAAATTCGGTTTCATTTCCCCTATGTCGCAAATCAAATTTCATTTGTCAATTTTCTGTGGCTCATAAAAATGTCATAAGCTGCCTTCAGTTTACGACATAAATAGAAACTTATATCTTCTTCAACTAATACTCTACAACTAATTATTATTATTAAATATGTTTTTGATATATGATATTAATTTTGTATACAAGATTTATATAAACTAGTCTTTCATTTAATAACTAATTAACTTATTTGTTTAAAACATCAGCATCATATCTTTGTTTAAACCATTGAATAGTATCTTCTTTGTTAGTTTTATGAGAGTTACCAATAGTTGATCTAGTTCTCTTTCTTCTAGCAATTCTGGCACCGGCTCTACCCATAACAACGTAGAAATCCATACCGTAAATACCAATACCTGGATCATATTTAATACCTAAATCAATATGTTCATCAATACCGAAACCAAAGTTACCGGTTTGAGAGAAATTTCTGGTTCTTAATTGATATTCTTTAACTTTTAAACCTCTTTCTAAAATTTCTTCAGCTTTTGGACCTCTAATAGTAACATGAACAGCAATCTTTTCATTTCTTCTAATACCAAAAGTTCTAACGGTATATCTAGCTTTAGATTGAACTGGAGTTTGACCAGATAATTGTTCTAAAACTTTGGAAGCTCTGGTTAATCTATCACCGGATTCACCAACACAAATGTTTAAAACTAATTTTTCAATACGTAAATCACGCATAACATTTTGAGATTTATCAGCCTATAAAGAAGTTATTGTTAGTATTTAGGTTTACTTTTAATATATATATATATTATATGTTGATTCATTGATGATTGATATTTGAGTTACATTTAATGTGATATTACTTTGAATATTATTCGAATGTGATCATTAGTTGGTTAACGGGATGATTAATAACTGATGATTCTTGTATGACTATGGTTGAGTTCGATTATTCATTTCTTTAACCTATAATTTGATGATTTTATCTATTACATTCTCGATGACTTTATGTTATGGATAAATGATGGATTAAACTGTAGTATTTGTGATTCATTGATGGATTAATAAGTTCTATCATTTTCATTAATATTGATATCATTCTGACTTGACTTGATCTTCATAGTTGATGGATGTAAGTCTTAAATTGATGACTTCCCACTTACATTGACTTTAGTTTACTTTGATTCCCATGACATTCATTTCAACATCTACATCATGAATTCAACACTTTATATTCTCTCGTTGGTTTGAAACATACCATTTTGCAATATCGATATTCTATACTTTATCTAAAGAAGGTAAAAAGGAATTATTAACTATGATTGAAAAATTTATTAATACTATTTTTCTCTTTTCCTCAAACTGAGTTGGTACCAAAAGAATGCGATACTAAACCAAAACAGAGAGAGAGAAAAAAATTACTATGTGAAATGTAATATACAGGATTCTCATCATAAAATTGTATCACGTGTGTTTGTGAACTTAAGGGTTTATGCCCTAGTGATATCTAATATCTCTGCAGCTGTGAATTATTAACTTATATCAATTATTACACTCATTACCAAATATTATTACTAATATGATGTTTTATTATAATTCTAATATACTATATGGAAGATAAGTAACTTCATCAACTTAACTATCAACGTTATTAAATGATTTTTCTTGTTCTTTAATTTCCCAAAAGAGATCTCCAACATTATGATTACCATGATAAATCCATCCAGTTTCAGTAACATGATATAAATTAATTGATCCACCTGAAAAAGCATCTCTATGAGTAGCAGCCAATATACTTCTTTTACCTAAATATAACGCATCTTCAACTGATAAATCCCATTTATATTCTGAATCTAATACCCCATAAGCAAAGGTTTGACCCGATCCAACACAAAATATATCACCTTTTAATCTTGTACCATCAGAATCAACATAATATATAGTTGGACCTTCCTTTTTAGTATATCCACAAACCATAGTACCCATTGATAATCCCATTCCTTTATATTGATAAACTAAATTACCTAATATTTTGGATGCAGCTGCAACAGATATACGTTCTTTTTCTCTTAATTCATGTAATCTACATTGAGTACCTAACCAAGTTTCCCAATATTGACAATCAGCAGCGCCACCAGCCATAGTACCTAATAAAAATGGATTAATTCTAATCACTTTATTAACAGTTTGGGATGCAATCCAATTCCCTGCTGTAGCTCTAGAATCAACTGCAACAATAATCCCGCCTTGGAATCTAAATGCTAAAGTAGTAGTACCATGAGCAATCTTAATTTTACAATCTGGATTAGTGGCATCATCAGTATGAGCTCTTAAAAAATCAGTTGGTTGTGAAATTGGTGGTAATTGTATACTTGGAACTAAATTTAAAGTATGTTGTTGAGCAACTTCATTGGTAGCAGCATTTATTTCATTAAGTATGGAATTGTTATTAGCATTAGTATATTTTTGAGCAATTGAATTCATCTTGATTATATAAGTTGTTGATGATGGTGTGTATGTATATCTATATTGATGGACGTAACTCGTGTTATTGTCTATCGATGTTTCAAATCAGGAATTGTTCGTGGATAGATGAATCTAATTGTGTATCGTATGTATGAATATCAACTACGATGTATGAGATGAATGATAAATGTATCAATTGATGATGATTGCAATAGTAATTAAAGGTAAAGACAGTAATCTCTCCATTATCAATAAATCCAATCGCCACCGCATTTTTGTTTTCAATTTTCTGACCATTTCTGACAAAATGCAAAAAAGGCAAAATAATGATACAAAATCGCACTACCATACTAAATCTTTTTAATTATACATTAAATTAATTAATTATACAAAAGTAAAATATACAGTTTACTATACTCTAAACAATGCTTATTCAGTCTTGATAATCTTCTTCGCATTCTCATTATTATTCTTATCATTTTCATCAAGATCACGTTTAACCCCAGTTGTAGATTGATTGGCTTCTCTTAATCCAGGTTTATTGGATAAGAACGTTGGCGGACGAGATAATCCACTTCCTCCAACTCCAGGTTTGGCAAATCCTCCAGGCTTAGATAATGATGGTGGACTGGAGAAATTAGGTGGTCGACCTAACGAATCTGCTTTATAACTCGGTGGTTTTGATAATCCTAATGGTCTTGAAATGGTTGGTGGGGTGATTGTAGGTGGGGTTGGTTTTGGGAAGGGTTGAGAAGGTGTTGTTGCTGTAATAATTGGTTTGACAATTTGAGCAGGAGGAGAAACAACAGATGCTTTTGGAATGCTTTCAACCTTTGGAGTTACAACTGGAATAGTTGGAGCTGGTTTAACAATAGCAACAGGTTTAGCAACAGACGAAGGAGTAGGGGCAGCTAATGGTACTGGTGGTGTTTGAATAGTTGGTTTAGTTGGAACGACAGGCGAAGCTTGACTAAATGGAGCCTTTACTTCTTGTTTCACTGGAGTTGGAGGAGCTGAAGGTCCTGGTGTAGCACCTCTACTTGTAGGTCTTGATGAAATAATACCTTGTTTCTCTTTAATAGATTTCGTCAAAGCGATATCCAAAATCTTACTCACTTGTTGTGGTGCTTTTTCAACTAAGAAACTTAAAGCATTATCACCACAACCTGCTTTAGCTCCAATAACGTTAACTTGGGCAATAGTAGTAGCCAATGCCTTGGTAATAATTTCAGTGGTGGTAGCAGTATTATAAGATAAATTTCTTGCTTTATATAATGTGAATAATTCCTTTTGTAAGTATGCCAAAGATTTCTTCATATCTTGATTCATTGATCCTATTGGACTCAGTGAATTTGATGATTGTGGTGCTGGAGATTGGGAATTTGGTGGTGATCTATTAGCTGCCAATTGAGCTTTAATAGTATTATTATTACTGGAAGTATTACTTGAATTTGTCACTGGTAAATTACTTTGAGGTTTGAAATAGATTGGAGCTTTAGAATTAATATTACCATCTCTTCTAATTTCACTAGCCAATTCAGCAATAGTTTTAGGTTTTTGTCCATTAGTACCAACACCACCACCAACTGGAATGGGTGGTTTATATGCTCCTTGTGGTAAGTATGAATTTGGTGCTCCAGGACGAATACCAGCATTTAATGGCAATCCATAAGGTGAAGTATTATAGCTTCTTCCAACAAGAGGTGCTGTTGAAGATGGTGTGGAAGTAGCAGCCGCAGCTGCTGCAGCTGCTGCTTGTTGAGCTTCGATTCTTTGCTTTTGCTTCAATTCCTCCGCTTTTAATGCGGCTTCTTTGGCTCTTGCTGATGCTATTTCTTGCTGCTTCTTCTTAGCTTTTTCTCTTTCTCCAATATACAATTCATCCATAGTATAAATCCATTCATCGGCCTTCTTGATCGTTCTCTTGAAAGTTTTATTTAATTTAACACTATGAGCTATAGAAAATTGCCAACCATCAGGACAATAAGTATAATAAGGATAAAGTTCTTTAATTGCATCATAAATTTCATTAAGACTTAATCCAGAAGTACTATTTGGCGATCTTAATACCAAAGTAATTAATGATTGATATGAAAGTGAAGGTTTTGATCTATAATTCTCAGGGATTTCATCCAAACTATAGACTTTTTTAGATACTCTTTTAGAAATATCCTTCTTTCTCTTTGGTTTAGGATATTTAGATGGTTCATCCAAAGTCTTAGGGACCATGAAATTAGTTAAATTTGGTTCAAATTCTTTAACTGTGATGGCTCTTAATGGAGGACGAGATCTTATAGTAGTTGGTTCGGATGTAATTTCTAAAACAGGTACCTCTAACTTTGGTGGTGGTGGTAATGGAGGCTGTGGTGGAACAGATGCACTTAAAGGACTAGTAGTTGTGTTATTATTATTGTTATTGTTGTTAATGGTAGCACTACCTTTCAAAGGTGTTGGAGTACCTGTACCTATTAAATTAGATGTTCCAGCCGGCAGCACAACTAATGAACTTTCAGTACCAGGTAATCCATTAATACCTCTTGTGAATAATCTTGATGCAGGTGGCTGGATTGAAGCCAATTTCCCCATTCTTGGAATGGTGGCAGGTTTACCCATGAGTGGAGTTGTACGTATTGTTTGTTGAGTTTTATCATTACTATCCGTGATTGATTTCTTTTGATTTGATAACGATTTTTTCTTCTTATCATCGAGTTTACTATCTTCATCTATAAATCCTTCATTATGAGCATCGATTAATGGTGCCAAAGTTGCAATTTCTTGATCCAACATCGATAAATCCATATCATTTTGACTATTATTATTATCATTATTAGAAGTATCATCATCGTCATCATCATCAAGATTGACACCTTGAGTTAAATTATGTTGTTTAACAAGTTTATCAATTTCATCTTCTTCTTCTTCAATGGCTGATTCACTATATTGAGATAATTTCATTAATTGATCATTAAGTTCCATATCATCAACACCAGCATCATCAAGTAAACTTTGTAATTGATTATCTAATACTTCAGAATTCTCTTCATTAATGGCATCAATAGAACTCACTCCTAATTCTTTCAAAATATCATTGATTTCATCATTGGCAGAACTTGCTAATGATTTTCTTCTTGCGTTGGATAATCTTCGTATTTTCAATATGGAATTTCTTCTACTATTGGCAATTTCATTACTTGACATTGAATCGCTATGCTTTGATTTTTTCTGTGATGATGAGGATGATGATGAAGGTTTTGTTATATCTTCCACCACAATCTCAGGTATTTTATCATCTAATTTGGCTTTATCCTTTTTATCCTTCTTAGGTGATTGTTTTACTTTAGGAGTTGGTGATTTTGATGAGTTTAATAAATTTGATCTTAAATTGATGGCATCAGTAGGATTGAATTGTTTTTGGCTATTTATGTTACTAGATTCCTCATCATCATTTGGTTCAATCGAAGGCAATATGAATTGAAATGGAATATCACCAATTTGAATTTTAGTTCCATCACTTAAAGGTACTGTTATACCCTTTTCAACAAATAAATCATCAACAAATGCACCATTCCTACCTAAGATGGATATTTCAAATTGTTGCGTACCAAAATTATAAAATATCTTTGCATGTCTTCTTGAAATTGCCTTTTTAGATGATAAATGAACATCAACTGCATGATGACTACTTTGTAATAAATCATCACTTGATTTTCTTCCTAGTATAATTTGTAACGTTTGAACAAAGAAAGTAAAGTTTTCAAAATCTAATCTTGCATAAGCTGATATTTTGGATGATTCTTCATCGTCATCATCAACGTGACTTGAATTGTTGTTATTATTATTTGTTGGTGTTTGTTGTTTTGAAGATGCTTTATCTAAAGGAGCTTCAGATGTTATAGGTACTAATAACGAATTCCGCCTTATTTCTTGTTGACTTGGTGATAAGTTTGATTTGAGATGCTTTGTTAAGCTTTGGTGTTGATCAACATTATCATCGTGGTGTGATGGAGGTGAATTACTAACTGTTCTATTATTCACATCATCTTGTTCAATTTCATTGACAACTTTTGATAAAGGAGTATTATGCAATGGTAAATCTAAATCATGTAGGTTGTTTAAATCCAAATCAGTTGATGTTAAGTCATTGTTATTATGATCAATTGTATTTGATATTGAACTCAGTCGTATGTTGTTATTAGAAGTAGATGATGATGCAGTATGGTTGTTATTATTATTGTGATTATGATTCTCAAATGAAGTTGATGTTGAGTCATTATTATGATGATTGTTTAGTATATTATCAAACTCAGCATCCAAGTTCAACTCATGAATGTTCGGAACATCACCAACATCGACATTATTGTCATCATCGATTAATCGAGATGAATTGATATTCAATGGCTCCTTGGAATCCTTGGTACTACTAGTGAATTCATCATCTAGACTACTCATGATGTTATGTAGTCCTTATCGATTGCAATGGCTGCAAGTGATTATATGATGACCAAGATGGATGAATTAACAATGTTGTTTATATGTTTGTTTGATGATTATATTTGGCACCACAAAATCGATTAAAATTTCAATAAATGTGGTCTAGATTGTATGACAATTTTGTATACAAATAGTGTGGTTAAACTCTATATTTACCAATATGAGATACTATTGTCTTGATCTCTATATTGAACCACCTCTTTATGCTATGGTTGAATGAACTGGTCTATGATTATACCTATAGAATGGGTTTGTTTGGTATTGCACAGATGCTCTTTTTAGTTTTCTTGTTTTTTTAATTTTTGTCTCATTCTCATTGCGCAGACTTTTCGTTTTTGTCAGATTTTTGATTTTTGTCTTAACGCAAAAAAATGTCATAACTTTCAGACAAAAATTAGAGGGAGAGAGGGACTAGCTGCAATTTTGGCAACATCTACATGATCTTACTTTTACCAGATTGTTCTTTTTTATGGTTTATAATAATAAGTTTTCTTTTTAATTCTCTTATAATAGTTGTTGGGGTTCATTTAATACATTATAAGTTAAAAGTTTATTTAGTACTGGTTCCCTTATAACCTAATTGAATATCATTAATTTAGCCGCCATGAGATATCAGTCCATAAAATCACTAATTACCATTCTTATATGTATCATATCCTTTCATGTCAATTTAATATCTTGTCAAATTCAAAGTGAAGTAGATTATCTAAAACATATTAAACAATTCAGTCATCCCATAGCTCCCAAATACATTAACAATACTGATCATAAAAACACTCATTCTGATAATAACTATCAAACTAAGACAAATTTGGACAAAATTTATGGGGTAAGTCTTGGAGGTTGGTTAGTGGCAGAACCATGGATAACTCCAAGTTTATTTGATAATATTTATCATCAATATGGAACTCAACCAGTGGATGAATATACTTTAGCAACTATTTTGGGTAAAAATGCTACTAAACTATATATGGAGAATCATTGGAAAACATTTTATACTGAAGGAGATTTTCAACAGATTAAAGCATTTGGATTAAATCTTGTTAGAATTCCAGTTGGTTATTGGGCTTTTGGGTTATTACCTAATGATCCATATGTACAAGGTCAAGAATTTTATTTGGATCAAGCTTTAGGTTGGTGTCAAAAATATAATATTCAAGTATTAATTGATATTCATGGTATGCCAGGTTCTCAAAATGGGTTTGATAATTCAGGGTTAAGAACAAGTGATCCAAGTTGGTTAAAATATAAACAAAACTTAAATTTAAGTTATACAATTTTAAAGTATATTTTTACAAAATATGGCAGTCCTAATTCTATTTATAATTCAGTGATAAATAGTATTGAAGTTGTTAATGAACCTTTTGCACCTATTATTGATCCAGCAAAAGTTGCTGAATTTTATACTTATAGTTATAATACCGCAAATACTGAGAATGTTATGTCTGATATGATTTATCATGATGGATTTATGGGATTTGGTTATTGGGATTGGTTTATGCCAAATGCTGCTCCTGGAAAAGTTATAATTGATCATCATTTATATGAAATATTTTCTCCCCAACAAATAGCCATGACTATTGATGAACATTTAGCTAATATTATGGCTCAAGGTAATCAAATGTCTCAAGAAAAACATCCTAGAATTGTTGGTGAATTTTCAGGTGCTTTAACTGATTGTACAAGATATATTAATGGAGTTGGTAATGGAGCTAGATTTAATGGTACATTTCAAACTAATGTTGTAACTGGTAGTTGTGCAAATCATACCGATTTTGCCTTATGGTCATCCGAATTGATTAATAATACTAAAAGATATTTAATTGCCCAATTTTATACATATGAAACTAATAGTAATGGATGGATATTTTGGTGTTTTAAAACTGAAAGCGCTATTGAATGGGATTTTAAAAGACTAGCTGCTCTTGGTATGTTACCTCTGCCGTTATTTCGGCCTCGGCCTCAAAGTCAGCAACAACAACAAAATAATAATTTAAAAGATATTATTAAACAAAATCAATCAATTTCTAGTCTTTCAAGTAATTTTGCAACTAAAGTATTCAATTATAATTCCATGTTATTAATAAAAGATTATGATTTTTTTCCCAAAATTATATATACTTTATTCTTTACCTGTTTTTTATTTATATTGAACTTTATATAGTCTTATAATGAATAATTATATTAGATAAAAAGATAGTAAAAGAATGATATAACTAAGTAAAAGTAAATTTTGCAATAAAAAAGATCATTTTTACAGTTTTCCCCTGCGGATTTACAGATTTTTTTATGAATTTTTTTTTTCAATCACATCTCATAAATTGCACTCATCTCAGATTAAGCTTATGTATAAGGTATTGCTTTAGTTTAACATATATCCGTAGAATTATAGTATTACAACCATGGCAGGAATCAAGAAGAAGACATCATTAAGAGATAAAACCAATAAAAAAGCCAGTTTGGCTAATAAAATATCTGAATTCAAACATGAAGTACAAGATGGCAGTGAATCATTTCATGAGAATCCAATGTTAAAATTGCTGAAGATTACAAAGAGAGAGAAGCAACAACTGAAAAGTGATGCTTTTAATCGAAGATTACTGAATAAGATTACGTTTAATACATCTAATAGTATAAGTAAATCATCATTAAGAAGACAGAAGAAGAAAGCAAAGGAAGAGTTGAAGCCTAAGATGAATGAATTATTATTAAGTTTACCAAGTACTAGTGGAGTGGTCAAGGGTAAGAATGAAGATGAAAAGGCATTTATTGCAAAGAAAAGTTTGAATAAACCAAATGCTAATAAGAGAACAGGACATCAAAGAATATTGATTCAAGAAAATAAGAATTTCAAAAATGTATTAACCAATTCTGAATTCAAAGCATCTCCATTCAGTGCTTTAAAGAATGTGATTCAACAAAATTTACAACACCGTTAGGGACCCGTGTAGGTGGTATACTTTTCTATTTAGGGTCCACCTGGCCAAGAAAGAAGTGATGAATTTAATGATAGAATAGGACAATAAGTAGCATAGTTTTCAAGCAATTAAATAGCTTAGAAATGTATTATAGATGAAAAAAAGAAAGATACAATTAAAATGTAGTTGTAGTACTAATAATATTAAGAGATAAACAGGATAGTTGCAGATGGTTACATTGTTTCCATTTGACTTACATGTCAACTGAAATGAATTGAATGGTGATATATTAAGGGTCATTGACGAAAGCTTTCAAAATAAAGATTAATTAATAAGAACAATACGACGTAACAACGACAGAACATAGTGTATTTTCACCTTACGGAATACAAACAATGGTATCCCATTCATTAATTGAATTCAATTAAAGGATAATTGACGATTGATATTATAAAATTTAACACAAAAGTTGATCATGTGACTTCCAGACGCGAATTTTGTCGTTGTCAACTTAAATTGAAAACGTAAACAAACCCAAACAAAAAGTGTAAACAAACCAAACCCTCTCACAAAGAAGAAATTTTTACAGCACAAATTTGGATTTACAACAGATTTTAGGAAAAGGCAACACAGACCAACTCAGACCCATACCCAAAGGCACAATTCAATCCATTTGATCCATCCATCATCTGCTAGTTGAGTTGATGCCGTTGAAGTTATAGAGCATTAGGATATCTCTGAACTTGAGTTTTATATTGAAAGTAGAAGCAAAGCCTTCTTGTGTCAATCTGTTGCAAAACCATTAGACGATAAACACAGGTCAACCAATCCAATCCAATCCAATCCAATCCAATTCATCCATTCGTTCATTTAATCAATCATTTACTCAATCGTTCAATCAATCAGTCGTTCATTCAATCAACTGTTATAATCATTGAGGATACCTCAACTCGTCAGTTCTTCATTCACTTACTCATTGACCATGGGAGATACAGTGATAAATCAAAATAATATCTTAGATGATACTATTGAAAATAACAATCATCACAATACAAGTGATCCCATAATAGTTACTTCGCCTGATGGTAGTCACCTACTTCAATTAGATCATGAAATAGCTGATATATCCACCGATACAATCACTGAACATCTTCATAATGATACCCATAAATCTTCAACCATACATCCAGATTTCATCTATAATAAACATAATGAATCCATCTTTGATGATGAAAGAATCTTTCCAAGTTTACAATCCTCAAGTGATAATTCAAATCAAGATATAGTAAAATTCGATGAAAAGAATCCTGATTTAATTAATAATGCCACTTTAAGAGCTTTAATAGTTCAATTAACTTCACCAGAAGTAATTGATTATAACTTAATTTGTGATTTCTTTTTAACTTATCGAATCTTTGTAAATAGTGAAAAGGTAATGAACCTTCTATTAACAAGATTGATTTGGTCATTACAATATATAAATTCAAAAGATGAATCAAATATAAAAGTTGGTAAACTAGTATTATTAAGAACATTCGTGGTCATTAGACATTGGATTATCAATTATTTCATAGATGATTTTGATTCATATTCTGGTATCTGTGATTTATTTTCGTCAACCATAAATGATATAACTAATAAATCAAATTTAATTAGAAAGAATAATAATAATGATAATTCTCAACAACAAGAAGAAGAACAAACTAACGACACTGATGATATTGATGACCCAAATTTTATGATGTTCGAAAAGAAAATCTTAACTGATTTAAAAATACATTGGTTGAATCAATTAAATGAATTCTGGCAATTAAATATCGATATTGAAATTTTAATTCAAAATAAATCAATTTTAAATTATATATTACCCTTAACTAATGAAATTTCAAACTTTAAAAAATTATCAAAATCAACTACTGATATGTCAATTCATACAAATCCATCATATAGAAGATCTGCTATGCTTTCATTATACGATCATCAAAAAGTAAATCATAAAATGATCATATATGATCATAATAATGTCGATTATATGCCAAAGGATGAAAATTATCCTCAATATTCCATAAATAATTTGTTATTACAACATCAATCATCTCGTATATCAATTAATACTAAATTACATGACTTTCAAAATCAATCTACTCGATCACCTATACCGTCACCAATAACAAATTTCACTTCTCCAAAAATGAAACATTCTAATAGTCATAATCTTTTCAATTCTCAAAGATTCAATTCAAATACAAATTCAAATTTAAATTTAAATGCAATTGTTAATAATGCTAATAAAAATCAATTTAAACGTCCTCCTCATAATCATTTGAATCTTAATGATTCATCCATCGCATTAAAGAAAACAACTGTTAAAAGTGGTAATGAATTAGAAAATTTAATGGAAAATCATCAACTGAATGCTACTCCAAAGACTCAAAACGAAGATGATAATGAACAAGATGTTATTCTTTATGTAAGTTCCCCAGCATCATCTTCTGAAAATTCAGGATTTTCCACTAATGGTAATATAAAACTTCCAACTTCAAAAGTAACACAAATTTTACCACCTACTCCTGTTAAAAGAATGGAATATTTCTTAAAGGTAGACTATACTCAATCATCAAATTCATTAAATAATGCATCACCTACAAAAAGAAGAAAATCTTCTTCAATACTGGGACAATTTGCAAGACCTCAAACAGCTTATCTTGATGATAATGAAGAGTTTATTGGTAGAAAGAATTCAATCAAGAAATTAGTTGATGGTTTTAAAAAGTCAATTTATAATACCAAATCAAATTCAAGTATTCAATCATCACAAGATCCAAATAATACTGAACAATTGAATAGAATGTTAAATAATGCTATCAATGTTATTAGTGATCCAAATGAAAAATCCAAGAATGTTGAGGTTGATTCCGAAATTGGAACTAGAACTGATATTTTAAGTGCTAGAATAATAGATGAATTAGAGTTCTTAATTAGATACTATTTCCAAAGCGATTCTCAAACTGATACTATTATTGAAGATGAGAGAACTACTAATTATTATCATGATACTCAAAATGAACGCACCAGTAATAGAATGGATAAGTTTGTTGATGTTGATCTTGATGATCTCGATTTGCAGGAAGAATCGCCAGCTAAAAGACTTAGAGTTTCCAAGAATGATGTTATTGATTTAGACGATAAAGCACTTGATGATGAAGATGATAACAATAATAACAGTGATATGGACATTAATGATTTATCAGAATTAAATATTGTCAAAATTGATAACCTTATAAATGTGAATGATGCCAAGTCTATAAAACAAAGTAATGAAAAATTAGTTTCTACTGATAACTTATTAAACAATATGTCTCATGAGTCTTCATTCCAAAGACCTATAAGTATTAACTGGAATGATGAAGGAGAGTTGAATCTTGATCATTCTGAAGATCCTGAAATATTTGAAGATAGTGTTTCTCATCAAGAAGACGATGAAGATGATGATGAATATTTAATGCAACCCAAAGATTCGGAATTTGTATTTCAAAAATCAATTCCCTCTAAAATCAAAACTGATCATTCATTCGATTCATCTGTTTCCACTCCAAGTAATATGACTCAATATGGTGAAGATATAGCTGATTTGGGTATTGCATTGAGTCCACAACTGATGAAACAGAATGTTAGAAGAATCAGTTTTAATGATAGTATTAGATCATCCCATCATCGTAAAAGAATGTCAAACTCAAATGGCTCAATGTTTAAGAGAGATTCCGTAAAATCTTATCTCAGTTATGATTCAGCATTTTCAATATCAAATGGTTCTCGTGGATCTTATAAAAATCACAACGATGGTTTTGACTTTGGGTTAAAAAAGAAAACTGGATTTAATAATTTGAGACCTTCAGAAAATACCAATAATAATAGTGAAGAGGAAGAAGAAATACAACATGCAAGAACTTCGTCGAGTGGAAAATCGTTAGACTTGCCAGTAAGAATTAAGTCTACTTCAAGTTCGTTTCCGTCTAGATCCTCATCCTTGCATAGAAGTGTTAGATTCAGCACTTTATGCGCTCTAACCGAATTACCATTTAATGAATGCCAAAGAAATTCACAATTCACCAATGAGCAACGTTATTCGTTGAATAAAAGAAACTCAACCGCATCGGGTGAAGGTGGTAATGATAGTTCAATATTTTCAGTTGCGGTTAAAAGTCGAAAGAATTCAGTTAAAACTACAAATCATGATAGTTATAGTTCTTCAACTAATTCAGTTGCTATTCCGGGAATCAGCAATTATGTGTTGAAAGAATTAGCTGCTATACCTGATGAATCATTTCAATCCACTAATCCAGTTGATTTCGCATTATTCAAATTAGAAGGTAAACCAAGTTCAGATGCGGTCATTTCATCAAAGGACAAAGCAAATATTAACAATGATGGTAATACTCAAGATATTTTAAATGAAATTAATAATGCCCATACTATAGATGTAATTGAGTATACTCAAGTTGATGTAACCATGGAAGCACCTTTAACTCCTGTTAAGAAATCTTCGCCAGTTTCAAATCCATCTACTTCAACCCCTAATAATGATAATCTTTTTGTTTTAAGTCATTCAAATTTAAATAGTAGAGCTACCAGTCCAGGTATTAAATCACCTAAAAGGATACTAGAAAATTATACTATTTCTTCGGAAGCATTATCAATTGAAAATGTTATAAATTCAAATTCTCATATTTCATTAGTTTTAAGTTATGATTCCCAATCTTTAGCTGAACATTTCACTGTAATTGAAAAGGATATGTTACAAGAAATTGATTGGAAAGAATTAATTGAATTAAAATGGAATAAAAATTTAACTCCAGTTAACAGTTGGTTAGAAATCATTGTTAATGATAACTTTTATAATAAGAATAAAGGGGTCAATTTAGTTATTGCTAGATTTAATTTAATGGTTAATTGGATAATTTCAGAGATTTTATTAACAACAAGACAATCGGAAAGAATCACAATTATTTCAAGATTTATTCATATTGCTCAAAATTGTTATACATTACAAAATTATTCATCCATGATGCAAATTATATTAGCGTTAACATCTGAAAAAGTTCAAAAATTAAAAGAAACTTGGAAAAGTTTAAGTCCAGGAGATATTTTAATTCTTAAGAATTTAGAAGATTTATCTTCACCTTTAAAGAATTTCCTTAATGTTAGATTATCAATAAATCAAATGAAACCTTCGAAAGGTTGTATACCATTTGTTGGATTATATCTTTCAGATTTAATTTTTAATGCTGAAAGACCAACATTAATTAAAAGAAGAATTCCATTAAAAGAAGTTTCTCCTCCAGATAATGGTGAATCTAAAGCAGCTGTTGATATTAGTAATTCAACTATGGGTTCAGAAAATGAAGACAACGTTTTAATCAACTTTTCTAAATTCAGAACAGCTGTTCATATAGTGAAATCATTGTCACAATGTATAGAATGGTCATCATGCTACAAACTTAACATCGATTCAGAATTATTATCGAAATGTTTATATATTAAATCATTAGATGAAGAAGAAATGAACTACTGTTTGCAAGCACTTGATGAATTACCTCATTAGACAAATAATTAATTAATATGTATTATATAATTTTAATAACAACAAACAATTGTATTATTTCAAAAGTTTACAAAAATCAATCAACAAGATATTCAATTGTTGAATTATAAAGTAACAATGTTGCAACCTCTAATTGTATGTGAATTACACATTGGGCATTTATCCCACTTATAATTAGTGACACCATAGCCCCTAATTTCTGGTACTACAGATTGATTGTCTTTATCTGCAGTTTGTAATAAACTGAAATTAACTTCTGGGAAATATTTGGAAAGGTAAAGGTGGATGTGAAAGGACATGGTAGCTTGGATTTTATAATAGTTTTTTGTTGAAGGGCTTAACCTGAAGTCTACGAGGGGCAAAATAGTCCGTATTTATACCATAATATAGCTGCGCCACTTATAGCTTATCACTGTAGCCCTATCATTGTTTCGCCACTGTTTCCAAATAACCTTAAAATCAGGGGAAGTATCCGAAGTAAAACGAAATTTAGCAGTCATTTTGGAGCCTTTCGGTTTGCGCTGTTTTGCGCATTTTATTTTATTTAGTTAACTTTTTACATGTGAAGTATATAAACCTTCTACTACTAAATCCATACCACTACCATGATATGATTGGTTTAACCTTTATGAATATATTAAAAAATCAGGATTACTATTTGTTATTATTATTATTGTATATATATATATTAAAACAAGACCAGCTTCAATTAAATTTTAGTTTTGCAACAAGATTGAGCTTCTTCATTGTTAGCGTATAAAGTAGATTTATTGAATGATTGAGTTGCTTGAGGGATATCTAAAGCAGGGTTCTTATCAAAGAAATTGAAAGGAACTAAATGAATATTATGAGTTTCAACTGGCATGACTGGGAAATCTTCAACTCTTGGAATATGAGTGAAACCTAATGTGGCCCAGACCACAAGATCTTCATTTCTAACTTTATCAATTCCATTAGCCCAAACTCCAAGACCAGTATCACTTTGAGATTGATTAGTGAATTCACCAGCAGCGAATAATTGATGATCATTGTATTTAGTGACCCAAACTTGTTCAGTAGAAAATTTAGCTCTCTTAACATTGAATGAATCTGGATCAGCTAATGACATTTGTCTAGCTGGCATAGCAATTTTATAACCAACTGGATTCTTAGAAATTGGATTAATAATGTTTTCATTAATGATCTTATAAGTTCTATTGGTGAATGGAGATTGATCAATATGACCAGCTTTTTCAACGAATTTTCTGTCAGTGACAAAACCAATACCATATGGATTATTTTCATCTTTAGGTAATTTAAGAGTATCATCATAAACGACAGTATTTTTGTGACCATCAATAGCTGGATCAATTCTAAATGATAAAATATGTTGATGATAAGCAGCCATAACATTTGGTCCAACAATAGTACCCCATGGAACTTTAACATTTTCATCAATTGGCATGGTTGATAAAATACCAGTAGCTCTGGCTTCAATATCGATAGAACCATCATTAACAAATTTAAGATTAATGATATATTCGTAATTAGCAACAGTAGCAATGGTTTGAACCACAAATTCTCTCTTTCTGGCGAGAACGGCATTGTTGGTTCTATAGTTGACATGTTTATATAATAAACCATTATCTTGTTCGTGCATACAGATAGTATTTGGGATAACATATGGTTCACCATTAGCATGAATACCATGACCATCTAAATATTTAATAACACCTAAACAATCACAACCTAAACTAAGATGATTACCATTAGTACCGAAACCACAATCACCTAAATCGAAAGCTTGTTTTCTATGATAAGGAGCTCTTGGATCACCATATGGAACAGTCATTTCTGATAAAGCGATTCTATAAAGAACTTGTCTTCCTTTGAAACTAACATCATAAACAGCGAAACCTTCTCTAGCAGAAGATGAAACTCTGAATTCCCACCCTTGCCATTTGACTTTAGAACCTTCAACAGTGAAGGATGGACCTTCAGGTTGAGTAATAATTAATGGTTTAACATCTCTTGCAACGGTTTCACCACTTAAATCAGGATGATATTCAACGGCTGGAACTTGTTGCCATGGAGTAGTTGGAGTAATAGTAGCATCAAATCCACCTGGTAAGTAATCCATTCTAATGAATTTCTTTGAAAAACATTCAAAAACAGGAGAGAATTTCAATGGTAAAGAATAATGATTTGATTCACTATGGCCATTACCAGCTAAGACGTACATGAAGAATTGACATAAAGGTCTTCTTTCTTGTGCATCATCGGTAGCATAAATCCATGGATCATTTCTAACAGTATATCCAGCTGGTAATTTTAATTTTTCAATTTCAGCCTTAACCAATGGATGATTATTACAATATTCTTCCCATTCCATAACGTCATCAGGTAATAATGGACCAATCACACCCTTTGGTTGTTTGACTTTAGTAATTATGTGACCAATGGTAACATTAACTAATGCTTTATTGAAATCAAAGGTATCTGTATAATAATAGGCATATAACACTCTTGGGATTTGAGGAACTGGACCACCGAATTTTTCAGCTTCTAAATATTTAATCATATCTTTCTTTGGAGGATCAACTTTATCGATTTGAACAAAGTGAACATTGGCTGATGCAGGATAAGCATCCTTGATCAATTTAGATGCTAATCTAATTTCATAATCCTTAGCGGAATCAAATGGATGAACTCGTGAAACCATTATTATTGAATTAAAGGATAATATATACTTAAACTTGAAAATGAACAAAGGAAAACAAATAAACGAAATCTAATTTATAAATGTAGGGAAAGATCTATAACTATATATATATATAGGTCTAAAAACACCGATCCGAAAGTAGTCATAATAGGCTCATTACTGTTAATTTCCTATCTTGATAATTGGATATCTGTATCTAAAATCTGATGGGAGGGGTGGAAATTACAGCAGTTTAAAGCGCCCTGTTTGAACTACCAGATCGGGTAAGCGCTAGTGGAAATATTCAGAGCGGACTGTTTGAACTACCCAATTGGGGATGCGCTAGCGCATTTGTTAATTTCCTAATTTGGTAGGTCTCTTATTTTTCATGGTGTTTGAATTATACTATGTGAAGTATGTAAACCTTCTACAATTAAATCACTACTACTATTACTCCGATATGACCGGTTTTATCTGTAAGAATATATTAAAATATCACAATAGTAATTATATATGTTCATTGTAGCAAGATCTTCAAACTTTGGTTTTGCAACAAGACTGAGCTTCTTCCTGATTACTAGAGTATAACGTAGATTTATTGAATGTTTGTCTTGATTGAGGAAGATCTAAAGCAGGGTTCTTATCAAAGAAATTGAAAGGAACTAAATGAATATTATGAGTTTCAACTGGCATGACTGGGAAATCTTCAACTCTTGGAGTATGTGTGAAACCTAATGTGGCCCAGACCACAAGATCTTCATTTCTAACTTTATCAATTCCATTAGCCCAAACTCCAAGACCAGTATCACTTTGAGATTGATTAGTGAATTCACCAGCAGCGAATAATTGATGATCATTGTATTTAGTGACCCAAACTTGTTCAGTAGAAAATTTAGCTCTCTTAACATTGAATGAATCTGGATCAGCTAATGACATTTGTCTAGCTGGCATAGCAATTTTATAACCAACTGGATTCTTAGAAACTGGATTAATAATGTTTTCATTAATGATCTTATAAGTTCTATTGGTGAATGGAGATTGATCTACATGACCTGCCTTTTCAACGAATGTTCGATTGGTGACAAATCCAATACCATATGGATTATTTTCATCTGTTGGTAATTTAACAACATCATCAGCAACAACCGAATTTTTATGACCATCAATAGCTGGATCAATTCTAAATGATAATATATGTTGATGATAAGGAGCCATAACATTTGGTCCAACAATAGTACCCCATGGAACTTTGACGTTTTCGTCGATTGGTAAGGTCGATAAAATACCAGAAGCTCTGGCTTCAATATCAATTGAACCATCATTTACAAATTTAAGATTAACAATATAATCATAATTAGCGACTGTAGCAATGGTTTGAACAACAAATTCTCTCTTTCTAGCAATAACAGCATTTTGAGTTCTATAGTTAACATGTTTATATAATAAACCATTATCTTGTTCGTGCATACAGATAGAATTTGGAATTACAAATGGTTCACCATTGGAATGAATACCGTGACCATCTAAGTATTTGATAAGCCCTAAACAATCACATCCTAAGAAAAGATGATTACTATTGGCGCCGAAACCATAGTCACCTAAATCAAACGCTTGCTTTCTATGATAAGGAGCTCTTGGATCACCATATGGAACAGTCATTTCTGATAAAGCGATTCTATAAAGAACTTGTCTTCCTTTGAAACTAACATCATAAACAGCGAAACCTTCTCTGGAAGTAAACGCAACCCTAAATTCCCATCCTTGCCATTTGACTTTAGAACCTTCAACAGTGAATGATGGACCTTCAGGTTGAGTAATAATTAATGGTTTAACATCTCTTGCAACGGTTTCACCACTTAAATCAGGATGATATTCAACGGCTGGAACTTGTTGCCATGGAGTAGTAGGAGTAATAGTAGCATCAAATCCACCTGGTAAGTAATCCATTCTAATGAATTTCTTTGAAAAACATTCAAAAACAGGAGAGAATTTCAATGGTAAAGAATAATGATTTGATTCACTATGGCCATTACCAGCTAAGACATACATGAAGAATTGACATAAAGGTCTTCTTTCTTGAGCATCATCAGTAGCATAAATCCATGGATCATTTCTAACTGTGTAACCTGGTGGTAATTTCAATTTTTCAATTTCAGCTTTAACCAATGGATGATTATTACAAACTTCTTCCCATTCCATAACATCATCAGGTAATAATGGACCAATCACACCCTTTGGTTGTTTGACTTTAGTAATGATATGACCAATGGTAACATTAACTAATGCTTTATTGAAATCAAAGGTATCTGTATAGTAATAGGCATATAACACTCTTGGGATTTGTGGAACTGGACCACCGAATTTTTCAGCTTCTAAATATTTAATCATATCTTTCTTTGGAGGATCAACTTTATCGATTTGAACAAAGTGAACATTGGCTGATGCAGGATAAGCATCTTTGATTAATTTAGATGCTAATCTAATTTCATAATCCCTAGCGGAATCAAATGGATGAATTGGTAAAGCCATTTTTATTAAATCAAAAGGTAATGTATAGTTATATTTGAAATGGATTAAAACAACCTCAATCTCAGGAAAGTTCTACAACTATATATAGTTCTATATGTATTGATAGATTCGATAGGAGTTATAATGGACTCATTCCTATTCATTTCCTATCTTACAAAATGGATAGCACTATCTGAAATCTAATAGGTGGTGAAAGTAGTTCTTGCAGCCGGAACGTGTAAAGTGGCCTGGGCTAAAGTTTTCCTGATTAGGTAGGTGGATACCATATTCTAACTGAAACCGTTTATGCTTTAATTGTTGCATTTACCTTATATGCTTATTCTGGATACTTCAAAGTAGTTGGAATCAATTAAAGAAAAGTTAGCTGATATATATGGTTCACCATCAAACAAAACAATGATAACGGATATTTTTACTCAATTGTTTTCTTTTACTGCTAAAATTTTCGTGAAATTACGTTTTATTTTCTTGGATTTAATTTAAGTTAACGATAACACTTGAAATGATGCTCATTGGGGGAGGGGGGTAGAGGAGATTTACGCTTGAAATGAATTGGACATTAATTTAGAGCAGGAGGTTGGGTTATGAATTAGTATTTCGTATGAGAATTGCTTTGTAACTAGAGTGAACTAGGGTGATACTTCAGATATCACTGGTCTATGTGTAAGTTTCTTCTCTATACAATCCCGTTATTAAGTTGTATTGTGCCCTGCATATAAACAAAGGTTCCAAAATGGGGTGATAATTAATTGATTAGACCAACTAGACTATACAAGACTAACCCAGTTAGTTATCTACAATTAACGAAGTTGCAACTTTCATATGAAAAAGTGAATCTAACACTCTGAAGTAGGACTTATAATATTTTTTATAAGCATATTGCAATTTGTATGAATCTTATTGCAAAACATTATTATAGGTATTACAATGTAGCGGTGTGGATGTGTTTCCCCGGTATATATGGCAAAATGGTGGGGAAAGATACATCTCAATAACAATAATCAATTATTCGAAGTGATAAATCATCGTCTATTTTCAATTAAGGGGAGATTAATTTAAAAGCCATTTGATACTTAGTGTTTAATTACTTTGAATCATTAGATAAGTTTAACTTAATGGAAGGCTACATTTATGAAAAAGTTGCATGACATTTGAACTTTGACCCAGCTCAATTTTAAAGATACTGTGAAGAATTGATTTATCTACGTATTAGTATCTGTAATAGACCGTAATCCATTAATCAATTGACTCCCATTCCCTTCACTACCATTATATCCCCCTTCATTACTCTTCCCTTCCCATCCTTCCCTTCCCTTCCCTCTCAGTAAACTCCATCTTTTTTGAATTTAGATATTGTGGGGAGAAAGCTCTTTTTTTTTGTTGGGTTTTAATAACTAGTTTCGGGGATCTACCCTCGTATCCCTTTGACCCGACTACGCACAAGTCACCTGACTTGATAATTAGCAACTATCCCTCGGGAAACATCATTTATATATATATCCAAGTTGTTGTTGGATTTTTAAAATCATTAAAGTTCTAAATTTATATATCGATATATATATATATATCCAATCTTCTTTATAAACAAAACCTATAAATTGAAGAGTTTAGTTAAGTAACAGATATGTCCCCCATTAAGAAAGCAAGTAAAAATCCTCAATTATGGATAACGGCTCTTATTGCCACTTCAATCGTTACATTATCATATAAATTATATCAAAGTTATACATCAAGTGATACCACTACAACCAACATAGAAGATGGTGAGGAGAAGGTAGAAGAAGGTAAAGAGAAGAAATCATTTTCGCAATCCACTCAAACACCATTTCAAATCCTGAAAGCATACCTTAATAAATCAATAGCATTAACTCTTTCATCATCAATTTTAAATTCAAAATTACCCTTGGATGATATTTTAATAAAAGGAGGTGAAAATATTATATTCATCTTACCACCTAATCTTTCTGAAGATGATTTAAATTATAATTTGAAAGTCAAGACCTCTAATAATTTCAAATTATTAAAATGCAGTAATATTAATGGATACGTTCAAATGCTTAAGAATTTAAAACCTGATTTATTATTAATTTGTAGTGATGATTTAGGGTTATCATATTTGAATTTACTGAAAGATTTAAATAATTTCATTAAAACTATTGTTAATTTAGATCAAAATAGTGATGATGTTTATTTAAAAATTAGTCGATTATTTATATAACAGGAAAGTTAAGTTATAAATATGGTCCTTTTACATGATTTATGATGATAATGATGATTTTTTGTATATTAGAAAAAGATTATTACGAAAACAACCTAATGAATTTAATGAATGGAATTTATAATAGGAAGAGAGATGTAAAAGAAAGTCCTGAACTATAAGTTATGAGTAATTGTAACCCAATGGTTTATATAGATAAGTAGTACATTATAATAAAAATAATTATCAATTCCAAAGAAAAAATAGAACAACGTAAGTGCATAGATTTTAGGTCTGAACTTACCTTTCCTTTCCTTTCATTTTACGAGTAGCTACAAATGCTTTTAAAACATAATTTTTTGAAACCATTACTATCTTAATAAATATAAAAAGGAGGAAAATATAAAAAAAAAGGGACTTGACTATAAAAAAAGGAGGAGGGAGGGGGGGATCATCATTAAAGGAAAAAGGTTATATAAAAAAAATTATTATTCATCATAAGAAGTTAAAAAAACTCGAATAAAACATCATTTTCAAATAATTCATAGATACAATCAGGGTGAGGGATCCTTCTTATAATCTACAACTTAAAAGAAAATGAAAATCATATTGACAATTTTAAACTTATTTTCTGTTGTGTCTGTTTTTATCTTGGAAATCTGGTAAATGAATAGCTTTAACAGTGATATAACTATTTTGTTCATTGGCAATACCAGCATAAGCATTATACCAAGCACAGAAAGCAGTAATGATACCAAATACACCAGCCGCTTTTTGAACAGCCACAGATCCATTAAAATTAGTTATGGCTAATAATAAAAATGTAATGGAAAGGAAAAAGAAAATACTGAAGAATGCAACCGTGGATTTAAGAGTCATAAGACAAAGGAAAAAGGTAAAGATAAACCAAGCAACACAATAAAGTCCAACGGCATATTCCAATTGTTTTCCAGTATCACCAGCATAAGCTTCAATAATTCCAAAGGATGGAGTATAAATGGCAGCCCATGAACCCCAAAAACCACCATAGGATGATAAAGCAACACCACCAAAGGTGTTACCCACGGCGATTTCAAACATACCAGCTACTAATTGAGCAGCACCACCATAGAAATAAGCTAAACCAACGACAATGTTTGGAATAGTGACACCTCTGGCTTCACAATTAATCAAAGATAAAACAAAAGTAGTTAAAGCAAAAGCACTTAAACCTAAAGGACCTGGATTAGCTAAATTATGTTTTGGAGCTGGAGATAAACCTGGATTTAAAGAACCACCAAAAGCTTCAACTAATTCTGATCTTAAATATTTTTCATTACCAAAAGTAACATAATCACCTTCAGTTACAACTTTTGTAACGGGATGTTCAGGATGATTTGGATCATAAGGAACAGATGATGAAGCATTAGCAGCATCTTCGATGATTAAAGTATGATCTTGAGGAACTTGATTTTCTAAATCGGAAGACATTGTAGATAGTTATTAATAATTATATGGGGATGTTAAAAATAAATAAAGTTATCTCTCTCACTGAGGTGGGAAAAAAAAATGAACAAAAGTACAAGGCAAAAAAAGACGATGAGGAAGGAAGAAGTTGCACACACAAGATTATATAGTCAATATATAAAGTCAAAGGGTACAATTCAGGAAAAGAAAGATGTTTGATAGATATAAATTTCTTATTAAACCTTTTTAAAATAATGAATGATAGAGAACCAAAAAAATCAAAAAGAAAAAGAAAAACCTATTTATAAAAACTGGATAATTTATGAAAAGGATTTTAGATGATTTTTATAACCAAATTCAAATTGAGGTCAACAAAAGATGAATTTAAAAATTAAGCATTTTTTAAACCAAAAAAAAAAAAAAATAATAATAAAAATAAATAAAAATAAAACAAGACAAAAATTCAAAGTTTTTGTCTGTCTGATTAAACACCGATTTTGTCTTTTTTTTGTCTTCTTTTCTTTTGTTACCCCATTTTTTTCTTAAATGTATTATCAGATATTACCACTACAGTAGAGATTCTTTTACTATTAGACTTATACAGTGCTACCCCCTCTACCCCTCTACCTACCTACTATTAGTTAAGTCGGTTTAATTTCTTTTCTTTTATCACGGAGATTGACCAGAATAGTACTTGCAATATTATACTATTAGTTTAAGAAAAATAAAGCCAATCATAACACTTTTTTTTAAGGTATTCCGAGAATACATGGTAACACTAAAAAAAAAAAAAATACATGTATGAGAAAATCGTTTGGTGACGGCAATCTCTGAGCCCTGGTAGTGGTCCGATAGGCTAGTTCGTTCCAGTACAACTGGACTAGGTTTTGAATATCATACGTTACATCTGCTTTCCTTCCCATCACCAACCTTGCTGTTTTATGCTGTTAGGTTGTATGAAAGTATATACTATATTATGTAATATGTAACTAATTTAATTTAATTTTTAACACCAAGACAAAAAATGGAAAACGAACTTATTTTATTTTTTTAACGGAAATTGAAGATAGAAAAGAAAAATTGTTATTTTTTTAATAGTAAAATTCTGTTGATCGTGTACTGGCTAATTTTTAAAATCCGTAAAATTCCAAAAAAAAAAAAACTGCTTCTGTCCAGACATTATTATGCTTTCTGCACCAAAAGTTTCCTTTTTATTCTTTTATACATGTTCCAGAAAGTCCGACTCCGAGACAAACGAAAATTTTTGATAATTTAATTTAATTTCATTTTCCTACACCCCCGAAATCAACTTAATTTAACTCAAGTCAAGCCAATCTGTATAAACTAAACCGATAATGCTTAGTATAAAAAAAAGTCGAGTTGAACAATATAACAAATGATTGCTTAAACCCAATCAGCCTACATACATTGTTAACAGTAGGGAGGATTGAGCGGGTTAAGGCTCAGTTAGCAGAACCGTTACTATAGGCTCAAATGGATCATGTTATCAAAAAAAGAAGAAGAAAACAAAACGGTCACACACGGAGAATAAGTCATTATAAGCATATCATACTATCAACAAAAAAGTTAACTAAGCCAAAGATGGTTGAAAGGAAGTTTTTCTATATCGATAGATAAATATTTTGTGGGGTTGGGAGGTGGAGGGGGTGGGAAAGCAAGAAATAAATCCACACCAAATACAAATCTATCAAACAGCATTATTATATGTGTCCCAAAAATATTTAACTTCCTTTTTTTATTTTGACCCCCACCTTTTTTTCCCACACATCCACATTAAAAAATAATCTTTATTCAATCAGACATTTTTAAATTGTCAGACACTTTTTTTTTTATTTAGCCCCACAAATATATGATGATCAAAAGAATTTTCATTAATTTTATGATACGATATGGTATGATAATTAATTATACAATTGATGTTTAACTATCAGTCAGTTATAATTGGATTGAATTGGGATTAATCTAGGTTGGTCACCTACATGACTAAAATTAAGATGATATCTGGTACAGTACTTTATCATTATCAAGAATGTAATTTTAATTAGTGTATAACTATGGGCTTAGATAAAGACAGTATTATCCCTTTAATCATAAGCCTTTATTGAACTTTTATTCAACTCGTCTCAACTCATTTTTAACCTCACAATTTTAGGTTATAATAGAATTCTGTCACTTGAAGTAATGTTTTCTTTTAAAATTAATATGTTGAAGAAGAAGATGATGATGATGTTTTGTGCTATTTTTGATGATATTTTCATCATATCCCGGAGTTCTTCATTGACTTTTCCATTCCATCAAATTGTATCATATTTGTACTTTAGTTGATCATTTTCTTCTATCTGTATCTTTAATGGCGCTTACTCTATTAGCTTATAATGATTATGACTGCATGATGGACTCATGATTCATCCTAGATTCACTACTGTCTTTTCAAAACCAATATATTATCATTATTACTTAATGATTCCCTTACATCAGCTAATTCACAATTACTGCATACTAGATAATATGATAGCCTGCTTACAAAATACAACATTATACCCTACTTTAACATAGTTTATTTAGTCTCTAAATATTGCTGCAATTTTTTATTATGGACGCGTTAACTATAGCGCAACCAATTTAATTTATTATGTATATGAATCAGCCGCAAATTAACTAACGTTATTTATCAATGCAAATTCAATTATTCCCATATTGAATAATTTCACCCATGTGTGGACGTCATCTCACCTTCATAAGGTTTATTCACTTACATTTCATTATGTTAAGTTCTTCATTAAAGAATGTAAATTTATTTATGTTAGCCATTACCCAATCGGGAACAAATGTCAACAAAATAAAATTCTCTGTTCACAAATGCAAATTGACCTGAAATGAAATGAAATGACAATCATATTTGATATCATCAAATCCTTCACTTCCTTCCCTTGTCCTGGAAATTTGACTGTTCATCCATCAACACTTCCTTCATCATCACCATCATCAATAGTGACGACGACAACTACAGCGACGACAAGATCAAAATCAGAATCAACAAACCTTGTCTTTTCCCCTGATCTAATACTTGTTCTTGTTTACTAGATCTCCTTTCCTACTACTAGAACCACATCACATCAACTTGCATCCCGCCGCCGATACCGTTCTATCATTCCTTACATCCATTCATCCTTCCTTCATAGAACTTATAAATCATGACAAATTTCTTTAATAGATCTCCTAAACATTCAGCCATGAAAGATAGTATGGCTGATATTTCTCAATCAATGGAGAATATCTCAATCACTTCAAATCAAATGGATATCGATACTTCTTTCAAATCAACCAACTTCATCAATAAGGAAAACATCACTCCTTATAGTTCACCAACTAAATCAATCTTACATCAAACTCCAACTTCACCTAATAAACAACAATATCAATTATATCAAAATATTAGTCAATTACAACCTCAAACTCCAACCAGATCAAATGGGTCTCCTCAACGTTTAAATCAAATTCAAAGATATAAATTAACTCCTGAAGAATTTCATAAAAAGGCTAATGATCCTAAAACTAAAAGATTAGCTTCAGTTGCGCAATTATATTTTCTTGATTATTATTGTGATATGTTTGATTATGTTATAAGTAGAAGAGAAAGAAGTAAATTAGTTGAACATAAATTATTAACTGATTCAACTATGAATAATCAAAGACAACAGTTAGAATGGAAAAATTATATTGGCCGTGAAAGATCTTTATTAAGGAAAAGAAGATTAAAACCAAAACATAAAGATTTTGAAATGATAACTCAAGTTGGTCAAGGTGGTTATGGTCAAGTATTTTTAGCCAGAAAGAAAGATACTAGAGAAATTTGTGCTTTAAAAATTTTAAATAAAAATTTATTAGTTAAATTAGATGAAACAAGACATGTTTTAACTGAAAGAGATATTTTAACTAATACAAGATCTGAATGGTTAGTTAAATTATTATATGCATTTCAAGATCCTGAAAAAGTTTATTTAGCTATGGAATTTGTTCCCGGTGGAGATTTTAGAACTCTTTTAAATAATACTGGTTATTTAATTCCACCTCATGCTAGATTTTATATAACAGAAATGTTTTTAGCGGTTAATTCATTACATGAATTAGGATATATTCATCGAGATTTAAAACCAGAAAATTTCCTTATTGATTCTAAAGGTCATATTAAATTAACTGATTTTGGATTAGCAGCTGGATCAATTTCAAATGAAAGAATTGAAAGTATGAGAATTAAATTAAATAATTTACAAGATTTAACATCAGAAAATTATAAAATTCCATCAAAATTAATGACTGAAAGACAAAAAATCTTTAAACAAAGTCAAAATTATTATAATAAGAATTTTGCAAATTCAATTGTTGGTTCCCCAGATTATATGGCATTAGATGTTTTACAAGGTAAAAATTATAATTTTACCATTGATTATTGGTCATTGGGATGTATGTTATTTGAAAGTTTATGTGGTTATCCTCCATTTTCAGGTTCAAAACAAGATGAAACTTATTATAATTTAAAGAATTGGAAAACTTCTTTAAGAAGACCTCAAACTAAAGATGGTAGATTTGTTTTCAGTGATAGAACTTGGCAATTAATTGTTAAATTAATTGCTGATCCTCAAGATCGTTTACAAACTTTTAAACAAGTTCAATCAATGGGTTATTTTAATGATATAAATGATTGGAATAATTTAAGAGAAAAGACACCTCCATTCACTCCTCAATTAGATAATGAAGAGGATGCAGGATACTTTGATGATTTTGAAGATGAAGAAATGATGATGAAATATAAAGATGTATTTGCCAGACAAGAACATAATGAACTGTTATTAGATAAATCATCATCAGCTGCATCAAAGAAAAGATCATCTCAATTACAACATAATTTCATTGGTTTTACATTTAAACATAAATCAAATCCAAATAATAAATTTGCCAATGGTGAAATTAATTTATTAAATATGAATAGTAGTAATAATCTTAATAATAATGGTGGTATAGGTAGAAGTAACAGATTAGATCCTTTAGCAACTTTATATTAGGATCATTCACTTTCTTTTGGCATTTCTTCAATTATATTATTATTATTATTATTTATATTATCATTATTTTATTTTATCTGGTTTGGTGGGATAGGCATTCATCGTTCTATTAATTTTTAGCTATTTTTTATTATACATTCTTATTATATTTCTATGTTATTTATTCTTTACTATTATACAACAATACATATATATCTATGCATGAGATTATTCTATCATTCTAAGCTAAGCTTTCCAAACGTAATCATTATCAATCTTTTCTGTAATATATTTTCTTTGATAATCATTATGAATCAATTCACATTGGGTAACCGCTTTACTTATGACGGTAAACAATTGTTCTTCAGTGAAATCTCCTAAACTTTCAAGCAAAAGGATCTTATTAGCTTTCTTATCTTCAATATTGAAACATATCACATGATGACTATCACTTTTATGTAATTGTTTTAAATTTGGATCGATGATATATTCGGGTTCTTCATCTATAGTTTGATGATCTTCAGTTAAACTGATACATACTGATGCAAATGAACTATATAATGCGATACCAGCATCCACCAAGGCGAAATAACACCCATTTATAGCGGCATTCAATTCAATATTACTATATTCAACTTCATCTTTATGATTGGAATAAGCTCCACCTTGATATTTCGTCAAAGGAGTTGATAAAAATTGAATCACAACTTGAATTAATTGTCGAGGATATTTATATCTCACTATGACGGCTTGTAAGAGAGATCTTAATTTATCTTCTAAAGCTTTCTCTCTGGTCCCACTTAATCCTACTGCTGGTCGAATTACAATTTCTAAACTTGCAACATTAGGTAATTCTTGTCTTGGTTTAGGTTCGATGGGTCCAGATACTGACGCTATTAATTTGATATCTCCCGTTATTAACTGTGCTGAACCGTCTGAGTTCTCAAGTAGCGATGTCTTGACTGTGAATGACATCGTGGAACTAGTATGTGTTGGATTATATGCGTTGGTTGTATCAATAATAACGGTATGGATTTTATAGTTTGATAGATTTTTTTCAAACAGATTGCGATGTCTTTTTTTTTTTTGCCAGAAGAAATTGAAAAATGCAAATTAAAAATCAAAAGGTATAAGCAACATCAACAACCACGAAAAACAGCTACAATTTAGTTCAGAGAAAGATGGAGGACTATGAACAGGATTTGTTAAATGATTTCGGTAGTGATGATGAAAATGAATCAAATGATGAAATTGAAATTGAACCACTGAATCAGGAACAAGAAGAACTACCACAAGATACTGATGTTCAACCTACTACTGATCTTACATTTGAACAAAAGTTAGATGATATAATACGAAACCATACTTTGCATAACTCCTATCAAACCATACTAAATCAATCTAATATCGAAGAACTTTCCGATTTAACTAAGTTTTCCAAAATATTACCTTTAATACCTGATATCAAAGCTAAAATTACGGAATATTCCTTTGAAAAGGAAGAAGATGAAGATTATTGGGAATTGATCAATTCGTTACAGAATGATAATGATAACAATGAACCCCAATCGAATGAATATAAATTCATTCTTATGATCAATGAATTATCCACGATTATAAATCAAGAAATATCAACCTTCTATGCTTTAATTAAATTACAATATAAAGTTGTGTTCCCCGAATTAGAAAGTTTAATTATAAATCCTATCGATTATACCAAGATCATTTGTATTATAAAACAAGATTTAACTAATATTAAACAATATGAAGCTGAATTAAAGAAATTCATCACCAATGAAAAAGTATTGATTATAATCATGGCAGCTTTACAACAAGTTAAATCTCAATTTGAATTGAATAATCAAGATTTAGATAAAATTTTAAGTTGTTGTTTATTAGTATTGGAATTAGATGATTTATTACATCAATTATCAACTTTCATATCTCAAAAACTTTCAAAGATAGCTCCTAATATCACCGCTATTATCGGGTCCATCACTACATCTCAACTTTTAATTGCAACCGGTTCGTTAAAACAATTGGCTTTAACTCAAGCATGTAATTTACCTTCTATTGGGGTCCGGGATTTATCATCACAAACTAAAACTAAATCAAAGAATATACGACAGACTGGATATTTATATCATTCAGAGTTAGTTAAATATTTACCTGAAGATATTCAACGATCAGTAATGAGAATTGTGAGTGGGAAAATCATATTAGCAGCTCGGATAGATTTATCACGATCGAATCCAAATGGTGAATTTGGAGATAAATATCGTCAAGAGATTGATCAAAAGATTGAGAAATTATTAGAACCACCTCAAAATCAACCTGATAAAGCCTTACCATTACCTACTGAACAAAAATCGAAAAAGAGAGGTGGGAAAAGATTTAGAAAGATGAAGGAAAGATTTCAAATGTCTGAATTAAGAAAAGCTCAGAATAAAATGGAATTTGGTAAACAAGAAGAATCAATTGTCGATGGTTATGGTGAAGAGATTGGATTAGGTATGAGTCGTCGTTCAAATGGGAGTGATGGAGGAAGAGTTGGTGCTATCAAAGTTAATACTAATACCAATGCAAAGATGTCTAAAGCTATGACTGTGAGATTACAACAACTGAATAAATTACCTGGTATTCAAAAGAGTCATAGTATATTTGATGAAGATTTCGATAGTATAATCTTATCGAATCCCGCCAATAAGACGTCTCCAGCAAGTAATGGGACTACTACTACATCCAGTAACAATGGATCCACTTCAAGTACTTCTACTTGGTTTGGAGGAATTACGAATCATAAAGATGACGATAGTTCAAATGGGTTAAAAAGGAAGAGAACAGATTAACTTTGTACATGACTCATTCCTAAGGAATAAATAGCATAAATAATAATACAAAATTTACAGGGCATATACACATTTGTTTGTAGATATCATGAATATCAACCCATTCAACCGTATGGTTCCATCTACCCCCTATCAAAAACTCTAATCTTGTCAATATAATCAGTTCAGTTTCAATTGAGTCACAAGATATTTTATAGTACACAAAAATGACTAACAATTTTTTTTTTTTTCAACAACGCATTGGAAACCAAAAAAATTTAAACAGCGTTTAGAACAATTGATAGATTGTGATTTGACTAGGTATAAATACAGTGTATGCTAATACATAGACTTATCGGGAGAAGAATAGTAATCAATACCGTTCATCAGTTCACGAGAAGGTCATCTATTATCGATTGGAAACGAGCATATTCTTCAAAGTTTATCAACATGAGTGAAGAAACAAGTACTACTGCAAGTTCAATTGCAACCCCAACTCCAACTAATGAAGAAACTCCAATTAAGGAAAAATCCGCTAAGGAATTAGAAAGAGAACGTAAGAAGGCTGAAAAATTAGCCAAGTTTGAAGCTAAGAAAGCTAAACAAGCTACTGCTCCAAAATCAAATGGTGATGAATCAAAGAAACCAAAGAAGGAAAAGAAACAAGCTGAACCAATTCCTGAATTCATTGATAAAACCGTTCCTGGTGAAAAGAAGATCTTAGTGTCATTAGATGATCCATCTCTTGCTGCTTATAATCCAAAGAATGTTGAAAGTTCATGGTATGAATGGTGGAATAAACAAGGTTTATTTGAACCTGAATTCACTGAATCAGGAGAAATAAAACCAGAAGGTGCTTTCACTATTCCTGCTCCTCCACCAAATGTTACTGGTGCTTTACATATTGGACATGCTTTAACTGTTTCTATTCAAGATACTTTAATTAGATACAATAGAATGAAAGGTAAGACTACTCTTTTCATTCCAGGTTTCGATCATGCTGGTATTGCAACTCAATCTGTTGTTGAAAAACAAATTTGGAGTAATGAAAAGAAAACTAGACATGATTATGGTCGTGAAAAATTCATTGAAAAAGTTTGGGATTGGAAAGATGAATATCATAAAAGAATTAGTGGTCAAGTTAAAAGATTAGGAGCTTCTTATGATTGGTCAAGAGAAGCTTTTACTTTAAGTCCAGAATATAGTACTGCTGTTGTGGAAAATTTCGTTAAATTACATGAAGATGGTACTCTTTACCGTGCTAATAGATTAGTTAATTGGTGTGTTAAATTAAACACTGCTATTTCTAATTTAGAAGTTGATAATAAAACTATCCCAGGTAAAACTTTATTATCAGTTCCAAATTATGATAATAAAATTGAATTTGGGGTTATTACTTCATTTTCTTATCAAGTTGAAAATTCTGATGAAAAATTAACTGTGGCTACTACCAGACCTGAAACTATGTTTGGTGATACTGGTATTGCCGTTCATCCAAATGATCCAAGATATACTCATTTACATGGTAAATACGTTATACATCCATTCATCAATAGAAGAATACCAATCATCACTGATGCTGAAGCTGTTGATATGGAATTCGGTACTGGTGCAGTTAAAATCACTCCAGCTCATGATCAAAATGATTATGATACTGGTAAAAGAAACAATTTAGAATTCATTAATATTTTCACTGATGATGGGTTATTAAATGAAAACTGTGGTTCTGAATGGGTTGGTGTTAAAAGATTTGATGCCAGAGCTAAAGTTATTGAAGCTTTAAAAGCCAAAGATTTATTTGTTGAATCTAAAGATAATGAAATGACCATTCCAACTTGTTCAAGATCAGGTGATGTCATTGAACCATTATTAAAACCTCAATGGTATGTTAATCAAAAAGAAATGGCTAAAGCTGGTATTGCTGCTGTTAAAAGTGGTGAAGTTACTATTACTCCTAAATCATCTGAAGCTGAATTTTTCTATTATTTAGAAAATATTCAAGATTGGTGTATTTCTCGTCAATTATGGTGGGGTCATAGATGTCCAGTTTATTTCGTTAATATTGAAGGTGAAGAAAATGATAAATTAGATAATACTTATTGGATCTCAGGTAGAACTGAAGAAGAAGCTTTAGCTAAAGCCAAACAACAATTCAAAGATGTTAAATTCACTTTAGAACAAGATGAAGATGTCTTAGATACTTGGTTTTCATCTGGTTTATGGCCAATTGCCACTTTAGGATGGCCAAATGTTGATTCACCTGATTATAAAAAATTTGCTCCATTATCAATGTTAGAAACTGGTTGGGATATTTTATTCTTTTGGGTTACTAGAATGATTTTATTATCATTAAAATTAACTGGTAAAATCCCATTTAAGGAAGTTTTCTGTCATTCCTTAGTTCGTGATGCTCAAGGTCGTAAAATGTCTAAATCATTAGGTAATGTTATTGATCCATTAGATGTTATTAATGGTATTTCTTTACAAGCTTTACATGATAAATTAAGAGTGGGTAATTTAGATCAAAAAGAATTGAAGAAAGCTGAAGAAGGTCAAAAGCAATCATATCCAGATGGTATTCCAGAATGTGGTACTGATGCTTTAAGATTTGCTCTTTGTGCTTATAGTACTGGTGGTAGAGATATTAATTTAGATATTTTGAGAGTTGAAGGTTACAGAAAATTCGGTAATAAGATTTATCAAGCTACTAAATTCGTTTTAGGTAGATTAGGTGAAGATTATGTTCCACCAACTCATAAAGGATTATCAGGTAAAGAATCATTAGTTGAAAAATGGATTTTACATAGATTAAATGAAGCTGCTAAGAATACTAATTCTGCTTTAGAAAGACGTGATTTTGGTGAATCAACTAATCATATTTATAACTTTTGGTATGAATTATGTGATGTTTATATTGAAAATTCTAAATCATTAATTCAAGATGGTACTCCTGAACAAAAGAAATCAGCTCAAGATACTTTATATATTTGTATTGATAATGCTTTAAGATTAATTCATCCATATATGCCATTTATTTCAGAAGAAATGTGGCAAAGATTACCAAGATATGAAGAACAAAAACAAAGTAAAAAGACTATTTCAATTGTTACTGCCAAATATCCTGAATATCAATCTGAATATGATGATATTAAATCATATGAAGCTTATGAATCTGTTTTAGAAATCACTAAAGGTGCTAGATCATTATTAGCTCAATATATTATTTTAAAGAATGGTCAAGTTTATGTTGAAACTTCAAATGAAAAATTATATGATATTATTGTTGATCAACATGATTCTATTGTATCATTAATTAAAGGAGTGGAAAAGATTTATATTGTGAAGACTAAAGAAGAAATTCCAAAGGGTTGTGCATTACAAGCCATTGGACCAGATTTAACTGTTCATTTATTAATTAAGGGACAAATTGATATTGATTCTGAAATTAGTAAAGTTGATAAAAAATTAGGAGCTGCTAATGAATTTTTAAAGAAACAAAATGAATCAATTAGTAAATTTACTGATAAGACTAAAGTAGAAGCTAAAGAAGCTGCTTTTAAGAGATTAGAAAAATTAACAGCTGAAATCGAAGGTTATGAAAAGACCATTTCTATTTTAGAACAATTGAAACTTTAAGTATCGTAGTAAGTTGTTAGATTTTGTTAGAACCCATATTTGTAAATAAATAAATGATAAATTATTAAAATAATCCATGTGTCGCAAAAACTATGTCGAAAAATGTTTGTCGAAAATCATTTGTCGCATTTTCAATGCTTTTTGGACAAAATTTCATGACATCGTTTACGGACTGCATATAACGGAGTGTTTCGATTCATGTTTTGAAGAAGATGACATTGTTTGTGTTTATATTATTATTATTTTTAATTTTGTACAACTTGATATTACGTATCATAACTAAAACAGGTAGACGACGAACGTTCGTCGACAACATGTACTTGACAGCTAAAGTTCAATTGACAGAATTGATTGAACAAAAGTTGTAATAGTTATAGTTATAGTTTATAGGTGATTAGCCACGCTTTTACTTTTGCATTCACGAATTTCATTCATTAATGCTTTATCGCCCTTTATATTTAATTATTAAACTTTTTACCAAGACCAATAACTACCCCCTACTCCTTACTTACTTTTAGTTAGTTATTAAATTTAAAGTTAATGTTAATGACGACATATACATAAAATTAAAATATAAGCTAAAATGGTAAAAGTAGCAGAATTTCACCTCATTCAGAAAAAAAAGAAATTTCACAACCGCATAATAAAATAATAATAATATTTTGAGTCCATGCACTACTGCCATTGGACAATACTATACACATAGATACAGTTTTATAGGGGGATAAATACTATTTGGGAATTGTGGATGGATGGGTGGATGGAATTACAATTTACGTGGGTCTGAAGTTTGATGTATTTAAGACAATTAAATTGTCCAATATTTAAAAAATAGTTCAATTAATTTCTTCTTTTGATTCTTCTTTCTTCTATTGTATCGAATTTATATCATAATTAATACATAATGAATTTTAACAATATTATCCAAGAAGGTGAACAATTAGCTGCTTCTCAAGGTGGTTCCCAAGGTGGTTCCGGTGGTTTAGGTAGTTTACTCTCTGAAGGTGAAAAATTAGCTGGTGGTTCTTCAGGTTCAGGTTCCGGTTCCGGTTCAAACGTTAACTATGGTCAATTAGCTGATGATGCTAAAATTGCCTACGGTGATTTCTCTAAACAAGATGGTGGATCTTTCACTGATCATGCTGAACAAACTTACAAGGATATCCAATCTAACCACTCTTCTTCAGGTAACTCTGGTAACTCTGGTAACTCTCAAGGTGGTAACCAATATTAGGAGATTGTGTGATTGATTTACATGAAAACTATTTAGTCTATTAATATTTAAATATATATTAGTATTGTTATTATAGCTCAATTGATATCATTGTAGTTGTTTAAATTGAAAATTGGTGACGATAATTTCAATTTCATTTAGGGACCTACGCCTAAAATCTTTTGTGTCAACAGCCGCCACCATCTGCACCTCTTCTCACTAACTCTTCTCTTCACTAAATGTGCCCCCGTCCCCTTTTCTCCCTTGTTCATTTTTAAATCAGCGAACAATCCGTTATATGCAGGTGATGCTTTCTCTCTTTTTCTTGTCCCCCCACAGATCGGATAATGTTCATCTTTTTTAATCTCGAAATTTCACGCCTAACCATATACGGTAGGTTATGATAACTTTATTTTACGGCACAGTTTATTAAGCAAGTCCATATTAATAATATCCTATCTATACACATCTTATATACATCTCTACATACCACTTAATCTTTATATTCTTGTAAAACTTGCTTCAAGATTTCAGGATACCATCTTTTTGCAACATCTTGATGAGATTTAATTCTATTTCTAAATACAGCATATCCTACTGGATGTTTTGATATATCAGGTTTATATTGGAAACCAATATCTTGACCCCATTTCTTAATGTTCGTATCTCTTTCTTGTGTCAATTTAATGATTTCAGCTGGAATATCAGCTACTATATCTTTATGACTATCAAGATCAATGGTTTGAAAAAATGGAATTGAGATTCGGGTTCCACTTCCAGGTTGAGGAATTAAAACTTTATGAATTGTAGCTTTACAAACTCCTTGAGTTATAGCTTCTAAGGTTTGACCTGCATTAACTACTAATGTATTAGGAATATTAGGTACTGAAATCCAATCCCCTTGGAAATTTTGAACTTGTAAGGAATTTTCATGAGGAGTAACTTGATAAATAAAGGTTAAAATATCAGAATCACAATGAGGTCCTACTCCTTGTTGTTGAGTAGTTGGTTTATCATCTAATACCACTGATTGTTTTCCATTTAATTCATTTAAATCCGGATAGGCCACTAATTTCATTTTACATTGTTGATTAGGTTTAAAATATACATCTAAGGAATGTTTATCCAATCCAATTGATTCTAATACTAAATATCTGAATTCTTGACTTAAATGAGTCATCTTTGCAATATAATTTAAAATAGTAGGTTTGAATTTAGGGATATATTTTTCATCGGGCCATAAGTTTGGTCCTTCAATGTTTTTATAAATTGGATCATTTTTAGATGGACCTGGTAATTCAGTAGCTAAATCAATTTGTTCTCTCCAATCAGTATGACTGGAAGTAATTTCATTAGCAAGTCTTGAATATCCTAAGAAATGAGGAGATTTAATCATTTCAATATCTAATTTAACTTGATCTGGCAACGCAAAGAAATCCAATGTTTCTTGTTTGATATCTTTGAAATCTTGTTCATTAGGTCCAAATACTTCATAATTCTTTAATAATAAAAATCCCACATTAATAATTGCATGTCTTAAATCTTTTAAAAATTGAGGTTTGGTCTCAGGATCGAGAGCTGATTTTAAATCAATGATTGGTATTTCTTGAAATGACATTTTTAATTCACACTATCATACATACATTCAATTTAATACAAACAATGTGAATATAAACCTCTATATATATACTCTTTGATTATCTAAATTTTCATTGGATTAAATAAATCAACAGATATTTTTATTTTCAATTTTTTTTTTAATTTTGCCTTAAATTTGTTTGAAGCCACAGTCCCTAACTTTAAATTGGAATGTAATTTTAGCGGGAAGTTAGGCTAAAAAAAGATTTATTTGATACCGCGAAGATTATTAATGAGACAGAAAAATTTATTTTGCGCTGAGAGAGAGAGAGTTTATTTTTTATGAGGCTAATGGGATTATTTTGCCAGCAGCCACCTCTTCTTCTTCTGTTTGCAGTTAATAAGTTGCCGTGAATTATAATTCGATGAGGTCAAACGGCATAATTTTTGAAAAGTATATCCGATTTAGTCTTTATAAACTTGTAACATACGGTTGTTAACGGTATTCTAAGGTATTTAATCTTGACTTTAAAAATCTTTTTACTAAACTTGTTGTAAATAATCTTCTCAAATGAAAAAAATTGCAAAACATTTTGTCAAAAATTGTTCAAATTTAAAAACTCAATAAAATTACCTAATTTTGTTAACAAATTCTTAAATAAATTAGATTAATATAAATACAATGACTTATAAGTTTCCCTGAATACTTTAAACATTTCAAAATCTGCCTGAAAATGCCAAAAATTATTAAAATAATTTTGGTGGACATCGACACCTTAGCACCGACATTTCAATTTTACAAATTCAAGAAATAGGTTTTGTGGTCTAGTTGGTTATGGCATCTGCTTAACACGCAGAACGTCCCCAGTTCGATCCTGGGCAAAATCATATTTCCTACTGCGCAAATGGTTTAGTGGTAAAATCCAACGTTGCCATCGTTGGGCCCCTGGTTCGATTCCTGGTTTGCGCATTTTTTTAATTTTTACTTCATTAACTTATATTCAATTAGTATATCTACAAGATGTACTAATTAGATTTTCATTTTTTGATGTTTAAGAGGTTGTAATTGATCAAACTAGTCGTAGTAAATACTTCAAATCTTAGCAGATTTTGACTTCAGATTCTTTTTTTTTTGAGTGCGCGTAGAAATTTGATCTAAATAGGAAAATTTACAGCCAAACCCATTTTGGAAATGTTAGGGATCTTTTTTTTTATAAGTTTGGTTGCCTTTTCAATTTTTGGCTGCCTTTTTTAAAAATTACCTATCACTTCTTTATCTCTTCTTCATCAATTACTTCATTATATTGATTCAATCCATCTTAATCAATCAATCAATCAATCAATCAATCAATCAATCAATCAATCAATCAATCAATCAATTGAATCAATCAATCAAGTTAGTATGTCGTCGATCAGCACTTACGTTAGTACCGCAATTCGTGTGGTTGAATTCTTATTTGCAGTTATTAGTTTAGGTCTTTCTGGTGCAATAATCCATCAAATTGATCTGAGTAAGGGTAGAATCATTTATACTCTTATTATTGCCATGTTTAGTATTGTTTATCTTATTCCAGTTGCCATCTTAGATGTATTAAACTTGATTCCATTTACCGTGGTTTATATTTTAGAACTTATCTTCTTTGTGTTTTGGTTAGTTGCTTTTGCCTTAATCTCGAATAGCTTTGGTGATTTATCTTGTACTGCTGATGGTGTAACTTATGATTTCTGTCAAGAAGGTAAAGCATTGATTGCAATGACTTTAATTCTTTGGTTAACGTTTTCTACTTCATTAATCTTAACTGCTATTTTCAGTGTTATTCCTTTGGTCCAATCTACTAGTGTTCGTGAAGTTATCAATCTTCCATCAAATGATTTTACCTGGGGTGGAATCTTTCTTAAAACCGAACCTAAGGAATCTGTTGATGCTGAAGCTGAAGTTGGAAAAGATATTGAACCAACCTTAGAAGAAGCTGATCAAACTGTCTTAGATGAAGTCAAGCCTTTAGATGTCGATCAAGATATTGGTAGTACAAACGTAGATATACTTTAAATTCTTTTGGGTCCCTTGCTTACCTTCGTTGCAATGCTCTGGCTAATCTTTTGCTATATTTCTAATCTTAAAACAAGCAATCTACTTAATTTATTAAATTCAACCCAAAATTGTTATGTCCATTTAATGTTAATGATGTCTTATGTTACAAAAATGAATTTAGGTTTCTCTCTTAATACTAATGTTATTTAATTTTGTTTTCTCTCCCATACCTAATATTCATTTATCCATATAAAAAATTATAAAAGTAAATAAATAAATAAATATATATCTAATTCAAGTACTAGTATCTTTACGGAAGAACAATTCATAAGCACCTTGGAATAATGAAGGAAGTTTTTCACTGCGTGCATGAGCGTCCCAATTTCTTCCTGCCCAAACACCTTCACTAATTGGTTCATTATTAGCTTGTAATTTCTTAGCTACATCTTCATTTTCTTTCCATACTCTAAGGATATTACCACCCATTAATCCTTGAATTTGACTATCAGTTGCCCCTCTCTCCATGACTTTAATCAATAAATCAGGATATTTAGATACATCTTCTAAACCTTCTGGTACATTATCAATACCATCAAAATCACTACCTAACCCAACTGATTCCCAACCTGCGATTTCAGCGATATGGAAAATATGATCAATAGCATCATCAATAGTAACTTTATCTGATTTCTTTTCTGGATTTTTCAAAAAGGCAGGATAGAAATTAACTTGAACTACACCTCTATTTTCTTTAACTTTTAATAACACATCATCTTTAACATTTCTAGCATGAGGACATTTGGCAAAAGCTGAAGAATGAGAAAATATCACGGGAGATTTGGTGACTTCTAACGTATCAATCATAGTTTGATAAGAAACATGAGATAAATCTACTAACATACCTATTCTATTCATTTCACCAATACATTCTTTACCTAATTCAGTCAACCCTTTATCTTCAAGACCAGCAGTTACTGAACTTGCAGCAGTAGCAAATGGATTATCACAATTATGAGTTAAAGTGATATATCTTACTCCTAAATCGAAATATTTTCTCACCATTGCAATTGATGCATCACATTGATGTAAACCTTCAACACCAATAGTTATGGCTAATTTTCCTTCTTTTTGATAAATATCCCACGCTTGTTTTGAAGTCCAAGCGAATTTCATATCTTTATCATATTTAGCAATAAGTCTTTCCACCACATCAATTTGTTCAATCGTATCTCTAACTATCGGAGTTCTATGATTGAAATCCTGAGATAATCCATCAGGATAACGACATTCAATATAAGCGGAGAAGAATTGAACTCCTAATCTACCCTTTTTAATCTTAGGTAATGATGTATGATTTAATAAATGTTCATCATTAAAGTCGAACTTGGTCTCTGGACTTAAAATGTTATGTAATTGAATTCTTAAAAGATATGGAAAATCATTATGAGTATCTACAATTGGTGTAGTTTTTAATAATGTTTCTAATCTTTGTTCAGGGGTCAATTCGACCTTTGATTGTTTCCATAAGAAACTCATCACCTTATAGTTAAACCAAATGTAGAGATGAACAATAATGAATATAGTTTTTAAAATTACAAATTTGAATATAGAGTTCGTTATCTTTATCCCTCAATTTTTCTTTTTTCATTAAATTGTGGAGCCGTATATGGTTGGTCCCACATATTTCTCAATTGCGCTTAATAATACTTAATTGAATCAAACACTAACACATAGTGGAGGTTTGATGGTAGAAGTTGAGTTTTACGTTATGTGATAGTCGCTTAATCACTTTGGTAACTGATTCCGATCTTTACTTTGCATGTCAGATTCAATCTATGTTTATTTTCAGTCATACTAATGACCAAATATTAGGACTAATATCTCGAATAATAATAATTCATTCGGCTAAAGTTTTTCAATAGTTAGTAAATAGTTCATACTATAACAAGATTCAAATTATTGAATGATTAGTTAATCACTTCATCTCGGTGTTAGTTGATTTCAAATTTTATCCAAAGACATTGTTAAAACGGGATAAAATCATGACGATAACGCATAATAATTCTAATCATTTAGTGATATGTAACCTCTTCATTCATTATTCAAATGTATCTTTCGATTAATTAAACATACCATCTATAATATAATAGTTGTTCTATTATTATATCCTGGTTAAGAAGAAATGTGTTGAAATGAAAAAGTTTTTCAAATTTGACACTAAGTTTTTTTTTCAGTTACCGATGAGAACTGAAGAGAATTTACACTAGCGCTAAAAAATTGCGTAGCAAAAATATTTATTTTTCCCTAACCCTAAAAATATCATTAACGATTTACAACTTGATCATATAATGCTTGTAATTCATTATACCAAGCTGCAAGCATCTCTGACTTGTTAAAGCTTTCATTACTATCATCATCATCTTCTTCATTACCATGTGCATCTGAATTAAATGTAGAACTTAAAATACCCGCTTTAGTATTTGTATTTGCGATATCATCTTCGTCTTTTGTTGAAGCTTTTGAAATTGATATGGATTTATTCTCCGATCTAAATTTAGAAAGAAGACTTGCTTCTGATTTGTCTATATCAGGAATTGCGGAATACATATATGAATACCAAGCATCAATGACCTTGAAATGAACCTTTGATGTATAATCAAATGAATAGAAGAAATCATCAGAAAGGTCAACTTTGCTCTTGGTAACTTCTTGATTGATATTAGTATCAATCTCCATTTGATCAACATTACTGGTATTACGATTAACATCACTTAAAGTGTAATCAAACTTCACCACATTCAATGCTTTTAAATTGGCTCGAATATCATTTGCTTGAACTGCAAGTGTAAATAATTTCTTTCTTTCTCCAACTGATTCAATATAATTATTCACATAATCAATACGATATTCAGCTAGTTTACCATCGACGATTAACTTTAATAATAACTCTTCTAACTCGGCTTGGTTGATGTTTAATTTGTTTTGGATGAAATCAAATCTTATTGAATGATATACACTAACATAATTGATAATAAGCTTTAACTTTAATTTAAGTAGAATTTGGTTGAATGATATGTTGAATATATCATCAACTAATATGGGATCATTCTCAACTTTCATCTTTTCTGAAATTTTGTTAAATCCATTTAAATCTGAACTATCGTAAGCCTTTATTAACAATAACAAATTTGAATATTCCTTCAATTGGGAATAAGTTCTTGTTTCCTGAGATTCGAAAAGATTTAATTCACTATCAGTTAACAATGAACATAAAGCAACATACTTCAATATTCTATATTTATTTGATGAGCCAGCCACATCATAGTTCTTAAAACAATCATAAAAATCTAATCTTGATTTTTCATAATTACCTCGATGAAATTGTATTTTTGCTCCACATTCTTTTATAATAGCTAAAATCTTGGGATGGGTAACAGCGGTAGTGATACTTAAACTTCGACGGTAAAGATTATTTAGAATCGATAGAGTTGGAGTACTCTTCCTGGATTCATATTCAATTTCAGCCGCGATAACTTCAAGTGAATAGGCATTTCTTGTACTTTCATTAACTTCCTTTAACTTTTCATTTATTGATTGAAATAAAGCAGGACATTCTTCATGAGAACCACTGTCAATATACGAATTGAGTCGATTAATGTTGATCTTCAACCATAACCTTTGACTATTGATACCTATGGCATTTGAACTTTGTAATGAATTTAATATTGTAGTATATAAAGAAGACACAAAAGTACTATCTTTGGAAGTGGAATAATTATTGATCATAGTACCTAAGGTCTCTTCTGCGTAATCTTTCTGAACCAGACCTAATAGTGGAATGATTCGTTTTAAGAATTCCAATGACTCATTGTAATTCCTATTCTGAAAGTTGATTTTGATAATTTGCTTATGAGCTTTAAAAATCCAATCAACTGTATTTTCAGTTTGCTCTGTGTTATCAATTAGATCCTTTAAAGCTGCTATCGCCGCAGAAGGACTATCATCCTTTAGATTCTTAGCAGAATAATATTTGTTTTGCTATGTGGTTAGTTAGTATGATTGATACTTCATAAAACATAATATGTGATATACTTACTACTGTTACTTCTTCATCTTCTTCAATATCATCGCCATTGCCTTCATCTACTTCGTTATTTTCATCATCATCAAATTCAAACTCAAATGATTCCTCATCTGAGTAGAAATCTGCATCATCTAACTCCTCGTCGTCCATGATTCAATTGATTAATGAAAGATGCCTAGTATTATCATTGATCTATTTCTATGTCAATTTGGTTTTTATCTTCAGCAAAATATCTATACAGTTATATACAGGAAACTCAAAATTATAATTTGGAGAGCTACCAAAAACATTTACCATACTCAATAATGGTCTCCAATGTCTGTTACCTTACGAAAATGAAACTAACTTTAAATATATAAGCCCAACAAGACTCCCTTCGAGATTTCCAAAAATTTGAATATAGTCTCCTATCACTCTTACTTCGAATATCGCAAAGGTAATTTGGTCACAAAAATCCAAAAAAAGATTGCAGCACGAGAGTTTCGCGTATGGTCTCCCACTACACTACTCAGTCTCGCTCTTAGCAGCTTAACTACAGTTGATCGGACGGGAAACGGTGCTTTCTGCTAGATATGGCCGCAACCGAAAGATCAAGTAAATGTGTATTCTATGTCTTGGACTAAGGTTATACAAAATTTACTTGCGTGAAAAAATCTGTGTCATCGCAGCCTTGTTTGGTGCCAAAGTGTTGACAACGAAAGGCTCCAAGTATTGGAGATATTTTCAAGAGGGCTAATAACTGTAAAAGACTTGAAAGTGTTGGATAGAACAAAAATAAAGAGTTAATACATCAAACTGTTTAAACTTTAGAGCTATCGAAAGTTGTAAAACAAAAATATATAAATCACAAAAAGCAAAAAAGATTGCAGCACGAGAGTTTCGCGTATGGTCTCCCACTACACTACTCAGTCTCGCTCTTAGCAGCTTAACTACAGTTGATCGGACGGGAAACGGTGCTTTCTGCTAGATATGGCCGCAACCGAAAGATGAAGTAAATATATCTTCCATGTTATGAACTAATGGTGTAAATAATTAGCCATGCGCACGACAGAAAACTGTTGCAATTATTTGTGATATAGTAAAGAAGACAGCAGTGCTAGTGATTTAAAAGGAAGATTATTGCAATTGCTTCGGAAACATGGGGGATTTTAATGTAATTAGATAACAGAAAGACAAATAAACAGTTTAATTGTAGTACAAAAATTGATTTTTTTAAAAGATCGCTATGCAACACTTATTCTGAAAGTCCCAAATTTTGTTTCTTTACTGCTATGGAAGCTACATCCAGGGACAATCAAACGATTTAGCCTTATACAAGTAAGAATAACCGTAGTCCATGACGAGATATTTCCCGTCGATTATCCGTTTCGCACAAAGTTAATTATTTTCCTAATGCTGCAAGATTATTTTTTTCTTGACGCTGCCTCATCAAAAATAAATAAAGATTTCCCGGCGGTAAATCAATCCTAAAAAACTTGTTGCAGCAAAAACAATTTACTGAGAATTTCAACGCGTAACAAATTTGAAGTAGCAGCTAAAGTCTACAACTGTAATTTAGGTTTTTTTAAATTAATTTTATATTTGACATTCATTCAAAATTTAGGAAATTAAGTAGTAATTAGAATAGCTATATAATAATAGATTCACATTAACGTTATGTGAATATTTTTTAGTTTTTTATTCATTATATCTTACTGTAAATGAAAAAGACCCGCTTAATCACTAGCAGCTGGAGTACCTTCATGGTAAGAAACATCTGGTTTAGCTTTTTCGTTTTCAGAGGAAACAGAATCTTCGTCAAGTAAGTCAAGTAAACCAACTTCTTTAAGAATTCTGTTATGGATTTCTAATTCAGATCTTGAAGTACCAGAGTTATCACCGAAAAGTTCATCAATTTCATCTAAAGTTCTTCCTTTAGTTTCTGGAACGAAGAAGTAAATGTAAGCGGCACCAATAACACACATTAAACCTAAGAAGATATAAGCACCGTAACTAGCTTTAGCAACGAAATCTGGAGTAGACATAGCAACGGCAAAGTTATTTAACCAATTGGCAGAAGCACCAATGGAAATACCTTTAGCTCTCATACCTAATGGGAAAACTTCAGCAACGATAATCCAAGCACATGGACCCCAAGAGTAACCGAAACCAATGGCGAAAATCCAAATGAAGACAACAGCAGCCCAACCAGCACTTGCGTTATTTTCAATGTCTTTAACAGATCCTAAAATACCAGCGACAACTAAATGACAAATACCCATAACAATGGCACCGGAGATTAAAACTGGTTTTCTACCTAATTTATCAACCCAAATAACAGCTGGAATAGTAGCTAAGAACATAACAATACCTTCAACACCAGAAGCTAAAAGGGAAGTAGTAGTACCGGATAAACCTAATCTAGCGAAAATAAATGGAGCATAGTATAAAATGAAATTAACACCGGTCCATTGTTGGAAAGTCATAACTAAACAAGCAACAGCGACTCTCTTAAAGGTTGGGTAATGGGTAACTAAGGAAGCATATTGATAGAAACCAATCTTGAAGTTACTTGAGAAAGAACCATCTTGTAAGTGTGGGAATTTAGTTTCAAGCAATTCCTTTTCGAAAAGTCTTTGAGCTTTCATTTCAAGGAATTCCATTTGAATTAATTGATCATTCTTATCTAAACCTCTTAAGTGAGCAACAACGTCTAAAGATTCTTCTTCACGTCCTTGATTAATCAACCATCTTGGGGATTCTGGCATAAATAAGATACCAGAACCTAAGATAATAGCTGGAAGAACTTGAATAGAAATTGGAACTAAGAAAGCAGCTCTAGATTGACCATCACCAGTACCACCAATAAAGTTAGTACCGTAACCAATCCAATATGAGATCATAATACCGAAAGTAATGGCTAATTGTTGTAAAGCAACTAAAGCACCTCTAACTTCTGGTGGAGCTAATTCAGCATTATATAATGGGACAATCATAGATAAGATACCCACACCAATACCGACAACAAATCTACCACCTAAGATATAAGAGTAGTGACCACCACGGACACAAGCTTGAACAATTACACCAAGAATAAAGAAGAAGACACCAACAATGACAGACTTCTTTCTACCTAAGGCATCAGCGAAGTAACCATTCATAAGGACACCGACCCAAGCACCTAATTCTAAGATGGAGGTCAATAAACCTTGTAAAGTTGGATTATCTTGAATTTTACCAACACCAGCAGCGACGGAGAAAGAGTGCATACCAGAAATTTGACCGAACATACCTTGATTATAACCATAAACTAAACCACCAAGGGAGGCGAAGACAGCAATAAAAAAGGAACGATGATTGGCAACTAAGGCAGCAACACCGGTTTTTTGGACGATTTGTAAACGTCTTTGAGCAATGATTGCTTGGATATCAGATCCATCAGATACATGCATTTTGTATAATTTATATAAATCTAATGATAATTACTTAACTTTTTTAGAGAGTTAAAGCAATAGAATGATTATTGGATGAATAAACAAAAAAACAAAATAAATAAAATACAAGAATTAATATAATTACATTTTGAAACTAAAGTGGGAATAAAGTTATACTTATACTAAAAAAAAATGAAGATTTGAAACAGGTTTAACTATCAACAAAGGTATTTGCATCTTTGAATCTATTATTGTCCCTCCCCCCTCCTCCACTAAATAAAAGTCTGACACCCCCCTCGCAGGCATCCCCACACAATTAAATTGGAAAAACAATAGAAATAGGATAAAAAGAATGTCGTAAAGTAAAGTATGCGTAAAAATTAACACATTAAAATTATAAAATATATTAAAAATAATTAAGGTAATAACGCACAAAGTACCAGCAACTCAAAATAAAAATGTTAGTAAAGACTTGTGTTAAATTTCAGGAAGGTTAATCCTAAAATTGTGTGGGGGGCGGTTGGAGAGCATATAAAATTTTTCCGAAGGTTAATCCTTTTGTGCGGGGTCGAAGCACAAAACCAAAAAAGTCGGTCTTTTATTTTATTTATTTAAGACGCGCATACACAAACCACACACGCATATACTCACTATTTGGATGAAATCTCTGGATGGATTAATTTGATCCAGCCACGCCCGGCTCACATTTTTATTTTTTAGGATATTCTAATTTACAAAAATAATATCATACCAATTTTTGAATGAGGGGATCTACCTTCTTATGAAAATTTTAAACTAATACACACTAAATGTATCATAACAATTGGGTATTACAAGTACTATAGCCTAACAACAGCAATATAACCAGTGATTACGTAGTGTCATTCATAAAGTTTTTTTAATTATTTTATAACACTTCGGATCAACCCCACAATTTAGTGATTTTATTGGGTCTTTCTTTCTTTCTTTTCTTTTCTTTCTTTTATTACTTGCTAGAATCTATTTCTACTGTATGTACATTCACCATTTTACTGACTATAAAAAAATGTCTTCTAAACTATGCATGCTTTGTAACACCATCCTAACCTCGCAATTTCTAAATCCTTCATCATGGTATTTCCCTCCTGACCTATGATTATTCTTTTCCTTCTATCCCTAAACACTATTTTCCTTCTTTTCTCTACGTCGTTTTATATCTTTTACCCATCTAATTCCTTATCCAATCGTTTCATCATTCTATAAATAATAAAAATATTATTATAAATCAGATTTATTATTACAAAAGATTGAAGAGAGGTTTCATTTTCAGGTGGGTATGGGCTAATTTTGTCTATTATTTGATTTGAAATCATTCTCCGGAATATTAAAAAAAGTGTCTGACTCTATGCACTCCACTGGTAAGTTACACGCCTAATATTTTCCATGAAAATGTCGTGCTCTATATTTTAAGCATATGTATCTATAGGTTTGAATTTTGATTAAATTGGCTTTAAGCTTTTTATCGAAATTACACCCGTTAATAACACATTATGATTGTGTATCGTCATCGATCATTTCATACGCTCCTTCTCTCTTTCATTAGTAACCTAAAATAGATATAATACATATAAATTACGGTGGGGAACAACAGATACGCGTACATTAATTTAACCGTTTCACAAACTATATTTACATATGACTGACTATAATCTAATCAGTACTAAAGCTTAAATCATCATCGATTACTCAAAACCCAATAATCCTAAAACTTGCATATTAGCATCACTTGGACCTAGATCATTACGATAGATGAATTTGATTATACAAAATTGTCTTATTTCTGCTATTAATCTAATAAAACAATTTCTAATTTCTCCCTAACGGAAAATCTTCTAGGGAATCTCACATTTTCTGGAGTTGAGGTGGGGTACAGAAAGCGGGGCTGCATCTACCAAACCCCACATATTTTAGAAATTAAAAAAAAAATTTAAAATAAAAAATACATAATAAAAAATAATGCATTACAATAAAATAAAAATAAAAAAAACAATCTAAATCTAAAGAATCTCTATCTTGTTTTGTACAGATATTGTCTAATTAACTCATTGCTCAACATAATAAATATTTTCAGTAGTCATATTTGGAGTTGTCATTGTCAACTGCCATTATTGATTAACTACAACCTACATTTATTTCGTTCTTTGGATTCGGTTTTGTTCCCGCTTGGGGGGTCTCTATTGTTGATATTTATGACCATATTACTAATTTAGCCCATTCGAACCGATTCAACCACAAAGTAGTTGGGCAACTACAACCTAACCCTTTAATTGTTACCCATAACAATTATGTTCGTATCGTATTGTTTATGATTTATGAAACGTATGTATCGTTGTGTAAGCTAAGATCCCTAGCTCTATCGATCATAATATGCAACCACAAGAAAGAAGGGAAATAAATAAGAAAAACCTAGAGTTGTCTGATAAACGACATATCTCTAACATAGACGAAAATCCAGCGAAAAAGATTCGGATTCACTAGTCTGAAAAGAGTATCTCCAAAAATTTTAGTTAAGGAGATCCTAGAAAGGAAGTAGCTTCCTTACCATTTTATGGCCCTGAAATATTTTAGCAATTACAATAATAAAATTTTAAGTTTAGCGTTTAAGTAATGGAAAAACAATTCCCCAAAAATGAACAAGGAGACAAATTGAATTTGGGTAACTTAGAGTTCTTCTTTCGGTAATTCTCTTGATAATAAACTAAATTATTTACTTTCAAAAAAAGTAATATAATGTAATAATAAAAAATAAAATAAAAGTTTTAACTTCAAAACTGAGGTGAATGTATGTGTATGGGGTTATGATAGTATCAAAGAGACGTACTAATTAATCCTGAAAGTAGATCCACTTTATTCCCCTACAGACGCGTTATGTAACTTCCCCCATCGTCGTGGAGTAAACTTGGAATTTTTATATATCCCCAAATATTACAAAATTGAATTTAATAAGGCTCAGCTTTTGGTAATCTGAAAATGTTCCTTCTCTAAAATATTTCTGGATTAATTAAATCTTGGTGCGGGAGTGGAGGGAAAAGCCAAGAAAATAATAATTTATGGGAATACGAGAAAATCTGACACTGGAGAAATTTTTTTTATTTTGTCCGTCTCGCATGTATGAAAGATTGAGTGAATTCTTTTTTTGTGTTATTGATATCCCGTAACGACTAATAATCATTTACCTTCCTTCAATAGTATCAGTATTGTATACAACTACGAAAGGTACTCTATCTCTTTTTTTTTTTCGTTTTTAGGTAGCCGGCTTTTGTTGCGTAGAGAGCAAATTTGTAGTTTTTTCAACTATCAAATTAAACATGCCATATTCAGTTACCTGACTAAATTAAAAATTATGAAGCTATCTCAAATTAACCAATGTCAAACTGAAAATAAACTTACTTACTAACAGAAAACGCCGTGGGTATCATATAATCATATCATTCAGGAAACATCCTTTCTCCCGTTAGTAATTAGAGCAAAACCTTTGGATATTGCTCCATAATTAAAAAAAACAAATTCAAATTAACTAAATTGAATAGATAATAAATAATGACACAATTTTTTTTCTTTATAATCTAGTTAATTTTTTGATTTCTTTTCATGAATTGTAATTGTACTTTTCTTGAAAAGGGTTGACTCAGTAATCAATAACGATTTAATTCAAATTAACTAAAGATGGTCTACTCGGTTATCGTGAAAGTTTAGGCATGTTGGAGTGGTCTGTTCATAAATGTTGGTGAGATCTGGTCGTTCCGAATGATTTGGTCTTGGTATTGGGGGAGACAAAGCTTGAAGGTAATAGGAAGTCAGTTTTTTCTTGTCCTTTAAGAATCTAATTGTCTCTCAATGTAAAGACTGGGATGTTGTACTTTTTCACTTTGAAAGCAGACTATCATAATGCATCAACTTGAGAGATTGATAGATATATTTGATGCGTTAGGTAATTAATAGATACATTTTTATATGTTAAGTGTGATTGAAAGAGAAGAATGAAAGAGTACGATGTTTGAATTAGCCATAAGTTTCAAAGTCACGTAACGAGCTATTCAAATCTTTGATTCCGTTAATTATATATGTCATTTCCAATGCCTTAGAAGGCAATCTGGTAGGTTATATCATAATGCATTTCAAGACAAGTACACGTCACTTAATATCTACTATAAGTTCATCTGAAGTACCGATATCTTCATCGTCATGGACTTCAGAAGCCAAACATTAAGTTCCTGAATATCTGTGATATTCAGATATTTTAATACCGCCAGAAAAAGGTAGTTTTATCGGAAAACAGTTTAGAAACAACAACAAAATATGCATCACAAGTCACTTGATTTATCGAAGACTTTCTGATACATATAATATGGTACAGAATTCTTTCATTTTTGGTTTATTTTTGCAGAGTCCTTATGGGACGTTCTCTTAAAAATTCTGACAGAATTCAAGATTCGGGGAATGGTAGCGCCTTTTTCTAGGTTAATTTTGTTATGTGAATCTCCTGCATATGGTAAACACGATTTCAAAAAAATTACGAAAATAAGGCAACTTGTCCGAGCGGTTAAGGAGAAAGACTTGAAATCTTTTGGGCTTTGCCCGCGCAGGTTCGAGTCCTGCAGTTGTCGTTATATTTTTTTACATCTTCAATTTCTATTTTCATACTGAATTTACTGGTTTCTATGAATTTTTTTATTTATTTAGTCTAAGATCTATGTAGTTAGTTCGATTTATCAAATTAGAAGATCTACTCCTGCACTACTCATTCCTAAACCACAAAGGTACCCTTGACCACCAGCACCATAATTATGAATAATAGTTCCTAATTCAGTAACTTCCTTTTCAATTCTAACTCCACCTTTTCTTGATGGTCTTGCTCCTGACACAACTCTGAGGATTTGTAAATCCTTTATTTCCTTCCCCTTTTCATTGTCTTCTAAAAGTTTTGGATTTAATTTGGTTACTCTTTTCAAAATATCTTCAGTTTCATATCCGTATGTGTTAGCATCAAAGTTCTCAGGTTGATAAAATCCTCCGAGGATAACTTCATCATTGATTGAATCTGGTCTCTTAATAATATAAGTTGAAGCATCATCCCATAAAGACATACATTCTTTGATATGAGGAGCTCTAACAACAACAACTTGACCCCTTGTTGGAAAACTTTTTGGATCTTGAACTCCTCCTAATTCCATTGATCCAGTACCAGAACAATTGAAAACAGTAGTGGCACCTTCTTTGAATGCTTCATTGACATGACTCAATTTTCTTCTTTCAACTGTAACGCCTAATGATTTAACATAAGCAAGAATGTTTGCGATAAGTAATGGTGCATTAAACACAAAAGCTCTATATCTTACCCCAACTTTAGCGGTGGTTAAATATGAAGGTGGGGTAACCAATTCAAAATCATGCAAGAAGCTCTTCAATTTCTCAACATAAGCATCAGCAGGAATTTTGTCTAAATACTCAGTTGATGGAACACTACCAATTCCTGAATTTTCTCCAAGCTTCAGTTTTAAAGTTTCAATATTTTGATAAGTATATTTACTATATTTCAAACTGTCTTCATGGATACATGCTGAAAAATAAGCTCCAGCGTATGGGGAAGCATATTTGATTGATTGATCTCCTGGTAAAAACTCAGCAATAATCTTAATATTCTTTGGATCAATTCCTCTTTCAGTTAACAAGAAAGCAGTATATAAACCAATTATACCTGATCTAAAAATAACGTTATTTGTTAGTAAGAATTCTAGCTGGAACTGCAATCAATGACGAACAGTACTTACCCAATGATAGTAATTTGTGACATTTTTTAGTATTGAAACTATGAGATATATGTAGACCTTTGTGAATAATAAAGAGGGTTGATTAGGGTAAAAGTCCTTTGGTCTGATTTTTATTTTTCAAGTCAAGATTGACGTGATAAGGAGAATTAGAAATTCCGCTAATTTTTTTTTATCGGGGAGAGTCCGTCGCGGCTGGCTATTCCCTTGCCGATCCAAATTTTATATACGGCTCGAAAGAGAAATTAGCGCCAATTCCTTCATTGGGTAACATACATATATGCTAATAGTTATATATATATTTATTTAGTTATAGCTATAACTAACTATTTAATATGGTTTACGTAGTATTACAAAATTGGTGTACGCATAAAATCAAATTAATCCACTCAAGGTTAATTTTTCTAAAAAGGGAGGTAAATCATCCTTTCTAATCTCTATAACTGAACTATCAAAACTATCAATTCTGATTTTTGCACCCGAAGTATTGGCTAATTGTTGAAAGGCAACACTGAATGTGTTCAAACGAGTAGTTACTGTAGCATCAAGATTTCCATTACCATTGGCTGCAAGTCTTAATCTAGTAGAATTATCCATTCCTCTTGGATATTTTGGTGCTAAACCTATCACCAAATAAGTATCACTCGAAACATCTAAACTAGCAACAACCAATGGCTTTAAGGATGATTTAGAATCCATGATATATAACTCAGTGATGTTTTCCATTAACCAAGACCCTAATTTATTCAACATCAATGGGTTATTAAAGATATCTAAATCAGGAATAGATCCATCATCAAGAACACATAAACGATATAATCTTAAATTGGTGACTAATTTTCTATCAAGAACCGAAGTACCAGTTTTGAAAACGACTTGTTGAATAATTTTAGCATGATCCAATCCTTGAAGTAATAGATCAAATCCTTTTGATTTTTTGAAATTTGAACTTATTGTTTTATTAGTATTTATAGTGGAAGTTTCTGTACTCAATGCATCCCATGATAACCAAAAATTATTGACCCATGATTTTTCTCTTCTTTCGATTTTAGCTTGAATTCTATTACCTTCATTATTATCATCTTCATCATCACCTTCGTCATCAGAGTTATTATCTATATTATTACCCATTTTTTCCCCTAACAATCTTTTATGAACTTCAAATAATGCTGTTAATGACTCAACACATTCCATGGCGGATAATTGACCAGAATATCCAAAGGTTCTAATGAATCCTTCTCTTACTATACTTTCTAATCCATACTTGGGTAAGTATCGATTGAATATAAATGGTAATTGTTTCTTAACTCTTACATCCATATAAAGCCACTTTTGTTGAGCCATAGCTAATGACACTCCCATAGTAGCGAACATTTTATGTAGTTTTTTCTTCCCTTCTTCAGTCCAGAGATTTAACTTAGCGTTCACTTGCGGAGAATAAAAGAATGAATCATATAACGTCCAATGTCTTAGTAAGAATAAATGATAATCTAACTCAATATTTAAGGTTGTTGAATCAGCTGTTTTCTCTCCATTGTTATTACTTACTGAGTTATTTGAAGGTTTCAATCTTAAAACTTCATCTTTTAATAATGGTTGAAGCTTGTCATAAATATTTGGATAATCATTGTCCAATGAAGATGTACCAATTATAGATAACCATAAATATTCAATATTGGTTTCTCCAATGGCTGATAATAATGCATAAATAGTAATAGAATTGGCAGTGATTATGGTTGTACCTTGATTGTAATAGTTTTGAACTACATTTTCATGTTGGGATTTCTCATTCTTTGTCTGTTTCCGCAATTTCTTTACTCTATGTTCTTGCCTTTTACGTTTTCGACTAGTAGTATCTTCCGAATCTTGAGAATTGAATATTATTTCCTCATCATCATCTGTATCATCGAATTCACTTTCCTTTATTTTCTCACTTTCAAACTCATCTCCATCTTCTTCGTCATCGTCATCTTCTTCTTCCGAGGAAGAAGAATCTTCATCATCATCCATATCAGCAAACTTTTCAACTAATGTTGTATAGGATGATTTTTCATGAGTTAAATTGGCATCCACAAATCCATCATCAAAACAAACTACAATGTTTGAACCGAATAAGTTATCCAAATTCCAAGGACGATGACCATCTATTATATAAATTTTTCTTTTCAGTTTGATTTTTGAGTTCTTTGAAGGATCTCGTTTTAAATCATCATTAACATCCAAGTCATCGCTATTTTCAGTAGAATGATCTTGATGTAATAATTCATCAACATTCAATTCAAAAAATGTTTCTAGATCCAACATGGCTCCACATCCTATTAATATAACATTTGTTACATCCGCATCTATCCTTTCATAATGTCTCTTAAGATCAGAGTAACCAACAACAGGTATCATTTGGTATTGAATCAATTCTTTTCTTAATAACACACTCAATATCTTAGCAGCACATAATGCATCTATATTTAAACAAGATACAAAAAGGATTAGTTTACATGTTGAATGTGATGTTGAACTTCGCCTTATCTCTTTGAAAGTAGCCGAGTATTGATTGGGTGTGATATACATTATCCTTTGATGTGTACAATATGACCTTTCTTCTATTGAGTTTTATCTTTTCTATTACTTTTCTTCTTCTATTCTTTCTATTGATTTAGAATTCATATATCAAATATTGAATGCTTAATAACTTGTCATAAGTCGATATGCTTGATTTTGTTGGCCAAGAGCTGTATAGTATCGATGAAATCTTATACTCTGTTTGATTTACACTTATGAAATTGTGTATTTTGAAATTTTAACTAATTTACTCAACGCGTTCTAAATTTTTTTACAACCAACTAGACAAATTCCTGTATATACAAATGTCAACAATTAACGCGTATAAAAATTATTGGTAGTAATAAATATGGCTGCAATATGACTTCAGGCCGATATTTCTGGACATTTAGTTAAACTAATTCCAATTTGATTACTTCAGTAGTTGTAGTTTGACTTTATAAAGTAATTTCTATAGTTTTCTGACTTGAAAAAAATATTATTGAGAAGACTCTTAACACTTCTTTATGCTATGATGTAAGCATTTATTTAGCTAAAACTTGACCCAAATCTTCGAAAACATAACTTTCATTAATTGAATCTAAACTTCTTCTGATTAAAGAAACAGTGATTAAATTTATGATTATATAACTTTTGAGTCCTTAAACCTTGTAGAAATTTTTTTAACTTGATTTTTGGAATTTGACATTAACATTTTAAAAGTAACCGGCAAATTTTTTTCATCATCAAAGAAGGGCGTGTGGCGTAGTTGGTAGCGCGCTTGCCTTGCAAGCAAGAGGTCACTGGTTCGATTCCTGTCTCGTCCACTTCTTTTTTAATTTTTTTAAATTTCCTTTGTCATATAGTTACACTAGTCTAATGATTTATTTTTTTAATATCTTTTAGTTTATGATTGTAATTACTGTTTTATTTTAAATCTACTTACTTTAAAGCAAAACTTTTTGTGTCAATATAAGTAGATTCATAATTATGATCTCTATTTCACAGCCGTATGGTAGTTAATTTACTATCAGCTAACACGGTTTATATGCTTACAACAATTTTTGGGGTTAATTGTCCTTCAACTAACCATTACTTCACCATTTTATCTCTTATTGTAATGAAAATATGAAATCCAACTGATAATGTTGGTTAGATCCTTATATCTTAAATTTAAACTTTTGTACAATAATTACGAGAAAGAAATAGAACGATGCTAAAAAAAGATCTGTCGCAACAAAATACTTTTGTCATGACACACTGATTTCGAAGAACCCAAAATTGATCAAACCATAAAAATTTTTAATAACCACTTTAATGTGGGGAGGAGAGTTATTTCTCCTAGTTAATATCATCATTTATAGATATATCTTATTATCACTTATTTATTATCATCCTTACTTAATATCAGCATAGATTAATGTTTTGAAATCACATCTCAAGTCACAACCAAATCATATTGAAAAGCATTTTCTTATCATTAGACTAATAGCATAGGAGTTTTCACTCATGGATTCAGATAAGAATCTAATTAATGACTCCTCAGTCTCTCCTCAGAAGGAGGGAGTGTTATATAGCATAGATCCAGGATCAAGGCGACCGCATGAATATGAATCATCATCAACAACTGCATCATCGTCATCAGATTCACCACCCGTACGATCAAGTTTGTTTCATAAATTATTTCAAAAGGATGAAGATAGAAGTACACCAACTGAAGTTTATAATATAAGAGTTGTTTTCACTGCATTAGCTGCATCGATGGCAGCAATTATCATAGGTTATGATGGAGGTTTCATAGGAGGCACAGTTTCATTACAATCATTTTTACAAGAATTTCAATTAATCGATAATGAAAATTCAACCAATATAATAGCTAATGTTATATCGGTATTCCATGTTGGTTGTTTCTTTGGTGCTTTAATATCATATCCATTTTCATATTATTTAGGTAGGAGACTCTCTTTAATCATTGCATCTGTTTTAATCACTATAGGATCAGGTATCCTGTTAATATCATCACTGAAAAATGGATTGGGACCAATATATGCTGGTAGAGTCATATCAGGGATTTCTGTTGGATTCTCAACTAATTTAACTGTGGTATATATATCTGAGATTTCGCCTCCAGCTATTAGAGGTCAATTAACCAGTTGTTATGAAATTGGATGGAGAATTGGTGATGTAGTTGGATTTTGGATATCATATGGAGTTAATTCTCATATCAGTAATGATTCAAAGTTACAATGGTTTATCCCTTTTGCTATTCAATTAATCCCCAGTGGATTGTTTCTCTTGGGTAGTCTTGTCATTAAGGAATCACCCCGGTGGTTATTTCAAGTGAATAAAGATGAACAAGCCATTAAGAATTTAACTTGGTTAAGGAACTTGCCTGAAGATCATGAATATATCATCTATGAAATCAATCAAATCAAAGAATCTATTGAATATCAAAGAATCAATGTTGGATTAGGTTTATGGGATCCATTCAAAGAAGTCTTTGTTACTAATAGAAAGTTATTAAAACGATTATTAATCACATGTACTTTATTTTTATTTCAAAATTTCTTAGGTATTCAATCAATCAACTATTATTCCCCTATAATCTTTGAAAATCTTGGTATTAAAGGTATGAATGCCACCTTATTCTCCACGGGAATGTTTGGAGTTGTTAAATTTATTTGTACATTTACTTATATCTTATTCATTGTTGATACAGTTGGAAGAAGAAAATCATTTATGTCATCTTCAACGGTATGTTCTATATGTTTCTGGTACATTGGAACTTATCTAAGGGTTAGAGAATCATCATCTATCCCATTAGCAGACCAAAAGGCAGGACCAGCAGGTACATTAGCTGTGGTTTTCATGTATATTTGGATTGCATCATTTATATTAGCATGGTCTGGTGGACCATTTGTGGTTGGAAGTGAAATCTTTGATCAAAATATTCGAGCATTTATTCAAGCTATTAATGCTGCTGTATCTTGGATTCCTATATTTTTAATGGCAAGATTTACAACTCAAATGATTGATTCAATGCATTATGGAATTTATTATTTATTTGCCAGTTTATCAGTTATTTCAATCCCATTTGTCTATTTTTATCTACCAGAAACAAAAGGGATTGCATTAGAAGATATGGATAAACTATTTAATCCTGACTTGAAAGCCAGAGAAGCTCATAAGATTGTATTGAGTCAAGTTAGACAACAGAATAAATTAAATCTACATGATAAGTCGTTATTCAAAATTGACACTAATAAATCGAATAGTATAAAGAATATAGAGAACATAGTTCATTCATGAGTAATACACAAAGACATTTCAATCTAATTTAGGATCTAATACATTGATAATACACGTAGTAAATCAGTCTAAGAACCAATTTAATGACTCATCATACTATAATCTAATTGGATGAAAAAATAAAATAAATGACTGCAATTAAATTTTTTGCTATAATTGTTTTGTCCTGCCTCGCTGTTCCCCCTCCCTAACAAAATTACTCGTAAACACCTCCCGTTTCTCACTAACTCCTTCACTCTAAAAAACTGATTTGTTAGTCTCTAGGCGCGTTTTAAAGCTATGTTTTGTCGCCATTGATTTGTAATAAAGTATGGCTGAAGGATAACTAAGCCAACCAACACAACCATTCAAACCAATGGAACAAGAAAGAAGTTTAAAGTAACCAACCGTGAACCCAAAAATGATGAATAAGCAAATCAAATTGATCATCTACTTTTAAAGATTCAGTTGAGTTTAAGGAGTTCCCAAAGTGTAGAAATCTCTTAATTAGGAATTAGACTAACTTTATTTTATATTAATTTATTTTACACAAAGATATGCGACAATGAAACAACGTTAAATATAAAACCAGTTCTTAGTAATGACTACTAGTATTACTCATCTAGAACTAGTAAATGTAGTGGTTATGCAGGATATGGCTGTGAGTATACGAATTAGGTAGACTATTAAGTGATAATTTTTGTGCAAAAGTTGTAGCAATAGACTGCCACTAGCATATTTTATAGTAACTTGCGAAAATATATGATCATTAGCGGAATTGTAAGTTTAACCAAAAGTGTATAAATAACAGTTGAATTACCCTTCAACTGCAAATTTTGTCTTAATTTTAAACCAATATCATTTACAAATTCAATTTAAATACATATAATAACTATGTCTGATACTTACCAATTAAAGAAAACTGATTCAGCCAATGAATCTGTTTATTCAGTTCAATCAACTATAACTTCTATAAAATCAAAATCTTCCAAGATATTGTCTAGTTTAAGACATTCTAAATCTAAAAAGACTGAAACTGATAGTGCTACTACAGTTGCAACTGTACATCCTACTTTACCTGATGCTGCTAATCCTAAAAGAAGATCAAGTGAATTGAGTGTTACTAGTCAAACTACTAGTCAAAGTGCTGGTCATCAACCTCAAACTGATAGACAAAGAAGAGTTAATGCTACTGCTACTTACTTCTCACTTAGATCTTAGGTTCAAGTTTGGATCCCCTAATAATTTTTTTAAATTTAAAGTGTTACAGTTCATTTATGGTTAGCTGCTAATGGATGCTAAAAATTAGTGTCTAGTGAGAAAGAAATTCTCCCTAACAAAACATTTTGTGTCCTTGGCTTAAGCGTAACACGCTACAAATGTTTAGTATTTTTGTTACACCCATATTTTTTCTTTCTTCTCCTAAATAAACTTTAGATAATACTTCAAATCTTAGGTAGACTGGATCATACTGTCATAAGATAACAATTTTAATAATATATTCAAATGGGTAAATTTTTTATTTTCAATAACTTATTGTAGATGTTTAATTACTGATTTGGGATTATAGATGGGGTGGGGAGCGATATGGAGTCGGTGTACTCTTTTCCCTTCCCTTCCCCGATCAGGATCTTTTCTCCCTATAATCCCTTCCCTGCGCCTTTTCTTCAATTGCGGTCTAATCGGCTGAAAAAAAAATATTTTCAGTATCTCTGTCTCGTTTTATGGGATGATTTAAAATTTAAATTTAGAAATCTAAGTTGCTATTTATATTGGATTTTGATAGCTTTTGATAACGATTCCATTGGCTTAGTATTTTCCTGGCCATCAAAGTTTAAAGCCTAGTGATCAATTGCTCTTTTATGATTTCCATATTTTATTCATCCATCTTATTATACTGCCTTTATATAGATCAACTGTTATAGAAAGTATATGATGTCAAACCCCCCTGAATCAACATTGGTATTTATGGCGGATGATGATTTCCAACCATCATCTCATGAGATACGGAATCATGCCACGGACGAATTAGATCCACTTTCAAATAGTGTTGATCTAGATGAATATTTCATTAAAGAGGTTAATGATCTAGATGAATATGATGAAGATGATGATGAGGACAGCGGAGAATCTCCACAATCATTCGATGGTTCAACAACACCACTTCCAGGTAATATTCAAACAGAAGATGAGATTATCCTGCTTCATAGAAAATTAACTAAAGATGATGCTAATTCAATCGTTGGTGGTGAACAATATAATCAATTTGAATCCCCCATTGAAAGAATCTCATCACCATCGGAACCAGTATTAGGTTCAAGTCCAATTGATATTGGGATTCCATCTCCTCGTAAGGGTAACAAGTCTTCAACTCCATTGTCTCATTCTCAATCTGCTAATACTCCAAGCACAACTTTAAGTCGATTTTTAAGTTCCTCGGGTCCATCATCTCAAAAAGTGTTTTCATTTTCATTACCATTTGGTGGATCATTTTCAAGTTTATATAAACAGATTGGTACTCATATTCCATTGATTCGATCATCATCGATGGAGAATGATGAAGGTTATCAAATCAAATTAAAATTAGAACGTCACCAATCTTTAAGTACTATAGAAGAAGCTAAATACTTTGAGAGACATAAAGGAGCAGATGATAGTAGATTAAGAGCTGTCAAACATAGTTTGGCATCTACCTTATTACCTGATTTCATAAATTCAAACTCAGTATTAACCCCTCCTACCGTGGCTAAAGATTATGAAACTATATTTAATAGAATTGATGGGAATATCGTGATTTTGGGTGGTTATAGAGGTTCGATATTAAGAGATACCAAAACCAATAAAACTGTTTGGATACCCATCAAGGCAGGATTTAACTTAAGAAAGATCAATTTATTATTGGGCCCCACTAGAGAAGATGAAATCAATGCTGCCAAGTATATTTATCCTGATGGAATATTGAAAAATATTGGTCCAATTGATATCTGTAAGAAATTACTTAAACGATTATCATCAAACTCAAAGACAAACGTCAAGGAATTCGGATATGATTGGAGATTAAGTGGAGATTTGATTTCCAAACAATTGGAAAAGTTCTTACAAGATATTTATGATAAGACAGGTAAACCAACTATTGTTATTGGTCATTCTATGGGAGGATTAATGGCTCATGGTGCATTACAAAGAAATCCCAAATTATTTAGAGGTTTACTTTATGTAGGGACTCCATCTGAATGTTTGAATATTTTAGGACCCATAAGATTTGGTGATTCTGTCATCTTATCAGATAAGATTTTAACTTTTGAAAGTAATTTCATGATGAGATCAAGTTTTAATTTCTTACCTTTAAGTGGAAGAGTATTCTTTGACAAAGACACCAATGAACCATATGATTTAGATTTATTTGATCCTGATACTTGGGTTGAATATAATTTAAACCCCTTGGTTGCTAAAAAGAGAAAATTATTAGAAGAAAGTACTATCAATTTGAGTGAGAGTATTAGTAATACAGGGTTTTCATCACCCACAAGTAATAGTTTTTCATTAGCTGCTTCTTCTTACACTCTTCAACCATCAATCAGTAATGATTTACTTCAATTCCCTAGCATATCAAGTATAAGTAATAAAATCAAGAATTATCGACCATTATCGAAAAAGAAAACAAATGATGATAATTCAGGTTCATTAAATTCGCCACCTTTCCAAAGAGGTGGTGATTTTTTAGCAGCTTATGCTTCAAAAAATAGATCATCTAGTTTAACGTCATCATCTCCTACTTTAAGTGATTCAGAAAACACTTTATCAAAAAGCTTATCAACCGAGTTACTTCTTGATAGTAGTGGTAGTGGTAATAATGAAATTCAACATTATTCATTTACATTTTCAGATGCTTATAATTATCTTAAAGAAACTTTAGAAGCAACGAAGGATTATATTTTATCCATGAATTATCGAGAAGAGTTAAACGATGAATATCCACCAATGGCAGTTGTATATGGAAATTCAGTTCCATCTGTAAGAGGATCAAAAGTTAAAGGAATTCAAGATATCAAAGATGGTAATTATTATGAATTTTTTTATGGTCATGGAGATGGTGTAGTTCATCAAAGATGGTTGATGCCAGAAGGGAAAGGTTTCAATTATTTTGATCCTGAATCAGGTAATGGTCATATTGTAGGGAAATTTCCTAGTGATTGTGGTCATGTAAGTTTAATGACGGATTTTAAGGCAATGGGTCAAGGGTTAAATGCTATTTATGAAGCTGATAAAATATGGAAATACAGAAATGGGAAGAAAAAGGGTATGTTTGCAAACCAAAGAGTAAGTGACTGAAAAGTAGTAGTAGTATAGTGTAATTTTAATTATTTATTTATTTATTTATATGGTGTTGTTTTATTATACATTAAAAATTAAAGAGAGATTTTGAATTGTCTGACACACACTAAATCATGTAGTTATCACTTAACATTGAATTTTTTTTATATTAAATAAACAGCCTAGCACAATAGAACTAAAAACATAATCACTAACTAAACTAAACTAAACTAAACTAAATAAATACTGAACTTTGTCAAATAACGTAAATTCACTCGTCTTATACACCCTCATCAGGAATAATTCCTACAGAATGATATATTTCAGGATCAATAGATCCAATATATGCCCTATCACCAAATCCACCCACGAAATAAATTCCTTCAACTTTAAACTTAACCCAATGAGATTTATGTGGACTAATGATTCCATTAGGTAACCACGTACTTGCGTCAGGATGTCTTTTAAGGAAGGAAGTTTCTAATTTGATTAAATCTAAATCAAATGGATTTTTAAATGTCTTATTCACCAATTTCCCTGTCAATTGAATTCTCGGAGATCCAGCAGGAGAATCCTCAATACCACCAGGATATTCAGTATTAACTTGTTCATTACCTGGATGATCTCCGACTCTAATCGTTAATGAATAATCTGATCCCCTGATAATGTTCTGATTGGTGGAACCGATATCGACTAATAATAAATATGGATCACCATCTTCATCGACATCAGCATAATATTCCATTGAGGAAACAGGAATTGATTTCACATCATTCCGATTCAGAATTCTTTTGATGGTATTAATATTGGTTAATGATTCTCGATAAACTAAGGTACGAGCAATAGATGCGGCTTCAATCTCAGTTGGAATTCTTTCACTAATAACCGTTTGTTCTTGATTGATGGCAATTGGTGCCCCCACCACCAAATTGATGAACAATAACAAATTGCCTAATCTCATTCAATCGATGTAAGTTTCTGTTGTATATATAAATATATCTATCTTTCAGACAATGGAAAAGTGTAGTCGTCAACTGTTACAATATTAGATTTAAGGGGTTTTTAAATATTTTTAAATTTTATGTTTTTGTGCCTGCGAAACAAAAAAAAGTCAAATGCCAAAAATCTGTTTCAATCTGACCACTTTAGAATCATCATATTTACATCAAATTTGATCCGAAAGTTTCCAAAAAAGGATCCAAGGTGATAAATAAAGACTCGTAGATATCAAATATAGCAAAAAAAAATGCGCAAACCAGGAATCGAACCAGGGGCCCAACGATGGCAACGTTGGATTTTACCACTAAACCATTTGCGCATTGAAAGAAAAGCTCCGCGACGGGGAATTGAACCCCGGTCTACCATGCGACAAACGGTAATTCTAGCCACTAAACTATCACGGATGTTTTTGTTGAAAAAAAATTTTGCCAGTTTAACAGAATTAGTCAATATCACATGATCAATCACATGATCAATACACTAGGGATTTGCATCCCTAGTGTAGTGGGCACTTACCTCCACCGCAACCACTCGTCAGCGGTTCAAACCGCGCGAGCAGGCATTATTACCGATATAAAGGCAACCATCCCCAGGCTAATTCCCTGGGCTGGAGAGTTTTAGTGAGTAGTGTTCCTTGGAACGAGTCTCACACTATTAGACCTTGATTGGCTAAAGCAGGTCTTTTGTACGTAAATGTATTTCTCTTCAGGTATAGATTTATACAAAAAAAAAAAAAAAAAAAATTTGTTTTTTAAAAAGAATATTTCAAATTTTATAGAATATTAATCAATATAAAAAAAAGGTGGAGTAATATTTTCATTCAATTTAATTCCTTTCTCTCACGGTTGATACCTTCTTCACGGAACGGTTTACGCTACTTTCAAAGCAATTGTCCTTATTGGATTCTAAGTTCAAATTTTATCAGACTCCAAATATGATGAGCTATTATCAAGATGTGTTTTGTAGAATTATAATAATGGACTAAAGCATGGCCTTTAGGACCAAAAACTCATAAGAAAGCACATTGTGGTGTTATCTTGATGTTTATTTAGGTCTAAATCTACTAACATATCTAGGATGAGCAACTATATAAATGTTGTTTACTTACTAATGATTTATATTTTGGTACATTTTACTAACTAGATTAGCAGTGGGGCTAAAAATTAAGATATCATCAAAATAAACGAGATAAACTTATTAAATATGGATCCGAAACTGTATTCATCATTCTTTTAATATATAATAATTATACCTATTATTTTGTTATCCATTTTACCTGTAGAAATTAATTTACTCTCTGATACTCTGATCTTTTTAATGATAAATATCAACCTAGTATGGTTCGACTTTTAAGGGACAAAATAAAATCTTGAGTCTAGATTAATCGATAACAGATGGGAATGAACACATTCTATTTGAAACAAAGATTCGGGTTGTTTAATGCATAAGGTTTGCCCTGCATTTATGGGTTGTTTTAAAAATACGAATAAGCCCATAATTTAAGATATATGAAACAAACCTAAAGATTAGCCTAAGACTAAAAATAAGACAAGATGAGAGAGAGTCATATCCAAAAATCTGACTCAAAAGTATGAATCATTAAACGAATATTTTTAAATGGTGATGTTGAATTAATAAACCCTGTTTCAAAATATGTCTTAATCCTATTTCAATACATACATAAGGCTTATTTTTGTGGGATGTATGGATTAAAATTAATGCATGAAACAGTACGTTGTTCAAATCAACTTTTAAATTTAAATCTAGAAATGAATTGTAGATCACCCATTGACTCAGTCAGTCAGTTTATGATACATACAACAAATTAACTATAGAAATTATAGATAAGGCCATGTCTCAAATTGATTTCGAGAATTTCAAAATATTTTAAACCGTCGAAAAAATATATGGAGAACAAACAATTAACACTTGGCAGGTCTTAAGACTCTAGATGAAGACTAAATGTACAAGTAAAAGTAGAGGAGAATTTTGATTTACATACATAACCAGTCGTGAATAAAGCACCATTCAAGATTAAATGATGAATCATTAAAGAATGAACTCTTGAACCTTTTAAAGGCGGGAGAAACAAATATTTTAAACTTTGGTTATTGCTGTTGGTTGTCACAGGGTCTTTTTTCAGTTTTGAGGATTAAAATGACATACGACGATCGCACAAAATATTTCTTTGTTTCAAATTTGTTACGAAAGACGATGCACAGAAAATTTCATAAGGGTTGCCGAATTAGGCAAAGATAGTTACGTCTTCTATTGTAAAACATTTAAAGGCAACTTAAACAGGAAATGATCATATCTGTCATTATAATATTATTTAGTATGATAGAAGTATATATAAATATATATATTATAATTTGTAGCCGTTTGTAAAAAGTTTTTTTTTTTGTAAACCCTTCGTTAGACTCCACCTTTCAACTTTACAGTTACTAGAATACCCAATAAATTACAATGATTGAAGATACTTATATCTCAGTGAAGCCATATAGGATGTATTACATCAGTGAAACAAATATAACATCACCTCCACCATTCAAATCATCATCCTCATCATTTTCTCGCAAACATAGCCAAACTCATCCATTCTATTGGTTTCATCTCAGTATTATCGAATCTTTAGTATTATTAGGTTCAGTATATCTCACTAATCAATTCCCCATCATAAATTTCACTATAAATCGATTTATAAATGAATTATTAATCTATCCTAATATCATATTATTAGTATTATTAATTATAAATACCATCTTTGATAATATACCTTTTTTCAATAAATGTATGGATATATTTAAATTAATGTTATTTCAATTTTATGTGATATTAATGTTTAATGGTCCATTAAAGAATTTCAATCATGGTATAATCATTACTTCATTAATTAACTTTGTTTATTTTTATCATGATTTAATATTATATCTTCATCAACAACAATCAAATCCAAAACCTTTCACTTATGTTGTTATGGTATGTTTAGGATTAATTAGTTTTTATGAATGTTGGGAACTTTTATTACATTTTTCCAATTTGATTCATTTTAATGTTGGTGAACATGTTATAAGTTATGTGTTTCCATTAAGTATTGTAATCATCATTGTGATTAGTGTATACTTTTCTGATGACGATGAAGAAGATGATGATTATGATCATAATGATCTTGAACGTAAACCATTACTTCAAGTTTAGACTCCAAATATATATTTACACTTTCACATATATTAATACTTAGATATATATACACCACAACTATAGACGTATATTGTTATTATTATGAAATGCACGACTTTTAAATTTTTAAGCTTGTTCAATAGGAGGTAAAAATGCAATTCTTGTAGTAGCTTTCTCTTCAATAGGTAAGATTAATCTAAAAGCATCATGAGTATTTAAATAATATCGATATAATCGTTTAACTTTTAAAAATCCTAAATTTTGATATAAATTAATTGCTTTATCATTTATAACTTCAGTTTCTAACATAATTTCATCAACATTATCCACCTCAATCATTTTTTGAATGGTTAATTTAACTAAACTTTTCCCAATTCCTAATTTTCGAAATTTTGGTTCAATTACAACCATACCAATATATCCTCTCATTCTAACATTTCTATGAGGTTCAACTTTTGATATTATAACTCCAATAATAGTACTATGATCTTTTTCTCGGACAATAATACAATATTGAGGCCAAGTATTTAAAAAATACCAATATACATAAATTGAATATGGTTCTGATAAATGTTCACTTATTAATGAAGATATTTGATTGAATTCATCTTGGCTAGATACATCAAATTGATGATATTCTAAATCATTTATCACGGTGATTAGGGAGTTTGATGTCATATTTTGATTAAGAATATGTTAAATATCATTGATATATAGTTTGAGTATATTGTTCTTCATTCACAGTTGGTACTTGACTTCCACACATATTCATTTCAAACTAAGGCTATAGGATTTTTTTTTCTTTCATACTGACGTTTGGTTGATTTCAAAAAGCTCTGTATAATATGCAGGAAAAGAAACAACTCACTAGAATCGATGTATGGATGTTTTCACTTCGGTATAAATCACATGATGCTTTCACCGTCACAGTTAAAGTTGAAGTCGTGCACAATGGTAAATAAAATTTAAATGTAAATTTGCATCATCGGCTGTACGGTTGTCAGAGAAATAATTAAAGGCACCAAATGGGTGTCATTAAAATCATAAACAATTGTAGTAACAAGAGTATACACAAAACATATAATACTATATCAATTGATCCATGAATGGGAATTGTCAATCGAGAATCCACTCCACTCCCGATATTCTCCACATTCAAAGTTTATATGGTCTAATTCTTGCTCGCATTTGTCATGATTAATATAGGTTTAAAATAGCTTAAATTTGAACTGCCCTTGCTGCCCCACCCTCATACTATCACCCACCCGGCGGTTTTGTATCGGATTCCCACCTCGGCGGTGTGATCACACTAAATACCCCATACTTTTTATAAAACGTGTAAATATATAGTAAACACCTTTTAAACTGAATTAAATTTTTCACTTTTTAGTTACCAAGATGGATCAATTCAATTTGAAAGCAATTTATCAATTGTGGTTAACTATGGGAATATTTCTATATTTACCCCCCCGGATCAATGTGATCCCTCAGAATTTATTTTTATATAGCGGACCGAAACACTGTCAGCTAAAAATCAGACAGACAAAAAAAAAAAAGTCCGATAGCTCTTTAATCGCATAAGGTGATGTGCCTAAGAATTTTACAACCTTAAGCAGAACGACAACTGAAGACTACCCACTTACACTGTAAGTTACATCAAATCAACAGTTGTCAATAGTCAGTAATAATAATAATTATTATCGGTTACGAAACTCCATCTGATCCCATCTGTAATGGACATCAACTGTAGACTTCTCTGATGATTTTATTTATTTATTTATTCTATTTTAATTTAATTACACTAACTAATTAAACCCAAAAAAAAAACACAATTAATTAAATAAAAAAAAAAAATCAAATTAAAATTTACTGGTCGACAAAAATTCGGTATAAATTATTATATAAAGAACTCCTCTTTTGTTCCTCATCATATTTCAATTTTATTTATATCCCTTTTTCCTAATTCTTTTTCCATTTATTTCAATTAATTTTCAATTAAGTCAATTAACTTTTAATTAATTAATCAACTGATCATCTACCAATCACATACTACAATGTCTCCCCCAGCTGTTTTAAAGAAATCCGGTGTCATCTATGGTGATGACGTTAGAGATTTATTCCTTTGGGCTCAAGAAAAAGGATTCGCTATCCCAGCCATCAATGTTACTTCTTCATCAACTGTGGTTGCTTCTTTAGAAGCTGCTAGAGATAACAAATCTCCAATCATCTTACAAACTTCTCAAGGTGGTGCTGCTTACTTTGCTGGTAAAGGGGTTGCCAACAAGAATCAAGAAGCTTCAATTGCTGGTTCTATTGCTGCTGCTCATTATATTAGAGCTATTGCTCCAACTTATGGTATTCCAGTGGTTTTACATACTGATCATTGTGCTCATAAATTATTACCATGGTTTGATGGTATGTTAGCTGAAGATGAAAAATTCTTTAAAGAACATGGTACTCCATTATTTTCTTCTCATATGTTAGATTTATCTGAAGAAACTGATGATGAAAATATTGCTACTTGTGCTAAATATTTCACTAGAATGGCTAAATTAAACCAATGGTTAGAAATGGAAATTGGTATTACTGGTGGTGAAGAAGATGGAGTTAACAATGAACATGTTACTAAAGAATCTCTTTATACTTCTCCAGAAACTGTTTTCAAAGTTCATGAAGCTTTAGCTCCAATTTCTCCAAATTTCTCCATTGCTGCTGCTTTTGGTAATGTTCATGGTGTTTATAAACCAGGTAATGTTCAATTAAAACCAGAAATTTTAGGTGATCATCAAGCTCATGCTAAACAACAACTTGGTTCTAAATCAAACCATCCATTATTCTTAGTTTTCCATGGTGGTTCCGGTTCAACCCAACAAGAATTCGATACTGCTATCAAGAATGGTGTTGTCAAGGTTAATTTAGATACTGATTGTCAATACGCTTACTTGACCGGTATTCGTGATTATGTCTTAACTAAAAAAGATTATATCTTAACTCAAGTTGGTAACCCAGATGGTGAAGATAAACCAAATAAGAAATATTTCGATCCAAGAGTTTGGGTTAGAGAAGGTGAAAAGACTATGAGTGCTAGAATTTCTGAAGCTTTAGAAATCTTTCACACTAAGAATCAATTATAAGTTTTAAAACTTTGATTTTGAGTTGATATATATTCTTTTGATTTTTTAGTCTCTACCTTTTACCTTTTATAATATCTTTTAAAAAATGTTTTAATCTTTCATAATAATATTAACTCTTTTATATATAAATAATATATACATTTATTGAAAACAAAAAGAAGAATTCATTTAAATTGTAGCTTAATTTATAATGATGAGAGTAAGAGATTCTTACAAGATAATCATATGTAATGTAACAATTGATTCTGCCAATAGATAGTTAATATCATAAGATCTCTAAATAGATATAATGAGGTTAAATATTCCTTTGTTTTTAAATCTGAAGTAACTTGAAAAAGCCATCTTGAAATGAGCAAGTAAATTAAAATATAAAATCAGATTAAACTTGATAGAGGATTCTGACTCATATTTGTAGTTTTTAAAAACTTTTTTGGTCGAGAAAGACGGGTGAAACGTAAATTATAAACAGATATACTAGAATTATATATTAAAATTGTGAATCTATCTGAATCTAACACATATAAGCAGACAAACTCCAACCAAATATTACTATTTTTAAGATATAGTACCAATACGCTTATAGCTAGTTATTATTATAAGATCTCTAAATAGATTTGAAAAGTTATGTTAAGCATCACTCTTGTTACAGGGTAAACTATAAGAAATTAAAAACAGGATTTCTTATCATATTTATAGTTCTCTGAGAATTTTACAACACCAATTGCATTTTGAATAAAACTTCTCTATATAAATATATATCAAGGGATTCATATGAGTAAGATCTTATTCTTGTAGAGATCAAAAGCTATATTTTGTTATGCTATGCCACTGTCATTTCCTAAAATTGACTACAAGGAATATTTTTTCAAATTACGATTTTTCGTCTCATATTTATTTTTTTTGCAGCACAGAATATTGTAAAAATGTAAATTACTTTATAATTATCCTAATTATATTATGCAGCTAAAATCTAATGTGAAACTTTAACGTCAAGAATACCTATAACAACTTGTATCTGTTTTATTTAAACTAACCACTTGAACATGTTTAATTCCTACAATATTTAAATAGGAAAGCCAGCGGTGGAGAGAAAATTTTACCTCTCTTCGAAATTGGATTCTATGGAAAGAAAAAGTACACATAAATGCGCTTTTTAGCATAACAGAAATACCCCAAAATTCTTATTTAAAACTTAAATAGTATGTAGAATATTTTACTAACCAAAGTGATATCAAGCTAACATGAGTCAATTACGAGAATTACTTAATTGTAATTTAGCTATTCAATTCTATGAAAAATATGAGGGTTCAGCGCTAAATTTACTTCAAATATCAGACTATGAAGAAATAACCAAGCCTTATGAAGAAGGGTTAGTTGCATTAACTCAATTTCTTAATAATGTGGATATTACGACTGATTTAACACTTAAAAATGAACTTGAAGAAATGTTTGCCCTTTATTTGCATTTTCCTACTGATAATTATAAAGTTATCTTGATTATGGCGTATAAATTTCTCAACTCACACTGTATCTCCAATGACATTTCCGAACAAGAGCTTTCAGAATATTCCGAATATCAAAGCATAATAAGAGAGATATATATGGAAGATATTCGCAAAGTTGACCCCGATTTAGAAAGTGGAATGCGTACTTTGATTGTGTATGGTGGTTTTCTAAAGTTTCATCGAAATGTATGGAACCTTGGTGAAATTGAAATTAATCCTCCCAAACTTGAACTTAGTTCGAGGTCATACGAAAATCTCTGGAAGACATCCCGTCAAGGGCCATATATTGCCAGAGTTGATTTCGTTAAACGATACGGATTCTTTTATCCTATTGTGACAAATCTCAATGATAGATTTTTCCAAACTCACATTGACTTATTGAGTGTTAAAATAGATAGAATTAGATCTTTTCAAGTTCCAGATGACACTAGTCAACCTAGAACAAAAATTCATTTGATCATTAAATTTATCTGTTACTTAAACAGGGTCGTACCTTTGTTCCGATTTCCTCATAGAATTTATTGTGAAAGAAAAAGAGAATTTCCATTAGATATCTTAAAGAATACGATGACAGATATTGATTTAGTAATAGATGTTAAAAATAGACATGTGGTTCCAGCAGTAATTGTAAGAAACAATTTAAAATTTATGTTTGAAAACTTCCAAAAGACAAAGAATTCTAATTTGACAAGTTCAAGTGAATTTATTGGATTGTATCTGGAAGCATTATTGAATTCTATTCTAACTAAATCTAGTCTTTCATTCATTTCAGATGGGAGGTTCTGTATAGCTATCTTATTCAATGTTGATAAGTTGGATAATGAAGATAATATTTAGAATATAAGACGTGTGCCTTGTGAAATTATAACTTTTGATGCTGAACTTCATAAAGTTGGGGTACATTTTTTTATTATAATGGTTGTTATAGTGTATCTAAACGAGTCCGTAATGGATGATGAGAAGTGCGAGGAGTTGAAGAAATCATTGCATGGTGATTGGAAAGTTATCAATAGACGTACAGAGAAACAATATCAAGTATTAGATGAACTTAGTCAATATGTTTCCAAAGTTCAGCAAATATCAATTGACCAAACAATGAAAGATAAAGTTGAAGAGATTGAGAATGAAATATTTGAACAATGGAACATAAGAATCAACTTCAGATTATTGACTAAAGTAATGAGAGTATATAGTTTTAAATTCACTTCCATCAGTGAATTGAAGGTGAAATCAGTTTTAAGTGGTTCAAAACTTTATGAGAACTATTCAACTATATTGGAAACTCATGATGGATGTATTTATAAAGTATTCGACCCAGTAAAATCATTAGGAGGCTCCAGGTTTGATATCAGATATTTCACATTTTATGAAAAGTTGATAATAGCATTTGACACATTTGTAAGAGAATTATCAGTGTATTGTTATTTAGAAGGAAGATTAAAGGAAAAGCCTTCCGTATTAGAAATTGGTTATATATCCAATCCTCGTAAAAAGTATTGCAAGAGATTACCAACTGTAAAGAAAAACATACTGGGAGCTTTTAAATATCCATTAGCTGGATTCTATATCAAGATGACGAAAGTTGAAGGTATTCCATTAGGTAATTCAGATATCACTTGGATGGAAAGACAATTATTGACAGATATTTTTGATAAACTTCACTCCCTCGATGTGATTCATGGTGATGTTCATGGTGAGAATTTTGTTTATGATGAGTCAACTGAATCGATTCTGGTATTGGATTTTGGAAGATCGAATTATAAAGGATTGGAAGATATCGAAGATGAAATCATTGATGATCAACAACTTGAAAGTTTAAAAAGAAGAGATATATCTTATCTCAATAATTTATTTGCAGACCATTGGTGAGGGCATTAGTTCTCAAATATGCAGGACTAAATTTAACTATGATGTAATCTTGTTTCGTAAATTTATCTAGTCATATGCAGGTATTAATGTAACTTTAACTTTAAACTAAATAGTTTGACATTCAAGTTTATGGTAATTGAAGGAAAGTGTTTAAGTAAATAAAATATATTGGGAGAAGAAAGTTCTATAATATAACTTCTATTTGAAATAGTAAAGATTATTAGAGATTTAATTGTACTACAATAACAAAATAATAATAATAACAATAATAATAAAATATAATAATTAAAATATAAATAAATAAAATAAAAATACATACCTTTTTAAAGATAATTATCGAAAAACTAGACGAGTTCGGCTTCAAATTTATTCCTAAAGTAGGCAAATTCATATATAAAACTATTTAAAAGAACGTTTATTAAACTACAACCTACAAGCAAACTACAATTGAAATTATATAAAATATAAAATTGTAAATTAAATGTAATAATAATATACATCTAATGCCTGTATCAGTTATAAATGAAATCCCACATTTCACAGTGTTCACAATGTGGTAGAAGGTTTTAAAAGTCAACATATTATATCCATGAAAAACAACTAGACAAACAAGGGTTAGTTACAAGAATTGATTTGTTCTTGATGATGGGTTATAAATAGATTGGTTAGAACATTCGTAGTAAACCATTATATCCTAAGTTATTTAAACTTTTCAACTAGCCCCAAATTGAATAAATTTCTTGAAAATTTATATATATAGTTAATATAATAATATTCCTAAATAGAATTTGCAGAAATCCTGGTTAAAGTTCATGATTTAACGAATGCTATTGAGGAATAGTTATTAGTTTACTTAGGTAGGGAAGTTATAAGAGAATACAATTTAAGTTTAAGATAGTGATATTGAACTATATTTATATGGAAATAGTTGTTGCAAAACTATCATGGTTCAAACATCAGATGGCTGAAAAAAAGATAATGATGATCCTCATCGTCATTTCGCATCACATAAAAAAAATGACTTTAACATTCCACTATAAAATTATTTTTTAACTAACAAAGTATGATCTATATCACTTTATATCACAGTTATACCAAGACATTGAGATCAATTGATGTATGTCAGGTCAGTGATTTAGAGATTAGAAATGATACTTGCATGCAATAGATCATTGTACATTGTGAATGTCATTGTATAGATGTAAATTGTAGTTCATGACGTCGTTAAAGTATATCGATATGTAAGATGCAAAGGTCAAATTAATCATCTACAAGAGTTACAATATCAAATAATAATAATAATAATAATAAAATATAACTGTATATATTAAATGAATCTCATGCGACTGCCCGTACTTCACTCAATATAATGGATATTACATATATATCTTCTAAAAGATATAGTTAGTATAATGAATTCCTAAATAGTTGTTAATAATTTAAAATGTATGTTGACAAAATATACTTGGTAATTCGATACTCTTTCGAGGAGAAGATAAGCTCTAAATTTGCTTTTGGTTAGTACAATGAATCCTATCCTAAATAGATATTTCATTAGTTAGTCAAATTCTTTCATATAAAACTCTCTGGAATGAGATTATATTGAATATAAGAATTGTGATATCAAATTCAAAGAGAAATTGATATAAATAATAAAAAGTAATTTAAACTTTTCAATGAATCTTTCAAAGGATCAACTTATAAGTTCACATTATGAAGTTGTTGTTGTTGTTTGATTCGATTGGTATGCAGGAACCACCAAATACTATATAGAAATGATAGTTACCACTAATATTAACTCTACTTAATTAAACCCTTTACTAGATCTACAATATCACTAAACGATTCAGAATTGAATATGCATTAAATCTATGTACAAATTGTCCTTTTTTTAATTCTATATACTTAATTAATTCTATTAATCATTAAAAGCATCATTATCATTACAGATATAAATATGTGTTACTTATATTTCCAGCTCCATAGTTGTATAGAACTGATGTTTTATTCTTCTTTAAAGAGTCTTATTCAGAACCACCTTGTTTGATCATAGTCTTCACTTTTTCATAATCAGGCATAATATTATATGGATTCAATCCATTTTTAGTAAACTCTTCTCCAACCAATAGATTAGCCTTAACATATTTCGATACACAACGATCAATACAACTTTGTTCACCAGTATGTAAATCCCCTTCAGCATACTCATGTTTAATGCATTTGGTTTGACATGATGATAAGATCTTATTAAACGTTGATGCTTGAGCTTCAAATTGTATTTGCGCTAATTGTATCTTTCGTTGATCAACTTCCATAACCCCATATTGACCGAGATTCCCTATGAACATTGACATCTTGAATATGTTGTATGTGGTTGTGTATATGTGTATATGAGTGTAGATGTAGAACTAACTGTATCTAGTTGAAGTTGATTCGTTTAAAGTTATATTCTTTTAACGTTTTCGTTGTCGCTGATGGGGGAAGAAAGAATTTTTTTTTAGAGTCTAAAAAAATGTGGAACTGTGAAAAAAAAAAAGTGAGATCTTAGCAGCAGCAGCAGCAAAAATTATATTTAGCAAAAGAAAGAACCATAGTTTATTACAACATCTTAACTAAATCATATCAATTACATCTACAATGCACGTGTTATTAACCAATGATGATGGTCCATTGAACGACAATTCATGTCCATATATCAAATATCTCGTGGATGAAATCAATACTTCCACAAATTGGGATTTATCAATTGTGATCCCCAATCAACAACGATCATGGATTGGTAAAGCTCATTTCGCTGGTAAAACTTTAACCACCAGTTATATTTATACGAAATACAGTACCGATGAACCGAATCCTAATATCAATTCATATATCGGTCCGTTTAAAACTCCAGAACCTAAATATCATTTAAATCGAGATGAATATCAAGAATGGTGTCTTATTGATTCAACTCCAGCTGCTTGTGCTGATATAGGAATTCATTATTTATATAAGAATAGTAAACTGAAACCCATTGATTTAGTTCTTAGTGGTCCTAATTTTGGGAAAAATTCATCCAATCTTTATATTTTGACTAGTGGGACCGTGGGGGCTGCCATGGAAGCTTCAACTCATGGGATTAAATCTATTGCTTTAAGTTATTCATTTAATAGTCTAGATCATGATTTTAAAATCTTAAAGGAAGCAGCTAAGATATCAGTGAAATTAATTGAGAAATTATATCAAAAATTAATCTTGAATCATGATACTATTGATATTTTTTCAGTTAATGTACCATTAATTCCATCTTTAAAATTAGGTACAACAAAGATTCAATATGCTCCTATATTACAAAATAGTTGGCATTCTATATATGAAGAAGATTTGGAATCTATTAATGAACAAGGACAATTACAATTTAAATGGAATCCAGATTTTAAAAAGGTGTATAAAGATGGGTTAAGTGATTTTAATCATACTGATAGTAGAGTGCTATTAAATGAAGGTATCAGTGTTACACCTTTGAAAGCAACTTTCAGGACAGTGGAACCGTTAACTGGTGAAATAGTATTGGATGCAGAAGAAGGTGATGAAAGTAAGGATGACATTGATGTTATAATTGATGATGTTGATGATTTAAAATTATCCACTGTAAAGACATTCATCTTTTTAATCACTATTCCATCCAGTGCTTATATTTTTAAACCATTAGTAGAATCATTTCAAAAGAATTTCCCTTCTATTCAAATAACTACTGATTCGTCTATCTTATTAAAGATTAATAATCATCCTCATTTAAAAGTATTCCATTATGGAGAATATGAAGATTTAGATATCGATCTTATTCAATCTCATCCAAAACAATATTTCATACCATCATATATCTTCAGAAAAGCCTTAATCAGAAAACATTACTTATATAATACCATCCATCATTATGTCACTAAGAATCCCGAATCTGTCTTAAAGGAAGCATTTCCAGAGACTTATAATTTAGAAGTTGATTATGCTGAATTTTTAGATGATTCATTAGATGATGCTTATGAATTACGAGATGAAATCAATAAAGGTGAAAAAGTATGGATCTTAAAACCTAGTATGAGTGATAAAGGTCAAGGAATTCGATTATTTAAGACCATTGATCAATTACAAGAGGTTTTCAATTCATTTGAAGAAGAGGAAGAAGAGGAAGATGACGATGAGGATGAAGATGAAGAAGGGGAAGGACAAGTTCAAGTTCAAGATGAATCTGAACAAGATAATAAACATGATACTGGGATTATTCTTTCTCAATTAAGACATTTTGTGGTTCAAGAATATAAATCATCACCCTTATTATTATCAAATTATGATGATAAGAAATTTCATTTAAGAATATATGTGGTTTGTTCCGGAAATTTAAAAGTATTCGTTTATAAGAATATCTTAACATTATTTGCATCTGCCAAATATCAAGATCCAATCAATGAACCTGAAGATCAAGAAATCCCTTTGGATGGACATTTAACCAATACATGTTTACAAGAAGATGAAGAACCATTAGTAGTTCCATTCTGGTCATTGCAAGGATTAGATGATGCCAGTAAAATCAAAATCTTTGATCAAATCAAATCAATCATTGGAGATTTATATAAAGCAGCATCAACTATTGATAAGATCAATTTCCAACCTTTGGATAATGCAATTGAATTATTTGGTATTGATTGTTTAATCAATGATGATTTATCAGTTAATTTATTAGAAGTTAATTCATATCCTGATTTCAAACAAACCGGGGATGAATTGAAAGGAATAATCTATGAATTGTTTGATAATGTCGTTAAAGATGTGGTTAATCCATTAGTGGACAATAAAAGTAATGAACAACAGACATTAGAAGATGACGAAACTACATTAGTTAAGGTTTTAGATATTTAATAATTAATATTATGTCAGAAAATGACAAAAGATAAAAATATATGACAAAAAAGGAACAATTTTGCGACAACAATAGGACCTTTTACGACAACCAAACAGTCGTGCACTTTTGTTCAAAAAGGTCGACGTTTTTTTTGACATGAAATTTTTTTTTGTTCTGTTCTGTTCTACAGCCATTTTCTTTTAAAGTCACACAGTTTTTAATTTAAACAGTGTAAGAGTTGAAAACTCCATCAAATGCTAACTGACATTATCGTACATTATGACCAATAATTAGTATACCATTTATAACTATTTAATATGTGGATGAATTGTAATGAACTGTAATTGTTGGATTCATCAGTTAATCCTAGTTAAAACCTTCTCTATAGGGTAGATTGGGCTATTTCTTTCTCTATTTAAAGTACGGTACAGAGAGTATCACCAGCAAAGCTAAAAAAGATCGAACGAACGAACGAAAAAAAAAAAAAAAAGAAAAAAAATTCATAAAAACTGAAAACGTATTTTATTTTCAATTCCAAGTTTATAAAACACTATTTTAATTTGAAGAACCATAGCGTAACCGTATATCATATATCCATCATCCATCACTGACATATACTTCCCCTTGATTAGACTAGATCAATCAAAAAAAAAGCATTCATATCAGATCATCCCGACAATATATACCAAACCCCTCTACCCCATCTGAAAATTGGTGACTAAGAATAGTAAAATTATAAATAGAATTATAATAACAATCGATACAATTCCATCATCATAAATCATTTATAACTTCTATTAAATCTTGAAAAAATGTCGACACAACAACGAAAAACATATAAGAATCAACTGAAAAGATTTAATGGATCTGCTTCAGGCGCCACAACATCAACAGAATTAACTAGTTTGATTGAAATGTTTCCTGATTGGGAAGGCGATGAATTACATAGTTTATTATTAGAAAATGATAATCAACCTGAAGTTGTTATTGATTTAATTGTTCATAATAAGGTTAGTAAATGGGAACCTATTAAAAAGGAAAAACAACATAAAAAGAAAGATCAACAAGATAATGAATCAATACAACAATCTTCCAGTCATAATCAAAGTAATAATAGTAATAATAATAATCATAGCATCAATAATAATAACAGTTCAAATAATAACAATAGAAGTTCTGGTAAATATTCAAAAGATGCTAAACCAATTAATAAGAAACCTCCATATAAAAAGACTTCAACTCCAGCGGTAGCAGAAAAATCAACTCCAATTACCTCTACTACATCATCAACTACTACTACTACTACTACTACTACAACTGAGCCAATTCCAACTTCAACTACTAATTCTTGGGCTGCTGCTTTATCTAATGATAAACCAAAACCAAAACCAAAGGTTGCCGCCGCCACTGTCGCTGCTCCTGTCGAATCAGAAAAGAAAAAGGAAGAAGAAGAACCAGTTCCAGAAGTTGAATCTACTACTACTGAAGAATCTAAACCAGTTGAATCTAAACCAGTATTAAAAGAAGCTGCTATTCCAGAACCTCAACAAGGATCTTGGGCTTCTATTATTGCTCCAAAACCAAAACCAAAGGTTGTTAAACCAGTCAGTGCTCCTGCTCCTACTACTACTACTACTGCCACCGAAGAAGCTCCAAAAGTTGAAGCTAAACAAGTTGAAGAACCAGTTGTCGTTGCCGAACCAGAACCAGAAGTTGCTGCTCCAGCTCCAGTTGTTACTGAAGTTGTTGAACAAGTTCAACAAACTGTCACTGAACCAATCTCCGTTGTTCCTCAAGAAACCATTGCTCCAGCTCAAGTTGTTTTACCAACTTCAAGTCAACAACAATTAAATTCTGTTGGTGTTTCATTCGGTTCTTTATCCTTAGGTGATGAAACTGAAACTACCACTGAAGAAGTTAAAGAAGATGATAGTCAAGTTCAACAACAACAAGCTCAACAAACTCAACAACAACAACAAAGATTTGGATTATACAATAATAACAACAACAATAACAGTAACAATCGTTATAATCAAAATGCTTACCAACAACAATCTCAACAATACAACCAAACTAAACAACAACAACAACAATATGATTACTACACTCAATTACAACAACAACAATACCAACAACAAGCTGCTGGTCAACCAGGTGCTCAATTCAGCGGTTACCCAGATTATTCTTACACCAATCAAGTTGGTGCTGCTGTTGGTTCCGGTGTTGCTTCAACTGTTGCTGGTGGTTTAGGTAATTTACAATCTCCTGCTACTTCTCATGTTAATACTCAACAAAGTTATCCATATCAACAAACTCAAGGTTCTCAACCAACTACTAGTTCTAGTACTGATTCCCAATCTCCAGTTGTTAATCCTGCTGTTGCTCAACAATTACAACAACAACAACAACAACTTCCATTTGGTTATCCAAACTACTACAACTATTATTATCAACCTTATTATGGTCAACAAACTGGTGCTGGTGCTTTAGGTCAAACTGGTTACAATCAACAACCAGTTCAACAACAACAAGATTCTCAACCATCATCAAGTGGAACTCAAAGTAATACTACTGCTTCAACTGGTTCAGCTGCTGGAAGTCAAAATGGATTTGGTAATCAACAACAAACCCAACAACAACAAGCTGCTGCTCAAGCTTATTATTATGGTCAAGCTAGTCAATACAGTAATAGATATCCTACTAGTAATTATGGTTATCCACCACAACAACAAGTTGGTGGTCAACAACAAAATGGTGCTACATCTGCTAGTGCTGGTAGTGAAGCCAATGAAGGTCAACAACAACAACAACAAGCTAGTGTTCAAGGTCAACAACAAGGTCAACAACAAGCTGGTGTTCAAGGTCAACAACAACCTCAACAAGCTGGTCAACCACCTGTTCCTCAACAACCTATCCTTCCTCAATTTGGTGGATATCAACAATATCCTCAATATGGTTATCAAGATAATAACTATAGTCGTGGATGGTATTAAAGTTGAAAAATTTTAAAAATAATGACATTTTTTAACTATTATTTGTTGTTTATGTTGTGAGACACAAATTATGTTTTATGTTTTATTCAAAGAGAATTGGATTTAAAGGAATTGTTAAAATTTTTATCTCTATATATTAAAGTGTAAAAAATTTTTTTTTAAAAAAAGAAGAAAAATTAATAATATATGTATATATTAAAAATTGATTATTGAATGTAGATGTTGATATAGTTGTAAGAATGTAGATAGTAAGAGATTAGAATCTACAAATCGTTAAGATAAATTTAACAATATAAAAATTATGTACATTAAAACCTTTCTTTCTGGTCATTTGTGCATATGTCACAATTACTTCCAAACGAAACTCGAAAGACAACTATATAATTGGAATTCGAACAAATGATAGTATGTTATTTCATAAATATATTGTAAGTGAGTAGAATAGTTGGCAAGCTATCACACTTTTAATTTCAAAATCAATTTTGACTATTGGTTAGTAATAAACGTATTGAAACATAAATATACTGTAAAAGTAAGTAAACGACAGGAATTATATATCACAAATAATATGATATTGAGATGATAAGCAATGGTAGAAACAACCAAGCTGGCTATAAAACCTAATATCACTAAACTAATCAATTATTTCAAACGATGGTTGAATCTCTAAATTTGAAAAATGACAATCAGATAAAATTAAAAATGTGGGAATTCTCGCTTTTATTTATAGTTTTTAAAATTATTTGCAGCACCCCCCTTTTCAATTTGAGATTTATTAACACAATTACTTTAAATTTGATAATGTTCATTTAAGAGGTGTAGTTAAAGAGATGATTTATCTTACAAAGGTTTGAAATAAGTTTATATTAATATATATTTTAAATGAAAAATACTTTGAAAGAAATTTCGCCATATGGTTATCAATGAAACATGTTATAATCCTTGGATTCATTAGTATATGAGATCTTATATATAATATACGTCATTAGTAACATAATCTTTAGTTTTATGACTTTGATAAAATCAGTTAAGATTATTTGAAGTCCTTAATAAAATTCTTTGGGTCTTACGGATTCCATATCCTAAAACTCATCGATATAATATGTTAGTAGCAGTTTAGCTTTTCATTCTAAATAAGTATGTAATTGGTTAGTAATGTATATCCACACCATTAGCATAAACTAGAAATCAACTCAGAAATTGGTTAAAACCAAACTCACTTATATAAAATATTATACAGAATTAATGAATTGAGGGAAATCTCCCATCTATTTATACTCTCTAAAATTATTTGCAGCACCGATAAAAAGTGCGATTAAAATTTAGAAATTATTGAATAATGAACTACAAAGAGTATGATTAAAGTACTATTGATAAGCTCTAATATATCATTTGAAAGAGAGCTTACAATGTATTTAAGTAGTTATTACAATATAAATAATTCATATATTAATCATAATCAAAAGTGTTGAAATTCTTTGCTACCGTTTAACTATATGTTATCAATAAAATAGATATGGTGGTAAACTTTTGAATATAGTATTCCTATAACTAAATAGATATGTTAGTATTGTCACAGACTTAGTGATACAATCAAATTATCCAAACTTAGAGAACTCGATTAATTGGAAAAAGTGGATCAAATAAATTAATAGATAAATTAAAGGATATATTAAAGGATGAGGACTTTGAGGATTATTTATAGTTTCTTTAAAATATTTTAATTTTTAGAAGTTAAATTTTTAAATATTAAATATACAGACATTTTATTAAAAGCTCTGTGAATCAGAAACAATATCATGCTTTATCTAATAAAAAGGATTAAAACTATAAAGTAGAAACTAACGCCAACACCATTGCTCTGCAAATAAATTATTGAGATAAGATATATCTCTTCTTTTTAAACTTTCAAGTTGTTGATCATCAATGATTTCATCTTCGATATCTTCCAATCCTTTATAATTCGATCTTCCAAAATCCAATACCAGAATCGATTCAGTTGACTCATCATAAACAAAATTCTCACCATGGACATCACCATGAATCACATCTAGGGAGTGAAGTTTTTCAAAAATATCTGTCAATAATTCTCTTTCCTTGCGAGTGATATCTGAATTACCTAATGGAATACCTTCAACTTTCGTCATCTTGATATAGAATCCAGCTAATGGATATTTAAAAGCTCCCAGTATGTTTTTCTTTACAGTTGGTAATCTCTTGCAATACTTTTTATGAGGATTGGATATATAACCAATTTCTAATATGGTAGGTTTCTCCTTAAATCTTCCTTCTAAGTAAGTATACATTGATACTTCTCTCACAAACATATCAAATGCTATTTTCAACTTTTCATAAAATGTGAAATATTTAATGTCCAATCTGAAACGTGATAATGATTTTACGGGATCGAATACTTTATAAATACATCCATCATGAGTTTCCAATATAGTTGAATAGTTCTCATAAAGTTTTGTACCACTTAAAACTGATTTCACCTTCAATTCACTAATTGAAATAAACCTAAATTCATATGTATTCATTACTTTTGTCAATAATCTGAAGTTGATTCTTATGTTCCATTGTTCAAATATTTCATTCTCAATCTCTTCAACTTTATCATTCATTGTTTGGTCAATTGATATTTGTTGAACTTTGGAAACATATTGACTAAGTTCATCTAATACTTGATATTGTTTCTCTGTACGTCTATTGATAACTTTCCAATCACCATGCAATGATTTCTTTAAATCCTCAAACTTCTCATCATCCACTACTAACTTATCTTCATACTCAAAGAGAACCATTAAGATGAAAAAGCATACTCCCATTTTATGAACTTCAGCATCAAAAGTTATAATTTCACAAGGCACACGTCTTATATTCGAAATATTATCTTCATTATCCAACTTATCAACATTGAATAATATTGCTATACAGAACCTCCCATCTGAAATGAATGAAAGACGAGATTTAGTTAGAATAGAATTCAATAATGCTTCCAGATACAATCCAATAAATTCACTTGAACTTGTCAAATTAGAATTCTTTGTCTTTTGGAAGTTTTCAAACATAAATTTTAAATTGTTTCTTACAATTACTGCTGGGATTGCGCATTTAGATTCAATAAAAATGGTTAAATCCATACCAATCACAGTTTCATTTAAAATATCCAAGGGAAATTCTCTGCGTGTCCTAAAGTAAAGTCTTTCATCACCAAACCAAGTTTCAGCCGATTCTAGATAGTTAATGAATTTATTTATCAAATCTATTTTAGTTTTAGGAGGCCTGACAAAAGACGGACGAGTAGTAGATCTACAATCATCACCTGTCATACTCAACAAATTGATATGATTTTGGAAAAAACTATCATTAAGATGTGTTACTGTGGGATAGAAAAATCCAAATTGTTTAAAGAACTCAACTCTTGGGATATATGGTTTTTGAATTGAAGGTGTATACAAACTGTTTATTGTCATCAAACTTGTTTCCGATGTGGGAGGATTAGTTTCAATTTCTCCAAGATTCCATGAATTTTGATGAAACTTTAAGTAACAACAATCCTCAACGAAATCCAAAACTCTACTATCTGAAATATACTGACCTGATTGCCGCACATGTTTCCAATATATCTCTCTTATTTTTCCTACAAAGTGGCCAAATATTGAAAGTTCATGATCCGAAACATCATTGGAAACACAATGTGAGTTGAGAAATTTATACATCATAATCAATATACCTTTATAATTATCAATTTGAAAATGATGATAACCGGAAAACATCTTTTTAATTTCTTTTCTGAACGTACGATTTGGCTTTACATCCATATGATCAAGAAATCGAATTAATGCAAGTAATCCTTCCCCATAAGGTTTAGATATTTCTTCTCTTTCTGATATTTGAAGTAAGTTTACCGTTGAATCCTTATATTTCTCATAGAATTGAATAATCGAATCAGCATTGAGTAATTCTGGTAATGAACTCATCCTTACTTCCGTGTGTTTCAAGTATTCTATAAAAAAGGTGAGATTTTTAACTTGAGTTGGTTTAAATATTTTATTCTGCATATTTAAGCGCATATAGAGAAACTATAATTTTTGCAATTGCAACATGGAGTCGTGCACGAATCACAATTCTTTTTTTTTATTTAAATTTTTTATATCCAATAATATAAACTATGAATTAGAAACATTATCATTTATCAATGTCTTTCATGGGCCAAACAAACTTGTTTAAGATGTCAGGATTTGTTTCAATTCCATCGTGATTCCTTAATTTTCCATTTCGATAAAACTTTAAATTACAACAATGTTCAATCAATTCAAAAACTCCATCATTTAAACTACATGGATAAATATCAATATTTGCAAGCGAATCTAAAACATACATCTCTACTATAAATGGTTCATAATGGAGATATAATGAAAGTTCGTGATCTGAAACATCATTGGAAACACAATGTGAATTGAGAAATTTATACATCATAATCAAGATAGGTTTATAATTATCGATTTGAAAATGATGATAACCGGAAAACATCTTTTTAATTTCTTTTCTGAAAGCGCGATTTGTATTGATATCCATATGATCAAGAAATTGAGTTAATTCAAGTAAGCCTTGTTCATAAGGTTTAGATATTTCTTCATTTTCCGAAAGCTGTAAAAAGTTTACTGTTGAATGCTTATATTTATCATGAAATTGAATAATCGAATCAGCATTAAGTAATTCTCGTAAAATACTCATCCTAGTAATCTATTTCTAGCACTCAATAAACTATAAAGAAGTAAATTATCAACCTGAATTGGTTCAAATCCTTTTATTTATATCAATATTTTCGTTATGCAAATTGGATTCATTCATTTTATTCTGCTTATTGAAGCGCATTTTGCAATTGCAACAAGAGTCGTGCGCCAATTACAATTCATTTTAGCGGTTAATAATTAAATCTAATAAAGTAATGTAAATTTAATTCAATTCCATAATATGTTATAAACCATCCTAGTACTTCACAAGTACAACATTAATGTTGGGAGAGCCTAAAAGAATACAGATAACGTTAGTGTTGGTATTGGTAGACGTAAACATGAAAAAAAAAAATGAGGAAATTTGATTCTCAATTTATAGTTTTTTAAAATATTTGCAACAAAAAAAAATAAGGGATACAAGGAGGGGAAAAAATCTACACCACTTTGGTATAAACAAGATGATGATATCTATCATCTATTGTAAGTAACCAAAAAGCCAACGTATACATTGAAGTATAAGATGAATATGAATAAAGGAGTTTATATTCACGAAACCTACAAATTTTTTATAAAATATAACAAATACATTTAAAATATAAAGTACCTAGCGAAATCGACGATATTATAGATCCTAGATAGTAATGCATATATATGGACCTAAATAGACAATTGTAATTAATAAATAATCCAACTATGAGATCTAACAGGAAATCCTTAGACAGAAATAAATTAAGGATCTATCATTAAAAGTTCAGGTAATTTCAGGATATCTTTCGCTTTATTTATACTTTTTTTAAAAAAAGGATATTTTGAGGAGTTCAACATAAAGTTTGAAAAATGGTAATTGTTGAAATTGTAGAACCGTAGTCAGAGATTCAAGAGTCAAATGAAAGTAGAAACACAAGAGATAAATCCTTTGACAACTATAACAACTCTACAATGAATCATTAGATTAAATAGTAGTATAAATATATTAAATAATATACATAAGAATATAAATTAAGGGACGACTAAGAAATGATCTTCTTCATGAAAGCTTAAAACGTGTTGGTTAGTATATATGATCTAAATGCCTAGAAAGATTATTTGTTAGCTGTCTGAAGGATACAACACTAAAGATTTGGGACATTGAGGAATTATGAAAAGAAATCCTTGATTTATAAATTAAGGAAATATTTCCTTCTATTTATAATGTGGCAATAAAAGGGGTCAAAATAATAATTAGAAGGGGTAAAACCTTTGTTTGGAGGATATTTTCAATTTACTACTTTATAATATCTTAATGATTATTAATGATGATGATTTCTACAATGATTATAATAAAGAATAAAGATATAATAAAATGTACAATAAAATCAAAGCTTCAGTATTATCCTAAAAAAAATAAACTTCCCTAGATGAATGAATTAGTAACAAAGAATACCTAGATAGATCATAACTATACCAATAATAGCTTCTTTCAAACAAGTCTTCACAAAATTATTTCATGTAATCGTTATAATGATAAATAAATGGTTCCACGAATTGAATTGAATCATATATATATATATATTTATATAATTGTTTGATCTTTTCCTCTCCTCTTTTTAAAACAAATCTCTCCTTACACTTACACGCTCAACTACAATCATTATTTTATAGTATAAAATTTCATATACCGCTTCAGGGACGAAGTTTCTACATTTCTACAATCAAATCAAATCAAATGAAATGTAATATAATATAATATAATATAATGAATTGTTTAATATAATCAAACTAAATCATGTAAATTGTTAGTAGTCAGTTGTTCTTGTCGTTTTGGAATCAGATTGTAAATATCAAATTCAAATCTTTACATCTTAAGGTAAAAATTCTCACAGATAATACACACCAGTGTCGATGTTCTCCAGATTCAAAAAATATTATTAATAATTGAAATTTCAGTATTGATTAGTAACAAATAGACGTAAATAGACTATCAAGAGGCAGTTAGGCACCCAGATTGATAGATTTAACCAGATCGCCAAACATATTTGCCCGTCGTTGGAATTAAAACTTCACCTAAGAAATGAAATAAAGAAATGAATGAATAATATTTATAAATTATGAGATCATTATTGAATTAACCGTCATTTTAAAAAATTATCTAACTACAAATCAAATAAATTAATCATAAAATAAATTGTATATTAAATATTTATCGAATATGGTCTTTTCAGTAAAAGAACTAAGTTCCTGGGATTTTACTTATTGAAAGAATATATCGACGATCCTAAATAAGTTAATAAATTCAAAAATCTAAATAGAAAATATTGATAAATAAATAGAAAGTATCGAGAAATTACACCCTAAAAACAACCTCGAAATGGCATTTCTTGTTTATTGAAATTATTATTATTTTTGAAAGGGGATTATTCAGTCTTATTTATAGTTTTAGTTGGGTGTGTAAAAAGGGATAAACAGTAAAAAGTGATGTAGATCATACATGGTATAGATCCGAGATCTTATAGTTCTAAATAAAATCTGATCAATCACTTTCAATCTACAAATCTACAATATCAAACTTTGATAAATTATAAATAATTGTACATTAGGGTAACTAGACATATTTAACATTAGTAACCAAGTTTACTCATATAATCAACTTTATTAAACAAAAGCTTTAAACATTTATACGTACAATCCACTAGAGATATCATCAAATATATTTTTTAGCAAAGGAGCGATGTTACTTCATTGACTTCGGTATTTCGACTATATTTTAGTTAGTAATGTTCAGATATTCTAAATAGATGTTAGATATGTATTTATATCAATACAGTTGATTCATTAAAAGAAACAAATATCAAGCATTTTATTTAAAAGGGAAATTAATGATATTTATATACTCCCTGTTATTTATTTAAAACACACACACACACACACACACAAAATTTATTTTTTTAGTTTCATATTGTTATACCATTGATTAACTATCGCTTCTACATTCATTTCAAATAATTGCTAATCATATAAATATGTTTATTATAAATAAAAGCTAAAAGATTAAAATATAGTTAGCATTAAATGTAAACTATCAGAAAAACATTTTATTGACTTTGGACTTAGTCGAATCGCTAAAACTGAACCTAAATTAGTTAGTAATATCTCTTAATGCCTAAATAGATAGATATAGTTAGCCATAGCCAAAGTTATTTTCATTGATTTTTCAAGAACTAAAATTTCAAAAGTAGAAGATAATAAACAAAATTAAAAAAATTTAATAAATAATTTTAAGATATTCCCTACTATTTATACTCTGTGTAAAAACATGAATGATGGTTAAAAAAATATCTTAATTGTTTCAGCTTTGATTAAGAGATTGAAAGTAAAATGAATCTACATTGATTTCAAAATAATATAATATATAAAAATTGTATAATTAAAGAAATCATTGCTAAACGAAGATATAGTTAGTATGGATTTGTGAATATCAATTAATTAAAAAAAAAGCATACATACAAAAATATCCATAATTAGACATATCACATGGAGATATCTTCAGAGATAACATACTAATCACTAAGGGAGTTAATAAAAGCAGTTAGCCTAAATAGACATGTGAATGTTAGTAATAAATATATACAAAATATTTGACCCGGTGAGATGTAAAGTAGATAATGACAAACTAAATTCAGAATTGATTTTTGAAAAATGTTTAAGGGGAATTTTATCATCTATTTATATTAAGGAGAGTGAAATTATTTTTTAGTTTCAGATTTCTTTTTGTTTATTTAAAAAATAATGATTATGTATCACTTTTTTAAAATGCAAAGATTACCAAAAGGTGGTTTCCTTAGATTGACTTATGATAGATGTAGTACTCAAGCGGATTCTCAGTTAGCGAGATGATTGTTATTCCTTACCCCTTTGTTATTGACCAGTGCTCAAAACCCCTAGTTGCAAAAATCCGATCAACTTTTCACTTTGTGGCTCACTCATACTATGAAACCCTGATTCAATAGATATATATATTTAATTGGGTACTTGAAATAAAGCTGAAATAAACAATCACTGAATGCAACAAGTTACAACGAATCAGAATCAGAATCGATTCACTCCAACTATGCAACATATAAAATAAATCAAATTAAAGAGCATGTCTAATATTTGAATTTGGAGATCTGTAACTATTATAACTTGGAGGAACATAATTTGAATATATTTTCTCTATCACTTTGATTCCCACATGCACCCAAAGTCGTTCTTGAAAACATTGATTGTAAATCACAAAGGATCAAGGATAAAATGGTAAACTTGATTTTAACAGCTTGGTTGATATGTTGATGAACTATAAGATTCAAACTTAGAATTGGCAATATATAATCTTATATTGATGAAATAAGAGTGGAAAAAAGTAAAAAGAGTAAAGAATATAACGTGATTGCCTTTATCCTTGTCGATCCACATAAGAACTATAGGGGCCCCCCCTGGGGCTCCTACTACAGATCGTTCCATCATCAAAGGTTTAAAAAAAATCATTACTAAAAATAAGTGTTGCCAAAAATAGTATGGAGTAAAAAAATGAAACTATTTCAACCATGGTTTGGGATCAATCATTATAGCTTAAACCAGTTTAAGTGATCATGTTTAAGTTGATATTTTGAAAGTTTATAGTAATGATTTAAACATAAAACGGTGTGTCACATGTTGAATTTAAGTATCTAAACTTGTGATACATCAGTATATTTTACTTCCATCAAAAAAAGATCTCTCTAAAAAGTTTTATTGATCACTTGTAGATATAGAAAGGTGATTCATAAAAGGAATCTACAATAATAGTAAAGGTAAATAAATTTAAAATATATATTAAATATCAGACATGAATTCACAATCTATCAGAAGTAAAAATGAATTTTATTTCCACAAACCAAACAAAAATGATCTATAATTAGTTAGTAATATATGATCTTAAATAGAATTTAATGTTAAGTTTCAATTTGAAAGGCTTTACATTATAATGCAATATATAAAAGGTAAGTTATCTTTAACATTTATAAAGACTTTTTTTAAAAATCAAGGGAATCAAGTGGTGTTTTTATATACTTTTGAAATTTTGATAATTTTCTTTCGTTTGGTTCAGAATGTGTAAATTTGACAACAAAAATTAAAAACAAATCAAGCTTAATATTCATAAGAGAAGTAATATCGAATCTACAAGTGTATTAAAAGATTAAATATATAAAAGTTGTATAATAAACTCTAAACAGAATGATTTTATTTGTTAGTAATTGATGGAATTAAGATATCATTTACCAAACCTATATGATACTTTATTGATTCATTTATACATACTAAAGATCTTCATAAACTACATATAAGTCATGGGGATATACACGCAGGCAAACTTTCTTATATGATTGACTTCGGTCGAATGTATCAAGCTTACCACAGAGGTTTAAACTATTTGGTTAGTAATATTTTGATTCATAAATAGATTAAAAGAATGTAAGTAACTGAAAAAGAACGAGTATATTTCATAGATTTCGGGCTACCGAAAATACTTAATTCAAATTTTTAGAAACTGAATTGATTGATTTGAAGGAATATTTTGATCTATTTATACTTTAAAAGTTTAGGGGGTGAAACAAATATTTTTTTTTTTTAGAAAAATGTAAATAAATAAAATATGCAAGTTATTAAAGATAAAAGGGGGATTTACAACTAACAACATAAGATCTATTCCAATGGAAGAGAGATTATAATCAAACATTACTTACAATGAATACATTGACATCATGGAGATCAATAAATCAACTATTCAATGACGCTGATGATGATAAATTAATTCAAATTAGAGGGTAATTACTTTATTTTTTGTTAGATCATTGTTTCAGATTTATGTAGTCATTATATAAGATCCTTTTAATAAAAGGGTTTTAGTCGGGGTTTATATGCAGTAGATCTTAACGCGTGACTAATCACATGATTAAACGATATTATATATTGCGGTATGGATGTTTCCCATACAATTGTTTAATTAATTTAATATTAGATTAAAATTAATCATTTTAATTTATATAATAAATAATTAAATAAATTTAAATTTAATTAAATGTATATATATGTATAGATAAGTTTTATCATCATAGATTAGGATTAAACTATTATAGCCAAAAATTATAATTATTTAACTATTATAGAAATTGTTGATTGTTGATAAAATCTCATGATAAAATTTAAATAGTAAAAACGTGTGGGAAGTATAGAAATAATTTTATTGTGGGGTGTTAAGTTAACATAACTATGTAAAGTGTAAAATTATGTATGTACTATTAAATACTCATTTTGGAGAGTAAATTTCATCACTAAAACAATTAATAAATTAATATTGCTGGTTACAATTTTATATTTAACCCGCCTGAGTAAATTTTATCATTAACAAAAAATCAAAAAAGGAGCAACCCACCACCACCAAAAAAAAAAACTTACTACGCTCGCTCCTCCTTTAATAATTGTTATATATATATATTATTACCATTACCATACTAAATTTAACTACTAGTTACTCTTTTTCTCTCTCTCACTGTTTTTTTTAATACACTATAAATTTTTACTACTACTCACAGTAATTAATTAATTAGTATGTATAATGTTTAACCTGTCGCACAAACATCAATCAAGCATCCATCCACACCATCTTTAATCATCAATCAATTCCATCAATTCCAATCATCCCATCAATCATATACATCATGTTCTCCTCCTCAATTGCCACTCCTTTTCAAAATTCAATTTTACAAATTTATTAGTGCTTCTCTATCTATCTATCTAGGTTTAACTTACTAACTATATTGGATTGCGAAAAAAAACAAATTGATTCAAATGAACCAATTCTATTGATGAAATAGTTTCAACGCAACCAATAACTACCCACCATTCAATTCAATTGATCATTAGTGAAGTTCAACTCGACAAGATTTTTGAATACTCCCAAAAAAATTGGAAAATTTGGGTTCAATTGAATTTAAAGTGGGAAATTTAATAATACCCTATAATGAAAAAAAAAGGAACGAGTGAGTGAGAGAGCCAGCCAAAAATATATTAAGCACTTTATTTTTACTACTACTTTGAAAACAATCCACAAAACGGAAACTAACAGAGAGAAGAAAAGACAGAAAAGGACTTTAAATTTCAACCAGACAAAAAGTAATAGGAGTGGAGAACAACAGAAAAAAGATGAGTGTGTGGTCCACGTTATATACAGGACGATAACGGAATATGAAGGTGGATGTTTGGATGTTTTGCTATGAGAGGGAATTTTAGAAGCAAATTTGAATGGTACAAAGACGCGCTATTATTTTTTTAACCTGTAAATATTTTCAAAGGAATTTTACATTTTAGAAATTTTTATAGTGGTTGTTGTGATTTTGTATGTATTTATATTTTGTTGGTAATATGATATGAATTTCTCTCATATCTATCCATACAAATATATATATATATTTAATACCCTTTCATTAATTTTGCTTTCTATTTCTTTCCTTTCTTCTTTCTTCTTTTTCTTTTTTGAAACTTTATAACTAACATTAATTTTATTATTATAGTTAATAACAACAATGGCTCCATCCGAAAAAAGAAAAACCACCAGAAAGAAGAAGGATCCAGCTGCTCCAAAGAGATCCCTTTCTGCTTACATGTTCTTTGCTAATGAAAACAGAGATATTGTTAGAGCTGAAAACCCAGGTATTTCATTTGGTCAAGTTGGTAAATTATTAGGTGAAAGATGGAAGGCTTTAACTGGTGATGACAAAGTTCCTTATGAAAATAAAGCTGATCAAGATAAAAAAAGATATGAGAAGGAAAAAGCTGAATATGCTAAAAGAAATGGTAATTAAGTATGAAGGATTGATTGTTTAACATCTCCCCTTTTTTCACTTTACTGCTGGTTCAATAATTTTATGTTGTATATTATTATAATCTTTTAGTCTTTTTATTATTTGTGTGTTTTGTCTGTCTTATTCTTTTATAAAATCATCAAAAATGTATTTGAACTATGGAACTTGTTTCTATAGTTTGATGATTTCATGATTATTATTAGTATTATTTTGTTTTAGTTTATATTAATAATTTGTTTTATTATTCTATATTTCATTTTATTATTATTACATTATGTTTTATTATCACCAAAAATCAATTAAAGATCAAAATGTAGAATTAACTTTGAGTTTGTTGTTGTTGATTGTTTGTTTTGATGATTGCAAAAATGTGGCATTGACCAATTTTTTGACATCATGGTTATATGCAGGCAAGTTGAATAATGATAATTTTCCAATTGTGCCCGGATTAATATGGGATTTATCTGATTATAACCTTTAATTTTGAATTCAGTAAACTTTAGCATAACTTTCAACAATGTCGACAGAATTACCATTGGTTTATTATAACGACGATAAGAAATCATTTGCTTATCCTACTATTCATAGTAGATGGCCTAAAATCATTCAAGGTGCCATTAATGATGTTCAAACTGTGATTAATGAAAATTCTAACCTTGAATCATCAGGAAATGTGATTGTTAGTCAATTGAAGGCATTATTAAAATCTTTCAAAGATGATGAATTGGTTCGTCCATTCACTGAAGAAGAAATCACCAACTCTAAAGAAGACTTGAAATCTTACAATCAATTATTAATCAAACATGATGCTATCAAAGTTAAACATTTCAATCAACATATAACTTGGCAAAATGGTCCTTGGTTATTACTTGAATGTTACTTGTATCAGTATTTGAATAACATCATCATTGGCCAAGGATCCATTGAGAAGTATTGGACTTCATTTGATATTTTCAAAGCTTTGAAGGATAGCACGTTCCAACAATCTGAATTTGGTGTATTGGAACTCTTAAATAAGTATTATAAACTTTCTACTGAATTGAATGCTTCAACTAAGGAAATTGGATCAGAAGAGAAGTTTTTATTATTTAAAGATTTCATTGATGTATCGTTATGGGGTAATGCTACTGATTTATCATTATTAGCTGGGAATATTACTTTAGAGGATATTAAATCTTTACAAGGTGATGAAATTAGAAAACAAAATGAAAAGAATATCCTTGTCAATGATATTTCATCCGCTTGGGAACATTTGAAAATCAATAAACATAAAAGAATCGATATTGTTTTGGATAATTCTGGTTTTGAATTATATTCTGATTTAATCTTGGCTCTTTTCTTATTAGATTTTAAGATTGTTTCAACTATCGTCTTACATTGTAAGACTATTCCATGGTTTGTAAGTGATACTAGAGTCGTTGATGTTCATACTATCTTCAGTCAGTTGAAAGATGAATCATTTTTCCCTCAAATTCATCAAGAACATCCTGAACAAATTAAATATTTAAATCAAAGGTTAGCCGATGTAGTTAAAGATGGACAACTTAAATTCGATGATCATGAATATTGGACTCTTGGTGATAGTTATTGGGATTTATCAAGCAATCCAATTGCCAAGTCATTATACGAAGAACTTTTACATAATTCAAGTTTAATCATCTTTAAAGGAGATTTAAATTATAGAAAATTAACTGGTGATTTACAATGGGATAAGACTACTCCTTTCAAAGTTGCATTACAACAATTAGCTTCAGAATCAAAGTTACCCGTCTTATCATTAAGAACTTGTAAAGCTGATGTGGTGGTTGGTTTACCTCAAGGTATAAATGAATCATTGATTAAGTTATATAAAGAACAAGGTAATGAAATTGGTGAATTCTGGTCTTCAAGTGGTAAATGGGCTGTGATCTCCTTCTCTGATGGTAAGTAAGGTTATGATGATCCACCATTCTTTCTCAACTAATGCTACGGCCAACTACTACTTTTATAGATTGATTTAAATATATTGGTGGTACCAGTACTACTTATCTAAAAACTAATTTACATACAATATATACAATAATCTTCTTCTTTTTCCATTAAATAACTAACCAAAAACAAAAAAACACAAACATAACCCTTACTCACCAGCTCTACGAGCATTACATGCAACAATCTTAAACTTATCAACATTAATCTCACTATCAATACTATTATTAGCACTTGCCCCTTCAGAACTTATATCATTCAACTTAATGGTAACATTCTTAATGATGAATGTCCAAACATCATCACAGAAATTGTACGTTGATAACACTCCCTTGAATGATAACTTTGACTTAGCTATGTTGGCTTCTAATTTTAAATTATCAGAAATAATTCTATCAAAGTTATTTAAAATAGTATTGGCTAATTGAGGTTGAATCTTTTCATCTGATATAAGAGTATCTAAGGAATCTGCTAAAGTCACACCGATAGTTGATCTTCTGTATAATTCATAATAAGCAGCGTTGTTCATGATGGTTGGATGGGAATGGTTATGGATATGGATAAAGAGTTGATAGTTATAATTATTAATGACTTTCTTTTTCAGTTTCTTCTTTTTATGCTTCAAACAACTTTTGGAAAAATTCAGACTGCATATAATTTGATCAGTGATATTTTTTTTATTATGGCTAAATTTTTATCATCAATATGGGTGATAGGAGGATTAAGCAGCCAAAGGAAAGGATAGTATAACTTGGACAATGACAGATTTGACAGTGTCACAGAGGTATAGAGTCAATATACGATCATTCAGAGGTCTTCAGAAATCATCTCTTCGTAAGGACTCAGCTCAATTTCAAACTGAATTACATAAATTATTAACAGAATTCAAATTAATCAAATTGATCATCAATCAATTATCCTTATTCAATGATGATAATGATGATGGAGAATCGATTAAAGAAGTTAATACTAATTACTTACCATTCTTAAACATCGATTACTACCTTGGAAGTTTATATCAAGATTATTATCAAAATGAAGATGCTAAAGGGAAAGTTGGATCAGAATATGTTGATCCTATAGAAAATAAGGTTGATAATTTGAATAAATCGAAATTTAGTTTCCTCAATTATTTACAATTATTGAATGGATATAAATTATTAAATGAGGATCAACAACAAAAGTTAAAAGCATATATTAAAGGTGATGATATGGGTTATAATCCTGTGATAAGTCGTCAAGAAAAGATTGATAATTTCAAATTAGAACAAGGTTTAAATAAGAAATTAACTATCCTTGATGATTATTATGATAAGAATATGGATGATAATGATGTTGAAGATGAATCAGTGTTTGAAAAATTCGATGAAGATATCATAAAACAAATCTATTTGGATCAAATTTCATTATTCACTTTACATACCTTTAATAATCTCAGTAATATAACGATGGAACTTACAGTATTAAGTAATAGAAATCCATTACCAAGTCAACCAACACCACCAAATAGTAAACAAGAACAAGATGATGAGTTTGGATATACTACTAAATTGGAATCCTTACCATTTTCAAAACCTGCTATAACAGAATTACTTTCAAAGCAAGGAAAAATCTTACAACCATTCACCATCACTTCTAATCGTCAACAGATCAAAAATAAAGTATTCGGTACAGGTCAAGTCTTGCCGTCGATGACAGTTGAAGAATATTTAGATTATGAATTGGCTAATGGGAAAATGATGAAAGATGAAGTCAAAGATGTAAGTAAAGAAGATGACGAAGACCAATATGATTCAGAAGAGGAAATCAAAGAAAGAAATTGGGATGATTGGAAAGATGACAATCCTAAAGGTGCTGGAAATTCAAAAGCTAATATCGGTTAATAATGTACAAAGTCTATAATGTATGTATATATGTATTTAATGCAAATAATTCTAAAAAACTATATAATCACATTCACTTCTAATTCTAATTCTCTTAACCATTCGTAATATTCAATCTTTAATTCATCCAAAGTTATGATTTGATTATCTTTAGATGATTGCGGATTCACTTTAAGTAACCATTTATCATCATTATCTTCAAAACTCTTTAAACAATTAATGATTATAATATATAATTCCAATACTTTTAATTTGAATTGTTTGACATCTTCATTGGAATTAATGATTAATTGTTGTTGTTTGAAACGAGATATAAAGTAGTATAATGCCTCGATTGATCCTCTCTTATCACTTAATTGATCGTAGGTTAATTGCTTAGAGGATCCAAATAATCTCCATGAGTAAACATATTGATATAATTTAAGTGAATTACTAAGTAATCTTTCATTATTAGCCAATGAGATTAATATTTCATCAATGAGTAAATAATTCTTGACGTATAATGTATTTTCATTAGTCGATGAAGGGAAGAGTTTGGAAATAGATTGATTGGTTATTAACTTGATGATATATCTCTTGAATAATTCTTGATATTTGGATGATTCAATTTGTAAATTATTCAAACTTTCGTAACATTGATCATAGTTGGAAATAATTAAGGATAATTCAAATAAGTTGATATAGTATTCATTTAATCTATTTTGATGTAATAATTGATCAGTAACAGTCTTGAGATTTTCAATCGCCATTTTTTCAAAATCAATAGCCACATTAATCAAATCAGTTTCAACTTTAGTGGTTTTACTACTTTGTTGATACTTCAAAACATTAGCTTGCGATTTAGATAATTCTGACAAAGAATGGAAATAATTTGATTTCTTTAAAGTTTGGTTGGTTTCTTCTTCCTTAGTGAACACTGATTCTAAGAATAACTTAATATTATCAACTTTACTCAAAGATTTATAAATCTTATCTTGTTCTCTAGCTCCAAACTTATTAAATTCAAATGCTTCAAATGTTTTAAAGATCTGATAGAATTCATCCACTTCATTATTAATAAGATAGATCAATCCAATTAAGAAACGATCAATATTTCTGGACATCTTTAATTGTTTAAAGAATGATTGTTTAATAAATGCCCCTTCGTTTCTATTCAATAAATCAAGAATTACATCAACCATAATCTCTTCATTGTTTTCAGTAAATAATTGACCGAAATAATAATCAAAACTTTCATTAAAAGTGGATTTGGTAGAAATTAAAGAATTCAATTTCACATCTTTATCAACAATACCAGACCAAAATAATGAATTTTCAATAGAATTTAAATCATTGGTTTCAAGAGATGTACTGGTAGAACTGAAACTTGTATCAAATATGAATTCAATCAAGTTATATGATTTTAATTTCTTGATGATTTTATTCAAGAGGACTAAAATTTCATCATTGGTATCACAAATTATGAATAAGATTAATAAATTCAATAAGATTATCTCATGTTCATTCTTAATGTTTTTAAACGAAATGATTGTAAATAATCTCTTGATGATGGATAAATGATTGGAGTCCTTGTAATTATAGTTCAATGCATTAGTATCAATATTTTCAAAATCTTCTAATGATCCATCAATTAATAAATTAATTAAATCAATGACTTTTGGAATACTGGCTAATTTTTCCATTAAATTGACTACTTCAGATTGTGAAAGTTTACTACCAATGTATCCATCAAACTCTTCAATTTCAGTTTCTGTTATAGTTGTGATATTTTTAATTCTATTTTGAATCTTGGTATAGGTTTTAATTGATATTAATTTATTCAATTGTGTTAGGATTTCCACTAATTGACCTTCAGGAGTTTCAGGAGATTCAAATTGGAAACTTTCATAGTAATGCGATGGTCTAATTAATCCCAAACCATTGACTTGCAAGACTAAATAATTATTATCTTCTTTAGTTAAACTTAAACTTAATGCTTCTTCACTTGATTTTTTAAATTCTTCACATAATAAAGCCAATTGAAACCAGTAAAATTTATGATCTTGAATGTTCTTCTTTGCATTATTGAACGTATCATTGATTAATTGTCTTATGGAATGATTATGATTATTAAAATCAATGAATTCCAATCCAAGATGATTTCTGACCAAGTTCAATGAAGTAGATACTGTAAGTAAATCATAACGACCTGAGTTTAAAATCATATTTGAATAATAGTCATTGGTATGGATAGGTGAAAATTCTTGAAATGCTTTATCTTCACTATCATTTGACCAATTTATAGATGAAACTGCCCCTGAAATCAGATTGATTATATAAGTGACAAATACTGAGGAAGTATTTGATTTCCATAAGACGTGATACTTGACTTGATCATTGATGAATTGTGTTTGATAATCTTGAATGAACCAAAGATTATTGTTATTATTGTTTAAAAGAGAACTTGGAAGTTCAGGTTGGAATGAAAGTGGTTCAACCGTATTTAAATCGGTATTATCAACATTAAAGTTCCATGATTTAAATACAAATCTACTTTTGTTATCAGATTCGATTTCTTTATCAGAATTAGTAGTGTAATATAACGTTAATAATAATGATTGATCGTCGTTTTGATTTGATAAAACTTGTAAATATTTAGTTGGAATTGATGTTAACCAAGATGATATATCTTGAATCTCAGTTAAATGAATGATAGAATCATTAATTAATTGATGATTCTTTAATGACCATAGTTTAACAGTCTTAGATACTGTTAATGTTGCGATAACTGATGAACTTAATTTAATGGTATCCACAATCGAGTTAGATGAAATACCAGCTAAAGTAATTTCTTTTCTTACATCACTCTTTTTATTCTTATCACCACCAAATAAACCACCAAAGATATTCAATGGTAACATTGATACTGATTCAGTAAAGTTATACACTTCAAAATCAGATAAAATCGATTTGGACCCATTTCTCTTAAAATGTAATAATCCACCATCTTTTAATGAAACAATTAAATTTGAAGAATCGATACTCTTCAATAGATATGGATTAGATCTTAATTCAAATGAATATGGCACTGATATATTACCCCATTTCTTAAAGTTATTCAATAAGAATTTAAACTTTGATGATTCAGTAATGATGAAATCATCTAATGCTATTCTTAAAGTTATGAACAAATAACTTTCATCAATCAAATCAATGATCAAATGAGAATTCCCATCATCTTGTCCATCTTGATTCAATGTTATACAGAGACATTTAGGAGATATGATGGAATGAGGTAATTGTATAGATATGTTTTGAAATTTAAAATCAAAGTTATTAGGCTTTGAATTGATAGGAGTTAATGTGATTGTCTTTGAATCATTCAATAAATCATAAGAAATATGATCAATGTATGATTTAGTATGAGATAAGTTGATGATGTTACCAGTGTTGGATAACTTATTGTGGAACTCTTCACTCGGTATTATCTCTGTCTTTGTTGATGTTGTTGTTGTTGCGGTTGGTGAATACTGCAAAGGTAAGGTTATAACTTGAGTTGGCAAATGTTGCTTGTACCCAACCACATTCGACACTGAGTAGAACGACACCGTCATCTTCCCTCTCTCTGATTATTCAATTGGACTCTTACAACTCTTTCGTTGATGGATTGCAATGACCTTTGTTTACAGTCAAATCTTGTATTTTCAGTCAAATTTTTCTTTTTTGGTTGAACGAAAATTTCTGGCAGCACCAAAAAAAAAAGGCAGCCAAAATGAACTAAACTTAGTTATCCTGACGGTTGTCATAACAGAAGACAAGATCAAGTACAAGTCATGTCATCAGTGGTGTATTACAAGTTCTTACATCAGAAGAACAAGTCAGTGATCTATTTTGATGGAACTGCCATAACGGTATTTGATTTGAAACGAGACATTATACTACAGAATCAACTTGGAAGTGGTCATGATTTTAATTTAAGATTATATCATTCTGAACAACCAGAGGTTGAATATGAATTGGATCAAGATTCTATACCAAGATCATCATATGTTTTGGCAAAGCGATCACCTGCCATTGCAAAAGCTGGTAGAGCTGCTAATGCTTCCAGATATATTACTGGTAAACCAAGAGTAAATAGAAGAGTTATTAATACTACCAATACCAATAATTCAGCTGCTTTAGCAGCTTCTGCCAATAATACAACTACTGATATAGCGTTGGATGATACTATATCTGAAGCTGATAAGATTAAATTAATCCTTGAAAAGCAATCTGCTTCATGGACTCAAACTCAAGATGAATTGGCTACTCATAAGATGGTGTATAATAGACCATCAGCAACTTCAGGTAAACCAGAAGATGCTCCTCCTCCAGGTTATATTTGTTATCGTTGTGGTAAGAAGGATCATTGGATTAAGAATTGTCCTACTAATAATGATCCTAACTTTGAAGGTAAGAAGATTTTAAGAACCACTGGTATTCCTCGTTCATATTTAAAAACCATTAGTAAAGAACAATTTGAAAAACAAAAGGAATCAAGTGAAGTATCTACCAATGATAATGGTGATTTGGTTGATAAAGATGGTCAAGCTATTTTAATTACTGATGAAGGTGAATATGCCGTGGCAGTGGCTGATAGTAAAACATGGATTACTTATCAAGAAAAACAACAAAATGCAGCTCTTAAAGCAAGACAAGAATTTGATGCTAAAATTATAGAAGCAATTGAACAAGATAAAAAGTATGAATTCTTGGATCCATTAATTAATCCTAATAATGAAAGAGTTAAACGATATTTAAAGAATCCTATTGTTATGACTCCTTGTTGTCAAGATAAATCTAGATTACAAAAATTAACTAATTTCAATTATAATCAAACTGAGTTAGAACAAGTATTAATTGAAAATGATTTCCATTGTCCAAATTGTGGTACAGAAGATATTTATATTGATGATTTAATTCCAAATAAGTCATTAGAAGAAGAATTAGCAGAGTATATTAAAGGAGTAGAGGCTAAATTAGGGGTTGAGAACCCATTAAAAAGACCTGCACCAGGTGATGAAGAGAATGGAGAAGGAGACGATTCTAAGATTCAAAAGTTGGATTTACCAGTAAGACCAAATGTTTTTACACCCACACCAGTACCAATACCAGGTCAACCACCAATGGGATTACCTATACCTCCATTTGGTATGCCACCAATACCCATGCCAATGCCAGGTATGCCAATACCAGGTATGCCTATGTATATGCCACCACCACCTCCTGGTATGCCATTATCATTCCCTCCTCAACCTCCTCAGAACAGTAATAATAATGGTAATGGTCATGTACAATAGTTAAGACAACATAGTATATAAATGAATGTATATATAATAGGTAAATGATAATAGTTTAATGTAAAAACTTTAAATAATTAACTTATAATTGCAATTGTAGTATAACTATACCTATTTAGTTGTTGCAAATATGTAAAAGTTACCCGGATCTCCAACCTTCTCTTAAGAAAAAAAATTTTCGTTGTCTGTTCACGATTGAAATTTTTATGAACCTTTTTTAACTATTACTTCTTCTTCTTCTTCTTCTTCTTTACTGTTAGTATGGATATGATGATGATTAGTTGAATGGTTAGTGAATCAATCATTACAGTTCGATTGCGTTTCATCACGATGAATGTATAAAATGTATGTATAAATCAATCAAAACTATCCATCCCTTTAAAGAATCAAGTCTCTCCCACAATTTACCAACAACAACAACAACTTCATAAGGTCATTCAATATAACAATGATATATTAACACGATGAATCAAATTTTAAAATTTTCAAACTAGAGTTTGTGACTATTAGGAATGATCTCAATTTTTTTGTACTGATCTTTATTTATTATTGTTATTTTATTTGATGACTTTTATAGGACTTGATATTCTTGGGATATCGTTATGACAAGAGATATACTAACTGTTTTTTTGTTTAGTGAATTTTCATTGATTGGTGATCTTACTACCTATGATTTCATCTCATTTAAAATAGTATGTTTACAATTTATCTAGGGTTACATCTATATAACTTGAAGTCCAATCCATTTTTAAATATTTTTATGATGACTTAACAAAAACAAAGCTGGAATTACTGGCTGAAACTCTATGATTGACAAGTTTTTGCAAAATTCTCTGATCACTTTATTTCACAAATGGATTATGATTCATAGTTTATGTTTGTATCCTTCAATGATATGATTTGAAGAATATTTCTTACTAACTTAAAAAATAGGTATGTACATTTAATATCAATTCAACATGTATTCTAATCAATTCATCATTAGTGGATTTAATATGAGGAACTATTGCACTGGGCACTGAATAATTTTATGAGTGACAACGCATTTTATGGTAGGCCTCAGAAACCTACCGTTACTGATATTTTTGGTTTAGATTGAATATTAGAATAATCAATGTTATGGTTTAATTGAGTTTTTCGGTTTTACTAACAAATTATAACTAGTCAATATCATTTCAAAGAGTTTTTTTTAACTTTTAATAAGTGTCAAAATTGTATGTATAATAACAACTTGATTAAGAATATGATAAAGAGAAAGTTTCAAAACATTTTCAAGATGATCTTCAAGATGACGAGTCAGAATTTCGGGATTCCCGTTGATGACAACACTTTTTTTATACCATTCATGCCTTTCTGAATAATAGTTGTAAAGCAAGCTTTTTCTTGTTATATTCGTTTTTAAAATTAAAATTGAATTAGTTTTTACTAACATCTAGAAGACAATAAGAAAAGATGAACTTCTTTGGCTGAAAGGATTCAGCAGATCTTTGATATACGAAAGAACAATGATAAACGAGAAGATAATGATAATGAAGATGTTGGAGATGATGATGATGATGATCTAATATCATATATATAAAAGATGAAGTTGAAAAAAAAAGACAAGCATATGTCCGAGATTTTCTAAGAAGATAAACTTTTTCACGTCTGATATGTATAAGTGATTGATTGATTCGTTTTATTCAGATCATTTATTTATTAATTGTTTAATCATATTGTTGTTTATTTGTTGTATCAAGGATCTTGTAGGTTGCTTTGATTATGTGAGAACAAAGAGTATAAGATGAATTATGTTTATGAGGATTTAATTTTCCACTACTATCTAGTATAAGAGGTTTTTATATACCCTGATATCAACTAACTAACTAACTACAACTATTACCAATTTTGGATATTTGAAAGTTAAATGATGACTTCACCACATTTATCACGACGGTCTACTGTGTTTTGGGACTGTTAATCCCTTTACTTTGATGATAATATTTGGCCTTGACCGGCCGTGGTTCCTGATATGACTTTCATTGTTCCATTTTTTATTTGATTAGTTTTAGTTTTAGTGTTTGATATCGAGAGTTTCTAATGAAATGTCTTATATCTTAGTAGTGGATTATTGAATTTTCATAATAAAATTCTTTCATTTATTACTTCTAGTTCATTGGAAGATGTATGTATATATGCTTTTTCAACCATTCTATTCGATACTGTCACTTATTAACCAATATAAATGATGTTCTATAGAATATTTCTTCGAGATTTAATTCGATGAAGCTAAAACAAAACCGATTTGCATGTCAGTCTGATTCTATATTTGGAAGTGTTGTATTGAGTAGAATGGATCTTACCTGTTACACTTAATACTAACATAATAACTAGATACATAAATAGTAATAGTAATATATAAACTTCTACATACTTTTTTGCAATAATTGTATATACGGCTCTGAATTTAAAAAGAAATTTTAAGATGAGAGTGAGGCTTTAATTTTTACGACCACTAAACTGTAATGGATTAATTGGACGATCATCATTGACATATTCCTTCTTCTTGTTCTACGTTTACTATCTGGTGGGTCTTATTGTCGTTCTGGTTGTAACAGTAGCGAAGTTGGACACATCATAACGTATCATACCAGAAGAGGTAGGATGAGTTTTTCTCCATTTAATCATCATAATTCATCTAAAAAGAGTTCATCTTCAAATCATAATGATAACGATAAGCATAATCATGGATCATCATCATCTACTCATCCTCCAGTAGATGATCCACCTCCTTATTCCTCCTTATCAAGATCATCATCTACTATAAGTTCTAACAATGATTCCAAGAGTCCTTTCTTTTATAATTTGATACCTCCAAGTACAACTTCATTAGCTGAAAGTGGATCATCATCTTTACCATCTGGATCATCATCATCCTTAACATCTGCATCTACTGTAACTCATAAACCAAAGGCAAGAAATGTCCCTTATAGACCTTCAGAAGAACAACAAAAACAAATTGATTTATTAACAGCTAAAGGACCAGCTAAAATCCCCAATTTACGTACAGTGACATCTACTACTCAAACTGATTATTTTGATGTTTTACCATCATTTCAAATGTTTCAATCGATCTTAAGAAGGGATGATAATCAATTCAATGAGAATTTATCCATTAGACCTCCTGAATATGGTGATACTAATAATTCATCACCTACTCCACCTCCACATTTATCACCTCGAAATTCATCTACTCAAATAGATGGGGTATTAGGTGAAGTTTCTGAACGATTGAATGAATATGGATTAAATGAAGATCATGATGATGAAGAAGAAGAAGAATACTTGTTCGAAGGAAATGATGATAATGCTACAAGACAAAACAATCATGAACGTCATCCTCATCATTCCAGTTCAAGATCACAAAGTCGTCATCAAAGTAGAAGTCAACAACGGTCTCGTACTCCAGCGGGAGAACCTAGTCATGATCATGAACATCATCATAGTAATATCACTTATGATAATCATGGTCATTCCCCCTTGGATAATATTGATAAATTACCTAAATTGAATAAATCACCCATTGATATTCAAATCTTTGTCACTAAGAAAGTCCCAGAACCGCATACTAATAATGAATTAGAAACGAGATTGAAAGAATATACTAGTGGAGATATGGTTAATGGATATATTATAATCACCAATAAATCAGATAAACCGGTTAATTTTGGTTTATTCACGGTATCATTAGAAGGGACAGTTAAAGAAGCAGAACGAAATCTTGATATCCATTCGATTGATTCGAATCGATTTAATAAGATTCTTATGAAGAAATTTTTAAAAATGTATGATTTAAATGCATCTTATGGATATACTCATATTCCTAGTAGTGCTGGAGTTGAATATGAACAATATACTATTGATTCAAGTGATGGATGTCAATTTGGATTACCTAATGAACGTGTCTTACAACCTTTTAAAAAGTATAAGAAATTCTTTACGTTTAAATTCCCGGAAAAGTTATTAGATAATTCATGTATGCATGCTTTAATTCCTCATATTTTACCTCCACCCTCGATGGGATTTGATAGAACTAGTTTCTTTAATAAAGGTGATTCGATTCAATTGAATAAAGCTTTAGGATATGGATTTTTGAATGTGAAAGGTACACCATTAATCACCAGAGATTATAGTTTTGAAGATGTTAGTGTGAGTTATACTATTGAAGCTAAATTCATTGATAAATTGAATTCAAATGATAATCTGCCTTTATCACCCGATGAAATTAATGATCCTGAAAATCCAGATGCAAATAAATATGTGATTTCAAGAAGTAATCAATATTTCGTAAGATTTATTCCTGATTTAAGAGAACAATTCCAATATTATAATTTAGGATTTCAATATAGTCCTGATTCATTTGCTAAATCTGGGATTGATGGGAAATTATTCTTGGATTATATACATTTAACAACCTGGAAGAATATTAATTTAGAGAATTTTCAAATTGAACAAGAAATTGATTTAAGATTAAGTAGAGAAGAAATGACGAATGAAGATATCAAACATAAGAATTTAATTCTTGATAATAGTGATTTAACAAGAAAGAGATCCCAAAAGATATCCAAGAAGCATCAAGCATATCAAGAATTACAACGAATTGATTATCATAATGAAGAAGAAGAAAAACAAGAACAAAAATTTTATCAAGAACAATATATGATTGGAACCAAAATCCCGACTCAAGTTTATGGTAAGAAGAAGAAAATGATCTTATCATCATTAGTTAAGATTGGTGATTCGAAATTATATGTCAAAGTTCCTCATAAGATCTTGCCCTATGGATCACCGAGATTATTACAGAAATATAATGGTACATTAGAAGAAGACGCTGGAAGTAATCATATATCACCAAGTATTTCAAATACGTTAGAACCAGTTAGTAGTCATATGTCTGAACTTTATAATCGTGATGAGAATGATAATATTTCATCGATTGATATTAGTGTAATTTTCAATGCGTTAGGTAATGATGCTACTATTAAACCACCTCAAATCAGTTATATTGAAGTTAATGTGATCTATTGGTCATATTATACTGAATACCCCTTACCGTTTGAATTAAATTATGATTTCTTTTATACTAATCCTGAAGAAGATGATAAAAAACATAATGACTATGTTGAAATTACAAGAAAGAATTTACAAGGATTGAAAGATCAAGTAGGGAATTATATTCAATTTTTAAAATCAAATCAGAAATTCGTATCTAAGAATAGTTATCTTTATCTTAAATCGATTAAATCATTAGGGATTAAGAAAGATACCATTAAAGAGTATTATAAGACTATAACTCCTCAAAGTCATCCTGATATCTTAGGAAATGATTCCTGGTCAAAAGCTAATCATACTAAATTCGTTAAAGATTTAACCATCCCATTGATCCCCATTAATAAAAACAATGTGACGTTATTGCCTAGTTTTCAAAATTGTTTAGTAGGGAGAATCTATTGTTTACAAGTGGTGGTTAAATATAAGGGTAATGGAGGTAATGAACAGAATGAATTTGCTGATAATATAATTAAAGTAGATATCCCAATTTTAGTGGGGTAGAAGAGCAATTAACGAAGTATATAGTGTATATATTTGGACTCTGTAATATTATTTAGAATTAGAAATAGACAAGAATAAATTAGAAAGTGTGGTGGTTCTTTAGGTCTAGACACTTGAGTGTCGTGGGTCCATAGGCGTGTAACAAATTTTTCAAAATGAAAAATGAGTCATTCCTAATTAGGCAATTCAAAATGAGGAAAATTAAAATTAACCGCGATTCGCTATCTGAGACAGTTCAGTTGCAGACAGAAAAATTTTCATCCACTTTCCCATCCATCCATCCAATTAATTAATTAGTTAATACTTAATTTAATAGAGTGAAAATTCCTTTAGTTTGACTTTTTCTTATTAGTTTTCATTATCATTAAGTTGTTCTTTATTCCCAGTGTCTAGATCTCGTTGAACTGAATTGATCAAAAATTCATCCTATAGACATCATAACTAATAACAATAATGCTTAATATCTTTAAATCACAAGGAACCAAAATAGGTAAGATTCCAACCACTTATGTTAGATTCTTAGCTACTCAAGGTAAATTCGTCAACAAGACTTCACAATTAGATAGAGCCACATTAACCATCAAAGATGGACCAATTTTCAATGGTTATTCATTTGGAGCTAATAAAAATGTAAGTGGAGAAGCGGTATTCACTACTTCATTAGTAGGATATCCTGAATCTATGACTGATCCATCATATAAGGGACAAATTTTATGTTTCACTCAACCATTGATTGGGAATTATGGGGTACCATCTGCTACTCAAAAGGATCAATTTAATTTATTGAAATATATGGAAAGTTCTCAAGTTCAATGTATTGGTATTGTGGTTGCTGATGTGGCTTTAGAATACAGTCATTGGACTGCGGTTGAATCATTACAACAATGGTGTCAAAGATCAGGTGTGGCTGCTATTTCTGGAGTTGACACTAGACAATTAGTTAGTTATTTAAGAGAAAGAGGTTCATCATTAGGTAGAATCACGATTGGTGAAGAATATGATGCTGATGAAGATGCTGCTTTTGATGATCCTGGTTCGATTAATTTAGTTCATAAAGTCACTACCAAGGCTCCCTTCCATATTAGTTGTCCTGCTGAACATTCTAAAAACATTCATATTGCTGTTATTGATTGTGGAGCAAAAGAAAATATTTTAAGATGTTTAGTTGAAAGAGGAGCATCATTAACTGTTTTCCCATATAATTATCCAATTGATAAGATTGCTAATAAATTCGATGGAATTTTTATTTCCAATGGTCCAGGTGATCCAACTCATTGTTCAGTAACTACTGAAAATTTAAAGAAAACAATGAATAAATATGAAGATTTACCAATCTTTGGTATTTGTTTAGGTCATCAATTATTAGCTTTAGCTAGTGGAGCTAAAACTATTAAATTAAAATATGGTAATAGAGCTCATAATATCCCTGCTTTAGATTTAATCACTGGTAAATGTCATATCACATCACAAAATCATGGATATGCCGTTGATATTGATAGTTTAGATAAGAGTGAATGGGAACCATATTTCACTAATTTAAATGATTTAAGTAATGAAGGTATGATTCATAAACATAAACCAATCTTTTCTACTCAATTCCATCCTGAAGCTAAGGGAGGTCCATTAGATACTGCGTTTTTATTTGATAAATTCTTTAAAAATATTGAAACTTATAGATCAAACAATGGATTAAATTTGATTAATATTGATAATAGTTTATTAGTGGATATCTTACCAAAGGAAAGAGTGGTATAAAAGAGAGTCCGATAGGATGTATAACTGATGAGGTCTATGCTATACTATACTATATCCTAGCAAATCAGAAGGGAGTAAAATAAAAATTATATAAAAGCTAATATTTTCTTTTTCTATTAATTAATAAATAATGTTGAACTTAAACGATAAGGTAAGGTAAGGTAAGGGAAGAGAAGATTGTAGATCAAGGTACGAAGGAGTGGAGTGTAATGAATGAGTGAATGAATGCAGAGCAGTTGTCATCATATGTTTATAAATCGTTAAAGAATATATCTATCGATATATATATATCATGATGATGATGATGATGAACTGGTCGTATAACTCGTGTACATCGTATAAGAGAAAGTAAAAAGTAAAAAGTAAATAGTATTCATCGTTTCCGTCGTATAGACATTTTTACAAACTTACCATTTACATGCTAACTATAGAAATGAAGGAATAATAACTAATAAATAATGAGCTGGGCTAGGCAAGGTGTAAGTAGAAAAAAATCACACCATAATAGAAATAAATCAAAATGGGCCACAAAATAGAATTGTTTTTTTTTTAAACTGCAAAAAATGGTATGAGGTTTTTTATACGATGTAGGGGTTTGAACATATTTATATAAATATAAATACTGATCTAATTAATGAAAGAAATAGAATACTCAAACGCGTATACTACTTCCTCATACTTAAGAACCATCTTCATTCCTTCAATTATGGATAGTTTATTTGAAAAAGTATCTTCACTCCATTATCTCTTAGAAGATAATGGTAATCAATTCATAAATAATACCTATAGTGGAAGTTATTTTGAAATATTCCATCAATTACAAACGTTAAAAGCCGAACCTAGTTCGATTGTATCCAATTTACAATTAAATACTTTAGAACAATTATGGGCTAGTTGGTATATATATATTAATAATGATATTTTAGGTACGGGATTATTATTTTTTTTAACTCATGAAATAATGTATTTTGGAAGATGTTTACCATGGTTTATAATTGATCAAATTCCTTATTTTAATAGATGGAAGATCCAACCTACTAAGATTCCAACTAATAAAGAACAATGGGAATGTTTTAAATCAGTATTAAAATCTCATTTATTAGTTGAAGCATTACCAATTTGGTTATTTCATCCATTATGTGCAAAATTAAATATTTCTATTACAGTACCATTCCCATCATTTTCAATTATGTTAATGCAATTAGGGATTTTTTTCTTTTTTGAAGATATGTGGCATTATTGGTTTCATAGATTATTTCATTTTGGATGGTTTTATAAGAATATTCATAAGATTCATCATAAATATGCTGCACCATTTGGATTTGCAGCTGAATATGCTCATCCTGCTGAAGTTATGGCATTAGGAATTGGTACTGTGGGATTTCCAATCTTATATGCTTATTTAGCTACTAAACATGATATACCAAGTTTACATTTATTTACTTTAACATGTTGGATTGTATTAAGATTATTTCAAGCAGTTGATTCTCATTCAGGATATGATTTCCCATGGTCATTAAATAAAATCTTACCATTTTGGGCAGGAGCTGAACATCATGATGATCATCATCATTATTTCATTGGCAATTATGCTAGTTCATTTAGATGGTTTGATTATTGTCTTAATACTGAAAGTGGAACTCTTTTTAAACAAAGAAGAGAAATTAATATGAAAGCAAAGGCCGAAAGAAAATTACAGTAGTTGTAGCTTAATGTCTTTCATAATATTTTAACGATTTAACCAATATAATACTTATATTCATCTATATAATAAATAATATAATATACCATTACATAATACATATACCATTTACATATACACATTAACTATTAACTATTAACAGTTGGTTGGTTGGTTGGTTGCAATATATAGACACAAACAGTGTACTTCCTAATTAGGCGATGGTTCTTTTCTCATCCTTTTAGGGTTCCAGACCTCTTCACGTGATCGATTCACGTGATGCATATTTAACGTTGAAAAAAAAATTTATTTTCCATTTTCAGTGCGAACCATTTTTTCGTCACTCATAGTTAAGAAATTAACTATGGCAGTCTCCATAGTTAAGACATCTCTCATAGTAAAATTGTATACTGTAGACAGACAGACAGAGGAAGAAAAAAAATTATCAAAAATAAATTTTATTCTATTTCACATATTTCATACTTCATATACAGTTTGGATATCAACAGTAAAGAGTATGTTATATCATTATATTACGTGGTATGAGTAATGTGGATGTATTAAAGTATCAGTTCAAATCAACCCAGAAGTTATTATGAAGAAGTAGGACATAGTATGAAAGATAACAGTATCAATCAATCAATCAATTAATGAAAAATTTCAATCAGCTCGAACCAATATATATCAATAATGATTAAATATCAATATAACCAGGGGATTTCAAGTAGTTTGATATGTCATTAAGTAGATGTCATATCCTTTACTATCATTTATTTAATCATCAAGATCATCCATCAAGATTATGTGTATATATATTTACATTTCATATAACAAGTGAAAATTACTCCATCATCAACAATTTATTCATCTCATCATGAAATAGAAGTCATTCAAGTCATATCTCATTCAATCCAAGTGAACTACCCCTACTACTATATATCATCTCCATCCTTCAACTATTAAAAATTTTCAATCATCATCACCCACCCACCATCAAAATCTATCATACCTTAATACACCCCCCTCCATATTACTATCACCTTAACCTAAAAACACTATACTAACTTAACCTTTTATAGAAATCAACCATGTCTAGATTAAACGAATATCAAGTTATCGGTCGTCGTTTACCAACCGATTCTATTCCAGAACCAAAATTATACAGAATGAGAATTTTTGCTCCAAATGTTGTTGTTGCTAAATCTCGTTATTGGTATTTCTTACAAAAATTACATAAAGTTAAAAAGGCTTCTGGTGAAATTGTTTCAGTTAATGTTATTGCTGAAGCTCATCCAACCAAAGTTAAAAACTTTGGTGTTTGGATCAGATATGAATCAAGATCAGGTATCCATAACATGTATAAAGAATACAGAGATGTTACTAGAGTTGGTGCTGTTGAAACTATGTACCAAGATTTAGCTGCTAGACATAGAGCTAGATTTAGAAATATCCATATTTTAAAAGTTGTTGAATTAGAAAAAACTGATGATATTAGAAGACAATATGTTAAACAATTCTTATCAAAAGATTTAAAATTCCCATTACCTCACAGAGTTCAAAAATCAAAGACTTTATACCAATCTCATACTCCAACCACTTTCTACTAAGCTAATTAGTATGAAATGTTGTTTGTTTGAATTCCAGGTATAGTTTTTAGTTTGTCATAAACAGGGGAGTATCACCTTTTGGGTCAATTCCATCTTACATTTGTATATATAAAATACTGATGGAATGTCTCAAATAGGAGTCTGATACCTCCATTCATTCACTCCAATCCATCCCTTCACCCTCACCCAACCATCCAATCCAATCCATCTTTAATATATAATTTATATAAAAATTTTTAAAAAAATATCTTTTTGTTATATATATATATACTTTTCCTAAAAATTTCATATATGTATACTTTGTTTATCCGTTAGAAGTTGTAGTTCCCCTTCCCCGTAGTTGTTCATAATCAGATGTTAATTTGGTTCGTTGATATTGATCCTCCAAATATTGTCGACAGCTAAAGTGCGAGAAATAAGATAACCAAAATCACCATCACCATCAACATATTCTTCTTCTTACCATCTTCAATTGTCTCACGTTGAATCATGTCATTCGGGTCCAAAGCTGCTCAAAGATTAGCCAACAAAACCATCCTTATCACTGGAGCTTCAGCTGGGATTGGGAAAGCCACCGCTTATGAATTTGCTGATGCATCTCATGGTGAAATTAAATTAATCTTAACTGCTAGAAGATTAGATAAATTACAACTCATCAAAGATGATTTAATAAAAACTTACCCTGCCATCAAAGTTCATATTGTTACTTTGGATGTATCGAAATTATCCACCATTGCACCCTTTGTAACTTCCTTACCTTCTGAATTCAGTGATATTGACGTATTGGTGAATAATGCCGGTTTAGCCCTTGGAAGAGATCCCGTAGGGGATATTTTACCACAAGATATTGAACAAATGTTTCAAACTAATGTATTTGGATTAATCACATTAACGCAAACTATCTTACCTCATTTCAAATCGAAAAATTCAGGTGATATTGTTAATTTAGGTTCAATCGCAGGGAGAGATCCATATCCTGGTGGAGCTATTTATTGTGCTACGAAATCAGCCGTTAAATCATTCAGTCATGTCTTAAGAAAAGAATTAATCAATACTAAGATTAGAGTATTGGAAGTTGATCCTGGGAATGTCGAGACGGAATTCTCAATTACAAGATTTAAAGGAGATGTTTCAAAAGCTAACGATGTTTATAAAGGTACTGAACCATTAATTGCTGAAGATATTGCTGAAATTATCGTGTTTGGAGTATCAAGAAATCAAAATACCGTCATTGCTGAAACGTTGGTGTTTGCTACTAATCAAGCATCTGCCAGTCATTTATATAGAAATGAATAAATTACTTATCTACTTAATGTATATTATTCATACTGGTTGTTCGTCGTAGTAGTTAATTCTAAAGCTCCACACTTTTTTTTATGATCCCCCAAAAATTAATTATTATCACCAAAAATATGTCAAAAAAACGAAATTTCAAAATGAAGGATTATCCCAATCATCATCATTTCTTCACTCAATTGAATTGATATCACGATACTTTCCAATTGAACAGTCAACATCATCATCATGTCATTTGGTAAGAAAGCTGCTGAAAGATTAGCCAACAAAATCATCTTAATCACCGGTGCATCATCCGGGATTGGTGAAGCAACCGCTCGAGAATTCGCTGAAGCTTCCAATGGTAAAATCAAATTAATCTTAACTGCCAGAAGATTCGATAGATTGACTAGTTTAAGTGAATCTTTAATCAAACAATATCCTGATATAAAAATCCATTCTGCTAAATTAGATGTCACCGTCAAAGAATCTATCAAACCTTTCCTTTCTAGTTTACCTCATGAATTCGCTGATATTGATGTTTTAATCAATAATGCTGGGAAAGCATTAGGTAAAGCCAATGTAGGATCTATTGAAGATGAAGATATCGATGGAATGTTTCAAACTAATGTACTTGGTTTGATTCATATTACTCAAGCTGTTTTACCAATTTTTAAAGCTAAGGATTCAGGTGATATTGTTAATATTGGTTCTATCGCTGGTAGAGATCCTTATCCTGGTGGTGCTATTTATTGTGCTACTAAATCAGCTGTTAAATTCTTTAGTCATTCATTAAGAAAAGAATTAATTAATACCAAGATTAGAGTTTTGGAAGTTGATCCTGGTGCTGTTTTAACTGAATTTTCATTAGTTAGATTCAAAGGTGATTCTGATGCTGCTGATGCCGTTTATAAAGGTACTCAACCTTTAGGTCCTGAAGATATTGCGGAATCGATTGTATTTGGAGTTTCAAGAAGACAAAATACCGTCATTGCTGAAACTTTGGTCTTCCCTCAACATCAAGCTTCTGCTAGTCATGTTTATAAATCATCTTAACCTTTTTACAGATAAATAAATAAAAATGAATAAATAAATAATTTATTTTCTATTACCTCCGATTATAAATACTCTATATATATTCTTTCCCTCTAAAAACTTAATTGTTCTAATGTCTTTGTAAGTTTGGCAGCTCCATCAACTGCCACATTATTATCGATATTAACTTTTGGTCGATTCATTTCTAACCCAGCTAATAACATACATGCCTTACATATTTTATTCGATGATAAATATCCACATTTCTCACATGTATTGCCATCTTTCAATTCTTCTTTCTTCTTAGCTTTTAATACCACTGATCCATCGGCATTAATTTCAACTTCTTGACTTTGATCATCTTGGTGTTCCATAATCTTCTTCTTGTTCTTATATTGAGTAGTGACTTTCTTTTTCTTAGGAGCCAATACTAAATGTTCTCCACTATAGATAATATCCATTATACATGATGGTCTTACTGCTTCTAATGATTTTAATAATTCTCTAGCTGTACCTCTGAATGCTTCTGGTGCATATGTACATTCAGTTGAGAAATAATCCAACTTCTTATAATGGGCATACAATACAATTTCCTTTTGATAAGTATATTTAAATGGTTTTGATCTTTTAATAGGTGATCCACTTGATTGAGTTAAAATTGTACAACTTTTTTCTAATCTTGCTACATCTCCTCTTAATAAATTCATTAAAACAGTTTCCGCCATATCATCAGCATTATGACCGGTAACCACATGGTTTATGCCTAATTTTGCAGCTCCACGATCTAATGCTTGTCTTCTTAATACACCACAATAAGTACACGATGATCTTATCCCAGCACAAGATACAATCTCATCCATGGTCCAATCATATAAATCCTTATACGATATGATTTCCAATGGCATTTTATATTGAACTTGATTTCTCTTAACCGTAGCTAAGGAATCATCACGATATCCTTTAATCCCTTCATCGATCGATAATAACACTAATTCCAAGCCATAGTTATAACGTTCATTCAAAGTCTTTAAAATCGATGCCAACACAGTTGAATCCTTCCCTCCTGATGCACCAATAGCAACTTTATCACCGGGAGCGAATAAATGAGCATTAGTGATGGTATTATGGATTTCAGTTTCAAACACATTATAAAAACATTCCTTACATAGCTTTTGGGAATTCTTGGGTCTTTTCATCACCGCTTTTCTAGCATGACATAATTGACATAAGGCTGAAACTTTTAATATCTTTGGTTTTTGACCGTCTGTCATCTTGGTTGTGTTGTTATCTATTGTATATGTGGTGGTATGTATAGTGTTGGGTGGGTGGTTTGTGGGTGAAAGGTTGATTAGTTATATGGTCTGTAATGACTTCTGATATTTCACAATCAAATTTTTTTTTATTTTTAGATGGGGCTGCGAATTTCTTTTTTTTTACAAAGTTAACTATTATTCTTAAATACTATGTTTCTTTTATTGATATTTCTATTAGCTATATATGTACAAAACCTATAGATATGACAAATGTATATGAGGAGTGTTTGTATACCTTGTAGAATCAAGAAAAGAAAGGGGAAGCAGAGGGGGAGGGAAGATGAGATATGATATGCAAGAAATTAAAATAATTTACAAATATAAAAGGTTTTGAAATGAAAAGGGGTGTTGAAGGATTTAGATTTAAACGGCGGCTTGGAATTCATCATTGTTAGAATTAACGTTGGCGTACCTGAATCTATTGTTTTCTTCGGATTCTCTTTGATTTTGTTGACCTTGTTGTTGGCCTTGTTGTTGTTGACCTTGGGATTGATTATTTTGTTGTTGTTGTTGACCTTGTTGTCCTTGAGTTTGGTTATTTTGTTGTTGTTGACCTTGTTGGTTTTGATTTTGGTTATTGTTTTGATTGTTATTTTGATTGTTTTGTTGACCTTGTGGTTGGTTTTGTTTCTTACCATAACCATTTGAAGCAGTCTTTTCATTCTTTTCAGTTAATAAACCAACTTTTTCATTCATAACAATAGCTAATTCTTGTAATCTTGATCTTTGAGGTTCATTACTAGTAAAGTTAATAAATATTTTAGTTTCATCAAAACTACCCCCAATTTCATTTGATTCAATCATTTTTTCTAAAATTTCATAAATCTTTTCATTAACAAGATTAAAAACTTTAGATAATTTAGCAATGGATAATTTAGTATAAACAGCTTTATAAGTGAAAATATAAGTTCTTAAACCTTCAACTTGTAATTGACTCTTTAACATAGCTAATAATTCATCATTATCAGGGAATAATTTCCAAATCTTAATACCAGATAATAATTGATATGCTTTTGACCAATCTCCCTTTTGTAATGCTATAGATGCATGAACTATATGATCTTTAATACTTTCTGGTGGACCAGTGAAAAATTGTCTATCATGGAATTCTAATTTGGATTTGAATGATTTAATAGAAGCTTTACGTTTAGAATCTTTAGCAGAATTAGAAGCTTGGGCTAAAGCTGGGATTTCAATTAATAATGAACTGGTCATATAAACACATTCCAATAATTCTAAATTAATATGTTGATGGAATGGTAATAATTTTTGTCTTTCAGCAGTAGTGGCTTGATTTGGATATTTTGAATTAAAACCTTGACCTAATAATTCTTTTGATCTTTGAGAATTAACAATTTCATTTAAAATTTTATGAGATTCTTCAATAGCTCCTGATCTAAAGGCACTTAAACCTAATTGAACAATAGCTCTATTATATTGAACTTGTAAAGTAGATTCAGCATGATTAATTGATCCATATAATTGAGATGATAAAAATAATTCTCTAGCTTGATTATATTGATTATTAACAGCATAATAGTAAATAGTATTTAATAAACTATGTTTACCATAAATTGAATTGGAATGGTTATGTAAGAAAGTATTTATACCTTCAATAAGTTCATTTGGAGTAGCATTCTTTGAAACAAGGGCTGAATCAATATCAATACCTTTCCAAGCTTCAGCTTCATTGGCAGTAATTAATTGATTTGGTTTATAATAGATATGTTCTAATCTTCTTAAAGTGATTCTAGCAAGTTGTTCAGATGATGGTCTAATATCTTCTGGAGTAATTAATTCAATATATGATTGACCTCTGACGATTAATTTGTAAATACTTGATTCATCCTTTAATCTTTCAACGTATTCAATAGAATGAGGATCAGTATTTTGTAAAGATCTAGTGAATTCATCATCTAATCTATCAATTAAAGAAGTGACGGAACCAAAGATAACTTTAACCCCATCAGCTCTGGCTTCAGGTTCAATATCAATTTCATCAGTAGTAGAACCTAATTCTGATAATTGATATTTATCAATATTAGCATATAAAACATCTAATAAAGCATTAAGATCATCTTCATTCTTTTTCCATTCATCAACAGGCATGAAATTTTGATTAGCAGAAGCATCAAATCTAATGGATAATAAGATTTGATATATAGCGATTAATTCAAAAGCACTACCTTTTTCTAAATTAGTACTTAATAATTGATCTAAAGTTTGAATTTGTTCAAATTTATCAATATTTTTCTTACCTCTTGATTCAATAATTTGTTTTAAAGCAGCAAACACAGGACCCATGGCTCTTCCACCCACTGCAGTATACTCAGCACTTTGTTCATTACCATTAGAAGGAATAATATCAACTGATTCTTCTCTTTCAAATAAATCTGGTTGTTCACGATAGAAATCATATCTGGTTTGAACATCTTTAATTTGTTTTCTAAGTTTTATTCTAGCAGCATTAAAAGATTTTGATTCAGTAGCATTTAAGGATTTTTCTGATTTTTCATTTTCATTGGTTTCATTCATATATTCTTCTAAACTTGCTAAACATTTAATATAAAAGTTTGGAATAGCAATACTTTGTTGTTTAGTTCTAACCACATAACGTTGTAATTTATCAATTTCATTCAATACCACAGTCCAATTGTTGGTTCTTTTATTAACATTAATAGTTTCAATCGATTCTTCCATATCATCTAATAATTTATCTTTAGCAGATTTAACCACTCTTTTACCTTCATCCGAATCGGAATCAGAATCATCATCACGAGATCCTTTTAAAAAGCTCTTCTTTAAGAAATAAGCTGGACCAGTAGGACGAACATCAGAATCAGAATCATCAGAATCAGAATCATCAGAATCATTACCAAATTCTGAATCACTGGATTCATCATTATCTTCTTCTTGAGAAGAAGAAAGTAATTCTTCTTCATCAGAAGTCAATAAATCCTCTTCTTCAGAGGTTGAATCTGAGTTATAGCCAGACACAAAGAAACGGGACATGATGGATTCTCGTTTACTATATGGATGATCTAATAGATACTGTTTAAACTTAAGTTTGGCAACACGTTCAATCAGAATTTTCCAACAACTTCTTTTTGAACGATGCAATTTTTTTTTTGTTAGAGCTTCTGATTTTGTATAGAAAAAAAAAATTTCACTCTGAGTCAGACACAGATTTACTCTCATGTGTTCTCAAAATTACTGGTCTTACAAAGTAGTATACAAAGAGAGACGGTATAGTTGCAAATTTATCATAAACTTCTCATAGACTTAGATAGTATATATGTATATAGGGCGACTAATTATCTAGTTTGTAACTCTTTACTCTCAGGAATTTAAATGGCTTTTCATTCTTTAATGGGAAGGTTACAACTTCTCCTTCTCTTTCATCTTCAGGTCCCATCTTCTTTCTAATAGCATAATATCTTCCCCATGTTAATTTATTATGTTTGAAGATCCCTCCTAATGGTTTGATATCATAGAAGTAATGGAATATATAATATGGTACAGCTCCATTATCAATAGTTATATGGATTTCTCCTTCAACTGATACCGTCCATGTCCCATGATAAATTCTTTGACCTTCTTTAATTTGATAACTTGTAGTATTAGCATTAACAGCAGTATCTAAAATAGTATTGGCGAGATTTTTATTCTTCTTCAGTAAATAAGGGACTACTTTATTAGGTTCTAAAGCAGTCAATACTTTAACACAGGTTCCATCAGGATAAAATCGAATATATCTATAATATGTCATACTTCGAACTGGATTAGCCCAACTATTGGAAAATTCAGATCTACCTCCTTCAATATAATAATTAACTATACTAATATAACATCCTAAGAATTTAACAAATGGTCTTTCCCGAAGCATATGTTTATATGAATTATTATATTGAGGTAATATTTGTACAAGATCAGTAGGAATTGGTAATGATTCTCTGGTTTCAATTGATGCACCAAGTGGTAATGAACTTAAATATAATTTATTTTCTTCATAGATTTGATTATTATATGCTAAATTACACATCTTTCTCCAACTATGAGATGATCCAAGTCCTAAATAAGCATGTTTCTTACAAGTGATTGAAAAATTAAACCATGATTCTGGAGTTGTTAAAATCATAATATCAATAATATGATACCAAATATCATCCGGAAGATTAATCAAGGGAGATACTGGTTCAACTTGTTTAACTGTTTCTTCAATTCCAAGATTGACAAATTTAATAGTCATACCATCTTCATCTTCAGTATTATTTGGATCATAAGGTATAGCATCATGATGAATAAAACTAGCTAATAATTTATCCACATCAATTTTTTTAACTTGATCTTCATCAACTCTTCTAACATTCTTACCTCGTTCCTCTTTAAGTTTCTTAAGAGCATACGGTACTCTTTCTGTTCGATATAATGAATCAACTCTATCATTTAATTTAAATGCTTGTCTATAAAGTCCCACTGCATCTTGCATCAGTCCCGATTGTTCCTTTTCAATCGCTTGTTCAAATAGGGCTATGGCTTGATGATCACGTTCTGAAAGTGATTCATTAACTGGTTCCTTATTATCAGTAGTCAATACTGAGGATGAACCACTTGAATCTATCACTTTTGTTCCCCCACTCATAATGAAATATATCCCTCCTTGTAATCCTAACTTCTATAACCTGTTTCTTTTTAAGGAATTGAATATGATAACTGGATTTGGTATGCTGGTATCAAGGGGTATCTATATATATTGATGCATGTAGTATAAAGTTGATTGGTATAGTTTATCGTTACTATTGCTTATTAATAATTAGGCAACCACCGTTTTAGATCTCTTTCGATGTCAAACAAAAACACTAAACGGTTTATGTCGCAAAAGTGATGTCTAAAAAGTGAGAATGCAAATTTTATGACATAGGTTTACGACAATAGCTTGAATTTAGATTATTATATATATTACTCTATAAATTACCCTAATAATTCATCTAAAAAGTCTAAATCATTGGGTTTATGTTTGGGTTGTGGTTTTACACTCGTGGAATCGTTGTTATCATTGGTCGTGGTCTTATCTTGTATGGTTAAATCAGATAAGAATGCATCTATATCAGTAGTTTTATTTGTGGTGGTTTCAATACTTGAAGATTGTTTAGAATTAGTGGATCCTGATCCCCCTAATAAAAAATCAAGATCAGCATCAAGATCAGTATCGGATATCTTGGTCTTTTCTTTGGCTGCATTGTTTATCAAGTTAGCATTTATGGAAGATAAATGATCATCATTATTAAGTGTATTTATCTCAAGTACTTTACTCTTCGATATTGGTTTTGATGTGTCAAACTTTCGTTTAATCTCTTTATATAGTTTTTCCTTTTCAACTTTTTCAGCTCTCTCTTTATCTTGATCAGTCTCCTCTTGAGATAAGTACTTGATATTAATCTTGGCTTGTTGTTCTCTATTATTTGATCGTATATCATTTCCGGTGGTAGCAATTGATTGTTCTCCAATCACAAATCCATCTAATTCTTTTGATGAAACTTCATTCAAATTCCGTTGCCCTCTCTTGGCATAATACATATCATTATAATCATCTTTATTATTTCTATTAAGATCATTATAACTTGATAAACCATACTCTTCAAGGAAATTATCTGATACTTTATTATTTAAAAGCTTTCTATTCTTCTTAGTTCGTTGTTGTTCAGCATTAGCCATGAAGTCTTCAAGATTAAACTTAGGAGTTTCATCTTTAGTTGCCATTTCTTTATGTTTATTCTCATCTGATCCAAGATATATCCCATCAATTTCAACTTCCTTTTCATCTTCAGGTTTGACATCACTTTCTTCTGCTTCTTGTTGTTCAAGATCACTGATGATTTGTTGCTTTATCTTTATCTTTTGATCTCTACTAAGCTCGGCCTCACCTAAAGATGGATAGAAATGTTCAAGCAACGCGTCATCTACTTCAGAATCATACTCTTCATCTGAATCATTCAATTCAATTCTATTATCATTACCTCCATTCACCTGTTTTCCTGACCATTTCTTCTTGACCTCTTCAGTCACTGGATTTTTCGGTTTCAGACTTATTCCATGTTTCTTCATATACAGGTATTTCGCCTTCTTATCCCATTTTGAGTTCTTTAATACCATGGTGTCGATATAATCAATATGGGTTATAAAATCTGGGGTTTCTATATATAAATATTTTCAATCCCGTCCCTGGCTAAATTTCTCACTGTGCCAATTTTTTGTTCGTTGGGCCAACGATAAAAAAAATTACTGAGTGACAGAAATCATGTTTCAATTATATAATTACACCTCTAACTGATCTGATTCAATCACAACCCCCATAATGTCCAGTGGTGAAGACAAGACCCCTAAGAGGTCGATTGAGGAGTTATTGAAGCTCTTGAGTACGGGAGAAACCTTGACTGAAACCGAACAGAAACAAATGAAGGATTATAAATTTTGGAAAACTCAACCAGTACCAAGTTTAGAAGAAAAAATTGTATCTGAAGGTCCTATAGATACTACCAAGACTCCTGATGATATTCCTAATACTCCTTTACCTTTACTTAAGGAATTCGAATGGAGTACCATCGATATTGAAAATAAAGTTGAATTGGATGAAGTTTATCAACTCTTATATGAACATTATGTGGAAGATCAAGATGGTACTTTTAGATTTAAATATACTCATGAATTCTTTAATTGGGCTTTGAAACCTCCAGGTTGGAGAAAAAATTGGCATGTCGGTGTTAGAGTGAAAGATACTAATAAATTAGTTGCATTCATTTCTGCTATTCCAGCTGATTTAAAACTTAATACTTCAGGAAATGTAATTCCAAGTGTGGAAATTAATTTCTTAGTTATTCATAAAAAATTAAGAAATAAAAGATTGGCTCCGGTTTTAATTAAAGAAATCACTAGAAGAGTTAATAAAGAAGATATTTGGCAAGCTTTATATACTGCTGGTGTAGTATTACCATCTCCATTGGCTGTTTCTCGTTATACCCATCGTCCTATCAATTGGTCAAAACTTCATGATGTAGGATTTTCTCATTTACCTGCTAATCAAACTAAAGCAGGTATGATTGCTTATTATGTTTTACCTAATGAAACCAAAACTTCAGGGTTAAGAGAAATTGAACAAAAAGATTTAGATCAAGTTTTTGATTTATTTATTAAATTCCAAACTAGATTTGAATTAGTTCAACAGTTTAAAAAACATGAATTTGAACATTGGATCTTAGGGGGTAAATCAGATGGTTCTAAATCAAATGTTATAAAGACTTATGTGGTTGAAAATAAAGATGGTAAAATCACTGATTTCTTTTCCTATTATTTATTACCATTTACAGTATTAAATAATGCTCAACATAATGAATTAGGAATCGCCTATCTTTTCTATTATGCTTCTGATTCAGCCGGTAAGGACAACTATAAGGAAAGATTAAACTCATTGATCACTGATGCATTGATCACTTCTAAGAAATTCAATGTTGATGTATTCAATTGTTTAACTTCACAAGATAATTCATATTTCATTAAAGATGCTAAATTTGGTAGCGGAGATGGATTCTTAAATTATTATTTATTCAATTATAAGACTTTCCCAGTCCATGGAGGTATTGATCCTAAGACGAAGGAAGTGGTTGAAGATAAAACAAGTGGTTTAGGTGTAGTGTTACTTTAGATTTAATTAATATAATATCAATATATATACCCCATACTAATTGTTTTTTTGTAACTTTGTGGTAGCGCGCAGTAAATTTTTCAGTTTTTTTTTTTTTTTTTGGCTCATCTCTAACAAAACAAAAATCAAAAATTATTTTGAACCAAATGGTAGTTGATATATAGCATTTTAAAGTTCTAAGGAATAGACAATGATTTCATCAAGTGCTTGGGTACCAAGAGGGTTTGCCTCTGAATTTCCAGAGAAATATGAATTGGACGATGAAGAAATGGAAAGAATCACTGCCATGGCGAAGTTAGAATTAAATGATGCAAAGGAAGATTTGGAAGAAGCTCAAGCTGAAGCTGAAGCCAATGGAACTGAAACTAATAGTAACTTAAAAGAACAAATCGAAATCGATGATGATCTTAAAGAATACGATTTGGAAAATTATGATAATGAAGAAGCTGATAGTGATGGAGAAGATGTCACTATTTTCCCTGGTTTACCAAATGAAGCTAAAATTCATACTGATGAAGATGGAAATGATCCATATTTAACCTTACCTAATGAAACCGATGAACAAGAAGAAAAGAAAGAATCTCAAATATATCCTTCTGATAATTTAGTATTGGCCACCAGAACTGAAGATGATATTTCATATTTAGATGTTTACGTCTATGATGATGGTGCTGGTGCTCCAAAGGGAAGTAATGAAGAAGAAGAAGATAAACTTGATGCCGATGTGGCTAAGGGTTTAGTAAGAGAAGCTAATTTGTATGTCCATCATGATATAATGTTACCAGCTTTCCCATTATGTGTTGAATGGATAAATTATAAACCAGGTCAAGAAAATGTTAGTGAAGAAAGTAATAATAATATTGGTAATTTTGCTGCCATTGGTACTTTTGATCCTCAAATTGAAATTTGGAACTTAGATTATATAGATAAAGCATTTCCTGATTTAATTTTAGGTGAACCAGCCACTACTGAAAATGGTATAACTAAAAAATCCAAAAAGAAATCTAAAAAGTCAAAACATGTCACTACTCATCATACTGATGCTATTTTATCATTAGCTCATAATAAAACTCATAGATCTGTATTAGCCTCATCTTCAGCTGATCATACTGTTAAATTATGGGATTTAAACAATGGTACTGCCGTAAGATCATTAAACACCATTCATGCCAATAAAACTGTTTCATCAACTCAATGGCATTCACAAGAAGCTTCCATTTTATTAACCGGTGGTTATGATGGTACTGCTGCTGTATCAGATGTCAGAATCTCTGATGCTTCTCAAATGTCAAAGAATTATAAAGTTGGATCTGGTGAAGAAATTGAAAATGTCAGTTGGGGTCATCATTCAACTCCAGAAATATTTTATGCTGGTACTGATAATGGTAATGTCTATTGTTTTGATGTCAGAGTACTTGAAAAACCACTCTGGACTTTACATGCTCATGATGCTGGTATATCATCATTAAATGCTAATAGTCATATTCCAGGTATGATAACTACTAGTGCCATGGGTGAAAAAGTTGTTAAACTTTGGAAATCAACTACTGAAAAGAAAGGTGGTCCATCAATGGTCTTATCTCGTGATTTTGGAGTTGGTAATGTTTTAACTGCATCATTTGCTGGTGATGTTGAAGTTGCTGGTCATTTAACTGTTGGTGGGGTTAGTGGAGCCTTAAAAATGTGGGATACTTTCTCAAATCCATCGGTTAGAAATTCATTCCGTGATGAATTAAAACAATTACAAATTCATGCTAGAAATGAAGCTAAACAAAATGGTCGTGCATCAAGAATTGCTAGAAAGTATACTTCTAATGATAATCGTGAAGAAGTTATGACTGTTGAAGCAGGTGGTTTAGATGATGAAGAAGATTCCGATGATGAAGATGGAATGGAACAATAATCCTAAATTTTATTTCATTCTACAGTGTATATTAGTTATTTAATTAATCTCTCTCTTTATAAACTCTTGTATATTTCCAAAATAAAACTTATACTTTGCATTTCACAACACTATAAAAGATCAATCAATCGTAGATTTTAAAAGCTTATAAACTACTAGCGAAAATTTCAGATAATTTTTCAGGTTCTGATCCACTTGAAATAGAATCATTAACGATACCATTGACACTAACAGTTGGAGTAACATGAACACCAACACCTCTTAAGTATCTAGTAAAGTATTTAACATCAACAGTAGCACCATTACCAGAATTACTTTGTTTTGCTAATTCAGTTTGAGGTTGAATTTGTAATTGAGATAAAATTTCATCCTTGGTGAATGGTAATTTAACATCCTTAACTACAATTTGATAGATATAATCGTAAATTTCATTACGATTTAAACTAACAGTAGCAGTATCGTAGAATTCTTCCTTATGTTTAAAGATACTTTCAGAAAGATCCCAGAATAAAGCATTGGAATTTTCAGCTTGTTTCTCTCTGATGAGACTAGCAGCTACTAATGAGAATTCATTAAGTAACACTGAATTTGGATGCCATGGTTGAATAACATTAACAAACACAAATTGGAACTTGTTAGGATACTTCTTTTCTAAGTTTGGAATGACAGTATCTTTCAATTTGAAGAAGATCTTACCACTATATGGACAATTATAATCTAAGTAAAGATTAATAACGTGGGGTGCAACTGGTGTGGCTGCTGAAGCTAAGAATTTAGCAGAATAGTAGTAATGAGTTAAGGAATACTTTGGTGAGATAGTCATGGCTTATATATGAATCAATTGACTTAAAATGAACTGGTTTGTCTTTGAAAGATAATGAAATAGTGTATATTACTAATATTTTCAATCTTCGATATCGTCCTCCCTTTTTCAGATTCCACAGTTTTTACAGTTTTTCTCTAGCCGTATATTCGGTCCCCCAAAACTGCAAAAAAAATTGACACATTTTTGAAATATTTTTACATTTTATTTATTATTTATTATTTATTATTAGTACACAATTATTATATATTACATCTATATTTATACAATTTGAATATGCTAAGCTTTTCAATTAGCTGAGATCGAAAAACGTACTTGCTTGAACTATAATTAGTTAGCAAGTTCGTATAACACAATCAAATTATGCTGCCGATCCTATGAAAAGATTAAAGTAGCTTAATCGATTAAACTAGAGACAGTGATCTTTGTATCATGTCTCCTTCTGTTTTGATTTGGTTTCAGTTGATTAGAATTGTCATTATCATTAGGCACAATAACTTCACTAGCCAATTTGTTACCATTCTTCTTGTTCTTCTCTTTGTTATATAAACGATTTTTCTTTCTCTTTCTCGCATCTCTTCTCTTTTTATTAACTTTCTGCAACATCACCATTTTAGTAGTCATAAAATTCAGATCAGTATTAAAATCACCATTAGAATCAGCCGCATCGCTGCTGACTATGCCATCATCATCATCGTCATTGATATTAACAAACTTGTTACGCGGTTTGTTTCTACTGTTGAAGCTATTAGAAGACACCAAAGAAGAAGCTTTAGCAGATCCTGTAATGGTTATGTCGTCATCTTTATCGTCTAGTCCCATATCATACGAAGGTGATGAATTATTGTCACTGCCGTAGTCAACGTTATTTTCATCTCCACTTTCATATTGACTATCGTATTCACTATCAGACTCGCTTTCTGATTCAAATACTCTAATTGAATTATTGGTAACCTTGACATGTGATTTTTTATATTTATTCTTTAACCTAGATGATGTTCTCTTTTTTGGTAATTTCTTAGGTAGTTGCTTAATATGACTAGCTTCTGATGGATGATATGGTAATGAATCAGAATCAAATCTATCTTGATCAACATCGGGATCAACAAATGTTAGCTCACCTGCAAGTCCTACCAAAGATCCACGATTTACATGAGGTTCGAATGCTGAATTTTTTCGTGTTCCAACTGGAGAAAGACTCTGTGATATAGAAACTCTTCTATTGGAACTACTATTTGAAAATGATCCATAATTTGATTGACCCGAAAGAATCTGCTTGGCCGGTGTACCTTGTGAATCTATAACATTCTCCGCATATGATTGACTAGAACGAAGCCTTCTGGGAGGAGTCTTTACTAACTCTAAAGTATTTTCTAGTTGAACATAAGAATGAGGATTGTCTTGTCTATTCAAGCTTCGATAATCGTCTATCGTAACTTGTCCTCGTGGTCGAGTTTGTGAAGAAAATGGTCTTGATCGAATGGTTGGACTTGGAGTACTTATTTTATTTTCTTGAGATGATTCTTCGATTGGATCAGAATCCTTTATTGATTCAGAAATATTTTCAGTATCATTTGAAGCCAACATTTGTTCAAGATCCTTCATTGTAGTTCGTTGATTTGGTATAAATGGACTGAAGTTGGAACTCCTAACTTTTCGTTTTGCTTTTCCATTACCATTGTTATTTATATTATTTCTTGACGAAGGTGACTGTGTTCCAGGAGATAATGACGGCATCAGTATTGAAGGAGAGTCCGAGTATGAAAATGAATTGAATTCCGTTGGTGATCTTGAATTTGAGCGAGCATTCTCGGATTGCATTTTCAATCTCATTAGATGTCTTATACTCGATCTAGTCTGTGGTATGTCAATTTCTTCTACCGGTTGAATAGTGATATCATTAGGTGTGTTTTGGGAGTCTTCTGTTTCATCAGATTCCGAAATTAAAGATACAATTTCAATCAGTGCAGTTGGTGATCTGACAATTGAATTATTGGAAGAATTGAAATCTAATGAATTACTATGTTCAACCGACGAATTATTTGAGGTTGTGATTATAGGAGCTTTTCTCTTCGATAGTCTACTTCTTATCTTGGCAGATATTTCAAAATCATCGAAAGTTACCTCTTCAGGTATTTCATCATCTTCTAGTTCAACCTGCCCATCATTATCTATCATTTCTTTATCATATGGAATATCTTCGTCGGCATCTTTGTCTTCTTCTTCTTCTTCTTCTTCTTCTTCTTCTTCTTCTTCTTCTTCATCGTTATTCTCTTCCTCTTTCTCGTCTTCTTCGTCATCATCTACTTCATCTTCTTCTTGCACAAATAGAGAAGAAAGTTTATTATTATCTTCAGGTTCTTCTGATTCTTCATCTTTATCAACATCAGATTCATCATGTTTCCACGCTAGCTCCATCTCCACTTCTTGAAGAATATTATTTCCATTTCCCTTAACTTCATCCTCTATTAACAGTTCGTCCATATCCACCTCTTCTAGTATATCATTTCCATTATCTTTAGGCACATCATCCATTTCCACATCATTTAAGGTTGTATTTCCATTATCCAGTATTGCAGCAAGCACATTTTTCTTTGGTAGTGGTTGGCTCTTCTTAGGAACTACCTTTTTAACTGGAGGAGGTTGAGTTTGTTTAGGAGTTGTTTTCTCAATTGATGATGTTATGATCTGTTGCTTTTTGGAAGGGGTTAGACGTGAATGTTTTGCTAGTATGGATCGTTTCTTTCTCTGTATTCGTTTCCTAATGATAGGTGACTTCCTTGCGGTGACTTTATTTATCACTATAGGTGATCTTACTTTATCTCTCTTTTGAATTGGAGATTTATCAATGGGTATAACCTTCCCATTATCATTGTTTGTTTCATGATTTATACCAGAATAAAGCCCTCGTGCAAGGCTAAATATCCTACCGTAAAACCCTTGGTTTGGATTCAGCTTATCAACATTAGACATGACTCAGATAGTATCAATGCCTAGTTTGACAAACAATGGTCGCCACAGGTTGCAAGTGTGCTAAGGGGGTTGAAAGATTGGATGGTTAAATATTTTGATGATGGGATTCAAAGTTATCTGTCTCAATAAAAATAACACACAAAAACTTTCTAAGAAAATCAAATCAGGAAATCGCAGGTGGAGATCAATGATTATTTAAATTGCAAAACTTGGAAGGAGTTTATGGGGGATAGGAGGTTGTTAAAAGTTTAATGTCTATTAGATCTTTACTTTTTATAAAATTTATGCCTTGTTAGTTACACTGCCCAATGCAAATCGACTTGAAATTGCATATTAAAAGAATACATACACATATATGAACTATATACTGCAAAAGATTAAAAAATACTAGTAATGGTGATAATTGAAAGTAATCAACGAATGGATCATGATACAAGGATAACCAATTTACATTTATCGAATAAAATACCATGGAACTTGTAATCATCATCCACTTCGAATTCTTTCAATTTAGATTTTTGAATGGCATTGAAATCTTCATTCACAATATTATTTTCATTTACGAAATCATCATAATCATTCTTTAAGAATAATTGAACATCAGATGGAGTAAATTCTTGACCACTTTCAATATTATTATTCTTTTCTAATTCCAAACGTTTGAATAATTTGGTTTTTAAATCTTGTAAGCGAAGATTCGTTGGCAATAACAATACAAATATATCTTCATCGAAATAGAATTTCACCTTAACCTTTGGTGCTTGTGCTTGAGATTGGGATTGGTATTGGGATTGGGATGGAACTTGTTGTGCTTGTGTTTGTGGTTGTTGGGTTGATGGTGGTATTGATTTTGCGGTGGTATCACCTATCAAATGGGTACTTGAAGATCTTGATCTAGATTCGGTAGGAGGAGTATATGAATTTCTTGAATTTGATACATTATTAGGATAAGATGAATATTCTGATAATCTTTCATGATGATAATTCGATTGTTGACTTATTGGTTTTGATGATCTTTTAAGATTAGTTCCACCATCACTGGTTATCAATTCTTTATCGAACCCATTATCCAATACTTCAAATAAAAGTAAAACTTCTTCAGATCTCGATATATGATTTGGTAATGCAATTAAATTTCGTAAATAATAATCCAATTTTTCTCGTCTTAATTTTGAAATATTATCATTAACGTTAATTAATGGACCCGGTATAGATGGAATAATACGTTTTGAATTTTCAATTTTACCTGCTTCATAAGGAAATAATTCTAATAATTTAACTTGTAAATCATAGAAATCTTGATAATATCTGTATAATTGCCTTATCTTACCATTTGAAAGTTTGGCAGTAATAAGATATTGATATCTACCATGATCTAATTGATAAGAATCAACACCCGCTTCAAGAATAACAGTACCTGAAGAACTTAATGAAGATCTATTAGATCCATATCCATTGCCATTACCATTATTATTATGATCTTTTTCAAAGAATTGACTATTAGAAGAAACAGGAGGAGTTTGATTAGTTGATGAAATTGAACCAAGTGGAATGGTTGAAGCTTGATATTTTGCATTTGAATCTTTCCATTGTTCAACAGTGGGGATTTTAAAATCATTAATGGTACGAGTGATATCATCTTGATTTGAAGGATTAAGATCGGGATTTTGAGCATTTGGATTCAATAAATCAATGATTTTAACATATGTAACTGGTACTAAACCAGGACCTCCTAAACGATTTATTGGTTTAGCAATAAACCATTCAAATTCATGATGAGCACAAATTATTAAATTTTCTCCGGGGTATATATTTAATTCATCTTCTCTTTCAGCAATGAATTCATAAAGTACAATCGCATAAAGGGTTTGACTTGAATTTCTTTGATTTGAACGAGATAATTGAGTTGGAGATGTAGGATATGCATTTTGATTTTGATTTTGAAGATTATGATTTTGAATATCATTACCAGTCAAGCCTTGGCTTATGGCAGTATCTTGAGCCACTGGTCTTGATCTATTAAATACTTCGAAATAACTAACAGGTACCATACCTTTTACATGAGTTACTGGATTGGTAGCTTCATACCAAGCATTAGAATTATCAGTACTATTACCATCAGTAGTATCATCTACTGAATCACTTAATACATGAAAGAAATCCCCCTTGGAGAATTTCAATTCTCCAGGACCTTGAGGTTGATAATCATATAATGCTTTTATAACTTTTTTTGGAGATTGTAAAACATCACTTACATCGGCAGCGCCAATGGATGTAACTCTTGTTATGGAATGCTTAGGAGAAGATGCAGTAGAATTTGAAGATTGCCTCTTACTTCTTCTGAAACTTTTCATCATCTTGGAAACAATGAATTATGAGATGGATGGACGAAGGGAATGTGGTAGTAATTGACACAACAGTGGAGACCGAAACAAAACTGAAGAGATGTGTATGGGAATAGATGAGATAAGCTTGGGGTTTTGTCCGATGTAATTGGATTTTGATGCAGCAGTTGATGATGGGTGTGATGACCTTGATGACGTCTGTAGATCCAATGACCAATGATGATGATGATGATGAGCGATGATAGATGATAGATTGTAATATGTGTTGAGTCGTAAAAGGTTCATTCTTTCAAACTCAAAGAAAGTTCCAGTCCAATCCTGCGTGATTGGCGTTCCTGTATATAATCATGGCTACTTTTTTTACGTGTCGCGCTCAAACTTCAGAAATTTTTTTTTTTTATTTTCAGTTTCAGTTTCATTGTTCCAATTTAGATGCCGTTTGATTTAGTTAGTTAGTTGTTAGTTGTTGTTCAATGTAGTTGAGGCAAATGTGTTATTGTCGTAGTTAATATTATTATTTTATGATACAATGTGAGGTAGGTACATTACTACAGTGTCTCATAATAAATTATTTATTATTTAGTATCAACATTCAGTACTTCAAGCATCTTAGGTACATAAAATTTGGGCTATCCCTTACACTATTTAACTCTTTCAAATTATAAATAATAAATAATTTTTTACCAATTTCAAATTTCTATTAACTAACCATAACTATAACAACTAGGATTAATTAGCATTGCAACTTATTAAATACCTCCTTTTACATTCTAATTTAACCCTATTTTTCCTTTCTTAAATTACATACATTTTCGATCCACAAAATCGCGTATTTTTTATATGGATGATTGCCTAATTGGGAATAATTGCCAAATTAATTACTTAAAGTTAGCCTCAGTTTTAAGCCCTTGGACTATGGTTTAAACTTTATTGATATATTGATGATAATTACTTAATTCTTCTTCATTGTTACTGTTGGATCTACTGGATCCATCTATTAAATATTGTTGTAAAATATCATCTTGTTGACTGGCGGTTGTACTAGTTGGGATCATATTAATAGCACTATTACCAGGAATAAAGGTTGTTGTAGTAGTAGTAGTATTAGTGGTAGCATTCAGTATATAATGTCTTGTATTGTCACTATTAGTGGAATCGAAATTGAAATTGTAAAGACTCTCCACTGCATCCTGATTTGGTTTATTCCGTTCTATAATCGTCCTGGGTGAGATATCAGGATTAGTCTCACTATTACTTTGATCGTTATCATCTTCATCATCAATATCTTCTCCATTGAAATCTATATCACTATCAAAAGGTTCCAGATTTCCTGTTCTGATGTCTTCTTCTTCTTCCTCTTCTTCATCTTCTTCATCTTCTAAACCATCCTCCTCTTCTTTTACTATAACTGGTTTAGGTTTGGTTCTTCTTCTTTGTCTCTTTTTAACTGGTTTCTTCTCTAGTTCAATCTGTTCAAATTGTCGATATTTAGTTAAATAAATCTTTAAAGTCTCAGAATAATTCTCAAATCCAAGTGAATACATGGCCCATAAGATATCTTCCCCATTGATAGTTTTCCTCTTCTCTAACCCACATTTATCAACAGCTTGACTAGTTATAAATGATATGAATTCGGAAACACATTCTTGTATACATTCCTTTGATTCTTTAGAAAGTTTGGCATGATCCGGTAAAGCTTTTTTCATGACTCTTGCCACTAGAAATAAACGATTCAGTTAGTAAAATTGAAGTACTTTTGGATAAGCAGTAGTTAACTAGAATGAAGAGAGACTTACCATTTGCAATGGGTAAATACCGATCTTGTTCTTTAATTTCATAATCACAATTATGCCAATCTTGATCGACTGGAAGTAAACCCTCACCCATTATTAACAATCAATATATATCTAATCTATAATATCACTTGTCACTTCAACAGAATGAAATAAGAGTAGATATATATTATTTATATTTCTATATCAATGTCACATTCAGTATATCATCATCAACGATACCAATGCGATATCGGACTTGAACTTCCTCACAGAAAATTAAAGAATGTAACGGTGCGGCTTTACTCTTAAAACGGATAATGATTGCAAAAAAAGAAACCCGATTTAAATTCTCCATAAAAGGAAAACTAAGGTTGAAAATTAATTAATAATAATACATTTATTATAAGGTTTTTACAGATAATTATACATACTTGTTCTATAGTACGTGATAGAGAAAGTGTCTGTGTATGTGATGTCTGTTTGGGGAGGGTTACAATTTATCTAAGAGTTTCTTAATGTAATCATAATAAACTTGACAATCTTTGGATTCATCCTTCCAATAACTGAATATAATCAATGAATGTTCAAACGCTGCCACGATTCCTTCTCGAGATAAGATTATATCAAGCATATTGAAAATATCATTTGGAGATCCAATATCAGGCAGTTGACTTATATAAAGCTTGAAATTATCATCCATCATGGCTCGTTGAATCATTTCATGAATCTTTTTATAAATTAAAAATTGAAGCACATTTCCTGAAAATAAATTCCGTAAATAATACCATGATCCAGGATGTCTATGAGATCCTAATTTAGGAATATTCAATTTAGGAATTGATATTAAATTTTGAATGAAGATTCTAAGGATTCTTGATCTTGCTAATGGTAAACTTTTCAATCTAAATGAATCTTCCGGAGATTCTTCAGTATCGGTATTATTACCATTGTTATTAGGATTATTTTCATCTGATGAAGAATTCTTAACGGGAATATATTCAATGATATTAGAAAAATCTTCATCAGGATGTTGTTTCTGATAAAATAATGGAGCATTGACTAAATTAAAATAATCCAATTCCATATCAATATCAGATGGATCAGACGTACCAGTTAATGGGTTGGAATTTGATCCCATTGAATCGGGTGATTCCACTGAATTTAAAGTATTTAATGATGAATTGGCATTTAATGTACTTACCACTGCCATGGCTGCTTCTAATAATTCCACAAATGGGATTTTATCCTCTAATAATAAATAAACCAAAGGACGGAATAATAATAATTTAGAACTTATAATTCTCGTTTTAATAAACATAATTGATTCAGATTGAGCTCTTAATAATAAATCATCATCAATTAAAAAATCATCTAAACTATCGAAAATATCAGTTTCAATAGCAACTCTAGCATGTTTCTTTTCATATTTCTTTTTCATTCTACGATGAATTTGATCCACGTTAACTTCTTGTAATACAAAAGTACGAATTTGAGGATTTAAAGAATTTATAATCCCATTATATTGATTTAAATATTTGATGAATAAAATCCATACTGATTCATTCGAAAAAGCTTCTTGATCCCAAGTTTTCTTTAATGTATTTTCAAATGAATAAATCTCATCAAACATTTTATTATCAACTTTTCGAACTGCAATTTCAGTTAAAAAATAATACCATGTCTTTTCATCATCATGTTTATTAGCTAATTTCAAACATGCTTCACTATGAGCTTCTCTTATTTCCAATGTCATTGGATCAGGAATCTTAGGAAATGAAGTAGGAGGAATCACTTGGGTTATACCGGATAAAGGTACATAAGGAGATAATTCAACTCTTAATTCACATTCTAATTTCAAACATGTCCAAAATAATCGATCAATCATTTCTCGTTTATTGGAATCTAATGATGGTGATGAATAAGTATTATTGATATTTCTCATGGTTAAGAAATACATCATATTATGACATGCAATCGATATAAATCGATATGCTTTAACAGGACACATAATATATAAATAATATTGACTTAATAATAAATTGAATTCAACCGCCACTAATGAGCTTTGTTTAATAGAATCTGGGAATGCACTATCTAAAAATTGAGCATAATTAATTAATAAAAATGCAATTTGAGATCTATCACGAGGTAAAGTTAAAGGTACTTTATTAAACGTTGATTCACTTGATAATGATCCAAGTATGGTACTTTCCTTTTCTTCAGTTGATGAATTGAATTTAGATAAATTTTCCAATTGAATACTGGTGGAGATTATACCTAAGGCACAAATAGTTAAAAATAATGGAATTGATTCACATAATGTTTTATATGCCAATCTACGATATGGAGTATCTTCAAGATTAGCAGCTTTTAAAGCATCAATGACAAATTCAGGGATTTGATCACTAGGAGTATTAGGTTCATAATCTTCTAATAATTTCACTAGAGTGATTGATGGATCGTAACTCATTAAACATTTGAAAATTTCCAACAGTTCAAAGATTTCCAAAGTATCCAAGATTGGAGTTTTGGTATAACAATTGACAAAGAATGAATTTATAATAGCAGATAAGTTTTCTCGGATTAACACTTCAAGATTTTTAGCTAATTCTAATCTTTCAAATAAAGTTGCCTTTCTAAAAGGTCCTACATCATCAGTATTGTAATCTTTAACCAATTGATTTATAACTAGGCCAATTTCTTCAGACGTTTCACCAGTATATTGTCGAAATGAATTCCATTTTAATATAGATGTAAGTGACATATCCCAAAAACAATCATCAAATTTAAAATCAGATGCTCTTTGAGGTCTTATTTTCCCATCCCCTAAAATTGGATCATCTTGGGATGATGATTCGGTTATTCCAGAATGTTTTTTAATATCTTTTAAATCTCTTAATATGACATCTAATTTACCAATGATATTAATAGAAGCAGGATCAAATGTAGATACATCCTTTTGCTGATCGTCAGTTCTATAATGACAATTCAAGTTGCCATTCTTCACACAAGATCCACATCGTGGTCTTACATTATCACATTTGATTTTCTTTAAACGACAAGTATCGCACGCAGTTAAAGCTCTTTTTCTTGGAAATGCAGCTGCAGAGCGTGGTGGAGCTAAGGAGCCTGATGCTGTTCTTTTTCTTGGTTGAGATCCCATATGTTCAACTTCTATTGGTGCGGGTTGTCCCGGTATAGGTAGAGGACCCAATTGTGGTTGTAAGTTAGGTGGTATTTGTTGTTGTTGTAAGTGTTGATGTGGTACTGGAGCTTGTTGGGGTACAGGTGGTTGTTGCTGTTGATATATAGGTTGGTAAGGAGCAGTTGGTGGAGGTGGTTGTTGTTGTTGTTGTTGTTGTTGTTGTTGCAGTCGCAGCTGTTGCATTGCTTGTGGAGCATATTGATAATGATTGGGGATTTGTTGTTGTGACTGAGGTTGAGTTTGTTGTTGTACTCCTGGAGGTGGTGGAGGATGAACAGGATTATAGTAGGAGGGTTGAGATGCAGGTAATGGAGGTTGAGGTTGATAATAATTTTGATAGTAAGGATTATACTGCTGTTGCTGCTGTTGTTGGGGTGGTACTGGTTGTGAAGATATTTGAGGTTGCAGTGGTTGTTGCTGTTGCTGTTGCTGTTGCTGTTGGGGAGTTCCTTGTTGTTGCGGTAGAGATGAAGTTGACGATGTTGTACTTTGTTGGGGAGGAGTAGTTAATTGAGTTTGTTGGTTTTGTTGTAATTGTTGTAATTGTTGAGGTTGACCTTGTTGACGATACTTTGAATTCTCATCCAATTCATTTTTAACTATATTTTGCATTTGATTAATGGATGAGTTATGATACTTTCTATAGAAATTTTTGTGTAGTTAAATACGAACAAGCTAATAAATAAATAAATGAATGAATAAACAAACAACGTAATGATGAAAGGGATAGATTAGATTGCAAATCAGATGATGAACAGAAGCTGATGATCGATATAAGTCATGGATTTATTTAGTTGGTATGAATAAATGGATGAATTCGAGGCCCTTTTATCGTTTTATAATAGAAAAGTGCAATCAATCTAATTTTATGGGGCTGCGGAAATGAGGGAAAGAGAGGCAGCAAACAAGAGGCGTGGAAGATGATAAGCTAATGGATAGATCAGTTGGTATGATTGCTGAACAGTCAGTTTCTAAGCTCTTCAATCCTGTTTTCGATGGATGTTGTAAATGGATTATGATGAATGATTCTGAAGTAAATGCTGCCTTTTTTAAAAGAAAAGTCTTGAATTTATTTTGTTGTGCTTTAGAAAGGTGTAATCTAAAAAGTCACACACACACACCAAAAAAAAAAAAAAAAAAAAAAAATGTCTCGTTTTGTGTTTCCATTTCAGACAGAAGCAGAAGTAGAAGAACGCATCACCTTTAAATAATATTAATTTTGGCCTATTGAGGTAAGTCGATTGGGATGAATGATATTGACTTAGAGTTTAATGATCTAGACATATAGTACAAGTTCAATCGTCTGGTAATGTGAGGTAAGGTAAGAGAAGATAATCAGCACATGTAAAAAACTTAATCATAATAAAGTTTAATATAAAGTTATCAAACGTTAATTTTGATTAGTGGTGGTGAGTGTTTTGTACTCACAGAATGTACCGTAAAATTAAGGCAGTCAGTATGCTGTTTGTCTGTAGGTGGAAACCAACAAACTACTAATTAAACTACATTTCGTACTAATGCTCATTATGCATTACATATGACCCATTTACCTTTATTTTCTATACAGGTACGAAGGGTATTCATCTATCTTATTATTGGTTAACTGTTTGTGGTCTACGGATAAATTAGAAAATAATGGGGGAAGCCACTCATCCATCCATTCATTCTTTGATTGTAGATATTCCCCCATTTTATTTACTTTTATCTATCTATCTATCTATTTATTTATTTATTTATCTGGTTTGGATAATAAATTGTAAGATCTTATGAGTTGCGAATCTGACCCCATTATAAGTTTGTGACCAGATTCCACTTCCAACATCGATCTTAATCATATCTATATCATAACTCCAGTAATAATCAATAATAGGATCATAATACTATAATCAAACAAACAACACTGCATCATTCAACATTCGCCTGATTTAGATCTTAATTTCATTATTTTTATTTTATAATATTAACATTTCTCATAAAATAAATTGGTATCGCCTTGATTAAAAGATCTTCATTAATCAAAAAAATGCCGAAATAACGTGATAGAAGATCAAATCATATTATGTATCATATCATGTTTGTTACCGACCCCCCACACTACTTGACGATCCATTATACCCTTCCTTTCTTCTTTTTACTTGTTTGTGTTTATTATAAGTGTCTTTCAATATTGACTTTTTAAAATCCTGGTAAACTATAAATCATAATCCCCCTCTAAAATAAGTAAACAAATAATTAAATAAATAATTAAATAAATAAAATATAGTAAATAAATAAATTAAGATATAGCTAAATATGAAATTAGAGTAGACTCGGAGACAACAAACTAAAAATGGATCGGTAATTTTATGATACTTTGCAGAAACTATGGTCTGTTTATCTACATCTTCGTTTGATAAATTCAAACTCATCTCACATATAAAATAATAGTTTAAACATGAAATTGACATTCAATATGCTTATTCTTTCCTTCCTTCCTTCTATTCTGTTCATTCATTCGTGTGTTCGTTCGTTCATTCCCTTTCGTATTACTTATCCCTAAAAATAATAAATTATTTACGGTAAAAGAAAAGGAGGGGATTGGAGCCATAAGGCCAAAAAAAAGAACACACAATTCGATTTACGCAGAATTTATTGCACAAAAACTACTATATAGAAATCAATTACTACTTCCTATTCGTATGTATTCCAATTAGGAGAATCTAGTGTATGTATGCGTTTGCATGTACGTTACGTTGTATATCTTACTCTGTTCTTTTTATTTATATTATATTTAGTGGGGGACCACAACCGATATGCCCCTCCCCCCTAAACGATATATTTACAACTAACTAAACTAACAACCATACTGAAAATACAATTATACATATATATATTTATAAATACAATTATTGACTTAACCAGGTGGTAATTGAGAAGCATCAACAATGTCAGCAGCATCAATAGCATCTTCATCTTCACCAGCATGATCTAATGGAGTTCTAGGTAATGCCATCATACCAGATCTTGCAAGTTCTAAAACACCAAATGGATGTAATAAAGTTATAAAAGCTGATACTCTGGAAGGTTTAGCACTTAATTCAACAATGACATTTCTATCACTGATATCAACAATTCTACCCCCAAATTTCTCAGTTATAGTATTAATATGATCTAAATGTTTATGTTTTTGTCTTAATGCTTCAGATGGAGCTAAATTATTTGGATGAAAAGCTGATTCTGTAGCAGTTAAATCAGGAATTGATGCTCCATCATTAATGTGTAATTTATGAGTAGCAATTAATTCTTGGAAATATTCTGGTCCTAATAATGAAACTCTAGCTAATAATAATTCACGTTTAATAATTTCAGCATTTGTATAATCTAATACAGCATAAACTGGAACTAAATCTTCAATTTGTCTTCTAGCTTGTTCAATAACAGCATCCTGACCAGCTAAAACAATAGTCATACGGGATAAATCCTTCACTTCAGTATTACATACCACTAATGAATCAATATTGAAACCACGAGCTGCTAAAGTACCAGATACACTACTTAAAACACCCGGTTCATTTTGAACTAAACAATTTAATACATGTTGTTTTCTTGGAGCACGGGATGGAACTGGGGTTTCATAAAGAATCGAACTAACAGCAGCATCGGCAGACCAATTAGGAGTTTCTAAAGTCGGTAATGGTGGTCTTTTTTGATTACGATGTAATGTCTTATATGCTAAAGCTGATGTTGAACTTGATGTGGATTTGTTTCTAACCATTTGTTTCACAAGCATATTGCTTGATAATGACACTTGTTTCAACATTATAAATGTCTTCTATAACTGTTTCTTCCCTCTTTGGTTCTGGTATATACAATTAAGAAACAGTCTTGAACAACGAACAATAAATCTATTTATATTAAAACTGGAGTAACCTGGTTTTTTTCTAACCAGGGTTGGAAAAAAAAAATTTTGGATGAATCATTCTCACCATTTTTCAATAAACGACATTTTTCCCACTATAAAAACACATGTCTCGTTGGGCGGTCCGGCGGATGAAAAAACAGTTTTGACTTTTGTATGGGAATTGCATAGTTAAGAGTCATCCCGGAATAGGCCATTAATGTCGTCCTCTGCCAAACGTGTTAGATTGACTTATAGTGAATGATTGCTTTGAAAGAGAATAGATTACAAATCGTGGGAAGGATTGATAAGTAGGATATGGCTTAGTCCATAAGGTAGTTATAATTATATCATCTCTTTGGTAAGCAGCTCTTATAAATCAAATTTGTTGCTTTACTTCATTATTTTGTTTGCTAAAATATTTGTAGGGGAACAATGTGATATTTTTTTATTGCTGCGAATTTGGAGCCAATGATAGTGTGGTCTAGAAGGGTACTTAATTCGGTTATTATATCTTGCTGCATAGATTAAGGGATTTCATACTAGACTTTATATCCATTCTCATCCATCATTGCACATCTCATTAAAATATCTTAAATTTAACTAATGTGTTGAGAATACCAATTTCAATTAATAGTATTTCAACTTGTTAGTTTAGTGAATCGTGTCATAACAGTAAAACAAGCTTTTTCTGTATATTATTTTAAATATTAAACGTTATAGACCATAATTACAAACTAAATTTATAAAACCAATCCTTGCTTAAAGAAGTAATCCAGCAATAATAGCAATTGGACCTGCAATAAAGGCACCAGCACCATCGAGTTGCATACCATCATTAGTTTTGGTGATGGAATGAGTTTCAGATTTATGCTTCTTACCTGAAGATGAAGTTGAAGAAGCTTCTTTTTTATGAGTCTTAGTAGTAGAACTTTCAACAGTTGAAGTAGCAGCTTCTTTCTTATGAGTAGTAGTGGAGGATTCTTCAGCAGTGGTTTTCTTTAAGATTTGTTCATCATTCTCTTTAAGGTTAAGAACTTCAAATCCTTGGAAATCATTACCAATGATAATATCATCTTGATTAACATTGAATCTATCAATGACATTGGCTAAAGCAGAAGTAGCAAAAGCTAAAGTAATAAAAGTTTGGGTCTTCATATTTACTATAATAATATAATTGATACTTGAAAAAATCGAAAATTAAAGGAAGATTATAAAAATCACAAATCAAATAACAAAAGGGGATGGGATATTGACTCCTATTTATATAATCTAAGTTTAAAAAAAAAATAAACAATTTTAAACTTTTAACTACCATTGTGATATTTAATTTTAACAGTAGTGGTGGTGGCTATTTTACGTAAGAACTAAGGCAATTTTCAAAAACAATTCTGTATACTAGTAAATATTTTTAAGGAAGTGTTTTCCTGCAGCCTAGGGAGAGGAGAAGGTATCACCTGCGCTTTGCGGTCAAGTTTGGGTCGTTTCAATTGCTTTCATTTTGATGAAATTAGATTGATTCCAATCAAAGATTCCAGACCACCTCTAATATGGCCATCGCAATAATGATAAATAGTGGCTTTTTGTTGACACCTAAACTATGAAAAGACGAGTAAAATATGGCCACAAAGTTCAATCCCTTAAACGACAAGAAATTTATAGAATTGAAAAATAAGAAATCCATTTTAGGCTGTGATGAATATTCTTTTAGAAGAGAAAGAAAAAAAACTTTTATTATCGTGTGATCCTTAAATGGATATTAAGTATGAGTGCGGGTTCAATTACCATTTGTGATACTAAACTCTAATTTGACTTGTCTTTGAAATTTGCGACAATAAACCCAATATATGTATTTTGCGACAATACTGCTTATTTCTACAACTGGTTATGGAACGTTGTGATTTTATATTGGGCATGTATTCAACTTAAGTAAACGGAGGTATTATAACTAAACATGTGACTTAAACCATGGCGAATTAGAGAATACTTAACTATTTCTAGGTTAATAAAACAATAATAGTAACTGAAACAAGAACATAAGTCGATAAATAAACAGCATGAACACCTATGTTCTCTTCTCCAGATTCTGTAGTATGGGTAGGTTGAACAATATCGTATGAGCTTATAGTTGAAGGTCCAAAACTGACACTTGTCAGCTCAGTCACATAAGTAGTAACAGCAATGACATGTTGATTATGGGTATTAACAGCATCAGGATTGTGATTCATAGGTGTAACAAGAACCCTTTTGATGATGTTATTATTCTTCACCGGCCGAAAGACTTGAAGAACCTCCTGTTTAATTACTTTAATAGCTGGGAGACCATGAACAATAGTTGAAATTTGTAAAATTGAATAGAAAATAGCAAGCTTCATTGGTGTTTGGATTGAATTAGTATATCAAGATTTGATTTTTGTTGATTGATAGTGGTTTTAATGATAATTTGATTAGATTTACAAGTATTTTCCACCTCTATTTATAGTTTTTTGAAATTAAACCAGCTTTACCTTTTCATACTCTTTTTCATATCATTTTGCAAGGGATTTTCAGTGGAAATGCTAGAAACCCCATTCAAAACCAGTCAATTTACTTATAGAAATAACCTAATCTTCAAATGTTTATAATTAAACTAAGGTCATTCCACCTTCTTATCGGGATCTTAACATTGATTATGTTTCAAATAATTACAATTTTATTCTTTTTGTTTTTTGCATTCATTTCAAATTATCTCACCTCGCCCTTTTTTAAATTTTTGTAAATCAACCAATCATGATGGGCACATGAATCTAATGACCAAGAACAGCTGATTGTATATGTTATTGTCAACGGTTCTATAGTTCTTGACTTATGATATTTAGTATCTACCTCTATATCTGCAATACTCGTCTGAGTAGTTAATAAGTGAATAGCTACTCACCAGTATTGATAGATTTCCTTCAGCTGTGGTGGCACCAGTAAGTTGGAGCCTTGTAAGTGAGTGGCGCCAACTTTCTCTTAAATGTCGACCAATAGGAAGACGTAAATCTTAAAAATATCAAAGTAGGACATTGTCTTGTTGCCTCCTAAGATATATCAAAATAAAACATGGTTTCCTAATTAGGAAATAGTGTCGATTTGAAGCTTCCTATTGGCTGAAAACTTGAGCAAAACGCGTAAAATTCAAATTTTTGAAAATAAATCCTGATAATACAGATTTTTACACAAATGAGGGCAAGTGGAATTTCACCATCAAAGCATCTTATTGGTCAATTAGAAAAGTGGTGCTCCCCCTTCCACTCAGATGTAATTTAACTTTCAAGGTAGCCCTCAACACTACAAATACAACGAATTCTGAGATATGATTGGTTGATGAATATCATGGTTCCCACCTTAAAGTTAAATGTCTTCTAGATCAACCATTGGACTAATATTGCTTAGTAATATCTACGAATCCCCTCCCTTTCACATTTTAGCTTTAAAACGAAGTTTATTTCCTACAAGTTTGAGGAGCAATCATTGTTATAAGTAAAAGTCATACCTCTTGGCATTTTATTCTCCAAATTAATCAAATTAAGTTATCCGCTATACATTATCATACCCCGTTCACTAAATCATGATTGAATTGGTAGAATAGAAAGGGGGATAAGAACATTGAAGCTAAAATTACTCGGCGGGCCGGGAAATACTATTAGACCGCCGTTGAGATAAGGTAGCACCTAAAAAAATATGTAACAGAAAACCTTAGCCCTGCCTAACTAAATAGTGTTCCCCTTGAGAATTATGCGAATTACCGCATTGAGTAGCGGAATCAGTCAATTGTTTTTCTTATCAATTATCTCTAGTGCAAATCTGAAATTTCTCAGTAAAACGGTTATATAAAATGGAGTATATCTCTTATTTTACCAATTGCTTTTATCAATTGCTTTACTTTATATTTTACTTACAATTAATTACCTACAATGTTAACTGATAATTGGAAAGACTTAGCTGTTAAGGCGCAAAATATTTATAAAGACTCCTTGGCCAAGACTTTGGAATTATTCCCCTTTGACGATGAAGAAACTTATACCATTTATAAGTCCCTTCCAACTGCCATTGGTGAAACAACCACTGATTATGGTAAACCTGCTCCATATCCCATTGAAGTTTATGCTGAGAAATTGCCTGCCAAGGTGAAAGAAATCACAGAAAAGGATCCTATTGATTTATTAAAAGATTTGAAAGCAAAGAAATATACTGCAGTTGAAGTATTGAAAGCTTATTATCATGCCGCTATATTTGCTTCTAAATTAACCAACTGTGTGTATGAATTCCTTCCTGTTGAAAGTTTAGCCTTTGCTAAGCATTTAGACGCAAATCATGCTGAACTTTCCAAAACATTCCCTCTTTTCGGATTACCAATCTCACTTAAGGAAATGATCCCATTTATAGGAAGATCCGTCACTCATGGTTCATTATGTTACTTAGATAGAGTGGTCGATTATCATGCTGATATCGTTAATATCTTATACAAAAATGGTGCTAATCCATTTGTAAGAACTACAAATCCTCAAGTTTTAATGATGCTTGAATGTGAATCTTTTGCTCATGGTAGAACTGTTAATCCCTACAATAGTAGTTTGACTTGTGGTGGTTCATCCGGTGGTGAGGGTGCTATTAATGGTATTCATGCTAGTACTGTTGGTTTAGGTAGTGATATTGGTGGAAGTATCAGATGTCCTTCTGCTTTTAATGGTATTTATGGTATGAGAACTACAGTAGGAAGAATCCCTACAGGTGATTATTTCTCTTGTCAAATTGGTTCAGAATCAATCTTATCAGTTACCGGGCCATTAACTAGATCATTAGGGTTATTAGAATTGATCATGCAAACCATTGTTGAATCTAAACCATGGTTAATTGATCCAAGTTTAAATTCTCTTGAATGGAAACCAGTATCAACTAAAAGAAAATTCAGACTTGGAATTTTATGGAGTGATGAAGTAGTTAATCCATTACCACCAGTTACAAGAGCTTTAAAAATCGTTAAAGAAAAATTATTAAAGTTGGATAATATCGAACTTGTTGATTTCAAACCTTATAATCATCTTAAGACTTTTGATATTCTTGATAAGCTTTATTTTGAAGATGGTGCTCGTGATGTTAAAAGTACTTTAACATCCACTGGAGAACCAGCTTGTGAACAAACTGTTTGGGCCATTGAAAATGCTGAAGATTTAGATATGCATGAACAATGGAAATGGAATATAGAAAAACAAAAGTATAGAAAACAATATTTAAAACATTGGCAAACATATACTAATAAAGATGGTGAAGTCCTTGATGGAGTTATTGCTCCAGTATTTCCAAATGTTGCTGCTGAGCATAGAACTGCAAAATATTGGTTATACACTTGTCAATGGAATTTATTAGATTACCCAATGTTGGTATTCCCTGTAACTAAATTGGATACAAGTTTAGACGTGCCACAAAAGGATTATAAACCATTGAATGATTATGATAAGTTTCAGCACGATCTATATGATGATCCAAAGAAGTTTGCTAATGCACCAGTAAATTTAGGCGTAGTAGGCTTAAGAAATACAGAAGAAAAACTTATTGCTATCACCAAGGTTATCAGTGAATCTTTAGGTACTTAGTTTAGTCTAACTCCATAATAGTCTTTAAAATAGTGTATCTCTTTGGTTTATAGTTTAAATTTGTGAATAGAAATTGTACTCATAAATCACAGTCGGTAAATCAAAGATTTTGTCGCGACCCCCACAAGACCGTAAAAAAAATTGACATAAAATCAAACTAGATAAACAATTTATCAAAGGACCATCCAGGGATTATTAAGTCGATTGAGAATGGTACGAAAGGAGCCTGAATACATTGAGTTGAATGAATACCATGAAGATCATGATCAGAACTTAACTAGGAGGAGTAGCGACAGGAAGTGGACTAATTTGACTAATTCTCAAATTCAGCTTGTGTTGCTTCGATTGGGTGTCCTTGAAGATGAAACCTTTGATCAATCATTCGTGCCAGAAGATATTCACATAGGGAAGGAACCTCAATTCATGTTGACCAAGATAGATGAATTGAGTATAGAAGATTCCATATCAATCGTGAGAGATGCATTGGTTGAACATAATGGTGATGTGAATTACTTAGCAGATGATTATAAGCTTTTAGAAAGACTTATAAGATTGATTCCACGGGAGGATGAACAATTTGAAATCTCAGATATAGAAGTCGATAAAGAAGAAGAGGAAGAAGAAGTACATACCCGTGGACATATTAATCACAAATTATACCTTAGAATTATAGATTGGAATCTACAAATTAGATTAGAAGCAGCATTAATTCATTATCATTCACCATATCCAGAAATAAGAGCAATCACAGAACCATACGATGATCCAACTATCCCTATAGAGACATTTAGAGTATATGTTATAAGTTTAGTATGGACATGTATTGGATCAGTGATAAATAATTTCTTTGTTCATAGAATGCCAGGAATTGGATTAAGTTCTCATACAATGCAAGTCTTATTTTTACCATGTGGTAAGTTATGGGAAAGATATATGCCTCATAAGACATTCAGAATATTTGGATATTCCATTGAATTAAATCCTGGTCCTTGGACTTATAAAGAAATGATGTTAGCCACAATCATATATCTGTGTTCATCGGGTACACCTTATCTGGTCTATAATATATTTGTCATGAAATTAGAAAGATTTTACAATTTAAAGTGGGTCACGTATACATTTCAAGTACTTTTGTCTATTTCAACCCAATTTCTTGGATTTGGATTTGCATTATTAATGAAGAAAGTTTGTGTTTATCCAAGTAAAGCAATTTGGCCAACAATTTTACCAACCATAGCATTAAATAGAGCTTTGATGAAAGCAGAAGAGAATAATCCAGTTTATGGATGGAAGATTTCTCAGTATACTTTCTTTTACGTTGTTTGTATTGGAAGTTTCTTCTATAATTGGATTCCATCTTACTTCTTTACTGCACTATCACAATTAAATTGGCCTACATGGTTTAGTCCAAATCTGATTCATTTAGTGAATGTAACAGGTACGTTTGTTGGCTTAGGGTTAAATCCATGGCCTACATTTGATTGGAATATATTTGATGCAGCAGGCTGTCTTACTATTCCATTTTATACTTATGCCAATCATTATATTGGTTCAATGTTAGCATTCTTTATAATCTTGATTGTTTATTATACTAATAACTATTGGACTGCTTATTTACCTATAAACTCCAATAGATTATTTAATAATAAGGGTGAAGTTTTCAATGTTCATGATTTATTAGATGAGAATAATATGTTTGATAATGAAAAGTATCAAAAGGTTGGACCACCATATTTTACCGCTGCAAACTTGGTGTTATATGGAGCATTCTTCTGTTTATATCCTTTTGCCATAGTTTATCATTTTACTACTGAGTGGGAATCAATGAAATCAAGTTTCCATAATGTTTGGGTTACTCTTAGAGATTCTGTTAAATCAGGAAAATCTCATGATCAATTTGGAAGATATCTGAACGATCCTCATTGTAAAATGATGGCCCAATATGAAGATGTACCAGATTGGTGGTTTTTGTCCATCTTGATTGTGAGTACGTCATTTGCTATATTCTGTGTCTCATTATATCCTACTGAAACACCAATTTGGGGAATCTTTTGTACGATGTTAATCAACTTTATATTCTTAGTTCCTATTACATCTATTGCATCAGTCACTGGGTTTTCATTTGGATTGAATGTATTGGTTGAGTTAATCATTGGGTATACTATTCCAAATTCTGGTATTGCCTTGATCACTTTAAAGAGTTATGGGTATAATATTGATACTCAAGCTAGTAATTATATTACCGATCAAAAATTAGCCCATTACGCAAAAATTCCCCCCAGAGCAATCTTCAGAGGTCAATTAATATCAACGTTATTGAATGTGATAATAGCATTATTCGTATCGAATTGGCAAATTGATAATATACCTGATATCTGTGATAGAATGCAAAAGGATAAATTAAGTTGTCCAGGAGCCAATACTTATTTTTATTCGAGTATTCAATATGGGGAAATAGGTCCAGCAAAAGTATTTGGTGGACTTTATCCAGTATTAAAATGGTGTTTCCTATTAGGGGTTATATTAGTGATTCCATGTGTGTGGTTTAAAAACCATGGACCCCAACTTTTGAGACGTTATTTCCAACCCACTATTATAATAGGCGGATTTTTGGATTATGCACCATATAATCTTCTGTATTTCACAGGAGGATTATATGTATCATATTTATTTATGTACCATATTAAAAATAACTATATATTATGGTGGGAGAAGTATAATTATATTTTAACTAGTGCTTTATCAGCAGGAGTTGCCTTTAGTGCATTATTAATATTTTTCACTACAGAATATATTACTGATGAATTAAATTGGTGGGGTAATAATATTACTAAACTGGGTATTGAAGGCGGAAATGGTCAACGATCATGGTTAAATGCTAAGAATGCACCAAATGGATATTTTGGTTTGCGTGAAGGATCATTTCCTTAAGTAGATAATAAATTTTAGATTATTTTTCATATGGTTGTGCGACTAAATTTGGTTGAGAAAATTTCCTAATTCGTATTTTTTAAAGTTTTGCGCCCATTAACTAATTTTTCTTAATTTTAGTAATAATTAATATAAAACTTGAGCTTAATTCTCTAATCTGATCTATGTTTCAGTTTGAGATCTAGATATCGATTTATCGAACTAACGCATTGCAGGTAAATTTATAATGAAGTTTGTTGTTCCTTTCGTCTTATTGATGGTAATTGTATTTACCAGTCATATCAATGCTCAAGCAGTTGAATATGATACTTCCGTTCAAGAATTAGGTAAAAGAGGAATCATCAGTCTGATTATTGGTTGGTTATTCCCAAAATCGACCAGTAGCTCTTCAACGACAGGTACTACTTCGACCACCACAACTGCTGCTTCTACACCAACAACAACTACCGCAACCACAACTGCTCCAACAACAACTGCAGCAGCAACAACTACAGACCCTTGTGACGACGATGATGATACCTCTACTACTACTACGACTACTACTTCTACTTCTGGTAAAATTTCCAGTATCTTTAATAAAGTTTTAGGATTCTTTGGTATCAGTCTCAAGAAGAGAGACGCAGAAGATTTCGATTTCGATTTAGATCAATATTCTTTCACTCTCAGAGAAGAAGTTTCGGCTTCTTCTTCAATTAAAGCCCTGTCTGCTTTAATTGCCGTCTCAGTTGGTGGTTCAATTGCAATGTACGGTCTTTTTTAGAACTATGAATTAGATATTCTATTATTAGATAGTTAAAGTTATACCCTTTGTTTTATTTTCCTTTCCTTTCCTTTGCTTCTAAAAATCCTTCTTCTATTTATTTGGATAATAAAAAAAGAATTTACGAATACCCAAAAACCTTATAAATAAATTATGTAGTTAGTTGTCAAACCATTTAAACCTTGAAATATAAATTAAAAAAATAAAAAAAGAAAATGGCGACAACTACAGGACTCGAACCTGTGCGGGCAAAGCCCAAAAGATTTCTAATCTTTCTCCTTAACCACTCGGACAAGTTGCCAGTTTTTTGAAAACTAATTTTTTCACTTTCTAATGGAGATATTTTGTCACATGATAATTTGAACGTGAGTTTTGATTATATGCAGGATTGGTCTCTAAAAAATTGAATTTTTAAATGGTATAACCTTCACATATGCAATTTTCTAATAGTCTTAAATCTGAATTCAAATAAATAAATTAAGTTTAGCTTATATGTAGTATCTATAAAAAGTATTTAAATTATCTAATTATATATGTAAAAGTTGGTTATAGTATTAATTTGATCTTCAATTAGTCAAAAGAGAAAAACTAAACATAAATTCTTGTTTTCTTTAAATATTGCTGCAAAAATAAATGAAATTATAAATTATTTTTCTTCAAGCTTCTATTAACAAATTGAAAGTTTTCTTAAATTTAATTTATTCAGTCTATCACTATTGAATAACCCCCAAGAAGTTTCCCATCTATTTTTACCTTCATAAAATACCTTTTTCCAAGGTTCATCAAAAGCTTCAAAATAATACCAACCATAATTAACATTTTTCATTTTACAAATATAATCACTTATAAAATATTTGAAATTAGGAATATTAGCAACTGATCGACGGAAATTTCCTCCATCAGTTGGCCATCCAACCTCACTAACTATAATAGTTTTATTTTTATAATTTAATGGTTCCATTTGATATTCAAGAAATTCTAATGTCCAATTTGATGCTCCTTCCACAGAATTACCAGTAAAATATGGATGAATATTAGCACCAACTATATCACATTCTTCAAATAAATCTTTATTTAATAATGATCCAATTTCAGATGTACCAACTGGAATCTTTTTATAACCAATTGATTTTAAAAATTTCTTTGTTTCCTTTATATATTCAATTAATTGATTTGATGATTTATCTTCTCTAAATAAAACTTCATTACCAATAAAAATTGAATCAAACATGGATTGAGGATATTTCTTAACAATATATTTCATGGTATTTAATTGGTTTCTATTCACCTTATCATTTTTACCAATCCAAATTCCCATTGCTAAAGTCATATTTAAATTTAAACTTTGAATAGAATCAAGTATAAAATCTGATTGATTACATTGCATTCCATAATTTCTAATTCTTGATGTAACAGTACTAAGCTTTACTAGATCATAAATTGTTTCAGTTTTATTAATACCACAACTAGGTTCTAAAGCTTCCATTGGCGAATAAGCCAAACCATGAAATATTGGTTCTCCATAACCTTCCATTAATGCAAGTATTTTAGGATCATCTCTATATAAAGGACTTAAGCCTCCAGGAGTATTAACAATGTTTGGATTATATGTTCTAAAATCACCATACTTTTCAGTTAAATAAGGAAAAAAAAGATCCCTTTTAGCTTCCAGATTGAAGAAATTCTTTACCATATCTTCTGTACCATGGGATAAATATACTAACGCAGGAATAAATCCACCAAGAATTAATAAAATTAAAAGAATTAGAAAACATTCTAAAACGATATGTTTTCTAACTTTATTATCAGCTGAACTCTTTTCAATATATTCACTTGACTCAATTTTGGAACCTTCTTCTAAATCTTTGGGATTTACCGGTGTTAAAATCTCTTCAAACACTGATCTTTTAGTTAATGAATTATGATTCAATTTTAATTTATTTAAACCTGCTGAACTTAATGGTATACTAGTTTCATCATCATTAGTTCTACCGTCATATTCTTCTTGACTAAACTCTGTATAAGCGCTTCCCACTTGTTGTTGTTGTTGCTGTTGATGCTGTTGTTGATAAATCACTGTTGTTTCTATATCATCAGCTTCAATATGAAGACGATTATTATTATGTTCATCATTTATGTTCATAGTTTCACCAGTCAATGGAGAAACAGCATCTAATTGTAAATCAGCCGTATTTAATATTTGAGGTTTAGTGATAACAACGGAAGGATATCTTTCTGGACTGGGAGTTGCTGATGGACCTGCTGTTGATAAAAGAGTTTCATTAAATAAACTAGGTGATATGATATTGTTTGGTTTTCCAGGTGACAGTATTTTCTTTAAATCAGGAAAGTTTTGAGTATCTAAAGTCACATTACTTCCTGTGATATCTCTGAAATAATTGGCTGATTTAGATCTGGTTAATTTATATGGATCAAGTGGAACTAGTTTTGCTTTTGGATTATTGTTTGTAGTTGCAGTGTTTGATCTCTTAAGTAAGTTATTGAAAAAGTAACCACTACCCCCGGTAGTCTTTCTTGAAGTAGTACCCTGACCCGTAATTTCTGATTGATCTTGATGATGATGATGACTATTTGACATGTTTATTATTAGGGATTGATTGGGTGTATACCGCTTGAAACAACGGCTTTTTCAAATTGATATAATATTTTTAGCCGCTGAAATGCTGCAAACTCAAAAAAAAAAATTGCGCGAAAAGAAGTAGGAACAAATGAATTGATTTGTTTCCTAGTTTTGCAATTTGATTTTATTTTAATCTTATTCTGCTAAGAAACTCCATTATCATTTTAAACATTAGCAAGTTTGTTAAGAAAAGTTATAGTTACTACATTAGTTTTGCTTAGAGAAAAAATATGGTGTCTACTACTCAAACCACTCATGTATCATCTCCATTAAATTCTTCACAATCTCCTCTTCCAGGAAAAGACTTTGGCACAATGTCATCAATAGCACAAGATAAATTATATTTAAGATTTAAGATGCCAAAGTGTATGAAGAAGAAAAAGTGTACTCCTCAAAGGATAATCTTAAGAGTTCCAGGTAGATCACATATTTTACTTCCTGCTGAAAAGCCACCCAAAGAATCAGCGTCTAAAGGTAAATCAACTACTACCAATGCTGGTGAGGGCAATTCTGACTCTAAACCAAAATCTAAGAAGAGAAGATTATCCCATGGTAAATCAGAAAGCCCTTCCCGAGAATTGATTCTTTTACAATCTAAAAAGCAAATCAAGATTTCTCCTGTTGTTCCAGCTGTTGTTGATAATACTAATGATCCTCATGATGCTGATATTGAAGACAATGAGAGTGAAACTAGCTCTGAACCAAAGAGAAAGAAGAGAAGATCAATTTCCTTTTTATTGAGTACCACCTAGTGTAGTTGGTGTAAGTGTAAGTGCTGGTATTGGTGTTGGTGATGTTTGTGGTTGTCGTTGTTGTTGTTACTGTTGTGCTGCTTTTTTTTTATTTATTTACACAACATTATTTGTAAATGTCTTTTACAAGACTATTTCTATTATTTCACTTGTTTATTAGTTATTTATTGTTTTATTGTTTTATATATATCCTCTATTATTGTACAGAGATCAATTGGTTTGGTTATATAGTAACAAATATTTTATCCGCGAACAAAAAAGATTAGCGATCGTCTCGCTAAGAGATTACATAAATTAGGTGATCTAGAACCTTAATTAGGAGATAAGGTTATAACCCATTGATTACTTATCTTCATCATTCTCGAACATATCGTTACGATCATATAGACAAGATATAGTTAGATATGCTATAAGGTTGAGATCAGAGCGTAGAGAGGGACACATTAACAATGGAGGCTAATGCGTAAGGCTTAGAAAATCGATAGCATCGCTGGATACGACGTAAAGCCTCATTACATCAGTAAACACAAACTACGCCTTAAAACTTTAAGGTTGTCATTTATAGAATGATATTTGCATGGAATTAATAAATAGGTAAGTATAGAAAGTAAATAACTAAAACTAGGAGAATGAATAATTGTATCTTGTACCAATTACCGTGGTACTTGTGTAAATGTATGAACAATAGATGTTTATTTTGTGGTTTTTTTATGTTAGTTTTGAGAAGGGGGCAGTTTTGCTAATCTGAGTTACTCATGACAAAGTTAATATTTTCCAGAGATATTGACTAGATCCTGTATCATAATTGTAGATATGTAAGAAGATGATTGAATAGATAATGGATGAATGAGAAATGATTAAATGAGGTGAAGTAAAATGAAATTGATGATTATTATGATAAGGAATATTATTATCGACCAGTCGTTGGATTTATATTAACATTGGTATTAACATTAGTAGTAATATTAGCACTTACAACACGCAAACAAAATGTTTCCACAGAATGTAGCAGAAGTAGTAATACAACCTTCACCATTAGCAGGACAACAAGCATTAAATAATCCAAAACAAGTAAAGAATTCAATACAAAATTCGGTACATTCATTTGATTCTCTTTCATAACCGGAATGAGCATCGTCGTTGAAGGATGATGTTTCTGAATCATTATCGGAACTGTTTTGATCTTGGTGTTCTTTATTATAACTCATTTCATTTCTACCTGGTTCATTAGTGACATTTCCAGCGGTTCCGAATGCTTCTTGTGCAACAACGGCATTCATCACAGGTATATCAGCCATATTGGATTGTAGGATTTATATTAGACGATGGAAGGGGCTAGGTTAAAGTATATGAAGGGTAAACGATAGATAAGTTGTTGACAACGAAAGAAAAGAAGTGATTTGATAAATAAAATTGAGTTTAAAATCTAAAGAATGAATTCCATTTCGTAAGATGAAATTTAATCCATCCAGAAAAAAATGACTGTGTGCGCAAAACTTAAATTTCAAAATAAGATTCTTTAGTTAAACTTAAAAGTTGGACAGGGGAGAGGTTCATATTGTGTAGAGTGTGCTATACGAAAGAGAATCAAGTTAGGTCATACAGAGTCATAGCTTATCCGGTCATGCAACATTTATGAAGTTATATTAACCAATGACGATATAATCTTCTGATTTGTGATGATGAGAAGAGGTGGGAGAGTGGAGATGCGAAGAAAAATGATGGAGAAAATAAGAATTTCTTTTTTGTGGCTATTTTTGGAACCTACCTGGAACTATAAATCATAATCACAAATCATAACCAAATTTGAATGGTTTGAAAGTGATGCCATGAGTGTAGTGACATGTAATGAATACTTAACTTGATCACATTTAATGACTGTAATAAGGTATAAGTTGAATCGTGTCTTGTAATGGATAGAAATGCTATCCATTCTGATGTATTACAATCAATATCGCATTTGTGACATTACATCATTATTAACAAACAATGTATAGCCTTGATCTAGGAACAAAGTGTGTATATTGAAGAGAATGAAAATGTAGATATAATAACTTTTTGATCTATAAATAAATATATGAAAGAAATGAACGAAATGAACGAAGAAACTCTAAACCAAGCAAAACCAACCTTTAAAAAACCTAGACCAAAAATAAACTGAATATATAGATCATTGAATCACATCAGATTCAATGATCTCTTTTTAACTATACCAAAAACTGAACTTTTCATTTCTATTTTACGATAGTCTTATTCGAAATAAAACCACTAATGGGGATGATTGCTACTTAAATCCATCTCCTTTAACATATCCACAATCTCTAAATCTTGTTGGATCCCATAATCTTCTAAATCATTCTCATAATCAGCAATATAAGCTTCATAATCCTCATCTTCAAATCCATTTTGAATCTGAACATTAACCAAACGATCAGGCTTTACATATTTCTGTTCTTCTTCTTCATCATTCAATAACGTATCAAGATCAAGACCTTGGGTCACTTGATGATATTCTTGTTCATATTCACGATTCAAGTCATCTCGGAATTGGAATTCATGATATTTATCTCTCTGTAATTCTAATTTATCCTGAATATATTGATCACGAATGAATTTCATTTTATTATGTTTATTTCTCATATTGGCTCTTAAATGATGAGGTTGCTGTTGTTGATGATGTTTGGTTCGTAAAGGGGAAATCAAATGATATTGTTGATTATGAGGTGAATATGCTGAATAACTCCCCACTTCCATCGGCGATGAAGATGATGAAAATGGTTTATATAATTGATTACGACGTCTTTGCTGATTATTATGAATATCATCTAAAACATTTGATGGACCAGAAGTTGGTGATTTCGACCCGGTTGGAGATGATGATGATAACATCTTAGGTGAATGTATAGTTGTTTGCCTTATTTGTGATTGTGATTGTAATTGCGAATGCAATGGTGATGTAGTAGACATTGGACTACTCGGTATAAGGTAGTTGTTATCAACTGGTGAGCTGGGAGGTAAGTTCATTTCTGATCTGTTGTACTAGTTGTCTCACTAGGTGTAGTTGCAGTTGTAGAAGTAGAAGTGATACAGATTCTGTAATAGCAGAATAATCAATAGAATCAATGTAGATGGGATGCAAGTAAAGCTTTTAGAAGTTGAAATAGATTGACGATGCTTATCACATTAAACGTTTGGGTGTTTAAAAAAAAGTGTTACACCAAAAATATCACGCGTACCAAAAAACTCCACTCTTTACAATCAAATCGCGGGTAACAATTTTTCACCTAAAAATAGCACTTAACTACGATAGATATAACGAAGATCAATCAATCAATCAACAGCTGCTGATATTTTAGAAGGTAGTTTGGATAACGTATTGGATGTGTATTTCTACTGGATTATAATCAAATGGTCCAAGATCACGAAGATCAATTAATTCTCGAGATTGATTCAAACGTTGAATATATATTTGAGTATTCCATTGATCATTGGCAAACCATTCATAAACCCATATCAAAACTATCATCTCTGAATTTGAAACAATTTTTGGATTTGGTGGATGACAATTTACACCAATATTATGAAGTTCACCACGGTAAGCTTTGGAAAGATGATAAACGGGATGAAATGCAAGAAGATGGTTTAATTTATGTATGGTATGAATTTAAAGGTGAATTAGTAGGATTTATAAGTTTTAAATTAGTTGATGATGAAGAAGGGATAGATGGTCTGGTGTTTTACCTTTATGAAATTCAAATTAAAGAAAAATTCCGTGGTCAAAAAATAGGAACTAAATTAATGAAAAATTTAGAAAATCTAGTGATATATATAAGGACTAAAAGTAATGATGACAAAATACTAAAAATAAATCAACTTCAACAATTATCAGGTATTGCATTAACGGTATTTTCCCAGAATAAAGTTGCGTTTGAATGGTATATACGATTGGGCTTTAAATTGTCACCATCATCACCCCGGGATAAAGTTTTAAGAAATGGTAAAGTTCTAAAACCTGACTACTACATACTATACAAGTCATGCTGAGAATGCTCAGTAAAAATGTGAATTCAATATAGAAAAGTTACATAAATAGAAGTAAATAGGAGTCAACAGAAGCATAAAGATGATGACTCAATCAAATGTACATACTAAAATTAAAAAAAAAAAGGTACTGCAAAAAGTTGAATCCAAAAATGTAAAATCTAAATATAACTTAAGTTTAGCATTAAAAAGAAAAGACCATAAAGTCAGCCCTATAATCACTTATAACTTAACCGTGTCTTCGGAATGAAACAACCGTTTCCAAAAATAAAATAAATTCAAAAGCTAACATTAAAAAAATAATGTTTAAATTTAAGTTGAAAATAATTATTCATATCATCCATCCATCTTCATATTGTTCCATTTACTGATAAACTATAATTACAATTACATCATATTTTCGACCATGAACAAATCGAGAAAAGTGCCATATTGTGCAGGTCATACAACTGTGTATACTCCAGTAACTACTGCTCCAGGTTTCATTAATAGCAATTGAGGTAATTGGTGATGATAACCGTTGCTAGGTTTCGTTAATTAAAGTGAAAAATATAAAGTTACGTCATATCGATACTGAGCCTGTATTAAAAAATATAATCTGATTCAGTAATAAACATGAACAATTGAATCAAAACAAATTCAATTGATTTCATTCCTTCAATTGATGATGAAACAGGCGGCAATCAATGGTTTGCCATTAACTTTCATTGAAAATAAGGCATATGTAGAAGTTTAAGTTATGAATAGGAGTATATATATCGATGGTGATGATTTCCAGTCAGCAAAAAATAAAAATTATTTTTTTGATAGGGCTGAGCACTCTATCCTTTTCTGTCAATAGAGTGGATATAGGCTTCCACGATAATGACAATGACAAGAGGATAAGATAGTACTAGAGTTACCGTTGCCAAGAGTCAATTGAACAAGGTGATAGAATGTAGCTACATATCAACAATATATCAACTAACGTTGCCAATGAAATTAAGCATAAAATGAGAGTCTTAGTTCATTATTTGCGATAAGAAAAAAAAATACGGGGTAGGAAGTAGCGAGGTTTGCAAAAAAATGGAATATCGTAGATTATGTAGCTAATTTAACTTGATCTGGCATCATACAATATATTGTTAGTTAATTAACATTAATAAAATTAAATTACATATAAAAACCGAAAAGGGTAAAAGATAAATAAAATTAAAAACCAAATATATATAAAAGAAATAAACGAATTAAAAACCAACCTAAATACCTAAAATTAGAAAGCCAGTACTAACGATGAACCAAAACGAGAATTAAAACCGAAAAATGCAAGCAAGATGAAGAATTTGAAATAGCGATATAAGTACCAAACAAGATTCATTCAATAATAAGTAAAAGTATGTTTTTTTTTTAAATTTTATAATCCTGTATAAAGAATGAAATGGATAAAAAGTTTTTGTTTACTTTAAGATTTTAAAAAAATCTAGGAAATAAACTAAAGTCACTATGGACTTCTGCAATGGTATAATCTTCAACATTTGAATCTCTACCATGGATGATATGAGAAATACCCACATCAATAACACTTAAAAGGACGAAATCATCAAATTGTTCAACCAATTCAAACCTAACGATCTGAATTAGAGCTATAGACCCAAGGGAATCTCTCAAAAGAATTTGAAGTGCAATAATACTAAATAAATGAGATTGATCTACCCAAAAAAAGTGATCAATCAGTATTACAACGTCCATGTGAGGACACCCGAAATTGAACGGGGGTTGAAGCTTATAGGATTTGATTGTGACAGGCTTTATAGTGATAGTATGTATTTAAATGAGTGTTGATGGTCTAGAAACAAGAAAGAAAAGTGATACAAATTTGTAAAATTTTTTTTGAAACCAAATTTTTTTTAGATTTCCAACTAACCTAGAATTGCCTGCATATTGAATCACATTTAAGGATTAACTGCCTTTGAAACCACTACGTAAGGTCCTTATTTTACTATGTCCAGGGAATAATACTACTCTCACTAAAAGAAGAACCGACCAGTCACGCTTATTTTGTCGCTAAACTCACTACAAAACTTTCCATTTTGGGATTCGTAAAGTCAATTAATTAACCCTTCTTTAAGGACTTATCGGTAGAAAAATTCAATTTACTCTATCTCTTTTTTAATATAGACAAAATCCACTAATCATCCAATCACATCAATCTGATTCGAGCTGGTTAATTATATATCTTATCATTATATCATTTGGTTAAAGGTAGTCTCCGTACCAAATCATTTTTTCGCAACACCTATCGCACTTGGCTGCCTTTAAAGGTAGATTTCAAAGATAAATTATGGGAACAGAAATAGAGTCAAAAATGGTTCATAGAGTTATTAACATGATAGCTTATTACAAACTTTCATATAATTCATTCAGTATTAAGATGATAATATTAGTATATACTCTAAATAAGCTAAAGAATTAAAAAAAGCAAACCAAATCCAAATCCAAAACGAAAATAAAAATCTATCCAAATCAAAACTTTGTAGAATGATCTAAACCATGATACCTCGTGGCAACAGTGCATCTGTAAGCATTAATTATGGATAAAAAGGATTGAAAAATGTATGGTAAACATTTAGCTTTTAGTATGATATCGGTTGAACAGCTTGAACAAAATAGATCATGAAATTTCTATTGGCCGCGACTAACCGATTTAGCCAACTTTAATTAATTTTTAGGTTGTTTAACTGATAACGATCTTTTTTGAACTCCGATAATAAATAGATGGAGTCAAATTATAGTTTATGCTGTTGTTTAGTGACTCTTGATAATAACATGAAGAAGTCAATTGGGTTATAATAGTACATTTTACAAGTTGTAATTAATGATAATGGAGTAATAGATGAAGTTATACCGAAAATTTATTTGTAAAAGGTCATCTAACTGAATTACATTACAAGATTTTTAATAATTTAATATGATGATAATATAATTAATATATGTAAAATTCTAAATAAAGTATAATCCCATAAACCAGTAAAAAAAAAACAAAAATAATAATTAGACCCCAAGAATTGAACTTAAACTAAAACGTAAAACAACATAACCAAACCAAATCCAATTTTACCCAATTGGTTCTAATGTTAACACACCAATTACCCATACCAATTAACCTAAACTTCTAACCAGAGCCATACCCATTTAATCATCTTCATCATACCAACGAATATAAATCATATCAGGTAAATCTAAAGCAGTTGTAATTTTTGGTGGAAACAAGATTTCCCAATATTCATTGACGTAACAAATAAAAAGTTCAGTTTTAACACCATAAGCTGACCAAGTTGCCTTATAGTATACGATTTGATACATATTTAGTGATTATGGAGAGAAAGAGAAAGAGAGATAAAAAGAAAGAATTGTTTTTGAAGGGAGAGAGGGTAGGAATGGGTTTTTGTATTCATCATATTCCTTAAATCAGATTATGACCCGTAATATCAGTAATCAATTGGCAAGCGTCAGCGAAGGTAAAATAGTGTTTAATTATGTATGGTGAAGAATTTCTTTTAGCGTCTATGTCGGTGTAAAAGCCTCAGATCGATTTTGGATCATCTAAAAAAAAAAAGCCTAATATTTTTTATGATAGATAACAAAATAAATTTTTCAAAACACTAATTTTTCACTTTCAATCCCGTCGGAAGGTCCGAATTGACGAAGAGTCAAATATGAGCCGAGTCATAAATCATCACTTAACCCATGATTGATTCAATTGAGGTATAATCTACAACTTACAAGTAGCAATTGATGTTGATGGTATTTAATCGTGAAATTGAATCTAATAACAAAACGAGTAAATAAAGAAATAAAGAAATAAAGAAATAAAGAAATAAATATATATATATAACATGTAAACCTCCAAGGGCATAAAATGAATCAATTGATGTCAATTGATATCAAACCAAACCAAACCAAACCAATTGAAACGAATTGAAGTAATAAATGAAAAGAAATCAACCAGGAAACTCTTTTTTTGTACAATTGTATTTTTATAATGTAAATTCTATTTTGTAAGCCATCTTCAGATAAACACTATCCAAAGATTCCAATAACCAATATTTTCGAACCAAAACCAGATCCATGCAAATAACCCCAATCGAACGACCTCCCCTTTACAAGAGGTTAGTTTGACTATGCCATCGTATGAACACTTCATTTGGTTCTTCTTCAGTAGCATCAATGATCTGAAAGGAATCACTCATATAGATGACAACAGAAGTGGTATCTAATCCATATGATGTCCAGAAAGGATAAATCACAATCAATACCTTCATGGATGTTAGTATTGACTGTAATGATGATGATGATGATGATGATGAATAAGAAGTAAGTGAAGATGAAGTTGAGATCAAAATCAAGCCAATTTTGAATCTATTTATGCAATAGTAAGCTTGCACCATGATTATTAAGTGGTCACCGATCTCTCATTATCGGTAAATCACAATAGTGAATGAAACGGCTGTAGTAAGACATCTACCATATTACCGGTAAAAAACCATAATTAAAATTAAAATTAAAAACAAGTTAGATCATTCAAAAATTATAATTTTTTTTGATTTTTTTTTTTTTTTTTTTTTTTGTGATTCTCCACGATTCATAGGGGAGATGAAAAGATAATAATATGAAGGCTACAGATCATTAATTAGTTTTTTTAAATTCATTTCTTTTTGCAATTGTTTACATTTTATGTTTATTCGATAAAAAGAAATGTTACTGTAATCTTATCTAATTACTTCATTCATATAATATATTAATTATAAAAAGGAGACATTGAAGTGATTAGTTGCCAGTCCTCCTAATTCTGATTTACTAATAGTAAATTAAGTTATAACAGTTTAGAATTGTCAATTGTTTCGTTCTACTACAGACATATAATGTATGTACATTATTTATAGATAACTATAGAGATCAATTGAGTAATCCTCATATTGATTATGTACCAATAATGAATTAAAGGGGTATTGTAAATACGAATGTGCATAAATATAATTTTAATTTACGATTAGGAGATGAACAATGGATCAGCAAAGAAGAAGAAGCAACAAGAAGCAAGAAGAAGAATAACTAAACCATTTATTATTGATGATCATTATAATAAGTTCATAGCCCTTTCTAAAATTATTAATTATTAATTATTAATTAAGGGGGTCGTTGTTGTCGTGTACTTTTGCAAGGAGTCGTGTCCTTCTGATCAAAAACTGATTCTATTTTTAGGTCATTCAATTTTTCTTTAAGCTTTTTTTAATTTTGTTCTCTGGTTCAATCCCCGTTAAATTGCAACTGATTTGAATATAGAATATAGATTACAACATCAGGTATAAATACTAACACATGTACTGACAGACAGACAGACAGACAGACAGACAAAAATAGATTTGTTACTTGTTCTGAATCGAGTTAACGATCAAGTGACGATACCATTACTGTGTGTGGGTGTACCATCAAGTGGTAGGGATCAGTGGTAATCTCTCCGTTAAGCTCCCCCCCCAAAAAAAGTAGATTGAACTGCACCGCTAATTATAGATTCTATCTTTAGCAGTATACCACTTTTTCGATTGTCTATTTCAACATTTACGACATACTATATTCTTGTTCAACCCCTGCTGTAGTTCTAATATTAACTGTACACACCACCACACCACACACATCTCTTTCAATTGACCCCCATCGATTCATCCTTTAAATTTAGAATATATATCTTTACTTCATTTATAAGGAGACTTTTCACTTCGTGTTTTTTTTTTTTTTTTTTTTTTTTTTGGTTAAAGCAAGGGAAGAAAAAGGGAATTTTTATTTCTATTTATATCTTCTGTTAACATCAAAATTTAATTCAATATCAACAAACCAAACATCAACAATATTCTATTCGCTATCCCAACAACAACAACAACAAAAATACTTCTATATATAACTATACCCCATCCATTTCGCAATTCATACAACTAGTTCATCATGGGGAGAAGAAAAATTGACATTCAACCTTTAACTGATGATAGAAATAAAACCGTTACATTTGTAAAGAGAAAAGGAGGATTATTTAAAAAAGCTTATGAATTAGCGGTATTATGTAATGTTGAAATTGCAGTTTTAATCGTAGGTTCAAATGATAAAGTTCATGAGTTTTCATCAGTTAATTCAAAAGAAGTTATTAATGCTTATGAACTGAAACTTCGAAATCGGGAAAGAATTGATTCAAAATCATTAGAGACATTTGAAGTTTATAAGAAAAAGACTTATTTACATGAACCATTAACAAGAATGAGTGATGGGAAACAATTTCCTAGTCGTCGGAGTGGAGGTCATGCTGGAAGATTAAGTGGAGTTGGTGGTGGTTCAAGTGGTACTGGTGTAGTTGGTGGAGCAGGGGATGATGATGATGATGGTGATATTGAAGATGAAGATGATGAAGATGAAGATGATGAAGATGATGAAGAAGAAGAACGTCAAACAAGTTCAAGAAAAAGACAACGAACTAATAAATCATCATCATCATCCACATCAATCCCAAAACAACAACAACAATCACAACATATTAAAAATACTGATTTATTACAACCATCATCATTTACAAGAGGAAATATCTTTAATTCTAATTTTCGTAAAAATGATGAAACTTCTTTAACTCCATCAAGTATAAGTTCATCATCAACTTCAGATATAAAATATAAATCTCAAGATTCAAAACCTTCCTTACCAACCATACTGACAAAACCAATCTCATCTGTTCATTCAAGTACAACAGTTGGACAAAGACCAGTATTAAGAGTACAAATTCCTATCGATCATCAAACTAATAATACAAATGATAGTGCAAGAACCATAACCGCTATCGATACTCATCCAAGTAAGAGTGAAGGAGGATTATCTTCCAATGATAGTTCAGGATCTTCCGATACCAATAATCCAATTCGAAATAGTAATAATAATATTAATCCAATTCATCATCCTCAACATCATCATTTAAGTCATCATCATAGCCATATTTTCTCCAATGGGAATAATCCGAACCCCAACAATAATAATAACAATGGGGGGAATAATAATAATAATAATAATAATAATAATGGCTTGCCTAATATAAATACTCATTTCAGATCACCCGATTCAAGAAAACCAACATTACCAATGCCAATTCAATCATTATCACAGACGACATCTCCAGCCAGTACTACTGCGCCTGGATTCCCTCATCCTAATTTTAGCAACAATAATAATAATAATAATCCTAATAATGCCAATACTAATCCGAATGGTAATAATAATATGGGTAATTATCCAGGTCCATCATTTTCTCCTTCTTCATATACACCATCTACAGCTATTAATCAAATGTTAAGTCAAGGTCCTCATCAACAACAGCCGCAATATGCCAATTCAAGTAAGATAAGGCATTCGTTTTATCCTGGGGGGAATACAGCAACATCAGGCACTGATCCACAACAACAATCACAACAAGCACCTATCATGTCGGATGATTTCTTACCTTCCCCATCAATTTTCCAACAACCTGAATGGATGAATAATGGTGGTAGTACAGGATATACACCTACTGCTCAAAACATGGCATTTTTTGGATTAAGTGCCGGTGGGAATGGAGTTACCCAATTTAATTTAAGTGGATTAAATAGTCGATCCATGACATTATCATCACCTACAACTTTCATATCGGGAGATCCCAATCATGGTGGTCCAAGATCATTCACTACTCATCATCTTTCCAATGTGAGTGGATCTACACCGGGGGTGACTAATTCCACTACACCTGTCATAGCGGGGATAAACAGTGATAATAATAATGGTAGTGGTGGTGGTGTGATATCGAGTGTTACATCTTCAAGTCAAGTTACAAGTACAAATAATAGTCTTAATTCAACTAATACTGAAGGAGTGTTAACTAAAGCATCAAGTAATGGTGGTGGAGGAGATGGAAGTAAAGTTAATAGTAGTAATGGAGAAATTAAAATTGAGAAGTAATAGGGATAACAATAGTAATGGTGATATTGGTTTAATTCGTTTAATGGGGAATAGTTAATAATAAATATAACAAGTAAAGCAACAATAAAAAAAGACAATGACAACGTAATAGTTGTTGGTTGATTGATTGTATTTTTAAAGGAATATTATATATGTTATAACTATATATATATATATATAATAAATGGTTTATTTCAAGTTCTTTATGTTATCTGATTTTGCAGTTAATAAAGAGTATGTGGTGATAGTGGTTGTATGTATACTGATTGTGATAACTAGGGCTTCAGACCTGGAAAGCGTCGAGTCACGTTACCAGAAGAGAGAATTACAATTGTATACAGGAGACATAGTTAACAGAAAGTGCGCACTACTTTTCCCATAGTTAAGCTTTTAAGTATGAACAATTTCATTAACAGTGCGAACTTTTACATAGCGTCTTAAGTAACAAACATTTCTCATAGTTAAGCTCTCAGTGTTTTTTTTTCTTTTCACCAACCAGTTTGAGTGAGAGAGGAAAAATTAAATTTATCAAATTTTTTTATTCAAATTTTTTATTTATTAAGATTTCAATTACTTAATTCATACAAAGGGCAGACATAGACAATATGAAGGTATGTGTTAATAACTACCGTATCAAGAGGAAGAGGAATAAGATTAAGAATATCCATCAAGTCAATCCAGAAGAATGAATGAAGGAGAGAATGTGTACTATTGAAATGAATCATCCCAATCATCAAAATGAAAAATGAAAAATGAAAAATGAAAAATGAAAAATAATGTAAAGAGACAAAGTTAACCATCGTATTAAACGATTTGTAGTTCAAGAAGAGAGGATTTCATCATGTCAGTCAATAATCATTATTGAATTGGGAACCAAGATCGAACTGAAGTTGAATCATCAGATTTAATCATATACCATTGAAATCAAATAATCATAATCATCTGTAATGAGCAAGAAGAGTACAAGAGTCAAGTCAAACATATCAATATATTATTTATATGAAAAGAAGGATGAACAAAGTGGAGTTGTATAACTCTAACTAGTTCATTCATTCTTATTCATTCCTACCACCTATAAAAAGATGAAAAATTATCATACCATGAAAAAAGTAACATTGACCAGTATCATCTAAGTATCTCCATCATCTATATCTCACCATTATAATACTCATCATCAATATCAGTTCAATATAACCATCCCATCATCATCATTATCATTCCATCCTTGAAATTTCACTAATTATGCTCACAAGAGAGAAAAAAATTTCACCCTCACCAATTAAACCCATAAGAATCATCCATCCATCCTACGATTCAATCATTTCCATAGTTTCACAGTCATCTCCTCTCATCATCCATTCTATTGACCTTTATTCTTCATATTCAGTTTCCAATTTAAACAAAAAAACTTTATATACTAACAAATTATTCTTTTAGTTAAACATTTCTTATCCAGCCAATGGTACTCAAAAGAGTATTGAAATTGAAGATGAACATAAATTACGTCCATTTTACGAAAAGAGAATGGGTCAAGAAGTTGAAGGTGACGTTGTTTCTGATGAATTCAAAGGTTACATTTTCAAAATCACCGGTGGTAATGATAAACAAGGTTTCCCAATGAAACAAGGTGTCATGCATCCAACCAGAGTTAGATTATTATTAGCTAAAGGTCATTCTTGTTACAGACCAAGAAGAACTGGTGAAAGAAAGAGAAAATCAGTTAGAGGTTGTATTGTTGGTCAAGATTTATCTGTTTTATCTTTAGCCATTGTTAAACAAGGTGATGCTGATATTGAAGGTTTAACTGATTCTACTACTCCAAAAAGATTAGGTCCAAAAAGAGCTAACAATATTAGAAAATTCTTTGGTTTAACTAAAGAAGATGATGTTAGACAATTTGTTGTTAGAAGAGAAGTTTCAAAAGGTGATAAATCTTATACTAAAGCTCCAAAAATTCAACGTTTAGTTACTCCTCAAACTTTACAAAGAAAGAGAGCTCTTAAATCTAAAAAAGTTAAGAATGCTCAACAACAAAGAGATGCTGCTGCTGAATATGCTCAATTATTAGCTCAAAGATTACATGAAAGAAAAGAAGAAAAATTCGAAATCAGAAAGAAGAGAGCTTCTTCAATTAAATCAAATGCTTAAATTTAATTTAATATAATTTCTTCCTGTTATTATTATTATTATTCTTTTTAATCTTTTCCCTATTTAATTACAAATCAATCAACTACCATCCCTATCCCATCCCATCCCATCCCACAAAAAATAAATCCGTTTCCTGGTTTCATTAATTCAATCTTTATATATAATATTATATAGTTAAGTATATACCTATACATTCAAACATATATAAGATGAATAAAATTTAAATTACTATATATAATCGCTATACAACGTAATAAAAGAAGATTCCTGTTTATTATTCCATACTCTATGAACATTATCTAATGAGGACCAATTTGTAATCTCTTTCTACCATTACTTTCTTTATCATCTTCATCATCATCATCATCTCCTCCTCCTTGTCTCTTTCGAACTAATCTCTTTATATTCTCATAAACTTGATCACTAGTTAAATTCGAAGCATAAGTGAAATTCTTCCTCATGAAATTATCTTGTTCTTGTTTATATTTAGGATCCCGTAATAAGACTTTAAGATGATTATCAAATTTCAGTTCAGGGATAAGTTGACTGGTTATTGGACATTTTATAAGTTTTTCCCCATTGGATGTAGTCGATGATGCTTGTGATGATGTTTTTGATCTTGATTTTAATCTTGATTCTCCAGCCGCTTTTATCTTCATACCTTTGAATGGTTGAGGTATAACTTTTTGTTCTTCCTCCTGTTCTTGAATTGGCTCTTCTATATGCTTTTCTACCTCCTCCTCCTCCACATGTCGTATCACATCTTTATTCTTCGACTCTAATGATCTATATATCAAATCTTCTCGTGATAAAGGAACAGGCAATTCTTGAACTTCATCAATAGCATCAAATTCAATCTTACCCACTATAGAAAAATCTTGCCAATCAATCGAAGCAAATTGTAATTGTAATTGATGTTGTTTTACTTTCTTCTCCCGTTCGATTTCTTTATGTTGAAGATCATATTGGGATCGTTTATATCCTATATCAATGATATTATCAGCTTGCTCTAATTGATTAAATAAATTCTTCACTTCTTCATCATCTACTTTCCCATTTTCTTCCAGGAGTAAAAACTTGATTAGGAGGTTATATTGTGACACGTAGGTTTGAAATAACGCATATAATGAATGATTTTCATTTAAGAATTCAAATTGATTCTTATTCCCTTGTTTAATTTGATGTTCTTGTAAGGGTTTAATATATGATTCACCATTCTTAGCCACGAATAATGCTGTTAATTTGATAACCTCCAAATCAATCTGAGATATCATCGGTAAGTCTATTAAAAAGGGTAATTCACGAGGTTTGGCAATGATTTCATCTTCTCCTGTCGGTATATCCTTTCCTGATATATCATTATTCGATGAGATGAGTGATGAAGTAGGAGTAGTAGATTTTGATGATGATGATAATTTCCATTGGTAATACCCATGATACTGATGATTTGGAAGTAAGAAATCAAACTTATGATCTTTATTATTTGATTTCAATCGTTCTACAAACCCAATACCATTCTTAATCACATATCCTGTAGTTTTTTCAATCGTTTGTTTAACATCCATAGGAGGGATAACCACATCTTGAGGTGGAGACCCACTTTCTTCTTGTTCATTAGTCATCCTAAACTATCATACCCAATGCACGTTGGACAAACTCTATGATCTTAAACACTGATGTAACCAACAAATTTGATGATAATTGTTGGCCCTTGCGTTGTTTCTTGTTGGCTGTAAATATCTGCCAGTTTTGAATGCGATTTACGGACAGGAAAATAAAATTTATTTTGTGACTATAATTTTATCATAAGACATTTTTTTTTGTAGCGAGAGTACAGCTGGGGGTTAAACGGGACGGGTCGTTAAAAGTTTAGGGAAGGAAAGGGAAGACATATACAATTTCCAGTAAGCATTGATTTGATAGATGTCAGTATAAGATAGATACAATCTACTTTATCAGAGTATAACTCAATTACATTGCTTACCATTGCTGTCCTTTTCATTATGGATGATGGCAAAATAAGTGAACCGTTGATTCAATCAGATCTCTCCATTGAATCTCAACCAGTAGTATCACAACCAGATCAAGATCCACCACCAGCAGCATTACTTCCTACCAAACATCATCATCATAAACATCGTCATAATCATGATCGGAAACGGAAAAGACGACATAAGAAGATTTACTATACTGATGATTCTGATGAAGTTGATTCATTAACTGAAGAATTAGATCAAATTGGAAGATTGAATATAAATTTAAATTTAAATCTTTCATCATTCATAAATAAAGATTCATTTACATTATCAAATATACCGAATTTACCTAATTTACCTAATTTACCAAACTTACCTAATCTACCATCACTTGAATTATCAAGATTACAAGAATTCTCTACTGAATTTTCTCAATATGTTGCAAATTATATCAATCTTACCAAGAATTATTATACTAGTAATAAGGATATCCCTGATGAAGAAACACAACACGAAGGATCATCTTCTATACTCCCAGATACTCACGATAAAGAAGATGTGGTTCAACAACAAAGATTAGTCAATTCAATCAAGACAATTTTAAGTACCAGAATTCAAATGAATAAATTCTTAACTGATTTAAGATCGGGGTTGAATATCAGTACTGCTATAGATCGATTACAACCTTTGACTGATATAATCCATCAAACTATATTCTTACCGGCTGAAGATATAAGTGATTATGAAGAAGATTATTACGATAGTAAGAATAAATATGATGATGATATTACCATGTCTACTCCAACCATTATGGTTGATGAAGATGAAATCACTGAACCTGTCGGTGTCGGATCGATCGTTAATAAGGATCAACCTCTTTTGAATGAGATTGTTAAGCCGGAAGTAAGTAATCTGACAAGGTATAGACGAAAGAAATCGAGATCTAAATCGAGGAAGAGATTAGATTCAATATATTTATCAACGGGGGATGAAGAAAGTAGTACCACCCAAGTCAGTGATTTAGATAATATTGAAGGATTAACTCTTGATGATATTCGAGAATTAACTGATTTAGAATCGGTTGATGATTTCTTAAAACAAGATACTTTAAGAATTCGAATTCAAACTATTCAGAAATTAGATAATATAAATCAAAAGGCCAAGAATAAATTAGTTACGAGATTAATGATGGGGAATTATTATAAGTATGTTAATGATAAATTATCACCTGAGAATCAGATTAAATTCCCCTCCAAATTACGGAAACAGAGATTAACCTTAGATGTGGGTGAAGTGAATCCTCCATTGAAAGAAGAAGAAGAAGACGAAGTGGTAGAAGGAGAGGGCATGATAGGTCCCGAAGATGAAGACGATTCAATGACAGAAGATGAAGAAGTTATCCTTACAGAAGCTGATCAAAATCCATCATATCATGATGCACCATTCAATACTATTCTCGGATGTCAACATTATCAAAGAAATTGTAAATTAGAATGTCCAACTTGTTTGAAATGGTATGTTTGTCGATTCTGTCATGATAATGAAGTTCACAACCATGATGGTGAGAATAGTACTGATCATAAATTAATTCGAGCAGAAGTTAAACATATTCTTTGTATGAAATGTAATACACCACAAATTCCTGATTCTAATTATTGTATTAATTGTGAACAAGAATTAGCCAATTATTTTTGTTCAAAATGTGTCTTATATGATAATGATCCTACCAAGGATATTTATCATTGTGATAAATGTGGGATTTGTCGATTAGGATTAGGTATTGATAAAGATTATTTCCATTGTGATACTTGTAATATTTGTTTATCGATTGATTTACGAGAAAAACATAAATGTCTTGTGAATACTACTCATTGTGATTGTCCAATTTGTAATGAATATTTATTCACCAGTGTTTCCAAAGTGGTATTTATGAAATGTGGTCATTCAATTCATCAAATATGTTATGATGAATTAATTAAACATAGTTATAAATGTCCAATTTGTAAAAAGACTATTGTGAATGTTGAGACTCAATTTCGATTATTAGATCAAGAAATCAAACAATCACCATTACCTTCTCCATATAATAATTGGAGATGTATTATAAGTTGTAATGATTGTAAGGGGAAATCGAATTGTTCATATCATGTGTTGGGATTGAAATGTAAGTATTGTAAGAGTTTTAATACGAATCAATTGAAATTGATTAAGCCAGAAGAGGAACAAGAAGATGTAATGAGTGGAGAAGATGATACTGAAGATGGTATAACTGTTAATGGAAATGAATTTAATGATGTTAATTTAATGAGATTGGTTCATACTAATTTACTGAGTAATTTTCGAATTGATGATCAAGATTATACAGAAGAACAAAGTGGATATGAAGATGATGAAGAAGATGATCGAGAGGAACGATTGAAACAGAATACAATTGAAGAAGATGATGAAGATGTTCATCATATGTTTAATTTTAGAAAGTTGACTACTACTAATACGAAAAAGAATTCAAATGTATCATATATCACATCGATGTTTCAAACTTTTATAAATAATGCCATTACACCAAATGAAGAGAATATAATTAATAATAATAATAATAATAATAATAATACTAATATGACATCTACTAAGAAAGTAGATACAACTATAGTTTAATTAAGTACATGTATATATACAATAAAAACTGGGGGGTAATTCAAAAAACAAAGACTAACAGATAATATATAAGTTCATTCATGAGATATTTTTTGCAATCAAAAGTAGAGGAGAGAGTAAAATGAAGGGAAGAATAGTTTGGGACATGGGTTATGCCATGGGTTGTGAGAGATGGGTAGTAGTAGTTCGTAACAAGTCAAGATACAACCATACGAATAATAAGTTAATAATAGATGAATAATATGATTAATGGGGTATACCCCTATTTCCTAGTTGAATATTTTTCATGCATAAACTATATGTCAACCTTTTTTAGGTGACCCATTTTAGAATTTTGTTGACCTTTTTTTGTTTCAGTAATTATTTTTTGCAATATCAATTTAAAATGATGGGGTCCAAGTGGAAGTAGTGGGCATTATTATTATACGATGTGATTACGATCAATAGAGAGATTAAGATAATTTTAAGATACTTTCAAGAAATGGTTACAAGGAACAATTAATAACCAATGAACTAGATAGTAACTCGTACAATTATTTTATTAATTAACTAGTTAAACGAAACTAACTAGTACTTCGTACTAGTTTAGTTTAGTTTAATGATATAACTTCCTAAATAGGCAATGGTCCATACGAAATTAAAACAATTTTGGGGACTATATAATTATTCCGAAATGGAATTTTAATCCCCAAAAGTTTGTTGTTGGGGCGGCTCAGCTCAGCTCAACTTATAGTCTGTAGACATTGACGACATATAATTAGTATAATGTCGCAGAAGTATTTATAGTTAGCAGGCTTAATTAAGTAATTGTCACCGCACTCACTAACTGAGACTGACTGACTGACAGATCATTCAAAAATTAGTGTTAACTAAATAGTTAATAACAGATGATGATTAACTGGTGTATATAAGTAATGGAAATAGATCATTAGTTGTAGAGTTGTAACGTTGTAGTGTAACCAGTAATTGACTAACTATCATCATCATCATACTTTGTTGATAGAATCAATCATCTGATCTTCTTCCTTCTACTAGTTAACTATTGTGTGGGGGTGTCACTGCTCTCGTTCTGGTCGTACAACAAAATAAAAATCCCAAAAAAAAAAGAAGACACCAAAAGAATTTTTTACAGCACAAATATTCATTTACAACCAATTCAATTTATATCTTACCAATTCATCTTCATCTTTCTTCTTATTATATATAGACCATCCATCAAGTGATATCACCAATCAATCAACCCATCCATCCATCCATCCATCATACCAAGTGTACCTACCCTATTCCTTACTGACTATCCCTAATAACTAATCATAACACACCAGAAAAAGGAAAAAAAGGAAGCAATCGGTCCCACACACCCCCCCTCTCCCATCATCTTATAATTAACAACAAACAACAACCTAACAGTAATTACAACAGATAATACTATCTGTTACTACTATATACACATCTATACACTATTATGAATAATCACCATTAACTTACCAACTAGAATCAATCCAATCTAATACATTCCAATCCAATCCAATCATAAGTAATAGTTTCTACTTGATCTATTCGTATAAACCCATATACATACATCGCATTAAAATATAGTTTCCAAATGAATTCTCTAAAGATTTTAGTTAATTCTTTGGAAACAATCTATCATCCTTCAAAATCATCTTCTCCATCTTCATCACCTTCAAATTATGATTTATCAAATTCAACTAATCATTTACAAGTTGTAGTTGATGATGATTATAAGGATTTATCACATGCCACAAATGATAATGATGAGAATGAATCAAAACCATCTGATTTAACTTCTTCATCGAATGATACTATAATAAACGTGGATCAACAATCATCTGCATCATCACCATCTCATGAAGATGATGATAATTATAATGATGTATTAGAAATAAATTTATCTAAAAATCAATCATCATCAAATTCTCCCATAACATCAACATCATCAACATCCACTCAATCAAATCTCAATCCCACCATCATACCCAAACGAAAATCATCATTTAAAACATTCTTTTCAATTTTATTCCATATTATATTCTTTCTTCCTAATTATCTCGTTATAAAACCAATCATATTTATATGGTATTTAATCATATTTCCCTTTATTTATACTGGTCAAATCTTGGGGTTATTAAATGAAGATGATAATGATGAATTATTATTTGAAAAGGAAAGAGAAGAAAAAATGAATCAAGAAGAACAACAATTGAAGGATTCACAATTAAAAAAGAAAAAGAAGAAGAGTATAAAGAAGTTAACTCCAACTCCTCCTCCTTCAACTCCATCAAGAATCATTGAAGAACAAGATGAATTAGAACAATTCGTCCATGATCATGACGATATAGATCAACATCAACATCATCATAGATCATCTACTTCTTCTACTCCCGACAATCGTTCATTCATAGATGATAAAACTGAACAAATCAAACAAGAAAATATCTTTTCCAATAAAATTAAATCCCCCACTGCATCTTCAAAATATATCATCCCACCTCCTCAACGATTATATCCCTTCATAAGAAATCCATTAAAAAGAAAACGGAAAACTTTGATTCTCGATTTGGATGAAACTTTAATTCATTCATTATCAAGAGGTTCACCACGTTCATTCAATTCCACTAGTGTATCATCTCCAAAAATGATTGAAATCAAATTAAATAATATCGCCACCTTATATTACGTTCATAAACGTCCTTATTGTGATTATTTCCTTCAAGAGATTTCCAAATGGTTTGAATTACAAATCTTCACTGCAAGTGTTAAAGAATATGCTGATCCTATCATCGATTGGTTAGAAAGTGATATAATCGATTATCAAAAGAAAAAGAAGGATGATTCTTCTATAATGGGTATCCCACCAACCATCCCTGCCGACTTTATAAACCAAACCACCACCCCTACCAACAACGATAACAACTCACCAATTTTCACAAAGAGATATTATAGAACGGATTGTACGTTCCGACCTGGAGTAGGATATATCAAAGATCTTTCGAAATATATCAAAGACGAAGATTTGAAAAATGTCATTATATTGGATAATTCCCCCATTTCATATGCTTTACATGAAGATAATGCCGTCATGATTGAAGGATGGATTAATGATCAGAGTGATAGGGATTTATTAAATCTTTTACCGATGTTACATAGTTTAAGTCTTTGTATTGATGTGAGGTTTATCCTTGGGTTAAGATCGGGAGAAAGATCATTCGAAAGAGAAATAAGGAAAGGTTGATACGATATACAAATATATATAATGAGATCCATGATAAAATTCAAAACTTAAAAAGCAAGGGCAGACATGCCTACACATACAGACATTTAAAGTCATATAATACTACTGATGATGATTTATTCATTTTTTAAAATGCAAACCCTATTTATACAAAATAACATAAAATAAAAGTTCAATTAAAAGCACGGTATTCAAAATTACAAAAAATAAAAAAAAAGTCCTCTCATATACATACATACATACATAGTTTGATTTTTAATTTTTAGATATGATTAGATATTTAGGAAAAACTACATCCATTATAAATAAATATAAATTTATATATGATATACTTACACAGATAATTGTAGCTGTAGGGAATACTAATTTTTGCATCTATAAAGTAAGCCGAATTATATACAGGAAAATGATCTCTAATATCATAAAATAATTTTTCAGATTTTTGAAAGAGTAAGGTAGACAGGGTAAGATTGATTGATTTGACAGGAGTTGAAGCTGAAAGATGAATGAAGATCAAGAATTACGCCATCTTATAGATCAAATACGATATACCAATGGTAATGGTGATGTGTTGTTGGATATTGAGAAGTTAAAGTTATTGGGGGATGCATTACGTGATGAAGAAACGCGATCCAATCCGATTATAAATGAATCTATACCGATTTTGGTTGATATCTTTATTGAATTGTTTTCCATTGATAACTTGATGTCTAATTTCAGAGAGAAAGAAGAACTATTGAGAGTTTTCATTAATGTTTTAGCATTCAATGACAAGAATCGATTGACCCTTATTAATATCGATAAACCATCATTTTGGGGACGTTTACAGAATCAAATTTGTGTGATAGCTGAAGAACAAAAGGAAATTACTTCAAGAGTGGTTTTACTCTTATCTCAGTTTATTTATGATACCGATCATCAAGAGTTATTTGTCACGAAATTATATGAGAGGCGACTTTATCTGTCATTATTTCAATATTTTGAATTACAAGATTTAAATGATGTTGAAGGGTACGAAAGACTACTTGATTTATTTTACGAATTAATCAATAATCATAGTCATGTGATTCAACGTGATGAAATGGCATTAAAAGTACCGAAGTTTATAACCTTTATCGTTAAATTACTTACCCATTTCGACCATACGATTGATGAATCTGAACATATACTTGAAAAATTAACTCAAATCATATCGACATTAACTTCATTTGAATTCATATATGCTTTAGATGATACACCCGAATTATTCAGCACTATAGTGGATTACTTCATCTCATCAAAGAATTATATACCGAATGCTACTGTTAAAAGAAATTGGGTTAATATTATTTGTAATTTCGTCTATATTAAACAATATTTTTATCTAGATGAAGATTTATCTTATCTTATCAAATTGCTTAAGAAGAATGATGTGGATCCTTATGTGTTATGTGGGATTGCGGTATTCATAGGGAATTACATTCATGATAAAGAAACTTTACAAGCTGTTAAAACTAAACTTGAACATGAAATAACATGGGAGAAGTTTGTTGATATTTATTTCAACCAGATTAATATTACCGATGTATTTTTGATTCAATCGATTCAAGCGTTTTTAAATATCATGGATAAATCAATTGCCAATATCATCTTACGAGATGATAACTTCGATGGTTTATTAAAGAAGTATAATAGAGTGATCCTTGATAATAAAGATTTTTATCCTGAGATCTTGACTCAATATCTTAAATTCATCTATAAGTTGGTACGTCATAAGTTCTTATTGAACAATGATGAGGATGATGATGATCAAGGGTCTGATATTTTACAATATTATGAATTATGGAGTTCAATCATTGATAAATGTGATGATGGTTTTCTTCAACTTTATCTTCTTGAAGCTTTTATAACTCATTATGATCCTACGAAAGAGATTGTCCATTCTCAATTCATATGTCAACTTTTGACTACTTCTGTAACCAAACTTGAACCTCAAGGTCAAGCTAATCTCGATTTGGTTATTCAAAAATTGAAAGCATTAGGAATATTCAATCATATTTTATTATCAAAAGAGATTGGTCTTCAACATATCCTTGATAAGTGGTTCAATAATGATGTTGATACCTTCATCAGTAACTATTTACAACCCTATTACGAATATTTGATTCAATTAAACGAATCATTACAATCATCTACATCCCATCCAAGTCATGATTTAATCAAGAATAATGCTAAATTCATATCTGGTTCAAGCTTACCATTAATTAGAGATTTCATTACTGATTCAACTTCTCCATCTTCATCACTAACGGTTCAATTAGATGAAATTTGTCTAATTTGTAAAACTATCATCGATTTATAATAAAAATACTAATTAAATAACACCAACACTCTAACCAATATAAACATACACCCTAGATAACATACTACAACCTTGTAGGTTATGATAATTATATTATCCCCACCATGTAATTATAATCTCTAACTCTTACCGTTAACTGAAATTTTTCTTATATACTTCCGCTAACGGTAATTAACGGCTCCTTGTGAGGCTCATAAATTTTTTTTGGAAAATTTTTCAATTGCCGCATTTTACCTTTTGGCAACCACAATTATGACCAATTTACTATAAAGTGGAGTTATAATCCTTTTAACCAGAGTCTAAACCACAACTTTATCTGATTTCATTTTGTGTTCGTCATATAATCATCATTTATTCACATATATACCAATACTTTATAATGACTGCTAGTACTAAGTTTTCCAAGTTGGAAAGAGAAGCTCCTGATCCTATTGTTCATACCATGAATCAATATTTTGCAGATCCTGATGCAAGAAAGGTTGATGTTTCCATCGGAGTCTATAAATCTGAACAAGGGGGATCCTATTTATTCCCATCTGTGGCTAAAGCTAAAGAAATCTTGAGAAATAATGACCCAGGTCATAATTATACTAATATGTCTGGTATTCCTGAATTCATTAATGGAGCTAGAAGTGCTATTTTTGGCGATGATAGAGCTAAACAAGGTCATTTAGCTTCTTTACAAACTATTTCCGGTACTGGGGCTTTACATATTGCATTTGTATTCTTAAGAGAAGCAGGTTATACTAATTATTATCTTGGTTTACCAAGTTGGTCAAATTATATTCCAATGATTGAACATGTGGGCGGTAAAGTTCAAACTTATACTCATTATGATGAAGTTACTAGAAAGGTCGATTTCAATTCAGTTATTGAAAATTTAGAGTCAGCTCCATCTGATTCAGTATTCTTATTCCAAACTTGTTGTCATAATCCTACTGGGGCTGATTTCACTAAAGATCAATGGATTCAAATTGCTGATATTGTTAAAAGAAGACAAATTTTAGTATTATTCGATACCGCTTATCAAGGTTTTGCTTCTGGTGATAAAGATGTTGATGTTTCTCCAATAAGGCACTTTTATGATTTAAATTTAGAATTTGTCGTTACTCAATCATTCGCCAAGAATTTAGGCTTATATGGGGAAAGAGTTGGTGCTCTTCATGTTGTGGTTCAAGATAAAGATTATGTTCCAAATGCTCAAAGTACTCTTACTGCTCTTTTCAGACAGGAGTGTTCATTTGCTCCTGCTTTTGGTGCAAGAGTTGCTTCTATTATTTTCCAATCTCCTGAATTATTACAAGTGTGGAAAAATGATGTAGCTGAAATCACTGAAAGATTGCTTGATATCAGAAAACAAATCCATGATAGATTATCTAAATTAAATACTCCAGGAAATTGGGATCATGTCTTGAACCAACAAGGGTTATTCTGGTATTCTGGTTTAACTCCAGCCCAAAATGAAAGATTAATCTCTCATCATCATGTTTACTCAACTTCTATTGGTAGAGTTAATATCGCTGGTGTTAATAATTCTAATGTTGATTACTTTTGTCAAGCCTTAGATGAAGTAGTTAGAAACTCTTCTTAATATTAATTTAATTTAACTACTTTCTCGTTAAACATGCTAATTTTTTATTTTCTATATATATGCAAATAAAAAACTATCAAAAAGGGAATGATAAACTAATAAATGTAGTTTAGTCTTTTAAAAATGTCAAAATAAAACAATCAAATGAAATGCCAAAATAAAATGAAAAAAAAAATACATAAAATAAATAAATAATCACATTTCAATCAAAATCATAGATTGAAAGTAGTTCTTTGATGAATTTTCTTAAGATGAGCTTTTAAATTATCCTTTCTATTAAATCGTTTACCACATTCAGGTTCATCACATTCAAATGGTTTTTCCGAAGAATGACTCTTTAAATGTCTTTTAACATGTTCTGGTCTTTGGAATCGTGAATCACATATTGGACACTTGTGTCTCTTTTTTGCTTCTTTAGCAATATCAATTTCTTTCTCTGATTTTTTAGATTTAGTAGTATTAGTAGTTTTATTATTATTATTATTGTTAAGTTTAATTGTATCATCATCATTATCACCACCTGGTAATTGAGAGCCTTGCATGGTGGACGATGAAGATGATGAACCCATCACAATGATATCTTGATGTGATCCTTGTGTTTGTGTGATTGATGTTGATAATGTTGATGCACCAGTCATAACGTTAGCAGCAATCGGCATGGAATAATTATTATAAAAGTCTTGTTGTTGGGATGCAACTGGGAATGTTGCCATGGGAGGTAATAAACCCATCAGTTGTTGAGTATTATTGTTATTATTAGAAGTGATAGGATTGTTATTTATACTAGTATTAGTAGTAGTATGAGTTAATGGTGTCATAGCTGAAGAATATATCTGGGAAGATGACGTGGTAGATCCTGGACGAGATGCATTACTCGTAAGGCTAAAGTTATTGTTATTGTCATTTTGAATAATATTTTGATTATTATTATTATTATTATTATTGATCGTAGTGGTTGATTTACCATCAGTCACTGGAGATGTAGCAATTGAAGCTAAATCAATTGATGCAGGGTATGATTTTGTAAAAGTTGAAGATTGATTTAAATTTTTAGTTAAATTCTTATTGAATTGATTACTATGATTAAATTCATTATTAGCATTAACAAATGATGGCAGTAATAAATCAATTCCTTTATTAGTATTTGGTTTAAATACATTTGCATCATAATCATTCGCAGTATTGGGAACTGATAATGATTTAACAGCAGCTTCATTAAGATTCAAAGGTTGACCAAATGTAACCAGGGGAGAATTTTGGGAATAAAACATTCCAGGAGTTGAACTTGATGAATAAAGATTAGCATCATCTAATCCAACTTGTTGTAATTCTTGCTGGGTTGGGATTTGTAAATTTAATGTATTTAAATCATTGAAATTTCCAAGTTCATTTATATTATGAATAGTTTGCTTTGAAGTTGAAGAAGAAATCGATAATTTCTTGGATGCATTTGTAATACTAGAATATGATTTTGCCTTTTTCAATTGTTTAAGAGCATCATCATCTTGATCTTCAATCTTGATGGATTCAAGAGTATCATGCCTCTTTAATACAAATGGTAATCCATTTGAATTCATACTAGTATTAGCTCCACTGGAACTTAAATGACTTGGATTAACAGGACTAAAATAAGCCGATGTATTTTGACTCATTATACTACCATTATTGTTATTGTTTCTTAAATGTTTAGGAGTTAATAATGGAGTTCCAATATCATCTAATTCCAAATTATTCTTATGATTATGATTTGGATGAGGAGAAATATAGGATGAAGGAGTATAAAATGGATCCAAAGTATTTAAATTCTGGATAGAGGATGATTTCGTAGCCAATGTTAAATTAGAATTCAATAATGAAACAGCATTAGCAGGAGTATTAGTAACATCAATTGACATGCGAGATCTTGATCTTGAATGACCTTTACCTTTCGTAGAATGAGGAGTTTTACCAATTTTTGCCCCACCTTGGGATGGATTAGCTAAATTTACAGGAGACATTGCATTAACGGGGATTCTCAATGGGGTATTGTACAAGTTGGTAGTTGAAGATACTGATAATGACTTCTTACGACCACCTTTTCTTGGTGTGGCTGTGATTTGTTGTTTAGCATTTTGATATTGTTGAAGACCAGTTTGTTGTTGTTGATGTTGCTGTTGTTGTTGAAGTACTTGTTGTTGCTGCTGCTGCTGCTGCTGTTGTTGCAGTTGAGGTAACGAAGAAGGCGAGTCCGACAATGATTGATTAGATATTGAAGATGAAAGTTGAGGAATCGATTCCACAGAATATAATGTATTGGTTGAAATTGATTGAGGAATATGCTGAGAAGGAGGTTCTTGATTAATCGAGAAATTGGAAGATATGGAGAAATTCTGTTGATGATTATATCTTCCTCCACTCAATTGCTGTTGCAGTTGCAGTTGATGATGATGATGTTGTTGCAGTTGATGTTCGAAACCAGCGGCCAAATTATTATTACCAGATAATAATTGTGAACTATAAATACCATCATCAATATAAAGATTTCTTGAAGTTTCAAATTGTCTTTGAAGATATTGTTGTTGTTGAGAAGCTATATTATGAGGATTATGCATGGTATTGGATGACATCGACATACTTTCAAAGTCATTTCCTCCTAAATAAAATGAAGATTTATTATTATTATAATTATTATTATTAATCGTATTATTATTGGACGTTGGAACCATTAAATCTTGATCAAATTCATTAGAATCATCGAGGGAAAGGTCTTCATCTTCGCCTCTCAACGTCTTGGATGTAATGAGATCAGCTGGAAGTAAAGTGTCCTGGCCAATAGTAGCATTGAATTGAGATTCATACATATCAACATTTGATAAATGAAGAATGGCACTATTATCACTTTCATTGCTGGTGTTCTTGCTACTACTACCCACATCGAATGGTTGCGATAGTTGAGCAGGCGAACTCATTAAGAACTTATCCATATTCTAACTATGTCTGAGAGCTATCAATCACTCCTAGTGTTCTTTCCCGATCAAGTTATAGGAGATGGAAGTTGTTGATACTATTCCCAAATGAACCTGGTTTTTTTTTTTATTAATATTTGAATTTGGACTCTCTTTTTTTTTTCTTCTTTTTTTGGAATTTTTATTTTTATTTTTATTTTTTTTATTTTATTTTTTAATTGTTTTTTTTTTTTGTTTGTACCAATAAAAAAAAAAGATGCCGAAATTCCTTTGTTATGTTATTCTTTTCTTAGATAATAAGAATGTTCTGCCCCACAAAAACAGTTCATAAAACAAGTCATCATCAGCTTGACTTAATGTAAGTAACGATCTATGCTTTTAATGTGAATGGATAATAGTTTGAACACAGTATGGAACTCTATATGATAAGCAGACTAATATCAGCTAATGTGGAAAAAAATAAGTGGTTAAGAAAAAAAAAAAAGATTAATGAGAGCAAAGATGAGAAACGGGAGTTGTTCGGGGGACGAGAGTCAGTTCCGGACATGTATCGGAAATGGAATTAAACGCGTGTCACAAGAGTTCAGTCAATGAATTTTTAATTATTTAATTTTTATTTTTTGCTTGCTTTTCTATGGTTTTGATACAAAAACATTCATTCACATAATATAAAAGCTATTTTTATCTTAATTAGTAGAACTTATTAACTAATTAGGGTATACTCGGTCGAGACTATAGTAATTAAAATTGTTACTATTATTAAAATTCTTGTTGTTATATGCAACTAATTATACCAGAAATGAAAAAGAAACGAAATTATAATAGAAAATATTTATAATTATTATTAGTTATTAGCTATAGTGTAATGGTTGTAAAGTAGGTTAGTATCAATTATGTAGGCTATTGGAATGACCGATGTCGTGATACTGATTCTGCAATTAACTATAAAATCATAACTCATTACTTTTATTTTTTTTACGTGTGTACTTTCTTTACATCTGCTCTGCTATGGTAACTTCCGAGTTATGATATTTCCTCTCAAATTTTATATCTCATTTAGTTTGAATCATATAAGCAAAGATGACATGTATCCTTTCGTACATCATCTAATTACATAAGTAAACTAATTACAAATGTCATAATCGTATGGAAGTAAAAAAAAAATTGACTGAGGCGGAAACAGCGATTGATTTTTTTTGGTTGCTGTACCCATCATAAATTTTTCGTTATTTTTTTTTATTTACTAAATTTTCATTATTTACGGAAATGATATCCATTAGATTAAACCTATGCTAAATAATATTATTATCAGTGAATCAACTGCATAATTTACTTTTACCTAATGAGCCAAAGAAATGTTCTTAGGGCCAAGGAATAGACCTAATATAAAACTTTAATCGGTTATCTTTAGTTAGAGATTACGGAAAATGGATTAATCCATTATAAGAAATAATGCCGAGCAACAATGGATACCTACCAAAAACCTTAATTAAGATATTTAATTCTTCCACTTTCCTAGGATAATTTATAATTTACAAATTAAAAAGTAAACCCAGCTTATATTTCGGTAGTTTTAACTTGGAAAGTTCTATATATGAATATTTGTTGATCCATTTTAACTGTGCCCCCAGCCCCAATCGTCGTGGGTTCATATAACCGGTATTCTGCAATCATTTCCTCCGCTTCTTTCTTTCTTGACGTGTGGGAACCAACAACAATAATTTTGTTGATTCGGTATAATGCCTTACATCATATAATGCTGTAATTATTACAAAATGGTTATTGTATTAATCTTCTTTGTGATTTCTGTCTCTCTCTCTCTCTCCTCCCTCCACTAATTCATCCATCCATCCAATAATTGTTTCTTTTTTTTTATTTTATTTTTTCGCTCGTGGTGGAGGTCAAGTAGTGACATCCGGTAGTTAGACCTGTATTCCGATCCTTTAAAAAACACCAGACGCGCCTCACTAGCAACAAAAAAAAACAAGGCTCACATAATTTTTTTTTCTTTTTCGTAAATCATAGTGAATAATGACATATTAATGATACATTAAATTTGATATTTGATCTACTATCTATAAAGTGTGATCAGGAGGTATACCAGACATTAATGGAAATAAAGTTTATATTCTCTTATCCGCTGGAAAAGAAAAGTCAAACCAACTGACAAACAAGGTTTTTTTAAATTGATGAAGTCTGCCCATTCATTCACACACACTTTTAACACCCACCCACACACACACACACACAAAATGTATCACCACTGAATTCTTCGCTTACGTCACCTAACTAAATAAGCTTAATTGAAATCAGTTACCTTATCAGATTATCATTGGCAGATGTGTATCTGAATGAGGTTTGGTTTATAATATTGAATAATTGACGTCTGCTTTAATGGAAAGCTATTCATCATTATTTTGTCACATGGGTAACAAAGATTAGCATATATGATCATTTATTATGCAGAATATATCCAAGTAAATAAATAAATAAATTGAAGATCATATCACTGCCCCGTATAAATCTGTGGTATGCTGAACCGTTCTTCTAGGTGATATAGTTTAATATGTCACTCATCATCTATGATTTAATCTCAATAGAGCATAAAAAATATAAATCCTATAACTATGATTTCATTCTTAAACCTTTTCGCATCAAAACCGCCAAAAAAAAATACCATTTCTTTTTTTTTTTTTTATTTATTTATTTATTTAATTTTTGTTACCTCTTTTTTTTTTTTTTTGACAGATTTTCGCAACCATATTTTTCCTCTTTTAAAAATAATTTTTTTTGTCTCGTAATAAATTTTGCGCTTAAAAAAAAAGAAAAAATTAAAAATTGTGAAAATGTTCGGGTCGTGCAGAAATGAACAAGAATTGTTCACGTGATTATTACGTCAGTTTTATTTTCACATGAGCACAGCATGGACAATAATAATTTATATATACGATTTACTAGATCTTCAAAATGGTTAATCATTTCATTTTGTATACATTATATTATAATCAAAAAGTCTTTCTTTAAAAGAAAGAAAGAAAAGAATATATATATCTATATATATGATTTATATAACTTTGTAAAGACTATATCTGTTAATCACACATAAATTAAATTTATGGGTTTTGTTTAACGAATTCAACACCCTTTTGAATATTCTTAATTAAAGTTTCTTTAGCTAATTTAACTAATTCTTCTTCGTGATCAGATAATTCACCTAAATCATGGATGGTCTTAACACCTTCAACCCCTAAAGTAACTTTAGATGAGAAGAATTCAACACCTTCAGATTTAAATAATGGTGAATCAACAAAAGTTGGTTCAACAACATCTTTTTCACCAGCTAAACCATCTAAAACAGCACCGGTAAATCTGGCACCAGCTTGAGCCATGGATAAAGTGGCTGAACCAGCACCATCTTTAGCTTTGACAACTTCATCACCACCAAATTGAATTCTATTGATTAAAGCATCTCTAGTTTCAACATCTAAACCTTTATGGTTAGTTTGAGATAATAATGGAACAATGGTAATACCAGAGTGACCACCAACAACTGTAACTTTTTCATTAACTGGGTTAGTACCAGCAATTTCAGAAACAAATCTTGAAGCTCTTAAAACATCTAAAGTAGTAACACCAAATAATTTCTTTGGATTATAAACACCCTTTTGTTTGAAAACTTCAGCCACAATTGGAACAGTGGAGTTAACTGGGTTAGCAATAATTAAAATAGCAGCATTTGGAGCATAATCAGCAGCAGCTTTAGCTAAATCTCTAACAATAGAAGCATTGGTATTGAATAAATCATCTCTAGTCATACCTGGTTTTCTTGGAACACCAGCTGGAACAACAACAACATCAGAACCAGTTAAAGCTTCAGATAATTGTTCTGGAGTATAACCCTTAACAGTGGAGTTGGTTGGAATATGAGAAACATCAGCAGCAACACCTGGAGCACCTCTTAAATCATATAAAGCTAAATCAGTAACTTTGTGATTTAATTTTAATAATAATGATAATGGTTGACCAATACCACCACCAGCACCTAAAACGGTAACTTTATAAGCGGCAGCTTGAGAAGATGAAAAAGATCTAGTAGCAATTTTAGATAACATTATGAATGATTAATTATCAAATTGATCAAAAAGAAAGAAGAAGAAGAAGAAGAAAAAGGAATATCAATTGATCAAAAATATATTTTATATATATATATATCCAGGGGGATTTTTCATTGAAAGAAAATTTCGCATGGGACTCTCTCCAGATTTTTATTCGGTTGATCAATTGGCCAATTAAATTTAATTATTTGTCTAAACTGCGAGACATTTTTTGAATGCTCGGTACAAAAATTGAAATTATAAAATTTAGCGGGAAATTGTGGGACATTCTTAGCGTTTGAAAATTTAGTGAGGCATAAGTCCCTAACCCAGCTAAAAATTAGGATGGTACGGAGAGGAGGAAGAAAAAGTTTAGCTGGGGGAAGGACCTGAGGGCTGCGAGGCAGAACACATAGACGTTTATTTCCACCGTTCGTACCGACCTATTCAGATCTACTCTAAAATATACAACATAACATAACTCTATATTATACATATACAATCAAGCAATAAATAAATAAATAAGCACGTATAAATCATAATCTTCATAAAACATAATTCATCTAAATCCATTTCTAACCAACAAGTTCTTGTAATAATGAGGTTAAAATATCTTGTTCCTTGATCCCATAATCCGTCTTAATCCCTAAAATACCACAAATACCATTAAAAACATCAGCTTCAAACGGAGTACGAGAATATTGATTCAATATTTGCCACTTTATCTTTGAAATATTAAACCTTTCTCTACCGCTTTCCCAAATATGATTCCCCCCAAGATTCTTAAAGGTCTGAGATGAATTATATTTACATCCAGGAACCTTTTGATTAAGCGATTGTCCTTGTTGTCCAGCTTCATAAGCATAATAAAGTAACGCATGACCTATAGTACATAATAACGACACATTCAACTCTCGATTTCTACCACATATGCCTTGGAATCGACTGTTCATATTATATAAACTATATTCTGGAGGTAAATTGTTATACATTCTTCTACCTCCATAGGCACATGCAATTGATGACCGTACTAGCAATAATAAGTTATGGGACAGTTCTAAAGCAGATTTATTTTTAATTAAAAACTCAAATACTTTGGTATATATATTAGGTTTCCTCTTCATATACTGAACCCCAAATAATAACGCATAATATTTAGGACCAACTTCAGCCAATTTATCTTGAATACTACTATCTCTGATATTGATAGTTGGCCGAACTGAAACAGGTCTTGGGATCATTGCTCTGGGACTCTCTTCACGTTCTGTATCATCACCTGAAGTACTTTCATCATTGGTGCCTAATATAAAACTCATCCTCTTTCTAGTTTTACCACTAGAACTATATGTATACGCATGATCATCTTCTTCAGAATTAGTTTCATAAGAATCACTAAGATCATAACCGGATGAGGGAGTTTCTTCACCTGAAGATGATGATGATGATGAGTTTCTTCCTCTTCCTAAAAAGAGAACTATTCCTGATGAACTACCAATACTTATCTCCTCTTCATCTGGGGTTCCAATATCAGAACCAGTATCAGAACCAACACTCGATTCACCTGGTGACAGTCTATATGTCAATTCTTTAAGATATGAAAGCATACCCGTCAACTAAGTAATGTATTAATGGCTCAAGTTGTGTTAAATGTAAATATTGATAAGTGGGGATTAATTGTACTTTAAATAGCTTATCTTTTTTTGTTTTGTGCTCCTACCCCCTGAACTAACTATAAATAACATAACACATTCTTTGCAAATATGAATGCAAAATTATGTTAATGATAAATCGACTATTTAATCAACTATAATAAATGTAACTAGCGGTATGATTGGCTGATTCTATCCTTCCATCTGTTCACGTATGTTCTTCTTAGATAACTAAGTAGTCAACGTAAGTTTGGTTGTGAAATCTTAAGTCTATCACTCAAAATTGATCGATCCTCACTACCGGTAAACGAAAGTATTTATAACTGATACACATTAGACAGTAAGATTAGGCTCAGAACGGTACTTGATAACCATTAATTGAAGCAGCCATTGTTTGAGAAATGTTTAATAATAAATGTACTTTACGGTTAACACGCCACGCAGAAATGTTAAAATATGACTACAAAACAGATTAGAATTTCACAACCAATTCGTTAAAATACAAGTAACTTTAATGAGATGTATCCAACTTTATTCAATCAACTAGTGCTTAATTGAATTTATAGTTTAAATGATTTCAGTTTATGACCTGCAGTATTCGTCCTCATAAGCTTTGTGCAGTAATAATGGTAAAGGATGTATGTAAACTATATTTAAACAAATGCAATTTCCTACAAGACAGCAATTTTGTAATAGCTTAACTATATATCACCAACAATCATTTGAACACATATGTTTACATTAGATATATACAGAAAAGTTGAAAATGAACCAAAGCCAGTTCAGTTTGACCTTGAAACGCAGACGGATAATATGTCGAAAGCAGATGCCTCCCTCATGGATTTAACAATGAAAGGTCATATTGATAAGAAACCTGGTATGATTAGATTCATTGGACTGGTTGTATTATTTCTTACATTAGCTGATTCAGATAATATAAATACCACAATTAACTTAGAATGCCCCCGGTTGTTAGTAAGTTATCATCAATAGTATTTAGAAGTATCACCAAATTGATTTAATTATTGCGGTGTGGATGCTCAACATTTTATAAAGTTTGCAAAAAACAATCAAAACAAAAACATACAAACTAAAGCATATACATACCTGATCCAATTCATTTAATATCAAACTCAAATCACATAGAAGATGCCCAAAATAGCCGAAGAGCATTCTATGGATATTCCCCATGTGACGGCGGTCGAATTACCTCTCATAGTGAAGGATAGTGAGAAGGCTATAGCGATGATTGGTGGAAGATCAAGAGTATCTGAAGTTATAAATTCAATCAATAAAGGAAGTAATCTTAATAGTCATACAACTCTTGAAAACACTTTGGAGTTAAGATTAAGAAACGATCCATTTCATCATCCTGTTCAATCCCTGTATAATACTAGTGAGAAGATTTTACTTAAGATTTCTATACCAAAGAAGAGTCTACCTAAAGATTATTATGATAATCCAAATAAATATTCTACAAAGGAATTAATCCTGATCAATGCTCAAGATAAACTGACTCCAACCTATCGAGCTCAACCAATTGCAATCATAGACAAGACATACCTGTTCAAATCTATTGCTGATTTTCAAATATCAACTAAAAACAATCCTATGGTTCAAGATTTTAATCAACTGATATTAGATTCAAAGAATTTTTCAACTTTAAAACAATATTTTGATAAACATAATAATTTCAATAGCATATCTGATTATAAAGATACCGCAAATTTTAAAAATAATGATCATCAATTACCTCCACCTCCAATTTTAAGTCCTATTAGATTTCCATTCGATTATAAATATCAAAAGAATCCTTTCACTACCGCTGTAAAAGATGCTGAAAGTGGAGAAATTAGAGTTGTATCTACCAAGAATTCAATTAAATTGTATACCAAAATGATTGATTATCATACCAATGATGTTCCAGATAAACCAGCCCCTGAATTAATCGAAAATTATACGCAATTAACATCCAAGAATTATCCTGTTACTAGTCCTGAATATTTATTATTAGCATGTATCAATTGGGTTAAAGAAGTGTTTGATTTAAAACCAATCTGGTTAAGAAAACAATTGGAAGATATAGTTCCTGATAATTTAAAAAGATTCATAAAGCAAGCTTTACCATATGTAACATTCATTTATAAAAGTGGTCCATGGAGATTTTGTAATGTTAAATTTGGAGTTGATCCTAAGAGTGATAAATCATTTTGGATTTATCAAAGTGAATATTTTAGAATTCCAAACTTAAAATTCATATTCCCTAAGGAAAATTCAAGAAGAATAGTACCAAATACAATTATAGAAGCTAATAGGAAGAATAAAAATAGTTCAAACAAAGAAATCGAAGTATCTGAATATTTATTCTTTAATGGTGTAACATTACCTGCTACCGTAACTTATCAAATTGGTGATATCTTGGATTTGGATATTACAACTATAATTGAAAATCATCGTAAATACTTTGGTCGTGATTTCCTTAGAGAAGTGCCTGACTTTCAAGATGGTTGGTTTAACCGTCAAACTATGGAAGTGGTGAGAAGAATAGTTCGTTATAAATTGAATAGAATAGTGAAAGAAGAAGCCACTGATCAAAATAAGATTTATAAGATTATTAATACCGATTATACTTCCAATGAAGACCAAACCATGGAAGTTGATGAAGAAAATGGTAAAGAAGTTGCACCTAATGCAGAGACTGAAGTAGATGCTGGTAATGATGAAGAAGAGGAAGATGATGATGTTGATGTGGGAGTAGATGAAGAAGCCATCAATGAAGATGCAACCATCATCGATGAAGCTAATATAATGAATAAGTTAGACTTATTGAGTGAAGACGCATCCAGTAAGTTAAGTCAATTGATAGGATTCATCAAGCAAGATGATATAGAAGATTAAGTTGTATTATATATATATAAATAGTATATATGGCACAGTTTTATATACAGGAAAAAAATATTAAAAAGTACGAAATGAATTTTAAATAAAACACGTACAAAAGAAAAAAGACAACACATAGTATCAAAACTTCACTATTTCAAATCATCATCAAGTTCAATATATCAATCATGACCAAGGCAACTGAAGCTTTATTAACTGTGTTTGCATTATCAGCAGTCTACTTTGCCTTATTGACTGGTGTTATTCCATCCACCGAATTAATTTATAATGAAATATTACCATATTTACCATGGTGGGGTTTAGTTAGCTTTGGATCTTATGCATTAGCAACTTTAGGTTGGGGAGTGTTAACTTTTAAAGATAAAGAAGCTAAATATAAAGAATTATTAGGTCAAATAGATGAAGCTAAGGCTTTCTATAAAACCAAAGGTCTCAATTTAGATTAAATTGGGAAGTTTGTGTGTGTACTATAGTTTTTAAATATAAGTTTATGGAAACAAATATACAAAGTCAATTCTATAATTTCAATGATAAATGATAAATAATGTAACTTTTATTCTCTAAAGTATAACAATGTAATAAATAATAATAATATATATGCAGATACCATAAAATGATATCTATGATGATGCAGTAGTCTTAATTCCTTTCTTTGCTTTTAACCGTTTTTCAGTTTCAGCAAATACTCTGATAGCCATAGGAATATTAGCCCAATTTTCATCTTCATCAGACTTACTAGACTTAATACCAGCCTCTTTAAATAACTCTTCTCTCAGTTTATTAGCAAGTGATAAAGGTAAATTTTCCTTCTTTAAATATTTAATTGGAGCATGGAAATCTTCAGGCCATCTTTCACCTTTAGCCACTAAGTTCAAAGCTGCTTCTTTACGTTTTGCATTCCAATCTTTAATATCATCATTGAATAATTCCCATACACAATTGATACATCCACTCATACAACAATTATCAGGTTCAGTTGGTTTTTCAGGTACAGTAATACCCCCTACTATTCTTGGTTCACCTCTTAATAAACGACTTGAAGATCTTGGAGCTTCACCTTTGATTCTACCTCCAAAGATTCTTGCTATTTTCTCTTGAGGTGAAAGATCACCAACTGAATAATTACCTTCAAATGTTGTACTGGTATGTTTCTTTAATTCAGTTAATTCATCAGCGGACATCAAACTAGCCTCTATAGGATGGGTAGGGTGTGATGCTGTTCTTAATACTAAATCATAGAATGCATATCTCTTGATATAAGCGGCCGACTTGTTAGGTTCAACTCTTGGTGGTCTTTTAATTGGTGATGATGTTGAAGATGCAAATCTCCTCAGGATCTGTATTATAGGTTTGGTTCTATTTATCATGACAACGGAAATTTAATGAATGTGATGAGGAATGCAAATAAGGGAATGGACTACTACACAACCAGGTAGAACAACTTTTCTAATTATATTGACTGATATATATATGTATAGCGTATGCTATCAATATGGTGATGGTTGATTCTAGATTGCTTAATTTAATTTGTCTGATAAAGGTCATTTGATAAATAAGAAATGTCGTGATGAAGTCATAGAAAAATGTCGAAAAATTTCTTGTCGTTTTTTTAAATTGCTTTTTTTTTATGCTGCAAATTCTACAACGGCTCCGATATAGGAAAATTAAGTCACTTTGAATATATTATTATTATTATGTCTATAAAAAGATAGATGGTCTGCTGTTTTTTCAAACGGTATCAAGGTCGACCGTTTTTAATGCTTCATCTATACTAAGGAAAAACCCTTCTCCCATTCCTGAAGCTGACCATGATGATTCCAGGGAATGACTTATTCTATTTGAATTACATTGATTGATTAAGCTTGCAATTCCAGATTTTTTAAACTTATCACGAACGTTTGAACTAGTGGGGACTCTACTGAACGATACGGTAATACCTTCGTCTTCAACATATCTTCTAATGATTTCATATAAGACTTGTGTAGCAGATGAATCAATATCATTCATACCTTTACAATCAAATATAACAAATTTAATATTTTGATTATTAAATTGACGTTTGGATGGTTGGGATGGATGTACTAATAATGATCCGTATCGTTCAATTCTTGTCATTTTTGACTTTAAATCAGATGAATTAGCGAAATTTAATGGTTCAGGAATCTTAATTACTAAGACCCCTTCAATATCTTCAATTTCAGCAATTAAATGAGATAATTTATCATTAATAGTAATTTGAGGATTGGTTGCTGATGATGATGCAAGATTTAATAAATTATCAGTAGATGAAAAATTTGAATTATTTCCATTACTACCAACATTACTATGCTCATTGGCAAATCCAGCAAAACTTTCTTCAATCAAAGTATCAGCATTTCTAAATACATGAGTATTTGGAATTCTACCCATAATTTGAATTCTTGACTTCGTACTATGTCTTATAACTCTCACAATCGCAACCAATACACCTAAACCAACTCCAGCTTGTGCACTCCATAAGATAGTAGTAAGACAGACCATAGCAAAGAGTCCTAATTCATCATACCCTCTAATGGCCCAAAAGAATTTTAAATCATGAGGGATTTCTTGTAATACCGTTATACCAATAATAGTAGTGGTAAGAGCCAAGACACATTCAGGTAAGAAGTATAATAAGGGTAATAAATAAATAATAGCCAAAATGGTACATGATGCCATTATAAGTGTAGCCATTGGAGTAGTTGCACCAGCAAGAATATTAATGGTTGATCTACCAAAGGCTCCAAATGATGGCAATCCACTTACTAAACTAGTTAATAAGTTAGAAGAACCTAATGCTATTAATTCACGATTTGATGAAACGTTATAGTTGTATTTTGCACCAAGAGCCTTGGTGGCCGTTGTTGAATCGAAATAACCAAGAATGGCACATAGAAATGCAGTTGAAAATGTCTGTTTATAAAGAGGGATATATTTTGGATTTAATGGATTAATGAAATTGGGTAATGTTGTTGTAGATGAGGAGGATGGTGAATTTATATTACCCACGATTTCAACACCATTTTGATACCATTTATATTTTTCACATAAATAAGTAGCTAATACAACCATTAAGAACAATTCTGGGAAATAAATGGCCAGCTTCTTATTATACTTATTCACAAGAAGACTTTTGATATATCTAATGATCATGACGATAGTTAACGTAACAATTGAGATGGTAAAGGTCAAGATATGAGCTTCTTTATAGTACTTAATCGCGAATATAAGTTTATCAAGAGTTGTTAAATGAGGTTGAGATTGAGCCAATTCAACCAATCCCAATTCGGTACTGAATTCATTAACGATCATAATAAACCCCATAGCAGCGATGAAACCTTTTAACAAAGCTCGACTTAATACATTATCCAAGAATCCAAATCGAAGTAATCCACATCCTAATAAAAGTCCACTCATTGAAAATGCCATAACTGAAGCAATTTCTAATTCAGAGAATGATTCAAATGATTTCTCATGAATGATTTGTTCAATAGTTTGACCAAACATTATAGCTGTGGAAGGGGAAGGTCCAACAATAAGAACCGGCACGCAACCAAGTAATGAATACATGATTGCTGCTGAAATAATTGAATAAATACCAGTAATGGGAGGTAAATGAGCCAATGAAGTAGCAATAGACATTACCAAAGGAATCTGGAATGAAGCTAATGATATACCAGCTAAGAAATCTCCTAATAAGTTTTGTTTAATATCATATTTCGGTAACCAATTTAAAAATGGTAAATAGTATGCTAAATATGCCACTCTATCGAATTGAGATTTATTATTATTATTATTAAGTTTATTAAACATATTGAAATTTAATACTGACAGACCTGTAATATCATCACCAAGGTTACCTGTATTTCGATTTATATACGTATCGACCAACGGATCATTTATAGAATTGATACTTTTCAAAGATCGAAGTGATTGAGTAGACGGCACCGAATATAATGGTGGTCGACCTGGGGTTAGCAATCTTGCATTTGAAGTTGGAGTTGGAGATCTTCCGGTTGGAGCACCTCCTTGAGCCACATTGGTAAGGGATTTGTTCCTTAATAGTTTTGTATTCTCATCAACGACTGCCATTACTCATTTCTTTGTTGATTTGAAATTGTTAAATTTATCATTATATATGTTTTATCAATTTTTCTGACTAACATATTCAGTTTTGGTGGAGGGTGTGGCCCTCCACGCAAAAGTTTTAGATGCAGGAGATTAAACTTTTTTTAGAATAAAAAACCCCATACTTTGCGATTTACACAAACCTAGCAATCAATTGAGTCAACTTAAATCAATTTAGCGATGAAATTTGGGAAACTTGAAGCTGGTGTAGACGACAAATTGTTAGAAAATAATCAGTTTAATGTGGATATGTGTTAAAATTTGTAGACAACCGCTGTTAGGTCTTTTCATGTACTTAGTTGGATTAAAAAAATTAATCCGAAGTACCACATTGGTGTGGAACTATGAGTTTCAGGGGATAAACAGCGATGTCCCACAAGGTAGAAGAGGAGGGAGAAAGAAGAATATATGCTTAGTAAAGAAAAGAAATTTATATATTTTTGTAATCGATGGGCTGAAGAAGGTTCTAAATTCGAATCTACATAAAAAAATAAAATGCGCTTAGAAGATATGATAGAGTAGGGTTCTTCTATCTATAGGTTTTGGTTTCTAGAGGAAATCAAAGCTTCAAACCATGACGTAAGATCGTCTTACCTAGCTTATATTCTGGAGAAGATGAAGACCATATGATAATAGAACCATTTTTCTTTCTTTCTTCCGTCACAGATGATCCTTAAATGATTCAGCCCCTATAGCTGCATAGGACAATTGTTTCTATCAGTTTATTTTTAACTTTTCTTTTTTTCCTATTAGAGTTATTTTTTTATTTATTTTTTTATTTTTTTGCAATCATCGCAAATTAAAACTTTAGAAGGCTTTGCTCGAATTTTTAAAATAAAAACCAACGACTGACGTAAATGAAATTAATATGTGGTAGATCGTTCTTTTTACAATAATGAGATGAAAGGAGTTTAGCATAGATTAAAGAAGAGATGAAATGTAGAGAAGGTCAAGTAGATATATTTCTTTTTATTGTTTTAATGATTATTTTATGCATTATTTATGATTATTATTTGATATTTTGACAGATGATGAATGAATTCCCTTTTGAGGCTGTAGGTTATCTACTAAATTTTTTTGATGCAAGACCTTTAGGAGCATTTATTAGATACGCTGTATCAATGTAATGTCTCCATCATCTATAGTAAATAACAAAGACCGGTAAGGCATTTTATACCATGCATAGTTTATTTTATATTGAAGGTATACATACCTTGCTTATACGTAATATAACATTATAGGGTGTGACGCTCTTATCAGTAAATATGGTTTTCTAGAATAAAGAAGGTAAAAGCCAATATAATCCAGAAATCGAAAACAGAAGATCAAATTTCATTCAAACTAAGTAAGATTGACAACATATGATATATCATAACTTCACAAGATATAGATCTCTTATGAACTAGTACTACAACTCTTCAAGTCTAGATCAAATCTCATAAGCTTACTGCCACAGATTTAAATTTAAAAACGGTTGCGATTGTAGTTTTCCAACACAGCTGTCGCTTATCGCTTATAAACTACACATATGGTCGTTATGTATCTTATTATTACATTGTAGTAAAGCTTAAATTCAGCCATTCCAGAAAACCTTACTTTAGTATCAAATATCAAACTTGATGAAACCAAAATGCTCTGTAACAAGCAATCGAACAATGAAAAAGCTCACCATACGACGTTAAAAACCCTGACCTTTTAATAGTCTCACCCCATAGAAATTAAGGTCTAACTCCAGACAGATAGTGATATCTATCCCACGTGTATACGCATTTTTTTTTCTTAGCATTTTTTTTTTCTTTTTTTTTTTTTTTAATTTTTTTATTTTTAGAGTGTCTCTAAAATATAAGAGCTCTAAATCGAATAGCGGTACAATTTCATCATAACTGTGATGAATATTATTTTGATAGTTTGAGATTGTGTGTACCATTTTTAGTATGCTGATGACCATTTATCTATAGTTATTTTATATAGAATAAAGCTCTTTGAAAAAATAGGGTACTTTTCCGAATCAAAAACCTTCATCTGTCAAACTCATAAGGATACGAGGGTACAGAGATAAACGTGGGCATCATGCCCCTTAAATATATTTTAATCATAGTATGATTAAGAAATATGTTACTGTTATTTAGAAAATTGCCAATTTTCTTGGGTAACTATCGATTAAAAATATAGTTGGAGACTGAAAAAGCATCAATTGGGCTCGAAATATAGAGAAACGAAAAAAGACAAGAAAAAATCCATAATCAAGAGATTAGCATATACTACACCAGAAACCTTATATGACCTTCTTAGTCCAAAAAAAAAGGTTTGGCTTAATTATATATTTGCAACTGATTTCTTAACTCTATTACGTTATCTTGGCGCTACAAGAAAAAAAAAATTGAAAAATTGAAATCATTTTTTTTAAGCGCTGAAGCCAGTTTGACTGCGCTTTGAACTCTGAGCAGACTAAGTGACTTTCGCAACCTTTTAAGTTTCCATTTTCTGAAATTAAAAATAAATTTATATTATTTTATCATTCAATTGTTTGATAAATAATATTCTTCTATGTGGAATTGAAAGGAAAAGTGAAGGGGAATCTAGTAAAAGTCATTAGATTCAGCCATCCCCAACCTTAACTATCTGTTGAAAATGGAAAAACCCCAAAAAAAGAAAAGATACAATATAGGAAAATAAGCGGAATATTTTTTAACTGACCTCTATAGTTCCTTGGTCTCCCTTCCAGCATTAACTGATCCTACTGATGTACCGTTTACTTTTTTTATTTATTTCGTACTTAATAATAATTTTTATTATTTCCTATCCCATTCCACTACATTCTAAAATTTTATTTTTACTTTTGCATTATCTATAACGATTGCTAAGAAAAAAATCGTTTGTTGTCATGTAATTGATTCCTTACAGATGGTGCCGTATAATTCTTTAACCTTTAAGTTCGTAATAGCACATCCTTCTCCCACGAGTCTAATACTAGTTTAGAAAGTTAGCCACTAAAACCTTATATGAATCAAAATTAAATTTAAATAGAAAATAATAAAAATAATAAATTAAATAAAAAAAAAAAACAATTAAATTATTAAGTAAGTTTAAATGCAAAAATTAAATTTATAACTGTCTTGCCAACTTGTGGAAATTTATGTATCTAATAACCTTTATTTCATTTATGATATAAATATCACTTGATTTCTTTCTATTTTTCAAATTTTTCATTTATTTATTTATTTATTTCTATTCATCAACATCAAAGCAATTAGTTCTTACTACTCAACAACAACTACAACAACCACAATAACTTTTAATTACTATATTATCAACTAATAACATTTCTTATCAAACTAATTACATATAGATATCTACTACATATAATTCATAATGGTTGTCGCTTTACATCAATTCGATTATATCTTTGCCATTGGTATGATCTTTGCATTCTTAGATGCTTGGAATATCGGTGCCAATGATGTTGCAAATTCATTTGCTTCTTCAGTTTCTTCAAAATCTTTAAAATATTGGCAAGCTATGATTTTAGCTGCCCTTTGTGAATTCTTAGGTGCAGTTTTAGTCGGTTCAAGAGTTTCTGATACTATTAGAAATAAAATTGTCGATGTTTCGCTTTTCGAAGATACTCCAGCTGCTCTTATGTTAACTATGGCTTGTGCTTTAGTCGGTTCTTCTCTTTGGTTAACTTTTGCTACAAGTATTGGTATGCCGGTTTCTACTACCCATTCCATTGTTGGTGCTGTTATTGGTGCTTCAATTGCCGCTAAAGGTGCTCACAACATTTTATGGGGTTGGAATGGTGTTGCTCAAATCATTGCTTCATGGTTTATTGCTCCACTTTTAGCCGGTTGTATTGCATCCATAGTTTTCTTAATCAATAAATTTGGTGTTTTAGAAATTAAAAACCCAAAAACTTCTTTAAGAAATGCTTTATTCGTTGCTCCAGTTTTAGTTCTTTTAACTTTCTCCATTTTAACCATGTTAATTGTTTACAAAGGTTCTCCAAAATTACACTTAGATGATTTAAGTGAAGGTACTACTGTTGCTGCTATTTTAGGGACTGGTGGTGTTGCCACTGCTGTTTACATGCTTTTCTGTTACCCATACTACAGAAGAATTTTGGTTCATGAAGATTGGACTTTAAAATGGTACCATATGTTTATTGGGCCAATCTATTGGTTTAAATCTACTGCCGATATCCCACCAATGCCAGCTGGTCACCAATTAGTTATTGATTATTATGAAGGTAGAAGATATGACGAAAAAGATCAAGCTGCTACTGATATTCAACAAAACTCTTCTGAAGAAGGTTCTTCAATTGATAAGGAATATGATGGTGTTATGACTGATATGGAAAAGCAAGATAAAGCAATCGTTCCAGCTAAAAAACAAACTACTAGACAACTTTGGTGGTCATTACTTAAACAACCAAAACAATGGCCATACTTAGTTTGGTTAGTAGCTTCTCATGGTTTTGTTCAAGATGTTATTACTAATCAAGTTACTCAAAAAGATTTCTTATCTGGTGATCTTAAAGGTATGCATCAACATTCTAAATATTATGATAACAAAATTGAATTCTTATATTCCTTATTGCAAGCTATTACTGCCTCAACTATGTCTTTCGCTCATGGTGCTAACGATATTGCTAATGCTACTGGTCCTTTAGCTACTATTTATGTTGTTTGGACTACTAATACCGTTGGTAAAAAGAATGATGTTCCAATCTGGGTTTTATGTTACGCAGCTGCTGCTTTAGTTATCGGTGTCTGGACTTTTGGTTATAACATCATGAGAAACTTGGGTAATAAATTAATCTTACAATCTCCTTCAAGAGGTTTCTCTATTGAATTAGGTGCTGCTATTACTACTGTTATGGCCACTCAATTAGCTATTCCAGTCTCTACTACTCAATCTGCTGTTGGTGCCACTGTTTTCGTTGGTCTTTGTAACAGAGATATTAAAGGTGTTAACTGGAGAATGGTTATCTGGTGTTATCTTGGTTGGATTTTCACCTTACCATTAGCCGGACTTGTTGCTGGTCTTTTAAATGCCATCATCATTCATGCTCCAAGATTCGGTGAAACTTACGCTTTATCTGGTTAGATTTAATTCGTATACTACTGTGATTCTTCTTATATATATATAACAAAAAATTTTAAATATTCCTTTTTATTTCATTTGGTCGTCTTTTTTTAATATTAATACATTTAATTAGTTCTTAAAATTCTTAATTTGTAATTCATTCCCAACTATAAATTGACTTCTTAATAGTCTTTCTATTAGCTTTATGTTGGTATGATCCTGTTATGTATTGCGGCACGGAGGCAAATATATTTTGGTGTACTTACAAATAAAGAATAAAAGGTGAGAGCTATCAACACTTTCCCAAAACCTATCAAGCCATTAGCTCACAATCATTGTTCAGGTTGTTTGTTAAACCCATCAATTGAATCTATAGACTATATAAACAACGATGGCATCTTATGAAGAGAAGTTCGATGCTTCTTTAGACTTATTAAGAAGATTGGATCCTAAGTCAATTGCAAAGAATCTTAATGATATTTGTACTGTCATTCAAAATAATGATCATGATTCCACTGGGGAAGATTTAGTACAAGACTTATTATCATCCATTGATACTCCATTGAAGGTTTCTAAATGTAAGGAGTCAGGTAAGGATTACTTATCCTGTGATTATAATAGAGATGGTGATTCTTATAGATCTCCTTGGTCTAATAAATATTATCCAACTCCACAAGCTGATGATGATCAACCACCACCATTCCCATCTAGTTCTTTAAGACAATTGGAAATCAAAGCTAATGATAGTTTTGATATTTATCGTGATTTATATTATGAAGGAGCTGGTATCTCTTCAGTATATTTATGGGATACAGCTGAAGATGATGAAAATACTTTACAAGATGGATTTGCTGGAGTCGTTTTAATTAAGAAAGAAACTGATGATGGATCAGGTAAATGGGATTCAATCCATGTGTTTGAAGTTATTCCTGAATCTTCTACTTCATACTTATATAAATTAACTACCTCAGTTATACTTGATTTACAAAATCAAAAATTATCTTCGTTATCATTATCAGGAACTTTAACCAGACAGTTAGAATCAGTTCAAAGCATTGAAGTTGATGGTGGAGTTAATTTAGAAACCAATCATTTAATCAATTTAGGTACTTTGGTTGAAAAATCAGAATATAATATTAGAAACTTATTACAAGAAGTTTATTTCGATAAATTAAAGGATATCATGTTAAAGGATTTAAGATCAATTGGTGATATTGGTGATAAGAAATTGGAAGATTTACGACAATCGGAGCTTATTAAAGGTTTACAAACCTTATAAGGATTAAATTATGACAACAAATTAAATTAAATAAATAAACATATAAATAAAAGTTATTTTTATAAATACAATATGATTCGTAATAACTAAAAATGATTAATATCTACTCTAATAAATAATCAACAACAAAAAACACTAACATAACCTAAACAAATTATACCCCATTAAATATAAAAGATACATTCCCAAAAAAAAAATAAAATCCAATCTATAACATACCTCATTTTAGAGTTGTTTCATCTTCACCATCATCATCTAGTCGTCCATTGAGTGAAATAATCAGAGTATCATTACCACTTTCATTGTTAGTTTTATCTATACTAACAGTGGACCCAGTATCAAGATTATAAATCGTGGGAGGAGATGCGGTATTCCCCATGTGATTTGGATTTTGTTTATAGTCTATTTCTTCTTCTCGTAAAGATGATAATACATTTGTCTTGACATCATTTACAAACGTCCATATTGATGTTGAAACTGTTTGTAACATTTCTTCCGCATTGGCTTTAACACCTGGTCCCGAATATTCAGCAGCTAAATATTGATCAAGATCAGCTCTATTTTCAGCAATTCTTGATTTTGATTTTAGAGGGGATGGAGCTGCAGATCCAAAACTTGAAATGGAATCTTCTGAACGTCGTGGTTGATAAGTATTTTGGTTGATAGAACTATTGTGATAATTTTGAATTGGTGGACCACCCGTTAATGATTTTTCAAATTCATTTTGTAACATGGTATCAAACTGTTGAAGTAGATTCAATGGTTTACTAAGATTACTCCATATTTTTGAATTTGCTTTAGTATCAGATTCCACTTCTCCTCCTGAACCTCCGTTAGCTCCAGGCGAATTTAAGATAGATGAGATATTAGGATGGGACGAAGAAGAGAGAGTTCTTCTTCTTCTAGTACTTGCAATAGCTTCGTCTCTAGGATTACTATCCTGTCTAGGACGACCATTAGTTTTCTTATCTTGATGATCCTTTTGGATCGCAGCATTTGAAGCACTATGAGTTAACTCCTTATATAATGATTTTTGAATCACTTCCCTTAATCTATGTAATTCCTTTTCATGCTTATCCAATTTTTTATTAAGATTACTAACAGCATCTTTGATTTCAACCACACACATTTCCTTTAAGGCAAGTAATCTTAATTGTTCATCAATATCCATATGTAATAATTGACCAACCAGAGGTAAAGGTACATCATACTTAAGATCAGTCGACGATTGAATCAGGGGAGATGGTGGTGCTTTAGTTGGTACTGGACTTTCCTCTACTTGATGTAATGAAATGGTAGGAACTAGTTTTCTTGAATTTATCGAACTGGGAGCTTGAGATGAAGGAGTGGCTGCAAGTGGAGATACCGCAAGATTGAGATTAAATCCCTTCGATCTCATTGAGTTTGAACGAGACATGGGTCTAATCCTAGATGACTTAGATGACGATGTTGACGATGATGCTGAGACAGGAACCTCTTTATTTGAACTATCAACAGAGTCTAACGAACGTTTAGGGGATGGAGTACTGCTGACATCGATAGATAAACCTTGAAGGTCAGGTGGAGGAGGTGTTGTCATTGGTCTTGTCATATTTCTCACCACTACCTATTCTGTTCTTCTCTGTTACTTACCTTAAACTTCAGCTGGTGGCGATGGTAGTAGCACTAGTGGTGATGAAATGATATCAAGTTATAGTTATCAATTTGGTGATAGTTAAATATCCCTTCCTAATCTTTAAAGTTGTAAACAAAAAAAAAATGTTAATCTTTTTAGCGCGTCTCAGAAAATTATCACATTCAAAATTAAATGGCATGTTATCAGTTGACACTAACCAAATTAGATCTCTATTTAATGACATCAATTTGCTATTGATTGTTGGTTATACGGAATAAGAGTCAATAGAGGAGAGTGTCAGCATCATCATGGGATTGAGTGTGGCTACGATCGTTCAAGATCCAGCCCTTAAGAACTGGATTAAATGGGTAGTCATCTTTTTAGCTGCCAAAATCCCCAAACCATTGTTATGGTCAAGTTTCTTAGCATTGCATCCAAAGATCCGTCAACAATTGTTTCAACCCCTGGTACGGAATCGATTGATCAAGTATTATGATTCTATTAGGGTGGATAGAAGATTAAGGAAGACATCTAATCTTGTTAGTTGTATACTTCTTTATCTTGCCTCATCTAGTAATACAAAGATCCCTAATGATTATTTACTGATTTATCTTTGGATCAATTATTATGGTAACTTAAATCCTCCTTCTGCTAAGAATATAGTGATATCACCTCAATATTCAAAGTATTTGAAACTTGATTACTATAAAAGTAAGACATTAACTAAATTATATGATAATAAAGAGTATATAATATATCCTTTAATCTTTGGTCAAATCTTATCTAATTATCTAACTCCTACTAAATTCAAATTAAATCAAAGGTACTTGTCTAGTTCTATCAAATCAAGAATTTTAAATCCTATATGGATCAATTATTCCTTAGGAGTTGGATCTCAATATCTTGATTGGGTAGGACTTTTAAAGAGTTATTCATTACATCATTTGATGTTAGGATCAGCCATAGGATTGGTGTCCTTCAAATCAAGAATCTTAGATCGTTATTATGCCTTGAAATATCAAATCCATACTGAAGAATCGTGGGGAGATATCATTCGAAATTATGTTTCTTATGTTTCACATACCACAAACTCCTATGTTAATTTTATCTATGCTCCTAATTTGATATCGATCTTAATGATTTCTGTAACGGCTCCCATGTTAGCATCTTTAAATAATCCAAACTTCCCTATCAAACCGTTACATTTACTGTATACTAGCAATTCAAAGAATTTCTTTAAACTTTATACTAAGATAATTGGATTTATTGCTGGTTTTATAACCATTTATCTTAATGATATCGATTTAGTTCCTGATTTTGGTTATAAAAGTAGTAAACAAATCGGAAATGAAGTTGATTCAGAAGTTGAAGGAGACAATATTAGAAAGATATCCAAATCATTTCTTAATGCCCTTAACTTGTATCTCTTCCGTTTAATTTTGCTTTCTAAATGGAGAATCATCAAAGAGAACCATCCTTCTTTCAAATTATTGAAATTAGCAACTTGGAGAAAGTTAGAAACTTTAGTGGCTTGTTATGGTATTTATAAAATCATGAATTTAAATGATTTTATCAAACACAGTAAGAATCAAGAAGATTATGCTCATTTGAAGAAAGATTATTTGGTCAGAATGGTTGATAAGATCATGTAGTTCACCAACCAATCCACCACCTTACTATATCTATACTTATATATATATTTATTTATTGTAATTTATTTATTGACTAATTTTAAACATACGTAGACTTTTTTTTAATTGTAATTATCTTGATAAAAGTACATTATAGAGATTTTATTGAAGGCTTTTACTTCATAACAATATCTAATATCCTCCAGCACCTGGAACATTTTCTTTACCCTTTAATTTGGTTAATAATTCCTTAAATTTAGATTTATCTCTATTTTCAGATTCTGGGAGTTCACCAACTTCACCAACTAATTCATTGACTCTATCCCATAAAGTACCTCTTTGTAAGAATTTATCTCTCTTTTCTAAGTAATCTTCTTGTTCCTTTAAGATTTCTTTGGAATGTTGTTCCTTTTTATTATTATAATTATCATAAAAATCATCAACAGTTTGTCTAGCTTTGTTAACAATGTCATCTTTCTTCTTAGAGTTAGCAGCTTCTCTTTCTTTTATTTCTAAATCACGACGTTCTTTCCATTCCTTCAAGTGTACTGATTCACCTTCATATTTAGCAGCAGCTGGAGCGGAGGATGTATTGGATCCAAATCCTTCAAACTCATCATCATCTTCATCGTCAACTTGAGCCACTTGTGGAGCTGCTGAATCATCAACTTCAGGGAATTGTTCCTTGAATTCATTTATATCATTATCTTCATCTGCTAAAATATCTTTATCTTGTTCAGTCTTGAATTCGTCACCCACTAACTCCTTTTCACGAGATAAGAAATCAGATTCAAAATTGTCTCCTTCAACGTCTGGGAGATCGTTATCAATGGTCTCTATAGCAGGGAATTTGTCAGCCATTGTATCAATATTCAAAGTGTATTATTCAATTGTTCTTGAAATATTCTTGGTATGGCCTCAAATCTCCAACTTTATGTTGTTAGATTGATCCCTCACTTTGAAAAATGGCGGTGGTGATGTCGTGTCCCAAATAATTTGACAACGGAGACATAAAAAGGAGAATGTCGCAATATGCTATTTTAAAATGATTTTGCATTCTATTAAAATATTATATACATTTTTATATTACAGAGTCTTTGGCAATACTATATAAACGGGTTGAAGTATCTTTACTAGCTACTGCAAGTAAAAATTGGGAATCTTTTTCATGTAACTTGCTACTGAAACTTAATTTGGAGATTCTTTCATCAGGAGTGATGGTGGTATCGAACTTAGCCACCAATTGGAAATCCTTTTCAGTTGTACTTAAGTCTATTTTATACACTGAGATATTACCATTTTCCAATCCAAAGGAAATAACAGCAAAATTGTCGATTAAATTTGCTCTGTAACATGAAACTGATATCACTGGTTCATCTACTTTTGCCACAGAAATTGATTCAACTTTAGTATCGTTAACTTGCCATAATTTAACAGTCTTATCACGAGATGCAGTTAAGAAGAATGAACCAAATTGATTAATTGGTAACCAAGAACAATCCCAAAGGATTCTTGACAGCGCTTTGGTGTTAAGTTCTACCAATTCAAATTGACCCTCTGCTTCATTCGAAACTCTCCATAAACTGAATTGTCTATCTCTTGAAACAGCTAATAAATATTGTCCATCAGGAGAGAATTCCAAACTTGTAATAGTCAAATTATGACCTTCCAATACTTGAGGTGATTGTTGGAAATCTTTACCTACGTTGAAGATTCTTATAACTGCATGTTTAGATGAATTAGATCTACAAGCAGATGCAATTAATAATCCATTTGGTGAAGTAGCACAACAAGTGATTTCATACCCATGACCATATAACTTTTCTAATTCGGGGAAAAGGGTATATCTTTGTAAATAATCTTCTAATGGAGGACCAGTTAGAGAAGCAAGAATGTCTTCCTTTTCAACTGGAGTAGCTTCTTTATCTTCGTCAGCATCTTGTTGTTCTTGAGCTGCTTGACCTACTTCTTGTTGTTCATTATCTGCCTTATTAGACAATCCTAAAACCGGTAAGGATGCAGCTTCTGGTAAACTTTCAACTTGATCTTGAGGAACAACATCTATATTACATAAATTCTTTAATAATTTATAAATCGAATTTGTGATTTCAAACACTCTTAATATTTTTTCATCACCACCAGAGACAAATTTAGTATTGGTTACATTATCAATACAAATCATATCATAACCATGAATTTGAGGTCTTGCAAACTCATGCCATGATTTAAACTCTCTATTAGCTGTCCATGGAGCAAATAATCTAGCAGTTTGATCAAGAGATACACTTGTGAAATACTCCCCATTTAAAGACCATGTTAAACCTGTAACTTCTTTAACTGCACCAGTCACACCCAAGGTTGATTCAAAAGTTTTAGCTTCTGAATCAGTTGATCTATAAACCCTTATAGAACCAGTCTTACCATTGGATAAAATATATTGACTTCCAGTTTTATCATCCACAAACCATAAACATGACCAAAATCCACCAGAAGCACCAGTAGCTGTAGATGCTCCTTTGATAGATAATTCACCTAATCTATTAACACATACCCAAATACCGGATTCCACATCCATTTCCCATACCATTAATGCTGTATCAGCACTTGATGATAATAATTGTAAACGCTTCTCACCAGTGACACCATCAGTTTTATAAGATGGATGCCATTGTAAACCTGTGACCCAATCATCATGGCCGACTAATAAAGCTTCAAAACTGATGGCTCCTCTATCATGTTCTCCAATATTGAATTTGTACTGTTTATTAGATAAAAGGATCAATTTCATTTCATCTTCATCAGAATCATCGATCAATTCATTTAATTTCAATCTCCATAATCTGATATATCTATCTTGAGATCCACTGGCTAATATATAACTCTTATGTTCAATATCAGCAACGAATTGTAAACATTTAATCCAGTCTTCATGACCTGTCAATAAAGCAGATTGATTGAAATGATCTATAGTACCATTTTGAAGTAAGGTAAATGAATAGATGTATAAGTTGGAGGTGGTTCCACCAACTGCTAATATATAATTACCGTTGGTATCTATATCTTGCAATGCTAAGGTCAATGGAAAGAAGTTGAACTTGACTTGGAATTTGTGACTTAATTTGAATGATTGTTCTTCTGAGTTATATACCCAGAGTATGATATTCCCATCAGCTCCTCCAGTTACGAATATCTTCTCATTAATCACTGATAAACATGTAATTGAATGTTCATGACCTGATAATGATTCATGTAATTTATAAGAATTTTCAGATTTTTTCCATACATTCACTTCGTTATCTTCACCAGAAGATACAATATAAGGAGAATTAGGTATGAATCTAACTCCAGTAACTTCCTTAGTATGTTTTTTCAAAGTTGATTCAACTCCAATATGATTTTCAGCCAATGGATTCCATAATGCAATGGTATTTCCTGCACCATATGCTACCAAATTTTCTGATTTGTTATAGTCCACAACAAAAGATTGTCTATTAGCACCAATGAAGATGGCTTCTTGCTTTATACCATCCTTCACCATGGCTTATAATTCGTTGATCTGAACTTTGAATGGTTTATCATATTGAACTCTAGAGATGCTCTTCACAATTTTTTTTGAACTTTTCAAAAATCTCAAAATGAGTAATATGCAGTCCTAAGCTTTTAGTTATTTTTCAAAGTTATAATCGTTGAATTCAATTCAATATTGTTGTTTATTTAGCCATATAGTTGGTAGAGACAGTTAAAGAAGTGATAAGAAGGATGGTATCAGCGTATGTATCGAGATATAATAAATCGAATTGACTTTTTAAATCGATCAATTACTAACTTTAATGGGACATATAGCGTTTTATTAATACAGAGTGCAACCCCAGAAACAATAACACAGTTCCATGATCAATTATCCAATGAATTGCCATCATTGAAAGGGAAATGGAGTTTTAATTTCAAAATATTCCGTAATAATCCTTACTCAATACATCCAGATCAAGCTGAAACTGCAACAGTGGCCACTGAGGCACAATTTTTATACACATTATCACCATCATATCTAAACGAATCAACCATTACCCTTATAAATAAAAAATCCGTAGGTGTATTCACCAATCTAATAAAGGAAGAAACCACTGAGTTACAGCGATCTCACGAATTGAATATACCTGATGAACATTTACATTTGGGAGCCACTACAGGGTTAAATGATCCATTTGATTTCTTTGTTTCTCAAAAACTTGAAAGTTTATGGACTCAGAGACAACTTATAAGAGGTGATGGAGGCCAAATATATGAATTAGAGAATGGAAATTTAATAATCAGAACTTCAAATGTGTTCTTGCACGGTAATTTCAGAGGATTACTTATCCAAATTGAATTAAACAATAATTTGATCACAAATATAAAAGATACAAAATCATTCAAGGCATCATTTGAAAAGATAAGTAAGAAGTATGGTATACCAGAAGGTGATATTTGTTGTGATATCTTAGATTCCAAGTTCTTAGATAAACATGGTGATTTATGTTTACAATATTCAGAAATATTGAATTTTTAAACCAAGTTTGATTTACCGGATAAGTCATACTTGATTAAATTAGAAAGCACAATCTCCAAAGATGACTCCAAATAACGCTATACCTTGATTAACAACTGATAACAACCAATTCCAGTACGATATCATTGTTATTTTGAGTATAGACGTATTAAATACTATGTATAAGTATCCTGCATATTATGTAGATAATAAATTTTTTTTATAGTTAAAAGATGAGAAGAGCTTTTCAAAATATTTACACCAAAAGGTTTAACTATTTAAAAGTAAATCACATATAGAGGATAGTCATGGTTAAGAAACAACGTGCTCCAAGGGCAACTAAATTGTCCAGGAAAGACAACCGTGAAAAGGAAGAAGAAGTATCAAGAAAGTTACAAGAAAGAATCGATGCTTATGATCCAGTAGCAGATGAAAAACTGATTTCACAGTTTAGTGATTTACCTATCACAGAAGGTACTTTAAAAGGGTTGAAAGAAGCCAGTTTTGTATCGTTGACTGATGTTCAAAAGAAAACTATACCGATTGCATTAAAGGGAGAAGATCTTTTGGGTACTGCCAAAACTGGATCTGGTAAAACACTTGCATTTCTTATTCCAACTATAGAGATCTTAGTGAAGAATAAGATCACTGAATTCGATGGATTAGCAGCATTAATAGTATCACCTACAAGAGAATTGGCCGTTCAAATATTCGAAGTTTTAACCAAGATAGGGAAATATAACTCATTTTCTGCTGGTCTTGTGACTGGTGGTAAAGATCTTAAATATGAAAAGGAAAGAGTTTCTAAAATGAATGTATTAGTAGGTACTCCGGGAAGAATTTCTCAACATTTAAATGAAACAGTAGGAATGGAAACTTCTAATTTACAAGTTCTTGTTTTAGATGAAGCGGATAGATGTTTAGATATGGGATTCAAAAAACAAATTGACAATATCATTGGTCATTTACCTCCAACCAGACAAACTTTATTATTTTCAGCCACTCAATCTGATAGTGTGAAGGATTTAGCAAGATTATCATTAACCAATCCTAAGAGAGTAGGTGTTTCATCAGATCAAGAAGTTGCAACTCCAGATTCTTTAGAACAATTTTACATAAGGATACCCTTAGATGAGAAACTCGATGTTTTATGGTCATTTATAAAATCACATTTAAAGAGTAAAATATTAGTATTCTTTTCATCTTCAAAACAAGTCCAATATGCATATGAATCATTCCGTACTTTACAACCAGGTATATCACTTTTAAAATTATATGGAAGACATAAACAAACCTCAAGATTAGAGACAACAGTTAAATTCTCAAATGCTCAATATGCATGTCTTTTTGCAACTGATATTGTCGCTAGAGGTATAGATTTCCCAGCTATTGACTGGGTGGTTCAAGTTGATTGTCCAGAAGATGCAGCCACTTATGTTCATAGAGTTGGTCGTGCTGCTCGTTTTGGTCGTCAAGGTAAATCATTACTTATGTTATTACCCACTGAAGAAGAAGGTATGTTAAAGAGATTAAACAATAACAAAATAGAACCTAAATTGATGAATATCAAACAAAAGAATAAGAAGAGTATAAGACCTCAGTTACAATCATTATGTTTCAAAGATCCATTAATGAAAAACTTGGGTCAAAGAGCATTTATATCATATTATAGAGCAGTATATGTTCAAAAAGATAAAGATATCTTCAAGGTTGAAGAATTACCTTCGGAAAAATATGCTGCCTCCTTAGGTTTACCAGGTGCTCCAAAGATTAAGATTAAAGGTGGTAACGCTGGTAAAGAAAAGAAGAATGCTTCAAGAAAATTAATGGAATTAGAAAAAGCTAATGATGATGGTGAGATTCAAAATGGCGATGACAGTAAAGTCAGAACTAAATATGACAGAATGTTTGAAAGACAAAATCAAACTGTTTTATCAGAACACTACTTAAATATGACTGGTAATAATGGAAAAGAAAGTGACGAAGAAGATGATTTTATGACTGTTAAAAGAAAAGATCATCAAATAATAGAGGAAGAATTACCTGATTTGTCTGCTCCAGTCAGTAAAAGATCAGCCAAAAAAGCACTTTCTAAAAAGGCATCTAGTGCATCCAAGGGTAATGCTACAAAATTGAAATTTGATGACGATGGAGTTGCTCATGCGATTTATGAACTTGAAGACGAAGAAGATTTCAAGAAAGGAGGTGATGCTAAAGATCAAAAGGCTGCTTTTGTATCGAGAGAAACTGAAGTTATGAATGAAGCAGATTTAGATGATAAAGAAACTGCTAAACAAAAAAGACAAGAAAAGAAGAGAAAGAGAAAAGAAGTCGAAAAACAAGCCAGAGAAGGATTTGAAGAAGATAGTGATGACTATGAAGATAATGATGTTGATTTAGAACGTGATATGCAATACTCTTCGGAATCATCCGATGATGAGCCAGAGGTTAAAAAGCCTAAATGGTTTGAAACTAATGACAAGAAGACAAAGAAATCAAGAGATGAAATTATAGAAATCGATGAACCAGAAACTTTAGAAGATTTGGAATCGTTGACAGCTAGATTATTGAATGGTTAATCATTTATTACATACTTATATAGAATCCTGTATAATAGATCAAGGAAATAAATTCCCAATGCATGATAGACAACATTTTAATCACCTAAATAAATTATGGAATTGAGAGAGAATAAGTTCAACATTTTCCGTAGAAGTATCTGCTTCATTTAGTTGTAAGCTTAAGAATTTATGAGCAATAGCCTTAGCTTTTTCAAAGTCAGAGTGGTCATCAGCAGACATTTGTGTAAACTCTTGGACCAAGTTTTTACCTGCTTCTAATTTTTGCATTAATTCTTGAGCTCGAGAAACTATGACTTCTGATATACCACAAACCTTAGCGCAGTAGTTACCAAAACTCCTATATGAGATTCCATCTTTTAAGCGATATAAAAATGTAATTTCTTCACCATTTGTAGATAACAAAATATCCATTTGAAAGTATTTAATTTTTGCAGCCCATTCTTCTCTAATGATGTTCTGATCATTTCTAAATAATTCATGAAAATGGGTAGTTGCAAGAGTTCTTGGACAATTGGGTTTGCTCGCTAGATGGTTAATCACAGAACCAAATAGAGCTTGACCATCAATTGCATCTGAACCTTTTCCAAATTCATCAATTATTATAAGAGATCTTTCCGTAGGCAAGCAAATACACTTCGAAATTTGATTTATGTCCAAAGCAAAAGTACTTTGACGTTTATCTAGTGACTCTCTTGTTTGAACTGTGGATAGTAATTTATCAACCATACCAATAGTTGCAGCCAGTGCAGGAACAAAACTTCCAATTTGAGCTAATACAACAATCATAGCTACTTGCAACAAAAGCACAGACTTCCCAGACATATTGGGACCTGTAATAACTACAACTTTAGATTCTATATCTTCATAATTTGTAAAACTAAAATTATTAGGAACAAAAGAATCGACATAGCTCTCTACCAAAAGATTTCTACCATCTTTAATATCTAGTTCAAAGTTATCCGTAATCGCTGGTTTGCAAAGCTTGTAAGAATTCGCAACTGTTGCCATGGCGCAAAGGCAATCCAATTCAATAAGAACACCATGAAATTCTAACATGGTATTAGCTTCCTTTAAAATAAATTGTTTTAGCTCCTGAATAATTTCGATTTCTCTGTCACATATTAATTCATAAATATCCCCATAGTCAGAATCCAATTGTTCCGTGGTTCTGGTTTTGAAATATATATGGGTTGAAGTTCTGAATGTTTCTTTCCAATCTTGAATTTCACTACCCAATCCCACACCTTGCTCAAAACCACAACTTAAAGAAATTAAGAAACCAATTTGGGGTATATATACTGCATTTATATTATCTAAATCAACAGATCCAATGCTTATAGACGTTTCTTTCACAGTGCTTTGAAGTAAAACTTCTAATTCATTGTACTTTGATCTAAGTTCATCTAAAATAGAATCTCTACCAGGTTTAATACTAACTGTACCAATTTCAAAGGATGTTTCAAAATCTATGAAATCTTCCATGAACTCTAACAAAGCTCTAAATGTATCATTTTGGGAGAGAGTAGCAGAGTTTGCAAAGCAAGATGGTAATTCATGAGCAAAGCCTTCTACTGAAAGAGTTAAAACCAAATCACAAATTCTTACAGAATACTCTAAGAATTGCAAAATCAATTTCCATTGGCTCCATTTACGCTGACCAGTTCCAATTTTCTCTATGACTGGTGTGATATTACCTATTTTCTTTAAATTGGATTTTAGTGATTGCAAAAGTTCAGCATTCTGTGGTAGCGTTAACAACTCAACAGCGTTTTGTCTATCAATAATGGTTGGAATATCACATAATGGCCTAATAATCCAATCTCTTAATAGTTTTGAGCCAGCTGATGTTTCAGTTCCATCCAATAGTTCGTATAACGACATTTTCTGAGATTTTTGGTTAAACTGAGGTCTGTTTCCAAACGAAGGCATTATTTGTAAAGCATGTAACAGATCTACGTCAATAAACATCTTATCCTGAATTCCGACAATCTCGATAGTGTTAAAATATTTAATGGAACCATCAGACAAATTTGAACTTTTAACACTCGTCCATAGTGCATTTAGGGTTCCAATCTTGTAATTTGTTAGTAGTGTCTCATGTGTTTATTTGATGGGTATATTTAGTATCACTTACAGTAATTGCCATATCAGATGATCTTGTCACAAGATTTTGTAACATGTAATAGTGAATCGATCCTGTTTCTGTACACATCAACTCTTCTGATTTCAATTCTTTTATTAACAGCTCAAGATTTGAACAAGTGAATTCGGAAGCAGCACTAATACTAATTCTAAACGAATACTGTTCTGATAAACTAGTCAACTCTTGAACAATTTCAGAAGGAATTCTTGATGAGACAATCAATGATTTAGCTTGAAATTGATTGATTATAGTTCCTATGATAGGAGAAAGGTCTCCATTGATAGATGTATCTTCAATTAAGTAGAGTTTCTTTTCAGCAAAATTTAGGCAGCATGCTCCTAAAGTCGAACTATATAAATCAACACACAATCTGACTTCAGAATCTATATCATCGATCAAATCTTGATCACATCCATCATTGACTTCGCTTGACATCACCTGCAAAGTTATATATATAAATGTGTATGAAGAAATAATTGGTTGGTGGTATTACATTTTATTTTGGCTGTAAATTTTTGACTGACAAAACTTTTTGTATATGCAAAAAAATATATATTATACAAATATGCTAAATATTTAATCCAAGGAAGGAGTGGCAATGATTTTACCATCAACTTCACCCAATCTGACTAAACTACCCTTGACCTTTATTCCATCTTCGTTGGACATTTCGACATCGTCGTCAATACTGTCATCTACCAAGTTTAAAACAACAAGTTCTTGAAGGAAGCTGGTAGGAGCTCCATTGGCAACAGATAGATTAATATCATTACCAATATTTATAGATATTTTACCTGATTTATGAATATTCAACTTTCCTATTTCACCCTGTATGGTTTCAGATGGGGTAGAGTGACCATTGGATTGATTTTCTGATTTGACTGTTGTTTTGAGTTGATACTTTGGTAAGATCTTTGGTAATTGAAATAACACAAATTTATCATCTGGAACATCACTGATTTCAGGTGTTTCGGAATCTGTACGTAAGTTTGCGAATTTATATGCAAGTAAGCCCAATATATCCTTATGATCTTTTATTAATTTATCAGACTCTGTTTCTTCTACTATGTTAATGGATGACAAAGCTGGTTCCATAGGAGTCGAATTTTGTTCCACCATATTATCGGTATCCTCAGTAGGTTCTTTCTTCACGGCAGAAACCTCTTCTATAGATGCTGTACTTTCTCGTGACTCTTGTGGTTGTATTTCTTTTGATTCGTAATCTGGATCATCTCTTTCTGGTCTTACTGGTAAGAATTGACTTTCTTCTTCTCCAAATCTATATTTCTTAGTCATATCTATCTTGGTTATATCACGATCTTCATCCGAATCTTCCTCTGCATCCGGACTAAGGGATTTAGTCTTATCTTGAAGTTTCAACTTTTGTATGAATTCTGGAGTAGATGAAATTGAATTGTAAACTTTGTCTCTAGTTAACCCTAATTTAGAGCCGCTTGCATTTCCCAAAGAAACTGAACCAGAAGCCAAAGGTCCAGAAGAAACAACATGTGTACCAGCATAGTTATTACGCCCACCTCTACCTCGGCCTCTTGTAGAACCACGACCTCTGGATGATGTGCCTCTGCCTGAATTCTCTTCTTTCACTTGTATGGGAGCATCTTTGGCTCTTTCTTCTTTACTTTTTCTTGGAACTACTTTAGGTTTGAACTTCAAAGAAACCTTTGGCGAAGGAGTCGCTGGAGTCTTTTTCGAATTCAAGGACTCCAATCGATTAGACATTCTTTGTATAATTCCTCTATAATGATAGTCTAAATTAAAATGAGATCAAACCTTCAAGTTTCCAAATAGATGTTGTACACAAAATTTTTTTCGTTATGGTGCAGTTAGATGCAGTTCCCAAATAATTTTTCACAGAAAAAAAAATTATGTGTAATATCAAAAGAGATGAGTTATTTTGAAGTGTAATTTGATTTCAACTAACTTTGCATAAATATACTTCAACCATGGCTAAAAGAGGAGGTAGAAGAAAGGCTGAACAAGAGGTTGAATTGAATGAAGTCGACTCTTTTCATGCTAACCAAGAAAAGGTGCTTTTAGATCAAGCAGGAGAGTATGTTAGAGATGAGGAAGATAGTGATGTCTTCTCTGATGAAGAAGTGATGGGAATAGATGAAGAAGTCAGTGGAAGTGACGAAGATGAAGACGAAGAAGAAGAAAATGATGAAGACGATGATGGATTAGACATCGATGATGAAGAACAAGAAGGGGAAGAAGAAGATGAAGAAAAAGGATGGGGTGGAAGAAAGAATTATTATGGTGGGGATGAAGTTAGTGATGAAGAAGATGTTAGACAAATGACTGAAGAAGCCTTAAAACAACAAAAGAGACACTTACAAGAATTAGAACTCGATGATTATATTGATGAAGATATGATGGAAGATTGGAAGAAAACCACTGAAGAATTAGATGAACAATCTCAAGTAAAGACTCAAGTAATAATCAATGAACAAAGTAATTTGGAATCTCTTGGTGATGAAGAAAAGTTGAGTTTATTAAATCAATCGTTCCCAGAATTCATACCGTTAATCAAAGAATTACATCAACTTAAACCTAAATTAATAGACATTCAAACCAAAAAATCAAACAGTTTATTACAAGTCAAATCAGTAGCATTATCAGCATATTTAGCTGCCATCACTTCATACTTTGGAATATTTATAGAGAATTTAAAGAGTGGAGAATCATTCACAACCATGAAAGACAGTCCAGTCATGGAAACCATATTAAGTTCAAGAGAAATTTGGAGACAAGCTAATGAACTTCCAGAACAAGAAATCGATATAAATATTGATGAAGATGGTGATCTTTCAGCAGATGACTACGCACAAGAACAATATGGTATAGAAGAAGACGATGAAGAAGAAGAAGATTCGGATGATGATGACGAAGATGAATTCGTTGATGCACAAGAAACACAACATGAAGAGTTCGATATAGATATAAATCAAAAGAGAGAAATTAAACGTTCTAGCAAGGGTAAAACTAGTGATTTCTCTGAAGTTGCTCAACCTGATGATGTTGACTTGGAAGAAAAACAACGTCGTAAGAAGACCTTACGTTTCTATACTTCTAAGATTGATCAAGCTTCAGCTAAGAACAATGAAAGATATTCAGGTGATTTAGATTTACCATATAAAGAAAGATTATTCGAAAGACAACAAAGATTAGTTGAAGAAGCAAGAAAGAGAGGTTTAGGGCAAGATAAAGCTCAATTAGGTGCTGATTTAGATGATGCTGATTTTGGATCTGATGATGAAAGATTAGCTACTTCGATTAACACTGGTACTGATGATGCCTATTATCAATCACTTAAAGAATCAAAATCTGCTAAGAAAGATTCTCGTCGTAAAGCTCATGATGAAGCTGTCAAGGCTGCCAAAGAAGGTAAATTGGCTGAATTACAAGAATCATTGGGTGAAAATGGTAAGAGAGCCATTAATTATCAAATTCTTAAGAATAAAGGTCTTACACCTCATAGAAAGAAGGAATTCAGAAACTCAAGAGTTAAAAAGAGAATGCAATATGAGAAAGCTCAAAAGAAACTTAAATCTGTTAGACAAGTTTATGACGCAAGTAAGAAAGGACCATATCAAGGTGAAACTACAGGTATTAAGAAAGGTTTATCAAGATCTGTTAAATTCAGTTAGACTAATTGTAAATAATTTTTTAAAGGTATGATTATCTTTTATTTTGTAAAATAATATAAGTTATATATATACAAATTTATTTATTTCACACATTGTACTTAACGACTGAATTGAATATCATCAATTCTTAAGATTGATTTAACACATTCAGAAGCTAAAGTGATGGCACTAGTACTAACCAACACTGGTTGTAAAACATGTTCATCATAAGTATTTGAAGCTCCGGATCTTCTAACTGAAATACCAGCATTCTTTTCACCATTTTCATGTCTATTTCTTAAATCAGTAACCACATTGATTGGATTTAAACCAGCATTTTCAGCTAAAGTGGTTGGAATCACTTCTAAAGCTTGTGCAAATTCTTGATATACGAATTGTTCAACACCGGAAAATTTATGAGATTCTTTCATTAAAGTTCTTGAAATTTCAATTTCTGGAGCACCACCACCAGCAATTAAAGCTTTTTCTTTAACTAAACATCTTATAACACATAAAGCATCATGAATTGATCTATCAGTTTCATCTAAAACTAAATGATTAGCACCTCTAACAATAACAGACACAGTTGGTTTTATGTTTTTTGAAGTAACACCAGTAATTTTAACAATCTTTGAACCAGCACTTTCAACTTCTTCAACTAAGTCAGCTGAACCTAATCTATCTTCAGTGAAAGTTTCAATATCAGCAATTGGTTTACAACCAGTTGATTTAGATAAGAATTCAATTTCATCTCTTTCAATATCCTTTATAACCAAAATATTTAATTTTGAAAGGAAATGTAAAGCTAAATCATTAACAGCATCTCTTAAAATTGATTTTTGAATTAATAACACATTGCATTTAGCCTTTTTGATCTTTTTACAAATATTTAATAAATAAGCTCTTTCCTCTTTTAAAATCTTGTCCATTTGTCTATAATCATTAACCACAACATTATTTTCCATGTCTGGTTTTGGAGGAGATAATTGAAATTGAATTAAACCAATTTTAGCCTTTTCAATTCTAGTTGGACCACCAGCATTTTTAACCACATTTTGAGTTAATACCACACCATTAATTAATTCAGTATCTTCAATAGTTCCACCAACCTTTTTAATTAAACGTATATCATTAAGATCAACATTATTACCTTCTTCATTTATAACTTTTAAGACAGAATCAACTGCAATTGGAGATAAAAGAGATGAATGTTGACTGACGATTTTAGATGATAATGAAGTTGAAGCAGCTCTTATTAATTGTTCACGATCTTCAAGATCAACTTTATAAGACATATCCAATAAAATTTCACAAGATCTTTTGGCAGCTCTTTGGAATGATTCAGCAATCAAAGTTGGATGGATACCTTTGTTTAATAATCTATCAGCAGCTCCTAATAAGGAACCAGTTATGATGGCAACAGAAGTAGTACCATCACCAGCTTCAACATCTTGAGCAGCACTTACATCCACCAACATTCTAGCAGCTGGATGTAACACAGCCATATGTTTTAATATAGTAGCCCCATCATTGGAAATAATAATCTCCCCAGTCTTAGTTCTAATCATCTTATCCATCCCCTTTGGACCTAATGAAGTTCTAATGGCATCTGACACTGCTCTTGCTGCCAATATATTTGCCTTACGCACTTCTTGTGGTTTTTCTTTATCTTTGAAAGTGGCATTAGAAGGAGCCACTGCCGCCCTTGATACTTGAGTAGCCATTGTGAATACCTATATATGATCTGATATTAGATTGAAGATATATGTCTTCTCTATATGATGTATCAAATGATGATTCCAGTATAACTTCCACCCAAAACCAAATCCTTTCTGATCAATTTTTTCGATTTGATTTTTTTTGTAAAACTCGTCGCGTTTCTGAACAAAAACAAAAAGAAAATTTTGTTAGTGAGGAAATTGGTCACATGACTGGCTTTTTTTATTTTGTTACTCATCAGAATCAAAAAAGTTTATAGAGAAATATCTCTTAATGGTTACTAGAAGATTTATATCTTTTAAAGAGGGGACAAGTCATGACACAAGAAGAATATGCTACTTTTGAAAGCATAGAGGTGAGCAAAGAAGAAATTCTTAGTTGTTCATATTCCAGCTGGTATCCTATACTAAAGAACTATACTGCTAAATCTAGAGTTATAAAGCCTTTACCACAAACATTTTTGGATTATCTTGGAAGTGATAGTATAAAGTTACCACCAGCCAATAACTATGATCCAGAACTAGTAATCAATAGTGACAATGAGTATAGTGATTGGGAAGATGGAGAGGAAGCGGATGAAAGCCACGATAATGATGATCAGAACGATCAAGAAGACGAGGAAGACACTGATGCAAATGTCAAATCTATAACTGTTGAAGATTTTAAAGACTTACATGATCAAATCATCCAAGGCATAAATGATCTAGGAGGAGCAGTTACTCCTAAATTGAATTGGTCAGCTCCAAAAGATGCAAAATGGATTATGCCTGATAATACTATAAGATGCGATCACGTGAATGATATATATCTTTTATTAAATACATCTGATCATATAGTTGATGATTTAGATTATCCATTTACCGGTGTTGATTTAGAGAAAGGTATTGATGATGATGATGAAGTTAAAGAGAAAGTCGAATATGAACTTGTACTTCGTAAATGGTTAGATGTCAATCCTGCCTTAGAATTCAGAGTATTTATTAAAGATAATAAGATTATAGGTATTTCCCAACGTGATTTAAATCATTATACATACTTGGAAAGTTTAAAATCAGAAATTAATGATAAAATACAATCGTTTGTTTATGAAACTTTGATACCTGAATTAAAGGATAAATTAAACTTGAATAAATATATTGTTGATGTTTATTTACCAAGACCATTCAATAAAGCATATATCATTGATATTAATCCATTTTCAAGAAAATCAAGTCCGTTATTATTTACATGGCATGAATTATTATTGATAGATACATTTGGTGATGATGAAGATAATTATGAATTAAGATTAGTTAATGAAACCAATGTAGGAAGATTTTCAAAAAAGGAATATAGTGAAAGTCAAGTACCATATGATGTGGTTGATGCATCATTAAATTCACAAGCTATGGTAGAATTAGCTAGAGAATGGGATAAATTACAAATGCAACAGGATCAATAATTGGGTAGTATTAGTCGATGGAAAAACACTAAACTAGGGTATGATAGTTAGATAGTTAATGTAACGACCTTTATAGAAAATAAACTATTTTGTAACACAGTATTGAATTGAACAAGCTGGATCAAACTCCATCGAATCTGATGAGGTTTCAACTCCATATATCTTCTGTATTTAACTTATAGTTCATCCCCCCTCCTTTTGCTTCCCCCACTTTCGAATATTTTTTTGGTTTTCGAGATTTGGGGACTCTTGCCCAATTGGGAAATGGTTCCCAAAAATTTCTTAATTACATTACCACAAACTGATCATAGTATATCCAATTTATGTCATGATATGACCAGAATAGAAAGGTTGAATACACCTATTAAGGTGTAAATTACCTTACAGGATGAAAGACAAACTCCTATATCGATTCAAACCATTTTTACGATATATAACAAACAATTTTAGACAAAGCCTTCAAATTGCTTTCGTCCCCCCACACTCACTCCAATACCAAAAAATAATTTTTCGAGCCAACAATCGTTTGATTCATCACAATAACTTTAAACAACATCTTATTCCCAAAACGAAAGTGGTTCCTGGAAAGTGGTATAAGTTATAAAGAGTATAATTTCCTCTTTTTCACTTGAATAAATCAAAAAAGAAAAGAATCATATTTAGAGTACTTCCATTTTAAACTACATAATATTCAATTAAAATGGTACCAATCGTTAAATTAGATCAACTGAATATCTTCTTACCTGAATACAGAGGTAGATTAACTGAAGGTATAACTTACAATCCTAAGAATAACACTTTATTATGGGTCGATATAATAGCAGGAGAAGTTCATAGAGTAGTGTTGAACGATGAACCATTCAAGACTCATGAATTTCTTAAATGGGAATCACCAGAAGAATCAATTGGAGCTATAACCTTAACTTCCGATAATGATATTATTCTTATTTGTGGGAAATATGGGGTGGCTAAGGGGAATTTCAAAACTAGAGATCCTATTGAATATTTCTTAAAATATCCATTACAAAGTAAAGATGAAGCTTTAAGATTAAGATCGAATGATGGTATAATTGATCCATGGGGAAATCTTTGGATTGGATTAATGAATGATTTCAATATTACTACCAAGGAAGGTGTTAAACCAGAAGGCTACTTATATAAAATCAATTATGAAGACTTATCAATTGAAACGATGATTGATAAAACTTTAATTTCCAATGGTTTAGCCTTTTCTGAAGATGGAAAGACCTTTTATTGGACTGATTCATTAACTTTCACCATTTGGAAATTTGATTATGATTATAAGACTAATACATTGTCTAATAAATCAAGTCATGTGGCTATTAAGTCCGATATTTTCCCTGAATTTGAAAGTCCTGAACCTGATGGATTAACTATGACTAAAAATGAAGAAATTTATTCAGCCGTTTTCAGTACTAATTCAGTTATTCATGTTAATAAACAAGGTGAATTATTAGATAAAATTGAAATCCCAGCTCAAAAGTTAACATGTGTTATTAGTGGTGGTAAAGATAATGATGAATTATTTATTACAACTGGTCATAAAGATTTACTTGATAAAGATGCTATAATTGATGCTAAAGATGTTAGTGGCGATTTAGGTGGATTTTTGTTTAAAGTAAAACTTGATAAATCAATTAATGGGCAAACTAAAAATATCTGGGGTGGTAAAGTTTAAGAAAGACACAAAAGTCGTCGTAAGTAACTTACGAAGAGTTTGCTATACAAGTTTGACATTAATAGACTAGACCTTTAATAGAGTGAAATACTTTAATGCAATGTTATAATTAGCAAGAATTACCAATAAATTGTTTGGAATGTAATAAGCTTAATTTAGAAGTATATGTGGGGAGAAATGTTAATGTTAAATCCGATTGTAAAGAACAACAGGTACAACACAGAAACGATAACAATAAGAAGAATGAAAAAGTAAAGAACAAGGTGAAGCCTAAACTCTAAAATTTTGATCAATGGTAGAATACTTCCCCCTCCTCCCATTTAACCTGTAAAATGCTTGAGGTGCTAGCATTAATAATACAGACATACGTAAACATAAAAATGCTAGGTTTTTTGTCAGCAGTTTGCATTAGTTATGTTTTATTTATTTATTCTGCCCTGAATATGTTAAGGTTGTAAGGTACATAAATTTCTTTCACATGCCTAACGAGGCGGTAATTTACGTTATTTGTAAAAGTTTACAAATTACAATCAAAATACTCGTTATTTTCCAGCGAGACGGGACATTAGGACGTAAGTATGCTTAGGAAAAGAAGCTTAACGACACCTGTTTACAAAGAAATTCATTACTTGTACCAGCGGAATTTATTTCCACTCGTAGACCAACACCTCTTGATATATCGAATTCTTCACTGGATGTGTCTTTGATTAGAAATTGAATTTAGGGGCAGATAACAGGTAATAGTTACCTTTTTTTTTCAGGGCTATGATATACAGAGTTGTGGAGTTGTTAACTATTCTTAGTCTGTAACACATTGAACCATTTTATGTCAATCGTAAAATGAAGCAACTAAAAAGGTTGAGAAATTAACTATATGAAGGCGGTAGCAAATCTACATTAGGAAACCTGAAATCAATCAAACCAACAATCAATCTGTGTCAGAGAAGGTTTATCGAGTTTCTTTTTCGATTTTTGATGCTGCTGCTGCTGCTCCTTCCACCTGCTTTATGTTTCACCTTTTCTTTATTAGAATAAAACTTTTATAAGTTGTAATTACCACTAAACGGGGGTTAAGCTATACTGATTTCAACTTTCAAGGTGAAACTATGCATCTGCATTTGAATTCTTTTATTAGTTTTAGACATTAAGTGAAGTTACGTTACGAGCCATACATTATAAATAATAAACAAAGTAAATTATGGTTGATATGCATTCACTTAAAATTGAAAAATAAAAACACTAAAAAAAAAAAAAAAAAAAAAAAAGAGACTGAGGTATAACCTGTAAAATAACCCCACCGAATAAGTAACCTGTACTTATTTGGAAAAAAAAAGTTAAAGGACAAAATAAAACCACAAACTGTAAACAGATTGCATTTCTTGCAGTTTAAGCAGGCACTAAAAGTGAAAACTGTAAATTTTGAATGAAGGCTATTTTATAAACACATACTGAAACTTTCAATGAATATAATTAATTAGTTGAGATAATGCATATAAGTCAATAATGCAATATATGGGTAGATTGGAAGCAAGGAAAGGCTAAATTGGTTTTTGATCGTTACATTTTATTAAGTGATCATATTAACTATTGTTAAGATGTCGCCTAATATTTTATTTTATTTTTTATTTCTTTATTATGATTCCTGGTTGTAAATAGTTAAAACTCGGTGAATAAATTCTTCAATCATAAGATTCTCTTCTAATCCACCTATTCTTAAATCGTTTAACTTTGAATTCATGATTGATAATCGATTATCTCGATTATTGACAATTTCATTATTTAATTTCAATTCTTGAGGTGATTTCATGACTTTAATTAATGTTAATAAATGAAATTGTAATGATTTTTCTTGTAGCATCGATCGAATTATAGGATCGTTTATGATTTGATCAAATTTTATATTACTTGGTACTTGAGAATCAGTAGTTTTATCATCAATCCCAATCTGTGGTATGATTCCGTTGTTATCGTGGCTTGCAGTAGAATCAATTGATAACGACTCCTTATGATTTACAACATGAGTTTCATCTTTAAAGCACAACAAAGAACAGTACGGTATCATACATTTAGGACATTTATATTTCGAGGGGTTAACATTACAAATCCCACATAACAACGTATTGGACTTATTATTACTTTCCTTCTGTTGATTCCTCACCATTATGTATCTATGTGCTGACTTCTTTTGGTGTTATATCATGAAGCGTATCTCATCGCTTACTTTTATAATAATAATAATAGCAAATGATCTTTTGTAATATTTTTCTTTTCTTTCTGTTGACGACAATGTCGTTTTGCGCTAAAATGTCGTGTAAGCGCACTTTTGCTTCTTGCTTTAGATTTTCGCCTAAATTTTCCTACTGTGGTTAACAACAGGAAGGGTTGGGGTGTAATTAAACTTTTTTATATAGTTGTTGTTTCTTGGATTTACAATGTTGCTACAAACCTTAATATGTATTGTAGGCTAAGGGTTTGAAATTGTGCCTGCTTTTCTTCTTAACTTAAATAAAAACAAAGGCAAGCAGTCAGGCAGTCAGGCAGGTCATCCCCTAACTATATTTGGTCAAAGACTAACAAGTATGGGAACTATAAGCACAGTTACGCATAGATACATAGAAATGGAATAACTTTTTAGAACTCAGTGCTGTAAAGCAGTATAATTTTACCGTCTTGTACTTAAATAATAGTATGAACTGGTATTATATGGTACGATTTTTCAAATTATTCTATATCAATATATTATTACGAAGAAGTTTAATAATTTATTCTTATTATTAGCGATCTTGAAGGTTTAAATATCATATTGTTATTGAAAATCGTAATGCTGGTGACCAAATAAATAGGTCAATCGTCACAAATAACTAAATCCGGAATGTGAAATGATGTATAATAAACAAGGTTGCAACAAAATTACACTATAATGAATTCAATGTTGACAGAAGTAGTGATGGAGCCTTGGCGTATGAAAGAAGTAAAATATAATAATCAAGTAAAAATTGTAGGAGTTTAAACTATAAGTCCCGAAACAATGATAATCGTTTGCTATCAGGGATGGGATTTTTCTTAATAGTTTGGTAATTATGCGTCTGTTTTAGGCAACCTTTATGTTATGGCTAATCCTTTAGAACAAGAAGAAGAAGGTGAAAGGAAGAGCAAAAGCATCTTATTGCTACGTGGTGAATATTTTAACCTCAGTAAACATCATTTATTTTTCTTTTTCAGGCTCACTTCTACTTCTAACTATGAAATCATAATATAAACATGATTCAATTATAATGCTTCTATTATCAATATTGACGAATTTCATTCAAAGTGGTTACTATCCATTTCTGGGAGAAAGTTCAACGCGACCACAAAATTGAACGAGATCCTAAACGGGAATGAAAAGCGAACGTCCCACGAAACTAAAAAAGAAATTTTTAGACAAGAAGGTAAAAAAAAGAAAAAGGTCGTGCGGAATTACACAATTTGCAGCAATTTCAAATCAAGAAGAAGCTTATATACATATTAGTTAGTAGTGGCTACTAACTTTTATTACACTACTGTGTGATCTACATTGTAAACTTATTTTCCATATACTTTATATTTTTTTAAATATATATACTGTTATAGGAAAAATATAACCACCCACCCAAAATAAAATAAACTAACAAAAAAGGAAAAGAAACGAATTTAGAAGAGATTTAGCCATGAAATAAATGAAGTGAAATAAATAATAATGAAGTGTAGTATTAAGAAATAGTGTGTCGCTTAGACACTGTAGCGTAGCGTTAAATATATGCAGAATGTGTAATCGATTGTAGTATGCAAATTAACAAGGTATAACAAATAACCTCTTCACCAACTATATGGATTAAATACTGGTTGAGAAGGTAATGCAAATGGTAATTGTTGAATACGATGTTGTTGTGATGGAAGTTGGATTGGTAATTGATTTGGTTGTTGTTGGCCTTGAATGTGAGGGAATTGTTGGTATGATTGAGGAACAACTGGATATTGTTGTTGTTGTTGCTGTTGTAAGATTGGATAATGATGTAAGGCTGGCATTGGTGGAGCTTTATAATGATGTTTAAAGCTATAAGTGTAAAGTTGATGATGTAAAGGTAACTTTCTCCTTTTAACATCAGAATAAGGTGTTAAAGGAGTTAATGGTGAATAACAACTAGTTGATAATGGAGAAACTGAACTAGTGATTGGTAATGGTAATTGAGTGATTGATGAAGTACCTTTTTTAGTAGCAGGAGTAGTCATACTAGTTACACTTAATGGGGATGAGTTATTGAAATTATGAATAAGTGGAGTTAAAAGTAATGATGAAGATGAACATGATTGTTCAAGATTCTTAATAGACATAATTGGAGCTGGTGTCCTTGGTTTAATGATTGGAGTACTAATTGTTGTAGTTGAAGTTGAAGTTAATTCAACTAATGCTTTGAATTTATTCAAGATTGAATTAGTTAATTTGAAAATACCATTTCTAATTAATACATTCCAGAATTTGAAATCTTGAGATAAATGAATAAAGCTAAGATTATAATTTAATGAACATAAGAAATAACTTTCAATGGAATTAATCAATTTTAAATCAATTTTAATAAGTTTCTTTTGATGATGATGATTTGAACCATTTTGTTTAGAACCCATGGAATTATTAATAATGATTAACCAAGTCTTTAAAGTATAACTTTGATCATCAAATGATTTATTGGATAAGATTAAACTAACAATGATTAAATTAATAATCAATGAATAATCAGTAGATTCTTCAACTACAATATTGGAAACATTATCTTCATCTTGATTTGATATTATAGTGGATGATTTATGGTTGATGACATCGTTGTAGTTGTAATATTTGTACAAGTAATATAAACTTATAATCAAGTTGCTATAAGTTAACTGACTATTTTCAATCAATTTCTTAAGGAAGTTACCATACTTTTTATTGAATTCATGGAATTTATGAATCGATTCCAATTTGGAATTCTTAGCCGATATTATAATCCAAGCGAATTTGATATAATTATTAACATAAAATTGTTGATTTGTAGATTCGATGGAAGTCATTATGCGAATTATTATTATCTATTATGTATGCTAGGAAATGATTGAAAAATTATAAGTAAGGTAGAAAGGAAGGAATGTCTGAGCGTATTAGATGCTGAATGAAAAGTAATAGAAACAAAAAGGTAATAAGCTGATGATAAACAGTTTACACTATAAATCAAACCTTTTAATATAATCCATTTAAACCAGTGAGAAAGTGAAATGATTATATATGATTATTCATATTCAAGTAACTTAAATTATCAATGGTTGTGAAAACGAATTTATGTACAGCTCTAAAAAAAAAAAAAATAAGAATGAATTTAAAAAAATATTTTTATTTTAGCAATATTTTATTTTTTAACTTCAGAATTATTATTTTTTATTTTTCTTTCTATTCTTCCTTTGTGTGCTGCTGTGCATAATGTGTAAAATTGGACAACATGTAAAATTTAGAATTTTACCAAACTGAAAAAAAAATTAAAAATTGAAAAAAAAAAAATAAATTGATCTGTTCCACTCACACAAAAAATGGCTTACGCCGAAAAAAAGAAATTTAAAAAGTCAAATTTTACAGGTTACGCCTGACGAGTCCCAAATTCCTATTTTGATGAAATGTTAATCATTCTTGCATATAAAAAATATAATAAGCTGACAAAACCAGAAAAAGACAATATGGTGATTTTTTTATTTTATTTATTATTTTTAAATTTTAAAACTACGATGAATCTTGGTGGGTCACTAGTTAATTAGTTAGTATCAGCAGGATTAGTATCAGTATAGTAGTAAAAGTATAAGGTACCCAGTAAAAGTATAAGCATAAGTAGTAGAAATTGGTTTGGATTATGCATGTATGTAGTTGCTCCATTCTAATCGAGGTTTATTTCAGTGTAATTTCAAAAGCAGCTTGCCGAGGAACTGATGGTTGGTTTTCTTATACCTTCTTCTACACACTTTACGTCTGATCTACTATAGTCTATTTGTAGTTTCTTTTGCTGCTCTTCTCAACTTATTAGTAGTAATAAATTTATTGTGTGTAAGTAGGTATTTTTTATTATTATTATTATTATTTTCTTACGATTTTTCATTTTATTGTTGTAAATTACTGAATCATGTTATATGGTTTAACAATCATCATCATCACTAATAATAATAATAATAATAGGTAAATAATAAAAAAAGGTTCAATATTAATCAAATTTCTATGTACTATGGTTGATGTAAATGAAAAAATTTAATATGAAATAAATCATGAACTAAAACAGGCAACAAAAGGGAATAACAAATTGTACCGATAGAAGTATTAGAATATATAGAGAGAAAGAGGGCATAAAGTAACGATTGGCGATATTTTGTCTATAATGTTTCCGTTTGTTACAAATTATTCACCTCAAATAAATAAGCTTATTTTAAAATTTAACCTTTTTTTTAACACAGAAAAAAAGAATTGCAATTATTATTAGAAAAATAACGATGATTATTATTATACATACATTCATTATAACAGTAATTTCAACTTCAACTTGAATTTTGTTGATTCCAATTGTGTAAGTATAACTCCACCATTCAAATAAGAAAGTTTCAACTCATCATATTACATGGAGTACAGGATTAATGCATTGCAATCAGCAGTAGAAGCGATATAACAAGCAGCAGCAGTACCACTGACCTATATCTTTAACATTACCATTAACGTAACGCAGCCGCAGCAATAATAACATTCAAGACATTTTTAATGATGATTACGGTGATTAAGAAAATGAAAATGATGGGATGATCCCAATATAGTAATTTAATGATGATGATGAATAGTAAAATAAAAAAAAATATCGTCTTATTATTACTATATAGGCTGCTAAGAAAATAAATATCATATAGCATATCGCAAGCGCTGAAGGAATCAACAATTCTCATTATTCCGCTCTCTATGATTCTTCTTTTACATCTCTCTCTAACTCATCTTAAATTTACAGTTTTTTCTTAACTTTAATATTTATTTCTTTTTTTCTTTTTTTCTATTTAATTTGCTCTAGGTGTTTATAAAAATTATATAATGTTTAGTATGCATGAAAATATGTATGTATGATATGTACAAATTGTACTGATTATTAAATTAATTATGTACAATATTACATTTTATTTTTTATTCACAAGGGGAAAAAACCTATAAATTGTAAATTACAAAATTACAATTTAAAATAAATTTTTAAAAAATAAATATATCAAAAAAATAAGTACACACACATAAATCATAGTCATTATACAGTAATGAAATCTCACAAGGAGCGGGATTTACAATAAATTGTTTTTTTACACCCCAATTTTCCTGTTTTATGGGGTGTCGCTGTCTATAGAGAAGCCTATCCTAACCACTTCACAACAGACTGTTAACACAGGCACACACACACACAGAAAATATCACACAATTCAATTTTGATTTTTTATTTTTAGTTAAATATCCACCAAACCTGTAAAATAATGCTAGTTACCATACCGCTGTTTTATGCAAATTACAGGTTAATGAATGATTTTCTGTTATGTTCTTCTTTCCATATTTTACATTTACGCTTTGACTAGCCTTAACTAGAAATCAACAGGTACGGATCATGTAGTAACCTGTAAAATTTCTTTCTTTCTCTTTACTCACTAAATAAATCAGGCATCTCCCTAACAACTCTCCAACCTTCCCGCTTTTTTCATCCACTAAAATTTAATTTTTCTGACGGTTAGTGGACTTTAAGCCCAATTAGGAAATAGTATTGTACAGCACATTAAGTAGAATATTGTACATCATCTTAACAATGACATCTTAAATTAGTTTCTATTACGAATTTTTAATTAATGACTGTCTGAATTTTCCTTACTTGCCTTTCCTCATGTCACTTCTATTTACAGTAAGAACTAAATTGATCCGTTGTTGGGTATGTTGTAGTAGTAGTTTAAGGTTCTAGAGGGAAAAAAAAAAGTGCTTTATTCTGTTGTTTCATTTACTGGAAAAGAAAAAAAAATCAGAATTCCCCACCATACCACCGTTCCGTAGAATGGCACAGCTTAGGTTTTATGTTAAGCTTTTGGAACCTACTTTACCCGATTCAAGTAAAACAAAGCGGAGTTTATTTTTAGTACTGTAAACTATGATGTATGTTTACATGCTACATATATGTTCGGCTTGATTTCATACAATAATAACCATAATACAATATAGCACTGGTGAAGAAACAAACAAATAAATAAATATATAAACAAATAAATAAATAAATAAATAAATAAATAAGCAAGTAGCAAAATAACTGCTTAGATGGGATTCCTAAACAATGATAGTAAAAAGCAAGGAAGTTTTATGTTTTTACTAATAACCCACTAAAACGTAGCGACAAAAAAAAAGACATGGTGGCAATTGCAGTAGCATATCAGAAAAATAATAAGAGGTTAGGGACATTAGATTGTGTGCCAGTGCCACCCCCCCCCACAAAACTTCGTACTTTTTTTATTCTATGAATGACATAACATATATGTGTGTTACGATGGTCAGTTGTAAAAACAGAGCTATTGACTACGGATTACAAATTATTAATAATTCGACCATTCGGCAATCATTATGATTGATTAGAACAGATGAGTACAGGATAACATGGATGAGTGAAAGAGATGAGTTAAGTAATCATTCTCAAATAGGTAAAAATAAATTTTGGGTCGTTAGTTTTTCTTGATTGTCAGTAAAATTACTAGTGACAAAATAGTGAGAAAATCGGTAAATTAAAGTCTAGGCGTTAAGTCATTGATCACTAAAATATTTTTGTTAACCTTTTGAAACAAGAAAACAAAACATAAAAAAAAAGAAAGAAAAATAAATTACTGTACACACAATACATTAGGGGGACAATACAAGAGTAAAGCCTAATTAATGACCACTCACTCTGTAATCTGCAAAAGCCTAAAAAATTGTTGTCAGAAAAAAAAAAAATAATAATCAGCACAATCAAAGGCAAAGAAGCCAAACGTACAAAACCATCATCATCATCAGTTTCTGCAGAGTGCATAAAAATCAAAATGTGTAGAGAAACTTAAAGAGAGACTGTGTGTAAGAGAAGAAGAAAAAAGGCTGATTGTTTTTTACAGGTTAAGAAAAAAAAATAATTGAATAAAAAAAACACTGAATATAATATGTAAAAGTGGTAGCAGCAGCGGCAGCAGGAGCGGAAAACTGTATCATGACAAAAATAAATATAACAATATAAAAAAACGTTAGGAAAAATAAGTGTTAGATTCTTTCTTTTAAAAAAATAAAAAATAAAAAATAAAAGGCATAATTGGTATAAACCGCACGACCCCTTTCTTTCCTTAGTTTTAAAGCAGTGTTTAAATCTGAGTGTTTCATGTGTAGTTCAAATGTTTTATGTGTAACTGTACTGTAACTCTCTGTGTATATCAAAATTTCAACTTATTTTTATTTTTATTACCGTGAATTTTCTCATCTGTTAAACCAGATATTTACCTATTGTCTTCTACAAATAATAATATGTTGGAAATAATAATGATCATAATAATAATAATACTTGTAACGACGATAGAAGATTAGTTTACTACTAAATTTGGATTCAGAATTAAGCGGCGGAAAGAGATACGGATATAATATATGAATTCAGTTTTCCCTTTACAACCCTCTATTAGTACATTACAAATGTTCTCTATTTTAAACTTTTATAGTTAGTATGTCACAGAATGATAAGTCTAAATCTTAAATTTTAATTATTTTTATTCATTAGTTACGGTTGAGCAATTGTTAGGATAGAAAGGGAGAGAATTTCATAGAATGCTTGGTGTGTAGTAAAAACTTTATGGCCTAACCTCATCTTTTTTTGATTTTGTTTGATTTTTTGGTTATTTTCTTAAATAGGTAGGTGGCTTGCAAATAATTGATTTTTTATTGGCTTTGCAATATTATAAGGATTCAACCGATTTGATATTACTTTAAGGAGGCTATAATTTGATCTACTTCTACGACTCAATTGTAATGAAACACTCTACAATTCTTATTCTGAAACAAAAGAGTTAGTCTAGAATAAATCCTACCCATATAGAAAAATCCTTTATAGGACGATGATAATTGTCTAAAGATCGTTAAACTGAATTACAATAACATACCATAATATTGTCTTACTTTTATTATTTAAGTAGAAAAGCTAACTATGGTATGTAATAGCTTCTCTATTATAAAAATTCCTTTTATTGTTCGTTATGCAAAACCTTAAAACCTTAAAAGAGTTACTATATTAAATTGAATTGAAACATTTTCACTACCATGTATATTTTACAGTTTGGGATGGGTATAGCCCCCAACTTGTAAAATTGGTGTTTTTCGTATATAGAAAGGGGGTGAGTGAGAGATGGGTGGATGAATGACGATGAGAAATTTTGAGGGATGGAATTTATTTTCCACACTTTACAGTTTACAAACAGTTTTGCATTTTATTTTTTGATTCATTCATTTCTATTGCTTTCCAGGCTTTTTTTTTACAGTTTACATTTAAAAATATTTTTTAACGTTCTTTCTTTGTCAATTTTTTTTTGTTTTTATTTTTTTTTTTTTGTTTCATTAATTACGGTTTTATTTTTTTACTCTAAATTTTTGGTTTCATTCATTTTTTGAATTTTACTTGGTTAAGGTTTTCTTTTTAGTTACTCTTATAGTAGCAATAGTACTAAATTTTTTTGCAGTTTTATTTCAAGTAACGAAAGTCTTTTCTTAAATCCCCTTTTTTTAACTAAAAATCGTTCTACTAACCCTCTTCGTTACCCTATGATTCGATTCGATTCGAGAATTGAACCTGTCTTTTATGAATATGCAATTGCGTTTTGGTTTACCCTTGCAACATAAATAAATAAATCATTACAATTCTGGTATATGATACGGGTTGGTTAACTATTTCAAGGCTTATTCTCTGATGAGTATATGTTATGCAATATCTCCCCATTATGGACTGCATTTCATAATTAACAACTATGCACTATAATTGGTATACTAAATATAAATAAATAACTATATTAGTGGAGAGCCTTTCGTTTCTCGCTTTACCCTTTAACGCGTAAAATTGCTATTATTAATTGAGAAATGAAGATTGTTCACAATGTAAGTACTTACTCATGCTAAGGTTACGGTACCGATCGATTTCACTTCTGCACATCCACCAAGTTGAATAGAAAGCGGTCAGGTTCCAGTCCAACTCGTACGTATTTCTATTTATTTTCTAATTATTTAAACTTTCTTCGTATTGACATTTATTAACCCAGTAATTTAATCATTCATTCATTCATGATTCAATTTAGAATTAAATTGCCTAAAACTAAATTTGTTAATCAAATGGTTATTATTTTGCATGTTTCGGTATCTTACCCTCCTAAGCATTTCAGGTTCTAACAGTCAATCAATCAATCAATTTAATCAAATCATCTGCCCCAATATTTTATCATACTAACTATTGTTTTATAATATTATTTTTAAACAATCATAAGGATTATTTTTCTCTTCTTTTAGACAGTTTTATTTTTTTTTTTGCTTCAATTATTTATTTATTTTTATTTATTTTTGGTTTGGGCAAAAGTGCAGTTTACAACACAACAGAAAAGTCGTTAAAAAGTTAAAGTGTAAATCTGAAAAGGCCCACTTTAGCATAAATGTGAATGAATTAGCGTATTTGAATTGAGCTACAATACCATTTCAGTCAATACCACTTCTTATAAAGATAATCATGGTGATGTTCGATATACTCCGCCATTTAGATGATATTCAACTAAGTTATTCACATTCTGTTATCATTTGATTCTGTGTATTTGTTTCAATCTTCGCAGGTAACATGAAACTCTAATTCGGCTATATTATTCCGCAGTGCACAGATCTTCCCGTAGATTAACAAAAATTATATAATCTGGTACCACTAATATATAGTGAGATTTTATTATATTTACGAATTAAAAACTTAAATAACACTAACAACAGGATCGTCATATTACTACCAATGGCTGCTGCTTCCTTTACTGTCTGTAATCGCCCGTCTCTCCGGATGCTTGCTATCTGTCTCGCTTCTTTACGTTTCTCCCTTACTTACGTTCTTATATGTAATTGCTAGATTTACAAATATAAAATGCAACAAAGAAGCTCTTAAACATGAAACGAATAACCTGAAGTACATGAATTTGGGCTATTTAGTATCAAAAATGGTAAATCTAATATCCTATGACTTAATTCAACCTACATAAAAATTTGTTCGGTTGCGGTAGAAATTTTATGTGTCTTAATTTTATATAGTGTCTCAGTAATTAGGAACTATATTTTGCTGCTACTACTGCTTTGATTTAAGATTTTGGTATATTGTTGTTTTCAATTTATTATTTTAAGCTTAAGCGTTTGTTATTATATTATTATTTTATTAATTATTATTATTATTATTATTAATTTTATTATTTCTCAATTAATTTAAAAGTCTAATTAATATTTTCGTTTCAAAGCTTATACTTTGACATTATTCTTATTGTTAACACAATTCAAATTTTCAATTAAATTGAAACCAATCAATTTGGGGGTGTAAGCAAACTCATACTTGTTAATTTTATTTTAGTTTAAATTAATTCTTAAAGTGTCAATTGTTGTATAGCTTGAAAAAATAAAATAAAGTGTAAATTAGTATCCATTTTTACAGTTTTTACCTTTGAATTATTTTTTTACATTTTTTACTGCATGGGCCATCTTTTACATTTTTTTTACAGTTTACAAAGCCTAGTGAGAGCAAATTTTATTGAATCTAATTTAAATAATTTATGTATTCATTTCATATAAAATAAATTGCTTTGTTATGTTCTGGGTTGGAAGGGTAGTGGTGCCTATAAAGTTAATATAACCTAATTAAGAAAAAAATAATGAACACTATGGACTTAAGTTGGGCCAAAATGGTTTGTAATTTTTTTAGCTTTAACTATTAATGCATATTTCCTCGGAAAGACTTTTTTAAGATCGAGATTTTTATAAATCTACGGGTAGATATAGATCATCATTTTAACTAAATGTAGTTGTATTTTGTATTTTGTATTTTGTAGTTGCAGTTTCTTTTCCTAGCTTGTCAAATAGTTACAATTTTTAAGTTAAGCGTGGTTGTACATTGGCTGTGTAACCAAGTAAAAGGTTAACTTACGGAATTTACATTACCCTTGAATATGTTATAAACTCTAATCCAAGCCCTAACAGTTATAAAACCTTGACCGTTATACTTAGCAAAAGTTGATAATTTTAATCAATAGCACAAATCCAACCAGGCGTACATACATGCTATTAGCTTATAAGATTATGTATCCCAAAGACTGAAACCTGTAATTCACTTAAAACTACACCATTTGTGCATAGTCTAGTACATCACAAGAAATGTGTTATCCCTTACTCTTTTACTATGTTAATCAACACCCCATATTTGTTATAACTAAAGGGTAAAATAAATTATTTTTAATGCTGATTTTTATTTTTATTTAAAATTATTTTTGTCTCCTTAAATTAGTAAAATAAATATAAAAAAAATAATACTGAGCCATTACATTCTTTGCCTCTAGAAGTTGAATTTATTATTTTTGAAAATCATCAACTGTTTACCCGTGTTTTGACCTAGTGCTACAAGTTGCTTCACGGTAACTCATATTTTTTTAGCCTTTTGTAACAATACTAATAATAATATATTTATGTCCCTTTTCCAATAGAATGCAACTTTTTTCTTAATCTAGAACGTTCCAAGTCGTATGTTTTTTATGATATTTTCTCTTTTATTCATAGCAACATTTGTCATAAGTTTTTACGTCAAAGCCTGAATGCTTGAATGGATTTGTAACTGTTATTAATATTATTTTGATTATTATTATGATTGTGTCGAAAATCATATATGTCCGGTTATTTTCTTTGTTTGAGGGCGCTTTTATCAGTAGGTCCTCTCTTTGTTTCTAATGCACTGCCTTGGATTCGAAACTGTAAGTTACAACTGCATGACTCTAGTTTGTGATAACTGTTTTACTGTTTTGTCATTACATTACATTATATTATTTAACTACATTAATTGAATTAATTAGTTTATTACACCCCTAGCGGGTATTCATGGTTATCTCGGCATTTCAAACTTTCATTTATTTTTTTCGCAGTCGCAATGGCAGAGACAGATGAGACGCACCAATTTTAAATTTATTAAACGCCATTAAAACCTTAACAACACAACATGATTTAATCCACAAAAAAGAGTCAAGACAAAAAAGATTCAAGATACAAAGAAGGTTAAAAAAATAATGACAATGATTCTGCCCAGGATCGAACTGGGGACGTTCTGCGTGTTAAGCAGATGCCATAACCAACTAGACCACAGAACCTATCACGTGGAAAGCGTCATGTACTTTTTGTCAGGTGATAAAGGAGTCACGATATAATTTTCACGTGATCCAAATTCTGTTTCGGAGTTTTTCGGTGATTATGAAATTTCAAATTTTCTTACTGCCGTCCCGTTAAGCTGTCTGTGCTTGCTTTCCCTTTGTTTACTATTTGCAAGTCATGCTCTTCTCTGTGCCTCTTTTAAATTCAAATTTCAAAAATCTCAATATCAAGCAATTCAAAGCATCACCATACATTGACGAATGTTTCAATTAGTAATAATTACATCTACTCTTTCCTCTTCTTCTCTTTTACCATCATCGCCATCATCGTCATCATCGTGGTAGTTCTTGTATAGATAGTCCCTATATATATCTATTGATCTACAAATCTTCCATCTTTCGCTTGACTCTTTACTACGTCATCGCATGGTTGCTACAAGTCCATTTCATCATTCATTCACTTAAACTCGTCCCAAACTTATTCGGAACCATTTACTCTACATTATACCGTTATCCACAAACATAATTGCTCATAAACAATGGCTGAACCTAAAAAACCACTCATCCGTTTTAAATTGATTCATTATTATCTTGTACCGATAATATGTTTAATTGTATGGTGGGGAATGTTGATTGCTATGTTATCAGCATGGTCGATTCAAGGTCATCCTATATATTACTTTATGTCAGGTTATCAAAACCCAGTTTATATATCTGATATTGGAGCTACGAATTTGCAACCATTATTCATCTCATGTACAGGGTTTCAAGCCATATTTTTTGTGGGAACTTTAATCCTTATTTATTTCTTAAGAAGATATCATAAATTACAACCTTATATTAAACCAATTCAACATAAATTAGATATTGCTAGTATAGTATGTTCTGTATTAGGTCAATTGGGTATATTATTTGTTAGTATTTTTAATACTCATATCTTCCCTGATGTTCATATATCAATGGTTGCAGTATTTATTGCATTTATCTTCTTTTCATGTTTATTTAATTTCTTTACTTCATTTATATTTGGTAATAATCCTGATTTATTATCCCCATATCATAAACATGATGTCATCTTTGGTGATAGAAAATGGGATAACCTTTATATGTTATCATTCTGGTTAAAGGCAACTTGGTTAGCCGCTGCTTTTGCCTTTGCTGTGTGTTTTGGGGTATTCATGGAATCTGGTAATCAAAGTTTAAGTGCAGCATTTGAATGGACCATTTCTTTCTGGTATGGTTTATTATTAATTATGTGGAGTCTTGATCTCTTACCAGCTGCTATGAAACATTATAGAATAAGTCATCCTGAAATATATGGTCCAAATAGTGAAAAAGGTGTCGATGAAGATAAAAATGAAATTAATAGTGGTTTGTCAACTGTTTGATCCAATTTTGATTGTAATTTATTTATTTACCGTGAATAAATTTATTAGTTATTTATTTATTTATTTATTTATTTATTATTTACTTATTTCTAGCTTAGATCTTTTTTTTTAATTTGATTGACATAATATAACCTATTATAGATTTATTAGATGTTGCTTTGTTGTAAGGGTGTTTCATGGGGTTTGGTTTGTAATTATGTGTTATACTACTAATGAGGCAAGCTTGCCGAAACATTAGTAAACATCACTATACTAAGCTGCGCTAAAAGGACTGTGCATCGTATCTGATAACCCATTAGTAAGTTATTTTCCTTACTTCGCAATAGTGGCTCGTTCTTCAACCAATCATTATTGACTTACCGTATATATCTATACTAATATTGATCTTATAGATTAAATTGTTCTATCGTGCCGATCCTCCGTGTACGGCAAGAGAGATGCGAACGGATCCATTTTCCCGATTAGTAAACGGAATTGTTTTTTTTTTATTTTTTCCTTATTTCTTCAGGTAAATTTTCAAAAGACGTTAAACTGTGAAGGTTTATGATTACTAAACCTGTTTCATGTTTATTTACTTAAGTCTGGTTGAAGATCCTTGTAATTCTGATTAACACTACTTTTTTACTTATCGAAGGATGATAATATAATAGAATGCTGAAAGAAATTAGAGTAATGCTGGAAGATGAAATGACATCTGTTGTAACGCAACGGGAAATTGACGTGAATGAAATAGTGGGAGAAAATGATAATGATAAGTTACCAAATATATTTCTAGATGATCCAGATAGATTTGCAGAAGGTGGTAGAGAAGCATATACCGTATTATTAGGCTCATTTCTAGGTTTGACGGGTGTATTGGCATTTGTGAATTCAGCTGGAGTGGTGGAAAATTATATCCAAGATGTATTATTGCCAGATGTTCAAACTTCAACTATAGGATGGATATTCTCCTTATTTAATTTCCTAGGTTTTGGTTTAACGATTATCCTGGGACCTGTGTTTGATAAAATAGGTTGTAAGATCCCCATCGCTATAGGGACAGTATTATTGACTTTAGGACTTATTTTCGCCTCACTTTCAACTGAGATATATCAATTAATCTTGAGTTATGGTATATTGGGTGGACTTGGGATTTCATTGACGTTTGGGCCATTCGTTGGAGTTTTAAGTCATTATTTCTTAAGAAGAAGAGCTATGGCTATAGGTTGTGCATATATTGGAGGAGCTATTGGAGGGGTCGTATTCCCTGTTATGTTTAGAGCTTTATTCCCTAAACTTGGATGGGGATGGACAGTCAGAATTGGAGCATTTATATGTTTTACATTATTAACAGCAGGTTGGTTGTTGGTTAGAGATAGACATTTAGAGTTCAGAGATGAAACTAATACTGATACGATCAGCAAACAAATTTTAAAATCAATTGATTTTAGAATATTTAAAAATAAAGTTTATACAAGTTTAGTACTTGCATTATTAGGTAATGGGTTTGCATTTTTAATTACCATGACTTATTTACCATCTTACGCATCTGCATTTGGTTATTCTGCTTCAGATTCATATTTATTACTAGTAGTATTTAATTCATTATCTATACCAGGAAGAGTTATACCGTCTTATATTGCTGATAAATATGGTCGATTCAATGCTGTTTGTATCACATCAACTATTTCAACATTAGCATTTTTCTTGATTTGGGTTAATCGAAAATCAGGACATACCCTAGGAGGTTTATTTACATTTGCTGGTATATTTGGATTTAGTTCAGGTTCAATCTTATCCTTAACTCCAGCTACTATAGGGCAGATTTTCAAAGTTGAAAAAATCGGAGCTGGGATTGGTACGGCCTTTTTTGTGTTATCATTTGGTGATTTGATTGGTATACCGATTGGTGGAGCCATCACTAATCCAAAGACAAAAGAATCATTTGATAATTTGGTTATCTTTGTATCCTTATGTTCATTATGTGGTACAATTGGAAGTTATACAGCTCGATATTTATATGCTGGATTCAGACTCGCAAGAGTTTAGTAATAGTTTAATTTTATAATTTAAAGAAATTCGATATTTTCTTGAATAAACGAAGAATGATCAGTTAATCCTTCTATTGATACCGCGTGTAATCTTGATCTATGACCTATCATAAGCATTCTCCATAATGATTTGGTTAATTTGATTTCAATAATATCACCTTTAACCGTATTTGCATCATTTAATTTTCTCTTTTTAATATTTTCATTATCATCATTACCGTCTTGAGATCCAATTAAATCATGGACCCAAGTTTTCTTCATTTGCATACCATTAATTATGGCTTTACAATCAGCAAATCCAGCTATACAAGTTATAGTTGGACTATTAGTATCGATATCTTCAATTAAAAAATCTTCACTAAAATCTTGAAATACGGAAATATATTTTTGACATAATTTATTACTGATTTGAATAGTAGTGATATTTAAAGTCTTATTAACGATTAATTTAACTTCACTATAGTTCTTATTGAAAATATCACCATTGGAATCCAATTGAAAGATTAAATTTCGTTTTGGTTCATTTATTATATATGGTCTCACGTATTGAATAGGAGTTTCAAGTTTAGTAGGCAATTCAGAATCATTAACCACTCCTTTTCTTTGTAAATCATTTAAATTCAAGATAATTTCTTGTTTATTTTCCATGAATGGATTATTAATGACACGATGTTTTAAGATTCGTTGTTCTAATTCCAAGAATCGATAATATTTACATTCTCTCATTAATAATAATCGATGTTCATCATTTTTCACAATCAAGTTATTCCCCTGTAATAATTCTAATAAATCAGCAAATAAAGCTGGTGAACGATTGGCCACCGTAGCTGGTTTTTGAGGTGGAGGTCTTAACATCTTCTTATCTTCGAATACTTTAATATTATCTGATAATAAACCATCATAATTAACAGTAAAAAAATTAGGATAATTTCCTGAATTGACGAATAATGAACGACTTATTTTAAATGATTGATTCCCAATGGTAGCAAAGATATCTTGTTCAGTTAAGATTGCTTGTAAACGTTTCAATCCAAAGTAAAAGGCATCAGACCAAAGATGAACAAACTCATAATCATTATCAACATTGATGGAGTATCCTTGTAAATGATTATAAATCTTTTCAAAGATAGCAGGAGATCGATCAATGAACAATACTTTATCTTCATTCTCCTCTTGTCTGAAATATTTCACGAAATAGGATGGAGCATCTGATGATAATGATAATCCACTTAATCGAAATAGTTTATATCCAACTTGGATTGAATACACCTTCTCATGAGGTAAAGCTTCCTGGATTTCAGGATTGAATTCATACAGTGGTTCTGCGTTTCTTACTGGGTGTTCCAACATACTGTCTTATCTTATAATTGATTCAATTGAATAGTCAATTGCCTAGTATCTCTATCTCTATCTCTTCCCCATAAACTATGGATGTTCAAAAATTTAATTTTCTCCTCGTTCGGGCAACTGCCAGGAAGAAAAAGCGTTTTAAAAAATATTCCGCTATAAATAGAGAGAAGGAGAGGAGTTGATTCAAACTGTATAATTACAAGCGCAACAGTTCATATATTCAGATGGTAGAGAGGAGATCGATGGTATAAAGTATTTATAGTCAAGATCAGAGGAAAATACAGTTTAATAGGAAGTAAAAATATTCAAAATTAACAACTGATGCTGAGATAAATAAGCACCAAATAGAGAAGATAACTTAGAAATTGCAAAAATTCATATGACAAGAAAGAGTCGAACGTTCAATGGGTGTTGGACTTGTCGGTCACGGAAGGTCAAGTGTGATCTAGGGAAACCTAAATGTGATCGATGTAAGAAAGCAGGATTGGATTGTGCTGGTTATAATATCATATTAGGATGGTCTAGTCCCTTAACTGTATCTAAGACTGATAATTCATTAATCACATTAGCTAATGAAGATGAGAATCCTGATAGTTTCCAGAGAAGGAATGTGGAGTTGGTGAGGTATCCGAAATCAATGACATATACTACCTATAAAGCATTAAGTAGAGAGTTGGATCGATTGGATGAATATGTGTTTCAAAATAGATATAAGATAAGGGTGGGACCATTTGGAGTTTATAAAGTGAACTTGATAGGTAACAAGGAAGATGAAGAGATTATGGAAAGCATTCCATTGAAAAGGAAGCAATCATCAACTTCTATGGTTTCGTCAAGACCTTCATCATCAATTGGTGATAGTGTTGATTCTAGAGGAAAGATTTCTAACGTACGATCAGATTTATCAAGATCGGATAGACTCCAGACAACATCATCAATCAGACGATACAATATCAATAAAGAATCGATTTTCTCCAAGACCAACAATACCTGGGTTCATTATGAGTTATTAGATTATGCTAAATTAACAATCTTGGGTATAAAAGGTTCCAGTTATGAATTTAATGAACAAAACATGTTACATATCTTATACCCCAATTTCTTTCCCAACATAGATTCAGATGATTGGTTAGTTGACTCCAACTATATCAAAAACAAATTATATCATTATGATCCATCTCAACGACAACTCGTAATAAAATCATTATTCCAAGTGCTTTTCCGAGGATTAAATTCTAAATTATTTTCATTCAATCGAGTATATTGGTCTGATAACTATTTCGATACTTTGATTATACCATATATCAATAATATTGTATGTCAATTCATATGTTATGATTTCACCAAATGGGATAAGACGTTTGATTTACGAGAGAATCCTGATTTTACTCCGGTTGAATTCAAACAGAATATCAAATACGCCATTGTGAATCTTATCATTGGGATATTGGCATTCAAGAAGTCATTGGAAGTGGGTGGTAATGTTATTAATGATGATAATTCCTATTATGTGGATGAGTATTTGAAGTTGAGTATTGAATTGAGGAAACTAAGTATTGGGATTATTAATTTTCATTTAGATGAATATGATAATGATGATGATGAAGATGAGGAAAACGATGATAATAAACCAAAGAATGAATCATTAGAGTATGAGAATTTGTTATTATTGGGATTAATCTTACAGATTGAGTTGGATAATAGGTTTAGTATTTATGAAAATTTCGATTTAATCTTTGCTATTGGAGATAATATTATTAAAGATAAATTCAAACATACAAAATTATCAAATATGACTAAATTCTTAGTTATAATCTTCAAGATAAGTTATATGATATATGAAAGTACTCAATCTATAAATGATGATAATTATTCAATTGCAATGGGTGATGAAAAATTAAACTATCGAGATTTGAATGAAGCTTATGATTTAGTACGAGAGAAAGATGTAGGTGATGATGATGATGACGACGATGATGAAGATGACGATGAAGAAGATGAAGATGAAGGCAAAAAGGGTATTCAAATCAAGCCTACGATTCAAAATTTGATCATATCAACATCGGATTCCAATAGTAATGATAATACAAGTACATCTAATGCCAGTAATTATATGCCAACTTACACACCAATGTCATTCACTATCAGCTTTAATAAGAGAAAACTTGGAGGTTATGATGAAGCAGAACGATCTGATATGATGATGACTAATAATGATTCAATTAAAAGTACCAACAGCAATTATAAAGTGAATGGACGTAGACGAGATTCACTTATAACTATTCCATCCACCAAAGTCAATTTCTATACTAATATAGATAATAATTCGATTCATTTAATGTATGGGATCCCAAAGTCATTATTAGATATCTTTCATGAGATTATTCATTTAACAAACCATAAGAATATCTTTAATAAAAGGAAAGTATTCCCTCGGAATTTCCCTAAGATTTGTGCAGATATTGAAGATAAATTAATCAATTGGGATATTAGTAAGGTTTGGCAATTAAACACTGATGATAATAAATTACATAAAGCGATTTGGTTGAATGTGGTATCGTTTCAACAAGCGATTATAGTTTATTTTTATCGATTAATTAAACATGCTCGAAACAAACCACTGGTTATAAAGTCGATTTCATATTTAGAAGAGTTGGTAGAATTAATTCAGAATCATAATGTGGAAGTTAAGCCATTATTCTGGCCATTATTAATCTGTGGATCAGAACTCGATCATGATGACATTAAATTACAAAGAAAGGTTATTGCTATGTGGCAAGATTATGATTGTTATAGTAACACCGTACAATATAATTATTGGAGAAGTAAACAAATCTTATATGAGGTATGGAAGAGGAAAGAAATTGGTGAAGAGATTGGATTTATGGATATGATAAGAGAATGGGATGTTAAATTATGCTTGTTCTAATTTTTTTAGATTTGTCAGTAAATGATTATTGTGTGTGTTTGATTAAATAAAGTACGATGAATCTCATAAATCAGATACCATTGCATTCCGACCTTTGATGAACCCGTACGTATGATTTCCTAGATTAAGGAACACAGAAAAGCCAAGCCAGTATAAGGGCTAAAGTCAAAGTTAAAGCTAAGCATTTGGGTTAAATCAGACAAAAATTGTTTGAAATAGTAAATAAAAGCCACCTTTTGTATACATATTAAGAATATTATTATTTATTTATTTATTCATTGTATTTTTAATTTATTATATTATTTATCTTAATTTATTTAATTGTATGGAAAAATTGTATGGTACGGGGTAATTATTACCCCCACCTCAAAACTTTGTGTAACTGGAGAAATAACTAAAAAGTTGCTATAGCCCTGACCATGGGGTTATAGTTGACAAATGGTTGCATAGGTTACATGTCCATAGTCAAACTTGTGGATCTATCATTCAAATAGTATCTTTGCCAGTTTGATCATGTGTTGAATTGTGGGGAATTGCTTCAGTGAGTACTTTGGTTAATAGGCTTTTTCACCATTTGAAAAATTTTGATAGATTTTAAATTTTTACATCAGGAACCATTTCCAAATAAGGGAAATGCTCCTTAGTTTCCTAAATCAGACATTTTTTAAAAAATTTCCATTTCATTTAACACTTACATACATATAGTTGAAGATTAGAGATCCTTTTGAAATTTTTAAACAGTTCCAAAGTTCTACCCCACTTCTCCATGTTTGGGTTGGACTTTCCCACTATAAAGTGCTTGCTTCGTTTTAATGTATCGTTGCCCCTCCTTTTCCTTCCATCTACGATTTAAAGTTAAAATAACTAAAGGTTGAAGTATGGGGAAATGATCATCAGAATGGATTTATGTGTGATGTTTTAACGGGGAGGTATCCCTAATTAGGAATGGTCTGAATAGTCAGTTTTAGTGAAAACTTGTATATGCTCAATAACTGGCTTGATTTTTTAGTGCATTTAATTTACGCCAGAAGTAGAAGTCTAAGCAGAATAATTTTATATTTATCATCTGTCACACACACTCTTCTTCTCCCATGGAACTACTAATTGACATCGCCCGTGTGAATATATGGTTCAAACATGTTTTTGAAAGCCTCCTTTTTATGTTTATTATCGTTTTTTATTTTTGTTCGTTTTCGAAATCAACTTTAATTCATTCTCGTTAAAAATAATACAAAACGAAAAAAAAAAAAAAAAAATAATAATAAAAAAAAATTTAAAAATAAAAATTTTTGATTTTATTATTTTTGTTTCGGAAAAAATCAAAGCGCAAAAAGCAGAAAAAAATGGAACAAGCAAGTTAAATCAACAGTAATTGTTACCAACTGATCACTAAATGTATCAAGTGTGCGAAACGAAATGTAATGTTACTATTTAATGGATTAATTGGAAGTTATGTGATTGGTGCAATTGAATTTAATAAGCAAGTGTATGTATGTTATAGAGTATTGATAAAATAGAAATCATCTGGTTACTATACATGATCGTTTCAATAAGCGTTTAAATTTTGAATAGGCTGAAAAGAGAAAGGGGCAATAACTTTGATAAAAATTATTAAATAATAAACCTTTACCCATGATCAAATGAAATGAATTAAAATTGGAGTTTCTTCACCAGAAATGCAACATTTTTCTGTACTACCGTATCGTATCGTATCGTATCGTATTAGATCGTATCCTAACCTTTGAATAGAACTTTCAATAAAGCAGCGATATTGGTTGTACGTTACTCCCTCTTGGTAAAGTATGACCTAAAGAGGGCATTCGCTGTCACAGTCGCCGCTACTATCGCCGCTAATTTCGCTCAGTAATTAGTATGTCAATCTCAGTAATGAGAATAGTGCAGCCAGTAATTTAGTGAGATGGTCAGGCAGTCCTGGCAACAAAAAAAATGTGAGAAACCCGCAAAAAAAAAGATTATAATAAATAAATGTACAATTAATTAATTAAAAATTAGTGGGGAGAAAAATGTCTGCATGAAATTGATTTTTTTGTAATCGCATTACTTTTTTAATGTATAGTAGTTCGTAAACAAAAATTGAGAAAACGTCTGCTTTTTCGGATTATCGGAAATACTTGTTGAGCGGGACAACTATTTGATGAAAATGAGGGGCAACTCCAACCCAACCTTAACTTTACTATATTTATAGATATAGAAGGTACATCATGATTGATTTAGTGGGTTATTATATTTATACATATATAATCCATTCATTGTTCTGGGTTATTTATTTAATTTTGACTTGTGTGGGGGAGGAGAAGAAAGTGGGAAGTAGATGACTTAAATGTGGAACAATTCATTCATGGAGAAATTTATATAGGTTAAAGCTTAATATTGCTAATCGTGCTTTTCTGATTTAGATACGAAGAAAATAAAATGGAATTGAATGCCAAGTTATAGTTAAATGTGGAGATTGATTACATTCTCTTGATATCATGTTGTTTAGCTTATTAATAACGAGTTTAAAGATAAGCATACTTTGAAGCACTTTATACTTGTAAGATACAAGAAATCTCTATGTTAACAACAACAAAAAAATCTGGGAGGGTGCGAGGAAACCACTTCCCTTTTCAATTTTTGTCTGTCTGAAAACTAATTTCGCCCCGGAATAAATATACTGTGAGAGTGTGGAGCTGGATGTACCACAAACGAAAGAAAAAAAATTTTGCTTTAAGGTTTTTCCGAACAGTTTTTTTTTTTTATCACAAGGTTTTTAAAATAAAACGATTTTCCATTCTATGAATAAAGAGTTGTATTATATTTAATAGCATATATATGACGATTGAATCGAAGAAAGAATTTGTAGTTAGTTTGTATTAACGAAACGATTTGTAGAAATAGTTTTTCCATAATTTTTTTTTCTTTTCTTTTCTTTTCTTTTCCTTTATTATCTAATTATTTTAAACTATTTATTAAATCATTTTGTTTGGCGATACAGTGATATACCCATATCGTGACTTCTAAAAAAGGTCAAATAACTATCTCAGATCCTTTGTCGTCGCCTCACTCAATTATTTCATTTAAACAAGGTTATCATTATCATCTGTAAGAACCTATATAATCCTAAGAATTCTAGCCGTGGATCCTTTTTTCTTTAATTTGGATTGACTGTTTTTGTTTTGCTACATAGATCCATTCAAAAAATATTTCTCCCATCAGTTGATTAAGACAAGTATCATTCAGTACAAGTTTAACATTTATTAACTCTTGTCAGAATAAATACCATCAGCAAAAGATTTTGAATATTTTAGAACTATTTTTTACCTATTTGTTACACTAAATTTGATTTTTTAATTAATCCCAACTACTCCACTTTTTCCATTTTTTATTTTTCTTTTCAGCTTGACAAAAAAAAAAACAATTGTCGTGTCGTGTCCGGTGTTCAAGAAAAAAAAAGTGTCTGAAAATTATTACGAAACAAAACAAATTAATACATAAAAGTGCACTGTCTCCAAATTCTCCATAATTAAATAATTTCCGGGGTACAGAAACTATAACGTCAATCAACACAAGATATTCCTTAGTACTATCAATATTAAATCTCATTGACAAGTACATTTATCTACGAACCAGTACTTAACTCAAGAATAGAATCAAAAACACTCTTCAAATTCCGTCACTGGTCATTATTCTTACATTCACTAGAGAATTAAATTTTTAAGCACTCTTTTTTTTTGTCTCAGGAAACAAAGGCAGAAAAAAAAAAGCTAAAAAATAAAAAAAATCACTACCAAAAAAGACAGTTTTCTCAAAAAATAAATCATAAAAAATATCATAAAATAAAAATTAAAATAAAAATTAAAATAAAATAAAAAAAAGTCTGTTTAATTTTCCTTTTATTTTTTTTTTTTTTTTGGTTGGTTTTTTTGAAATTGATCAATCAGCATTTTATTTTTATATTTTAATTCAAAAAACCTTTTTGGTGTCTTTCGTCCAATTCAATCAACTTTACGTCAAGTCTGTCTACTTAATCAATCCTTAGTTTAGCTATCCACTATACGCAAGCTAGTGGTCCATCATCATCCCATCCATCGTCTTAAGCCACCGATACCACAAAAGCATCCCACCCCCAGCTAGCTCTGTCTCTCCCCACTCCACCCCCAGACAGCAAAAAAAGCAGCAGGTAAGACTTCATCATTTAAGTGTGTATGTTTGACCATTCTTTCCTTTTCAAATGAGTACAACAACGCATGAACTGAAATTATCAGTACCAATCAATCCAATGTCTACCACAACGGCAACTTCAACCGCCACTAGTTCAGGGTCAATATTACCTCCTCCTCCCACCACAAATAATAACAATAATAGTTCTTATGGTATAGTGCCACCACCTTTGACTGCCACTTCATTATTGAATACATCAACCCCTCCAACCAATGAATTACCTCCTATGATCCCTCATTCAAACTCAAATGATAGCATAAATTCAATCAATAATAATAATACTAATAATAATACCCCAACGAATAACGACTCTAATGAATTATCAAATAATCCTCCTCGTAAGAGGTCTAAAGTATCACGAGCTTGTGATGCTTGTAGAAGGAAGAAAGTAAGATGTAATGCTGAATATAGTTCAACTTTACAAAAAGTTACTAAGGTTTGTAATAACTGTATTAAAAATAGTGAAAATTGTTCATTTTCAAGAGTTCCTTTGAAGAGAGGTCCTTCAAAGGGTTATATAAGAGATTTAGAAGAAAAATTGGATAAATCAACTTCTTCAAATCCTTCTTCAATGTCAGGTGCAACCACTTCCATCCAAATTCAAAATACTGTCATACCAATAACTTCATCAACTTCAATACATCATCAACCTTTACCATTCCCTCAAGGTCATTGGAAATCTAATAGTACTTCAAATAATACATCATCGCCTATTTCCAATGGACATAATAACAACAACAATAGTAATGGACACTCTCCAAGTATAAATGGTAATTCATCAACTATAATATTACCTCCAATAGTAGGATATCAATCAAAAATGTTACCATCGGCAGTACTGAAATTATCCACTAATACTTCAAATACGGTAACCCCAACAAGCACCAGCAATCCATCAAGTCCAAGAAGTCATTCTATTAATGGTTTATTAAACAATACCCCCAGTTCCAACCCTATAACTACCGCAAATATTACTGCCAACAATAATAATAATTCATCAACTGATCTTTCAAATACAAAAAATTCAAGTCCTCCAATTCAAGGTCCTTTCTGGAAAGTACCTTATGAAATGCCACAATCAAGAAGTAGAAGGTCATCAGTGACTATGAATGATTCATCATCAAATTCAGATAGTGTGTCTAATGATCCTAATAATAATCATCAATCTCATCATCATCGTAGAAGATCATCCATCGATTCAATTTCTTCTACTTCTACCAATGGTTCAAGATTACCATCTTTAAAACCAAGTATTTCTGTGAATAGTGACGTTATATCTGATAGTGATGCTGAAGATTTCTATTCTATTAAATCATCATCATTCTCATTGGCAGGTAATCATAATAGAACTCCATCCATTAATAATTTGACTAGATCAAGAAAGAACTCTCAAAGTTTATCACCCAGAAATTCAGTTAGTTCATTATCAAGTTTAAGTGGTAGAATGAATAAAGCCTTGCATATTCAAAGTAATAATAGTTCAACTCCAACAAGTTTAATACCGTCACCGGTTGTTGCTCCTTCATTAATTCCTGCTCATCTCCAACTGGCTCAACAACAACAACAACAACAACAACAAGGTCCTCCACCTCCAGGAAGTCAACCAGCAGCATACCCATTTCCATCTTATGCCTTTGGCAGTTCAACCACGGCTGGTCCACAACCAATTCTTTCCCATCCTCATCCTCAATTTGCTTTTCCAACCATTGCTCAAGTCCCTACTCAAATGTCTTCATCAACTCCAACTTCATTCTATCAACCTACACAATATTCAAAAGCTCCTTTAAATAATATCGATACCAACTTGAGACTCTACTATAATCATTTCCATTCATCATTCCCTATCTTACCATTTAATCAGAATTATATTTTTTCAATGTTGGAGAAATTCGATGATCAAAGTTCGAGAATCTTAGTAGATTTATTTAATCAAGCTTTGAATAATTTGAATAATTTTAAACAAATCACCATTAATGATAACATATCCATCTTAAGTAGAATCTTATCATTATATCCATTTAATAACTTTGGTATTAAAGTATCTGACACGTCTTTGATCTTATTTTTTTCATCATTGTTGATTCTCAATTATACGATTTTATTGAATGGAGATATTTATTCATTGGGTATTTCATTAACTAGTACCATATTTAATGATTTCAAAGTGTTGGAGAATTTTATTGACTTTGTGAATGAAAATCATGCCAATGTAAGTAAACTCACCATAGATGATTATGATAATATTAAGTTATTGTTACCAAAGTTATATTTCACTTTGAATATTATTGATAATTTATATTCTATTAGTTTTGGAATTCAAAAAACCATCAATAATAATGAATTGATCAAATTTCTTTCCCAACATAGTGAATTTTTATTTCCTCAACATGATTTAAACGATTATAATTTCAAATCTGGTTTATTGATGTTTAAAAATTCAATTATGCTCAATGATCTCATTTTGATAAGAGAAAAATTCATCCTCAACAAAAACAAGCACGGTGAAAATATTGTTCCTATAAATTGGCAAGTAAACAATAGCAGCAATAATTCCAGCACCAATGGCAATGGAAATGGTAATACTAATGGCAACGGTAATGGTAATGGTTCTAGTGGTTCATTTGTAGCTAATGATGATTTTTCCAATTATTTCATTAGTTTGATCAATGAGAAATTTGAATTGATTGTATATTTATTAGAAATTAATCAATTTTTAAGCAATTCAAATAATCATGATAATGAAGAAGTATTTGAGAATTTAATTGATTATAACTTAAAATTAATTCGATTAATTAAAAAATTATCCAATTCAATTATAACCTTTGCAAATTTTATAAGTACCTCCACTCAAAATAATCATGGGTCATCATCAACTAATTCACCTGGAAATGGTACTCCATCAGGTTTGATGATAGCAACCAATTCAACTCATTCACCTAATTCACCATTAGATCCTCGTGAACCACTTTTGATCAATCCTTTATTGAATATCACTATTGGACAATTGTTTAAGTTGATTAAATTGAATAAACTTATCATTGATAGTTTAATCTCCTTGATTCAATCTGCGAACTCGTCATCATCTTACAAATCATCATTGCCAGTCGCTAATACTTCACCTAACTCGTCAATGATGAGTCAAAGTAATAGTGCTGCCAACATCAATAATCTCACTGGCAAATCTTCATCCATTATCCAAGGTACAGGTGGTGATATCGTTAACAGATGTATCAAGATTAATAATGATTTATCGATTTCATTCAATTTGTTGCATTTGAATTTGGTTAATTTACAATTGGGTTCCATTTCAATCAATTTAATCAGAAATAAAATCAGTAACTATAAATTCAACTTCAACCTTAGTTCATTTTTAAACAATAATGGAAATGGTGATCTTAAACAAGCTTTGAATTCATGGTCTCTGGAATTCTCCAATAATATTTTACCATTCATTGAACGGGAAAACATTGATGGTTGGTATTAAATCATGAACTAACGAACAATAATTTTTTGCTGCAAAGAACATAGCTTTTAGACAGTTGCTTTTATAGTGTACTCTTATCTTATATATATGACTAACATTTTATGTTTAACTTGGTTGTTATTTATTATAATATGAAAAATGAATAATATATATATAATACGTATATTTTTCGAAATGTAACAGAAGAATTTCATTAAACTTGTGTAGACTTTATTTATATAGTCTCATTTCACGATTTAACTAGTAATATATGTGTGTGAAAAAATAAAATTGATGATATACAATATATAGAGAGAATAAAAGGTATCTGAATGATAATAATAGTTATAAAATAATAATAATAAAAAAATAAAAAATAATAATTTAAATATAAAAATAGATGGGTAATCAAAATGATATGTTATTCTATTTTCTCGATATTTTAATTTCCCTTATGCTATGGATGGATGATTTAATTTGACTTGGTATGGTTTAGTTTTGATCTATAGTTAACCTTTAAGAAATAATGCCAATTTTATTCCTCTTGTTTTATTTTATGTTTGAATATATTTAATCAATTTTGATTTGAGAATAAATCTTTCTAACAAAGAAGAAACTACTGATAAAACCAATAGATCCACAGCAAAGGAATACAACCAAGGAAATAACAATTGAATAACCAACATATAACAGGAATGAAGCAACACCACCTAATCTTTCGCCTCCAGTTAAGAATAATGAATGTAAGAAAACATAGAGAGCACAACCTCCACCAACAAATAATGATTTCCATTGCCATTTATAATCTTCTGAACATAAAGTGTAATAAATCATTAAGATTGAAATTAATGAAGTAGTTAAAATCATTAATAAGAAACAGAAGAATAAGAATCCAAACATATAAAAGATTCTATTGAACCAAATTGATGAATAAATGAAGTACATTTCAACAGCAATAGAACCGAATGGGAAAATACCAGCAATAAACATAACTGGAATAGTTCTTAAATACCAAGGTTGAGTTGGAATTTGTCTTGGGATTTGATTAGTTCTAACTGGAACACTTAATAATTCTCTTTTAGAAGAAACGATTGAACCGGCAATAGCTAATGGAATAGAGACAAGGAACCAAATGACAACAATAGCAATCATAGTACCCATTGGAATAGCACCTGAAGATCCAACTGAAATTAAGAAAAAATTTAACACTAAGAAAATACCAAATAAACCACCTGGAACTAAAAGTGAAGTTAAAACCAAATTTAATTTCCAATTATCACCACCAAAGAATCTATAAATATAAGAAGAAACATAAGATGAAACAAAACTGAAGAAAATATAAAGGACAAACATAAAAGTAGTTAATGAACCTCTATTTGAAGGAGATAATAAACCAAATAAGGCAAAAGCAATAGTAATAAAACCCATTAAAAAGATTTGAACACCACTACCAACTAAAACAGACAATAATAATCTTTGCTTTGGAGGTCTAAAGACATCACCATGAACTAATTTCCAACCACTTTCATCAGAAATATCATCATCTAAATTGACTTCATTATATTTAACTATATCATTCTTCAAAGTTCTTAATAAAATATGAGCAATGATTATACCAAGAATTAAAACAATTAAGGAGAAATTGATTAAAGAAAACCATTGAATTTTTGGATCATAAACGTGTAAATATTTATCCCATCTTGTAGCCCAAGCAGTTGGAGATTCTTCAAAAGTAACAGAATAAGAAAATAACACGTTAGTTTCCTTTTCTCTACTTAAACTGACTGGATTTAAATCAGGAGAACAAAGTTCATCTTTACTAGCATCCTTTGGTAAATCACTTCTATCATAAGAACTTGGTTTAACAGTAACACCAACCACTCTAAAAGTATCACTTGAAACTGGATAATATTCAATATTAATTTCAAAATGATTATATAAATGAGCAGCATTATTTTCATCTACTACACCAATATGGAAACCTGATCCATAAAATTCTGATTTAGTTCTAACATCGATAACGTGATTAGCCACTGGTAATCCATCAACAATCCAATTATGATTATAACTGGCTCTAATATTTCTATTAACAAACACAGAATCAGTCTTGGTATAAGTGGAAGTACATAACAGGATACATTGCTTTTCATCTAACATTTTAATATCAAATGGAGAATTAAAGATTCTATCACCAAAGATAATAGCCCCTAATGATTCCAGTTGTTTAGCTGGACCTCCATCAGGATGACAGAAATGGAATTTAGGATAATAATAATCATAGGAGTAGACATAGGTATCCGATTGAACCTTTTTTTGACCCACATCCAAATGATGTAATGATGGAGTTAAATGATTAACGAGTAATGGAATCGTGTCTCCTTTATTATAATTGGTTGGGGCAACACCAGGTAAGTAAAAACCATTGGTTATTCCAATCACATAGGCCAATGCCGTGACGAGGGTATATAATAGATGCATCTTCCTATCTATGGTGACTAGCGATATATAGAGTCAATGCCTTTGATGGATAGATAAACAAATACGACACTTTAAAAGTTGAGATGAATTTTATGTCCAGCAAACCAAAATTCATTCATTCAGTTTTCCTGTTTTTGTTTTTTTCGATCTGAATTTTTTTTTTTTTTGTAAATTTTCCTTTTTGTGATCCGTGTAATTTTTGGTGTTATTTTTATTATAATATTATTATCTGTAATCTATGCATTGTATGTGCTTGTTTTATATTGACACACACACAGACTTACATATATTCACACATTCTAATATAAACAAAGACGCGGGACCTTCAATGTATCTTAGTAACAGAAATATTAGTAGTAGTTGGCAATCTAATGTAGGCCGTTTGTTAATTTCTATGTATATATAGTTTGATATCGGACATTTGTTGGTAGTTTCCAGTTAATCTTTATTTCTTCTTTTTGCAAAATTGATTTTCTTTTGAAGATTAGTCACGTCTCTAATTTCTTTCAATTTAGCTGCTTGTAATAAAGGATCTGTCATGTATATTGGTCGTTCATTCGAATAATCACAAGGTAAATGAAGTCGTATACATTGACCACATATAGGTCTATCTTCAGGACAAGCCTTATGACGAACCCTGCATGTCCAACATCCACTTTTTGAACGAGGACCAAGTCTTCGTTTCTTTTCTGGTATGTATACTTCTTCTTTAGTTCTAATACGACGACGTTTACTTCTTGTTTGTCTAGTCCCAGGTTTATATTCAACGTCATCAGACTCTGGTCCATCTAATCTTGCTTCAAATGATGACGTTGATGGTGGTGTTTTAAGTGTGACAATCTTACTTTCTTCTACACCATCATCATTACTAGGATTAAACTTTAAAGTTATTAATAATTGAGGTTTGGGAATCACTTCTTCTACTTCTTCATTGATTATCTTTCTTTTCTTTTTAGCTTTAGGTTTGGGTGTACGAGGTTTTCTTTTTCCTGTTGCCTTATTCTTAGTAGTCTTATGAGCTGTTTTCTTAGCATGATGAATGAATTTTGGACCTAATTGAGCTGTTTTTACTATAGACATGTCACTCGAAGTATCACCATCATCTTTTTGAAACGATTCTTGAAGTGTATTTCCTTTCACTCCTTGTTCTTTTTCGTTACCTGGTTTTCTTAAAATATTCATAACAGCAATATTACCAGGATGTAAACTACGTGAAGTTGGACGTTTATCTAAAGGACTAATCGAAAATTCAGTATTGCCAAAGGTTGAATTGGATGTAGAATCAACTAATGATGATGGATTTGATGATGGTGGTAATGGATCAGTTACATTATCAATTTCCATTAGAATCTCTAAAGAATTATTAAGCCTAATTTTATCAGTACCTTCATTAGACAGATTTGAAGTTTTCCAATTAGCAACATTATTATTAGGATTACTTTGATTAGAATTATTATAAATATCACTTAATGAACTATCATTATAACTGAGACTACCATTAGGACTACCACCATAAATATTTTGATAGATGGCTTTAACTCTCATCATTTCTTCTTGTGTTGCAAAATCATTTTCAGAAGTTAAAAATGCATTATCAATTTCCACTTCTGCTGATTGACTCTTGACCACAACTGGAGAACTTATGATCAAAGAACTATTAAACGGTTGATGTTGATGCTTTGTCATTGCATTATTATGATTTGAAGTTGTAGTAGTGGTAAGCTTCATATTATTTTTGATTAATTTTCCTGGTTGTAAATCCAATAAACTAGTAGTTGGGATTCTAATTCTAGATGGTGTTAATCTCCTATTAGAGTAATTGCAATCTGGAGGATAGAATAGCACTAGTTGAAGGTGATTGTTGGATTGATGGAGTACCTGAAGATATTGGTGGTAAATTTGTAAGTATCAAATCACTATCCAATTTTAACAAGTTCTTAGTCAATACAGTAGAGTTAGAGTTTGGATTAGAATCATTGAACGGATTAACCACTTTAGAAACCATTCCTGGGATTGATCCTGATTTCTCAGTGGTATTAGATGATGATGAATAAGTTCTAGATCCACTTCTCTTCATAGCATTTTGTTTACTATTATGATACTGGTTTAAATTCGATAATGATGCTAACCAGGTGGTATTAGACCCATTCCTGAGATAATAGTTAAGAGGACTTTCAGAGAACAACGTATGATTCATGTCTTAGGGTGTTTGTTGATTGATTACTCTAAACTATATAGAATACATAATTATTTGCAGCACCCATTCAAAAAAAATTATGACAGCCAAAATTTACACTTCCTTTTTTTCTCCCTCTGAGGAGGATTGTTTGGAAGCTATATGATTATGTATCACCAACTTACAGAGTTGGCTCATTTCGAACACTTGTATACCTTAACATCCAATTCAAATTGGTCAAGAGGAACTTGCAACTATCAGTCCATTCATGTTTGGATGTGACTCTTATACTTTTCCCTCCTATGGAATCCTTATGAGGTGAGATTCTATATGGTAATTGGATTTCATGATCAATTTCCATTAGCTTTGTTTCGACCTGCGAAACAATATCCAATAAAGCAATCATTGATACATCTAAATCATTATAATTGAATAACTTCCCTAATGAGAATTCATCTGATGAATATAGATTCAATACTGTTTTTGGATTTTCTGTGGTAGATGATGGTCTTACTGTGGTGGTTGTAGTTTCATTAAAAGTAGCAGATGATTCAACTGATTCTGATTGATTATGAGTATCAGATTGAGGATGTGAGCTTGAAAACTTTATTATTTGAGAATGAGATCCCATGGGTAATAATTTATAATCAATAAGATTGAATTTTAATCGATTTATTAAGAATATCAATAATACCACAATTTGTCCTAATGCTGCATTAACTTCAGGCCAAACTATCTTATACCCTAATCTGAATCCATTAATTAATGCATATTTATCATTATCATCAAAGGTGATATTGAATAATGTAGTATAAATATTCATATTTCTTAATTTATCCAAATGATTTAAATGCATTTTATAAGCTGATTTTGATTGTTCTAATTTATTATTTTGTTTATCAATATCTAACTTTAACTTATTTCGAAGTACTAATATCTCTGATAAATCATGTTTATACAAGTCATCTAATTGTTGCTTAAGATTACTTAATTCAGTTTCCAATTCCACTTTTTGATTTTCAAGTTGTTTTAATTCATTTAGATTATCCTGTTCTTCTTGAGAAAGTTGTTTATATTCTTGTAATGATTGCTTTAATTTTGAATCCAAATCCTTTACTTCTTCTTCTGAAAGTATACTAGCAGCTTCACTACCACTATTACTTGTTCCATTCTCTTCAAATGAAACTAACAGGGTATCCTTATCCTTCAATTTCTTAAGAAAAGTTAAATAACTATCTTTCTCTCGTTGAGTTTGATCAAATTTAAGTTTATAATTTTCGATTAATTGATTAGCAGCATCTTCTGATAAAGGGTGATCGATTTCCAGTTTATTCGCTAATATTTCAAATATCTTATTCAATGCTTTTAATCTCTCTGATAATTTAAAATCTTCATCAACTGCTTGATTTTGATAATCATTCGAAATTTCATTCTTAGAAACTCCTCCTCTTCCTTCTCCCAGTTTTATTTCATCACTATCACCATTAGTCAGACCATCATCATCAATGACAAGATAGGAAAATGACGTTAATGTATCTGCAAATGAAGCTATGTCGTCATATGGCATGTCATCCTCGTCATCCTCTTCATCCTCAAATTCATCATCGTCCTTATTATTATTGCCATTATTATGTTTTGATTGATTAAAGAAATCTTGAACGTGAATTGGTGGACCAGCACTTTTTTGAATTTCATTAAACATCTTCAAACGATCGTCGTCTATATATGTCGAAGGATCTAATGATTTAATATATTCTTTATCACGTTGTTCTTGCTGTTTAGATGGTAAATTAGTTAATAATAATTCAACTTGAGCTCGATTCAAATTTCGTAAACTTTTATCCAAACGAATTGGTACGTCTGATTTTCGACAATATAAAAGGTTATCTATTACCCTGCCACTTGATGAATCCTGTTTATCAGGCATTTGACTTTTAACCAATTTAATTAAATTTAGTTTAACTCTATCAGTTGGCTTACTTAGTAGATATCTCGTTTGTCTCCGCTAAATTTAACTTTCCTGCACATTTTGAGTCAGTTCCATACATAGAAAATGATAGTAGTTCCTAACAACCATTATAACCCTAATGACAACTGATAAGTCCATTCCATGTGATACATAACCATGGTATGTACATTTCCAATTGATTTGAACATAATGCTACTGATTTTAAATTTTATAACAGTGTATACTTTCTAATCATACTACCCTAAAGGTGATAGCTCTTATATTAGAAGAGTTGGTTACCCGGTCATTGTAATCTCAACTTTTCTTTACGACCCAAATATCAAAGACAGGAAAAATTTTCTTTTTATAAAATATATCTAACTACTTTGATCAAAATTACAATTAGAATATTGTGAATATAGATTTAGTTCTATAAGTGTCATAATGTTGTAAATGGATTCAGAAGATCTAGTGATCTGAACAATAACTAATTAAAAAGTATGTTCCAATAAACAAAACAAAACAAAACTACACGAAATGATTCAAATAACCTTCAATCGGTGTTCTTAATGATGATAATTTGATTACAGTGACTTTAAGATTTAACGATCAGTGTAAGCACTTGATTTCTCAATAGACTACAACGGTATCTGATATTATACATCCAAGATTGGGTTTGAAATAATCGTAAAGTGAAGTGTTTTCGTTCATTATAAAGGACCAATTTTACTAACTTACAGAATAGAACAAAGTTTTTACTTTTGCAATGGCTAAATTTCATAAAAAGCATTTAAACAAGATATATGGATATCCTATTCCTATAACTACCACTTCGGAAGCTTATGGTGTATCCTTACCTGAGGTTTATCCTCATAATCCGATTTCATGGTTATTCTTTGCTTATAAATTGATTCAATATAATTTATCCTTAACCGTTCCTCAATCTGAAATTAAGTTCATTGAGGTTGAACTTGATCAAAGTAGTATGTTTAAAGTTGATCAAACTGATGATGTATTAAGATTATGGAGACGAGGATTCTTTGGAAAGGGGATCTTATCAAGATCAGAACCTACTTGGAAAGAACGTACTATTAATCGACTTAATTTGAATTCAGAAGGTGAAGGTGGATCGAATCTTTTAATGGAAGACGTTACTGTTAAAAGAAGAGAAGGTCGTCAGAAATATAAAGATGAACGTTCAAAAATACAAGCGTTGGAGTTATTACAACGTAAGGGAGAGATTTTATCAAATGATGATTTGAAATTATTAGATGAATATCGGGAGAACATGGCTAAGTTAAAGAATCCAAATATCAGGTCTAATGGAGATGGTGATAATGATGAAGAATATATTCGTGAAGAAGATGAAGTATTGATTGATGAAGATACAAATCAATTAATTTCAAATCTTGAATTTTTACAATTACAATCGATTGAAGTATTCTTTTTGAAATTTGGTTTGAACGTGATCAAAATAACTCATAATCAATTGAAATTATCAACTAGGGATTTATTTCTTCAATGTTGTCAATTACAATCGTCTTCAACTGTGATTAAACCAAATAATCAATTCATTTTTGAATATGTGGTTTATCATCACTATCGTTCTTTAGGATGGTGTGTCAGATCTGGGATAAAATTTGGAAGTGATATGTTATTATATAAACGAGGTCCTCCCTTCTCACATGCTGAACATGCTGTTATGATAATCCCAAATGATGAATCTGAATCTGAATCCTCACAATATGATTGGTTTGAATTGGCATCTAGAGCCAGAGTCATTGGGACAGTAAAGAAGAATTTCGTATTAACTTTTGTCGATTATCCTCATGATATCGAAGATGTGAATGAGATTTGGTCACAAGTTACTGATGAAGATGATGATAAAGAGATTTTAAGTCAATTTTTTAAATTGTATAAAATCACTGAAATATTATATAGAAGATGGTCACCTAGCAGGACTAGAGATTGATCGGTAGATTGTATTTATTATTAATATGTAATATAGATAGATTCTACATTTAATGAAAATTTTAATGATTCTAACTTTGATTAATCTTGTAATTTAATGAAACCCACTAATAGTTGATATCTAAAATTTATTGCGAAATTTTGAAGTAATTTGAAAAAATGCTGATATTTCTTGAATAATAGTTAGAAGATGGGGGAATAAATGAGATTTACAAAGACCAACATTAGTCACTATCATTTATACGAACAGTTAACTCATATGATATATCTACAAGTATATAACCATGAAATTTAAGGTGGTAGCTCACGTCATTAATTTTAGGTGGAAATAAGAATTTTTTATGTGCAGGACATTTTCCATAAAAAATAAATGGCATCAGATTTCATTTAAAACAGGGTGTTTAAAGGTGATTGCCTTTATGGCCAAGTTGGTAAGGCACCTCACTAGTAATGAGGAGATCGTCAGTTCGACTCTGGCTGAAGGCATCTTATCTTCTTCATAATTTTTTGGCTGCCATTTTGGGTTTGGATTGTTTTGGGACACGTAACAAATTTTTTGACACGTACAAAAATAAAAGAGACGTGAACTATATGCAGGAATTTTTTAAATTAATTTCACGATCGTTATAATTGTCACGATATTGATTTAAAACGAACACGTCGAATATAAGAAGAAAGCCTTTATGGCCAAGTTGGTAAGGCACCTCACTAGTAATGAGGAGATCGTCAGTTCGACTCTGGCTGAAGGCATCTAATCTTCTTTTTTTATATCCTGTTGATTTGTATGATGAGGTAGGATTGATTTTTTTTTAAATGGTTAATTTTTACGAAGCAGCCAATGGAATTTTTTGGTGCAACTGAGACTAATTATTTTCTTTAACTATGGAGATTAGATCAAGCTGGTTGAACAGACAGAGATAGTTAGAAAGTGAGATGAGTGTTGAGCTAGAGATGATATCGTCAATTGATTGATTGATTGATTGACATGCTAGATACCATTAGACTAGATGAATAGATAGATTAACTGATTGATTCAATGATGTTTACATTCATTTAAGTTACCTATGAGATTTAATTTAATTCGATTTTTGACCTCATTGACACGACCCCTTCTCATCCATCTCAAATTTTTTATAACAAAAATAAATTTTTATAAATACGTCCAAACTTTCCTCATTTTTTTTTCGATTTCAGAAATGGGAAAATCTTAAATTTTATTTTTGTCTTGTCGCGTCTTATGTCGAAAATAAATATATAAATAAAGAAAATAATTCGACAAATCTGATAATATTTTCGACACAAATCAAATAAAAAAAACATGTCAAATCTAAATCAACTTATAAATAAAGAGGATGATTATAGTTACGTCTATAACCCAGCAACCAATGGTTCTACCACGACCGTTACCAACAATACTACTGAAGTCCCCGAAGAAACTTCGTCTTCTAATGGACTTGAATTAACTCAAGATAACATACTAACAAGTTTTGAAAAGATAAAGACTCATTTCCCTGCTGCTAGAATTAAAAAAATCATGCAAAGTGATGATGAAATTGGGAAAGTAGCTCAAGCCACTCCTATTATAGTTGGAAGAGCTTTGGAAATCTTTATGGCCAATTTAGTTGAAGTTTCCATCATTGAAGCTAAAAAACAAGGGGTTAAACGAATTACGGCATCTCATATTAGAGCTGCTATTGAAAATACAGAACAATTTGATTTCTTAGTTGAAGCAGTTGAAAAATATCCTCCTTTAAAAAATTAATTTTATGTAATTATTAGTGTATAGATATGTGTTATGAATTAACGAATCATTTATTATTATTATTGTTTTTATATTCTTTAATTAGCATCTTGTTTTCTATGTTTGTTAGTTAGTTAGTTAGTTAGTGTTTGTTTTTCTCAGTTTAATTGGGTTTAGTTTCAAGGATGGAAAGGTATAGAAAATGAATAAATATATAAATAAAACAAAGTATTATATTACTGTTATATATAATTAATATTGTAGAATATTTGATCGGGATTATTTCGTTTTTTGAATACTGCCCCTCGAATTTACCCCACTATTTTATTTCAAAGCTATTATAAACGATAGAATATAAAACGGGTAAACTTATTGATCTATTGGGTTAATTCTACATCGATATCCTCAACAATTTGCAACTTAATAATCTTCGGAAGAATAGAAAAAAGTCCCTAATTATAATCTTAAGAGCTATTTTTAGGAATATGTCAATCGGGTAGGGCCCGCCTTGAGTTCTTTTTTTATAATTCAAGGGAAGTTCAAGTTCCCTTACATTATCAATATAAAATGTTACAAAATATATCTATCCCCAATTACTTTGGTCTTCCCGTAAATTAATTCGTTCCATATTAACTATTAACTATTAACTAATTATCAAATTCTGCAGTGTTACCGAAATTTTTTCCCGTCTTGTTTACCATCCTGTATACAACGACGTCATTTCTCTATTGTCCTTTCCCCCACCATCCATTTCACTTTCACGATTATCAACAATTATAAAGAGCAATCAATTTATAAATAGTTTCAGTTATTTCGATTTCTTTTTCTGACATTTTATAGATTTTGTTAGGTTTACTGTGGTTTCACACAATTAGTTAATCTGACATATCAAACTAATACTTTGTGTGTGAGATAGAGTCTATTATACATCCATCTCTGAAAACATTCATACTTCATTATGGTTGCAATTCCACATCAAAGATCACATAGCAGTCTTGCCAATCGTCGATCATCTTCATTCTTCAATACTCCAGTCCCACCACCCCAACCTGATGTTTACTACGTTGGTGTTGATGTTGGTACAGGTTCTGCCAGAGCTTGTCTTATTGATACCAATGGGATTATATTAGGATTAGCAGAAAGACCTATCACAAGACACGAATTAAAACCAAATCATATCACTCAGTCTTCTACTGAAATTTGGAATGCCATTTGTTATTGTGTCAATACTTGTGTCCGTGATTCTGGTGTTGATCCTCTGGAAATATTTGGAATTGGTTTCGATGCTACTTGTTCATTAGTGGTTGTTTCAGAAACTACCGATGAACCAATTGGGGTGGGTCCAGATTTCACTGATCATAAAGAAAATATCATCTTATGGATGGATCATCGTGCTGTGGATGAAACTAATACTATCAATGCTACCAATGATAAATCTTTGAAATATGTCGGAGGTCAAATGTCAATTGAAATGGAATTACCTAAAATCAAATGGTTAAAACATAATTTACCAGGTGGGATTAATGATTGTAAATTCTATGATTTAGGTGATTATTTAACTCATAAAGCTACTGGATCCGAAGCAAGAAGTTTCTGTTCTGCAGTTTGTAAACAAGGTTTCGTTCCACCTGGTGTTGAACCTGATTTTGAAACCGGTTGGTCTAAAGAACTCTTATTGTCAGTTGATTTACCTGAATTAGTGGAAAATGATTTCAAAAGATTAGGTGGAAGTCCAAATAAAACTGGTAAATACTTAAGTGCCGGTGATATTGTGGGAAAATTAACTCCAGAAGCTGCTGAACAATTAGGTTTAACTACAGAATGTATTGTTGGATCAGCTGTCATCGATGCTTATGCAGGTTGGATCGGTACTGTTGCTGCTAAAGCTGATATCCCCAATGTAGTTGAAGATGCTTCAGGAAATACTAATATTGAAACTTCATGTGGAAGATTGGCTGCTGTAGCAGGTACTTCCACTTGTCATATTGCCATGACTAAAGAACCATGTTTCGTTAAAGGAGTATGGGGTCCATATAAAGATGTTATGGCTCCAGGTTATTGGTTAGCTGAAGGTGGACAATCCATGACAGGTGCATTATTAGCTCATGTCTTGGCTATTCATCCTGCTAGTCAAGAATTAGCACGTTTGGCTGATGCATCTAATTTATCCAAATTTGATTATTTAAATTTAATCTTGGAAAATTTAGTTTCAGAAAGAGAAGTTCGTTCAGTAGTAAGTTTAGCTAAACATATGTTTTTCTATGGTGATTTCCATGGTAATAGATCACCTATTGCTGATCCAACCATGAAAGCTAATATCATTGGTCAATCTATGGATTCATCAGTTAATGATTTAGCTATACAATATTTCGGAGCTTGTGAATTCATTGCTCAACAAACAAGACAAATTATTGAAGAAATGGAAAAATCAGGTCATAACATAACTAGTATCTTTATGAGTGGAGGTCAATGTAGAAATGGATTATTAATGAGATTATTAGCTGATTGTACAGGTAAATCAGTTATAATTCCAAGATACATTGATGCTGCTGTTGTATTTGGTTCTGCTATTTTAGGAGCTGTTGCTGCCGAATCAGCTGTATCAGAACATATTTCAACTAAAGGTAGATCAAGAAGATCATCAATCTTACAATCTCAAAGATCTCAAACTAGTTTATCTGGAGCACCATCTAGTGGATTTAATTCTGCACCAGCTCATTCTCCATATACTGCTCCAACTGCTACTGCTAGCAGTAGTTCTAATATTGTTAATTTAGGTTATACATCAATTAGTAATAGTGGTAGTCATCATCATATTCCTGCCATGACCCCTATGGAAGAAGAACAAACTGATTATTTCAATCAACCGGTGGTTGTAACTCCATCACCCGTGACCAAACCTCAGTCAGCCATTACTGATGATGAAGATGATGATGATTCAGGAGATGAAAGTGCTTTGTTGTCATTTGGATCAAAACTGCAAGTTCAAGAAGATTTACAACAAAAATTCCATAAATTAGGTCTTAAGCCTTTATCAACCATTAAGAAAGTTAGTAGTAATACTCCAGTTCCAACTGCTGCACCAGGAGATAAATTATGGAAAGTTATGGAAAAAATGACAGGACCAGGAAAAGTTATAACTCCAAGTGATAGTAATGATCCTGATCGTAAATTACTAGCTGCCAAGTATGAAATCTTCTTACAACAATGTTTCCAACAAGAAGAATATAGAAAGATTGTTGATCAAGTTGAAGCAACAAATTTGAAAGATTTAAGTTAAAGAATAGGTGTTACAAAAAGTTCATCCCATTTTAGTTTCTTTTTTTGGTATTTTTTGTTAAGTATATAAAGATTTTCAGTCACTCATTTTACAAACATTCACCACATATTTACCAACTGTAGGTTAGATAATAGGATTCATTCTATCTCATCTCCTGTCTAGATCTTTGTATTTATTATTAATAAACAATACATATCGAACACTTTAGACATAAATAATATTTTGATATTACAACGGCATTTGTAACAACAACCAGAATAAGAACAATCTAACACTTTGTGCTTGTTTTAAACTATCGGCTAATTTAATCGCCACCAGTAGAATAATCCATTAAAGGACAAAGTTAAGATAATAAAACGGAAAAGGAAAGGAAAAAGGAAAAAGTGCATTATGCAAAACACATGAATCGAAGAAACAAGAAGAGTATGCATATTGGAACCGTTTTACCGGCAAAGATGAGAGATGAGAGATTTGATAATTGATTGGTTTCTTTTAATTTGGCGACAGAGTAGATACGGCTGGCTGATAAAGTTGTAAATCTATTTTAACCTATTAGATAACTTTAAAAAATAATGTAAAATTTATTAATTAATATATATGCGTAATTTAAATTTGGCTCCACAATTAATACCTAATTTGGGACCTTGAGATGAGAATCGTTTCAAGTAACAAATGAATTAAAAGAAATAAACTTTCTGTAAATCGTTTGAGTATCTTGCTTGCTTGCTTATTTAGTTTGGTTTCTTTTTAAGAGTTAAAGATGCATTTCGTAATTAGATACTTGTCGAAGAGCCATACTAATTTCAGTTTAATTAGTTTAAATTAAGCTAATTAATTGATTAATTAAACCAATGCAAAGAAAAAGAAATAGTTTAAGTTTGGAGGAGATAAATGGAGAGATAAATGGTACTTTGACTAAGCAACCAAATCATGGTTTCTAACCCTAGCCCATAGTTGAAAGGTATACGGTTGAAACCACTCATAGATAGGGAAATTACGAATGAATGTGTGGAGTTGAAACTGTGTACATTTAAAAACAAAAAAAAAATAGAACAAAGAAGAAGGGATTGTACATATGTCTGTTTGAAGGTATTATTAACTCATTTATCTTGGCTACATGGTCGTATTAAGCCAATAAGTTGATACCTTATAACGTAATTTATCGCCTTAATCTATAAAGTTTTCAATCACCTTTAAAATCCTTTTATAGCTTTCAAGTTTAAATTGCAAAATATTTGAAACAAGCGCCTCTGCTTCCTAATTAGGTAATACTTTAAATCACGTGTTAATCTCATGCACAAAACCTTTTTCTAAAATTGCAATTGTTCACGTGATAAGGTCTCACTTTTTGGTTTTCTTCACAAGAGATGAATAAAACCGTTTTGGTCTATTTTATTTTCTGACAAATAGATGGAATTGGTCTATGTGGTCTACGTGTATCTGTATCTATGGTATCATAGGTATACGATAAGTCTAAGGCTCATGTTTTTGACGATAATACAAATTGAATTAACCATCAAATTGCGACTTGACATTATTAAGACTAGGTTTCCTTGCCGCCGCCGCTTAAGATTTTGATTTAAAGTTTCTTTTTTCTTAATCGTTACATTTTTTTTAGCAGCAATTTTAAGTTTTGACCAAAAACAATCAATTAAAAGACACTGAAAAAGCTTGTCGAAGTAGTCATATGAAAGTATCAGTATATAGTAGACTCTCATAAGGTCAGATCTGATAAAATATAAATCTGATACACTAAAATAAAAATAAACATTTTAAAATCCCAAAGTTCACGTGACTTGTGCTAACTGTGGTTTGAATTGCAACATTTTTCAATTTAATTTATAAGGAGATGAATAGCCACACATTTGATGTTTATTAATTTTTAGTTAATTAGCTTTTTTTTCACAACCAACCAAGTGGTTTAACCCAGATTATTATTATTTACTGATCTTATCACTATAGGTTAATCACAATAATAAACGGCATTAAAATATTATTATTTAGAGTTCGCTTTACTTGCATTTCATTCATTCATTGTTACATATTTATCAAATACAGACGTTTGTTTTAAAATATCTTTTCCCCAATCTTGTCTTGTCTAACTTGCCCCCTAACAACAGCAATTACAAGTACTCATCGACAACTTATTACCATCTTCTCCTCATCTATTCACTCCCATATTCACAATAGAAATAAACAATAATAATAATAATAATAACTTATTACTTTAAACTTAATTATTCGTATATCATTTCATAAAAGGCTTATTGCATAAAACCTCCCTCCCTCCCTCCTTCATTCCCTTTGCAGAATCATCTTGAAAAAGCTTAACGTATTCTAAGGAACAACTTATCCGTTAATATTTTAAGGTGTAATTTCTGTTTCTTTTCATAAAATCGTTTTGCATAAAAATAAATAAAAATAAAAAAAATTTTAATTTTTTATTTTTACTTTTTTATTTTGTGGGATATTTGACAGTTTTTTGCTACCAAACCTTTAGTATTTATTTGCTACAATATCCCTTGATTTTCATTATTTCAATTTAGATTTAATCTTTTTCCATTTATTCTTATTTTATATCTCATAATTAGTCATTATTATTTATACTGTGGGTAAAGGTAACTTCATATTATATCAATAATAATAATGTCAAATATTGAATCAGAAGTTCCTAATTTGTTAGGTCATGAAGATTTAACTTCCTACATATCAAAGAAATCTCATGAATTTCAAGAACCAAAATATAACAATTATCCAAGAGGTGATGGTACCATTGTTCCTGAATACAATGAAGTTGAACCAACTGCTATTGGTTGGGTCAGAGATGTCATTGGTCATCCTGGTCATAAACTTAGAGATTATCTCTTTTCTTTATTTCCTATCTTAAAATGGATCTTGCATTATAATGTTCAATGGTTATACGGTGATTTAGTCGCTGGTATTACTGTCGGTGTGGTTTTAGTTCCTCAATCTATGTCTTATGCTCAATTAGCTGGTTTACAAGCTCAATTCGGTTTATATTCTTCCTTTGTCGGTGTGTTCATTTATTCCTTTTTTGCAACTTCAAAGGACGTCTCTATTGGTCCTGTCGCTGTTATGTCAGCTCAAGTTGGTAAAGTTATCGCTTCTGTTCAAAGTGCTGTTGGTACTGCCAAATATCAACCTCAAGATATCGCTACCTTTTTAAATTTAATTTGTGGTGGTATTGCTCTTGGTCTTGGTATTTTTAGATTAGGTTTTATCTTAGAGTTCATTTCAATCCCTGCTGTTATGGGTTTCATGTCTGGTTCTGCCATTAATATTGCTGCTGGTCAAGTCCCAGCTTTAATGGGTTTTAGTTCTTTAGTTAATACTAGAGCTGCTACTTATGAAGTAATTATTCAATCATTAAAGGCTTTACCTCATACTACTGTTGATGCTGCTTTTGGTTTAGTTCCTTTAGCTATTTTAATCTTCTGGAAATGGTTTACTGAATTTGGTCAAAAGAGATGGCCAAAATATAAATGGTACTTCTTTTATGTTCAACAATTAAGAAATGCCATTGTTATTATCGTTGCTACTGCTATATCTTGGGGTGTTGTTCATCCTAAAAAGATTGCTTTCAAAGGTGCTGCTTCAAAATTCAAACCTCCTTTCTCAACCATTGGTGTTGTTCCAAGTGGTTTACAAGATGTTGGTCTTTATCATCCTCCAAATGGTATTGTTCATGATCTTGCTCCTTATATCCCAATCTCAACCATTATTTTATTATTAGAACATATTGCTATTTCTAAATCTTTTGGTAGAGTCAATGATTATAAAGTTATTCCAGATCAAGAAGTTATCGCCATTGGTGTTACTAATTTAGTCGGTACTGTTTTCCATGCTTATCCTGCCACTGGTTCTTTCTCCAGATCTGCCTTAAAAGCTAAATGTGGTGTTAGAACTCCAGTTGCTGGTCTTTTCACTGGTGCTGTTGTTTTATTGGCTCTTTATTGTTTAACTTCTACTTTCTACTATATTCCAAAAGCTACTTTAAGTGCTGTTATTATTCATGCTGTTTCTGATTTAGTAGCTGATTATAAGGTTACTTGGGGTTTCTGGAATGTTTCTCCATTAGATTGTGGTATGTTTGTTATTAATATTATTATTACTGTTTTCGCTACCATTGAAGAAGGTTGTTATTTCGCAATTGCTGCTTCTGCTGCTGTTCTTTTATTTAGAATTGCTAAACCTCAAGGTCATTTCTTAGGTAGAGTTCAAGTTGCTGAAGTTATTAACCCAACCATTGCTCAATCTGAAGGTGAATATAGAGATGGTAGTAATGATTCTAATGATTCATCTGATGATGTTGAAATTCATCAAGTCTTAGAAGATTCTACTGAAGGTAAAAAAGTCAAAGAAATTTCTTCTTCTACTACTTCTACTAATGTTAGAGATTTAGTTTCTGCTCATCCAAATATTAAATTCCATACTAGATGGGTTCCATTAACCAAAGAAAATCTTAATGCTCATATCAATGTTCAACCACCTCCACCAGGTGTGATTGTTTTCAAACCAATTGAATCATTCACTTATCCAAATTCATCTCGTCAAATTGATATCATTGCTGATGAAGCTAAACGTTTAACTAGAAGAGGTAAGCCATATGATAGTCTCAGTGTTGGTTCTAGACCATGGAATGATCCAGGTCCATTAAGATTCAAAGTTCCATTCTTAAATAACAAGACTGTTCATGAAGTTGACCAAGTTGCTGAAACTAGACCATTATTAAGAGTTCTTCATCTTGATTTCTCAGTTGTTACTAATATTGATGTTACAAGTATTCAAGCTTTAGTTGATTTAAGAAAACAATTGAATAAATATGCCGACAGAGAAGTTGAATTCCATTTCTCTGGTATTTTAAGTCCATGGGTTAGAAGAGGTTTGGTTCAAGCTGGATTTGGTACGTATGATCAAAATGGTTTAGTAAGTGATAAAACTTTCGTTAATATTGCTGCTGATAATGATTTAGAAAATCAATATTATGCCCCAATCGGTACTAATACTCCTTTCTTCCATTTTGAAATCCCAGAATATTAGATTCTTCATTCCTTTTATTTCTAGTCCCATTAACTTCATTCTTTTACCTTAGACATTCATTTCAATAATCAATCAGTGTTATTATTATTCTTCACTTCATTTTAGTCTTAATCTATCTATATATATATATATATATATATATATGTACATACATACAAATTACGTTTGTGTCCTTTGGGTATCTTTATTCTCTTTTGTTATCATTATATACAGCTAATCTCAATATATTTTTATCATTTAATTAAATCGAATTTCATATTTATAGTCATTCTTAACTATGTTTATGACATGACTTCATAGTATTTATACGTGTTCCTAGTCGCGTATCAAGATAGTGAATAGAGCATAAGATTTGAATAATCCTTATGTATATCACATTTATATACTGCTATATCGCAGGCCAGTAGTACGTACATTACTATTATAACCCTCTTTTCTCTTACAAGATCTGGTTAGCAATATACCTTAACCTTATTTCGTGTTGTGAGGCTCGCAAAATCAAGAAATTTGTAAACAACGCGTTCGTGATACTTTTTTTTTTATTTGCAACAGCAACAGTGAAAAAGGCAGCCAAAAGGTTAAGTCATTTCTTTCTGAAGTGTATCCATCAATCAATCAATCAATCAAGTCACTCAACTCTGAAGTAGTTGACAGAATGACTGTAGAAGCCAAGATGCAATCACCTGCTTTAACGCCATTATCTGATAGTGTAAAGGAAATTATCAACCTTGATGAAGATGAAAATATAGAATCAACTCCAATTAAGAGAAAACAAACTGATGATAAGGATGATGGAGATGATTCAAGTGATAACAACAATACTAAAAAGGCAAAGTTGGCCACTCCAGATATAACACTGACTACACCTATTCCTGAATCAGAGACTAAGAAATTAACTAAGAAAGAATTACAAAAGATTGAAAATCAAAAGAAACGAGAGATTGAAAGAATTGAGCGTGAAAAGAAAAAGGAAGAGGAAAGATTACTTAAAGAACATAATAAGAAGGTAAGAGAAGATGAAAGATTAAAAAAATTAGCTGAAAAGGAACTTGAAAAAGAACAAAAGAGAAAGAAGTTAGAAGATGAAAAAATTCAAAGAGAGAAATTGAAAGAAGAAGAGAGATTACAAAAGCTAGCTAAAATGGAAGAGAGAGAAAGACTCAGAAAGGAAAAGAAACAAAAGGAAGAAGATGATAAGAAACGATTAGAGGAAGACAAGAAGAGACTTGAAGAAGAAAAACGTAAAGCTGAAGAGTTAAAAGAAAGAAGTCAATCCAAGATATCAAACTTCTTCAAGATTAAGGTTCAACCTACCACAACAACTCCTAAAAAGAATAATCCCAATCAATCAAGTGTTGCAAATAGTCCTTTACATAAAGGTACCAATCCAATTCTAATTGAAGATACGAGTAAGATTTCAGATTATGAATCAGATTTCTTGCCATTCTTTATACAGAAAAATGTTGTTCTAGCCGATAATGGTAGTTTATCTCCTGAACAGAAACAGAAATCTATCAAAGAATTCGATGATGATTTAAAGGACAGTGAATCTTCAGATTTAAAGTCATATTTCAACTCATTCAAAACTAATGATGATCCTATTTCACAATCAATAACTCCAGATGCGATCATCAATGAATTAAATTCAGCAACCACTTCAGAAACAATCATATATGAACTCATACAGAAATTACCTCCCATTAAATATTTACAATTTTATGAAAATTCAAAACCACCTTATATAGGAACTTGGTGTTCTTTACGCCATCAGAAGATACATATTCCTGTCGTGAATCCTATAAATACTGAATTGACGGGGTTTGATTATGAGTACGACAGTGATCTTGAATGGAATAATAAGGAAGATGGAGAGGATGATGAAGATGGTGAAGATATTGACGATGATGAAGATGATGATGAAGAACCTAATTTGGATGATGATGATATGTTGGATTTTGTGGAGGATAATAACCTTGATCAAAATAATAAATCCAAAAAGTTCCATTCTTTAATAGTAATCAATAAATGGAATGATGGATCTAATCAAGACATATTTGATAAATTAATAACAGTTCCTTTGATAACGGAATTGATGGAAGGAGAACCAATTGATCCAAATAAAGATTATTGGAATCCAACTGCCAATGAAGCAACTATAGTTTCAGTTGATGTGAATCTTCCGAAAGTAGATGCAAACTCCCTGTCTGGTACAAGTACAACTACATCAACTTCAACATCCACAACACCAAATATCTTAATTCCCCAAAAGAAAACCATTCAAGATGCAACCATATTGGGTCAATTGATTACATTTATTGAAAAGAATAATGATTTTAGCATCCAAACATTAGTAGAGTTATCGAAAAAGCAATTTAAAGACTTCACTAAAGCATTGTTGAAGAACACCATTCAAGAAATTGCCACTTATAATAAGAAAACAACAAACTGGGATGTGAAGCCCGAACTTAAAGCTAAGTATGTAGTATAAATATGTATAGATCTTTATCGATTATTAGACTAAAAAGTACATTACCACATAATATAAAATTTTATTTTGCGACCATAGTTTAGAAACAAAAATAAAAAAAACGCGGTACGCCATAAGAACCAAAATATTTATTTAATATCTATATACCATCAATAGGATAGGGTAATAAACATCAAGATATAATGAAGATATGAGTCGACTAGAGAAGGAGGATTCGATATATGAACAACGGGCACTTCCTAGTGAAGAAATGGAGAAAGATGATGATAGTATTTTCTTTATATCTACGCAAATGCAATCAATCCATGAAGATGTAGTTGAAAATGAAAAGAATGAAGTTAAGATCGCTAGTCAAATTTCGAGATTGAAACTGTTTAGTCATGACAATAGTAGTAGTAGGGGTAACAGTCAAGTCACTGTTAATAAAGTCAAAGTACAACCAAAGTTAAAGGCTAAGAAATCTGGTAGTTCAAAAAAGAATCAATCTATGAGTTCAATGGTTAGAGATAAGTTTAGTACTGATAAATTATCATATTTCACAGGAGATCAGAGTAAAATCGATAAATTTTTAAAACGAATAAGGCGAGAGGAAGAATTGGATGAACTTTTGCCATTAGCTCCAAAAGCTGGAAGTAATGGTGGCGGTGTCAAACTTTCAACTTCACAATTAATATGTCAGCGTGATTGGAGTTATTTCCTAAAGTCTATAAAGATGAAGTTTCCAAATTTGAGATCGTCTCGGAAAAGGAATTTAAAAATCATCACTAGAAAGATAGCTATTGCTACTCAAGATAACGTTGATGCTGAGAATAGTTTATGGTCACAAGCAGCTTCAATGCCTGATACCGAACTTAGCAAAGATGACTTGAAATGGCTTTATGATTTAGATGATGAAGAGTTAATGAATGCAAGTAGTTTTGTCGAGGATGATATTATTGATAACAGAGAGTTTGTCTTAACTTTATCCCAGAATATGAATGAAGATGAAGAAGTAGAGTTCTCAACCACAGGTTCACCATCTCAAGGTATAATCGATATCTTTAGCAGCAGCGCTGAGAATGAAAATGGTGATGAAATCATTGTCATTCTGGATTCAGAATCAGAAGTGGAGGAATTAACTGTTTCGATGGAGAAATCCCAATCGTATTCTCAATCTCAAGTTCAACCTGGTCAAAGCTATCTTCAAGTGATGGAAAGTATATATAAACCAGAAGAAACACTACCATCACATCAAGATGAAGTAGTAGATCCATTAATATCATTCCAGAGTTTCCCATTTGCTGATCCAAAAAGAAAAATCATCCGAACACAAGAAGACTTATCTCAAGTTAATGAAGCTGAGCCTATTGAAATCACATCTCTGACTTCACTAAGTAAAACACCATCTTTTCAACAAACTCCAAATAAATTGAAACGTACCATTTCAGATATATCTCCTTTCAAAACACCCACTAAAAGATCTAAGCAACTTTTAGATACAACTAATACTCCTACCAATTCTTCACCGGTGAAGTTAATTGCGGCATCATCAACAGAATCGACTCCAGATGGTGGACAATATGGAAATATAGAAGATGATGAAGAAATAATGTCTTCTGATGGTGATACAGTATATTCAACTGCCAGAACCTACATCTATTCAAATCAATTACAAAAGGATAGAACACCGGTAAAGAAAAATGGTCTTAAGGTGGTACCAATAAGGAAAACTATACAGACTACACGTCATGAAGTATCTAATGCCATTCCAGTGCAAGATTATACTGATCCTATTAATCATATACAACTTAAACGAGTTGGATTCAAAGAGAAAGAAGTGATTGATATTGATGAAATTATCCCTGATTCTGAAGATGATGAAGATGATAAAGAGATTAGTATTGTTGAGATAACTAGAGTAGTTGAAGATCTACTGGATAAGACTAATACATCGATATTACAAGTTCCATCAAGTCCATCTAAGGAGATGTTCTCATCTCAGGAAATAAGGAATTTTTTAGCTGAAGAGGAAGACGAATCAGGTGGGTCTATTGATTTTTCAAAGTTCACTACTACCCAATTAAAGGAACAATTCAAAGAATGGGGATTAAAACCCGTTAGAGGACGTGATAAAATGATCAGTATTCTTACAGAAGCTAGTAAACTAACTATTAATTCTCAAACAACAGATTCAACCTGTGCCACAAGAACAACGTCTATTAAAAATGCCACTACTACCACCACTATTAGTGCTACTCAACAAACTATGTATGAGAAACTAAATGAAATAATTAAACTGAATGATTATTGGTATGAAAAGATAATAAGCTATGAACCTTTAATCTTGGAAGATATGCAAAAATGGTTAGAATCGATTGGATATAAATTGGAATATGATTTTTTGCAGAAGTATTGTGATGAAGGAGGTATTTGCTGTACAAACCAGCGTTGAAATAGAATAGAGTCTTTCCCGTATAAATATGTATTATAATGAACTTTTTTAATGAACCTAACGTTTATCATACACGTCCTGCTTAGATGTACTTTTTATAATCAGCTTCAATTCTTTCACTTAACAACTTATCATTAATGTAGGACAATAACCTAAGTGATAAACCAAAATCGGCCACAAATGTACCTGGACCATAGATGATATTGTTTAAAAGATGACCATATGGTTTGTAATATACCACTTTAAATGCCCAAATCCCATGATATATCCAGATCACCAACGCGATCAAGAATAAAATAGTAAGTATGAATGAGTTTGCAAATCTCATTTTCGATATTCTTTCTTCTACTCCGATGGCTGCTTGTCTAGCTGCTGTCTTCTTTGGAACTGCCATGATTATATATGATGTATATTACTTAATTTGCCATCATAAACTAGAGCTAAAGATCAAACATTTATAGTTTGATGGAATTTTGCCATAACAAAAATCATCAACATCCGTACCACAATACAGTGTCAATTTTTGGTGATAGGTCTGCACAGAAGAGTTTAAAAAAGAAAAAAGTAAGACCATTAAAATGTGCTGCCAATCTGAAGAGATCTATCACTCTTCAACAGGTTTCAACTTCTTCTTCAGATCAATTATATGGATTGAGTGTCAAAATGGAGTCTGAGTACGGATACGACCCACAATTGGTCATCGAGCCAGCATATTACTCTGGTGGTGTTCCAGTGTTTGAGCCGACCATGAAACAATTTGAAGATTTCTATAAGTTTAACAAAGCAATCAATCGATATGGGATGGAGTCAGGGATTGTCAAAGTGGTACCTCCTAGAGAATGGCAGAATGCAGTGAAGAAAGGGTATAATGTGAATAATTTATCTCGTATTCATATTAAGAATCCAATTCTTCAACAAATTAATCATATTGGATCTGGGGTATTCTCTCAACAGAATATTGAAAGGCCACGTAAATATGACATATTTCAATGGAAGGAATTAGCAGAGAAGGCTAATAATAAACCACCATCCATAAGGAAGAAGAGTGAAGATGCTCCTAGCAATTCCGATAAGAATGAGAAATCAAAACCATCACAATCCCCACCTAGAAGACATCATCATCACTATAATTCAACGTATAATATAGATACATCTGAATTCACAGAAGAAAGATGTGAAGAGTTGGAAAAGAATTATTGGAGAACTTTAACTTATGCTGAACCTATGTATGGTGCTGATATGTTGGGTTCTATATTTGAAGATTCTATCAAAAGTTGGAATGTCAATAGTTTACCTAATATATTAGATTTAATGGATGTGAAATTACCCGGGGTAAATGATGCTTATCTATATGCTGGATTGTGGAAAGCTACATTTGCCTGGCATTTGGAAGATCAAGATTTATATTCCATCAATTATCTTCATTTTGGTGCTCCTAAACAATGGTATTCAATACCTCAATCAGAACGAGAAAGATTCTTCGATATTATGCAAGACACATTTCATGATGAATATAAGAATTGTCCTGAATTCCTTAGACATAAGACATTCCTAGTATCTCCCGCATTCCTTGCCAAACATGGTATTACTGTAAATAAAATAGTTCATAATGAAGGTGAATTCATGATAACTTATCCCTATGGATATCATGCTGGTTTCAATTATGGTTATAATCTAGCTGAATCAGTTAATTTTGCCTTAGATGATTGGTTCCCCATCGGGAAAGCATCTCAGAAGTGTGAATGTATAAGTGATGCTGTGGCCATAAATATTGAACAAATTGTCTGCAAATTTAAAGGAATTCCATATGTTCCACCTGATTCTGATTCCGATACGGAACAAACTGAAGGTTTTGAGACAGAAACAGAACCAGAAACTGATGATGATCTGTTGAAGGTGATTAGTGTGACTGAAGTTATACCTTCTTCACCAACAAAGAAATCTTCAACCTCTCGTAAAAGAGTAAAGAAAGACCAAAAAGGTGCCTCAAAACAACAGCCCATTATAAAAAGGGTCAAGAAGACCCCTAAACAATCTAATTCTCAGTCATCACTCAAGACGGAAAGGGAATGTTATTTGTGTCCTAATAACTTTTCTAACAATCCTATGATGAAGGCAGATCCATTATTTCATTTAATTGATACTGATTTGACAATTAAAGGTAATAAAGCTCAAGTACATAAAATATGTGCCAATATGTTTAAAAACGAGTTAACATATGATCCCGAAAATGAAAGTATAGCTGGCTTATCACTCATTTCCAAAGATCAAAAGAAGCTACCATGTAAATTATGTTTGAGAACATTCGAGGGAGCCTGTTTTCAATGCAGTTATTCTAAATGTACGCGTGCTTACCATGGTACTTGTGGGGTTGCTGATGGAGTGGTATATAACTTGGAAGATGGAGGTAAAGTATTATGTAAATACCATCGTTCTAAGAAGATGTCTAATAATAGATTCCAAAAATTATCCTCCATACAAGGAATAAGTTCATTTATTCAATTTGTGTTTAATGGTAGGTATTATTTTGGTAAAGTTTTAAGAAATAATCAAAATGAACATTCATTTCATGTATTGGTTTATCCTGACTTACATGAAGTTTTCGAAATTTCTTATGATAATGTTTTGATTGGAAGTAATGCTGAACAATTGGATAATTCAATATTTATAGATACGTTTAAATCGAATTATTTGAATATTAAAGCTGATAATATTCATAGCAGTAATGATAATATTATTGAGATAAGTGATGAGGAGAGTCAAGAGAAGTATAATCAAATGTCAAATTTAAGTCTGGCTATTACGGAACATAAGAATTACATTCTGATTCCAAGTTCTCCTCAATCAGAACTCGCTTCATCTCCTCGAATCTTTACCAAACAGGCAGTAAAGAAAGATGCATTTAAGGATGAAGTTATAATCATCAGTGATGGTACAACTCAAGCGGAAAATATCGCTAGTGACGAATTAGACACACATACTGCTGGGGAAGTTGTATCCCCAAAGACAAGGTCGGGAAGGGTTTATACTAAATAAACGGTTTTTTTAAGTATTTTTATATAACGTTAATGATAAAATGTATATATTTGGTAGCGTAAGCTTTTTCGGTTTGAGTTTTTGTTTGTAGATGAAAAATAGAAAATGATTATCACCACAAATTGCAAATTGGATTGAGTAAGGTTCCTCCACCAAAGGTATGAAACGACGGAAGAAGAATGAGGTTATAGTGGTCAGTAGTGATGAGAGTAAAGGCAACAGTGAGGAAGAAGAAGATTTAATTGAAGATGATGAAGATATATCCCAAGACTTTATAGTGCTGTCTAAGAAACCAAAATCAGTAAATCTGAGCCAGAAGAATCCAACACCCATAAAGCGAGTCAAATACGAAGAGAAGGCATTTCCAAACCATGATGAGTATCAACAATGGAGTGACAAGTATACACCCAAGACCCTGGGTGAATTGTGCATCAATCCTCAAAAATTGAAACAAGTTAAGGAAGTTTTACAAGATATGATTTTTAATTATAACGCGTTAACTACACCCCGATTATTGATCCTTAGTGGTCCCGCTGGGAGTTGTAAATCAACTACGATTAAAGTTCTTGCCAATGATTTAATATCACAAAGACATCAGAATACTTCAATGCTATCAGGTTATGATGATCTTAGTGTTGGAGATCAAAAATGGATAGAGTATATGGATACCAATGTGGATGGGATTAATCAAAGTAATCAATTTGAAGAGTTCTTGAATGATGTAAAGTATAGAATTGGTCATAATTTATCAGTCGTGATATTGGAGGAATTACCTAATATATTTCATTTTGAAACATTACAAAAATTTAGGAATAAATTAAAGGAATGGTTATATTTGGATACTACATCTGTACGATTGCCTCCATTAGTCTTGTGCTTAACAGAAGTGGAATACAATAACGCGTTTGACTCATCCACAGCGTCCTATTCATACAATATTGAGAATAATCTAACGGTTGAAACGCTATTAGGCAAGGAAATCATTAACTCGGGTCCAAAAGTGAAAGTTATCAAATTCAATGCTATAGCGAACAAGTTTGTAAGAAAGACCATCAATGGTGTGATTAAAGGCGAACGAAGTATATTCAATAGTATCCCTCCTCGACAATTGAATCCGTTCTTAGATGAATTGGTCAAGATTGGAGATATTCGATCGATTTTGTTTAATTTACAATTATGGGCCAATAATTACGTCAAACAACAAGAAAAAATCGGTAAAGATGATGATAATGAAGGTAGGGCGATTCAATTGGAGAGTAGTTTTATTAGGGAGAATCAAATTAATTTATTTCATGCTATTGGGAAAATTATATATTCCAGTTCAGAATTTTCACAACTATCAGATTCAGATTCCAAAGATTATTACTCCATTGAACAAGTGCTAAATAATTTCAATAATTCATCATTATTGAACCTATCGATCTTAGAGAATTATCCCATTTACTATAATTCTAACTATGATATCTCCATTGCCAGTAATATCGTGAACGATTTAAGTATAAATGATTTATTCAAAGATGGATTAGAAGCGAATAAGGATTTCGGAATACGATCTACTAGAAACAATCTCAGATCGATAGTGGCTCAAGAATCATCCTCAAACACGCAGTACAATAACAAGTTAAAGATTAAATTCCCTCGACATTTTAAAATGATAAGACAATATAATAAAACATTACAACAGATCAAATCATATCAACGATATATCAATGAGGGGAAGAACTCATGGCAGGATTTGAATATGATAGATGGGTACTATCTTCCCATCATCTATAATAAGCGAGGTAATACTCGATATTCATATAATCGATTGGGTGGCAAGTTTCAAGAAATTCATGCTGATGAAGATTTACCTATTCAAGATAATATATCAAATACTGATGAAGCAAGCATCTATGACAAGGATCAGTTTCAAGTTGATATTGAGAACAAAATCGCCGAAAGAGAGGATGACAAAGGTGAAGAGGATGATGAATTAAGTGATCCTATTGAAAATAGTGATCAGGAAGATGATGAAGTCGATGATGAGGATGGATTTCTGTCTGATCCTGAGTTGGATGGATTAATATCGCAGGGTCGAGTATGATTCAGATTAATTATATTTATTACTATTAAACATTACCATAAATACCTACTTGTATATAGAAATAGAAGAGAGAACATATACCTTAGGAAATGAACGAAACCAGTTTAAGCCGCAGCTTGAAGAGCCTTTTCAAAGAATTGGTCATCTTCTTCAATACTTTCTTTGACGATATCTAAACCACCTTGGAATTCACCATTAACGTATAATTGAGGGAATGTTGGCCAATCACTGAATTTTTTAAGTCCTTGTCTAACAGAATCATCTTTTAAAATATCAAAGAACCCAAACCTAACTTGATGTTCTCTTAAAATAGCAACTAATTGTCTTGAGAAACCACATTGTGGAGATGATGGTGAACCTTTCATGAATAACATAATAGGAGCAGCGGTAGTTAATTTCTTTAATCTTTCTTGAACAGCATCTTCTGATTCTTCTTCTGGTTGGGATGTAGTTTGTGGTTTAGTGGCAGTCGCGGTGGCAAGTGGAGTTGGACCATTATGTGAAGTAGATGTAGATGATGATGATGAGAATTGGTTTAACGAATTTATAAATTCTTTTGGATCAGCTCCTGATAATTCTTTAAGAATTACAGAATTACGAATAAGAATAATATAAGGAACAGCACTAACTTCGAATAATTCACTGATTTCAGATAATTCATCAGCATTAATACTAAGGAACAGGATTGAATTGTCACTAGCTTTGGAATCAGCTACAGTTTTAAAGATTTGATTCATAGTTTGACATGGTTGAGCCCATGGCGTATGGAAATAAAGTACAATTAACTTTGTAGCATCATTTTTAGTTAATTCTGTGAATTGTGATTCTGATTCGATTTCCGTTACAGGCATGGTGTATGAACTATAGTTGTTTCGGTATGATTTAAGTATCTATAAGGGGTAGCAAAATGAAATACAGATGAAGAAATCGAAAAGATGGTTTAGATTACTAAAAAACTATGGCATCATCTTTGTTCATTATACTCTATTTGATTATAAATGAAAAAAAAAATTATATTTCAAAAGTCATGTGACCAAAAGAGAATGTCGTGCGAAGCACAATATACTAAATCTACATATATCCTATATAATTAAGCTACACCTAAATTAGACAGTTATACCTGGCTATTTGTACCAGAATAGCGATATCTGAAAGCATCAGCTACCGCTTCATTTAATTTTACAAGTTCTTCCTTTTGTTGAGCTTTTGTCAGACCAAGTAGTGCAGCAGATTTTTTACTAAATCTTTGAATATCAAATCTAGATAGTCCAAAATCATAGAATATAACTTTACGCTTTGTAGCGTCATATTTAAAATTTTGATATTTGATATCACCATGTATAAGACCACGTTCATGGATTGATTTCAAAGAAATTGCAGCTAAATTCTGATACTCAAACTCAGATGATGGATAATTTTGTGGGACCTGGTCCATCAAAAGAAAGAATCCACAGATTCTTTCATGACCAGATCTACCACTTCGACTAGGCCAATCGATTAAACCCGAACTATATAAATAAGGAGTTGCATTGGTTGTTTCTGTTCGACCTTCTTTTGATACTGGCCTTTCTAAGTTTACCCCATTGTTATTTACCTTTCTTAGTACAGAGAAGGCACGCAACTCGTTTAAGTACATAGAAAGGCAGAAACTGAAATTTAGATGAAAGGACCGAGCATGGGTGTGTTTCTCGAAATCTGGTGATGATACAGCATCATAGACCTTCAACACCATCTTTACGCCCCTGTTGATACCTGAATTACAGGTCAATGTAAAAACCTTTGAATGATGAACCACTTTATCCGGTTCATTAATTTGAATTGCAAATAAATTTGAAAAATCCTCCTCATTGATACTTTGATTGAAATTTACTTCCGTGGCTCTGAAGTCAAGGAGAAACTCTTTTCGAATTTTGATGTCTGGTGCATCGTTTCGGATGAGGTAATCTCCAACGGCTTCAAAATGTTTAAAGCGAGTCTGCCACTCTGCTTTAATGAAATTGTATTTACCTATTTCCACATCAACCTTGTCAGCATCGGTAAGCTTCATTGCTTTCAAAATATTATCAATTTTGTTCTTATCTGCTTGAGTAACCTTCAGAAAATGATTGAAAGCCAACAGGTACAATATTAATGAAGGGCTCGTTTGGTGATGTTGGTAACAATATACTTTACATTTAAGTTTAGCTGTTCTTATGAGAGTTAATGGATCACTTCCAAGGACAGGTAGCTCATCTTCTAATTTGATAAATATAATTGACTCTCTATCACATAAAACTCCTACTGGTGATCGATATGAGAGCATTTGATAGAGGATTTGATTCGTAAGGTCAAGGTACATCCTATTTTTCTTTTTGAACGCTTCATAAATACCACTTAGTTTAAGTTCTATTGGCAACATGAATATACGAGAGTTCTTTAGTACCAGTAAGCAACAATCGGGCCTTGAAAAAGTTTCCAAAGCAAGCTGCTCATGATACAGAACTACCGTAAATCTTTTGTCACCGGAAATGAGAGATCTTAATGGAAGAAATATAGTAGTCATAAAATTGGCACGTAATTCCAGTTCATTTCTTGTATTTCCCGCACCAAATCCAATATCAGAGAATTCTAGCTCCTCTAATGCTCTCAATTCGACTAGCTGGATTTTATCATCAACATTCAAATTTTCAACTTCTAACTGCCTGTACGATTCATAGAACGATCTATTTTCTGTAAATGCTGAAGTTGTTGCTCTTGATTCATTGGTGCTTATATTAGTGGTTATACCTTGTACGGCTGAAATTGCATTCTTTCTTGGCTTCTTCCGATGTGGCTCATATGAGTCCGGGATAGTAGCAAATCTCTCGAGAGTTAAATATTGCTGTCTTGGAAAAGGAAGAGCGAAAAATACCGAATAGTAGAAGACTCGCTCCACTATCTGAGCAAAGGATACCGGAAGTTGTATGTTGTGTTTAATGGCATATTTAATGGCTTCGCTTTGTAAATGTTGGCAAAGAAAACGGGTAGATCCATGTTGCTCATGGAAGTCGACATCAATATAATTCCTATCTCGTCCAGGTCTTTCTTTATTGCCAACAAACATATGAAAGGGTAACAATATTAAGTATTCAATTATAAATTATATTTAATTATGACTATTAGAAAGTCAAACCAAAAAAGACGTAGACCAATTTCTTCTCTGAAACCTTGATAATCGACTTTTCTTGAATCTTCAATACTTTTGAATTCTATTTCTCTTTGATTTCTTTGCTCTTTAAATATGAAATTGTATGGTGCTTGATCTAAGTAGTTATGCTTAACATCTGTCGAATATTGATGTATTAATGATATACTCTTATCAATAAGGAATTTGTCAATCTTAAAATGGTAGTCGTTGTTGTTTGCAAGTTGTATATTATCAACCTCTAACTCAGGGATATCTTCTGTTAAACTCATAATGAATTTAATTAGTAAATTCTGATTGTTTTGATTGATTGGCTTGATTTGTAAAGAGTTATGAGTTGTGCTTGTTGTTTGTTATGCTTAAGATTATTTCCTGCACGCAATCCAATGTATTGCGCCGCGCCAAGAGCTCTATGTCTACATGCAGTACCATTCGGATCCCTAATTAAACTTAAGTCACGTTTTCATAATATTACCGATGCTTGTAAACCATATGTCACACATCTCTACTTCTTATGCCCAATAAGTGTCACCTATGGACGATCATTGGACCTCCACCTCCATTCATGTGAACAATACTCTACTGTTGATTGACGCTTCCAAAACTAACTTGTACCACTTAGCCGATCCCCTAACCGCCAAAGAATTACAACATTGGGTATCGTACTTTGACAAAGCCTACTAAGTGACTATTACACACACAGAAATCCTATTCTACACCGATATGTTCAAACAATATTTCATTCACCTAAATATATAGAGTTTTACATGCCAACTTTTGTAGAAAAATATAGGGTAAACTGACCCCAGAAAAGTTTATACCACAACGACAAATCATATTAGTATCTAATATTCTACAATTAAAAGGAAGATTTAGATATGTATATATACTATGGTTTAAGTCAATTTCATCAGCTCGAATATAGTTCGAACTCTAATACTATCCGCGGCAGTGTATCTTTCAAAATAAGTCAACAACAGTCTATACATGATTAATGAAGGACTATAATCTGTGAATTTATGACATTGTATACTGCATTTGATTTTTGCTAATCTTTGTTGAGTTAATGGATCAATACTTAATTTTGGACTTTCATTGTTATTTATTTTTATGACCATAATACATTCTTTATCAATAATGAACCCCATTGATGAGTAATTTTCAAGCATATGGTAAAAGGCTTGGTTTGTGATATATAGAAAGTTTATATCCCTTTTTATATATGAGTCATATAGACCTGTATACTTCACTTCAACTGGAAAATCAAAGTAAGTCATTGAATTTCTAAATCCAACATGAATGCAAAAATCAGGAGCTGATATAATGTCATAGCAGACTTGTGACATTAATTCTGCGTCATAGTGCCAACTTAATAAGTCTTTTAATGGTACCAATATACCTCTCATTACATTCAGAATAACCGTACTTTTCAAGTGATATCTTTCATCAAGGATCTCAGTTATTGGTGGACAAATTCCCATTACGAAGGATACTTTTACTGATTCTATCTTATTATCAATCTCGTCAATCACATTAGGTATTATCTGACTATGGGTTTCAAGAAATTTTCTGCTGCTTGTATAATAAGTACTTGGATTCTTTGGGACATTCAAATTAGGGTCTGGAGCATCTATTGTGCTCCATTGTTTGTCACATACTGGCAGTTGAAAGGGAAATACAAATAGTTGAGAGTAGATGAATATCCTGCATACTTTGTTAACTAGAGCTTCAATCTGCATTTCATCAAATGTATCAAATTGACTAAAATATCTTCTTGCAATGAACGCCAAATACCGTTCAAGAAGCATCATGGGTCTAAAAGGAGGTTCTAATTCAACCTGATCATAATGTCTAGGTTCATTCAATGTACCTGTATTACCAAGAAACTGATGAAAACAAAGTAAGCGATGAGCTATCTCTTTTCTAAATGGTTCGAAATTTGGGACTTCAGAATCTAATTCAGATACAAATTCGACTTCACGCTTCATTTCCAATTCTTTAAAATATAAAAGACTAGCATTTTCCAAATAATCATGATTTGCATCTTGGAGATAAGTTTGAACTAATTGAATGCTTCTTATGATAAGACTATTATCAATTTTGAAATTGTAGATTTGAGTGCTCCCTGACATTGTATTAGTAGGACTTTAGTTCTGATAGTTTAATAAAGAATTAAGTAAATTATGAGTAATTTTAAGATGAAGAAGTTGCCACTTATACTTTCCAGTTTATGTAAAAAGTTGCAAAAATTGAAGTCATGCTTTATGTCATGTGACTGAAACTATAAAGAATTGTCACCATTACGATTTTACTGCGGGTTTAATTGAAGTGTGTTTATTAACAGCGAGATATTAAAACTAGGAACAATTAAACCAATAATGGTCGTCTTGATTACAATTTGATTGTTTAAGTGTTAAGAGGATCATTAGTTACGGTTTCATCGGAGTGGTGTAGGTGGCCGTAACATTTATATCCAGAGTAATTATTACTTTTATCTCTTTAATAAGTAGAATACTCACTATAACTAATTATACTAACAAATCACACTATACTAACAGCCATAGTACTATTTTACTTGTCGTTCGTTATTAATTGTAACTATAATTGTAATTAAAAGGGTAAAATTTAAAAGGGGGCAATCAATCTAATTTAGTTATAGTACAGACAGTGGGGCAGTCTCTAAAAAAGCCAACTTTTGTAGAAAAATATGGGGTAAACCGACCCCAGAAAAGTTTATACCACAACAACAACAATGATGACGATGTTTATGAACGTAATATTATGTGTTATGATTCAATAATATTTCCAATTTGCTATTCGGAGTTTCAGGAGAATGATGACTCTCCGTGGATTGAAATGGATTGTTGAATTGTCTGATTTTAAATTGTTACTATGAAGTTCAATTTTCTTATATCCCTTTAACGATATTGGTATAATAAATCCCTTATGAGGTCAGTCATTAATTAGTTATAGTTTAAGGGCCGTAATTGGCTAACTTATCCCATTGACCGGCGGCTAAGATTCATCATCATCATTTTATTTTAAAGTTAGTAATACTTTTTGTATTGTGTGTCCTCATAATAAATTAAACTTTTACTTTTTTGTCCTCTCTTGGAAAAGGTGGGGTAATTCAAAAATAAAATGTCTGTCTGATAATTTACTCGAATTTTTACACTCACAGTCTTTTTTTTTTTATTTTTTTTTGTCCTCTCACTTAATTGTCGGAGTTGACCCTGGAAAACAATTTTTTTTTTGTTGGTCATACTTACCCCACAAAAACGACGTAAGATAAACCAAAAAAAAAGAAAAGAAAATGTAAATGAAAAGTGGAATTTTTGGCCTGAACCAGTCAAGATGGTTTTAATCAAACCTTGATTCAATAAAGATGCTGCAATATATATAAATTAGTAATAGTCTTTGAATCAGAATGGAATTAGTTTGTAATAATGATCGGGTATACACTTCAAGTATAAAGCTTGGAAAAGAGTGACAAAACTGATTATTAACTGTGAGCTTTTTATGGGGGGGGGGTTATAATTCCCACGGAATATTAATTAAAACCGCTATACGAGCCGTCAATTCAAAGTCCATATACCCTTACCCATAAATTAACCATAATTACTTATGATATAGTAAGAATATAGTCATAATCGTATAAATCAATCTAAATCTCATAAATAGAGTGTAACATTTATATATATCAACGCCTTTGCATTTGACAATCTCTCATATATTTTTAACTGAACTCATAACGGCTACACAAAATTTAATTCCAATTACATTGCTGTTGAATTAACTTTTTGGTCATTGGGTTTATCATATCTCTTTATCAATAAGTAAGAGATTATCAACTATAACTATCACTAACTTTTTCATTTCGGTTACACATTTGATCGTTTCCCTTAATCAAATCAGTCAAATCGATTCCGCTATCCACACATTTTTGAGCGGTATTTTTACATTACGTTACGGTCAAACTCCCCCATACAAAAAAAACAATTTTGTGTGTCACAAAAAAAGAAACTGATTGTTCTTTTACTTTACTTTACAGACAGACAATTATTCTCAATTCATCGAGAGCTTTTTTTTCATTACGTACTGACAAATTGACTGTTAATCTTTTGATTCAAGATAGCTCCTTAAGTTCAATCAGCTCATATCAGATCAAATCAAATCAAATCAAATCAAGGGAAAACTCATTAGCTAACCATTCACTATCACTCACTCACTCGATCACTTACTCATCTTTAAATCCCAACAACTGATAACCTAAAATTCTCTTGACAATACCAAAACCCAAACAACCACATTACACATTCTTTAGTTTTGTATTACTTGCCCCCAATTTGACAATAGAAATATTTTTTTAAAATTTTTTTGTTTTTCGGGCCATAAACATCCAAACCGCCATACTTTATTCAAATTTTTAAACTTTTATTTTAAGTGTCAGAAATTATTTTTGTGTGAAGTGATTTGTGTCTGAATTTTAGAAAAAGGAGAGAAATCATAAAAAGTCAGACAAAAAAACAGAATTTTATTTTTGTCATTTTTTTTTTTTTTTGTTTTTCTTTTTTTGTCTTTTAACAAAAAAAATTAAAATTTTTGAAAAAGACTTTTTGTTGTAAATAAGATCCAAATTACTTTTACAACCAACTCCAACCTTAACCCAATCCATCCATCCATCAATCCATCCCCTATCTCTAATCAATCAATCAATCTATCGACCTTCCATAGTATGTACAACCAAGCACCAATAGCCATCTAGATGATATCACAAATAAAACTTCAATCTAGTTTCCCCATGGATTATAACCAATTAGACAATAATAGTAATACATCATCCACCACTGGTGCTGCCAATCTTTTATCTCATTCAAATTCAATGAATACATCAAATTCAACCATGCCGGAATCCCAATCTATTAATCGGTCTGACAGCATTTCTTCAACCACTTCAAATTCAACCACTAAAAGTGGTAAAAAGAATATCCCACTTGAATTAACAGCTTATGGTACAACTCCTCTGGGTAAACCAAGATTATTCGTATGTCAAGTCTGTACAAGAGCATTCGCAAGATTGGAACATTTAAGAAGACATGAAAGATCCCATACCAAAGAGAAACCTTTTAGTTGTGGAGTTTGTCAACGTAAATTTTCAAGACGAGATTTATTATTAAGACATGCTCAAAAATTACATGCTGGTTGTTCTGATGCTATAACTAGATTAAGAAGAAAATCTATCAAAAGATCAAGCAGTATGTCGAACTCAGGTTCGAATGATATGATGTTGGATGATGATGACGAAGATGATGAAGATGATGAAGAAGATGACGATCATACTTTAATTGATAATTCTCATAACATTAATAATAATAACAATAATAATAATAACAATTCTAATCAATCATCAAAAAATAATGATAATGTCGAGTTTAATCTCAATCTTTTCAATCATGAATCAAATATCGGTATACCCTCAACATCTTCAACTGCAGGAAATACAGTTAATAATACTCCAAAATCAAAATCAAAATCATCAAAATCAACCTCTAAAGTTTCTAAATCAACTCCAAAGAATACTTCAACTTCTTCATCATCTAATTCAACTAGAAAATCATCCATTGTATCTACCAATAATTTACAACGTCAAGTTATAGATAATAATCGTAAAAAAATCATGGGTAGAAATAGAAGAGGAGCATCATTTTCAGCTCAATCAGGTGCAAATTATGCTATGAGTATATCAGAATTTAGTGAAATGTATCCAAATTCAGATAATGTTGAATTTTCAACTCCGCAATTAATGCCATCAACTATGAATGATGAAATGAGTTGGTTAAATAATTTATCCACCATTCCTGGATTATCAGATAATGCCAATACTCCAATGATGAGACAAAATTCAATTTCGTTAAATCATGAAAATCATGGTACTCCTCCTATAAATGTATCTCATCATGGATCATTCTCATTGGCTTCTTCGACTAATACTGGTATGATTCAAGGTAATAGCAATAGCAATAGTCATCTTCATCATTCAATTTCTCGAAAATCTTCAAATTCCATGAGTCAATCAGAAAGTTTGAATAGCATTAATGGATTTGATAATTTGAGTTATATGATGCCAACAGCAACCATTACTAATCAGGAATTACAAAATGGTGTAGCTGCTGCTCAAGCTGCTCAAGCTGCCAAATCAACCACATCTTCATCCAATAATAACAATAATAATACTAATAATACTAATCCATCTAATGTCAATAATAATCAACTTCATGAAGATCCACCAAATGATTTCGGATACTCGTTTTATGATATTCCAGAAACTGTTTTATCAGCTAAAATGTTTGATAATTTCAATGCCGATTTAGAAACTCAACATCATCATAATCATCAACAACATACTCAACAACAATTATCAGGCTTGGGTCCTCATCAACAACAACAACAAATGCACCATATGTTCAAGTCTTTAAGTCCCATCAAACAAGAATTAGATGATGAAATAATGGAAGGCGATGATCATGATGCAACTTTCCAACATCCTTTAAAATCTCATAAAACCGCTGTTGCCACTCCATCAACTAATTTTAATGTCCATAATAATAACAATAATAATAATAATTCTAATACTGCCAATGCGAACTTTGATCTCAATTTCTTAAATGATATTGATGAATTGACTCATGAATTCGACGTTAATGCTAAATTCATGCCTAATGGTTATTCATTCTATGGTGATAATCCTTCAGCTTCTTCATCCGGTATTGAAACCAATTCTCCTCAAATTCAAAGTCCTTCTTTACATTATGGTCCTGGTAGTACTGCTTCTGCAACTGCAAATTCGGATATGCTTATAGATATGAATACATTAGATCATGCTCAATTATTGAATATTGAAACTACATTGGATAGTTCGAGTTTTGCTCAACCTCAACCACCTCAACCTATTCAATTACAACTGCAACAACAACAACCAGGTCGCCATTATAGTATTCCTCAATTACAACAGCAACAACAACAAGCATCATTCAATCAATTCAGTAATAGTCAATTTGTTCAAACTATGGTACCACCAGCTCAATCTAATTGGAAAGCAAAATATAAACTAAGTAATTTTTCAAAGAATAAGTTATTCACGAATAATTTAAGACATATGATTAATAAATCCTTATCTAAATATCCAATTAGTGGAATTATGACTCCAACTATTCCAACTAATGAAAAGTTGGAGTTTTATTTATCTACTTTTGTTAAGACATTTTTAACTCATTTCCCATTTATTCATACTTCTAAATTGAATGAATATGAAGTTATGAATATGACTGCTAATGAAGATATTAATAATGAAAGTTCCAGAGTTTGTTTACCATTATTGATTGCCACTATTGGTGCATTATTTTCCAATAATAAAAACGATAGTGAACATCTTTATGAAGCTTCCAGAAGAACCATTCATATTTATCTTGAAAGTAGAAAAAATTCAGTTGGAAGTGATAATGAAAGTAGTGGAAGTAAGAAGGAAAAGGATTCAAATTCGACCATTAATCCATTGTGGTTAATTCAATCTTTAACTTTATCAGTGATTTATGGTTTGTTTTCTGATAATGAAAATAATGTTTATATTGTTATTCGTCAATTGAATGCTTTAAATTCATTAGTTAAGACTTCAATCAAGAGTAATAGAGTTATTTTATTTTCTATTAATGGTGAAGATGAAGAAATCTTTAATCAATTAAATTCAACTATTCATGCTACAACTCCAACTAATAGTAGTAAAACTGGTAGTAATAACAAAAATGGTGGTGGAGGATCATTATTCCCAAATAATTTCAATGATGAATTGAAATTCAAGAATAATATTAATATTCAATCTCAAATCAGAATTGTGTTTATGATTTATCGATTAACCAATTTCTTATTGATGATGTATAATGTTCCATTAACTTTAAGTATTAATGATTTAAATAATTTATTAATTCCAAATCAAGTCAATGAAACATTATGGGGATTTAAAAATTATCAAGAATTTCAAGAATTCGATCATAAGAATAATAACAATAATTTTTCCACTACTACCATTGATGGATTTTTAAGTACTGGTGATAAGATCATTTACAAGGATTTATTATTGAATTTAACTAAAAAGGGAGGTTTAACTAAATCATCTACTGTTAAACAATTGAATCAATTAAGTAAATATGGTTTCATTTGTATAAGTCATGGATTATTTGAAATTAGACAATATCAAGAAATGAAAAATATTGATATTTCTTCAATTTTAGATTATTTAACTAAATTCATTCCAACTACCAATACTACCAAATTGCAATCTCAAGATTTTGAAAAGTTAGATTATGCCCTTTTAGTTAATTTCATTAAAATTAGTTCATTAATTGATTTTAAATTAGTTAAAGAACAAAGTTGGTTAAGAAATTTCGATGAATTAACTAAGAATTTTAATAAGTTTTTAATTGATAATAATCCTCAAAATGCTAATGCTAATATTAATGATAATGATTATTTAAAGATCATTGATTGTTGTTTAATGATTATTAAATTAGTGTTGTTCAAGTCTGAAGATGTTACTGAAGAGGCTACAAATGGTGGAATGTTTAATACTGATTTTGGATTCTTAAATAGTAATGGAAGTCTTGATGCCAATCAACCATTCCCTCAACATCTGCCTCAACAAATACAACGTTCTCATTCGTCCCCTGATAATAATCCTGAATTCAATAGTTTATTGATTGAAGATAAATCCAACATTGTTAGTGAAAAAGAGAATAGTTTAGTTAATTTCGAAAAATTCATTCATTTAAGAATTTATGAAGAGTTTGATAATAGTACCAATTCCATCTTATCACAAATGTTATTCCATGTGTTTACTATCTTAGCAGTATTTTCCATTTACATTATAAGAAAGAATGCTAATAATGATGCTGTTAATAATAGTAATGATAATTCACCAGATTTATTATTTGAATTGAATCATCGTTTTAGTATGACATTAAAATTATTGGATAAAGTTGAAAATTTCTTAAAATTGAAGTATAATATGGCTGATCTTAATAGTGTGTCCAGTAATGCTCCTTTCAATCCTAATAATATCAAATTAGAAAATGATTTTACTAATTTATACTTATTCCAAGGTACAGGCGGTAGCCATAACAATGGAGAAGCCTCTACATTATCTTCTTCAGATGGATCTAATAATCAAAATTTAGAACAAACATTGAATATTTTAAAGGTTGGAGAAACAGTGATGAATTATTTATATGATTCCAACATTAAAGTATCAATCTTTAAGAAATTGAGTGGAAGTTTAGCTCAAATCAGAAAGTTTTTAATCGATAATGAATCAAGAATACTTTCCTAGACTGGTGATGATGATGATAATATTTACCTTCCTTTTCCTTTTCGTTTCCGGTTTATAAATTGGTTCTGGTAACCAAAATATGTGATGATATACAAACAAACAAAAAACCATAATATAAAAAACATACATTGTTATTACTACTTTCTTCTTATAAATTTATTTATTCATTTATTTACTTACTACTTACTTATTTATTTTAATTAATTATTTATTTATTGATGTTATTTTAGTTTTAGTTTTATTCTTATTTATGTTATTCTATATTAATGTGATTCTATCAAGAAATCAAATTTCATAATTTCTATTTATTTAATAACAATCGTTACATTCATTTATTAATCGCTAAACGTAATGTGAGTCTTATGTGCTGCAAATTTTCAGAGCTGGGGCTCATTATTCTTCTGATTCAAGTGGGTATTGTTCAGGGGTAACTACATTCAATCATACTCGGAACATGTCTATCCGTTGAACTGTTGTTTCTGTTCAAATTGGATCTACGGTCATGGGGTTGATGGTGTCTTACGAAAATGATCGACTTTTCTATAAGCGGTTGGCGTAGTAAAATATACGAAACAGGCGACTATTTTCCATAAACGTTCAATTACCATAACTACAAACCTTAAATAAGAATGATGTAATGCTATAGGTCAGAGTTAGTGAAACTTGAGCAAAAACCATTAAACGAATATCGAACAAGCCACTTCCTCTCATTAACTGATCAGAGAGTATTCGGCAATCTCCTATGATAACACCGAAGAAGTTCAATTATTAATCCACTTATTTTACATCTAACAAATTACTAAGATCAGATAAAATGGTGACAATCCATAGTTGATTTAACATTGCTATATATACTATACTATATGGCTTACGTAAGCGATTATGTAATCAATTTTTCAGATCTCCATAATTTGTAATCAGGGATTAGGTGATAGTACAAAAAGGGGGTTAACCCACAATTAGAATTAAACATTTGTCAATTGATTCTTATTCATATTAATCTTGAAACAAATTCTATATCAATTGAATTGAATTGATTGTCATATACCACGTTAGACCAATTGAATTGCTGCTGAAAAATTAAAAAACAATCTTTCATCGTTTTTGATCTGGCTTGCAAAATACTCCTCAAAAATTCGTTTAACTGTGGCTGTTATTACTGTATTACTTGTTAAGGTTAATCTCCAATAGTTTTCGTCTATAAATAGAGTGTTATTTCCAGTTACTCAATTCGATCGCTAGATAATATTTCATTATCCCCTACTTTCTTAAACTCAATTCCTATTCAAAATGAGTATGTATAAATAATGATATCATATGACATGAATAATGATACTAACTAACCGTTATAGCTTTAAAATTATACTCTGCCGGTACTCCAAATGGTAACAAAATCACCATCTTCTTAGAATTCTTAGGCTTAAAATATGATCTTCAAAAGATTAATATTAGAGAAAATGAACAAAAGCAAGATTGGTTTGTGAAAATAAATGCAAATGGTAGAATCCCAGCTTTAGTTGATTCCGATACTGGTGTAACCATCAGTCAAACTGCTGCTATCTTACAATATCTTGCTGATACTTATGATAAAGATTATAAATTCTCTTACAAACCTGGTACTATTGAATATTATAAACAATTGGAATATTTAATCTATTCCGTTGCTGAACAAGGTCCAATTACAGGTCAATTGGGTCATTTCACTAGAGCTGCTCCAGAAAAGATTCCTTATGCCATTGAACGTTATACAACTGATGTCAAAAGAATCTTGGGTGTATTAGATGATATTGTCAGTAGAAATAAAGACAATGGATATTATTTCGTTGGTCCTCATTATTCCATCGCTGATTTCTCAGTGTTTGGATGGGCTAGATCAGTAGCTAATTTTAATATTGATATTACTGAATATGAATATCTTGGTCCATGGTTTACCAAGCTTTCTGAAACTCCAGAAGTTAAAAAAGGTCTTGAAGCTCATAATTAATTGATTTAATTAATAGTATCTTGAACTGATTTTAATTATGGTTGCGAAAAAAAAAAGTATGCTCTTAAAAACAAACAATCGTATATATACTACTTTATATATGATTTATAAAAATATACAAATGATATTTTCTAATTTTCATCTACAGATTTCTCCTTCTCGTTTTCGTCAGTTTTATCTTGAACTATTCCTCCTTCTCTTTGAGCCTTCTTTTGTTGTTCACTTTTAATTTCAATTTCTTCAGAACTCTTACTCTCCTTTGGAATAGCTTTATTATTTTGAAATAATGAAGCAATTAATGCAATTGCAGCTAATCCAGCACTTAAATGATATACATTTCTAATAGCCTTCATAACTTGAGTCTTTATGAAATATTGGGTTTCAGGAGTTAATTCTTTGATAAGTGAGGTATTAACTAATATCGTGTTGATATTCACATTACTTAATTCTTGCAAAACGGCTTGATTAGTTTCTGATTTCATGGCAGAAGTTAAGATAGATTTCAATGATTCTGTATATGTTAACGTAGCCAAATCTGCACCAAGAGATCCGCCAATAGAAGTTCCAAAAGTGAAAAAAGTAGTTCCCATAATTGTGCTACCGGGAGTCTTTGGTAAACTTAACGTGAATAACATAATACATGATTGCATTTGCATACCAGTTGAAATACCAGGTAAAATCAAAAATCCAATAATTTGACCTAATGTTGAATTTACACCAAGAAGCATTAAAATAGAATTACCTACTAACCCACATACCCCAGCGAAAATTGAAAATGGTTTAACTGAACTTGCTCTTGGAAATGCTCCTCCACAAAGTATTGAAGTTATAACTGACGCAATAATCATTGGTAAAAGATGTACACCTGAATGCCAAGCATCATAACCATGAATCACTTGGAAGTAAACTGATATATATAACTGATTGATAATGACATAACCGAAAGTGGCAGTGATGGTCAATACAGAAATGATACAATAAAAGTCGGTGATGATATCAGGAGCTAACAATGGATACTTTGAAAATCTAAGATTCCAAATGAGGAATATAGCTAAGAATAAAACTCCAAATATAAGTGTACAAATAACAGCAGCTGAACCCCACTTGAATTGACTTGATGATCCAAAACTGAAGGCAAGTAAGAATAACACAAGTCCAATGGCCAACATCGCAACACCTATGAAATCAACAGTTTTGAATTTTGGTAAGATCTTCCCCTTTGGACTTGGTGGATTGAATGCATATTGTAAGAAAGCAAATGCTACTCCTCCAACTGGTAAGTTGATATAAAAACACCATCTCCAACTAACCTTAGAAAGTGCACCACCAATCAATGGTCCAATAACTGATGCCGTTGAAAAGGTAAGTGCAATCAATATCATTCCAAATGTTCTACGTTGAACAGGAAGGATTTCAGAGATAATAGCATATACTAATGATTGGATACCACCTCCGCCAATACCGGCTAATACTCTACCACCAATTAACATATTCATATTTGTGGATAATGCACAAATCAATGAACCGACTTCAAAAATAATAATAGCAATACTTAATGTTAATTTCCTACCGACAATGATTGAAATCCTACCCCAGATAGTAGTAACCACACAAATTGCTAATAAGAATCCAGAACTTAACCAATTAATCTTATCAAAGGCATCAAATTTATTCCCGATTTCAGAAATGATAGTCACGACAATAGTTTGATCGATCGAAGTTAAGAACATAGATAACAATAATGAAACAATACAAATCACAAGTTTATAACCAGTCATATATTGTTCTTCTCTTCTAGTACCATCACCGGCATTACTTTCAACGAAAACTTCATCTCTCTTTGATTTTTGACCTGGTTCTTCAACACTAGTTGTTTTTTGATCATTAGTATGAAACACAACGATCTTGTTTGTTTCATCTGCTTGGTCTGAAGTTGACCCAGATGGAGATACTGACTTACCTGACATATTAATTTTCTGTTCCAGTTACGAATTTAAGAAACTAACTATAGTATAATAACTCTTCTGACATCATCAATGTCAATCAAATGGTTCATTTTATATAGTTTTGCAACTTATAACAATGATATGGTTATAAATTGCACCCGGTTTCTACACCCTCATATTTCCCTTTATTTCCATCCAAAACCGGGGAATTAAATCCGGGTTGCAAATTTTGGTCCCATAATAAAATAGTTGCATCCTCCAACCGTAATTCATGCGAAAACAAGTTTGCCACCTGTTTTCAGATAGAATTATGAATGGGTAGTTAATCCGTTCTAAGTCCTTATTCGGAGTTTGTTCAATTGGTGTAACTCGGATATTGTATTGTGTAGAGATTGTTGATCTCATGGTGAAAGTTATACAGTAGGTGTTCAAAACTTAAGTATATAGTAAATGATACTTAATAGACTTTAATATGGTTGGGAGGTAGTTTTACATCATCGAAATACTTCTATGATCCAAAGCAGTTCACATGGATTATATATCAGTGAGCCGTTTATAATTCACATAAAATAGTACCAAAAGTATTCACAACAATACTGTCATTGGGTCTAATAATTATTAATGCTTTATTAAATATAACAGGAAACGGTTCCTTAATCTATATACAATATATGGGGTAAATTTTTAATTACTATCTATTGTTTTCTCCTTTTCCTCTTCTTGTTTTTGTTGTTTACTTTTGAGTTCAACTTCATCAGAACTTTTACTCTCCTTTGGAATAGCTTTATTATTTTGAAATAATGAAGCAATTAACGCAATTGCAGCTAATCCAGCACCTAAATGATACACATTTCTAATAGCTTTCATAACTAGGGTCTTGATAAAGTATTGAGTTTCGGGAGTTAACTCTTTGATAAGTGACGTATTAACTAATATCGTGTTAATATTAACTGAGCTTAATTCCTCTAAGATGGCTTGATTAGTTTCTGATTTCATAGCTGATGTTAAAATCGATTTCAATGATTCTGTATATGTCAATGTAGCTAAATTTGCTCCAATTGATCCACCAATAGAAGTTCCAAAAGTGAAAAAAGTAGTTCCCATAATTGTGCTACCGGGAGTCTTTGGTAAACTTAACGTGAATAACATAATACATGATTGCATTTGCATACCACTTGCAATACCAGGTAAAATCAAGAAACCAATAATTTGTCCTAATGATGAATTAACATCTAAAAACGTCAATATAGCGTTTCCTACTACTCCAAACACTCCCGCCAAGATTGAAAATGGCTTAATTGATCTTGCTCTTGGGAATATTGCTCCACAAAGTATGGATGTTGTAACTGATGCAATAATCAGTGGTAAGAGATGTAAACCTGAATTCCAAGGGTCATAACCATGAATCACTTGAAAATAAACCGAATAATATAATTGATTAATAAAGAGAAAACCAAATGTAGTTGTGACAGTCAATACAGATATAATACAATAGAAGTCTGTAATGATATCAGGTGCCAACAAGGGGTATTGTGAAAATCTAAGATTCCAAACAAAGAATATAACTAAGAATAAAACTCCGAAAATAAGTGTACAAATAACAGCAGCTGAACCCCACTTGAATTGAGTTGATGATCCAAAACTTAATGCAAGCAAGAATAATACAAGTCCAATGGCCAACATTGCAACACCTATGAAATCAATAGTTTTGAACTTAACCAAAATTTTCCCCTTTGGACGTGGAGGATTGAATGCATATTGTAAGAAAGCAAATGCTATTCCTCCAACTGGTAAGTTGATATAAAAACACCATCTCCAAGTTATTTTCGAAAGTGCTCCACCAACTAATGGTCCAATAACTGATGCAGTTGAATAAGTAAGTGCAATCAATATCATTCCAAATGTTCTCTGTTGAACAGGAAGGATTTCAGAAATAATAGCATATACTAATGATTGGATACCACCTCCACCAATACCGGCTAACACTCTACCACCAATTAACATATTCATACTCGTTGCTAACGCACAAATCAATGAACCAGCTTCAAAAAGAATAATAGCGACACTTAATGTTAACTTCCTTCCAACAATGATTGAAATCCTACCCCAAATGGTAGTAACCACACACATTGCTAATAAAAATCCAGAACTTAACCAATTAATCTTATCAAAGGCATCGAATTTATTCCCGATTGTAGAAATGATAGTCACAACAATAGTTTGATCTAATGTTGTTAAAAACATAGCTAATAATAATGAAACAATACAAATCACAAGTTTATAGCCAGTGACGTATTGTTCTTCTCTTCTAGTACCATCACCAGCATTACTTTCAATGAACACTTCATCTCTCTTTGAATTTTGACTTGGCTCTTCAATATTAGTAGTCTTTAGATCATTAGTACGAAGAACAATGATCTCGTTTTTTGTTTCTTCTAAATGGTCTGAAGTAGACTCTGATGGAGATACTGATTTACTGGACATGTTAGTTGTGTTTAACATTCATAGAGTTAACTACAGTTTTATATTATCATCATAAAGCTCAATCTTATATCTCGTTTTATATAGTTTGCAACTTCTTAAATTGATATTGCTTTTGTGTCACTTTCTATCTAAATCCTGATAATTCCCTGTATGTCCATTAAATACCGAGTTATAACCTTTAGTTGCCACAAACTAGACCAAGTATATCATCAATCGTAATTCATGATGGAAACAGAGCGGCAAATACATTATTGATTAAACGGCTTGATATTTTTTTATTTCCTCCGTTCTAACTCCTTATTTGTCGGGATTTGCATTTTCCTTTTATCTTTTATAAAAACGAAATGTTTGACATGTTAGTCTACACCAGAACGTACTTATGTCTTATATCATTGCAGTTATGTGGCGTATTGGAGGTGGAAGTGAAACAATGTTTCGTTGTCCATTCGCGTAGTAGTAGTTTATATATCGGTATTAGACATATTCTGAAATACTGACTTTATGACAAACTTATGCTGCTTCATTCCTTAATAAATATTTGTTATAGAAGATATAAGTACTTTCAGGGCTAAACTTAGTTTTAAGGTAGTAGTAAGAGGCTTATAAAAAAATCATTGGTTGCAAAAATATTCAGATAATTCTCATCAAATCTAATTAATTATTAATATTTTATTAAAATGCAATATGCAAGAATTCTATAATATATACATATAAGTATAAGCAAGTAAATATTCCTAATTTTCTTCCACTTTTTTCTCTCCATTTTGTTCCTCTTCCTTCTTTTGTTGTTCACTTTTAAGTTCCACTTCATCGGCCCCTCTACTTTTCTTTGGAATTGATTTATTATTTTGAAATATAGATGCCAAAAGTGCTAATCCGCCTAATCCAGCAGTTAAATGGAATACATTTCTAATAGCTTTCATGACTTGAGTCTTTATGAAGAATTGAGTTTCAGGGGTTAATTGTTTGATAAGTGATGTGTTAACTAATATAGTATCAATATTAACCGAACTTAATTCTTGTAAAATAGCTTGATTAGTTTCTGACTTTATTGCTGAAGTTAACATAGATTTTAATGATTCCGTATATGTCAACGTAGCTAAATCTGCTCCAATAGACCCACCAATAGATCTTCCGAAATTAAAATAAGTCGTACCCATAATGGTACTTCCTGGTGTCTTGGGTAAACTCATCGTGGCTAACATTACACATGATTGCATTTGTAAACCAGTTGAAATACCCGGTAAGATCAAAAGACCAATGATTTGTCCTAATGATGAATTAACATCTAAAAGCATTAATATCGCATTTCCTGTTAATCCACACATAGCAGCAAAGATTGAAAATGGCTTAACGGTTCTGATTTTCTTAAATACCAATCCACTTGTTATCGAGGTTGTAACGGATGAAATGATCAATGGTAAAAGATGTAAACCTGAATGCCAACCATCTAATCCATGAATCACTTGAAAATAAACTGATAAGTATAATTGACATATGATAAGATAACTGAAAGTAGCTGAGATGGTTAAGACCGATACATTACAATAAAAATTAGTGATGATATCAGGGGCTAATAAAGGATATTTTGAAAATTTAAGATCCCAAATCAAAAATATTATTAAAAATGAAATACCAAATACGAAAGAACATATCACAGCAGCTGAGTTCCATGAGAATTGACTTGATGATCCAAAACTTAACGCAAGTAAGAATAACACAAGTCCAATCGATAACATTACGGCACCGATATAATCAATAGTTTTGAATTTAGATAAGATCTTCCCCTTTGGACGTGGAGGATTGAATGCCCATTGTAAGAAAAGAAATGCAACTCCTCCAATTGGTAAATTGATATAAAAACACCATCTCCAACTTATTTTCGAAAGAGCTCCTCCAATTAATGGACCAATGACAGATGCAGTGGAGAAAGTGATTGAAATTAATATCATTCCAAGTGTTCTATGTTGGATAGGAATGATTTCGGTGATCACCACATATACTAATGATTGGATACCACCTCCACCAATACCGGCTAACACTCTACCCCCAATTAACATGTTCATACTCGTTGCTAATGCACATAATAATGAACCTGCTTCAAAAAGTATAATAGCGATACTAATGGCAGATTTTCTTCCTATAATGATAGATAATTTCCCCCAAATAGTGGTGAATACTGAAATAGCTAATAAGAAACCTGAGCTTAGCCAATTGATCTTATCGAATCCATCGAATTTATTCCCAATTTCAGATATGATAGTTACGACAATAGTTTGATCGATGGATGTTAAGAACATGGTTAATAATAATGAAAATATACATAGCACAAGCTTATAACCTTTGATATATTGTTCTTCTCTTCTGGTCCCGTCCCCGGCATTACTCTCTATGAAGACCTCATCTTTCTTTGATTTCTGGCTTGGTTCTTCGATCTCGTCTTCTATCGTGTCATGTTTATCTAGTATTTCTTCTGGTGACGACCTTTCTGGTGAAGTTGATGATAAAGTAGATGATGAATTATTTGACATATTTAACTCAAATTATGATCTATATACAATTATTCATACTCTTTGCAATCTTAATTATCGAATTTTACATGCCAATTGTTCGATATATATACTTTATAAATGGGTCTGGATATTTGGAGGAAAAAATCCGTTAATACCCTCATAATTCCATTTATGTCCGCGATGGCTTCGCAGTTAAAAGAAATTATATTTCGCAGTTTATAGGAATTTAATTAAAGCCCTTTTTACCATTATTATTTAAATCCTTTATTTGGAGTTAGGATATTAATATAGGTCATACAAAACGGTTTTATCTCTTGATTTGGTATACTTTGATGATGGAGAGAAATAGGTTGAAGTGATCATTGAGTCTTATTAATGAACTGTTTCATATCTACAACTAAAAATATAATTACCATTTTTATATTAGGATATAATAATATGTAAGACATATAGCATAGCATAACCTGTAGGCTAATAACAATGAATCACAACAATCATGACCAAACTTACATATACCACCAATTTGACCACGATAAACAATAATGAACATCGTTTAATCAATTTTTGATCATTATATAATTCATGTTGTAATGGTTTAAAATCATATAATTTGAATTCATCGTTCGGTAATTTCATCAAATAATAATTCAAAAATTGATTAGTTTCCGCCATGATATACTGTTTTAATTTGATATATGGAATAGTAGGTGGTGCAACGATTGGAGGTGAAGAATTCAACCCTGGTTGTCTAATCATAGGTGGAGGTGGATAAAACATGGGTTGTTGGGGTGGGAATTGATTTTGGTCTGGTAATTGGGGTGATGATTGCTTTTGTTGTTGTTGTTGTTGATAAGATAATAATTGATTCAATTGAGATTTATACCTGATAGTAGTGGGTAATGGATTACTTATCGGTTTATCAAGGTATGTAGTATTGGTATAATGATCATAAGGAGGTAATAATGAACCATCTTGATCATTTTCACCTATAACTGGGGGAGAAGCAGGAGGAGGAGTTGGTTCTTGCATTTGTTTGATTTGTTTATTATAGACTGAGAGTTGTGGAGATGGAGATTGTAACGGAGTAGAATATATTGATTTTGAATGATGTTTATGATTATGCTGATGATTATGTTTTCCATTGATTAATTTTGAATCTGTACCATCAATAATTAATGAGTTATCTTTCAAATCTAAATTTTCAACAAAGGTGACTATATCAGCATAATAATCATCAGCATAAGATTGCTCTTGTTGTTGTTGTTTGGTTGATTTGGTATAAACTTTAATATTCACGGATGATGATTTTGGAGATTTGGATCGATTATGTTTTTCATTAATCTCTTGTTTTAACTTATTCAATAATTTTTGTTTATTAGCTTGTAATTTCAAGAGTTTACTTCTTAAGAATTTAATCAATTCAGCTTTATTCAATTTTAACTTATGATTATCCCATGTAGTGGTGGTTGTAGTGGTAGGAGTAGTTTTAGAATGAGTTTGAGTTGTTGTTGATTTTTGTTTATAAGGAGGTAAATCAGAAAAGGAATTAGCTTTATTAATTTCAATTATTGAACATGAAGAACATGAAGAAGATGAAGGAGATGATAAATATTGATTAGTTAAAACTTTTGCAGCTGCGGTAGTAGCAGTAGTAGCAGCGACAGGAGATATTAATTGAATCATGATAGAAATGCAAATGAAGGAATGAATGGATATATGACCTGAAATGAAATGAAATGAAAAAAAAAATAAAAGATAAGCCAAGCTATGAAAGATGAATTAAATAAAACTAAAATGAAATGAATTACCGATATACTGTCAGCCGTAACAGAAGATAAAAATTTATACTAAAATAGTATGCATAAACGGGGGAGGATATAAGATTCCGATCGGGATGAATGAATGTTCGATTATGTATTAGGGTACAAGGGCAGTAGTATGATTACAGAATGGAATAGATGAATTAATGGATGAATAAATAAATATAAGGCACAGATATTAAAGATGATGGTAGATATTGTACAATAAATAAATAAGATGTGTATGAGGTATCTATCAAAATGAATAAATAAATAAATTAATGGAGGAGGAATAAATAATAGGGGAAAGATGGATCAAATTATCATGAGAAACAAAATGGGATAACTGTAGGGTAGGATCAAATGGGATAACGATCAAATGAGGAGATAGATGAACTATGATTATTATAGTTGTTGTTGCTGTTATTATTGTTTGACGGACCAGTGATGATTCATAATCTCAGTTAAGAAAAGGAAAAAAAAAAAAGAAATGAACAGATCACTTGGTATACCGTAAAGGGAAGTAGCGGGAGAGGAGATCAACCAGGCTGAGGAGGAAGTTAGGGGTAGTGTTAAGTTAAGACTGAGTCTTTCTGTTTGATGGATGGATGGATGATGATAGATCCCGTTAAGTATGAATAGGTTGGTTGCAAACAAAACTGAAACACAAATTTTTTAAAATAGAAATTGACAGTGTAATTTATAATTTATTTATAATTTATTTGTTATCAGCAGACTGTTACTGATTCAGTTTAGTGTGCGATGATTTGAATGATTTTTTTTTTTAGTGAGGAGACTCCACTATTTTTGTTCTCTCTGCGTAACTTACGCTGCGAAGAGGAAGAAAGTTTCATTTCCCTCGGCAACCCGCCCCACTTAACAACTAACTTATAATTAAACAATGTAATGGGATGGTTTCTCTTATTTCAGTTACATAGGGGTAATAGTAAATCATTACTTCAACTTACTCATTAACTTATGATTAACTGTGGACTACGTTGCATTTACCTACTTATGTGATCTAATCAGTTGATCATCTTAATTTAATCATATGTAACGTACGTACGTACGTACTTACTTACACACCACTTTTCCCAGTCATACCCATTCTCCACTTTTAAAAGCTTATTTTTGACGTATATGTCTCAGATTCATTTTATATATGCTAGTGTGATAAGAAGTGGTAGAAAAGTTTAATTATGAAATTTAATTAATATGTGTGAAATCAGATGCATGCATGGAAACTGAAATAAATAAATAAAAAAATAAATAAAATTGCGCTTTCAAAATTGACATTCCCCCCCCCCCTCCCCATTGTATTATGATTATCATTGTCATTGCTATTAGCTTTGATTATAGTTACGAATATGGTTAGTTAGTCATCTTATATAATTTATGTAACTTTCACTAAATAACTTTTACCGATTGTGGTTCAACTTTATTTTAGTTCTTACATATCTATGCCATCACCATACCTTTAATTGGTTGCATATCTATAAAAGATTAATCTAGTATTTTGATCAGCTTATTAATACATTTATATACATTATCTTGATCTTAAAGTTGCTATTTAAAACTTATCATAAGTTATTAATAGAGTAAATCATCATTAAAAGCAATCTATCTAATTAATGATAGACTTATTTCATCATGATTAGCAATATAAATTCTGAGATCTTTTTTTCTTAGTACATTTTGTCAAATTTATCAAAATTATTGAATATTTTCATTTTTAAATCATATATCTACCAATATTTCACTTTTCTTATATTTTAAACATTTAACAGAATCATAAAGTCAGAATGAACATAGTTACAGTTCAAATTACTTCTAAAACAGCCTCATCTAGGCCATTTTTACCCCTATTTTTTCAAAGTGGTTATCGATGCCTCAAAACGGCTACTTTTTTAAATTTGAAAAAAAATTATGCCCCTTTAGCTTAGTGGTAGAGCGTTGCACTTGTAATGCAAAGGTCGCTAGTTCAATTCTGGCAGGGGGCAATTCGTTAAATGTTTGTTCCGTAATTTTTTTTTTTATAACTACCTAATTCGAATCGTCTATTCAATATTTTATTAGATAGTCTAACTATACTTTATCATATTAATTGATTGGCATAATCATTGTAGACATTCCTATTAATTATATGGTAAACTATCTTGCATTTGCTGTAAATTGATATCAGATCAGATCGCCACTAAGACCAAACCAAAAAAAACAAAAACAAAAACAATCGTACAATTCTAAATTTTTTTTTACAGCATCCCATGAATCAATCCTTAATTTGATCAATTAATCATATATTACCATAATCAAATGTATAGATCCTTAATACAACCAGGAAGAGGAGGAGGGTCTATCATACCCTCACGAATATTATCATCTTCCAAATTGATGCTTTCAAAATCATTAACCCCTTCCTCATATTTACTTCATCCTACAAAATCAAGATTATATCATGTTTTATTATCAAATAGCACATCACCATTACGTACATCATCTAATAATCTCATCCCATCCATCCATCATCCATCCCATAATATCATATCAAAACGAAATATAGGATTCAAAATGCTCTTTAGAATCACCAAGATTCCGGCTTATTTAGGTGGTACTTTGGCAGCAGGTGGATCGTATGTTGCTTATAAAGTGGAACAAGCTTCAACTTATACTCAAGATAAATTATCTGGTTTCACTGATTTCTTCGATAAGACAGGTGATTTCTTGAAATCAATGGTTCCAAATGGTGATGGTTCTGGAGCTGGATCGGATGGTGGTAGTGGAAGTGGTGGTGGATCAGGTGGCAATGGTGATACTGCTACTGCCGTGGGTGCTACTACTGCTGCAGCAGTAGGCTTAACTCAAGATGAAGATGAAGATAAAGAAGATGATGACAATAACAATGACGAAGATGATGATGAGACTTTAATCGATGATAATGATGACGATGATGATATAGATTTTGCTCATGATGAAACTAATGATGAAATGCTTAATTTAACAAGACAAATGATTGAAATCAGAAACTTATTATTAACTATAGATCATGATGGGTTAAGATTACCTTCTATAGTAGTGATTGGTTCCCAATCATCCGGTAAGTCATCAGTATTAGAAAGTATTGTCGGTCATGAATTCTTACCAAAGGGTTCAAATATGGTTACTAGAAGACCCATTGAATTAACTTTAATCAATAGTCCTGAATCTGCTGCTGATGTAGCCGAATTCCCTGCTTTGAAAATGTATAATTTAACTGATTTTGAACAAGTTCAAAAGATTTTATTTGATTTGAATATGGCCGTTCCTGAACATGAATGTATTTCAAATGATCCTATTCAAATTACTATTAAATCTCCCAGAGTTCCTGATTTATCATTGGTCGATTTACCCGGTTATATCCAAGTGGAAGCGGCTGATCAACCACTTGAATTAAAACAAAAAATTCGTAAATTATGTGATAGATATTTAGAAGCTCCAAATATTATCTTAGCTATATCAGCTGCTGATGTCGATTTAGCTAATTCAGCCGCTTTAAGAGCGTCAAGACTCGCTGATCCAAGAGGGGAAAGAACTATTGGAGTAGTTACTAAAATTGATTTGGTTGATCCAATTCAAGCTACAAAAATCTTAACTAATAGAAAATATCCTTTAAAAATGGGTTATGTGGGTGTTATTACAAAAACTCCAAAACCTACAAAGACTGGTTCAAGTTTATTTTCAAGAAAAACTCTTACTGGAGTTCAAGCCTATATTGCTCAACAAAATTTTGAACATACATATTTTAAAGAAAATAAACCCGAATTTAGTGGTACTACTACAGGAACTAGAAATCTTAAACGGAAATTAATGAAAGTTTTAGAAAAATCAATGGCAGCATCATTAGCTCCAACTCATTTCACTATTCAACAAGAATTAGAAGAAGCTTCTTATCAATTTAAAGTTCAATTCAATGATCGTTCTTTAACTCCAGAAATGTATTTAGCTAATAATATTGATATGTTAAAGTTGGCCACTAAGGAATTAAGCCATAATTTTTCAAGACGTGAATTAAAAGCATTATTAAAGAATGAATTAGACCAAAAGGTATTGGATTTATTAGCTGAAAGATATTGGAATAAACCATTTTCATTATCAAAGGATAGTTCACCTAATTTCGAACCTGATTTAAGGGAATTATCTCAGATCGCTAATATTGATGATGATCTTTATTGGCATAAGAAATTGGATTTAACTACGGGTTCATTAACTAAATTAGGGGTAGGTAGGTTATCAACTACTTTAGTTACCAATGCCTTATTAACTGAAGTTGAAAATTTAGTTAATAATACTCAATTAAGAAATCATCCAATGGCCAAGAATGCTGTTAAAGATGCTGCTAAGAGTGTATTAGGAACAAAATTCTTTTCCACAGCCGATCAAGTTGAAAATTGTATTAAACCTTATAAATATGAAATTGAAATTGAAGATCGTGAATGGCAATCAAGTAAAGATAATGCTGTTACGTTATTAAAAGAAGAAATGAGACAATGTGATGAAGTTTATAATAATTTAAAGAAACAAATCGGTGGTAGGAAATTACAACAAGTGGTTACCTATTTAGAAAAATTAAAACAACAACAAATTCAATATCAACAACAACAAGATATTGATTTTAATTCTCCAGAAACTTTGGGATTCTCCCCTACATTGATTAAACGTGGGGAAGATGCTATATTCTTAAAGGAAAGATTATCATTACTTAAAATGAGATATCAATTCATTAAGAATTCTAAAAAATGTAAAAAGAAGGAGAATAAATATCAATGTCCGGAAATCTTTTTAGATGCCGTAGCATCGAAAGTCACATCCACTTCGATATTATTCTTGAATGTCGAATTGTTAAGTGATTTTTATTATAACTTCCCTCGTGAATTAGATATTAAATTCTTTAATAATTTATCTAAAGAAGAAATTGAAAATTTCGCAAAGGAAGATCCAAAGATTAAGAAACATATTGAATTACAAGAACGTAAGGATTTATTAGAAAACGCCTTGAGTAAGATCGAAAGTGTCTTAGCTATCCAAAGAGGTAAGTTAGGATCCAATTCAAATCCAAATGATAAAGATATACCCAAACATCAATCGATATTTAATTGGGGAGCATAATGATTTAGTTCATACCCTCCTCCCATATAATTATTAAACTTTTAAACCCTGTACATATATCGTGATATTTTTTTAACACCATACAATAATTGCTATAGTAAATATACATACAAGAACTTTTTTATTTATTTATATAAATGTGTATATAATAATATCCTATTTAAGTATTCTAGTAACGCGATCAAAGATCGAATCAATGGTTAAACCTTCCATATTTTCAAATATAGGTTGGAAAGTATGAACATCTATAACTCTATTGAAATCAATTTCCCCAGCGGTAACGTCACTGTTACCATTAGTTTGATTTTGCTTATGGACGGTTATGTTACGATCATTTATAATATCAGCGGTGGCTTGAGCGCTAATCAACATATTATTAATATCGTTGGATAAATCGTCAGCAATATTGGATGATTCATTATCTTCATCCAATTCAATTTGATTATATGGGGAAGCGGAAGTTGGTTGGATGAGTCCTACTCTAGTATCTAAATCAACAAATATGAATGATGAGTTGAAATAACGAATGGCTGAGATACCTTGAGAATGATATTGTGTATAGATAGGTTTTAATTGGTCAGGTTTAAAGATTAAAATTTTGGAATTTATGGTGAAGTCATTCGATTCATCGTTGTAATAATTAACCACCAAACAAATCAAATTATTTCTTGAATCAATACAAATTAAATTCTTTCCTCCTAAAGTAGTATTGACTTTGGCAACTAATTCATTTAATTGTCCAGTAAGTAAATTGAATGAAGTTATTCTGGTTTTGGATAAGACGATTAAATTATTGTCCACGATCGATAATGATCTTATTCTTGATCCTGATAAAGATGGAATATTGAATACATCTTCAGGTATATCTTCAAAAGTTTGTACATCAATAGGGATGATGGAACATTCATGAGCAAGAATTATAATCGAACTATCATCTGACCAACATACATCAACGGCTTCTGAATCTATAGCACCTCCAGATCTTGATTTTCTTAAAGTCCATGCGGTTTGTTGTTGTCTATTACTTCCATTTTTAATGGTAAGGTAAATTTCTTTTGGAATTCTTGGTCTCCAAACTCTTAAACCACCTTTATTATCAGCAGTTAAGAATGCTAACCCATTGAAATATGAAGTTGGAGCTGGCTTAATGGATAAAATATGATTGGAGTTTCCATGAGGATCAATGATTTTGGTCGATAATTCCCAATACCCAGTTCTATTATTTATGGCATTAGCATTATTATTGTCATTTTTATTTGATGAATCTATAAATTTCCAAAATTTTAAAGCATATTGTTTATCGTTCTTTGATAATAAGTTATCCACTTCTGAATTGGAAACACTATCGAATGTACACATCCATTCACCATCTTGAGTGAAAGACACTAAGGAAACATTTGGATCTAATAATTTAACTTCAGATCTAACTTTACCAGTGGTTAATACGGGAGCGGCATTTTGAATGAAATTTTGTTCATTTTTAATGATATCATAAGCTTGAATGACAGCTTCATTAGGGAAATAAAGATTCTTGGTTTTTGGATGAACTTCAAATACAGTAGAATAATCATGTCTCAATTTTGTTTTATCAAATGGTGATTTAAGATATTTCTTTTTTGATTTTGCTAAAGTTGATTTTAAATTATTGGTGAATTTTGGTCTGATGGTATTAATCGATAATCTTGATACTAAATCAACTGATGATATTATTAAAACTTCGAAATTATCTTCATCATTTGAAATATCATCATTTAATTTTGTTGGTGAAACATTTAATAATAATGAATAAAATTCATTTTTATTATTATCAAGAGAAATCTTTTCAATGGTACCATTTAATCTTGGTAAGAATTGAGTATTATCAGTTTCTAATTGCCAAAATACTAAGACTTTTTCTAAACCACCTGATATTAAGTAAGTATGATCAGGAGTAAATTGTAAAGCTTTGACTTGATCAATATGCCATTTAAGTAAACGTTGAGGTTTTTCAGTAGCTAATCCACCATATAAGATTTGAATAGTACCTGAAGAAGTACCTAATGCTATAGTTGAATCATTTGATACGGCTAATGATGTTATAGATGATTTATAAGGGAATGAAATATTTTCCACTGATAATGCTTCGAATAATGAATCTTGATCTTGATCATTGGAATGGATTTTAGCGTGTCTGTATACATCCACTAAGTCAACCAATACCACTTCATGATTACTATGAACAAGTGCAATTTTAGTATTATCAAGGGAAATACTATATTTTATAATGTTATTAATTTCAGATATTTTAATGATATCAGATGGATCTTGTCTATTAACTTTTTGAATGAAACGAGTATGAGGAGATCCTGAAGCTTTCTTATCCTTCTTACCAGTTATAACATAATATGAATCATCTCTTATAGATATAATCGATAATAATGAATATGCAAGTTCCAAATTAATGGAAGATATTATAGGTTGAGATACCTTCTCTTTCCAATTCACAGTGATGACTTCACCGGTTGATTTGAATAATAATACATGATTAGGATTGACCACATCCAACTTGATATCGGCCAACTCAGTAAGATCAAGATCAATGGTTCTTATACATTGACGAGTTGATATGAAGTAAACTCTTATTTGATGACTTAAAATTACAATATTAAACCTTCCATCATGGGAGAAAATAGAGGCAGAAGACGACGAGTTGCCAAGATACACTGGTTTCCCACCAGTTGCCATTGAAGATGACCATTCTGTAGATGAAGTAGTCATCATACTTAATAAACTCTAATGATATATCCTTTTGCTTTTAAAACTGATAAATTCTTACAACCATCTCTTTAAAAAAAATCATAGCAAAAAATTATTTTTCAGAAAATCGATGAGATTTTTCGATCTCGTGATCAATCATGCGAATCAAAATATTGCAAAAAAGACACTTACATATATAAGAAAATATATATATATATATATATATTTATCAAATCTATTGAACTATAAACGCTTGTTTTTAAAAGATTCGTGAACTGCATCCTTTAAGAGGACAATTTGATGCTTTCTTGAATTTTCAATAATTCCAGAAGGAATATATAATTGATTATCCCAAAGCAAGCACCCATTTTTTCGTCTTGAATTTTGAAAATCAGAAAATATAACTTGTTTGTCAATGGCGTCATAACTAATGCTTTCCGAACCTCCAAGATGGACATTATTTGAATGGAGAGCTTTTATAGCAGACCTTACTAAATTTTGGAATTCTTCTTCTGAACCAGGGTAATCATTAGACGTTTCCTCTGTTAGTAGGTAAAAGCCACAAATTCTTCTCCCGTTCGGTAATCTCCAATCCATAAGCCCTTGTCACACCATATCACATTGTGTTATTCAAGTTAAAACTTAAGTCTCTATTTCAGTGAGATGAAGTCATACTAAAGATGCAATAGATGCCATAAATAAGTGAAAAAAGCTAGACACAAGGATCAGATACCAGAATATGCCATTAATGCGAAATATGATTACTGAAATACAGAAGCCTAAAGAGATAAAATAACGTTGAAACACTAGAGATTATCTCGAAATAAAGATTACTCAAGTTGCAAAATATCATCCTGCATGACGAAAGTACATAGATGCCAGTACAATCGATTATGACAAGAATTCCAAGGATGAGTGATAGAACATCTGATACTGAAAAATGCATAAGATACAAAAGAAGGTAGAAACGTCGGTGTCCGAATACATTCTGAAGAATTATCAACATTGATGGGAAAATAACTCTACCAAATGATATTTCTGGGTCATGATGCAGTTATCATGGAAGTAATCTGAACATACGCTTCATCCCAAGGGTCGAAATAAGGCTAAAAAACCACAAGAGTTAATTGAGATAAATCTAGCTTAGAGTAATAAATGTCCATTGAGAGGCATATTGAGACTAGAGACCGTGTAAATTAACAGTCATTAAAAATAATGATTAATCAGGTATTGAGGTGTTTAATAGCCCGAAGATATTCAATATAATCATAATAACGTTGGTATATAGGTGCTAAGCGAAGATACTGATTCTCACGATGACATATTTATTTAATGTCAAGTGAAACAACTTAGAAAGATAACACTCTACGAGGATCAGAGACCATGAATCAAGAGTTTTCAGAGATCAGATAGAGTAAGTAATCCAAATGAAAATAACAAAAGCCATGCAAAATGGTCACTACCATTATTTGTCTACAATAAAATGCTGCAAAATTTAGCATTACACATTTATTTAATTAAGCTTGATGATAGTTTAAAATATAAATATAAATTTTAGTTACGGCGGTACGTCGGTAGATATGAATGTTCTTCTTTGTCGACTATTGATGAGCTAAAATCGAAAAATATGACCTTTCCTTTAAGAGCATCGTATCTGAAATTTTCAAGTCTAATATCTCCATGCTCAATATTCCTAGAATGAATTTGAAGAAGAGAACTTTCTGCCAATATCTGAAATATTTCTTCAGTATCTGGATAGTTACATGGTACTTCTTCCATAAGCAAATAATAACCACACAATCGTTTTCCATTATGGATCCAATCTAAGAAGCCATATGAATAGATGTAAGGAGCAGCACTTTCCTCATCTTGAGGTTCAGTATCAGAAGCTGAATGTGGTATTTCCATGTATATTCCACGACTATTTCTTCTCCCCAACATACGGTAAGCTCTTAATTCATTTAGAAACATTCCCAAACAGTACAAATTACTATTCCAGAAAGTCAGAACCTGGGTATATCCTTTAAGATATGTGGAAGTTGTAGGATCATAGATTTTAAGAATCATAGAAGGATTTACACTCTCATCTTTCAATCGTTTTACCCTGTAAACATTTGAGTTATGCTTTCTTTCATCTGAACTTTCTTGAATAATACCAACTATCTCAAATTCTGATTGGTGGATTGTGTCTTCAAAATTAATATCTTCATCAAATATTCTTTCTATAAATATTGTGGGTATTTTTAATTTACTTATATCATCTCTCACGTAGTAATCACCTTCCAACTTGTACTCTCTGAAACCAGTTTTCCATTCATTAACTAAGAAATTATATTTCCCATTTTTCACTTCTTCTTTCTCATCATTTTTGAGTTTCATAGATTCAAATATACCTCTTACAAGTAGTAAATTGTCTGTGCTTGATTCTTCGAAGTATGATTTGATTAAACTATAAATCAAGAAGGACGGACTAAATCCAAGACTCTTATAGTTGTAGCAATTTATTTCACAGTTTACTTTTGCCATTTTTATCAGCATCAATGAGTCAGTAGTCATAGTTGGATTTATTTCAGGTGATAGTTTGATTACTAGTATAGAATCTTTATCACAGATAAAACCTATATGTGAGCTCAAGGTAAGCATTTGATAAATCAGTTGATTTAGAAGCTCAACTAACTCTATACCATTCTCAAGATATGTTTCCATCAATCCCGAGAACTTAAATTCTAATGGAATTGCAAATTTTACTCCATTTAAAAGACGACTCAAATAAATATCAGGTCTCGAAATGTTTTGGATTATGTCTTTATATTCAGTAAAAATATGCCCGAACTCAAGATTCAAGAGCATTATGACAGGATACAAAATTGCATTACTAAAAACTACAGCAAAATTCGGTTTAGAATCCGAAGTGGTATAAACAACACAAGGAAAACTAAGTGCACGGTCTACAATTCTCTTTAGTATTGAGGTGGAATCTAATAGTACATCATAATCGCCTTCACTGTAATCAACTTTAAGTTGTCGATATTCATTAAAGAAAGTTAAAAATTCACTACTGTGATCATCATACTCATTGAATATTGACTGCATTGACCAATCTTCTTGAAATGGTTCCCAAGAAGTTAGTTTTTCCTTTAATTGTTGATCTGGGGTATCATCTTGATTCAGTGGGAAGGGAAAAGAAAATATTGTTGAAAGGATTAATATATTTCCACAATATGAATCTAAATACCGGATTGTTTCTACTTTATCCATCTTTTGGATCATCCATCCCATAAAAACATTGATTGCTGCTGTGACATCTGTTCCATCACTAATTAAGAAAGTTTTATATCTTCTTGTTTCCTCAAATGTCAGTTGATTACCAACAAATTTATGAAAGTAGAATAACCTGTAGGCCATTTCTTTTCTAAGTTTTTCATTTTCAACATCAACTGAGTCAGACACATACTCAAATTCTACTTCTCGATTCATTTCTGATTCTTCAAATTGAGAAATCCTTCTAACTTCTTGTAAATAATTGTAGTTAACATCCTGCAGATGTTGCTTAATTAAGAGCACACTCTTTTCAATAACACAAGTATCAATCTTGAAAATATACTCTCTTGGTTCTTTCATCCAGATTTTAGTTAGATAGGACATGAAGTAATAATCCAAATTTAGACAAGTGACTTTCAGGTTTTATTACATGTGAGAAAGATAATTGAAGTAAATTTAATTTAATACGCTTATAATATGAAAATGGAGTGCATATAGCAAGACTATGCTAATAAGCGTAAGAGAAATTTGATTACGTGATCATCTGTTAAAAACTGCGAAATTAAAGGTCCATATAAATTAAACACTTATTTAATACTTTTTGATGGCCTTGAAAGATAAATCTTCCTTACAGATATCCTTAAACTATACAAATCGATTGGCCCGGATGAAATCAGTGGATCAAAGAACTCTCTTGACTTATCATCATTAACCACTTTGGATAAGCCAAAATCATAAAATAAAACTTTTCTTTTAAGAGCATCGTATCTGAAATTTTCCTGTCTAACATCTCCATGAACTATATGTGAGCTCAAGGTAAGCATTTGATAAATCAGGTGATTTAGAAGCTCAACCATTCTCAAGATATGTTTCCATCAATCCCGAGAACTTAAATTCCAATGGTATTGCAAATTTTACTCCATTTAACACTTGACTCAAATAAATATCAGGTCTCGAGATATTTTCCAATAACTCTTCAGGCCTATAATCAACGTTGTATTCTGATAAAAGCCACCTTAAAGGATTTAAAATTGATAACTCAAATATTTAATAAAAGAACGTTTATCATATATTGTATACTGGGGTAAGCTTGAAACTTCCATTGGGAATTTCAAATCGTCCCTGGTTATCCTAGTAGAATCTAATAATTTATCATAATTCTCTTCCACGTATTCGACTACAATTTGACGATAATCGTCAAAGACATTTTTATGACTAAGATATTCCACCTCCAATATATGAAATAAGGGATACATATTGCTGCTATTTGATTCCGATATAGCCATTTCTTGATCGTGATAGAAGTTTGATTGAAAGGGAAAGCTAAATATTCTACTTAATGTAAAGACATTTGTACAAAATATAACAAAACTTTCATCAGCCATCCCTATGGCCAGGGCCATTGTAAATATCCGATAATGGATACTTGTTGGAATAGGTGCATGAGTTCCAAATCGAACAGTTTCATAATTTCTTGGTCCTTCAAAAGTAGATTTATTTCCTACAAATTTATGAAAGTAGTACAATCTGGCTGCCACCTCTTTCCTATACCTTTCACATTCTTCATCTGTCGAATCACTTTCTAAACACAATTCTACTTCCCTATCCTTTTCAAATTCCACAAATCGATTTTCCTGACTTGATCTAAGTAATTATGATTTTTATCTTTCTGATCTTGCCTAAGTAGAACTAAACTCTTTTCAATAAGAGAATGATCGATCTTAAGATTTACTTCATTTCTTTCCCTCTTTCTTCTCTTTCCATCTGACATAATGTAATAAACCCCTGTAATTAATAGAATGATCTTTTCTAATTAATCATTATTAACTATTTCTACAATCATTAAGGGTTGTTATAGTTAAAAGGTAGCTCTTGCCTACAATTATCAGGTAGGGAGTGCATATAGCAACACTAGACGTAACAAAAAACGAAAATTCCGATGAGAAAATGATCACGTGAGCAGTTTTTTATGCGATTTTTTTTTTACTTTTTTTCAAAATTGAAAATGACAAATGATGAAGGAGTTGTTAAACTGATTTCATTTGATTTGTATAACCTAAGAAGACAGTTGAAAGCAAGATGATTATTCCAATCCGTTGTTTTTCATGTGGTAAGGTTGTTGGTGACAAGTGGGAAGCTTACTTGGAGTTATTACAAGATGAATCCATGACTGAAGGTAACGCTTTAGATAAATTAGAATTGAAGAGATATTGTTGTAGAAGAATGGTTTTAACTCATGTTGATTTAATTGAAAAGTTCTTAAGATATAATCCATTAGAAAAGAAAGATATTAATTAGGTTGATTTGTTTATTCACTTATCATTTCAACACCGATTTTGCATTCGTAACTCACCATCATCTTCATTATCTCATTCAGACATATATCAACTATTAAATTGTCATCATTATTCAACATTTTATAATGTTATCATCCCTAAAAGTCGACTTGTAATATTTCCATCATCATCTATTAATGACTAATAACATGTCACACTCCCAAAATCATGTATGATTTTATTGTATTTTAGTTTTCCAATCTATATTTCATTTATCAATTATTATTATTATTATTATTATTATTGTTACTACAAGAGATAAAAGTAATATTCAACATAATAATGTGTACTGTATTTAAATAAAGAATATACACCACTTATAAAAAGAAAGAAACATCATCTTATCACTTTGTAATACTCTAATTATCAGCTTTAGAAGTATCAATATTTTGAATATACTCATAAAAGAAAGCAAGTAACTGTAAATGACCATCAAATTCAAGTCTTTCATCAACACTATGAATATGACTATCTTTGAAATCAGTGGCAAAGAATGGAGAATATCTGTAAATATTTCTTGTCAAATCCCAATAATGTCTAGTATCAGTATTTGCTGGCATAACCACTGGAGCTACAATAATTGGATATGTCAAGTTTGTAAATACGACATCTTCAAATACATGTCTAGTTGAAGCAGCAATATATTTCCAAACGGTATCATTTGCAGGAGAAACAGGAGCTGATTCTAAAGCTTGTGGTGAAGAAATAATAAAGGTACCTGATTTACCATCACCTTTAAAGACAGTTTTACCAAAACTAACCACATCTAAACCATGTCTTTTTGCTACTTCAATAACTCTTTTAGTAAAATGTTCATGAATTTCAACCACACGAGTTTCAACACTGATTCTGTGATTAACGGTTAATTTAACATTTTCTGGTAAAGCATTAGCTTTTTCACCACCTTTAATAATATCAATAGCTTGAGAAGTTTGAATTAAATATTTGGTTATAGGATTTTTTGTGAGACTTTCAACAATCTTACTTCTAGCAAATTTATCAAAAGCAGCTCTTAAAATAGCCTTTTTAGTAAGGATAGGGACTTTATCACTATTTACAGCAATACATTGTAAATATTGTAAAAGAGGATTCTTTGCTGAAAAAATTGGACCATATTGATCCTTTTCAATGAAATAACCTAATTCGGAGATAATACCAATCGATGTATGATCAGGTGGGACAGATGAATGTCCACCAGGAGTAGTTAATTCAACTATAATATCAGTATACCCCTTTTCTCCAGTAGCAGGTGAAGCAATGATTTGACCTGAGATAGGATCAAGAGTTAAACCTGGACCTTCATCAAGAATAGCATAAATGGAATCCTTACCGAATTTCTTTTCTAAATGTTTTCCAATATGATAAGCTCCTCTTCTACCTGAAGCTTCTTCATCAAATCCAAATGCAGCGATAACAGTTCTTGATGGAGTAAATCCCTTCTCAATCAATAATTCAATCGATTCAAGAATAGCAATCAAAACATTCTTACAATCAGATGAACCTCTACCATAAATGAACTTCCCATCATAATGACCCGAGAAAGGAGGATAAGTCCAATGGTCAAGAGTATCCTTTTGAACAGGCACCACATCTTGATGAGCAGTTAATAACACTGGTTTCAAACCAGTATTAATCCCTTTCCAAGTGAAGACTAAACCATAAGTATTGACATATTCAACTTCCAATTCAGCATAAATAGTAGGAAATGTCTTCTCTAAATAAGCATGGAATCCTTTGAATTGTTCCCATAATTCAGGAGCTTCATCGACATCAGGTTGATCGTCACCGATTTGAGTATCAACTTGCACTGCATTAGCTAATTTTTGAACCGATTGCAATCTAAAACTTTCATCATTCAAGATAGTTAACACAGTTGAATTATCTTTGATGAATGATTTTGGAACAATGGGATCGTAAAGTGGACATAATCCAGGTTTATTGGTTGGTTGAGCAATAATCAAAGCATAATTGTATAAATCAGTAGTGAAAAATATCACGATTAAAATAAAGATTGAGCCGACTACAGCAACGGACTTTTTCCTATCAAGGATTTGTTTCTTGGCGTATGCTACGTCTTCTTCGTCTGGTAATCTAATGGCCATGGTTAAGGTTAATTATATGATTCCTCGATCAATTGAATTGAACTGAAGAATTGGAAGAAGAATTGTATATATAGCAAACTTCAAATAATTAGGAGTCAAATATCGCTTTACCTTAAAAAAAAGGAGATAAAATGACTGGGGAAGCGGAATTTTTTTAAAATTGTGGATTCCGCTCAACTGCGATAAGTTGCGCTTGCGCCTTAATTTTTACGATTGCTATATGTTAAATATTATATCTAAAACGTATATTGTAAACGAGAGGAAATATATCTAAAATTGACTCTAATTATCAGCAGTTGGTGTATCAACTGCTTGGATGTATTGATAGAAGAAGGCAGTTAATTGTAAGTGACCTTCAAAGGCTAATTTTTCATCTACACTATGAACATTAGTACTTCCGACAATGCTTTGAACGTAGAATGGAGAATATCTAAAGATATTTCTAGTTAAATTCCAATAATGTCTGGTATCAGTATTACCAGTCATGATGGATGGTGATGTGACGATTGGATAATCGATTTCAGGATAAATTAAATCTTCAAATACATGTCTGGTAACACCAGCTAAATGTTTCCAAACATTATCATTTAATGGAGTGGTTGGAGCAGTTTCTAATGGTCTTGAGAAAACATTAACTTCAAATACACCCGAATTATCTTTAGTATCAAGTACTAATTCTCCAAAGGCTTTAACTGATAAATTATGTCTCTTAGCAACCTCAATCACTCTATCAACAAAATGGTCTTTAACAGCTCCCACAGTAGATTCAATAGCAACTCTATGGTTAACTAATAATCTAACATGTTCAGGTAAAGCATTAGCTTTTTCACCACCACTAATGATATCAATAGCTTGAGAAGTTTGCACTAAATACTTGGAGAATCTATTCTTTTGAATTAATTTGATTACTTGAGAATTAGCAAATTTATCATAACCAGCTCTTAAAATTGATTTCTTTGTAAAAGTTGAAATTTTAGATTTTGAATCATGCAAAGCTAAACATTGCATATAACTTAAAGTTGGATTCTTGGAAGTTAAGATTGGAGAATATGGATCCTTTTCAATGACATAACTTAATTCAGATAAAATACCAATAGAAGTATGATCAGGTGGAATTGATGAATGACCACCTGGAGTAGTTAATTGAACTTCAATATCAACATAACCTTTTTCACCAGTACCTGGAGTAGCAATGATAGTACCAGTTAAATCATCAGCTGCTAAACCTGGACCTTCATCAATAATAGCATAGATTGAATCTTTACCATAAGTCTTTTCTAAGTATCTACCAATAGCAGAAGCACTAACAACACCAGAAGCTTCTTCATCAAAACCAAAGGCAATAAGAAGAGATCTTTGAGGTTGATAGTTTTGATTTAATAAAAGTTCAACAGTTTCTAAAATTGAAATTAAAACATTCTTACAATCTGAAGCACCTCTACCATAAATGAATTTACCATCATAATGACCTTCAAATGGTGGATAAGTCCATTTATCAAGAGTATCTTTTTGAACAGGGACCACATCTTGATGAGCAGTTAACATTAAAGGTTTTAAACTTTCATTAGATCCTTTCCAGAAGTACACTAAACCATAAGTGTTTACCTTAGTCAATTCTAAGTTTTCATAAATGGTGGGGAAAGTCTTTTCTAAATATTCATGGAATTTAATGAATTTAACCCAAGTTTCAGGAGAATCAGGTACATCAGGTTGATTATCAAAGATTTGAGTATCAACTTGAATAGCACCGGCTAACTTTTTAATGGAGTTCAACTTATAGTCTTCATCATGAAGAATGGTTAAAACTGTGGAATTATCAGTAATGAATGATTCAGGAACAACTGGTTCATGTAAAGGACATAATGAGTCGGTATTTGAAATTGGAACCAATTCAATTCTAAGGTAATTGAATAAGTTGGTTCCAAAGAGGATTGTTAAAAGTATAACAATAGAACCTACAATGGTAGGAACTCTTTTAGAAGATACTTTATCATCTAATGGTAAACCAAGCATCTTGAAGAAATTGAATTGCAAAATCTATTCAGTGACTAGAAAGTTGGAAGGTATTTCAAAAAAAAGGAGCAATTGGAAAAGGATAAGTTTAAATATGAAGAAAAGGGATTCAATTATATACCTCCAAGCTCAACAATTGACTCTGGCCTGACTATCTAAGGATTATGTTTAATTTTGAAAAATCTTTATCTGTCTGTCTGCCTCCACTAATTGTCGCTTTCGTCCAAAAAGGGCAACCTTCCTAATTGGGCCGTATTTCCGCTTCCTATTTCGTTGGTGCCGCAGTTTTCGATAGACGGACTACCTTCCCAATTAAGGAAGAGGTATGGAGGAATCAACCAATCTTATAGGAAAGATTGACATATTGAACCTAAATTTGAAAGATATAAACCAGGTAATAATTGAAAGTTAAAGAAAAAGGTAATTGAAAAACTAATAAGAAACCTTCAACAAGTATGTGTAAGAAGAACTAAATATAGCATTGATGATTCAGCCAATGTACACGATCTTATAATCAATTAATTATAAACATATTTAAGGTACCTATTTGAAACTACATATTCATCATAATGTAAGATGAAACAGGGCAAAGCAATAAAATGTGCCCTAAACTTGAAACATGCCAAAATTATTTTGAAACAAAACTAAGTTCAATTAGTGTATATATATTTAAGATGGTGTGAGTTTTGCGTAACAGTGAGGCATGCACTAAATAGGTAATTGCAAAACAGCAAATGTTTCAGGATGAATTTTATCAGTTTGACGAGAGTTGAACTTTGTAAAGGTGAAACTTTGCATAGCCAGTAGTGTGAAGTCATTAGTTGACTTCAATACGTGTCTGAAAAAATTTCTAACATTAGCAGATGTTACAACTGTTGGTGACAGCCTCCGGCTTGGCGTAGAAGCTAACTAATGATTGTTACTAAGACAACTCATGACTTCAACACTTTCTTGATCATTATCTTTCCTTTCAAAAATATACTCATGAAAGAAATGAAAGTAGAAACTATAGTCACCTTCTTCAAAACGTAACAATCCTTTCATAATGTAATGACGTATGAAACGGTTTATTGTCTTCCCCCAGTCACTCACTAAATATTTAGTGATGGTCTCCACTAAATCACAATTTTTTACGCGCGCGTTTTGCACCCTTTCACTAAAAAAAATTAAGAATTTTACGCGACTGTTTTGTAAACAAGAAGGGGTTTTGTTTGTGTTTGATTTATACCAGAATATAATCACATACTAGATCAAAATAATACTATGAAACCATACTGCGGGAGGGTGCCTTTGTTTGATAGATGATGAGGAGGAAGGAGTAGGTACGATGAACAGCTTTTGATTCGGATGACAGTTTACTTGAAATTCTTTATATAACCAATTCAATTCCACGATATTTTTATATTTATTTTGTATTTTGATTTATTTCGTTTTACCAATTCCAGTTTAAATTCTTGTCTTTCGTTCTTAGATATAGTTTGGTTATTTACTTGTTCTTACTTTGTTATACACTATAGCTTGCGTACACTAGTCGCGTCCATTCCTTTATTCAAAGTATACCCTTTCCTCCAACTACCATCACTCGTTCAATCAGTTAGCAAATATATTCTATACCCAAACAAATGCGTTCCGTCCTTATTCCAATAATTCTATTGGCATCTTCAGTCAGTGCCTCTCCTTTCAAGAGGTATGATATGCTCAAAAGATATGATAATACTACTGAAAGTTCAACTGAACTTTCCTCCTCATCCGGAGGATTCACAGCAGACATTATTGCATCATCAAGTACATTATCATTAGTAGATCCAACTACTTCAGCAGTAGTGTCATCAGATCCACCAGCTTCTTCAGAGGATCCAACTACTACTACTTCTGACGATCCAGCCACCACCACTCCAGGAAGTAGTGCTGATATTAATACCACCGTTACTGTCAATGATTATATTACAGTCACTTTACCTTCAACCACCATCACTTTAAGTGGTTCAAGTGCTAGTGAACAACTTGCTAGTTTGAAATCTGGTGTGGTCGATGCTCTTGTTCTTGATCCAACTATCACTACTACTGTGACTTTATATGGATCAACTACATCAAATGGTGTTGTAACTTCAGTTCCAACTAATACTTTAACTTCTACTTATCAAGATTTAACCACTTCAACCATTACAAAGTATATTACAATTACTGAATCAGATGGTCTGCTTTCAGTTGAACCAGTAGAATCTACTTCTTCAGTTCCATACTGTATTCCAACTACTGTAACTGCTACTGAAACTGAAACTGTTACCGTTACAGCTACCCCAGAACTTTCTAGTGGTGCAGTTGTTTTCACCTCTACATTTATTTCCTCATACCCAGTTACTGCAGCTTTCACTTACGCTGGTAACATCACCACTATTACAAGTTACATTGATGTCACTTCCACTCAAGTTGTAACCACCACTGCCTCCTCACTTTCCTCAACTTCAGTTGATCCATCTTCAAGTTATGCTTCATATTCTTTTGATTATTCGGCTGCAAGAGCAGGTAACAATGCTACAGTTTACTCATCAGTCGCGCCATCCACTTCTGCTTCTGCTGCTTCTACAGCTGGCCCAGCCAAAAGAAGTCTTTTCCACTTCTTATAAATGAAATCAACATTATAAAACTCTAACGTTCCGTCAGTTAGGTTAAACATGATCTTGTTTGATTTTCCTCTCCTTTGTACATTACGAATCCTTTTAAAACTTACGTTCCCATTTTTATTCTACATTCTCTTTCTCACCCCATATTCTATTTATTGTCGGTACACTTCTATAGTCTTAATGATATCAATACGTTATATACAACTCCTCTTTTTATAATTAATATAATATATTATGTTTTGATAAACAAGTATTTCATAATTTGCGGTTTTGCAACTCTTCATTTTTGTGACGCGTAACAATTTTTCCAAAATGTAAACAAAAAAATAAGTCACCAAAAAAAGTTTACTGAACAACAACAGCAACAGATTGATTACAGGTTTGTTTTCATTTAGTATCATCAAAACAAACACTTCAGAAGGAGGTGTGTATCGATACTATGAGTAGTCAAGTCACATCACCAATAAGAGTGGTGCAATCGCCTGCCAATACGTCTTCAAACATCAACTTTGATGAATCATTCTCGCCAGTAAAGTTACCTGTCAAGACTCCGATCAAAGACTTATTACCAGAAACCAATCATCATAAGACTCCTGATTTGATCATACAACATCCTCATGGATTGACTGCTAAGCATGGTGCCAGAGCAGGTAGTTCCACTAATAATATCAGGAGAAATACACTTGGTAATCCTAAACGAAAATCATTAGTTGAAACTCCTTTGATTGCAAGTGGTAAACAAGCGTTATATCAGAAACAATCATGGTCAGCTAAACAACCTCAAACTCACAGAGATACTGTGGTTAGTGGCTATCCATTGACTTCACCTAGATTGAACTACAATAAGAAACCAATTGATATTGAAAGTATAAGGCAATCGAAAATAAGATTAGATTCGAAATTGAATGATATTTTACTAAAGGGTAATGGTGATGATGAAGATGATGGTAAGGAGAATAAAAATCCATTCGAAAGTTCTCCAGCACTTAAATATATAGAATCAAATGGTGCCAATGATACTAATAGTTCACCATTGAAACGTACAGCTGCTCAACTTCAAAAAGATACCCAAGCAGAGGTGGAATCTGAGGAAGGATCAGCTAAGAAAATAGCTAAGATAGTTACCAATGCTAATGATCATGAAAATCTGATTCAAGTAGATGAAGTATTCTACAAAGAAGATTTAGTAGGTCAATTGTCCAAATCGTCTCCTAATGTCAGTAAAATCAGATCATCACCGAATGTGAGTAAGATTCAACAATCCACTAATCCAACCATTGTTGACAATGACAGTGATAGTGAAGTGGAAGATTATGGTCGTATTGAAAATACGATTAGTCAAACCATCTTACCAAATACAATTGGCTTAACAGGTCTCCATAATAATAAATTTATATCCTCCGATATTACTCATACTCAACTTGGTAAGATCATTAGGCTGGAAGATGTGGCTAAAGATTTAATAACTCCACAAAGATATACGGAACCAATAGCCAAGAGTCCTGATACCAACCAACATGTTAGAGTTAATACTTTAGATAATGTACTTGAAGGCGATAATGATGATGAAGAAGAAGATGAGATTGATGGTCATAATACATCTAGATTAAGAGACGCAACTAGTCCTTTGAAGAACCATGTTAGTAAGACTGGTCATTATTATGATCATAATGATGAAGAAATTGTTGATAATGAAAGATTGGAGAATGAACCAACTATAAATTTCTTAATGTCACCCAACTCAAAACCAGTATTTTCACTTGAACATATAAGTAAGATTCAAAGAGACCACGAGAAGAGAACATCTGATTTCATTTCCCAACTTACAACTAAAGATGATAGGATATTGACACTTTCTAATGAATTAAGCCATATTCAAGATACTTTGATTCAATTTGAAAAGGAAGTGAGAAGTTTGAAGGAAACAAAGACCAAATTAAGAAATAATGAAGAAATACTTTCGATTCAATTAAAACATAATGAACGTGAATTAGCTTCTTTAACAAAAAGTTATAAAATGAAAGAAAATACCGTACATGGATTAAGATCGAAGTTAGACAATGTTAAATCAAAACATGAGGAGGAGATTCTGAGTTTCAATGATACGGTTGAATCCCAAGCGAATGAAATTCATGATTTGAAACGTCAATTAACAGAAGCTACCAGTTTAAACATCGAATACAATATTAAAATTGAAAAATTATTAAAGGAAAAGGAAGAATTGTTAAATGATGGAGACGCATATAAAGCTCAGAATAGTCAATTAAGTTCTGAAGTTGAGAAATTACAAACTCAACAAAAGGAATTATATACTAAATTAGATGAATTAAAAGCTAGAAATATTGAGTTAGGTTCTGCCAATGCTGAGAATGAAAGTTTAATTAAAGAATTTGAATCAGTGGCTAATACCAAGATCAATGAATTAGAAACCACCATTGCCAATATAAATAAAGAGAAAGAAGAAATTTACAAGAATTTAGCTGAAGCTGAAGAATATGAACATGAGATTAAGAGTTTAAAGACTGAATTAGAAGAGATGGAAGATTCTCATAAGAAATTATCGGTTAAATTAGATCATTTAGAAGAATCTAATGCTCGATTAAAGAATGATTCTCATAATTTTGAAAGTATCTTAAAGGACAAAGATGATATTATAAATGAAGATATTAGTAAAATGACGGAATTAGTTGAAGCAGTGAATAAAAAGGAAGAAGAATATAGTCAAAGAATTGATTCCTTAGAAGAAACCATCTATAACTTAAAGAAAGATAAAAATAGTGCTCTTGAACAGGTTGAAAGTTTAACTGATCAAGTTGAAAACACCAAAGTTGAAGCTGATAATGAAGTAAAGAGACTTGCTCAATATTTACATCATGAATATGCTGAAAAACATGCCAAGAAATTAGGTGATGTTAAGATTCATTATGAAAAGGAAAAGGAATCCCTTATACGAGAAAAGAGATACGCTGAACGTGAAGTTGAATTATTAAAGAAGAAATTACATAATTCCTTAGATGAAATCCGTCAATTAACTGAGTTTATTGATGTTAATAAATTACAATATCAAGGTTCAAATATGACAAGTCGTCTTAGTCCTAAAAAGTCTGGCAATAGTAATAGAGGTTCAAGACACTAATCCTAATCTCTTAGTATATATACTTCCCTCACCCTTAATATACAAAAAGTTTCCTATTTATTACATTAACTTACATTTTGAATGACGTTTAAATTTAGGAAACTATAAGTGTAAAATTTAGCAGGATATTTCACTCACGTGACCGTTAAAATTTTTTTGAAATCCTATAAATTGAGAAATTCATGATCAAATTTGAAAAGTCAACGACAACAAGTTATTAATGAAAGCAACGACTGTATTTCATTCAATATAGTAACTACAAGATCAATCAAGACGTTGATTCCGTTCCTTTATCATAACGATTTGTGATTGTACGTCTTCAGTGATAGTTGCAACAAAACAGAGATCAAAAAATCAAAAAAAAGAAGAACCAAATAAGGAGGAGAGGCAAAAAGGAGGGTTCAACATAGTATTGCCTAATTATAGAACTTCACAATCAATCAAATCATATCATAATGTCTAACTTTGAGGCTAGAAAATTGTATGAGAACATTGTCGAAGATGTTATCAATGAATCTAGACAAGATTTTGAAAATAGTGGGATTGATGAATCCACATTACAAGAATTAAGAAGAATATGGTGTGAAAAATTAAGTCAGACTCAAGTTGCTAAGTTCTCTTGGGATGATGAAGATAATATGCCTAGTTCTAGTGTTGCGGTAGCTGACGATGGTGTTCCCACTGGTGATTCACATGCTCCTTCTGATCTTGGAGGAGATGGTGGTGAATATGCACTTGGAGAAGGTAGTTCAGGTATAGAAATGTCAGCTATTCAAAATGGTGTATTAACATATCCAACAGTTCAACATGGACTTGAAGCTGAAGTGCCGCTGAAGAATGAAAATACTGATGTTGATAATGGTACTGGATTATTATTACCAAACATAGGTCAATCTGATGGTGCATTTGAATTTACGGTATATACCGATGATGCTAAGCAATTCATGAAGGATCTTAAAGCAAAGAATAATGGTAAGAAAGTAAAGAAGATTGATCAAGGAGACGGGAACTTTGGAGATGATGATGATGAAGATGACGATGATATATTCAATGATTCTGATGATATTAATTCAGATTTAGATGATGATTTGGAAAGTGATAAATCAGACGGAGAAAGTGGAGATCAAGAAGGTCAACTTATGTTATGTTTATATGATAAAGTACAAAGAATCAAGAATAAGTGGAAGTCCAATTTAAAGGAAGGAATTGCCAATATTGATGGAAAGGATTATGTATTTCACAAAGCTACTGGGGAGAGTGAATGGTGAAGAATAGTCCCAACCAACTACCCAAGTTGACATCCTACCTTCATTTCATAGCATTCTATTATTATTTATCATTATTACTACTACTACTATTGTTATTTCTATTTATCACTATCACTACTTGCTAATGTTATCACGCCAGATTTATTTGTTATTTTTATTATTATTATAACCCGTCAACCCATATATGTATTATTCATTTTTAAGATGGTGTATTTGCTCAGTTTGAATTTTCCATGTAAATTTATTTATATACAACCTATACCAAAAAGCCTCTAATATACAAAACACATACCCCCAAACCAACCATACATACCTTGTAGATAGGGTTAGACTTCTTAGGTTTAAACTTTACAGATTTTTAGATTTTGTTGTTTTTGTTTTGATTTAAAACGACTCCTGCGAGTGAACCAAACAAATTTATTTGTGATCTGAAATTGAAATTTTATGATTTGGCCTGGAAATTCATAATTATCATTATAACGGTTTGTTTTGGTATTGGTTAGTTTTGTGAAGTAAAGTCAATTGTATAGTACAATCTATATATAATCTCATATCCATATCAGATCAGAATCACAGTTCTGAGCTTTCATTATAATTGTTTCTCGGTGTCTTCTTTGTCGCCCCACGTCAAATCAAAGCAAAGACAATTTCACAGCAATTTGAATTGATTGATTTCATATCGACACCACCACAACCATGTCTAGGAGTCGACAGTTAAGGCAGAATAAAGTGGAGTCTGTCCATCATGAGCATGACGATGATGATATTGAAGAATCATTAATCAGTCAATTCGAGACTACTTTAACTATTCGACCTACTGCCAATGATGAAGTTGAAGATATTTCAATTGATCATACCGTGTTAAATAACAACACTACTTTCAATTACACTCGTGATCAAAGTATAGTGGATATTGATGAATTAGAAGAAGAAGAATTGATTCTGGAACAAATACCGAAATTCAAAACTAATAGAAGATATAGCTTACTACCTAAACATGCCACGAAATCAAATGGTAGAACAACTTCAACATCCCCTCCTCCGCCACCATCATCAGCACTGGCAAAATTAAAGAAATCTCCCAGTCCAGGATTGGAAGACTATTATACCAAAGATAAAATTGATCCCAAATATGAATCAATCTTAAAACCATCATTCTTGATCGATCATTCCTTACAGAGATTTAATAAAGCGTATAATGATTTCTTAGATTCAAATCCTCATATCTCCACTGAATCTCCTCGATATATAAAAGAGCACGAAAAGACATTAGTGATATTATCACCTTACTCACCTGAACATGCATTTGGAAGAAATTGGGTTTCAAAATCATATCTTTCAACTATTTTTGAAAGACCCCAAAGATTATTAGCATCATGTATTGGGGTAGCATCAGCTTTAACCATGTATCCATTCTATTATAAGATCATTAATTCAAATAAGAAAAGTTCATTATTTTCATCTCATGTCAGGAAAATCCATGGAAAGAATTGGCCCAAGAAATTATTTGAATTATGTTTGGAAAGTCATGAGAAATTACAAAAGGATGAATTGGAAGTTCCAGAAGATTGGAATACCGGTGATATTTATTTAAACCCCAAGACCATAAATGCTATTGAAGGAGTTATTGGAACGATTGAAACCGCAGTGGATTCACTTTATAACTTTGAACAAGAGAAATTGAAAACCAATCATAATCTTGCCTTTGTAGTGATTCGACCACCTGGTCATCATTCTCATGCATGTTTACCCAGTGGATTTTGTCTTTTAAACAATGTTCAAATCGGGATCGAATTTGCCTTTGAAAAATATGGTGTAAGTCATTGTGTGATTTTAGATATTGATTTACATCATGGAGATGGATCTCAAGATATTTGTTGGGAAAGAGCTGGTTTCCATGGTGATTATGGTCAAACTGAAGATGATGAATTAGATCCAAAATCAAATCCAAGAAATGAATATGGTAAACGATTCGCTACCTATCCTAAAGTAGGATATTTCTCATTACATGATATTAAATCATATCCTACTGAATTTGGTTATGCTACAAAGGAAAATATTAAAAATGCATCAACATGTATCATGGATCATGATTTAAATATTTGGAATGTTCATTTACAAGAATGGAATAATGAAGAAGAATTTTATAAACATTATCAAACTCGATATGTGACGATTTTAAATCGTGCCAATCAATTTTTAAATTCAGCAAAAAAACAATATGAACAAGAATATGAACAATATTTGATTGATTTAAATAAATATAATAAATACTTAGTCAAGCCTCATTTATATCAAGATCCAGTTGACAAACCCATCCCTCCTATGCCATTCAAACCTTTGATAACCATCTCAGCTGGATTTGATGCTTCAGAGTATGAAAATCCTCAAATGCAAAGACATGGAATCAATGTTCCTACTTCATTTTACGCTACATTTACTAAGGATGTGGTTAAGTTAGCTAAGATCCATACTAATGGGAAAGTTATATCATTTTTAGAAGGTGGATATAGTGATGGAGCCTTATCGACCGGGATCTTTTCTCATTTGATTGGATTAATCAATGATGATGAAGTTAGTTGGAATCAAACTTGGGGTTTAGAACAAGTTATGAAAGAATTAGTGAAAGGATGTAAGAAGACTTGGACTCCATATAAGAAACCACAAAGTGATATTACCATTTGGGCTAATGAGGTGATTAAATTAGGTAGATCCATGATGCCTAATGCTATTTTACCTACTAATTATATTTATCAATATCAAGAAGATCTAAAACAACAGCAACAATTTGCAGAATTACAAAAGGTTCAACAACAATTAGCAGATGATGGTGAGCCAGTAAATAAAATGGTTAAAGAAATCATGGATTATCATCATCCAAACCGAGTACTGGAAGTCTCCCAAAGTCCATTAAAGACCGACCCCCAAGACGATAGAAAGATTATGAGACATACAAGATCATATTATAAGAAATTAGCTACTGCTCAAAAGCAACAACAAATCCAAGAAGAGTCGGCATTAAATGGACTTCCCAAGTATAAATAGGACTTTAATGATATTTTTTGCCATCATAGCTACATATACATACTACATATTCATCTACATATACATAGTGCATATAATATATAACCAACCATCCCCCATTCGTGATAACTAACTTACACTTTAGATTTGATAAAGCCTTACGTTAAACCAGGCTAGATCCTGCATAAAGTGGTTGAAGATTATTTTTATTTCTTAATTGGGTAATACTTCTATTTTGACAGCAAGAACTCTGTTTAAACTGGTATACATAGATTATAGAGGATAAGTGAAGTAGTACAATATTGTAATAGATCATAAACATAGTCAAATACTACAAAAAATGGTTATAAATAGTGAAATTTGGATCAAAAGATTATTGAAACATTTCCTAATCGGTATAAATGTCGCATAACATTCTAAAAAAAGTTAATCTCGTTTTTACTAATTAGGAAATTAAACCTGTTATAAGTTAAAGTAGGTACCACGTATGGGAACAAGCAAGAGAAGATTATAAAGAGAAGAAGTCTTGTGATTGGAATGAGGATCATTATAGACATGATCTACGAACTATAGTTAAACAAGCCCACTTTTAATTACCTCATCTGGAATGGTAGCATATTATATAATGGGTCTGTGTCAGCCCTATCAACTATAACCGTACGACATTTACTCTCAAAAAAATAAATACGACATTACTTCAAACACGAAACAGGATTTTCAATATTCACAATAAAGTCAATTCCATCAATAATAGTAAATGGCAACCAATCCTTTGATCAATTAGGTTTAGACCAACTATCATCAATCATTCATCCTTCGTCGTCATCTCTGGTATCAGATCATAGTAGCAGCACATTCCATCAATTCTTATCTGGTGTTCATGAAGTAAAGGCGTCACCTGCTGCCTATACCAAATAATTTTATACGAGTATCGTCTAATTTGAATCACCATTATTACATTCCTTTCAACTCTCCAACTTAAATATTATCATCCTTGGCGTGTCCTATATCATCGTCATTAATCTTATTGTGATCTAAACCGTAATAGATTACTTTCAATATGACTGAAGCTACCATGGCTTCTCATCAAACCATACCAACGAGTATAACTACAAATACAACTACAAGTACATCAACTAATGCTCGTAAGCGAAATCCCCCTCAAAACTTACCTCCATCACATCCTAAATTCGATAGATCTGAATTAACAGATTCTGAATTCATAGAACAATTGTTATTTGAAAATAGAGAATTACAGGCGATATTAATTAATAAAGATAAAAAAATATCTGAATTAACAGAAGCTTCGAAATTAAACTATCTTTTACCTCATATAAGTCATAATAATCATAGTACTTCATCTTTTGATACAGCAAAATCGTCTCGTGATGAAACTCCAGAAGTTAAACCAATAACTATAGAGACAGTTAAAGCTATCACTCCTTCATCTACATCACTTAAATTAATCAATACTTCCAATAATGTAGATAGAACCATTAGTAGATCTCCACTTCCATTAACTCCTACTGAAGAAATACCAATCATTGAACCAACGGAAATCCCATCAAGATCATCACGAAGAAGACGTAATTCAAATGAAAAATCTATTCCAGATACAACTGATTCAAATACGTCACCTTCATTAAGTGTACCCAATTCATCATCAAACATAAGTAATTTATCATCTTCAACTTCATTTGGTAAGAATTTAGATGATAAGACTATCATCCTAAATGGTAATACTACTAATAATAACATTCAAGACTTTAAAAAAGACAATTCAATTACACCAAGTTTACACCTCAATACATCAAACAGTAATGTATCATCAACTGCTAGACCTCCTTTAAATGGTCAGTCATCATCATCTACAACACCTACAAGTAATCATAGTTCATTAACTCCTATAACGATCAATAATAGTAACAATAGTAACAGTAATAATAATAGTCTTTCCAACCCCATTGATATTAATCAATCACCATATTCACATCCTAAAGGCAATACTGGACTTAGTAGTTCTTATAAATCAAAAATAAAATTACCTCCTACTTTACAAAATCAAACTTCCCGTACCGGCTTAAATTCTCCCGATCAAACTTATATTCAAAATCCAACTCCAAATTCAAATCCATCATATGGTTCTATACCATCACAAACATTTTCATCTCAATCCAATTTACCCCAACCACAAACAGTATCATATGAACCAGAACCAGTTGGTTTGAAATCACCTGCTGCATTTGAATTAAATACAGTATTGGCAACTCAAAGTGGTACTAGTCCTAATCCAAGTAATTATAAATTCTCACCAGTATCTCAATCTACTACTCAGTTCAATGGTGGCAGTGAAGTTAGTAGTTTAAAGAGAGCACCTACTACTCCTGATGTGATATCAGCTGGTAAATTCAATATGAAATTGAATGATATACCGAATCCTGCCTTGGATGTTGATAGTCGTAGTTTTATTTCATCTCCTGTACAAGGTTCATTCACTCATTCTCAAAAGAGTCCAGGACAATTAAGTTCCCATAGAATGGATAATAATGATGTATTAAGAACTCCATTAACTACTGAATTTGATTCTCAAAGTAAATTCTCAGCTCAAACTCCAGGATCAAGTTTTAATGTATTGGGTACGCCAAAACATGAAGATGATGCTAAATTAGTTATTAAACCTGAAGAATTTGGAGTCATAAATTTGATTGTGGCCAGTACGATTTCTGTCCCTACTCAAAAGAAAACCGATGATCCAAATGTGACAATCTCTATTAATGATAAAGAATCAGGTCAAGAAATGTGGAGAATTAGAAAGACTTATTCACAGTTAGTGGCATTTGATAATGAAATAAGACCAGTGGTTCAATATTTTGGATTACCTACTTTACCTGATAAATCAGTATTCCTTGCAACTGCACCTAGTAAGATCGATCAAAGAAGAGTGGCATTACAAGGCTATTTCAAATCGATATTCCATATGCCTCATATTCCTCAACTGATTATTTATAGAATCTGTAAGTATATCTCACTTGATATAATATCACCATTGGATGATTATAAGAGTGGAGCAAGAAAGGAAGGTTATTTAGTTCGTCGTTATAAAGGATTAGGAAGTTCATGGAAAATTAGATGGTGTCAAGTTGATGGTCCAGCTTTAGAAATTTATGAATTCCCAGGTGGACCATTAGTTGAACAAGTTAAATTAAAAGGAGCTCAAATCGGTACTCAATCTCAAGATTCAGTGGCAGAAGATAAAGGTTATAGACATGGATTTTTAATTATTGAACAACAAAAATCATCGAAATTATCTTCATCCTTACCTAAGTATTTCTTCTGTTGTGAAGATGATACTGAACGTGATGCATGGGTAGCAGCCTTAGTTGAATTTAGTGATGTTAATGGTATCAATGATACTGCCAATATTTCTACTGAATCAGAAGATTTTGTCGATACGCTTGGATCAAGATATCCTGATGAACTTGAAGTTAGTTCAAGAAAATATACCAATGGATCATATTCTCTGAATAGTAAATATTCAAACGATCAAGCTTCATATACTACTAGTACATCACTAGAGGATAAAGAAATTAAAGATGCTAAGAAACATAAAATGAGAAGTATATTTCAATTCGGGAAAAAGAATTCATCTCAATTATCTACTGAGAATATATTGGATGAAGTTGATACATCAAGTATTGCTGCTCCTATACCTTCCAATACTAATATGACTCATTCAACATCAGCCTTTGCACAATATTTAAATGAAATGCAATTAGAAAATGGATTAGCTAAATCGATTTTCGGTAGAGAACTTGAAGATGCCTATAATGTTTCTAATCATATTTATTTAAGTAAGAGTGTTCCAAGTATTATATATAGATGTTTGGATTATTTAACTCGAACTGGAGCTATTTATGAAGAAGGTATTTTCCGATTAAGTGGATCAGCTACTGCTATTCGACAATTAAAAGATCAATTTAATCATCAATATGATGTTGATCTTTCTGATTCTGAATTACATCCTGATATAAATACCGTGGCAGGACTTTTTAAAACTTATCTTCGAGAATTACCTACACCAATCTTAGGATTAAAGAATTATAACCATCTTCATAATGTGATATTACAGAATCAAACTTTACCACCTACATCCTTAGCCAATGTATTCCGAGATTATTTTAATGATCTTTCAAATGTGGATGAAATTCATTATGATATATCATATGTGATATTTAAATTCTTAACTCAAATCATTGCTCAAAATCAAAACAATAGAATGAATTTAAGAAATGTTTGTATTGTTTTTTCACCTACCTTGAATATATCAGTGGAAGTCTTACGAGTATTTTTAGAAGATTTCGAATGTATTTTTGAAAATGGAAGTCCATTAGCAAATGAAAAGAGAGAAGTGTTAGATATTCATATTCCGAACTTTTAATCATCCCCCACACAACCACACGACCAAATACTCTTACGATTTATAGGTTATATTTTATTCTTTATCTGTATTTGTCAAAAAACTTTATTTTATTTCATTAATAAACAATCTGTATTATCAATCATATTAAAAATTTCCGTTTATTATTATTATTATTATTAGTATTTATGTACAATCTAAATAAAATGCAAAAGAACTTTTATCCAGAGTCTATTCATTTTGTTTATATATGCTTGGATTAATTGATTGATTCAATCTTGGAGCTTCACCTACATTATGTCTTCTCTTTCTAATCACATTTTCAATGAATGCTTCACCGGCTTTATATGAACTTCTTACTAATGGACCACTTGCCACATAAAGGAATCCCATTTCTAGAGCTTTATCTCTCCAATAATCGAATTTATCAGGAGTGATGTATTCCACTACTTTCATATGTCTCTTTGTTGGTCTCATATATTGACCGAATGTTACTACATCTGTACCGATTTCTCTTAAATCAGTTAAAGTTTGTAAGATTTGAGTATCAGTTTCTCCAAGTCCAAGCATTAAGGAAGTTTTGGTTATAAGGGTTGGTTTTGTCTTTTTGGCAGCTTCCAATACTGATAATGATTGACGATAAGTTGCTCTTCTATCTCTGACATATGGAGTTAAATCTTCCACGGTTTCAAGATTATGAGCATAAACATCTAATCCAGATTTAGCTAATAAAGAAGCCATATCTAAATCCCCTCTGAAATCACCACTTAATACTTCAACTAAGATTTGAGGTGCTTTTTGTTTTATTTTCATCACAGTTTCAGCTAAATGATTAGCACCACCATCGATTAAATCATCTCTATCAACAGTAGTCAACACCACATAACCTAATCCCCATCTACTAATAGCTTCAGCAGTGTTTTCTGGTTCCATTGGATCAGGCTTAGCTGGGTTTCTATCTGTTTTAACAGAACAGAATCTACATCCTCTAGTACAAGTATCACCTAAAAGCATGATAGTAGCGGTTGCTTCTGATTTTTTCCCACCCCAACATTCACCAATATTAGGACATTTAGCTTCTTCACAAACAGTGGATAATTTCAATTCTCTGACATCTTTCTTGACATTATTAAAACTTTTCCCCTTAGGAATAGGCACTTTCAACCAACTTGGTAATCTTTGATCAGGATCTTTTCTAGCTAATTCCAAAGGATCAATAAGTTTTAATTTCTCAGCTGCATCTCCACTGACGAAATCATCAAATGAAGGACCTTTATTCAATGCATCGGTGAATTTCGTACTTTTCCTCCTTGGTTTTACTTTAGTTGTATCTGCTGAAGTAGCCAATGTACGGAATGATACTGTGGTTGATTGTGTAAGTGATTTGAATAATTGGTGGTGATGTTGATGCAGTATACTTCTTATCATGATTGGAATCGCGGGTGTTTTATATGTGATTGACGTGTGTTTGGATGAAGAATAACTATTTCAATTGAATCCACCAATAAATGAATGATCTAGATGGATAATTGAACTAAGTTATACAGCTATCTGGCAATGGTGGGAATCTAAGTTTGATTTGTAAAGAGAAAAATTTAACTCAGCTCAGAATATTTTGATCATGTGACCGATTTTCGACTCCTCTGAAGTTTACTTTTTTTTTGACTTCGAATTTACACCTCCGGGATCAGTATGAGGAGAGGAGTTAAAGTTAAGGAGATCATAACTATAACCATTTAAAAATGTTGGATTATTAATGTGTTATTATTATTATTGTACGTATATAGAATGAATAAAACTAGAAATTAATACAATTGGAAAAGTGTATGGATGAATATAAGGAAGGAGAGTCTTAACTAAACTAGAGTAAACGATGAATTTTATCATCTTTAAATTGGGATAAATTATCCAAGTTATCCCACCATTTAAATAAGAATGAATTACAGATTAATTTAAACCATGGAGTAAAGATTAATTTTTCATCTTCAAACATTTGTTTTAATTCATGTTTAGAAACGAATTTTTGATGAGATACTTCATTAAGATTTGGATTAATAGTGATATCATTGGCCGTTTTTAAGATTAAAATATAATCAATTTCATGTTCACCCCATTTTGAATCTGATTCTGAATTATTAGTAACCCCAGCATTACCTGCTTTATAATGAATTCTAGTTAAGAATTGGAAATTTTCTAATGGAGAATCATTATAAGGTATACCTAATTCATGATCTAATTTTCTTTGAGCAGCGTTTTTAACCCCTTCAATGGCATTATGTAATTGATTTAAATCATCTGAATTAGATGAAATACCTAATTCCTTTGGTACACATAAAGGATGAGAACAACATGTATTAGTCCACATACCAGGGAAAGTAATTTTTTCATCAGCTCTTTGTTGTAATAATAATTCATTATTTTCATTAAATAAAAACACAGAGAATGCACGATGTAATAAACCTTGATTTATATTATCCATAATATGACATAATTTCTTGGTCCCTGCTCCTAAAGGTTTATCATTATTGTCTAAGACAATACATAATTCTTCCATTAATTTGATTTGTTCTTCATCATGACCTTCAAAAAGGGATGAATCAGCATTGTCTTTAATGTCGGAGTTGGAGGTTGGAATACCTGATATTTTCTTTAAAGGAGTGATTTCAGGCCATTTATTTAAGATATCTTTATCGGTAAGACTTGCAACTAAGTTGGCGTATTCTGATGCAGTCATATGAACTAACTAACGAATGAACGAATGAAATGAGTGAGTGAGTGAGGAAGGAGTAAAAAAGTGAAAAGTCACGACTGAATGTCTATGATAAGATGAGATATGATTGAATAGATTTGGTTCAACTGGGATAGGAATAGTTGACCCTTGATGATGGGTTGGTTGAGTTGAATTGAATTGAAATTGACGTTTTAAAATTTTGGTATGCTTTATTTTAAAAAAGAAATTTTTTTTTTTTTTTTTTGTTTTGATTAAAATTTTGTCGCGTTTTTATTTATAAACGACAATTTATACGACAACTATAGCGACATTTGATACAGAGACATTTTTTCTCTGGTGCTACCAAATTAAATGAAATCAGAATCTATTGTTTATATGCAGTACATTACCATCACATGAGCTCATATCTATCAATCAGATATACTACTAATGGTATAAACGGTTGAGATTTAAGTTACTAAGGTTTGATTATATTATTATGACGAGGAGTTATTGATATGTTAATTAAAGGGGGTAACTATAACTAATTAGTCTAAGGCATGAATTAAATATAATTAAACAAGTATATTATTTAGTTAATTAGTTATGAGGTCATACAGTTAGTACTTGATCAACTCTTGTTACTATATATCTTATTAGTTAATCTTATTATAAGTTGAATATTTCATACCATTGTAACATACCTGTATTATATCATCTCATATCAATATATAAGTATTATACTGACTGATTGATAATTTGCAGTCTTAATAAATAATTATTGATCATAGTACACGACAGTTACAGATATGACACCTCACTGTTACATAGTTAATTATTCTCATAGTTAACACAGACAGACAGATAAATTTTTTTTTTTTTTTCAACGAACGACGATCAGAAATTTTTCAAAGTTTTGGCGGTGAGTGAGTGAGTGAGGTGTACAAATTTAATTTAATTTAATTTACAGCATTTCAACGAATATCATCATCTTTCTTCTTACACCATCACATCATCACTGTGTAGTATCATCTGATTCATCTCATCTCATCCATCCATCCATCCATCCATCAGTCAGGCATCTAACTGATCAATCAAATCAACCACTCTCATTCATTCCATTCAACTACTAGGTTAAACTTGAGGGCTTAAATCACCACTACTTTCACATTACCCTTTTCTCTTTCGTGCTGCTTCCCTACCTCCATTGATTCCTTGACAACTTATTATACAATATGTCTACTTCCACTAAATCTAACGGATCATCATCAACCACTAATGCCAACTCTGGCTTCACTGGTAAGTTCTTTAAACGTCCTGATGATAAAGCTTTGAAATCTCAAATTGATTCCATTAGAAATGAAATTAAAAAATTAGATCTTAGTAATGATGAATTAAATGCTCAAATTAATAAATCTCAAATTGATTCATCAACTAATGAAAAAAGAAATGATTTACAATCTCAATTGAAAACTTTAGTTTCAAAACAATCAACCATTAAAAATGAAAGAAATTTAATTAATGATCAAATTAAAAATATTGATACTCAATTAAAAAAGAAAATTACTGAAATTCAATTACAAACTTCAAAAAATCAATTTAAATCGGTCGATGAAATTGATAAAAGAATTGCTTATTTAGATAAATTAATTGGTAATGGAGATTTAAAATTAGCTGATGAAAGAAGATTTGTTAAAGAAATGTCTTCATTAAGAAAATTAAAAAAAGATTTTGGTCAAATTGAAAAAATTCAAGCTTTAATTGATTTAGATAAAGAAAAAATTCAAGATTTAAAAAAAAAATTAAATTCAATTGGTCAACCAAAAGAATTAGCTACTCAATATGATCAAATTCAAGCTGAATTAGATGCTATTAATAATGCTAATAAATCAGTGTTTGCTAAAAAGAATGATCTTATTAAAAAGAGAAATGATATTAGAAAACAAAAAGATGAAAAATATGATCAAATTAGATCTTTAAGAACTGCCTTTGATGAAGATTTTGCTAAATTTAAAAAAAATGTAGCTGATGAAAAGAAAAAGAGAGAAGAAGAAAATAAATTAAAATATCAACAAGAAAGACAATCAAGATTAAAAGAAGAAGCTGATAAACAATTATCGGAAGCTTCAATTCCTGCTTTCCAAACTGAAATTAATTCAATTCATAATTTATTATCTCATTTCGATCCTTCTTATACTAAACCATCTGCTACCACTACTAAAACTGATAATTTATCTACTACTTCAGCTACTACTAGAACTATTGAAATGCCAGCTGATATGGTTGTTTTAAAGAAAGATAGAGAAGATTTCTTTAAAGGAGCTAAGAAAATTGGTGGTACTGGTTCAAAAAAGAAATCTCAAAAGAAATTTACTGTTGATCCAGAAATCATTGTGGCTTTAAGTGATTTATCAATTCCTTTCCCAACTAAAGAAGATGATGTTCCTCAAACTATAACCATCTTAAAGGAAACCCTTACTGCTTTATCTGCCAAACAAGATGAACAAACTAAACTTAATATTGAAAAGGCTCAAGCTAGAATTGCTAAATTAGAAGCTGAAGCTGAAAAGGAAGATGCCGAAGAAGCTGCAACCAAGACTGAAACTGAACCTGTTGAAGAATCAAAGGAAGAAGAAGTCGAAGCAGTTGCTGAAGAAACTCCAGTTGAAACTGAAGATTAGTCTCGTCTAGTTCATTTTTTTCGTACGTGTTAATAACTATCCATCCCACTTATAAAATCACCCTCATCATGATTTTAATTAATTCCATTCGTAAATAGTTTGCTACAACCTACCTACCTTACCTTACCCTATCCTTACTAAAAATTTTACCTTTTTATAACTTTATTTTATCTTTATTTTATCTATCTTATTATTATCTTATATTATTTTAAAAAAGACTTACTTATTAAAAAAATTCTTATCCTTAATATACATATATTGCATTATATAAAATTTTGTCCATTGTTCGAATTCTTGTTGCTGCGAGATGCTTTTTTTTGCAGTCGTTTTTCGGCAGTATGAGCACTTATCGATGAATTTATTGAAATTTAATCTTAACCCCTTTTAAACTAGAATGAATATAGTTGATCACCGGGTAGACGTGGTTATTAAAGAGTTGAAAATTTCTCAGAGAGGATCAAAACAAATCAATTTTTCCAGAGTGTTTAGTAGTCAATTACAACAGATTGATTACGGCAATTTTAAGCGTAGAAAATAAAATTCAACACATATTTTACTATCACAACATCAGATAGATAACAACCGTGGATTACGATACTCAATTCCTTAAAGATCACTTTCGATCACTCCCTGATGACATCATAGTGGAAATCATCCAATCCCTCCCATTTCCCTTAAACGAATGTTTGATGAATACCAATGGATTCGAACAACAAGTGCATCAACGAATTTTGAAAGATATCATCATCTACATCCCTCCCTATCGCAGTTTTGAACCTAGTTATGGATCATCATTAGGTAAACCATACTTAATCTAAACTAATGTACTGTAGTTGAAGTGGTTGATCAATACTCGTTACCCGTAAATCTGTGTTTCCAGTATCTCTGGAGAAAACCATTTTTTGCATATCATTTTAGGAAATTATAATTTTGCAATTTATATCCAAGCATGATAAAGATTGAACACGATTCTATGAAACCATATAAATTGATTAATTTCCCTTAGATTTGTTTAGCATAGTTCTTTGATTAGCATGTAACTAGAAGATGGAATACAATACTCAATTTCTTACAAACTACTTCCCATTACTCCCTAATGATATCGTAATCGATATCATTCAATCACTTCCTCTTTTATTAATCGAAGAATTAATGAATTCCGATGTATTTGATCAACAAGTATACTACCAGATATTAAAAGATATCATTGTCTACATACCTACAGGCCACACTCGTGAACCTACTAGCTTAGGATCAATGGTAGGTAAACCTTACCCAACATCGACTTATGCTTATGACCCCAATTTAAGATTGGATACTTTGCCATTACATTTCACGCCTCGGTGTATTCATATTCAAGGAAGTCATTATAAAGTTATGCGTTATATAATGCAACATTATCTATATTTATCCAAAATTGAAGATATAAAAATTTCAATAGTTAAGGATTTAAAACCACTATTCAGAGGTGGTATTTCTTCAAAAATTATTCAACTTCCTAATTTATCATTGTTGGATATTTGGATTAGGAAAGAGGCAGAAAAAGTTAGAATCCCTATTAATATTAGATGTAAGAGTGATTTGAATGATTTAAAAAGGTTTGCCAAAATATTGAATAAACCTCAAGCTTTAGATCAAGTCATAGAGAATTCACCAATGTCTACTTCGACTTTAGAATTTGAGGACATGAAGATTGAATATCATTTAGATCATTTGATTAATCTCATATCACTTTCATTAAATAGGGTAGAATTGAAATCTATGAAGTATTTACCAAAATCATTAGAACACTTGATGATACTTCTGTGTGATTTTACAGGCATAATGGATCAATATTCTTGGCCCCCGAATATGAAATCAATTCACATAGAGAGAACTCCATTGAGTGATACCCATTTAATGAGATTATCCCATTGGCCAAATAAATTGAAAAATTTAGCTTTGATAGGAACCAGATTCGAACGGTATGGTAGTTTAGGTATTCTACCTCCAAATTTGGAATATCTAGATCTCACTTCAACACGAAATATGATTTTAATTGATGAACAAGATAATTTCTCATTTCCAGAATCAATAAAAATATTAAGGATATCTGGTATTAAATTCTTTGATAATTCAAATTTTGAGATTCAATTTCCTGCAAATTTATATAGATTGCAAATTTCAGAATATTTATCATCTTTAAGATGGCAATTCTTACCGACTTCATTAACACATTTAGAATTGGAATATGGTATTGATCATAACGATTTTCTTGTGTATAATAATTCTTCCTTAAATAAGAATTGGCAAAAGTTTACAAATTTAACCCATTTAAAATTAAGATGTTGTGGGAAAATAGGATTAATGAATTGGCTTCCACCTAAAAGCTTGAAATATTTAGATCTAAAAAGTGCATCAATCGATAGTTTGGATGTGGCCTTGTTTAAAGAAGAGAACAAAAAATACACGAATAGTCTAATTATACTTGATCTCGCTTTATCTTATATCAAAAATAAAAATATTTCTCCTAATTTTTACTTACCAGCAAATCTTCATCAGTTTATTCTAGCTTGCACGGGCCTTAATTTAAATGATTTCCCTAAAAGTTGTAGGTATAAGATTGTAAGTGATTAATCCCCAATATATTATGATTGGTTTGAAATGAAGACATGAAACCAATTTTAATAGGTAAATAAAGCTAATCAAAAGATATCTCATCGTAATTATAATAGTAATCTAGCAGTCACTTATTTCAACTAATATACCCTGGGCCAATATATATTTTCAAAACTAAAATTAGACTTAAATAATTTTTAAAAGTTGCTGTTGAACTGTAAGTTTTTAAAACCCAAATTCTTCTATTTTATTGAAACTTGGGTTTATGACTCTGAAGTCCATTAAATCTGACTTTTATCATTAAGCAGAATATTATACATAGATTTCTATATACGTACTCTATGGCATAGATTATTTGTAAAGCCTATTACAAGATGGCAGATCTAAGATTCGACATTTTGGGAGAAAGAACTCATTAATTTAAAACACCTCATAGCTACTAAGACATTATTACATCAATCCGGTATTAATAATTGGGTTCTTCTTAAGAGTATAAAATACTTAGATTTGAATTCAACCCAAATTGCTTATTGCCATATTCAAGGAATCTAATAAACATACACTAATAATCTTATCTTATTCTTTGTCAATAGAAATCCTCCTCCCATTTTTCACTTCTTCATTTTATTCTAGCAGGTACTCACCTTGATTTGAACCTGTTCCCAAAGAGTTGTAGACATAAGATCGTAACCAAGACATTCAAAACATTTGAAGCTGAGATAGGACATGAATGGTTTGAAAATATCTAGATAACTACATAATTATAATCGTAAAATAAAATAAAACAAGGAAAATACTATACATGTAACAATAAGACACAAATGACACATAAAACTGCATGTTCTGACATGTAGCATAGAGTAAGAAAGGTTTTGTGAGAGACGATAATTTTGGGAAAGTATAATTTTGCAATCATTTTCGAAGCATAATAGAACCTTAACTAGAATATAAACTCTTCGACTATTATACAAAATACTTTGATAATCATATAACTAAGAACATGGATTACAATACTCAATTTCTTACAAATTACTTTCGACTACTCCACAATGATATCATAATCGATATCATTCAATCACTTCCGCTTCCATTAATCGAATGTTTAATGAATACCAATGGGTTTGATCAACAAGTTTATTATCAAATCTTGGATGATATAATCATTGAAATAACAAAATTCAAAAATGCCAAACCGATTATTGGATCCAATTTAGGTCTGCCTTATCCAAGAACGTATGCTTGTTGACCTAAACTAAAATTGAAAGCTTGGCCATTACATTTCAATCCTCGTTGTATTCATATTTATGGAACTTATCATCAGGTAAAGTCTTATTTAATCCAGTATTCACAATACTTAACTACCATCAATGATATAAAAATTTCAATAATGATGGATTTACATCCAATATTAAAAGTAGGCATTCCCAGAAATATTATTCAACTTCCTAATTTAAAATTCTTCGAAATCGATTTTATGGTAAGAGGTAAAACGCTTCTTAATATTCCTTTTAATATTGGTGATAAGAGTGATTTAAATGACTTAAACCGATTTGCTATTAAATTGGGTAAACCTCGAAATTTAAATAAAGTTATAGAAAGTTTGCCGATACAAATTTCTACTATGATATTTAATTCAATGGTAGTTGACAATCATTTAGATCATTTTAGTAATCTAACATATATATCACTTGAAATGGTAGAATTAAAATCAATCAAATATTTGCCCAAATCCCTACAACATTTTAAAATGATTTCCAGTAGATTCAAAGGGGGGTTAGATCGTTTTTCTTGGCCACCCAATATGGATACGATTTACATTGAAGGAACGCCTATGAATGATGCTGATTTAGTAAAACTATCTCAGTGGCCAAATTATTTAACCAGCTTAGCTTTAATTGGAACTGGATTCGAAAAGTATGCCAGTTTGGGTATTTTACCTCCAAATTTGGTATATCTAAACGTAACTGGAAAATCAAATAAGATTGATCCTTTGATTAACGATCAAGGGCATTATTCGTTTCCAGAATCAATAAAACATTTGAAAATATCTGGTGTTAATTTCTTTGATTACCCTGATTGTGAAATTCAATTTTCTCCAAGGCTAGATACATTGCAAATATCAAAATGTTTTGAAACTTTAAAATGGCAAACTTTTCCGACTTCATTGACACATTTGCATTATTGCCCTGTAAGTGGTAAAGATAATTTGCTTGAATATAATAATGCTTTCTTAAATAAACATTGGCAACAATTAATTAATTTGACACATTTAAGATTGGAGAAGGTGGGTCATTCTGAGTTATCCGATTGGTTACCACCTAAAAATTTGAAATATTTAGATGTAAGTGATACAATAATTAGGAGTTTGGATATGGCAATGTTTAAGGAGGAGAACATGCAATATACTATGAATTTACGTAAATTAGACTTTTCTTATTCTGCAATAAGAAGTATTCCTTCAGAATTTTACTTACCTGAAAATATGTATCGGTTTATTCTAACAGGAGATTCAATTGACTTAAATCTTTTCCCTATGATACTTAGACATAAGGTCTTAAACAGGATACGCAAAACGAAAGGAAGATATTTTTAGGATCAAGCCGCTGAAAATAAACAATTAACATATACTTGATTTAAACTAATCCACTGTAGTTATTATCTGTAAAATGTATATTATCAAACAAATATCAAGCGTAAAACTCAGTATTTATGGAGCGAAAAGACTTTTGTGTGGTCCTTATTTTGGGAAACTATAATTTTGCAATCGTTTTTTTAAAGCATGCTCAAATCTGAATAAGAAAAATAGACATAATTTGACTAACTTCCCTTTTTTCCTTTATTCCAGATAACAGTTTCTGAAATCAATAAAGATGGATTATAATACTCAATTCCTTGCTAAATACTTTCTATCATTTCCAAATGATATCATAATTGACATTATTCGTTTAATTAAGTCACCTGAACTAATTGCATGTTTATTGAATACAAATGGGTTTGAAAAAATAGTTTATAAAGAATTCTTAAATCAAATTATCATTTGTAAAGATATAAAACTAAATTCTATATCTATAGGAACAACCCTAGGACATTGGTATGAACCATTTACTAAATATTTACCGGTTATATTACCAAATTGGCCATTATATATTAAGCCAAGAAGAGTCTATCTTGATGGGACTTTGAAAGAAATTAAACAGATTATATTCCAAAATCGTAAATACTTGAGATTAGTTAGAGAAATTCATATATCAATATCCATAGACTACAAAACTTTCGAAGACGCTCAAGGTCTTACTGAGGTGGCTCGATTTCCAAATGTTTCATTGTTTAAAATAAAGCTCAATTGGAATAATGATTCAGAACTTGTGTTGCATATTAGCACAGATGATTTAACAGATATATTATCATTCACTATGAAATTAGCTTTTAGGAAAACATTTCCTGCAATTATTAGCATATTACCTATTTCAATTGAATCTATTTATTTCAAATCTTTTAAGAAAATTCTGTTTGCTCATTTATATAATTTGAAAAGTTTATCACTTGAAAAGCTAACAGTTGAATTGGATAATGGAAGCTTCCCTGATTCGTTGGAAAGTATTATAATAAATGGAGATTGTGACAAGTTTATTGTAAATAATCATTTTGAATGGCCACCGAATATGACATCTATTGTTATTGAGAATACCCATATGAATGATGATAGGTTGTTGACACTTTCACAATGGCCTCTTTCATTAAAATCACTTAGTTTGAGAAATAATATGTTCTACCAAATTAGTAGTATAGACAAGTTACCACCAAGCTTAGAATATTTAGAAATAATTGCTGATGAATATGGTGTTTATAAGGAAAAAAGAATTGAATTTGAACCAGGAACTTTCAACGTTGGTTATCATATATTTCCAGAATCTTTAACAACTTTAAAATTAACTGGTGTAGTGTTTTATAAATTTCCTGAATTTTTATTTAGGTTTCCTGATCATCTTCAAAGATTAAAGATTTCACAAGGTTTAAAATCATTAAAATTTTGTATATTTCCAAGTTCCTTAACTCATTTAGATTTAAGTAAAAACAGTATATTTAGTTTGAGTAGCTATGATTGTCCAAATTTAAATAAAAATTGGCACCAGCTTGTGAATCTAAAGTGTCTTACAGCTTCCAAAACTTTAATATCTCTGTTTGGTATCATTAATTGGTTACCTCCTAAGAGTTTAAGATATCTTGATTTGAGCTCAACAAGGATTAATAATTTCAATATTGGGATTTTCAAACACTCAAAAAAAGAGTATACTAATAATCTAGTATCTATAAATCTTGCTTACTGTATTATTAATGATATACCTAATGATTTTCATTTACCTACTAATGTATTTGATTTTGGTCTAAGTAATGGGATCTATACCTTTATTGGTCTTCCGGTAACTATAAAAAATGAGAGAATAACCATAAATGTCATTCCATCTCCCAAAAAGTATCCTTTTAATCTAACTAACATGTTAATAGTTTAGAAAAACCCACTTTTAATTTCACACAATATATATTGCATAGAATTATTGCTCAATTTATTAAAATGCGGCAAGTTTAATTTTGCAGTAATAACTTCGCATAATAAAGGGATTGATATAAAATAGAGAATCGATTCAATGTTAAAAATGTAACCTCGTCATATCATTATCAAACCAATCAATAAGTAAAATGTCTAATGATAGACTGTTTCTTGGTCATTATTTCTTATTACTCCCTCATGATATCATAGTCGAGATCATATTGTTAACACCTAGTGGTTTAACATATTTCTTATTACACTCGGAAACTCTTAAACCAATCCTCAAACAACTTTTAGATCATCATATAATAACTTGTGAAAAAAATGGAAAAATGACAATGGGATTCAAGGTAAATAAACCCTATATACCATTCATTACCAATAAGCCAGAATTTGCTTTTACCATGCCTTCAATATTCCCGTTTAACGAAAAAATACGTCAATATTTCCCATATAAAATTTTTCATATTGAAGGACACATTAATCAATTAAAAAGGTATGGTTATTTTAAAATGAAAAGACTTAGAGTTTCAGTTTGTATTGAATTTGGTTCTCCATTACAAGCGAAACTGTTGGAGTGCTTTTACGCACCAGGTTTGGAATATTTTGAAATTTATATATACTCAAAGTCAAAGTTTCTAGCATTAACTTTCATAATCAAAACTGAGTCTCATTTAGCTAGCTTAAAAGAGTTTGGTGAGAGTTTAGGAAAGATTGAAGACTGGAAAAAATTGTTTAAAAGAATTCCTAAGTATGTACCTTGCCAGTCAATGAAGTGTGGAATAATAAAAAACGAAGCTTATATTGACAAATACATAGACAGTGAACTTTCCACCAATAAAATATTAAGTCATTTGAACCGTTGTGCTTTAAGAACATTTCATAATAATGATTTTGGAACTTTAGGGTATATACCAGAAGCATTATTGATTTTTTCATTTGAGGGAAGTAAATTTAACATTTCTCCAAATTTTAATTGGCCTCCAGCGTTACACTATATTTCAATTTATAATTCATCAATGGATGATAAAACTCTTTCTCGCTTATCAAGTTGGCCTTCACATTTACAATCATTGTTATTGGTTAATAATAGGTTTCTGAAGTTTAGCAGTATACTCAATTTACTGACTAATTTAGATATATTATGTATTGCTGCTGGAGTTATTGAAAGTGAAGATTCTGATAACATTAAATTCGGCGCAAATTCTCTAATTCGTTTCGATGTTAAAAATTTTGCTTCATGCTTGGATTGTCTCTTTCCTGATTCTTTATCAGCTCTTTTTTTGGATGGAATATCATTTAATGACGATCTTAATTACATCATTAAACTCCCATCAAAATTAAGAGATTTGGCTTTATCAAGAAGCGTGATATCTTTAAGTCAATTCATATTTCCAAGGTCATTAACAAATATAGACTTAACAGATAATAAATTAGTGAGTTTGTCGGACTATGATAATATAATGTTAGATAAGAGTTGGCAACAACTAACAAATTTAAAAGAGTTGATTTTGGGTAGAAACAAACTAAGTTCAGATGCGTTGAAAAATTGGTTACCACCTATCAACTTGCAAGTTTTGGAATTGAATTCAAATCAAATTGATAATTTGGATATTCCAATTTTTAAAGAAAGAATGAAACAACAAACTTGCAATCTAAGAAAAATCAATCTTGCCCAATGTAAAATTGTGGAAATTCCAGTTGACTTTTATTTGCCAGAGAATTTATGTTCATTGGATTTAACAGGTAATCCATTGAAGTCCATTCCTATGCAAGGACCTATTTCCCATGATACTTCATACGTAAGTATTATTATTGGAAATTCAATTATAAAGGTATATAAATGATTTTATTATATTTATAAATAAAAATAATAACTATTTTGAGTAGAACATAATCTATAGCGGAATATTTTGAGCGACTATGAATTTTGTGGAACATTTAATTTCGCAGTCATTCTTGAGCATACCAAATATCTATGACATAGTCCTATAAAATAGCAGAGTTTTAGAAGTAGGAAACCAAATTTAAGTTTTATACTTTCAGACAACCAACCCAGAACATTTTCATTATGAATGACTGCGAGAATAAGTTTCTTGCCAAATACTTTCTATTATTGCCAAATGACATTATAATTCATATCCTTCGCTCATTGCCTCTTCCATTAATCAATGTGCTACTAAAGACAGAGGTGTTTGAACCCCAAATATATTATGAATTCTTTAGGCATATGGTGATATGTAAGCAACAACCAAATCAAGCTAATATGACAATGGGCTACATGCTAAATAAATCATTTCAACCGTTTACTCGTATGAGCCCAGAGCTCACTATAGAGAATTGGCCAAATTCTTTCATTCCAAAAAGTATTCATCTAGATGGAACTGTTAGAGAGGTAAAGGAATTTTTATTTCAAAAACATAACAGTCTGATTTTAGCTAATGAAGTTAGAATCTCTTTAGTGTTAGAGTTAAATTCCTCTTTGCATACTAAAAGTCTTTTAAAGCTAATTCAATTCCCAAACTTGTCACTAATTGAGTTTAAGTTTTGTTTATTGAATTCATATGTTAGGATTCCATTCAGAGTTAAGACGAAGAGTGATATAATATGTTTATTGGAATTTGCAAAGCATTTAAATAATGTTAAAACATTTGCCATGCTTATGGACATCTTATCAAGTTCAACTCTTTCAATAACTAGTAACAGTTTCAAGTTTAGCCAATATGAACATTTACAAATTTTGAAATCATTGTCTTTTCTGGAAGTTAATATAAATACATTGAAGGGTTTACCTACTACATTAAAAACTATAACCTTAAATGCTTGTGGATTCTTAAAGTTTGATGAAGGAGTTTCATGGCCACCGAATATAAAGTCTATTTGCATTGAAAATTGTTCAATGAAAGATGACATTTTATTTAAATTATCTAAGTGGCCTAAAAATCTCAAGTCATTAACATTGAAAAATAATGAATTTGAAAGACTTGGAAGTATTGGTCGATTACCTGAGCATTTAGAATACTTGGAAATACGTGACCATAACAAAAGACTTCGTGGTTGTGGATTAATTGAATTTGACAACCATTTTTATTTTCGAGGCTATTTGTATTATACATTTCCTGAGTCTTTAATCACCTTAAAATTAACAGGAATTAGATTTCATGAAATTCCTGAATGTGTTATTAAATTTCCTAAAAAGTTGAAGACATTGCTGATTGCTAGGTGTTTAGGAGATTTAAGTAGATGTATATTTCCAAAATCATTGATTTGCTTAGAGTTTAGTGATAACGAGATATCAGATTTAAACACATATAATAATAAAATGTTAGAGAAAGACTGGAAAGGATTAGTTAATGTTACAAAATTAAAGATTAATCATGAGTCATTCCTTCAAAAGGATTTAGCTAATTTGTTTTCGCCAAATGAAAAGATTACTGACGACTTGTCACATTCTTAGTCGTACCGTTATTTGGTTCATTTAAGGCAATTATTAGTTTAAGCGTAAAACAAATTTTTGGCCATAATAATTTTGCAGTATCAATTTAGCATAAATAATGATAAAGATGTTGAATTATTGATTTGGGTATATTATTGAACACTTTATCAATAGCATTCAACAAGATGTCGGACGAGAAGCTGTTCTTAAATTCCTATTTCCTTTCACTTCCTAAAGAAATTATAGTTCAAATCATTAAATTAAATCCTAATGGGTTAATCAGATTTTTATTACACTCAAAAACTCTTAAACCAATTATTTATGATGAACTTTTGAAAGATATAATAATATACACTGAGAATTCTGGAGTAACTATCGGTACTACATTCAAAAGAAAATCTCAATCATTTCATAAAACCAATCTAGATTATACTATAAAATGTCTTCCTGGAGGTTTCATCCCAGCAAGTATTCATTTTATAGGAAATGTCAATGCAGTCATTAATTATTGTGAAGACTTAAAGATATTAAATGAAGTTAAGGATGTAAGGTTTTCAATTAGTTTAGAGTTGGGTTCTTTAAGCGATACTAAGATTCTTCTTGATTTGCTAAGGTTTTCTAACTTAACGTTTGTTGAGGTATATCTCCACAATAACTCAGAATTTATTGTTTCAAGTTTTAATAACGCAAGAGGTGATACTTTAAACCGTATAAGATCGTTCGCTAAAAAATTAGAATCACATGGTAGTTGGAAACAAGTTGTTCAAGAACTTCCCAGTATAACTGATAACATACAGAGTAGAGGTGTTCCCACTACTGATTGCTTTGTTTATTTGCAAAATTTAAAATTAATTCATATTCATGATACATATATTCCCTCGTTAGACTGTCTTCCTTCAGCTTTAGAAACCATTCAGATTAGTGGAGCTAAATTCAAAATATCGCAAAGATTTAAGTGGCCATCAAAGTTGAAGAACATATACATTAATAAGGCCCTGATGGATGATAAAACTCTAAGACAATTATCAAACTGGCCACAGAGTTTAAAACTTTTGAGTATGACAAATAATAAATTCTACAAATTTAGTAGTATAGGAAATTTACCTGACAGTCTACAATATTTATATATTTCTGATCTTGATACAAACAGAGATTTTGGGTTCAGTACTAAGCCATCGATTCGGTTTGATGCTGAAAACTTTAATTCTATCTCAAGTTATTCATTTCCTGAGTCTTTAGCGGCACTAGAGATATCTGGAATTAACTTTTATGATCAATCTAGTTGTGTTATTAGATTTCCTCAATATCTAAGGAGGTTAAAAATAACGAGAAGTTTGAAATCTTTGAGTAATTTGATATTTCCAAAGTCCCTAACTTTGTTGGAATTAAATGATAATAAGATAGATGACTTAACAAGCTATAATGATATATTGTTAAACAAGAATTGGAGTTCTCTAGTTAATTTAAATGAACTAACTTTGGGTAGAAATATATTAGATTCAAAATCATTATGCAATTGGCTATTCCCAAGCAATTTAAACCGTTTAGATTTGAGTTCAAACAAAATCGAAACTTTGAATATTCCTGTTTTTACAGTAAAGATGAATCAATATACCTCCAAGTTAAAAGTCATCAATCTTTCTTCTTGTAAGATTAAGGAAATCCCGCCTAATTTATATTTACCAAAGAATTTATATTCATTGTATTTAACTGACAATCCATTGAAAAAGATTCCTATGCAAATAAGCACTTCATATAAGAAGAACTTATCTAGAATTATTATTGGAGACAGAATAGTAGAAATTTGGAGATAAGTCCAATACAAATCTAAAAAAAGTTAATAGTTTAAGTAGTTTAATTAATACTAATAATATATTCAATTGTAAATCATGAAGATTTCAACAAATCGTAGATATTAAAATTTGGCAACATTAATTCTGCCTTGAAATTTGGCATAATATAAATTCTATGGACAGACTTTTGTTGTAACGTTTCAAGATGATATCCGTATCCCAGAATTATCAGCATGTTTCAAGACACATTATTTTTAGCTAACTACTTCCCGTTACTTCCTAAAGAAATCATAATTCAAATTGTCAGATCGGAGACTATTGGATTAATCAAATATTTATTGCATTCAACACACTTAATCCGATAATTTATACTGAGTTTTTGAAAGATTTAATAATTGTCCTTGATATCAATGGTGATTTCAATATGGGGGTTCAATTAAGAGAACGCTATAATTCATTTGAAAGTATGCTGTTAGACTTCATTTTACCTACTTTTCCTAGTAATATAACACCATCTAAAGTTCATCTTGAAGGAGGCATAACTCATTTACACACATGTTTAATTGACAATCACAGTTTCTTGATTAAAGTCAAGGATATCACACTTGCTATAATTGTTGACTTATATAAATCTAAAGAGATTGAGCTTGTGCCTGAACTATTAAAACTTCCAAATATAAAAAATGTTGAATGGTACATTCGTACTCCATCTGGAGATCTCTTGACCAAACAAGAAATTAAATATATCATTGATTTAATGAACTTGGAGAATTTTTCACAGTCATTAAGCTACATGAAGGATTTTAAAAATGTTATAGATATACTTCCAAGAAGATGTAACAATATGATATGTAGAGGACTTTTACGAAATCCATTTGTTAATTTTGGTACATTTCAAGATTTAAAATTTTTGGAATTCAATTTCGCTGATATTTCATTATTTGTCAAATTACCACCATCATTAGAAAAGATAAGGATTATAGAAACCAAATTTTCCGTTTCTGAAGATTTTTCATGGCCACCAAATGTGAAGGTTGTGAAGATTACAAAATGTGATATGAATGATGAAAATCTAGTTAGATTATCTGGTTGGCCTACTAAATTAAAAACATTGACATTGGAACATAATAAGTTTTATAAACTCAGCAGTATGGGAAATCTACCTCAAAGTTTAGAATATCTAAGCATAGTTTCCCTGGCTAGTCACCTTGTATTTTATGAAGATCCTTTAATTCGATTTGATCTTTATAATTTTGGTTCCTATTCCTTTCCTAAATCTTTGAAAAGCTTAAATATTTCTGGTGTTACCTTTCATGATTTTCATAGATATGTTATAGAGTTTCCTCAAGGTTTACAAAGATTGAGAATATCTCGAGGCATCAAATCCTTAAAGCAATTCATATTTCCTAATTCTTTAATCTATTTGGATTTAAGTTGTAATCAGATAGAAAGTCTATTAGATTATGAGAATCGCTTCCTGCTAAACTATTGGAGATCTCTTATCAATTTACAAGTATTAATATTGAATAATAACTTATTAGATTCAAATTCCTTGAACAATTGGTGGCCTCCTATAAATCTAAATTGCATAAATTTGAGTTCAAATTTGATCGACAGCTTGAATATCAAAATTTTAGAATACAAAATAAGACAGCAGATTTCACATAATAGTGTGATTGACATGTCTTCAACTAAGATCAATAAAAGCTCATTCAAATCTTTATTTCGTAAATGAACTTCTGTTACGTAGATTAACCTTCAAAACAAAGGAATTCACATTATTTAAAATCAAACTCCAAAGGTTGTAGATGTAGTAATTTGGTTGCTAATTCAGTCCGACATTTTGTAAACCGAGGGTACGATATTTTTTTGCACCAGCGACATATTTTTTTCTGGTCTCATCGATGAGACGAAAGAAAAGAATTAGAGCTATAAGCTAGTTTACAAACGATTAATGGAATAAGTCAAATAACTTAACAAGATGGCCAAGAGGAAAGTTGTTGAAGAAGTCGACACTTCTAAGCCAACTAAGAAACCTACAAAATCAACTGAATCCAGCAAAAAACTGATTTCAATTTGCTTACCATCTACAATAATATCAAATAAAAATGCTTATAATTTAGATCAAATAACTCATATTGCATATCAAGTAGCTAAAGCTTGTACTATTTATAATAACGTGGTAGAGATTGTTATTTTAGATATACCGAATTCAGATGATGAAGATTCAAAAGATAAGAAAGTGATTGAAATGAGTGGTAATAAAGGTGGTAAGAAATTGAAATTTAACTTTAATGATGAAGATATCATAATGGATAATAAACCAAAGGAAGTAGTTAAAAAGGAAGAAGAAGAAGAACCGGCTGTTTCTAAGCTCACTGATGGCTTGTTGTTGGCCAGTTTATTACAGTTTTTCATTACTCCACCATATCTTATCAAGAGTTTATTTTCAAATCAAAATAGTCAATATCAAATATTAAAGAAATTTACTCATGCCTGGAAATTACCTAAAATCACTACGTTACCATTCATGACCAATAATCAAGTGTATAAAGACTTTAAAGAAGGTATAACCATTCCAAAAGAAACTCCTAAGATCACCAAGAAATCAAAGGGAAGTATATCTCGTCAAAAGAATCCTCATAAGTTGTTAGTTACAAAATATGTAAACATTGGTGAGAGTGAACCATTTGAGTTGTCGAATATTAAACGAGAAATTCCTGTCAATTCACGTGTGACAGTTGATCTTAAGAATAAAACCATTGTTTTCTCCCTTGAAAGCTTATGGGATTGAAGGGAATAAGTCATCATTCGGTTATTACATAAGATTAGTGAAAAAGTTCAATCAATTATTTACAGAAAGTTCAAATAAAGATGGATATAGTAAGAGTATATTCATTCACTGTGATGATTATTTTAACAATTACAACAATATTGAATCTTTAGTTCAAATTCCTGATCATAAACTGAACGATGCTGAAGATGAGGGGAATATTTTGATTGTGATTGGAAATTACAATGATTATGATAAGAGTTTTAAACAAGATCAAGTCAATTTACCAGGTGTTGACAATATAGGTCAAATGTTCGATAGTAAATTAAATGTACCAAATGGTATTAAAATCGAAGATTCTTTATTAATTGCTTTAACTAAAGTTGATTAGACAGATATGTATATAATAAACGAATAAATAGGTAAAAATATATTTCTGCGTATCCTTTCGGATTGAATTTCCAAAGTAAAACTTTCACAAAATTCCTCTATGGAAAACCTCTGTTACCCTCTTACCTCTTATGACGATTGGAAAAAATCGGGATGGAAAAGAACTATATCTGATAAAGAATTCACATAAATTATCTGGTAAATAGAAATCACACGGAATATTACTGATTTCATTATTATAAAGGTCAATTTTCAAAAGATTATGTGTAAATCCCTTGCTCGTTTTCTTGAAAAGGGAAATGTTCAAGTCGTGGATGTTATTGTCTTGTAGATCTAGATAGTTTAAATTCCTAGGGGGTAACCAGTCCATTAAAGAAGATTGGGTTAATGAATTATTTTCTAGTGATAGATGACGTAAATGTATCAAATGTTGCCAGTCTGTATTTAAACTTGGATTATTGTAACTGATAATGTTATCAATTTTATTTCCAATCAAATCCAAATATTCTAATGATTCTGGAAATATACAATCTTCAAGACGTAGCAGGCTTTTCAATAATTCCAATCTTTTCAAATTCTTAGGAAAATCTAAGATAGTATTAGGTTCTTCAGGAAATTCAACTTTTGATAATTTCATATGTATTAAAGATTCTGGAAACGTATGATGACCTGACTCATCGGATTGAAGAATAAAAGTACATTTTCTCCAATACAGATCATTTTCTAATTCTAAATATTCCAAACACCCTGGTAAATTACTTACGTCATGATTATTAAAGGAATTATTCTTTAAAGTTAAGGATTTTAATGTATTGGGCCAATTTGTAAATATTATTGATGTATTGTATGAAGCCACTCCCTCAAGATGAATGGATTTCAAATTAGGTGGCCATACGATTTGATGGTCTGGAAAGCGACCATATTTGATCCAAACTTTTTCCAATGACTTAGGCAATGTATTGATAAATTCGGAAGTATCACAACGAAGGAGGCTCAATGATTTCAAATTGTTTAAATTGGCAATTCGAGGGAATTCATCCATGTATAAAAGCTTTAAAACAGAAGTGTTTAAAGGTATCCTATCAAAAATATCAGAGAAAATTCTTGGTTTGCCCATCTTCCTAGCAATGTTTTTCAAATCCAATACATCAGTTTTATTATTAATGTTGAAAGGTATTATGAGATACTGGCATGGCTTCAAATGAAAAGCAATCTCCAATAATGTCAAGTTTTGTAATTGAATTATACTTGGGGGAACTCCAACTCTTGGGATTGGACGTAAATCCATACGTAATGAAATTCTGATATCTTTTATGGTGTTTATAAAATTTGAATTTTGAGATAAGTAGGCCTTAACTTCTTTTATGTTACCCTGAATATGAATACTCCTTGGTATAAAATTAGATGGTAAATTGTTCAATGCTAATGTTGGTGGTTTTTCCATAAATGGTTCATATGATGCCCCACACATTGATCCCATTCTCATTGGTTTTTTTGGCTTTGGTTTATAAATGATTATGTCCTTCAAGAATTCATAGTACACTGGTGTTTGGAATGCATTTGTATTCATCAAACATTCAACTAATTCATTAGAAAGTAGATGAAAGATTCTAATTATGATATCATTTGGAAATAATAAGAAGTAGTTGGTAAGAAATTCACCGTCGTAAAGCATTTTGACTTGATAAATATGAAAAAATTACAATTAACGTTTGAATGAAAGATATTTGATATTTTATATTCTCTTCTGCTTTACTTCACAGAAAGATGACTGCAAAATTATAGTTACCGCATTTTTTTGTATTGGTATAGCTTTGCTCCAAAATGCATTTACTATGTTTAATTATGGAAAGTTAAAAGATATAAATTAAGTATTATAAAATATTCTATGAAAATTATTAAGAGGCAAAATTGGGAAAACAGCCCTTATAAATTTCTTACTACCTAGCAATACAGGAAGAAAGTTATAGTTCAAGTGACTTTCACTTATGTCAAATTGATAAACATTATCCGGTAAATAGAAATCTGGTGGTACTCTAACTATATAGGTGTGTGAAACATCAATCTTAGTAAGACTATTGGTATAATTCTTATTTGATTCATTAAACAATTCCATTTCTAAACTTGTGATGTGAGTACAACTTAAATTTAGATGTTTTAAATTTGTAGGGGGTAACCAATTCTTTATTCCAGAAACATTCAAAGGATTTCCCATCAAATTTAGATGTTTCAAATTCACTAACTGTTTCCAGTCTTTAGAATTGCAATTATACGTTTCTAAACTTGTTATATTATTGAAACTTAAGTCTAAATCTGTCAATGAAGGTGGGAATATATAACTAATAAGTGTTTTCAAACCAATTTTCAATTCTAATTTCTCTAGTTTAACAGGAAACTCTATATCACAATAAAGACTATCTGCGAATGTAATCGAGCTTAACTTTAATTGTTTTAATGATCTAGGAAATGTGCGACAATAACCATCAGGAACTTCACTATTAAAGTTAATTGGATAACTTGATTTTGAAGTTATTTCTAAATATTCCAAACTTTGAGGTAAATTACCTATATTGCAACTTGTAAATTTATTATTGTTCAAAGTTAGATTTGTTAAACCTTTTGGCCAATTCACAAGATTAACTGAGGTTCTGATTGATGACATTTCACTTAGTTCGATATTAAGAGATTTCAAATTTGGTGGCCAATTTATGTATTCAATCAAACGATTGAATGTACAACTAGAAAGACTAAGCTTTTCTAATGAAGTTGGAAAATTGTTCAAATCTTTCACGGTAAAACAAGTTATTGACATGGACTTCAAATTCATTAAATAATTTAAATTGGCATAGTCAATAATATTTCCTACACGCAAAGATTCAATACTGATAGGCAATCTTTCAGTAATATCATACATACTCTCGGGACTACCTAACCTCTCAGCAAATTTCTTGAATTCTAAAATATCACTTTTGCCATTAAAATTATAGGGAAACTTAATCCATTCAATTCCACAATTAAATTCAATGTTTAATGTTGTTAAGTTTGGGAAGTCTATTATCTTGGTAAACATACCATATTTTTTTAATTCGTCCAACGACATCAGAACTGTAATTCTAATATCATGAACCGTTTTTAAGAACTCATGATCAAAAGAGAGATAAAATTCCACTTCTTCATAATCTTCATAAATATGAACAGTTCTTGGTGAAAAATTCTGAGGCCAATTATGTAAAGTTAAATCTGGATCTGTATAATTAAATGATGTTAACAGTTCTAAAGAGTTTTCTAACATTGCTCCTATAACAAACTTTGAACTTCTTTCATAGTTTTTGCAAACAATTAGATGCCTCAAGAACTCATTATAAACCACTAAATCAAATGCGTTTGTATTCAATAAACATTCAATCAAAGGGTTAGGAAGTAAACGAATTATATCGATTGTGATATCATACGTAAATGATAGAAAGTATTTGGTAAGGAATATAGTATCATAATCCATGATTAATTGGGAACTGGTCATAACCTAATGACTATGACATGGATTAAATACTAGGAGCATATCTTTTGTCTATTTTTATATCTTCTTCTGCTTGGTGACAAGTAAAATGTGATTGCAAAATTATAATTGCCCCATTTTTGGTATTACTTTTAATGTGTAATTTTATTAACTATATAAGATAAGGATTATATAATTTGTGCAAGGGTGGTAAAAGTGGAGAAATAATCTTTGTAAATTTCTTGTTAAGTATAGTTACGGGAAGTAAACTAGGGTTCAACCTACTTTCACTTATATGAAATTGATCAACATTTTCTGGTAGATAAAAATTTTGTGGTATTCTAACAATGCCAGTTTTAGAGACATCTATTTCAGTAAGATTTTTGGTATATTCTTTATTTAATTCCTTGAACATTGGAATATCTAAACTTCTGATGTTAGTACTACTTAAATCAAGAATGTTTAAACTTCTGGGGGGTAACCAATTCTTTAATCCATATTGTTTCAAAGACGATCCTTTCAAGTTTAGATACTTTAAATTGACTAATTGATTCCAATCTTTAAATTCAGAATTATACGCTTCTAAACTGTTTATGGTAGTGTAGCTTAAATCTAAATACGTTAATGTTGTTGGAAATATACAATCATCTAATGCGATCAGGCTTGATGTTATTTCCAATCTCTCTAACCGTTTAGGAAATTCCATAGGTCGATCAACAAAATTTGAAAAATGGATGCATGATATTTTTACCTCTATTAAAGATTCAGGAAATGTGTAATGTTCCCCAAACAATGATTGAGACCGAATTTGAATATAACTATCATATCTAATTGGAGTCAATTCTAAATATTGTAAACTTTCTGGTAAATCACTTATAATGTAGTGAGTATAGTTTTGCTTGAAGGTTAAAGATATTAATCCAATTGGCCAATTAGATAATGTAACCACATCATCATATATAATTCCGGAAGCCTCCATATCAATTGTTTTCAAATTAGAAGGCCATCTAACATCTTTCATCTCTTTGAATTGGCTCCCAAAACAAGTGAGATTTTCTAAAGAATATGGTAGGTAAATTAACGAGTCTATGTTGCTATTAGTAACAGATAACGATTTCAAATTGATTAAATGAGTAAATCTAGTAGCTAACTTATTAATACCATTTATAGTGAAGGAATCAATTGTGGTAGGTAAGTTTTGAAGAACATCATTAATATTTTTACATCTTCCTAACTTCTTCAAAAATTGTTTCAAATCTAACAAATCACATTTATGATTAATTTCGAATGGGATGTTTATAAATCCAGTGCAGCCAAAATGATATTGAATCTCCAAACTTTTCAAATTTGGAATTTCAAATAGTTTTGGAGATATGATAGTTCCTCTCAGGTGTCCATAATTCATTCTTACCGAAATTCTAACATCTTCAATAAAACTAATAAAGGCATGATTGGAAGATATATACCTTACCAAATCTCTATGATCACCATGAATATGAATACTTCGTGGTCTAAAATTTAATGGCCATTGGCTTAGAGTTATATCTAATTTCACATAACTAAATGATTCATAGGGTTTGTCTAGCATCGATCCGATTGACATATAAGTATCACATATATTTTCTTTACAAACAATCAGATGCTTCAAGAACTCATCATAAACCCCTAAATCAAATGCATTTGTATTCATTAAGCATTCGATTAAACGTGGAGGAAGTAAATGAATGATATCAATTATGATATCATTTGGAAGTGATACAAAATATTTGGTAAGGAATAGAGTGTTGTAAACCATTGTTGATTTGATATCCATAATAACCAAATGAATATGACATATTTAGTATACAACAGTGTAAACTGTCTATCTTTTTTATTCTTATTCTGCTTGGTTACATAAAATGTGATAGAAAAATTATAGTTACAACATGATTTATATTAAATTTAAGCATATAAAATTTATTAACTATTATAAAAAGGCGGTATATAACTATTTATAAAGTCGTATGATCTTGTTACGTATGGTTACTGGAAAAAAAATACGATTCCACCTATTTCCAGTTATATCAAATTGAAATACATTACATGGTAGATAAAAAGTTGTTGGTATTTTTTTTATACTAGTTCTGGAAACATCTATTTCAGTAAGGTTGCTAGTATATTCCTTATTAATTATCTTGAACATTGCAATGTCTAAACTTCTGATGTTAGTATTACGTAAATTTAGAACTTTTAAACTTTTAGGGGGTAACCAAGTCTTTAATCCACATTTTAAAGAAGATCCCTTGAAGCTTAGATATTTTAAATTGACTAATTGATTCCAATCTTTGAATTTGGAATTATATTCATTTAAGCTTCGTATGGTAATGTTACATAATTCTAAACGTGTTAATGTGGGTGGAAATATACAATCAACCCAAGCAATTGAACAACTTGATATTTCTAATCTCTCTAATTGTCTAGGAAATTCTATACTTTGATCAAACAAGTCTGTAAACTTCACCCTTGATAATTTTAACTGTTTCAATGATTCAGGAAATATCTTGCCATTACCAAAATCTGATGGAGAAGTAAATTGAATATATCGAGTGGCACCAGTTCCCTTCAATTCTAAATATTTCAAGCATTCAGGTAAATCACTTATTCTTAATGGTGCATAATTTTGTCTCAAGACTAAGTGAATTAATCCTTTAGGCCAGTTTGCAAATGTTATCGTATTAAAGAATGAGAACCTTGAAAATTCCAAATGAATTTTTTTTAAATTAGAAGGCCATTGAGGTTCATTCCTCATATTATAAAAATGAACTCTAAAGCAAGTGAGATTTTCTAAAGAATGAGGTAAAGTATATAAATAGTAACTAGAACAATTATTACTAATTAAAGTTTTCAAACTGATTAGATGATTAAATTGAGTAGCAAAACTCTGAATATCATTTATTTTAAAGGATTCAATTGAGATAGGTAAGTTTTGAAGAACATCGTCAATAGTTTGAGGTTTACCTAACTTGTTCAAAAATTGTTTCAAATCTAACAAATCACTTGTACTATTAATTTTTGATTGGAAGATCCACATATACATTGTTTTTAAAAGCATATTGAATCTCCAAGCTTTTCAAATTTGGAATTTGAATTACTTTTGAAGGAAATACTTTTCCTCGTATGGGTCCACACTTCATTCTTATTGAAATTCTAACATCTTCAATGAAACTTAAAAAGGTAGGGTTGTCTGAAATATATTTCATCAAATCACTCTCATCTCCAAAAATATGAATACTCCTAGGTAGAAAATTTAATGGCCAGTGGTATAAAACGATATCTAGTTTCGAATATTCAAAAGATTTATAATGTTTGTATAACATAGATCCCATAGACATACAATTATGATTTGTGTGTTGTCTAGTAACAATCATATGATTCAAGAATGCTTGATAAACTACTAAATCAAATGCATTTGTATTCAATAAACATTCAATAAAACGAGGAGGAAGTAAATGAATGATATCAATTATGATATCATTTGGTAGTGATAGAAAGTATTTCGTAAGGAATATAGTATTGTAATCCATGATGCGATAGTATGAATAAAAGAAAAGAAGACATTTGCAATATGACTTTATGCTCATTATTACCTTTAGGGGTGACTGCAAAAATATTATAGTTGCCTATTTTTCTTTTAACTAACAAAAATTCAAAAAAGTCATGTGATTTAGCATGTGACATATTTCTGTCCTGTATATAATTCCCGAAAAAATTCATTACTTAAAAGGGAAAATATTCTATACACAAAGAACAGTAAGTAACATTCAACTTGATGTAGGTTAATGTAGAAACATTGTAACAATAGTCGAATGAATGAACCAACCATTATATTAAATCTAGATTGTAATGAAACTGGTCTGACTTATTGAGTAAAGATATCAACTATTATCAGATGGTATGTATAGGGTTCAATCAAAAGAGACCTGTTACTGGTGGGTGGGGGGGTTTATACATATTACGGAAAGGGACATGAAGCTTCCTTAAACAGTACTGTGTTACTGCTCCTGCATGCTGCTAAATTGACTTCTAAATATAGAAGTGGTAAAAATCTAGAACTGTCCCAAATGGGAAACGCACTGCACACAAATAGCGTTCAATGTTTATTTATTTTTATTTATTTTTTATTTACCAAAACAAACCAAAACAAAAAAAGGAAAGGGTCAAAAAAAATCAGACAGACAAAAAATTAACTATGAGAGATCTAAAAAAATGTCTGAGCGGTCGGTGGTGCCTGGTGCCAGTGGAGGTTTCAAAAAAAATTTTATCTGCTGCCATTTTTACTCATAACAAAAGTTGTAATTTGTTTCTTTCTTCTTCCTTCTTCATACAAAGTATCAAATTATACCTTTCGTTTAACATCAGTCATCTAACTGTCTTGTCCTCATATCTACATTTATCCCAGTAGATCTCGTTCATTAATCAGTTTGTTCCATCCCGAGTCCTTCAAATCTCAACAACGATCGTTTCATATTTTCTAATTTAATTTAATTTAATTTAATTTAATTTAATTTAACTCACATCATCCATTCGTTTATAACACATCTACCCCTTTCATAATCATAGAATATAATAATCCATCATGCAATTCAAATTATTAGCTGCCATCGCAGCCTTAACTGTCTCCGTCCAAGCCATTGGTGATGTATGTATCGATTACCCGCTTTGATTGATTAACCAAAATAAATAAAATAAAAAACTCTTTACTAACATTACTTTTTAAATTTAGCTTGCCTTCAATTTAGGTGTTCAAGATAACGCTGGTAACTGTAAAACTGGTACTGAATATGCCGCTGATTTCGCTGAAATGGCCAGTTACGCTAAAATCGTTAAAACTTATGCCGTTTCTGATTGTAATACTTTACAAAATATTGGTCCTGCCGCTGAATCAGCTGGTTTCCAATTAATGTTAGGTATTTGGCCAACTGATGATGCTCATTTCCAAGCTGAACAACAAGCTTTACAACAATATTTACCAACTATTAGTGTTGATACTGTTTATAACTTTATGGTTGGTTCAGAAGCTTTATATAGAGGTGATTTAACTGCTCAACAATTAGCTGCTGATATTCAAACCATTAAAACTTTATTACAAGGTATTAATGATAAAAATGGTGTATCTTATGGTAGTGTTCCAGTTGGAACTGTTGATTCTTGGAATGTTTTAGTTGATGCTTTTAATGCTCCTGCTATTGAAGCTGCTGATTTTGTTTTTGCTAATGCTTTTAGTTATTGGCAAGGTCAAACTAATCAAAATGCTTCATATTCATTCTTTGATGATATTATGCAAGCTTTACAAGTTATTCAAACTACTAAAGGTTCAACTGATATTACCTTTTGGGTTGGTGAAACTGGTTGGCCAACTGATGGAACTGCTTTTGAAAATTCAGTTCCAAGTGTTGAAAATGCTGCTAATTATTGGCAAAATGCTATTTGTGCTTTAAGAGGTTGGGGTGTTAATGTCGCTGTTTTTGAATATAATGATGAAATTTGGAAACCAAATACTTCCGGTACTTCTGATGTTGAACAACATTGGGGTGTTTGGGATTCAACTGGTACTTTGAAATATGATTTAGGTTGTCAATTTAGTTAAATTTTTTTTAACTACTGATTCTTTTTGATACCCCCATTTAAAAAAAAAAGATTTTTTACCGGTTCATTTTTATACATTATTTGGAATATTTTTTTTTTTAATTTTACTACCCATACTACTTTTGATTAACCCCCTTTCTTGTTATCGTCTTTATATACTTTTTCTTTTATGTTTGTTTGTTTGTTTGTTTGTTTGTTTAAAAGAAAAAGCTTTTCATTCATTCATTCATTCATCCCCATTCATATCCCAAAAAACCTTTTTTTACCCAAGCTTTATATTATATTATATAAAACAAAAATCTTTTAAAGTTTTTAATAAAGTGTTTCCTCTTTTTATATATCTTCCTTTTATTTTTTATTAGAATAAAGAAAGAGAATTTTATAATTTATCATTTACCATTAATTTGTAGTTATAAATACTTTGTTGGTAAACGCTGGTTGAAGTAAGGTTCAACAAAATGCGGCAACTATAATTTTTGCATTCGTATGACAAGGGGTATATAAATGTAGATAAATCTGAATATTTTAAAACACAATTCTATATTTCTCATATTCATCAAGTCAATATGAGTAAACACGATCGATTCCTTACCAATTACTTTCTATTGTTTCCAGATGATATCATAATTAACATTATTAACCTACTTTCCGTTGATTTGATTGAATGTTTGTTGAATACCACTTTGTTTCATCCCGCAGTTTATGACGCATTTTTGAAGGATTTGATCATTTGGAAGTTAAAACATGGACAAAATACTATGGGATCAATGTTAGGCAACTTCTTTGAATCTTTTTATTCGACAAAACCAACATTGTATTTGGAGAGTTTACCAACTAATTTTAAACCTAGGAGTATTCATATATATGGAAGTGTGAGGAACGTTGAGAAGTACATATCTGAAAACTCAGAATTCATTAACTCAATTGACAATATTAAGGTTTCATTACAGATGTATGTGGGTAAAATGAGAGGTGTTGGGATTCCGTTAAATGTACTTCAAATATCAAATTTGAAATTTTTGGAAATTGGTTTCTTTTTTAAGAACGACAAGTATCTTATAGTTCCATTTTATATTCGTAGTACAAGTGATATAATATGGTTGAAAAAATTTAGTACCAAATTGAGTCAACAAAGATTGTTCAAGGATACATTTGATAATATTCCTTTAAATCTTACTTACATGACACTCATATACATGAATAAATTTCCACTATTTACTAAACTAAACAAGTTGAAAACTTTGAAACTTCTGTGTATTGATACTTCGAACTTGTTGAAAATCTTGCCTCATTCATTGGAATATCTTTCAATCGATAATGGCTTCATTTCACGAAAAGGCCAAGAAATCATCTGGCCTCCCAATTTGAAATACATTCATATTATATCAGTGTGGAAATCAGATACAACAGTAAAACTTTTAAGTTGGCCAATTTCTTTAAAATCCTTAACTTTGAGGAATAATTTCCTTGGGAATTACATAGTTGGTGGTTTACCACAAGGCTTAGAACGTTTGGAAGTAGTATCGTATACTAAATTCGTAATAGATTTGAATCTAGAAACTGATGAATCAGGTTATTACTCATTTCCTGAGTCAATAGTAGACTTGAAACTAAAAAATATTAAATTTCCTGGCGAACCCCATACTATCGTGAATTTTCCTAAGAATTTAAAGAGATTGAAATTATCAAAAACCTTAAGAAATCTACGTGGTTGTATATTTCCAGAATCATTGGAATACTTGGATTTATCACATAATGGAATAACAAACATAATGGAATATAATAATTCAGAACTACAGAAGAACTGGCAACAGATGATAAATTTACGATATCTATCATTGGCTTATAATTTAATAAATCAATCTTATTTGATCAACTGGTTACCTCCTAGAAATTTAAACTATCTAGATTTAGGATGTAATAAAATCAATGACTTGAATATTCCACTTTTCAAGAAAGAATCAAGTGAATATACCAATAATCTTTTGAAAATTGACCTTTCTGGGTGTAATATCCTTAATATTCCAGGATATTTCTATTTACCAGATAATGTGAGTGAATTTCTTATAACTCAATATTCTATTCTTCCACAATTTTTACCGCTCGTCATAAAAGGCAAAAGATTGATAAAGCTCTTTGAATGTGGTTCAAATACCTTTAATAGAGATGGTGTATATCTGCTCTCTTTTTAGAAATATTGAATGTATGTGAGTTTCTTTTTTTTTTTTGGCAACTCGTTTTTTTTTGCTGCAATTTTAAGTGATATTCTGCTAATCATTTCCAGAATGAAATATTTATAAATCGATGTGATTTAAACTTGATCTATTTTAATGTTGAATAACCTTTTTCAGTTTAAATTCATTTTTCTTATTCTTTTTTAGACTTTGCATAAACAGTTTCACTCCATCATAGATACATATAAAGTGTAATAATCAATATGACGAGATTATCTACCCTGATCTTGATTGTATTAATGTGGATGACTTGCCTTGTCACAGCTGCAACAGTTAAGACATCAGGAGCCAACGTTACTCAACAAGATATTCGAAATCAATTAGAAGGAACTTGGCAAAGTCTTAGTCGAAAAGTCATGACTGGACCTACATTCTATGATCCAGTTGATGAATTATTGATTGAACCTGCGTTACCTGGATTTGCTTATTCATTTGATAAAGAAGGTAATTTCGAACAATCCATATATCAAGTCACTTCTAATCCTCAGAATCATTCTTGTCCTTCAGCAAGTTTAATTTGGCAACATGGGAAATACGAATATGATTTCAAAGCTAAACAATTGAAATTAATCCCTATTAAAATCGATGGGAGACAATTATTAAGTGAACCATGTCAAGATGGTGGAATTTCAACATATATGAGATTTAATCAGAATAAGGAGGTTATATTTGCTGATTTTAATGTTGAAATTGATGGTTATTTCGGAGACATGAAATTACAATTATTCGGATATGATTATACACCAATCCAACCGCTTTGGTTAACTTATAAACCTCCAATGATGTTACCACCCCAAGTTTTAAACCCAACTTCAAAGGATTCATTGGTTCATAAGTATAAACGTGCAGTGGAATATTTAACTTATAAGATTGATGATGAAGTTAATGGTGATGGTGAAAGTTTTAAGAAACCGATTAGAGAAGATTCGATTTGGGATTATGTATTTAAATTGTTTATGGTTGGAGTACTTTCTGGCTCTTGTGTGTTGTGTTACTATACTGTATCAAGTATTAAAACCAATAATTAGTTTGAATAGTTTTAAATAGTGTTAAATATACCATATTGTAATTTGATATATAAAGTTATGGTTACCCTATTTTTGAGGTCAAAATTGCAAAAAATCAAAATTTAAAAATCTCTAAATTTAACCACCAAAAAATTAAATTGCCTTACGTTTAACCAACCTGATACAATATAAGAGACCTTCTTATTCATTTAATCCTTTAATATCATATTGTATAGTAGTAAAGTATTAAGTTATTTAAATATTAAAATTTTCAAAAGTCACAAATCACGTGCCGTGATAGTACAGTTTCGCAAAGAGTGGAAAAAAATTTCGTCAAGAAATTCGACTCCGTGGCCAAGCTGGCTAAGGCGTGAGACTGTTAATCTCAAGATCGTGAGTTCAATCCTCACCGGGGTCGTCGATTTTCTTTTTTCTTGATTTTATTTTTGCAACTTTTGAATTCGTAACTTATATAACTTGATTTGATCTTATAGTGATTTTATTTATCCACAAATTGGTTTCTTTTCATATTTTTGGATTATTTATATTAAATCTATCTATTTAAATATATTATTATATATATACAATTTTACTGACCTGTAGTATGTATTTGTCCTTTCATTTAGTACTTTTATTTGATCATCATCAAACTAAGAATGATGATAATAATGCGATTAAAGTTAAGATGTATGAGATGGAAGTCATGGTGGAGTCGTTTCCTGATGTAGTTGATGAGACGGCTGCTGAAGATGATGAAGCTGCACTTGATGCTGGGGATGATGAATGGGCTGATGATACAGTTATGGATGAATGAGTTGAAGATGGAGATGATGATGATTCGATGGATGAATCTGCTGCTACTGAAGTTGAAGCAGTTTGTGAAGTTGATGTTGAAGTTGGTGAAGTTGAAGTTGAACTAGATGAAGTGGTGGTTGAAGTAGATGTAGTTGATGATGATGATGAGGATGTAGTAGTGGTACTTGAAGTAGTAGAGGTAGAACTACTAGTTGAACTACTAGTTGAACTACTGGTTGAACTACTCGAACTACTAGATGAAGTAGTTCCACTGGCAGCAATAACTAATGATGATAATTGTTTACTACTAACTGAACCACCATCTTGTAAAGTTTCAAAATCAGATTGAGCTTGTTGATATCTTCCATTAACTTGACCACCGGAAGCATTAATAGATTGCCAAGTTCCAGATGTACCACTATAAGAATACAGATTACCTGATGAATAATCAGCCACGATGATGGATTGAATATCCATTGTGAAAGGAACATCAGCATAATTGGTTAAACCACCTGCCCATTCAATGGTACCTTCATCATTGGAAGGATCCCCTCCTGCCCAAATACCAGCAAAAATTTGCATTGGACTTTGAGGATAACCTTGAGGATTATCAGGAGTTAAAGTTCTAACCACATTACCATTTAAAGACCAAGTTAAACTTTCTTCCGTCCAATCAAGAGTATAAGTTTCGAAATTTTCCAAGGGATTATTTGATGTTGAATGATATTCACCACGATCATAAGTGGTGGTATCTCCCTTGATGAAATAATTGGATTGGAATTGATAACCATCACCACCGAATAATTCAATATCAATTTCATCTAAATCATCTGATTGTAAGAAAAATGATGAAATGATACCTGTACCTTCACCTGCTCTCATGACTACTTCGACTTTACCGAACATGATATAGAAATTGGATTGAATAGAAGGATTATCGAAACGTTTATTGATAGTCATGGATAAACCGCTATCACTAGCGAAAGTAATGGCACCTGGTTTATTTGTACTTTCAAAGTATTGACCTAGACTCAGTTGGAAATCTTCTCTGAAGGATGAGCCTAAAGCTGGATCAGCAGGACATGATGTGGATGAAGTTAATGGATCACAATTTGTTGCTGAAGTTAGAGCCATCAAACTTGATAATATGATGGAAAGAGTTGAAATTTTCATATTGTGAGTGCTGCTGTATATATGTATGATGATTGTATTCGTATTTGATAACTTAAAATTGGGAAAAGATGATTTCGTAAGTGATATAGGGATGGATTTATAAGGGGAGTAGTAGTGTGGTAAGGTATTAGACGAAGGTTATATGAAGTAAGTTAAACAAGCGGTTAACCGGTAGAGTTAATATATATATATAAGAAAAAGAAAGAAAACTTAAAAGTAAATAGAAATGATTACCTATAAATAAATAAAAACAAGCAATCCAAAGCCAATGCTTATTTGTGTGTTTGTTTGTTTGTTTGGGTATGAGATCAGATTCCTCCTACATGTACTACATAATACATGATCTTACTACACTAACTAATTAAGAGGTTATAGTTGACAGTTGCAGTTAAATATTTTTCTATATTTAGAAAATAAACATTTAATTTTTTTTACGCGTTGAAGGAGTGAAGTGGAAGAGGCTGTAAAAACTAAAAAAATTGATGTAAACAGAAAATTTCTTTTTAAATGGCTGGGTTAAGTAGACTAATAAGGAAATATCAATGACGGTAAGAGTTATGAAAGATAGTTACTGAATTTTGTCAAGGTGAAGTTAGGAGGTTGGGGGTACATCAGAGTAAGTTTATACGTATGTACATACATATCATATGTGTTCAAGAAAATGTTATAATCCAGCCCATAAATAAAACCATAAAAATCGTCTAATGATTGGCTCTTTCTCGTCAATCAATTAATTAAAGGTGAGTGTGTGGTAGTTTGCTATGTTTCAATAGAAGCATCGGATTGTTAGACTAGATTAGATTTTGTGAATCATTAGTAACAGATCAATAATACTATATTATTCTGCAATAGGATGTAATTATTTCTATAATTAGTTAATTGTGTTGTAAATTGCAGCTGTTAAGTACCAAAAATGGCTGGTGTCGTAAAATCTTTTTTAAAAATATCTAGTAACGTGACGAGTCACGTTACTCAATTTAGAAAAGATAAGACAAAAAAAATGACATAAAAATTTGACAAGACAAGACAGAAAAAGGGAAACTTCAGACATAAATTATAGAAAGTCATCAGATTTAATTTCAATTATTAATTTCATCATCATCAAATATCAAACATAAAGCATTTCAATATTACACTTGTTTCATCTTAGCTATTATTCATAGTCTATATACCTTTTCCCATTTATACATTTGCATTTGATTGTTAGTAGATAGCTGAGTACCCTGCCTTCGCCCCCTATTACACAATCTCCACATTAGACTTCGCTTCCAGTTTTGTTATCATTTGTTTTTCGCCTCACCACCACCTCAGTCATTCAACACCCCTATTCTCACCATATAGATAGAATTAGTGATACATCATACCCCCATCGAATTATCCCATAGAAACAACATATATATATATATATATATATATATTCAATATGTCGACCATATTTCTATCATCGTTGATATTCCTATTGGAATCAACTCATGCATATCCCGTTCTGTTCAAACGAAGCAATTATAATAATCTTAATAATCCAAATCAAACTCCTCCACCTCGATTTTCATTTCCTCAAAATGGTAACACCCCAAATCCAAATCCAAATCCTGATGTCGATGAATCATTAGGAGAATTATTCCTCATCACTTTCTTCACTTTCATAACGTTATTCATTATCTTTTTAGTATCATCGATTGTATTCTTTATCATAAAACGTAAATTAAGATTAAATGATGATGATTTATCAAGACAAGAAGAAAATCAAGCATACCTTGAATTAAACTCCAATGAATTAGAATTATACTTACAATCGAAAGAATACCTTCAATCAATCCCTTATTTCAGAGGTGATTTAACCCTTTCACAAAACTTATCCATCCAAGAAAAAGGGGTAAATGCCTATGAATTCATTAAAGATAGTCTGTTAACTAATAATGATATCATAATCTTGAATAAATTCGAATTGGATTTCTTTAAGAATTTCGAATGCTCAATCATGACCAATTATCCTTTACTTATGAAAAATGATGTTTATTATTTCGAATCAAAAATTTATTCCTTACCCAACCCTGAAGAAACCGTCATCTCCATCGGATTCAGTATTAAACCATATCCATGGTTTAGATTACCCGGTAGACACGCCCATTCCATCTCGTATGATTCCAACGGGTATAGACGTTATAATCAACCATTTAAATTCGAATATGATCCTCCATTTCCTAAATTCGCTGTGGGAGATGTGATAGGTGTAGGTTATAGAGTTAGAAGTGGGACGGTATTCTTCACTAGAAATGGGAAAAAAGTAAATGAATCTAAAATCGGAGGTCATATTAAGAATTTTAAAATCCCTCATCAAGGTCAAATCTTTCCTATTATCGGTGCTAATAATTTATCCACTGTTCATGTTAATTTAGGACAAAGAGGATTTGTATTCATAGAGGCCAATGTTAAAAATTGGGGTTTAGCCCCTATAGAAGGAAATGGACCTGCTCCACCTGCTTATAATAAATTCAATGGTGATATCTTATTGGAAAGATCTGAAATTGATGATGATAATAATGATTTAAGTGATCGTGAAAATGATTTCCCTCCTGATTTTTGGGATGTTCATAATGATGAAATGGGGAATAATAATGAAGGTAAATTCATTGGATCTGATAATGATGATATTATAGATCAAGATAAATTTAGTTATAATGCTTATAGTGATATTAATTCGAATGATGAAAGAATTACATTACATAGTATAGCAGTCACCCGTCCTGAAAGACCTCCTTCATATAATAGTGATCAAGAAGAAGAAGAAGAAGATAGTAATGATATCACCACATCCACTGCAGGAGATGTGACAGCAGTGACAGCGGTTGAAAATTTCATTGAAGAAGATAATGATCATGAAGATAATCTCGATACAGAAGAAATCCTCGATGCAAGTAGTGATATAGAAGATGACCATACCGTTCATCAACATGACGACAACAATGACGATAATTAATTATTCAAGTAAGAATTATAGAAAACATATTCTCATTTTAATTTCATTTCATTTCATATTGTGTTTAGCGAATTTAACCTTACTTAGTGTGTATAATTTGCGATTTAATATATTTTTTGGTTTCGTTTAGATGAAAGTGATTTGTAGAAGAAGTCGTTTTGGAGGTCTGCTCGACTTCATGATATGACTCTGATGGAGAATTCATTTGACTCTTGTATGTAAATTGTTGGGATAACTTCACTGTCAACCATAACCTGGTTGAAAAATTTTCTACTTAAGCCTGCCCGGAGATGACTATTAATAGTAAACGTAAAGCATAAAACGCCTAGTAACTACGAACTTATAGTATCACTGCCACGAAACAATACCCACACCCACATCCTCTTCTCCGTCATAACGGACCACCTACAAATCAGGAACCAACATCCATAAGCTCTACTTTATAAAATTGTTGGTTTGCTATTACCCCACATGAAAACCTACCAACTAAGATCAAAAATATAAATATTAAACCTTAAATATTATTAAGAGTTATAAGTTATACCTTTCATCATAGTACAGTTCAAATAAACAAAAAAACACGAAGTAGAAAATGGAACAAAAGCGCATTAATATAATTCCCCAAGGAGGAAGTGTCACTAACTCTTTTAGTGACTTAACAGACAGAACATCAGCTTATAGTTTTTTAGTTTATAGCCTTCAGTTGTTTCTTTCTTGGTATGGATGTTGTATTTTTGCGACGGCCCGCCCAAAGTGGCATTTTGAAAAAATTGTTGCGAATTGAACGAACAAAAAGAAATTTTTTTTAAATGTGGGGTCGATCTCTTTTACTGTTGCTTAATGCTGGGCTTTAATATAGAGCAGAAGGTTGTAATTATAGCTTATACGATGATCAAGTGACGTTCTACAGTAAAACAGAAGATCGCTATTAGGATCATTCATTCGGACTTTGTCTTTAGTTATTGTTATTATAGTTGTCCTTGAAGTCAGTATGAGAAAGAAGCACATGCTGGAATGAAATCGAGCCACTAACCTATCTTAAACTTACACGTAAACATCATCCACAATTTTGCATACCTGATACACAATAATATCTGGGTATTGCTATGAAGAAATCATACTGTTGTGGTTTTATGTTATTCCTTGGAAAAGGTGGGGTCTCCGAATCACAAACAACTATAACACAGTCAAATCCACTATGAATGGTGTAATTTAAACTTTATAAATCTCGGACATATAAGTTCACCCACGTTAAACATCTGATCCCCACTATGTTCTAACACCAAATTAAACATTCTCTATAAGTATATTACCGTTAAACCATTGAAGTAATGTATAAACTAAAAATATGAAAAAAAAAATGAAACGGCAAAGCGCGGATTGGAAAGGCATTTTGATCATTGTTGTATTTTATTATTGCAACAATTGTTGTAATTATATCATTTTCTGTGGGTCTTGTTATGTCCCACTTGTAATGTGGAGATCCGTCCCACCACCACTACCATAGTTAAGATGTTGTAGTTCCTAATCCTTCCATATTCAAATGACCCTGTCTTTCTACTTTGATATTCTTGTTTTACAGTGATAATCCCACAATATAGGAGTCAATAAATTGGATTCTTATAACTTTTCACCACCACCTCCTCCATACCATTTAAAGTTCTAACCACTAGATCTCCTCAATACAAATACTCCGAACTCATACTCTCATCCATAAACTATGATTAAATGTTGAAATCTCCTTTGTGAAATATAAGGAAATCGGTATAATTTATATATAACCCGATTTTTAAAATTGTTACCCCATTCATTTTAGTTCTCCACATTTTTTATGAAACCTAATTTAATTAATTTTTATATTAATTTACTTGGTCATTTTAAAAGTGCCTTATAAATATTAATCAATTTTCCTTATCAGACCAATAAAATCCATAATTTCAAAATTGGTTATATTCACTAATACAAAAATTAGCACTTAGGTCTTAATTATTTTATTTTTTTGCATCTTTTGATCGTATTTGTTATTGTTTTAATCTTATCGATTGGAAGAACAAACTTTACCAAGGTTGCATTATCTATTCCTGTCAAATCCCGTTGTCGTCGTTATCAATTTACGAACCTTTTATTCCGTTTCGTGTTGAACCTCCCTCCTTCCCCCCTTGCATATTAAATATCTTACAAATATGATTCAAAAATTTACTTGCGTTCCTAAATCGGACTATGAAGTTATTATAGTATCTAATGGAACTATTAATCAAGTTGAATCTAAATTAATTGAAATTAATGAACATACTAATAATGAAATCCCTTTTAATTCAAGTATAACTTATTTAGATAATTTCAATCAATTAATCACTCATTTAAATAAAAATTTCCCTAATAAAGTCTTCAATGGGAAAGTCTTATTCATGTTCTTTAATGGTCTTACATATATTCAAAACTTCTTAAGTGATTTAATCGACCATTATAATAAGTGTACTATCCTTAATGTTCAACATCATCATCAACAACAACAACAACAGATTGAAACTGATGATGAATTATTAGCTAAATATTTCCAATTTGATAATTACACCAATACTAATAAATTATATAAATCCCATCCTGTGTTTGAAAAGATTGAAAATGTCTATTTCTATTTCGATTCTTCAGTCTCAATCGATACAACCACTTCATCATCTCCATATGATTTCTTAATCAATTCAAATTATAATCCTTCCAATGATACAAATCCTTTCAATACCGTAGTTACCATTGCTAATGATATACTTAAAAAGATGAGTTTCATGATAGGTAGAATCAGAGGTCTTTACATAGACGATTTCCAATTAAATAATGAAAAAATAATCCCGTTACATTGTTTAATGAGAAATTTCCCTAATGTTGAAAGAATTGAATTATCAAGTTATACTCAATTATTAATGAAAGATATGATCTTATAAGTTGTGCCCCCACCCACGCTCCTCTTTTATCATTTTTATAGATTCAGAAAAAGTTTGGTTTGTCTTTTACATTTATTCTTTATTTATTATTTATGCAATTAATGTCATTTAAAAGTTCTTTATCCCATTGTTTGTAAAAGTCGGTAGTAATTACATGTCCCTTATTATAGTTAATTGCGAAAGCTATAAATTGAAAATTCCGCAATTGGTTACCGCATTGGGAAATGGTCGCGCTTAACTCAAATTACTTAAGCCTCTAGATAAAGAAAAGCGGAACCATCTTTCCTTTGTACCGTTTGTGTATATATATATCTGGTGAATATCTCTAGTGAAGATGTATTTGATATAGATAGAGGTATAGAACGGTATTATCAAGATGGTGAATAGTCAAGACTATGCCTTTTATGTGCTTGTGCTAGCATTTGGAGCTACGATAACATTGTCAATACTTAGATTATTCAAATTATATAATTTCAATGCTAAACATAAATCAATCCTAGTAAGGAAGTTCCCTCCAGTTGGAGATGATTTCAGTTGGCAAGATACTAAACCATTACCTATAAGGCCATTTGTGAAAAAGAAGAACTTCAATGTGTCGATGAATTTACTGAATTTAGTTAAAACTCCTCAAGATTGGTTATTAATTGAAGATACTTATTTAAAACAAACTCAATTAAGAAAGAAGTTTACTGAATTATATCCAAACAATACTTTATTAAGTTATGATAATGACATCACTACTGCTGCGGTTAAGGAGTTTTATGAGATTGTTACTAATTACTTTTTAACTCGGTATCCTCAATACTTCAAGTATAATTGGTATAATGGAATGATTAAGAATTTAATTAATGATGAAGAATTCCCTAAATATGCTAAGAACTATACTCCTCATCAATTAATTTTATACTTGGCAGCTAATATCGAAGAAGATTTCCTTATTCTTATTAAAGATGATCCTAATAATCATGATGAAGAATATATTCTTCGTGCTAGTGTCACTGGATTCCCCGCGGGATTTGATCCCAGTCATGGTCATAATAAACCAATCTCATTCATTCATGGTCCTGTACCCCAATATGAAAATCGATTAAAATTATCCATGGGGAAGTTTTTTAATAATTTGCAACCGAAAGATCTTTGGGTAAGACATAATTGGTCGGTTCAAACTCATAAATCTTATTTCAGTCTTGATTCAAATCATGGTCGTAAAGGTGAAGTTATAAAACAACTTTCCTATGATGAAATTGATTTCGATGATGCTTGTTTCTTAAGAGTTGAACGTCAAATCTTTACCAGATTACCTAAACTGAGAGCCAATATTATGACAGTCAGAACATACTTAACTCCTATGAAACAAATTAAAGCTGAAGGATTAGGTGAAGAGTTATCAAGAGCTATTGATAGTTTACCTGATGATTTAGCCTTTTACAAAAAGAGAGCTGCTTGGGGCGAAGCAGTTAAACAATTCTTAAATAAAGAAGATAATTTTAATGAAAAAGTTACATAGATAAAGGGAAATTTATAGATCTTAAGTTAATATATAAAAATAAAGTGGAGAAATATAGAATGTGTCTTGAAATTTTTTTTTTAATTTTTTTTAAATTTTCAGTTCTTTTAATCGTAGAATTTTTTTTAAATCATAATAATAAACAGCAACAACAGTAGCAAATGGAAAGTTAAACCTATTCGCTTAATTTGACGTAATTGGCAGGGAATAAACCACTTTCACCTGAAGTTGAATGTTTTCCAGACCACCAATCTTCATCAATGAATTCAATTTCAACAATCAAATCACCTTCTTTAAATTCAATTTCATTATCTTCATCTCTTTCATAGTCATATTCAGCAACAGCAGTTGGTTTAGATGATTTTGGTTCAGCAGCAACAACTGGTTCGGCTCTAGCTGGTGGTGGTGGAGCAACTTCTTCTTCTTCCTCTTCTTCTTTTTCAGCAGCAGCAGCTGGAGCTCCATTGGTGTTTAATTTAACATAAGCAGCTGGGAATAAACCAACTTCACCAGTCTTAGAGTGTTTACCAGTCCACCAATCATCATCAGTGAATTCTATTTCAATGATTAAATCACCATCATCAAAACCAATTTCATTATCTTCATCTTTAACATAATCATATTCAGCAGTAGCAGTGATTGATTCTTTCTTTGCTGGAGTAGGAGCAGCTGCAGCAGTTCTTGAAGGCAATACAGGAATTGGTTCTTCGGCTTTGACTGGAGCTGGTGGTAAGCTACGTACTGGTAAGCTTGGGGTTGGTTCTTCTTCTTCTTCCTCTTCTTCAGGTTCTGGAACAGCTTGTCTAACTGGTAAAGATGGAGTTGTCTCTTCTTGTTCTTCTTCCTCTTCTTCTTCTTCAGGTTCTGGTTCTTTTGCAGCTTGAACAGGTGGTAAAGTTCTTCTTGGTGGAGCACCGAAACTAGGTTTAATTATAACTGGTTCTTCCTTAATGACTGCCTTTTCTTCAAATTCTTGAGCTAATTCAGGTTCTTCACTCTTTACTGGTTCATCATCAACTGGAACAGTCTTATATTTACCTTTCTTTTCAGCCCAGATTTGAGCTGGAGTTTTACCATTTTCAGAAGCGAAATTTCTAGATAATCCCCCAATAACTTTATCCTTTCTATCATTATTAACTTGACCTGGAACAGCACCGAATTTAGGAGCCGAAACAGCTGGAGTTGATTCAGATGGAGCGTAACGAGCAGCAACAGAATGACTTACTTTTGGTTTTGGTAATTCCGTTAATCTTTCTGATTCATTTACTTTATAAGAAGAGATTCTATCAGCCAAACTCTTTGGTTCATTATCTTCATCATCCTTTGGTTTGGACTCTACTGGTTTGAAAGGTTTTGGAGTAGATGAAATAGTATCCGATTTTTGAGATCTTAAATGATTAATATCAACTTTGGTTGGTTTATAAGCAGATGGAACATTATCTAATGGTTTTTGATCAAAATCTCTAACTTCAACATCTTTTTCATCACCCCAACCATCATCGGTAACTTTTGGTTTAGAAGCAATGATTGGTTTTGGTTTAGTGGCAATAACTGGTTTACCAGTTGATTTTGGAATGAATGATGGAGTACTAGAAGCAGCAGGAACTGGTTTTGGAGTTGATTTAGCTATGATTGGTTTTGAAACTGGTGGTTTGACAACAGTTGATCCACTAGTTTGAATTGAATATCTGGCACCAGCAGCAGCACCAACCCTATGAAGGAAATCATCAACATCCAAATCATCTTGATCTCTAGCGGTGATTTGAACATGATAACCACTTAAAACTTTGGAAACATCAGCAAAATTGGATGCAAATGATAATCTTGATTTAGCAGGGGAATTATCAGGACACCAACCTAATAATAAATTCTTAGAAACATCGGAACCTGGCACAACAACTCTTGCTATACCGAATTGGATTTGACCATCAGTGAAGCTTTCGACAAATTCATCTAATGATCCATTACCAGTTTCACTGACTTCTAAAGATGAATCTTTGTTGACACTATAAACTGCGTAAGTAGTAGAAGGATCACCTCTTACAACCTTATCGTAAGATTCTTGAATCTTTCTGGCGTTGGTTGATAAATCAATTTTCTCCATTGTGAATGATAGAGATAACTTGGATGATATATATGATACCGATCAATTGATATGAAATACACTATTGATTGTTCAATTGATAATAGTAGTTTGTAGTTGATAATATGTGTTTCGTTGATTTGGTTGGAGATTTTCAACAACCACATTTTTTTTAGTGAGTGAGAAAGTGGGAGGTGGTGGAACGGAGACAAATGGTTTTAGGGAGATCATGCTCACTAATTTTTACTTAGCCTCAAGTGGTAGACGTAGAAATTACCAGTGAAATAGTCACTAGAACTACTACAATTACAATATAGATTGTAAACTTATAGACATTATTCGTTTTATTTTCCTCTATTAACCTATTTAGTAGAGATTTTTCATGTTAATTACATAGTAATTAATCAACAAACTGATATAATCCCGATACCATACACTATAAGTTCAAGATTGAACTTCGTCAACACCTTCAATCGAATCAGGAACTAGCTTTAACTAATGCATATATCAAACACCACATCATAACAAACCCAGGCACATTATTAAACAATCCTTCCAAGAATATTTCTTGTTTTGGCTTTGTAAAGAACTTTTCTGGTTTACCTTCACAACAAGCAGTAAGGAATATACCATTAGTAAGTGTGATTCCAGCCAAATAGAACACAAACCCATAAGCTGATTCTAAAGTTAGAATTCCACATCCTACTCCCAAAACCAACGACGCTATATCTTGAGCTCTTTGTAACTTTTGTTTATTGGTTTGTATGCTAGGAGGATAATATATTATTTCGTCGTTAGTTGACATGATGTATGTGTTATCTGTAGTATATAGTGTATGCTTTAGTACCAATCAATTGATTGATCTTATTAACTATGGTTGTTGATGGTGATAATGTGATACCGTTGGTACGTATAGTTCTCATAGTTAAAGTTTATCGATCAAAATAGTTTTTAAAGAGGCAAAAAAAAAATTGATTTTGGTGGTGCGGGTAAACTTTAAAAAAGTTTGCAAAATTGTATTTATCTAATCAAGATCTGACAGCCAAAACATCAAATCAAAGGCAAAATACATCAACCAGATCAATCTGTATCATCTATCTACATGAACGGGACTGATAAGTTGAAGAGGTTCCTCTTCGAGTTACCTTCTCAATCAAATTTCAAGTTTGGTAAAGATGTTAGACAACAAATACGGAAGGCGTTGTTTTTAGCAGTATCTAATGAAGGCGAATATCTAAATTGGTTATTTCCTAATGCTTTCCCTAATAATAGGGATTATAACGTTGATTCAATGATAGATAAAGTCGAAAATGAATACGAATGGCTCTTTGCCAATTATTATAAAGTCAATCTTAAAAGAAGAGATCCAAAATATGATACTCATAATCATCATGCTTTCCATGCTAATCTGCCTTGTGCAAGAATATTCAGAAAGGGAGAACCAATCTATAGATGTTTGACATGTGGGTTCGATGATACTTGTGCGTTATGTTCACATTGTTATCAACCAGAATATCATCAGGGTCATAAAGTTCATATCACAATATGTCAACGTGAAAATGGTGGGGTTTGTGATTGTGGTGATCCAGAAGCTTGGGTTAAAGATTATTTTTGTCCTTATGCTGTTAAAGATGATGAAAGTTTGAATACTAGAAATACTAAAATGCCATCTGATTTAGAAGATTCCTTCTTAAGAACTATTCAAATCTTATTAGATTATGTTATTGATGTTATGAGTCAATCTGATGCTCAATTTGAAGATCCTGATGAAGCTTCTCAAGCACAAGTTGAATTGAAAAAGATAACTGGATCGTTGAATCCTAATAAATATGGATTAGAAAACATTGATGATATTAATAATGAAAAATATTATTTGATGGTTTATAATGATCAAATAAGACAATATCGTGATGCAGTTCAAAGAATTCATTTAGCAAGTAGAAAAGTGAAAAATTTTGCTGTAATGGTTACTGAAAAAGTTCAAAATTATGGTATGGCAAAAGTAATAAGTTCTAATGATATTGATTTACTTTTAGAAAGACAAAAGATACTTAGTGCTACTGGTTTAGCATCATGTATAAGAAGTCATAGAGATGTCTTTAGAGAAGATATGTGTGATGAAATCTTGAATTGGATATATACCTTGACAGAAAGTGAAATGTTCAAAACTAATAATTCAGCTAAAAACTTATTCTGCAGTGCCTTTTGTGGAAAATGGAATAGTGGACTTCTTGTCGCTAGTAGTAGAGAATATCATTATAAAGTTGGTTCCTTAGATCCAACTTCAAAAATACCCAAAATCAATTGTAATAAGAAAGCTCTGTCCCATTGGTTCTTCCATCCTTCGAAATGGAATCTTCCTGATGATATATGTCAAGAATGTGATTATAATTTAACTGAAGATGATTATGATATAAGTAAGAGTCATCTTGGATCAAGATTACAATATTTAATTTATTTGGATGTTAGATTTTGGAAATCCATTCGTATTTTGTTACATGATTTATATTCTACTTCATTGATTACAAATTTATGTTATAAGAATATCATCTCGTGTCAGTATGTCGATATTTATCCAACCATAGCAGATATGTTTCTCACCATGGATAGAGAACCAGAATTGAATATAATGTGTACTCTTTCAACCCAATTATTTACCTGTCCATCCAACTCCACTTCAATTGTTCAACATGGTGATGTGTCACGTATTTTTGCATCTATCTATGGATTCTTAACTGTTGAAGAAATCAGATCACCAGAAGAAATAGAAATCACTCATGAAATTTCAATGAAAAGTTTAAAGAATAGAAGATGGGGACAAATTTTCTTTGATATTGGATATATCTTAAGTAGAAGTCGTGATTCTAAGTCAATCTTAACTAATAATATCATCCCTATGGCTTGTGACATTTTAGCTTTATTCCAAGGTAGACCAGTAATGAAGAGAGAAAAGAAGAATCACGTTGAATATGAAAGCCCTGATTATACTGCTTTTTTCCATGCTATTCTGGTTATTTATCAATTCGGTGAATATATCGCTCATTGTCTTTGCAATTTAACCGATGATGATTTAAGAAAATCTTTATCGAAAAATGCCATTAATTACGTGATTGGGTTTTTATTGAGATTGGAAAAGAATGATTATCCAGGTCTTATTGATGATTCAGTCGATGTGAATCTCTCTAATGAAAAGGGAATCTCCAAAGAACCAATCGGTGGTAATATCATTCAACATTTCAGAATCGATGAAGAAAAAGTAAGTTTCTTACATCCAATTCATTCCTTTTTAAGTTGGTTAATTGAATTATCAGAATTTAAATCACCTTCAGAATTGGCTGAAGTATTGGAATCATCAAAGAATACAGCATGTTCAAATCAAAGAATGGATCTTGCTAACCCTTTAACATCTATCTTTGATTATCCTATCAGAACCATTGTTTTAATGTCACAGATAAAGTCAGGATTTTGGGTTAGAAATGGGTTTAGTGTTAGATCTCAATTGCAATTATATCGTAGCACTGGTCTTCGTGAAAGTGGATACATGAGAGATTTATTTTTAACTCAAGTATTTATTAATTCTAATAGTCCAAACTTGGTCTGCTTTTTATTGTTCAGTCGTTGGTTATTGATGGATGGTTGGATTAATGATGCATCTGACCAAGAGGAGTTAATCTATGATCTGAAAACTCTTCCTTATATGTTAGAGGAATGTATGAATTTCTTCATTCACACCTTGACAGAAGACTTATACCTTCGAGGCTTGAAAGATGAAGTGGTTAATAGAATCAGAATAAAAACTGAAATCATTCATAACTTATGTTTTGGTGCAATGAATTACACCAAGATGTGTTCACAAATCCCTGATCATATCACATCTGAGAAAAGATTCGATATCATTCTCACAGAAATGACAAATTTTGTTCCTCCAAAGGGTGCTAGTGACATTGGAGTCTATCACTTAAAGGAAGAATATCTCGATGAGATCAATCCTTATTATTTCAATTATACTACCAATATTAAAGATGATGCTATTAAATTCGTTAAAGAAAGAACTAGAAAGAGAATTAGAAAACCGATTTCCGAAATTGTTATTGAACCAAAATTAAGGGATCCTGAAGAGTTAGGTAATTTCAAATATATTGGTAATTTCTCAGCATCAACATATTTCTCTGATTTCTTAATCAAGACACTCATGTACATCAGAAAGGAAGGTACGGAAGCTGAAAGTTTATTAGAAACCGCCCTTCATTTAATTCACATATGTGCTTTTGAAAATACAATTGATATGGCTCAATACGGTTCATTTTACGATAGGTTTGTGAATGTTTCTGATAATCATCATACTTCAATTGCAGTATTGCTTTATGAATTTTTATGTAATGAAGAGTTCAAGAATCATCATTCGAAAATTCGTTATATTTTGAAAGTGTTCGAAGATAAGTATCATACACTTAATAAAATATTGGGTGAACAAGTTACATCATTCGATCAGTTTAAAGTCGATTTATGTACGAATGAAGTAGGAGATGAAAATGAATATGAAAAGAAGAAACGTATTGCGCATGAGAGACAAGCGAAATTATTGGCCAAGTTCAAAAAGCGCCAGTCTAATTTCTTGAAGAAAAACAATTTTGAAACGGTCGATGGAAGTGATATAGAAATGGAAGATTATGATGAAGAATTTGGGTGGAGATTTCCCGAGCCACATTGTTTACTTTGTCAAAATGCTGCTGAAGAAAGTCCGTTTGGAATAATGACTTATGTTACAAAGTCTTCAGAGTTCAGAACAGTACCGTTCGATGACAAATATTGGTTTGTTAAATCCTTTTCAGATGGTGCCAATTTAGACAAGTACGAAGATGCCAACACTGAAGCCAAGTCTGATAAATGGAAGTCATACATGCATAAAGTAAAAGAAAGCAATGTTATTGGCCCTGGATTTTCAAATCAAGACCATGTTGATAGTAAGTTGGTATCTGTTAGTTGTGGTCATGGTATGCATTTTCTGTGTTACATGAATTTTATAAATTCAAGAAGTAATCAAATACAGATCACTAGAAACACACCGGAAAATATAGAACACAAAGAGTTTATTTGTCCTTTATGTAAAGCTATAAATAATCTGTTTGTTCCTATCCTTTGGACTTCCAATAACAGAAGTCTTGGAAAGTTTTTGACTCCTTCATCAGGTAATGTTTTCGAAAACTTGTCCCCAAAATTTTTACACGATAAAGAGTGGTATGAAGGCTTTACAAAGTCTTGCAAGAGTGATGTTGAAAAGCTATCTATTTTACTGCCGATAGAAAAAGAAGCTATATTTCTGGATTCAGAAAGTGATAGTCTAAGACAACAAAATTTCAAATCTTCATTAAGAAAGATGTTTCAGATATTATCTTGTTTAACATTTCCTCAACTATTTAAACCGGATGGTACATTTATATTAGCAAACACAATTAAATCCCTTGAAATATCTTTAAGAGGAATCTGTTCAAAGGACCAACTTCTTATTTCTCAACTTTCTAATAAATCGTTGATTAACTTAAGAAGTTTAAGTGAGTTCCGTAATTCTAGTGTGTTAATGAAAATGAACAACTGGTTACAAGCTCCTAACCCTGGCAATGAGGTTTACTCAAAGAGTCTTGCCGTACTACTTTCATTGTCGGGACCCATGATGAATACATCTATTATGGAATCTGATTTCTTGGAAACTTTAGTGAGTACGCTTCCAATACCATCAGCTGGATTTTCTTTCAATGCAATTTTGAATACTTGTTTGATTGGACACATTATTCAATCATTAAATATTATAGTGAAGGAATTAGTAAACCATGATCAGTATAGGAGTTCCGAATTTTCCATTTTAGATATTCCTGTTATCGAAGGAATTGACTCGAAAACTATCAAGGCGGTTAAGACCATATTCAAGAAATTAAAATTGGTTCATGATAATGCCGGTGATGAAGATCAATTTCAAAATGATGAGATATTTGCTCAAGTATTCTATTCGATGCTTGTGAAAACAACAACTCCGTTTTTGAGAAGAGCTGCAATCTATTCATTTGTTCAATGTGCAAACTATGAAAATGTACAAATTTCATATCCCGATGTGTTTTTAGAAGCTGACAGATTAAGTATGTTTTTAAATGTGAAACTCATTTCTGAATATTTGAATCTTTTCGTTTCACAAGAGAAATGCTATGAAAGCTCAATCTTCAATAATTTCGTATCATATCTTAAAATATCCACAAGATCTAGCCCTGATCAATTCACCATCAAAGAACTTGAATATCCAGGAATAGTCAAATTGACAGAACTTCCAGATCGTCTTGATTTCTTTTTTACAAAGTATTATTATCTGGACAAATACAATAATCCACATATGTCCATAGAAGATCCTGCTATTTGTTTGTTCTGTGGTGAAGTAGTTGACATTCAGAAGTCAGCTATTGGTTGCAACGAGGGTCAATGTACAACACATTACTTGAAGGAATGTGCTAACGATGTTGGTATATTTTTACTTCCGAAGGATCGTGGCCTTCTTTTATTACATAAAAATGGAGGCTCTTTCTATAATGCTCCATTCTTGGATCAACATGGTGAATTACCAGGAGAATCAAAGAAGCCCAAAACTCTATATTTAATGAAAGCAAGGTATGACGACTTTATGAGAAACGTATGGTTACAACACAATGTCCCTAATATTATTGTGAGAAATCTCGAAAGTGTTATGGATATGGGAGGTTGGGATACCTTATAATTACAGTTTATAGAACTTTAAATACATGCAAATTTATTTCCGTTATATATACATATTTACCATAAGAAATTATTTATATCTTCAGGTAACGTTTCTTCATCGAATTCATCGCTACTTTCATCCATGCCTTCCATATCTTCATCCATGCGATCATCTTCTTCCACAAAGACGTTCATTACGTTGCCTTCGGATCTTGAACTAAAAATATTCCTTGTTACAAACGAACGAAGACCTTGATTCAACCACAACTTATTGAAAGCAGCGTACCTGTATTTGTTCAAACTGGCACTTCCAGGCTTACTAATTTTCTTTACTTCACCATGAACAGTTAAATAAGGACCTGATATTTCAACATTTATAGGACTGTGATCAATGTGAGTTATAATTCGTAAGAGGTTAAGTCTAGGAATAAAGAAGACACCTGTATGTACAGCACATTCACTTAAATGTTGTGATCCCTTTGATCTTTTAACTCTACTTCCACAGATCAAACACACAATCTTATCATAACCAGCCTTGGGTGAACTATTATTCGAATCGATCACACAAGCATTATAATCCTTTACCATATCGATTAACAGAACAACACCTGGATATTCAAGGGCAAGAATTCCTACATCGAAGTATTTAGGAATCTTAGCAGCTAAAACAATCTCTAAGATTTTTGATTCAAAATCAAAGCGTTGAGAGATAAGTCCATCTATTAACTCAGGCAAAGTTGGCAAACCAAGAACTTTTGTCAAAGCCGTTATATCTTCGATACGTTCTTGTAATAATATTTCTGAATCTAAGTTCTCAAACTTATCTAATGATTGAAATGTATTCTCGCTAATATGTTCTGAGGTAATTAAGTCTTCAAGAATAACCAATTGTCTCAAAAATGGCAACATAAGCATTTCCGTAGCAAAGTAAAATTTCTCAGCCAAACTTTCATAATCAATCTCCCAGTCACCCATTGGATCAGACACTAATTTCATAAGAGAAATAAATGAGTTCTTCGTAGAATCTTCTAAAGACGACCTCACTTCCAATAAAGAAAATTGAAAGCCTGGATCACCCAAATGTCTGCTTATGAGTGAATATAATGTTACTGTCAATAATTTAGTCATTCCCAAACGTCCTAAAGTCAAAAGAGATTCATCGGTTTGGAAATAAAGCAGCAACACTTCATTAAATACACCATCCAATAAATTTCCAGAATTCCAGAATGACTCTACTTCAAAAGACAAATCATATTTAGAATTCAATAAAAGGGGTGAGCTTCTGCATTCATACATAACAGCTCTGCATTGAATGAGCGAACGAAGTAATATTTTTGATGGGTTAGGAATTAACTTTAAGAAATTACTATATGCCTCTTCGCCTTCATATCTTGTAGCTATTTCATTCATCCTAATTGTATCAGCTATCATCACAGAGATGTTCTGTAAATTGTTAAAATATTTTTCATTATTATTAATACCTACTAGGTATCGTCTATCACTAGCAATATTTGTCAAATTATCAACCAATACTCTGGCAAATTTAGTGAAATCTGTATCTGGTGAATGAATATAATCTTCATGAACCAAACCTTCAATTATATTTCTTGACTTTGAAGAACTACTTGATGCAAGAATTTGATTATATTTATTATTTATTGGTGCCTTTGAAAGTTCAGCAATATCAATACCACCACCAGTCGATGGTGAAATAAACGAAGGAATGAATTTGTTGTGTAAATTATGACATAATGGACAAGCAAAATGACTTAATTCCTGAGAAGGTCTTGAATAACATGCATAATGCATACCATGACCACATGTCGTAAACACATTTCCTCTAAACATCTTATTGTTAAACTCACTTTGAAAAGACGAGTAGTTAAAACCTTCACCATAAACCTTCTCCATAGAGAGATCATTTTTTTTTTCATTCCATCTTGTGAAACCAATCTTAACTCGATTACGATCTTCAGGAACTTTCCAAAACGTTGCTGCTTCAGAAACACTAGCCAAGATACCAAATGGACCATTAGTTGCTTCAGTCTCACCACATAAAACACAAGTTCTCAAAGTAGCCGACGAGGAATGCTCTTCCTTTTCATTTAAGCTATCATGAATTGCACTCAGCTCTAAGTTTTGTTGAAGGAATTTATCTCTCTTTTTAGCAAACTTTTTCATAATTTTAGCTTTACGTTCTTCTGCTAATCTCTTTTTCTTTTCAACTTCAGTTTCAACTGTCTTCTTTCTTTTATATGATTTGATGTGCTCTTCACCAAACGAGTCTATTAAATTTTCTATAATTCTTGAGTCTTTTGAGATAAGTTGATCAACGAGATAATCAGCTTTCAGAACCACATATTTAGACATGGTAGATTCCACAATGGTTAATAATAAGTCTGTAATCGAAATATTAACAAAATGTTCACTTAAATACTTTTCCCCAAATAATAACTCATCATCCTTTAAAACTGCATGGATAAGATGAAGTAACTGAGGCAAATAAGTTTCATCGGAGGTATCAATGGCAACTTGTAAATATTTATAGATTAATTTTGCAAATTCTTTTGATTTAACAAGTTGTCCAATATTTTTATCGACAAATTCATCACCACTAGTACTAATTTTAGGAGTTAAAATAACACCATCTTCAGGAATACCCTTATTCTTAGCTATATTCTTGATCAAAGTTTCGGAGACTTCTTGATATTTACTTGAATCTAAGAACAAGCTTATGGAATCCAAGTCTTCATATTTTGAAGCCCTAAGTCTGTATAAACCAGTATCAGTCAAACCTGTTGGCTCTTGATACTCAGCTAATTCACTAAGAAGATCATCAAATTTTTCTAATGAATTGATTTCATCACCCACATGTCTTCTAAGATCAGAATATGATCTTGGTTCTTCACATAAAGAATATGAGATTCGCAATCTAGCTTGTTGGAAAAGTCTTTCTTCAGCTGATGTTTTAAGAAAGCACAGTCTATCAGTAATTAAATTATAAAGGAAAATAATGAATTTTTCTGAAATTGAATTAAATCTATCTTCATAAATTGTCTTATCATGAGATTCACTATTTTCATACCATTTCAATAATTCCCATCTATGTAAAAAGTTTAATAATGTTTCTTGAGGATTATCATAAATGGCTCCAACTTGACACAAATGGAAATCTCTGACATAAGTATGATCAGCAAATACGGGATCAAAATATAACGACGATTGTCTTGATGCAGACACACCATTTCTTATCCAAAATCCAATTTTAATTTGAAATCCTAATACGATACTTCTTAATGAAAAATCTGACACATAGATAAATGGAATTTTAGATAAGATAGTACTGAAATTTGTGACTCCTTTGGCTTGTAAGATGTATGACAAAAGAGAATTAATCGAATTAATAAATGAAACGGGATCCTTACTGACTCTAAATGTGATCCTTCCCTTAGAATCAATTTGTTTTGGTAATAATTCAAAATGATCCATAATTAAACTGACAGCGTTCACTTCATCATCTAATGCAAGGTCATAAGTAGCAACTGATTTTGTAATTTCAAGGATTTTAAGAGAGAATTCTAAATGAACTCTGAAATCATAACTTTCAAGTTCAACATGAGTACCATACTTCCTTATTAATGGCCAATAACCTTGGAAATTTCTCAAGAACATTAAAAGTAAGAAGAAGTTTTCTTTCTCCAACATTCCAGAGATGCTTGATCCTGCAAAAGACTTATCAGTTACTTTCTTAGCAGTATCAACACCGAACATAATGGCTTTTTTCATAGCTAAGGAACTAGAGTCAAATCGAGCTGGTTCGATATAATTAGGGAATCCAGCCTCATCATTCCATTCTGATGAATATTTTTCAATGATATACGATAATGGACCTAAAATATTACCAATTTGATTATTATGATAAATTTGAGATACACAAGTTGGACAGGTTAAGATTTGAACTGAAACCTCATGTAATGAACTTAAATCTTCTTCTCTATCAGTTATAGCTAACATTGAGAATAATGAGGGGAAGATTTCCATGAATTGATTAGCGAAAATTGCTTTATTATCCAAATCAGAAACTATAGGTTGTAAGAAAATTGATGATAATTTCCTTCTAGTAGACTTTGTTAATCTAATTTCAAATAATAAGAAGTACTGCAATCTTGATTTCGATATAAAATTTAAATCACTTTTTGGTTGTAATACGAAATTTGCTCGATTTTCTAAATCTCCAGCTTCAAATGGACGTTTCACTTCACATAATCCCATATTTGGGAATTCATTATCCAACACAAGACCACTGACGAAACATAATTCATCTAAACCATGTGCTACTCTATTAAATAATGATCTTGGTAATGGTTTTGATAATTGGTGTCCTGGTTCAAGTAATAACTCTGCTAAAATTGACTTTGAAAGTTCACTGAAACTACTATTGGATGTGAATTGTACTATATCAACTAACCAACTTATAAGATGTTCAACAATGTTATCCCTGGCATAATCTCTTGAACTTACAATGGTAGCGATCAAGCCACCTCTTTCAACTTTATCTTTGGTTTTGATCAATCTTGATACACTTTTAGATTCTTGAATTATACATCTTCCCTTGGAATCGATTTCATGAGTTAAATCTTCTAATTTTGATTCACTACCTCCAATACCACTCTTAATAGCATTTTTAGCTTCTGTTGAATTATGACGTTCATCATTCCATAATACTAAGAACCATTCATCTTTAAAATTTGAATCTTGTACACCTCCATATAATTCACTTGGTAATGATGAAAATTCAGAAACAATCTCAGGAGATAAATTGACTCTACTGTCATTCATCATATCATGTACAGATGGTAAAGTTTGTATAGCAAAATTGGTTACATCCAAGATATAATCAAGACAAATCTTAATCGTTTCACTTAATGAAGATTCTAATTCACTTAGATCTATAGATGGGTTTGATTGTGATTGACAACGACAATTAAGTGGTTTAAAAGCTTCGGGATCACCACAATCACAAATACCTGATCCACCATTGGAAACTGATACAGAAACATTATGATCGACATGATCATATCTATTGAAACAGTGGACACATAATACACAAGTATCATCATACCCACATTGTTCGCAGCGATATATTGGTTCGTCTTTCTTCATTCTTCTTGCACAAGCTTTACCTTTTGGATGAGAATACGAAGATCCACTTGATTTGACATTATAAAATGGTTTCTTATCATAAGAACCGATCTCAAAGGAGTATCCATTCAATTCTGCTATTTCATCATCAGATATATGAGGGAAAAGTAACGATAAATGTTCACCTTCATCAGATGCTGCATAATATAAAGTTCGATAGATTAAATATTCAACTTCGGTAGGATGAGCGGCTCTCATTTGAGATGGAAGCTCTACTAAAAATCGTTTTAGTAAATCTGGCTTCATCTTCTTTAAGTGCTCCAATTGAGTATGAATATTGAACAAATGATATAAAGATCTGAATCAATCTGTAAAAATGGCATGAAGTCAAAAGAGGTATCCATAGCTTTGATTTATAATTAGACGGGTCTATTTCGGTTTCAGATTTGTTTTGTCATTTCTTATGTCGCAAAAAATAAATTTATTCAAAAATGACAAAAGGAAAAAATCGACATAACTTTTGCGACATGACAATTCTGTTTGATGGCATCCTCAATTTATTTTTACAGCACAAATAGAAAAATTTAAGCACTGTTTTTATTAATAATTTATCATCAACTACGATCTAAACAACCATATAACAATAACATCAGCCATGGCGGTTATAAATCAACCTAATAGTCAGATCAAATTGACTAATGTTTCCTTAGTTCGTATGAAGAAAGGAAGAAAAAGATTTGAAATAGCATGTTATCAGAATAAAGTTCAAGATTGGAGACTGAAAGTTGAAAAAGATCTTGATGAAGTATTACAAATTCCTCAAGTGTTTCAAAATGTATCTAAAGGTCAAGTGGCTAACAATGAGGATTTAAAAGAATCATTTGGTAGTACCAATCAACAAGAAATCATTTTAGAAATCTTAAATAAAGGTGAAATTCAATTAAATGAAAAGGAAAGATCAGCTAATTTACAACAAAAGCAAAATGAATTCTTAACTATCATCTCTACAAAATGTATAAATCCAAAATCTAAAAAGAGATATCCACCAACCATGATTCAAAAGGCATTAAATGAAGTTAAATTCCATTTAAATCCTACTAAACCTGCCAAATTACAAGCATTAGACGCTATTAAATTACTTGTGGAAAAGCAAATTATTCCCATTGCAAGAGCTCAAATGAAGGTTAAAATAGTATTGGTAAGAAAATTACATCCAAAGGTTTTTAAAGATGATATTGAACAATATATTGATCATATTGAAGATGAAGATAAGAATGATAAAACTTTCCAATGTACTGGTATCATTGATCCTATCAATTATAGAAATTTAGTGAGTATTATTGAAGAAGGTGAAGGTAAGAAAGTTGGTAAAGGTGAAGGTAGTATAGAAGTTCTTGATATGGCTGCTATCAAGGAAACTTAAGTTGTAATTATTATAGATTAATATATATATATTTATTGGTATACTTAATGTACTGGTTATAATTCTAAGTGTAGAGATAAGTAACCATTTCACATGATCATGAATGCTTCTAAATTTACAGATAACAACTTCAATCTTCAACAGCACCAATCTCTCATAACTTGTTGTTATCAATAGGGTCTTAATTTAGGGTTCCAAATTTAGCTTAGCTTAAATATTTGATAGTGCGACCCGTCAGTATAAATTTTTTTCATTTGTGACTCAAATTTAAATGAACAAATTTTTTTAATTTAACCAGATCAATCAAAGTTAGTTTCACCATCAGTTATCATCATCATGTCCGTTGAACTTTCGCCTGAAGAGCAATACAGATGGATCACCAAAGACTTACAAGAAGTCTTAAATGCTCAAATCATTAAAGATGTATTGGAAAAGGAAAAGAGACCATTAAGACTCTACTGGGGTACTGCTCCAACTGGTAAACCACATTGTGGATATTTTGTACCAATGATTAAATTAGCTCATTTCTTAAAGGCTGGGTGTGAAGTTACTATTCTTTTAGCTGATTTACATGCCTTTTTAGATAATATGAAAGCTCCATTAGAAGTAGTTCAATATCGTGCTAAATATTATGAATTTGTGGTTAAATCTATTTTAACATCTATTAATGTTCCAATTAATAAATTAAAATTCACTACTGGTTCATCTTATCAATTAGGTGAAAAATATACTTTAGATATTTTTAAATTATCCAATATTGTCTCTCAAAATGATGCTAAAAGAGCTGGTGCCGATGTGGTTAAACAAGTTTCTAATCCATTATTATCAGGATTGATTTATCCATTAATGCAAGCTCTTGATGAAGAACATTTAGGAGTTGATGCTCAATTTGGTGGTGTTGATCAAAGAAAAATCTTTGTTTTAGCTGAAGAAAACTTACCAAGTCTTGGTTATAAAAAGAGAGCTCATTTAATGAATCATATGATTCCAGGTTTAGGTCAAGGTGGTAAAATGAGTGCTTCAGATCCAAATTCTAAAATTGATATTATTGAAGATCCAAAAGTAGTAAGAAAGAAGGTTAATAGTGCTTATTGTGCTCCAGGTGATATAAAAGATAATGGGTTAATTGCTTTCCTTGAATTTGTTGTTCAACCAATTCAAGAATTATTAGCTGATAAAGAAGGTGTATTCAAATTAGAAATAAATAGACCTGAAAAATATGGTGGTCCAATTACTTATACTTCAATTGATGAATTAAAAGCTGATTATGAAAGTGAAAAATTATCTCCAGTTGATCTTAAATCAGGTGTAGCTGAAAGAATTGTTGATTTATTGGCTCCAATCAGAACCCAATTCGATGCTAGTCCTGAATTCCAAGCTGCTCAAAAGAATGGTTATCCTGAAGTGAATCCAAAAGGTGAAAAGAAAGTGAAAAAGTCTAAAGATAAAGGTTCAAGATATCCTGGTGCTGGTAAAAGTGAATCTCCAGCTCCAGAAACTGCTCCAGCTTCTGCCACTGAAACTATCACTGAAACCTTAGAATATACTAAACTAGAATAGATTAATCTTACAATCTTTATAGAATCTTTTATACTTAGTTTATAGAATCTACTTATATATATATACTTAACTTGTCTTAACTATGTGCGTGCATGTACCAATTCTATAGCCAATCAATTCATGCTCAAAATTGTATTATACCAAACCAACTGAAAAAAAAAAATCAACTGTAAACCATTTATAGAATTAGCTGTAAGCTTTTAAAGAAGAATCAAATCACATAACAAGATATAATGGTATGTAAAACTTACAATGTCTACGTTGAATGATACTTGTTACTTGGAAGAAGACTGATTCATTTTTGAGTTTGCTTTCATACTCATTGAATGACAGTTTGAATCATATAGATGAATCTCCATCAAACAACAATGATGACTTCTAATCATTTATCAGAATAACAAGATACTAACTTATACTCTCTAGTCCTTTATTACTCAATTCTTTCAAAGAAATTCCATCTATGTTGCCACTATCTTTGGTGGAGCCTTTGCATTCCAAACTTTTTTTGATGTAACAGTTACTAAATGGTATGAAAATCATAATAAAGGTAAATTATGGAAAGATGTTAAAGTTAAATTCCTTGAAGGTGCCGGTGAAGAAGAAGATGACGAATAGATTTATTAATCTGATCATTCTATAATCCCATTTACTCCATCAAACAGTCATAAACCTATTCCTGATAAAGTTAGACAACAACCCACACATCACACATATATTTCTTTCTTCGTATACTATAAATGAAACTATGTTGAATGAGTGTCAATGATTAAATACATATTCCTGTACCATACCATACCATCTTGATTTAACAATTGAATCTTTGAAACACTACATCATATCACAATTTTATTAATGTTCATTCTGATACATAGTTATTTATTTCTTTTTACAGCATTTTAAATCAACTATCTATTTAATATCAATTCAAGTCATTGTAGAGTTGTAGCATACATTCATACAACCAACATATCTCTTTTAACCATTGATTGTAGTTATCACTTCAATAATATCTAAACCTATTGTAATTTACTGAGTTAATGAAAGTTCGCGTAATCTTCAGTATGATAATTTTTTTTCCATTTCATCACAAAAATTTTTTTTTTCACCATGAAGCTAAAAACAGAAAGGTTTAAAGATTCTGATTTCATAAGAAAAGAACATATACTATACCAAGACAATGTCTATCGTTTTACCATCTGGTTCCGGTGAATCCTTCACTGCTGGATCCCCATATACTACTCCAATCCGTCGTCCTATAGAACCTGTTGGTCGTTACTTTTTAGCTCATGCTTCAAGAACTTTAAGAGGTCATACTTGGTCTGAATTTGAAAAATTAGAAGCTGAAAAGAATGTGAAACAAGTGGAAGAAAACGAAGATGAAGATTTAGGCGACGAAGAACAATCTGATGAGTTATTAGCTCATGATCCAAGAGAATGGAAAACTGCTGATCTTTATGCTGTGTTAGGGTTATCTCATTTAAGATTCAGAGCTACTGAAGATCAAATTAGAAGAGCTCATAGAAAACAAGTTTTAAAACATCATCCAGATAAGAAATCTGCTTCCGGTGGATTAGATCAAGATGATTTCTTTAAAATCATTCAAAAATCTCTTGAAGTTATGTTAGATTCCACCAAGAGACAACAATATGATTCTGTTGATGAAGGTGCTAATGTTAAACCTCCAGCTGCTAAATCTGAATATGATTTCTTTGAAGCTTGGGGTCCAGTATTTGAAAGTGAATCAAGATTTTCTAAAAAACAACCAGTTCCTCAATTAGGAGGACCTGAATTAACTAAAGATGAAGTTGATGCCTTTTATAGTTTCTGGGGTAAATTTGATTCTTGGAGAACTTTTGAATTTAAAGATGAAGATGTTCCAGATGATACTGCCAATAGAGATCATAAACGTTATATTGAACGTAAAAATATTGCTTCAAGAAAGAAGTTAAAGCAAGAAGATAATAAAAGATTAATAGATTTAGTTGAAAGAGCTCATGCTGAAGATCCAAGAATTAAGAATTTCAAGGAAGCTGCTAAAAAGGAAAAAGCTGCTAAGAAATGGGAAAAGGAAGCTGGATCAAGAAAAGCTGCTGAAGAAGCTACTGCTAAAAAGGCTGCTGAAGAAGAAGCTGCCAAAAAGGCTGCTGTAGAAAATGCTTCCAAGAAAGCTGATTCTAAAAAGGCTAAAGAAGCTGCTAAAGCTGCTAAAAAGAAACAAAAGAGAAATGTTAGAGGTTCAGTTAAAGATGTTGATTATTTCGGTGATGCTGATAAATCAGCTGCTATTGATGCTGATGTTGATTTATTACTTGAAAAATTCGATGATCTTCAATTAGCTGATGTTTCATCAAAAGTTGTTGAAGCTGATGCTGCTACTGTTAAAGCTGCTTTCAGTTCAATTATTTCAGATTTGGTTGGTGCTGGTAAACTTGAAGCTTCATACTTGAAATATTTCTCTGCTTAGAACCCTCCATATATATTTAAGTACAATTAATATAAATTAGTAAAGTTAAAGAAAAAAAAAATTAGATATACATTTAATCAAGCTATATGATTTTATAGTTTTATTCATCTAAATCAACTTTATGATGTAATACTTCACCTTTCATATGATAATGAGCCTTTCTCATTTCTTCAAATCTTTTATGTCTTTCTTCAGCTGAAACTTCTTCTTCTTCCTCTTCATCATCATTATCTTCATCACCATCATATTCTGGATCTTTAATCACCTCTCCGCCATGAAGGGATTCTATTTTACTTTTATCTTTCAGATTATCAAATTCACTTTCCCCTAATTCAAAATCAGGAATTTGATCAGTACCATTCAAACCATCTTCAGGATCATCACGATAATATTCACCATCAGGGTTGAAACCACCTTCATATGGAGTCTTTGGTTCATCAATCTTCATGGTGGCTGATTTTTCTTGTTCAGTTTGATATAGATTCAATTCATCCCATTTAAGATGATCATGATTTTGATCATCACCACCTTCTTTAGTATGTTCTCCACCTTCACCCTCTTCTCCATCATGATCATGTTTCTTCTTTTCAGCTAACAAAGCTCTTATTTTATCTCCTTCACTGGAATATTGTTGGGCCAATTGAGCATTAAGTTGAGTATTCTTTATAACTTCCTGACGATCCAATTGGTCTGGAGCAATTATATTTGGATTGGAATCTCTTTTATTCCTTAATATACCTTTAGGGGCCTCTGACATTGTAACTATATGTGTATGACTGTATATGGAGTATAATTATACTATATTAAAATATGAATTGAACTAATTCTGATCTATATCAATATCAATCCATACTTTCTATATCAAACATCAGTCAATTTCTTGGTCTGTGTCATGACAGTTTAAAAAGGAGACACTAAACTAAAAAAAGATCACATGGTCAATCACATGACGCATTTTTTTGTCATTTTTGCCAACACTGAAAATGAGTGCTCTGTTTTCACGGTCTGTGGTTTTACCAAAACATTGCCATCCCAACCTTTAAAACAGATCATATATTATTTCATCTAGATAGATCTCGATATCATATCTACATCGGGAATCACCAGCTTCAAATTAGTCCATACCTAAGATCAATCATTCTAAGGTAAATTGACGAAACGCAGGGATCTTAAAATTACGCATAATAAACTGACTGACGGTGTTCATAAATCTGATTATTAATTTCATTTGGTCCAACCTATTTTACAACTTCTTTCATCAGTTGTAATATCATATATCAACATACACATAGTGTCGTCATCCATATAGTATCATATCATCAACATTAAACAAATATGGGTCAAGCATTCAGTTTTGCTGGGATATTCAGTAAATTATGGGGAGTACAGAAAGAAATTAGAATACTTATATTAGGGTTAGATGGAGCAGGTAAAACCACTGTGTTATATCGATTACAATTAGGTGAAGTGGTAACCACCAAACCAACCATTGGATTCAATGTTGAAACTTTAAAATATAAAAATTTAACTTTAAATATATGGGATTTAGGTGGTCAAACTTCGATAAGACCATATTGGAGATGTTATTATAGTAATACTGCTGCCATAATATTCGTGGTTGATTCAACTGATAAAGATCGTATTGACATTGCATGTAAAGAATTACATACCATGTTAAAAGAAGAAGAATTGCAAGATAGTGCATTATTAGTATTTGCTAATAAACAAGATCAAGCTGGTGCTATGACTGCTGCTGAAGTATCTCAAGCTCTTAATTTAACTGATCTTAAAGATAGAAGTTGGAGTATTGTAGCTTCAAGTGCTATTAAAGGTGAAGGTTTAACTGAAGGGTTAGATTGGTTAATGGATGTTATAAAAGATGAACAATTATAATTAACTGAAATCAACAGTCACTCCTCCCTCCAGCATACCACCCCCGTCATATCATCATCAATTAAAAATTAGAGATCAAAACTTTTCATACATCTTATACACACATAAAAAATATCTATAATCCTTTGTCATTATTCACCTTCTTCCTTCTTCCCCATAAAAAGCGAAAATATTTAACCCTTCTATTTATGTACTTATAATAATTTTATATTTATCTAATACAATTTATATTATTACCAAATATTTTTAAGTTTAACTTTCTCTTTCTCTAACTCTTTCTAAAATGGTTTTAATCATTTCATTACCAATAGCATTAGCTTCTGAAAACATCGGTTGAAAGAATTTTTGTGTCTTCTCAAATTCTAACTTATATAATTCAAAATTCCCAAATGTAATTATACTAGCCCAATTTCTAGCAGCTATAGTGAATTCCAAATCTTCTTCTCTAAATGAAACATCATCAACCGCAACTTCTATACACTCATTAAGTAATTCAGGAGTACAGAAAAGATATTCTGTCACCCCTAAAAATATTCTAAATAATGGAGTTGAACAAATTATATGATCATATGGTACTATACCTAAATTATACCAACTATCAACAATAGCTAACAATGCTAAATGAGAATTTGGATGTCTACCACCAGGTGGAACTTTACTTAAAGAATATTTTTGTAAAATATCATCATCTAATAATAAATCATTAGTTTCACTAATATGATGGAACACAAAATCTTTAGCTTTTAATAATCGTTCTCTTAATTCAGATTTTTTACCTTGAATCATTAATCGGAATAATTCACTAGTAGATTTAGAATATTGTAATACTTGATCATGAGCTGATGGATTAGTAATAGAAAGTCCAGCATAAACATGCCATTTATTCGAAAATATCCGTAATGAAATATTAATCTTTGCATTTTCAATCCCTCCAACCCATTTAGGAGTTTCCCAGGGGTATTGATTTGATGATTTCCAAGCTACCCCCATAGAAAGGAAAGCGGCATGTGTAACTGCTTGGGTATCAGCGGTGATTTTATCATGTTCTTTAGCGGAAAGATAAACATGTTTTGATTTAAGACAAGATACTAAACATTCCACAAATTTAAAACTTTCATCACTAGCTCGATGTTGAATTAAAACTAATGGTTGACCGGTAGTACTAACTTTAGGACCATGTAATGAATGAACTGAAACTATTTCGATATCAGATGGTAATGTATTTTCAAACGCTGCTACTTCAGGAGCTTTACAAGATGTTTGACCTCCAACTATAGCTCCAAATTTTGTAGATGGTCCATATAATGATACAATTTTATCAATATTGGCAGCTTCCACACTATAAATGATATAATCTGAGATACGAGACACGTAATGACCATTCTTTAACACGGTGAACTTTTCATCTTTGAATTTATCCACAGTTGTATTGAATATATCTTCTCTATCACATCCTACTACTTTCCAACCTGCTTCACTAAATCGTTTGGCGTAAAGTGCTCCCATATCACCCAATCCAATGATCCCAATCGTTTTCTCGTGTTTGAGTTTCTCTTCTTCCTCAACTGTGAACTTCACCATTATGCTGTTGTTATATCTGAATGGTGGTGTAATTATAAGTATCGTGTGGTGTGAACTTTATAACTCCAACTTTTTATGAGTAACCGCAAAACCAAAACCAAAAAAAAATATTCAGATCTTTGAAAAGTTTTGAAAAATCATAAACACGTTATTTACACCACCAACAAATCAAGAGAAGAATGGGTCAATCAAGAGCTTTCAGTGCTCCAGGGAAGGCGTTGATAGCGGGTGGATACTTGGTATTAGATCCAATTTACAATTCATATGTTACAGCATTGTCATCTCGAATGCATTCTATTGTGGAATCCGATATCACCACCTCGACTAATGGAAGGAGGATCAAGATTTCATCACCCCAATTCAAACAAGGTGAATGGGAGTATATAATTGATGGTGACAAGTACTTTAAGGATTTGAAAGAGATTAATGGAAGAAAGAATCCCTTTATAGAAGCTACCATTGCTACTATCTTAAGTTATATTCAACCTAAACATAATTTCAATATCAATATAACCATTTATTCTGATGCTGGATATCATTCTCAAGAAAACACTGTTTCAGAAGTATCTTCCAATGGTCATAAACAATTCTTATACCATGAAAAAGCAATCAATGAAGTGGCAAAGACAGGATTAGGATCATCCGCAGGTTTAGTCACAGTATTAACCATTGCATTATTATCATACTTTGAACCTCAATTCAATACTAATACTTCTAAACATATTGTTCATAATTGTGCTCAAATAGCTCATTGTTATGCTCAAAAGAAGATTGGATCAGGATTTGATGTGGCAGCTGCTGTATATGGATCCATTATATATAAGAGATTTCAACCATCATTAATTGAGCCATTCTTAACAGGTGATAATGTGAATAATATAGACGAATTAAAAAGTTTGATTGAATCTGAATGGGATTTCAATCATGATCAATGTACTTTACCACCTAAAATCAGATTATTAATGGGTGATATTGAAGGGGGATCTGAAACTCCTAAATTAGTAAGTAAGATCTTAAATTGGAAACGTGAAAAACTTGAAGAGAGTGATTTATTATATCATAATTTGAATGCAAGTAATGAGAATTTAATTAAGGTCTTACATGATTTACATCAATTTTATAATCAAGATCCAGAAAAGTATATCACCGAAATAAACCAATCACATACTTCATCATCATCGCCTCAATTCAAAGCATTATCGGATGCTATCAATCAAATCAGATTAAACTTACAATCATTAACCAAACTATCAGGAGCAGATGTTGAACCAGAATCACAAACAGAATTACTTGATAATTGCAATTTATTAGCAGGTAGTTTTGGAGGAGTAGTTCCAGGAGCAGGAGGATACGACGCGATATGTTTATTAGTGATTGATCAATATATTGAAGATATTATTAAAGAAACGAAACATGATGAAAAGTTTAAGAATGTTACATGGTTGAATTTACATGAAGAAGAAGAAGGTGTTAAACAAGAGAATGTAGAAGATTACATTGGATTGTAAATTAGATAATTCATTTAATATAAAAAGTTGCAGAAAGTAGAAGTAGTTGTATAGATTTCAAATTTAATGAATAGAATTTTCTTGACATATTCTTCAAGTCATCTATAATCATATCAAGTTGTTCTTTGCATACGGTTTAATAACATATGGCACCATTTAAAAATTAATTCTATTTTTAGTCATTATTCGTTTTTTTTCTTTTGGTTCCTGAGTGAGGCTTTGACCCCAAATTTTACGAAAAAGAATCATCATATAAAGAAAGGCTGATTTCTCTTATCTAAGTATATTTTATTAATTTTAAAACGTCAATGGTTATTCAGTTGAGCTCATAATGTCATCTTATATTGAACCAAATGATGTACTACTAGGGCCTACACCAGTAGCCCAACCCCAGAGATTGAATCGATCAGATCAAAATCATGCCATGAATGAATTATTAGACAATGCTAAATCAGGACCATTAAATTATGATGAAGAAGTCGGTTCTGATGATGATTATTCTAGAACTGATAGAGATCAGTTCATACCCCATCAACAATACTTGGATTCCCAATTATACCTTAATAATTTAGATTCAGAGGGGAAAAGAAGAAGTATTTCTGAATCATCGATATATACGAAACGATTTCCTCAATTTAATACCAGTGCCCGAATATTCATGATTATTTCAATCATATCTGCTGTTATAGTCATTTTATTAGAAGTTTATATCCTTGTCATGATTCATTTACATGAGACTGATTTTGCCGTTTCGAAATATACCGAAATATCAATGTACGTGGCCATATTTGTATTTGCTATGATTTTTCAAATCCTTTTAACATACCTTGGGATAACCACTAAGAATTATCTTCTTATAATCATGTTGCTAATGTTCTATGGATGTATGATAATCTTCTGTGGGATTCAATATCATGAACTGAGACTTACGTTGGAGATCTATATGGTTAATGAAGATTCAAAACGATTAAGTATTCGAATCATAAATATCGTCATGATAGGGCTTACTGCGATATTGTTTTTGGTACAAGTAGTGATTTTCCAATTCCGATTAAGGAAAAGTTTAGAATTTTCACGATATTATAAAATCGGAGCTAATTTAAAGATCCGTCGAATGTATAATATATTTCAAATTCATCGATCATTGGTTATATTTGAAGGGTTTTTCTTTATTGGGTTCTTAATTCAATCATTAGTTATAATCGATACTAATGTTAATACCACTCCTAAACAATTCATTCTTACTGTTACTGCTTTCCCGGTAAGTTTAATAATTTTAATCATGAGTGATTTTGCAACATGTCGCGAATATCTTTATCTAACGATATTTACAACATGTGGATTTTTACTAGGGTTAACTTTTATAATATTTAAATTCGTCCTGATTTATACTAAATATGATATTGCTTATGGTGCGGACATTATTCCGGGATCTTATTTCCCAGGAAGGATATCATTAACTATATTTGCAGTTGTTAATATCGTTTTGATATTGATTAGCGTGATATTTGAAGTGTTAAGTGCTATGAATTATGATAAGGGGTTAAAAGTGAAGTTATCAGGGTATTATCATTGGAGGCGTTGGAGTAAGAAAAGAGAGGTGGGTGTTACTAAGGATGAGATGACTGAAGAGATTAAAGATGATCAAGTAGGTGATAATGAGTATAATGATTATAGTGATGATGAAATATCTATAAATTAGGTAATATTAATAGTAGTTTAATTGAATGTATAATATGTCAAATCAAGCAGTAAACGGTAGAAAAGTTTAACGGTTAACTTTAAAGTAAACAAACATACATCCATCCATAGATCATATGATTTAATGTTAACCTAAATTAAGTAATAATCGATAAAAATAAAAAAAAAATGCAACCGATATCAATCTGATGCATGAATTATAAATAATCACAAAGAAAGAACAAGAAGCATAATGACAGATGATTATGATTATGATGTAACTGATTATGGTTAAGGGTACTGTTGATCTTGAAGTTGTGAAATAATAAAGATCAAGAACATAAATGAATAATGGGATAAAGATGATCAGGTCATCTTGGCGCATAACCCTGTAAACGCATCCATAGTTAAGGAAAATGGTAAGAGACCGGATAATAGAATAATGATCCATTTGAGGGTGACCTTTTTGATTTAGTATGCATTTAGGGAGGCGCATTGGAAAAATGGAATGGGTTGGGACTTGTTAGCGCATACTGCCACAAAACAGGGTATGCGCATACACGGACAGAACAGGAAAAAAAGAAGATGTGCTAAAGACCATCAGGCCATGCGCTTATGGAAATTAAGAAGAATTAGGGGGGATGCGCCTAGGGAGAGAGAGATGGGAGGGATGCGATGGTCGGTGGCTAAAATAGATGGTTAAGGATACCTTAATGAAGAGGAGTATACCGTATAATTTATGTTAACTATGTATGTTGTTACAGAGGAGGTCTATCATCCGATTGACTAACTATTTTGTGATTTAAAATAATTGTTCTGTGTGGAATCTGTCACTAAAAAATTGGGTTCAGTAACTAATTTTTGCTTGCCCTCCCTGCACTGCTGCACTCCTCCTGTTCCAGTTAAGTTTCCGAAATCCACCAAAAACAACTGATTTCTTAATTTTAAACATGAGGGTGGTTCGATGACTGGTGGTCTCCTTCCATTAATTACCTTACATATTATTATTATTATTATTATTTATTTATTATTTATTTTTTTTTTTTAATTATGTGAACGACGTCCATTTTCAAATTTAAGGACAAAGGAGATGGTGAGTGGTGATGTATTTTAAACAATATATAAATGGGGTTTAACATCTTTTAAATTTATAATTTTCAGATTTGTTCTTTTTAGTCTTTTAATTCTTCACTTTTATATTCCATCAAATATAATTAAAAACCATATTATCAATTGCATACATAGTTCCATAACTGGTATCAATTGCAAAATTACAAAATCCTATTTATAGAAATCATAAAAATTTGAATTTTTCCAGGTATACGCATAATTAAAATCTGAAAAATCCCCCATCAAATTATTTAAACAATTAACTATCAAAGTTACAAAACCATTACATTACATTCAAAACAATTAATCCACTGACTTATCAATCATGGCTGAAATTACTTTAGGTAGATATCTTTTCGAAAGATTGCATCAATTACAAGTTAATACCATTTTCGGTGTTCCAGGTGATTTCAATTTATCCTTATTAGATAAAATTTATGAAGTTGAAGAAGCTCATGGTAAGAATTCCTTAAGATGGGCTGGTAACGCCAATGAATTGAATGCTGCCTATGCTGCCGATGGTTATTCCAGAGTTAAAGGTTTAGGTTGTATAGTTACCACCTTTGGCGTTGGGGAATTATCTGCTTTAAATGGTTTAGCTGGTTCTTATGCTGAACATGTTCCTGTATTACATGTTGTAGGTGTTCCATCCATCTCATCTCAAGCTAAACAATTATTATTACATCATACTTTAGGTAATGGTGATTTCACTGTTTTCCATAGAATGTCCAACAATATTTCTGAAACCACTGCTTTTATTTCTGATATTAATTCTGCTCCCGCTGAAATTGATAGATGTATTAGAACTGCTTGGATTAGACAAAGACCAGTTTATTTAGGTTTACCAGCTAATTTGGTTGATTTAAAAGTTCCAGCTTCTTTATTAGAAACTCCTATTGATTTAGCTTTACAACCAAATGATCCAGATGCTCAAGAAGAAGTTATTGAAACTGTATTAGAATTGATTCATAAAGCTGAAAATCCAATCATTTTAGTTGATGCTTGTGCTTCAAGACATGATTCTAAAGAAGAAGTTCGTACTTTAATTGAAACTACTCAATTCCCTGTTTTCACTACTCCAATGGGTAAAGGTTCAGTTGATGAAGGTGGTGTTGATGGTGAGTTATTTGAAGATGATCCAAATTTAATTCAAAAAGTTACTGCCAGATTAAGTGTTGGTAAAACTGCTGCTGCCAGATTTGGTGGTGTTTATGTTGGTACTTTATCTAAACCAGAAGTTAAAGAATTTGTTGAAAATGCCGATTTAATTATATCTGTTGGTGCTTTATTATCTGATTTCAACACTGGTTCATTCTCATATTCATACAAGACTAAAAATATTATTGAATTCCATTCTGATCATACTAAAATTAGACAAGCTACTTTCCCAGGGGTTCAAATGAAAGAAGCTTTACAAACTTTAAATTCAAGAGTTGGTCCAGCTTCTGCTCATTATAAAGTTAAACCAGTTCCAAAAATTAAATTAGCCAATACTCCAGCCACTGGTGATGTTAAATTAACTCAAGAATGGTTATGGACTAGAGTTTCATCATGGTTTAGAGAAGGAGATATTATTCTTACTGAAACTGGTACTTCAGCTTTTGGTATTGTTCAATCCAGATTCCCAAATAATACTATTGGTATTTCTCAAGTTTTATGGGGTTCAATTGGGTTTGCAGTTGGTGCTACTTTAGGAGCTGTTATGGCTGCTCAAGAAATTGATCCAGATAAGAGAGTTATCTTATTTGTTGGTGATGGTTCTTTACAATTAACCGTTCAAGAAATCTCCACTATGATTAGACATGGTACTACTCCATATCTTTTTGTTTTAAATAATGATGGTTATACTATTGAAAGATTAATTCATGGTGAAAATGCTTCTTATAATGATATTCAACCATGGGAAAATTTAGCTTTATTACCAACTTTTAAAGCTAAACATTATGATGCCATTAGAATCGCCACTATTGGTGAAGCTGAAGCTTTATTCAAGAATAAAGAATTTGGTAAGAATTCAAAGATTAGAATGATTGAAGTTATGTTACCAAGAATGGATGCTCCAGCCAATCTTGTTAAACAAGCTCAAATCACAGCTGCTGAAAATCAATCCTAATAGATCTAATCAAATCCAAATCCTCATTAATTAATTTAAAAAAGTACATACTTTCTATATATTATCATTTTTCAATCATTATTATTCTTTTTTATGACTGGTTCCTTTCTTCTCCTCCTCCTCTTCTACTTTTTTAGTTTGTTGATAAATTAAATTCAAAAATTTTATAATCTTAACGTTTTAAATAAATGCATTATGTTCTAATTAATTAATTAATCAAATCTGGTAGCATAATTGTTTAACCGTATGGGCTCATTTGGCTTAGTAATTTTATTAGTATTATTGTGGAGGTTCCCTTTGGTTGCCCAATAAAATTTCAAATTTCGGTATCCGCACTCCCTTTTACGTCAAAACTAGTTATCCCGATTCAATCTTTCAATTAACCTCCCTTTTACTTTCATTTTACTTCTACATCTTCAATTGATTTAATTTGTTATCATTTAACTTATTAGATACTTCCTAAAGACAATTTCATCAAAAACTTTTCACTTCAAAATGGCTTCAAATCCTCCAGGTGCTTGTTGTATTCAAGGTTCTTTACATGAAGGTACCCCAGTTGGAACTCATAAAACTCTCTTTGGTTTAGACACTTATCAAGTTGGTGCTGAACATGGTGATGAAAGAATCATTGTCATTGTTACTGATATTTACGGTCATAAATATAACAATGTGTTATTAATTGCTGATGCTTTAGCTAAACAAAAATATCATGTCTTGATCCCTGATATTTTAAAATCTGATCCTGTTCCTGCTACTCATGGTGATTTATCGGAATGGTTAGGTAATCATGGTCCAGATGTTACTTCACCAATTGTTGATCCATTCTTAGCTGCTGTTAAGAAAGAATTGAAACCAAAATTCTTTGGTGCTATTGGTTATTGTTATGGTGCTAAATACCTTATTCATAACTTAACTAAGGAAGGTCCATTAGATGCTGGTGCCGTTGCTCATCCATCTTTCGTCACCCTTGATGAAGTTAAAGCCATTGCTAAACCAATCATCATCTCTGCTGCTCAAACTGATCCAATCTTCACTGTTGAATTAAGACATCAAACTGAATTGGAATTAACTAAGATTGGTGCCAGATACCAAATTGATTTATTCTCTGGTGTTGTCCATGGTTTCACAGTTAGAGGAGATATCACTGATCCTATTGTTAAGTTTGCTAAGGAACAAGCTTTAGCTGATCAAATTGCTTTCTTCTCTCAATATTAAGAGAGTCAGTTCAGCTGTTATCAGATGTTTGATTTTTTAGAACACTTCTATTTATAGTTAGATTATATTTTAGATACAACTATATGTTATTTCATTGTTGTTAGATTTATACATTAATTAGTAATTGTAGAGTACTCGTATGGATAATGCCTTGACACAAATAGGCGCGATTTTAGACAACGGATTTATACCTCAAATGGGAACTGAAAAAAAAAGGGAACCAAAAGCGAGATAAGATTTGAGCAAATAGCAATTAAATATGAATTTTATACCACTTTCTTCTTCATAAAGCACGGTTTAACTGACTTCAATTGAGTAGAAATGGAGTCAGAGAAAGATTTATCACCATTTGGACAGGTTCCAAAACATACAGCCAGATCTAGGCTTAATAGAATCAAAATTATCGTCGTATCTATCCTTGCTCTAACCACTGTATTATTCAGTTTCTCATCAGTTATATCTAGCAACATTCAAACTTCACTTAAACAACATGGTGATAATTTTGAAGCTTTTCAAAGTCAATTGTCCGATATATTTCGTTTAGCCCCTTCTAATCCAGATGGGTTATGCCCAATTCCAAAGAAAGTAAACCCCCTTCCTTATCTTTATAATAATCAAACCTTACATAAAATCTTACATGATAAGGATTTTCAACTTCAATCTCGAGAAAAAATCATTGGTGCAGTCAAGATCCCTACTGAAGTATATGATAATATGATTAATCCAAATGGAGCTGAAACTCATGAAGAATTATATAAATTAGAACCATTATGGGAAAATTTTGAAAAATTACATCATTATTTTGAACAAACTTTCCCCTTGGTCCATAAACATTTAAAAGTGGATAAAGTGAATAAATTCGCTTTGGTATTCACTTGGGAAGGTACTGCTGATAAGAAACCCATCTTACTTACTGCTCATCAAGATGTGGTTCCAGTCCAGAAAGAAACTATTGATTTATGGACCTATCCTCCTTTTGAAGGTGGGTATGATGGGAAATTCTTATATGGAAGAGGTGTATCTGATTGTAAGAATTTATTAGTGGGATTATTAGAAACGATTGAATTGTTATTGAGTGAAGGTGAATTCAAGCCTGAAAGAACTATCATCTTAGGATTTGGATATGATGAAGAATCAGATGGAACTGGTGCTGGTGAAATTTCAAAATTCTTACAAAATAAATATGGTACTCAATCATTAGTCCAAATAATCGATGAAGGTACCACAGGATTCACTGAAGTTGAAGGTTTAAAAGTTATCTTACCATCAACCTCTGAAAAGGGGTACTTGGATGCTGTGATTGAATTATACACTCCAGGAGGTCATTCATCTGTACCTCCAGATCATACATCAATTGGTATCTTAGCCCAATTGATAAATAAAATCGAAGATGTTCAATTCGATAGTATTATAACTAATGCTAATCCATTATTACAACATTTACAATGTATAGCTGAACATTCAGATTCGATTGATATTGATATTAAAAAGAGTATTTTGAAAGCTCATTTAGATCAAAGTTCAAATTCTAAAGTTATGGATTATATTACTAATCAATTACATTCAAAGTATCTTATCACCACCTCACAAGCCATTGATATCATTTCAGGAGGAGTGAAATCAAACGCCTTACCTGAACATGTTAGTGTCTTAGTTAATCATAGAATTGCAGTTGAAGAAAGTGTCAAAACTGTCACTGATAAGCTTATTGGACAAATTGAAGAAGTAGCTACCAAATTCGATTTAGGAATAATCTTTGATAATAAAGAAATTAAAAAACCTACTATCAATGGATATTTCAACTTCACTCCAACCATGGCATTAGAACCATCACCGGTCACTCCAGCTTCAGGTGGTAGTTGGGATATCTTTACCGGTTCATTAAGATACTTGTATGAAGATTTAGTAGGTTCATCGAATGAAACCATCATAGCATCTCCATATGTAGAAGGAGGTAATACTGATACCAAATCGTATTGGGATTTAACTCCTAATATCTTTAGATACGAGCCAGGTATTCATTTCAGTGGTGGACATGCTCATTCAGTAGATGAAAGACTTATCTTAGACTCTCACTATTATATCATAGCATTTTATTATTATTATTTACAAGTTACAGATACCTTAACTGATGAATTCTTTGCCACTTAGATAGTTAAATACGTTTCAATACATATAAACAGTACAACTTATCGTTGTAGAAACTTCAACTAAATAGAATTTACATAATTTGCATTCAAAAAGAGCTGCGAAATTATTAATCATCTCTGCGCTATCAAAAAAAAAATAAAAAAAATAAAAAAAATCTGAAAAAAAAAAAAAAAAATTTTTGATTTGATATAGCAAGAAGAAACCAGTTACTAATCACATTAGAATATAGACGATGCCTACAGAGTTAGAAGAGTTAGTGGAGCTTTTGCATTCCCCACAACCAGCCGTGGTCCTGATTGCTTTGGATAATTTAGTGGGATACTCCCAAGGTGCCCATCAACAAGTGTTCAGTTATGGTAATTATGAAGCTATCAAAGATTTAAAGACTTTAAGTAAATCAACTGGTAAGATCACAGTACAACAGTCAACCACTGTATTGGCTAACTTATGTGATGATCTCACTATGAGAAACTTAATCGTGGAAGATTTCGAATATTTAAAGTTCTTAGTGGGTCAAATCGTTAACATAAAGAACTCCAATGCTGATATCATGTGTATTTTATTAACCAACTTAGCCAAGAACGATGCTATAAATAAAGTATTTGATATCGCTCTTACTCATAATGATGAACAAAAGAAAGTTTTCGAATCAAACCATGGTATGGATTGTTTAATGGATTGTTTCGTTAAGGGTAATGATAGAAAATTAAATCCATATGCTAATTATGATTATTTAGCTTATTTCTTTGCTGATATTTCAAGATTCAGTCAAGGTAAAGATTATTTCATTAATGAACAAGCTTATGATAATGTGGTCCCAATTTCTAAATTATTAGTATTTACTGAAAAATACGATTCCAAAATTAGAAGAGAAGGGGTTGCTTCCACTATTAAAAATTCATTATTTGATTCTAATGCTCATTGGAAATTAATGAATGATGAAAAGATTAATTTATTACCTTATATCTTATTACCTATTGCTGGTCCAGAAGAAATCGATGAAGATGATATGTTTAACTTGCCTGAAGAATTACAATTATTACCATCTGATAAACAAAGAGATCCAAGTAAAGAAATTATCTGTACTCATTTAGAATCTTTATTACTTTTAACTACTACTAAACAATTAAGAGAATACCTTAGAGAAAAATCAGTCTATCCTATCGTTAGAGAATTACATAAAGCAGTTGAAGAAGAACGTGTGGCTGATTTATGTGATAGATTAGTACAAATGTTAATGAGAGATGAAGCTCCAGAAGGCGCGGAAGAAGAAGAAGAAGAAGAAGAAGAAGAAGAAAGTGATGATGATGATGATAAAATCGTAGAAATTTTGTAAATATAGCATTATTAATTTCATTAATTTGTATAAACTAGCCTATACTAAAAAAAAGCTAAAAAAAAACTAAACTAAAAATTCAATTTGTATCATATATGTAATAAATAATCTCATTTATTGTTCTTTCAATACTAATTTGGAGTCCTGTAATCTTAATTTTTGTTTGACTATACTGATGATTCTTTGTTTATTATCAGGATGGGCACTTACTCTACTCTTTAATTGAGAAAGTAATTCTTTGGTGGTTAATGGATTATCAATAACAATATCCAATACTTCTTGGATAGTAACTAAAGATCCATCTGGACCAGCTGAAGTTAAATCAACAGCTTGGATTTCTGGAGTAGGTGATGCACTAACCTTGGTAACTACTGCACCTTTATCTTCAGTTTTAAGTTTCTTCTTTGGTGAAGTTACACCTGGTGAAGATCTCTTTCTACCATTGGCAACCCATTCACCTTTTGGAAATCCATTTAAGAATTCAGTTGGTGCCTTTATAACAACAAAACCATCACCAACATCAAGAGCAAAGATAGTTCTTGGTACATTTACATTGTTCTTATCATCGGCTAAAGCTTGTTCGTCTTCACCTTCCTTTTTAACTTCTTCGTCGTCACTTTCATCACTTTCAAGATCGGATTTAGATAAATATGGATTTAAATTATCATCTTCATCGTCGCTATCATATACTCCACCTTCTCTTTTATTTAAAACTTTTCTTAATTTTTTACCTTCTTTATCAACTTTTCTTGATTTTTCAGTATCAAATAAATCATCTAAATCTTCATCAATATCACCATCTGATTGACCATCAAAATGAGCAGCTTTTAACATTTCCTTTTTAATCTTTTGTTCTGATAATTTATTTTCTTCTTCATCACCATCCATTATTGGAGCTTCTTCATCATCAGCAAATTCTTCATCAAAATCTAAATCATCATGATCAGAATCTCTATCATTAAAATTGCCACTTCCTGATACTGTTCTTAACCCTCCACCATTAGTATTTCTTGATATAGAACGTCCTTCTGTGAATAAATTTCTTCTAAATCTATGATCTGTTTGACTATCTTCCATATGTTTCATTAACCATCTTGGAACATGATTTTGTTTATCCATTTTAGTTTCAGCTTCTTCAAGAGTTAAAGTGGCATATTTATTTCTAGGAGTGAATCTATAAACTTTTTCAGCAGGAACCACTTTGAATCCATCTTTATCAAATGCAAATAATACATGATTGGTATCAGCTGAACCACCTTCATAATTTCCTACAAAGACATTCTTACCATCATAATCTTCTGCAACCCAAGGATAAAATTCTTCATATCGAAGCTTTCTTTTGGCACTATCCATGATATTAACTTGTTTGGTTTTACGTTTGAATAAATTCTTCTTATTCTTTCTGGCTCCCCCTGCTGGTGCAACTTGAGCCATTTCAGGATTAACTTTTTTATCATCCTTTACATTTTCATCATTTACAGATGTATCGTTGGCTTCTTCCGCTTTGACATTAGCAGCTTCTTCGGCATTTCTTTCCTTCTCTCGTTTGAGTTCTTCTTGTTCTCTTTTTCTAATTTCCATTTCTTCTCTAGTTAAATGAAATTGAATATTACGAGGATCCTTTCTATGTAATCTTACTGGTTTGGTGAAATCTTCCACAATACGCACATCTTGCTTGGTTTGAAACTTCATGATATGGAATCTGATATCATTGAGTTCTTCTTTATTACATGACTTCAAAGGAATTTCTTGCCATCCATCATCTGAATTTGATTTGGTATCATTCACTTTGGTGGTAGTAGTAGAAGTAGCCAGACTTAAACCATTGTCTTCGTTCTCCTCCTTTACTTTACTTTCAACTTTGACCTGAGGCTGACTCATGATCAAATATATGGTGATATAGTTTGGGTTGATCCTAACAGATAAAGATGAAAAGATGATATATTTGTAAGTGTTAAATTCAATTTGATTTTCTTTAAATGTCAAACAGAACAAAAATATTTAGTAATGTCGCGTGATTATAAAATGTCGTTAGAGAGACATCTTTGATCTATGGAAATTTAGCTGCAATTTATGATTTAGGATAATAAAAGATTATTGTTGATATGATCTATATGTAGAATTATATAGTAAGATCATGGAGCAGTTACTAATAGTGGAATCTGTTAGATTTGGTTTAGTTCAAGGAAATCTAAAGAATGTAACATGGATGTATTCTTGTTAGTTGTTTCCACGATTAGCTCTGCTTCTTGCACTTTCAAACCATAATGGATTAGTGTGTCTTCAATAAGTTCTAATTATAGATCCTGTAAGCATAATCATCTATAACTATATCTATTTTCAAATGATATAGATCACAGTATAATTCAAAAGTTTAAAAACATTTGGTTGCGCCCTTGTGGCCGGTGACGGTCTCAGAAAAATAGCGATTGGAATTTTTTATGACTCTAAATCAAATCAACCAACTTACATCAACATTCATCTACTTCACTTCAATCAAGCAAGACTTTACTTATAGATATGTCATCTGTGGCTGTAACAGACAAAGAAGATGAAATACTAGACCGCCAAGAACATCATGAAAAGGGTGCTCCTCCAAGATATGTTGGTTTTATAGCTGGGATGTTTTCTGGAGTAACCAAGAATGCCGTGGGTCATCCCTTTGATACTATCAAAGTACGATTACAAACATCTGCAAAGGGAAGATTCAAGGGACCAATGGATTGTGTATGGCAAACTTTAAAGAATGAAGGTCCTAAAGGTTTTTATAAAGGTTTCACTCCTCCATTGATTGGATGGGTATTAATGGATTCAGTCATGTTAGGTTCATTACATGTTTATAGAAGAATAGTTCATGAACAATTATACCCTGAAGAAAAGAAATTACCTTTATTTGGTCATATAATTGCTGGTTTAGGTAGTGGATGGACGGTATCGTTTGTAGCGGCCCCCATTGAACAATTCAAAGCAAGATTACAAGTTCAATATGATGCTAAATCTAAAGTTTATACTGGTCCGTTAGATGTAGCTCAAAAGTTATATAAAGTATCAGGAATACGAGGCATCTATAGTGGATTATTATCAACCATGATCTTTAGAACAAATTTCATCTTTTGGTGGGGATCATATGAAATATTTACGGAATGGTTTAAAAATAATACTAAAATGTCAAATCCTTCTATAAATTTCTGGGCTGGTGGGTTATCAGCAACCGTATTTTGGATCTTTGCTTATCCTGCTGATGTGGTTAAACAAACTATAATGACTGATAGTCCTATACGATCAGAGAAAAAGTTTCCTCGTTGGATAGATGCTGTTAAACATATCCATAAGGAAAGAGGATTGAAAGGGTTTACAAGAGGGTTTGGTCCTTCGATCTTAAGATCATTCCCGGCTAATGCAGCTGCTTTAGCCGCGTTTGAAGCTTCTATGAGATTTTTGCATTAATATATATAGATCTTATATAAATATAAACTTTTAATTCAAAGTTTCACTGGTTGTAGTTGTAGAAGTATTATTCTTTTCCCATGGTTTAACTCTTTGACTTGCCTTTGAAGTTGAACTTTGATCACTTAAAACAGTATCTGGGATATGTTTTATACCAGGAACAGGTTTACCAGAAACAATCAATTCCACTAATTCTTGATAATTTGATGAATATGGTGGATCGGACGAAGCGTTATCAGTTGTAGCTTCTGGTTCTTCACTTGGCTTAACATCCTCTTCAATTTCAGTTATTTTCTTATTTTTATCATATTTATCCCCATTATGTAACTTCCATTGTGTATAATCGTCAATATTTAAGATATTTCCCGTATGAGAACAATAATAAAATGATTTAGCTTGTTCTATTAATTGTTGTTGATCCAATGCTGGAATTGAAATTGTGGATGGATTCAGTTCCTTTAAATTATCTAAGTAATTATCTAGAATTTGTTTTACACCATCTTGGAAATCAGAAAATGAGTTCCAGTCGTAGTTTAAGTATTCCTTATACACTTCTTCTTGAGGGTTTGTTGACATGGTTGGTGATATATTTCCTGTTCTAAGATTATCTGTGGGGAATCAGTCAAACACAATTTTTTTTTGACTTACACGGTTGGTGGTGAAAAAAAAATGTGAGATCCAAAAACTTTATCAATTATGGTGAAGAATGTCAAATCAATCTACTTCACATTGGACTCAATTATGTTTCAATTGTCATTTAATCATGTGTTGATACTATCAGTGGTATTAAGAATTGGATTCTTCTTATTTGGATTGTATCAAGATAAGTATATGACGGTGAAATATACTGATATTGATTATGTTGTGTTTTCAGATGCAGCATGTTATGTATACAATGGTGAGTCGCCATATAAAAGAGAAACTTATAGATACACTCCATTATTATCATGGATATTGACTCCTAACTGTTGGAGTGAACAAACATATAGTTTTGGGAAATTCATATTCATGTTCAGTGATTTAATTACTGGTTATATCATTAGTAAATTACTTCAAATCTCAAAGACAAGTAAAATCAGTCATTCAAAAGCATTAATACTATCTTCCATATGGTTATTGAATCCAATGGTGATTACAATTAGTACCAGAGGTTCATCTGAAAGTGTATTGACTGTGATGATAATGGCATCTGTCTACTTTTTAATGAAGGATAATATTTTCATATCAGCATTATGGATGGGTTTAGCTATTCATTTTAAGATCTATCCCATCATCTATTTAACAGCTATTGCTTACTATTTGTCGAATAAATCGAAACCATTTATAAATATCCCTATCCTTAATCTCTTAAATGTTAAGAATATTCAATTTATATTGGTATCACTTTCAGTATTCAGTATCTTAAATGCGATGATGTATTACTTTTATGGATATGAATTCTTATTTGAAAGTTATTTATATCACTTAGTAAGAATCGATCACAGACATAATTTTTCCATCTATAATGTCTTACTATACTATAAGTCATCCATAACCACCCCACCTTCATTCCAAGATATTGAAAAATTTGCATTCATTCCTCAATTATTCATCTCCGCTGTAGCGATTCCATTAGTATTCGCTCAACGTGATATCATCTCATCCCTATTCTTACAAACATTTGCCTTTGTGACTTTCAATAAAGTCATTACTTCTCAATATTTCATATGGTTCTTAATCTTCTTACCACACTTTTTATCTCAATCTTCATTAACTAGTAAGAAATTTGCAGCAAAAGGGATATTTCTTCTTATATTATGGATAATTTCTCAAGGTCTGTGGCTTTATTTCGCATATCAATTGGAATTCTTAGGAATAAGTACATTCGATCATGGATTATTCTATGCTTCAATCTTCTTCTTCCTCTCTAATTGTTATATCTTAGGACAATTCATAAATAGTTTATAGATAGATATGTCTCCCTCCAAAAAATATATATTTCCTGCATGTAATAATTTTTCAAAAAATTTAAATATGTGCGATGAAGAAGATGAATATTTGAAGTTGAACTAGATACTGTTAAAGATCTGTTTAGATTATCAAGACAGGACAACTTTATTACATAACATTATAGCATAATGTCTCGAATGGAAATATATTCCCCTGAAGGGTTGAGATTAGATGGACGAAGGTGGAATGAACTTCGTCGATTTGAATCGAAGATCAATACTCATCCAAATTCATCTGATGGTTCATCATATGTTGAACAAGGTAATACTAAGGTCATTTGCATGGTTCAAGGTCCAATGGAGCCTTCATCTAGATCACAAGCTGATTCCACAAAGGCTACTATTGAAGTGAATCTTTCAGTGGCTAGTTTTTCTACATTTGAAAGAAAGAAGAGATCAAAGTCTGAAAAGAGAATGGTTGAATTAAAAGCTACATTAGAAAGAACATTTGAACAAAGTGTAATGTGTCATTTATATCCTAGAACTTTAATTCAAGTCGATGTGACGGTTTTAGCTCAAGATGGTGGACTTTTAGCAAGTGTAACCAATGCTATAACATTAGCTCTTATAGATGCTGGTATAGCAATGTATGATTATGTCTCATGTATAAGTGTTGGTTTATATGATCAAACTCCATTATTAGATTTAAATGGATTAGAAGAAAAAGATATAAGTACATTGACGATTGGTGTTATAGGGAAGACTGAAAAATTGGCATTATTAATGTTGGAAGATAAAATACCGCTTGATAATTTAGAATCTATCCTTGGTATAGCGATTGCTGCAACTCACAGATTAAGAGATTTAATGGATGATGAAGTTAGGAAACATGGAAATGTTAGAGCTTCAAAATTAGCAAAGAATTGAAGTCCATTACAGTTTGTACTATATATTTAAAAGAATTAATAGGATATCATGCATTTAAATTAGAGTTATTCGAATAAAAAGGTAATCGTATATCAAATGTAGATAAGTAGTTGACATTAAGATAATTTACAGCTAATCTTCTTTAATATATTTAAAAAAAATATAAAAAAGAAAGGAATTGACACGGACAGGAATCGAACCTGCAACCCTTCGATTTGGAGTCGAAAGCTCTACCATTGAGCCACCGCATCACCCTTAAACTAAAAAAATTCTCAGGTTTGTCCGAAGATGCAAGTTCGAAACGAATCACGTGATCATAATCTGTAAAAATTGATGGTTAACCTGTAAATGTTTTATTGATTTTTTGCAACTTGCGATTTAAATTTGAACCCTTAATGATGGTATATCTTGTTTATTTCAATTATAATATAATATATTCTCAATGAAGAGAAGTGTTTTATGATTCCTTAGCAGATATTTGTAATCTGGTTATGTATTATGTTCTTAAAGAGCTTAGCAAGGTGTATTCTGTAAGTAAACTTGTATGATAATTTCCGTTAAAAATTGATGATAAATCTAACTAGAATATTTTAAACTAAAATTTAGATTATCCAATGAACTAGTACTTTTTAAATTAAAACTCAATTATAAACATTCAAAGTCTTGATTATAGAATAGCCTAATTTCGAATAAGTGGGTCAATATCAATGATATGATAGCTATCTGTTTATAAATAAATATATACAGGTACCGCCAAGCCAAAAAGATAATAATTTATGTCTATAATAAACCTTAAATTAACCAAAGTTAGCACAATTGATCGAATAGTATGGCTTCTTCTATTAACATACTACAAACCATAGACACTTGATAGGTGATCATCTCATTAGGTAGATATCTAGATACTGCTAAAGCAATAAAGCTTATTACCAAAGCTACCAAATCCAAGATTGAATTAACTAGATCCCATTTGGTAAAGATATCCACAAAGATTATATATGATGTCTTTAGCCTGGATTTGAAGAAGTTGAAGATTCAACGTCTATATCATGCAATATTTTATAATTTCTGAACATTACTGAGAGTAAAGAAGAAAGAAAGAAATAAGTAAAGAAAGGTAAAGTTTACAATTTACAAATTTATGTTGGTGGAGTAAAACATAAAAGTACAATTTATAATTATATATAAATAAATAAATTTGTATATTAGCTACTATACTTCAAAACGCCGAAAGAAATTACCATATTCGAGAAAAAGAATTCTTAGCTATTACATTTTAGCTAAAATTAAGTAGGTTAGTAAATGACTCTAAAATGGTTGTTAGTAATAGTGGGAATACGATGAGAAATATCAAATCGCAACCTGGTTGACAGAAACGCCATGTCATATCGTTAGTATAATTAAATATCCTATTCTAGATTGACGAAAACACACCCATATCTTTCAATATATTGAGACTCTATATTTCATCCTTAATAGAATCATTCTATTACCAAAAACATTCCAAGAACTTCATAACATAAAAACAATGAATCTAATTTTTTAAATTTGTATTTACGATCCTTAAATTTTATACAGATTATGGCATTTTACAGTTTTACACATTTTGAAAGCTTCAACTATCTGTATAAAAATACTATGAAATAAGAAAAAGTCATGATAGGAAGAAGATAGATATCAAATCTAACAATACATACCCTATCTTCAATAGATTTTTAGGGTAGTTTAAGAAAAGATTAATCAAATTATTTATAGTAACTAATAGTTAGATAACCTGTAAAATAATAATCTGTAAAAATTTAATTTTAGACAAATTTTTGCAACTCGAATTAAGGCTTTGATGAATTTGACATCATCTTTTACTAAATTATACGAGTAAAGTAGTTTCATTTGTTAGTTTATCTAATATAACTAGATATATACTAGATATCTTAACATTAAAGTTGGAAATAATAAACTAAAGGCGTCTAGCATAAGGGTAGACGACTATGATAACTTTTCATTTCCATGTGAATATTCCATAGGTGATCATATGAAGACCAAATAAAAATAGTTATGATGAAAGGCTGATCTCATCTCCCAAGATTAAAATGAATGATGATGTTATTATTATTGATTCAATCAAGAGTGTCAACTGTTTCGAATAATGTTTCAGAAAGGATTACCCTTGTTGATTAAATATTGACGTATTAGGATGATAAAATATAAATACACTCAAAACATCGATGCCAAGTATAATACTCTCAATTACACTTACCTATAACGGTCACAAGAACAGTAAAAGTATCATTCAATCAATTTCATCAAATCATCATCAAAATAATAATTCAATAAAGTTTCAGAAATTTCCCTTTTATTTCCCAATTAAGCAATTTTTTGTTTTACAAATCACACTGCGAAAATTTATCATACAAAAGTACACGACCACCACTCTCACTAGTTCCAGGAACGAAATAATTCTTTCAGTGACAACTTGTTCTTGCGTGTCAAGTTTTCTTTTGAAATAAAATAGGTTTACCCCAAAGTTACTTTCTTCTTGAGAGCATCATCAATTGATATAGTAAAGGGTGATACAATATATAAAGTATCATATCAGCTGGTATTTCCAATCATCTTTCATCATCGTCTTTTTCTGGATCATTTCAACTTGTTTCGATTCGGCATTTTCATTTTTCACCTTTCACCTTTAAACAGATCAAATCAAAGCGTGTTTTTATCCTTGCAACTTTTTTTTGATTTCATTCATCCAATCAAACTAATTAACTACATCCATCTAATCTCATAGACTCATATCACAACTCCAATGTCATACCGTGGTCATAATCAATTCAACGATCAATTCAATAGAGGTCCTGCTGGTGGCGTACCACCTCAAGGTGGAGTTCCCCCTCCCAATAATATAGGTCCTGTATCATCATCAAAATCTCCTTTGGATCAATTTGAAGATTTTACTAAAAAAGTGGAAGATTTAATAGATGAACATTTCAAACCTTTAAAACCTTATGTTCCTGCTATAGGTAGAGCCTTTCTTGTGGCTACATTTTTTGAAGATTCTTTAAGAATTATAACTCAATGGGCTGAACAAGTTTATTATTTACATAATTATAGAAAAATTTGGAGATGGCTTACCGTATTGTTTTTAGTATTAAATATCATTACTATGGTTACAGCTTCAAGTTTATTAATTTTAAGAAAATTACAAACTATTTCAACTAGTGCTTTAATTGGTGTGGTTGTATTTCAAGGTCTTGCTTATGGTTTAATATTTGAAGGTAAATTTATTTTAAGAAATCTTTCTGTGGTTGGTGGTTTAATTCTTGCCTTTTCCGATTCAATTGTTAGAGATAAAAGAAGTTTAAATATGCCAGGTTTACCAATGATTAATAATCAAGATAATAAGAAATATTTTCTTTTAGCAGGTAGACTTCTTTTAATCTTTTTATTTTTAGGTTTCGTATTTTCATCAACTTGGTCAATTACAAGATTATTTGTCATTTTAATTGGGTTAATTTCTTGTGGTTCAATCATTGTCGGTTATAAGACTAAATTTGCTGCTGCTATCTTAACTCTTCTTTTATTTACTTATAATGTCTTTGCTAATCAATTTTGGAAATATGGTCCTCATGATTCAACTCGTGATTTCTTAAAATATGAATTCTTTCAAACTTTATCAATTGTGGGTGGATTATTGATTATTGTTAATGCTGGTGCTGGAGAATTTTCCATTGATGAAAAGAAGAAGATTTATTAAGTAATTCAATTCACTAATTCAGTTCTATCGAACTGAATTTATCTAAATGGTTCATAAGACCATATAAGCTATAATCATTCAACGATAGCTAAAATACATCATCATCATCATCTATTATTATTATTATTATAATTTGTATTATTTATAGCTTTGTCTTTCATCATAATAGATAATATTTATATATTTACTTACAAAAACAGCGCACGTGACTTTATTTAAATTTTTCGTAAGATCAATTTTTTTTCCCTCTAGATTGTTTTGTCCCGTAATGTCAGTTTAAATTTATGTTAGTAAGGGTACAAGAGATATTGTTATCAACATAGATTATACTTTCAATAATGGCAGGAGAAGACGATCAACCTAAATGTCCTGTGGATCATTCAGCTAGATCATCATGGATACTGAAAGCTTTATGGAGTGAACCTGACCAATCCAAACCTGAAATTAGTAATACCCCATCTACATCCATACCAACCTCATCACCATCATTAGCAAGTACAACAGCACAATCTGCATGTCCAGTAGATCATTCTACTAGAGAGGCTTGGATTAAGAATGTATCTGTTTCCACCGTAGAAGCCATCGAAGTTGATTCTACCAATAAATCATGTTCATCTGCTGAATTAACCAATACCCTTCAAGATACCACCACATCCAATATTGCCCTTCCAACTGATAGAGATATAAGTTCGATTCCTCGTACATCATCCGAATCGAATTGGATTTATCCTTCTCAGAAACAATTCTATGAAGCTATGAAACGAAAGAATTGGAATCCAGAAGCAACCGATATGAAAACCGTCGTGCCTATTCATAATGCTGTGAATGAGAGAGCATGGACTCATATTTTACAATGGGAACAACCTACTTATTCTAAGACTATAGAGCAATGTGGAGGGATAACGTTGACTAGTTTTAAAGGAGATCTGAAGAAATTAACTCCAAGAGCCTGGTTCAATTCGACATTTTTAGGATATCAAAAGCCATTCGATAGACATGATTGGACCATTAATCGTTGTGGAGTCGATGTAGAGTATGTGATTGACTTCTATGGAGGGGCAGGTCAAGGAGCAAGTTTTTACTTGGATGTTAGACCAAAGATAAATACGTGGGAAGGGTTTAAATTACGGGTGTTTAGATCTTTGAATTGGAATTGATTGGTGCTTCTTCCCTTATAGACTTTATTCATAGTTATTTCTTGTATATACTTATTCATATTTAATAAAAATGTTCATGTTTCAAATAGTGCAATCGTAAATTAATATGTATTAGATATGGATTGTTTCGATTTTTTAAATTTCTATATTTTAAAATAAATAAAGAAATAAGATAATAAATATATACAGAATGTAAAAGTAAATTAGTTTAACATATACAGAAAGTAAAGCAGATCCCATCAAGGTCATCATTGTAGATTGATTTATTTGACCGACTCTTCCCTCATCGTGGGGACTCTAACTATACTTATTGTCTACCCATAAAAGCACCAGATTGACCTAATTTTTGCATATTTTCACCAACTTGAAGATTAGTTTCAAAATATTTAGATACACATCTATCTAAACAGATAGCTTCTTGTTTAGTGACATCTGATTCATTATAAGCTTTATTAATACATTTTCTATGACATTGATTAACTAATTGATTGAACATTCCAGTAACCATGTCTAATTCAGCTTCAGCAGCTTGAAGCTTTTGTTGAGAAGAAACTTGAGGAGTTGATCCACCACCTAATCCAAACATTGTCTATATCTATTTATATGTGTATATTGTATATTTGATCAAACAGGTTTAAAGATGGCAATTTTATATTTTAACTTCCATCCATTTTTCTCCAAATGAAGTTGCGACTTCAAAAAAAAAAATCATTGATGAAAATTTATTTTTGATGATTATATAATCACTTAGTCATCAATATAAAAGGAATTATGAACCTACAACAGTTGCAAATTAAATAGTAATTATTTGTTTTATTATTACACGAATTCATTAGATATATAAAGTTAAAAAGTCATTAAAGTATGTTGTTGAATAGTATACTATTACAAACTTGGGAAAGTGAAATGAACATGACAACCCCAAAGTAATAAATTAGGAGGAACTTGACGATTAAGGGTATCAAAATCTTTCTTCTTTTCAGGACATGGAGCAGCTAAACCATGACATATAGTTATACTCTTCCCATTTAAAGAGATTGATCCACCGTAATTTATCACTCTTGAATTTATCCATCCTTGATTATTAGATATTTTCTCATTATAAACTTCACTATTAACATTATTAACATCATAATAATATTTTAAAAATTTCCAAGTTTGAGTTTGTAAATTCAATACTGGAATTCTTAAAAGATTAGTATTATTAATAGCAAACGGGAATTTAGATAATCTTGTAATATCATATTTATCAGATTCATAAGCTTTAGAATCAAAATGTCTTAAATAATCATTATAAAATCCTCCCATAAAGAAAAGATAATCACATTCTTCATTTTGATAATATAATGCTGTATGATGACATGCTCTTAATTCTGCTTCATTAAAGATAGATTCTTCAAGTTCATTTTCTTTAGTATATTTCGATCCATCATCATCATCATAAGGACTATTAAGAGGAATATCATAATAATCAAATGCATAAGTTGAAACTTTTTCCCATGTTGCAGTATCAAAAACAAATAAATAAAAATCACTAAAATATTCTGGATTTTCATTACATCCACCTTGAACTAACATAGCTTTACCTTCAAAATAATTTTCCAATTGTCTATTAAGAAGTGATCCATTGGTACTTTGACTAGTATGGAACGAAGCACCCACTGATGAAGTATTACTAATTATAGTTGAAACTCTCTTTAATTCATTATTATCAATTTCAACAGTATTTGCCCCACCACCAATATCAATTTCACATTCAACATCTTTCTTACCATTATATTTTATAAGTGCACTGGCGAAATAACCTCTTGGAGTTGGCCAATCCAGATTTTCACGATAAAATGGACATTCCTTTTCACGACCTATACCAGTAACAATGGCTTCCGATTGGAAACAAAATCCTCCACGAGTATCATCTTCTTTAGTGGCCAAATCTATTTTGATTAAATCATTCGAAGCTTTGAAAGTTTGATATCCTGTTTCTTCATCAACATCACTTACAAACCCTCCAAATACAAAGATTGACACACCCGCTAATCCTGATTTTTGAACAGGATCGGAAAATAAAAGCACATTTTCATCATCCATATATGAATTAATTGATTCATTATCACCACCATCATTAACTTTAACCGTTAATAAATCTTTGTTAGTAAATCCATTGGAATCCCCATTAGTATTGATTTTAACTTTCTTACCTACTCCAGAACCTATAGTTGAAGAAGATGAACTATGATTTGAAATAGGTTTAACGGTGATTTCAAACTTATTAGGATCAGGATTGATTACTGCAGGTGCATTGGCTCCTTTAACTGGATCTGGGGATGGACTCATATATGGATAGTAATCACCAATCACACTAGCATCAGTGGCCTTTACTTCAGATTTCAATTGAATGGCATCTTTTGATTTGATGTTACCAGTGGCAGAGGGAACGGGATTTCCTGCAGCATCAATTTGAACAGGTGAAGCGGGTCTACTACCATTTGAGGAATGTTGAGAATTAGAACGATTTTGTTTGACTTGTTTTGAATAAGTATTCTTTAAAGGATGAGTTTGAGGTGATTTGGGTGAATCCAAAGTACTAGTTTGTCTTTGATGATGATGTCTTTGGAAAATCTTTGAAGATCTTGAAAATACATTAGTCATTTTTGATACTGTACTGCTTGGAGTTGGTGGAACTGACATGGGAGTTGATCCATTATTATTAGATGGGGTTGAAACTCCATTACTAGGAGTATTACTTATAGTTGAAGGACTACTATTACCATTACTATTATTGCTAGTGTTACCTCCACTACTGCCATTATTTGAAAGAATTGGTTTTAAATTCGATACACTTGGAAATATCTTTGACATGGACGAATCAGTTGATGAACTTTGAGCGGATTGGGATGATTGATTAGTAATGCTTTTATTTAATGATGCATTAGGATTAGAAGTTGGTTTTTGAAATGAAAAAGAGGCATTTAAAGATGATGGAGTATGTTGAATTTCTGGAATATCATTATTAGTAGATCCACTTGATGAAGAATTCTGTATATCACTTAATCTATAACCAGGATGAATTGTAGGAGATAATTTTGGAGAAGCGATTGGTTTTAAAACAGGACTTATAGTCAGTACTGGGCCTAATTTTGTAGATTTAGAAGCGGGAGTTGATTTATCTTCAGGATATTTTGGTACTTCAGTAGTTGAATTTGAATTATTACTTACTGGACCTTCCGTACTCTTTGTATTTGCACCATTAAAACCATAAATATTTGATACCATACCTGCACCCAATCTACCTAATTTTAAATACCCACCTTTAGATTTTGATTGTAAATCAATTTTTGAGAATTTCAAAGTATTAATATCAAGGATATAACCATCTTCATTTAATTTAAAATTCTTTTTAATAATCCATCTTCCAATTTCATGATTATAATCAACTGATAAAGTTTCAATTTCAAATCCACCATAAAAGAAAATATGATGATCTGAAATTTGACTACTTAATAAACAATTCAAATGACCCGGGAAATCAGTTAAATTAATCGTATCCAAATAAGTTATAGTACCTCTTAAAGGATTAAATAAGTAAAAATGATTATTTTGAGTCATGAAAGGATTACATAAGATTTCTTTATTAACAAAGGGAGGTAAATCCACGGGGAAATGAACTGATATTTTATTTAAATCAATTGATTTTGGTAATCCCAAATGTTTAAAATTAGTATATTTACTTACTAATATACCACCAAAAGTATAAGTTAAATCATTATAATCGAAATGACTTTGATAACAAAGTTTTGGTATATCAGTTAATAATTTAACTTGATGTTGATCTTGTCTATAATAGTTTGGGATATTTAATGAAGTCCTTGGGATGGAATAATAACCTGAAAATGCACTTGGAGTTTCTTCCTTTCTTAAGATATCACCATGAGAGTGATCATCATCATCTTCTTCATCATCGAATTCAGGTCTATAATTGACGGTTGATGACCGTTTTGAATCCAATCCACCAAAAGCTGAATGTTCAACTTCATCTAACACAATCTTAGGAGCAAAATGATCTTGATCAAATTCTTTAGTTAAGATAGTTTTAGTACTTTTTTCATTTGATAAATCATATTTAAATACATTATAAGGTACATTCGTACCATGAATCCAACCTTTTTGATTCTTTTCTAGAAACTCAGTTTCTCTTGATTCTGGGAACTCGACTCCTTTGAATGATGGAGATGATGGTCCTAATATAGGTGATGGAGATGGAGATGATACATAGCCATTTAGACTATTTGTCTGTAGGGACGATATATTACTGACAGATATTTGAAGAGTATCAGCCATCTTGTTTGGGATAAGGAATGTCTATAAATGTGCCTATTGATGATATTGAAGATATTTGATGTTAATATGATAGATTGATGATATTAGGGTTTTTTATAATTAGTAAGGTTTAGACTATACCGTTTTGATTAATCATACAGAAAAAACGGTTGGGAACGAATCGGTATTACTCTTGCACGATCAACCTTTGATTGATGATACCTGTTTCTGATTGATTACAGTTTCTTTATCAGGACGACACTTACCTTTCCTTTCTTCAACCACTTCAATATCTGGATTGATTGTGTATTTACAGCAGGGTCAAAATTCTAAAAAAAGCTTAAAAAAATTAAGAGGGTTAGGGAGAGAGGAGGGGAATTACTTTAAACAAAGACGCCTGCATATAAAATACAGTTTTTCCAAAAAGATCGATGTATGTCGCCGGTTGAGGGCTAATTACATATTTCACGACATTATGTTGACATTTCTTGGTTTAATTATTGCAGTTTGGATGTTTTGAGCGATGAAGATCATTAAAACAAGAGAGATGGATCTGCCTGCTAACACCTCGTAATTTAAGTAAAATGGGCAAAGTAATTAAATGGTTAACTATTGTATGGTAAAATGTAACCTCATGAACTATTATTGATCGACTTGTTTAAATATTAGAATTATGTCATTAAAAAAATGTGTATTTGTTCATAATCTCATGTTTTTTTGTATTATATTATATTTCGTTCTATGTATTCTGTATAATATGCCATACCCACTATCTATCCCTATGTAGATCGTTATCAGTACTTAGTTATTTATTACTGACTCGACCCAGATAGTTATATTAAAATGATGGTCCGCCCTTTTTTTGTGTGTAAATTCGTATTCGTATTCGTGTAGGATCCGCAGTTTCCGTATACTACTCCGAATCCCCAAAGTCCCTCAATGTTATCTAGTCTATACATTAGGACTTAACATATCTGCTTTAACTAAGGAATGAATCTAGAAATAGTTATCAGTTAGTAAAAATGTTTTGATCTATGTTTCGCAGTTACACAATTACAATGATAATAATTATAATTAAATTACCACTGTAGTCATAACTGATTTCAATAATTATACATACATCTTGAATAGAAGCATTGATAAATTGTCTCACTTCTAATGCTAACCACACTTTAACCATACTTGACGCATTCTCATTTCTTAAGATATCTCTACCTTCTTTCAGAACTCCTAATTGTCTTAATACTGGTAATGAACTGAGAGAATTTGTTAGTAAAATTTTTATAATGTTCTTAATTTGAAATTCCCATTAAATAAAAATAACAAATCAATCTACTATATAAAAAACATTGAAATGTCATTTTCAGTAGGGAATCCAAATAAAAGTGCATATACAAACCTTGCAAATAAATCTAATTCAGGATCTAATTGTCTTCCAAGTCCTTCTAATAATAAAATCGCAACTATAACGGTAATGAAATCTCCTTCCATTCTAACATGATGATTTCTAACCATATTTAAAACTTGATCTAATAAATCTCCAATACTAATATTACCTAATGTAAATGTTCTTTCTTTCATTCTATCAACTAATTTCTCCACTTTTAAAGCAAAGATTTCTTTATTTATGGCCGTATCTGGTGTTCTTGATCGTTCAATCATTAATTCTCCTGCTCTATATCCATCAAATTCACTTAATGATCGGAATAAATCAATGAAATTAATTCGATCCACATGATTTAATTCAGTAACTAAACCCACATCAAGAAAACAAATCTCAGCATGATATCCTTCATCATATAATGTCGATAATTTCGTACACCATGCTTCGGAATCATCCCCTAATTTTAATAATTCATTGGTGATTCGATTGGTTTCTATTTCATTCGATGATTTCACAATCTTATATTCTCTCTCATGTTTAAATAATTCATTCTTATAAAATCGAACCATCATATTACCAGGATGTAAATCAGCATGCACAAAATTATCAAGAATTAACATTTTTAAAAATGCATCTAATCCTTTATCACTAACTTCTTTTGATAAATTTTTACCGAAATTCTCAGTCAAGGATAATAATTTACTCATAGGTATAGCATGAATGAACTCTTCTACTAAGATATTCCTGGTAGTGAAGTTTAAATATGGTTTTGGGAAATGAATATCTAATCTATTTTTAAAATTAGATCGGAATTTAGTTAAATTCATAGCTTCAATTCTTAAATCCAATTGTAATCTCATTAATACTGAGAATTGTTCAACTTCTTCTGGTAATGATAACCATTCCATAGTAGGGATGACATTAATGAATTCAGCAAAGAACTTCATGATTTTTAAATCTCGATTTATCTTAATTTCAACTTTGGGATGTAACACTTTTATCGCCACATATTGATTTGAAGTTAAAGGATCATTCTGTTCAGTAACCAAGATCTTCTCTAAGAATGGTTCATGCGCATGATCGAAAGATTGTAAGCTTTTCCTTTCCTCACTTCGAGCTTGATTAATGGCAGTAGGAGATAATTTCCCAATATAAACTTGAGCAATAGCTCCTACACCAAGAGGAGTTTCATTAAATTCATCAAATATTTCATCAAAGGGTAAATTTCCAAAACTTTCACTAATGATTATTTTAGTTTGTGAAAGGGAATGAGGTTTAGCATTTGAATGCATCGACCCTAATTCATCACACATAGCTTTTGGAAAAATATCAGTTCTTGAAGCTGCCCATTGGCCTAATTTTATAAATGATGCTCCTGCCATTTCAGCTGACCATCTTAAATATGCAAACCAAAGTTTAGCTCCTGATCGAATCCGTTCTGTCAGATTCTTATCTCGTATACGTCTTCCAAAGAAACATATAGGAGAACTTATTAATACTGGTAAGAAGATCGCTGATAATTCAAGAAATCGAGTAAATGTAATCAATGGATCAAGAATATAATCCTCAACAGTGAAATAAACATAATATATCACTCCTAGTGAACCATTTAACAATTGTCGTCTATAATTGTCATATTGTTGCTTTTCTTCTTGTTGTGATGCTTCAAATAATCCCATTTTATAAGTCTCCAGTTGTTTATTAGGTAATAATTCATGAATACTGGTATCTATCGCATGAATATCATTCGATATTATCCCTTCCATCCCAAACCCATACTTATCATATATGACGAATGTAGAGTATGTCACAAACCCACTGGTGATACCAATCCCGATGATTCCAAATCGAATGAATGAAGATCGAGGTATGGACATAATGGGTCGTTTGGGAAGATTCAATTTAGGAAATGTACTCTTCGATCGCACAATGATCGACTTGGATCTATTCAACATGCTACTGCCATACCGTATACTTGGTATTCTCTTCGGTATAATGATATTGAACTTTGATGTGAACATTTCAATCTCTTTCTTGTTCTTGTTATATGATGCTGGTTTATTGATGACTCTTCATGAAACAAAAAGACAAATGATTCAAAATTCAATCTCTCTATATTATCTTCCAGCTCTTAGACTAAACATCTAATTGCTATTTCTAAACTATGGCTATACAAACCAAACTATAAGATTGCTATTAATATATATAAATTTCTATAAAATTTGAATTTCTACACAAAAGTAAACACGAAGAAAAAAAAAAAATTAAATACTTAAAAATTCGCAGAACCGTTTTATTTTTTGCCATCACATTACGGCAAATTGATTGGTTGCAATAAAATTTGATCATTTATTTCAAGTAGTTATGGGTGATGTTTCCTTTAAATGATTTCTTAAGATAGAACACCATAATCCAATGGTAGACGTACCTTTAGCATTGCTTCTTGGTCCTTTTCGACTAACTATACCATCATGAGCGTTCCAACAATCTAAATAAACTGGGATTTTAATCCAATCAAGGGAATTTAAAGAATGAATAATGAATCTTTTATCATCATTCATTTTTAATTTAGATTTTTCAGTGAATAAAGGATATAATTCAGTATCTTTGATACTTAAAGCATTCAACTTAGCCTTGATTATTTCATCATTAATATCAGCTTTAACATCAATTAAACTTTTAGATTCAAGTTCTTCTTCTTCGTCTACACCAGCTGGAGTTGGAGTTGGTTCATTTTCAACTTCTTCTTCTTCTTCTTCTTCCTCTTTTTCATCATCACCATTTCCAACCGGTGGTGTCTTACCTGTAAATCTTTCTTCAACATACATGAAATTATCCATGGCATTTTGAGTTAATTGTGAAGTATCACCTTTAAATGATTCATGCCTTGATAATGATCTTCTTTGAAGCCTTTGTTCTTCCCCAATTTGTGTATCATGAAGATCAATAGGTAATTTACCATACACGGTATCTTTAACCTTTGACCAATGTTGTTTAATCTTTGGAAATGTAACCAATCTAATCTTTATCATACTATAAACTGAAACATAAAAACTGGTAGTTAAAACTAATGGAATCCAAATCGGTACTAAGATTGATGCCATAGCTATGATAACTAATACTCTTAAATAGATATTAGTTTTAAAAATAGAGGTTTCTTCTTGTAAATTACCTTTAAATGCTCTTGAATCTTCAACTGTTAACAATTGACTTCTGGTTAAATCAACAAATTTAGGTCCAACAAACACTTTTCCAACCCTAGTTTGAGGTAAATCCTTAATATATTTGATTTTAACTGATTTCCAATCATCAAATGGAGAATATTCAGTAATGAAAGCTGTGAAAAATGCAACCGTTCTATCATTTTTAACATTGGCTAATAACATATGTTTTTCAAATCGAGCTAAACCTTGAAAGAAAACCTTATTTGGATCAGCCATTTCCTTTAATGCCTTTGAAGTATCAGCCACAAATAATTCTTTACCAACTGGACCAAATAAAATAGGACCAATAAGATTAGCAGTGTTATCAAAGAAATTATTGGCAAAAAATTCAATCCCAACATGAGGAGTAGCAAACGTAGTGAAAAAGATTGGTTTAACACTATCAAAGAAATCCATTTCTTGTAACAATCCAATAACATATCTTGCAATCAATCCACCTAATGAATAACCCACAAAACTAATCTTAACCACATTATAATTATTCTTCTCTTTTAAGGTTTCAATTTCATAAAGGATCTCAGTGATGATCTTCTTTGAATTCAACTCCAAACCATCATAAGTCTTCCAGAACCTGAAACTTTGTGGTCTTAATGTAAGGATCTTCTCATTTGAAGCAGGTGGTACCAAGTCCTTAATCAATTTTTCAATTGTCAACATATGAGTTGGTGAACCCCACAAACCATGAACTAACACAAACAAATGAGCATCAACATTAGTGGTGGTTCTGGTAGCGGCTGTACTATTATCTTTTGATTTAGTATCACTGGTTATGGTAACTTCTTCAGCCATATCGTACTGTCATGAAAATAGAGGATGGGAACAACAGCTAATTCAAAAAATTTGATCAAAGAAATGAAATCGTGTATACACTTGGTACACATGTTTACTTGAATGTCACCACGTTAATTTTTTCTTACACCCTCGGAGGTCGTTTCCGTAACCCCGAATTTAGCATTAATATGCAAAAAAAAAAATTCATTTAGAACACAACTGTTTATTTATGATGTATAACATCACTGCTTTATCATTTATTTTCATTCTAAAATTTCATAACTGTTCAATCTATCTTTGTAATTAGAAGTTTATCAAACTACCAGAAGAACGGTGTTATGACCATGGTTATTCAATTCAATATTGACGATGGTATTTTAAGAAGAAGTATGGAATTACTTCAAATTACTCTCGAAGATGCAAATCATAACTATTTAGAGTTTAGTAAACTTCCTAGATCTGCTGAAACTAATGAAATTGGTTTTATATCTGTTGGAGATTCAAAGAACGAAAAGTGTAAGGGCTACCGAAAGGAGATAGCACTTCGCTTACGTTGTTTTCATCACTATGTTGGTAACACGGATAGATTAGAGGGAGAAAGAACCTATCATCAAGTGGATTTTAAATTACCCTATCAGCCTTTAAAGTTTCTTAGCAAATACGTATGTTCTTTTGCAAGAAGATTTTTTGCAGAAGCTGGTATTGGTGACATGGATATCGAAAGACTTGTTGATGAAGTGGAAATAGTATTTGCTTATTCTCAACTCTTTGTCTTACCCTTTCCAGCTCCTATTTTTAGAGAACCAAACTACGAAATAGAAGAGGCGAAAGAATCAAAGAAGCGGAAAATTTTGTATGATAAAGTCTCAAATCGTAGCGGTACCTTCTCACAATCAAGAGGATATTTTAAGTCATATCGTCAGATAGAAGCCAACGTAGTAGATGAAACTGATCGAGGTGGAGAACCGTTACGGCTAGGCCTCATATCAAACATTTCGTTACCTTTTATCGGATTCCCCCCTAATCAGATACTTAAGGAGTGGAATATTAGCTATAATGTGCACAATGGTCTCATAGAACCTGTGAAGGAGTTACTAATGAATGATTTTGATAATCCGACCGTAGAAGCACAGTACTACGGTGACAGAATCTCGGTTCCTGATTATTGCTTTCAAGTTAAAGTTGAGAATTCAGTCTTTAGTATTCCTATCGAATTGAAGTTATCAGGTGTGTTTAAAGCATTTAGAGATAGAGATGCTTATTTTTCTGATTTGATAAATCAATCGATGTATCAGATGTTAACATTAAGATCATCGATTGGCTTTATTTTTGATAAAGAGTGTATTATGATCATAAAATTGTTTAATAATGAGACACCTGAATTGACAGTTGAAGAATTAACGCAAATAAGATTAGCCAGATTGAAATGCAGTATTCAATGTGTCAAATTCAAAGATACTAATCCTGCATTAATATTTTATAGACTGATGTTTAGATATATTCAAAATGCTACTCCTTCTGATCAATTTCGAGTTAATTCTATATTTAAAGATATGGAGTTGACTGCTAATGACAAAACAGCTGTTACTGCAGGAAAATATGAGTTTATGCGTAATGAATGGCGTAGTGAATTCAGCGAATACAAGCCAAGAGGTGACTATTTTATTAGATATTTAAATTCCAGGCCAACTGATATTAGGATTCCCAAGGGATTTTTTAATAGAAAGTTGCTCAACTTTAAAACTACTATTCATCGAGAGGATTTTCGGGACATAACTTCCATTCAAGACAATTGGAAAAACGGATCAAACTATCATTCAAATGTATTTAGATTGACATACACAAAGGAACCAAATCTAAACAGGAGAATGATACTTAAAATATATGATCCTGTTTCATCTCCAGAAATTGCCTCGCATACTCAAGGTGGGTCATTTCAGAAAACCTTTGCGTTTTCTCTTTCGATGTATTTTAACGAGCTTCGTTCATATAAATTATTGAGAGACGATAATAGTAACGGACCAGAAGAAGAAAAGCCAGAATCACAAGATGGACCAGCACCAACTTTACACTATACCCCGTATATGTACGAGTCTGGATTTATAGACTGGCCAGGTGAAAAACTTGCTGGGAATGATAAGCCAACAGAGTTCTGCGGCTTTTTTCTATTACTAGAAGAAATCAGTGAAGGATTTCCTGACACAGAGGAAGAGTATCAAGAAGCTGCACGTCAAGCTTTACAAAACATCCATTTGAAAGGATTGTTGCATGGAGACGTAAATAATCGAAATTTCCGATATGATTCTTCTAGGAATCGCGTAATATTTTTCGATTTTGGATTATCTAAGTATACCAATTCCGAATTTAAAGATAAATCAGAAGATTTAATCAGTCTGACTGCCGAACAAAAGCAGGCTGAGCTTGCTAAGTTAGGGCGTAAAGTGACTGTGGCATTTAGACAAAAACCTAGTTGAAGAAATAATTAAGTAGTTCAATATATATTTGCAGCAAATAGTATAAAAAAAAGAAATCTAAAAGCCGGGTAACCCGTCTCAATATTTCTATCTATTAGAAAAAAAATTATATTTAGTTTCTTCAAAGGATCTTGTTTCAACAGAGTCTGATAATATACAACAATTAAGATGGCATTATTTGGATCTTCAACATCAGCTGCTGCTGGAACAGCAAGTACAACTGCTGGAGGGAAATCTCAACAACTTAAACAAGAGATTGAAAATCAAATTAGTCAAGAATTAGCAGTTGCAAATGCTACTGAATTAGTTAGTAAAATCACTGAAAATTGCTTTGAAAAATGTATTACTCAACCATCTAATATATTGAATGGTCAAGAAGATCAATGTATAAATCAATGTTTAGAGAAATATATGAGATCATGGAATGTTATATCGAAAGCTTATATAACTAGAATTCAACAACAATCAGCTCAAGATAAGTAGAAAATGATGTATATCTACTTTGATCAATTGATTTCATATCTAATTCATGTGTTATGAATTGTAATAGGAATCGAATTAGATGAATTGACTTGAAATAGATCATTACCATTAGCTTTTCCTATATCACTTTTTTGATACCATAGAAGTCTGTACATATACTCCACATACCACGATGCATAACCTCTAATGATTATACAGTCATCCATAGATACATCTACTCAACTAATAACAAATTACCTTCCTGAATATAGAGTTTTTTATGAAGTTATATAGCCCTTAATGACTTTACTTTATTTATTAAATTTAGTAGTACCAATTATTAATTAAAACTTGACTCAGTTGAGTTATGTAGTTCTCTATTTACTCTCTATCTTGCATACGTCATAGTTCGGCGTACTGTCATATTAAGAGCTTATCAACAATGACTCACGATGATATCCTTTGGTTACTTCAGAAGTATTAAACTTTTTTGCAATTTGTTAATAGTGTTTAAAGAATTCCCAAGTCAGGTCGTGTCTCGTTGCACAATAAAAATAGTGTGTACCAAATTTTCAGAGTGGCAACAAATCTGAGTATATCAAAAGATCCAAATACCAGTTGCCATTCACCACCCAACGATACTTAGTTTATACTCCCAATTAGCCATCATAATCCATATCAATTGCATATTATATATAAGAACTTGTTACAACAGATATACAACAACTTATCCATAGCATTACTTTTGTCCCCATAAACATACACATACACATACCTCATACCTCATACAAATAATCTAAAACTATGACGAACGCAACCGTTGCATCTGAATATTCAGCAGAAGTCAATCATGTCCCCATTGAACATAGATTCAATCCATACTCCGATAATGGGGGTACCGTGTTAGGAATTGCGGGTGAGGATTTCGCTGTATTAGCAGGAGATACAAGACAAGTTGAAGGATATTCGATTCATTCTCGATATCAACCAAAAGTATTTAATGTTGGTGATGATATTATAATGACTGCCAATGGATTTGCTGCTGATGGTGCTGCTTTAATAGATCGTTTTAAGAATCAATTGAAATGGTATAAATTTGATCATGGTGGAAAGAAATTAAGTATTCAAAGTGCTGCAAGATATATTCAACATTTATTATATGGTAAGAGATTTTTCCCATATTATGTTTATACTATAATTGCTGGATTAGATGAAAATGGTAAAGGTGCAGTATATTCATATGATCCAGTTGGTTCATATGAAAGAGAGCAATGTAGAGCTGGAGGTGCAGCTGCAAGTTTAATAATGCCTTTCCTTGATAATCAAGTTAATTTTAAAAATCAATTTGAACCAGGTACAGATGGTAAACAAAAGAAAGAATTAAGATATTTATCATTAGATGAAGTTTTAGAATTAGTTAAAGATGCATTTTCATCAGCCACTGAAAGACATATATATGTTGGTGATGGTTTAGAAATTTTAATTGTTACAAAAGATGGTGTAAGAACTGAATACTATCCATTAAAGAGAGATTAATCCTATGTATTGTATAGTATAATATATATAAATATAATATGAAAGAATGAGATAAAGAGTTTTCATTATCAATCTGTAAGAGATAGATCTTTCTTCTGTCTCCCATTCTTTATCTTCACTATTATTTCTTCTTCATTTAAACTGGTAATTCAAATTTCTTACCCTTCATCACTTTGGTATAGTAAATGTAAAAGAAATCAGAATAAATAGCAGTTTGAACTAATCCAGCAAGTACAGAAATATAATCAAAATGTTCTTCAGCAAAATATCTATAAATCCAATTTGGAATGTATAATGCACGATAAAGACCCAAAGCAAATATATAATGACTGGTGATATTTTCTGCTTCACCTGTTCTTTGTAAGATATATAATTGAGGTAAGATAGCCACGGCTTCTAACCATAATGAAAAAGTCCATAATATTTCTAAAATACCATATTTTCTGGTAAAGATTAATCCTAATAAAATTGAACCTCCAACTAAATACCTTATTGGGAAAGTATCAATATCTTCTTTTATATTCTTTTTATACTTATTAGTCATGACATAGACGGTATATACGGATGAACCAATAAAAAAGACCTTTAAAACGGAATTGTATAATGAATAATATTTAGTGAATAAATTCAAATATCTAGCAACAAACACTAACACATATAACAATTGAGATTTTAGTGATATACCATTACTTGATCTACTTTGCTCAATGGCATACAATAAAAGCAATATACTGGCCAAATGGGAAAGATCCCCAACGAATCTGAAAATATTCATTCTATTAGTTGTAATAAGGCCTTGCTGATTTGATAAAACAGTTGTAGCAGAATATGTTTGAGAGTTTTGATATTTTACATTTTCAAACACGTCAAGCTCTCACAGTTTTTTGACAATGATGGGGTATATGCAGGAAAATTATATTTTTCTATTTACAACTCTATATGGTTTAAGACATCATCATATTCATCGTCAAGATCTTCTAATTGAATGATGTTTTGACTTTGGTTGACATTGAACCCCTTTTTACCATATTGTTGGGGAGCATTAGCATTCATGTTTGTTACAATATCTTTTTGTAAACTTGATATGGAATCATACCAAGTACCAAATTGAACGTCATCTGAATCTAAATTGTTTAAGAATGTTTCAATATCATTAACGGATAAGTTATTTCTTGTCACATGGTTCTGGGAGAATGAATTATATATTTTGAAATGATGATTATCTTTGAAATATATTAAACTTGGAAAATTACTAATATGATATTTAGCAATTGTATTTTGAATATTAACATTATCAACATCAACCAAAGAGAAATTAATATGCTGGAATGATTCATGATGAGTTAATCTTTGATATGGATGATTAGGATAGTGATAATCTTTCCAATCCAATAAGAATGATAAAGTGAAGATCACTAAGCTATTTGGTTTTGTGGTTGCTAAATCGAAATTTGAATCATCTAAATAATTTACATTTGATTGGAAATGATTATAATCAGGAACAGCATCAGGAACTCTTTGTTGAATAAATTCAATCAATGATGGTAAATCTCGTTTATCTTTATCATAATTGAAGATTTCTTTAGTATTAAAATCTAATAATCTTAAACTTGGATATCGATTAATACTAAACAATTGACTTACACGTTTATTAGCTCTGGCATTAGTTTTAAGAATTTGGATATCAGGAATCGTATTGGATGATTGATTTGAATTATATAAAAGACTTAAGTTTTCAAAATCAGGGTTGAATTTAACACAGTAACCACATGAATCTGAATAAAAGTATATGAATGAATAACGTGACTTTTCCAAAGTTGGAGCTATATTTGTATCATCAAATTCTTTGATATAAGGAGTAACATCAGAAGTGATGGCATAAATGAGTTTCAAACTTATGATGATACCTATTATAAATGGAATCTTCATCTTGAAATCAACTGATACACACTGATTTATATATATAACCATGTAAATTCATTCTTATGATAATTTGTAATACCACTGATGGAAAAGATAAAAATTTGAGTGGTCGTGCACTTTGTCCAAAGACCAAAAGACGTATTATGTATGTGGGTTAACAATAATATGCTAAAATTCCTATTATATTGTTAAATAATCTATCAAACTGACATCAATAGGCTGGAGTCATTCCTATTGATTTAGTAGAAAATAACATCTAACCATACATTGTATAGACCTTGATCCCATTAAGGCTGAATCACCCTTCCCAATTAGGAAAGCGTACTTATTTCTTATAACCAGCCTTTATAGTATGAGAGTGCGGCACACTTTTTTTTTCTTAGGCTGCTGGATATTTTCTGCATTGTTAGAGCTGGTGAGTTACCGTTTTAGGACTGATTTGCCAGCTAACATCATGAAACGATTTAAAACTTGCAACAATTTGCAATGACGATAAACTTTTTCAAGTGATTCAATGTATGATCAATCGTATCCAGCATGGAGTAAGTGAACATATAAAAGAAATGACAACGAACGTTGGTTTGTAAAAATAAGTTATTTTTTTTTTGAATCTTATTTCTTTTCCATTTCCAAAAACCTAACTAAACACACTCGTTATTATTATTATCAAAAATGAAAGGTATTATCTCATCCATTGCCCTTATGGCAACCACTGTTATAGCAGCAACTTCATCTTCTTACTCATTGACTATTGAATCAACCTCAATTTCAACTGTGCCATGTTCTTCATCATCTGCTACATATTTAGCTCCATCATCCTTTGTATACAGTAATTCAACTACATCAATAACTGATGCTGCAGTTGCAAGTACATATCCGGTGATAGATGTTTCTTCATCAGCAGATCCAGCTGACCCTCCAACTGATCCAACATCTTCAGCTGACCCAGCAGATCCACCTACTGATCCAACTTCTTCAATAGACCCACCAATTGATCCTCCAGCTACTACTTCAGCTGATCCATCATCATCATCTTCATCATCAAAAGTTAGATCAACTTTATACGCTTATGTTACTGATACTGAAAATGGTGTTTTCGAAGTCACAACCACTGTCTGTACCAATGGTAATTGTTACGTCAGTACTTTATTAGAAAGTTCAACTACCCTTACTACTACTGTTGATGGTATTTTAACCGTTTTAACTACTGCTATTCCAGTCTCTGGTTCAGTTCCACCAGCTATTTCTCCAGTTATTTCAACAGAATATTCTTCTGCTGATCCAACTGAATCTGAAGCATTAACTACTTATACTACCACTGTCGATGGTGTTGTCACTGTTGTTACTACTTATTGTCCATTTAGTGGTAAAACTACTTCAACTGAAGCTACTGTTGCTCCTGCTTCAACTACTTCAGCTCCAATTATTACTACAAGTGAAGAAAATGAAACTAGTACTGAAACTTTAGTTTCAACCACTGTTATTACCATTACTTCTTGTAAAGAAAATAAATGTTCTGTTGTTCCAAAGACAACCGGTGTCACTGTTGTTACTGAAGATCATACTATTTATACTACTTATTGTCCATTATCAGGTGAAGTTGTATCTTCTACTCCCGCTGTTGCTCCAACTAGTGAGGAAGATACTACTACCACTATTCAAATAACTGAAACTCCTGCTGCTTCCGAATATTCCACTATAAATGTTATAACTAATAATATTGTTACTGAAACTCCAGTATCAACCTCTTCCCAAATCACTTCTGCTGTGAATCAAACCACTATAAGTACTTTCTCAACTTATGAAGGTGGTGCTATTGGTTCAACTGCTAAGACTTCTGGTTTCTTGGGATTAATAATTTCGTTTGTATTCCTTTTGATATGATGATGATCTAACTGATCTCTCACTACTATTGTTTCCCAATACTAAAAAATTAATATCATTATTGTATACTATTAACTTCCTTTTTACTTCTTATTCTATAGATTATTCAAATATAACTTTTTCATTCGGTCCTTAATTGATCTTTTGTAGGTAATATCTCTAAACTTTGATGGTTTTACAGCCTAACCTTCGCTACCAGAAAAAATTCCAAACAGGGCTGGTCAATAAAAATGCAACTTTTTGACCTTTATCCTTAAATTACTCTATAACTATTAAACTTTCACTAGATATGATTCATACCAATTATACTCACAAAATTCATACTATTCGAATGAATACCATATTAAGAAATTAAATTTAATTGTGAATAATAAGTTCCGAATCCGCTAGCGCAAAGGTTTCGGGGCACATTTGCAAACAATTCCATGTCATTTTTCATACTGACGACGAGCACCACCTCACAATCAAGCACATAATTTACTATAACTTGAACCTCCACCATAATTGAGCAGAGGGAGGAAGGTTGCCGATGTACGATTCACAGTTTGATTTGATTAAGTTCATGGTTTAAGTGATATTATAACGGTTAATATCATTTCTTGACCTTTTATACTGGCAGGCCTTCACTAATCTAAACACCTCTCTAACCGGTAAATTCTAAATTTTTCTCAACACACACTGAAAATCCAAAATACGCTATACCAGAAATTATTTACAACCAAATTAAATCAATCATCCAAGTTGATCATTGTGAAGTTATGGACGGGTACAATGAGTTCATAGAACCGTCAAGGATCAGTAATAGTATTGGTTGTAATTTCATATCGCCTCATGTCAAACATTTGATTGTGGGTAAGGCATCTCTTCTTCAAATCTTTGAAGTTGTACTATTAAAGAAATCAACTCCCAATAAACCTCAATATAGATTGAAATTGATCGATCAATATAAGTTATATGGACAAATCACTGATTTGAAAGCGATTAGAACGCTTGAGAATCCAAATTTGGATTATTTGATTGTTTCTACCAAGTTTGCTAAATTTTCAATCATTAAATGGGATCATCAATTACATACTATTTCAACCGTTTCATTACATTATTATGATGAAGCTATTCAGAATTTGACGTATGAAAAGTTATCTAAAACAGATTTAATCGTTGAACCTTCATATCATTCATGTTCATGTCTTCGATTTAAGAATATATTGTGTTTCTTACCTTTTGAAACTAATGATGAAGATGAAGATGATGATGATTCTGATGAAGATGTCGACATGGATGGAAAATCATCAAAGAAATCTATTTCAAAGGCATCCAACGGTGGTGCCATCAATAATATCACTGAACATGCTAAAGTATTCGATTCAAGTTTCATAATAGATGGTCAAAGTTTAGATCCATCCATCGATAATATAGTTGATATGCAATTTCTTTATAATTATAGAGAACCAACCATAGCCATACTATCACAAAAGAGTCATGCTTGGTCAGGAAACTTAATTAAAGTGAAGGATAACTTACAATTCAATATCTTAACCTTAGATTTAAATTCAAGAACGACCGTCAGTGTGTTAAAAATTGAAAATTTACCTTATGATATAGATAGAATCATCCCACTACCATCCCCTTTGAATGGGAGTCTTTTATTAGGATGTAATGAGATTTTCCATGTCGATAATGGTGGAATCGTGAGAAGAGTGGCCGTCAATCAATTCACTTCATCCATTACAACATCAACCAAGAATTATATTGATCAATCTGAATTGAATCTTAAATTGGAAGATTGTAATGTGGTATTGATTCCAAATGATCATCGTGTATTATTAGTGTTGAGTAATGGTGAGTTTTATTATATTAATTTTGAAGTTGATGGTAAATCAATTAAAAAATTTAATATTGAAGTGATTGATAAATCTTTGTATAATAGTGTTAATTTAATTTTCCCAGGTGATATTGCTGTCCTTGATAATAATTTATTATTCTTCACAAATCAAAATGGAGACAGTCCGTTGGTACAGTTCAAATATAAAGACTCAACATCGGTTACTACCAGTAATTTAAGAATTGAAGGAGCAGATGATGATGATGAAGATGAGATTAAAGAAGAGGAAGATGAAGTGAAGAAAGTAGAGCCAGAAGACGATGACGATGACGATGATGATGATTTCTATAAAGATGAAGAAGAAGAACAGAAAATCGTATTAAGTAAATCATCCATTGAATTCTTACTTCAAGATGAATTAATGAATTTCGGAGTAACATCTTCATTCACGCTTGGATTCTATTCTACTGAAAAATATATTGCTAATTTGAAGAATCCAAACTATAAAGAAGTTGCCATTGTATCCAATTCAGGACTGCATTCACAAGGTCGTTTAAATATCATGACTCCAACCATTCAACCTAATATTATATCATCATTAACTTTCTCTCAAGTTAATCGAATGTGGAATTTAAATCAAAAATATTTAATCACTTCCGATGATATTAATTTAAAATCAGAAATTTTCCAAATTGAAAAATCATTCCAACGTTTAAAATCAAAAGATTTCTTAAACAATCAAGCAACTATCTCAATGCATGAATTAAATAATGGGAAATATATCTTACAAATCACTCCTAAGAAAGTGGTCCTTTATAACAACACTTTTAAGAAAAGATTAGAATTAGAAGATTCTTTTATTCCTGATGATGATGAAATTATAAATAGTACTTTAAAAGATGAATTCTTAATGATCTTTTTATCTAGTGGTGATGTATTAATCTTTGCCATTAATACTTATAATGAAACATTTGCTAAAGTTGAAATCCCAAAGATTTTAAATGATGTCATTATTACTACTGGTTATATTACCAATTCCAGTTTATTAAGCGCCGTTCTGAAAAATATAAACATTCTTATCAAAGGAAGTGGTGGACAAAAGAGATCAAGATCTTCATCATTAGCATATCAAGCTACAGCTCCTATCGATACAGCTTCAAAACTGAAAACTTTCATATTAGTTACTGGTGATAATAGAATTGTTGCTTTCAATAGATTCCATAATCAAAAATGTTTCCAATTAAATGAAGTAGATAAATTTTCTGATACTTTAAGTTTAGGATTCTTCGATCCTAAGCAGATCTATCCTGATCCATTTATAAAACAAGTTATATTAAGTGAATTAGGTGATAAAGATCACAAAGAAGAGTTTTTAACCATCTTAACTATTGGGGGTGAAGTCTTAATGTATAAATTATATTTTGACGAAGAGAATTTCAAATTCAAGAAGGAAAAGAATCTTACTATTACAGGAGCTCCTAATAATGCTTATCCATTAGGTACAGCTATTGAAAGAAGATTGGTTTATTTCTCCAATAAAAATGGATTTAAATATATTTTCGTGACTGGTATAATTCCATATATAATTCTTAAGAATTTACATTCTATTCCTCGAATCTTCAAATTTTCAAAGATACCAATCTTATCAATCTCATTCTATGCTGATTCCAAAACCACAAATGGATTAATTTATTTAGACAATCTTCAAAATGCTCGTATTTGTGAATTACCTACTGATTTCAATTATGAAAATAATTGGCCAATAAAGACTGTTTATATCGGAGAACTGATAAAATCAATTGCATACCATGAAACCAGTAATACATATGCCGTATCTACCATCAGTGAAATCCCATATGATTGTTTAGATGAAGCAGGTAAACCAATTGTTGGTGTACAAGTTGATAAACCAAGACCTGAATCGTTCAAAGGTTCGATAAAATTGATCTCACCTTTTAATTGGACTGTGATTGATACGATTGAATTGAAGGATGATGAAGTAGGAATGACGATAAAATCAATGGTATTAGATGTTGGAGGTGGTTCAAGTAATAAAAAATTCAAATCGAAGAAGGAATTAATCACTATTGGTACAGGTAAATATAGAATTGAAGATTTATCAAGTAATGGATCATTTAAAGTATTTGAAATCATTGATATTGTTCCTGAACCAGGTAAGCCAGAAACCAATCATAAATTTAAAGAAATGTTCCACGAAGATACCAGAGGGGCTGTCACATCTATTTGTGAAGTTAGTGGAAGATTTTTAGCTGCTCAAGGTCAAAAGATTATTGTAAGAGAATTAGAAGATGATGGGGTTGTACCAGTGGCATTTTTAGATACATCGGTGTATGTATCTGAAGCAAAAAGTTTTGGAAATTTAGTATTATTAGGTGATTCAATTAGAAGTATTTGGTTAGTTGGATTTGATGCAGAACCATTTAGAATGATCATGTTAGGTAAAGATTTACAAACTTTAGATGTTAATTGTGCTGATTTCATAAGTAAAGACGAAGAGATTTATATTTTAATTGCCGATAATAATAATATCTTACACTTAGTTCAATATGATCCTGAAGATCCAACCTCATTAAATGGACAACGATTAATATCTCGTGCCTCATTTTCATTGAATTCATTAGTAACATGTATTAAATCCATTCCTAAGAGTGAAGAAAGTTATGATTATGATACTGGAGATTATTCCCGTTCTACCATCGGGGATTATCAAACCATTGGTTCAACTATTGATGGATCATTCTTTAGTGTATTCCCTGTGAATGAATCAACCTATAGAAGAATGTATATTCTTCAACAACAATTGATTGATAAAGAGTTTCATTATTGTGGATTAAATCCTAGATTGAATAGATTTGCCGGTATTTCAATCTCAGGTAATGATACTAATTCCAAACCTATTTTAGATTATGATGTTATCAAGACATTTGCCAAATTGAATGAAGATCGTAAGAAGAATTTATCGAATAAGGTCAGTTCCAAGGATATCACTCAAGATATTTGGAAAGATATTATAGAGTTCGAACATGTTTTAAAAGGTTTATAGGTTAGCATAACTTGTATATAATAATAATAATAACAGTAACAGTACAATTATACGTCTATTTAGCTAATGTAGTGCTATTTAAATTAAGGTTATTTCATTCATTGTAGATCAAATCAAAGAATGGTCAAATCAAACCAAAAAAAAACGGTTGGTGAAAAAAACGCGGGTGTTGACTCCAAATTTAAAAATTGACAGTTACAAACAAACAAACAGACCAACTTCAATTATCATATACAAACAACAACTGAAAACCAACAGCAATGGCTAAGGTTAAGGCAGATAAGAAGTCAGTGACATTTGAGAAAGAGGATGTGGGTAATGATTCTGATGCCACTGGTGATATAGGAGATACTAGTGTTCCATCATCTACTAATGCTAAAGATTCTGATACTTTAAAGAAAGAAAGAGAAGAGGATCTCGTTATACAAGGTCAAATACCTAAATTGAAGTATTCATTATTGACAGTTCCATATCATAACTTGTTGGTGTTAGGAGGGATGTTTTATTATGGATTAACCGAGGATATTAATACCGTATTATTTAATGGATTGATTTCATTAATTTCAATTGAAGTGATTTATAATTATGTGGCTTATGGTAATATTAAAGTGACTAAGAAGAAGAAGGTTGATAATACAAATGTACCATTATTGATTGGAGGTAGTATCATTACGTCTATTATATTATCCATACCATTATTTGTAGTTATAATCATATTTGGAGCTCCATTAACCAATTATTTACAACAAACCATATTGTTAAGTTTACATTTATCAGTTATATTATTTAATCCATTATTAATTTCATTTAAATTTGATTTAAATCAATTTTTATTGGTGTTTAAAGCTAATAAGATATATCGATTAATCTTTAGTCATGCTGTATTATCATCAAGTTTTGGTATTATTATAGGGACATGGTTTGGAGTAGTACCTATTCCATTAGATTGGGATAGACCATGGCAACAATGGCCACTTACATTATTAGTAGGTGGATATGTTGGATCGATAGTTGGTGGGTTAGTAAGTCCATTAGTGACATTCTAAAATCAAGGATTCTAGAAGGTTAAATAAAATTAGTAAACAAGGAAAGAAAGGAATTACCACCAAGCCACTGAAGGAGGAATCTATTTTGAGTAATTTTAAGTAAATAGATTATTATATAAAAGGCATTTAAAAATAAATAAATAAATAATAATATTATATTATAGTCAATATGAGATAGGTAGTACAAGTAAAGGAAATAAGTCGGTTAGCCAGTAAAAGGAACGGCGCTAAAAAATAATAACGGTTATTGATCTCTGTTTATATGAAGTTAATCATTCGTTTCATCAACAAGACTTATCAAGGCACAGAAAGTCAATAATGCAATTCAATTTTATCTAATCTAACCGTTCTTTGTTACTATTTGATTACTAAAAATTTGCTGTACTCCACAAAATTTTAGCCAACAAAAAAAGAAATTTTTGGGGAGGGACCTCACTCTCTCACTCCGTAGTGAGCTTTATTTTACCGGGGGGAAAGACGAAAAAATTAAAGTTAAGGAGAACAGCAGCCGCCATTTACCACCACCACCACCACCACCACCACCACTTATCACTACCGACCCACAAGGTCCAGAAAGAAGAAAAAAGGAATTAAGTCTCACTAAATTCTAAGTCAAGAAGAATCCAGCGATGGACAAAAACCGAAATGACAAAGTCCGAGATTCAGAATTTGGATGACACCAGTTCAGTTCTGGAATATTAAAATAGTCGTTTGTTGATTACAATTGATTTGAGCTATTTTTCAATTATAAAATATCAAAACGTAGCTGAACTCTGTCAGTATGACGTGATAAACGCCTAATAATACTTGATATGAAATAATTAAGAGCATCTCGTTTTTTTGTAGGGCATCGTTCATCACGGGCTTTGAATTAGACGCATTTGGGTCAAATTTTATGTCATGTAAAATTGTTGAGACATACATACATTCAAACTGTCAGACACAGTGATAGTTTCTGATTTGCCTTTTATAACCGACAGATAAGATGATTTGTAGATAACCTTAGATTCTAGACCATTTCTTATATGAATAATATCAATCGATATTATCTATCTATGACAAATCATCCATTTAATGTATACTATGGTTTAATATTTGCATGGGGTTTAACCCCCTTCTCACCCCTAGTGGGTACACTCCCACACTAAAAAAAATAGAGTGAGTGGTTAGAGTCGGTATTCGTTAAACCGGTTCTTGCGACCACCTTTCTTATAGCAATTTGTAATTGAATTATTATTATTATAAATACTCCACTTTCTGTCTCCTATTTGAAAAATTTAATCATTCACCTTCTTCTATTCTTTATTACAATTCAATTACTCTTTACTTGTAATACTTAATACTTATCAATCAATCTAATTCAAAAATGGCTATCGAAGTTAATGAAAAATTCCCAACCAACGTTAACCCAAAATATATCCCATATTCAAAAGCTAATGATCATATCACTGCTTGTGCTAATCCAATTGATTTAAATTTAGCTAAGGAATTCGCCGGTAAAACCGTGGTTGTAACTGCTGCTCCAGGTGCTTTCACTCCAACTTGTACTGAACAACATATCCCAGATTATTTAAAACATTTACAAGATTTCAAAGATAAAGGAGTTGATAAAATTATTATTTTAACTGCTAATGATCCATTTGTTTTAGCTGCTTGGGGTAAAGCTTTAGGTTATAAAGATGAAGAAAACTATGTTGTATTTGCTACTGATCCATTAGCCAAGATTTCAAAAGAATTAGGTGAATCTTATGTTGAAGATTTATCAAGTGCTGGGTTTGGTATTAGAACTGCTAGATATGCTGGTTTAGTAGTTGATGGTACTATTAAATTCTTAGAAAATGAAGAAAGTTTAGGATTTACTGATATTTCAAGTGCCAGTAACATCTTAGAAAAAATCTAATCAATCCATTCGTTCCCTTAATTAATTGATTGATTCTATGATTGATCTTATTTAATTGATTTGATTTGATGGTTTTGGGCCACTTGTTCTACTTTAATTCTAATCCTTTAAAACTTTAATAAATAACTACATAAAATCCATAATGAACATTTTGCCTTTTTTTAAGAACGACGAACACGTCATTGTAACTGTAAGTATCTGCTCTATCCAATTAACCACATTATAATCTTTGATTGATTCAATTGAGTACAATTAACCAATCATCATTCATCATCACCATGATGGATGGTTGTAATAATAATTTTGTTGCAAATGTAAAACGCGTACTGAAAAATAAAAACCATACCAAAAAAAAAATAATAAATCATAAATAAACCACAGAACATATCAATTCAAAGATCAATTCAATTACATCAAGAGCATGGTAGGATCATCATCATTGCCTAGGATAAATGGTGACACGGATGATGATGCGTCAATTCATCTTCATGCCACGATTGGTCCAGCTAAACCATTGATTGGATCGCATAAGAAACCAATCATTAGAACTGAAGTGGATGAAAAAATATATCATGAATTACGAGATATAACGGATAATAATGGTATTGAAGAAGAAGAGGAGGAGAAGGATTATGATGATGATTATGATAATGGTCCTGTTGGTTTGTCACATCATGATTTAAATGATTCATTTCGAAAATATCAACAACAATTAGTGAACAATAATGGATATGATAATGATTCAGATGATGAAGAAGAAGAGGATGATGATTACGTAGACTTTAATGATGATGATGATACTACAGAAGTGGAATCCGAAGGAGATGAACTCGACTTTGATTCTGAAAGTGATGGTGATAAAGAATTAAAAGCTTTGAATGAAAGAGTTAAATCATTTAATCAATCAAAATATTATAATCATAGTCCTATTCAAACATTACTTCCATCATCTGATAAACCAAATCAAAGTTTGTTTGATGAGTTCAAAACAACCACAGAGAATCAAAGTGTTGAAATATCGGATGACCAACCAGAAACAGTCGAACCAGAAATAGAAGATAAAGAAGATGAACAGATTAAAGATGATAAACCAGAGGCCACTATACCGAACCAGACTTCAGCATTTGCGACAATTGGTCAGGTCTTTCTTATTATTATAGGTCTATTATGTATAAGTCTTTTCTTTATGTTCATCTTGATGAAAATTGATGCTAAGACCTCTCCCATAACATCAGATAATTCTCATACTTATAAAAGTTTAATTGAAATCACTGACAAATTAAGTAAACGACAAGATTTCCTTGAGGATAATCTTTCTTCATCATCATCATTTATTAATTCCAAATTTGATTCGGTTAACACTAAACTTGAAAGTATAGAAAAAACTGTGGTAGAAAACTTAAATAATTTCAAACAAGAAATAACACTCTTACAACTGATTCAAGGAAGTGAAAATCTAGATGATAGTACCATTCATGATAATTTAGTCTCCATCAAAAAGGAGATTGTGGATGAGTTTGTTAATAACTTACCTCAGTATGTACCTGTCTATATTCAAAATGGCAAAATTCATTTCGTTCCCCAATTCCATAAATATTTATATAATTTCGTGGAAAATTATCATCAAGCTCATGCTTCAAACACAACCACAATTGCACCATTAACTAATAGCACTACTATAAACACACATTTTATGGATAAACAAGAGTTGGAACGATATCTTGATAAAAGATTCTTAAGCAATAATAAATTCTTTATATCTAAATTCAATACTTTGATTGATAGCTTAGATTTATCAACTTCAAACCTCACTAATATTAATGAAAGTAGTGAGAAACTTATCAAATCAACAAATAAAATCTTACTTCGTGAATTATTAAAAGTATTATCGAATGGTTCTATAAAGATCAATTATTCAGATTATACTCTTGGATCAAGGATATTAGGATTTTTAACTAAATCAAATTTAAAAAATTCATCAACATCCATAAGTCATAAGTTATTATTAGGTTGGTATGATTATGTTAGTGGAAGTGGTGTGAAAGATCTTGGATATAATGCTAATTCCGTGATACTTAATACTGATCAAAGTTGGAAATGTCAATCTATAACGAATGATCAACCATGTTCGATTGGGATAAGATTATCAGATACGATTGTGATATCAGACTTGGTCATTAGTGTTAATCCTGATTTTGAAGGGGAAGTATCGATTTGGATTAAACCTAGTCAGTATAAGATTCAAGGTCAAAAGTTATTGACATATTTACAGGGATTAAAAATTAGTAATACGGTTGTGACTACTACTAATAAATATTTAAGTCGATTTTTCAAAATTAAACAATTCAAATCGAAAAAGATAGATACTCAATCGAATGACAAGTTACTAGTTGTTAAGTTTCCTGTTAGTTTAATAAGTTTAGAAATCGCTAGTAAGGATATTTATATTGAGTTTAAATCATCAAATCCAATTGAAATCAATAATATTAAAACATATGGTATATCTGAGTTGAATGCTAACAGATATGATAAACAATTCCAATTAATGTTTGATAAAATCTACAATGAGGATAATGAAGTTGAGTTGTTTGACCAAGAGGAAGTGTCACATGGAGATGTTGACACGTCGCCGTCTATACCAACTTACGATTTATTAGATGATGATGAGTATATATGAGAGAATTAGATTAGATTTAAAGATGTGTGTATGTGTTATTTTGTATTATTATTATTATTATTATTATTATTATTATTATTATTATTCATAATTGGTAGCTCTTCCTGTTATATGAGTCGTGTCCTTCTGCCCCGTTTTTTTAGCCTTTTTTAGATTATTGTTTGAGTTCATGCAGGTAATTTAAAGGAGAGAGAGAACAAAAAATATAAAAATAAAATAAAAAAATGTCTGGGAGTTTTTCTTTCTCCTCAAATCGATTTAATTATTTCCATTTTTGATCTGAATTGTATTACCACAAACCAGTTAGTTGTTTACAAATCATGACATTTATTTCAAATCATATATAACCCTTCGAGATCATAATTATTAATAATAATTTCACGGTCTGCTAAAAAATAATAAACAAACAAACAATCAATCCTTTCCAATTACGAAGTTTAAAACGTTGGTGTGTGTAAATCTTGTACGATCTTGGAATTGCAATGACCAAGGATGGAACGTTTAATAGAGTTCAAAACTGTAATTATCATCATTATAAAAGCATCAGATTGTTGATCCTGAAATATGTAGCTAATTGGACTATTCTATTATCTGATCTTCCAACACCCTTTTTTAATTGCCTGATCTTATCTATCAGCAGTGCTTAAAACTTTTCATTATAAGTTTAAACTTCGCGTATTCTATCCTATTATATCCCTTTGTAAATATTAAATAATAATAATTATTATAATAATAATGCTTATTGTTATATATATTTTGTACATATATAAATAAAGTATGTGAAAAAAGAAACAGTACTAGGAAAATATATTCAGTTCTATAAATGATCTCAAATTAACTTATTAAACGTGCAATTCATACAAGTTAATTAAGAAATCAATTCTAAAGAATGTAGATCATTATCTAATACAACAGAAGGTAGTTAAAAGGAGATTTTTAAAAGGGTAAAGAAGCCCTTAGAATTTCTTCCTTCTCCCAAAATATCGAAAAATAATAAATTTGAAAGATTTGTTAGCAGCCAGAAAAGGAAAAATAAAATTTGAAAAGGGACAAAAAAATAATAAAAAAAAAATTAAACATTAAAACTAGTGTTAACACACAAACACACACACAGATGAAAAAGTCAAACCAAAACCAATAATATTACAACACAATTTCTGAAAATATCATTAGCATATGTTGTTCATGACGGTAATAGCAATGACAGTGAATTGTTTGTTTCTTTTTTGTAGTTGTTGAATGAAAGAATGAAGGATAAAAGAATGCCATAATTAAACAATATTAAAATAAATAAGACAAAAAAAAACAATTTTTGTCAATAATGAACCAGACAAAATAATAATAAAGGGGAAAAAAGAAATCAGACAAAAATTTAAATTTAATTGTTTAATAAAATAAAATAATATTAAATAAAAATATTAAACGTATATTTCGTTTTATAACATAAAGAAAATATACATTTTATATTGTTTATTAAACCACTTAGATTAAGTAAGCACCAATAGCTAATAAACCAGCACCAACAATTGGAACAGCATTGGCACCACCGGTAAGAGTGGTAACTTCTGGAGTTGGGGAAGTGGAAGCTTTTGGAGTGGTTGATTCAGCAGCAACAGTCTTTGGAGTGGTGGTTGGAACTGGAGTGGTGGTTGGGGCTGGAGCTGGAACTGGAGTAGTTTCACCAGATAATGGACAGTAGGTGGTGTAGATAGTAGTACCTTCAGTAACAGTGGTTAATCCAGTAGTAACTTCAACTGGAGAACATTTATTTTCAGAACATGAAGTAATAGTAACAACAGTGGTCTTGATAGCAGTTTCAGTTTCAGTTTCACCAGATAATGGACAGTAGGTGGTGTAGATAGTAGTACCTTCAGTAACAGTGGTTAATCCAGTAGTAACAGTTTCTGGTTTACATAAATCTTCAGAACATGAAGTGATGGTGATAACAGTGGTAGCAATATCAGTGACAGTGGAAGTAGCATTAGAGTATGCAGCTTGAGCACTGACAGCAAATGAAGCAACGGTGGCTAATAAAGCAGAAGAAGTGGTGAATTTCATTTTATAAGCGAATGTATGAAAAGTTATTAAGTTGAAGTTAATAATTATAGTGAAAAGAAAAAGAATAAAAGAAGAAAGACAATAATTTTTTTAAAAGGGGGAGTTTTTAATCAATTTATATATATATCTTATTTTTATACTAATGTTGAACACTGAAATCTTTACCACTTAAATCACTAAGTATAATTTTTAATAATTGTTATGGTTATGCATCACAAAATAATTGCAATACTTCTATATATAGAGCAGAGTAAGGTAAATACTGGTTACAAGGACATTAAAAATATAATAAATAAAAAAAATGCACAATTAAAAATAATTGATGCGTATTAAAACTTAATTTGCACCCCCATTGCATGCAGGTAGTACATCCATACTGGTAAAGAGAGTATTATTTATGGAAAATGTCGGCAGTTTTAGCGAAAAAAATAAACTTCTGCCGCATTTGGGTCTATTAGGGGGTTGAGGTGGACAGGGGAAGAAAATGTCGTAACACAAATACGTTTTAGTACTAATTTCCGACACATTTTTTTGTTTGTTATTCTGATACAGTACTGAAATTAAAAAAAATTTCTTGTCCTTCATTTACCGTGGATTTATCATTATCAGGGCTGTAGCGTTGTAAATTTTTGTGGGTAATAAGCTTATATTAGCCTTGGATCTAGGGTTAATAGTTAGAGTACCTGTTTGTTTTTATTATTACCCTTCAATGTTGTATTTTAATTTGATGATATCGATTGCACTTTTCATTCTTAACTCATCATTTACTAGTAGAAGATCCAACTACAGAATCAATTGACTGTATGAAGCGTCGACTTACATATAAGCTGAAACCTCAAATATGAAACTGTAAGTTTGAGTGACCTATGAAGTTCATTTCATGTTTTTGTTGTTTTGAATTTAGTGTGTTATTTCTACCTTTACGAAACTATATCCAATTTAATCCAATTACTATTTAGTTTAATTCATGACTTTATAATTCATAAACATATATAACTTCAATTAATTAACCTTTGAAATAGCTCTTGACCACCGACACTACCTGCTGAATCAGGAAGTAGCAAACCTGAAAGTGGTAACAGCCGTCTTTTCAATAGGAGTTTTTTCCCCCTTCTCCTCCTGGATCAAAATAAAAATAAGAAAGTAGACTTTTTGTCTGCTTCTCATTTTTTTTTTTGTTCTTTATGCATGTCGATTATAGAGGCTTCTATAATTAGACATCCCCCACCTTCAAAAGAAATTTAATTCATTTCCTAAACAATAGCAAATTTCGAGAAAAGGTCTGATGATCTTAGCTTTGTTACCTGTCGCTGGTTACTGTAGACCGCTTACTACTTGCACTTGCGGTAATTGACATGGGGTATGATACAATATCAAAGCAAAACAAATAACAATTTATTTTGCTTACAAGTCATATCTAAACTCCCGTTAGTGATATCTATGAAAATGTGGGAGAAGGACAAAGTGCTTTTTTGAGACTGTTTTGAGTTATAGTGAATCTTCAATGATGCTCGTCCTGGAGGCAATACAATATTAAAATTAATTGGTTTAACTTACCCCTATAATCAAAAATACGGCTCACCACAAAGTTATATGTTGTTGATTCACAATAATTCTTGTTACAGGTCATCATCATCACTATATCTTGTGTATGTATACTATTTTTATGATCATCCAACATTAAATTTGACTCATAACAGTTGGTTACTATGTACAATTCGGCATCGACGCTGCTTTACCTCACAACTGTAGTCCTGCAACTTGGTGAATTTAATAATAAATAATTTAAAAATAGACAAAAAGTACAAAATTCAATATTTTTGTCTGGAAATTTGGTGAACATGCATAATTACCATGTATAATCCTAAAGAAGGTTTGTTCGCGACATTTTTGATTTCGATTTTTTTTTTTTTTTTGTTCTCTCTGAAATTTTTCAGTGCCGCTGTTAGCCACCTAACCACCCATCGGAACTATTTTAACATCTTCTTACATAGAAACTCTTCTTTGCGTGTTTGTTTATTTGTTTATTTTTATGTTATGATTGTTTTATTTTGCGATCTAAGGTTATTAAACCTAATTGTTTGATTCATAACACTTGAAGCAGAATGGGGTTACTCGATTCAGCTGTCGAGGATTTGACATAAAGATTTGACTCAATCAAGTAACTGGTAAACAAAAATAATTTATTCGTTATAAAATATTTAACTTTAATAATAAGATCGAGCGGATGCTGAGGTCTCCGCTCTAAAAATAAAAGGGTTATTGTCATATGTTTTTGTTTGTTATTGTTAAGGATGGTTTATGCTTTTAGATTACTTGCCTATTAAGCCGACAATTGACCATTGTGGGTATAATTCCATTTCCACCCTCTTTTCCAAATCAAGTAAGTTTTTATTATGGTTATTTTTGATTGCTATTTTAGAACTTTACCGCGTTTTGTACTCCCTCCACCAAAATCAATAAAAGCGGAACTTAAATCTCCCGGTACTGCATATAAATCTCGGAAAAAGAAGAGACAGAATATGATTTGTAACTAAATTTTTCAAATCTGATTAATCATAATTTAAAAGGTTCAAAATTACTTGTTACCACATCATGTCCACCCGTAGAGTAGTTATAACCGGTTTAGGTTTAGTTACTCCTTTAGGGGTTGGTGTTTCTACCACTTGGAAAAACTTGCTTGCTGGGAAGAGTGGACTCATTTCGACTACGACTTTACCAAACTATACTAAAGATGGTTGGGATCAAATACCTTCAAAAGTAATTGGAAAAGTACCAGAGGGGTCAATTTCCGAGGGGAAGTGGAATGAAAATGATCATTTTGAAAAGGGTGAACTTCGAAGATTAGCTTTATTTTCTCAGTATGGTTTAGTGGCTACTAAAGAAGCATTGGATGATTCAAAATTGGACTATTCAAATTCAAATAAACAAAGAATTGGTGTAGCTGTGGGAAGTGGAATTGGTTCTTTTCATGATATGTATGACAATGCTGAAGGTTATAGTAATGGAGGTTATAAAAAAGTTCAACCATTATTTGTACCTAAATTATTAACTAATATGGCTGCTGGTAACATATCTATAAAATATGGATTCCAAGGTCCTTTGCATTCAGTGTCTACTGCTTGTGCTACTGGATTACATGCTATTGGTGATGCTTTTAACTTCATTAAGAATGATTATGCTGATGTAATGGTTTGTGGAGGTACTGAATCATCGATTCATCCTTTAGCATTAGCAGGATTTTCGCGTGCGAGATCAGTTACTACTGAATTTAATGATATTCCAGAAGAAGCAAGTAGACCATTTGATGCAGCTAGAAATGGATTTGTATTAGGTGAAGGATGTGGTATAGTTATATTAGAAACATTAGAGCATGCTTTAAAAAGAGGATTAACTGAAGATGATATTTATGCTGAAGTTAAAGGATATGGACTTTCAGGTGATGCTCATCATATAACTGCTCCATTAGAAAATGGAGATGGGGCATATTTATCTATGAAAATGGCAGTTGAGAGAAGTGGCATTGAACCAAATCAAGTAGATTATATAAATGCTCATGCTACATCTACAATCATAGGTGATAGAGCTGAGAATAATGCTATTAACCATTTATTTAATGTGTCAACTTCTAACTCATCATCGCCACCATTATCCATATCAGGTACGAAATCTTCTATTGGTCATTTATTAGGTGCGGCAGGTGCAGTTGAATCAGTATTCACGATAAAATCAATTAAGGATTCGATTATACCCCCTACTTTAAACTTACATGATATTGGGAAACATGATGATGATGATCCAAGCAAGTTTAACGTGTTTGATTATGTACCAAATGTGGCTAAATCCAAGAACATTAATTATGCATTATGTAATTCATTTGGATTCGGGGGTGTCAATTCATCAATATGTTTTTCAAAGTTTAATTGATAAATCAATCAAAAAAATAGTCTTATATAAAACTTCTTGTACATAGTTAATGAAACGCAAATTTAATGATATTATCAATTTTTCACATTCATGATATAAAACTGTGGTTGAGTTCCATTGCGATAAAACCACACACGCACAAAATGCATTTTTTGCAATTTAATGAGACAAGCCACTTATTGCGACTGAAATAATACTATGACTTAGTCGGGTCGGGACAGTAGGCATCTGTGGGTGGGTTATCTAGAGCAGTTTGTTACTTCAAATATGTTTAAAGATGGCTTTCTATTTTATAAGGATATGCAACTCCTGTTCAGGTATTGCATTGCGTATTTTTTGTAATAATATGTCTTCAATTATAAATATAATTCAATTTTCCATTTCCATTTCCATTGCCCCCTCTTGGCGATTAGCCGAATGATTTTCAACTTGTTCATCAGGCACAATTACACATAATGTCTACCGTCACACGTCAAACAACCAGTACATTCCATTTGGCTAATGATACAAAAGAAGTAAAACAGGAAGTCACGATTAAAGAAATCAATCAAGACGACCAAGAGGATGAAATTAGTGAAATAGTTAGTTTCAATCAAAGACATCAATCTGTGTTGCTGATAACTCATTTCAACGATCCTTTAACTATTCAAGAACAATTTCCTATACCCGAATTAAAAGACCATGATGTTTTGGTCAGTAACAAAGCTATAGGTCTTAATCCAATAGATTGGAAAGGTAAAAAATATCAATTTGGTATTTATCATTTCCCTTGGATAAATGGAAGAGAAAGTAGTGGAGTTGTAGTACAAACTGGAAAATTGGTTAATCAACAAGATTTTACTATTGGAGATAAGGTGATTGTTAGTAGTACCAGTTATAGAGATAATAGAACCAGTACTTTCCAACAATTCACTGCCATTGATTCAAGACTAGTATGGAAGTTACCTACGAATTTTTCATTTGAAGATGGTGCTACCATTGGTGTTGGTTTGGTTACTGCTGGTGTTATATTTTACAATAGTTTTAAATTCCAATTAACTATTAATCCACCACCAACATCTGAACAAGAATCTATTATAATTTGGGGCGGAGCAACAGTTGTTGGTCTTTATGCTACTCAAATAGCTAAAATAAATGGATTGAAAGTTATATTAGTCGCAAGCTTGAAGCATGAAGAGTATCTTAGACATCTAGGGGCAGATATAATCGTTGATCGTCATTTACCAATTGAAGAAATAAAACAACTTGCCTTATCTTTCGGACCTATCAAGTATGGTATAGATTGTGTTTCAAAAGAAACTTCATCAATTGTATTGGATATCTTATCAAATTTCGGTGACATAAATCCATTATTTTCTGGAATTGTAGGAATTCCAAAATTGAATATTCCACCCCAAGTTGAAATCAGAGAAGTTATCATAAAGCAATTCCATGAAAATATCGAATTTGGTAAACAATTCGTTACCGTTACATCTCATTTGTTTACTACACATCAAATAAAGCCTGTAAGATATAGACACTATAAAGGTGGACTTCATATCATTGATGATGCTTTAAATGATTTAGAAGCTATTGGAGCTAAAGGAGAGAAATATGTCGTTAGTATTTAGAATTAGTATTTACCCGATTTAGCTTACATTATTTAATTTATAAAGTTATTTATTTAATTATTAGAATATATATCATATCACATCAAAATGCCACACTTTGAAAAATTGTCTTTTGCGACCTAAAAAAATAGTTGAAAAAAATCCGACCCGAACCGCAAAATGTTTTATTTTGTTGCAGCCATACCTATGTCTTAACTATTATTCATCGTCATCACTGTCTATTTTGAATTGTCTATCAATGTCATCTTCGTCACTGGCAGTTGATGATGATTTTCCTGGTTTAGAATCTTCACTTGATAACTCATCTAATTCAAATCCAGCTGCATTTTCAAGATCATCTTGTTCAGTTTGATTTTGTTTAACTGGCATATAAGTTTGATTTTTATTACGGTTTCCAAATACTGGAATCATAAATCTACCCAACTTAATTCTCAATTTATCAAAAATAAGCGATCTACCATTTCTTCCGAGCATTAACCATCCAATGAAACCCAATAAGAACATAAAGATGAAAATACCATACCATCTATGAGGTTCAATGTACCATTTCAGTTCCTTCAGATCAGATTTGTAATTTGTTTCATAATCATAATGATGATATTTCGCATCTTTATCAGGAGGTGTAAACTGAGGACGAGGATAAATACCATTTTGCTCAGCACCGAAATGATAAACACTTGGAGCAGCGGAATAATATAATCCTGGTCTACGAAGTACTAAATCTTGAGCTCGAGGAGAATCTTGTTCGAGTTGCAACGTTGATAAGGTATAATTATTGAAAGCTTGGACATATTCATCGTTGGCATAAAGTATAGCTCTTCCTAATGTCCATGAAAATGCTGAACCATCTAATTCTTCCACTAATTGTAATGACTTAAATGGACTATTGATTTGGGATGGTTCATCATCAATACCAAATCGAGGAAATCCTAAACCTAAATGTAAGAAATTTAATACCCAAGAAGATTTAAAACATAATTCAGCTAATTCTTCTTCTGATAATCTTGTTTCGGGAGATTTTAATTTATTTAATTCAATTAATGAACTAAATGATTGTGAACAAAGTTTAGTGGTTTCTTTATAGATTATTTTATAATCATAAGTATCAGCCAGTTCGTTTTTATCATCGCTCTCGTCATCATCTTCATCGTCTTCTTCTTCATTATCATCTCTTTTTGTAGCTTCATCATAAGATAATAAATTATTAATAGCTTCCCAATAACCACTAACACCTACGAAATGATTAATATCGAAATCAAATGAAGGGATTAAATCATTCAATAAACATGAACTAACTTGGTCTTGCTCATTAAATTGTTTACAGTTCACATTATCACCACCAGTTAATGTACCATGAGTACTATTCAGAATGACAGGGAAAATCATTTCAAGACATTTTGGAAAATCACTGCCACCCGTAAAATCAACGCTATAATCATCAAGCACAGCAGTAGTAGTATAACCTTTGGGTAAACATGGATCAACGATAGGTTTCCCGATGTTTCCATAGTATCTATCATGATCGTTTAAACCATGTTCTTGTAAATAAATATGGAATAATGATTCTAAATATCTTGTATGAGCTTGATACATTCCGAATCCTAAAAATGAATCAGAATAAATATTGAAATCAACCTTATTTGGTACATAATAAGAACCCACGGCATCAAATTCACTTTCATCCTCACTAGTACTATTTGTTAATTGAGGTAATTGATTTAAATTAATACGATATAAACTCTTTTGATGTTCTTCAATTTCAGTTACATTAGGTTGGAATACAACTTGAGTAGAAGCTCCACCCATATCCAATAAACCATAAGTATAATGCAGTTTACCATGATTATGTAATTCGGGATGATCAAATGAACCTTTTAAAGAATTGATGGCTAACCAACCATAAATTCCTTCGAAATCTCCATCGATAACGTTAATATGGGAGGAACATTCCGGGATATAGAAATCGGAATTATTAGTGATATAATTACAAATACTGGTTAAGATTTGTTGTTGTTGAGTTGGAGTTAATAATCTCATCCCAGCTGTTGAATGTAAGAATATTGGGGTTCTATAATGTTGAGATTTAGGTACTACTGAACTCGCCAAAGTTAAAAGGTATTTAATATGATGATTACCTATCTTTTGAGGACTTTGATTGAATGATGATATTCCAGGTTTAATCTTTTGATGCCATTTCTTTTTAGATTTGATTTTAGGAAATTTGATATCGACAAGAGATTTCTTGGGGCTTGTAGGTTCTTCTTGATTCGATTCATCAATGTTTCCAACATTGTCAGAATCATCAATTGTCTTATCTTCCCCATTGATTTCATTTCCATTTTCAGTTTCATTATCACTTTCTCCTTCACTTTCACTTTCATCATCCTTTTTAATAGTGAATTGTTTAAATAACTCGATATTAGCAGGTAGTTTACCCTTGGCTTTAGTCAATTCATAATCTTGTTTCAATGAATACTCGGGATTCAACCAATTATATACGTAAACTCTTGATCCACTCGAACCAGCATCAATGATAACCATATAATCATAAGGAATATCTTGATCTGAATATATGGGGCCTGGTTTGATGTAATTTTTATCCTTCTTCTTTTTCGTTTTCCTCACTTCGAGGTTATCAATGGTAGGCATGATGGATTGTAAGTACAACTACGCGTCAACACAATCACTGGAGATTGGTGATACTTCTGGTGATAGAAATAGGGGTTGGTAGAAGTTATAAATAACACATTGTCAGTATTTTTAAACAATCACACTATGATTAAATTTCTTTTTTTAGTTTTAGCGTGCAATGCGGGAAGGTGAGGAACAACTCCTATTTTTTAGTATAAAGTATTTGATAAATATGCGGTTTATATATATTATAACAAGGGTTAAAGTGATTGAAATCAAATGTAAATATCTCTATAAGAAAGTAAATCAGGAAGTAAAATGGATAAGAAGAAGAATCAAAACTAAGTTAAAAGACAAGCAAGTAAGCAAACAAACATAATAATAAAATATAGTAAAAAGATATCAAAGATATAGACATAAGCAGATAACCATAAATAATCCCAATAATAAATGGGCCCAATAAACATAAGTAAGGTAAGGTTGATGATATATAATCAGAACCTTCATGATGGTACGTAGGGTGAAGAGTTTAGTATAAACGATGAGATGATGATGGTGATGAGGATGATGAGATTTAAACAATTACACATTTATCTTGTTGCTTTGGAGTTGGATTATGAATGATTTCAATCTCTTCAATTAAATTCTCAAATGCTCTATTTATATTAAGATTTTCTCTTACTGAAGTTTCTAAGAATTTACAACCAAATTGTTTGGCTAATTGTTCACCTTCACTTGTTTCAACTTGTCGTTGATAAACTAAATCACATTTGTTACCAATTAAAACTAAGGGTATAACATCAGTTCCAATTGAATTTAAAATCTTATCTCTAATAACTTCCACCAATTCAAATGATTGTCTTGAAGTAACTGAATAAACTAATAAATAACCATGAATACCTACCAAATGTTTTTCATTCATAATACTAAATTCATCTTGGCCAGCAGTATCTAAAATTTCAATAGCATAATCTTGATTTTTATAATTTATAGTTTTAGAAAATTGATTTTCAATAGTTGGATAATAACTTTCAACAAAATGGTCTTCAACAAACCTTACTGTCATTGATGATTTACCCACTGAACGAGATCCAACCACGGCAATCTTACGAGCCTTCACCATTATTATTTAAATTAGATTATAAGGATGATACTCTGTGTTTCGTATATGATTTGAACCTAAATATATAGGTATAATGATAATCAATTGTAGTTTCCACCACAAATGATTTAGTTGAAGCAAGGAGTCAAAATCGTGGGGGATGACTTTTTCAGTAAAAGACACAAATTTTTATGGGGAGCAACGACTGAAAGGAGGAGGGGGGATAGAACGATACACCACTTAAGACGAACACACTAACCCTTTATATAACCAAATTCAATATGATAAGATGATATTAATTTATTATCAAGTCTATCCTAATATAATCTATAATTATGTTATCAAACCAACTGTGATGATGCAATCAAACTTGTTATCTAGAATTTGATTGTAAATGAAACTGTTATCGTCAGTTTTCTGAACAATGAAAAAAAAAACTTCTTTTTCTCAAAGTTGTATTGTCGCAAAAATTGTCACGTCACATTATTATGTAAGTGATTATGTATTAAATTGACAAATGGAAGAGAGATATTCATAGTAGGTATAATAATAATTCATTGCTATTCATTATAATGGGTAATTATGCTATTTATATATATTCTATTTACATGGTATAAATAATTGTTGATTCTAAAGTTATGTCAATAATTTATGGAGAGCTTTATAGTGAAGATACAGTAGATATCAGATCTCATCATATCATATCATCAAGATACACGGTATCATCTTTTCACTTGATAACATCTCTGAAACAGATCTAATCCATCTTACTTTTGTTGAGCCTTTTCTTTTAAACTTTGTTCATACAATTTCTTCTTTTCAATTCTTTCTTCAATCAAAATATCTCGTTCAATATCAAGATATTTTTGTTTTTGATATTGGGCCACACAATCTTTGGATGCTTTATTAACTTCAGCACATTTCTTCATTCCTTCTATTGGATTTCTATAACTATTACTACAATCAACATATGCTTTAATGAAATCATCACATTTGGCAAACGTCTTCTTTCTCCATCTTTCAAAAATAACTTTCTCTTCCTTTGGTGTTATAACCCATGGTGGTAAGTTTGGATTGGTTGGTAATTCAACTTCTGAATATGTTTTCTTCTTTATCCCGTACTTTTCGTATTCACTCATATTTTAGTTAACCGTTTATGATATTATCGAAGTGTATACCTTTAATATTTGATCTTATGCTTCTTTCAATACCATGTTTCTAAAGTTGGCATGATTTTTCTGAACCATTTTTTCTTTTTCACTATGGAAATGAAGCTAGTATATTGAGGTATAGATGTTATTGATGTTATTGACTGGACTGCACATAACCAGACAAATATTCAAAATAAATATAAACAAATCAATCTAAATAACAAACAACAATATAACTACAACTGGTTAAGATACTAGACTACAACAACTACAATCAGTATGATACAAGGGCCACCTGAAGATATAATACAGCAATCGATAGATAGCATAGAAATAGAACCAGAACTATTGACATTGGATAGAATAGAAGATACCATAAAATCAATCAAGACAATACGAAATGATAAGATTGAACAATTAACCAATAATAATCATAAGTTATTAACTTCAATTGAACAATTAAATCAAGAGATCAAAGTGTTAAGTAAAATCAGTGATTATAACTATGAAATCATTAAGAATTTAACCACCATTCATAATGCTAATATTGATTATCATACCAGTGAGATTAATAAAGATGAAAATATGTTTAAAGTATTATCAAAGAAATCAATTGAATTAGATGATTTAAAAGTGTTAATTGCAAAGAATTTAAATGATTTAGAAAGTTCGATAAATTCATTAAAATTAAATAAAAATAATCTTACTAAAGAACTTAATGAATTAAAATTAAAATTATCTAATGTTTTCGATGATAATGATAAATCATCTCAAAATAATGAAAGTCAAGAGTTATTAGAACAAGATTCAAGTATTTTACAAATCAATTTATTCCGAAATTTAGGGGTGAGGATTGAAACGTTTGATAATACCGATTTAGATGATTCAAATATCGATAATAGTCAACAATCAACTTCATCATCATCCCAATCAAGATCAATCGATCATATAATCATCCATAATAAAGAATCTAACTTGACAAATGTGTTAAAAGTTGAACCTCAATATAGTGATTATTTTATCTCCAATTATGTTTGGGAAAGATTAGAAGGATATAACTAATCTGTTACAGATTTTTATTTATAAATAACTTATATCTATTAAGAATACTATGTACAGTAAATTGGGTGGTTTATGTTGTAATATACAGAAATGAATGTAATATATAATGCAGAATTTGGTAATTGTAGATTCCAATAATGACACTTAAAAGTATTTTGGATTTTCTCTGAATGATTTCTTAGTCCATTTTGGAATTAAATGAACATCTCTTCTATAATTCTTTTCATTTTTACTAAAAGTAGTATATTTATCACGAGGAGTCATTTCATTTTCCTTTGGAAATTCAAACTTCAAATAATCAATTCTTTTTAATCCAGTAGCATCACCATCTTTTAAGTTTTCACTTGTCTTAATAATTGATTGATAAATATTTTCTATATTGGTATCAACTTGTTTCATTCGTTGTCTTAATCTATACTTTTGTGGTACAGACATTCTAGGAGCTTTCTTCCACAAATACCCTCCACTCAATGTTAATGAGGATCTAAATGCTCCAAACATTATATGTGATGTATATGATATGTATTATTGATTATAAAGTTCAAATCCACATGTAATCATATTCAGAAAAGGTTTAATGATAAATTTTTTTTCTTTTCAAAATTTGACCATTTTTTGAACAATTTCGCACGACCGTTTATTCTCTCTCTAAAAAAAACTGAGTGCCCAGAAGATTGTTAAGATAATTTATACGACAAACACAATTTATGCTTTTAATTTGAATCAAGCTAAGTTTAGTAATCGTCAAGAATTATATGGAGATTGACATAGGTATAGTTGGGTGACTTACTAAGTCTTAGTTTAAGAATTACAAATATTCATATTGTGGGTTGTTTTTGTGGACTATGAAGTAAAGGTTTTATTTTATTGAATTCCTTAAATGAAAGACTTGGAATGTATTGAGTCATTCCTGTTATTATAACATTGGATTATTCACTTTATTAACTCTTGAAATGAATTTATTTCAATTTCATCCCCTAAAACCAAGTAAAGAAATGTTGGTTTCTTCTAGATTTCTTACGTTTCTGTTTTGCGTGATCAAAAGTCAACCGTTAACTTTAACCACGATTGATTAATACCCGACAAGTTACGTTGAATTATTCACTTGATGATATATAATTGGGTAAGTTTAAACTTTTCAATCAAATAGTCAAATTACATAGTTAGTTAGTTTACTCACACTCTAAAAATATTTTGTCGCAAGTTGCAAAAATTAGCTAGTTAACTTTGCGACAACCACCAAAAATAACATAGCAACGATTCAAAAGATTTACCATGAGCAATGGTGGCAAATAATGTAATATAATATAATCTAATTGTCACGTTGTTTGGTTTTTAAGGATATACGTTTAAAGCTCCTTTTCTACATTGTGGTCTGAATTATAGTAATTGAGTTTATAGATTCCGAAGTAACGTGGACAATTAGTAATATATACGAATAACCTAGAGATCCCCTTATCTACGTTGCATTCCCTACAACCCAATGAATTGGAATGACTTCAATTAAATTTTGTTGGTTTTTAAAAAAAGCATATTCAATTAATTAAGAGCCCCTGAAAAGGGACAATTATATCATAAATCTTAAAATATACATGGGAAAACACATTAAGTGGTCCGATCCAGTAATATCCCTACTAAATTTAAATTCTTTTCAAAGTTTAATATGGGTAATGGTTTCCACACTTTAAGCAATGAATGAAATTTTAGGGAGGTTCGGACAACAGGCTAAAGTATCAAAATTCTAGAAGCAATAGAAGTGGGAAAAAATAATAATAAAAATCACTGATCTAGAATTTATCACCCTATATGAGGCTGTAACTATACTATTCAGCCATAAAGGAAATCAATGGGTTGGGTTAGGGTTGCCATTCCCAGCTACGTTTATTAACGTTAAAAGACATAGGAATGGAATAGGGGGAGTGAATCTCACGCCCCCCCCCCCCCTTTCCTGTTATTATTGTATCCGATTGGATAAGATCGGATTCTATGCTTGGTTCTTTACAAGCCATTCGTCCTTGTTTGACCAACGTTTGTCTCTCTAAAAATATCCTTTATAAGGATATAATTCTAATTCTAATAATAATGATAGCGAGTCATCCGAAATAATTTTCCCTAACAGACTACTACTGTAATGGTTACCCATCCATAATAACAACTTTAAATTCTACTTGTGGTTACGTTTGCTTGCTCTCTTTCTATACCAAAAAAAGCTTAGATCCTTTTTAGGTAGGTGATTCCTAATTAAACAGGTTTCGCACTATTCGACCCCACGATCTTCACCTTTTCTATATGGACAGAATTCAAAAATTCTTTTTTTTTTTTTTGGCTTCCACCTGTCATAAAAAACCTCTTCTAACCCGTAACTCGGACTATGAAAAATAAAAATTATCAGGAAAATTTTTCAATTCCGTGTTCCTTCTACAAACTGTGGTGGTAGTTATATTATATACTAAAACTAGTTATATATTTAAAGCTATATAGTAAACTATGTATATGTAATAAAAAAAAGTTAGAATGCAATGTATTTGAATGAATAAATCATCTTTATATTGATGGATGTGTTGATATAAACTATAAAGTAAAAAGACAAGCAAAATAAATAGATGTAAAATTTATGTAAAAAATCTCTCTAATAAAAAGCATTGCATGAGGATATAAAAGATTAATTAACAACACTATATATAATAATTAGATAATCAATTCAAACAAACAAAATTTGATGATATAATAATAAGACCCAAACATGATTAACACCCTTTGTTAACCATGTCTTAATATTTTTTTTTTATTTTGTAACCTATAAAATGATTAGTTGCAATAGTTGTAAAAAACTATCAACTAAAATGATAATAAAAAAACCCAAAAACCCTTCGTGACGTAAAAATTAAATGATGAAAGAACAATACTACTTGTCCTTTGATTTATGATTGTACTCTTCATAAACACGCAGTCAACCACTTTCTATAATTATGGGAAGTGGAAGGAATGGTACTCATAATATCAGAATTTGATGATGCTAAAGTATAATTAGTTTTTGAATTAACTGAATAATTCAAATCAAAGTAATCTAAATCTTTACTTGGTTGAGTATTACTTGAACTAACAGTAGATAATAATAATGGTGATGAATTAATATCCAAATATGAATTGCTAGTATGTTGATATAATGCTGGAGTCAATAATGGAGATACCAAGTTGTCTGAGGTGATAGTAGATGCAGAATTGTTTCTCAGATGAGAACCAGATGATTCATGATGTTGTTGTTGTTTAGCTATTATATTAACCGCGTTGTATTCATCAACAGATTTACATTCTTCAGAACAATAAATTGAATTCTGAGAACACAACTTATCACAAGTTAAACAATAGTTATTGAAAGCCAAGTCAGACATTATGATGATTATAGTTGATATGAAGATAAACTAGTTGTAAATGAAGAATCAAAAAAATTTGGTTGTAAAAAATTGATTCTGTTGCCAGTAAAAAATATTTGGGTAGTGACTGTAAAAAAAAATCCACGTGTAAAGTGCTTCTAACTAAAAAAGACCTTTTCTAATATGGATTAATATATGACTTCTGAGGGTTACTTGCTGTAAACAGTAGATGTCTAGTTTCTATAATAGTTATAAAACTAATGAGAAACTTGTAATGAAAGTATGGATTACTGATCAAAAGGAATAAAAACTGAAAAAGTGAAAAATAAAAATTTTCAAGTTAAATCAGTTTATATAAATATAAATTTTTGTATATTTATTTACCTTTATTAATAGAAACAGTGTGGATTTTTTTTCTGTTTTTGAAAGGTGTGGTTAACCCACAATTCTTTTTTTTTTTTTTTTTTTTTTTTATGATTCATAAAAAAATATTTTTTAATTTATGCATGAGTGTAAAAAAAAAAAAAAAAATGAGTAATAATAACAGAGAAACCTCTAGAAAACTGGAAATTCCTAATTCAGCTAAGAAAATTTAAAATTTGAATGACTGACTGTGGAAAATAAAAAAAAATTTATTATGATTTTCGATCAATTTACACGTGCATTGGCGTAGTAAATTTGGTTAACACGGTTTGTTTTTGTTGTTTATTTTATTTTTACTCCTCTTCCTCCTATTTTTTTTCACTAATTGTTATGATTTTACCCACAAATCCTCACTAAAAATTCAAAACCCACAAGGTTTACCCACTAATTCATACACAAAAGTTTTTTGGCTAACCGTGACCCACGATTCTCACCACCACGTACAACTTTAATTTTTATTTATTTTTACCCCTAATTACATTATTGTAAACTATAAACAGAATATATACTAGATATTTCCCAACCATACCATGGTATACCCATCAACACCACCACCACTAATAGTAGTAGCATTATTCAGTGTGTTTACGTAACACAAAGAATTTACAAGTCCTACATTCTTTATGATTCTTTACAAGTGTGTTAATGTGTATAAACCTCTGCTATAGGATTTAATGGAAATGGAGAGAAAATTCTAGATTTACCGACTATGTAAATTATTTTTTTTATTTTTCTCTCACTAAATGTTTCAAATTTCTCCACAAAACATTTTTATTTTTTCACTAATTCTCTTCATTAGAGAACAAAACTGCTCACAAAATAATGTTATGACATACCGCCGAAATTTTTTTTTCTTCCTTTACTGCTCAACTAATTACTTTTCTAATTGTTTCCAAAACGTTCTATACATACTAAAAAAATTTTCATTTATATATAATTTAATTATATTAAGTACAGCTGTCAAATTCAAATTCAAATTCAAATAATATCTTTTGCTGTTTGATGTGATTGTATAACTACCACTTTAAGTAATAACAAGTTTAAACTTCCTAATCAGAAACATGTGGCAATAGATGAATTGAATGAAGTAAAGTATTATTTGTTTCTGTTATGAAAAATATAGGTAATTTTTTAAGCTTTAGCTAAAAAAACATGTGGTAAAAGAGACACGATGTATGGCTTTGTTTTGATTTTTTGTTTTGTCTAGTCTAATTCTACGCTACCAGAACCTTTTTTTTAGCAAGCAAGCAAAAACTCTCACTACAGAGCACATCATCAAGCGAAAATTAGTGTCAATGTGCGTGCGTTCTTCCTCATGTATGTATATCCATAGTGGGAAATTTATTTCCGTAGCGCGCAAAAAAATAACAATCAGCTGAGAGCAGTGATGGCCTTTAAAAAAACGATTTTTTGCCCTAAATCAGATGGTTTTATTTTTGTTTGTTTTACGTAAAATTTAAAGTTTTTAAGTCAGATGAAATGAAACAGTTTACAAAAACAATCTTTAAATTAAGGAGAGAATGTTAACATCAAGGCTAACTGATCTTATTTATGAGCTCATTCTATCTCATCTCAACGTCTTTGTAATCTTGCGGTTGTAATAGTTACCTTTCATGTATTGAAGGTAGGTAATCTGGTTTGACGTAAGAAAAAAAAATTTGCTATAACTACTGTGTAATTTTTAATTTTTTTTTTTTTGCATACATATTGAAAAATTTTCGGTCTAAAAGTAGTAGAGATGAGCGCATCGTGGGTGCAATTTTTTTCATAATTCTTTATTTATTTGTTCATTTTAGGCAATAAAGGACCAGTTTTAAGAATACCCAAATCAAGGTAACCGGGTTGACATCGTGTATTTCGACATCGCACTTGCCTTACTTGGAAGATCGGTGTTATTAGCTTTGGTCTAAACAGGATCTATAAACTTCTCATCTCTTATTCATCGTGTTGCTATTGACATTTTCTGTTAAATATAACAAAACAAAGCAAAACTGCACAATATGAAACCACTATATAATCTTCAATTCATGCAACTCATTTCTTGATCGTGTATCTATAGTTGTCATGCTGCAACTCAGATGAAAATTTTTTCTCTCTATAAATTGGGTTTTTTTTTTTGCAATATGAGATGTGGCTAGACACTTCCAGAAAAATCAATTTAATACTTCTAAAGGGCAATACTATACATAGAAGTTTGATCTTTACGTTTCAAATGAATTTCATATTAATTTAATTCATGGATTCTAGATGGTTAATCAATGTAATATTAAATTCATTTTGAGAAAGCGGTCTTACATCAACTTTACAATTTTGAATGATTTTCGACTAATATTTCTGAATAACATATCTTTGTCAACCCCCTGGACAAACTTTTCCCCTTCTAACCTATTATCATTGCAGATTGAAAACTTTTGTAACTCTTTATTTTGATCAACTATGCCAATAATAGTTTAAAGTAAATTAAATATCGGCTAAGATTGGTAAGTTTCATTTTGAGAAGTTACTCGCAAGACAAAACCAATCATTCCATTTCATTAATTCATCTACAAGGAGGTCAATCCTCAGATTCAGACGTTTACTGTTATGATCTGCCTGGGTTAACATACCAATCGTTGAGGATTATCGTTACAGATTAATGAAACTTGATCTCTAGTAATTTATTAGCGTTAATCACCTTAAATTGAAAATGGATATTCCACTGTTAAGTGAGGTGTAGTGAGGCTGCTTCAGCCCCAAGAGTCGTGCAAAATTCCCAATAATAGAACATTTTTTTGATATTGTTCTGGTCTTTTTTTTGTGTAGACCAAAACTAAAAAAAACCCTGAATAAAAAAAAAAGATCTGCCTTTTTTATTTTTTTTTTTTGAGAAAAACCTTTGATAATCAGGATTCCAACAAAAAATTTAAAGCAGTTTTCAGTCACACATTTTTTTTAAAGTAACGAAATTGGGTAATTTGTTGCTACAATAGTTCCAAAAAGAGTTACGTATATGTCAATGATGATTCTCCTAGACAATCAAATACCAATTAGCCCAATCCGACTCAACTGAAAACAAATAATTTAATACGATATGGTAGACAGTAGCAACCGTCAAGCCGATACATTAGTCTAAATAGAAATTTTAACCCACACTTCATCTCCGTACTAGTTAACCAAAACTAGACCAAACAAAAGCAAGTTTACAATAAACTTCCCGTAATCGCATACCTTTTTTGTGTATACCTCTCCTTTTTTCGCAATTAGGGTTTACTGAAACCTGTGGTATATACAATTCCGCCGAATGGTATTTCCACTACTGTTGGTACGACTCACCTAAAAATGTACAATGCAATGGCGGCAAGACAAACCTATACTACTACCTCCACAATTTATTAATTGTTTTGTGGTTTTAAAGCTGGGTGATATAATTGTGATAATCCTGGTTCAAGCTACTTATGAGAAAAGGAGGTGATTTGTAGATGGTTAATGTTTAGTTTCTTTTTCTATTTTAATCAGGATTTGCATCTTTCGCTAATGCGTAAAGTCTTTCAATTCAAAACTTTTTTTTTTGTGGAGTACCTCCACTAAAAAGAATCGATCAGTGAGGAGAAATTTATACTAAAACGCAAAACCAGTAAACACTCTCGAGTGGTTAAATGAGGGGTCATTAAAAAATTTTCACATACTTTTCAACCCCACTATATAATGTTTATTAACCAACAAGAATATAGCATTAATTTCTTTTTAAATATCAATTTGACGTAGCGGTTTCCCCTCCAATTAGATTTGACTTGTCCCGTTAGTCCTGAAAAGGTCTGTATACAAAATTAAAGTTGAATACGATGATGATCATGACTATAACTATATGAATAATGGTTTCTCCTCACACTTTTTTTGCCACTTTACATACAATTAATCTCTCCACTATTAGTGTATACTTATTTTCTTAATTAAGATACTAATGTAAAAGGGTAATAGTATAATTATGTGGTGTGGTGTGTTTAAAATGCAAAGTGTTTATTTTTCAATTTTGTAACGCGCATTTTGTAATTTGTAGTTTGTCAATAATTATGGATGTATATTTCCGGAGTATAATTGGAAATGATATTAATTAATTTTAAAAATACCTCATAAAGTGGAGATACTTATTGTTAAGGTTATGGTCATGGTTATTAACGTTTAATACGATATTAAGACGGTAAGAGATCTAATATGTTTTTAGATCATAAGTTGTTCAACCGATTTATGAGAGTGAAAAATTTTGAAATGTTTTTTTTCTTTTTAGATTTTTGCGCCAGCAGCACCCCACTCCGCGTACCCCAATTTTCATTTTACAACATTAAAGTAAAGTCCCACACTGCTTGCTTCATTTTAATTAACTATTAAAGTTTTATAATAATCTTAATGTAGTGTATGTAACCTGATTGTTTTCTAAATTAATTTCAATTTAAGAAAGGTGTCCTATAACGGTAATTCAATATCATATTTACCGCTGTGCTTATAGTGTTTTATGTGCCACTTGATCAAGTGAGAGACTAAAATATGTAGCTGAAGTAAGTTGCTTAGAAACTATGGTCTAGTTTTGGTCTAAGATTGTGGAGATAATCTGTTTTAAATATGTTTTAGAATATCTGATTGTGTATTAAGAAACACACAGAGATAAGTAAAAAAAATGCAGCCACTTCTTATCAATATGGCTCACGTTACCCATTTCGTATTGCTCTTTATCTATCTACTACACCACACTTTATCTAATAAGTTTAAATTGCTATCAATTTGCGTATCTATCTACTTCAAATCATATTCAATTATCTAATCGTAATCGTAATCGTAATCGTAATTGTAATTGCTATCGCATGTGGCCGCTCTCATATTTTAAATTGTGGTTATTAGCGGCATGTAAGAGAGAGAGACTGAAAGCCCTCGAATAGAATTAACTTTTACTACTTATGGTCAACTACGGCATCCATTGCTCTTTATAAAAATTTCTTTCTTTCTTTCTTTCCATTTCGATTGTTCTATCTGGGGGAAATATTATTATTATTAGTAAGAAAAGCTGGGATTTAATAAAATTATTTCTTTTTTTTACGTCTCTATGTTATTTCTCGTAGTTGAGATTTATTGACCCGCCAACTTCCATTTGAATTGCGCTCTTGGATAGGATTGGAGTAATTGATATAGAGGGGAGATAAATGATTAATATTTTAGGAAAAGTAAATTAGTGATCGTGGTGGCTGTTGATATTTCGAATAGAGTTGCCAAAATGAGAAACTGAAGATATTAAGTAACTTTTAACTAGAATTTTGAAAGTTTCGACCAGAAATAGACATCTATTATAGAAATAAACTACAATATTGAATTGCAACTAATGGTTCATGAATCCCTATACCAAAAAGTAAAGAATAACTACAAAAACAGATCAAGATGATACCAATTAGATAACGAAAGAACTAAAATAAACCGACAACTAAATACAGAAAAAACATACAATCTCGCAGAGATTAGATAAAACAAGAAGTTACAAATGGTATGAATAGATATGATTGGATACAGATTAATCGTAAACGTTAGCGGCTATGATGATGACAAGAAAAACAACAATAGAATTAGATTAGATAACTATTATGAAATGAGGAAGTTCCCGAAAACAAATTGATTGATAAATATAAAATAGTTAAATTCTAAATTAAGAAATTATTTCCCATAATAATCGCAATCAATTCTTTATCGAGAGAGATGGAAGACAGCGGGATGGATGTTATCTTATCAGTTTTTTTCGTAATTAAAATTTTGACAGATTTAGTATCAGATGGCGAAATTAAATTATTGATTTATTAATAGGTTTTGATATTTTGATTACAATCTGGAATGAGATTGTAAAATAAGGCATGGTACGTACAAGATAAGCAAATTATTTATTACTATTATTACTATTACTATTGATTGTATTTAGATTATAATTAAAAGTCAAAACCTTCTCTAATCCCCACAATTTCCATGTATCGAAAATGGAACTATTAATAAAAGGGTGGGATTAACCGAGATGAATTAAATCAAAGTTTAGAATGCGTCTTCTTCCACTGGAATATAACTCATTTCTAATTAACTCATTTGATAGATAGATAGATAGATAGATAAATGGATTAAACATTTTTATATTTATATCTTAATTTCAATAAATGTTTAATATCAGCATCTAATACTTTAAACCAATAATCAAACATTTGAACAATAATAAAATTCATGATTGGTAAAATATAATTTAAATTCAAATACCAAACTAAATCCTTTTTAAGATTTATAACTAATAAGATTAAAATTTGAATACAAATGGCACCATTAATATAATGAATGTTTTCAATGCCAAATTTTATCCAAGGATTACTTAAATCTAATTGATTACCTGCTGGTTGCAAAGATGTGATATTGGAATTTGATAAGTTAATAATAGATAACACGATGGATAAGGAGATTAATACATTACTAACTCCAATTTTTAACATACTATCATTACCATTTATTAATGATGTTACTGATATTTCTGCCATTAATGATGGATTTTTAATTATGTTTTTTAATTGTTTCTTACTAATGGAATAAAGAATGAATTGTAATGGTAATTGAGCAAATAATAAGTATAAGATGAACTTTTTGAATCTAATGAATGAATTAATATTATCTCTTTGAAATTTAGATATAATATCATTTTGTTCATCAGTATCTAATAAAGCAACTGGTTCTTTATTAGTTGACACTGGTTCGACTGATTTATCACTAGATTGTGATAAAACTTCTTTATCAACTTTTCTAGCTCTTGAAGTTGATTCTGACATTATTATAGACTAATTTGCAACCAAAACTGAAATAAATAGCTTATACAGAAAGTTTAAAACAAGGTGAAATATTCTTGTAATGGCAAAGATTTTCTCAGTTTTGTTCAACTTTTTCTTTTTTGCCTGAAGTATTTATTTTATTTTATGCCACTCCGATTGTTTTTGATCTAGATCAGATAAAACGTCGTGTATGGAGGTATAAAAATAGCCATTTTATTTGATTACATAAGTTCTTACCAACCAAAAAAGACCTAGAACTTTTTTTTGAGATATGGGTATTGTGTACAGGACAAGCAAGAAAAAAGGATAAGTTCACTTTATTTTTGACATTTCAACTTCAAACACTCAAATCTAAACAAACAAACTCAAACGAAAATTTTTTGATCTACGAGGAAGAATAACAATGAAAATATAACCTAAACAAATTGGAGAGCGAGCGAGATGGTGTAAGATAGAGTATGTTGCTACTTGATCTAAAACAAATTTAGTGTTTTTCAATTTCTTAATTCAGCAATTATTCGATTTGGATCGAGGAAAAATCATAATAATTATTCGTTTAAGGTTTATGGTGCTTATATTTCCGATTTGGGATTGAAATAAAATGAGTTAATATGATTTTGTATTAATTTTTTCTTATTTCAATTGAATCTATCATATTATAGACGCCTTATTTCTCTCTAATTTGATCAGACGGTGGCGTAGTTATATGATGTGTTGTCAAGTAATGATGACAGAGAGAGTAACTCTAAGAGAGAGATGAGTGAGACATAAGTTAGGCTTGTGAAGTTCGGGTTTAAATTGATTGATTTATTGACATGAGAAAGCAGGGGTAACAAACTTTACACAAATACTATTTTTCATAACTAATAGTGCTAATAATTGTGTATAAATATATGCTGAATTTGACCAAAACGGGATAATTACTATACAAACTTTAACATTTTGTGATTATTATTGGAGTATGACATGTATGCAGGATGTACCAATGCAAATAAAATAATTAATTATTTTTCAATTGATTAGCGTTAATTAAAAGGGTATGTGGAATATATATATATACAGGAATGGGCAGGTACCAAAAGAGGTAAAATTGTTAGATTTGGGGATAATAATAATAATAAACAAATAGATTTTACAGTAAAATAATTCTAGACATATTATTTAGATGAAATTTTTCGATCGATTGCTTGGACTAGACTAGGCTAGACCAGACTAGACAAAATCTATAAGGCAATAAAATAACAAAACCTTAATAATATTCTTTAATCATTTTAATTTTTAAAATGGTTGCACAATGAATGGGCAGTTAAAATGTCTAGAATCTTTTTTGGTTGATGAATCAATGGTAAGTGTTTTGACTATGACAATAATAAAGGAGGATTTATATTCAATACAAGGGATTATTGTTTAAGGATAGGTAACAAAAAGCTATATTTTATCCATTAAGGGTAAAAGTCAAATGACAACAACGAAGGTGTAATAATAAGCATTATATACATTTATGTAGTCAATTTAATTTTCTTTCTTTCTCCTTCTATTGTCAAGACGAGACAAACGAAAATGAATAAAATGATAGACAAGAAAAACAGAATGAGACATCAATATGACAAGCTTATGATTTTAAACAATTATACAGTTACCGTCTAATTTGAAGGCGGCCATGGATTCAATTATAATTAATGCTATCGGTTACGATACATTAGAGAATAAACACAGAGATAGGATAACTCCATGATTGGAACAGGAAACAATTACCCTAATAATTGAACTCTACTCTACTCCACTCAATTCAGTTCAATTCAATTCAATCTAAAATGAGTTGCATGGAGTTAAACTGATTTGAATGACATAATTGAAAATGTAGACAATTCAACTGTCAAACTAAGAAATTAAATAAATCGATAAATATGAAATTGGTCTTGTATGGCATCTCTGAAACGACTATATTTGGGGTCTACTCATTTTTTTTATTCGATTTTCTAAAAATAAAACTGACAACCCAAACAAAAAAAAATACAAATAGATGTGCGATTTAGTGCATAAGGTAAATCATTCACCCAATAAAACTATGAAGTAGCAGTATCAACTAATGACATCGAAAAGACTGTGATTTTAGCCCTATTCATACTGTGTAAATTATGATTTATAGACGAATGAGATGTATTTATTTAACCTTAGACTAAACTGAAAATCAAAAGATTTAAACAATCAATCAACCCAAAAATAAATAATAAAAATAAAAAAATAAATGTTAAAAAACGACATTCTTCATTTCTACATTTTTATTTTTCGTGTTTTTATACACTTTTGGGTTAGTTCATCCGCAAAATGCTGCCCCCCTCCATTGTTAACAGACAATGACGACAACACTTGCATGAATTCATAAAAAAAAAGAAATTTAGTATGAAACAGCCCTCCACCATCCTGTATATACCCACACCGTAACCTATTTTAATCAATATTGTAAACAAGGGAGTGTATATTGACCAACCTTTATAGTGTATAATATATTAGACAGAGAACATTTACAGTGAGACTGTATATAACCTATGTGGAAAATGGGATTTAATTCAGAACAGTTAGATACGATACGATACGACACGACACGACACGACCCCCCCTCCACCATTATTTATTCCTTCCTTCCTCCCTCCACCATATAACTAGCAACCCTTAAACTAAGAAGAAGGCTTGAACCAAAACATTAATTAAAGTATAACCTGTAGGTTTGATCCCTCCAATTGAGCATATTTGCTTGTCTTTTTCTAATACGAATTACGTGTTGAATGAATGAACTGATTATTGTCTACACACCTCCTTTCAATGAGGAGATTAAAAGGCGAATTAAAGATGCGATTAAACGGAATGTAATCAATATCATTCAACCGTCTAAAAATGTTTTACCGCCTACCAAAAAAATAGAACAATAATTATATTGAGACAAACCAAATCTCACTTTTTTGAATATTATTTATCTTTTTGTTTCTTTTTTTATTATTGGATGTGCGACATTTTTATTTTTTATGTATATTTTAATATTTTTTATTATTTATTTTCGTTCTTTTTTTTTTTTTTTTTTAAATTTTTTAATTTTTTTTTTGAGTTTGTGAGTGGTTTTCGTTTTAAACAGCTTTTCTCTTTTTCTTTGGTCGTCTCTCACCTTTATATACACAGAATTATCACCAATTAAAAATTTTATCCTTAAAAACAACAATCACTATTCAACCTTTCAAACCCATCCTCAACCCTTGCTTCCTTACCATATATACATCCCTTTCATCCACTACTGGACATCATTATCACCTTCATATTCATTTGTGTGTGATCTTTTGTCAGTATTAAAAAAAGGCTTGTCTTATTACCCTTAGCAAGATTCATAAAACATAAACAAAAGGGTCATATCATCATCCCATTATACAACAACTTTTTTGTATATCATACACCTAGTTTTGTTGATTCTAATTGAAACTTAACACATATTCACTTATTTGTTAACATTTAAAGTAAATTATTGAGAACGATTCATCATCCATCAATCAATCCATTCATTCATTCACTCGTTTTTCATTTCCATTTCATTTTAATTTTAATCCTCATCTTTATTATCATTTGATTTGAGATTTCCTTTCCGTAGCATATCATAAACCTATTCCAATAGTAAACCAAACAATCAGTTATTCATTTAATCGATTAATCATTCACTTATTTTCAATACCCTTATTCATCCTTTCTATTTATAGACTTCATATGCTTCATTGAATCAAATCAATTAATCAAAAATAATATCATCGATTCTAATTAAAATTTAATCTTAATAATTTTCAAAAACTTCAATAATAATTTGTTTAAGTCTTCAATTTTAACTCAATCAAACAATTTGATTTAAGAAAGTTTAATCTTATCTTTCTTATCTTACACTTTTTTCTTTCTTAGAAACCAATCTATTTCAAGTATATTCCAACTACAGTCCTTCTTTCAATCCTTAATTCATACCTAAGATTTAACTAATCTCGTTTGCATTTAAAAAAATCCATAATTATATCACAGCATAAGCTTTTATTCCAATATGAAATTAAATACTGCCATTATAATATCAGCTTTATTAAGTTCAACTTATGCAGCATCCACCGATTCAAAAGGAGGTAATCAAGCAACCACTTCATCAACTTCTACCCCAACCACAACCACTAGTAGTTCAGTTTCAGTAAATGCTTTCATGTCAAGATATAATGCTTTAATAAGTAGTCTAAATGAGGATATTTCATCATCTGCAACTCCAGCTTCTTCAGTAGCAACTTCATCAGCTCAATCTATAAGTGGAGTCGCCGATCCTTATTCCTTTCCTTATGGTGAGTATCCAACTTATTCTTATCCATCTTATTATTTCCCAACTTATTCTTATCCAACTTATTCTCCACCAACTTATTCACCAACAACTCATTCACCAACAACTAGTTCTTATCCAACATATACTGGTCCTACTTATTCACCACCTACTTATACTGGTCCAACATATTCTTATCCAACGTATTCTTACCCTACGTATTCTTATCCAACATATTCACCTCCAACTTATACTGGTCCAACCTATTCACCACCAACATATTCACCACCTTCTTATACAGGTCCAAGTAAGTCATCTCCAAGTTACACTGGCCCAAGTTATTCTCAACCAACCTACTCAACATATAGTCCTTCTGCTCCTTCAGATAGTGAGACTGATTCAGGTTTAAGTTTTAATACTGGAAGTGGAAGTGAAAAATTACAAGACAGTAATACGGTTTCAGGTACTACATCTACTAATAGTCCAACTACCAATCCAACTACTGAAAGTTCAGACACAGGTAGTCCAGATACTACTACTCCAACCACTCAAAGTACAACCAGTCCAACTAGTGACAGTCCAACTGGAAATCCAACCACTTCAAACACAGATACGACTACTCCAACTACTGCTCCAACCACTTCTGTACCTACTTCTGCTACTACCGTTGATACTGGTTCTGATACAGCTGACACTGATACCACTTCTCCAGCTGATAGTGAAACCACTCCTCTTCTTGGTACTGGTGAAGATGAAGGTACTACCAGCAATACCGATACTGCTGAAACTGGTACTACCGATAACACTGACACTGCTGAAACTGGTACTACCGATAACACTGACACTGCTGAAACTGGTACTACCGATAACACTGACACTGCTGAAACTGGTACTACCGATAACACTGACACTGCTGAAACTGGTACTACCGATAACACTGATAGTGCTGAAACTGGTACTACTGATAATACCGATACTGCTGACACTGAAACTGGTACTATTCCTAATACTGATACTGCTGACACCGAAACTGGTACTACTGATAATACTGACACTGCTGAAACTGGTACTACTTCTAATACCGATACTGCTGAAACTGGTACTACTGATAATACTGATACGGCTGAAACTGGTACCACTAATACCGACACTACTGAAACTGGTACTGATTCAGGAAGTGTTGACTCCAGTACTCCAATTCTTGGTGATGTTCCAAGTGGTGATACTGAAACTGGTACTTCTCCAACTGATACCACCACTCCAACAGTTGGTCCAACCACCACTCAACTCAGTGATACAGAACTTCCAACTGATGGTTCTGGAACTACTATTCCAACCGATGGTACAGATGCTACTACTCCAACTGACGGTACAGATGCTACAACTCCTACTGCTGGTACCGGTACTTCTCCAACTATTGGATCTGATACTGTTGAAGCATCTTCTGGTACTGAAACTGTTCCAACTGAAGGTACTGGATCTCCAACCGATACTGAAACTGGATCTGAAACTAGTCCAAACTCAGATACTGTACAACTCGGTGATACTCCAAGTAGTGGTCAAGCTACTACTACTCCAAGTACTGCTGATATCGGTACCGACAATGGCAGTGAAACTGTAAGCCCAACGACAGATGGCACAAGTTTAGTCAGTCCAACTACTGGTGATTTAGGTACTGATAGTGATACTGGCAGTGATTCAGAAACTGAAACACCCGGTACTCCAGGTTCTGGTACTACTAGTCCAACTACTGATGGTACAAGTTTAGTCAGTCCTACTACAGGAGATTTAAGTTCTGGTACTGATGATACAACAAGTCCAACTTCTCCAGAATCCGAATCTGGTCCTGCAACAGGTGAAACAAGTGGTACTGATAATGGTACTACTTCTCCAACTACTGATGTTGCACCAACTTCTGGTCTTGGTAATTCTGAATCTGTTTCAGGAGGAAGTCCAACCACAAGCCCAACTGATGAAACCGGTGGTACTACTGGTCCAACCACTAGTCCAACTGACGAATCTGAAACTTCAGGTCCAACCACAGGTCCAGGCACAGATGAATCAGGCACAACTGGTCCAACGACTAGTCCAACTGATGAATCTGAAACTTCAGGCCCAACCACAGGTCCAGGTACAGATGAATCAGGCACAACTGGTCCAACGACTAGTCCAACTGATGAATCTGAAACTTCAGGCCCAACCACAGGTCCAGGTACAGATGAATCAGGCACAACTGGCCCAACCACTGGTGAAACTGGTACAACAGGTCCTGTTTCAGGATCATCCCCTCCATTAACTAGCGGTACTGCTTCTGAACCAGTTACTGGACCAACAACTGAGCCAACCACTGAACCAACTACAGGTCCCGCAACCAGTGGTCCTGCAACCAGTGGTCCAGCTGAATCTAATACTGGAGCAGGTACTGAAACCGGTAGTGCTCCATCGGATACAGGTACTTCATTAGCATCTCCTTCTACAGGTGAACTTGGTTCAACAACTGGTCCTTTAGAAAGTCAACCTCAAACTCCAACTACTGCTGGAACTGCTTCAAATGCAAGTGATACAGCAGCTGCTTCTGGTGCAAATACTAATAGTGCAAGTGAAGCTGAAAATACTCCTGCTACTAGTGGTAATGTTACTAACCCTACTACTTCTCCAGCAAGTGTTGCTACAGCCTCTGCAGACACTGCAGCAGCTTCAAATGCTTCTAATGCGGCTCAATCTGAAAATACTAATACTGCTCAAACTCAAGCAGCTTCTAATGCAAATCTTTCTCAAGCTACTAACAGTGAAGCCGCTGCTACCACTGCAAATGCTTCTACTGGTACTAATGCTACTCCTGAATTACAAACTGCATCCCAAGCTGAAGTATCTCAATCACCAAATACTGCTGCTGCTTCAGCTGCTACCGGACCAAATACTACTCCATCTACTGTTACTCCAAGTGTTACACAAGCTCCAACTACTGCAGCTACAGATAATACTTCTGATTGGTTGCCAACACAATTACTTATCGAAACTGGTTCAACTGCTGCTGCTTCTGCCAATTCAGGTATTACTACTGCTAGTGCTGTTCCTGTTGCATCTGGATTACCAAAAGCTATTACTCCAGCTACTACCGCTTCTCCAGGTAATGATTATGAAATTGTTTATATTGGATTTAAATCAGAATTAAATTATCCATTCGTGGTTCAACATTCTGTTTCTTCAGCTCAAATTTTCCAATATTTACCTCAAGCTTTGACTTTCCCATTTAACGATGCAAACAGTTATGCTGATGTTTCAGTTAAAAGATTGATCCCATTTACTGCTAGTGGTATTACTTATACAATCACTGTTGCTGAAGTTTATTTCCCAAGTAATTCTGTTGCTGCTTTAGCTCAATTTATTCAAACTCCTGGCTCATTGATTTATAGAAATCCAGATCCAACTGAACAAACATTATCTAACTTGATAGATAGTAGAATTCCATTAACTGGTCTTGATACTTCTGCTGGTACTTCTTCCACTACAACATCTTCATCCAATTCTAACTCTAACAATGGTTCTATTGATGCTGCTAACCCAACCACTACTTCCAATAAAGGTAGAATTGCTGGTATCACCATTGGTGCTGCAGCTGGTTGTGGTTTATACATGTCATTAATGGCTATATTGTTCAAGAGATTTAGAAAAGGTAATGCAATCCAATTACCACCATCTGATAGTGAATCTAATATTGCTCTTCCATCTGATGGTTCTATATTAGAAAGATCCTCAGGATTTTCTGCTATCTTCAACAGAATCGGTGGTAACGCAAATGTTGATTCCGGTAATGGTTCATTTTCTGGTCGGATTTCAGATCCTGTTCAACAGTCAAACTCACTAGGTTGGGCTCATTAAGGAACATTTACAGTCATAGTAGAGAAATTTTCTTTCCCTTTTAATTAATGGAAACCCTTGCATTAAAACATTCAAAGTTGTTGGCCTTTTTCACTTAAACATAAAATTGCTGGAATACAATTGATGTATCATCTACCATCACCCTTCACATATACTAACAACTCATATTATAACTAATTGGTTGGCTTGTCATTTTTATTCATTAGGTAGCTTTCAAAAAGAGATTAGGATTGTTATTCAAAGCATTAAACATAGGTAAATCAATAAGAGCTTCATAATAATTATACCCATAAAAAAGACAATTTTGTATTATAAGTTTTTTTATTGATTGATATAGTTGAACACCCATCCATACTTACATATTCGACAATTGTGAGTTTCATTTTTTAATTTTTGAATAGAGAGAAAGATTTCTTTAGAACCCAAAAAAAATTATATTATCTTCTTTTTCCTTTATTATTATTTTCCCATTTTTTTTCAGTTTTCTTGATATATTTATAATTGGTATTAATCTACTTTATAAATTGTCGCTTAATTTTGTTATTTTACAATATTTACATTTTATATTCATTAAAGTTTTATTTCATTAATATTATTTATTGTAGAATTATTTACTTTTTGAATTCAGCTTCAATGAATTCCCATAAATCATTAGTTAAGCTCTCAGCATCTTCTTCTAAGACTTCTGATAAGTCTTTAACCAAATCTTCCTTAGCTTCTAGGTTGTTCTTGGTAATATTCTTGCTGATTGTGTTGACCAAAGTATCATCCACCTCTCCCAAATATTCCTCTACCAAACTCTTAATCTTTTCATTAATCTTTTCAGTATCTTCTTGCAGTAATTTTGCAATGACAAACACGTTGTCATCAATTGATTCATCTACAACTTCAGTGTCAACTTGAGCCTCAACCTTGATCTTCTTTACAGATGGAGCTGCTTCATCTTTATTCAACTCTGATTCATTTTTTTCAATTTCTTTATCAGCAAGCTCTTCAGCTAAGCGCTTTTCGCTTCTTTCTGACATATATCCTGCGTAATCATCAGCATAAAACTTAAGTATAGAAGTGAAATGTGACATTTTTTGGCGATTCAAAACCTCAACTGTTGGATCAAACTCAGAAGCTTTCTGAATTTCTTTAAAATATCTTTCTTTGTTATTTATCAAATCTTGCTCATAAGATTTTAACTTTTGCAACGTGCTTTCCAACTGTAATCTTTCAATTGATTCTGTAGCTTGCATTTGTGCCAATTTCAAAATATAATTCTTTTCCAAGCTTTCTTCATCTTCAGTTTTTAAGAATGCATCATATTCCTTATCATTTAATTCAGGGAATTCAACAATTCTTGCTATCACTTCTGGTGTGTCTTTGGATGACTTTACTACAGTTTCTTCATTGGTTTCCTTAATGCCTTCATAAATTTTCTTCAACCTTTCTTTAGTTCCCTTTCTTTCATTTTCAATTTCTTTCTTACGCATTTCTCTCTCTATGTTTAATACTTCAGATCTAAATTTTATAATATCCTTGACTATCCCCTCTCTCATGTTACTAGGCACATCTATTAATTCACTATTATCAACTTTATATCTGCTATAGTAATCCATCACTTCATCTAAATCTTCAGTACCTGTCTTTTTGGAAACCTTCTCATAGTTTTTTACATTCAAAAGTAATGAATTTAATGTGACTCTAATATCTTCCTCATCTATATCATCAGTAGATTCCGTAGTTTCTATGTCTTGATTTGATAATTCATGATGGTGAACTATTTTAATTGACTCATTGATCAATAATGAACCAACATCCTTTTCATACTTGGTTACAAACCATTTAACATCTTCTACTCTATCAAATTTCACAAACAATAATCTGTTGTCGATGTAATCATAATTCAAATTTGACCACACATACCCTCCTCTACTTGATCCAAGCAATATTTCAAGAATCTTTTCAGCTGCAATCAACTTAACATTAGGAAAATGTGTAATCACTATGGTATCCAATTGATCTTTCAAGTTCTTGGGGATTAATGTTTCGATGCCTTTATACTTTTGTGGTTCTTCACTTAAATCGACTGTTGCGCCTGGATTCACAGCTTCACTGTCACCTGCTTCATAAGATTTACTACCTTTATTAGATCTCTCAGATAAGATCCTTAATGTGTTAGCTCGTACGATATCAGCAACATCAACATTGTTTAGAATTGGTAGCTTTGAAGCTGCAGTTGTTGTTTCTTGCAACAGGGTATCATTTTCTTTACTGGTGTATGGAGATGGCTTCAATATGGATAACAACTTTCTATGAACACTTTCAGGTATATCGTACGGTACCACTTCCTTTACTATAGATCCAACCTGTTCAATATTCGTAATCATGGTGATGATTGTAAATTGTTATAGGTATCAACTCAAAAAGAATACTATCACCATTGATTTTCTGATACCTGAAAAAAAATCTGTTTTGAAAAAATTTGACTGTAAAAACCTTAACCATTTTGATAGACAGATACAGATCCAAAAATGTCATCATCTTCACAGCTTGTATTTAGATCTGACATAGAGAGTCTGCCACCAGCAGAAGTGTCAGGGGGTCCTGGATTGCCATCTGAATTTGGTAGAATAGGGGAATTGACAATAGAAGCTCGTAAGGATCCAAATGATATACGTAAGTGGGAATCGTTATTCAACGAATTGGAAAGAGTTCATGCAGAACAGAGTGCTACAGTTGCCAAGAAGTCTACAATGGAGCTTTTGAATCAATTAACTATCAAAGGATATGATGCTTTATTGTCCAGATTCCCTAATTTATCTGAATATTGGAAAAAATGGCTGATTTTTGAATATAAATTAAGAGGAAATAAATCATCAATAGAAATATTAGAAACGGCAGTAGAGAAAGTGCCATATTCAATCGAGCTTTGGCAAGATTACTTGAATGCTTTAGTGTTAACGTATGAAAAGAATGACGACGAGCAAAAGAGATTCATCAGATATAGATATGAAAAGGCATTGAGATTGAATGGATACAATTTTAATTCTCATCCACTTTGGGATAGGATCTTAGAGTTTGAAAATTCAATTGAAGAAGCATCTGAAGTTTCTTTAAAGTTGTACCTCAAACTTGTTAGATATCCATTATATGAATATGCTCGTTATTATAAGCAATTCACCAATATTTATAAGAAATTTAAGATCAAGGATTTGATTCCTGAGAAAGATTTGAATCACTATGTATCTCAATATAATCAAAAGTCATACGAAACCCTTTCTATTATCGAAAAGCTGCAGATCATTGATGATTATTTTCAGAAAATACATAATAACACTCAACAAGAAGTAAGTTCGAAATGGCAATTTGAATCTACACTCACATTCCATGAATTTTCATTGACTTACATGGGAGAGATTAATGCTGCTGTCGATAATTGGGTGAATTACCTAAACTATGAAATTAAAGCGTTTGATTTCAGCTCTAAGGATGGCTATGAACATGTGGTCAGTCTCTTTGAAAGAGCTTTGATACCGAATTGTCTCGATGGAAAGATTTGGTTGAAATATGTTGCATTCTTAAACAAAATAAAACTAGCTGAGGCAGAAAAGTTTGGCTTAATAAAAGAAGTTTATAACAGATCTATAAATAACTTTGTTCCTTTGACGGAGAATGATTTAAGATCATTTTATGTTAAGTTTCTTTTGAAAAGTGACAAGGTTGAAGTAGCAAATGAGTATCTTTTCGATTTGATAAAACTCTTTAGTGGAACCAAGAACACAAAAGTTTATTTGAAAAGTCAGTACATCGTTTCAATTAGAGACTTACTTAACATATGGAGCAAGGCTTTAGATCAACTGGAATACTTTAACACATTGGAAAAGTTAGTTAATAATTATTTTACAGAACAGGAGTCAAAGTCAAGAAAAGTCCATAATGAGTCAACAGATGTATATATTCCATTAAAGAAAGGTAGAATAGATAAGGTATACTTAAACACGCTTCCAAATTTATTAAATGATGATTCAATTCCTGTTGTTTCAGTGCTATACCTTCAAGAATTATTGAAAAGGAAAAATTTCCTTGGTATTAGGAGATTCTTTAATAAACATCACACAGAAGAAGTTTATAAAAGTTCAATTTCATTCTGGAAATTTTATGTTGAATTTGAAGGATTTATAAATTTCAATATCACCAACTTAAATGCAGTCATGAAACATGTTAAAACTGAGACTCAACTTCCTAAGAATGCAGTAGATGCTTTGATAGATATACATTATGATATAGTAAATGCTAATCTTGTTGATTTATATGATACCCATGATACACTGTTACTAATACAGAAAGACTTGGAAACATCGGATTCTCCTGTTCAAAATTCCTCCCTTCATACTAGATTGGCCAATAACAACTACATAATAAGAGAGGTAGAAGAAGGCAAAGGTTCAAGAGGTAAGAACTCCGCTTCAACTTCAAATAGAGAAGATTTAATCTTGAAATCATTCAAGAGTCAAAATGGGCATCCAGGAATAATAATAGAAGCAAGACCCGAGATTACTAACAGAATAATGAATCCAGGAAATTGGATATCATTAGTGAAACCTGATGTACCTCCTTTCCCAGTATTCAAAAATGTAGAGAAAGCTAACATGCCAGTTAATTATCCTACTATATAATTTTAATGTAAATATCATTCTTGAATTTATTTCCTAACCAGTAGAGTAAATACCATATATACACGTACAACTAAAACCTATATTTGATCATTTTGACGACCAATAACCATTAAACCATCAACTATGTTTGCCTTACTAGTACACTTGTTGTTTCCATAAACTTCAAGAATACTCAATTTCGGACAACTTTTACCTATCAAGTCTAATATTTCATCATCAACAGCTCTTACGAAACCACAATCCCAAGTAGTTAATAATGGTAATCTTACATGACTGAAGTATTGTAATTTCTTATGGTCTCCATCTCCATCTTCATCTTCATCTTCAGGTTCATCATCTCCTTGTTGTTCTATCATTTCCAATCTTGATTTTTTAAAGGCAGTTAAATCATCAGTGAAAACTTGCAAGAAAAAGTCTTTTGTTACTTGATGAAGAGAGTTTAGACTTAATTCAATAAGTGTATGTGATGAATGTTTTAATAAACTGTAGATGGCATTATCACTTAATCCAATACATTTGGTTACATCCACACTTAATAAACCTCCATTGTTAACTTTTGAAAACTCATCAAAAGCTTGAGCAAAGCCTTCATCAGTCACTTGATCCAATAATTTCATGGACAAATGAGTCAAATTAGGACAGAATCGAGCCACACCTTCCAAAAGAAACCTGTCAGTCAAGGAAGTACATCCATCGACATTTAAAGATTGTAATGATTCTCCCGTTATAGCAAGAATGTTGATTAATAAATCATTGGTTACTATATCTTCTGTATGAGGATAGGAGATTTCTAATTCGGTTAGAGTTGAAGGCAGAAGGTAATGAGGAATCAAATCGTATACAGCTTCTGAATCGAGACCATCTAGTCTTGATAATTTTAATGATGATAATTTTGAACCAGAATTTTCTAATAAACTTATTAATGAATCATTACCAAAACGATGAGTATTTCTAATTTCAAACTTTTCAAATCGAGATCCACTTTCTTCAAAGTATTCCTGCCACATTGAATCACTAATTAAAAATGGACCATTTAAGGAAAGATTTTTTAAGTTTTTAAGATTTGTAGTATAATATTTTAAATTATCATTATGTAATTGACCACACATGAATAAAGTTAATGATTCAACATTAGGACAAAAGGAAGCTATCTTAGAATAGGAATCAGAATCAACATTTGAACAATCCCAAAATTCAATTGATTTTAAGGAAGGATTCAAGAATAATGAAATGGTATCATCGTTAAGGGATCTATTTTTGGATAAGATCTGGGATAATTTATTTAAATTAACTTGACCAATATCTCCCAAAGCATCAACATCAGATATATTAGCTGATATTTTCTTAATACAGATATCTTGAAGTTTAGGTATCTTTACTTCTGATTTATTTAATAAAGCTTGAGCAAAGGTTCTTCTTCTTTTACGAGCATTTAATTGATTCTTTCTTGCTTTTCTTTCTCTCACTTTCAAAGTTTCATTACAGTTTTCACAAATGTAACCTTGTTTCTCCTTTAAGAACCGTGAATAAACAGTTAAATGGAAAGTAGTACCACAATCAACACACGTATCTTCTTCACCAAATCGTTTCATACCATTCGTTCCGATTTCATCTTCAAACTCACTGAAGTCAGGATCATCAAACTCATCATCATCGTCACCATTACCACCTCGTTTAGCCATCTTTCGTTTCTTTATGGCAGCTATTTTAATTTGCTTGATTTCTTCATCTTCTTCCACTTCAGCTTCGTTTACCCGATTACGTCTGCTTGATCTTCTCCTTGTTGGAATCATTTCTACTTCAGCTTCCACCACAGTATCACCTTCTTCTTCTAATACCTCTTGTACATCTTGATCACTGCCATTTGCAGTACTTTCTCCATCAGTAGCTTCTCTTTCACGTCTTGCTCTAAACGCGTCAGTAATACCTGCATTCCTTAAGAATTCCGTCAAAGCTGAGTTCGGACCACGAACTCCTGAAGTTCTCAGTCTACGTGACATCCTATATACACGCGTCGGAACCTGTTAAATTGTGTAATAAACTCAGATAACGGTTTGGCAACTTACCATGTAGATAGATCATCTTCGCTATATCTTCTTTTTCTGGTTTAAGCTAAATTGATTGCAGGCCAAAGTTTCCTGTATATAATACAAGGATCCAAAAATAGTGGCGATTTAAATTTTCTTTTTTGACCGTAAACAGAATAGAGAAAATTTCCAAATTGAGTTTACAGTATTTATCAACAATCAATTGGTGATTTAAGAACTATATAAATTAGATTGATTGATTGATTGATCTGTTGATATAGAGACGTAGTTATCATTATCAAGATATATCCCAACATCATCATCATCACTTAATCATGCAGATCGTTCTTAAGGATTTCAAGAAACAAAAAGTCACTATTGAAGTTGAGTTAACTGACTCAGTATTATCAGTAAAAGAAAAATTGGCGGCTCAAAAGGATTGTGAAACTGATCAATTGAAATTTGTTTATTCAGGTAAAGTCTTACAAGATGATAAAAGTTTGGAATCATTTAAAATCAAAGAAGGTGACTCAATCATATTCATGATTTCAAAATCTACAAAGAAATCAACCCCTGTTGCGACTACTACTACTCCGTCAGCCGCAGCATCAGCAGTATCATCCACTTCAATTGATCAATCATCAACAACAGCATCAGGATCAGGATCTGCCACCGCATCAGCCACTACTCCATCTACCAATACATCAGAAGCACCAGCTGTTACTACCACTAACCCAACCGTTGTTGAAAGTGGTGATGCTGGATCAGCATTCACTCAAGGTAGTGAAAGAGAAGCTACTATTGCTAATATTATGGAAATGGGTTATGAAAGACCTCAAGTTGAAGCTGCTTTAAGAGCTGCTTTCAACAATCCTCATCGTGCTGTCGAATATTTATTAACTGGTATTCCAGAATCATTACAACGTCCAACTTCTCAAGTAGCTCCACCATCAGCATCAGGTTCAGCTCCAGTTGCAGAATCAACTATGGAAGGTGTTACTACTACTAATGATGACGATGATGAAGAAGAAGAGGATACTGAAGATCATGGAGAAAACTTATTTGAAGCAGCTGCTGCCGCTGCTCAAGCTCAACAAGGAGGTCGTGAAGTTAGTCAAAGAGGTGGTGGTGCTGCTTCTGGAGCTCATGAAACTGGATTTGGAGATGATGAACAATTAAGATTATTAAGAACAGCTTTACAAACCAATCCTGAATTGATTCAACCATTACTTGAACAATTAAGTCAATCAAATCCTCAAATTGCTCAATTAATACAACAAGATCCAGAAGCATTTATAAGAACATTTTTAGGAGCTGGTGGAGATGATTTAGGGTTTGAAGTTGAAGGTGATGAAGGTGCTATTGGTGAAGGTGGTAATGATCCAGAAGGAACTGTCCGTATTCCATTAACAGAACAAGATCAAAATGCTATAAATAGATTATGTGAATTAGGATTTGAAAGAGATTTGGTTATTCAAGTCTATTTAGCTTGCGATAAGAATGAAGAAATTGCAGCTGATATATTATTTAGAGATATGTAAACATCATAATCTTCTTTATCTGTATTAGCCATCTGTTTTGTTAACTGATGTAGAAAAACTTTAGTTTTTTTTTTTATGTCAAAAATATATTAATGTACATTAGCTAATTATAATTTGTAAAACTTAGAGTTTTAATTCATCTAAACTTTTAATGACTGTATAAGTCTTTCTATCATCTTCTGTTAAAGGTGCATTACCTGGTCTTTCAACAATATAACTTTGCATACCAGCTTTAATAGCTGCAGAAACTTCTTTAACATTATCACTTAAGAATAAAACTGATTGAGGATCGTTGACTTTATTGATTTCTTGTAAGATTTTCTCATATGAACTTGATTCAGTCTTATAACCTGCGGTGGTTATATCGAAATAACCACTTAATTGAGGATTTAAATCAAGGGATTTATCATCAGTATTTGGATCTTTAACATAGGCAAACAATAAGATTTGAGCTTTAATACTTCCTGAAGAATAAATATAAATCTTTTGCGTAGTTGAAGGGTATGATTCAATGAATTTGATTGAATCAGGATAGACTGGAGCTTTCAATTCTCCATTTTCATACCCTAATTTCCAAATGAATCCTTGTAAAGATTTCAATATAGGATCTTTAATATCTTTAGCCACTAAATCTTTGAAATGATTGATGATGTTACTCGATGATTCCTTGATGTCTGAAGGCAATTGAGATAAGATCTGAACAATTGGATCTTCTAAAGTTGATGATAATGGGAATTCAATGTTTGTAATAAACGTGGGAAATTTCTCAATAAAATATGGGAATAAATTATCCTTAACAAAGGTAATGGGACATACTGTTCCCTCAATATCCAACACTAAAGTATCTACCATCATATCTCCACTCTCAATCTCTCTCCCTCTTTGAAGCCCTGTTTTGATCAATTGAAACTGGTGGTTTAAAGTTTAGGTTACAGATTTTGGTGATACTTGCAATTTTTCATACGCTAAAACTTAAAGGTCCCAACAGCGCACTAAAGGAAAAAAAAAAACATCTAAAAATCACAGTATCGTTTCAAAAATAACGTTATAAATATATGCAGCTGTTATCTTATCTGAAATTAGAGTACAACTTTGTTTCTTTCTTCAGTGTTTCTTTTCAAGATACCTTTTTGATAAGAACTGAGGAAGTACATTCATCTATAGCATACTATGACAGCGGAAAGACTACCGTTATTTGAAGAAGATAAGACATATATTAATGAAGACCATATCCATTCATTTGCAAAAGCATTAGTGTGGGAAGAAGATGATCTGGAAACATCTCCAACCACACCTTCAGGAGCAGACTGGTTAAGTCGAGCTTCACTGTATGCTGACTTCCCCGAGGAAGCAGCTCTTGCAGAAGCAGATCAAATCACTGACGTGGATGGTGAGCAATCAGCAATCTCATTAACACCTGTTATCAAGCCAGATCTCATCACTTCCAAAAATGATTGGTTCCCCCTTACGAATAATGTTACTTCATCCAGTCCTGGATCAAGAAGACAATCGAAATCACATGGAAGGAGGAAATCAATCAGACCTAGATCTAAACCTAAATCATCAGGTTCATCACCATTTAAGAATTTACGAAATGAATTTCGCAATAGTATTAGTTACACAATATTGCGATGGCCCTTATTAATATTAGTCCTATTATGGATTATATTCCTTGGAGCTATTTATTTATCTATCAGATTATATGTTGCATTGCTGGAATATTACTTTACATGGACAGGACATAGGAAAAGATTAAGAGATAGATTACGAGGTTCAACAAGTTATCAAGAATGGATTCATAATGCTCTTGAATTAGATAAGTATCTTAATCTTGATAAATGGTCTGAAAACCCTCGATTTTCATATTATGATTCTAAAACCATCCAATTAACCATAATGAGATTGAAAGCTTTAAGAGAAAGTAATAGAGATGAGGATTTAATGTTATTTTTACAAGGTTGTATAAAGTCAAATTTCGCTGGTATCGAAAATAGACAATTATATTCTCATCGTTATTATGGAACCAAATATTTGGTAAGTGAATATTATCAAGAAGTGGTGCTAAGTATTAATAAAATCAGTGAATCAAGTCAATTATCTCAATCTACAAGAAGAAAATTCTTTAGAATTGTACTGAAGAATTATGGTAAAACTGCTTTATGTCTTAGTGGAGGTGCTTGTTTTGCTTATACTCATTTTGGGATTGTCAAAGCATTACTTGATAATGATTTATTACCAACTGTTATATCAGGCACATCATGTGGTGGTTTGGTAGCGGCCCTCGCATGTACGAGAACCGATGAAGAATTAAGTAAACTTTTAGTACCAGAATTAGCTCGAAAGATTACTGCTTGTGAAGATCCATGGTATATTTGGATGCCACGACTTTGGGTAACTGGTGCAATGTTTGATGCTGTTACTTGGGCTCGTAAATCATGTTTTTTCACTCGTGGTTCAACTACTTTCCAGGAAGCTTATGAACGTACGGGACGGAAATTGAATGTTTCAACCGTTCCTTCAGATCCTCATTCACCTGTGATTTTATGTAATAGTATCACTTCACCTAATTGTATTATTTGGTCATCATTATTAGCTTCAGCAGCTGTTCCGGGTATCTTAAATCCAGTGGTCCTAATGATGAAAAATCCTAATAATAATCAAGTGGTTCCATTCTCATTAGGTAATAAATGGAGAGATGGATCTTTACGTACTGATATTCCTATTGATTCATTGAATACTTATTATAATGTCAATTTCCCTATTGTTTCTCAAGTTAATCCTCATATTTCCTTATTTTTCTTTGCTCCAAAGGGTACAGTTGGTAGACCAGTTGCTAGTCCAAGAAGTAGAACTTATAATGAAAAATATGCTTATTTAAGAGGAGGATTCATTGCTGCTGCTTTAGAACAACTTTTGAAATTGGAAATTACAAAATGGTTAAGATTGATAAAATCATTGGATTTATTACCTCATGTTATGGAACAAGATTGGCTGAATATCTTTTTACAAAGATTTTCTGGTGCTATTACTATCTGGCCTAGGAATAGATTAGTTGATTTTTGGTATATTTTAAGTGATCCAACTGAAGAAAGATTAGCGGAAATGATCTTAAAGGGGGAAAAATCGATGTTTCCAAGATTATTATTCATAAAACATAGATCGAGCATCGAGAAAGCAATTGAGAAGGGAAGAACTTTATCGAGATTATCAAATGAAACGAAACAACCTGTATTTTCATCTAGTGAGGTTCAAAATGATTTTGAATTTTATCAACCTGTATATGAAGATGATGGGGAAGATCTTGATGACGATGATGATTTCGAAGGAGATCATACTGAGATAGCATTTAGGAAATCATTATCTGAACAAAGAATTGAACTTGGTGATATCTTGGATGAAATTAATGCAGGCAATAGTGCCGATGATGAAGAAGAGGATGATGATGATTACGTGCCTGATGATGATGAGGATGATGGGGAAGAATATGAGAGTAGTAGTGTGACAGATGAACATTCCAGTTCTGATGCTGAAGAAACTGGTAAGAAGAACTTTATAAGATCAATATTTGATAATTCGACCTTCAGTAGAAGAAGACGAAATACGGTATTTTAATCAAATATTTACATTGTATTATTATTATTAATTAATTAATTACATATTATTCTATAGACTTTACTAATGAATGACTTTAATTTATGACTTTTTTACGTTTATCGTTACCTTATATCCCTCTATTAATTACCTTTTAACATCTTTGCCATGTGAGCATTGAATTTATTACAATCCTTTATATCTCCATTAACTTCTATAATCTCCCCTAAGTATGTAGTCAAAACATCTAAACCAACTGTTTCGATGATTTGTTTCTCTTCAAGTTTAAAATCAGATAGTACCCAAGACGCCATCGTATCTCGTGATGCATTGTTTGGCTTAGGACCAATCCCTATCCCTAGATTAAACACCACACCATTATTATTATTATTCGCTTGGGTTAAACTTGTTTGAATGCTTTTGATCCCATTATGGGATTCATGGTTCTTAAAAGTAGATAATTTAACATTACCAATTTTATTCTCGAAATCATCATATAGAATAAGGATCAAATTCTCAGTGGAAGCAAGGTTGATTCTTTCAGATTCAATGAATTTCTTGAATGCCTTACCTGAATCGTTCATATAACTATTTGATTTAACCAATATCAAACTATGATCATCATTCGAAGTTATGGAATAAAGTGGTGATTTCTTCTGAAGTTGTTTTACATCAAAATAACTGACTAATTCTTTTAACATCAAATGACCTGTTGAATGTCTGTTTGATGGACCTGGATTCCCTACTGAGAATAGTATCAACCTCTTATCCATTTGTTATATATAGTTCCTAAAGAATCTAGCTGGAGTTGGTGATGCTGATGATTAATGCAAAAATTAAAGATAATCGCAGCTTAAACCAATTTAGCATAACGAAAAAAAAAGGTGAGCTTTTCTAAATCGAACAAACGTAAATAAAAAAAACAGTAACGTCAGAGAAAGGAACAACGAAAGATCTTGGTGTATCGACACGTTGGGCTAATATGAGTCATGAAGAGATAGATTCAGATGGTAGTGAGATAGTTGGAACATCAGATAACATACCAATTGTGGCTGAAGAAGAACAGGTTTCTTCTTCAGTGGTGGTAGAGCAAACTAATGGAGAACATCTGGTGGAGGATGCCAAAGCGGACGTTGACGAGTTCAATGGAGAAGAAACCAACGGAGTGATACACGATGAGGTAAAGGAAGAGGAAGATGACGACGACGATGACGATTTTGGATCGTTTGATGATGCATCATTCGATGAACCTCAACAAGTTGAATCATTTGAATCAAATACTACAATGGTGTCTGAACCAGTACATACCAAATCCATATTATCCACCACCTTTCCAGAAAGTACTTTTCAAGATGAATCATTATTCTTATCTAAACTTGATACTGTATTAGATACCGTATTCTCAGATGATTCTACTAAATTCCAACATGATCAAAAAGACATTAATAAAGAGTCCAAATTATTATCAGATCGATCAGAAATCATATTTAATCAATTATCAACTATGCCCCATTTACGACCATCCAATTGGATACGACTGAACATTCGTCATAATTTACTTATCAAACTTGGTATACCGATAAATTTAGATGAAATATCAAACGCACCTCCTCGTATAAATGATAGTACAAACACCATTCATAGTGGATTAAGTAAAGAAGGCAGTAGTAATATGATTGATAGTTCTAATATTGGAGTCAATCCTACACATAATCGTCGTAAATCTATCAGTGCTAAGGATATACATTGGGATCAATTTAATATTCCTCAATTTTCAAGTTTGAATATAACGAATGAAGAAAAGCAACAAAGATTACAACAGACTAATGAGATTTTATCCCGTATTGAAACTGATAATTTAGATCATTCATCTCGACAATTCTTGGAGTCGCAAGGAGGGGGAGGCGATAATAAACAGAGTAGTCCCGATGGTAGTATGACTACTAATGAAGAAGATGGTGATCAATTCATTCAAACGAAATTACAACAATTACGATCCAATTATCAACAATTACAAGAATTAGCCAGTTGTTGGATTGAAAATAGTAATGAATTACATAAAGATTTTGAAATTTATGAAAATGTAGTTCAGAATTTAATTGGATATAGTCAAAAATTAAGACGTGATGAAATATTTGAAAATTTAAAAAAGGTAAAACTGAAAAAGAAAACTACTTCAAAGAGAAAACTTTGGAAATGATAAATGGCCAACCCATAAAATAAATAAATAAATAAATGTATATCAAAGTTTTTAGATTTTATAAAAGAAGAACATAAATAACGTTTATTAATATACTTACTTAATGTAAATTAAACAATGAACTCAAATCATCACCAAGATAATTATTCTCAATTCCAGATTGTAAATTCATATTAATGAATGAACTATCAATGAAATTAGTATTAAATGTTCCTCCCGGTGTAGTAGGTGGATATTGTTCTTCATTATGAACCGCATCAGGTACAGCAAAGTTGGAATCATCAATATGATTCAAGTTGGAATTGGATGAATAGACATTACTACCCATTTGTTGTTGTTGATGATGATGTTGTTGTTGATGATTCTGTTGGGATTGTTGAGGACCAATATCCATATCAACTCCTGGTGATTGGGCCCTAGTAGGTGGATAACTATATTTAATATCAGGGAATAATTGAGTTGGATCGAAATTTTCAAAGAAATTTTGATTAGTAGGTAAATTCTCAGTAACTAAAGTGACATCAGGGAAAGACTGAGTCGATGATGCAGGAGAATTATCCGTATTCTTAGAAGTACTCGAAGCACTTGATTGTAGTTGTTGTTGTTGCTTTTGTTGTTTTTGTTTATTACGTTTGATTTGATGCACCAATTCTTCAAGATTAGCAGTTGGATTCAATAAGGGTTGAGATTGAGATTGGGGTTGATGGATTTGATGATGGATTGGTGATCTTTGTTGTCTTGTATATTCATTATAAATCCCACCACCTGGTGAAACTCCCGAAGTAGTCGAATGATTACCTGGTGAATTAGTAAACACCTTAGTATTTAATCCACCAGCACCATTACCTTGTTGTAATTGACGAATAGGAGATCTTTGAGCATTGGTATTATTCCCATTATTATTGCCATTATCATAATATTGATTTTGAGCTGCTTTTTGTGATGCACTTAATTCTTGATATTCAGCAATTTTATTACCATTTTCAATCACTTTAGCACGTTTGATTTTATCATTAGCATATTTATCAAATAATTTCATCAATACTCTAGCAATAGGCCAATAATTACTTAATTCTTTTAACACTGCTCTTGATACTAATAATGAATCCAGAGCCGTAGATGAAATAACAGTATTGGCTGAATCAACATGATAAATCAACATCACCAATGCACTGAATAAGATATATACAAACATCACTGGACAATATTTGATTTGATTACGATCTAATAAGATTTTCGAAACGAGAGAAATCATCCTAGCGGCTTGGAACGAAATTCCCCATGATGGATATTTATAATTATTTGGATTGGCCGATGATGATTTTGCCATTCTAATTAAATTTGATCTATGAATTAAATATAATCGATTATAATATTGAGCATTCAATAAACAACTGTAAAAGTTTTGCGTAGATGTATCAGTTAAGGAAAATACTAATTGAGGAGGTAAATTAGTAAACCAAATCCCCATTAACATATCACAATGTTGAATGATAGAGAATTTATTTTTTCGTTTTAATTGTTCTGATTTAACACTATATTGATGTTTGATGATTATACCTGTTATTTCGGCCAATTTAACTAAATGAATGAAATATAATGCTTGAGTTTCATCTAAGGGATAAGGAGATGGAATAATCTTTGTATTAGAATTTGAAGGACTTGAATTGGTAGTAGTGGTATTGGAACTTGTATTACCATTAGTGGAATCACCATTATTAATTTCGATTTCTTCATCTTCATTAAAATCATCAATAGTAAGCATCGGTACATCACAATCATTAAGATCAATGACAGAAGGTCTACCAAAGGCAATAGCCACATTACGATCTTTTTCAAATAAACACCACCAAATTCTTCTCCATATTTTCTTTTCATTATTAGTTAAATTAGTGGAATTATTTACATCTCTTTGAAATCCAAATCCTTGAGCAAGACCAACTGCTACTCTTGTCCAATAAAAGGAATTCTTAGTAACATCTTCAGGACCTTCCCAATAAGATCCAATTAAAATTAAAGTTTGAATGATTGATACTGGATCACTTTCATAATTTGTTTCATATAATGCTTTAGCTCTTCTAAAGAAAGTCAAAGCGGCTAAATTATTTGATCCTTTTGAATCTAATAATAAGGGATTTTTAGTAACTCTACATCCACATAATAATACTGCTTGTAATAACATCAAAGAAGGATTATCATTAGGATCATTAAATTTCTTCATGAATTCCGTTCGATTGATAACTGGCATTAAAGGATGAACATGTTCAAAATATGAATTAATTAAATCCAGAGATAAATCATGAGAAGGTAATAAGAAAGCTCCTCTTAATTTTAAAATTTCTAATTCCACTGAATCAAGGGAAACATCATTACTTTCAAAGATATCTTCAGTTAATTGAATATGATTATCTCCTAATTTTTGAGGTACAACAGCAATAGATGAATGACCTAAGAAAGTTAAGGAAGCCTTTTGTTTTGAATTTAATAATTCCTTTTTATGCATGGAAGGTCTATTTTTATAAGAAGAAGTTAAAGATGGTGGGACACTTACTTGAGATATATTTAACATTGGTTCATTTATGGCAGAATTTGATGGAGCACCATTTCGAGATTCACCTGAACTTGACGTAGATAATGATTTAGTGATATTATTAGGTAAAGTAGATGTGGTAGTTGAAGTTATAGTTGGAGTTACAATATGAGTTGATATATTTGCAGTAGCTGATGATGAAGAAGAATTATTTGAATTTTGATAAGAATTATTATTATTTTGATGAGAAAGTAAATCAGATTTGATATCATTATCAGAGTCTATATTATTATTGGAATCACTAGTGATAGCCGAAGTTTGTTTTCGTTTATTTTTTGATTCATTTGAAGTATTACCTCTTTTTTTAGCTTCAGGTAAGATACAATCACACCCAAAGGTGATACAATTGGTACAAGGGATATGAATTTCGGCATCACATCTTACTTTTCTAGATCGACATACGGTACAAGCTCTACTACCTCTTGGACGTTTATATTTGATGGTGAAAGCTTTTGGTTTATCAGGATTTTTACCAGTTGAAGAAGATTTTTTAGTAGTAGTAATTGATGATGATTTCGATGAATCTGGAGTTATATCGGTGGTATTATCATTTGATTGATCGGAAGGAGTCGATGATGATTTATCAGGAGACTCTACTTTTACTTTAGGAGGCATGATGGATTATATATGTGGTAATATGGTATATAGTTACAGTCCGAAAAAGGGAGGAGTGAATCAGGGTTATGATATAATGATACAGTCACTTGATGAGCAAGTGAAAATTGGATGGACGAGATGAGATGAGTTTTGTATATGTACAGAGCTGGAACCAGATGATTGATAGTTCCTAGTGATAGTTAATGGTTGATAATGATTGGAGTTGTTTGATTTGTTGTAAATACAATAAATTTTTTTTTAATCTTTATTTTTTTTTGATTTTTGGCCTGTGCTTTCTTTCCCCAGTTTCAATAGTAATTAATATGAGGTACTCACAGACAGATAGACAATCATACACATTCAATACAAAGTGGTTGATTGATTGATTGATTGATGATTAATGATAGAAGAATTGCCGCTGAAAATTTCTAGTGGTTAATTGTAATTAGATTTTGATTGATTGATGACTTATTGGAAATATTTTAAAAGGGAGAGAGGATAGGTGACAATCCGTGTTTAGTTTAAAGTGATTCTTTTTGCCAGTCCGTCGTTCGTTCGTTCTGTGTCTTTTTTTTTTTTTTGCAAAAACTTAAAATAAAAAAAAAAATAAAAAAAAAAAAAAAAGTTTAATTTTCCGTTTTTGTCAAAAAGGGTGTACTATTTATAACTAGAATATCCGAATTATACTCCACTGAACAAGTTAAACGAAAACAACGAACAAAATAATATCAAATATGATTATCAAGGTAATTACATACTATTACCACTACCACACTTCAACTCTTCTTTCTTATTGGTGGGATTTCATTGCCTCCTTGTTATTAATTAATATTACATTCATTTACACTAAAAAAGTTTGTTACTTTCTTCTCTCTTTTTTTAACTTTACGCTCTCTCTATTTCCTAATTGGGATGGTACTCTGATCATACCCTTTCCTAAATAGGCATGATTGCCTAATCAAGAGTAAATATCCTAAACCGGAGGAAACAATGAGGGGTAAACCTCCAATTAGTTATTGTTTACTGTTAACTACTACAACCAATTAGTTATACTAACTACTATAGAATAAGGTTTTAATTTTAAACGATCCTCAAATCAATTACAATCTTATAGAATCACCGTATACGTTGTTCTACGCCTAATATGGTTAATATCCTTTGGGAAATAAATAATCGTTATATGTTACTGTGTTTATATATAAATAAATATATTTTATTTATACTACTAATTACTTCTATATTTCCGCGGCATTGATGTTTTGCTATTATTTGGTTTTTTCTTTAATTAGCCGAAACTACATCCATACCGCAAACCCATTTAACCGAAATCGAAATCGACATTGGTAGCGCGCATAATTCTTTTTATTTTGAGAGATGTAAATTTTTTTGCTATAGGCAGCCAAAATTTGATTTGATTTGATTTGATTTGAATCAACTGATTCCATACAACTTAAGACATCATGTCTATCAATTGGAAGTTGATTCTTCAATCATCCATCTCAATCGTATCTGCCATCATCCTCATTCATCAAATCCATGACTTAATACCGAAGAAAAAGGAGAATACTGAACATGACGACTCAGATCTAACATTATTATCTCCTCGTACTAGAGGTATCGAATCTCAAATCGGTAATACTCCCCTTATAGAAATCAAATCATTATCGAAACTTACAGGTTGTAAAATATACGCCAAACTAGAATTAACCAATCCCGGTGGAAGTGCCAAAGATAGAGTTGCATTAGCTATCATTCGAGAGAATGAAAAATTAGGAAATTTAACTCCCAATAATGGTGATATCATATTTGAAGGAACTTCAGGTTCAACAGGGATTTCATTTGCATTATTAGCTAATGCTTTAGGGTATACGGCTCATATTTGTTTACCTGATGATACATCACTGGAAAAATTACAATTATTAACTGCATTAGGAGCAGAATTAGAACCTGTAAAACCTGCTTCAATAGTAGATCCCAATCAATATACTAATGCAGCAAGATTAGGAGCAGAATTAATTAATAATAATAGTGAGGATAATCGACTGGCTATCTTTGCAAATCAATTTGAAAATGATTATAATTGGAGAATTCATTATACTACTACTGGACCTGAAATTTATCGTCAAATGAATGGTGATATAGATGTATTTATAAATGGATCAGGTACAGGAGGAACCATTGCTGGAGTAGGGAAATACCTTTATGAAAAGAATTCAAATGTCAAAGTTATCTTATCTGATCCTCAAGGTAGTGGATTATCTAATAGAATAAATTATGGAGTTATGTATGATTCAGTAGAGAAAGAAGGAACAAGAAGAAGACATCAAGTTGATACATTAGTAGAAGGAATTGGATTAAATCGTCTTACTCATAATTTCAAACAAGGTGAACCTTATATTCATGAAGCCATTAGAGTAACTGATTTACAAGCTCTTAAAATGGCTAAATATCTTTGTATTAATGATGGATTATTTTGGGGTTCATCATCAGCTATTAACTGTGTAGCTGCTGTTAAAACAGCTTTAAAATATGGTCCAGGTCAAAAAATTGTTATTATCGCTTGTGATTCTGGTTCAAGACATTTATCTAAATTTTGGAAACAAGCCAGTGAAATAAATAATGATATTACATTAGATGATATATTAGAATCTAATTAAGTCTCTATATATATATGTATGAATGCATGATTAAATCTCAATCATTTTTGCTTTTCAATTAATTTCTTTTTAGTTTCACGATATAATTTAATCGTACTTAACAGAGCAGCACTTATACCCATCCAAATTTGTAAAGTATCAAAAGGTAATTTTAATCTGAATACAGTATAACTATTAAAGATCAAATCAGAAAGATTCTTATAAACGTCCAAATAACAATTATTCATTTTAAATCTGACTTCTTTTAATAATCTTAAATCTTCTTGATCATCACTTGACAGACCACCCCCAGTTGAAAAATCAAAACTATTTGAATTAACATTGGAATTTCTTAATAATTGTTTGGATAAGATCTTAGCTTTATTACGAACTTGGATTTGAATCTTTAAATCCATCTCTTGTTGAGTCAAGGCACTTAAATTATTTAAACAATTATACATCGCTAACCAAGTCTCACAATACCACCCTAAGGATTCATGTCTTGATACAATCGAATATAATTTCTTATTGGTAAAGAATTTCATTTTGAATAATAATAATGATTCATCATTAATACCATAATAAAGGGAAAAGAATTGACCTAAAGTTTTCTTATTAACCAATGCATCATAATTTATCGTCAATTTTGAATCTTTATTATATTGGATATTAGATGAGAATTTATTAATTAAATCCCGTATTCTGAAGGGTGTTTTACCAAATCTAAGAAATTGTCGATACATTGATAAACCAGTTATTAATCCTGAGAATTTCATTTTAAAGATGGAACAAAGTAAGATGATAATGATTTTTAAAAAATCTCGAGGTTGACTAATTGATTGTTTAATTAATTGTAAATAATCATCTCGAGTTTGGAATTTATTATTAATAAATTTGATATTAAGATCATCATCACTTAAATTGGTTTGAACTTGATTAGCATGATATATCAATAATCTTAAAGTATATTGACCAATCTTGGCCATTTTATCTTTACCAACGATATCATTTAACATAGACCAGATTATATCCCAATTCGATATAACCTTTTTAGAACTAGTTGATTTTATTGTAGTTGTAGAATTATTTGTAGTTGATGATCCAACCACATTAAGTACATCTACAATCTTGTTTTCTGAGGTAGGAGTGATATAATTGAAAGTTGCTGCATTAACAACTCCACCAACCTTCTTCGGTTGAGGAGTTTCATATTTTGATGTTATAATAGTAGATGACATATTACTATTTGGAGCTGTGCTTGATTTTGAAGGAGAATTATTAGGAGAATCCAACCACTCTGAATTAAACGGTAAAGAAGGAGATTGTTGTTGAAGATGATGAGGTAATTGATTATGATGATAAATATAATCGTGCTTTGAAGAAATTATATTATGAAAACTATTAGCAATCTTTTTATGGGAAGGATCTTGTTGAAGGAGAGTAGAAGTAGCTGCTGATTGATGATTGATATATGAATTTGAATTTGGATTTGGATTTGTATCTATATCATTCATTATCCAACCATTTAAACCAAAAATAATGTGAAATATATATCTATATATACCAAAGGGTAGAAAATATTAGGGAATTAAATAAGAAACAAAGGTTAACCGGAGTCAGGAAACGTGAGTGAGTGAGTCTGTAACTAAATGAGAAGATCTATTAATACCAGCAATTAGCCCAGGTTTAGTGAGCAGATTGAATAATGATCAGATGAGCAGAATATGACAGGTGAAATGTGTATATGTGTGCTCTAAATACAGAGTTTATGTTGTTTATTTTTTTTTTTTTTTTTGCTTCTTTTCTCCAATTTTGTGGTCATTGTCACACTCACTCAATTTCAGTTTCTTCCTCGCTCTGAAGGTTAACTATGAGGATGGGAAAAGTACAACGGGATATGTGGAAAAATGAAACGTTACATAAGTTTGAGGTTACATTTCAAAATGGTAGCATCTCTATGAAAAGAATCTAAATTACTTACATTAGATCTACAACTAATGGGTCTAATCAGATGATAATATAAAGGGGTGGTTTTCTCATTCTAATAAGAATAGGGTTCATTAATGTTAGTTAGAGGTAATTTATACCTTGTTACTTGTCATATTGAAGTATTAGTAGGAGTGAAGATGGAAAAGTCTCTGGTATGGCATAAAGTTTGAAAAAATGGGAATTTACTATAGTTCACGTTGATTGTACCTATCCTGTAAAGTATATACATTATCGTCATATACGTGAATGAATTGCGTTATAGAAGCGATTAAATATCGTTATAGGAATTACAATTGAAATTTAAAAGACCAACCAACTCATATATTAAGGATTGACATTAAAGGTTTAACATTAAACCTTACTGAAATACCAAGCTAAACAATAAATGAAATAATATCGAAAACAAAACGAAAATCACTCCATCCAACTTAATTTCCGTGTCAATTATCAAAGTATAGTATCATTATAGTAAATAGTAATAGCAGGAGGTAAAAATGGTGGTGGAATAAATTCAGGAAAGGCGTAATCTTCCGTCTCTTCTCTCCTTTTTGCTTTTATTATCACTGGTTTCTCTTCACGGTCAAACAGATAATAGAAACGAACCTGTTTGAATTTTCTTAGAATTCGGCGAATATCATCACCAAAATATTCAAATCTTTGTCCATAACAATGTGCTGATTTTGCAGTATAGAAAAGCCAAGCTCGTCTTCTATTGGAAAGTAAATGATAACCTCTTACCACACATTTTTCTAAAGATGGCATTGGATATGGTATAACTAACATAGGATCACTGAAAAGAGTTAGATTCTTGATTGAATCTTTATTATGCAAAAGAATCTTTTCTAAAGTTAACATAGTTTGGAATTCATTACATTCAGAACCAAAGATTTGCAATTTGGGGAATTTTCCACTTGTTAAAGTCTTCTCTTGTTCTATAATGCGAACTTTAGGACCTATGTGCAATTCTTCAAGTTCAGTACCTAACCAGGAAATTGATACTGTTGGATATGTATGTTTAAATTCTTTAAATTGTAGATTGCATATATCATCGTCAACGGATCTGTGAACAAAATTAGAATCAAATCTGAAGGCAATACAATTTAATGGAGTCAAATACACTGATGGGGGCATCTCAAATATGTTTGGACGTTCATCCACTATTTTGAATATGTAGAGTTTGAATTTAAAACATCCCAAAAAATCAATTGCATTAGCTTTTAAAATTAAATCATTTAAGATTTTACCATCTTCATGGCTACCAAGTTTAAATTGTAAGGTGACTGTTAATGGACATTCAGGATTATTGAACTTGTGAGCATTATCAAATAATAATTGCAGAGATTCTTCGTAAGCAACAGACGGGTTATTATGATATAAGATTTGACCTTTAGTTTCGACAGGAACAATCAAAAGTTTACTTAAATCTTCATTTTGAGTGGTATTAACTAGTAACACAATATCTGTGATACCATTCAATTTCTCAGGTAATGTATCTTGATTTACCTTAGATTCATCTTGGATCATGCGTTGAATAGCATGTCGATCTTGGTCAATATTTCGGAATATGGACCTGTCAGTCATAATAAATGTTGATAACTTCTGATATTAAATTATTCTAAAAGTATTATTCGAGTCTTTTTTTAAACTATATAAATATCGAAGTTAGCATAACAGATTTCTCTTTTTGCAGCAATTACTATTTACGCACGAGCTTTTGTTATTCATATCTAGCATTATCGTGTATTTAGTAGAAGAAAGAAGAAGAAGGAATAAATATATACATTATCTTTGAAATTATGTATCTCTCGTAAATTGTTTTCATTTAATTAGCATTATCAAGATTCAAAAGGTTAGCTCTGGTCTTCATTTTTTAATTTTTGATTGATGCAAATTTTGACTTCGTAAAAAATGAACACTCAAATAATATTACTTTTTAAAGCATTGTAAAATATCTTTAGTTCTCGCGTCAGATATCAAAGTATAGTATCATTATAGTAAATAGTAATAGCAGGAGGTAAAAATGGTGGTGGAATAAATTCAGGAACGGCATAATCTTCCGTCTCTTCTCTCCTTTTTGCTTTTATTATCACTGGTTTCTCTTCACGGTCAAACAGATAATAGAAACGAACCTGTTTAAATCTTCTTACAATTCGACGAATATCGTCAGCAAAATACTCAAATCTTTCTCCATAACAATGTGCTGATTTAGCGGTATAGAAGAGCCAAGCTTCTCTCATATTGGGAAGTAAGTAATAGCCTCTTATCACGCACTTTTCTAAAGATGGCATCGGATATGGTATAAGTAGTGTGGGACCACTGTAAAGAGTTAGATTCTTGATTGAGTCTTTATTATGGAAAAGAACCTTACCTAATCTCACCACGGTTTTCATGTCATTACATTCGGCACCAAAGATTTGCAATTTGGGATATTTTCCACATGTTATAGTCTTCTCTTGCTCCACGATGCGAACTTTAGGACCTATATGCAATTCTTCAAGTTCTGGTCCTAACCAGGAAATCGATACTATTGGATATGTATCTTTATATCTTCTATATTGTTCTTGATTGTACATATCATCGAGAGAAGGTTTATGAACAAAATCAGAATCAAATCTAAATGCAATAAATTTTAATTGAGTTAAATACACTGATGGGGGCATCTCAAATATATCCGAATGTTCATCCACTATTTTAAATATGCAGAGTTTGAATTTAAAACATCCCAAAAAATCAATTGCATTAGCTTTTAAAATTAAATCATTTAAGATTTTACCATCTTCATGACTACCAAGTTTAAATTGTAAGGTGACTGTTAATGGACATTCAGGGTTATTGAACTTATGGGCATTATCAAAGAAGAATTGCAGTGATTCTTCGTAAGCAACAGACGGGTTATTGTGATATAAGATTTGACCTTTAGTTTCGACAGGAACAATCAAAAGTTTACTTAAATCTTCATTTTGAGTGGTATCAACTAGTAACACAATATCTGTGATACCATTCAATTTCTCAGGTAATGTATCTTGATTTACCTTAGATTCATCTTGGATCATGCGTTGAATAGCAGACACTCTATTGGCTGAAGTTTCTTCAATCATCAAAGCTTTGATAACAAAAGAGTTTTGAATGATTTTAAGATAAAAGTTGTTAATAAATTTAGAGATTTGGTGCTTCTATCTCCCATCATTTATTGCAAATGAATTAGCATAACAATTTTGTGAGAATAATTTCCTTTTTCGCAATTACGAATTATATTTTCCCAGTTTTGCGAAATTGATTCATTTTTAAACAAAGCTATATTTTCTAAAAGATTCCCAATCGGGTAAATCACGTGAACTCGGAAATTAAAATTAAGGAAACTGTAAGTACTACAATGATTTAAAATGACTTAGTTCAGATATATTTCTATTCCTATACTAATTGCCAAACTCGGACAACTCAGACTTATATTTCAAGGTCAAGGCTTTTGATTACGTGAAATCGGCCCTTCAGTGACTTTCTGCTGGTTTTTATAGAGAAATGTTACGATGAAATAGAGCAGTTGTTGATTGACTATATCAAAAATTTTACATGTGTGTCCTATTTCTTAACGGAACTGACATCTCTTCCCATAGCTTGTTATAAAGTTATTAAGGTCTTGTGATATTACATGTTAATTAGTCAGGCGGTGCTGTCAGATACTAAATACTGAACGCTGTTTTTAGTTATTACCACTTTGAAGCTTATTTAATTCAGAGAAGCGTGGATTGATTGATCTTACTAAATCACGCATTTGGAAGGTTGCTTTCATATTCATACCTTGACATTAAGAAAGCTGAAACAGCTAGTTAAAGGATCGCTGCTGAAACCAAGGCAATCATTTCCAATGCAAGTTCGAAAATTTATGATTACTTGTTTAATAATATGTGATATTGATCAATGCAAAATCTAGGAGCTTTACCTCTAGGCTAGTTGTCAAATCTTCAAATCATAACTATCCTTTTATGATTTTCTCAGGTGTTTTCATGTCGATCATATGAGAGTATTAGCCCTTGTTATGAGGTTTCTGGTAATACTTTGTCAATAAATGATATGAAATAACTACAAATGGATCTTCAAATGATAAAATTCCGGACCGTCTTAAAGGATATTGAGTTTGATATTATTTCAAACAATGATTGATTACTTTCTTATCAGTGTATTTGATTGAAGATTTAGAGAACATATGGAGTTATTTATGAGGTATTAGCTAATGGATTAATTAGATCGATTCCATAATATAATATTAATACGAATGCATAAGTTTCAGAAATTGTGGGAGGAAATACAATAATCTGTACTGTGGATAATCATCCAAATTTTAAAAGTAGTTTCATACATCACCATCATCATTGAATCAAAATCAATCAATCTCGCATAAAACAAAACATAAACATTAGTTCCAATAAACCATATGATTTCAACTTCTAGTCTTTCCTTCGAAAGAAGTTTTGTATCAAATATCCTTACTAAACAAGGTATAAAGAGTTTTACATCTTGTAAATCAACTGTGTCTGATATAGTCTATCAATATTAATTATATTAACGGGCATATCATACTATTAGCAAATAATAAGCAGACTAATGCTCCATTGTCTACTAGTTCAACTTTATTAGCTTGTTACACTGGCAATCATGATCATAATCAACATGATATTAATTGGAATAAAAGTAATAGTGTGAATATTGATATTAACGAATTCTCCCGTCCTGTTATATTAGATAAATCTTCAATTCCATCTAAAACCTCAGGTCGATTTATTAGAATTTGGATTGAGGTTCTTTCAATAACAACTTTATTAGTGTTGCGTTATCCGGAATTTTGTGGCTTTCCAGACGTTCTATTTGATAATTTGTATTCATATTTGCACCTAATATCTAGATGACTATGAAGATTTTAAATTATGTTGACATTAATTAAAGTTAGTTGGAAATTTAAATATTAGTTGTGTCATGCTTTCTTAAGAAACTATCGTTCCTAATAATTCATTAGATGGTTTGCAATTCAAGAATATGAACGAATATTTAGTATGTATTCTACAGCTTAGAACAATTTGGTCAATAGTTTTCGATGTACTTTATATTGGAAACCCTATTTTATAAGAGGAATAATACAAGAATTTGAGCCTTATCTTAATCCTATATGAATATTTATTCCATTTATTCAAAGGAATTAGTTCAAATAGTATGGTGATGGTGTTAGTCCAGGATTTTATTGGTATAGAGACATATGATACTCAGCGAAATCAAATCTCCTTGTTTTCCTGAAAATACTCGCATTTTCTTAGGGGAAATTTTGTTGCAAATTTAAACATTTTCTTTAAGCAATTTGACTTAAATAATCTAAAGATCTAATAAATCCATCATTCAATCAATCCATCAACTAATCCATCAAGAGTTTGAACTACGATTTGAATTGATTTCACTCAGTAATAAAACTTCTTTTAAATAAAATTTCCGTGGTTTTTGTTTAATCGTTTACAGCATTTGTTTATTATATCTTTCAGAAATGGATGCAGCAAAACTTACAAGAAACTTCATCAAGGGAAAGATGGTTAAAATCTTAGATACCATTCATTCAAAGCGTGTATTACGAAAAGTAGATGGTTATAATCTTTTCCTCAGGAAAGTCCAAATTGTTGTTTGTGGTTATTTTGAATTGAAACTGAAAAAGGATGGCATCATGATTAAACCTCCTTTCAAAATTCCAAATTATGTTATTGAGGAAATTCATGGTGACTTAGATGAAATGTTTCAACAGGCTAAATCCGCTGATATTGTTGATAATGATGAAGAAAACATCATCCTACCAAGAAAGCAATATTACATTGATGCTCGCTCTAACCAAGGGTTTGATTCAAAAGAAAATGTGGAAGCGGTGGTCAATGCTTTGAAGAAATTTTATAAAGTTTATACTCCGTTAGATGAAGAAGCCAGAAAAAACTTAAGAGACTGGCTAAAAAGCAGATGGCTCCATAATGATAATAATTTATTAGGTTTCGAAGAGTTTACGGAACTTCAATTGGCCATTACCAATTTGAGTAAGGCTAATCCCCTTAGAGTTATAAGTTATAACACTGGTGAGAAATGTTTTAGAGTTTCAATATACTTTGAAATTTTAAAAATGCTTGAATGTTCAAGTTGAACTCCATTCAATTAATTTAATATCATTTTTTATTATTAAATTCTTTTTTTTATTATTCCAAATCAACTACTTCTTAATTTATTCTCTTCTCTTGTTTTGTTTTCATTTCAGTTGATATATATATATATGACCAGTAAAGAGTCCCGTGTTCCTTTATACTCTTTACAGTCTTTTCTCTTTTCCAATAAATTTATAAAACTCCAATTTTATATTTGTAGTCTTAAATTATTTTTCAATATGCTGTTAATAAAAATGAATATGATTTGTTATAACGGTCAAGTTCGATCTACCAACCTTTTGTTGAATTGGAATTATGATTGTTATTGAATTGCTTACAATTTTTGATTTCAAAGATTAAATTATTGAATATTTTTATTGATGTCTTACCCCTATTGATAATTAATGCAAAAATATTTAAGTTGAAAGTGAATTTGAATTACGTTTACCATTAATACTATTATTCTTTATTGATTCAATATTAGGACCCATCATGAATGCACCAACACTACCTAAATAACCTTCATGTCTAAGGAAGAATGATGTCATTTCACCACCACTCCAGAAATTTACCGCATAACTTAAGGTATGAATAGTTTGTTTATGACCTGATATAAAGGATCCCCCGAAATAAATACTCTTTAAATTGAATCGACAAGCTTGTAAATATGCAATTTGTCCGATATTATTGGATACTGAATATAATAATGATCTTGCTATATCTTCAGGTTTAAATTGAGATAATTTTTCAGCAGGAGTTAAAGATTTATTATTAAATCTTAATTTTTTAAATACTTTAGCAAATGATGATGCAATATGATTAGCTTTTAATCCAATCTTTCCATAATTGGTACCATAAATATCTCCAACTAATAAATCAACATTTTCATTATTACCTCTTTCTGCCATTTCAAGCATTTCAGTATAATCTTTAGCATCAGTTAATAACGATAATAATCCCCATAAGGTTCCACCACCTAAAGAAGAACCACCAATTCTTTCGAATTGATCAGGTCCAGGTCCAATAACTTTAATCATTGATACCCCACTACCGATATTAACGAGTAAATAAGGAAATATGGAATCTTTATTAACCAGTAATGAATTTGAAATGAATTTAGTATTATGTTCTTCTAAATCATAAGTGAATATTTCATTTGGGATCTTTGTAATTAACCAATTTAAACCTTTGATAAGACATTCCATTTCATCTTTAGCAATGATTTTCATGGGTAAACCATGCTTTTTAAAAGTTTTAGTCATCAATTGATAAAATTTATGAGCTCCACCACCAGTGGCCATTATATATGTTATAGGAGGATAAATTATTGATGATGAGGATGATGATGATTTGTTGGGACTTAATTGTTGTTGTTGTTGTTTATTAATTGATTTTTGAATTAATTTTATAAGGAATTTTAAAACTTCATGTTTAAAATTTTCAGTTTGGAAATCTTTGAAATGTAATTTCCCACCGTATGAATTGAATGATTTAGTGAAATAGATTAATTTTGTAAGGGTTCCACCTATATCAACTGAGATATGAATAATTTCTGAATTATGTCTGGGTAAGGTTATATTTTTGGTTAAATCATATTGATCATCATCTTCATCATAATCGTAATCACCATCGACTATAGCATGTTCATGTCTTGATAAATCAATTCCACCATTCGATACATTATCCACTTTTAATTTATCCAAATTCGGTGGTAGACTTACTTGTTCATCAACTTTTGGAGTTAGATTATTAATATCATCTTCTTCTTCAGAATAAGAATTTGGATTTGATTCTGATTGAATTTCAGGAGATGGAGTTCTTGATATTGATTCTTCCGATGATGATGTGGAAGTAGTGTTATTATTTTCATCAGTAGATGAATTTTCCAGTCCTCTACGTAGTATAATGGTTTGTTTTAATAAATGATCATTGGCAATATAAGCACCTGAACAATCGATTTTAATGGTACCAGGATCGACAAACTCTAGATTTAAATCTTCCGATGATGATATGGAGTTCTTATGTTGTGATATCACCCCCATTTTTGATGATTTCTATGATTTATGGTGATGAATTGAAGGTTTTAAAGTATGTACAAAGCGGTAGTTTGTTGTAAATAATTTATTTCTTTTTTTTTTTATTCTATAGTACTATTTGTATAGTATAGCTCAGTTTGAGGATTAGTGATGTAATGAATGTGAATATATAATGACGACGATAAATAAGGGAAACTGTTTGATAGCAGGAACAGATTAATGAGCACTGACTTGATAACTAACTTAACCAAAGAAGCTAAAATCGTTTGATTATGAAAAAATGAAAAAAATGAAGTCCGTGAAAAGTTTATATTTAAATAACAAATTAATTTTAATTTTAATTTGTTGGTTATACGATAAAATTTTTTTTTGGGGAAAGCACCGCTTTATTTTGGTTTAGGGGAGAGTCATGGAATTAGGGGGAAAAATTAGGGAGAAAAGCAAAAGAAAAATAAAAATAAAAAAAATTAAAAGAATCCTCGGAGGATAAATTTTGAGTTTAGTGAGGAAATGATAATTAGTAGTGACAGAGAGACAGAGCGGTCCTTAACTGTTTTCAGTAATAAGGGGAGATTTGCTATGATAGATAGACGAATAGGGATAAAGGGATATGTCTAGATATTAGTCTCTATGGTTTTCTTATTTACGATTGACTCTACTGATAATATCTCTAACAGACTGTACTTATACTATAATATCATTAACTACTACTATATATAATGATAACTAGTTATACCTATCTCTATGGTATCATCGGATGTTTAACTTTTGATTTGTTGGGACTGTGTGATTTTCGTTTACGATAAACCGCTTGGTCCTGTATACAAGACATTAGCTTTATCCACCAACATTCCCATTTGATTGATCATTGATATCAAGCTTTCAATGTTATCTGATTCTTATTGGATATAGAGATTAGCTAGTGATAACACTATCTATCTATCTATCTATCTCAATCATCAATCATCACTATCTACAACTTCATAGTATGATAACTACTATAACTATCTATTAAGCTTGTTTGACTATACGCGTAACACCTCGGATTTTGGTCTGATAACTTATATAGCGGAAATAGCATAAAAGGATCTTTTTTTTGTTTTGTTAGTCTGGGGGAAAATCGTACGGGTAATTTAAGGATAACTCTAATTGTATTATTATTAATAATAATTAATTATTATTAGCTTAACTGACGTTTTATTCCGTTATGTCGATTTGTGGAGAAATAGGAATAAAAGGTTTAATTACTTCTATCGGATAATACCAAATCAGTAATTGTAATAATAATTCAATCTCCATCATGATGTTGCTACCCCAGGTTAACTTCCGTTATTGTAATTATAACGGAATCTCTATCCTAAGGATAATAAATCGTTGGTGAATTAGTAATAACTAGAAGTAATTCCTATTTCTATTCATATCCCGGCGGGTATATCACCAGTATATCATTTTATTCAAACAAACTGACCCTTATCCGATTACAAATATTCCACTGTCAATATACTCAGTTTAAAATTCTACAAACATATCCATTACTCTAAAAATAATTATTATTCTGTCATATCGTTAGTTTCCCTGTATTCTATTTAGTTACCCCTTACTATATTAATTATTATTTTGATTTGCAGTTATGTAACCTGTGAAAATAAGTTTACAGGTTTTATGCAACATGTAAAATCAATTCTTTTTTTACAGGTTTTCCCGATTGAGAACAATATTGAAAAATTAAAAAAATTTCAAAATATTTACAGTCATATTGATCGAAATCATTGCAAGATATGAGTTCTGGAGAAGATCAACTGGTTTTAAACCTGGTTGAAAAGTTATCAATCTCTTCAAATAATGATAACCTGATTCCATTATCTTTGAAAAATTATTTTCTCCCATCGTTATATACTTTAGATCTCCAAATCAATCATACCAAACCTAATTTTCAAGGTGAATTACTGATTCAATTAATTAAAAATGATCAATGCAATAGTGTTTCAGAAAATGTGTCAATCACCTTACATTCTAAAAACTTAATCTTAACTCAAACTCATTTATCAAGTTCAAATTTAGAAAATTCCATTAAATTATCCACTACTTATAATAGACAATATCATACTGTTACTTTATCATGTTCATTACCTGATACCATTTCAATTTCAGAACTTATAGATCCAACCATTTCAATCAAATATATGGGTCAAATCAATACCATCAAGACTTATAAAGATGCTACTACCGGTTTATTCAAAACTAATTATCTTGATAATGTAGCAGGTAATGCCAATAATTATATCCTTGCAACTCATTTCCAACCAAATTTCGCTAAATTAGTATTCCCCTTAATTGAAGAGACTAATATGAAAGTGCCTATTAAATTATCCATAACCACCTTATCTAAATTCAAAGTATTATCGAATCAAAGTTTGGAATCAAATCAAACTTTAAATATGAGTGAAAATTCAAAATTCATTTTTAAAACTACTCCACCTATTAGTTCATCCGTGTTTGGTTTCATCATTGGAGATTTCGAATTCGTCGAAGATAAAGTCGATCATATTCCTATTAGAATCTATACCACTATAGGTGATAGTATCAATGCTTATTATGGATTAAAAGTAATTAAGAAAATCCTTCCCTTGATGATTCAAAAATTCGGTGCTTATCCATTATCAAAACTTGATTTCATAACATTACCCTTCTTAAACGATGGTGCGATGGAGAATTGGGGGATGATAACAGTATTATCGAATCAATTATTGATCAATGAGATTGAAGCTAGTAATAAACAGAAATTACAAATTCAACAATTGATCTCGCATGAATTGATTCATCAATGGCTTGGGAATGCAGTGTCGTTTGATGATTGGAGGTATCTTTGGTTGAATGAAAGTTTCGCTACTTTCTTGGGTAATTATTTCGTTAAGAATATCAATTATGAATCATCGCAAATCGATATGGTTGAATCATTCATGGATAAAGATAGTTTTGTTGGAAATGTGGGTTCTATCCAATCATACATGTCTAAAATCAATACCGGCTTATCGGCCACAACTTCAACCATCTTTGAAACCAACTCATATGAAAAGGGAATCATTATCTTGAGAATGATTGCTATTATGTTAAAGAAAGATCAAAATTATGATGACGAAAATTATAATGAATTATTACAAGGGTTGAAATCATTTTTTGAAAAGTATAATAATAAAGTGATTAAACCTTTTGAAATATGGTCTGAATTAAATGAATTAACTTCAGTTGATTTATTATCGTTCTTTCATTCATATTTACAATATGAAGGATTCCCCCTCGTCAAAGTTTCATACCCTCAACAGGATAAACTTCATATTGAACAACATCGATTCATAAATGATTCCACAATCGATCAATTACAATTAGAAGATTATCCTTTCCATGTTCCACTTTTACTTAAGATCAAAGATTCAAATGGTCAATTTAAAATCCTTAATATATTATTAACTGATAGATCGATTGATTTAGATATTCCTCAATGCCAATTAATCAATATTAATCATTTGAAAGGAGGGTATTATCGTGCTTTATATGAATTCGATGTTAAGATTTTTGATATTGATAGTAATGATTTGATTTCAATCTTACATGATTATGGGAAAGTTTTACTTTATTCAATTCATGGTACAAATGTTGAATTGATTCAATTTATTAATATTTTAATCCAATTCACTGATAAATCATGGACCGTGGATTGGAAAGTATTGAAAGTGGCTTTGACATATCTTGAATTATTAAACAATACGTTGATTAATTTCACTGCTTATGATGAGTTTAAAAATCTTTGGTTGAAATCATTCCTTAAGAAAATATATGAAAAGATTGGTCATTGGGATGATTTATTAACCATTAATCGTGATAAATATTCTTCTCATGAGTTCGAAGTAAGAAATTCAATCCTTACATTAGCTTTATTAACTATTGAAGAACCAAAATTAAAATCTAATATTGAAAAATTAGTATCGAAATTGTTTAAAAGTTTCCTTAATTCATCTAAATCATTCATACCCCATCAATTATTATCATCAATTTTCATTGGAACCATCAAACAAAACAATGTTCAAGATTATAAAAAGATCTTGGAATTAGTGAAGAATTCAAATACTTCACTTTTAAACCATACTAATCTTTCAAATCCAAATGAATTACAAACCATCGCCTTAAGTTCATTAGCGTTTGTCACTAGTGAAGAGTTAATCAACAAGACGCTTAATTTCATGATGACTAATATTGATTCCAAATTGATTGAATTGAGTTTAATTGGATTTCAATATAAACCGGCTATCAATGATCGTCTTCGATTATTCAATTGGTATAAGTTACATTATGATCAATGGATCTTAAAATCATTACGAAAAGGATCTGAATGGTCAAAACAATTAGGAAATACCATGAAAAACTTATCTACTATGGTATTAGGAGAAATCATGCAAAAGAATAGTTCTCAATTACAAGCTTTAACGAAGGAATTCATTTCAACTAAACTAACCAGTTTACCTAATCATGATTTGAAATCATTAGTGGAAGAAATTAATGAATCCAATACCATTAGAATTCACATCGCTAATGATATATATCCTCAATTAATCACTTTCTTGGCTGCCAACCCTTTAAAATAATTCTACATACGTAAATAGACGCCTCTCATGTAAATATAATCATAACATATGCGCTACCATGCGGTTCGCACTGTTTCTATTTTTATTTTTGTTTGGTAAATACCACCTTAATTTCTATTACCTTACCTAATTAGGCAATAGTGTAAACAGATGCTAAATTTAACTTTTTTTTTTTCAAATTTCCAACTTTCCTTCGCCAAACGGTAAGGGGGACAGGACAGCTTGGGAAGAAGCTAGCTAACGAAGGATAGGGTTCAAGGTAAAAAAGTATAATTGGGGTTTATCTGTTCATTTTTGTTTATAATTACTTCTTCTTCTGGTCATATCATCATCATCATGTCTAATCCTAATCATCATATGAGCTTCGTAGAAGAAGATGATGATCCATTCCAAGATGGTGGATATGAAGATTATCCCGAAAGTATCCAGTTGGGCTCGAATTACAGTAATACCAACTATAATCGAGTGTCTCTGTATAATATGAATCAACGTTATTCTTACCATCAACCTCATTCACCTCCTCCTATGGTTCATTCTAGAACTCCATCTTTAGGAGTGATTCAATCTCCTCCTGGATCTCAATATGGGGGTGGTCCAACCATGGCTCCACCACTTCAATTCCAACCTATTCATTATAATACTCATCCAACTTCTAATTCTGGTAGTGATGAAACCGGATCATCGGTTACATTAAATACAACTCCTACTGCTAACAAATTTAAAGAATTAAATCCTGTATATCATCATACTAATAGTAGTAGTTTTGGTGGTGCCACTATGTTTCAGTCTGATTTTCATGTCAATAGTGGCTTATTAAGTGGAAATAATCCATTTCAAAATGGTAATGCTAATGCTCATGCTCTTTCAACTGGTGCGGCTGCTTTCAGTGGTGCTAATTATATGATTAATCCTTTACAAGATGCTGATAATGATGATGATTTAGATCCATTTGGAGATAATGATTCATTATACCTGGAAACCGGTGAAGAAATCGTCAGAAGAGGTGCTACTATCAAAAGAAAGAAAACAGTTGGATTTAGAGATAACACTAGTAAAGATGATGATGAAGAAGATGAATATTTCGTCCCCAAATTGCATTATACCAAGACAATTAAAAGAGCAAGATTAGTTAATGGGAATTATATCATTGATGCTCCAGTTCCAAAGGCACTTTTAGAAACTTATGGAAGATCAAATAATAATACCAGTCATGAAACTTCATTCTTAAGATATACTGGTGCTACTTGTGGTCCTTCAAATTTCCAAAAATTCAATTATACCTTACGTCAAGAGTTATATTCTCCAAAGAGAGAAACAGAAATCATGATTTGTATTACGATGTATAACGAAGATGAATTCTTATTAGCTCGTACTTTAAAGGGTGTATTTGACAACATTAAAGATTTAACTGAAAGAGGGAATTCTTCAACTTGGGGTCCTGAAAGTTGGAAGAAGATTGTTGTTTGTATTGTGGCTGATGGTAGATTACAATTAAATAAACGTTCACAAATGCTTTTAGCTAGTTTGGGGGTTTATCAAGATGGTTATGCTAAATCTAAAATCCAAGAAAAATCAGTCAAATCTCATATTTATGAATATACTTCAACAGTAGGTATTGATGAAATTAATGATAAGATTCATTTTGGAGTTAATTCAACTCCAGTTCAATTAATGTTTTGTTTAAAGGAAAAGAATTTAAGAAAGATTAATTCCCATCGTTGGTGTTTCCAAGCATTCTCTCCAATTTTAAATCCAAAAGTAGTGATGCTTTTAGATTGTGGTACTAAACCAGAAAAGGATGCCTTTTATTACTTATGGAGAGCATTTAAAGATTCAAATGTAGGTGGTGCTTGTGGAGAAATGAGAGTTTCATTAGGTCCAAGTAAAAAATTATTAGCTAATCCATTAGTGGCAGCTCAAAATTTCGAATATAAAATCTCCAATATTTTAGATAAACCTATGGAATCAGTATTTGGATTCATTAGTGTTTTACCTGGTGCTTTCAGTGCTTATAGATATGAAGCTTTATTAAATGTTAATAGTAAGGGACCATTAGAAAAATATTTCAAAGGGGAATTCTTGCATAATGGTAATGATGATGAAGATGGAGAAGAAGATGATGAAAAGGATGTTAAGGAAAGAAATTATCGAGAAGCAGGTTTATTCACTTCCAATATGTATTTAGCAGAAGATAGAATCTTATGTTTTGAATTAGTGGCTAAGAAAAATCATAATTACGTATTAAGATATGTTAATGAAGCTAAAGCTGAAACAGATGCTCCAGAAAAAATTGATGAATTCGTTTTACAAAGAAGAAGATGGTTAAATGGGGCCATGTTTGCTGCTATATATGCTATGTTCCATTGGACTAAGATTTGGAGATCAAATCACTCTTTATTAAGAAAATTAGTATTACAATTAGAATTCTATTATCAATTGGTAACTATCTTAGTGTCATGGTTTTCATTAGCATCATTTTTCTTAGTATTTAGAATTTTAACAGCTAATTTAGGAGCTACTGATATGCATTTTGAAGTGGGTAAATATCTTGCGGCTATATTTTTATGGTGTTATGTTGGAGCGGTGGTAATTGCATTCGTATTAGCATTTGGTAATACTCCTAAGGGAGCTCGGAAATTTTATACCCTTATTGCTGTTTGTTTTGCGATTTTAATGGCATATTTAATGTTTTCCGTTATTTTCTTAGCCATTCATACTGTTAAAGCCATTATTTCTGATAATGGAGGATTCACTCCTATTATGATGTTTACCAATTCCAAATTTAGAGATTTAATTCTTTCTATTGTTTCCACTTATGTATTATATTTTGTGGGAGCTATAATTTATGGAGAACCAAGTTTTATGTTTACATCGTTTGTACAATATGTGTTATTATCACCATATTATATCAATGTGTTAAACATTTACGCCTTCTGTAATATTCATGATGTTTCATGGGGTACTAAAGGAGTGGTTCAAGCTAAAGATTTAGGATCAGCTAAAATCGTCAATAATAGAGATGAATTTGTGATGATTGTTCCTGGAGTTGAATCTGAATTAAATGAATCCTATTTAAATACAATTAAAACATTAAAAAGTGAAGAAATGGTTAAACCAGTGAAGAAAACATCAAGAAAATCAAAGGAAGATAATGATTCTTATTATGCATTAATAAGAACCTTAACGGTATTAGCATGGATGTTATCAAATGCGATATTGATAGCTATAGTCTTACAAGCTGGGGGTGTTTTAACCGGGACATATAATAATGATAATGGGAATGATACTTTAAGTTCTAATTCACAAGTATTTTTATCGATTATTTTATGGATTGTGGCCGGATTAGCATTATTTAGATTTATTGGAAGTGTATTATTTTTAATATTCAAAGCATTTAGACCATTAAAATGGAAATTAAGAGGGAAAAAGAGTAAAGATGGTTTATTAAGAAAAGAAATCGTTTAGAGTGGGATTTTGATTAAACGTTCGGTTTTGGTAATTTTTAGTGCCAAATTATTTATAAAATATTTACATATATAAAAATACATTAATAAAATAAAAACAATTGCATATCATAAACTTTTTCAAGTAAGATAACCTAATCAATATGTATACCATTTCTTAGAACCAACAGAGAATAGGGTAGTTCAAATATTCGAAGTTGTTAAAGTAGAAAGTGTAATAATTTAAAGGAAAAAATTGCAACCTTATAATTTAGAAACGTGATCAAATACACGTGATTGATTTCTTTTTTTAAAACAAGCGTCTTTGACTTTGATTTACCCCTCTTTTAACTCTGATATAAACAGAAACTTCAATTATGACAAACAATTAGTTTTTATCCTAACTTAACTTAGTTGTAGAAACTGTAATTGTAAGCATAAAAAGCCTTGATATATAGGGCTGAATGGCGAGTAACTATACAAGAGAAGAAGAACGGTATAAGCCAACCCGTTCATCAACACGGACCGCAATGTAACAAGTAAATATTTTTGAAAAATGGTTATAATCAGACAAAAAAAGAATTTTTAATTTTAATTTAAATCGGAACTTTAACAACCATTGAATGGAAACTGTAAACTTAATGTCATATTGCATAAGGTGGTAGAGGGGAATAAGAATAATAAGCGGTTATAAGAGGCATTTCAGGAAATAAACATTCGCTCTCTAAAATTTTAATTAATTAATCTAAATAATCTGTGTCTGTGAGTGGGTAAGCCAATAAAATGAATCTAACAAACAGAAAAATACCCGGTGATTTTACTTATTCTGTAATGAAACTAACGGTGGAACCAATTGTCCACCTTAAGTTGCCTTACCGCTTATGCCACTTTAACTTTAACTCTAACCTAAAATAATTATTGCCCACATAGATAGATAGATAGATAGAGGTATGGTGAGGGACTTTTTAGGATTGAAAAAATTTCTTTTTTCCACTAAATTTTCTTAATTTTAATTGCCTAACGGTTTTTTTTAATGGGCTGAATTATAATTGCACAAAATTCTCGTTAATTTTTCTTTCCTTCTCGCTGTTGTTACCTTATTTTTTATGTTTTTGCGGTAATTTTTTTCATTGGCTCTCAAATTGTCCGCTAATAGGATGGGTTAATTCTCACTAAATAGAAAAAAAAATTTTAAAATTGTATAAAAAAATTTATTTTTTTAAAATCTCTCACTAGAATTCACACATAATTCGTTGGTTGATGTGGAGACAATGAAATATGTATAATGTATCTAGTCTTTGTTTCACCAAATATGAAAATTCTTTCGTACTGACAAATCAGATACTACAGTAGTTTGATTTTAAAAAAAGAAATTACCTAAACTTATAATTGGTGAACCCTCTTTGTGATATGCCTCGCACATCAATCAATTAATTAATTAATTTTAGCGTTTATTTTATAATCTTTCCATACTTACTCCGAAGTCAGGTCCAGCAGACAATTATCCCAAATCAATGTAATTAAAACTTAAATGGCAACTGATGGTTAAACCTGACATTTTATCTAAAGTGTAAAAACAATTCTATAAAAAAACAGTATTATAGTTGTCACTTCTAGGTCTTCAACCCTCCTCTCGAATGCTCCCCAGACGTTAACCCCAGTAGAGTACAGTAAAGTAAGACAAGAAATTTTTTTTTAAACAATAAATAACCTGTAAACTTCTATTATACGTGTTTAGAGTTTCTCTATAGCTGTTGTATCCGACAATTTATTTTCGATTTTATACTTACCTTAATCAATATAGAATAAGGATAAATTTATCAATTTCTTCGGAGTTGTAAAGGAGTTATAGCCAGATTTAGCATATTTATAAAACTCGTTGGTCCATTTTTACCGCGCCGTTGTATTCATGTCTACAAAATCGGTTAAATGATAATTAATTCGCACCGTATATACCATTAACTCTGTTACCAAGACATTTTTAGATCTTGTTCTTAACAGCTAACATAGATCCATGGAACACATCTACATCAAACTAAATGAACTTGACACACTTGGAATACACCATCATAAGACTTTGTATAAAAAACAAAAAAGAAAAACAAATTGAATAAAAAAAAAGCAATAAATAGATTACCACATTTATGGTGACGAATAAATCACTTTAATGACCAAGGTTGCAAATTGATATACTATACTATACTATACAGTCGCTTGTGGTGGATAATTATTATTTGTCGTGTGAAGATATGATTCGGTCCGAGTGAATTAAGTCAGTTAGAATAGGGCTTGCATATAAACCATTTATACATTTAGGCCCGGTTAAATCGGTATTAGAGAGAGAGAGAGAGAGAGAGACTGACTATCCATACAAGAGTTACGTAATAATAATAATATAACTAAGAAAATATTCTTTTTACAGTTTACATCAGGGTAAGATAAGGATAGTGGATGAAAATAAAAAACAAAAAATGTCTGATTTTCTTAACCTGTACTTTTCATTGTTTGTTTTTGTTTTTCTCATTTGTTTGTCATTTTGAGAAATAAACTGTAAAATCTAATTTTTATTTATTTTAGGCTAAATTTTCCAGGGAGAAAGAGAGAGAGAGAGAGAGAGTTAATTATTTTATTTATCAATTTATTACTGAGAGATAGATAAAAGGATCTACTTAGTCCTATTGATTGTAATGTTGTAATAAATTATTTCAATACTACTGGAATACTCTTAATTTGGGTTTAAGTCAATCTCTCTCCACAAATCCCCTCCAGGGTTACTTCAATTGATGATGTCCATGTTTATTATCCATTTGAGAAAGTACAAAAGCGATATGAGAAGAGAAGAGCAGAGCTGAGATGAGATGAGACTGTGGGTAGTGCACGTAATTAATGGAAAGATGTGAAGCGATGAGGGAAGGGGACACACACTAAATATTTTTGGTCGTTCCCACACATTATTTATTACTGCGCTTAGTCAACGCTTATATAATCGTTAAACCAAAAAAAAAAAGTGTCTGATAAATAGAAAGTCGTGTGGGATTGCTCAAATAATAATGATGAGACAACTTTATCAATGTGATATTTTGTTGCATATTTATAAATAAGGTAATGTACGAACAACTTCATCATCAAACGACCAGTAATTGATTAACGAATATTGACATCATTAAAAAAAAAGTAACTAATAATAACAAATGATCGTTCCTCTTCCTTTTCCTCTACCTCTCTGTAACAGTCCATATATTTTGGAAAGTAAATTACGTGCATGGTTATATAATCTATCAAAAAGATTGTATGATTTTTTATTTTATTCTTATTATTTTTGTCTTGTTCGTAAGCACCCACCATCCCCCCATCAATTCATCGTTCTATGCACATAACTAGCATATGGTAATATAGAAATAACTCGTACAATTATTGCTAATGGTTATTAGTAGTAGTCGTAGTTGCCTAATCAAGACATGAAATTAAGCACGTTTAGTCCTCAATGGTTTTTAGAGTTTTCGTTTTGGGGTTTGAAAAAGAATATACCGACAGAACAGAACATAACATAACAGAACAGAACAGACAGCCATTGTGCGTTGCTTATATACAGGCGGTGCAAAATAGAACAAAATAAAAAAAAAAGAAACAAACTTTAAATTGACTAACAGGTACAGAACAAAAAAAAAGAATGAAAAGAATGAAAAATGTTCAGCATCCCTAACCAGCATAGAAATGGAGAAGTTGATAAAGAAAGCGAAAGTGGTAAAATCTGTACTATTAAGCGATAGATTTGGAAATTGATAATAACTTGGAATTTAAAAATAATACTCAAGATTAAACTTCTAAACTTACTATAGATTGATAGATATTGATATAAAGATAGATAGATAATAAAACTGTGAATAATTAATTTTTAGCGGCTTGTCTTATCTCGCATTAATTACTTAGCGCAACAGTTAACTACAGTATAATGAACAAACTATTATTATTATTATTATTATTATTATTACCAAACCATTATTTTATAGTGATTTTAACTGACAATTTCATAAAAGAGGAGAAGTAGAAACAGGGAAGTATACCTGTAAATATAATATATATATATATTTGGAGCGATGAGCTAAATTGATACATCATTAGAAAATAATAATCAGACAGAAAAGGGAAAGAACTACTACCTAACTAGTGATACTAGGTAGAGCAATAAGACTCTTATCAATATTATTTATATTGCAAGCATAAAGGATAATAATAAAGGAATGGACAAGATAGATACATACAGAATCAGTAAAGAATGTTAATCACCAGTGATTTATTGAGGAGATTAATAACTTTTTCAGGTACCAATCCTCCTTAAAAGAAGTTTCCTATCTAATCAATTGGAAAGGGTAGCTCAATAATTCATTGTCATTATTCGTTCTTGCATCTTTTATTATTATCATCTTTATGGCTCAATTTGTGAATGGCTGACTATAATCCTAGTTAAGTAATAACAAGCAAGTATGATCAGGCACATAATAACGGAAACAATCATCTTTAAACCTTGCTTTTGAGCCAGTAAAATTGATTGACCCGGATAATCGGCCAAATGGTACATAGTAATTAAGTACTGTAATAACTAAATTAGAGGCAGTTTTACCAGCAAATTTGGATTAGCGTGAAATAAAAAAAAAAAAATGTGTTCCACTTTCACTAAAAGGAATACATACTTCCAGCCTTGTCAGTGTCTGATTATCAAAATCTTATCCGACAATTTTTGTTTTTGATTCAATTTTTACAGGTTTTCCCATTTGGGAAAGTGATGTTTTTGTCAGATATTTAGAAAGGGAAATTGTTTGTTTTTATTTTGATATTGATGCACTATGTCAAACCTCATTTTTGTTTATTATTGTACCCAATTGGGCAAGAGTTTGAGATGAGAACAGACAAAAGTGCAGGTTTAATAATTTAAAATTTCTTTTTTTTTTGTTTTCTGCCATACTATAATCCCTCATTCAATCAGACAAAAATAGAGGGATTTTTTTTACAGGTTGTACCAATTCATAGTTTCCCTTTCTCTCATAGAAAATTTAAAATTTCAACAAAAACTGGTCGTCGTCGTCGTCGTCGTCCAAATTTCCCTCCTCTCCCTAATTTCTAATATAAATACTTTCAATTGTCCAATTTATATCAATTAGTTATTAATTTCAATTCTTTTTTATAAGATTTTCTTTTCTCTTTTGATTTTTCTCCTTTCATTAGTTTTCACGTTTTTACTTGTTTGTTAAAATAATCAGTAACTATGAGTGCAACTGAACCATCCAAAGAAAAGGTCGACAAAGTCGCATCCGATGATGAAGAAGATGATATTGATCAATTAATCTTGGATTTACAATCCAATCAAGGTGGTGATGAAGAAGAAGATGAAGAGCTTGATGAAAATACTTTCAAAGCCGTTCCAGAAGAATTATTAAAAACTGACCCAGCTGTTGGTTTAAATGATGAAGAAATCCTTAAAAGAAGAAAGAGATTTGGTTTAAATCAAATGGCTGAAGAAAAAGAAAACTTATTCTTAAAATTCATTATGTTCTTTGTTGGTCCAATTCAATTCGTTATGGAAGCTGCTGCTATTTTAGCTGCTGGTTTAGAAGATTGGGTCGATTTCGGTGTTATCTGTGCTTTATTATTATTAAATGCCTCTGTTGGTTTTATCCAAGAATATCAAGCTGGTTCTATTGTTGATGAATTAAAGAAAACCTTAGCTAACTCTGCTAATGTTGTCAGAAATGGTCAATTAATTGAAATTGCTGCTACTGAAATTGTTCCAGGTGATGTCTTACAATTAGAAGATGGTACTGTTATCCCAACCGATGGTAGAATTATCTCTGAAGACTGTTTATTACAAATTGATCAATCTGCTATTACTGGTGAATCTTTAGCTGTTGACAAGAGACATGGTGACTCTTGTTACTCCTCTTCTACTGTTAAGACTGGTGAAGGTTTCATGGTTGTTACCGCTACTGGTGATTCTACTTTCGTTGGTAGAGCTGCTTCTTTAGTTAACAAAGCTTCCGGTGGTACTGGTCATTTCACTGAAGTTTTAAACGGTATTGGTACTACTTTATTAGTTTTCGTTATTCTTACCTTATTAGTCGTCTGGGTTGCTTGTTTCTATAGAACTGTTAGAATTGTTCCAATTTTAAGATACACTTTAGCTATTACCATTATTGGTGTTCCAGTTGGTTTACCAGCCGTTGTTACCACTACTATGGCTGTCGGTGCTGCTTACTTAGCTAAAAAACAAGCTATTGTCCAAAAATTATCTGCCATTGAATCCTTAGCCGGTGTTGAAATCTTATGTTCCGATAAAACCGGTACTTTAACCAAGAACAAGTTATCTTTACATGAACCATACACTGTTGAAGGTGTTGAAGCTGATGATTTAATGTTAACTGCTTGTTTAGCTGCTTCCAGAAAGAAGAAAGGTTTAGATGCTATTGATAAAGCTTTCTTAAAATCTTTAATCTCATACCCAAGAGCTAAAGCCGCTTTAACCAAATATAAAGTTATTGAATTCCAACCTTTCGATCCTGTTTCAAAGAAAGTTACCGCTGTTGTTGAATCTCCAGAAGGTGAAAGAATTGTTTGTGTTAAGGGTGCCCCATTATTCGTCTTAAAGACTGTTGAAGATGATCACCCAATTCCAGAAGATGTCCATGAAAACTATCAAAACACTGTCGCTGAATTTGCTTCTAGAGGTTTCAGATCTTTAGGTGTTGCTAGAAAGAGAGGTGAAGGTCACTGGGAAATTTTAGGTATTATGCCATGTATGGATCCTCCAAGAGATGATACTGCTGCCACTGTCAATGAAGCTAGATCTTTAGGTTTAAGAGTTAAGATGTTAACTGGTGATGCTGTTGGTATTGCTAAGGAAACTTGTCGTCAATTAGGTTTAGGTACTAACATTTATGATGCTGATAGATTAGGTTTATCCGGTGGTGGTGACATGGCTGGTTCTGAAATTGCCGATTTCGTTGAAAATGCTGATGGTTTCGCTGAAGTTTTCCCACAACATAAATATAATGCTGTTGAAATCTTACAATCTAGAGGTTACTTAGTTGCTATGACTGGTGATGGTGTTAACGATGCCCCATCATTAAAGAAAGCTGATACTGGTATTGCCGTCGAAGGTGCCACTGATGCTGCTAGATCTGCCGCTGATATTGTTTTCTTAGCTCCAGGTTTATCTGCTATTATTGATGCTTTAAAGACTTCCAGACAAATTTTCCACAGAATGTACTCTTATGTTGTTTACCGTATTGCTTTATCTTTACATTTAGAATTATTCTTAGGTTTATGGATTGCTATCTTAAATCAATCTTTAAACATTGATTTAGTTGTCTTCATTGCTATTTTCGCTGATGTTGCTACTTTAGCCATTGCTTATGATAATGCTCCATATGATCCAAAACCAGTTAAATGGAACACTCCAAGATTATGGGGTATGTCTATTGTTTTAGGTATAATTTTAGCTATTGGTACTTGGATTACTTTAACCACTATGTTCATGAGAAAGGGTGGTATTGTCCAAAACTTTGGTGGTGTTGATGGTATTTTATTCTTACAAATTTCTTTAACTGAAAATTGGTTAATTTTCGTTACCAGAGCTCAAGGTCCATTCTGGTCTTCAATCCCATCATGGCAATTAGCTGGTGCCGTCTTTATTGTTGATATCATTGCTACTTGTTTTACTTTATTCGGTTGGTGGTCTCAAAACTGGACTGATATTGTTACTGTTGTCAGAACCTGGATTTTCTCCTTCGGTGTTTTCTGTATCTTAGGTGGTGCTTACTACTTAATGTCCAACTCTGAAGCTTGGGATGACTTCTGTAACGGTAGACCACAAAAGAAATCTCACGATAAGAGATCATTCGAAGATTTCTTAGTCTCCATGCAAAGAGTTTCTACTCAACATGAAAAATCTAACTAGATTTAGATTATGTTATGTCCTACCCCCATTTATAGAACAAATCAAGATTGGTTGAAGAATTAAAGTCTTTCTTAATATTAATATCTTTTTTTCTATTTTAATTATTGTTGTCATTCATTAATTTGTTATTTATTTCTTAAGTATAATTTGTTACCTTTTTTTATTTTTTTTTGAAATTGAATATTTTCTAGTTTATTTTGGTAATTTCCCCCTTAATTGTTACTTTAATATAAAGAGAATATTATTTATTATAAGTCAATTTCATTAAAATTCAATCAAAATTTACAAATTTATACTTTATTGATGATGCTGCTTATTTTTATGGTGATGGTGATGCTTTTGGTGGTTATATCTTATTATTATTATTATGGTTTTTAGTTTGGATGCTGATTTTGAATCACTCATTCAACAATTTCACTTTCAATCCTTCCGTTATTTTTTTATTTCATTTAATTTTTAATTTCAATCCATTTCCAATCATTTATACTGTGAAGAAACTACAAAAAAAACTATAAAAAACTTTCTACAAAAAAAAATCCCCGTTGATACAATCTTAGAAAAAGAAGTTTATTTAAAATGAATCTACTTTTATTTATTTGGTTGTGGTTGTAAACAAGTCATTTCCCCATTTCTTGTTTTCTAATGGTGTTTTATTTGCAGTCTTTTCTTCTTTATTTTTCTTATTGCTTCTTTTCAAATGGTGATGGTTATGTGTGGGTTTGATATAATTTTGACATGTTATGATGATATGAAAGAGGATTTACCTTCTATTCTTTTTTATTCTTATTTAATTTTTTATTAATTTGGTTACCCCGGTTTAATTAATCAAATCCTTCTTTTCATGTCTCGTATATGTTGATATATTGGTATCTACATTTTATTGAAACAATTTCCCCTAGTCATAGTATTTTTTTTTTATTTTAACATTTATTACCATTTCCTCTACACGTATTATAGGTTTTATTTAATCTTTTTATATTTTTTACAATAATAGATAATAATATTTAAAAAAATAACTTAGTAAATTGTAACTAGTATATGGTAGCAGCTAAAATGGTTATGGTACACACACACACACACACATTTTTTTTGATCTCATTGAAAATTTTTTTGACAAATCTGATTTTGAATGAGAAAGGGAAAATCTCAAATCAAAAAATTTACAGCATCCAAGTAGGACTAGGAACCAGAACCCAACAATCAACACTATTTAACTTCATCATACCCCGTGTATACTAAGGCTATCATTCTGTCAGCAGTCAGTATCACGAACACACCTTCATCCATTGTATATTAGACCCAGGCGTGTTTTTGTTTTGAATTTAAACTCCCAACCGATTTGGAGATCAGTACCCAAACCTTGCTTTACAGATCTTTCCATTTTATATGTATATTAGATATCTCAGAACACAGTCATTTAGTCATTAGCATCATCTGTTGAATCATATTAGCTTCATTTTTTTCTATCATATCATTCTTGTCATCATCATATTTTAGGTTTTCTTCCTTCCTCCCTCCATTTCATTATTGTACATTATTCCCCCTTCAACACGTCGCTTAAGTTAGTTTAGGTCTCAAAAAGCTTCGTATTTGTATAGTAGTTTTGTTTATTAGTCGGATTTTTAAGTTATTAGCATATCATACCCTCCATATTATTTAAGTTTTTTTTACTATCATTATGTCTACCAATTACACATCAAGATCAGCATCAATTTCAACTGCGGTTGACGATGCCACTAAGAATTTATCTAAATTCTCGAAACCAGGTTTAAGATCAGCTTCATTTGGTTCCAATTTCTTTGCTAAAGATGCTCCTAGTTTCTTATCTCCAACCACAGAAGAAACTACCGCACCAACCACCGCTGTTACCACTGCCATTGTTGATCTTTCTTCAAATTCACTTGATGATAACTCCGTCATCATCACTAAGGAAAATGACGTTACTGTTGTTGATGATGAAGATGCTAAACCATCTGAATTGGATATTGTTGGTGCTTTAGTTAATCTTGATTTAGACGATGATTATACTGAATCATCACAAGATCAAATCAAACAATCGCAACCACCAAACGATCAACCAAAATCAACCATTCCTTTCCTGAATCAACCTTTATACGGTGGTGATAATTATCCATTTTATAATCATCCATACCATCCTCATCAAGGTTCATTAACTCCAAATCCTTCTTTACTTGGTAACGGTGCAGGTCCATTTGGAAACAATACTCCTTCGTCAACCTGGAATAACAATTTCATTCCTTCTTCTGCTCCTCCATTTGGTTACAATAACAACAGTAACAATAATGTTAATGAAATTCAAAATGATTTACCAATGTTTATTAAACCATTTGAGCTTCCATCTGAAGAAGGTAAAGAAAATAAAGCTGATCATCCTCCATTTAACAACTTACATTTACCATTCTCAACCCCACCACCTCCACCACCACCTCATTCTAATCAATTATTTGGTGGTATCTTAGATTCAAACCCTCCATTTATGATTCCTCCTCCATCAGCTTCAGGTAACAGCAATAGTACTCAAAGTAACACCCCAGATATTGAAAATATTACTGCTAATGAAGGTGCTGAAAGTTCTACAACTACTACAGGAGAAATCCCAGCTATTCCATTCCATAATCCTATTCCAACTCCTCCAAACAATGGTAATCAACAACAATTCCATTTGACTGATAATTTCTCCATGCCACCTCCATCATTAGGTGGATTAATGCCACCACCTCCTCATCCTCATGGTCATCCACCACCTCCTCATCAACTTCCACCAGCTGGCATGTGGAATCACCAACCTCCTCTTCAAATGCATCCAAATATGAGAAATGCATTCATGGATAATAGAATGATTCCTCCTCCAAGTCAATCTCCAGGTCCTCATCATCCATCAATGTTACCACCTCCACCACCATCTTCTATGCCTTATATGAACCAATTCAATGGTAATATGAGAAATAACAATGGTAACCACCATCACCATCGTCATAACAGAAATGGAGGTAATTATGGTTATATGAGTGAATCTAACATTCATCGTAAAGTTCACAATAACAATAACGGTAATAATCATAACAATAATAGAAGAAAAGGTGAAGATGCTTCTAAATATGTTAATGCTAAGTTAGAAGATTTTGTGGGACAAATTTTCAATTTATGTAAAGATCAACATGGATGTAGATTCTTACAACGTCAATTGGATTTAGGAAAAGATTTAGCGGAAGGAAAGTTGAATAAGGATGCTAAGGAAAACACTGAATCATCAGAAGATGAAGATGCTTCTAATAGTGTCATTTTAACTAATGATATTGCTGCTACTATGATTTTTAACGAAATTTACTTAAAGATTGTCGAATTAATGACTGATCCTTTTGGAAATTACTTGGTTCAAAAATTATTTGAAAATGTATCAAATGATCAAAGAATTATTTTAGTTAAGAATTCATCAGTGGAATTTGTTAGAATTGCTTTAGATCCTCATGGTACTAGAGCTTTACAAAAATTAGTTGATTGTATTTCTACTGAAGAAGAAAGTAAAATCATTATTGAATCATTAGGTAGTCATATTGTTTCATTATCTCGTGATTTGAATGGTAATCATGTGGTTCAAAAATGTTTACAAAAATTGAAGCCCGCTGATAATCAATTCATCTTTGATGCAGCTTGTCTTAACTGTAATGAGATTGCCACTCATAGACACGGTTGTTGTGTTTTACAAAGATGTTTAGATAATGGTGATTTAAGTCAACGTAAACAATTATCGTTAAAAGTAGCTGAAAATGCTACTAATTTATCCTTAGATCCATTTGGTAATTATGTGGTTCAATATGTATTATCAAGAGGTGACAATGATTCAATTCAAATGATTATGAATCATATTAAATCCAATATTATTTCTTTATCGTTACATAAATTTGGATCCAATGTCATTGAAAAATCATTAAGAATTCATAAGTTAACCGATAATATCATTGATGAATTATTACAAAACACTGAAAGATTCAATGATTTATTAAATGATGCTTTTGGAAATTATGTTTTACAAACTAGTTTAGACGTTGCTGCTCCTCAACAATTGACTAAATTATCCCAAGCATTACAACCATTATTGTTAAGTATTAAAAATACTCCTCATGGTAGAAGAATCTTATCTAGACTTCAAAATGTTGTTTAATCTTGATCACTTTCCTCTATTTTTTTATATCATCGTTTGTTGCGTCTTATGGTAAGATGCATCGCCTATTTCATGGCATATTCCATTCTATCATACCATATCATATCATATCAAATCATATCGTACCATATAAGTACATATCATTATCTTAGTTACATACTGTATATTCCTAATTTTGTATATTAATATAAATAAAGTTTTTATAATTATAATTATAATTATCGGTACAAATTTTAATTTGGCCGATCGTTATCTCTTGCCATTTGGGTGTGAGCAAACCAAAAAAAGATTGTTATCAAATTGAAAGTTGAAATTTTTAACTTCATAACCATATCATCATAAGCTATTTGATTAAGTCAAGGTCTATAGGAAGACACGTATCAGGGCGGTATACAGAAGATGGAATGATGTCGTCGCTTGAGATGTCTCAAACTAAAATACGATTGGACCAACCGGAAATGGTTGGTGATGAAGAAGATAAACCAAAGTTGAAAAAGAGAAAGTACAGTAGAGGAGGTTGTATTGAATGTAAAAGAAGGAAGATGAAGTGTGATGAAGCTAAACCTTTCTGTCATAACTGTACGAGATTGAAGAAGTCATGCAATTATCCTCCCAAGCAACAATTCAGATTTGAGTCGATTTCGAACAACAATAATGGGGTTAAAAATGGTAGTACGACCACTACCAAACCTGGTATAAACAATAACAGCTTTGAGTTAAGAACTTATAATCCTAATCCACAATCAAGAGCTACGAATCCAACTGATGGAAGTAACTCAGTGATATCTGATGTAAGATCCATGTCACCAGCCATAACGGTTGGATTAAATGAAAGCAATATAAGAGGGGACAAACCACTGGTGGTACCTCCTTCTCCTTCCTCCAAAACCAAACAAAATGGTGTTAGCAGCAATGCTAATGCTATTTCAAACAATAAAAAGATGTTTAAAAATGCTATATCTGATATATTAGCCAACGAATCGATATCTACCCCAATATCAATGTCCCCATTCGATGATAAAGAAATGAAGAATCTATTTGATGAGGCTTCTTTATTGGTGAATGATTTGAATGGATTAGTATCACTTGATTTCTTTGAAATGAGTGCTGCTCCTGATGTTCCAGGTAAGCCAAATAAAGATGTTTTACGAACTACTGATAAGCTTGAAGTTGAAGGTATTCAATTATCGGCCGTGCATAATAGAAGTGAAACTAGTTCACGATCAGAAACGTTTGAAAGGTTAAATTTCCAAATTGATGAATTCTCCAATAAGATAAAGCTCAATTTATCCCCTATAGATGTCGATAGTCCCTTGTATTTCCAAGAATTTATGAAAAGTGAACATGATTTCTCAATATCCAATAGTGAATTGATTTCTCGAACTTTAAAACATTATAACCTTGATGGACCTCATGAAACTTATTTGAATTCATTAACTCATACTGACTTATGCTTTCATATGTTCCCCTTTGCCTCATCTATAGAGTCAAATGAAATAATCAAGATTTTATTAAAATATCTGAATAATTGTCCATATTTGCTAACTTCTTTATTAGCTATATCAGCAACATTCCAATTCAATCAATCCGATAAGAGAGTGCACGAATTAAGTTTTCAAAAATATATAACAGTATGTTTACAGACTTTAAGTGATGCTTTCCTTGATAAAAATTCAAAAAAATATGAAGTTAATGATATTGAAAAATTACTTTTAACTGTGTTGGTATTAGCGTCTAATTTCACGGCGACTACGAACTCGGGGAGAAACATGTATAATAATTGGAAAACTCATTTAAGAGGAGCAAAAGATTTATTAATGAATTATTTAACTGTTTATCAACAGAAGAACAAATTCAATATCTCAGGAGGTTTAGCATTAGCCAAAACTTGGTTTTATGCTATTGAGTCAATAGCTGGTTTAATTTCACCTTTAGGAGGAACCATAAACAGTGTGGTTCGAAACATGAAGAACGATCAAGAGCATGTATTCTCCAATGAAAATGATAATTTATTATATAGTGAGATTGCTTACTTTAATAAAGAGGTTAATCCTGGATTTCATGATGCTTTGATAAGAATAGGATTATTAACTAATCCTCCCGCAGGTTCAAAACTGTGTGAGTTTAACTTATATCTTGGATATACTATTAAATTGGTTGATATAATAGCTGAACTTGTTAAAGTAATGGATTTATTAAGGAGTGAACCTAATTTGCAGATTGACTCCACTGAAATTGCCAAACTCTTTTCGCTAATTGATGCTGCCAAGGATGAAGAAATCGTTACTGGTTTAAATAAAAATAGTTTTTTCATTATCCCAGCTTCAAGTCCTGGACACCCGGAATACTCCATCCACTCTCCTGATAAGATTATTTTACCCCAATCTTGTTATGGTAGCTATACCAATCTGAAGGGAGAGAAAAATTATTATTCTTGGTTTGATTTAAGTCAACGCTTACATCTTAATGCGTTATATTTACCGCTATTGACTAAAAAGGGGTTGCTAAACTTACCTACATCAAGCCCTGTAGTTAGAGAACTTTTTGATTTCATATTGGACTCAGCCTTCTTTATCAAATCAAAACTTAACGATAAAGACGATTATGAAATGGATAAATCTATTATCGTGGCCGAGACCGAACTGTATTATTTATCCAAACAGACATTTGACATTAGAGCCATTATGGTTCTAGTTCCGTTCCGAATCTGTTGCAGATTTGCCAAGAGTGATGACGATTTTGAGAAACTAGAAGTTTACTTTATTGGGTTAAAGAAATTAGGTAATGGAAGTGCTCAATCGGCGTTAGATTTATTGTATAAGTATAAAGCCAGAGCCAAGTCCAACGGATCGGATACCGTCATCCACGACGAAATGGGGATGATTCCGTTTGCCTAAGTGTTATTATTATTATTATTATGATTATTATATCTATTCAGTTCATATTTATATAGCGTAAAGTTGCAAATTTCATATTTAGCTAAACGATGTAAACGATGTAAACGAAGAGCGTAAATTCTTTTTTGTTTGTTCGACCCGCCGCAGGAACGGTCCATAAATTGAAAATCGTAAACAAAAACTGTCAAATCAAAATAGAGATGAAAAACTATTGTACGAACTCATTCTTTCTTTCTTTCTAGTTATAGGAGATAGTGTGTAACATAGATCGATATAGGAAAGATGTCAGAGGAAAGTTCAGCTCCATTACTTGAAGAAACTGTGGTAGAACAAGTTTCAGAGCCTGTTTCAGCTGTGGATCAAGTTTCACAGCCAGTTGAAGAATCAGTTCCAAGAGGTTATTTACCTAAAGAAGATATTGAATGGGAGTTCGGAGGTCCAGCAGGTGCGGTTGGGATGATGGTTGGATTCCCACTTTTAATGTGGTACATGTGGATTAGTGCTCAGTTCAATGATGGATATCCTGCTTGGCCTGAAGTTGATCAAACCTGGGGTGATTTCTTAGCTCAATTATGGGATTACTTTACTAGTTATGGTTTACCATCTTTCAAAGTTTGGTTATTTTTCACTTCATTCATTTTAATCCAAGCTGTTTTCTATTTGACCTTACCTGGTGTTTGGACAAAGGGCCAACCTTTAACTCACTTAGACAATAAACAACTACCATACTTTTGTAATGCCATTTGGTCATTCTACACTTCAATTGTTCTTTCATTGGTGTTACACTTCACTGGTTTACTCAGATTAACTTTGTTGATTGATAACTTTGGTCCTATCATGACAACTGCTATCTTCTATGGAATTTCATTATCAATTATCTTGTATTTAGTTTGTATTTATGTTACTGGTGATTATCATAGAATGACAGGTAATCCAATTTATGATATCTTTATGGGTGCTCCATTAAATCCAAGAATTGGTAAATACTTAGATCTTAAAATGTTCTTTGAAGTCAGAATTCCATGGTTCATTTTATTCTTTTTATCATTATCCACTTGTTTCAAACAATATGAAGATTATGGAAAGGTGTCACCTCAAGCTATTTTTGTCTTATATGCACATTGGTTATACGCCAATGCTTGTGCTAAAGGTGAAGAATTAATCGTTCCAACTTGGGATATGGCTTATGAAAAGTTTGGATTTATGTTATTATTCTGGAATATTGCCGGTGTTCCATTCACATATTGTCATTGTACTTTATACTTAGCATATCATGATCCATCAGAATACCAATGGTCTACTGGATACAATGTCGCTTTGTTTGTCCTTTTATCAGTTGCTTATTACTTCTTTGATACTGGTAATCGTCAAAAGAATAGTTTCAGAAGACAAATGGCTGGTAATAGTAACTTGAGAAAGACATTCCCATATTTACCATATTCTGATTTAGTTGATCCAAAATATATCAAATGTGAAAATGGATCAGTATTATTAACTGATGGATGGTATGTTTATGCTAGAAAGATCCATTATACTGCTGATTGGACTCAATCTTTAACTTGGGGTTTAATTTGTGGATTTGGATCTCCATTCCCATGGTTCTTCCCCGTCTTTTTCTTTATTGTTCTTACTCACCGTGCATTTAGAGATCAAAGAAAATGTGCTAGAAAATACGGAAAAGATTGGGATAGATATTTAGAAGCTTGTCCTTATATGTTCATCCCATATGTCTTTTAAGCAGATATTAAGAAAAACTAAAACGCACACATTAATTGTCATTTGGCTAGTTAAAGCTTTAAAAAGTTATTTGTCTTTAAACTTTCATACATTAAAATAAAATTAGGTTAGATCAAAATAATATACATTTCTAAAATATTCATATTTAATCTTGTTCTGCGATTGATACTAATCTTTCATCTATTTCTTCTGGAGTTAAAATCCTGAAACCTTCCTCAGTAGCAACACCTATTTCTATATCATTTTTTCTGAATTCAGTTCCTAATACTGAACTTAATGCTGAAATTGAAAATTCCACTGTTTCTTTCCAATCACCCTTTACATGATCAGTTTTTTTGAATTTCTTTTCCAAATATGTAGTAGCTTCTTGTTGTTTTGGACCGGTGGCAACTGCTTTGAAACCAGTATAATACCCAGCAGGATCACACTTAAAGATTTGTGGACCTCTATTTTCATCTTCAAAATCAACTTGACAGAAAGTTAATGCCACTCCTAATGGTCTCATATAAGCTCTTTGGGTATATAATTGAGATAAATTGGCCATTCTTTTGGCTAAACTCCCTACTGGCATTTCATAACCATATTTATAACGGAATTCAGTAGCTTCAGCTCTTGCTCTTAAAGCTTGAGTTCTAGCATCCGCAATTGAACCAGTTGCCACTAATCCAATAGATGGAGTTATTTTAAATAAATAAGATACAGTCTTTGCATCTAATAACTTATCAGGAATCTTCTTTTGTGAAATTAAAACAGCAGAATCCTTACCTGTTACACCTAAAGCAGTGATATTGGCTGAATTGATGGCTTTAAAGGCATATTCAACTTGAAATAATCTTCCTTCTGGAGAGAAGATAGTAATATGTCTATCAAATCCTGCTGATCCTGACATGGTGTCTATGAATTATATATGATTTGATTTGAATGGAAGTGGTTGATTATATGGATTCTATGTTCCTAAATGGATACAATTGATTTAATTGACTATATGATTGTCTTGATCTTAACAGTTACCATATATAAAATTAAAGTGGCGAACTTTTTTTCAAACTGAAGTTCAAACAATTGATTGGAAATGTCGTCAAAATAAAATTGTTAAAATTGTGCGACATGAATCTTTAAAAATGTCTCTCGTAAAAGGTTTATAACAAAAGCTGGTTAGAACATGAAAATTTTATTTACAACATATATCAATATATAATTAGACAATCTATCATAGTTAAAGGTGAAGAGAAGTGGTAAAGTGTGAAAGTAATGACTATACTGATGAATGACCCAGAAACTTTCACAACCGACAGAAAAACTGAAGAAAATACTCCATTTTTCTATGATAAAAGCAGCAATGGGAATAATCGATCGAATGTTTCTTATCATTATAATCCAGAAGCAAGTCGATATCATTATGGGGCATTACATCCTATGAAACCATTCAGATTGATGTTAACTGATCATTTGGTGATATCATATAAATTATATGAAAAGATGGATTTATTCATCCCTAGAAGAGCAACTAAAGATGAATTACTTGAATTCCATGCTGAAGATTATGTCAACTTTTTACAAACAGTGACGCCACATACAAAGATCAGTGATCAAGTGCTAGCTCAATTCAATATAGGAGATGACTGTCCTGTATTTGATGGGATGTATGATTATTCCACTATCTATGCTGGTGCTTCATTAGATGCCTCAAGAAAATTAATAAGTGGTATGTCTGATATAGCCATCAATTGGTCAGGAGGATTACATCATGCAAAGAAATTCGAACCAAGTGGGTTCTGTTATGTTAACGACATTGTATTAAGTATTATAAATCTATTACGTGTACATCCAAGAGTGATGTATATTGATATTGATTTACATCATGGGGATGGAGTTCAAGAAGCATTTTATACAACTGATAGAGTAATGACTGTATCATTTCATAAATATAATGGGGAATTTTTCCCTGGTACAGGATCAGTTGATGAAGTTGGTCTTGGTAAAGGGAAAAACTATGCTATAAATGTACCATTAAGAGATGGTATAGATGATGATTCTTATATACGGTTATTTAAACTGATAATGGAACCTTTAATAACCAAATTTCAACCAACTTGTATAGTTCAACAATGTGGGGCTGATTCCTTAGGGTATGATAGATTGGGATGTTTCAATCTAAATATAAGAGCCCATGGAGAATGTGTTAATTTTATAAAATCATTTGGTCTTCCAATGTTAGTGGTTGGAGGTGGTGGTTATACTCCAAGAAATGTATCAAGATTATGGTGTTATGAAACATCAGTATTAAATGATGTTAATTTAGATCCCAAAATACCGAATTACCTTCCTACCTATGATTGGTTTGGACCGGATTATTCTTTACATCCTCAATTAGATGGTAGAATAGATAATAAGAATTCAAAGAAATATCTTGAAAGTGTTAAGCAAGAAATATTGGAACAAATACGGTACTTGAATCATGCTCCATCAGTTCAAATGCAGGAAATACCGCCTGATATCACTGGGTTAACTGAAGATGAAGAGCAAATGATAAAAGAATTGAATGAAGAATCAGAATCACAACGGGCAAATAAACAATTAAAAGATGAAGCAAGAGATGGTGAAGTTATGGTATAACACATTCTCTATATGGGTTAAACATCTTAATGTTAATTTCTACTATATGACATCCTTTAGTTAGACCTTAACTTATTTAATATACAATTTGACTTGTACATACCATACCCTTAGTAATTTATCGTAATTGTAATTATAGACGGTTGCACAAAAGCCATTATGGAACGCGTTAAATAAATAAAAAAAAAAAAGTTGATAATTTTTTTTTGTAACAGAGTAATATCTGAATATCCATCATCAATTACTAATAGATAACTAATACAGAAGCCAAGCCAGCCGACATAAGCGGCATTGATCATAATCCCAATCATTCATAAGCTCAAGTTCATGACATATTTGAAGTTTCAATCAACTGGTAGAAACAATCGATAAAGCATAGATCATATCATTATATAGAATCCTAGGCAATGGATGTCACAGCCTTATCCATACGACTAGAGGCTGAAACTGATCGAAAAATCATCAATGATCTGTTTCGAATCATCAAGAAGATTGGCCAGGGTCAGTTTGGTAAAGTCTTACAAGGAGAGGTGATTAATAAGAAAACTTGTGATGATAACTATGTGGCCATCAAAACTATAAATAGAATCGATAAGACACGATTAATTACTAAAGCATATCTAAGTCAAACGACAAAGATAAAGAGAGAGATCCAGATTATGAAAGAATGTAATCATCCTAATGTGGTGAAACTATATCAAGTGATAGATGATTTGAAATATGATAAGATTTTACTTATATTGGAATATTGTAAATTTGGGGAGATTGATTGGAAACGGTATAGTCATTATTATGAAAAGTATCAAAACCATATGAATAATCGAAATCCATTAACTATCAATAAGATATTACGAGATGTTATCAATGGGTTGGAATACTTGCATGATTATAAAAAGATCATTCATCGAGATTTGAAACCTTCAAATTTGTTAATAAATAGTGATAACACAATAAAGATATCTGATTTTGGAGTAAGTTTAATTCTTGAGAATAATGCTAATGATGAGAAAGAGTTAGGTAAAACCATGGGTACTCCGGCATTCTTTGCTCCTGAACTTTGTCAATTTGTGGGTAATCGTTATTCTATGATCACTAATGTTAATCATCATGCTAATAAAATCAAAATCGATGGTAGGATAGACATTTGGTCATTAGGGATTACCTTATACTGTTTAATGTTTAATGACTTACCATTTTCTGGTTCTAATGAATATGAGTTGTTTCAAAACATCGTTAAAGACGAATTAAGATTTCCAAAGATTATTAAAAATTCAAGAACAACTGAAGATGATATTCAAGAATTAGCTCATTTAAAAGATTTAATTAAGAAGTTGTTAATAAAAGATCCTGATTCAAGAATCACGATTGAAAAAATAAAATTACATCCATTTACTACTTTTGATTTAAATGATCTTGAAAGAAAGAAATTTTTCAAATTTAATGAAGCAATTTTCAAGGATGCTTCAAAGAAACAACAATTAGCCAGTAATGAAAGTAATGGTACTGATTCGGTGTTGTCTAAAAAGTTGAAACTATTCTTTGGAAGTAAAACTCCAGAAAAGAAAACATTGGCACCTGCATTTCCCATTGTTAAAGATGTTCCCATTGAACAGTTCAAAGATTTGGAGCCAGTGGATGATCTTTTGGATTCATACTTGGATGATTCAACCACCTCCTATGGAAGTGATATCGATGATGAAGATCAACCGGTAGATACTAATAATATCTTGAAATCCTTAAATGATAGTGAAAGCTTTGTCAAACGACTTGATAAAATAGATATTCTGAAAGTTGAGGAAAAGACAACCAATCCAGAACCAATTCCAATTTCAAAACCAAAGTTGAAACCAAAACCATTAGATCTAAGTAAATCAAGATCAAATTCTTCAATCATAAGTTCACAAACTTCCAATTCAAAAGTACGGAAATGGTCATTCAAGACTAATAATGAATCACCCAAGAGAGGTGATTATCAATCAGATGTTTCTCCCATTACACCAACTAATAATAATTTTATGACCATAGGTGCTGGATCACCTTCATCTATAAAATCAATATTTAGTCCATCCAAACGATTTTTTCTCCAGAAATAAAAGAGAAGACATTAAAGAAGAATCAAAACCTACTATTAGTTCATTATCTTCGCCTCATGAAAAAAGAAGTAGTGATCTGAGTAATAAACAAAGATATATTGATTTAATGGAGCCACCTCCAATATTTGGTCTTAACTCCAGTGCATTTAATAACAACAATAACAACAATAATAATAATTCAAATTCGACCTCATCAGCTAGAAATAGTGCGCTTAGTGCTATATCCAAGACAAGTATAGGGGACATTAGTCAGAACATTAATTCATCTCTGACAGGGGTTAATAATAATCTTGCATCATCATTTGAACCTAATTTAGGAGGAACCAACTCAAGAAAAAATTCAATGAATTCATCTCAATTTGGATATGGTCTTAGTCGAATTACAAGTTCATCATCATCATTAAATTTGAATGCATATTTGACTGATGATTCGTATACCGAGGTATCGATGAAAAATCATTATAATTCACAAAAAAAAACTCAAATGAGCCATACCAAGAGCTTTAAAGCTAGCGATAATAATTCATCAGGAGAGGAAAATACTAATAATGATGATACGTTTGTGTTGGAAACACCTCAACAAAGCAATCATTTTGAGGGTTTAAATGATTATTTGGATCGACTTAATTAATTAAACAATTAGTGGGGAGGGGAACAACATAAAAAAGAAATAATAATAATAATAATAATAATAATTAATTTAACTGGTTAATAATATTAGACGATGAATGAATATGTAGATAGATAATTGCATAGGTGATACGTAAACCGATATAGACATATATATCACATAGGATAATAATAATACATTAATAATTTTTGGGTAAGTAAAGCGATGGGAACTGAACAGATTTGATTTGATTTGATTTGATTTGATTTGATTTAGTTTTGATTTTGTAACTGGTATCTAATCATGCAATTCATTTCGTAGGTTGTGAATCAAATACGATTTAAATTTATCAAGAAATTGGCTTCAAAATGCGACGAAAATGATAGGCAATTTAGTCATTTCTATAGCAACAGAGCCTTGAAACACAAATCCGTACAAAAATTTGCTTAGCGATGATTCCGTAAGTAAGTGGAAGATATCGTTAACGTAACATAAATAAACAAATAGGAGTAGAAGCTACACGAACGATTAAGCGAGCGAGAAAGAGAATAATGGGATATCATTGTTTGATTCTTGATTATACAGGGGTGGTATGGGATTAGTCAGTGGGGATCAGCGGAACAGGCTGGAATGGAAATAGGTATCCATGGTGAAGGCGGTTACGCACAATGGGAACCCATTTATAACGAGTTAATGAATGAGGCAGTTGGTAATACATATTAGACAGGTTTTCTCTAGTTGTCTGGAGAAAGACAGAAAGACGATTTAAGATTTAGAGTTGAATACGATAAAAACTGGGTTTGAAATTGTAGATCGAGCATTAAATAAACTACGGGTTGAGTTGAGGCAAGTTCCAATGTGAAATTTAGATCTCAAACCTCCGCTGTCGATTACGAGGATGAACATATCCATATATAGTTCTAAGTTTCAACGACGTGAATTAGCTTCAGAGAAACAGAAGGTGAAAAAGTTAAAAGTTTTCACCTGAAGCCAAAATAGTGGAAAAGGCTCCATATTTCCTAATTAGGACACTTGCCAAACAAACTCGTCTGCGAAAAAAAAAAACAAGTTACAAAACCCACTTAAGAAATCGTAAACATAAACAAATAAACAAAATCAAAACCAAATACATAAACAAATAAATAAACAACACATAGAGTGGAAGATGAGATGGGGGAAAAGGTAGCATTATAGTTCATTAGGAGCGCGTCTATTTCCTTCGTTTTGGGGGAGAGGGAAGGATCGGGCGGTGGGAACATGGCATCATAGAATAATAGATAGAAGGAAACTTAAATTAAATGATTTGCATGGTGAGACTTTTTAAGTGAGTGGTTACGATTTGGTTCTAAAATCCATTCATTTATTAATGGTTGCGAAGTGAAGGAGGGAATCACATCATTCTAGACTACTACTAATAATAATAATATCTATGGCTATGTAAAATCATTCGTCATGTAGTGGTACGGGGAATCATAACAGTGTATAAGATAATATTGGCACGAAGCATGTAATTTACGTGATATTGCCTTTGCAGGTGTCACCTTACATTTATAACGGTTATGTTACACGCAAACAAGAAATAGAGCCCTAAGTTGATTATACATGAAGTCTTGACTTAGTGGGAAATAAATAAATTTCAAGTAATCAGAATGAGAAAAAGTTTGTTTGAAATTTGAAGGACGCAAATGTGAAAAGAAAGTGAATTATTGTGCAATTTCAATTTCATAATAATTAGGGATATTTTGATTTATTTGTTTACACAAATAATCATTTATTATTGTGATCTCATATTTATTTATTTATTATTTGTTTATTTACTATTTATTATTCTTAAATGATTCAACAATAGCCTGGCATGTAATGAACACAGCAAAAATAATTTAACTTAAGTTACCTGAGGTTCACGGCGGATAAAACCAAAATAAGCTATGGGATAGTAAATTATCGTGCTTTGCAACCCTTGGCAGTAATCCGGATTATTTTTGCTGTAACAAGCTGATAGCACAGGTTTATCATTATTAAGAATCTTATTATAAACTATTATTTATTATAACAATACTGTAACTAATAACTTTAACAACCTTTACTATTCTTGCTACAGATACTTAAACCTGATTTCCGGTGATTCTATTGTGCCCAGTACCAGGAAACAATATCATCATCATAATAATAATAGAGTGTTAACTTGAAATTATGCCTGTACCCCCCATACATTCCATTTAAAATTTTTTGATTTTGTAGATCATTAAAATTCTAGCGATGAAGATGAACTTTGCTGATGAAATTTGACATTTTTAAACTTCACTTTCATGCCGTACCCTACATTCTTGGATTTTTTAATGGTTAGAATCTTATGGTATCATATTGAATTACAAATATATATATATATATATATAAATATAATTTGATCTGCTCTTGTAAACTACTGGTTATAAAAATTTTCTTAATCAATCAATCCGACCTCTTACCTACATTCGTTTTTAATCTGTGTACTTTAGACACACCTCACTATCACTACAACACATTACCTTTTGGTCAAAGTAATACTAAAGAATAATAGAACATCTAATCATTCATTCCATACTTTAAATATATGCTTTCCACATATCCGCAACACAAATCCAGTTGTAACTAAAATATTTTAGCTTAGCCTTTGCTTACCCTCATTAACTCAGTTGCTAGCTACTCACTCACTCACCTCACTAAATCAAATTTTTTTTCCTCACTAAAAAAAATTAAATTACCACAAAACAATAAATTTTTAGGGAGAAATTGCTATCACCAAATTTGGAAGACTTATAAACAAAATAAAATATCACCATTTTATATTGTTGCAAGGAAGGGGGGATTTATAACAATAATACTAAGATTGAGTCGGATTTGTCATTTCTAACGTGTATCCGATCCATTCATCATATTCTTCCACTTCCACTTCCATCATCATCTCCACATAGTCGTTTGACACTTGTTTCTTTTTAAATTACTTACATCAATTCACTCTTTCATCCCTTGTTTTATATGTGTTTGAAGGTTACATCAATCTGAAACAAATTAACGCCAACTTCATATCCACATTCATTAACTTCCATTCAACTTAATTATTTAATATATATACTCGTATTTGCATAGCCAACATCCTCACATCAGTCATCCACTTATTCGATTCATTTCTTCAACAACCATTAACTACATACATTCGTTACATATTCATTCATTCATTTATCAGGTCATTATTTCAACTCATACATTCATAAATTCATTCATTAACTCTAATTTCATTCATTTTAATAGACTCCTTCATTTATAATATTTATTCCCTACATTTTTCCAATTCACTATGATAGAAGATGTACATAATAGCATGAAAGAAAATCATTATGCACCTCCAAACCCATCTTCAAGACAATTCAATAGATCGTCACCAATGCCCACAAGAGTTAAACGTGAACGCCCGCCAAGCTCGTATTTCGAGATACCTCCCTCATTAGAATCTCCAACTTCGTCCAAGTCCATCAACAATCTTACCACCACCACCACCACCACCAAATCCAATAAGGACAATGCATCTCCCTTATTTAATAGACAACCATTCAAAAACCTTTCAAACATCGTACTACCCACCATGAGGAAAAAGATATCAACATCATTAACTCAATCCATGTCGGCAGTGTCAAAGTCTTCTCATATGTTCTTTCAATCAACATCAACTCCAGCAAGAGGGTTAGGTATAGATTTAACTGATGAAGACGAAGCTGATGTTGATATCGATGATGATGGTGAAGATACAACCGAAGAAGATATAGAAGTACCTGGATCACCAACCCAAATCTCTAAAGAAGCAAGATCGATCAGAAGAATTCATTCATTATGTCAAACTACCAAAGAAATTGAAAGTTTTGTACCTATGGATGATAACTCATATTTAAAGAACACCAATATTAGGACTTTCACCGTAGAGAATGATTTACTTCCAAGAATTGATGAAGTTGAATTACATAAAATCTTAAAGGGTGAACATAAAAATGCATTTGATAAATGTATAGTTGTTGACTGTAGATTTGATTATGAATTCGAAGGTGGTCATATTAATGGCGCTATTAATATCTCTACCAAAGAACAAATTGAAATGGAATTCATTCATAATGTTAAACCAGATACCAATTTAAAAACTCTTTATGTTTTTCATTGTGAATTTAGTGTGTTCAGAGGTCCTACTATTGCTACGCATTTAAGAAAATGTGATCGTCGATTAAATCGTGATGTTTATCCATATTTATCATATCCTGATATTGTTATCTTGGAAGGGGGTTATAAGAATTTCTTTAAAAGTTATCGTGATCTTTGTTTCCCTCAAGCTTATGTTGAAATGAAAGATGTTAATCATGAAAAGAATTGTGAAAATCATATGAATAAAGCTAGGTTAGATAATAAATTAACCAGAGCTAAATCATTTAATCAATATGATAATTTCTTTAATCCTCATCATAATAATGCATCTACTTCAAGTTTACCATTTCCAACTGCTGCTCATAATAGATCACAATCTTATTCCACCAATACTAGTGAAAAGATTTTAAAGAGACAAAGATCAAATTCAAAAGTTTTAAAAACTTTATCATCTGCTTCTATGAGTAGTATAAGATTAACTAGAGCTTCAACATTCTCATATGATCAATCAATCTTTAATTCAAATTCATCATCTCCAACTTTAATGCCACTTAATACTAATAATGTTAATAATGCTAGTAATCAAGATATTGATTCATCACCATTTTTACCTCCATCTACTTCATTCCATAAGTCAATGAATGATGATAGAAAATATTCATCTACTACATCCATTTACTCATCATCATCATCTATTAATTCTGATAATAATGGATTATTTTCATCTTGTGAATCATTGACTGATTCATCTCCAATGATTGAATTTCCTGAATTTTTTGATGCAAAAGTTCCTATTAGAAGTGGAAATCATAATATATTAAAACCATTAACTAAGAAACCATCTGGTCCTGTTCCTTCATTACCAAATAGATCAACCAGTGTTTGTGGAACTAATAATCAAAGTACTGCTATGACTTCTAATTCCAGTTATAAGTTTCCTATAACCAAACCACCAATTAGACTTCATCATAATAGATCATCTAGTGCCAATAGTAATACATTAACTCCCACCATTAGTAATAATACTATAATTGCTAATGCACCAGGTTCTGCAGTAACAGGGAATGTTCCATCAACTATTACTACTACGGTTACTAATAAATTCACCAATAATCCATTTTTAATGTCATCACCAATTATTAGTTCACCATTATCAACCACTACACCTATTTCTATTTTTGATTCTACTATTTCAACTCATGGTCCTACATCATCAATCATTGATCCTATTAATGAAACACCAGTTGATTTCACAGTTCCAATTTCTGGTAAAATTGGTTCTATTAATTCAAGATATATAAATCATTCAAGAAGAACTTCTGGTTCATTTCTTTCATCTGCTGGCGGAGGATTATATAATTTTATTGATATTGATGAAGTTGATGAAGTTGATGAAGAAGAAGAGGAAGATGAAGTTGATGATGACGAAGAAGATGATACTTTTTATAATTCTACTAATAATACTAAAGATACAACTCCTGGTAATTCTATTATTACCACTAGTACATTTGAAAAAGCCAAAATGTCAGCATTGATTCAAAAGAATCCCTTTAATACTATTAATTAATTAATCTTTAATAAACAATAAATAAAACATTTTATCTCCCTTAATTAATTTACAATCTACTGTAGTAAAACATTTTATAATAAAATCTTTATATATTGAAGTCATTTAAAAATATGATATATGATTTAAAAAATATAAAAACTAAAAAGGAAAAACTAATAAATAAAATATAAAAATAAAATAATTTTTTTTCTTCATAATTCACTAAACTACTTAAAGATTAGCTTTATCACTAATTAATTTAATAGCAGCATTATTAATAGCAATAGTACCTCTTTCAACAACATGAGTTTGGAAAATAACAGTATCACCTTGTTTCCAAGCCAACACTCTAATAGTTTCACCTGGGAATACAACACCAGTGAATCTAGCTTTAATTTCATTGAATGGACCAAATTTATCTAATAAAGCCTTGGCGGATAAACCATAAGTACACATACCGTGTAAGATTGGTTTATCGTAATTAGCCACAGCAGCAAAAGTTGGATCAATATGTAATGGATTTCTATCACCGGATAATCTATATAAGGAAGCTTTATCTTCAGAGATTTTAACTTCAGTGATGAAATCTGGAACAGCGTTTGGAGCATTGAATGGTAAAGTAGCAAAAGTTCTTCTTTCATGATAAACTTTAGTATCACCTTCACATTTTCTGATAAAGAAAGTACCTTCATTAGTGAATAATGGTTCACCAGTATCAGCATCAACAGATTTGGATCCATGAACCACAATGGTGTTAGTACCCTTTTGAGTAACTTGAAGTGGGGTGAAAACAGTTTTAACCTTGGCAGCGGTTGGAACTGGGAATTTTTCTAATTTAATATAATGTTCACCATGTAATAATAAAATTGGATTGAAATTTCTTAATAATTTGGAAAATGAAAGTTGAGATTTAATTGAATTGAAAGTAACTAAATGACCAAAAGTTGGAATAACTTGGAAATCTTGATCATTTTCATAAACATATTTCAATTCTTTAGAAGTAGCACCAAGACCAATGTTGTAAAGAATAACTTCTCTATCACCATAAACAAAGAGAGGTTCTTCTTCATCATCATCTTCATCTTCAACTTCTTCTACATCTTCTTCTTCTTCTTCTGGATCAACAGCATCTAAGATAGCCATGGATGATTCAGTAGTTGAAGCTGGGTTTTGAGTACCGGATGAGAAATCAGTAATGGCAGCAATATTGTCTCTAACAAATTCAACAGTAGTAGAATCACTCTTAGAAACAGCACCTTTAGCTCTTTGCCATCTAGTGTTACCAATCCAACCACCACCAGCTTCGAAAGTTTCACCAGTAACTGGAACTTCATCAGAAGATAAGTAAACTAATAATGGAGCAACTTGATCTGGAAGGAATAAATTCTTATCTTCTTCACGCATAATGGTTAAAGTCATGGCAGTTTCAGCATGAGGAGCAACAACATTAACTTTAATATCATTCTTTTTACCTTCAATAGCTAAAGTTTTAGTAAACCCTAAAAGAGCAGCTTTAGCGGATGAATAATTGGCTTGACCGAAATTACCATAAATACCTGAAGTAGAAGTAATATTAACAACTCTACCTCTACCTTGTTTAACAAAATGAGGCCATGCTAATCTGGTCAAGTTATAAGTACCTAATAAATGAACATTTTGAACTGAGAACCAATCAGAATCAGACATATTGGCAAAAGATTTATCTCTCAAGATACCAGCATTATTAACCAAGATATCAATGGTACCATATTTAGCAATAACATTTTCAATAATAGCTTCAGCTTCTTTAGCAACATCATGATGATCAGGATGAGCTTCACCACCAGCAGCTTTGATTTCATTAACGGTTTGAGAAGCATCTTTGAAATCATTAACCACAACCTTGGCACCATATTTGGCAAACCATTTAGCATATTCTTTACCTAAACCAGCACCGGCCCCAGTGATTAAAACGACACGATTCTTTAAAGAAACAGTTGGAGCACCAGCAGCATTGTTTGGAGGTAAAGTTCTAGCATTGGCAACTAATTCATTATAGTTATTAAGCATGAATGGATGTTGATTTTTTAATAATTCTGGTTTTTTAGAATCATCAAAATTTAAAATTTCATCAAATCTTTTAGCCACAACTTCAGCAGTAAAACTGGCATCTGGTTTAAATAAAATACCACCTGATCTTTCCCATCTAATTTGAGCAAAGAAACCAGCAGCAACTTCAAAGATTTGACCTGATAATTCATTATCTTCATGAGATAAATATAAAACTAATGGAGCAACTTTTTCAGGACCTAATTTTTCTAAAATTGGAGGAGGTAAGATTGATTCAGTCATTCTTGATCTTGCTAATGGAGCAATAGTATTGGCTTTAATATTATATTTATCACCTTCTTTAGCTAAAGTTTCAGCAAACCCAATTAAACCAGATTTAGCAGCGGAATAATTAGCTTGACCGAAATTACCATATAAACCAGCAGGAGATGAAGTATTTATAATTCTACCATATTGTTGTTTTCTAAAGTATGGCCAAGCAGCTTTAGTAACTTGATAAGCACCATTAAGATGAACATCTAAAACCAATTGGAATTCCTTTTCAGTCATTTTTTTAAATGAAGCATCTCTAAGAATACCAGCATTATTGATAACAATATGAACAGTACCGAAATTTTTAACGGCAGTTTCAACAATTTTAGCTCCATCAAGAACGTTATTGTAATCGGCAACGGCAATACCACCAGCGGCTTTAATTTCATTGACGACAACATCGGCAGCTTTAGCATCACCACCTTGACCTGATAAAGAACCACCTAAATCGTTAACAACAACTTTGGCACCTCTTTTGGCAAATTCAAGAGAGTAGTATTTACCTAAACCACCACCGGCACCGGTGATGATGACAACTTTATCCTTAAAAGATAATTGAGACATGATAGATTATTTCGTTCAGATCGTTAAATGAAAATAGGAATAATGGGAGGAGAGATCGGAAGTAGGGATGGATGGATGGATGGATAAATTGATTGATTGATTTGGTAGGGTGTATGTATGAAGTATTTTCAGAATCAGATTGAATGTTTCAGTTGATCAACAATTGAGACAGGTTCTGGTTGGAATGATTTTGACAAATGATGATACTGATTCGATCTTGAATTATACCAGTTAAAGAGAATAGAAAAAGGGATAATTAACCAAAATGAAATGGAAAGGGGAGGATAGTTAAAGTTTTATATATCAATTTGAAAAGAATCATTGCGGGGACATATGAAAAATCAAAAATCAATTGACCAAAAGTACACGACCGCACTGTGATTTTTCTATTACTATGGATGATTTCCCCGGATTTTTTATCCTTGAGTTAACCGAGGAGGTTAAGTTAATAGTAAATATATTTTAACTATTTCCACACTTTGATGGAATTGATGTAAATTATATTATTATCCAAGTCCCACTTCATATTATAATGGTTTATAAATCCATCAGTAGTTACACCATTGATATCCATATCCATGCTAACTGTGGTTCTTTCAATTTCCTTGTATACCTAGTTTGTACAATAAGTAACGGATATTTAATCTGATCTGATATATATTTATCCATCATTATAGTGGAGTTATGGATATTAGAATATCCTAACATCTAGATTAAAAATTACATAAGTTCTATAAAGGGTCTCTTAGTTTTCATTAAATTGTATATGGTCATTTAAATGAATGGTTAATATAATCCATATTATCCTTATGAATGATCAAGTTTCAATTTATCATACTAAGTCATGTGATCCGAAGTCACAGGACCAAATATAAAACCCGAGGGACCTTTGATACTTATAACAATTCTAATCCGAGGTTTAATAATAGAAGAAAAAGTGATCACATGACCGACTAATTAGGAATTTCAAGGAGTGTAATGATATCAGTGATTTAAAATCTTTAGTATCCACACGCTCATATCTTTCATTCTAATGGTGATCCCCATATAAGATAAGGGGCATTTTCCCAGTAGTGAAACTACAACTAAGTTATAATAAGAATCAATTAAACGATTCATTAAATAAGTAAAGTAAGTAAGTGAATCTAATCAAATACGGTAATATCAATTTAACAACTATTCAAAGTCAATATCGATATAATTGTCAATGTCTAAATAATTTATATCATGATTGTTAAATCTATAGTAATATGTTTATTAATCCAAGTGGTAGTAGTATCTGCCACTATAATTAACACCACAGATGCCAACAAAATATGTTACGTAATGTTACGATCCCGATTATATAAAGAGTCAAATAATATTCACCATCGAGTAATCACCACAAATACCGGTGAGGTGGTTAAAGCACTCACCATATATGACATGGATACTGATATTCCGATGGTGACAGTAGTGGGGAATGATTTGGATAAAATAATAAGTGATATGTCAGGGTTAGATAGTGATGGGAATAATAGGACATTTAATCCAACTATAGACTATTGTGAATATAGTAGAAAAATGAAGTTAAGACAACAATCGGATCTCGATGAACAGGGACAGCTTATAATTGAAAACTATAATAGGATTCATAGACATACATAATTTGTCAGACTAATGTCATGATCTCTCTAATAAAAGAATATCTATTACTTTTGAAATTGAATGCTTCCATCCCAATTACATGGCATTGGGGTTTGCAATTTTCGTAGAAGGGTGTTTATTAATTCACTCACCTAGATTAACAAAGCTGTCTGTAGTTAAATTAAATTAATATGGTTAAGTCAATTCAATAAATTTACCAATACGTTGTAACGCCTGCCATTCTTATAGTTTAATTTAATTCATGTGATCACATGGAAAGGATCACATGACACAGCCACCAAAATTAAAAATGTCATAAGAGCTTAAGAAGTTCGAAGAAAGCAAGCAAAATTTATTATTATTATTATTTTAACCTTATGACTTTTCTTCTCGTCTCTTATCTGTTTAGTCATTCTAATTATATCCCCCCTATTCATTCTCCTTTCATTTCATGGTCCAGATCTATAATTCAAAATATGTCAAAATTAAATTAAGTTAATGGTTTGTAATTTTACGATTATGTCGTATATAATTTCAATTAACTTTAATGTTTAACTTTATATTTTATATACCCATTATCCCATTAAGTTCTATATTATTCAACCCTTCCTTCCTTATATCCAATATATAGTATGGAATTATATATATATATAACCTCCAAATACTTCCTTATTCCCATTAAAATCCAACTAGTACTGCATACAAACCTGCACAACAAAAATAAATTTTACCAATAAGGAATCACCCACAGGGAAAGAAAAAAGTGCAATCATAAATAGACAGATGGTATGATTTAAACTCTGTGTGTGTGTGTGTGTATGCAACTGTTTGTATCAATTGCTTGCTTGCTTGTTTGGGAATAGAACTTCATACCTCCAGATCGATCAATCAATCAATCAATCCATTCAATCACCAGATTCTCCCCTCTCCCCCCACGATGTCATCAGATCAACCTCCAATTGATTCTGTGTCAACACAAGAATCAAATCCAACTACTCCTGTGGAATCAACTCCTTTAAGCTCTAAACCATCATCATCATCTTCAACCACAACAAAGGGTCAAGAGAAAGAGAAGGAAAAATCCGTGATCAGATCAAGATACGGCTACGATTATAGTAATCCTACTGAAAAAGGGTATAAGCCATTCCCATGGTATAGACTATTTGTATTTGATCTTTTATTATGGTTCTTTTCCATTATCTTTGATTGTTTCTTTAGAGAAATCAGATCAAGAGGGGCATTTAGAATCCCTCAAAATGATCCTGTTATATTTGTTGGTGCTCCTCATGCCAATCAATTCGTTGATGGTGTACTTTTAATGAATCAAGTTAAACGTGAAGCTCAAAGAAGAGTTTCATTCATGATTGCTGAATCCTCTTATAAACTTAAATTAATTGGATTCATGTCAAAATGTCAATTATCAATCCCGGTGGTTAGAGTTCAAGATACATTAACAAAAGGTATTGGGAAGATTTATTGTAATTTTGATGAAGATCCTCTTCTTATAACTGGTAAAGGTACTCAATTCTTAACTGAATGTTCAGTAAGAGGATTAATTGCTTTACCTCAATTCTTAGGGGCTAGTGAAATTGTGGAAATTATATCGGATACAAAACTTAAAATTCGTAAAGAATTTAAAAAAACAGATCAAATCTTAACTTTATTAACGAATGGAACTTCATTTAAAAAAGCCGATAAAATCGATCAAAAGAAAGTATTCAAATATGTTTTCAATCATTTATCCCATGGTAATTGTCTTGGTATTTTCCCTGAAGGTGGATCTCATGATAGAACTGATTTATTACCTTTAAAAGCGGGTGTAGCCATCATGGCGTTAGGAGCTATGGAAAATGATCCAAATTGTAATGTTAAAATCGTTCCTTGTGGAATGAATTATTTCAATGCTCATAAATTTAGATCAAGAGCTGTGATTGAATATGGTCATCCCATTGAAATTCCAAAAGAATTAGTTAAAAAATATTCAAATCCTGAAACTAATAAAGAAGCAGTTAAAGAATTATTAGAAATCGTTACCACTGGTTTGAAAGCCGTTACGGTTTTATGTGAAGATTATGAAACTTTAATGGTGGTTCAAGCCGCTAGAAGATTATATGCTCAGAATTTCGCTCATCATTTACCCTTACCATTAATTGTTGAAATGAATAGAAGATTAGTTATGGGTTATGAACATTATAAACATGAACCTAAAGTTCAAGAAATTAAAACCAAGATTTTGAAATATAATGAAATGTTGAATCAATTATATTTACCTGATCATCATGTGGAAGAATGTGATGAATCAAATAAATTACGTGTTTTACCAGTTTTAATCCTTCGAATTTTAAAATTAATCTTTTTCGTTATATTAGCTTTACCAGGTGCTACGTTGTTTTCCCCCGTATTCTTATCGGCTAAATTAATTTCAAAACGGAAAGCTGAAGAAGCAGTTTTAACTTCATCGGTTAAAATTAAAGCTCTTGATGTCATTGCTACTTGGAAAATCTTAGTTAGTATGGGTATTGCTCCTATAGTGTATAGTTTCTATGCTTCAATCGGAACTTATTATGCTTATACTAGAGGTATATTACAATTCAAATTAATTTCAATTTGGCTCTTACTTTATTGTTTAGGGGTATTGGTGACTTATGCTGCTTTGGTTACGGGTGAACAAGGATTGGATTTATTTAAATCAATTAGACCATTATATCTTTCAGTTACCAATGGTTCATCCATTAAAGAATTAAAGAAATTCAGAGATGAATTAAGTGAAGATATAACGGAATTGGTTAATACTTTTGGACCTCAATTATTTCCCAAAGATTTTAATTTATTAGATATGAAACAAAGATTGAATATCACTGATGAAGTGAATTATGTTGATAGTGATGAAGAAGAAGATCGTAAGACTGAAGAATTAAGACATAGAAGACAACAAAAACGTAAAGATGCCAAAAGAGCTGCCAAGAAGATTGGTGAAAGGATTGGATTGGAATCTTCAGAAACAGATTTATCCCTTCAAAAAGATGATAAACATTCATCATCAGTATCGGATGGTATATCATTAATGAATTCAGATAATTCCTTAACTAATATCCCAATGTTTTCTGATTATCAATTACATCAAAATGTTAAAAATAAAGATTTGGTATTGGAACAACAATCAACCTTACCTTCTACTTCATCAATATATGATGATTATCGTTATAGTACCAGTAACGAATTACATCGTCAATATCCTCATTTATCGACCCAAAGTCACTCTTCCTCCAATAGTACTGCTAATAGTTCAAAAGTATCCAGAACAAGTTCAAGTGAAAATGTTATGGAATTGAATTTTGATAGTAAATTAGATCATAAGAATTTAAGTGATAAAATTAAATCAAAATTAAGAGAATCAAGAGGTAAAGAAGATTAAGCAATTAATCAATCTCATCTGAAATTTTTAATTATTCTTGCATATAGAAAATACATACGTACGTACTACTAAACTAATAATAAACATATAACTATTGTCTAATTCTTTCTAACCAACGTTGGCTTGTCTTTCATAAAATTCAGAAACTTGAGTCGAACTCGTAGCATCTTCAATTCCCTTATCATCTCTAATTCTTAAGAATCGAGGAAATCTTAATGAAATACCCTTACCATATTCTTGATGGCCTGCTTTATAAATAGGACTTAATGATAAATCAGCCGTTAAGACTTCAAATATAATCGTTGGTTCAAACCAGACATCAGGTACAGCATTTGAATTATTAGTATCATATACATAATAACTCTTTGGTTGACTTATTTCAGTAGGTTTTAATCGAGCATGGATAGTACTTAAATCTTCATCACTAAACCCAGTACCGATTTTACAAGTAGTTTCATATTCTCCAGTATCTTGATTATAAGATGCTAATAAGAAACCACCATAATTACCTGTTCTCTTACCTCTACCAATATATCCTCCAATCACCACTAAATCTAATGAATCTCCTACCCCTTGTAAATAATCTTTCTTTAATTTCAACCAATTTCTGGATCTCTTGGAAGGTTCATAATATGAATCTTTACCATTCAACATCTTAACCATTAATCCTTCACAAGCATCTTTCACAGATTGATCTAAGAATTGTTGTAATTCATCTAAATTAGATGAATTCCTAGCGGTTGCGAATTGGAATCTTCCTTCAATTTCATTCAAGTTTTCTTTCATAATTACTCGTCTTTCATTTAACGATTTAGTAATTAATGCTTGATTATTATAATATAATAAATCAAAGGCAAATAAACAAATATGAACTTTGATATCTTTTTCATCAACATCTTTTCTTTTTCTAGTGGATAATACTTGGAAAGGTAAGATTTTATTATTTGTTCTATCCCACGCTACTGCTTCACAATCTAATACCATTGATACACCTGCTTCCTTTGAATTCAACACTTCTCTCAAAATTGAAATTAAATCAGGATATCGTTGAGACATATCTTCAGAATTACGGGAATATATCCTAATGGTTCCGTCAGCTAATAAATGAACTTGAGCTCTTTCACCATCATATTTATATTCACAAGTGAATTCTTCACCTTGGAATCTATCCAATACTTCAGTGATTGATTTAGTTGGTTTGGCCAACATTGGTTTTAAAGGTATACCTGGAGTCAATTGACAATGATCTAATAAATTATCAATACCATATTCATAAGCTTTGGTGATTATGACTTCATAATTAGGAATGGTGGAAAATGCTTCTCTTATAATATCTTCAACTTGAGTCAATCTTTCAGGATTTACCTTTTTCGATGATTTTGATTCATAGATTAAAAATGCTTGAGCCAAACTTATTAATACTGTCTTTTCAGCAAGACCAATTCTTAATTTCCCTTCTAATGATCTTATTAAGAATTTGGCTTCATTGGATTTTATATTACAAGCAGTTAACATTCTATTTATAATATTGATCTTTTTAGATTGAGAATCTTTACCAGTAGATTTAGCAATATTGGTTAAATTTTCAAACACCACATCAATATCCAATGGTTGAGGTTTAAACATGGTTGGTTGACCTGATCTTGATTTTTGTGCCACACTACCTAAATCACCAACTTCTTGATAATCCTTTTTAATCTTACTTGGAGGTCTCCCATAACATTCACTAATAGCTTTGATTAACAAAGTTTCACCTAACCCTAATTCTAAATCAGGTTCATAGTCAGGACCCAATCTATTAATAAACAAATAAACAATCTTGACTAATTTATCTATCGATGATTGTTGTAAGATTTCTAAAAAGAATTGGGAGACAATACTAATGATTTTCAACCGGGATGACTCCGATTCAATCTTATCAAAGATTTCTGTTAATTTAGCATATGGGATCTTAGCACCAAGTACTTCATCTTTATGTTTGACTTGTTCAACTTGAGATAAATTGATCAATTCCTCTGCTTGTTGCAATTCAACTTTGTTTGATTTTTTATCAGTAATCAATTCTTCACTTTCACTTGGATCAGTATCATCCTTGAATTCAGATGGAGGAGGTGTAACAGATGATGAAGCAATCACCACGTCCAGTTGTTCTGATTTAATTTTCTTCTTGGCTGGTGATGACGATGCCGATTGAACTCTGTCAGGTGACGGGGAACGCTTAACTGGTTTCTTCTTTTGAGCTGCACCATTTGCAGCTGAACCACCAAAGAATCTGGCGATACTTTGTTGTTGAGGAGACATGATGATGATTCTATTGCTTGAATGAGTGATGCGATGATTGAATGTCCTATACGAATGTCTTATGAGTCTATTAAGCATTCGTTTTGCTCAGTCCTGGCAAGCTTTCTTCAAATAGTGATTGATATCTAAATTTAATCACAAACGCGTTCTATTTTTTTTTTCAGTTCTATTTTGAGTTTTGGTGATACTACGTTTTGTGCACAGTCCACAAGTCATCAAATGCAACACCATAATGAAATATCTCTACAAGATAAGTTCTAATTGAAAGTTATACATTGATATTATTGTTACAAAAGTTATCTAATTTTTTTAAATAGCGGTTGTTAGTACGATTAAATACTAACATCCCAAATACTTTGAGGACCTCTTTCTTCATAAACATCACTATCAATGAATAATTCACGACCATGATTTGAATTATTAGAAAAGATTTGTTTTCCATAAATTTCACCTCCTAAAAAGTAAATATCATCCCATGATCCTCCCTTTTCCTTTGGTTTTTTCCATTCCGGAAAATAATCAGGATATTTAGCTAATTTAATCGTATTTGGAACTTGAGATAAATCATTATTGGATTCACCTTCAACATCATCTTCAGCTTGTTGATATTTAGCCAAAGCTGAATTAATACCATCATCTTTACCATCATCACCTCCAGAAGTACCATTATCAGTACGAGGTTCACGAATACGATAATCTTGAGATAATTTATATAACACCCCTTCTTTGAAACCAGGTATTTTCCCAGTAGATCCAACTATTATGATATTGGTATAACATTCTTGTCTTTTTTCTAAATCAGGAATCAATTTAAGAGATTTATAAATATTTTCAGCAATGATATTAATTAATTTATTACAACCTTGGAATCTTTCTTTACCCACCGCGATTTTAGATCCAGTTTTGGAATCAATGAATTTATTAGTTTCTAATTCATGATTTGGTTTTTGATCTTCTTCACTCACTTCTTCTTCTTGTTTAGTATTACCATTTGATTCTTCTGGTTTAGAATTACCATTTGTTTCAGCAATAGTAGTTGGTTCAACTGAATCTTCAGTTATTTTCTTAGCAATGTCGAATTCATCTTCATCATTAGTAACTCCCGCGTTATTTATATCATCATAAGTATAGAATGAATCAGCATGATCATTTAAAACTTCATAAATATTTGAAGTTTTTAAATCTTCAATTTGAGATGATGATAAATTAGGTAAGATTTTAGCAAGTTCTTCATTTATAAGATTACTACCAACACCATTAATATATTTACTAGCATATTTAATGATTTGATATCCAAGAACAGGAACAATTTGCATGGATTCATAACCGACATTAACCACAATCGAATTAGTAGAAGATCCAATTCCAAATGTAGAAGCTAAGGAAATATCCAAAATATTAAACGCAGTGAATTCCAAAGTCTCTATGACGTATTTGGTAACATATTCAATATTTGCTCTTGACCAAGTTAACGATGGAATAATTAATAATAAAGGTATTTGATTAATAGTTATAATTGGATTATTAGTTATGACACTTTGTAAGATAATCTTTAAGAGATAATTGAACGCGTTAACATCAACAATCTTAGCTGCTTTAATCGGATGAATCTCAATCAACTTGATACTACCTTCACCATCTTCATTTTCATTTCGTTTTGATTTATATTCTTTAGTCTTTGGATCTTGATAAACAATAGATGGAATCTTATATTGAGGTGGAGACAATGAATCTTGTAATCCAAAGGAAAACAACGTATGTTTGGAACCAGGATGGACCACGAGGAAGTTCTCTTCTTTATACAACACCATGATTACTATTCTTCCTTATCTATATTGATTGAACACACCTTAGATGTCTATGTTTATTATTTCAACTGGTCGTTTTGGCTCTTTTGCTTTTTTTGGAGTCCAATTTTTTTCCAGACTTTTGTACAAAGTACACGACCGTACAAAATATTATAATTAGTTGCAAATTCTATTCAAGTTTATTATTACAATTATATGCTAAGTTTAGTTATTTTATATATTAGGAAATGCAAAAGGGGATATATTAGATATAAATGTATATAAAGTAAATGCGAAAATATTTGTTTATTGTGTATTAGTATGTAGAACTAATCTTCATCACGTCCATGAACATTAGCTAAGAATTTATTATAATTAACCCTTGTACCTAATATTGATTTTTTACTTGCGGTTGTCATCAGTCGTTTAATTCCATTATAATCTTGTTCATTCAAGATCGATGCGGGCATGTTGCCATGAGTGGGTGATACATTATTACTTCCATGATTATTATAATAATAATCATCATCATTATAAGAACTAAGATCATCTTCATCATCTAAAGTATCTCTTAATTTAACTTCATTTATGAAAGGTAATTCCTCCGATTCATGGGTGGAAGGGGGTTGAGGTAATCTCTTTGGTAATGATTCAACTGAACCACCTCTACTTCTTCTTACAGGAGAAGTTTGTCTTTTTCCTGATATTAATGATTTTGGATCAGTATTTACTCGGAACAATTTAGGGGGGAATGAAGATGATTGATGTTTATGTAAATCTGGAGTACTTTGATATTTAGTGACATCATTTAATGGTTGTCTACTTATAGGTCTGAAAGGTTGAACTCTGATGGATGATCTTCTTCTTTCTTTTAATTCAGGTCTGGGGGCTGATTCATTAGTTAAAGAACTCATGGAATGAACATCGTCAGAATCATCATCGGATGGAGTATTATGAGTTTCTTCAACTGGTGGTGATGATATAAGGGTAGTTGTTGATGTTCCTGATATTTTTTGTTTTAAAGTATCTATCATTTTATTAATATCATCTAATTTAATCAATCCAAGATAAAAACTAACCCCTCCTACTAAAATCCCACCTATTAAACCTAATTTTATAATATTTCCTATGATTAAAGCATAATTGATTAACGTTGATTGTGATCGATACAATAATATCGCTATTACAGCACCTAATATAAAACTTTGAGGATGAAACTTAAGGACCTCAGTATTGGTTGATTGTTGAATATTTTTCATGATATTCAATGGTAAGGAAGTGAAGGTGGATATAGTCGAAGCACCAATGACAGGAGATGATAGTAGAGATGGAGTATTTGATCCTGAACTTGTAGTTGTAGTTGTTGTAGATGTTGTTGTAGATGTTGGTGAAGGTCTTTTGTTGTTGTCATTTCCTAATTGGGAAGGAGGAGTGAGATTTTGATTTTGAGGTTTATCATCTAATACTTTATAAGAACAATCAGTTAATTCATTAATATAATCATCAATTTTCTTCTTTTCAGATGAATACTGTTGAGGACTAAGGGATGGGATATCATTACTAGTATCCAATTTCTTTAATCGAAAGACTCCATCAGGATCCTGTTTATACACAACTTTTTTTTTCTTAGTTGTGGTTGTACTAGTTGCCATTACTAATTGTGATTAAGTCATATAATTGAATTGGTTGTAGTTATTTATTTATATATGCAAGAGACCCTGTTAAAGATAAGTTATAAGTAAATGAACAGTTAAACGAATAACAATTTATAATAAAAATAGGAGGAGGAGATATGAAATTATTTATATTTTAAAATAAAAAATTTTAAATAGTGGAATTTTTAAATTTTAACGACTGTGAAAATTTACCATTTATTTTTTAATTAAGCAATTAATTAATTATTACCCCTAGAATTACTTATACTGAGTTAATTTCTATAGATTAACCATTCAGTGTGTATTACACGAATACACAGTAACCTTGGATAATGCCTGCCCCCTATTCTTTCTGTTGAACACGGGTGGTGACAAAGAAATAGAGACAAACCCTTATTATATATGATCATCATTATCTATAAAATTTAAGCTGGATAGTAACTAAGGAAACCTTAACATATAGTATTGTACTATACTACAGTTATCAATGTCTTACTGTCTAATAATTTTTGTGGTTAATTTTGTCCATCTTTTTCTATTATGGTTGAATTCGTAAACAATGAACATATTGTCATTATCATCACCGCCCCACTTACAAACCAAACAATACATAAATAATATTAATATTGTTGAGAGAGAGCCTTATGATTACAAACAATAAACGAGATAATATTATAGATTTCATAAATAAACTTCAATTAGACCAGCGATATATCAGAATTTATCAATCTATTAGTAAACCTTATAAACTCGGTTAACCATATCATCCAATAAACAATTTCTCCACATTCTACAATAAGAAAAATTGTAAACAATTTTTAAAAAGGTGCAAAAAATAACGACGATAACCAATAAAATAAAATAAAACTCGGTCCTTATTTCATTCCATGACGACTACATAACCCTACGACAAGGAGCATGGAACCACAGAATCGACTCCCTATTAGTAAAAAGAATGACTGAATTCGGTTCTCTACTACAAAACCATCCTTATCTACCAACTAATCCTTATATAGGGTCATTCATTCATAATAAGATCATATCAAGATATATATTGGATTAACAATAGTTGGTTGTCAATTCAATCGAATGAAGTTTAGACGAGTTTTTACATCACTTGGAAATGTAGGTACCACCCACCCACATTCTTAAGAAAAAAAAACTTGATAAACAAACGTCTATCTCTATCTTACTTTCCGTCAATGGATTATGTCTTCAGATCTTCAATCCAATTGGTCTTGTGGGTGGAATAGGATAGGATACATGTAATGTCATTGATTAGAGGGTTTAAAAGTGGGATATTGATGTATTTCCTATTTGGGAGTTGTAGTGAAGTGCGGTTCGCCAAAAAAGAATTTTTTTTAATTACCTTTCCTAATTGGGACAAATTGAAAATTATTGTCCTTCTCTCTGTGTCCCCTTTAACTTCTTTCTTTCTTTCTTTGTTTGTTTAAATATAATATAATATAGTATTACAGATTTTAATGGGTGCTACTACTACTTAATAGCCTATAATAATGTACATACAGATTAATTTCTTGTTAAATCTTACAATTGACCTCCTCTAATTCTTCTTGCTAATTGAATATCCTTTTGCATAATAGTAACTCGTTTAGCATGAATAGCACAAAGATTAGTATCTTCTAATAAATGAATTAAAAATGCTTCACAAGCTTCTTGTAAAGCTAATACCGCATTTGATTGCCATCTTATTCCATAATCAGCTCCAATATAATTCTCAGCAACTTCTTTAACTAATCTTGCAAATGGTAATTTTCTTAATAATAAATCAGTAGATTTTTGATATTGTCTTATTTCTCTTAAGGCATTGGTACCAGGTTTATATCGTCTTTTCCTAACGGTAGTTGTATTACTTCCACTTGATCTTGCTCTATTGGGCGTGTCATCTCCAGGTTGATTTCTATAAAGTCCAGTTTGTAATTGTCGATTAGTTGTCGATGTTGATGGTCGTGTGGCAAGGGATGCAGATGATGATCCACTGACAAATGTATTCCCAATCGTTGCTTGATTTCTTCGATCTTCTCGTTCTGGTTGTCGTTCTCGTTGTCGTCTTAAAGCAGCACTCGATTGAGGTTGAGGTCGACTTGAACCAGTGGATATTCTGGCCATATTTTGATATTAAACAATGATCTATAATTCAATTGATATGGTTTAGATCAAACCCAATTGATTGGAATATGATTTGATTTAAGGAGGCTATTGAATTAGTTGTTTAAAAAATCTGATTTAAAAATTAATTTCAATTTTTGTGGTATGTAAAATATCTAACCAGCAAAAAAATGGTTATATGCAGGTACATGTTCTTAATATCTACATCTAAGATAGTAATAATATTAATTCGATTAAAAGTATATATATATAGATATATATAATATATATCATATGTATGAGTTCCAAATATCTACCAAACCACCTTTTGAATCATGATAAATTGGATCATTTGGAGGTAAAGCAACTTCCTTCGCGATATCTTTATAACCATCAATAGTTTCCATTGAAATTGATTTTAGATTTAATTTCGAGATTGATTTCCATTTAGGTCCATTTATAGGATAAGCTGCTATATATTTATATTTCTCATCGAAAGATTTTGAGCAATGGGATGTTCCAGCGGGTAAGATTATTAAATCACCATATTTGACTTCGATTTCGATATGATTTGATTGAGAGAGGAGTTCTGGAGTTGTCTCTTCCGGGACTATATTAACATCTAATCCAAGGATTAAAGTTGATGAACCTTCTGTGATGAAATATGCTTCATGGACATTATAATGATAATGGGTGTTAGTATATGCCCCCCAAGTTTGCTAAAAATAAAGTAGTTAGTAAGGGATGATATTGGTAGATATGAAAATTAAATTGAAAACTTTTTACATACTTCAGCTTTCCAACCATTTTTCAAAAGGGTTTCATTTATTAATGATATTTTATCTGATTCATTCAATTGATTAAATTCAGTTAAGAGATATGATTTATTAATGATATTTCTATATACTAAGATTGGTAATTTTGAATTGGGGGTATTATTGGTGATGAAATTACAATCAAATGATTGAATATCATTAGGTAAAGTCGTTGTAGTATTGAACATTACTAGTTATTGGTCTATCCTCTAGATCATAAATGTTTTATTTATAATTGATCTGTCGTTACTAATCACATTTTATATATAAATTTGGGGTTGATAATTTGATTGTATGGGAATAAATTACTGTTTTTCGCAATAGTATCCATGTTACCCGTTTAGGCCTAATTTTGTAATATGTGCACACTGGTTACTGTGCCTTAGACTTTAGTTATGGAGGGGGGGAAGGGCTAAATGGGATGAGAAAAGAGTAATAACGGCGATAGTGCCTGAATAAGTATCAAAGATTGACAATATTTGAATTAAAAGTATCTACAGACCTATAAGTGTATCAAATATATTTTATATTATATATTGAGTGTAATTAAATTTCCATATTACTGGGTAATATAAGGTATCTAGCAAATAATGAAATATTAGGGTCATTAGATGAATAATATTTGCTGGTGAAGCAATTAACAACGTTATATATATAATATAATTCGAAAAAAGTTTAATTATAATAGAGTAAACTAATGATAACCGAAGGTTACATAATATGACATCATTCGGAATGGGTGGAGAAAACTAAGAGAGTAAACTATTAAAGGTATAATGAACAATAATAATAATAATAATAATAATAAATAAAATACGATAACTGTGAATACAGTTATAGAATTATTCGCTTAGAAAGGAACTCATCAGTAAGTCATTAATGAAGAGATGAAAGTAGCAATTGAAATAGTAGTTAGTAAGTACTGGTTCAGTTATCGAAAAAGGGTCGTGTCTTTGTGGCATGGATACATATTATATACAGTACTCATTTCATTATCTCTTTTGGTTTAATCAGCCCTTTCTTTCCCACTAACTGAGAGAGCCCCCCCTTTTTTTTTCCATTTTTGTCCTCAAACTGAAATTTCGAGAAAATTGAAATTAATTAGGAGACGCTAAGAACAAGGAGAGAGATGGAAGAAGGAGAAGACGACCAATAGTAACTACTAATGATATGATGATAGATAACCTATTACTTATATACACATGTAAACTCCTCTTCTCTCTATATATCACTTAACTTAACTTGCTGGATACCTATAGGTTAATAACCCTTTCCCTATCTAACTATATTATTCTTGCTTGTTACTACTAATTAGTACGTACCCCTAAAATTTCAAGTTTTTTACTGTGGGAGTTGAACAATTAGTGTGAGTGTGTGGTGGAAACAATTTAAACTTCAAAATTCAAATTCAAAAATTTAATTTTTTACTGCCAACTTAACCACTTTCTTCCAATTCATCATCATATTATTCATCATAGGTTGTTCCTAATCCATCATTGTAATCTATTCCAATCATCCAATTGAAATAAATTATACCTCACTCGTCAATTTCATTCCATTCCATCCACCCCGTCTTATTCCAATCCGAAGACGTTCCCTCCCTCCCTCACTCCCTACTTTCCCTACATCCCTCTTATCACCCCATTGTAATTTACCCCCACTGTGTTCATTCTATAACCACATAAAGGCATCTATTACATATCTCATATCATCTCATATCATATCATATCCTAAACATTTAGCATATCCCCCTATACATACCCTTGATTATTCAAAAAAAAGCCACACGATATATCCTCACCCCTCGTCATTATGTCTTCCGTATATCAAAGTAATGGAAAACCATTATCTCAACAAGCTCTTTATCAACAAAAAATAAGACAAGGTATCTATAACTCTCCAAATGGTGCTAGTATCGGTGTCAATACTAATGCTTCCGATACAGCTGCTCTTTTAGCTGCTTCTACTGACTTAACCGTTAGACCAAGTTATGAACGTACCATTGCTCCTGAAGCTCATACTGCTGCCATTGCTGCCAGAAAAGAAAACATTGCTGCTTGGTCAAGAGATTCCGCTGATCAAAGTGCCACTGATGCTTCTGTTGCTGCTACTGGTAGATCTTCTACCTTAACTAGTCAATATTCTGGTGCTTCATCTATTTCTTTTGCTGGAACTGGTATTCCTTCCTTAAAAGGAGGTAACATTTATAGAGTTGCTAATGAAAATTCAACTTCAACCATGACTTCAAGAATTAATCCTGAAAAAGATGTTAAAAGAATTGGTTTAGTTTCAAAACAAACTTCTTCAAATACTTTAGATATAAAAAAAATTAATCAAGTGGCTAATAAAAATTCCACCAAATCTTTAAATTCAAGATTTAATCCTGATTTAGATTATAGATCAGGTTTAAAAGCGGGTCCAACTGAATATTTAAATCAAGATGAAGAAGATTTAGCTGCCAATGGTGCTGCTGCATCATTAAAACATGGTTCTGGTATTTCAGATAGATATTCAAGTCAATCAAGATCTCAATCTTTTAAAGCTGTTGATGTGGTTAATAGTACTTTATTAGCTGCTGCTAATAAAAATGCTAATACCAGATTACAATCACTTTCTTCTGGTGTTGATCCAAAGAATTTTAAAGCTCAAGCTCAATTATATGCTGGTGCTTTAGCTATTGCTCAAAAAAATAGTGAAGCAAGAATTGCCAAGAGTCAAGCTGGTTTAATTGAATTAGGTGGTGGTTTAACTATTACTCAAGCTGAATTAGATAATTTAGCTTCATTAGTCGTTCAACCTGTTTTAAAAGATATTAGTGATAAAGCTACAACTCAACGTAAATTAGATGCAGATAAATCTAAAAAACAACAAAAATTACATCAAGCTCATCAAGAATCTAAAAAGGAAGAATATGCTGCTAAATTAAAAGAAAAAGCTGATATTGAACAAGCTAAACAACAAAGATTAGCTGAAAATGAAGATAAAAAACAAGTTGAAAATGATAAATATACTCAATATCAAACTGAAAAAAATGAAGCTTTACAAGGTAAAGTTACTGAATTAAAAGCTTTAGAACAAAAATATGCTGAAGAAAAGGAAGCTTTATTAACTGAAAAACAAGCTAATCAAGATAGAATTGATGAAGAAGAAGCTCAATTGATTGCTGAAAGAAAACAAGAATTAGATGATTTACAAGCTGAAAAAGATGAAATTATTAATCCAGTATTGGGTGAATTAACCATTGAAACTAAAAAATTAAAAGAATTAACTGATGCTAAAGATGAATTATCTAATGAAGTTAAAAATTCGGAAGATCAACAAGCTGAATATGAATCTAAATTAGCTGAATTACAAGAAAAATTAGAATCTACTAAAGCTGAAATTGAAAAATATACCGGTGATTTAGAAGAAGCTACTCAAAAACATGAAGAAACTTCGAAAGAAGTTGATGAATTACATCAATTCTCCATTGATGAATTAAATAAAGCTCAACAATCTCATCAAGAATTAGATGAAAAAATTGCTGGTTTAGAAGAAACTAAAGCTCAACATTTAGCTGAAAAACAAGAAAAGAAGGATTTAATTAATTCTGAAATTGAATCTAAAGTTAAAGAAGAACATCAAATTAATTCCGAATTACCGGAACATTTACAAAAATCAATTGATGAATCTAAATTAAGAGATACCGGTGATTTATTTTCTCTTGAAGAAAAAGAAGTCCCATTAGTTTCTGAACCAGAACCAGTAGTTGCTCCAGTGGTTGAAACTCCACAAGCCGCTGCTTCAATCCCAGTAGCCAAGAAAGCTGCTATACCAATTATTGCTGCTTCTTCTACTCTTCCAGGAGCCAAGAAATCATCATCCAGTGGATTAAAGAGATTCAGTAGTCTTTTCAAAAGTTCATCTAAACCAAGAGTGATTAATCCTGCCACTGCTCCAAATAAAAAGAAGAAAGTTTCCGCTGCTGTAGTTGAAACTCCAGTTAAGAAAGAAGTTGAAACTGCTAAAGTTGAAGCTGATGAAGATGAAGATATCATTGGTAGTGGTAATGGAGCTTCTGAAGCTGATTTTGAAGGTGTCGAAGAATCCTCCTTAATTGATATTGGTAAGCCAAAAACCAAAGGAAGTGTGTTTAAAGAAGAAGAAGATTAAATCTTGATCATTTAAATCTTTTTGCATTATTTCAGCATATTTTCCATATCATCATATTCGTTCGTTCGTTTGTTGGTTGGTTGGTTCGTTCTATCCCAGAGAAAACAAAAAATAAAAAGAGAAATCTATTCCAACTACCACTTTTCAATTCTTATCGATTTAACCATATCTAAACTATTTTATCTTATCTTTACTTTTATCTTACTTTACTTTTATTTTACCTTACTTTTATATTTTGAACTTTTTGTCTTAGTTATACTTTTTTTTTATTATTACAATTTTATATGTCCTTTCTTTCCTTCTTATTGTCTTTCTTTTGTATCAATTGTTTGTACTATATATATATATATTATTATATATCCAAAAGATAACTAGAAGTTTGTTGTATCAAAAATATTATCTTATACTTTGTAAGTGTCAAAAGGTCTTAACTGTGTGCCTGTATATAACCACACGGTTTTGATAATTTTTTTTTCAACCCTTTTGAAAGACATAGAGATTGATTTGATATATAGTGAATTACATTATATCAAACAGTTAATAAGCACACACTCTATAGACCATGTCAGACGTCACTCATACCCCATCGGCCATACGATCATTTCTAACCAAATACAATTTCAAATTAGGTGAAGCAAGTGATGCATACATCCAAAGAAGAAAACAACAAATGGTACTTTTCATGACGGCATCAGCCATAACTATCTTTGCGTCAAGATTCGCCTATAAATCAACCATAACAAGACAATACGTGCCTACTTTATTCCAAGGTAATCATCATCCTCCCACAAGTTATAATTTCACCCATGATGCCGCTGTGGCAGTTGGGACCGGGACATTATTATGTGGATCAGTAAGTTCGATGATTATCTTTGGATCAGCTTGGATTATTGATGTGAGTAATTTAAAAGAATTCAATTGGAGGATGAAATTGTTATTGGGTGGTCATCAAAAGGAAGTTGAGTTAAGTAAATTACCTTTGGATGAAGAAAGTGCTTATATCCAAGATAGTTTGAATGATATCTTGGAAGGTAAATATGATGAAGTTGATGAACAGTCATCATGATCATAATGTGATATGACTTCTTGTTTCTACTTAGTATATATTTCATAGGAAAACCTTGTCTTGTATATAGTTTATCGGTTAATTGAATATATTTCATCTTGTACATTTTTCAAACTCCCGTATCCGTAGTCTATTACGGTATTAACAAAATACAATGAAGCAGCCACACACCGTCTTCTAACATACATGCGGGCTTTGACTCGGCGCATAGAATACCCTAAATTGATCATATCATGGATTTACTCCACTTATAAGCTCCATTTAAGCAATAGCTGAAAAATAATAATTTATGACCGAATGGCAGAATTAGGAAAAAATAAATTGCAACTAAAAACCGAATCATATAAATAGGAGTTGAATTGTGTCTAAATTTCTCAATAAAAGGCTGTACGATTAAAGGTTAATTATATAACTTTAGTTAAACATGTCTATTAAATACGAAGCTCCAGGTCTTAGTTGGCAAGGATTCTGGGCTATTTGCAATCAATTATTTCCTAGCAAACCTCAATATACTGAAAAAGATTATCCTAATTTGGATGGCAAAGTAGTGATTGTAACCGGTGCCAGTGGAGGGGTTGGATATGAAGTTACCAAATCATTATTAGGTTCAACCAATGCTAAGGTTTATATGTTTACTAGAAATAAAGAGAGAACAATCGAAGCTATTAAACGTATAGAGATTGAAGTTGCCACTGAATATAATAAAACCGATCTTAATGTTGAAACCATTTCAATTGATTTATCTGATTTATCCACCATTAAACCTGCTGTTGATGAATTCTTAAATAAGGAATCAAGAATTGATATTATCATTCATAATGCTGGTGTTATGGAACCACCTGTTGGTTCTGTGTCCAAACAAGGGTTTGAATTACAATTGGGTACGAATGTTCTTGGTCCTCACTTATTACAGAAGTACTTAGATCCATTACTTATCAAGACTTCCCATACCAACAAATCTGGTGAAACTAGAATTGTTTGGGTTGCATCTTCAGGTCAATACTTCTCGCCTATTGGTGGTGTTCACTACGAGGATCCAAATTTCACTAATACTACCAATGCAAGTCAAATGCAAATCTACGGTCAAAGTAAAGCCTTAAATGTGTTACAAGCCAAAGGATGGAACCCAGCTCATCCAGAGTCGTCTAATATAGTTAGTGTATCACTTTGTCCTGGTGCTTTATTAACCGAATTGAAAAAGGATGCCACTCCATTTCAAGCTTTCATGTTCAGACTGTTATTCCATCCACCAAGATTGGGGGCTTATACAGAGTTGTATGCTGCTCTTTCACCCGATGTTAAATCTGGTGATCACATCGAATGCTTCGGTAAGAAGACAAGAGCAAGATATGATTTAGAAGAACCCGAAGTAGTTACTAAAGGTTGGAACTTTTTAGATGAAACCATCAAACCTTATTTGTAGATATAGTTAGTTTGAATGTATGAAACTTTGATTTTTTGTACCTTTTGATTTGTATTCGGTTAACTAAACGATTTAACTATTCCTCTACAGCAACAATCATATCATTTAACTAACAATAATTTCATTCGATCGGTATAATTGATGCCAGCTCCTTTTGTGGTTATAAAATTTTAACTCATGGCATCACGATAGTACAATAATGCTTACGAATGAACTTCCAAATTGGGAAAGTCAATCCTCACCAATCTGACCGCAGCAAGCAAAACAATCTAAAGATTATGAATTACTTGCTAGGGTTAGAGAGGTCATCATCTTAAATTAAGTAGGAATGAAGGAAAGGAAGAACGGCTAACGGAGGGAAAAATTCTCAACATTCCCGCGCCGTAATTTTTGCAACTTAATTATAACTCAAATACTATGACGTGAATACTATTCTGTGAAATTATATAAATAGGTGTTCAAATCATTTCAATCTATAAAATAATTCAAATTTAACTTGATAGAATATATTAATCAATAACAAATTCAAACAAAAATGTCGATTAAATATGAATCTGCCCCTATTGGGAAACAAGGATTATGTGCCATTTGGACTCAAATTTTTCCCGGTAAACCAAAGTATACTGAAAAGGATTATCCTAAACTAGATGGGAAAGTAGTGATTGTCACAGGTGCCAATGCTGGTGTGGGTTATGAAGTTACCAAATCATTATTAGGTTCAACCAATGCTAAAGTTTACATGTTTACTAGAAACAAACAAAAGACTATCGATGCTATTAAGAAATTAGAAATCGAAGTTGCTTCTGAGTATAATAAGAAGAATCTAAAAGTTGATTATATCACGATCGACTTTTCTGATTTAACCACCATCAAACCTGCTGCAGATGAATTCTTAAGTAAAGAATCAAGATTAGATATTATTATTCACAACGCTGGAGTCATGGCCCCTCCTATTGGATCAGTTTCAAAGCAAGGGTTTGAATTACAATTGGGTACGAATGTTCTTGGTCCTCACTTATTACAGAAGTACTTAGATCCATTACTTATCAAGACTTCCCATACCAACAAACCTGGTGAAACTAGAATTGTATGGGTTGCATCTTCAGGTCAATACTTCTCGCCTATTGGTGGTGTTCACTACGAGGATCCTAATTTCACCAATACCCCAAATGTGAGTAAAATGCAAATATATGGTCAAAGTAAAGCCTTAAATGTGTTACAAGCTAAAGGATGGAATTCAGCTCATCCAGATGGTTCAAACGTAATCAGTGTTTCACTTTGTCCTGGGGCTTTGAAAACTGAATTACAAAGACATTCAACTCCATCAGAAGCATTCATGTCTAAATTCATCTTACATGAAGCTCGATTAGGTGCTTATACTGAATTATTTGCGGCTCTTTCACCTGATATTAGATCTGGTGATCATGTGGAATGTTTTGGTAAGAAAACCAGAGCTAGAAAGGATTTAGAAGATCCAAAAGCTATTTCTAAGGGATGGGACTTTGTAGAAGAAAATCTTAAACCCTATTTATAAGGTATATGGTAAATTTATAGTTTAAAATAATGTATTATTGTTGTTAATTAAATTTTGCAATTTATAGGTATAACATTTAATTTACAGGTTACACCCTTAAACTGTAAAAATTCCCAAAAAGGCGTAGGAGATTTTTTGATTATTTGACACTCCTCTTTTTCGTAGATTTATTGATCGAGAGATATCAACCATCATAAGTTAATCAATCAATTCAATTCAATTCAATTCATCACCACACATAACCACATACACATATAGACATCATGCCAAAGTTGGAAGATTGGGAGATTAAGAAATATTGGGAGATTTTCCAAGGTTTAAAACCATCCAATAATAAATTGACTGGTGAACAAGTATCACCTGTGTTAAAGAATAGTAAATTATCCACTGAACAATTATCGAAAGTTTGGGAATTAAGTGATATTGATAGTGATGGGAAACTAGATTTTGAAGAGTTTTGCATTACGATGAGGTTAATCTTTGATTCATTAAATGGTAATATTACTTCTATTCCTAATGAATTACCTAATTGGTTAATTCCCTCTTCTAAATCTCATTTAATTGCGGCTAATAAAGCTGTAAATTCCAATCAGAATTTAGGAATAGATTATGATGATGATGAAGATGAAGATGATAAATTAAGTGATAATTTCGAATGGTATATTAGTCCAACTGATAAAGCTACCTATGAAGCGATATATAACTCCAACAGTGATTCTTTTGGACGAGTTAAATTCGATTCCTTGAATGGATTATATAATAGTTTATCAAAAGTTCCTAGAGCTGATATTTCAAGTGCTTGGAATTTAGTTAATCCTAAATCATTTGAAACCATTGATAAAGATCAAGTATTGGTGTTTTTACATATTTTAAATCAACGTGAAAATGGGAAAAGAGTTCCTCGTGGAGTTCCTGCTTCCTTAAGAGCCACATTTTCAAAAGAAGTACCTAATTATGATCTTCAAAAGCCTGCTCAAGCTGTGAGCAGTAGTAATGGGAATAATGGTACTGATAATGGGAAGAAATCATTTGCTAGTTCATATTTAACCAAGATTACAGGAAGTTCGAATCCAATTAATGGGACTGATTTTTCATCAACGGAAGGAACTGATTGGGAAGAAGTTAGATTAAGACGAGAATTAACTGATTTAGAGAATGTATTAAATAAAGCCTCTTCAGGATTAAAACAAGAAAAATCAAATGATAATGAATTAGCAATTGTCAAACATGAATTTGAACAATTATTAAAATATAAACAATCAAAATTAAGTCAAAGTTCAGTAAGTGGTAGTACTAGTAATGGTAAACAATTATCTGAAATTAAAGGTGATATTGAATTAATTGAAAGTCATGTATCTACTTTACAAGATTATTTAACTGGTAAACAAAGTGAATTAAGTCAATTACAACAAGAAATTCAAGCTTTAAAAAGTTCGTAGTAGTGTATATGTATGTATGTATATTTTTTTTCTATTTTTTTTTAAAATAATAATATATAAAAGGTTATAAATTAAACATTAGGTCTATTTCTTTTCTTCTTCCTTTGGAGGTTCAGGTTCAGGAGTTGGTAATTTGAAATTTTCAGGAGTAAAATCTTTACCATCACCAACTTGTTCCCAAACAGAAGAACCGACGGAGAAATTTCTCCAAGCTTGAGTTAATTCTAATGGTTCATAAACCACTCTCTTTTTTTCTTCATCATATCTTACTTCAGTATAACCAGTAGTTGGGAAATCTTTTCTTAAAGGATGACCTTCAAAACCATAATCAGTCATAATTCTTCTTAAATCAGGATGACCTTCAAAGAAAACCCCAAATAAATCATAAGTTTCTCTTTCAAACCAATTTGTACCTTGAAAAATTGGTACTACCGATGGAACAGCTGAAGTTTCAGATGCATAAGTTTTAACTCTAATTCTTGAATTATGTCTAACACTTAATAAATTATAAACAACATCAAATCTATTAGTTCTTGATGGATAATCAGCAGCAGTAACATCAACACAAGATTTGAATTGAGCAGCAGTATGATTCTTTAAGAATACCATGGTTGGTCTTAAAGCTTGAGGAGCCACATAAATGGTTAATTCATCTTTCCAAACTGAAAATTGTTGAATATATTTTGGTAAACATGCCATTATATAAGTACCAAATTTATGTAATTCTTCAATTTGAACTTTATATTTTTCAGTTGGATTAACTAATGGGACATAAGGGATTTCCGGTTTCTTTCTTGGTAATTCATTTAAATTTGGTAATTCTGAACTATGACCTTGTTCGATATTAAGGATAGATTGAGATGTGAATGATCTTGAGATTAGTGATCTTGAAGATCTTGATGTTATTTGAGATAATTTTAATGATCTAGAAATCATGATTGTGAATGCAGAATATATATGAATGACGAAGTGAGGAGGTAGAAAAGGAATTAAATGATGATAATTGAATATCTATAAATGAAATGAACTGTAGTAGATTAAAAAGCTATGATACAATGCTAAAAGGAATAGGATCGGATTGAAATGATATGGAATGGTATGATAAAAGGGTGAATATGTCGAACACAGTTGTTGAAGTATTTTCCAATGTTCTATATAGTACAATTCACTTTTATAGATGATATCCAGTTAAGTTACACTTGGTTTGAGCTTTTGATATTTTGATATTTGATATTATTTTTTTTTTTTTAGTTTCTGTTCATAATTTGTTTCTGATAATTTTTTATTGGTTCAATAAAAGAGTCGTGTGAAATGGTTCAAATATTTATTTTAAGTGGCATGGATGTACCATTTTTCAAGTGGTAGGGATGTTTGTCCTCACCTGCATATAAGCCCATCACAAAAAGAATTGGACTGAGGGCGTAAATGTAAAACTATTGACTATATTAATTTTAACTTATTTCATATCAACGTTTTCTATCAATGAAATTTTTAATGAATGAATGAATGAATGAATTGAGATAACATCCTTGTGCAACATGTATGCATATACGTATATGTATAGAAAGAGGGGTCAGGGTACCGATTAATCAGAGGGATATTCTATGATTGAACGAAGGGTAGGTAGCGCATTCTTATCGCCTCATTCATTCAACTTGAATTCGCTGATCATAGAATAATTTAAATCAAAACTATGGAAACAAACTCATGTCAAATAATAATAATATATAGAGGCGTTGACAAGTGATTAGGCTAAAGAATAGTTAACTCCCCGTTACCGCTGTGAATCATAATAATATGATATTCGTATTCATTATAAAAAGTCTAATTCATAATAAAACCTCAGGCGATTTTAATCAATATTTTATAATTTTTTAAAAAAGAAAGGGATATGACGGACATGTATGTATCTGTAAATATTATATATATATATATATAATGTGTATATTTCCATAAATATTTAATAAGAAGACGTAAGTCGGGATTATGCAGGAGACACATATATGGAATTAGTTAAAATTGATAATTCGTGTTCAAAATACGAAACGAAACTGTGAACTAAAGAAAAATTGGCTGATATAATTTAACTGTTCTGTTCGGCCATATAAGGATGAAAGATTAGCAGGAAGGTGAATGGGTACCCTTCTTACGGTGAATCTTTAAAAGAAAGATTTCATTTCAAGTAGATCTTAATCCAGTATGTTGAGTTAGATAATAATAATAAAATTAGAGTTTTAACCTTGTTTTATAATCAGTTTTAAAAATATATCTAGCCAATTGAATTATGATAACTCCTTTTAATTATCCCGTCATATGCAGGATGGCTCATTTCAAAAATAAACAAAAAAAAAAGAATTATTTTTTTTTGATGGGGCTTTTACTATTGCTATTTCAACCAACAACGAGGAAGAATGGGAATGGAACAATGGGACGACATCAAATAATATATTAATATGAACTGAGATATATATTCATTAACGCAACTTGTTGCCCAAGATGAGTGGTGGGGAATCGAAATATATAAATGATGATATGATAAATGATGAACAGGAGAGAGAATGAGGATTATGTCAAAAGATTTACGACTCATGAAAAAATGAAATTAAGAATTTATAACGGATTTATCCTCAATAATCCCCAACTCTTAATAAGTAATTAGTAAATAAATAAAATACTACACATGTAAATCGAAGAATTAATTGTAATCAATCAACAAACAAACAAACAAACACAATAGTAAACCCATTATACCACAAAATAGGGGATATACGTAAAAGTTTATGCAAAACATTGAGTAAATTAAAGGTGGATAAATAAATCCAGTGTGGGTATAAAAGCGGATTTATATAAATAAGAAGAATGACGGAAAACAAAGCCGAAATAAAAAAAATATAAAAAAAATAAATATATTTCCACGGACAAACAAAACAAAACAGACAAAAAAATAAAAAACTGAGGACAAACAGACAGACAAAAAAAAGTTGAGCCAAAAAAAAAAAAAAAAAAATAAAAAATATAAAATAGGATTTAAGTCATATGATAAAACCATTTACGACAAATTTATAAAATTTATAAAAGTTTGTTCAAATCATTCGAAGTTAACAGCGCCATCTTTCATCAACATCAACGTCAACGTATCATCCCATCACATTGACATTGACCCAGGTGGATTCATCCCTTCTCAGAACCCTTGAATCGTCCCCCGTCAATCAATCATTCTATCAATCAGTATCATCATCGTCAATCATCATAATGGCTAATGAAGATCTGATGAATGATTTATCTTCAACTCCACCAACGTCAACCACAAGTTCTCCCACATCATCCCATCGTCAATTAAACATGGATCATAATAAACCAAAACGTCAAAGAAGAAGTTATAGTTGTGGTCCTTGTAAATTATTAAAGATTAAATGTGATTTAACTATACCTTGTACTTCATGTCAAAGATTTAAACGTACTGATCGATGTTTACAACATCCACCTCAACCTCCAAGTCAAGAAGAATTATATAAAATAAAAGAACGGAAAAAGAGAACCAATATAAAGAAATTAAGATTAACTAATAATTTAGTGCAAACTTATAATTCAACAAATGATTCATTACCTTCAATGTCAAATTCAATAACTAATGTTTCAAGACAAATCATTGCAAATATTGAAAGTCCTATAAAGTATAGTTCGGTGGATTTGAATAGATATCCCATCCCATATCCTACTTTAGATCATCAACAACAACAAGCTCAACAACAACAACAACCTTACCATTTAAGAGGCTTACCAGTATCTTCAGCTCAATATGCTCATCAATATGTAGTACCTTTACCACCAATTCAACCTCATACTAATGGTCAACCATATCCTCAACCCAAGTATCCACAACAACTGCAACTGCAACTGCAACTGCCATTTCCTTTACCTCAAATTAATCAATCTACTCGTTTACAACATTCAATACTACCTCCTCAACAAATACCCTCACAACAACAAGAACATACACTTCCACCTATAAAGCAAGAACAATCACAACCTCAAGATCAAACAATCATACTCAATCCCCTTTCAACCACCATTATAGATCAACAATTGGATCAAGATAAAAACACCATGATATCATTACTGATGGTTGATATTAAAAGAATTAAACGACTCTTACCTACTAAATTTGAAATCTTTGAAGATTTACATCAATTATATCTTAAATCTATGAATGATCAAATCATGGATATAATGAATTATGAAACGATGAAACAACAAATCAAATTAATTTATTTTAAAGTGATTCAAATCAATGATGAAGATGCTACGAAATTAAGTAGTTCAATTGAATTTAATCTTATTGAATTAAGAAATTTATCCCTTTTATTCATCTTACTTTCAAATGGATATTTATTCGATCAAACTAATTTAAATAACTTCTTACTTGAGAAGTCCCTCTTTAAATCAAAATTAGATATCATTAATGATTGGATTAAAATTTCGAAATATTTAAAATTGAAAATCATAAGTTATAGTAAGATCACCGATATTCTTTATTTATTGGATTGGTATTTCATCATTAAGAATTATTATACTTATTCGAATCAAATCGTACAGAATTATTTAGAATTCAATAATTTATTAAATTATGCTGTATTGAATAATCAATTCATGGAATTCATTGAAGATCCCGATAAAGACCAATCAGCGGGTGCATCAAATAACATCAATGATGCGGCGGATAGTGCTGCATCATCGTCTTCCAACTCTCTTCATTTGAATAATGGAAATGGGAATGGGAATGCAGTGAAAAATTATCCTCAATCATTTGAATTTAAATTATTAGCGAGATATTGGATGCAATTAAGATTAGTGGAGATTGAATTCACATTTTTCCAATATAAAGGATCATTATTATCATCGAATCAACTAAAGAATACCATTGTTCCTCATAAACAATTATTAAAATCATTATATGGGGATAATTTAAGTTCCATAAAGAATCCCTTGGTTAAGTTTGCCATTCAAGTATGGGGATTATACTACCGTCGATCGAAATATTCCACCTCCATAAAGGATATCATTAAGAGTTATCTTGAATTATATGGTGATATCATGGGATTATATATCGATGAATTGAAACATGAACAAGCATTATATTTCACCACTCCACCTCAACGGAATCCGAATGAGTTTTTCAATGATCCTGAATTATTTAATAATCAATTGAATATCTTAATGAAGAATCAAATTGCCTTAACGGTGTTTATAAGATGGTTAAGTTTTATCCGAATTGAAACCAATTATTTCCCTTCATTGAGATATACTTCATATTTAACTTCAATGATGAATTTATTTAATCATTTTAATTTAATGGATGATATGATCACTGAGAGGAATAATGAATTGAGTGAAGGTGAAGAACATTTAAGAATGGATGATTTATTAACCATCTTGATCAAACAATTCCCATACCATTATATTAGGAATTTCTATCAGAGTTTAATCTATCAATCGATTTTCTTAATCATTTTACAAGATTTCATATTGATTCCAAATCAAACGTTTAAATTGAATTTGAAATTCATTTATGATTTGATATTCAGTCGTTTTCAAAAAACATTTAAGAAATTCTTAAATAGTAAATCAACCCTTTTAAAAAACTTACATAAGATTGAATTCTTTAAAAATTCATTAAACCTTGTGATTGAATTCAATAATTATTTACAAAAGAAACAATCTGAAAGTGATATGGAAAACAGTCCAACCACAGCTTCATCATCATCCACCACCGCCACTACCTCCTCATCATCTTCATCTGCCTCACCTCATCAAACTGCAACCCTCTCAGTAGGTGATCTCACGGAATTAATCTATCAATTAAAAGTGAATTTCATTAGTTTTGAAAATTGGGAAATCTTAATCAATTTCTATTTTGGATCGAGGGAGAATTTCATGAGATATATTGAAAAGATCTGGGATTTATTCGAATACTTCAAAATTGAATTAAATGAAGACACATCAAATGGGATAAGTAATGGAAATGGCACAAGTAACGGTTCAGCAACTCATACGGGTACATCCACTCCAACTTCATCCAATTTAATACCCATCACTAATGAATTATATTTGAATGATCAATTGATTATCGATAATTGTCATAAATTAAGTGGATTTGAATTTGATACCAACTCAGTAGTGGAATATATTAAAGCTGTTGTTGAACCTAATATTCAAGAATAATTATGAAGTACTAATATATAGATAGAGTTGTAGTTATGAGTTTATATACATACAATCTACATCATTATTATAACCTTATCAAGGTCGATTCAAAACAATTAAAAACTTTACATCATTACCCCTTCAATGATAGAGCCGTATTCTGATAACCATAAGCGAGGCGGCTTAGTACATCATTGAATTAAAATAAAACCGCGCAAAATTAAAAAACTCTAAAGTCCCAATTAGTCGCACTATAAGATCAGTTTTGATAATTAGTACGTGATACTTCTCCCCATGTTAATTCTACTATTCATTTTGTTACTATTATGTCCAGTACATTGCACAATCCTTGATTTTCAACATAATCTAAGTGAGTATGCCATATATAATCAACTGTATAATTGATGTCTGGAGATTCCGACTTTTAAACAACAGTTTAGCTTAATAGATAGGAAAATTAAGACTTTAGTACCTTATTTCTGATTCCTATTAGTAGAATTTGGTGATACTTTTTTCTCTTTATAGTTTCTTCAATGTATTTGATATTAGAGTTAGAGTGATCGTAAATGGATTTGAATCAAATGCTGAGATTTAAGGAACTATCATGTATTTTAAAGAAAGTGATAGATCACTTGTGAATGAACGATCAATTAAAATTCAAACAGAATAACACCTACACTACAAATAATCAATATTAAAGATTTATAAATTATAAATATGTATATTAATAATAGCATGTCACCCAGAACATGTAATGAGTCTGGCCCGTAGATTAAGTCAACAACAAAATTGTGATCACAATCCTAAACATAATTATTATTAAACACCTAAATAGATTGAAACATAGTTAAACAGTAAGGACTGATGATGAGCTACCATTAGTCACAGAACGATAATGAGCTACCATTAGTCACAGATCCATAGTGGATCTAATAATGGAATTCAAAACGAGCGGAATATAGACTATTTACCGGAATCCATTACTTACACACTTGGATGAATTTTATGCAATGTATCTAAAATTAATATTAGATTCTAAATAGATTAAATTAAGGTTAGTAATAACATATATTAGATTATAATTCGAAAGAAAATCAGAAGTAGATCATATAATTGAAAAAGTAATATTCTACTTAACAGAAGAAGAAAAGTAAAGAAAAGATATAAAAAGTGGATATATTTCAAAATGTGTTAAATAATGTGATTGACCCCTTAAGGGTGATGTATCACATTTGTAGTTTAATCGGTATGATCAATCATTTATTAAGTTTAATGATATTTCGAAAGAGATCCATCCTATTTCAAATGATTGACTATCAAATCAAATTCGAATACCATCACTACAAATGCATTCTTATCATGTTAAAGATTTATAAAATTCATATATATTAAATATCTATGCAGTTTTTCTATCCAATCAAGAGGCTTCTGGATCATGAATAGGTAAAAATAAGAATTCTAAACTAATTGAAAAATTTCCAGAAGAGCAACAGCTATCAAAAGAGTTGCCCTAAGTATAAGTATCATAAAAGACATAAATAGATTCAAATATAGTTAGTGATAATTTTGTCTATAGAGTATATAATTTGTATTTATTTCTAATATCTAATACAGGAATTAGTATCAAAATCTAAATAGATTAAACAAAGTTAGTAATCAGACCCTTGGGAGATCTGTCGTGTCACTAAAATACATTGGCAATATCTGCCAATCATATAAAGGATTAGGGTAATAATAAGAGAAAGAGAAAGAGAAAGTATATATATATATTTGAATTTAAACGTGTAGAATATTTTTGTATTAGCGCTCAAAGGGGAAAGGGGGGTGTTTCAGAATTGTAGTTACTTAGATATAATGGTGATAGATCAATTATTTCATCTGAATAAAGATAAGAAGTAACGGTGTAATGAAAGAAATCACCCATACAAGACCTACAGTACAAATAATCAAGGTTAAAGATTTATAAATTTTAATATATTAATTATTGCCAATAAAGTATCCAAAAGCGTTACAATTACAACTTGAATTAAGTTTCATTAAAATAGCTAAAAGCTAAAAGTTTCGTTGAAAACCTAAATAGATTGTAATATAGTTAGTCTTTATTAAAGATGATCATTCTATTATTTATTTCACATTCTTTGCATGTCCAACACATAAACGTTGTTCAAAATTATCCATAACGAATTTAAATTAATATCAAATTCTAAATAGATTAAACAAAGGTTAGTATTATTTGAATCTAAGCATATATTTCAACAAAAGATCCACAAAACCCGTGTTATCTTGAAAAAGGATACATGTCCACTTAATGAAAGACTAAGAGAAAGAAAGAAAGAGAGAGATGTATATAGTTAAAATTTAAAAACGATTTGGATTTGGATTTGTTACAAAAACAATTTTGTTGAGTGCTAAAGGGAGATATATCACATTTGAAGTTATATGGATACGTTGATCATAGATTAATTAATTATAATTGATTAGAGATATCTTGACTACATCTACAATTGTAATAAGTAAATAATTATACGATATATATATATTAACTGATAGATAGTACTACAAACCCCACGCAGCTGTTACCATACATATATAGATTACTGGTACAGATTACATCTTGATGCTAAAGACTTAATTCAATTAATGGAACTGATTCCTTCTGAAGACAAAGACGCACTTCAATTACTAATACAGATCATACCGTGTTGGTACAGACGTACTATAATAAGTGCTCCTCATATGAAACTGTAAACATAAGTTAATATTAAATTCTAAATAGATTAATGATAGTTAGAATAAGACGCACCAATACTTGTATACAGCTAACGTATAACAATGTCATTTTCAATGGGTTTGCCAACTTAGAAAGATAATGAAAAGACAGAAGTAAAAAGAAAATGAAAGGATATCTATCTATATATATATATATATATTAAGAAGAGTTGTGTAAGTTTCAAAATGTGTAAAAAATTTGTTGATCAAAAAAGGGGGGAGATGTTTCAGATTTGTTGGTACTAATAATAGAACTTACTCCAGTCTAGATTAATCGATCAATAAAGTGATAGAAATGACTTGAGAGTATATTATATCTTCTACAATTGAAATAAGTAAATAAATAATTAAACGAAATATATATTAAAAAACCATAAAACCGACTCACTAGATTACTTCTTCTCTTCCTGGGAGTGTTACTTGGCGTCAGCTTTAACAAATGTTCCTATAAGATGTAAGTAAATAGTAATCCTAAATAGTTTATCATAATTATAAATATACAACAGCGAACACATCACTAAAGTCTGGGAGCTCTTAAAAAACCTTGTAGTAGTAAAATTAAAAAAAAAACAGAAAATTCAAAATAATTCGGAAAAATACAAATTCTTTATCATATGATTACAGGTCATATTTCTTTTGAACACATAAATTTAAACAATAAGCAATCAATCATCAAGAACAAATGACAATATTAGATATAGTAGTATCTTAACCTTATCAAATAAGTTTTCTGAATTAGATATATATGATTAATTGATCTTCAACACCGATGGCAGTACCACAGACCTGAAGAAATTGATATGAGATCAACTATTAATGACCTTCTCCATATAAATGAAAACTACACTATTAAACCATTTTTTGATAATCATAAAAAGAATTATATATATTCTAAGTATTTAAATTTAAAAACATAAACTCAACAAATCTATTTCAAGGAGGTTCGTAAACACTAAATAGGTTAGTAAAAGTTAATTTTTGATCTTAAATAATGCAATGGTTAGTTAAAATGAAGTGAAACCTTATAAAGAATCTACCAAGAGCATTCTTGGATAATACGTTGAACTTAACAAGCAAAGCAAGTAAAGTTACTGACGTTAAAGAAAGAAAGAAAGAAAGAAAGAAAATGTGTTGCCATATTTTTTTGAAAAGTTTGAGTTGAATCCCTTTTTTTAAGGGGCAAGACAAGAACACAATGGAGATCAAAAAAGACTTTTGAGAATCAAATCGAATCGAATCGAATCGAAAATCTGAGACAAATCGGATTTATCAAAACGCGTAGCTTAATTTAGCTATACAAATGAGGTTGAATCAATTAATGACCTAACTGATTCACACTAGTACATTCAATGGAAGTACATTTGACTCCATTGTGTTAACGACACAAGGCTACATTTGATCTTATCAATAATACAAATATGATACTTTTAATATAACTACCAGCATTAATCAATTAATTCAACTACCCTAAAGCAAGTAAGTAAAATGTAAATACCTAAATAAATTATCATAATAATATCAATAACCAATCGTCATGAACCACGTTATCATCATAGTTTTAATCAACTAAAGTGTTTCTCGTCATAATAATAATCAGCTAAAAGAAAGAATATCATAAATATAAAAAATCTCAAAATTTTTGTTGATAATTTATTTTTAAACGTCGTTTGAAAGAATTGAACAGCTCATAGAAAAGTATGTTTCAATTGGCAGTTAAGTAAGAGTAATTAATAGTAGTGAGCTTGGGTACTTTAACTTTAATGAACTACATAATTCGATATATTTAAAGATAATATAATATAATTTATATTTTGCCACATGCACCAAATGCAAAGGGGTCCAACCAATAAAGAAATGTAAGCAACCAAGAAAGACCATAGTTAGTATTGATCCTAAATAACTCATCATTGTTAACTTTCATGAATATCGGATTAAATCAAATATCCTATTAATTCCTAAAAGGATGACAATTTCATCATTTCATTAATAAAAGAAAGTGTGTTGTAAATTTAATAATTTTCTCTTTCCTTTTATATTCATTTGAGAATGAAAACCAAAACGGTTTGAATTAACCGCTGTATGATAATATTGACCTGAATAGAGCTTATAATACTAACATTGATCAATCAGATAAGTACAATCAAATGATTATGGAACTACGTATTTATATTGTAAAGAATTTATAACAATTATATATTAATTTCAACATCGAAGGTGAAGTTTCAACCTTTTTAAGGATAATCACTTTA